GCTCGTCGCAAGCACGTTGCTGGCAAGATCCTCGGCTTTGTCTACTAAAAAAGCATAAATTGCGCAGTCCATAAGTAATATTTACAAACCAATCAGGTTAGAGTTTCACCTAAGGTCTCAATAACGGTGAAACTGCTGAGCATCTACCCCCAATCCACCGCATTTGTCTGCGATGATCCGAACGGTTGTCTCTCTGATGATCTCTTCGGTGAGCTTTTCTCTACGAACCCATTGCATTGTCGAATCACGCTCAAGATCTTTGAGTGCTGTTTCGTCACGGGCGGCGTAAGAATCAACTCGAGGGTCGTTTTGAGTCTTGGCAAACTCAATATGGTCGCGGGCATGGGATGTGAGTGTCTTGATTTGAGCAGTGTTGTCTGGTAGCGACTCATCCAAACTGCCACCGGCAACAGCTCCACAGAATGCGAGAATATCGTCGCGCTTCCTCCACTCATTGTACATTCGAGGAAGCACTTCGCCACACGATCTTTGTGTCAACGAGCTGGGAATTTTATCATCAGAAATCGCTCTTGACTGACGTAGAAATGTTTTAATCGCCGACGGGTTCACACAATGGTATGGCGTCTGGAGTTCTGTATGTTCCATAGTCGAGGACTTTCGATCTGAAATCGCCTGCTGACTGGAAGCTCTTGGGATTCTAGAAATTCATGTAGCTAACACTATTGATAGTTTAGGGCGAGAAGAAACGAAACGAACAAACTCAACGCAATTAACCATATGCTGTGAGTTATGCTCGAGATTGAACTCGATTCGTATTTTTGCACGTTTTGCTGCAGTGGTTCGGATTCCTCGACTGGGCGGTAGCGGTGAGGGTAAGCGTAGCCAGCCGCACTTTCAGTGCGATAGACCTCATTTTTATTCTGGGTAACGGAATCAATTGGAAGAGCATTGCGCATTTGATTCTTGTTGATTAATTCTTGCCCTGAAGCAGGCTTTGTAGATGTTGAGATCGGCTCGATCGGGACGAAGAAGCTCGATGTTTCATTAGCACTCTTTTGCACATCAGTTTCAGAATTTAACGCAACAACCGCGCTGATGCGACAGTCGGTCATGAGCTCGCCATTAGCGTCGTATATGGAATATTTCGATTCACGGAGCTCAAGCTGGGGAAGGTATTGCCCACGCATGATTCTAACACCGTTGCGAATCATTTCAGTGCCGAAGCTATTAGGCTCCTCGTAAGAAGGATTAAAACTATCGTAGACGGTACCACATTTTTGACGTGGTTGGGGTCTAGATAGGACAGGAATCGTTGAGCTATCCGCCACGACATTCGAAAACTTCTCGCGCAGTGTGTCAAAATCTGGATTTAGGTGGGCATTCCCGTCCGTGTCTAGTGTGAGAAGACCATAGTTATTCACCTCTTGAGTGAATTCATATACAAGACCGCCACTGAAGACATGCGTCATTGCGGGAGAGAACAACATTTCAACTTCTTGGAAAAGACGAGGCCGCACGAGATTACAGCCAAACTCGGACAGGAAGATTGGAACAGTAAACTTCTCATGATCTCTCACAAGGAGATCATATCCAGACGTTTGGAAAGTTTGCTCGCCACACCACTGGTAGGAGTTGACACCGTAAAAGTCAACAGCGGAGTCGTCATCGCCACAGGTCAGGTAGTCTGCGAGTGGGATACGATAGCGCAAATCATCGGCTGCCGAGTATCCAACTGGAATAATTCTTGGAGAGTTATAACGGATATAATCTTTGATATCTCGTGTGACTGCTCGAATATACGGCGGAGATACACTGGCGGAGCGTTCGTCGTTGACAACTTCATTACCCATGAAAAACGCAAGGGTGTTATTGTACCAACTGAACTGCTCAACCACCTGGAAAATGCGCTGCAGATACTCAGGACTGTAGGCTGTCCAAGGCTCGTAACGGTTGAGGCTCTCTCCGATCCTGGGTGAGTTGACATCGAGGACGAGATAAATGCCCGCCATGGCGAGCATGCTCATACAAGCATCGTGATTCAAATACGGATTCACAGTATAGACACGAACAGTATTTATTCCCAGTTTTTGGAACAGGTAAATGTCGCGCGCGCACGATTCGACATCGCTCAAAGGATCCGACCATTCGAAGTTACTAGAGGAGCCACCGGGTTGATAGTCTACTCCCTTAATTAAAAAAGGCTTACCAGTGACAGAATCGACAAAATGCGCATTGCGCACTGTGATAGGGTTTACAATTGCGTCCACGCGCGCAAAAAGGCTAGCGATCAGAAAAAGCATGTGAAAGTGATCCATGCAGTGTCCTGCACCTCAAACTAATAGTTGCATGTTTCGTCTACGGACATTGAATCTCTCCACATTGAAATATCGACTCCCACAATTATAGAGCGGCCGGAGAAAAATAATGATAAGCGCAAGTAAGATGGTCTTTTTTTTTTTTTTGGTCCGCCAAAAAGTTTTGGCCCGTAAAAGAAAGCCCTCGGTCTAATCGCTCCGGCCGTTGTGCGGTTGTACTACTAGTTTGTCAGCGAACCTTCACTTTTTACAACAGTCCACCTAATGAAGAACGAACCGTTAGTTCAGGACATTATTGGGTTCCTGCGTCAAAGCATTGTCGACGGAACCGTGTCCAGTGACGATAAAGAGTCACTTGAAGTTGCGATTGAATGTATTGCTGATTCGTTTGGCGTGGAAGCACCGGAGGCGTCTAATGCCCTTCTAGAAGTATACTCCGGTGCTGCCCCTAAACGTGCCACCAGCTCACAAGAGGACGTCACGTTCAAGACAGTTGACATGCCCGTCGATGTTTCAGTTGAGGTCTCTGAGGAGGATATTGCGGCAGCAGACCAATTAAAGCTCGAGGGAAACCGTTTCATGGCTCAAAAGAACTTTGCCCAGGCTATCGACTCGTATTCTCAAGCTATTGCTAAGAATCCCACAAATGCTCTTTACTATTCAAACCGTTCTGCTGCTTATAGCCAAGCAAACCAAGCCCAGCGCGCTGTGGAGGACGCCCAACGCGCTGTTGAGCTCGACCCTACCTATGCCAAAGGTTACTCTCGTTTGGGTCTGGCTCTTTATTCCGTTGGTAACCTTGAGGGTTCTCTTAAAGCTTACGAGGAAGGCCTTCTTGTTGAAGGTGATAACACTAGTGAGGGTATGCGTCGGGGCTACGATACCGTCAAGAAGCGAATTGAGGAGACTCGCAGTGGCTCTGTGACCCCCCGTTCTAGTACTATGCCTGAGACACCTACCCAGAGCACTGAAGCGGCCAGCTCAGAAGGTGCCGGCGGCTTCTTTGGAGGTATGCCCAGTTGGGGTAGTTTGGGTGAGCTCATGAACAATCCTGAGATCAAAAGAATGGCCCAGAATCTCATGTCGAACCCCTCGGCGATGAATGAGATCTTGAATAACCCCACCGCTCAGAAGGTTCGCGAAAGTTTCGCAAACGGAAAGGGTCCCAATTTTTCAGAGCTCATGAGCGATCCTAACATTTCAAACCTTATGAACAACTATATGAACCCCGGTGGAAAGCAGTAGATAGTTTATTTTTTTTTTCCCCAAAAAGTCTTCTACTAAAAAACAGAAGTTGTCACCCTCCAGGTGTAGCCTTCAAGCTATCTAAAATAAACTGGGTTTTTGCTAAACGCTTTTTAAGAGATGAAATGTTGGAGACTGCGATGACCTGCATCATGTCAAGCAAAGTACGCTCCTGGAATTCCATGAAAGATGCCAGTTCCGAAGCTAGGATCTCCTGAGAATGGCATATTCTATTCATAAGGCGAGAAATTTCCATTCGGAGCCGAGATATTTTATCTTCAGAAGCTTGCATCCCATTTATACGGCGTTCCTCGAAATACGAAAGTGACCAAATCTTGCGAGACCCAAGCTCAGCAAGATGGGCCCGCTCAGCCTCTAATTCCTCTTGGGCGGAATTCATCTCTTTGATCATTGCAACTGGGACTGACAAAACCTCTATAATTCTAGCGGAGTTCAGAGCCAAAGAAGCACATTCAATCCGGGGCTTCCAGTAGACATGCTGCAATTTCTGCCTGAAAATACAAGATACAACCGGACGCACATGTTCGAATAACACGAGCGAGAGGTCACTAATCTCGTTCCAAACATAGCCTTGACAGAAAGTTTCCTCTAGATAGCAATTGAGCAAATGCTGCATTGAGCTAGCCAATCTGGTGAGCTGCTGCATCAGTGCTTGTATTTGCTCGATGCTGAACTGGAAAAAAGTATCGATAGAACGTGACTCTTGGGCAAAAAATCGCGTTTTCTCTGATCCGAGGTTCTGTTGCTTGTCAACAGGCTCGTGTCGAAGCTTAGCTTCTGAGTCCACCTGCGCTAAAACCGCTTGTCCGGACCATTTGGGGTCTGTACAAAACTGCTTGAACTCCTCAGAATTTTTGATCGTCGCGTGGCTTTTCAAACATTTGACATATGCCAAAAACACTTCTGTTGCAACGAAACTGTAGCTCGTACCTAGCGTGGAGTTGTTGAGCCAGCGGTCGTCAATGAGCCCTAGAGTGGGGAGCCATGAAAGTGGGAACTTTATCTCCAATATTCGGCGTAGCATACTAAAATCAGCGACTGTGCGTGTGATTACGGCCCCGTCTGTTCCTGGAGTGCTGAATTCGTAACAAATTTTGCCGTGGGAATGTATCTGAACAAGGTCTGGAATTGCCACATGTGATTGAGCTCTCTCCGAAACGAGCTTCAGGAGACGCCTTCCCTCCGGTGCATGGGCCATTGAAACATGGAAAAAGATGCTATCCAAGTAAGGCTCGACTTGTACAAAAAACCTTGCCAACTTGATGCGGTTGAACCGAAGAGAATTAATCAAAGCCGACCGAAGCTTGCTATCAACAACAGCGATATCATAGCCGGGCATACTTGCTAGTTTCGCCATAAGCTCGGTGCTTTGAGGGTTGGCAAGATGTAGCAGACTGTGACACTTCTTGTCGAAATGACCATAAAGGCTTGCATTGGGGTCCTGATCCGTCACCGCATTGAGGCTATCAAGAAGCATGGTATCGTAATTTTGGTGATCATAGCAGACAGCTACAGTTAGAAGAGGAGACATCAATGTGAAATCATTTGCATTCCAATCGATAAATGGACCGAGACGCTTGATAAGGTCCGCCCGGTGAAATAAACAGTGACCAACTGAGCGGCGCGTTACGTCGCGGCTCTGGTAAAAAGCCTTCTGCTCAGAGACTGAAAGCGTAGAAATAATAGATATAAGGCGATCAACAAGCGGCGATTCAGCCTTTAATGCAGCAATTAGCAAGGTTCTGTGCTGCTCGTCGCGATCGTTCACAAGGTCATGAGTGGTCAAGACATCGCAACCCAACACATAGTTTGCTAACTCCGTGTTTCCCGAATTGATGCAGCTGAATAGTGCCGTACCAGTTCGACGAGCTTTGAAGATGGACTTATCCTCGATTTTTTCGAGTTCGGCAATCGAATTAGTTTCGATAGCGTGCCAAAATGTCTCAGCCGCTCGAGCATGGGCCAAAAGTTCGTCGAAAGAATGTTCGATATGATGTACGACACTTTCTGCAATCATCAAAGTATAACCGAGATGGCCACGGTCTAAAGATGAGCGAAAGTAAGAAAAATTTCGCAAAATAAATAGGTGCACATCCAACTGCTCGGCTGTCTGGGCTCTTAAAGCCACTAGCAAGAAAAGACCTAGCAGAGCATCAGCGGATACTGGCACATTGAGATCTGCTTCACCCAATGAATCTATTACCCTGATTAAAACGCAGCAGATCTCGTTGATATTTGTGCTTTGAAGGATCGTGTTGTAAGTCTCTACGACTCGGTTGACAAGACAGTCGGCTTTAGCCAAGTCGATACCATCTGGAAGCCCAACTTGTGAAACATCTAGACAGGTGAGTTTAGCACGATTATTTTGGAACGTCGAGCCGTGAAACAAGGACCTTAGCTTCTTGAAAACCCGGTACCCAGTATGGCACTCTAACCACTCGCAAAGTACTCTTTTATTGTCAATTCCAAGCTCTAGTAAAGATGAATGCGACCGTTCTACGAGTTCGCGATAAAGCTGAGCAACGCCGTGGGCTGTAGTTGGAACTTGCTCATCAAAAGACATAACCAGTTCGCCCAGACATGCATTGGCCTTCTTGAGTTTAGTTTTGTCTTTCCCAATTACAGAAGATAGCTCAGGTCCTTCTTTTCGCGAGGGATTCTCCAAGTACGCGTGGGTTTGTTCTGGCAATCCCCTCAGCCGAGAGAACAAGGGCTGCCGTGGTTTTCGTAAAGGCACAAAGAGGCCATCTAGTATAAACATAAAAATCACCCGGTCGCATCCGATGTAAGACACACCAGGATTCCAACAAAAGATGTCAATTATTCCCACAGGCTTTCCTGGATCAAGAGATTTCTGACCAGAGGTGGTCTTGAAACAAATAGAGGAGTCCCTAATCTCCACGTACGTATTTGGTGTGAATGTTGGAGCAAGCAATTGCCTACCTGCTCCAACTTTAGCGTGACCGAGTCGCACCATATGGGCCAGTAAGTAACTATCCTGGTATAGCTCATCTTTCGGGATTTGGTGTGAAAGGCTCATATCAGGACTGATTAACGCAACAATCTCGGTACCGTTAAGGGCACCATGTGCCTGTTTCAAAGTTCTGTTTGGAACTAAAACATTCTCGTCAAACAATGCCTCGATTACTGTGCTGAAAAACATACCCTCCTATTCCTCGCCACGGCCTCTTTGTAAACTTTAGCGGCCGCTGACAAAAACACCAGTGTCAGAGAGAAAAAAAATAGATCGGTGAGGTTTTAGAATATCGAGGAAATGGGGTTCCAGCGACGTCAAGAAGAACGGTATCGACCAAAGTCAGACTATCCATTCAAAATGGCCATGTGGGATTTCAAGCATTGCGACCCGAAGCGCTGCAGTGGGAAAAAGCTTGAACGAATGGGCATGATCCGCCCTTTACGGATCGGCCAAAAGTTTGGTGGTGTCGTTGTGTCACCCAACGGAAAGCATCCAGTTTGCCCCAATGACTGCGAGATTGTGGAAAAGTACGGAGCTGCTGTTGTCGAGTGTTCTTGGGCGAGACTTGACGAAGTTCCATTCAGCAAAATCGGTGGTAAGAATACCCGTCTGCTTCCCTATTTATTAGCCGCAAACCCCGTGAATTATGGCAGACCGTGGCGACTCAATTGCGTAGAAGCACTTGCTGCTTGTTTCTGCATCACAGGCCACTTCGATTGGGCAGAGACCGTTCTTGAAAAGTTTACGTGGGGTCATGCATTTTTGGAGTTGAATGCCGAGTTGCTGGAACTATACTCTAGATGTACTGATTTTGAGAGTGTACAAAAGGTCCAAGAAGCCTGGCTGGAAGCCAAAAGGCAACCTAATGATGGACAGAATTGGACAATCAAAGAGGGAGAAGAGGAGATCAATGAAGAGTCCAGTGAAAGTGAGGAAGAGTCTGAAGAGGAGCCTGATCAACTTGCAGGCGACGTGAATGTACTTGTTATTGGCGCTGCAGAAGAAGAAAAGGAAGAGGACCAAGAAGGGTCGGAATACGAGTCAGATCTAGATCTTGATGAACCTCAAGCTACATTATAAAACTACAAAAACTAGCCCTCGTTATCTTCAGCTGCTAATTCGTCTTCATCATCTACCGGTTCAGCATTCACCCGTTCACTTTTTGTATCAGTGAGATAGTCAAGGAGCTCGGAAACACGATATGTATCAATGAACGCGAAAAATGCGTGGAATTCGTTTTCTTTGGCTTCCTGAGTGTAGATCCGATCATAGATAAATTTGTGTTTGAAAGCATCAATTTCTTTTTCATAGGGATCAAATGTGACTGAATCACGGCCCAATCGAGACAACCGTGAGTTGAAACCGTCATAAACGGGCTGTTCTAGTAACAAGCCCAATGCTGGAGCTTTGGGGATGCCAACCTTGACATCTTTAAAAAGATCAGAGATCTTGGACTTGTCAACACCGCAGCGAACAACCAAAACGGCCATGGCAATCATTTTACGAATCTGGTGCAACATAAACGACTGGCCGTGGATCTTGATCGATACCCATTCTGTGCCGTTGATGACCATGGGATCAGAGACAGTTAATGATTTCATAACGCGAGTAGAGCTTGCTTCCTTGAATCCTTTCCCCACCGTGTAGTTGTGAAAGTTGTGGACGCCTTCGTACTCTTTGAGTGCTTCACGGAACTGCTCAATCCGCTCAGGAATCGCCCGGTAGGCTCTGCGATAATTATTAGCGATGGCTTTCACACGCTTCCGTTCCGGCGTTTCCTCGGTAGCTTCTTCATCAAGTCTCAAGTTGCGAGCGGTTCCGTCTTGTTGAACTTTGGTTTTGGCCGCCTCTTCGGCGGCTTCTTTCTCAATACGGATCAAGTCCTCTGCACTGATTCCTTCAGCGGCGTAGGCATCTTCCATACCCTGCCAAAACTTTGTTGCTTCATCTTTTAAAGCTTGAGGCTCAACCTGCTTCACATTGGCGAGCCTTTGGCCTAATGCACTGGAAGGCTTAGCACTCATCAGAGCATAGGTAGGCAAGATGTACTCATATATCCGCGAAGAGCACATTTTACGACACTCAAACGACTTGTTGGTGCGGACATAGCCCCAGACACGGATCTGCTCGGGCAAATGTGAATTGATACGCTCAACAATATCCTCATCTTCAACGATCATCTTGAGCGAAACCACATTGCCCGCTGCATGAACGCCCTTATCGGTACGGGCTGCTCGTAAAAACGAGGATTTTTTGGGGTCGTTCGAATTGTCTTGTGAGACAGCCCCAGCTTTGACAAAAGCCTGAAACAAATCGCCCTCAATAGTCCTGTGAGGGGGGTTCAACTGCATTCCATGATATCCTGTTCCACAGTAGCCCACCAGAACGGCAACTTTGCGTTTGGGGCGACGAGGTGCTTTATCATTGTCGGTCGCTGGTTCGCTATCAACACGCTTCGCAGCAGACACCACGGCTTCTTCAATTGTCCTTTTTCCAGTCATGAAGAGAGATCGGAGAAATTTCATTCACTGACTAATTTTTTTTCTTGGACTCTGCGCGTGAAAAGTTCAGATACAAGCATAAATAAAACTATAGAAGAGATAACAGCCTAAAATCCCATCTTCTTCCTGATGATAGACTTTGTAATAGAGGACGTTGCGTCCTTTTTAGCAGACATGACCATCTCTTGGAAGTCATCAGCCAGTCCGCCGACCGCTTGACCTGCAGAATCGTAATAGTCGTCGAATGTTTGACCCCACGTTTTTGCAGGTACACCTCCTTGATAAGATGCGGCAGCTCTTTGAGGTCTAACATAGCCTGCTGGTTCAAGACTGGGACCAGGGGGGTCGTTGGCTGAGTTTTCCACCAAGTCGACTCCGGCTCGTCGGGTTGTTCCGCGCCGTCTGCCGCCAATGACCTTGTCAAGGTCCTCAATCGATACATACTGGCGGCCAGAGACCCACTGAACAGCAGTAATAGTAGGGCGGGCTGTTGTTTTGATAAGTGGGTTGTAGACTTGGCTAATTATCGGTAGTTGTCCAGTACCCCAGATATGCATGAGACCAGCATACTTTTCCTCAATTTGAACTAGCGCATCACCAACACCGGTAATAATACTGCCTTTTAGACAGCTCTTGTAGGGCACATGTGATTGGCTGAGTTTCATCAATCCAGGAATGCTGTAAATACCTGCGTTTGCTTGTTCATTCAAAGTGAGCAGCGCTAAAGAATCTCCTTGACGCAAGAACCCAAACGAAGCAGAAGTTAGAGGTGTATTGAAGCGCTTATGTGCCAACTTTGGCCTCTTAGAGCTAGCATGGAACATACGGGCATCCCGAGTTGTGACGGCCAATATAGCACCCTCAATTTTAATAGACCGTGCAAGCTCTTGTAGCACCTCTGGCATAGCCGCTGCAGGAGCACCCCGGCCTAGATCAATGTGTGAAATATGTATGACTGGATCACTTCCAACATTCCAGACGTCGTACTTTGTAGGGACGAATCCGCCGCCTTGACGGGGAAGAATCTCGAAAACATGCACGTTTCCTGCTCGAGTCCCAACAGCAAGAACCAGAGCGGAGTAGTCTTTTCGGCCAACAATTTCAATTCCAATTTCCGCACAGGTGGGGGCTTCACCTAAGACCTCATTGTAAATAATGGCGGGGCCTCGTCTGTCAACGACGACGAGACGGCCATCTTCGTAGCCAATGACTACAAATCCAACATTCGAGTTGTGAACCATGCTAACCCTTGACTGTCCTGGGATTAGATACTGAGGAAGGAAGCCTTGTTGAATATGGGTAGAGCAGCGCTGAGATATATCCTGAATCAGTGTACCACTAGGCACAAATTCTGCATAGGCTGAACGGTTCCGACCGAATTTGAACAAATAGGTATCTGTTCCTGCTGAAACAACCAGCTCGCCTGTAGATCCAGCAAAGGATACCCCGGACACACTAATATCCGCATTCGGTACGATGTCAGCGATTGACACATCAACAACGCGGAAGTCGTTTGGTTCACTCCGCGAACCGTCAAACAAACGGACGCTTCCATCTTTGCCGCCAACGATAATCACAGTACATACTGGCAAGCGTCTCAGACGTTGGCGCGATGGGACACCACCTCGAAGAACTGTTTTCGGAGATACCGCCATGATTCCCAACCATTGGGTCCGAGACATTGACGTTGATCCTACAAATGTATGCTGCGCAGCACTAAAAGAAAGTGCCGGGGGCAAAATGTAAGAGTTGTTCCGTTTCAATTGTAGGCCTGGCAAGCTGTAAACTTCAGAACACCCTGAAATGTAAGAAACTATTATCCACTCGGGGTTGTAAAAGTTATGGTGCGGGTTCCCTCTTGCCAAAGGCAAAGCCGCCGAAATTTGGTCCGGCAGTTGAACCAACATGTCGGGGGCGTTGCTGAAAAACTTACCCATACCGTCGTAGCTAGTGATGTTGTAGGTTGGAGATTTGCCAAAGTTGATAATATATAGCTCGGTGTTTCCCAGTACCAAAAATGTCGTGTCAGGGTCATCCGTGCAACACCAAGCCAAGAAAGAAGAGTTGGGAATATGCGTATCGCGAGTGCACAACTGTTTTCCCGTTTTTCCATCGTAAAACATGAGCTGTCCATTTTCGTGGTAAGACACAATATGGCTACCACTGGGATGCCAGGAAACAAATCTAACATGACTTGCATTATTGGTGATACAATGGAATAAGACCTCGTTCGTGGCCAACGAGAAAACTGCAATCAAGTCGCGATACCCTAGCAACTGCTGGGCAGCATCACGCGGGTTCAGGCTGATCCCCAGGACAGGGCTGAATCGGCTTCTCGGTAGAACCTGTTGCTGAACGGAGCTAATCCGTAGTGGAGAAATTTTCCCAAGATCGAGATCAAATGCAATCGATTGACCATTCTCCAAACCAATAAATAGCCAATCCATTGCTGGATCCGCATACACTGACGCGACTGGGTTGCCACAACGATATTCACCCCACTTCTCGAGCGTATCCAGCGACCACACAGTTACAAGGTTCGCAGAATCTACAGCAATGAGGTAAATACCTTTCACGAGCCGCGCATGACGAATTGGGCTTGGTTGGTCTATTTCAAGAGCAATCTGCACTGCGCCCTGCCCGCAAACAACCATCGTACCGTCTGCCGTACCGATCGCAAGCAGCGACTGGTTCGGGTCATACGCCAGAGCCGTCACTGGTGCAGGAATACCAAACCTAAACAAGTCGTCCGGCTGAAATGGCTGATTTAGGCCAGTGGACAGATCAGCGGTTTTCTTGAATTTCGAAAACATAACTGGATGACAAAGCCAAGTGGCCAGGCGAGAGGATAAATTAAATGTTACAATAGAGGATTAAAAGATCTGCCCACAGAAGCATTGGCAGTCCGGGACTGGACAAACAGAGTACTTGGCGAACCATTCTCTTGCGTGCTTAGTATGGAAGCCGTGGCTGCAAGACAGGCAGAATACCGGCCAGCGGTCTGCTTTATCATGAGTCTCTAAACCTGACCCCAGCGACAGCAGACATACTGCGCATCGAGGGAGGTAATGCTTGCAGTTTCCGCAACGAATTGTTGTAGTAGGGCTTTTGTGCTGTTCCTTGGGTTCTTTGCTCGATCCAATAATCGCCTTGCAGAATGTACATCTCAAAAATGCCTGTTTGGGTACGGGCGGGGTAGTGCCTAAACCAGCGTGGCCCCTCGAAAGCCGTGTGCGGGAGACGTCAAACTTTGCTCTTTGAGAAAAGTACTGCCAGCGATTGAGCATGTACCGATATGTTTCAATCCAGGCTTTTGCCCGGGCATCGGTTTCAAAAAACCGTGGGGTTCCAAAAGTGATCATGAGCGCCGCAGTTTGAACGTCACCTGTTTTGTCAACGTAGGTCTGTAGCAAGTCGACGAGACTCGGTGTCATACCTGTAAGAATCACACCCTCGAGATCGCCATTTTGCACACATCGTTCAGCCAACTGGCTAAGGTAGCGCGTCAGATCCTTTTCAGCAAGAAATCGGAAAGCAATACCCAGACGTTCAGTCAGAGGAAGTGAGCTATCATCCAGAACATCAAACCAAGATCCATCTGCAATGTACGCAAAAATGGCACGGAGGTAGGGCATTGATAGCTCCGATGCCAGTTTGCGGCACTGTTCGCGCCAGGGATTGTTGGTTTTCACATCTTTGTAAACGAGATAACCGGCCACAGCTGACGAAATAAGACGTAGCTGGCTCTTGCGGCTGCGACTAAGACTCTTCACAGCCCGCTCGACATCGCCATGAAACACTGCCCAGCCAGCTGCCTTCTCGTGCCGTCCTTTGGATTCCAGATCTGCAATCCGATCTTCGAGTCCCGCGAGCCCAAAATTCCACCCGCATGCTTGCAAACAGATTTGGCGAACTGCATAACGCTGGCTTGTTTTGTATTCAGTAGAAACAAAAACGTCGCCGTCAAACTTGGCACTCATTTTGGTGAGCGCACTTTCGTAGCCCTTTTCTTTCAACTCAACAGTGGTTGAAACGACTCGCCTTTGATTTTTAAGGGATTCAATACCATCCCACAGAGGCAACACACCCATGTAACTCAGATCTAGGTTTTCGGTTTGCAGTTGCTGTGAAGCATTTAGCTGAGAAGCGAGTTTTAGCCATTGCCATGCCGTTCTCAATGCATGCCCAAGTTCTTGTCGTGGCATATCGAAATTCGCAGCAGGGTCACTGGCATAACCTTGGAGAGCTCTCGTCTGCATCACCTTGGCAATATCCCTGAGCAAAACCTCGCCATAAGTAAGAAGCATATCGTCGTCATCGTCTGCTTCAGGTGACCCTTCATCAACTAGCTCTTCATTCTCATCTTCTAGCTCATCATCGAAATCGTCTTTAACCTCAGGTTCAGATTGCGATTGGCCTCGGCTAACAATTGACATATCTTCTCCACACATGAGCATGCGAAACTGATGAGGTTCCAAAACCGAGAGATCATTTGAAGGATCAAAGTAAAGCATCGCAGGGGACTCTGTCGCAGGCATACGGAAGACCTGGCCTGATTGTCTAATACAGACAAACTCTAGCTCGTTTGTGACCGGATTCGAGACGTAATCGTACCCTACCACTTTGTCGGTTTCTGTTTTGGTGTCCAGAACCCAGCGGACGAACTTAGAATCTGGGACTTCATGTGTTGGGTCTACTGCAGATGTCAGGTGGCTAACTGTGTTCGCACTCGAAGCAGGAATAGTTGATGTAACCCAGCGTCGGATGAGAGAGCCATCGTGTAATACGCTGAATTCATTCATATTGGTTGAAGAAAATCGAGCGGAACGTTGTGGTTTACCCCGAGATTCATTGAATACACGAGGAAGCAATAACAGAGGATCCGACGTTCCACTTGCCGAGGACGAAAGCTGGCGACGGTCCCAAAGCGCTAACGAACCACTCTCGCTGTAGCTCAAAAATTGCATATCGTTCAATCGATTGACCTTGATTCCATAAGAACATTTAGTTGGTACATGTACTGCCGGAGTTGATGTTCTGGTATCGATCTCACGAATAGACTTGTAGGTTCCGCAAAGCAGAAGAGTTGGCTTAGAAGGAATGAACTCGAGACAGGTAATTGTTTCGTTCGAAAAAAGCGATCCTAATAGGGTCATATTCTTCTTCTTTTCCACTTGCACGTCATAAAGCAGCAACGAATCATCATTACGTGCTCTGTCGAGACCAACCGCTAGTATTCCAGAAGAGTTAAAGGAGAGCGTGTTACAAGGTCGGACACTTTTGCAATCCACCTTTGTTGGCACATCATTTTGACGCATCGGGTTCAATAGTTGCACGGTACCACTATTGTGGCCAACGGCAACCAACCCATGATGAATTGGAGAATACGCATATGTGCTCACAGACATCAAGTCCTGGGCGGAATTGAGCAAAGACATTGACATGGCACCCTTCTCATCGACACATGACTCGTAAATTACAACCTCATCTCTGCCTAGCCCTAGCGCAACAAAGTACTGCCGATCGGGGGTATCCCATTCGTAGGCGTGAACAATGTCTGCTGACATGACAGATGTTCATGGAGACTGGTGAACTTATTCCCGGCTGACTTGACAAACCACCAAAAAAAAAATGTTGTGCGTTCGCAGCATACGCCCGTTTGTTGTGCGAAACATTCGAGTACTCAGGTATAGCAGCATTGAAAATCCGGCATCTGAAAAGCCGTCTACTGAGGTTGAGACTGATGAGTTCCATGCTCAATCGACAGAGCATCGAGACAAGTTGATCTTTGACTCGATTCTTGATTCAGTGCTCATGCGGGCCGAAAATCAGTCGGCCAAGCGCAAACCCCATTCTGTGACATCAACTGTGCAAGCTCTTTTCGATAACCCCCAGGAGGATCCACTGGATAGGGCTTATGGGTCGATTTTGGACAAACGCACTCGTGATTTGGAGACCTTCGCGCACGACACACCGTCGGATGCGATTTTGAAAAATGTTCAGCCAGTTCTGGAACACATTTCAAGTTTGAAAACAAACAAAGACGTCGTATACTACCATCAATCGGCGGTGATACGCAGTTTTGAGACGGTAACCCCCGTGCAGGGACAAGTAGTTGTGGACAAGACGAATGCTGCGTACATCACAAAGCACATTATGGCCGTTCTCATAGACGAATTTAAGGATCCGGTTGGGGCATTGCATATATTCAACAGCATCAAGGCGAAATCAAATGACTATTTCATCGCCGCATGCTCAGCTGACGTTTACAACCGGATCATCGCTCTCAGATGGCAGTACTATCGAGATATTCAGTCGGTGGTCAGTCTGATGAATGAGATGTTTATTAACGCAGTGCAAGGCAACAATGAAACAGTCGATTTGTTGGGGGTTATCACTCGACAGGCCATCGAGAGCTCTCAGAATATTCCATTGGCCGAGTCTTTGCCTCTTTGGAGTACTAAAGACGACAAACTTGTCAAGACACTCAATTCCTACAGAGTTAAACTAATGTCTTCTTTGGCAGGCCGGAGAGATTTCGCTCTCGCCAACCTGCAAAACTGATTTAAGTAGCCAAGCTTGTACATAGAAATCTGATTATTTATCATGGACATCCTGCGGGGGCCCTGCATTGCCCTGGCTCAAGTGTCTGTAGTACCTCAGCAGGCGTTTGATCCAGGTAATCAGCAGGTCACTGTGCGACTGAAGAGTGTTCTGGATGCAACGAAAGCTGTTGCTGTCAAAAACGAGCTCTCAGAGGGTCTCGGTGACTACGTATATTTTCCTCTGCATCATCTGCTGCAAAAAGATGCTTTGGGCGACCGTCAGACCGACTATCTGCTTCAAATACTCACCTTATTATTCTATAATGCGTGGGAAACGGTCACACTGGAAAGGGCGTCTCAATTGCTCTCGGTTGTCGTGTATCTCGTTAGTCCAGAACCCCCAGGCGAGCTGGTTAAATTCCGTGAAAAATCAACTGAGCTACACACTTCGGCGTTTCGTTGTATGTATGCGGTAATTAAAGCGTGCGAAAGAAGCTCTATAGCCGACCAAATTGCTGCTTCTCCTTCTATTCCGCACATTATCACTGTACTATTGGCGTCGTTGCAGTACGACTCTGATCTTAACGCACACTCAGCGGCATTAGATTCACTGAGTGCGATATGGGATCAACTCAAACCTGATCAGATGGCATTGTTGCTGCCAGGTATTGCCTCAAAGCTTGTCAACTTTACGGCCATGATGTACGAAAAGGCTCACATAAAGGCCCGGGCTGCAGCGGTGCGGCTGTTTGCCAAGATCGTAGTGGGCTGCTTGGCTGATAATTTGCAAGACTCGAAAGTCAGAGATAGTAGGTGGAAATCAACCGCAATTGGCCAAGTCAACCGGAGCATCGACACGATATATGGTCTACTGCCCAAGGCTAACCCAGAGGTTGTTTTGGCAGCTGTGGAAATGGCTAGCTTGATAGCACATAATTGCAGCAAGTCTATCGAAATGGAAAAGATAATCGAGATTTTAGTTTTTGGATCTACGTCTACGTTCGATATTGTTAGCAGTGGAGCTAATGACGTTTTGGGCGAGCTCCGCGCGAAACCAGAGTTTTCGGATGCACTAGAGAAGCACTCTGTCTCTCTTATAGACTCTCTTGGCAGCAGGTTCAATTCATATGAAGACACAAATGCACTAGTTGCCGTCAATGCTATTTCAAAATCCCTCAAGCATGAAAAAAGTGAGGCATTCTTAGATACGTTGTTGACTGTGATCGACCGCTCCCTGGTGCTCACCAAGCCTCGACAAACAAAACTACCCCAAGGAAACGATCTTTCACTAGCGGACTTTGGACTAGAAGTCAATGTGTCGAAGCAAGTGGAGCTCTCTTTGACAAGTCTTTTGCATGAGGTAGGGCGCGTCAATGGGAAGCCTGTTCTTTCCAATCTTCTTGATACTCTGCAATCGACACCGAACACGCTTGGTCAAACGCAACTACTTTGGATAGCCTCTCACGTGCTTCAAGGCTACGAAGGAGACCCTGATACCACGTTTGACTATCTTGATTTCACTTTCCAAGTTGTCGCCGCTGCGGGGTCCTTGTCTTCGACTTTACCACCTAGTTTAGTCGGATTGTCAGTCAACCTTTTGGGCAGATTAGCGCTCAACTTGGGGACAACTTTTGAAGCTCAACTAACTGACGTTCTATTCCCAGTGGCCAACCTCTTGGGAAGTGATAATGGCATTGTCACATACCACGCAAAACTGTCACTGGCGGCGATTGCTCAAGCATGCAGGTACCCAACTCCTCAAGTGATGATTTTGGCCAATAAAGATTATATTCTGGATGGTATATCAATCAAACTCAACACAATGGACATTGCACCAACGACCCCTGCCATGCTTTCAGCATTGATAAACATGGCAGGAGACTCAATTGTACCATATTTGGACGACATTGTGGCTTCCCTTTTCGTGATCCTCGATAACTACCATGCCTACTCTGTTTTGGTAACTGGCATTTTCTCTGTATTCACCACTATTGCCAAAATTCTAGTTGCAGATGTTCCCAAAACCATCAGGGCCAAAGAGACAAAAGCTCTGCATTTTGAAAAATTTGAAGACATGATTGAGGAGCTTAAGCGCAAACCCACGGTGCCAGATCTGCCGGAAGCTCCTGAGGTTCCCGAAACAGAAGAGGACGACCCTCAAATCAGAGAACTCGATCCAGATGCAGATGATATTGATAAGCCCATGAGCGACGAAGAGGAGTGGGACTCGCCTGTTCCCAAATCTTCCTATATGATTGCCAAACGAGTCATGGGCTACGCAGATCGGTTTCTCACGCATAAAAATGCCAGTCTCCGGTTCAATCTCTTGAAGCTGATTATAAGTAGTTTGCCGGTGCTGGCCACTAGCGACAAAGAGCTTTTACCTGCCATTCATAAGTTGTGGCCTGTTTTAGTGAGTCGGCTAGAAGACTCCGAGACTTTCGTCGTAGAAGCCGCTCTCGAATGCGTTGCTGCTATCTCAACTTCCACGGGTGATTTTGTCACCAAGAGATTCCAAGAGCTATGGCCCAGTTTGAAATCACAATTTGGCGGTTTCATTGGCAAGTTGTGGCCCCAGTTCTCGTCACAAGCTCGCCTTGGGTCTGCGTTTGAGAGGTGTCTTGTCCAGGTGGTCGCAAACACCCCCTTGTCCGCAGAGGTTTTGAACAGTGTCATAACTACATTCAAACCAGGATTTAAGCGTGGGGAGTATCTCGATCTGTACACAGAACTTGAAAGCGTTGCTGGTGATCAACTGTACGTTGAAATGATAGATATGCAGGTGTGACATATGAACGGTGATTAAATTGCACAACTCAATAAGCTGTAACTCTACGTATCTAGTGAACGGTTTTAGCTCGGCGATAGCGGTGATACTCAGGTTGCCACATTTGCGAAAGAACCCAGATGTAGCACTCGTCCCAGTCTGCAGGGATCTCGATTTTTTCTGCAGAAACAGGGCTGATCTCATCTTCGACGCGAGCAAGACCCTCATCACGAGCGCGTAGAACAACAGAGGTTGCAACACGGGCACTAATATCGGTAATTTCGGAAATATCAGGAAGCAATGGACCATTGGGGTCTTTAAGAACGGGAGACATTGTAGCAAGCTCGTCAATAGCGGCGGCAATCATTCCCTTCGAGATTGTGGAGGCCCGAGAAAGAACAGCACCCAAACCAATACCAGGGAAAATAAAGCAGTTATTGTTTTCACTGATTCGGCGGCCATGGACATCATCAAAGGGCGATCCAGTGGCAAGCAAAACCCGGCCGTCCGTCCATTCAATGAGATCGCTCGGCTGAGCCTCATGCAAACGTGTAGGGTTGGAAAGAGGCAAGATGATGGGACGATCAACGTGCTGGCACATTTCTTGGACCACTTCTTTGGTAAACGATCCAGGGCGCGTTGAGCAGCCGATGAGAATGTGGGGCTGAATGGCTTTGACCAATTCAAGCAGCGAAGTTCGATCGATATCTTTCCAACAAGGATCTTCTGGGTCTACAGCGTACTCGCGCTGTACGGTCATGAGATCGCGCATATCAGAGGTAATTAGACCGTTGCGGTCGATCAAGAAGATATTTTTGCGAGCTTCGCTGCGGCTGAGGCCGTCGTTTTCAACGAGTTTGTCGACCATTTGGTTAGCGATACCGCAACCGGCACTTCCAGCGCCGAAAATGATTGTGCGAGCATCGGGCATGTGACGATCAGTGGAGTGCAATGCACCGGCGAGCGCTGAGAGCGTTACGGCACCAGTGCCCTGAATATCATCATTGAAACAAGGCAGCTGGTCACGATATAGGTCAAGCGATTTATATGCAGCCGCAGTACCAAAGTCCTCAAAATGTAGGACAGCCCGAGGGTATCGCTGCTTTACCGTTTGCACAAAATTATCCAAGAACTTGTCGTATCGCTCACCGCGCACTCGTTCGTGACGGTTACCCATATAGAGAGGGTTTTGCAAGAGTTTCTGATTGTTAGTACCACAATCAAGTACAACGGGAATTACACGGTTTGGGTGAATACCTCCGCAGACCGTCATGAGTACCAGTTTAGAAATAGCAATTCCAATACCTCCAACACCCTGGTCGCCAATGCCCAGAATACCTTCTGCGTCAGTCACGCAAATATAGTCAATATCCTCAGCATCACCATAGTGAGCCATTCTATGAGCAATATCGTCGGGCTGGTTAATATCCAAAAAGCAACCAGCGGGACGACGGAACAACTGCGAGTAATTGGCGATTGCATCGCCCTGGGTTGGTGTGTAAATGATACGCATCATTTCTTTGAGATGTCTACGCATCAGAGCGTAGTAGAGCGTTTCGTTCTGAACCTTGAGCGACTCACAGAACGAGTTCTTGAGCAGGTCGGTGGGGTACATGTGGAATTGATTGTAGGCACGATCAAGCTGGTCGTCAAGAGTGTGTACTGCGGTAGGAAGTAGCCCGCCCATTTTGAAAATACGACGCTCTTCGTTCGAAAACGCCGAACCCTTATTGAGCTGGAAGTTGTTCAGCAGCTCCTGGCCGGTTTGGGCGACATCCACAAAGGGCTCGCGGGTAAGCCGGGTATGGCGGGCAAGTCTTATCAAGGACGCGCGCATAATCTGAAATGTCTTCTCACGGGATGGCCTGCCTTTCCCAGATTGTATGCCCTGGATAGGTTGATGACGTTCAAGGGCCCTGCATGAAATATTGTGCTTTAAACGTATCTACCCTAACATCGCCGATTTTTTCCCGTGCCAGGGCGGTTTCCCCTCTTTTGCTGATCTTTCGTGCTGGGGGGTATAACGTAACGAAACTGGTTGTGCAAACCTCAGACAGGTAGAACCCGTTGATTTTAGTATTTTATAGAAATGTACTCCTGAGGAGGTGTTTAAATCCAAGGGTAAGGGCCAGGCACAATAAAGCGTCAATTCTTGCGTCTGCGCTTTTTGCTGGGCACGTCAGGCTCGTCTTTGACAGGCTCTTCCACCTTGGTCAGGACCTGTAGCTCAGGTACATAGCAGCTTGTGCGTCCTCCAACCGTGATGTGCTCAACCGTGTGGCCCGATGGCAGAGTCTGAGCCGCTTTACGTCCCTTTCCCCAACGATGCAGCATCAACCAGTCCGCAGGAAACCCGGCAGTATTGCCCTCAAGCCTCGCCGAAACCTCACACACCTCAAGGAGTTTCGCGTAGAGTGTTTCTAGCTGAGTGCTATCCAGTGTATTGGCGTACTGTTCGGGGTGCACTCGGGCCTGGAACACGATCTCGTCTGCCATCCAGTTGCCAATGCCGGAAAAAACGCTTTGATCCAGCAGCAATGCTTTGATAGGGACTTTTCGTTTGGACACGTCCTTGGAGAAGCTGGCCAGATCGCCTGGATCCTGCGAATAGTCGCGGCCCAACTTGCTCAATGGCTCGACTTTGCATGCCTCAGACGCAGGCATGTCGAAAAGGCGCACTCGGCCCAGCCGCCGAGAGTCTGTGAAGGCTATTGAGTCCCCCTGGTCTGTTTCGACCACAAACTTCATATATTTGGGCGGCCACACCTCGCTCGGAACTTTTTCGATTGTTAATGCAGCGGGATCACCACCTGCAGCAAGAACCTCTTTGATCCGCTCTTTTTGCTTCTTGTCTCCGCCACTTTCCATAGCAATAAAGTGGGTTCGAATATCCTTGACGTGGATCCAGCCCGCCATACCAAAATGCATGAGCAGGGTTTTCTGCGAATCACACTCGAACCAAAAATACTTGCCGTTTCGCCCAACAGATGTCACCCTCGACCCTACCAGGCTGTCGAGGGCGCTGGCGATTAGAGGTTTCACAAACACTATTTCGTCTGGAGTGCTGGTAATTTTGACTACTGTTCGATTGAGCAAGAATCTTTTCAGTAGACTAGCTGCATGTTGCACCTCTCCTAGCTCTGGCATTGTAGTCTAGAAATAATATACAGTAACCCTGATCGTTTTTGGCCTGTGTTGTGGTGTTTTTTGTGCTCTGAAATTCGACGCACCTTCGCCTAAACCCTACGGGAACCCGAAGCCTCGTTGAATTTGCAACTCTTAAAACCCTCCGCTGGGCAATCGTGTGGGCTGACAAATGCGTGCTCTACCGGTTCTTGAGCAATATGGGCTGTCGGCAAAGTCGGGGTTTCTGCCAGCGGAGCTGCCTCTGTCGAGACTGCCGGACTACTTTGAGCCATGGGAGTCTATTGTGAAAGATCTGCCGGCTTTGATCATGACCTCGAACCTGCGCAAGCTTGTGGATGCCATGCCACTTCTCGATGCGACAAGGCTCAACAGTGAGCCGGAATGGCATAGGGCGTGCTCAATTTTGAGCTTTATGGCCCACGGATACGTCTGGTCTCGCCCTGAGGCGTCCAAGAAGCTGCCAAAGTGTTTGGCTGAGCCATGGATTGCCGTGTGTGACCACTTCGACTTGCCGCCCATTGCGTCATACGCTGGGCTGTGTCTCTGGAATTTCCGCACCGTGCTTCCCTGTGATTCGCCTAGCAACTGGAACCTCGAAAATCTGGCAGCTCTCACCACATACACCGGGTCCATGGACGAAGCATGGTTTTACTTGGTTAGCACCATGATTGAGCGTCAGGGCGGCCCTTGCCTTGAGCATGGCCTGCAGGCGATTGCTGCGTCTCGTGAAAAGGACGTGCCAACCGTTGTTGCAAAACTTCAAGCTCTTGCCGAGAACATCGATGCTATCATCACCACCTTGAACAGAATGCACGAAACCTGCGACCCGCACTTTTTCTACTTCCGCCTTCGTCCTTTCTTGGCCGGCTGGAAGAATATGGCAGCTGCCGGGTTGCCAGACGGCGTTGTCTATGGCGATGAGGCTCAGCCCCGCCAATACTCTGGAGGATCCAACGCCCAGTCCTCGCTCATCCAGGCCCTGGATATTCTTCTGAATGTCGTTCACCACCCTGAAGGCGAGCGTCAGCCTCCGCGAATGGAGTCCAAAACTGCTGATGGCGTGAGCACTCCTCCACCTGCCACGTTCCTTTTGGAGATGCGAAAGTATATGCCGGTGCAGCATCGCAAGTTTTTGTTTGACCTCGAAAAAGTCGCTGAAATCCGCCAGTTTGTCGTGGAGAACGCAACTGAGCATCCCGAACTGGTGACTGCGTATGATGCTTGCTTGGCAATGCTTCGAAACCTGCGCAGCCGTCATATCCAGATCGTCACCCGCTATATTATCATGCCTGCCCGTGCGGAAAACAAGACAATTCGCGACGGAATCGCCAGGGATTCTGGCGAAACAGGTACTGGCGGAACCACTCTGCTCCCCTTCCTCAAACAAGCTAGGGACGAGGTCGGAGATGCTGCGGCTGGTGCATGGGGCCGAAGACTCTTGTCGTCTGCTCCCCCGCCGAATGCTAAGCGGATGAAAACCGCTGGCGCGTCGGCAAGTGAAGACCGAACTGCAGGCTCTCTCAACACCGCTACCGATCATTGGTAGAACATGTATATTTAAACGTTTTATTTCATTAGTACAGCTTTTTGACAATATCATGCTCGTGCATATACTTCCGCCAAAGTTTGCCGTAGCGGTATAAGGGGATTGCCAACAAGCAAACACCGATTTCCACAGATCCGTAGACGATGTAAGAGGTGCGTCCTCCGGACTTGTGGAAAAAGATGGGCACGAAGATGGCAAAGCCGAAGCCCATTGCGTTTTTGGCAAAGTTCAAAGATACCAGTGCTTCGGCAGCATAAATACGATAAGAGTCGACCGCGTAGGTGATGGCCACAGTGGACCCTAGGGAGGTACCGAATCCTAGAATGCCAAGAAAGATTGTGGGGACGATCCAGAGATCCTTGTCGAAGGTGGACCAGCCAAAGCCCATTAAGCCAATTGTGACAGAAATCAGCACAGGACCGACCATAATAAGTCTGAATTCGGGTTCGTAGATACCGCAATTATGGGAGGACATATACCGGACGATTCGGTCGCTAATTAGGCCAGCTACCGCCGATCCGAGGCACCCACCGATAAATGTTCCCAAGTAAAGCAAGCCAATTGAGGTCACGGGGAAATTATAGGGTTCTTGGCTGAAAATAGTGGAGATTGTTTCTGCAATGACCGACAGCCAGACCACCGACGTGCCGTACAGCAGAGTTGAAAATAGAATCGGGGGGTAGATGTACAGAGCGAACGGTCTAAGAAAGACCTTTGACCAGGATGAATCACATTTGCGACCTGTGTACACGGCGAGATTTGCAAAGAAAGGCTTCCGCTCAAAGACTGTGCGACTATCCGTTTCTGACTCGACGTCTTTACCAGCCGCAGCTGGCATATCATTATTTATAGTTTCGCAATCTCGTGTGTGCTCAGAGGAATCCGGGTGGGGTTGCCAAGCTGGTCGATGCATCTGCTGCCTAGCTCGTTCGGCCATTTCTGATTCCTTGATGGACCGTTGGTTGGGCACTGCAATTCTCTCCCACCAGGTTTCGTGTACAAACAGAAAAGTGAGCAGCATAAACGTGCCAGCGATTATTGCCAAGATCCAGAAAATCCAGTGCCAACCTAGCGAGTTCGCAACAAACCCTGAAACCAGCGGGATGAGGTTTTTCCCGCCCAGCAGGAGCAAAGTATAAATACCCGTTCGATACGCTCTTTCATGAGCAAAGAAAATCTCAGCAATACTCGCCGAGGGTAGTGACTCTGCGGGGCCGCTTCCGATACCCATGAGAATGCGGGCGCCTAACAAGCTTCCAAAGGACTTTGCCTTTGCGCCCCACAGGCATGAGCCAAAAAAGATGACTTGTGATACCAAATAAATAAATCGTTTACCATAAAGAACAGCGCTGGGTGCGAAAAATAAGGAGCTGACACCCATTGCCATCATGAAAGCACCTACAAGATAGGTGAGTGTGTTGAGTGATTCGTGAAAGGTTGTTTTGAACTCTGTCATAACGGGCGCGAGGACCGGAGTCATGCCACCGATGATGAACGAATAGAAGCCAATTACACCCAATGCAATATCCCGTCGCCAAATAGGCCAGTTTAGCGGGTCGTTTGGGTTGTCGTGTGGTTGTGGATTTAGCACGATGCCATGTTTGTTAAGCTTCAGCTGACCCGCATCCTCGCCGTTTGGAGGAGGCGACTGCTCAGGAGAGTTTTTGCTGGTCCTATTGCCCGGCAGCAGCATTACGACTGTGCCAGGCACATCGACCGCCTCACTGGGCTGCTTGATCCAGAACCCAGACGGCATTGCTCTGAATAATTGAGAGCTGGCGTGGGATCACAGAAAAGCCACAATGCCTAATCCGTCCGTACCCTAACCTAGAATGGCAGTCTTAAAAGAATCCACAATGCGTATCAAGAAGGAGCTTTTTCGAGGAGGCGTAGCCGGGGAGGGCAGGGATGACTCAGCGATATCCGGGAGGACCGCAGCAGCCTGTGTCATCACTCACCTGACTTGAAATGCCGTCAAGAGGCAGTGACTTTCTGGGGCGCAGTGGCTTGCAAAATAGTTCAAAACAAAACAGCAGTAACCCAAAAACCCATCCGCAACGGATGCGAGCTGCCGTTTTGATTTTTATACACTAAGTTTAGGTGTGAGAACCGGCGCATGCAGCCACATCGCGGATGTAACGTGTTGCCTTCATGCATGATCCTGCGCGAGCCAGATCAAAGCGATAGATTATAAAAGAAAACGAGCATCCCGACCCACAGTTAAAGCACACTTGCTGCGTTAATATCCACAACACAAACAACACACAAGTTGATTTCTCCCTAAAATGCCTCGTTGCCCGCAGTTTATCCCCAGAAATCGTGTCAAGTCAAGACACTTGGCCCAACTACTGCCACCCCCATACATTGAGAACCTGCCATCTTACCAGGAGGCCTTGAGTCGCCCCCCGGCCTACACAAGCCCGGCAGTTCCTTCTGTTATTGCATCTGGATGATATCTCTACGAGACTATCATGCTTGTTATTTTTCTGGTACCTCTGGGCCGCCCACAACGCAATTGTCGCCAGCTCGGTCTGGCTGAGCCCGCCCTCCAAAATTTTCTCTCCCGAGGCCCGATCGTTTAATTAACGTCGTGCGTTAGAGTCTCGGAGCTAACTTTATTGCACCGCAAAAAACTATTGTAGCTATTTATTTTACCAAAATTCATGATTTATTCCATCTGATCATCGTACCTAGAGATATCAAAATCAATTCTCCGCCGACTTCCGAACAGCTCTTTGATCGTATAGATTATGCATGACGAGATTTTTTGATGACGGAGCCACGATGCATATCACGGAGCGCCATAGGAGCATGGTTCAAGAAGATCTGCATCACGATAATACGTCACGCACTATGCAAAATTATCGTCTGACCCAGCCGCGGCACCACTGGATGGAGTTGTTCTAATTTGGGACAAAACAGCCCAACAAAAGAAAAAAAGTTGCTAGAAAAACCTCGTCTTGGCATGTCGCTGTTTGGGCGCTTAATACCTGCCCCTTCGTTACTAATCAAGAAACTCTAATGACTGCCTACTCGCAAGTGCCTCAAGCGGGGCCACTGGCGAACGAGCCAGAGGAGTCGACTGGGGACGGGCACAGGGGTTCTGCTGAGCGGTTGATTAATACTTTTGAGTTCGAGTCCGAGTCAGACGAGGATTGGGTTGACGATCGCCAAACTAATATAGACAGCGCGGCAGCAAACACTCAAACACCGTCCTCCAGCCAGAATCAGGAGCATAGTAGGGGGCTGTCCTTCAACATTTTTGCTCGCTTTGGCAAAAACAAAACAGAGTCTGGGCATGGCAACGGCGTGTTTGGGAACTTAGTGGCAAAGGGCGACGACGAGGACGTTCAGGAGGACGATGGCGAGGTGTCGCGCAATGAAAAGCCGCCTTCGTACGAAGAAGCAGCCGCCGACGCTACGCCGTCCTACTGGGAAACTACGATCATGACTTCAGACTGGTCCGACGAGGTCCTGGTGGGCGACATGCCCGTAGGAGGGCCCATGCATTTCGCTTGGAACATGCTAGTGTCTTCCACATTTACTTTTATTGGCTTTGTTGTAACTTACTTGTTCCACACTACCCACGCTGCGCGTGGGGGTTCGCTGGCTGGCCTCGGGTGCTCCTTGATTCAAGCCAGCTACTCGTTTGACATATCGGCCAGAGCACCTTCTGCGCCTCCCGACGAGTTTATCCCCGACGACCCTAATGACTTCAATGGGGGATCAATGTCTGGGTCAATGCACCATCCAGAGATGATGAGCGGTGTCTCTGAACATAGCGCTGCGGAAGATTGCAACTCGCAGTCTACTTTGGTCAGTAATATCATGTTCATTATTGGGTGGGTTCTGATTGCCCGCGGACTGCACGCATACTTGTATGCGCAGTACATCAAAACTCGCATTCTGCGACACAATACTGAGCAGCAGCAGCAGCAAGTACCCGAAGAACTGGTACTCGAGCCCCAGCCAGAACAGGTTTAACTTATTCTATTCTATTAATTCAATAAAAGCATCATTTTCTCGTAAATTGTAAACACAATTCCGCCGCTCAAAACCAGCCGTCCCAGTCGGGCCGTCGATCCTTTCCACAGGGCAAGCACGCCTTCATGCTTGGCGACCTTGACAAAACAGTCGACGGTGTTTTTGTAGTGCGATCTGGCGTCAATGCTCTGCATGCGAGTCTTGACAGTGTCAACAGGCATAGTGGCATACACAGTGATAACACCCACCACCATACCCAGGGCAAACGTCTCTGTGCCTGTCAATGGCTTTGTGGGGTCCGAGCGGTTTTCCTGGATCAGAGACTTGAGGGCGTTATAAGAACCAAGACGCACAAATTGATTTGATGCTTGGCGAAGCGTAACGGGAACAAGACCCCGGTAGAAAACCCCCACACCGTTGTCGGCAATCATTCGGCTGAGGCCTCGGACAAATCCTTGATTGTAGCGCGGCTGGGCTCTTTGTCGGTCATCGATAAACGCCGTTTTGATACTCTCGGAAGGAGTCAACGCTAGCACACTCTCCAGCACACCAGCGCCCAGACCAGCGACCGCTCCGCGAGTCTTTGTTAAATGCCCATTCTCGTCTCGCAGCAAATCCTTGATGGCGTCGAATCCTAGAAATCGCACGCCGGCCTTTGCTGTGTTTCCCATAACCGCCGGTATGCAGCCTGTGTAAATTGCAGCGACTCCGTCATTTTTCACAATCCGGTAGATCAAACTAATGGGGTTGCGGGACGTGGTTGAGCTTTTGTCAATAAGCTGGAGCCTGGTTTTGGCAAATTCAAACGGATACGTCACAAACCCTTCAATGGCTCCTGCAGTGGCTCCCGCAACAAACGACTTCCAGCTCTTATCGGTCGACATCGAGATTATGAAAAATTAGTCATTTCCCCCGACATATATCAGTAGACCACGGGATTTTGGCTAGCTAGTTAGTGTTACACTTCATATTCGTCGTCGAGTTCGTCCAATTCAAAGTCGTCGTGACGAACACCGACGTATTTTTCACGGCCCCCAAACCGCTTCCAGATTCCTTGAGAGATTTGATGTCGGCGGGTCTTGCCCAGAAGAAGATACACCACGAGCAGGAGGGCCCCGAGAAAGACGAGACCGCCGTAGAGCCGGTGCGAACCGCTGTCTAGGCGGGACGCAACGTCTCCTAATTGAGGCCGCGCCATTGAAGGATTAGAGCCCAGGTACCAGATATTGCTTGCCGAGTTCGGTTGAATGCCTCCACCGGGGTGCTTTTCGTCACATGCATACACAAGAGCACGACCATAGGTCCATGAATAGGGCACATCGTTGATCTCTTTGACCAACTCTATATCGTTGATCTTGAGGGAGAATCCATCCTGCAGAACATCAAAGGCAACAGTAGCACCAAAGCAAAGCTCTTGGAAGTCCGCGACGGTGAGCGATTCTTTAGCATCCGTCAGCCGATCTCTTTCAATATCCGACCAATTGCTTTCACAGAATGCCTTTAACTTGTCAATATTGCCGTCAACCGCCGTAATGTACTTTGTAAACATGTTGGTAGCCACCACCTTGTGGTTATACTTTTCGTCTTGATCCAAATCCAGGTCGTCAATCTTTTTCACATATTGGTGCACGGCCTTGCTGCACTCCTCGTAGTTTCCCGTACCATTATGGCCATTCAATTCAAGGCCTATTGGCATGCAGGGGTCCTCGGGGCCCTTTAAATCATCCACATACTTTTGACGCAATGTCAGTACACCCAACCCTTCATAAACTTTGGGCAGCACATCGTAGGACTTTGCGTCGCTATTTCCACCATTGAGTCTGATGCGGTACGTTTTTGACTTGAGATCTTCCTTGGGCTCAAATACAGCTTGCACATTGCCTGGAGCCAGTTCCAAAAACGTTTCTGACTTGTCTAGTGTTCCCTTGAGGGAGTTGACAGTCAACCACCCCAGCGACGCTTCCATCTCGGGGACGATCTCGTAGATTTGGTTCTGACAATCTTCAACAATGAGCTCGCTTTTATCTTTAAAGTAAGAGCAAATCTGTTGCATCAGCTTATGCCGGGGCTTTTTTTGTTCTGCCCTCAAAGTAGCCGTGGAATGCAAGAAAAGTGGCGTCCTTCGCATTTGATCCGCGGGAACAATGGATTTCGTGAATGCGTCAATTGCTTCGAGGTGGTCTTTCTCTAAATCCAGGTTGCTTTCATTCTTGCCGTCCAAAAACGTTGCTAGCCCTGGTGCGATTTGAGTTGACCAGTCTCTCTGCGTTTCGAGCTTGACTACCTCCCCCTGCTCTACATTGTCATTATACCGGTAAATAAACACCTGTGATATTTCTGCGCCGGCGTCAACGACGACAATGTAGTTCCAGAGAACATCCGGGGATTCTGACATGTCAGCAGGGTAAATTAGCGACAGGCAGTGCAGGCGTATAATAAGGCCTCCATTACAGGATACTCGAGGATTTTCAATGTATTTATCGAGCAATGCCAAAAAGACAAAAGGAACACCAAAAAGTGAGAATTAGAAAAAAAAATGGTGACAACCGTGGGATTCGAACCCACGCCTCCGAAGAGACCAGAAGACCTGCTTACGCTGGTAAGTTTTTCACTTGAGTCTGGCGCCTTAGACCGCTCGGCCAGATTGCCTGTTCTTGACACTGATATTTTATAATCCCTATTACGGTATGCGAGTTGATAACTGTGTTCACGTACACGAGCCTTGGATTAAGTAGTGAAGACCCTGTCGAGACTTGAAAAGTGACGCTACCTTTCGTAGTTATTACCTGCTTCATCTCGAGCATGCGTACGGAGCAGATTCGAAACCCACTCGAAGAACCAGCGAAATTACCTGAGAAAGCTCGATTTTGATACCACTCTTTGTTGAGCAATCCCCGGATCTCAATAGATTGACAAGTTTCCTTAGGGATCATCAAAGTATCAACACTCAAAGAATCGATCGAGACTCTGCTCTGCTTACTTAGGCATGGCGCTCAGGCTGAGCTCTCGAAGGGTTATGCCCTTCACGAAAACACATACCAAGCCAAATATAACCAAGATACCATGGATCAAGAAAGTTGTGGACAAGGAAGGAAAAACGCTACCCTTTTTTCGTCCAGTTTTAGCGCAACTGGACAGTTTGGAAAACGCTAAACACGATCTAGAAGCTCTGGCAAAGGCTTTAAGCCAAAAAGATCGGCAAAAGACCCTAGATTTATGGAGGTCAGTTTCCAGAACACATTATTCTTATCAAAATGCCCCAACGCTAAAGGTGCTAGCGGAAAAGTATAAAGGACTGTGTCCCAGTGAACTTGATAAGGTCGCAGCAGAGTTCTCGCAATTAGGTCCTGAAAGTTTGCAGGAGTTGTGGCTCCTCAGTGACCATGCACCAATTTGTGCTTATTTATTACCGCAAATCATTGGCAGATGCCTGAAAAGCTCTCGAATCGAGCAGGCGCGTCAAATACTCTGGGCGTTATCGACAAACAGCCAGTACAAAAGGGAGATCCAAGCAGTAAATTTCGCTGTCAACAGCTACTTGAAAACAGTAGAATTCTCTCTTGCAGATTTGAAGCAACTACTAGACGGGATCAATCCAGAAATTGCTCCTCGCCTCGACGAAGCGGTAACTCGAAAACTCTGCAGTCTCCCCCGAGCAGAATTGCTGGCCTGTTTCATGTACTTACGAGAAAGGAACATCCCATTGAACAAAAAGGGATTCAGCTCGTTTTTACGTGCTGTATTTGCCTCTTCAGATGCTGCATCGTCGGCTATTCTTGAGGCATCACAAACTACCGAGTATCCGCCAGGATTCTATCATTTCCTGATCCGTTATTTGTGCCAGCGAAAGGATGTCGCAAGTCTGGATTGGATTTTCGAAAATTCTATAATGAAAATGGCCCAGGATATGCCTGAAAAGCTGCCGTTTGTTCTGCATCTTCTTGTGATGAGGACTATTGCAACAGACGGAGTCCAAGCCACTACTCCCATTCTCGATAAAATGGGCGAAATCCCTGAACCTACCTGGATGATCATTTTTCAGGAGTTTAGACGACTTGGCCGGATTGACAAGTGTACGGAGACATTGCATAGGGCGCTATCTAGGGGCCACCGGTTAAGCTTGCCATTCGTTGGCGAGTATCTCGAGATGATAGCATCGTTTTACAACATGAAGGTTTATCTCAATTGTTTACAGAAAATTCTCCCCGAAATCACCCCGACTCTCGAGAGGTTGGATATCTTGCCTCTAGCAGAGGATCAGCCCATACACGATGCTCCTACCCTCACAGTTGGAAAAGAAGTACGTGGGTTTGCAGTAAAAGAGATCCACGAGTCTTGGCTGAACATAACTTTCAAAGTTGTGTTGAATAATGTGGATGATGTTGAGCAAATTCAACACCTGTTCAATCTGTATTATGATTTTGTGATGCAGTCGCAGTGCTCGATTTCGCTAGCCAGCACTGACGAGTTTGTGTCAAAGTTGGTTTCCCTAAAAAGTGCGACGGCGATTGATGCGGCAGAAGCCATTTTGGTCACGGCAATTACTGACTTCCCTTTGCAAAGAGCACAAAAATACACCAACCAGTCGAAAAGCCTCACTGCTCTTCTTTTGGCAATGACCCGACCTCATCGACATGTAGACTTGCAGCGAGCTGTTCTGCTGGTCAATAGAGTTCTTGCTTGTCCTGCAGTGTCGGTAAGAGGATCCTCATTAGAACCGCTGCTCGAAGCACTCAAAGGCCATGAAGAATACGACTCTGTGAAAGAGTGGGCCGAGCATCTTGGAGCCAAATTCAATAATTAATTTATGTATATAATTTTTTGAAAGAACTACGTTAGCTCAAAAACGCACCACCTGCCAAAACAAGATTCCTAGAAGTAAACTGAACATTGTACACAGGTGTCCGCTTTGTGTAAAATACAGCCATCTGGTCACTGGAAGCCTGAATGTCCTTGCGTTTGCGCTGTTCTGCGCCAAGTTTGGCAGGAATCTGCGACTCGTAAGGTTCAGGCTCTGATCCAGTTTCAGGAGTGTTCTTTTTGACGTCCCAAACTCTGACGGAGTTATCGGCACTACCGGATACTAGAACGGATCCCTCCTGGCTGAACGCGAGCGAGTAGATGCTCATGCGGCCATGTCCACGCATAGTTTTCAGACGTCTGCCAGAGCCGATATCCCAAAGATGGATAACACTATCTTCACCTGCGCTGGCCAGCCAGCGACCGTCTGGAGAAACTGCCGTGGCAGTAATAGAGCCAGAATGCCCAATAAAGACACGAACAGACTGGCCGCGTGAAATATCCCACATGCGCAGCGTCTTGTCAGTGGAACCGGTAAAGAGATAAGTACCGTTCGGGTGCCAGCAGATGTTATCGACATCGCTCATATGACCGGCGAAAACCCGGAGGGGGTTGATATGATCACAGCTCCACAGACGAGCAGTCTGATCATGAGACGCAGTGGCAAAATAGTGTCCAAAAGGACCGTACTTGACGTCCCAGATTGGCTCGCTATGGCCCTTGTACGCAGCCAAAGCGGTGTAAGTATCTAGAGACCACAAACGGACGGTTTGGTCCTCTGAACAACTCAGCAGTGTGCGATTATCAGGTGCGAAAGAAACACCAAACACTGAGCCAGCATGGCCAATCAGTCTACGGGTAGAGCTTGGCGAAACACCTGCGTTCTCTTCTTTAATCATGCTCGACAGCTTGTCGCCTTTGAGACTCCATAGTTGGACAAAAGAATCGCTGAAACCACCAGCAACCAGAGTTGCATCGTCATTGAAAGCCAAGCAGTTCATCTCATCGTGTGTGTTGTGGAAAGTATACATACAGACACTCGGTAAGGGAGCCTGGGCAACGCCCAGCTTGATTCGATTTTGAGAGTCAACAAGCTTTTTGATAGTGGCTTGAACATCTGCAGGGCGATATTTTGGCAGCGGAAGCGACTCGACAGCAGGAGAATCGGTCTCTGCAGCCGTCGAATCAGCAAAAACTGTGGCAAGTGGGGGGTCGTTTTTCTCTGTCTTGTCCTTCTGTTCAAGCATAGCTGTGACCTCCTGCTGGAATTCGGGCTCTAAAGGCATGCGACCCAAGCGTACAGACTGAGAGTTGTAGGCGGTAACCGAGCCATTAGGTCCATCCCCTGGCAAAAGGCCAGCCGATGGAGCATTGAGGGTTTGAGTCGGGGTGATTTCAACATCGACATGGTCATTAATGACATGAACCATAATAATACCGCCTATACTTTCGATGCTGTGTAAAAAGGACAACAGCAGGTCCAAGGAAGTGTGCGACATTAGCACTTTATACTTGCGTTGTAAAAACAGTTGAGCGGTCTCATTTTCCTCAACGTGCTGAGGTAGGTTGAGGCCTGCGAGAGTGTCAATTTCTGATTTGTGCAAAACAAGATGGGATTCAGAGAACTTGTCGAAAAAATCTTGGGCATAGTCCAAATAGTTTTGTTTCAAGAGCTCCAAGTAGAGGTGCACAAAAACCGGGTAAAGAACGCGAGCAAGCTCGGGCTGATACAAATCCAACGAAGATTCAACCCATTCTTTCAAGGCCAAGTACGCACGGGAGTACATTTCCGGGGAGTTGGGAGTTGGTAGCAACGGCATGATGCCTGTACTCACACCGGTGGCCGAGCCTGAGCCCTGGGTGAAGGCCCGCGAAGACTCGAGCCTCAACATGGCTTCGGTACGAGCATAGCCCTTTTTGTTCAAAAACTCAAGCACAATGCGATTAAGTTCCTCTAGAGAGAGCAGCGCATTGCGACGGGGAGGCTCCTGGCGATCTGCCATGATGACAAAACTGGGACAAGCGCGCCCTGGACATAATATGTAGATTTAGGGGGAAAGATTTTTAGCAAGATAGGTTTAGATTTGAGTTTAGCACATAGATTCAGGGCTCCCGACGAACAGGACGGGCTTTTGCTTTTGCTTCTGCTTCGGCCTTTTCAGCTTCAATACTAGTGACAACGGCATCAAGACGCTCAGCGTCGACGATGTCCATGGGCTGTCCTGGTCTCATAACAGCAATTTCAATATTCTTAACACCAGTTTGAACGACTTCCAACAAACTCTTAACGGCCAGCCTAAGGGTCTGCTCTTCATCCATATCGGGTTCGTAGTTTTTCTCCAGCAACTCGCGAACAGTCTTGGACGAGCGACCAATGGCGTTCGCCTTCCATGCCGAATAGATGCCGCTGGGCTCGGTATAATACAGCTGTGGAGTACGATCGTTGGGGTCAAATCCAGCAATTAACGTGGAAATACCGAAAGGCCGCACACCACCACTCTGCGTATACTTTTGCTGGACACCAGCCACATACTTTGTGATGAACTCTACACTCACCGGATCCTCAAGAGTAAGCTTAGTGCTTTGGGCCTGAACTCGGGCCTTGTCGAGCAGAATTCGTGCATCTGCACTAAGTCCAGCAAAAGCAAGGGTCACATGCTCATCGACCTTGCACAATTTAGAGGGCGTGGTGCGTGTATCGTGGAGCTTGAGAGCGGACCGCCGTTCGGCTCCCAAAACAACCACCTCTTTACCTTTCACAGCAACCGCACAGGTACCACGCTTTACCGCTTCTTTGGCGTACTCAACCTGGAAAACATGTCCGTCCGGCGAAAATACGCTCAGCGCTCGGTCGTAGCCAGACATGTTGCAAGATGGTTAGTTGCCACAGGCCCGCTTACCAAATATACGCCATTTCCTTGACAGTTTGAAATGAAGAAAAAATCCGCTTCGGCAGATCGGATATCTTATTTAGCTGCTGCTAGTAAGAGCTCTGCATACACGAATCCTGCTTTGGCAAAACTATACGGTCAGACTATGAGGCACGTTGCCCGGAAGACGGTCACAAGGCTCGATCGTGAAGTTAAACGCCAGTATTGTCGAAGTTGCTGCGTTCCATTGATCCCTGGCCTTACTGCAATTTACCGTCTAACAGACAAGAGCAAACAACAAAATACCCCTATACTCTTTGTGCAATGCCGCAAATGCGCTGCAGTGAAGAGGTATCCTCAACCACGGACCGGGCCTTTGTCATCATCAGCAGATGGCGGTTGACGATTATGACGAGCCATCATGGATTGACCTGCTCGACTCGTTCACTGTGCGAACACAGCGATTGGGCAACCGTGTGATGACAATGTCTGACCAGGTGCGCGAGAAGGGTAGCAAAATCAAAGATTTCGCTGTGCTCTCTCGCAACAAAGTCGGCAAGGGCAAACGCGTGGAGAAAATGGCCCGCAATATCCGGCAGCAGGTGCGCCGCATTGACGCCAAGTTTTCGTCACAGCAAATGATTTCCGGGACGGAAAAGATATGGTTTGCCTTCAGCCTAACCCACCTTTTCTACTTTGGCGTCGTCATCGCCGTGAGGCCCCAGTGGGTACATGTGATCTACACCACGGAGCTGGCAATTCTGCTGCCTATACGATTCTACACCTATTACAAGCGTGAGTATCAGTACTACTTGGCGGACCTATGCTATTTTGTCAATATGATGACACTGATGTTCATTTGGTTTTGGCCCCAGAGCACGCTGTTATGGATCGCTTGTTACGCCTTTAGTTTTGGCACCCTGTCTTTTGCAATTATCACCTGGCGTAATTCGTTGGTTCTCCATTCAATTGAGAAAACAACGTCCACTTTCATTCACCTTTTGCCCCCGGTTGTATTCCATACCATTAATTTCAGGCTGGATCCGGCATTTCGAGACCACAGATTCCCGGCGGTCAAAAGAGTCCAAGTCTGGGAGACTGTGCCTAGTCTGGCTATTACTACTGTGGCATATTTCACATGGCAGCTTCTCTACCACTACTTTATTACTATCCGCGGCAAGCACCATATCGAAGCTGGCCGGGTGACCAGTTTCGAGTTTCTGCGCAAGAGCTACGCAAAGACCTGGATTGGCCGAATCGTCAACTCGCTCCCCGGTCCGCTCCCCATTGTTGCATTCACTTTGATTCAATTCGGGTACCAGTTGTCGACAATGATGTTTATTCCATTGTGGTATCGGCATGAAATTTTGTCGGTGGCCTTTCTTACTACAATCTTCATTGCCGCAAGCTATAACGGTGCAACATATTATATCGACGTGTTTGGTATGCGTTTCCGTAAGGAGATGCTCAAGTTGCAAGAACAGCTGGATCAAGTCACTGAAGAACTCAACAACGAACGCAACAGCAACCCCAGCTCGCCAGATATGACGGCAAACCCTTCGCCTGTGCTGGCCGCCAGCACGTCCTCTCAAACGTCGTCTGCAGACTCGCAATTTAGCCTGCCACCTTCTGCAAGATAGAGAATCAATTTATTTATTTAATACTTAAAGGGTTTTACGCTGGGCCGCGAAAATAGGCGGAACCTGCTTGGATGCCTTGGCCTTTTCTTCCTTGACCATTGCTACGGCTTCGTCCAGCAACGGGGCTTCTCCACCGATGAGTTCTTGACGACAGAACTCGTTACAGGCCTGGAAGATCTTGGCCTGCTCACCGATTTGACGGAGGTGGTTGATCACATGCTCCTCGCCCTTGTAAAAGCCAAAAATAGTGTAGTGCAGGCCCAGCTCCTCACAGAAACGAATAATGCGAGGCTGAACCGCCCTGAAGTTATGGCGGGGCATCCGGGGGAACAGGTGGTGCACAGCCTGGAACTGCAGTCCGCCATGAACCCAATCGAACCAAGCCGGGCACGAAACATCGAGAGTGGTGCGGATTTGACGTTGGGGGAACGACTCGTCCATCCCCATATTGCTTGTAGACTGGGCAAAGTGCGAAAGGGTGATCTGGACATGCACGGGCATGGTGGCAATGTGGGATACCATAATGAACGTCCAGCGTTCGGCGGCTGTTGACAGTGTCAAGTAGCAAAGACGATAGAAGAACCAGTACTGGAAAACAGCCAGGCCGAGCAATTCGACCCAGCGGAAAAACGCCGCCTTTCCGTGACGAGGCCCAAGACCCCTGAGCAAGTGCTCCCAAGACAAGCGGTACAAATTAAAGCGGCCAAAGCACAAAATAGGGTAGTACAGATAGTGCTGCAGCTGGATAGCTGCTTGGCTGAACTTGTCGAACCACAGCCACCGCTCGTAGTAGGTAGAGTAAATACTACCAAACAGGCGCTCAGATACAGCGAAAAATGGCAAATGCTGGATATCTGGATCATGAACCGGGTCATTGGTTACAATATGGTGGACGTTGTGGTTGCGTTTCCACCAGGTGAGACTGAGACCACCAATGTAGGACGCTAAAAATATTCCCATGAGGTTGTCAAAGTAGTAATTGTGGGTTATGGCCTGGTGTCCAGCATCATGGCAAATAAAAACAATCTGATGCCAGCCGAGTCCTAGGAAAGTCGCGGAGATTGCTAGCAAAAGAAGACTTGACTGACGCCAAGTGAAAAATAGATACGAGAGAGCGAAAAAGGTGCCGATGCGGGAGAATTCACGAACGTACCCCCAGTAGTTGCATTGGAACCAGCCATCCTCGTCGAGTTCGACAAACAACTCGCGGAATTTGTTATGGATGTGTTGCTGGGTCTCAGGATCTAGACTGGGGTACTTTTCAAGATCAGATTCAAGCTCTTTCTGGAGCATCTTGTCAATGACGGCTGCCTTCGAGTCGGAGACATCCTTGTTGAAATCTTTGGCCCATCGCGGAGCAGGCTGCACGTATTCGCTGTCTTTCGTGGCTTCAATCTCGGCTCGAGTCCGGAACTTGCCGCCCTGCAGAGGGGGCACAAAAGATTTCCACGGCGTCCCAACATAGCCTACTCGAAATGCGTCCATTTTACGCATTGTCGCCTCCTCATGGTACACGTCGATCTCGTCAGTGGCATCGCGGCCAACCATGTGATGAATGGCCTTGTCACCACCCGGGTGTTTTGCGATCCAGCTATTGAGTTTTAGAACATACCCGTGGCGTATCACCAACAAGTCGCCGTCGGCAATTCGTGCCTCGACCTCCTCTCTTGATAAAAGCGGCAGTACCATTAGATTCGCGTGTCAAGTGGAAATTGGTAATCTGGTCGGGTGATTTCCTATGTACTTTATACGGTCGTTTAATTCGCGACTGCTTAATAGGCTAGAGTGTTAGTAGTGGGCAAGTCAAACAAAAAGAGGAACCACAAGTACTTACCATCTGGTTGCTGCAGAATATAGTCGACTGCTTGGTCGACAGACTTGATTTCGTCTGCTTCGCGACTGGTTGTTAGTGAGCTGCGCCTGGCGAGGTTCGTCGTATACTTACTCGGGCATCAATACGGTGAACTCCTCTTCAATAAAGAAAAGTGCGTCCACAACGTCGAGGCTGTCTAGGCCCAGGTCTTCTTGAAATTTGGCCGTCGGGGTGAGCTTCGCAGCATCCACTTTGTCACAGTTGGACAAAACGTCCATGATGCGCTGCTGGACAAAATCACGAGTAAGCGGACCCGGCCCAGAAGCATAGCATCTTCCGTTCATCTGAGGAAGCAGTGTGGAAGCCGCAGGCAACGCTTTGGCCATCACCGGCCGGTGTGCTTTAAATGCCAGTCTCAACATTGGTCAGCTCGAAAACCCTGCTTAGTTTATATTTATGTCAGTCAGGTTCAGCTGGTTGGCCCAAAAAAAGAAGAAAAAAATTATACAGCTACTCCTATTCCTATAGCCTAAAGTTCAGTGATATCGTCGAATGTAGCATTGAGGCCCATGACGTTCAAAAACATGTTGAGGTTTGTGATTTTGGGGGTGCCCACGTCAACAGGCAGTGCCTTGGCTTCGGAGATTGTCGCGAAAATCCGGTCGCGCACTCCGTCCACGAGCTCGCGCTGCATATCGAGATCTGCCGCCAACGCCAGCGACGCCAAAAAGTGCCACACGTAAGAATTGTCGATTTGGCGCGGGGGGAACAGCTTGCCCAGATCGCTCTTGATCGCGTTGAACAGGCGAGCAAACGACAGCTTCCAGGCCTCGATCTCCGGGTTGGTTTCATTTTCAGGCTGCTCCTGCAGAATTAGCTCGGCCCGCGAAATGAGCACTGTGAAAATGGTCTGGCCCACCTTTGTCCGTGTGAGGTGTATCAGGTCTGTTGACGACAGCAAAATGTCAAAGAAGCCGGTGACGATCCCGAGCTCGGCTTCAGAGATGAGGTGCACAATAGGGGGCAGCACAGTCTGGCTGAAAATGTCAATAGACTTGCGCACATTAGCGGGAAGATCCTGCTCGCCATCGTATGCCCCGTTCTTTACCACATCCAGCTGGTCAATGGCAGACACCATACGGGTGAACACGGTGAGTCTTCGGCGGTTATCGAGGTGAGGGAAAACACGAGGCAGCAGCTTCTTTCCCTTGTTGTGTGCCAACATCATAACAAACGGTTGGTTCTTGTTCGGGTCAACTGGGTCCAAAACCTTGAGCGCATCCCAGAGCGTGTCTTGAAGCTGCGGGATAGCGGCAGCCCAATCGGCAGCTGCTTCGCTGTCGGGGGCAGGTCGGAGACGCTCATGGGCTTCGAGATCGAGCACTGCACCAAACGCTGTCTCAATAATGAACGGAACATCCGCAGGTCGGTAGACATCGCTGGTGGTCTTGCGCGTATCCAAGTTGCCGGTTTGCAGGTCCAGTGCCTTGCGAGGCCGAACAGCATTACCGACCGAGGGCTGGGAGCCTAAAATTCCTTCGTGAACCGCCCGCTCCTTAGGAGTGCGGCTACGAACCTTCTCAACAACCTCTTTCACCTGCTGCAGCAGGGCCTGGCGCTCGTTGCGACGGTTAGGACGCTGACGCTGGCCTTGCCCACGAAGATAAATCTTGGCAAATGCGTTCAGAGGTTGGTGCGGACCACTGCGGTTCTTTTGGATGGTTGAGTACACCTGATAATAGAAATCGTCGCTGTCAGGATCCTGCGAAACCAGCTGCTGGAGCTGCAGTCGCATGATGAAGTTTTTGTCCCAGTCACCCATCAAACCTGAATACCGAGAGCGATTGAATCGCTGGCGGTCACGAGACGCCTGCTTCTCTCTGTCGGCAGCAGCCTGGGCCTGCAAGGCCGAACGGGCCTCGGAAATTGATTTCACAGGACGATTAGTGCGATTCAAGCTGTAAAGAGTCTCTCCAGACCTCGAGTCTTCGGAATTGGCAGCAGGAGACGCTTGTTTCACGGGCTTATCAACCTTTGAGCTCCTCTCCTCTTTGGGCTGACGAGCGGGCTTGGCTGCTTTTTCCGACTTGGCCGGTTTGGCCTCTTCAACCTGTTTGGTTTCTTCGTGTACATGAACAGGCTCGGCACTCGGGGCTTGAGTAGCCTGGGCCTGGGACTCAGCCTGGGACTGAGCCTGAGCCTGAGCCTGAGCCTGAGCCTGAGCCTGAGCCTGAGCCTGAGCCTGAGCCTGAGCCTGAGCCTGAGCCTGAGCCTGGGCCTGAGCCTGGGCCTGGGCCTGGGCCTGGGCCTGAGCATGAGCCTGGGCCTGGGCCTGAGCATGAGCCTGGGCCTGGGCCTGAGCCTGGGCCTGAACCTGAGCCTGGGTATTCTCGGTCCCTTGCTGGTGAGCAGGCGAAGAGGTTTGACCCTCCTGACTCCCCATACCAGGTTGGCCCATCTGTCCCATCATGTGTGGGGGAACCATACCTGGCATCATAGGAGCACCGTAACCCCAAGGCTGGAAGCCTGGGGGCGCCATACCCATAGGCTGCATACCTGGCATACCCATATGGGGCATCCCCTGAGCCATTGGATGCATCTGAGGCATACCCTGGTGCATCTGGGACATACCCTGGTGCATCTGAGACATACCCTGAGGAATTTGCGGCATGCCCTGGGGCATCTGAGGCATGCCTTGGGGCATCATAGGCATTCCCGATGGCATACCCATAGGCATAGGCATACCAGGCATAGGCATAGAACGCATCATCTGCTCGAGCTCCTGGACTGACATAGGCTGCTGAGGCTGCTGCTGAAGCTGGTCAAACGCGTTGGGGTCACCTGGAGTCTGCCACAAGGATGCCAGAGGCTGCAAAGCAGGAATATGGGACTGGGAGCGACGCTCGTATTTTATGGCCTCCTCATCAAGAGTGCCAGCAACGCTTGCAGTTTGACCAGCAAAGTCAAAGTCCTTGCCTACTTGACCGGTTCTTCCGAATGTCTCGTCGTTCTTTTCGTCGATAGTGGGATCGAGGGCAGATGCGTCTGCCTCGAAATCGTACTTTTCAAGCTTAGACCCGTCTTCTACTTGGGCTTGGACCCCATAGAAAGACATATTTCCTCAAGCTTTGAGAGATTCAACTTGCAAGAGGCGAGCTGGAGGTTAGAGATGACTAAGTGAATCTGACCTGAAAGTAGGGTAACTCCGACGACGACAGGCACCCAGATTAAAAATGCAAGGTTTCAAAAGTGTCGCGACAAATTTATTCTGTTTGTGCGTTGCAACCCTACACAGCTCTTTACATAATTCAGGTCCTGAATTAGTAGCGAGAGAATTCGCTAAGCCTGTCGTATCTTCCCTGTTATGAGCTGCAGAACCAAACGGGGGAACCCTGCAAGCCACTTGACACCAAAGTTCTAGGTCCAAGGACTGTGCAGTTCAGCTAAGCGTCTTTAAAAGCAAGGCCCGTTCTTGGCGGCTGTTCCGGTTACATTTCGAGGCTTATCTGTGATCAGCTAACTGCAGACAGGGAAGCAGGGTTTGGTTAGTAAAACTTCACACGGGCTATTTCAAGCACAAGGCGCAGTTTGTGTATGTAGGGGGCTATCAGTTCCAACTTGCTATAAGTGTGGCAAAGATGGGGGTTCTACACCAGATTTTTCAATACACGAAAATTTGCTCGTTTTTTCGCCGCCAAGACAAAAAAATGCTTCTTTTTCTATTGTCTCAAATGTGATCTCAACCCCTGCCCTGGGCGAAACCCGTGAGCTGACTTAAATAATGCGTTCCGGAAGCTTGTAAGCTTTGACACTTGCAAGGTTTGACATTTCTTTTTTGAGATTCTGAAACATAGGATCAGCAGCAATTTTTGTCTGAATAATTATTTTGGGCGATTTCAGGTTCATTCAATACGAAATATAAACTGTCGTATACGCCTGTGGACGTGTTTCAAAATCGCATAGTGGCCATCCTTGTACGTGGTCGGAATAAATCATAGCCATATTCGGCTGTCTGAAATCACCACATCCCCTTGACACAACTTACAAACCATAATAAAAAATGCTTTCAAAAAGGTACGTGTTAGTGAGTGTTCTTGCCACGATTTGCTTTCTGCTCTTTTTGCTACCGCCCATGTACGATTCAGGGACGCTAAACCCTCAGCAGCTTTCCTCAGATCCCCGTGAAAACGCAACTTTCGTGACTTTGGCGCGTAATTCCGACTTGGATGGTATCATGGGCACAATCAGAGGCGTCGAAGATCGGTTCAATCACAGGTACAACTACGACTGGGTATTCCTGAACAACGAAGAGTTTTCAGATGAATTCATAAAAATGACATCTCAAATCATCAGTGGTGAAGCCAAGTACGGTGTTATCCCCAAGGAGCACTGGTCCTATCCCGATTACATTGATAAAGAAAAAGCAGCTGAAGGCCGCAAAAAAATGGAAGAAGACGGCATTATTTATGGTGGCTCTGAGTCCTATCGGCACATGTGCCGCTACGAATCGGGCTTCTTTTTCCAGCATCCTCTTATGCAGGACTATCGCTATTACTGGCGCGTAGAGCCAGACACCTTGCTTTTGTGCGACATCAACTACGACCCTTTCAAGTACTTACGCGTCAACAACAAGGCCTACGGCTTCACAATTGCCCTTTACGAGTACATGGCCACTATTCCAACCCTGTGGGAGGTCACTTTGAAGTTCTTATCGTCCTTCCCGGAATACGTCCATCCTCACAATCTGGCCAAGTTTTTGTCCGAAGACGGAGGACAAAATTACAACAGATGCCATTTTTGGTCCAATTTTGAGATCGCAGACGCCGACTTCTGGCGTGGCGATGCATATCAAAACTATTTCAAGTTCCTTGATCGTATGGGTGGCTTTTTCTACGAACGTTGGGGTGACGCTCCCGTGCACAGCCTGGCAGCCGCCTTGTTCTTGGACCGCGATCAGATCCACTTCTTCGAGGACATCGGCTACTACCACCCTCCTTACGCCCATGTTCCAGAAAACTTCTTAGAACGTGGCCTCAAGTGTACCTTCCCTGAAAAGCGCACTTTCGACTGGGAGGGATACAGCTGTATGCGTCACTACTATTCTGCGCAGGACATGGAACTTCCTCCACAAGTTGATCGTATCTACTGGTAATTATATTGCCCAGCTAGCTAGTTAGATTTCATGTACGACCCCCTGACTCTATAGATCCTTCAAGTCTCTTGTTTGTGATTACCCAGCTAGGTTGGTCATTTAGGGGACATACGAAAGTGATGTGGCTACATATATGTACAATAAACAAATTGGTTACTTTTAAGACGCCGGTGCGGGTTTCTTAACTCCATATTTGGATCGAGAGGTCTTGCGATTCACGACACCAGCCAGATCGTAGGACCCACGAACGCACTTGTACTTGACACCGGGCAGATCTGGGGTACGGCCACCGCGAACAGCAACAACACTGTGCTCTTGAGCGTTGTGGCCCTCGCCAGGAATAAATGCTGTGATCGTACGACCAGTGGTCAGGCGCACACGACAGACTTTGCGGTTTGCAGAGTTGGGCTTTTTGGGTTTCATGGTCATAACCTTGACAACAACACCACGGCGCTGGGGACAGCTGTTCAGAGCTGGAGAGCCCACCTTGCGGCGTTTCTCTTGTTTTTTCAGGGTCTTGAAGTTTCCGCGACGCATAATCTGGTTGACGGTGGCATAGGTTCGCACGGCCGGAGTGGGCCGTGCAATTATCGAAGGGAATGTGATGCGTCCAGCAGCCGCACAGAGAGCGGGCTGGCAAAACATGCCTGCAGGCTTTGCAGCAATCATTGCTACCGACCGTGTTGCTAAGGACCGACCAAACCGGGCGAGAAACATTGATACTTTTGAAAAGTCTTTGTCATCATTAAAATTATCTATGGTGAAGCGGGTGCAAACCGCATGGGGGTTTAGGGACTATTGGTGGGGGGACTGGGTCCGAACAGCTTCTGAGCATACTCCGCGATGGCACCGACTATTTTATGTTCCAACTCGCTCGGTACACTGAGGTTTGTTTTGACGTGGTTCACCAAATCCCTTCGAGTTACAATTCCTACCAGTTTGCCCTCGGCAGTTACGAAAACGACTTTCGGCGCCAACTGAATGAATATCTCATGGATCCAGTCCAGTGGAGTTCCTAGTGTAACCATTATAGGGTTCTTGTTCAGGACCGAAGAATGCATGTCAAAGGGTATATCGGTCTGAACTTCATCAGCGTTCACACTTGCTAGTAAATATCCATTTCCATCAAGCACCGGGTAGGTAGGATGGTTCAGGGGATCCGGAGGCAAGCTATCCGGGACTATAGCCACAGGCGTCTGCATAACATCCTCCACGACACCCTTGAGCTCTAGCTCATCTGTCAAAACTGGATAGTTATTTGCAACAATCGCCATGTCGGCAATTCCGCCGTGCGCACCAACTGCATCGCCAATAAACTTTGTGATTCCAACTACGATCATGGTCGGCACAATGTAAAAGAGAGCTCCTGTGAGCTCAAACATAATCAGAACGACTGCAATAGTAATATGCATCACACCAGCTAGCAAGGCGCCAGCGCCTAGAGCTGCGTACGCACCGGGATTTATACACGGCTTATCTGGTATGCAACCAGAAAACATTCCAAGGTCGGGGAATCTTTGGTGAAATGCAAGCATTAGAGTGCCCACAAACCGGCCAAACAGAGCACCAATGGCTAAACTCGGCACGAAAATCCCGGCAGGAACCTTCGCGCCATAAGAGACGAGAACCAGAGCAGTGCGAATAATCAAAGCAACAGCTAAGGAAAAGGCCAATCTTGTCTGGTGGTTGACGTCGCAAGACGGATGACTCCAGCCATGCTCACACTCATGAAACAGAATCTGCATACTTTTTGTCATGTCAACAGATAGATACTCATTAAAGTAGCACACTGCTGCAGTTATTGTAGCGATCAAAGCGACCTCCTGCAAAGCATAAGCCTTCAAATATTGTTTCCGCAACGATTGGAACCTCAAGTTCCACTTAATGATAAATTCGCCCATCAGGCCACCAAATGCCCCCAAAACAATAAATGCAGGCAGATCAAAAAAGTGCCAAGGTTGATCATAAGTCACGCTGAACAGAACCATTTGCCCGGTGCGGAAGGGATTCAGCAAAGCCAGGACACCGGTTGCTACCAGACAGCAGAAATAGGAGCGCCAGATGGTTGCAATCTCGATATTAACAGGGGAGATTTCCTCAATTGAGAACAAAACGCCACCAATAGGTGAGCCGAAAGCCACCGCGACACCAGCCGCAGAGCATGCAATCAGAAGATCCCTTCGCTTTGGATTGTGCTGGCGATACCCGGAAATGAGCTGGCCAATCACATTGGCAACACATGCGGAATAATGTACCGAGGGCCCCTCTTTACCAACGCTGAAACCTGATGCAATAGTGAGAGGCAAAGAGAGAGCCTTGATGGCCAACGTTTTGAAACCTAGAAAATCCGGGATCAGATACCCGGCAACGATGCACTTGATTTCGCTGATTCCGGAGCCTGCTGCGAAAGGGGCGAATTCAAGCACTAGCAAACATGCCATAGCAGCGAATACAGTGGATAAAATCACATAAACAAAGTATCTCAGAATGCCAATGCTTGCCCAGGGATGCCACATTGCACAGTCCTCGGCTTCACCAAGACAGCAGAAGGTTTGATTGAGATAAAACCCACCCGAGCAGTAACCAAGCTTATAATCCACAAGCAGGGCTGTGACAATGTTCAGCATAAAGGCAATAACCCCAATCACGGCGCCTGCGGCCGCTAGGACCAGCCAGCCCTGGCAATGGACATACAGATTTTCCGCGCGAGCACGGAAGCTGCTGCCATACTGCTGTGCCGCCTGCTTTAGTCTCTTGATGTTCTCCGTCTCGGCATCTTCAACCCAGTCGATTGTGGTGACTTTGGCCATAACCCGAGCTGGTCTGCGAAGTATTCAGCTTGGTCAGCGCGAAGAGATAATGTCGAGCTCAGAAGGTACCGGGAAAACGCCGGCCAGACTGCCGCTGGCTCGGATAAAACGCATTGTGAAGCAAGATCAGGACATTGCGATGATTTCTACAGCAGCAGTACAGACCCTTTCCGCAGCAGTGCAGGTTTTCGTCGGCCACTTTACAGAGCAGGCTCTGTTTGAAGCACGGTCGAATGGACGGACGCGATTGACGTATGCGGATTTCGCAGGTGCAGTAGCGCACCAGGATGAACTTGACTTTCTTTCCTCGATAGTGCCGCAAACGATGAGCTACGCACAGATCAAGCAGAAGCGCGACCAGGTTGGGTTCGACGAGCCGGCAGACGCAGAGCCGTTCGAGCCGCAGCCCGAGGAACAGGAGCCCGAGGGCCCAGAAGAGGGTACTGAGTAAACTGCGGGCCTCTACCGCGCTAGAGTCTATATATTTAATAGTTTGAGCTGCCGAACGCGCTAAACTAACCAACCAGCACGGGCGAAAACGTCCCAACTCCCGGGTAACTCTCACGTGACGCTCCACCAATCACAAAAATCCCAGCTGCGCTTACCTGACACTATTCATCCATGTTGAAGACCTTGAGAAGCTCGGGTGTCGCCAGTGCCCTGCGAAGCAGCGCTCGGATGTACGCGTCGTACAACAAGCCTGTTGGTGGTGCGTCTAATTTTGCTGTGCCTGACTACAAGCAGGACGTTTCGGCCAACCGCAACTCGGACGTTAAGCGTAACTACACCTATTTCATGGTCGGCACTTTTGGCGTGCTTGGTGCCGTCGCTGCCCGCTCGACTGTCCAGGACTTCCTGTCTAGTATGGCTGCTTCCAAGGATGTTCTTGCCTTGGCCAAGGTCGAGGTTGATCTGGCTACTATTCCTGAGGGCAAGAACTTGGTTATCAAATGGCGAGGCAAGCCAGTGTTTGTCCGTCACCGCACACAGCACGAGATCGACGAGGCCAACTCTGTTGACATCTCCATCCTCCGTGATCCCGAGACCGATGCCCAGCGTGTCCAGAACCCGGAGTTTTTGGTCATGGTTGGCATCTGCACCCATCTGGGTTGTGTGCCTATCGGTGACGCCGGTGAGTACAACGGCTGGTTCTGCCCCTGCCACGGTTCGCACTACGATATCTCCGGTCGTATTCGCAAGGGCCCTGCTCCTCTTAATCTCGAGATTCCTGAATACACCATGGACGGCGACAACCTCACTATTGGTTAAATGTATGTAGAAACCTGCCCTCGTAGGTGTTTTCCCTGTTCAGTGAAAAATATTTGCTTTTACTTTGCATATGCCTGTTCTCCTCCTTCTGTAAACCACTTTCTCTCCCTGGGCTCTTTTTTTTTTCCTCGCCCGGGATTCGTCGGCTTACATGATCGAAGTCCTTTGCAACGATCGCCTGGGGAAGCGAGTGAAGGTCAAATGCCTGCCCGACGATACGATTGGAGAATTTAAACTACAGCTTGGCGCGCAAATAGGCACGCCTGCATCACGCATTGTGCTGAAGAAGGGGTACATTGTCTTCAAAGACCACATAACTCTGGCAGATTATGAGATCCACGACGGGGCGAACCTTGAACTATACTATTCTTGATATATACACGAAATAAACAAACCAGCGAGCCTTAGCCACGCTCCTTCCAGCCATCTTTGCGGGCCATCTCGGGGCTCTCCTCGGTGCCGTACTTGATGAACTCCATCACTTTTCGCAGGTGCAGTTTCCCGTCCGTAGCACCTGCAAACCCAGCGTAGGCGTTCTTGATGCTGGGAGCCGTGGGACAAACAAACGGCTTCAGATCACTGCTGTCAACTCCAGCAGGAACAACATAGGTGCGGACCTTCTCCCAGTTGATACGGTACTGTCCCTTGTTGGTCCAGCTACCCACGCCAGTCGAGTTTGTGCCCTTGTAGAAATCTTTGTTCCCCTGTTTGGTGGTGAGCGACCAGCGCTTGTTTCCGGATTTCGTGAGACCGTAAAAGATCTTCTGGTCTCGGTATTTCTGCCAGGGTCGTAGCAGCTGCTGAACCGCCGAAGGTTTCATGATGACAAAGATGAAAAATTTGGGATCTCTTAGTACTCTGCCGCCCCAGATGGGTTTTGCTGCGCTTCTTAATCAAGTTTAGAATAGCTGTGAATAAAACGTTCCACAAATTGCAGGTACTTGTAGATTGGACAGAGTGCACAATGGCAATTGCAATATCGGCTTCCTCCATTGTCTCTATTTAATCAGTTCGTCGTCGCTTAGCACATCACCCCGTTATGCCCATTCTTTTCATCGACTGTTACGATTCGTTTACGTATAATCTGGTCCATCTTATAGAGGACACTACGAAAACAAAGGTCTCTGTGATCCATAATGACTCTTTGAGTAAGGACCAGCTCCTAGAACTTCTCCCGTTTGCAGACGCAGTGGTGGTTGGTCCCGGTCCGGGGCATCCTGCAGTCGATACTGATTCTGGAGTGATCCGCTACCTTTGGGATTTACCCCATGAACTGCAGCTGCCTATTTTTGGTGTGTGTTTTGGTTTGCAGTCTCTTTGCCTGGCATTCGGCGGCGAAATCAAACGGCTAGATCAGCCGCAGCACGGCCAGTACGGCGAAATCACGCATACGGGCAATAACCTCTTTGCAGGAATCCCTCAGCAGTACAAGGTTATTCGATATCATTCACTACATGCGGTGATTGAAAATGCACCCCAGCTGGTACCTCTCGCTCATTGCAATGACGTTCTGATGGGTGTATGTCACACTGACCTGCCATACTACGCGGTACAGTTCCACCCTGAGAGCGTCTTATCCGAATTTGGTGCTCAGTTGATTGAGAACTTCTGGAAATGTGCCAAAGAGTACAACCAGTCTCGCGGCAGAGCCGTCCTACCTGATGCTGGCAAGCTTAGTTACTCGTCGTTGCATACAACCCCACTGCTATCGGTGAAGCCCGAGAGCAAGGCTACCCTGCCCGAGATCACGAGTCTCGAGCGGATTGACCCGATGCTAATTTGTAACAGTTTGAAGGCAAAAAATACGGAGTTTGTACTACTCAAGTCTGCCTCATATCCCGGCAAGTGGTCTATTATCGGTGTTCTAGATAAAAACACTACACATCTTCGTTGCAAAAACGACAAAACTCGCATAGGTCCTCTGCATGGTGATTTCATTGAGCATGAAGGTGACTTTTGGGCGCACGTCGCTCAGCACATGGGGCCAAGAATTGTGGAGCCCCCGCAAACTAGCGACATTCCTTTTTGGGGTGGCTTAGTGGGCTACGTCACATACGAAAAGGCCTGCAACGTGTCATGTGACCCAGATTTGGAGCAGCCGAGCAGCGATGCCTCGTTCGTTTTTGTGGAAAACTGTATACTCGTGGGCGAGAAGGCCACAGTGGTTATTTCCCCGGACAGCAAGTGGCATGAATCTACAAAAACATTCTTATGTGACATAAAGAGCTCTCCTGAAACTTTTTCGAGCTCTGATCTACCAGTGGCGCACGTTTCCCGCCCAGACAAGAGCAGTTACATTGACAAAATCGAGCGATGCTTCGAGTACCTGCGCTCGGGTGATTCCTATGAGCTTTGTTTGACTGCACAAACAAAGGCAGTGTTTGAAAAGCCTGTTGATTCTTGGGATTTGTTCCGCCACGTGCTTGGTATCAATCCGGCACCGTACATGTCCTATATGGACTTCGATGATAGGCTGGTGGGGGCATCACCAGAGCGATTTATGTCCTGGGATTCTAAAGGCACATGCCAGTTCCGTCCTATCAAAGGTACAGTCAAGAAGGCACCGGGAATCACTCGAGCTGATGCCGAAGCGATCTTGGGAAGCAACAAAGAGCGGGCCGAGAACCTCATGATCGTCGATCTAATCCGACACGATCTGGGGTTGCTGCTGGATACGGTTGAGAGTCCTCTGCTGATGAGCGTAGAGGAGTACAAAACAGTATACCAGCTTGTAAGTGTTATTGAAGGACCTTTAAACGAAACGCCCTTCAGTGGCTTGGATGTCCTCGTTCACTCTCTGCCGCCTGGTTCCATGACCGGCGCTCCCAAACTTCGGTCGGTTGAGATTTTGAGACAGCTTGAAACTGAGCCAAGAGGCTTGTACTCGGGCGTTGCCGGTTATTGGTCAATTACTGATCAAGGCGACTGGAGTGTGACCATTCGATCAGCGTTTCAATACAAAGATTATGACAATTGCACCTGGCGCCTTGGTGCCGGTGGTGCTATTACTATTCTAAGTGATGTTGACGATGAGTTTGCCGAAATGGATACAAAGCTAGATAGCACCTTGCGTGCGTTCCAGATTTAAGATGCTGCGCAGGACGATGTGCATGCAAACTCCCAGGCAACCTGCGCCAACCCTTTTTTTTAATACTTTTTTGTAGCTCGGTGCTAAAATTTATTTGGTCAAAAAATTCGGATATCCAACTAAGAATTTGACTCTTACCCCGCGATTCGCTCCGTTTCCTTCAACGTAGATCGCATCTTTCCGCGATTTTAGGCGGAGTTGACCGGCATCGTGCAGCTCAAGGCCTTATCTTCCACTGGGGTTAGCGATCTATGCATGCACTGCGCATGTCCAGTAGTTAGTCAGAGGGGAATATGCGAAACCGAGCCTTTAAATAGAGCGCCAAGATTACCATTTTCCCCACTATTCTCAAAGTTTTTGAAAACCTTTAAACATAACGGTCCAAAAGAATTAGAGGCTGGTAACTCTCCAGATTAAAAAAAAGGAACCTTAACACTATGGAAAGTATTGACCTTGAACCCGACCACTCCAAGACGTTGCCGCCGCCCGTCACGAGCCATGAGAAGAGTTGGTCTCAGTCTGCCAAGGACAGTGCTAAAGATGTCTTCAAGCGCTTCACCACCAAGGACGGCCTTATCGGCTCAGTCGACTACAAATATTTATTCACGCCTACTATGCCGTTCACCAAGAAGAAAGGAAACCCCCCTCCCTTCTTTGGTGTATATGACAAGATGCCTCTTTTGCTCGCTTGTCTTCTGGGACTGCAGCACGCCCTCTCCATGATGGGTGGTCTGGTCGCTGCTTCTCTGCTTTTCGCTCAAATGGCGTCGTTGTCTAACGGCTACACTGAGTATATGGTTTCGGCCAGTTTGATTTCAGCCGGAATTCTGTCGTTTGTTCAGATCAAGCGTTTCAGAATCCCTTATACTCACTACTACATTGGAACTGGTACAGTCTCTGTACTAGGTACTAGTTTCTCTACTGTCCCTGTCTTTGGCACTGCTCTTCCTATCATGTACAAGAACGGATTCTGCCCTGTGGCCGAAGACGGCACACACCTCCCTTGCCCTGACGCCTATGGTGCCTTCCTGGGAACGGCAGCGCTTTGTGCTTTGCTTGAAATCCTGCTGTCGTTCACACCTCAGAAAATCCTGCTCAAAGTTTTCCCGCCTATCGTCAATGGTCCTGTGGTTCTGTTGATCGGTACCTCTCTCCTTCAGTCAGGTATGCAGGATTGGGCAGGTGGAGGCGGATGCATGAGTAAGGGTGCCATGTGTCCAAGTGCTGACGCACCTCATCCTCATCCTTGGGGGTCTGGTCAATTTATTGGTTTGGGTTTTAGCGTATTTGTGACTATTCTCATTTGCGACAAATGGGGACCTCCTTTCATGAAGTCTTGCTCTATTGTTGTGGGCCTGTTGGTAGGGTGCATTATCGCTGCTGCATGCGGCTATTTCAGTCACCAGCAGATCGATGCAGCCCCTGCCGGCCAGTTCCTATGGGTAAAGACATTCAAGTTGCAATTATATGGCCCTATTGTGTTACCTATGCTCGCCGTGTACATTGTTTGTACCATGGAGTCTATTGGTGACATCACTGCTACCTGCGATGTTTCCCGCGTGGCCATCGAGGGTACTGAGTTTGAGTCTCGTATCCAGGGCGGTTTGCTGGCCAGTGGTTTGGCCTCGGTTGCTGGTGCTCTCATGACCCTGCAGCCCCAGTCCTCCTTTGCTCAGAACAACGGTGTTATCGCCATGACCCAGTGTGCAGCCCGCTACTCTGGCTATTTTGCCTGCTTCTGGCTGGTGCTGATGGGAGTCGTCGGTAAGTTCAGTGCCTCTATTGTTGCTATTCCTAGCTCCGTCATTGGTGGCATGACTACTTTCCTATTCACATCCGTCGCCGTCTCCGGCTTGCGTCTTATTTCCGTTGCCAAGTTCACTCGTCGTGATCGTGTTGTCCTCACCATCTCGTTGATGTGGGGATTTGCTTCTTTGCTGGTTCCCAACTGGTTCGAGGGCATCTTCACCTACAAGGGTGACAACAATGGCTTGCAAGGATTTATTGATGCTTTGATTATTGTTGTCCAAACACCTTACGCTATTGGCGGTATCGCCGGCGTTATTGCCAACCTTATGTTCCCTCCCTGCGACGACATGGACATCCATGCCGGCAAAACAGTTCATGAAATTGAGAACGAGGAGGCTGAGTGCAGCACCAACTATGAAGTTGAGGAGCTCACTGGGGTCACTGCTGTGGAAAGCGCCGGCCCCCACAAACAAGACCTCTAATTGCCCATCAAAGTAGAGGGCAAATCTAATGTTTCGTTCTTTATTATTTTTCTTCAAGAGTTTTGTATGTAACAACCTATATAAATTATCTATTACTGAACTGTTCAAAAGTATAGTGTGATTAAAACAAAAGATGCAAAAGCGGCCCGCGCTTTTATAAAAAGTACTCTACGATGTTTGTTTCTGCTGCCGTTTGCATATGATGTTCATTATCGGCTGAAGCATCGAACACATTAAAGAATCGTTCACCGTTTTCTTGGATTTCACAAATAGAGGCCATATTGCCACAACGATAACAGTAATTGGGCGCAGACCAAACCGTGCTCAACTGGTCGTCGAACAATATCTCAAATCCGGATTGGCAGAGCTGGTGGGCCCGTAAGATGTGGTCGAATCCATTGCGCTCGAGGAAAACTTTGACAATGTCCTTGCCAAACATGTAGCCGGCGCCTCTTGGGCTGATGCTAAACTGAGCTCTGGTTTCATCGGGGTCACTCCACACCAAATCGGCCATTGGGCCCTCATGAGGGATCTCCTTGAAACGATCAATGACTTTAATCTGGTCAATGGACTGAATTGACGGAGACAGACCACCGTGCACACAGAAAATCTGATTGTCGACAACCACTGACAGGGTCATGAAATCGAAAACGTCAGTAAATAACGTCCAGACTTTGGGCGTGCCGTACTTTCGCACACACTCCGTGTAAAATCCATAGGACTGGGTGATGCCCCTCGACTCGTGGTTGCCTCTCACGAGATATATTCTCGAAGGGTACCGAAGCTTCAAACACACCAGCAGCGTGATGGTCTCGACAGAAAACAGCCCCCGGTCAACATAGTCACCTAAAAACAGGTAGTTGGTGTCCGGGCAGTTGCCACCAACTTTGAAAATCTCCAGCAGGTCGTAGAATTGGCCGTGGATATCGCCCACAACCGTTACCGGTGAGCTAATGTGTACAACATTACTTTCTTTGATCAATAACTCTTTTAACTTATTGCACAGAGCCGCAAGCACCGGCTGTGGCAGCAGCTCCCGCCGCATCGTCCGCTCAATGCACTCATCGAGATTGTGCGTGGACGTAAGGTTATCCATTCAACGAAGTTTGCTCGTCTCTGCCCGTCTACTTTGTCTTACAGATTTCAAGCTTACACACATCTTCCCCCTTTTTGCCGCTTGAGGGGTGTGCCCAAGGGGGCTATATGTGGGCGGTTAGTAATCACCGGGTTATCCAGAAACGTGCAATAGCCACCCCAAAACGACTGAAGAGAAAGCGTTGCTAGAGGTCGGTTAGAAATGGTTAACGACACACACAGAGCGGAGACGCCGCCAATTCCGAACGATTACTTCAACGGAAGCGCGGCTGAGCGGTCGCCAGTGTATTCACCCTCTAGGAAGACTAGCGCTAGTGGAAATTCCGGCACGAGGTCGAGTGGAGCCAACTCTGCATCGAGCCATCAGACCGTGATCCGTTTATCTCGTAGTGGGTCCCCGGAGTACGAGGTTTCCGAACGTAAAGATCCCCAGGCGCAGTACTTGGCGCAGGAGCGGGCCTATGTCTCCAAGCTGCGGAACGATCTTGTAGACGACTACTACGAAAAGGGGCTTAGTCCTGAAAGCAACGACGATGGAAGCGACAGGTTCCTGGATGACGAGTTTGAGGGCGATTGGGACGAAGAGGGCCTGTATTTGGGCGGTGTTGGCACGTCCTTCGATGACCCCTACAGCCTCAGTATCGAAGAGTCTTTCCAGTTCATTGAAGGCCAAGGAGGCTCTCAAAATAAAGCGGCGATCCAGAGACGAACTGTATGGCAATCTATGCTGACTTCGGTTCTTACTGGCCAGGTAATCACCAGTGAAAAATCAAAGATGCGTACCCGCCGAGAGGGGTATCGTGCTGGGTCCGAGGAGCAGGTTGAGGAGTTATGGTTTGAGCTACGAGCGAAAGTATGTGGACGAACCCTTGCTGAGCAGCGTCAAATACTTACCCAGAGTCGGTCAAACGTTGCTGACGTGCTGGAGAAAGTTGCAACTTTCAAACTGCAGTCTGAATCATATCCCGAAGTCCACGCCGCCCACCGGGTGGTTGGTAAAATTGTTAATCAGATCGCGAAATGTGAGCTCCTGTACAGAAACCGCAAAGCAATGATCGAAGAATACCCCATTCTTGCTCGTTCTGATATGATAATTCGTATCGAAGCTTTGACGGCTTGGTATAGCACCACTTCGCTCGTCTTTCAAGAATTGAACTTGTTGCAACAGTGGACTGGAAACGAAGACGCCGACCCTACCAAGAAACCCACTGCTGAGGGAATGGAACCTCTTACTTTAGTCGAGCGTGTATTCAAGCAGGCCGAAGCTCTCAAGTCAATTTGTAAAAACCGCATCGAGTCTTATATTTTCCCGCTCATGCGTCGGTGTCGAGAGATTTCTACTGCATATACACACGTCTTTGTTGAAGATTTAGGACTTCCTCTCCTCCACCAGGGTCTTGAACCTGTGTTGGGGTTCCCCATGAAACTGCTGCGGCAAACAATTCAACTGCGATTGGACTACGCACGTAAACTGGTCAATCCCACAATGGTGATTGTTGACCAAACAATTCAACAGTTTGAAATTTATATGAAGCTGGGTCTATACGTCATTGGCGAGTACATGGATTTAACCAGGCCTGTTCTTGATAAGGGCTGGAGTTTCAGTCGGCAGGATGCTAACAGTCTTAATGATGTTCTGTTGGAGTGCATTACTCTTTATCTTGAGCTTTTAGCCAACAAATTCCTCGATGGAGGTAAGACTTCGCTTTCGTACGTTAGATCCTTCAAATCTATCGACAATCTCGAGGAAAAACACTATAATTTTTTGCAAAACACTTGCAAACTCATTGATGGCGGTAGCATTTCAGTGGCCGAGCGTTTCACTGCTCTGCATAGTCGTATTCTAAGTCGTCTGATTTCTTACTGGGATCATCAGATGCAAGGCCCCCAGAACATGTCTACAATTGAAATAGAGCGATGGTATGGACCCACAATGGAGTATGTGCGAAGCATCCAGCGGAAACTGCTTCGATTTTACAAAACACTGAGTACCAACTATGAAAACTCCACCGATTACGATCACCCCAAAACCAAAATGGAAGAATTCACCAAGAAACTTCAGGAAGCAGGGTTCTTCCTTGTGTTCATTGATAAGCTTGAAGTCCAAGGCATGTACATCTTTGCCAGCTCTAATTTACGGGATCAACCGTACACGATCCGTCAGCTGGTCAGAGGATATTGTCGGCCAAAAGACGACCGTGATGGAGTTGTACCGGCCAAAGAAATTGGCGCCCTTTTAATTCTACCAATCCAAGAACCGCTAGTTTGGCAAGGTGAGATTTACGACTTGGATGCAGCAATCAGCGAGGCTAATTCAGTGGATCCTGGCAGACTGAGACTGGTTTGCCAAGGAGGAAGCAGTGAGCTTTCAGAAGTTCGAGAATATTACTCTTTCCTCAATACGTTGAATATCGCTGTTACTCGACGCTCGCACCTTGCAAAGGTTGATGTCGAACTTACCAAGATCCGTAATCAGTTTTTCAAACTGTCTATGGAGGTTATGATTAGTGCCATGAAATTCAGGGTTAAAATGAAGCAGTATGGATGCCAGCAGCTGGTACAGAACATGTATACATTTGCCCGTGAAATTGGCAAACGTGGTGTCAATTTATTCGACGGTCGCCGTAAGGGCAGAATTGTGGAGACTTTGATAGAGTTGTGTGTGGATTGGGTTTCTTTTGTTTGCGATGACTGCCCTCCAAATGATCACAATACCTACCGCTGGTCGGTAGTTGCTTTGGAGTTTGCAATGCGTATTACTCGCGGTACCAATATGATTTTTATGAAAGAGGAGTTATTTGAAAAGCTCAAGCGAAAAGTGGCTGTGTGCATCAGTTTGATGATTTCACATTTCGATATCATGGGAGTGGGCTCACGGGCCTCGGCCACTACGCAGCGTCGTATCACCAAAGCTACTGTGCCACGGGCCAAATTACCTGTGACACCTATTGAAGATGATGACGCGCTGATTGCTCTCTTGAGGGAAAGCACTCTGGAAAAGCTTGCCAAGCTCGAGCAAAAACGTAGCGAGCATCAAATGATTGGCAAAGTTCTCGACGACACAAATACCCAATTTGAGTTTTTAAATTTTGCGTCCTCCCTTACTACAGCATCAATTCGGTGGCAGCAAGGCAGATACATCGGCAGTGGCGCATTTGGTTCTGTTTATGAGTCACAAAATCTCGATACCGGCCAGCTTATGGCAGTGAAGGAGGTTCGACTGCAAAATGTCCAGTCAATTGGACGTATTCTCAAAACCATCAAGGATGAAATGACTGTTTTGGAGATTTTGAGTCACCCCAATGTCGTTCAATACTATGGTGTTGAGGTCCACCGGGAGCGAGTATTCATCTTTATGGAGTATTGTGAAGGTGGATCCTTGGCGAGACTCCTTGAATACGGGCGAATTGAGGACGAGACAGTCACCCAGATCTACTCGCTGCAAATGTTGGAAGGCCTTGCGTATCTTCACCAGAGTGGTGTTGAACACCGCGATATCAAGCCCGAAAACATCCTGTTGGACCACCTTGGAGTCATCAAGTTTGTCGACTTTGGCGCTGCTACAGTTATTTCGCACACTAGCCGCTCCTTAACAGGCCAGATTTCCTTGGCAAGCTCCGAAGGATCGAAGAGTAGTACCCCCCAGACGCGGCTTGGCTCGCTGAGGGGCACACCAATGTACATGAGTCCAGAGGTGATCACAGGCAAGGGTAGAGGTCGTCACGGCAGCATGGATATCTGGTCAATTGGATGCGTGGTACTGGAAATGGTAACCGGAAGACGTCCCTGGGCTAACCTTGACAATGAGTGGGCTATTATGTACCACATTGCCGCGAACCACATGCCCCAGATGCCCAGTGCTGATCAGGCCAGCGAGGAGTGCAAAGCGTTCCTGCTGAGAGCTCTGGAGCGAGATCCTGCCAAGCGTCCTACCGCCATGGAGTTGCTATCCGACCCGTGGATCACGAGTATCCGCCACCAGCTTCTAAACAGCGGTGATGAGAAAGCCGACGGCACTTGAAGAGCTGAAATCATAACATTATTTAAAATCATCTATTTACGCGTTAACAATCCCTAGAATACTCAGTTCAAACGTCCATGCTCTGCGGAGATGAACTGTGACATCCTTACCGCCCGCTTGAAGAGTAAACTTGTCCCACCAGCACTTGCGAGCGGGCTTTTTCCAGAACAGCAAAAGCTTCTGCACTGCTTGAATTTTTTCCAGGTCATCCTGTGTGGGCATTTTAAGGTCGAGCAGATGGACGCTGAGGACCTGTGCTCGGTGTGACTCACGCTGCCTATAGCCCCAGGTTTCATTTTCAGCAAAGCCGGCCAGACAGAGCATTTGCTTTAAAAAGTACTCTGGCGTATCTGGAACATCACCGTCATGCAAACCATCGAATATAGAGTTCTTGGCAGCAATCATATTGCCACAATCGCGTCGGAGGATGGCCATGGTAGCATGGGAGGCATTAGCGTCACCATCCAGGCAGAAGTACTCGATGTCTTCCCGTAAAACAACAATTGCTGGTCTGTGCTGGAGGATATCGGGGATCACATTTGGTTGGAATGTAAGGTGCTGCTCATTATTGGAAACTTGGTCCTGGTCGAGGTTGTCGTAGAGGGCAGCACTGTCCTCGAAATTGCTCAATGGCATTGTGGGTGGGTTCAAATGCAAAAGCACGGCGTTGAAGTGGTCGAGAATATACACAAAGCACTCTGGATTGAAGTCAACGTGGATAACTTCCTGCCCACTTTCTGTGGACAAAGCTGCCGAAGTCTGGTCCGCATAGAATGGGGACCCCGAGAGGGAAAGTAGCACGTTCTCCGGGAGCTCCAGCAGATTTTCGCGCTCTATTCTGAACCGCTTGCCTCTCATTTCCAAATGAATCACATCAGGCAGTGTCTCGCTCAGTATAGCCGCGTCATCGAGGGTATTACTGACCTGTGTTATTATCTCTCCGGCAGGCATGTCAGCAGGACAAACCTCACCGCCTAACCAGTTGTATATATCTAGACAGACAATTTAGTCAAATTTTACATTTTTTTCGGAGTTCCAGATGTTGGCAATGTACTTGGTGTGGTTGCCTCTGGCAAGAAGTTCGCCGGTTGTAGGGTTCTTCAACTCAACGAACGTGAATGCCATAGTCCGGCCCATTCTCTGGCAATGGCCCTCCATGCGGACAACCTGGCCGGGCTTTCCAGCAGCCTTGAGAAATGTTGTGGCCAGGTCAGTAGTCACGCCGGTTGAAAACACCCCGTTGCTACAAAGTGCCAGTGATCCACCAATATCCACCAGCGTTGATAGCACCCCACCATGAACAATGCCGAGCCGATTGATATGGCGCTCATCGATGGGGAGATCGAAGACGACCTTGTTGGGCTCAGCGCCAACGACCTTCATTTGGTCAAAAAGGACCTTTTCGACGCCTCCATGCTTCAACATATCGGCCCACACATTGCGAACAAACGCCAATCGGTTCATGGTTTGCGGGGGATGATTACCTAGTGAAATAAATTATGGATGGCTTAAATAAATACCGTTTTCAATAGCCGTGACCTTAGTGAGGCCGAGTCCGGCCAGTGTTTTCATATGCAATAGTTCGTGTGAATAAGTTTGAGATGCTGAAAGTTGCCGGATGTACTCGTCCACATCCACCTCAGACTGCAAGAGTGCTCCCGCCAAACTGTACTCTTCACTAGCAGTTAGCAGAGCTAGCGGGGGATCTATTGCCACCAAAGATGTTTCTGGAGTATTTGGAATGAGCTCAGGTTTGTGGGCTCGCCAATAGTCGAACGGACTAGCTGATCTTCCGAATATACTCGCCTGGAGTTCGTCACGAGAGCACGAAAACACTCTGATCTCGTGGAGCTTGCGGATTTTCTCCTGAGCGAACCGAATCATTTCGGGATTCGTGGGGTTCAGAACAATCATTAACTGGCTTTTGGCCACATTCTGGGTCATTGCCTGCATCCAGATACCCTTCTTGGAGCGCTCAGGATATGGCAAGACGTTTTCGTCACCGGTTTGGTAGTTATCTGAGAACGACAGGAAAATTGCCCGCTTGGAAACCTTTTCTACTGGCGCCAGCAGCGGCCTGTAAATGCTTTTCTCGAGCTTGGACAGCGGCTTGACGCTGCGCTCTAAAAGTTTCATTATGACAAGATTAGCTAAGACTCTATTGAAGTTGAATTAACTCTTGACCGCTCCAGTTTCTGGTCTGGCAGGTACGCCGAGCATTTGCAAGATTTCCTGCCTCCGTTTTCTGAGAGCGGGGTACTTGGCGATTTTTTCGCGCAGCTGGGAAATGGTCTTTTCTGTGGTCACCCGCGCTTGATCGGTCTGGTTATGCTCGAACTGCCATTGCGTGCCCTCTGCACCCAGGCCAACGGTCAAAGTTGCCGTATGGTACCTGAGGAGAGAGATACGGTGACTGATTGTGATCAAGGTGATGCCATTGCGTTTGCAGGCTTCGTACAAAAGCCCCTCAACGTCCTGGCTGACAGCAGACGTACCTTCGTCGATTACTGCGAACTGGGGCTTGGCGAATAGTAGACGGGTGAACAGCATGCGTTGCTTTTCGCCACCACTAAACACATCCTTCCATTCCTTTACAGCGTTGAAGCCGCCTTCTCGCTCTGGCAGATAGTCCAGCTTGACCTGCCGCAGAATATCCATGAGGTCTTCATCGGTGATCCCAGCTTTGAGCATTTCAGAATGGGTAGCGGGGTAAATGATCTGATCTCGAAGCGTGCTGCAACTAAAGTAGGGACGTTGAGGCAAGAAACGGATCTTTTTAGCTGTAGGGCGACACAGAATACCCCTATACAGCGGCCACATGCGAGCAGCCATACGGGCAATTGAGGACTTGCCTACGCCATTGGCACCGGTGATAAGTAGATGCTCGCCTTGCTGGATCTTGAAAGTGATTGGGTCAATCAAGGGCTCACCAGCACTCAGGTCTCTCCCGAGACCTGGCACGATAACTGGTGCTTGATGTAGACTGAACTCATCACATCCAAGATGATATTCACCTCTGACATCAGCCAAAGAGTACTCCTCATACTCAATATCTTCCTCGATTGCCAACCTGTGATAAGCGTTAGCACGCACCCGATGAAGAGCTGCTACAAGGTCGTACAAACGACCAGTATAACCAGCCAGCTGGGTTAGATCTTTGATCGAATACATAATACGCCCACCCGCATCCGCCATTGAAAGCATAAGACGCTTATTAGTGATAAAGTCGCCCATGCGAGACCGTTCACGGTTGGGGGCGCTAAGGGTTGCATGACGATCGAAGCTATCGCCAGTCCAAGATGGTAAAAAGACCGGCACGGAAGCAAACAAAAAGCCTGAGGCGGACCAAGAGTATTTGAGAACATAGTCTTCAAGAACGTTGTAAACGGCAGTCACGCGTAAAACTCTGGCAATATGATCTCGTAGCTTTTTGTAAGATTGGGTGAGCGACTGCCGCTCAATTGGTGCACCATCATAAAATGCAATCTCTTCCGAGTTTGTGATGATACGCTGCTGGGATGCACGATACTCGCCTTCAAAGGCCGCCTCCTTAGCTGCAAGACGACCAAATGCCGGTGCTGCACGCTTAAGAAGCCACGCAGTAATACCATAGTTTGCAAAGATGCCCAGCAAGGCAACGCTGCCGAGGTTGTGAGAAAGCTGATAGGCAAAAAATATCAAATCAATAGTGGGCTTACCAAGATTCGAGTAGAGCGATGCCGCTGAGTCGCAAAAGTTGATGAGGTCACTCGTGATATAGTGATCAGCCCCCTCGATAGCGCCGTCTAAATTGGTGAGCTTGTAGTATTCCATGCGGGGCCCAATGTAAAGATCGTGAATGTAGCGAATGAGTTTCGTGCGGAATTCAAGCGAAATCTTCGCTTCCAGATAACGAATCATTGCATTCGTGTAGGATGCCGGGATAGCCAATAAAAGCCACTCGATGATGCTCTGAGTGAACTCTTTGCCATTTGCGGCAATGAGGTGACGGACAATATGGCCATCAAGATTGGCCACTTTGAGAGATAAATAAGTGCGAAAAGTTAGCAGGCCCATGTGCAGGGCCATGAGAGCGGCAATCGGGGAAAAGACGCTAGGGAGCAAGATGGAAAACAGGGCCCTGAACTGCCAGAAAAACCGCATTTGCTGGTTGCGGCGTCTACTTAGAATAGCCTTTTCGCTTCCGAGCCCATATCCTGCCTCATTGTCGATATTCAAGAAGAGGCGCTGGTGGGCATCAAAAAGCTCTTCCGGCGTCTTGGGTACGATGACCCGAGCCAGCTTGTTCTTGTAGGGAACCCAGAGCTCCCGGGCGCCATTCTTGAGTTTGCGGGACCTCGGAGCATCACTATCCAGGGGCCGGAACAATTTACCACGGCTTCGGGATTGGGCCACAAAAGTGACGCCGACTAGACCGCCAATAAGCAGATAAGAAGGGTTGTTTCGAAGCAGCTTGAGCAGCTTCGAGCGGTAGTCATCTCGCCGACTGGTGTAAAGCCGTAAAATATACACCAACTGCTTCAGGATACCCTGTAGTTGCGCATTGAACCCCCACGCCAGCGTCGACTGGACCGGCATAGTTGGCTGTATGACAAATGTGGGGAGAGGAGGGGAAGAGAAGTGGCCGAAGCTGATAGCTGACAGATTAGCGAATTGGGAGGAAACTAAAATGAATCTAAAGTAAGGCTAGCTGCGAGAGCGGAGCTGTCGATAACCTTCATGAATTCGGCGAAGGACAAGCAGCCGTCGCCGTCCTCGTCAGCCTCCAAAATTGTTTTATCGACGATCTGCTGAAGTTGGGCCTCTTGCAAGTTGTTTCCAACCATAGCCTTGAGAACAATAAATAACTCGCCATTAGATAGCTTACCGTCGCCGTCAATATCGTAGACATTGAATGCGAACTTGAGTTTTTCTTCGCGGTTGCCGCGCGACGAGAACACACTCAACCCGGTAATGAATTCGCCGAAATCAACGTGGCCGTCGCCGTCAACGTCAAACACTTCCATGAGTCGCTGGGCCAGGGGGTTGCTTTGGATGGCGGGGATGGCAAGGAACTCCTCTTTTTCAATTGTGCCCGAGGAGTCCTTGTCGAGTTTTATGAACCTCGCCATAAGACGCTGCAGTTCCTCTTTGGTGAAATTCGTCGATCCTGCCAGGGAGTTGAAGGTCGACATTCTGGACGTGATGATTCAGCGCGGAGCATCGGGGCATGGGCTTGATATCAGTATCTGCTTTAAATGCTATCTGGTTGTTCTTCCAAATGCCGCGATTCGCGAATGCCCCGCTCGACGTTCAGTTTAGAGAAAATTATTGCCGCCAGTAGCATCATGAATAGCAGAAAGTAGAAAGTGTACCGGATGTTGTGGGTCTTGTCGGTAATGAGCCCTGTGATGGCCGGTCCCATGATGGATGATCCTTTATCGGTGACCGAGAACAGCGCAAAAAACATTGTCTCATGACCTCTTGGAATCATTAGTGAGAATACAGAACGGCAGACTGTGTTCAGTCCACCCAATGCGAGCCCGTACCATGCAGCCATGATGTACATTTCAAACGGTCTTCGCAGACCGAACCACGGGGTAAAGAAACCCAAAACGCCGTACAGAGGGATGACTGCTGCGATGAGGGTAATAAAAATAATAGAGTTTGCCGGGTTTTTGAATTTCATTCTCCCAATTACCAGCGATCCAAAAATACCGGAAATAATCGTGCACAGACCAATAGCTGCAAGTGCCGGGGTGTTCATTTGGAGGTTCCCTCGGGCGAAAAGTACCGCCGTAGAGTTGATGGTTGTAATTGCGTCACTAGTGACGAACCAGCCGACCAAAAAGATGCAGACATCCTGGAGCTCTTGCGCTTTGGCAATTGTGAGAGCTAGCGACTTCCACCCGTAGCCCAAGTTCTGTAAGAATGACAAGCTGTTAGGATTGTCCGAGGTCGAGTGGTTCGATTTCAAGTATCTCATAACGGGGATTTGGAACACTAGCCACCATACTCCAATGATTGCAATCACCAGCTGGAGAATTCGCGTCGATTCTTCAGGACCGCGGAACTTGAATACTAAAAACATGGTAAACATTTGCATAAAAAGTGCCGCAAAATAGCCAATTGCCACACCGCGTCCGGATATTCTCGCCGATATTTGAGTCTTGCTCGGCTGCTCCAATTCTGCACATGCTCCGTAGTATCTATCAAAGGCTGCTTGGCGCCGACGAGACTCCTCATAAACAAACTCATCTACAAGTGACGGCAGATAAGCATTTGCGCAGACCGAAACGGCACCGAAAGCGGCATTACCTACGATTGCTAGTAATGCAGCAATATAATAATGCCTCGTGCTGATGAATCCCATAAGAATCACCGAGCAAGCACCGATCACAGCGAACATTACCAGCAGTCGTTTTCGATGAGCGCCTCGATCCGCAATTCCAGTGATGGAAATAACTAAAACAGTCTGCACAAGAACGCTCATGGAGAACGTGTAGAGGGGCAGGCTGGATGTGTCGATATACCAGTACAAAACGCGAACTACGCATGCTGGCGGAGGCATTGGGACCGGGCCCAAGCCTGGATCATCGGCAGGAACAGACAGACATGGAGTGCGATGGTCAATGGCCCACACGGCATTGTTTCTTGCTAATTGTTCGAGGAAAAGCGGAATATAAGTGGCGACAGCCGAGACGAGAAACGGCTCCGCCGCAAAACTCGTCGCGTACCAACCGAGCAATTGGCGCATCGAGTCAAAGTAACAACAATCACAAACCTCGTGTTCGCTACAGAAGTTTAGTGGATGCGACGAGCTTCGGGCGCACCTCGCTTATGAGAGGATCAACACCCCAGGGGGTTGGAGAAAAATTAAGCTCGAGCGATTTCAGGGGAGCTGGGCGAACGACAGTCCCAAATCGAGAAACCTCCAACGGCAGTACCAAAAAAAACCCGCTAGCGGGTCATTGAATAGAAACCACTCACGTGGTCATGTGTCGATGGTGCTGCGGAGAACTACCCCGCGCCCCAGATTTTTTTTTACTAACATTCACTGTTCCCTCGGCCAACAATGGATCCATTTGTTCGGCAGGCAATTGTGCGAATTATTTTCGGTTGCCGCAATGGTGCAGTATATGGAGCACGCATTCGGTTCGCCCACGGTATTGTGATGGCCGTTTTGTTTAGCAACAAGCCCTGGGCGGAGCGAATTAAGGGCGTTATCACCGCATCGTTTCGGCATGGGTACTGCCTGGCAAAATTTGTGCTTTTCTACAAGTCCTGTCTTTTGGCACTATCTTTACTTCGTAAACACAAACACACTGGTGCTTTAGGTTCGGCTGCCGACGCCAAGGGCTGGGAAACGTTTATTGCCGGGGCGGTTGCAGGCGTCTTTGTCTTCGGCACAGATCCTCGGCCTGTCGCTGAGCAGATCACCTTGTACGTACTGGCTAGAGTTCTTGTGGGTCTTTCGCGCTACTTGACAATGGGGACTACTCTAGGAACCACAAAGAATCGTCAGCATGCGTGGTCGGTGACTTCTTCCGTGGCGTGGGGCTTGGTCATGTATCTTTTCCACCAGAACCGGGACGTTTTACAGACATCAATGGCCCGGTCGATGAATTACCTTTATGTTGAGAGTGACAATGTTCAGTTCACGTCTTTGGACAATTTCTTTGGTCTGTTGTAAGACAACACATTTAGTATGCTTTTAATTTTTGTATGATGTGAATTTTGATAGATTATACCCACTTTAAAAAGTCCAGCGATGGGGCTGGAGATTTCTTGGGGAGTAAAAAAAAAAAAAAAGTAGGTTTGCTTGCCAACCAACTTGGCACGCACTGAGAGGGAGGAATAGGAGCAACAGAGGCAGAAGAGTGCAATGCGATAGAAATCGTCAATGAGTGTGCCGGCCTGCCGGCAGTTTTATACTTCAATAACCATGCTAGACATGCTTTTCTTTGAGAACAGGGGGGGCGAGGGAAAAAGAAAAAAGGGGATATGTATAACATCTCAAGTTTTCCGGACAATTTTTTTTCGGATGAGATGGGGCGGGAGGTTTGAGAATCTGGACAAAAATGGGCCGTTCAAAAAGTCGCCTTAACGGCTTTTGGGAATAAATGGAACGGCAGACTCAACCTGGAATTTAGGAGCATCTTCCTCTTCATCATCCGCCTCGTTGAGACCCTGGTCTAGGCGCTCGTTAGGAGGGAGGACCCACTGAGACCAGTCTTTACGCAAACGGACCTTCTCGCCTACGACCTCGGCAGAAGGAGCCCATCGGCAAGCCATGACGACGAGGTTCAAGTCACCCTTGGAGAGAGATCGAACACGATTAAAGTTTGCCAACACAGAAATAGGAACCAGGCCTTTACTGTTCATCTGGCGACGGAGATAGATGTCCTTGCAGAGGTTCTCAATACTGAAGTAGTACTCCATCTGCTGAACAAGCATGCCGAGGGCGATATCATAGGGAGAAGCCGCAACGGGAGCCTGTTGGTAAACCTGCTTGGCATGAGAATCATTATCCTTTTTATTTTGGTTGCCGCGGCGATAGTTCGAGTTGTGAGAGTTGCCCTGGTTGTTGTGAGAGCGGTGGTGATGCTGTCCAGCAGAGCCGTTGTTACTGGCCGAGTTATTGGAGGTGGAGTTTTGTTTGGAAGCATTCTGGGCATTAGACTGGCTCTGGCTGGCTCCGTCAGTATTCGAGGAGGCAGATGCGTGGGCCGAAGAGCTACCGCTAGCGTTACCGTTAGCCTGGGCAGCGTTTCCATTGTTGTTATTATTATGATGGTGGTTGCTGTGATTACCATGCTTGCGGTTGCCACCCTGCTTGGAACGGGACTTTTGCTTGGGCTTGGACTGCCCAGAAGTTCCACCTGGTGGTGTGGTAATGACGACAGGGGTGTAAGGCATCCATTTTTCCTTACCAGTGTTCTTCTTAGGACGATCCTTAGGAGCAGGCTCCTTCTTAGACTCCTTGCGCGAGGTCTCAAGTGCAGCAGCAGCAGGAATTTGTACGGGTTTGGCATCGCGCACAGTGGCCTTCCATGGGGAGCTCGTAGGCACCGGAGCGGGGGCCAAGCGCACCGGTGGGGCTTTGGCAGCAGCCTTTTTGGGTTCAGACTCGGAGTTCGAAGCGCCAGCAGGGTGTGCAGCGGTGTCTGAGGGGGCGGCCGAATCTGACGCGCCAGCAGGAGCGGGGGATGATTGTTTCACTTCGGAGGAAGCGTCTGCCGAAACTTTTGCAGCATTTTCAGAACTGGGCTTTGAAGCTTCGGGAGCACTCTGAACACCGGACATGCTGCAATTATTCAAAAAGATTCTTTCAAATAGTCACTGTTGGGCGGCTCAAAAAAATGAAACAGTAAAGAAAAAAAGAAAAACTTGGGACACTCACTCAGAATAATGTTGATGGATATATTATGTAATCGGGTTTAGGGCAGCATCAATCAGAACGCATCGGCCGTTTTTTCCCACGCCAAATTTTTTTTTCCCTTTTTTTGGTGCACTCACATATCTAATTTAGATCCTTACGGTCCAGTGATGAACCAAGTAGTCAGGGTAAGGGCGAAAGCCTATATTCTCCACTCACTCATCTAAGTTCGTCCTGATTAACCCTACCCGGCCTTATTTAGAAAAACTCAACCATGAAAAGCTCAGCTGTTCGTCTGGCCACTCGCCGAAAAGTGAACGCACCCCCAAGAATCGAAATTTTGCCCCCACTGCCCCTTTATCGCCGTATTCTCCGGGCTCACCGCCTTCTGCCCCCACAACAGCGGGCACTGGGCGATTCATACGTCAAAAATGAGTTCAGGCTTCACCGCAATATCGACAACCCGGCACAGATAATTGGCTTTCTGTCCAGCTGGCAAAAATATTTAGAAGCCATTCTTGGCGATAAATGGCAGCATGAGAAACTCGACATGGATCAAATTGAGCGTATGGAGCCTGAAAAGATCATTCAGCTTTACGAGCTGATGGTGGCCGCCCAAAACCGCGAATCGGTATACAACGCCATTCCAGACGTCGAACTACCTCGACCCGGAAACCTCTAGTACATAGCACCGTAATAATTATATATTTTCGTTCCACCTGAGCTTTTCCGTATTCGCCCAAGTTTTTGGGTTTGTCAACCGGCTCATGCTGCGAGATGGACGTCGCGTTCATCGGTCTGCTGTGCCCTTTTCCATATTGCCAGACTGGCCACAATGGCAGTTTTTAAGCAACAGTATCAAATTGAAACCCCTGGAGGTGTGCTTTGGTAGCTTTAAGCAGCGTCCTGCGATTATAACCTTTGTGTCTGCTGATACCGTTGCAGTGTGCAATATTGATGCCTGGCCAGAAGAATCGCAATTGAGTATGACTTTCGAAGTCGATCCTTCCAACCAAGAGCCCTGGATTGTCGAACCAAGCTGGACAGACTCGTCAGTGCAGGTTGATCTATGTCAGAGCATTGGGGTTGATGTTTTAAGAACCAGGTACTTGGATACAGTATTTGGTGCTCCTATTGAGCTGTTTACAAAATCTGTGCTGTCAAGAGCAAGAGCTGGATTCACAAATACGGACCAATTCGTAGCCAAGCTGAAAGAACTGTGCTCAACACCGGAAGAACTCGATAACCGGTATGCTGATTTCAATAATCTTCCCCCAGAGTATCAAGCTAGACTCAAAGAAAGCCAGGAATCGGATAGAACCAGTCTAGATGACGAGCTAAAGGAGCTCCTAGTACGTGAAACACGCGTCCAAGTCGTTGTGTTGTTAGAGCTGGAATCGATTTCTCCACAATTTGCTGATCTGCTAACAACCCACTTCCAACGGTTATGTATTTGGCAGGCGATTGGGGGTGGAGAGAATGACGAAGTGCTGCAGTTTTGTTCTCAGGTTGTTATTCCTTTCTACCGATCTCGACTGCCTGATCGCACGAGACAACTGGCTAAAATCAGCCGCGGAGTCGTATACGCGCACCAGCGCCCACGACTCAAAAGAAGACCGATCAAGCCTACGCGTATTGCAGCTGGTCAAGCGGCTGCACAAAAAGCTTTTCAGAAGGCCTTCAAGTCTTCCCATGGTGAAACTGAGGAAACCAAACAAATCGAGCAACCTAAAGCAACACCAAGCATTGCAAAACGGTCTGTATCACGCAGCATGCTTGCTCATGAAAAAAGACAAGTCCAAGTTTCCTTTGGGCGGCCCCAGAACCAGGCCTCCCCACCTCCACCCTCGCTTCCTCCTCTATCAAGAGCAATGATCACAAAAGCCGCAAGACCGAAGACTACATCACAGGTTCTTGTGCAGGCTACCCCGACAAAAAATCGCACTGTCAATTTGCCTAAAGAAGCAGTGCCGTTGGATTTCGGCGAGGCCATTGACAGCACGGACGACGACAACGACAACTATTAGCATTTAATTTATACACAGACCTAATCCAATATATTCCCTAAGTTGTTTTCAAGCAATAACTCAGTCACTGGCTCGCCGAGTTGCTCAATCATTTTGTCCTTGTCGGCCACGGGTGAGGTTTCCAATAACTTGAACGCACCGACGAGAGCTTCTTGTAGCCGTTTTGTGGCCAGATCACTTTGAGATGCTTGTTCGTTGTTGAACACAGATTCGTACCAAGGTCTGATGTTTCCCAGAATGACTACCCTCACGACTTCGGCGCCCAAGGCAGACAACGCTACAACAATACCATAATGCGACGACATAGGCCTGGAGACATCCAAGAAACCCTTCAAAAGTGTTCTGGTTAAGCGTGGACGCAAAGTGTAATAAACCTGGCTGAATTTTTGTGAGATACTGCGAAGCAAAGAGGCAGCATACGCACGCACCTCAAACGACTCTTCGTTGTCTTCAGGTCCGACGTGTTTAGCAACAAGAATTGTGAGCACAGACGGAACGATTTGGTGAACATAGGGCTCGACAAAGATAGCGGGGTTAGTGAGCAAAGCATCCACGACATCAAGCATCGTGCGAAGAAGAGGTAAGCTGGATTTGAGATTGATAGAGATCTTCTCCTGGACAAATTGAACAAAGTAAGGAGTCAGCTGATGCAGACCGGGATCGTAACGGAGTGAATACAACGCAGTGCCCTTGGTGTCCTCATCTTCCAAAGCACGGACAACCCGGTCGAAATATAGCTGCAGCTCTTTGGAGATCATGTGTTTAACAAGAGGACGTACATCAACTTCATGTGTAAGAGCAGTGGTGGAATGTACTGTCTGCGAACCACGGACTTGCGGGGGCAATGCCTTGATTTCACCACTGTGAGGGTTCTGAGGAACAGATGGTTGAACACCTTCGATAGCCAGCCAGTGGGCAGTGAAGCTGGGTTCACGCGGCACTTTCGGAATGGGTTCGTTAATGAGGCGGTCAAAGTCTACCTCTTCATCGTTGTCTAAATAATACAACGTCTGGCCAGCGGCAACCGGAACCTCCTTATAAGATACCGGACGACCAGTTTCGTAACCATAGAGCGGCTCAATATTAAGCACCCGTAATGCCGCCGAGATATCTTTGGCAGTGACCGTTGTACGTTTGCTGTGGATCATGAACTTGAGGGCCTGCTCAACAACCTCATGGATGCGGTATTCAATGTCCATTGCCAGCGTCTTGGCAACCTCATCAGGCAAATTCGCAATGCCCAGTGCCTCAGCAGCATCTTTCACTGTGTCGGCAGGAGACCAAAGCGTGTACGAGCTTTTAACCGACATCACGCAAAGCAGGTAACAACGTTCGAGCTGAGTCAGTCGCGAGGTTTCTTACTACGAAACCTTTTGTCAGATTTATGTGGAGAATACCGTTGAAAAATGCTGTTTTATTGAGGAGATCACCGATTTTCGTGCGAGACTTGGCGACTGGACGCGTACGACCCCAGCCCTTGGTTAACATGAGCCATGTGCCGGCCGCTTTTCAGACAGAATATAAAAAGATTTCAGTTTTGTCAAAGTTGATCAATCAATCGAATCCCGATAGTCTGGGCGCTTTAGAGGATGTTCATGAGATGATGTTTGAGTATACGAATCTAGTTTCCCAGGGCGCTATTGCCAAGTCCATCAGTTTACAGGTGACGAGGGCTCTTTTACAAACAGCAAGAGACTGCAATGTTTTACTGAGAAGACTACCGAAACGAAGCCGAGATACCATTACTGGTAACGTTTATCAGCATTTGAGAAAGTATGCAAGCCAGATTTCAGAGGATATTATCCAAAAACGGTTACCTCGTGACCTCAAGACTTTGGGCACTTTGCTTGCGTTATACGAAACCATTGATCCACAAGCCGGGCTAGTCCTATTCAAAGAACTGGATGCGGTTGAGGCTACCGGATCAGCTATGCCATGTATGCTTAAAGCTGGATGGACGCTGGACCAGATGAAAGAAGCCTACGAAAGAGCACCAACCAAAACTGACTGGATCCAGGCCCACATGGTACGTGCCTATTTCGAGAATGGTGAGCCTGAGGCTGCAATGGAACTGTATCGACACATGGATACACACAACAGCAAGATCATGAACAAACTAGACGATCTAATCATCGCCGAGGGTCCTGTTGCCGAGGCACAAAAGGTTTTGGCCAAAACCATCACAGCGCCCCGGAGTTTTGCCATTATGCGGCTGCTTGAACGTCTGTGGGACTCGGAATCGGACATGACAGCACAATTCAAAGTGTTCGATCGATACCTCCAACTCGTGCTTGGTACATCTGAAGAGCCTCTCGTGGGTCCGACGCGGGTTTTAGTTCAACATATCTTCAAGGCCCATGGCCAGGACGTGCAGGCAATTGAAGCCGACTTGCAAAAATTAGCACGACTCTACGAAAGTAGGGGAGGTGCACATACGTTTTTGCTCAATGTGATCCTTACTGAAATGAGCCGCGCCATTCCAACGGAGTTCGACTTGGCTACGAAAATTATGGTCGAGTACGGAGCAGAAACAGACCCTGTTTCCTATCGCGTCCGATTGAATGCATTAGAGTCTGTGGATTTCGAAGAAAAGCCCCAGCTTGTTCTCAGTCTCTGGGAAGCTCGAATGAGCCTCCAAGTTCCTCTCGCCGCCTTAGACTGGATCGCCCTGGGCCGCAGCGACAAATTCGGGTCTCTTTTCAACCAGCTCTGGCAGGCTGTGGGCCAGCCGTTTTACCGCGATGTCATGACCTTCCATCGAAGCTATCTTCGCACTTAAATATTGTACATATCCAACCAACCTCTCTCAATAGTGCCCTTACCCCCCGAAACCGGTTGACCATCGCCAACAGTGAAAGACGATCCGCTTACCTAAACGAAAAATTCAAACATGTCTTACCGACCCGTTTATGGCGGTCTCCGTAGTGCACGGTGGCTGCGGACGTTTCAGTACGGTCCCTTGGTTACGGCATTCCGCAATCTCGAGAGCGGGCAGGTGATGTTTACGCAAACACTGCACCCCCAGCAGTTCTATATCGATCAGCTGTTTAAATGGCCCAACTGGCAGAACAAAAAGCCTGTCGTTCGTAAGGATATTTGGCGCCCTTTGGCCGTTGCAGAGCTCCCCACTCACGAGGAAGCTGTTCAGCTTTATCGCAGTTTGGTCGAGCTGCGCAAAATGCGTGATATGACACAGCGGGACCAGGCCCGCGCCTGGCGTAAGAAGTCTCCGGAGGGAAACGTCTGGTTCTGGAACCAGTACCGCCCTACTTATACTCACGAAGCTGTTTCTGACTTGGTCAGCGCCATGAGTGCTATGGGCCTCGATAAGGCTACCATTCACTGGGAGCATGCCTATCGCCGGGGAGACGACAAACACTGGGAAGGCTTGGATGTTTCCCACAACGAGCTTCCCCGCCATAACCCTCGTGAGCAGCACGTTGTTTTGAACAGGCTGCGTATCGACTCACTCGAGCGTGCAAAGGAGATCCAGGCTGAGGCTACAAAGGCTGCTCAGGCCGCAGCACGAGCTGCCCAAGAGGCCGGCCAGCCCACACCTCGTGGACAACGACTCGAAGAGGCCCGTAAAGTTTACGAACGCAAGCAACGTATTCTTGCCAACACCAAGGCGCAGCGCGAAGCCCTGCTGGCTGCACGTCCCGAGCTTGCTGATCTCGAGGTTAAAAAGCAGGCTATTGCCAAGGCGGAAGCTGCCCTTGCCGAAGCCAAAGCCAGCTACGACCATTTCTTACCTCATGGCCAACGTGGTGCTGCCAAGGCTCCGATCAAGTTGCGCGATCGTGCTCTGAGACAGGCGAAGCGCGTTTACAGACAGGCCAAGAAGCGGGTTGCTGCCCAGTCCAACAAGCGTCGTGTGCCCCAGCCCAAGTCTCGTATGCTTCGCAAATAAAATTAGTCTTGTATATAACAATTACCACCAGTGGTTAGTCTGTGAATAGATGCAGCCTGAAAAAGCAACCTGTAATTTGCTGCGGATAAGCCAGCGGCAACGCGAACGGATTCAAAGAGAAAAATTAAAATATATTCGTGATATCTATGCTAAAAATTGGTGTGATAAAGGAGAATAAGTCAATCCAGTGTAAAATAAAATAATAAGGAGGAATCAAGCGCAGTTGAGACCATTATGCAAAACAAAACCCCAGGGGAATTCAATCTTTGCGGGAATGCTTGATACGGATATGCCGGGAAAGGGCGTCCATACGACTAAAAGTCTTGGATTTGTCGCCACACTCTGGGCAAGTGAACATTTTGCGGACCTGAGCGTGGATGGTTTCCTGATGCCTTGCCAGGTCGTAAGGGCGAGTAAACGCCTTATTACAAGGTTCACCGCTGGGCAAGACCATGTCGCAGCGGTTGGGGCCGTGTGCGACTTTCTTGCGCTTGGTATTTCCTGCCGGCGTGGGGCGGGCAGGGGCGGCGGGCGGCTCGGCTCGAGCGACATCAATTGATGGGGTGCGCAATGGGTCGGTAACTGTCTTCACGTCGTGAATCGTCGGTGGGTCGTGAAAGTGGGCAGGACTGTCTTGCTCGAGATCGAGGTCCATGTCGAATTCAAAGCTCTCTTGATTGTCGCTAGATTGCTCGTCATTTACAAGATCGGGAGTGGAATCCATGGTATCGTAATCGATTGGGCTTGCCGGCTCAAAGCGGGGCATATCGTCCATCTGCGCCGGAACGCCTTCGTGGCTGAGCTGAAGGTCTAAGGGAGCAATGGACTCCACGGGCTTGTAAGGCAAAGAATAAAAGTTTTCCGCAGAGCCAAAAGAGTTGGGCACCCGGTAAATGTCGTAGCCGTCGGTCAAGTGTGACTCATCGTTGTAATGGCCTGTCGAGGCAGGATATGCGAACTGAGCCGATAGAGAATCGGCAGCGTAAGAAGATGCGGGTCCCACGGGGAAGTCGTAATCGAACATGTCGTCGTCGTCATCGTCGTCGTCGTCCACAGCCTCTGGGTGCTCCACCCAGCGAGCCCGCTCGTCTGCTAATGCCCGGTCAGGTGGGATATAGAGGCTATCAGCTCGAAGGGTCATGTCCACATCGATAGGGTGTGGCCAGTCCTTTTGCTGAGAAGAAAAATCGTTAAAATCACCAAATGACTCGTATGCGCTAGTGTGCGCATTTCCGTCAGCCATGGTTTCAAAAATGCGGTTGTTAAAAGCTTTAAATGTCGAGTTTAAAACGGGACGGTGGCGCCGGATTAGGGCCACCCTCCTATTAATACTCCTTATGTCATGTGTGATGTGTAATCGGGCCAACATGCAAGTTGGGACTAACCGTGCCTTGTCAGTAAACAACGATGATGGGCGATGGTGGGTTCACAAAAAGGCATGGGGAGTCGATGGGATCACAGGAAAATGCCCACAGTTATTATGCCGCTAGTTTGCCAATGCCCTTATGCTTCTGTTTACTCGCGGTTTTTATCCGCCTGTCCCATCCGCTGCTAACTGAATTCTACAACTATGACTGCATGAGAATTACTAAAGATGCATTCCAAGATGCATGACGTTCTAGAGGCTTCCCCTTTGCGTAGACCCTTAGCGAGATATGATGATCATGTCAAGATTGGGCGTTTCAGTGTTGTGCAATAGAGGTTGCTACAAGTTCGGCCCCAACCATCCTGGACACTAGATTCAATGCGACTATGCAGGGTTCCGGCATCAACTCTAAACTAATTTAGGCCCATTTTTCTATGTAATATTCTTGTTATTATCGGCCTTGCATTTGTAACGCTATTGGAGGCTTCAGCCAAGCCGCAATTTTTGGGAGTGGTGGGGGGTTCGGTGCAAATTGGAGATCGTCTACCCTTAACCACAGGTGCGAACGGCAGCGGAGGCTGTGCAAGCCGCGTGGACGTATTTCGCCGTGGTGGAGGGCGTTGCCTGCTGCGATCAAATTTATTATGGCAATCTGTTGAATATCGGGCAATTGTACATTGCCGAAGGTGAGCACCCACTGGGCGTCTTTGATATCACCAGACAGCCATTGCGGGTATTTGCTGATTCACTGTCTCAGGCAGGGGGTGCGTCATGGAAAGACGGGGCTTGGGGGGATCTTGCGATGCGATCAGTGCTCGCTCGGAGCCTACTACCCCGGTAGCAACAAAACCAATTGGCTCTCCCCACTATGATCACCGGCAAAAATATAAACCGTATATTAAATAACGAACTATGGAGTTGGGTCAGTGTGAGCAACATGAAAGCACTACAGCAATTAAGAACTGCTTTTCCTCATTGAACACACCGCAATAGATAGCTGTATATTGTTTAACCACCGAAACCGTAAAGGGTGCGGCCATTGCGCTTGAGGGCATAGACAACATCCAAGGAGGTGACGGTCTTACGCTTAGCATGCTCAGTGTAAGTGACAGCATCACGAATGACCTGCTCGAGGAAGGACTTGAGAACGTTACGGGTCTCCTCGTAGATCAGAGCAGAGATACGCTTGACACCACCACGGCGGGCAAGACGACGAATAGCGGGCTTGGTGATACCCTGAATGTTATCACGCAAAATCTTGCGATGACGCTTGGCGCCACCCTTTCCAAGACCTTTACCACCTTTTCCACGACCAGACATGTTTTATGATTTGTTTTTGGTTAGGAAAATACGATGGGTGGTCCGTCGCGTTTAATATAGCGTATTGTTCATCAGGGGCAAGGGTTGGATCATGATGAAGAGCGACCCAGGTCTGAACATCGCAGCACAGGCGTAGAATTAGGTCCGGTACCGGAGAGGGAATGCTACTGGTTTAGGCAGGTTTGGTTGGCTTGGGCATAGCCAATGGGTATCTAATTGATATCTACGCAGTTGTTGGAGCACCGCCGTGCTAAAAAATGAAAGACTGCTTCGCCATCGTTCTAGTACATGTGTTTACCGCATGGTTTGACAGCTGCCGCTCCTCTGGAGGTTTGATCAGCATCCATCACCGGTCATCATCAGACCGGGCCGTAGATTATGTCACTGCGTATATCACATACTGTGTTCTCCCAAGACCGCGAGAGTATAAATTACTCAAGGTGCCGCCACCATCAGACTACCACACAACTATTCAACATGGCTCGTACTAAGTCTACCATGGCCCGCAAGTCCGCCTCCGGCAAGGCCCCCCGTAAGCAGATTGCTTCCAAGGCTGCCCGCAAGTCTGCTCCCTCTCAGACCCCCGGTGGTGTCAAGAAGCCCCATCGTTACAAGCCCGGTACCGTTGCTCTTCGTGAAATTCGTCGTTACCAGAAGTCCACTGAGTTGCTGATCCGCAAGTTGCCCTTCCAGCGTCTTGTTCGTGAGTTGGCCCAGGACTTCAAGAACGATCTCCGTTTCCAGTCCTCTGCCATTGGTGCCCTTCAGGAGTCCGTCGAGGCCTACCTCGTCTCCTTGTTCGAGGACACTAACTTGTGCGCCCTCCACGCCAAGCGTGTCACTATCCAGGTCAAGGACATCCTTTTGGCTCGCCGTCTCCGTGGTGAGCGTACTTAAGCAGCTTGTTATGCAAAGTATTAATTTAAGTTCTTTTCATATATATTTGCGCCGGATTTTTTTTATTAAGATACCTTTTGTTTAGAATCCAATTTAACGTTGTTTAATATACACTTTTAAACCCCGATTGTTCCCTCAACTAAGCTGTTCGGCATACCTCATTTACGACCTTTTTTTTTCGCGTTTGTCGTTGAGCTTGCCGTTGAGGGGGTCGCCTCCCTTTGTTTTGGTGAGAATTTTTAAGGCGCAATGGCGGCTTCCCATTGGCTTATGTCAATGCGCTTAACATGGGTGGCTTTTTTAAAAATACCTGATGACCTTCAAAACCCAACCTCATTGTTGGCCTGGATCTGGCGGGAGGGGGGGTTTTCTGGAAGGCACATGTCCATTGCTTACGTGATGACATTGTCACGGGAGAACAACGCAGTGTCCTGTAGCTAGCATGCGAAGTGACCATAATTACCACCGGCATCGTGCTATTGCAATAGCAAGCCATCCCGAGAATGACCCCAGCCCGCTAGTACGTAGTTCCCATATATAAAAGTCTTGCCTGCCCTCGCTCTTGGCATCACCTGAGGTTGAGACCCCGCTATATCACATGCAGACATGAACCCCAATTTTCCCATTCATCTTAGTCACATGCATCCTGAAGAGGAGCTTCTGGCTGCGCAGGCTTTGGAACAGCTCCGGTACCCGCGGAAGAGTGTCTCTGTACCCGAGAGCCCTCTGGGTACACGCCAGAATGAAGATATTATCATGTTATCACAAACGGAGAGCAACCAAGCTGTTGCTCGAGCAGACCGTGAGGTCGAGAGATCAGAGGTGGACGATACCCTCCCGAAGAGTGAGTCGAATTCACTCTGGAAAAGCATGATTGCCACTGCTACGGCAATGGTAATTCCGGCCCAGGAAACACAAAAGCGTCTTACTTACTTTTTGCGCATGTTACGGCTAGCAAACGAGCATCTTTCGCAGAAAGTCACTGCTCTACAAGAAGTCGTCGACGCAGAAAACCAAGGTATCGAACCCAAAATTAGCGCGAGTGCCGTCAAGCAAGATATTGTGGCCACTGTGCGTAAATCTATGGACGTTATCATGACTTTTGCTAGTGATTCGCTCCCAGAACGTGCTCGATATGCAGTCCGATTCTGTCTACTGTCTTTGCCCCAACGATGGGCTTGTTCTATGGATGCGGATACCGATGCTAATCACGCCGGTGAGTCGGCAGCATTGAGTTTGGCAACAGAGGCTCTGGCCATGATCCAAACTATCACGGGCATTGTGGATTCAACTCTTACTCGGGCCGATAGCTGGTGCCAGAATCTCGGCAAGCGGCCGCGGTCGGACGCCGACCCAGACGAAGAGACAGACAATGCGAGAATTCGTTCCGCATTGGCCTTACCTCCACTGGTAGCTACTACAAGCACCGACAGCGAAGGTTCGATCCGTCCCCTGTCGCCAAAATTCGCACCCCTCTAAGCTGAAAATGACCGTTTATAAAGTCAACTCTGTTTCATTTTCAATTGATTTGGAACTCGCGGTGCTTTGGCGTAGTATATCGCGCCAACAGAAACAATAATGCCACAGATAAATAACGTGTATGAAAACTGATTGAAAAGATACCCGCTCAGCACCAGGGAAACGAACTTGCGTAGGGTCAGCACGACGCTGGTCGTCAAGGCGCCTGCCGGGGCTAATTGGTTCACGCCAGCAACGCAAACCCACTGCGTTAGGCAATTGGCAAGCAGCAGCTTCAAATTGGTGATTCTAGACCATTGGTCTTGTATCTGCTTTTGAAAAAATACGAAATACGGTAAACTGCACAAGTGCAGCATAAGCATCATTTCCCGACCAGACGTCTGCATTTTCTCAACGTAAAGACTCTGAAAGGCACTCAATAGCGACGCTAGTAAGAGCATAAAGAACCCTAAAGTGGACCCCTCGCTCGGTTTCCTCAGTGTCGCGGCAACCACCGCTGCAGTTATGATGCCGACCGCGGCCATCTGGTGCCCGGAAAATCGCCGACCTGCACAGAGACCTACTAACATAACCACCAGAGAGTTTGACGACCGGAAGATGCTGTGCATTTGCACAGATACATTGAACTTCCAGACTTTGTTGTTCAGAATACTGACGGCAAAATAGAGAAAAGATGGCACTAGCCACTTGCGCACTTCGGGTAACCGGCGGTTCCTGACAGAATAATAAATAATACCTTCAATAGTTATGGCCAGAAACTGAGCAAAAGTCAAAACGTCACCAATATCGCTGTTCTGCTTCAGAAGCTGCTCCAGAAACAGCAAATTACTACAGCAGCCGCCGAAAACCAGCAAAAACGCTCCAGCGAGCATGCTTCTGTAGGAGTTTACTCATCCAACCCCTATGCTTCCGTCGGCCAAGGACTTTGAGTTCAAGAAACTTGTTGGCGATACCAGCGAGTTCGAGGAAGCCCTGGCGACCTGTCAGGATAAGTTCAATTCAGTTCTACAGAAGGAATACGAAAAGGCCGCCGAGGAACAGACGCGATTGGCTGACCGCATGAAGGCCACAGACAAACAGGCGGCCGAAGCTGTCAATAAAATGAACGCTTTGAACAAAGCACCCTTTTTGAAATTGGTTCAGTCCATAGACGAGCTATCGAAACAGCTCAGCTCTGTCCAGTCGACAATCTCGTCTATTGTTGACGATCTGTATGCCATCGACACCAAGCTTCCTCTGCCCGAGCAGTTTCTCGCTCCGTCGCTGCCGCACAAAGCCCAGTTCCCTGAATTGACGCACCTCATGTACGAAAAACAACTCCTCCAACCTGTCGCCGTGGAAAACGTGGTGGCAGAAGTGGATATCGACTGTCACATCGCCCAAGCTGACATTTCCAAAGCCGGCGTGGATGTTCGAGCACAATTGAGATCGTATCAGTCATAATATTTATTCTATCAAGATTTTATCTACAATGCCTTCGTAAACTTTTGCCAGGTCGCTTGTTTTGTACCCCTCCAGAATGTTTTGTTTTTCGATCAGTTCGATAAACCGAGGATCGAGGGGAACCTTTCCCAAAAACGGCACATCGAACTGCCGAGCCAATGCCTCCCCACCGCCTTTGGAGAAAATATTCGTGCACTCCGAGCAGTGGGGGCAAACGTAGCCACTCATATTCTCCACTACTCCGAGGACTTTGAAGTTGACTTTCCGGCAAAAGTTCAGCTCTTTACGCACATCAGCTGCTGCAACTTCCTGTGGGGTGGTCACCAAGATTGCTCCGTCAGTTTTGATATCCTTCAGTACCTCTGCAATCGTGATATGCTCATCTGATGTTCCTGGCGGCGTATCGATGATCAAATAGTCCAGATCCTGCCAAACGACGTCATTCATGAATTGGCGGATCATGGCCGTCTTTTTCGGCCCCCGCCACACCACGCTGTTTCCGCGATCTGACAATAGAAATCCAAGACTCATAAGGCCCAGCTTTTGCGTACTGTCTGTGTAAACGGGGACCCAGCCGGCACTAGATTGATGAACTTTCTTGTCTTCAACACCAAACATGCGCGGCAAGGACGGCCCCGTAAGGTCAATGTCCAAAACTCCCACTTTATATCCTTTTTCTACAAGTGTGAGTGCTAGTTGCGTAGTTGTAGACGACTTTCCCACGCCCCCTTTGCCCGAAAGCACCAGCCAAATGTGCTTCACTTGGTCCATGATGTACGTTGGTAAGCGTGCATAGGGTCTATGTCAGAATTAGATAAAGGCCTTTCGGACGATACGACGAGGCCCTGTTTGGATTATGATTTGGCCTTCTTGGGCGAGTGCTCTCAGAGCACCAACAATCTCGTTTGTGTCGACGCGATCCGTGCTCAGATCAACGACCTTGCGGATAAGCTCGTCATAATGTATTCCTTCTGCATTTTCCAGTAGACGCATAATCTCAGTTTTGAATGCCTGCTGCATCTCTCTTTGAGCACTAGACCGTCCGGTTTGCACCAAGTCCATGTCAATTGTTCCGGTATTGGGGTCGGTAGCCGATTGTTTAATAGCACTCTTGATGAGTCGCACTGCCTCGGCCACATCGTCAGCACTAACCGTTTCAGAGAGCCGCATCTTTGCATGGGCCTCTGACAGGCGGATCATGCTCTCCAGTTGACGCGTGGTGGCTGTAATACGCTTATCGGCCGTACTGGCATCACTACCGAGCTTGCGCATCTGGACGTAGCTTTTCACAAGCAATTCCTTGGCCTCGGGGGTGATTTGCGGTTGAACATTCTGCTTCGCATAAGAAATGTACATGGTCAAGAATTCGACGGGGAGAATCTCTTCTCTTGATGCGTTTTCTGGTCGGTCTTCCAAGTACATATCTGTGAGGTGTTGGGCCAGCCGGCGATCGGCCTGGACATCAACTTTGTCGATCATTAAATAAACCAGGTCAAACCGCGAAAGCAACGTTGGCGGCAGATCGATATTTTGTGGAACGGGCAAGTTGACGTCGTATTTGGAATTGATGGGATTGGCCGAAGCAAGAATCGACGTGCGAGCATTGAGGGTTGTGATAATACCTGCCTTGGCAATACTCACTGTCTGTTGTTCCATGACCTCATGGAGAACGGATCGTGTCGAGTCTGACATTTTATCGAACTCATCGATACAGCATACACCGCCATCAGACAAAACCAAAGCACCTGACTCTAGCACTATCTGCTTCGTATCAGTATCTCTTGTAACATAGGCAGTAAGACCCACTGCTGAAGAGCCTTTACCAGATGTATAAATTCCTCGAGGTGCGATCTTGTGAACATACTGCAACATCTGAGATTTTGACGTAGAAGGGTCACCACATAGTAAAACATTAATGTCACCTCGATAACGGGGCGACCCGCCTTTCTCAAACGTTTTGTTGGTTCCACCAAACAGTTGTAAAAGAATGCCCTTTTTGACGTCATCTTGCTCAAAAATCGATGGCGCCAAAGAGCGAGAAAGCAAGTCATAAACATCAGTTCGCTTTGATGTTTCCTGGATTTTAGCAATATCCTCCTCGGTCAAGATTCGGAGCTCTTGGAGATCCGCTTGCTGCCTAACTTGTTCTGTTCCAATTTGATGCTCGAGAGACGTAGAAACATCGGCACCAAGACGTCTCGTGTCAATTTTTTGTACGTGTACAACATCGACATAGGTCTTGAACAAGTTCTTCATCGCCCTTTGCAAAGGATTCACGCGAACCGGCACCGACCGGTAAACGCCCGTGACCTGGACGCGATCACCCGCTTTGCAGTAATCTACCAACTCATCGTAAACACAAATGGACACACTGTGCGGAGTCTGACCATCAGGAATAACGTCAGGAGTTTCCTGGAGCCTTATCACTTGCTTGTCGTTGAAACGGCATCTGTTATGAACCAGCTGCATCGAGTTGATCTGACCACATACAGCTCGTGGACAACGAGTCGGCTCTGTTATAGTACCACGGTCAATTTCAACTACAACTGTGTGGTTGCAAACCGCACAGCGGAAAAAGGCCTCTTGCATATCAGGGATCACTGGTGTTGCCCGCAAAACCAAGCCCTTGATAGTAACAAGCTTGTCAATATCACTAGGATTGAGCTCTCGAAGACCTTTACGAGCGTCTAAGCCAAAGGGACGAACTTTGTATGTCTTCATTTCAATATCGTCAAGCTCTTGGGGGTTGCCGCTAGCATCTCCACTCGCGATAGCGACCATGCAGTCTTTCACGGTTTGATCCATGATAGGAATCACTTCATGGGGGTAATTAATGAGCTGGTAGTATAATTTCTGCGTTTTCGGGTACGCCAGTAAGTTCCGTGCGTTAAAATTTAGATTTGTCGTGCCCAAGTGCCGCATATCATTCAGCATATCAACATAGACAAGGTCCTCGCCCTCGCCAATATCAACAGTGTCTCCATCAAAAATACTGGCATATTTGGACTTGAAGTTGTTCAAAAAGTATCTGAACGTGTCCATACTCTCCTGAATAGATACGTTTGTGCCCCAAATAACTCTGACTGGTGCGGAACCCAGCTCAGAGCCTCCAGCAGCAGACATTGTCAAAATATTGCGGTCTGCGTCTGAATACCGTGTATCTGACCAGATATCACCCCGCCGGCTTGACATATTATGGCGTCTGTGGCTATTCAGGTCCATGTTGATTTGAGACGAAAGCGCCATAGGGCTAGAAGCAGACAATGCCGCTGGCGACGACGAGTAGTGCAACGGAGAGGAGTTCGGCATACCTGCAGCAGATCCAGGCGCAGCAGGACTACTGTCAGGCCTGCGAGGTGAGGAAACCCCGGGTGGAGACGAGCCAGGAGCTCCAGGGGTCGACATATCGTCAGTATCGAGAACAGCGGGACTAGAAGGCAGGTGGTTCAAAGGAGGCGAGGAATCAACAAACAGCCCCTGATTGGGAGACGACGGCAGCCCATCATTTCCTGGAGGCGACGACATCTCTGTTGTAAAGTTACGTGTAAATAGAGAGTGGTGAAGGGTAAAAAGTCAATTACACTTCCCTATTGGGAGACCCTAACCCGCGTTCGATCGCGTCAGGGAGCCGCCGGGTCAAAGAGAGAGGTTCATAGTTATATATGCAATTAAAAACAGAAAAAATAAATAAGGCGTGGGTGTTATTCGGGCGTGAGCTCGGGTGTCAAGCGCGGGATCTCGTACATATTGCAAAGATCTTTGTTTACAACCCATTTCTTGTCCGACTCTTTACCTCCTAGCCTTTTAGCTGACGCCCGAACAGTTGCCAGGATGGCGGTCTTGGGAACTTGTGGGAACTCCTGTTTGAGCAGTTCGACAAGTAGCGTTTGGTTCATCTTACGGCCGTGCACGCTGTGCAGCAATGCCTTTGTGGCTTCAGGACTAAGAGCTTCTGAGCCAGCATCCGTAGATTTTTCCGGCTTGTCCTTAGGCACTGTCCAGTAGTCTTTCAGAGGGTTGAGCGGAAGATCCAAAAGAAACTCCACCGTGAAGCTACTCAAGCAATTGGTTTCACCGTTGTTCCAAACAACCAGTGGAGTGAGGGGACCAGTGATTTGCATCCGTTTCGTCTCATCGTCAGAAGTGACGAACTCGTCCATGTCGTCATCATCTTCGTCTTCTTCACTTCCGTCGTCGTCGCCCAAATCCTCTCCATCATCTTCTTCTTGAAACCATTCATAGTCTGAGTCGTAATCGTAGTTCAACTCCAGGAGCCGTTGTGACGGATTGGTATATAGCTGTTCAATGGAATCCTTGTCCACTTCAGCAATCGTTCCCACGTACGGTGGTCGAAGATTTTCGGCGAATTGGATGTGTCTAATGTCCAGTTTTGCCAGTAACGACGGCATCTCGGTTTCGGTAACCATACAGAGATGGGCCTCGACTTGGTTTGCAGATAAATAGTCGAATTTTGGGGGGGCAAATGTCTCGGTTTTCAGCCAGGCCAAGGTGTCCGCCGACGACACTGGATCAAAAGTGGGCGCTGTGTAAATTTTGGAGTTGGCCTTTTGATGGTAGGGCAAAAAGTACTTTTCGTAGTCGCACTCGGGCTCGGGCTCAGCCTCGACCTTTGCCAGCGGCTTTGCCTTGAAGAACGTGTTGATTTTGAGCTGGCCCTCTGCTTCTTTGCGTTTCTCGGCCTCTTTCCGAGCTCTTTCTTGCTCTTTTTCTGCCTCCTTGCGAGCTCGCTCCGCCTCCTTCTCGGCCTCTTTACGGGCCTTTTCAGCCTCTCGCTCCGCCTCTTTGCGCGCCTTCTCGGCCTCTCGCTCCGCTTCCTTGCGGGCTTTTTCCTCGTCACGTTCTTTTTTCTTGGCCTCGCGTTCTGCCTCGCGTCGCTGCCGTTCCTCCAAGCGTTCTTGTTCCTTTCGAGCCTTCTCAGCTAGCCGCTTTTCTTCGCGTTCCTGCTTGGCACGGTTTCGTTCCGCTTCCTTGCGGGCCTTTTCTTCAAGCCTCAGTCGTTCCCTTTCAGCTCGATCTTCCTCCACATCGACTTTAGCCTGTTTGGCAACGGGCTCAGCCAAGGATTCTCCCTCCCGCTTCAACATGTTGGGCGCGTCGTGTGATTACTCAAAGTTCGTCGATCTCGACGCGTTTTTAATTTAGATGCATTACAAATTGTCGAGTAAAATAAGGCAGATAGATGAATGTACGTAAGGTTAGAGAAGAGTGAAATTTGCAGCTGCATTACAATCGGAGCAGTATTGCTTGATATGGTTGAATGCATCAACATTCAGATCGGGGATGATCGATCTCGCTTTAGCACAAAGTGCGACCTCGGTCTCCAGCCAGTTGGCAAACTCCAGACGGATGATTTCGAACTCCTCGTCTCTAAGCAGGCGTAGTTCCGTCAAAAGCTTGTTGCGCTCTATAGCAAGCCCTGTACGCAGGGCCTGAATATGCTCAATGGCTTGGTGCGACTTGTAATCAACAGTGGGCCGCAGCGTCAGCTGGTCCTCGTTTTCATAAATTGTCGTGCCCAAGAGTTCTTGGAACTTGTCGGCACAGAGATTGTCCGGTAAGATATCTTTGGTTACAACCCGAGCAGAGATGGCGTCGTCAACATCGCGCAGGTAAATGGCTCTCTTGAAAACAGATCCCGCTGTTGGACTAGCAGGAACGATTTTGTCGACGTACGCATTGGCTTCTCGAACCTCCCACTTGGCGTGCCAGTAGTTATAACTTGACGATCCAAACAAAACAACGTTCAGCACTAAAGATAACAAAAGAACAAGCAGAATGACACGATCAACGCTCGCCACTTTACCGAAATAGCTACCGACCTCGTTGCCAATAACAACAGAAAAGTTAATGAGCCAATTCAGGGGCAGCTTCACGGCATACCAGAAATAAGTACGGCGGCCGAGGTGAACATTGATTGTGTTTTCATGCTGTGGACGCTCGATCGCCTGCGTGGCCTTGATTCGACCGAACTTTTTGATAATAGAATACTCATCGACATGCCCTTCCATGCTCTCAATGGCTTCTTCGATATTATGGCATGTGAGCTCCATTTCCTCGCGAAGCAACTTGAGCATGACTCGTTCAAGTGTCTTGGCTGTTGTGGCTTGTCCTTTCTTCCAGTGAATATCCGCGTACATTTGCAAACGCGAATGTCCATTCGACAGCCGGACGATGGCATATCGTACAGTGATGTGGAACTTTGCACCGCGAGGTAACTTCAAGACAGGTCGGCGCTCCGAGATAATGTAGAGGTGGCCACTGTCTTTCCGTTCGATCCGCTGGACAAAATCTTGCACCATGGAATCCCAGTACATTTTGAAGGCAATCTCTTTGATACCGGAAATCCATGCATGGACAACACGTTCTAAAACGCCATTATGGTCGTACCACTGCCCTGACTCCAACTTTTGGAACAAGCGGTGATCCATGTCTTCCCGGTTAAACACAGTTTCATGATCACCAAACATCGTGTGAAAGAGCGCTCGGGGCGACAGTGCGAAGTTGTGCTCTAAAACAGTGTGCTTCATGGTATTTCCCAAGTTGTGTGCAGAGGCTAGTTCGACTGCGTCTTTCTCACCCATTGAAGTGGCCCCGGTTGCGTTGGGGCTCTTCAATGCTCGATCAATATCACTCCATAATGTTCCCAAAACTTGTTCCTCGGCGGTTGTTGGCACGAGTCTTTGCTTGACATCATGGGCATACTCGGTATTAATTCGACCAAGTTGTTTGATTATTTCTTCAAGGTTGTCAGGTTTGAGAGACTTGAAGTTATCCAACAAATACTGCAAGCGACGCTGCATCAATGGCCCAGAGTCAATGAACATACGCATGATGAAAGTAGAATAAGGAGGTAAATCGCTCGACTCGTCGTTCTCTTTCTCTGTGTTACGCACAATTATCTGTAGATCATCAAAATCAACTGACGACTTACACTCGACATCCAAAATAGACATGTAGCGAACGCTTCGTAAGGATGCATAGTCGAAAATGGACACCTGGAAAAGTATACGACGGTTTGTAGCGTACATTCTGGAAGGAACCCACTGATTTTCCTTCAGTCGAACAAAGCCTCGCATCACAGTCACAACATACTCGTTTGGTAGATTCAAATTCTCAAACATCGCCCGCCGAATCATGTCTTGAGCCACAAGCTCCCTAGGATAGTACCTGGGATATTGAGGGGCCTTTGGAACATATTCCGCTGCGAACTGCTGGCTAGCCCGGTAAGTTCTCCAATTGACAGATCCCCAGAAATTCGCCGTGAGGGCATTAGGGAAGCCGACTGGTTGCAAAAAGGAATAACCAACAACCGCCCACGATGTCATGGATGTAGGCATAGGGACAGTGGGGATTATAGGTGGTGCAAGCATATTTTGAGATGAAGGAGCCAGGGTGCTGAGACCATCAATATATTGGGTCGAACCAACTACTTTGAGCAAAAAGCTGAAAGTGTTACTTAGGTCATGATCAAGGAAAACTTTTGTCGGGTCAGGGGCTCTTGCCTCGGTCTCAAGAGACTCGGTCTCAGATTTCGAAGAGAACGAATTCAGTCTCGAAAGTCCGGTTGAACGCCGCACAAACCGCTTGAAGTTCTCACCACTGTGGTGGTGATGGCGCGACGAAGTTGAATGTGAAGGCGACAGGCTTCCATTATCCGAAGACTCTGTGAGCTGAATAGAAACGAACTCAGGGGCCCACGCTGAAAGGCGAGAAGGTAGCTTAGCATGCATTTTCGCGGCAGCAGCGGCTACTGTTAGCCAATCCTCAAGCTCGGCTCTCGTCTCAGCCTGTACAACAATCCTGAAGGTCTCTTTGGTCACTGTGAAACATCCCCGACGGCTATATTCTGGAGCACTTGCAAACACACAGCTGGCAACTGGCACTTTATCAGATTCAAGAACATAAAATCCATCAGCAGATAAAGCAAGCCATCCGAAAAGACCATTTTTTATGAAAGCCCACCGACGTACCCAAAGGTTGCGGTGGCTGGGGTGTTTGATGAAAACCCAACCAAATTGTTCAACGGGTGTGTCACCAGTAACCTTTGGTGTAAAATCAGCTGGAAGAGTACATGTCTCAAGGGTAAATGCCGTAATATCCTCCGTGGTATCACTCTCGCCGGCACGCTGCTCCAGCCTTCGACTTGCTATCTCCAGGCCCTCCATAACATGGTTCTTACCACGAGTCATGGTCAAAGCACACTGCCTGAGACGATGGAGATCTACTGCATTTTCCATGTTTGCGACTGAGGATTTGCGATAGATTTGCATTGGGTCAGAAAATGCCAACATGAAGGAGCCAGTAGCCTCGAGACGAAGCCGCGACATGACGTTGGTGAGCTTGATGGAAGCAAGAAGATACTCGCGGCGAAGTTCTGCGACATGTTTCTGGGCCTTTTGAAGCTCTAATGGGGGGTCGTTTTTATCCATTGCCATAAAACTAGCGTGAGCCTGATCATAAGCAGCTTGGGCCGCGGTGAACTTTTCAAACTGGACCTTGTAGGGCTTGTAAGCCTCTGAAATTCTGCGAAGATGTTCCTTCAGCTGTTCCTGATGGGTGTGAAGACGGCCAATAATTTCAGTCCAAACGGCTTTGATGCTCTGAGAGTATCGCACAAAAGCCAAAGTCGTGTAATCTTGGCCCAGCAAGCCCTGGAAAGCAAAATTGGGCACAAACATAACGATAATATTATTTGCGAGTTCACGCATAGTATCCATAGAAGCATTAAGCTCACTAGTACGCTTTTGTAATTTGGTACACCATTCAAGCATGTCATTGATCTCGTGATTCAAATGATTGAAACTAGCGCGGAAGGTGGGCGAATCCAAAGCGGCTTCTTTGAGTGTAACAGCAACTAGCGAGAACTTGTTTGCTGAAGAATCGCCTTTCAGCAGCTCTTCTTGCTCTAGTTCCAATGGATCAATAGCATGACGATCAGACAATGAAGAGACCTCGGAGATATTCGACTCGGAAACATCCGGAATTTGGCCTGATACATGAACTGGCTGCACAGGATTATTTACAGCTTCGGTGGATGGTACCCGGCCATCCTCCGTTACATCGTCCATTTGCACGTCCGGATGGCCGATAGGGCCGACCAAATTGATTCTTTGCTTGCGCTCAGAAATTGGTTGCTCTGGCGAGCTCGAGACTGTATGAGCCGGTTGAGCTTTTTGGTGGCTTGAATCATCCGGAGAGTTCTCAATGCCAGTATCATTCGCCGGTTCAGCGAGCGCTTGACGAGAGTGACCCATACTGTGCAGTATATTGAGACTCCTGCTAGATTGCTTTTTGGCAAGTTTGGATATATCGACCGACGAGGACATAAGACTTGACTCGCCGTCTTCTGCAATGGATGTAGCTCTCGAGCTTTCATTTTCTGAAAAAACTCTGCTGCTTTTCGATCCACGTCGCAACCCAATCTTCTGCCTAAAGGTCATAACGATGGTGCTGACAGTTAGATGGCAGCCCGCCGCAAGCAACATATCTGTTGGGCACTGCCGCAGCCGATGATTGTCGTACCTGCCAAAATTGATTTTAATATACGTTTAGCTGTTCTTATTTGAATAACCACCGTTATTTCGACTAGCATTAGTGGGTAGATCTGTGCGGACGCTGTTGAGGACTTTATTCTCGGCTATTTATATACGTAGCAAAGGCAACGGTGGTGAAAGAGTAGATCCTCGACGCCAATGATACTTGACTTTGTCCCAGATTTATGGTGGTCACAATACACCTCTTTTTCCTGCTACCCCTTGGAAATGAGCACAGCGATTGCTATACCTCGAGGTTAGGGTACGTGCGTCCGCTTGAAGATTACGATTATCGCTACTAACTGAAAGGATGTGAATTACTCCAAACAGGGATGATTGCCAATCCTCGAGGCGATCAAGGGAGATGTTTCAGCAGCCAGCGCTTTGAAGGGGTTGCTCGATCATGTTTATAGGGTTTATAAAACTAAAAAAAAAGATTTGGACTTGGTCGTTATTGCACCCAAATACCTTAGGTTCCTCAAATATCATGGGCCTCGAGAAACTGGTATGGGCGAAAACGTAGCTCGCAGGCGTATGCAGCTTACCCCAGGGAGGTTGAAAAGTCATCTCCGTTCCAACGCAGCCGTGGCAAGGAATGTAGAGTAGACCTTCACTGATGTGGAGCCTGGAAAGTCGCAGAGGTTCCATATCACACCCGCAGCATTCCCCACTCATTCAAACACTTTTTTCCCCGGTTTGTTCTGATTGAACGCGAAAATGCTCCTGGCATTCTTCTAGCTGAAGGAGACCCTGCTGGAACCAACAGCAGTGGGCAAGGGGCTGCGCTGCTGAACGCGACCCGACGCAGCCCGAAGAGACCTTACCCCCTTTTGAAAACGGTACAGAGAGCGATTAGCAGGAGGAGCCAGCAGCACAGGCGCGATGTGCCTGACACGAAAAGATGGGATACGCTTTTTACTTTAGAAAAACTCCATTATTTCCGGAACCGGCTCTGTGGGCAGACTTCTCCATGTTTGAGGTCGTTGGAATTTTGCCTACCCCTGATGCATGCGTGTGCTGCGATGACATAGCTTGCACAGAGACCCTTGCAGGATATAAAAACACAGGCAGTACTCGCAGTGCACTTGCCATATTATATCTGTGCAGCCTGAGACTGTTTCAGTGCACCATCAACCCTTTACTTGTATGACTAGCGTTGCTTCACCATCTGGCTACATGACTCCTCGTACTCCCCCAGCAGAGTGGTCAGAAAACGAAGAAGAAGTCGACGCCAAAACCGAGACCCCCAAGGTGCAACTCAAGTTTCTGGGCTCCCCGGCCCCTGTTTCGAGAAGCCTGCCCACTCTCCCCCCTACCCCGCCGTTCTATGCAATTCGACCTAAAATTCAGGCACGGTTTGTGGCCAAGTCGCATGCTGATAAGCTCAAAGCGCGCCTCCAACTCGCATACTTTCGAGTGAGAACAGACCAAATCAATGTTCCCTTGAATGAAATTACTATTTAAGCCAAAAGTGGCGTCTTATCTTATATATATATTTTCTCCGCTGTACATAATTGTACTATAGTTTACTTATTCACAAACACGATACACTAAATCGAGCACCTGCTGCCGGTGATTCGAATCAACAAACAACGCAGTGACAAGATTCTCGAGCTCTGAAGCACTAAAGTCACTGAGTTGGCCCGAAGCAGCCAGGTCCGCGATATCGTCGAGCCGTCCGCTGACAATGGAGCCCAAACGTTGCAGCTTGACCCACGACGGGACAGACACTGCAACGTTGTCGAAAAACGCAGCACACCCTCTGAATCCATTAAGCGTGGTTGAAATATTAATAGACTCCGTTTCCGAGATATCCTCGATGGCCTCGACTGAGCGGATCAGGTACGTCACCACCTGCTCAACCGCTTGCGAGATGACATGTTCACGGATCTGTGGGCCCGCACTGCTTGAGGTTTGAGCAATACGTTCCAGCTGGTCCATAATGGATTTGACAGCAGTCGGGCTGTAAGTTGCGTCAACCTTTATAGCATACAGCTCCCGATCAAGCGAAGCAGCATTGTCGGCAAGAATATCCGCCAACAGCTGATTGGCAAACGTTTCGGTGAGTTCTAGCGATTTGGGACGCGCCGGCGCGTTAGACACTTCGGCTAGAATGTACATGGTTTCCACATATAGCGTCATGGGGTGCTTTCGATAGAATAGAGGCGCCAGCGCCCGGAACAATGCAAGTAAGAAGTCTACTTCTAAGTCTGTCTCCCACAAAAATGCTTGGAAAACATCCAAAGCTTTTTCTTTGGACGCAGGCTCCTCTTCCAAGTTGTCTGCGTCATCGCCATCATCGCCATCCCAGTCTTCGCCATCCCAGTCCCAGCTATCTACCTTGTATTCTCCAGCCAGAGATTTGCGTAGTCTGGCGAGATAATGGTTGTGTCGGCTCATGTTCCACTGCTCGTCGAAAGAATTAGCAAAGGAGCTCAATTCGTGGCCTTTCACCCACCCTTCTGTTAACATAACATCTTCAAGACCACGCACACCTTCAATATCTTTTCTGAATGCTTGAAGATTTTCGGATTCCTCGGGGAACAAGCTGGGGAAACTCTTGTGGACAAGATTCTCCACCAAATTATGACCGTACCGACGGGCAATCCGTGCTTGAAGCTCGGGCACATCTGCGAGCACTCCTCCAATTGCTAAAACAAATGTTTGCACAACATCAATCAGCGTCACGACATCCATATAACCACTATTCTGACTGAGCTCAACTGAGGTTTCGTCTTCGAAGATCTCACGAACTTGCAAGTCGACTATCGCTTCAAACAGTGGGGAGAGCGTAATTAGGAAATCCTCGATCAACGAGGGCATAAAATCTCTCACAGTTTCATAAGTCTCCAGTGCTACCGCAAGCTTAAGTTCAATCGCATGCTCTTTCTGTCTCACAAACACAGCATTTAGCCACTTCTCATGTAGTTGTTCCCGCAATCGCTTGCCAATAGTCGCGCTTCTTCGTTCCAAATCTGCGATCAGCAAGGCAGAGGGGTGTTCTGTAGCGAATCTCTGAATCCGGGACTTTAGGTCTTCCAGCTGTGAAAATGCAACGCTCAGCTCGCCAAGCGACTCGAGCGATTCTAGCTCCTGGACAGCAGACTTGATGACCCAGAGCTCACTCACAATGGCAAGGTTGGTTTGGATGGCCTCCTGTTCGCCAGTGTCTTCGACAATTTCAGCAGTTTGAATGCATTGTATTAGATCTGTGACTGCGCTATCAATCTCAGACTCTACCTCCTCCAACTGTCGCTGCACAGTTTCCAGAGTCACGCTGGCCATGGTGATCACGTAAACACAGGGGATCACTTGGAGATCTTGAAAAAGCTAGACAGGGTTGATTGATTTGATTGGTTTGCCGGCCTTCCGGGTTCGTGTCTCGGTTTTTTTGTAGCCGGCAGCTTTCGAAAAGGCAATTGCGATTGAGTGGATTTGGCGGCAGTTTCCGGCTTCGTCTCAGGTATCGGAAGATCAATAGCCGATATGAACCCAACCATCTGATCATCAACAGTGGGCCTTTTGAAGACAATTTTACGTTTTAAGATTGAACTCAGCGCTTTCATATCTGGGGCGCATTGATCAATACTTTTCACGGCCTTGAAATTGTCTGGCAGACCAGGGTGTGGGGTATTGTACAATACCACCAAGTGCGCACAAGCTCTTGTCATGGCGACATAGAGCAGCCTAGTTTCTTCATCATGCTGGTTGTTATCCATAAAATTGAAAAAGTCGTTGTTCAGTGTGACATAGACTACTGGCCATTCCAACCCTTTTGCTGAGTGAATGGTAGACAAAGTAACGCTCCCTCTGTCTGTGGATTGACTCGTGTCCAATGCCCAATTTTCCATGCACTCCTCCAATTCGTTGGCTGGGATTCCACGGCAACTCTCAATGAATGCAGAAACATAGTTCTCGTCGTCCCTTACTTCCGCTTGTACAACTTCCATAACAAGGGACACAATATCATATAGGTCACCGTTCTGCTCTCGCATCTCCCGAAGATTGCAAATGAGGTTCAGGTACTCATGCACGCCTTTGTGTGGGGATTTTTCAAGCATTGCCAAGTAGAGATTTCGGTGATTTCCTTTCAAGACTTCGAGAGTTTTAGGGCCAATTCCGCGCGCAGGAACATTAATTGTACGAGACAAAGCCATATCATCTTCTCCTGAGACAACTACACGTAAGTAGTCCAAAATAAGTTGGATGCTTTTGCGCTTTGAGAGGCTTTTACCCCCAAACACTTTGTAGGGTATCTTCTGGCGCAGGAGAATAGCTTCCAGTACCGCAAAGTGGCGTCTTTGTCGGGCCAGCACAGCGACTTCACCATACTCTATTCCAGAGTTCACCAAACGCTCGATTTGGTTCGCCAACGCGTGGAATTGAGCCGTTAGTTGGAACTCTGCCGATTGCACCATGTAAGGAGTACTTGAACATTTTGCCACTGCTTTCAGCTCGCGAGACTGAGAAAACAACCTTGTGTGGCTTTTATTGATTGTGCTTTCTGCAAAACTAAGAATCCCGTTTGTGGACCTGTAGTTTCTTGACAGAAAATAGATATGCGTTTCGGGGTGATGCTCGGTCAACGTTGAAAAGTTTTTGGGATTGGCCGTTCTGAACCCATATATGCTCTGATCAGGATCACCCACAACTGTAAGACAGCCCGATTCTTCGGCGAGCGCTTCGGCTAGATCAAGTTGGAGAGCATTAGTATCCTGGAACTCGTCTACTAAAACACCTTGAATAGTTTTGGCAAACTGTTGAATGCGCTTGCCCTCCTCGGTGCTAGGATCCCAAAGATAGTCTCGAAGCTTTATCAAAATATCATCGAAATCGTACATGCCCCTGCGCTCCAATTCAGCATTGTATCGGCAGTAAAAGGGGAAAAGACGATCAGAGTCATTGGGTCCTATTCCTTGACCCTTGAGCTTTGAGATACATCTTTGCAGTATATCAATATCTTTGCTTTGAGTTCTTTGAAAACTGATCTTTTCTCCGGAAGATTTTGTGTACAAAAAATCAAGATCCGCACCTTGGACAATGTCGCTCAAAATACTGCGCTGGTCGCTTTCAACAGCAATGCGGAAATTCACCCTGCCAATTTGCTTTAATATTCTGATTGCGACCTTGTGAAAAGTACTCAGAAAAGGCATTTGGCTTTTGTCAATTGAAAGACGTTGGGTCATTTCATTTGCAGCCTGGTTCGTGAAGGTCATTACAACCAAAGACTTGGGGTCAAGGCCGCTATCGATCAAATACTTTAATCTGTGAATCAAAGTAAAGGTTTTGCCTGTACCAGGGCCGGCAATGATTTGGACGTACCCTTTAGGCGCCGAGACGGCTAATTTCTGTTCGGCATTCATGATTTGTAGTCATACGTAAAAGCAGATCGTTATAAACAACCAAAGATACCGAAGTAAAACACTTTTGCAAGGCAAAAAAACAAATGATTTGCTGAATTGATCTAGCTTGTTAGGGACTTTTTGGGTTTTACATTGAGTCTTGGCAGTTGCAGGTTCTCCCCGCCCCCTGATATTTATGATATTCGCGTCTATATATTGTATTATTTTGTTGAACATTAAAGAACCTCCAATCAAGCCAGCTACCGTGTGTAGGGCGTGCGTAGTTTCAGACATGCAGGTTAATGAAAACACGTTGACGCGTCTTAATAACCGTGCTTCATGTCAAAAGACGACGCGGGGTTATTGAGTTTCGCAGCGAAACTGGCGCCAGAGCCAAACACAATTCGAGTATTTGAACGTGCAGACGACTATGTTACTGTAGGAGACGAGGCCGCTCAAGTGGCGCAAATTGTGTACAAAACTTCATCGGCACTTAAGCGATCAACTCCTGATGGCCCGGCTATATGCACCATGAACGGGTCACTGCTAGCCAATTTCCTGAAAGAAGCTCTTCAGAATCTCGGTCTGCGTGTAATATTTTATTCTTCTGCTTCTGGGTCACGTACCAATTGGCAAATCAGTAAGGAGGCGTCTCCCGGCAATTTGCAGGAAGTTGAGGATCTGATTGGAACAAGCTACGACCAGAATCCAGTGATCATCGCCGTCAAAGTTCAGAATGGTCCGAACCAAACTCGCGTTATTGGATTCAGTTTTATCGACACCAGCAGCCGAGAATTGGGGCTCTCTCAGTTTGTCGATAACGATTTATTCAGCAACTTTGAGTCTCTGGCTATTCAGTTAGGCGTTAAAGAAGCTTTGATTGTGGATGATGCTAGTCAGGATACGCAAAAAGTGACTGCACTGCTTTCCAGGCTCAATATTCTTGCAAGCACGCGCAAGTCTTCGCAGTTCTCATCAAAAGATGTTGCTCAAGATCTGGAAAGGTTGACCGGAAAGACTGGGCTGGAACTTGCAAAAGAACTGTCTTTAGAAGCGGCAGTAGGTTCCGCAGGTGCTCTCATCAAATATCTCAGTTTGATGGCCCATACCGGTGATTATGGGCAGTACAAACTGACCACTCACGATCTTTCACAATACATGAGACTAGATGCTTCTGCCATCAAAGCTCTGAATATCATGCCAGGTCCACGCGATGGCTCAAAAACAATGTCTCTATTTGGTTTACTGAATCGCTGCAAAACCACCTCAGGCGTTCGGACTCTCGCCCAATGGCTAAAACAGCCGCTGATGGATCACCAAGAAATCACTGCCCGTCACGACTTGGTACAGGGCTTTATTGAAAATTCAATTACCCGTCAGACTCTTAGAGATGATTTGTTTCTGGTTGTCCCTGATTTGGGCAAGATCTCTCGGAAGTTTTATCGCAATATTGCCAAACTAGAAGATGTGGTGCGCGTGTACCAGTTGGCTATCAGGCTAAACGACTTTATTGACTGCTTGTCTGATATGTCTGACGTTCCTGGGATTGAGCATTATTACGTTGGGCCTCTAAAGACTGCCAACGAGCAGTTCGCCAAGTTCGCTGAATTGGTCGAGACGACCGTCGACCTGCAGGCCCTTGAACGCAATGAATATGCTGTCAATCCTGCATTCGACGATCGTCTGCAAACAATCAAGGGCCGCAAAGAACAACTAATTAACGAAATTAAAAGAGAGCAGTCAGATATCGGCCGCCAGCTCGGAATGGAACCGGATAAAAAGCTCAAACTTGAAGAGCACCATGTATATGGATGGTGCTTGAGGTTGACGAGAACCGATGCTTCTTGCTTGAGAAAGCATTCTGGATTCACCGAACTGGCTACACTGAAAGCTGGCACATACTTTTTGAATCGAAAGCTTCGCGAGTTGAACAACGAGTACAGTGATCTCAGCACTGAATATCGCAAAACACAAAGCACATTGGTTAAAGAGGTGGTCGAGATTGCAGGTACCTATACTCCCATTCTTGGACCCTTGGGTATTTGTTTAGCGCACCTCGATGTCATAGTGTCGTTTGCTGAAGCCAGCCAATTCGCACCACTGCCCTACGTTCGCCCCACAATGCATCCCAGACACGAGGGAAATATCACACTTAAGCAGGCGCGGCACCCTTGTATGGAAGCTCAATCTGATATGCGGTTTATTCCGAATGACGTCGAGCTGAAGCGAGGGTCAAGCGAGTTCCTTATTATTACCGGCCCTAATATGGGTGGCAAGTCAACATATATTCGACAGATTGGCGTCATATGCCTGATGGCCCAGATCGGCTGCTTTGTGCCCTGTTCTGAAGCAGAGCTATGCATTGTCGACTGTGTTCTGGCCAGGGTGGGAGCTGGTGATTCTCAGCTCAAGGGCATTTCAACTTTTATGGCCGAAATGCTTGAGACTGCCTCTATTCTCAAAACAGCGACAAAAGAGAGCTTGATTGTCATTGATGAGCTTGGGCGAGGAACATCTACTTACGATGGCTTTGGTCTGGCTTGGGCTATTTCTCAACACATCGTAGAGAAAATCGGCTGCTTTACTCTGTTTGCTACGCATTTCCACGAGCTCACCGCCTTGAGTGACAACTATCCGCAGGTTGAAAACATGCATGTGCTTGCTGAAACTACAGGCAATGAAGAGGATATTACACTACTATACCAAGTTGCCCCGGGTATCTCAGACAAGTCCTTCGGTATTCATGTCGCAGAGGTCGTTTCATTCCCGGAAAAAGTCATCCGTATGGCTAAACGCAAGGCTGAAGAACTAGAAGAGCTTGAGGGGGCTCACAACCTCACCCAGGATGACATTGTCGACGGCACAAAGCGGCTGAAGCAGGCGCTGCAGACATGGGCTCAGAAAGCACCCGACGACGAAGGCGCGGCTGCTAAACTGCTACGCGATATGATCGAGGACCACCGCTCTGAATTCGAGCAGCAACCGTTCCTCAAACAAGTACTTGAATGTCTGTAAACATGTAAGTTTCATTTTGATCCAGGGTTAGGGCCACCGCTCGCGAAGGCAGCCGCCGAATATCACAGGCTCAAACTTCCAGTGACTAATCTTACAGGTTTCGAAAAAAATGACCGCAGAGGTAGAAAACGTCACTGCCAAGGTGGCTGATCTGTCACTGAAGAAGAAGTTCTTCCCTAGTGAGCCCAAGTTTGAGTTCATTGAGGAGCGCCATGCTCTTTTTGAAAAGCTCTACAAGCAGCAGCTTGAGGACCAGGCCAACATGCCGCGTCAGCCCATCAAGATCACCTTCACCAAGACCGGCAAGGTCTTCGAGGGCACTTCTTGGGAAACCACACCCATGCAGGTTGCTAAGGAGCTTGGCGATATCGACCTGGACAGCCTCGTCGTGGCCAAAGTAAACGGCCAGGTTTGGGACCTAGGCCGTCCGTTTGAGGGCGACAGTGAGTTCGGCGTTCTGACGTTTGACGATGAGGAAGGTCGTCAGGTGTTCTGGCACTCGTCCGCGCACATTCTTGGTGAGGCCTGCGAGTGCTTCTACGGCGCTTACTTGTGTTCTGGTCCCCCCACGGAGGATGGCTTTTTCTATGAGATGTCTATTGATGGCGGCGACCGAGCCATTTCGGTCCAGGAGTACAAGGACGTTGAAGGTCTCGTTAAGAAAGTTGTCAAGGACAAGCAAAAGTTTGAGCGCTTGGTCGTGACCAAGGAGAATCTTTTGGAAATGTTCAAATACAACAAGTACAAGAAGACCTTTATTGAGACTAAGATCCCTGACGGAACCTCCTCCACGGTTTACCGGTGCGGCTCCTTGATTGATCTGTGCCGTGGTCCTCACGTTGCTCACACCGGTCGTGTGAAGAACTTCAGGCTGCTCAAGAACTCTGCATCTTACTTCTTGGGCGATGCTGCTAACGACTCTTTGCAACGTTTGTACGGTGTTTCCTTCCCCGAAAAGAAGCTCATGGAAGCACATCTCAAGTTCCTCGAAGAGGCTGCTTTGCGTGATCACCGCAAGATCGGTCGTGATCAGGAGCTTTTCTTCTTTAACGAGCTGTCTCCTGGTTCCGCATTTTGGCTCCCTCACGGTGCCCGCATTTACAACGCAATGATTGAGTTCCTCAAGCAGGAATACCGCAAGCGTGGTTACGAAGAGGTCATTACCCCTAACATGTTCAACGCCAAGTTGTGGGAAACTTCAGGTCACTGGGCCAACTACAAGGACAACATGTTTGCCTTTGAAGTCGAGAAGGAGACTTTCGGTCTCAAGCCCATGAACTGTCCCTCTCACTGCTTGATCTTCAAGAACCGTGATCGTTCCTACCGCGAGCTGCCGTGGCGAGTTGCCGACTTTGGCGTGCTGCACCGTAACGAGTTTTCGGGCGCTTTGACCGGTTTGACTCGTGTGCGCCGCTTCCAGCAGGACGATGCGCACATTTTCTGTGCTCACAACCAGATTGAAGACGAAATCACCGGCGTCTTTGACTTCTTGAAGAACGTCTACGGCGTTCTCGGCTTCGACTTCAAGATGGAGCTGTCTACCCGCCCCGACAAGTACTTGGGTGAGCTCGAGACTTGGAACAGCGCTGAGGAAATGCTCACAAACGCTCTCAACAAGTGGGGCGCCAAGTGGGAGCTTAACCCTGGTGATGGTGCTTTCTATGGCCCCAAGATCGATATCAAGATCTCCGATGCTCTGCGCCGCTGGCACCAGTGTGCCACCATCCAGCTCGATTTCCAGCTGCCTATTCGCTTCGACTTGAACTACCAAGATAAGGCCAAGGAGGGTGAGGCTGATCGGTACCGTCGCCCTGTTATGATCCACCGTGCTATCTATGGTTCGCTGGAGCGTATGATCGGTATTTTGTGTGAGCACTTCTTCGGCAAGTGGCCCTTGTGGCTGTCTCCTCGCCAGGTTCTGGTTGTTCCTGTCGGCCCTCATGTTAGTGACTACGCTCAGGAGGTTCGCGACTACTTCCATGAAGCTGGCTTCTTCGCCGACGCTGATTTGGGTCCCAACACCCTTCAGAAGAAGGTTCGCCAGGGCCAGCTTGCTCAGTACAACTATTTGTTTATTGTTGGTGAGGAAGAAGCCAACACCCGCTCCGTCAATATCCGCAAGCGTGACGGCAAGCAGGCCAAGGGCGAGACAGTCCCCTTGGAGCAGGCTCTCAAAACTCTCCAGGAGCTGAAGGTGTCTCGTGCTTTGCACGAGTAAAAAGTAAAACACAATTAATCATACACTAAATAAAACAGTTGTCGAGTTAGTTGCGATCGCGAGTGTGCGATCGTGCCAGGCCAAGCTCAGTGCTCCTGGGTAGGCGCATTTCCCAACCAAAGAGCACTCTGTGGGAGAAATCGTGTAAATATTAACGGAATCGCTGCCTGCAACAGCAATTAGATTATTCGTTGAATTTGTTTCAACTAATGTAACAGCGGACTCAAAGTCGATTTCCCATTTAAGACTTGGAGGGGTGGCATCGAGATCCCAAAGACCGACTGACCCGTCGGCCGAGCCGGTAATCAGCATTGAGGCAATTTTCGAACCATCGAGAGCGAGACCCAATGGACCTGGTAGCCAGTTAAGAGCAGTAATTGGCCCACGGTGATGGGTCAGTGTCCGAACCGGAGTAGGGGTACGGGCATGCCATAGATTTACGACATAATCGTCACCTCCGGAAGCCAGCAGTTGCGACAACTTATCAAAGGCAAGTATTGTGACCGCACGGATGTGTCCACGGAATCTGACCGTTGGTAAGCTCTCGCCAATCTTGTAAATCGCGACTCCACCAAGCGGAACACCGTCAGGATGAGTTGACGCCAGCGTCAGTTCGTCAATCCACTCAACCTCTACAAGCATTTGACCCTCTGGTCGTTCGCTTGTGTATTTTGCGATACCTTCACCAATGTCCCATATGGAAACACCGCCAGTCACATCCACCGAAGCTAGAGAGCTTCCGTCTGGATTGAACTTCAACGACACAATTGGAGCCGAGTGGCTAGAGGGCAGAGCCTTGAGCAGAGCTCCATCAGCAGTCCAAAGACGAATTGACCCAGAAAACGTGCCAACCGCTACTACTTCATTGGTTGGCGTCCAAGCCACGGCAGTTGCGTGGGCGTCGGGCGACGCTCTTGAAGCATACTTGAGAGCTAGCTCTGTCCCTGACGGTAATAAAATTAAGGCATCCTTGTCTTTGGTACCGAGTGCTAGTAAATCGCCACCAAAGCTCACTGCTGAACCCGCAGGCAGCGTCTTTGTGGGCTCCAAACCATCCGTAGATTTCGCAGGCGGCTTCACAGCTTCTGACACAGTGGTCGCTGGTGTGATTCCATCCATGGGCTTTTCTGCTTGCTCAGTATCATTTCTGTTCTCTTCCACGGCCTTTGCGGCCGCTAGTTCGACTTCTGTGAGCTGTAATCCGCGAAGCAGTAAACGGACCAGGTCCCCACGTTCGTAACTCTCGACAAGCGCACCTTGACCGGAAGAAGCCGATATCTCTCGGTCCAGTGCATGGCCACTGAGCTCAAGGCCTTCTTCTTGGAAATAACGCCATATCAAATAGTTCACTTCCTGCGAGGACAAGTGCATCTGGCTTAGCTAAGTAAACTTCAGGCATCGGCATATAACAAATGGCCAGCGAGCATCGATCTTTGCGGAAACGGCAGTCCATTCTGCCTGACCGCGCGGGGACGGTAGGCTCAGCGCGAGTCAACCAAAACTTTACTGCCCGCAACCGCCGAGGAGGGCTGCTAGCCCCGTCGGGCGGGGTGCCGTTGCTCGAGGTTCCTGAAGAGACCAACGACGGCCCAGAGGGTGGTACACTAGAGTTTGCCCCCAATAGATTGAATCCACAAAAGCGTGGACACGCACGTGTGCCATCTGCGATGTCAATGGCGCCGCGAGCGGTGTCTAGAGGGGGCCCAGAAATGTCCGATCTTGCACCGGATTTGAATGACGCTGCCCTGGAAAACGAGCTGAAGCTTGATAGAGCATTGCTGAACACTTCATTTGATGCTCGTAGTCATATTGCTTTGAGGCTAGCTGACGCCAGTCCAGAGGAAATCGCTGCCTACGCGGACAGTTTGAAATCACAAGTTGCAGAGTTGTCGCAAAGAGAGCAGGCCGCTATGCAACGAAATCATCAGACGATGCTTCAGGCTGCTCGTGAGATTACCGCTTTACCCTCAAAGGTTGCTCAACTCCGCAAACAGGCTGTTGACTTGGCAAACATCAGCAACGCTCTCCGGGAAGACATTGAGGCTCAACAGGCAATTATGACCCGTTCTCAAAGCCAGGGTACCTTGGATACGCCTGCGGGACACGCACCAGGTGCTGTATCTGGCTCAGTAGGTGCTTTAAACGGTGGGAGTGTGTCTCGCAGAAATCGTAACTCCATGCTGATGTTGAATAACGCTTGGGCAGAGGACCTTGTGGCATTGTTCCGTCGCGTTGAAGGTGCTCAGCGGTTTCTTCCTTCTATCCCTGGCCGTCATGTGCTCTTAGAATCTCAAGGTTGGAGTGAACTCAACTCTGTGACTTGGCAATCGGTCAAGCCTATGGTTCTTTTCTTGCTCAACGATCACCTGTTGGCAGCTACGCAAAAGCGGCTACGTTCCTCTGCAGACTCGGCTGGTCAAAGATTGCTGGTTGTAGACCGCTGCTGGTCGTTAAGTGACATCTCTATTCGCAATTTGAACGCTGATAGCGATGCTGCGGCAGCTACCGCCGTGGCAGATGGAAGGCAGGGCAGAGTAGTAGCCCAGGCTATTCAGGTACGCAATAGCGCCAACGGTGAAGTCGTCACTTTGCGGGCGGCCTCTTCTAGTGCTGCTGACTCGTTCACTGCTGAGTATGAACGAGCGCGTGTGGCTTTAGCTGGCATGGGAGGTCATGCCCACCGACACAGCCGTCAAGCGTCAATGGGTGATCGTGTTCGTCAAGGATCTGTTGCTGGAACAAGTCATGCAGCAGTCGAAGTACAAAGGGAATCTGCCAAAGTTGTTGCCCAAATCGATATCGAGCTATCCCACCGCCGCTATGCTTCTGCGGTCAAACTGATTCAAACGTACAGTGATTCTGAGACAGTAGCCGAGGCAGTTGAGATCCGGCGCAAAGCGCTCGTCAAACTGTTAATGGAGCGAGCGAAAATGCGCCAAACAGACAAATTACAGCAAGCGGAAGTCATCAAACTTCTCGGTCAACTGGGGCTCGACGTTGAGGCCCGCACGACATACCTGGCTGGCCGGGCAGAGCATATTCGCGAAGCAGCAGACAAAGTACATTTCCATGGTGATATTGTCAACTACGTGTCACAAATCGCAATTGTGTATTTCCAGCTCATCCTCGCCACAGTCGAGGTGTACCGAAAGGCATACCCCGAGAAAACATACTCAAGCATCATTGTGGAGTGGACCAAAAAGCAGGTGGATGCCTATGTCGAGATATTCAATCGCCAGTTGCACCGCATCGGCAACCAGACGCGTATTTACCAACAGTGTGTGGAGATCACGCGTACGGAGTCTGCTCAACTTCAGGACCTCGGTCTTGATATGGACTTCTTGCTGTCATATGTATGGAGTTAAATTATTTATGCGTAGTGTATGCCTTCAATTCAAACGGGACCTTTTGTTTCTCCGATCATCAATTAATGACATGCGGACTGTAATCAACCTGCAGATGGACGACGCCACACAGTTGAGCTGATCCGCTCACATGGAACAGAAGAGTCATTTGGAATGTGGATTTTGGTAAAATAGAGCTCATTTTATATACAAGCTGAATAGGACCACACTCAAGATCTTTTCTCCCAGGGGTTTTACAAGCTGTCTCAGACAGACTGATTTTTCTTTGTTGACATCATCATGAAAGGGACCGCGCAGCGCGACAAGATCGCGTCTGAGTTAGGTCAAGGACTCGGACCGGAATATATTTCATGGAGAAGAGGTAGCGGTGCTCAACAAGCGTACATTGAGGGTCACACGGTGATAAATCTTGCGAACGAGATTTTGGGGTTCGACGGTTGGAGCAGTGAGATCCGCAACACGGCAGTTGAGTACGAAAAGGCGTCCAGCGATGGCCGCTGGCAGATCGGTGTGCGCTGCGTCATGAGAATTACTCTAAAAGCAACCGGTGTCTACCGCGAGGATATCGGGTTTGGCCAGGCTATCAACATGCCTAGCAAACTCCAGGCTCTAGAGAAGGCCCACAAGGAGGCCGCCACAGATGCTACTAAACGGGCGTTCCGTCAATTTGGCAACGCATTGGGTAACTGTATTTATGATCGCACACACACAAATGCTATCACGTCTGTCAATGTCCCAAAACGCGAGTTTGATCCGACATGTTTACGGCGTCCTGCTCCAGCGGCTCCTCCTCCCCCCTCCAAACGGGTGGCTGTTGCATACAAGCAAGAGATGCCGAACGAGATGAATAAACTCCCTAGAGGTGATGCTAGTTTGTCCACACCCACGCCGATCCCCAAACCTGTGCTGGCAAGCGAAAATGACGATGACGATGAGCTTGATTTCACTCACCTACAGCCTGCCGCCAAACAAACTGAAACTGACGCGGTGCCCGACAACCAATCAGATGATGCTGTTTTTGTTTCCGCAAACAATGCTGAAGCCTACAATTCCCCCAAACTTCCTATCAAGACACACTTTGATCCGGACTATCGCAGCCCAAGCATCAAAACTACAATTCCTCAGAACTTCTCCTCAAAGGTATTTCGACGAGACTGAATATTTAATTACAACTTTTATACCAGCATTTGAGGCAAGGTGGGGCACACCGGCCGGGGCGCCATGTACAGCTCACCATCTTCATTATACCTCTCCAGGTCTTTGTCCGAGACATTGTAAATTTCGTCGACGTTAGCTTCAAGAAGACCACGAACCTGCTTGAATCCACTCAACAGCTCTTCGTAATGAACTGTCATCTTCCGTCGTTTGAGGCCTGCTGCCAACAGCTTGGCATCGGGCTGGGCGTGAATAAGACGATCAATCAAGCGCCCTGTGGATGCAACAAGATACTCTTCTTCGTATACTGTACCCTTTCTTCCACGCGCTTTCTTTCGTTCTTCACGACGCCGGTTTTTCTGTGTTCTCCGTGAAGCGCCTGTCTGGGCGGTTCCTCCTGTTTTGTCAGTGTAACGCGTCATATAACTTGCAGCGACAGTTGTTTCCGTACCAGCGACAGATACATCATCTGCCACGCTCAATCCGGCCATACCATATCCCAGCATGTCCTGGGCCCGTTGAGCACGAACTTCACGCAACCGTCTTAGTTGGCTGTTGATTTGAGCCACACAATCGGCAAACAGCTCCTGCATGGAGCCGAATTGTTCGCGGAGGCCGTCATCAACCCTCTCTAATAGTTCACTCTTTTGATTAGAGCACAAAAAGGCTTCATCGAATTGGAAAGCTTTGCAGTAGTACGAAATAGCCTGGATTGGGTCCCGGAGATAATAGTGGAAGACCTGTGCAGCCGCAGCCCACTTTTCTTGCCGCACTAAAGATTCGCTCACTTCCTCAAGACCACTTGGAGTGGAGTCCAAAGACAAGGCACGTTGCCATGAGCCAGCACGAACATAGGCACTGAAGGCCTTGTGGTTATCGCCGACCAGCTCGTAGTTGAGCCCAGCAGCAGCATACTCACCTTGCCGTAACAACAATTCTGCTTGGCTTTCAAGCAGTCTCTCACGACGTCCAGAAATTTCATCGATAACTGGAAGTAGCAGTGCTTCAGTATGCAGTTCATGAGCTTCCACGAACGTAACCACCTCGTCATCGTTAGCGACGCCTGGGACAACCAGCCAAGACAATGCGGATGCATACCGACGGAGAGAATCGTCAATAGTAAACTTGCGGCGGTTTTCTTCCTCAGCTTCACGAGCCCTTAAGAATGCCAAGTACTCCTTGGGATCTTTCTGGGCCTGTTGAGCAACAGCCAACGCAAGCTTGAGATCATACATTCCCAGCGCGGTGTTGTAGAGAAGGTCCGCGTCTGTCAAAAAGCAAAGATGACGAATATCCTTCTCTTCTTGGCATAGCTCAAGTGCCGTCTCCAGCTGGGGTGGCACCTTACATGCCAGGGCAGTGAGTTTACTTCTAGTTTCAAGATACGGCAAAAGTGCATCGCACACCTTGTTGACCTTGCCAGGACGCTTGTTATCACTTGAATCAACTGTGTTCTCGGTGGCACGGTATTTACCAGCTGTGACATCCTCGTCTCGAAGGCTCGAAATCAAAAGATCAATACGGTCAGAAGAGCCAATCTGCTCAATGATGGTTTCGAGATTTGCTTCGAACTGCTCGGTGTTATAATCGTAGATTAGGTTCAAGTCTACCCGGTGTTTGCGACAAACAGTGAAGGCTTGCCCGTAGTCCATACTTTCAATCATTTGACGGACCGCATTGACCACCAACATTCGCGGATAGACAGTCTCGAGATTACCGCGGGAGTGTTCGAGAATAACGGACATTTGGGCAGGCAAAACAGAAACCAAAATAGAAGTACGCTCAATCATTCGGACTTGTTCACTGTCATTGTCGTCTTCAGGAATAACGAGCTCCGGAGTGTGGAGATGGACAAACTTGAGGTAATTCATTGTGGTTAGCAGGAGCAGACTGGGACTAGCCACCGCAATGGACGTGACACCCTGGCCTAGGGTTTGCGTGTGGCCGTTAGCATTAGCGCATAAAAGCTGGTTTGACCTCGTGAGTCCAAAGAACTTTGTTTCGTTGGCTGCAACAAATCGGGGACAAGGACGCCCAAAGCTCGCAACTTTGGCACCTGACCACGTGAAAATATCGCCATTTTGAGTTTGGAAAAAGTCAGGAATTAATGTAATAATCTCTGATGCGAGGGGAATTTGACCTTCAACAACGAATTGAGTTCCCTGCTCAGTAGAGGATGTGTATCCTAGAAGCCCTGTCGTCGAAAATGCCACAAGTTGAGGGGTACCTTCAACTGCCACTGAGGTTTTGGAGTCACCAATGACCTCGATTGTTGAGTTTGTCGCAACTGCCAGCTTGGCATCCCCCACTGCAACGTTTGTGGGACCAGCTACTTCGACTTGGCGTTGCGAGAGCGGGGGAGGGATAACTACTTTTGAAAGATCGGTAACCAAAATCTTGTCGCCATCAATAACAGCTACTGTGCCATTATGCTCTGCAAAAGAGCTCACAAACGAGTAAGTACCGATGCTACTGTTGTTCCATTGAATCAACAAAGTCCTAGGCAACACAGGGTGCCACATCAGCGAGACGGTGGATAGGTTGGGCTCCGAAATAATTGATTTGCGGTACCAATGGTAATTCTTTTGCGTCCACAGATCAACGTGACTGGCATATCTCACCGCCAAAACCTCAGAATCAGAACTCCAGTCTAGACCAAGAACGGTGTCATCTTGCAAAGCGAACTCGTATCTTCTCAGACCATTCTTCTCAAAAAACACGATCTGATGAGGGGTTTGCTGAACTGCAGCAATCACAGCACCACGAGGCTGGAAAGAAAGAAGACTATCCAAGTAGTCACAGGGCTCAGAAACAGAAAACAAAGTTCCGTCTCGCTCAAAAATCCTAAACACCCGTCTGTTGCTTTCGATAGCAGATACAGCCACAAACATACCATCTCCTCGCCACGAAATCTGAACGTCGCCCCTGTCGTTATCGCAGAGAATTCCACTATCCACTTTCTCAGGCATTGTGGGGTCTCGCAAAGCATGGGCACCTTTACCTTGGAACTGGGTTTCTTTCTTGCCCCACCCTACTGAAACATGTTTGCTGAGCTTCAAATCGTCTGCAGAGAACTCAAATTCACCCATCATATCGAATTGACGACTGAGCATCAAGATCTTGTTTGCAACTACTAGGCACAAGACTTCTTGATCTGAGGACCACTGAGCAGCCAAAACCGGAGTGTCAAGACCACCAAGAATAGACGCACCTTCGCTGGTTACTTCTACAATGTCACCATTTTTCAGAACGCAAACAACCCCATCTAGATCAGCCATGATAGTGAGGATCTCACTCTCGGTAGGCCATTGTTCGAAATGCTGCCATTCCTCGCCATTATGGAAGTTGCGCACGCATATTTCAACTATCCCATCTATCTCGAACGCACAGACAAGCTGGTCGTCCGGGTCTACCGTGAATGCCACCAGCGGCAGCGGTGAAATATCTCTAAGAGATTTTTTATGCACCGGAACGAGATTGAGCATGATGAATCAGCACTACGAACCGTCGAATATAGGCTTGTGAGGTGGACGAGGGATGTTAGCGCACAAAGTGAAGCGTGTTTCCGGAATTGATGCTATACTGAGCTCAAGCGATAGTCTGATGGCGACACGGCAGAATCTTGCGGCCCTTCGGGTGCTGGTTGTTGGCGCGGGCGGACTTGGCTGCGAGCTCCTCAAAAACCTCGCTCTATTGGGATTTCGCCAGATCGACGTGATTGATATGGACACAATTGATGTCACCAACCTCAATAGGCAGTTTCTTTTCAGTGAGAGTGATGTGGGTAAGGCCAAGGCCTCGGTGGCTGCTGAATTTGTAAATAAGCGAGTGCCCGGAGTGAAGGTTGTTCCGCATGTGTCGGCAATTCAAGATATGAGTGATGATTTTTATGAGAGGTTTAACATTGTTATTTGTGGCCTCGATAGCGTCGAGGCTCGTCGCTGGATCAATGCCAAGATCGTCGGGCTAGTGGACGACAACGACCCAACCACTATACGGCCGTTGATAGATGGCGGCACTGAAGGACTGCGTGGACAAGTTCGAGTGATTTTGCCCACAATCACTGCATGCTACGAGTGCTCTTTAGACATGATTGCTCCGCAAAAGACTTATCCACTGTGCACGATCGCAGCTACCCCGCGGTTACCTGAGCATTGCATCGAATGGGCGTTGGTTGTGGGGTGGCCCCAGTGGCACTCTGAGCTATTTGATGCCGACCGCCCAGACCATATGCAGGAGATGTATGAAAGAGCTTTAGAGAGAGCAAAAGAGCATTGCATTTCAGGCGTCACGCTCAGCCTGACCCAAGGCGTCGTCAAGCACATTATTCCAGCCATTGCGTCCACTAATGCGATAGTTGCCTCTGCATGCTGTACTGAAGCGTTCAAACTCGCGACTGCAATTGCCCCGCCACTTGACAATTATATGACTTATGCGGGGAACGATGGCGCCCACGCATACCCGTTCTCACTTGACGCTCGTCCAGACTGCCCGGTTTGCGGAGGGGAAGCGCTGAGGGTTGATTTAGCTAAATCTGCAACCTTATCTGACCTTCTTGAATCTATTGCAGTACAGGCTCCCAAAGCATCTATTTCGGCGGCAAGTGGTCCATTGTACATGCGAAATCCACCTGTTTTAGAAAAAGCTACCAGGGCAAATTTGACTAAACCTCTTTCTGAGCTATTCGAGTCGGGATCAGAGCTTGTGGTTACTGATGCCACATTGCCGTTTAGTCTGCGGGTGACAGTTCGGTTTTCACAAGACGATCACCGGTGATCACGCTTGTTGAAGCAACAATAAGTTCTTTATCACTAGGAACCGCCGCTCGCATAGCCGCCGCTTCCGCGTATGTAACACCGCCAATGACCATAACCATAATGACTTGTTTATCATGACTACCACTGTTGCGCAAAAGGATTTTGCGCAGCTTGGCCTCCTTGGGGTGGTCGCTTTTTTGAACATTGTCAAAATACTCTCCGAGTAGCATGGGGTCTCCCCGAACTGCCATTACTGCCGCCTGGACCAGCCGGACGGATAAAGGAGTGTACCCTGCGTAAACTTTTGACACTTTTTCGTTCTGGTTGCTGAGCTGGAAAGACCTGGCAATCTGAGCATAGCTTGTTTGCGTGGTGGTGAACAAAAGACCTCGGTTCTCCAGATCATGGAGAGTCTGAAGGTGCTCATACCCGTATGTTCGAAGTATATCGTTGTACAGAGTATGCAGCTGCTTCTCTTTCAGTCCACTTCGGCACAGGCATACCAAACAAAGCAGTCGAGCGGCTCGAGCCACCGGGATCTTGCGATAAATCAGTTCTTGCAACTGCGACACCGCTTCAGACGTCCCTAGTTCATTTTCGACTAGAGACTGCTGAAACTCCAGACACGCCGTGAATTCGTTGCCTTGGACATAGCTCATAATTGCCTCTGCAAGAGCTGTGTGTTGCTTCAGCTGAATTTGAGTGGACTGCAAGTCTCCGAGTTTTGCGACAAATTCGCGAATTTCATCGATCGATTTTGCATCGTGCCGTTTGTCGTATGCTGTCTGCAGCTGTCGAGCCAACGAATTCAGGCGTTGGCCCACCATTCCGAAATTTAGATCCCGGATCATATTAAACAGCTCGCCCTCCAGTTTGACTTTGCCATCAGGTCCATTCACAATTTGGCCGGGGGAAACGCCATAGATCTCGTCCAAAAGACCCTGGTAAGTCAACTGGAACACCAACGCACCGACCCAATCGACCTGCCTGTCGATCAGTAACAAATAATCGACATCGCAGCCCACAAATGCAGACCCAAAATAGTACTCAAACCCACCATTGGCAACAGCAGACGCCTGGTGTTCACCCTGCAAGTCTTGTAGGAGTTCAGAGACTCTTTTCGCAGCGGAGCCATGGCCGGTGACGCGGCTAAAGGGCCCGTTACTGGCTGCCTGCAAGGCATTGAGCGCGACTGCGGTTTGCCAAACCAACTCATTCACAGGCATAGTTGGCGAAAGGCCCATTGAAAGTACGGGGCCAGGCATAAAAAACGCCGGCCAGTCATAGACCTTGACCTCCGCAGTGAGGCCATGCTGATCGAGAATCAGGTCCACAAGAGGCGAGGTGCGGGGCCTGACGAGCAGAATTCGTTCCCCATCATTGGCAATGCTCTTTTGGAGATTGTCACACACCAGTTTGACAGACTCTGGGCTGCCCGATGCCACGTAAACGATATTTCCTCGAATGGTTTCCCTCGTCAACGTCACGACGTCAGAAACACCACAGTCTTTCAACGAGCTGTAGGGACATAATGCGGACACCACAGCTGTGAGGCCCGAGTCAATTGCCAGTGTTTTCGGGCCGCCAATGTCCAGCAAAGCCTGTCGAAGCGACTCGCCTGCCGAATCAGCTTCCATATCGAGAGAGCCACTGCCTGCCGGTTAATAAGCAGACCAAATGGCTCGGCTCAAATAGCTCAGCACACTAGGAGGAGCGGAGGAGGTTAAAGGCTATTGAAACTGGCCCTCAGTAGCCCGCTGCGCAGAATCTAAACGCAGTGCGTGGTGACAAAATGAGTTTTGTAGATATATAACTAAAGACAAGAACTAGAGTCAACGGATCAAAGAAGACAGAAGAGCTGAACCTGGAGTTGCCGACTTTATTAGCCCGCAAACATGGGTGTCCTTATCTTTTGCGGTCCTGAAAAACAGACCTACTCGGCGGCGGCGCCCTTGGCCTTGGCGTAGTCGACGTACCACTGCTCGCGGAAGTGGAGACGCTTCTGGTGGTAGAAGTGCCACCAGGAGAAGGCAGCAATGCAGCCGGTGGTGAAACCAGCAGCAATATCGATGATGATGCGGCGCTTGAGCACACCGGCAACGCGGGTAACGGAAGTGTTGGCAACCATGTCTAGTGTAGATGGGAAAAACCACACCACCTGACTAACTGGCAAATAGCACCCACTCACGCAACCTGGGAAGGTGCTGACCTATCAGCCGCCAGCAATCCCCGACGAGTGAGCTACATAGGGTGACCTGCTCACCTAAGCGCAGTTCCTTTCTCATACCAACCAGAGGGTTTTTTTGATCAATGTTTAGCTCTGTCCGTGCAAACTCCATGCGTGTTGCCAAGCGCAACTTCTCCAGCACTGTTTCCCGTATGGGTCACGGCCCCGACGGTCCCTACTCCAACCTTCCTTTCAAGGTCCACAACCGTAAGATCCCCTTCGTTGTCATCCACTGGACTTTCTTCATTGTTGGTTTCTCTACTCCTTTTGCCATCACCTACTACAACTTGAAGAAGGCCGGCAATCTTTAAATTTAACCCTATAGTACATATGGTCTGCTAAAACTTCTATTTTAATACCTTTCTCACTGGCATTAATAATGGCCTGATCTTACCTGGATCGTCTGCTCATTTGCCAGAGCTTGCGAGCAGGTGTTGCGGAGTTCTCGAGTGTTTGCTGCGAAGTTGCTCCTGCTGCTTCTAGCCCGACTATTTATTCAGCTGGTGGCTTTTTATTTTCATGGGTGGCGCTCGAGAATGTGCCGTAGTAGTATATTTGTAGGTGAATAACCCCATGATCGAAAGCTTCAAATGCCAATCGCAACGGCAACGGTGCGTTGCTGCTTCTTCGTGACAGCAATAGATGGTTAGCCTTGTTGCCGTGCGGTCGCCGGTATGTTTCAATTGACCATGTATTGAGTGTTGAATGGCAAGAACATGTAGGTTACCAGGGCTAACAGTCACCTACCGAGTATCTATTTCTTGCCTCGATTGACCACGGCAAGAGGGTTAAACACAGGGAATTAAGTCGATTAAATACCAGAAATTTTCAAGCATGCTAGTTCAAGTTGAAACAACGCTCACTAGATGTCTCCGTAACACAGACATGAAATCTATGCTGCAATTGGTCTGCTGAATCTCTTACTCTATGCATACTGAATTTTTTGTTCGAAAACAGCTGACTTAGCTCAGTTGGGAGAGCGCCAGACTGAAGATCTGGAGGTCCTGTGTTCAATCCACAGAGTTAGCATTTTTTTAGTTCATTGTTTGAGTATGGGCTATGAATGTGAAATATTGCTCGTCTCGGACTCTGCTCACGGCGAGCGTGACCCGGGCAATTGTAACAAAGGTTTCTTGGCCATCTAGTCTGATAATTAACATTAATTTAACCAAAAAGGAAAAAAAAAAGTATTGGAATATGCACTAACTGGGTCGAGCGCCACGCTTCATGCGTAGACTGTCTCGCTTGCGTTTTGCTACAAGGTTCAACACATCATCGTTGAACCCTTCAATATCTGCGTCGTCAAGTGGACTACCCATAGGGGCAGTGTTCTTGGGTAGAGTAAACGCTTCTTTGAACGGCGAAGCTAGCGGAACGTTAGAAAAGTCACGAGGATAAGCTCCTTGTTTCCAATTCTGCCGAGCCCGCGGCGTTTCATCAAAGTGGAAATCCTCGTCATAATTTTCAAAACGATCTTCAAGACTCAGGTCGAGAGGAGGCACGCGACTTCGTGATTGTCTGTCCAAACCACCCAATGGTTCTGCACCAATTTTCGCATCCGATTGTGAGCCTTCAGTGTAATTTATAGAGTTTTCGGTTGCAGTGTCCAGCGCAGCTAGCCGATCGGACTCAGCCAGAACCGCCGTTGCCTCGTCACAAAGGTCCATATTAGATTCAAAGTAGCCTTCGCCAAAGTTTGTAATTGCAGGCTGCAATCGGCTAGAAGGCACTGCATCGGGGCCCATATTTTCGGCTTCTAATGCAGCCAGTTGAAGGAGTCTTCGCCGGACTGCCCGAGCGCTATGCGGAAACTGCATGCGCTGCATGGTGGCAGCTTTGATGGTGTTTTTCGCCACTCTCTGGATAACTCCAGACGGAGGGTATCGTCCAGAGAATGGAGCGGTCGTAGGGTCGTCAACGTACGCACGCAGTTGATCTGCGAGAATAGCGTCGTGTTCAGCAAGCCATTTGTGGCTAGTCTCATTGAACTCTTCGTCGTCGGTGGTGCAGACAGACGATATCGACCCAAAATGATGCATGTAAACCTCGCCAGGCGGAGGCGGCCGCTGGTTGAGCGGCGTATGAGGCACCGACTGATAGCCCAGGCTAGCAACACTAGCCGTGGAATTTTTTCGTGTAGATACAAAGTCCCCTCCTGCGGAAAATGGGGACCCTTGCTGTTGCTGCGGCATCAAAGACGGAGGTTGCTGAAGGGTCGGTGTGTAGGGCTGGTGGAACATACTTTCTGAACCTTGATTCAAGCCCCGTATGACCCTTGGAGACTCTTTATTCTGATACATTGCTAAAAGTACAATGCTTGTGTAGATGACGAATTGCCAAAAATAATACACTGAACACCAGATGAACAAAAGAGAGTGCAAGGTTGGATAAGGATCGTGGCAGCTAGTTGGCCGTTGCTGTTGAGATAATGAGGCGCCACGCAACAAGAAACTAAAGAGGATCTCTAGGCGCAGAAATGAAGATTCGGGCCTGTTACCGGATATGTGTGTACTTTACAGAACACAGTGGGGATGGGCAGGTGAGTGGGAGTAAACCAAAAAGAGGCAATGGTCAGGGGGGCAACCGTATGTGTCTTAGAAGGGTAAGGTGGAGGGCGCGCGCGAACTACCGGGATGCTCATAAGGGTAGGGTAAGGGTGTTGCACAGGAAGAACCTCTCACATTGCCCTGTAGTTAAGAACTCCTTGTCGCGAGCTACGATTAATCTAGCATCGTTGTTGTCAAGTATTTTTGTTAAATATTTTCAATCGGTAGAACCCGTCGTGCTCCGAGATGCGCTGCGGCAATAAATTTTCGCCTGCTGCGGATTCCAATATCTGCACATGTTTAATATTGGACATCTCAACGTTTGTATTGTGCATCCGCATCCCTGGATTAGACCCTAATCACGCGAGGTTAGGGCCGAACCTCCCCCAAAACTGGTCGCGAATGATATCCACATGCAAGAGCTGCAGGGCTATCTTGGAGCGTTTTTTGGCCATTCGTTGAACTTGCCGGGCACTTGGTTCCTCACCCGATTGACCAGTACCTACCAAGGGCTCCTCCCACACAATAGTAGTTCCTTTTTTAAACATCTCACTCTCATTGTTGTAGTTGATACCAAACTCGCTGAACAGTATTTCGTTCTTGTCGCTCGACAGCGTCCCACATAACCGTTGTTCGGCTTCCTGCGTTGACAGCCCACCTTTTAAAACCAATGTCCAAAAAGTCGTATTGTACAAATTGTTGATATGACAGTCTACCTGTCGCCACGCAAAATAATCTCGTAGCACTTTGAGGTTTGGATAGCATACTGCTCGCCCATCGAATGTAGGCAGGTGCTCAGGCTTGAGCGGCTCGTCAAATTGGCTCGCCCACGCGCTTATGTAGTGAGCAGTAAATGTCGATACAACCGTCGATACGAGCTTAGCTTCACGACGCTCAAATAGATTGCTCGAGCGGTCAAATGCGAATGAGTATTCGTCGCTATCACCGTACGCCATAAAAATATCCTGCACGGATCTGAATACCCCTTCTGCAGCTTTGTTTATAACATTCAATGCCCTTACATCATTGGGCTTTTCAAAATTGTAGAATTTCGAAAACCGATGGAATCCTCGTCCGTCCACTCTCACCACAATGTACGTCTCGGGCAATAGAAAATTTTCCCGCTCAAAGTTCTTGACATATTGATACTGTGAATTAGCCATATTTTTTTGCAGTTTAGGCTCTCTAAATTCAACTCTTGCTGCCACAATTAGACCGCTATCTTGATATCAGCCCAGAGAATAAAAACAAAAGAAAATCAAACCGATCAACCTGCGGGGGTGTTAATGGATTACTGTCTTGGGATGTTGGCCTGTAGGTGCCCGGAGACCATATGAAAAAAAAAATTGGTAAGCCAAAAAAATTGTTTCTCGATCTTGAACTGTCATGAAGTCGTTTGGCACTCTTGAGAGAGAGAAAGGATATGCGTCGCCACCAGATGACAAGTCCAAGTATCAGCTTCTACATGAAGCTATTGAGCCTCATGTAGGATCTTTCAATGCTCTGTTCGAGGGCCCCGGTGGTGGTCTGCTTGATCTCGGAATCAAGGATATTGGCAAAAAAGCTGTTTTCGACAGTCATACCGGCGAAGAGCTGGGCAACAAACTGACTTTTTGGATTGAGTCTGTGAGTGTCGCAAAACCCGCCGTTCCTCCCCGAGACAAGCTCAGTGTTGAGCGGAGAACTTTTCCCGCCGAGTGCAGAGAACGTCACTGTTCCTACCGTGGACGATTGACCTTGCGCTTTGCCTACCAGGTCAACGATGGTCCTATCAGTTATGAGGACCGTGATGCTGGTCAGTTGCCCATTATGCTTCGGTCCAGCCGTTGTCATCTCAAGAATATGTCGCCCAAGCAGCTGGTAGCTGTTCGCGAGGAAAGTGAGGAGATGGGTGGTTACTTTATTGTTAACGGTATTGAGAAGCTGATCCGTATGCTTATTGTTCAACGCCGAAACCATCCTATGGCTATTGTGCGTTCATCGTTCCAAAACCGTGGACTGTCTTACTCCAAGTACGGTATCCAGATCCGCTCGGTTCGCCCCGATCAAAGCTCGCAGACCAATGTTTTGCATTACCTCAATGATGGTCAAGTCACCTTCCGCTTTTCATGGCGTAAAAACGAGTACTTGGTTCCTGTTGTGATGGTCCTTAAAGCTCTGGGGGAGATCAACGACCGTCAAATCTTCGATGGTATTGTGGGTGCTGAAACCACCAACTCGTTCTTGACTGATCGTTTAGAACTGATGCTTCGTTCTTACAAGGCCTACAATACCAAAACCAATTACGAGGCCCTCACCCACTTGGGTGATAAGTTCCGAGTTGCTATGCAGGCTCCTGAAGATATGAGCGACTACGATGTCGGCCGTCTGTTTTTGGACCGCATTGTCTTGGTCCATCTCCCCGGTGATAACTTTGCCAAGCAGCGTTTGATTTTATTTATGATCCGCAAGCTCTACGCCCTGGTGGCCGGTGAGTGTGCGCAAGACAACCCCGACGCTGCACAGCATCAAGAGATCTTACTTCCTGGTCTTCTCTATGGAATGATTCTCAAAGAGAAAATCGATGAGTACTTGAATTCGTTCCGCGAGACTGTGCGTCAAGCTGTCTCTCGTCGTCAAGCTGTTAACTTTGATGACCCTCAGTTCATTAACCGCATCTTTCTGAGACTGACTGAGGACATTGGTAAGAAGATGCAGTATTTCTTATCTACGGGTAATCTAGTCTCACCTTCTGGTCTTGATTTACAACAGGTCTCTGGTTATACTGTTGTGGCAGAGAAAATTAATTTCCACCGTTTCTTGGCCCATTTCCGGATGGTCCACCGTGGCTCGTTCTTTGCTGAGCTTAAGACTACCACAGTACGCAAGCTTTTGCCCGAAAGCTGGGGCTTCCTGTGTCCTGTGCACACACCAGATGGATCCCCTTGTGGTCTGCTTAACCATTTGGCCCACAAATGCAAAGTAGTCACTGCTGAGGAGGAGAAGACAGATGAGGTTGTCGTCCGTTTGCGTGAATTGGGTGTCTCTGCTTTGAGCGAAGCGAATGCAGCCGGTCCCACTGTGGCTTGCGTTCAGCTCAATGGCCGTGTGCTCGGTTACACCACTCACAAGCAGGCCAAGATCATTGCGAACACGCTGCGCTACTGGAAGGTCAAAATGCAGGACTCTAAGACTCCCAAGGTACCGCTTTCACTCGAGATCGGTTATGTCCCGCCATCTCATGGTGGCCAATATCCAGGTCTCTATCTTTTCACAGGTTTGGCACGTATGATTCGCCCTGTCAAGTATTTGCCATTGAATGGCAAAGAGGACCTTGTCGGACCTTTCGAGCAGGTTTATATGAATATTGCCGTCACTCCCGATGAAATTGAAGACAACGTGCACACCCACGTTGAATACTCGCCCACAAACATTTTCTCGATTTTGGCCAATATGACACCATTCTCTGACTTTAACCAGTCTCCTCGTAATATGTACCAGTGCCAGATGGGTAAACAGACTATGGGTACTCCTGGTACTGCCTTGGCATGCCGCTCGGACAACAAAATCTATCAGCTACAGACTGGCCAGTCTCCTATTGTCAAGGCTAAGCTGTACGATGAGTATGGTCTCGACGAATTCCCCAACGGCACTAATGCAGTTGTTGCTGTCATTTCCTACACTGGTTACGATATGGACGATGCTATGATTCTCAATAAGAGTGCTGTTGAGCGTGGGTTCGGTCATGGTTCCATTTACAAGGTCGAAAAAATCGACTTGAGTTCGAAGCGCACTCGTGGCGACCCCATCACCCAAAGATTTGGCTTTGGTGATGATACTTGGCCAACTGAATGGCGTGAAAAGCTTGACGATGATGGACTTCCTATCATTGGTACACTATTACAGAGCGGCGATCCTATGGTTGCCTACTATGATGAGATTCTTGGCAAGACTAAAGTGAAGCCATACAAATCTTCAGAGCCAGCATATGTTCAAGAAGTCAAACTCTTGTGTGACGACGCTGGCGATGGAGAGTTGCAATCTCTCACCGTCAAGTTGCGTGTGAACCGTTCTCCTAATATTGGTGACAAGTTCTCGTCGCGTCACGGACAAAAGGGTGTCTGCTCACAAAAGTGGCCGGCCATTGACATGCCGTTCAGCGAAAGCGGTATCCAACCCGACGTCATTATCAACCCCCACGCTTTCCCCTCGCGTATGACCATCGGTATGTTTGTGGAGAGTTTGGCCGGTAAGGCTGGCGCTCTCCACGGAATGTCGCAAGACTGTACTCCCTTCCAGTTTAGTGAGCAACAAACAGCTGCTGATTACTTTGGTGAGCAGCTTTTAGCCGCCGGCTACAACTACCATGGCAATGAGCCCATGTACTCTGGTGTCACTGGTGAGGAGCTTCGAGTTGATATTTACATTGGAGTTGTTTTCTACCAGCGTTTGCGTCATATGGTCAACGATAAGTTCCAGGTGCGGTCAACCGGTGCGGTGAACAGCACAACCATGCAGCCCGTGAAGGGACGAAAGCGCGGTGGTGGTATCCGTGTCGGTGAAATGGAGCGTGATGCATTCATTGGTCACGGTGCAGCCTTCCTGTTGCAAGACCGTCTGCTGAACTGCTCAGACTACACACAAGCGTATGTTTGCCGAGACTGTGGCTCGATCTTGAGTACACAAAAGTCAGTGCCCCGCATTGGCACAAAGGCGCAGATGCACTGCCGACGATGTGCCACCCGTCTCACTGGCCGTCCCGATGACCTCAACGACGCATGGGAGGACGGACAGGGCGTCAAATTCACCGGAGGTGGCAATATCACAAAGGTTGCCATGCCTTTTGTGCTGCGATACCTCGATAGTGAGTTGGCGGCTATGGGCGTTCGCATGCGTTTCGACGTCCAACCAAAATAAGGCATTCATTACTGCAGTGTGAAATGGATAGATAAATGAATAAAGACATTGCTATAGCATAAATTGTATTGTTATCGGCACGGTGTTCGGCTAAGTGTGTTGGGCTACTTGATGTATAAATTAGACGCTTGGGACTTGCGGGGTTTCACAGTCATGCAGCTTGTCTTTCTGCAAAAGAACCCGCCAGCTTTGAAGCGTTTTGACCTCCGAACACACGAGGAAACAACTGTTCTTGAGCTTGAGGACGTCCCAGATGGGGTTGACGTTGATTTTTCCGAACAGCGGATCTACTGGACGAACATGGGTAAGATTGGACCCGACTACACCTTCTTTGAGGAGGACGGCACGGTCGAGAGCTGCGACTTCCATGGCAAGAACCGACGCAAGATTATTACCAGTGGCATTGTGACCCCTAAGCAATTGCGTATTTTTAACAACAAGCTCTTTTTCTGCGACCGCGAGGGCATGAAGGTCTACTCGGCGACCAAAGATGGCAAGCTGAACCAGCTCCTTTCTACGGGCGTGTTTGGGACAGGAGAAGAAAAAGATGCTATGCGGTGGAATGTTGGGATTCAGCCTACGAAGAATTACGTCTATTTCACCCAAAAGGGCCCCACCCGAGGCTTTAAGGGCCGGATCTGCCGCGTCACCCGCGATGGCTACGGCAAGGTTGAAGAGCTGTTGGGATCTCTACCTGAGCCAATTGACCTCGAGCTTGCCCCTTCAGGTAGACTCTACTGGACGGACCGGGGTGCGGGCCCGACTGGCCGCAGTCTGAACTCGGCAACGATTACTGATGCCGGGTTAGTGGACCACAGGGTGATTTTTGCCGGAATGGGCGACGCAATTGGGTTGGCTGTGAGCTTTGACGAATCGTCGGTCTATGTTGGCGACCTCAAAGGCCAGCTTTGGAAGATCGACGTAGAAAGTGGAACCGGCGAAGTTATTCGTAAGGGCGGCGCTATCACTGGTGTTGCCTTCTCTGTTGAATTTCACGCCAATCTATAAGCCCGTAGAACCCACTTTGATTATCTCGAGTCTTTTTGGGAAGCCCTGAAAAGTAACCCTTGACCATTTTTCATTCTTCGCGATAACTGATATATAGGTAGCATCGTGTATACATCCGCGTATTTTACAGAATACAAAATAGATTTGAGGCCACGGCCTTGAGGTTTTTGCCGCATTTTTTATGTTTCGCCTGATCAGAGCTCATGTGCTGCCAATCTAACCTGATCTTACAACTTACGTGTCAGCGGTGGCACAAAAAACCTGTAGAACGCGCTCTGCCTAGTCATCATGAACGAAGAGACGCCGAGCGGCAAGTTCTGCAGGATCACCGTGGCAGATACGGCTCGTGAGCTACATACGTCTGCCACGACTGGTCTGGAATTTGTGCGGGATGCCAATCACCGCCGAAGCGTTTATGGTGAAAACTCGCTAGACGTTGATGAAGATGAGTCGCTGTTCATGAATTTTTTCGGCCAGTTCACGGGCGACCCGTTGATTTTGATGCTGATTGCATCGAGCGTTCTGTCTCTTATTTTGGGCAATAAAGAAGACGCTATTTCAATTGCCGTCGCGATCTTTGTCGTAGTATCAGTGGGCTTCATCCAGGAGTACCGGTCTGAGCAGAGCCTCAAAGCTCTTAATACCCTGGTGCCCCCGGGTGCTCATCTTATTCGTGAGGGTGTTGAAAGCACGGTGCTTGCTTCCACCTTGGTTCCAGGCGACCTTGTGCATTTTTCAGTCGGTGACCGAGTGCCAGCAGACGTGCGCATTGTCTCTGCCGTGCATTTGACTATTGACGAGAGCTCTCTAACTGGCGAAACCCATCCTGTCGACAAGAATGAGTTCGAAATTTTAAGCTACTCTGTGCCACCCCTGGGCCAACGAACCTGCATCGCTCATATGGGCACTCTGGTGACCACTGGACACGGAACTGGTATCGTGGTGGGAACTGGTGCCCGCACAGAGTTTGGAGCCATTTTCGCCATGATGACCGAGATTGAAAAACCCAAAACACCTTTGCAAATTTCGATGGACAAACTCGGAAAAGAGCTGTCGATTATGAGCTTTGGTGTCATTGGCATTATCTGCCTTATCGGTTTGATTCAGGGTCGCAAGCTTCTGGAAATGTTCCAAATCGGTGTTTCTCTTGCCGTTGCAGCTATTCCTGAGGGTTTGCCCATCATTGTTACTGTCACATTGGCGCTTGGCGTGTTGCGGATGGCTAAAGCTAACGCAATTATTAGAAACCTGCCGTCGGTTGAAACTTTGGGCTCGGTTAACGTCATCTGCACGGATAAAACAGGTACCCTCACTCTTAACAAACTTACTGCGTCTAAAATTTATGCTGGAGGTGATCTAGTTTCGGTCTCTGGCCAAGCCCACCCAACACGTGCTCAGTCGGTTGCCCTACGTCTAGGGAGCATTTGCAATAACAGCAAGCTCATCACTGCAGGTGGTGTCTCGAAATACGTCGGAAATCCTGTTGATGTGGCTCTGCAAAACATTTTGTCTCATTTTGGCTACGACGATTTCCGGTCCTCCGTGGCCCGAGTCGCCGAGACACCGTTCGATTCCAGCCGTAAATGGATGGCTGTCGCCGCTCAAAGCTCCAGTGGAGAGACAATTTTGTGCGTCAAAGGTGCTATCGAGATGCTACTACCTAATTGTGAGATGGCCATTGATAAAGCCGGTCAGCCCGTCCCTCTGAGCGAGAGCATGCGGGCAGAAATTACTCGCACTGCTGATGCCGAAGCTGATCTTGGCATGCGTATTATGGCACTGGCTTATCGTGCTAATAGCCAGGACGTTTCTAAACTCGAAAAACTGGTTTTCGCTGGCTTTGTTTCCATGTATGACCCCCCTCGTCCGGGTGTCAAGCGTAGCATGCGCCGCCTTCTTCAATGTGGCGTTAAAATTATTATGATCACAGGTGATAATGAGCATACTGCTGCTTCTGCGGCTAGGGAAGTTGGTATTCCTGTTCCTACTAGTGGCCCATCTCTAGATAACTGCATCATGACCGGACCTACCCTAGAGAAGCTTTCACCCGAGGAACTTTCTACTGCGATTGAAAATGTTTTGGTTTTCGCTCGTACAACGCCTGAGATGAAACTCAAGATTGTGCGGTCGCTTCAGATGTGCGGTGATATTGTCGCCATGACTGGTGACGGTGTCAACGATGCTCCCGCCCTAAAACTAGCTGATATTGGTGTTTCCATGGGATCTGGCACAGATGTTGCAAAGGAAGCATCCGACATGATTCTCGTGAATGACGACTTTAGCACAATCCTAGATGCTATTCGTGATGGAAAAGGCATTTTCACGAATATCAAAGCCTTCTTGACTTTCCAGCTGTCTACGTCGGTAGCTGCTCTCTCATTAATTGTGTTTTCCACTCTATTCAAGCTACCGAATCCTCTAAATCCCATGCAGATTTTGTGGATCAACATCTTGATGGATGGACCCCCGGCACAGTCACTGGGTGTTGAACCAGTCGACCCAGCTGTGATGCATCAGCCTCCTCGTTCAAGACATGACCATGTGTTGACGCCTGCTGTTGGATATAGAGTCGCATTAAGAGGTGCAATCATTTTGCTTGGCACAATGTTTGTTTACATTCGAGAGATGAGTGACAACGAGGTTTCTGCTCGCGACACCACCATGTCGTTTACATGCTTTGTTTTATTTGACCTTTTTAACGCCTTGACCTCGCGTTCTGCCACCCGATCTGTGTTTGACCTCGGATTCTTTTCTAATAAAATGTTCAACTACGCAGTTGGTCTGTCACTTTTGGGACAGCTAGCCGTGATTTACGTTCCGCCTTTCCAACGTGTATTCCAGACTGAGGCGCTATCATTTAAAGACATCCTGTTTTTGCTGGTGATCACCTCTTCCATTTGGGTGTCTGACGAGTTCATTAAACGCTGGATCCGCAAAGAGGCTATGGAACGACCCTCACTACAAGCTGAGCTTGTTTAAAACCAGAGTATGGTATCATGCTTGAAGAATAACTTAAAATAAAATGGCGACTACGGAGGTTGCACTTTTTTTATTACACCAGCTCGTGTAACAGACAATTAAAAAAAAATCAGATGCTTTAGATAGCTTCAACTATCTCTCCTGCCGCCTTATGAATGCGGTTCATGATGGCTAGACCCTCTTCAGTGACGTCAATGCCTTCAACAATGATGAGATCAACGCCTAACGAGTCAGCTTCCCGGAAGTAGTTAAAAAGGTTGTGTGAAATGTCTTTGTTTGTTGTTCCGAGCGGCATATCGTAGACTTGCACATTTTCAAGACCGGCGAATGCACTCTTGGGGAATGTTTTTGATCTCAAATAAGCGACTTTAGTGGCCTTGCGGTTCCTCACAAAATCAACAAGCTTGTGTTCGGCTCCCGGCTGAAACACTGTCACATAGGCTTGGGGGGAGTAGTGACGGTATTTCATACCCGGCGTGCGTACTTTTTCGTTTTCTTTAGCATTGGGCTTGGCAATAACAACATTCTTCCAAGCCGAGCCACCTATTTCGCGGATCTGTTCCAAAGTGACCCCGCCCGGTCGCAATATCTGGGGAGGAGAGACCAGTCCATCGACAACCGTAGATTCCACACCGATATCCGCAGGACCACCGTCAATGATAAACGGAATGCGATCCCTCATGTCGTTGAATACGTGCTGGGCAGTTGTGCAACTTGGCTTCGTACTCGCATTGGCAGAAGGCGCAGCAAGAGGGAGATTGGACATTTCAATCAGTGCCCTAGCAATTGGATTCGCAGGCACCCTGACGCCGAACGTGGACTGGCCTAGAGTACACACCGGAGAAATTGTGGTGTTTTCAGGTAATGGCAGCAAGATAGTGAGAGGACCCGGCCAGAACTTTTCAATCAGCGGAACATAGATCGGAGGGATCTTGGGGCTGGGCACGGACTGCAACAGGGTGGTTTCGAGCTGCTCACGAGACGAAACATGAATAATAAGAGGGTTGTCTGCCGGGCGGTTTTTGGCCGCATAGATGCCCTGAACACCGGGAGTGCTTTGGCAAGAAGCCCCCAAGCCATAGACGGTTTCTGTGGGGAAAGCCACGACCTGGTCTTTTTTTAGAGCATCTACAGCAATGCGCAGATTGTCCAGCGTTTTCGACGGTGCAATCCGTGCATGGATCCCATCAAAAGTAATCTTTAACGGATCAACCTTCAGCACCGCAGTCATGCACAAGTCTGAAAATTTATTTTAGTCATTATCTGCGATTCTAGGCTATGTACAGGGGGCTACTGGCGGCGCCCTACGGTCATTCTGGGGACGCTGAGTGCTTTTAGCTTATCGATAGTTTCAAGTGTAGTGTTGTAGGATCTTGCAATGGATTCTCTGGAGTCGCCTGCCTGCAGGGACTGGAGAATTGCCGTGACGGTTTGTGCAGGCAGGAGCGTTTTGACCCCAGACTTGGCAGTGGCCTCGGCATCGGCAGCCTGGACTCGGGCACGGTATTCCAGGGTTTGAATCAGGACGTCTGACTTTGCTGGCTGGTACTTGGCTTGGTCCTCTTCGAGTTTCACGGGCCCGATTCGGCTGAGCCGGGAGAGTAAATCGTCGGGATCATGGCCGTCTGGGCGGACGCTTTCCTTTTGCTCGCGAGCAGTGGGCTCGTTTACTCTCGTCGGCTCAACCTTCAGCGCCATTTGAGTCTGTGCCGGCACCTGGCGCGGCAATTTGCGAGCAGCTTTCGAGGCGGTGTTTCCCATGACTAGTGGGAGTTGAGTAATTAGGGCGCTAATTTACGTGGTAAAGGGCCAAGACCGAGAGTACTCAGGTATTTCAGGTGGATACGGGATCATGGCTCTGCATGTTGGGGTTAGCCTCAATTAGCGGTTCCTACTCAATTGGGCCCCAGAGCACCCGGAAACCCCCGCCAAACCGGCCTGGGCCGCAGACCCCTGGATCGACCAGTGTGTGCTTATTAACGGACCGCCGCCTTTGGTCGCCCCTCATCCACCACCTGTTTGATTCACCAACGATGTCTGAGGAGCTCAAAGAAGAGGAGCGACTGTTTCGAGAAAGATATGGAAATAAGCTGCCCACACGTGCGGAGATTCTCAAGAACCAGCTAAAGCAGCGCCGTTTCTTCGACTCGGGCGACTACGCTATGTCCAAAGCCGGCAAGCCTGTGGAGGAAGTAGGCAGTGAACACCCCGTTCCAGAGCATATACCCCACCGCGAGGCTGCATTGGCCTATATTGGCGCGTCGCCTGTCCGTAGATCCAGCTGTCTAGCGCCCAATAAGGACGCAACATGACCGGTCGGCATTAGTGTCTTATTCCCCTCTCCGCGGGGGTTTACAGAGACCAGCTCAGACCCCCCGACATTCTTATTATTTTGGCCCAGTAGATGCTGCTATGATTTATATATTATAACTTTAAAACGTGAGAAGATCGTCACCACTCGATACGGCCGGAGTCGTGGTCGTCGTGGTCGTAGCCGTAGTGGGGGTGGGCGCCTTGGCGGCCAGCGGGTTCTTGGCGCTCGACGACGTGGTGGACTTGGACGTTGACCAGAGGCTGCCAAAAACGTCGTCCTTTTTAGGCGGAGGCTGGGCGCCGCCCATGGGCTGGTTACGGACAGGAGCCACGAACGGTTGAGAAGGTGCCGCTGTAGCGGGCGTTGAGGCCGGGGGAGCGACGGAAAATAGGTCTAGAATGTTGTTTGAGGAAGCAGGAGTAGGGACAGACGTGCTGGGCGCGCTTTGGAAGTCGGCAAAGTCGTCGTCGTCGGCGTCGTCAGCCTGTTTGGACGGGATCTGCGGCTTCCCAAAGTCTATCATGTCCTGACCAGCAGATGCAGTTGTTTGCGCTTGTGCATTCGAGTTTCCCGCACTGGGCAAACCTGCATCGTACTCCTCGAACCCGTCGTCCTGCGAACCAGCGTGGTGGTCGTCAGGATCGTAGTTCGACCCGTTGAAGCCGCCGCCGTCGCCGTACACCTGCTGCGAGTATCCGCCGCCGCCGAATTGGATCGACGAAGAGCCGAACCCGCCGTACTTTTTGCCAGTGCCGCCAAAACCACCCCGGTTGGGCCCACTGGAGCCGGTGCTGGTAACCCCGGTTTTATTGTTCAAAATGCGGGCTTGTTTACGCTCGGCCCGGATTTTCTCCACATCGGAAAGAAGTGCCAGAAGCTCCTGGCTTCGGTTCCGAATATTCACACCCTGGTCGCGGCCCGTCTTGTCGACGTAGTGGAAATGGCCAAGCATGTCAATAACTGCAGTGTGCGACCGGGCGTAGTCCACCACCCGCTCGGAGCCGTTCTTGACGAGGTATTCTAGCAGCTGCAGAGCCTTGTAAATTTGACGCCACTCGGCTGCACTCTTTTCCGTGAACCTTCGGTAGATGAACGGCATGATCTCGTGGAATTGCTGGTAACTGTTGGTCGCATCAGCAATTTCCTGCATCAACGACGTCGAGGCCCCCCATGGCTCGTTGTTGGTGGCCTCCCGCACCTTCGCCTCAGTGTCACTGAAATTAAGCACGGCGTTCTGCGCCTTGCGTACGTACGCTTTGACGTCGTACAGGGAGACGTTCGAGATTGTGTCGCGGAGGTTGTCCATGTCAGCAATCTGACCGATCACCGGTGAGGGATATATGGGGTGGTGGAGAAAAGCCGCCAACTGTTGAGCGGAAACGAAATAATTCAAATGTAGTAGATTAGTGAGTACATTGCTATTTGGTTTAGCCCACTCGCGGCCGGCCAGGATCCGCGCGATGACCCGCACGCCAAGATAAAAGGCCCACAGCCCGCGTGACGGGTCATTTGAATTTCATAGATTTCAAAACAGCAAATTCTTCGGAGCAATGTCGTTGCAATTGCACGATAATTAAGACGGCGGGCAACATTTTGGGGGGGCTCAATGTCGGCGGCTGCGGAATTTCCAGAATGTTCCAACATTCGCCCCGAGACGGGCAATTGGCCTACGAGCGCACTCGATGCCCCGATCCCGGTCGGCTTTCCTCAATCGAATCGTTTCTTCGGCTATCCCAACACTTTTACAAGGAAAGGGTAGGCGGAGCAAGCTTCTAAACGTTGTAACTTGGCTCAAACCCTGTGCAGATTGCATTGCATGATCCACGTGGCCACTGGATTTTGTGTTGAATTTGGCCACGAAGCTGGAGCCCAGGCGAATTAAAAAACGACTAGACCGGTTCAAAAGGGATGTTTCACTATAGTGTTGCATAAGTTCGCGGCGCATTTTCTTTGCCGCCGCCGCTCCACGACAAAACGCACGGTTCCCGCGGAGTGGTTGCCATAGCAATGCCCCTTACCCTCTAGGATTTGGCAAGCCATATATATAACAGGATGCTGTTGGCGCGTAAAATGTTTCGTACCACTCTTCCAAAAGTCTCGGTTCGCAACTTTTCATCTTCTTCTTTAAAAATGGGTAACAAGGTTTATTTCGATACCGCCGTCGACGGCAAGCCTCTCGGCCGCATCACTTTCCAGCTCTACGACGATGTTGTCCCCAAGACCGCCGAGAACTTCCGTGCCCTGTGCACCGGCGAGAAGGGCTACGGCTACAAGGAGTCCATCTTCCACCGTGTCATTCCCCAGTTCATGCTCCAGGGTGGTGACTTCACGAACCACAACGGTACTGGCGGCAAGTCCATCTACGGTGCCCGTTTCCCTGACGAGAACTTCGCCAAGCGTCACGACCGCCCTGGTCTGCTCTCCATGGCTAACGCTGGCCCCAACACCAACGGCTCCCAGTTCTTCATCACCACTGTCCCCTGCCCTTGGTTGGACGGCAAGCACGTCGTCTTTGGCGAGGTCACCGACGGTATTGAGATCGTCAAGAAGATCGAGTCTTACGGTTCTCAGACCGGCAAGACCTCTGCCCAGATCTCCATTACCGAGTCTGGTGAGCTCTAAACACTTAGCTTCGTAGTTAAATCCAGGATGTTTTGCGCAGTCCAGATTACATCCTCCACAGACTCCTTTCAACTTAACTGCCTGTTTTCCACGTTCCTTCGTTTGGGTTTCGCGTAAGCTTATGGGCAAGCGACGCTCAGCTCGAGCGCTCGTCAAAAATGTCATATCCCCACATAAAGGAGTCAAACAGCTGAAAGAGGGCACACGGTATCTTCCATCCATTCCCAAGCCGAGCATCAAGCAGCTCAGATCCCGGTATTCGAGCAAAGCGGCCGATCGTAATATCCAAGAATCCGCCACTGGTATACCCACCGATCTGCCCATTGAGGATTTTTTGGCGCTCCATAATTTGCAGCAAATCAGCGACATGGTTGTTTCTGACTCTGATGTCGCTGAGAGTACACATTCTGGCGATTATGTCGAACTCATCCCAGACGTTATATCATGTACTGATGAGATTCGTGATTCCAGCCCAGTTCCGTCAATAATGTTTGCCTATGTCCCCGACAGTGATACGGGCTGATATGCTGTTTTTTTTTGAGCCACTACTGTCGTCATAGTCTCGTTGTCGCTGTTTGCCCAACCTGCAGATGGCAACCCGACGTTAAATTATTGCATCCAAAAACCTACTACATAGAATGGTACAAAAGTAATGTGTGAATTTTACACTAGAGTTGTTGTATCTTTTTAAGACTTCGGCGACGCTGCTCTTTGGCCTAACAATCGAGCCTTAGAATGTGCGTACTCCTAGTGCTGGAGTACTCATAACAGTCCGGGCGAACTACGTAGGCACTGCGTTGGTATACTCCGTTGTTATAGCCACCTGATAATGATTTTTGTTCAAATCTGCCTTGCGAACCCCATTGCTCTCAAGTTTCCAAACCATCCCAGACAAGCATGGTGACACTTCCGTGATAAAATATCTAGAAATAGAACCTCGGCTTCAGGCGTTCCAACTAACATGGCCCAATTCGATATCTAGCATATTTCTATTGATCCTGATAGCGTACGTGCATCAATCCAGCCCACCTTGTCCAAATGGCTTACTCGATACAGATATGCTCCAACCCCATTGATGCAAGTGGTTTTTTGGTCATAGCAATGGCTTCTAAACAGCTAATAGGTACTAGTTCAGAATATTTTGAGCCTTTTGCTACCTAATTTATACCCCAGTAAAGATAAGTTACAGATGTTGCCTGGTCAGCCTATCCCAAGGAATATGCATATCATCAGGTTATCACGATTGTCATGAATGGCTTACTCGATACAAATATTTGGGTTTGTTTCAGTGGAAGGCGGTGCTACATACATTTCTGGATACCTTTCTTGCGAGAAGCAGGCCATTTTTTGGGTGGAGCTGGATGTTCGCGCATATGGCTTTTCGAGCCTTTATATGTCAAGTTACAAATTCAGTTTTGTCAACCCCCACGACGTCAAATGTAAATGGCACCCTTAGCATGAACGTCATGAATGGCTTACTCGATATGATGGGCTGTTTTCAGTACGGCAGGCGTCATCCAGAAAAATGTGACCCAAAGACTACCAAGAGCTGGAAACCTGTAGCTTTTTTTGACATGTTATGGTCCTAGCTCAGCATATTGAAAAGCGACCTTCCGAACCATGTTTATGTCAACCTACCCCGGAAAACCCCTGCCAGGCCGATCCTGAGAACATCATTGTCAGGGTTGGGATAAGCTTATCTGGCATAAACGGCGTACACTACATAATCTTGCAGAAGTCTGGAGATTTTCATCCCACTCTCTAACTATATAAAAGGTCAATGCATATGCATCATGGTGAACTCAGTCTCGAATGGATACAAAAAAGAGTCATATCCTCATAAAGCCGGTGTCTGTTGATGGAGAGGGCTCCATCTCTAGTGCAACTTCTCCGCAGCCGAGCTGGTGGAAGAGGTTCCTGAGAAAAATCGAGATCGATACAGGATCTCGGGAACTTACTCGCTTAGAAAGGTTCCTCTACAACTATGACTTGAGACCCGTCGAGGAAGAGCGTCGACAGTGGTCTTGGTATAATTATGTTTTCTTCTGGGTTGCAGATTCTTTTAATGTCAACACCTGGCAAATTGCAGCTACCGGCGTCGTTGCCGGAATGACTTGGTGGCAGACTTGGATTTCGGTTTGGCTCGGCTATTTCATTACGGGCTGCTTCGTCTCTCTTTCTGCTCGCCCGGGTATATTTAACCATATCTCGTTCCCAGTATTTATCAGGCAATCTTTTGGAATCTTTGGCTCACTCTGGCCAATTTTGAATCGTGTTGTAATGTCGTGTGTATGGTATTCCGTCCAAGCTTGGATTGGCGGCCAGTGCGTCCGAATCATGCTCGAGGCTATTTTCGGAACAGATCTCAACGAAAGAATAGGAGGAGTTCTACCAGGTCAGCATACAGATAGCTTGGGTATGCTAAGTTTCTTCTTATTTTGGTTCGGATCCCTCCCATTTCTGTGGTTCCCACCCCACAAAGTTCGTCACCTTTTCACAGTCAAGTCATACGTTATTCCATTTGCTGGTTTTGGGTTCATGATTTGGTCGCTCGTGAAAGCTCATGGAGCTGGATCAGTGATATATGAGAAATCAACTTTGAAAGGGAGCAAGCTTGGCTGGGCGTTCGTTTCGTCTACAATGAACTGTCTGGCCAATTTTGCCACTCTCATTCTGAATGCACCTGATTTCTCCAGGTTTGCAAACAAACCATCAAAGGCTATCAAGTATTGGGTCTATATTGGTTCAATTCCTATATGCTTTTCTGTTACCTGCCTTATTGGAATTCTCGTCAGCTCTGCATCAAAAACATTGTACGGAGAGGCCCTTTGGAACCCGTTGGAGGTTTTAGAGAAGTTTCTCCAGACATCTTGGACTTCTGGAACTAGAGCAGGTGCATTTTTGATAGCGTTTGCGTTCACTTTAGCTCAACTGGGTACTAATATTTCTGCGAATTCTCTTTCATTTGGTACGGATGTAACAGCTATGCTTCCAGGCTACATTAACATTCGTCGTGGAAGCTTTATGTGTGCTGCCTTTGCATATTGTATCTGCCCTTGGCAACTTATGAGCTCCTCATCAAAGTTCACCTCGGTTCTTTCAGCCTACTCCGTATTCCTGTCATCCATTATTGGTGTCGTGGCTTGCGATTACTACATTATACGACGTGGTTACCTTGATCTACACCACCTTTTCTCTTTGAACTTGCAATTCGAAACTGAAGAAGTTGCTTCGTACTACAAGTACTTTAAAGGTGTGAACTGGAGAGCATTCGTGGCCTACCTCTGTGGTATGGCTCCAAATATGCCGGGCTTTGTAGGTGCCACTGGGCTTAATGTTTCAGACGGCGCAACAAAGGTTTATATCTTGAGCTTCCCGGTAGGTTTCCTGGTGTCAGCTAGCATTTACTATCTTCTTGTTGTCTGGGTAAGTCCTCTCAAGGTAGGCATCGCTCCTGAGGTCAATCTCAAAGGATGGCCGCATAAGCAACCCTGGCTCGAGGAATGGAAACAAGTTGAAGATTTCGAGTCAGAACTTCTCGATGATGCTCCAGAGCTTCTTTTTGCAGTCAAGTCCGCCCAAACTGTTGCTGGCAAACCATCGCACAACGATATTGGTAATTTAGTTACACCGATTACAAGCTTTGGTATCAAAAGCTAAACATGATGATACAATTTTAGCTAGTAACACCAGAGTATCCTATTCACAAATTATTCCCGCCTAATGTTTCATTCCTCTGGAAAACGATAAATACCTCGAACGTTTATCCTCTGAGTGCAATAGTTGTATGCACAAACGCCCCCTGACCTCAAGTTTTGTTATCTGATATCAATTGGGTGGCGGAGCTTGTACTATCGCGAGACACATCGGTCATGTGAATCGTATTGAATCATGTTAGCCAGAAACTCGACATGTCACCGAGCGACACTGTCAGTAATTGAAGTATGTATTAAAGCAAACTGCTTGCTTCTTAATCTGCGAATATATTTGTGCATAAAGTGATAGCCGTATCACGCCAGTTGTGGTGCATGAGCTTACTCGATACAACCCATTGTCGCACATTGCCAACTAGTATCAAAGGTGGTATGAAGTTGCTCAGAAAGCGATGAATAACAAACCCTCTAGATTTTTTATACCCATCTATAACAAACGACTACTGGGTCTTGATTTGGTTGAAACTCAGAGTGTCGATATCGGATGGTCGATGTTGCCCCGCAAACAGCTCGGCTGCATAGTTGAGCTTACTCGATACACATACCAACATGCTTTATCAACCAAATTCTCTACAAAACAGGTGAAACAAGAGGACAAATTCCTGTCGGTAGAAAAAGTACATTTTTTGGGGTAATAGGTTCAAGTGGAGGTATAAGCGGTTTCATTACACTATGGTGGAAGATCGCCGTAATCACGATGGGTCAGGTCAGCCCATGTGAGGAGTCACATATGGCTTACTCGATACAGTGTGTGAGCTTGCTTAGGACAATGCGTTAAAACAATTGAGAATCAATAAAAATCGATGCAGGAGTCTCTGCTTTTTTCCCGTTTTAAAGAAATCGTGTTTTCCTAGGCTGTTGCCTTCGTGCCTGAAACTTGCATCTTCCAAATGTAGAGGTAGACTATACAGCCTGTAGGCTCTCGATCTCTACGCTAACCGCCCCAGATCGCGCTGATGCAGCCTTTAGTCACACGCGAGAAACTTGAAGTGGTAGTATTCCAACTTTGCCTTTCTCGTTGAAAAATCTGCGCAGAAGAAACAATGTGCAAGAGATCCCTCTCATTATGGTGGGAGGAGGTGTTCAGATTCAGTAAAGCGCTGTCGTCGAGGTATTGTTGAACGGAGTTGTCAGGGCTCGGGTTTCAACTATCTTGCGTCTGCAGGCATACATAATCTTGCACCGAGTGAGTTACGAGTTTACCCTAATTGAAGTCCATATAAACGCGAACCAGACGCCGTAGTTTTGGGACGTACTCAAATGGGCTCGAAGAAAAACGTTTTCACGGCAACTCAAGAGGCCAGCGAAGTAAATGAGGCAGATTCTACTGAGCCCAAACTGGCATGGTGCAAAAGATTAGTGAAAGCGATTCAAGTCAATACCGGTGAAGCTCGAGAATTGACCCCTCTGCAGCGCTATCTTTACAATTACGACTTGAGGCCCGTCGAGGAAGAACGACGACTGTGGTCTTGGTATAACTTTGTTTTCTTCTGGGTTGCAGACTCCTTCAACGTCAACACCTGGCAAATTGCAGCTACCGGCGTCGTTGCCGGAATGACTTGGTGGCAGACTTGGCTTTCTGTTTGGCTCGGCTATTTCATCACTGGCTGCTTCGTCTCTCTTTCTGCTCGCCCGGGGATATTTAACCACCTCTGTTTTCCAGTATTCATCAGACAATCCTTTGGGATCTTTGGGTCACTCTGGCCAATTTTGAATCGTGTGGTGATGTCGTGTGTATGGTATTCAGTTCAAGCGTGGATCGGGGGCCAATGTGTCCGAGTTATGCTCGAGGCGATTTTTGGCACGGATCTCAACGAAAGAATAGGAGGAACCATACCAGGCCAGAACACAGATAGCTTGGGTATGCTTAGTTTTTTCTTGTTTTGGTTCTTTTCACTGCCATTCCTTTGGTTTCCACCCCACAAAGTTCGTCACCTGTTTACCTTCAAGTCCTACGTTATTCCCTTCGCAGGCTTCGGATTCATGATTTGGGCATTAGTTAGAGCACACGGAGCTGGACCAGTCATGAATGAAAAATCTAATCTGAAAGGAAGCAAGCTTGCTTGGGCCTTCGTCTCGTCCACCATGAATGCCTTAGCCAATTTCGCAAACCTCATCCTTAATGCACCTGATTTTTCAAGGTTTGCCGACAAACCTTCGAAAGCTATTAAATACTGGGTCTACATTGGCTCGGTGCCTATCTGTTTCTCTATCACCTGCCTTATTGGTATCCTGGTGAGCTCAGCTTCAAAGGCCATGTATGGAGAAGCTCTGTGGAGTCCCTTAGAAGTTCTTGAAAAATTCTTGGAAACGTCATTTACATCAGGGACTCGAGCAGGTGCTTTTTTGATTGGTCTCGCTTTCGCATTGGCGCAATTAGGTACCAACATCTCGGCCAACTCACTATCTTTTGGAACTGACGTTACGGCCATGCTGCCTAATTTTGTGAATATCCGGCGTGGCAGTTTTATTTGCGCCGCAATTGCTTATTGTATTTGCCCATGGCAGCTGATGAGCTCGTCTTCTAAGTTTACTACAGTTTTATCGGCATATTCTGTGTTCCTCTCGTCGATCATTGGTGTAGTGGCATGCGACTATTATATTATTAGGCGTGGCTATGTCAATCTTCACCACCTTTATACTCTGGAGTTCAAAGAAGCCGATAACACAGTTACAACTTCCTACTACAAATACTTTTATGGCGTAAACTGGAGGGCTTTCGTTGCATACCTGCTGGGTATGGTTCCAAATATGCCCGGATTTGTGGGCGCTACAGGGCTCGTAGTGCCAGATGGTGCTACTAAGATCTATATTCTTAGTTTCCCTGTTGGATTTCTTGTCGCTGGTTCGGTGTACTACATTCTGACTGCCTGGGTGAGTCCGTTGAAAGTTGGACTGTCTCCAGAAGTCAATCTCCATGCATTCCCTCACAAGCAGCCATGGTTAGAAGAGTGGAAAGACGTTGAAGACTTTGAGGCAGAGCTGCTTGATGATGCGCCAGAACTTCTCTTTGCTGTCAGATCTGCAGAGTCTCAAGCGCTGAAAAAGTCTCAAAAAGACTTGAGTGAGCTCATTACTCCAATTACCAGCTTTGGGATCAAGAACTAGGATCAACAGATCGGATCACAGAAGTTCCAAGAGCGTTTACTACTTAATATTATGTATTTCTTTATTTTATTGACGACAACTGAAACAACTGGCTGAATGCATAAACAGCCCAACATTGACGCTTTAGACGTTAATTGATCTCAAATACACAGAATAGCAACAAGTTGAGCAACTTCCCCGCACCGATATCGGCAAATTTAGTCCTGCTCAACTATTTAAGGACACCAACCCCCCCTGGTCGGCTCTATTAGTGACAAACGTGTTGGGCCCATAAAGGATCGAACCTCCCCATAAACATAATGCGGATTCTTATTGTGAATGTTAATACCACCAAATCCATGACAGAAGCCATAGGGCGTCAAGCTCGCCGATTTGCTTCGCCCGGCACCGAGGTCGTCACCGTGACACCAGCGTTTGGTGCAGAGTCTATCGAAAGCAACTTTGAGAGCTATTTGGCCGCTGTTGGTATAATTGATGCTGTTCTCAAGTATGAAGAGCCCTTTGATGCGGTAATTCAAGCTGGTTATGGCGAACATGGTCGCGAAGGCCTTCAAGAGGTCCTCGATGTTCCTGTTGTTGATATCACAGAAGCCGCTGCATCTACAGCCCTATATCTCGGGTATAAATATTCTGTCGTGACAACGCTGGAGCATTGTGTGTCAATGATAGAGAACCGTCTCAAAGTCGCGGGACTCAATACGCGCTGTGCTTCGGTTCGAGCCACAAGCACCTCTGTTCTGGGGCTTGAGTCCAACCCAGAGCAAGCAGTTGATAGCATTGTGAGAGAAGCTGCTGCTGCTGTTGCAAATGATGGAGCGGAAGTCATTTGTCTGGGCTGCGGTGGTATGGCCGACCTAGAGGAACGCGTTAAGCAAAAACTGGGCGGCGTGCCTGTTATCGACGGGGTAGCAGCTGCTGTACAAGTTGCAGAGTCATTGGTCAAACTCCAGCTTAAGACGTCCAAGATTAAAGCCTATGCACGCCCTAGACAAAAGGCACTCGTGGGTTTCCCACTCCTATGAGAACGAACTTGAAAGCGGTATCCGGGCAAAACCTCTGTGCTTATCGCTAGTTTCTTTGTATTTTGTTATACATCATTGTTGTTTTGATGCAATTCTGTGGGTAGAACCTGATCGTTTTGTCTCTGATTGTTTGGCTGCCGCTATTACTATGCGATAGTTGTTTAGGTATCTTAGACTTGTTGGAGGCACTTGGTAGGACGAGCTTCTTTTTCGGTAGCTATAGACGAATGTGCCATAAAATCAAAAGTTGTAGAGAGAATCATAAAATTATGCCTTGCAGTTGAGCAAGACCCGACTCAGTACTTTTAACGCTAAATCTAGGAGGTCATGAGGCTCAAATCCAGGTGGTCACGAGGCTCAACAAAAACAAGATAAATTTACTTAAACCCGAGATGCAGCTATCATTTTATAAGTCGATTTGTTCACTCTAGAAACGGTCTCAACATTCTCTGGAGCGATAGCCCAGCTGGGTCATCGAGCAATGGACGTCCAGTCACTGATCAGAAGCGTGTTATTGGACCAGTGGGACTACACCTACTTGGTAGATACCTGGAGGTGACCACCACCCCATTCAGCGAGTTTTGCAGCCAGAACACCGTCGTTATGTAGCGCACTCATTTCGCTTGCACCGCCGTAGCTCTGCTTCATCACAATTACATTAGGCACGGTTCTCCTACCAGTGACTTCGGAGATATAAGCTTGCAGCTCACTTCCCTGTGGGTGGAGATCAAGCTCAACTACGCGAGGAGGGGGGCTAAGCTGGTAATCCTCCAACAAGAGCTTCTTGGCAGCCTTAGAGAAGCCGCAGTAGGACTTGGAGAAAATAACCACGGGGGAAAACGGACGCTCATTCAAGATGTTTTTATAGAGTATCTCAGGGGAGGCTACTCCATTTTCAGGGACCTCAATGATGTCCTCTAGCTGAATCTGAACGACCTCGCCGTTCTTGGCATTGGCGTGCTGCTCGGGGGCCAAGACTGATTTACCGGTACCTTTGCTCGAGATTGGTTTGTCTTTCCCAAAAGCTCGGAAAGTCACAAACACCAACAGCAGGGCAGTAACAACGTAAAACGCGACTCGAATTGTAGAGCTTCGACGCATTGTGACTAATCGGTAAGAATGCCCGTCCCACCTTCCGTCCGACCCTGAGGTTGTCTCGCCTGCGCATACCCTAACCAATGCAATGTTAGGCGCATATACAATTGAGGCCTCTAGCTAGTTGAGGCGAATAAGACACTTAGCGGCCCGTCGAAGTAGGAATTGGTTGCCTGGAAACCCAAACAGCAGCCGGGATCAAGCAAAAGTATGCAGTCCCCAGATCGCGATTTGAGACACAAACAATGTGTCATGCAGGGTGTTACGGAGTAGTGAGCTCAAATGGAAGGTTCGCCGACGGCAATTTCGAGGACGACAAGTTCTATGAGCAGCCACAGCAGAAGCGAAGATCTCGATCTAATGATATTTGCATCGCGGCATCGAGCTCCCTACTTTGCAGACCACTCGGCATCCGAAATGTTCCTTGACATGCAGCGCTCGGAGCAGAATATGAGTGCTATGCGAGTTGAGAATTTAGACGCTATGCAATGGCGGAGCGCTGTGGTTCGAACATGGTACATGACGTAACTACGCAGTTCGGATTAGGGGGGTTGCCTGCCCTGCGTTTTTGAGTAAACAACGTAGAAAAAGTATACCAAAAGAAAATTGGAGCAATTGATTGCACAAGTATCAGCATACAGTACGAATTTTTCCAACCCTACCAAATTAAACTAGCGTCTGCCGGACAGAAGCTTGCACAGTATTACAGCATCTGCCTAGAACACTGAACAGACGAGTGCCTTGCACCAGGGTCCGAACCCTATAGACCGGGGATCTGTTTTTAGCATAATGTTTCAGATCAGCTCCTGTTTTCTTAGTTTTACGTACATGAAAGTCTTTTTTAAAAAAATAGCACAAGATTCGAACAGTCGTTGGCATCTCGACTGCAATCTAAAAACGAGAGCCTGTACAGCGCCTTCTTGCCCTCGGCGAAGGAGATCTTCCGAACTATGGGAATTATTTGAGATTCTGTTCGTTCATTACATCAGCCCTGCAGTCATTAGTGTTTTAGGACAAAGCGAAGATGAGCAGTTTAATAATGGCAACACAGCATGCCACATATTTATAGATTTTGCGATCTGCTGACCATTAAGTGTCACATCCTGCTGCTTTCGCTAAACATCGACGCGTAGAAAGTGAATGCTGGCTCCTTTCTCGTATAGAACCGAATAGTAAACTGAATTATACAGGGAATTTGCCCGGAATTTCACACGGAATTCCCGAGGAATTGAGCAACCTTGCCAAGCCCGCGACCAGCCTGAAAGGTATGGGGCATGCAGGTGGTGGCCCAAAATGGTAAGTGTTCCTCGTCGGCAGTTACTGGCATATGCAGCACAGAAGCACGGTAAAAAGTTTTTTGGTGGACAAATTTGAACGCACTAACTGGAGCTATAGTGCGAATTATTTTACCCTGAGCTTGATCGAAGTATTTTATTTCGAAGGTTCTTGTTGCTTTGCTGAATGACCTGTCTTCCTGTGGTATGAGCGGTTTTTTTTAGCAGAGTTTTTGTCGCGTTGTGTTTTTTAGGTAATATCGTCAATGCATCATGCACGTAGCAGACAGCCCCTGAGCATAGACACACTATAAAGTTCGCTCCCTCGCACTTCATTTCCGCCAAAAAAATGAACTTCCTCAACGCTCTTCTCATCGCTGGTGTTTCCATTCAGGCTGTTTCCGCCGCTGCTGACACTTCCTCCAGCACACCCACCACTGACCCTACCACCTCCAGCACACCCACCACTTCCAGCACACCCAGCACTGTCCCTACCACCTCCAGCACTGTCCCTACCACCTCCAGCACACCCAGCACTACTCCTACCACCTCCAGTACACCCACCACTGCCCCTACCAGCGTCCCCACCCCCACTAAACCTGACGAGTCTTCTTCTTCCCCCGCTGCCTCTTCTCCCGCTGATACTTCCAAGCCTGCTGAGTCTGCTCCTGCTGAGTCTGCTTCTGCCTCTGCTCCGGCCAAGTCTGCCTCTGCTTCTGCCTCTGAGGCTCCTTCCTCTTCTGCCCCTGAGGTTCCTTCTTCCGCTCCCGTTAACAGCACCGATGTCACTTCCGTCCCTGTCTCCAGCACCTCTGCTCCTAGCAACAGCAGCAGCACCGTCACCACCGTTGTCACCGAGTTCACCACTTACTGCCCCGAGCCCACCACTGTCTGCCCCGGCAACGGCAAGTGCTACACTGTCACTGAGGCCACCACTCTCACCATCACTGACTGCCCCTGCACCCTGACCTCCACTGTTCCTTGCGTCACCTCTTCTGAGCACGCTGCTGCCACCTCCAAGAAGGCCGGTGCTTCTTCCAAGCACTCCTCTGCTCCCTCCGTTGCCCCCATTGAGACTTCTGCTAGTGTTGCCCCCGCCAACGGTGCTGCAGCCAACAAGCTCTCTCTCATGGCCGCTGGTGGTGTTATGGGTGCCGCTCTCATGCTTTTTTAATTTACTAACCTAAAACTAATTTTTTAGAGTAAAATTAGCTATACTAATACCGTTTGTTCTATTTTTCGTAAGTCCCAACATAGATCTTTCCCATCGAGTGTTCAAGTATCGTTTCGGTTAGGTGTAACGTCAATTCGAGAAGTCTTACCGTTGATTGAACCTAATTTAAGCTCGGCACTTTTCTTGTTGAAATGCGCTTTCCTGAATCTATTGATGTTGCAGATCATCAGGCCGTGCAGTTACGCACAATCTCTGCTAGACGCAACGACATGCCTATGTAGGCGTCGCCAATTTGATTACTTGCAAAGTTATAGGGACCGACAGAGGCTCCAATATACAATCTTATTTCTGCAAACAAAAATTGGAAATAGTATTGCCCGATATCTGCAACATACCGTTACGTTAAATGCTTCCGAAGCGATGAACTTAATGGCTAGCGGCACGATACATTTTCGGAACTTGCCCTGGGTTTACTAGCTGGGGTAATCTGCCAATGTCAATCTTCAGGTTAAGTAAACTCGAATATGTTCGTAAGGCAGCTCTATCATGTGATTGTTCGCAGTTTCGGTCCGCGCGAATGCGACCTGAATACACGACGAGATAAAACCGTCTTAAATTCCCCACACGTTCATCAATGATTTTTTTTCAAAAACACTTTGCTGCACCGTCGTCAGCGATCCCGGGGCTTTCACGGCAATAAACAAGGAGCTAGGTCATGGCGATAGTCACAGCAGATAGCATTAATTCGCCGTGCCGAGAACGTGGGGTAAACTTGACAATCCATATGACGACTAGCCAGCTGAAATCAGGATGCAAGACTTCACAGTACGCAGCCTCACAGATCCTTGACGTATAGCGATAGATTTGCGGGGTAGCTCTCCATGCTGGCCAAGGCAGGTATGAGGTTCAGAGGCGGTGCACTACGACTACGGCAAGGGTTGAAATTCAGAGATAAGGCCAGTTGAGCAGTATACTTGAATATAGTGTGTATAACGGAATTTTCGGCTCACTTGAATCCGCAATTAAGACACTGTAGATTTTGGCGGCACGGAGCTGGCGCTGGGACTCGAGCTTAGCGGTGGTCAGGTTAGCATGGGCGTCAGTCTTTCTCTGTTTAAAGCCCGGGTCGAGGGTTGCGATACTATGACTCTACTTCATGCCGAGGCCATTCCTGTTGAGCAGATGGACTACATTAAGCTCTAAACCCCTACCCCTAAGCACTGAGTACACGGGTTTAAACTGCTCCATTCGACATGTTCCTGGTCCTAAAACACAAAACCTCTCATACAAAATACATTTTTAGCTCTTGTAATGTATATAAAGAAAATTACAAAGTGATTGGTTTAAGACTGTGCTATCTCACAGAGAATAAACCCGGTGGTTAGGTCAGCTTCGGAGGGCCTGCAGACACTTGCGATGAGGCTAGCGCACGAAAACACGTCGAGACCTCTCAAAAACGACATATACCCCACCCCGGTGACTAGACAATACTTCGAAGTAGGTATCATCTTCCGAATTGCGTAAAGACTCAGTCTCTGGTCCAACCCACACTTATCTACAAAACGCCTGCATCATCATGCAACTGTTGATAAGGGTAAGGAGGAGCTACTCCATAACGCATCTTATAAGACGACCCCACTGCAGGGATGAACCTACAAGCCTTATGAGTTTAGAGGAGAAAAAGGCCGATTACGAAATCACTAAACAGGACTCCGAGTTCTCCACAGAAGTCGTTGACCTGGACATCCTCGACGCTGGCGTCGACCAAGCTGCCAAGTATGTCCGAGATGACCTGGTTCTCGACGAGGCAACTGACCGCGCTTTGCGGTTCAAGGCAGACATATACATCTGCTCGTTTATGTGCCTTATCTATGCAATCCAATTCATGGACAAAACTGCAACTTCCGCAGCTTCCGTCATGGGGCTTATTCAAGATTTGCGCATGGAAGGGAAAATGTACTCCTGGGTTGGAAGTTCATTCTACCTCGGTTATTTAGTTTTCGAATTCCCTATGGGGTTCGTGCTTCAACATTTTCCTCTCGCAAAGACAACAGGTATCATTATCGCCGCTTGGGGGACAGTTGTCGCATGTTCAGGTGCCTCGCAGAACTATGCTGGATTTATCTCTACTCGAGTGCTTTTGGGAGCCCTTGAGGGCGGAATCACCCCCTCTTTCATGGTTGTTACCTCTCAATGGTATAAGAGGAATGAGCAGTTTACCCGAACCTTGTTCTGGTTCGGGTTCAACGGTGTTGGAACCATTCTTGGTGGAGCGATTGGCTATGGCCTGCTGGTCAACACCAGTCTGGCTATTGCTGGATGGAGACTTCTATTCATTATTCTCGGTGTGATAACCATCGTTGCGGGTGTGGGCTTCTTCTTCCATATTCCCAATAATCCTTCAGAAGCGTGGTTTTTGAATGATACCGAGCGCTCATTGCAAGTCGAAAGAATTCGCAACAATAAACAAGGATACGGTAGTCCTAAAATCAAATGGTACCAAGTCAGAGAGGCTTTTATTGATCCGCGCACATGGATATATTTTGCGTTCCCAGTTGTAAACAATGTGCCGAACGGAGGTATCACAAACTTCCAGTCGTTGCTATTGAAACAAATGGGATATGATTCTGAGGATGCTCTTTTGTTGAGTATGGTGAGTGGTGCCGTCGAAGTCGTTGGCTGTTGTGCGACAGGCGTGCTTGCGATGTACATCTGGAACAGGTTCAGAATGGGCTGGGCTTTATATGGGTCAGCGTTCACAGTGATGTCCTTGTGTCTGCTTGCATGGTGTCCAACTCAGTCGGGTCAAATGGCTGGCTTGTTCTTATACTCGTATTTCACTCCCCTGAGCTACATTGGAATTATCTCCACTATCTCCTCGAATACCGCAGGTCGTACAAAGAAAACTGTGGCGTCTGCAATGATGCTGATTGGTTACTGTGTCGGTAACTTGGTCGGCCCGCAGACTTTCAAGCCGAGTGAAGCAGCAACTGGCTATCACACTGCAAAGATCGCAATGGCGGCATGTTCTGTAGCAGCTTTTGGCCTGCAAGTCGCACTGACCCTGCTCAACTACTTCTCAAATAAGAAGCGGGACCGCGAGAACAAAAAATTGCCAAGCGATATTGTTAATGCTGAATTTGCTGATCTTACAGATTTCGAAAACCCTGAATTCAGGTATGAGCTCTAGGCTCATCGTCTCTCAGTCGCTTCAACAGCTTGGTTCATGGAGTTTATAGGTATTACTGAATATTTTTGTCTTAGTTTTTATATGTCTTAATTTTTTAATTTGTATCTGCCCCTGATTCTTGGGGCTGAGACTCTTGAATCAAATGCTAGACTAAGGGTATATCCGGCTACAGAACATCCATCAATGCATGAGCTTTCAACCCAAGCATGAGTTGCTACAAGTCTCAATTACTTAGAGTCTAAATGCAGAGCTGGTAACAAGAGCTATTCACAGGAGCTAGTAACAAGAGCACAGACAAACTTTTGAGCTTTATGAAAGTTCGATAGAGAACCACTCTCTCGTGGCTCAATTCATCAAATTGTCTACTTCGTGAGCAAGGCTGCAGAAGCAATCTGGCCCCTCGGACCGCATGAGCCAGACTCGAGCTTGCCGTCGAGTGAGTTCGGTTTAGTCAGACTTTTGTAGTTTCCGTCGTTCATACATAAGCTCTTTAGTCAAATTTAATCCGGGCACTATGGCCGAGCGGTTAAGGCGAGAGATTAGAAATCTCTTGGGATTTTCCCGCGCAGGTTCGAGTCCTGCTGGTGTCGCCATTTTTTTTTTTCCCTTTCCCGTTCATATTGGCTTTTCAACCTCAAACAATTTTCAGTATCTTTAATGATAGTAAAGTAGAGCGAAGAGGTAATTCTAGTCAAAATTTTACTGTACGTAAGGTTATCACCAGTCTTCTCCCCAGTCCTCGTCGATCAAAGAGTCTTTCTCTGTAGCTCCCGCTTTGGGCTCAATGTCTACCTTTGTTTTAGCAGCTACAGTCGGAGTAGGCTTAATGGATGTGGTTAGTAGTTCTGGAGAACGTGCTGCTGGAGAACGTGCTGCTGGAGAGCGTGCTGCTGGCGAGTGCAAATTAGGAGAGACCTTCTTGATGAGACGCGAGGGCTTTCTGGCCGCCGGAGCAGGGATCTTCTCAGGAAAGTTTGTTTCGTCCACAGGAGAGCCCAATGATGAGGTAGGTGATTTGGTAGGTTTTGGTTGCTTGGGTGTACGGGTAGACGAACGACCCGGGAGATCGATTTCCACAGGTCTTTCGCTTTCGATCGATTTTTGTCCTGTTGAAGTAGAAACTGAGGAATGCGTACTTGTGTGTGATTCGTGGTCATTATCGTCCATAATAAGAGCAGAGCTCTCTTCCATGGAGAGAGTTGACATCTGGTCGAACAAGCTAGCGTATTGTGAGCCCTTGGGTGTACCACTGCCTTGGATTTCGTTAGCAAGAGTAGCAGATGTCTCCTGAACGCGACGCCCAAACTGTTCAAAAGCCTTGCGAGCATTGGTCCCTAAATCTGACTCGGCAAAATTACGCATTCCAGGGCGGATGTAGTTCTCGGTAGTCTCAGATACTGTCTGGGTGACGAAACGAGAGGTGTCCACTACAGTTTGAGTAAATGTAGAGGAGAACCAGCCCCAACTACTGGAGCTGGAACTATTATTAGTATTCTGGGTGGAATTGGCTGGGCTGGAGCCAAAGCCAGTGTATTTACCTCCCTGGGAGGGATGGAGGTCTTCAGGACGGTTAGCATTTTCCTGCCCAAGTGATTCAAAGTATTGGGCATTCTTGGCCTTGGTGCTAGCGCTGCTGAAACTAGGATGCGCACTCCGTGGTGTGCTTGAGCGGGAAGAGCCAGACTTTGGTGAGGGCTGAGCGGGCCCGGTGCCACCAGGGATCCGGCTCCCACGAGTGACAGCAGGAGAGTCGTCATGGCCAATGACAACAGGTCTATCACGCCGGGTCCAGGGCTCACCAGCAACCTCAGCTGCTAGCTTTTCCCTGTAATCCTCCGCGACGGTGGAAGCATACTTGTTTTGGATGGATATGGCTTTGGTGACTCCATTTTCCTCAAAAAAGATGCGTGCCTTCTCATTGCCTCCGATTTCCATGGACTTGACTTCTTCAGGCTTGAACTGGTCCATTGTAACCGAGCGGACGAACGACAGCTGGACGCCGAGTCCGCGGTGGATTCCAGCGCATTCCAGGCAGATGAATATGCCATATTTGGGAGATGCCCACTGCGGATTCGCCGCGCCACATTCAAAGCATCGCTTGTTCTCGCCTTGCCTTTGAATCGCGAGCAACTTGCGACGAACAGTGGGATCAACCGTCCAAGTAGACATGATTACACAATTGCTTGCAAAGATGGGCGACTAAAGAGCAGACAAATAATACATAGTTAAATAGTGGGAAATAGGGTCATTACATGCGGTTCAACATGAACTTTTTTGCCGCCACAAGTCTCTTTTGGAGGTTCTGGCGTTCCCTGGGCCGCGGAGTGCCTGGGCCAGGCACGTCATCCGAGCCCATCTTGAGCATCGTCTCGTGGGTGGACGCTTGACGCGTGGCCGGCGGAGTGGACATAATGCGGACAGCCCGGCGAGGAGATGGTGTTTCTGGCGAAAGGCGGGGTGGTGTTTCTGGCGGTGAAGAAGCGATGGGCAATGAATGTGAGCGGCGCGGTGACGCCTGGGGGTTTGAGAGTCTGGATGCTTTGGAATCGCGGACCCGTTTGCTGGGGGTGATCTGCTCTTCTTCCACAGGGCGCTTTTTGGGCAGGTCTTCGTCTTCACTTGTTTCTCCGTTTGATGCAGGTTCCGAGGGTGACACAACAATTGAATGGGTACAAGAAATATAACTCAACTGAGCCAGCTCAGGTTGGGCAGCCAGCCAGCGCCGTAGGCGGGCGAATTTGTCTTCTGTGCTAGGCGAAATCATCATAAGCAACTCCAGGCCACTTGAATGAACCGCATTGTTCACATTGCCTAGGTTGGCCATTGTTTTCAGGACTTGGCTAAGGCAGCCATTGGGTGGGGTGAGTAGCATGACTTTGTCGGCATCGGCGGCAATCAAAAAGTTACGCACACAGCGGAGACTAGCCAGGAGTGTGGACTTTGATGGTGGAGACGCGATGAGTTGGGAGACGATGCCGAATAAGTCCAAGTTTTCAATTATGGCGGTCGTTGAAGAGGGCCGCTTTCTCAGACAAAAGCCGAGCAATTCGAGGGCGAGCTCGAAATAATGGGCCGATTTAGGGTCTTCTGAGAATCTCTTGACAATGCCCTCAAACAGCACAGGCGCAGTTTCTTCATAAAAGAGGACTTCAGGTTCGCTGGCTGGCCCGATGGGCGATTCAAGCAAAGCTTTAAGAGCATCGCAAGCTTGTCGCCTCAGTCGCGGGTCATTGTCATTATTGAAAATATTCATCAAGCCATTGATCACTGGTGCATTGTATCTGTGAGCGGAGTCTACCCAAACGACGTTAGCATCTGCTTCAAGAATAGTTCCAACAATGTCCAAAGCCAAATTGCGCATTTGGCGGTTTGAGTGGGCCAGTCCGTAGTTTAAAACAGAAAAAAGCCCATTCTCAACCATGATGAGGTATAGGGTGACTCTTTGAGTGGGTTGAAATGGTCTGGAAGTTGCAGTCAAATGGGCGGTGAACTGGAGTCCTTCATCACGAGCCTCGGTTTCCTCCAATGGACCATTTTTTGCGTCGAATAAGCCAAACAGCGCATTTGAAAACTCGGGAGTCGACTGCATCCACACAATGATGTCGATTTGATTCAAGAAAATCAAGGAGGAGATCATGTGAAACGACGTGTCGTCCATGAGTCTGGCGAGCACAACGTCTTTGAGCAGCTGGAGACGGAAAGTTTTCTGGATTTTCTCTATAATCACTTCGTCGTTGATAGGTACGACTTGACGGAAACGCGCTTGTTTCTCGAAAAAATAGCGGTAGTTTGCCTTTTTGCGACCGAACTCCTCGTCGTACTCCATGACATCGAGAGCGGCGGTGAAATACTTGTCTTCAAGTAATAATTCCAACAAGGAAGACTCACCAAACAGCAATATTTGCTTGACAAGGGTGCTTAGTGCGTAGAGTATTTTTAGACGCTCGTTCGAGCTGAGGGCTGGGTCTGATTTGGTCGACTGAAACAGATCAACAATGTAGCGCGGGTAATCGCAATGCGTAAAGTACGCGACAACTGCTTCGTGTCCGTACTGTGTTTCAGAGGCCTGGGCCAAAAGCTCGTTGACGAGCGCGAGATTCGACTGGGTGGGCAGAGGCGGGAGCAGAGAGGTGATGAGTTCGGAAAGATCCGCGGCACCGTCCGGGGTATTAGAGCAACTGAGCAGCTGGACCGAGGGTAAAATTGACTGGTGGACGTGGACCAGGAATTCGCAGAGCGTGATGCAGCCCAGGACCTCCTGGAAGCTCAAAGCAAGCTCGACGTCGTCGATCTTCCAAATGATAAGCGCATTGTGGCGCTGATAGCGGGAATTGCTGGCTACGGTCGTCTCCAAAAGCATTGTGCCGGACTCGGACTCGTCTTCAACGTTAATCGTGGCCGTGTTGTCGGAAACAACCCCCCAGCACAGCCCAGTGCCCTGGTCGTTCCAGTCGCCATTATCCAGCTGATAGAGCTTGACGCGCCACCGCTGCGTGGGATTCGTCAGAAGAGTGCTCCTGCTGCCTTCGAGCTGCTGCACGTCCCGTGAACCGCCTTCGCTATTGCGGTTACTGCCGCCATCTTTGGCGGTCATTTGGCGCGACTTCGAAGGGGGGGATCGTATGGAACGTTAGTCAGCGGAGCCGCCCCAGGAGCTCGGGGGAGCCCCTTTAAACGGCCAACAAGAGGTTTGCAGAGGTTGGATGCATAATTTCGTTATTATTTTTGCGTATACATTATTCGTTTAGATTAAATCATTCATCACTTGACTCGAGGCCGCTGAGCGCACGAACCACGCCGGGCCGTCTCATCATGTGTCGAGTCCATTTGTACACTTCGGGGAAGTCGTCTTGCAAGTTGACTCCGATCCGCTCGACGACATGGTTCCAAGTGACGAAGCTGAGGTCTGCGACGGTGCAGTGGTCGCCCACGAGCCAGACCGGTTCGTCGAAGAACTTTGATTCGGAGAGAGGGGTTGTACCGAGAATGAAGGTGTCGTTATCGTCCATTTCAATGATAAGCTGTTCTCTCTTTTCAGCTAGTCGCATCTCGACCACACTGTACAGTCTGCGTACTTCTGCGACGTAGCGGGCGACTGCCGAGTCGATTGTTTCGCTGTGGAAGTACCTAAAGTGCAGGGCCTGGCCGATCATGGGAGCGAGGCCGGTTGCTTGGAAGAAGATCCAGGAGTCGATTTGGGCCTGCTCAGCCAGATCGTCAGAGTACAGGGAGCATTGGGGTCCTGCGAGGCGGCACAGGTACAAAACAATGGCGCCTGATTCCCAGACGCTCACGTCTTTGTTGTCGTGGTCGATAATTGCGGGGAGACGAGCGTTGGGGTTGAGCTCAACGTAGTAAGGGGACTTGTTCTCCTGCCGCTGGAGATCGAGGTAGACGGTGTGAAACTTGAACCCGAGCTCAGTCAGAATAATGGCGATTTTGAATCCGTTGGGTGCTGAGCGATGAGAAAACAAGGTGATCCCTGAATCAGGCATGTTCTGGCGATAGTGGCCAATACGATCGAGCGGCGGCGCAGTCTTCTGCGAGCCGAAGTTTGTGTTGTGGGCGTTGTGGAGCTCGTCCTCGGCCTCGAAGGTTTGCTGCTGGTGCTGATAAGCCTCGCCGCTCTCTGAACGATCGTGGCCTCCCAATTGAACGGACGCCAAAGCTGTGCTTAGGTTCGACACTGGCCTTGAAGCGCTCATGTTGATCATTTCTATATCTTGTGGTTTGTCTCCGTGCACTGACAGCGGTGTGTGCGCTGTTGATTTTCGTTGGACAAGAAAAAGGCGGAAAAGAGGGGTTGGATGGCAGAATAAAAGCACTGCTGACGCACCAAACGTTCTGCTCGTATGCACAAGAAACCACTGGCTGGGGGCCGGTCGAGCGAGCGGCGGGTGCCAATATCGAGTCCGAAGAAAACTGGCGTGTAATTGAAGCAGGCACCATGTTTTTGAAGGAGCCGGGACGACCTTGTGCGCGGGTTACGGCCACGGGGCCCGAGGATTTAGGGTTTGGGGCTGTAGTTGCCATATGTACATGGGAGTATCTTGCTTTGGGGTGTTGTTGGTAACTAGCGGGAAAATACGTTCTAAAAATTTCTGTAACACTAAAGCAGCACCGAAGAACCTGCAGGCACGAAACGGCAAGCCCGCCTAATCGGTGGTTTTCCCAGGATCGCCTGGCGTCGCCGGCGGTGCTGGCGTTTGCCGCATCATTGATGCATGATTTGACAGAAGCAGATGGCAATTAAATGGGGCCCATTGTGGAGCGGGGAAAATATCCGGCCATTACGGGCCGCGGCGAAAATAAGAAATGTAATGGGGAGGGCAAGCAAGCATAAAATTCAGGCGGAGACGCACCAATCACCAGCGCACTTGTTCTTAGTCAGATATAAGCAATTATGTGGTAAGCGTGCTGAAAATTACGCACCCAAAAGTATAATGGCAGTTTTTTTTTCACCCACACACTCCTCAACTTAATCTAACCATGGCTGACGACGACCACACCTTCGAGACCACTGATGCCGGTGCTTCTTTGACCTTCCCCATGCAGTGCTCTGCTCTGCGCAAGAACGGTCACGTTGTTATCAAGGGCCGCCCCTGCAAGATCGTCGACATGTCCACCTCCAAGACTGGCAAGCACGGACATGCCAAGGTCCACTTGGTTGCCATCGATATCTTCACTGGCAAGAAGCTTGAGGATCTTTCTCCCTCCACCCACAACATGGATGTGCCCAACGTGTCTCGTACCGAGTTCCAGCTCATCGACATTGACGACGGCTTCCTGTCCCTGATGACCTCCGACGGTGCCACCAAGGACGACATCAAGCTCCCTGAGGGCGAGCTTGGCGACAAGATCCAGGCCGACTTCGACGAGGGCAAGGACCTGCTTGTTACCATCATCTCCGCTATGGACGAGGAGGCCTGCGTCTCCTACAAGGAGGCTCCCAAGGGCAACAACTAAGTAGATATTTAGTCACCTAGTTCTTAGCTGTTTGAACTTACTTTTGGTATTTTTTGAGCGTGCGCGTCGTCGACGGCGCACAGGCGGGCTCGTCGGCCCGGGCTGGGAACGAGGTTCGCTGCAAACCTCGCTCGCTCGAGGACAGCTTGCATTATTCCATATCCCCGTCCTTGCATATTACCTAAGCGAGTCTGGCTAGGGTTTTTCCCGTTTTAAGGGAGCCGCCTTCCCGTTTGAGTGGCAAGTTGCATAAACGTCGCTATCACCATCTAGTGGTAGTATCAGGCAGACGGTAAGTAGGAGGCTCCACAACAAGACGGGGGCTTTGCATGGGTGGCCCCAGGCCCGCGGACATGGCCACGGCTGCCGGAACGGCGAATTGCCGACGGCTACCCCACAAAACCGCGTTGGCGGTTCGGCCTTGTACGTCCATTATTAGGCGTTTGAGCGGGTGCGAATCTCGTCGCTCCTGGGCCATTTCGAGGCCCATCGTGCAAATAATTGCCCCTCGCCGTACCCCTCGCCCTATGGAGGGGTACGAGAAGCGACGTTGTTTGGTGGGACCGATATAGCGGTAGCCAATGGCGAGGGCTGTATAGCGCCGGGTTTAACCCGCTCCAAGTGTCAGTTATAATTAGATGGACGAATAAGATTCCGACGGCACAAGGATTTAAGCGTCGGTTGCCCACTAGCGCGGCCACATCTGCTCTGGCTGAAACCCTTGCCCCACCCCAAACATATCTGCGTGCGCGGTGGGACAAACAAAACCCGTCCTTCTTGATATCGCGACAATAAATACTAACCGAAGACTTTTACTCAAAGCTTCCTAAGGACCTCACACCCCATCATCTGCTGACCAGTCTAGCCGATCGTAGCATAAGCGCTGTCCAAAAAAAAACCTGCCTAGGCAAAAAATAATCCGCCCCTTTATTGCTCAAACTTTAATCAACCCGGCAATGTCAGACTTGCAGAATCCCACCAATCCCGACTACAACCCTGAGCTGGATGCGTCCCACGGTATGGGCCAATCATCGTTAGGGAACCAGAATTCCCTCAAACGCGAGCCGTCCTCGCTCCAGGACGATGACGATGAGGAGGACAAAAAGGGAGGGCGCGAAAGGCGCAAGATCGAAATTAAGTTTATTCAAGACAAGTCCCGTCGTCACATTACGTTTTCAAAACGCAAGTATGGAATTATGAAAAAGGCCTACGAGCTCTCGGTGCTGACGGGCACCCAGGTCCTTTTGCTGGTTGTTTCTGAAACGGGTCTTGTTTACACCTTCACTACTCCCAAACTGCAGCCCCTCGTGACCAAGCCGGAGGGCAAGAACCTCATCCAGTCGTGTCTCAATGCTCCAGACGAGTCCGATGCAGACACCCCGGGCCAGGACGACAAGAAAGACCCCCAGGACGGTATGCCTGATGGTATGCCCAATCCGCCGCGCCAGGCTATGGTGCCCAACCAGCAGGGCCCTGGTGTGGTGCCAATGCCGCCTCAGGGCATCCCCATGGACGCCCATCACCCCGGCATGATGGCCATGCCCGAGGGAGTCCCCCAGCACGCCCCTCAAATGGTCGATGATCTCCGCATGCGCATGGCCCGTGCTCAGCCCCCGAATGGCATGGCCGACCAGTACGTGGGCCCAGAGTACCCACAGTATATGCCGGTGACCCAGCAGCACCGCCGCTTTAACTGATTTTTATTTATGCACCTGTCATACAATCCTCTTGTCTAATTATCTACTTTCTCTAATCCTCAGAATTCAAAATTGTCTACACGGCGAAAGACTTTTTTAGTCTTTACCTTTCAGTGCTTGACTCTTGAAGGTTCATCATAGGAGGGAAAGAGTCCTGGCGTGTTCGACCACGCGCTCGAACGAGCTTTCTATAACAGGACTTGGGGGGAACAAAGTGAAGTTCTAAATAAGCTCCATTGGGTTATCCTTTCGGACAATTGCATATCTATCGTTTGACGGCAAAAGGCCATCCTCGTCGAAGCGTCCCAGTTGAACCAACCGCTCCACGTAGAGCTAAAGTCTTGATCAAGACAATCGGACTGGCACCTTTCTCAGGGGCATTTCTGCGCACACGACCGGAGACTTTCCCCAAAGCCTAGTAAATATCTTTAGTAGCTTTGAATGCAATTTTTAGAACCTGAAGAAAACTTCATTGTCAGCAGGTTAAATAGTGAAGTTCGGCCGGGTAACTCTGCTCTGGCGGGGGCTTAGCAGGTGGAAGTTTAAGGAATAAATACGTAGATGCTACAAATCTTCAACAATACCTTTGCAAAGGCGCGGACGCACATGCCGTTCAGCCCAGATTTCGTTGGACTCGAATTGCTCGCCGCACTCCCGGCAGTGCCCGGCAACTTGCGAGCGTTGGGAACAGCGAGTCTTTTTCGGATACGTGAAATGACGCGATTTCAGGTGCGCCTTGTAAGTGTCTCGGCGCGAAAATCCTCCTGTGGGGTGGCATGGCCGGTCCTTTTCAGGATCAAAAAAGGGGCAGGTGTAAGCTTTGTTTTCTGCGTGCTTTTTCAGATGGCGAGTCAGATAGCCCTTCACTCTGAAGGTAGCGTCGCACTCGGTGCACGCAAATAGCCCCTCAGACGACCGCATCCCCGGTGGGGATGTGGTGGATGGCGACGTCATGTGGGAAGACATGCTCAAGGGCGAGCTGGAGTCGGGAGACGTTGACACCGTCTTCTCATCGTACGCAACACCATTGGTTGTATATCGGTAGTCGCAAACCTGGAGTTTGGGAGTGAGCATAAAAGATTTGGCAAACTGGGGCTCGTTCAACCGAGGCTCGGCAAATTCGTCGTCGACAGTCAACAGTGACGGGTTGCACGAAGTCTCTTCGTAGTTGACTAGCTCGCCCTGATACCATTCTTTGGTGTGCTGCTCCAACGCAAAAGATTCGCCAATAGATGGTTGAGAAAATAATCCCGAGAGGCTCGCCGGCGGCTCGTATGTAACACTGGGGCGGCTGCAAGCATCGTAGTGAGGCGACAGCTCGTCAGCATAGTAATTAGGCGACATCTCTGGGGACGAATATCCTACGGTCTGGGCCGGTTTGATATTGCCTCCACCCATATAAGGAGTCCTGGAGAAGCTAGCCCCGGACACACTGTGCGAGTGGCCGCTGAAGCTGGAGCGCATAGGTCCACGGCGGACAGGAATAGGCACAGAAGTGGCCGCGGAATAAGGAGATTGCTCATAGGAAGAAAAGGGCGAGCCGGATTCTTCAACTCCGCGATAGTCGCATTCAGCAGGTGCCCACCCGTCGATTTCTAGGGTGTCCCTGCCAATGGCCTTGTCCAGGACTGTTACGTCACCACCAAAGCTCCATTCGACATAGACCCCAGTGTTCTCATCGTAGGAGGAGGGCCGGACATTAAAGTAGGAATCTGTTGCGCATGGGGTTGGACCGGACTGTGCTTCTGCATCACGGTCAGCTGGTAGAATAGTGCCAGCGGATTTCGGGAAGAGGCCAGTTTTGCGGCGGGGCTTTACATCCTTCTTGTCGGTTTCGGCTTCGAATATTTTCGAAAGCCATCTGAACCTTGCTTCAAGTCCAAAGATGCTGCCCAAGATGCTCACGATAGCCAATCCAGCGGCGATCATCTGCGGCGAGGGAGGTTTGGGAACGTTGTTCCAGCTTAAATATCGGGAAAAGGCGATCATACTAGACAGTCACGAAAAGTCGACTTTTCTTGAAAGTATCGGTGCTGCTCCGTAGTCCGAATGAAAATAGAAATAAAAATAAAAACACTGACGCGTTGAAACGACCTGGTCGATGTGTGTGGGTTCGTCACCTAATGACTAAAATGGATAGTCCCAGGGAGGGGTAGCTGGGGGCGCAAAAAAACGACGATCAGGGCTACGCGGGGAAAGCGATAACGCAAATAGTAAAGAGGCCGAGCTAGACGCGGTGAGAGACTAAGCCAATCCTAAATATGACAGGTCTTTTGGCCTTGAAACAGAATATTACAAAAGGCCGTTGGTTCACAAAGCTCAGAATCTACACTCCGGGATTCGTTGGGACAATGATAAACTTTACTAGCGGGAATGGGTTGGTAATATATAAGGGTGCATGCACGAGGGACCGCGGTAAGGGCAGAATCGAGGCGATGCGGTGATATAGCTGTTTATTCAAGTGCCTCTAAAAGGTTTCTAACAATGTGTTTTAGATAGTGTGTAAGGAACCACGTTGGCTTATATGGATGCGAATTTCTTGCCCAAAGTGACGCACCGTTGTCGCATTTTTGCTGCAGAGTCCTTATCTCCAATAATGGTGCCGTATATTATTACTCAGGATAGCGTGGACGCAAAGTCCAGGGTTCTTCTGCATGACCCCTCGCCCGCATATTTCAGGGTAGGTGAATTGGATGTGGTGGGAAGAGATAGGTATCCAAAAAATATTCGCCTTGCTCAACAGGATTCTAGAACAGCTAATCTGGCTTTTCCCGCAACAAAGCTCACTCGAAATTTTGTCTTGCCGCTGCACAAGGACCTCGTTTGCCAACGTACGATAGCGACTGACTGACGATTACTAAAGCAGCATGGATCAGGCGTCGGTCCAACGGCGATTTCGTTTACCGATGATAATTCGGGAGATGGAAAGGGCGGATACGATCCGAGTGCAGTACTTTTCGAGCTACTCGGCCAGCGTCGGCTCCAAGCAGCTTGATTTTTAGTTCTGGCACCTGGCACGTGCGTCGTTATCATACGTGCCCTTGCCCTCCCCGCTATCAAATGCCCTCCCGGCACGTGAGATCATCCAGCAATGAGCAGATGCATAATTATGGATGGTTAGATCGTTACATAGAGAACATAGGGTTAAATAGGTAGTTTTTTTCTGTCGGCCGTGTCTGCTTGCCAATTCTGCTCAGCGAACAAGCGTAAGACGGTACTGGTGGTAAAATCCAATGGCGACAATCGAGACCAGCAATCCCGCGACATTGATCAGGGTCAATTTGTCATGGAATACTAGCACCGACACGAAAATCGTGACCATCTCTTTGAGCACACCGGCAATAGCTAGCGTCAAGGCACCAGTAACATTCAGTAGCTCGAACTCACTCCAGGTCATGCAAAAAGCCAGGACTCCTGGAAACAGCAAGTAGAGGACGGCGATAAATTTGCTGTGTGTGTTCCAAATCTCGGCGTTGGCGAACTCGCGGGGGCCCTCCTGAATAAGGCCCCATACAATCAAGATGAGACCCATGCCAGGGGCCAGAAGCATGATGGTGCGCACAGGATGGGGCTTGGTGTTTCCCATGTGGCTACTGAGAAGGATTTTTGTGACTGCCCAACGCAAACCGGACGAGCAGGCCGCACTCAGGACCAAAAGAAAGCCGGTCAAGTGGAACTTGGTCTCACCCCTCACCATCATAGCCACACCAATAGTGAGTAGACCGACGATACCTCCCAGACGCCAGCTAGCGAACTCGAGGCCAAATAGAATGCTAAACACCAACACAAACCCCAGGGACGACGATTTCACCATGGTGTAGAAGCTCAATGACACGAACTTGAGACTCAGATTGCCCATGCCAATGTCACCTGCACTGGCCATTACACATGGCAACACTTTGGTCGCATACGCAGATAAAGGCAATAGATCGTGGTTGATCCCCAGCGCGAGAGTTGTCAAATAGGCCAAGACAATTTGCACTCCCTGATGCATTCCCGTCGTAATTACAGGAAAGGGAAAGTTTAGGCCTCTTGGAGAGAACATCCACTTGTTGTAGACAGAAATGGCTACCGAAAAGATGTACCATAGCAAGCCATAGGTAATTGCTGCTCTAAAATTAAACGGCGGCGGTTTCTCTAACGTATCGTCGCCAACCAACGCGTAACCGTCTCCTGACCGCGTGGGAAGCTCAAAGTCTTCTTCCTCGTCAAATATCACACGTTCGTCGCGCGAAAACGACTGCGAGGCTCTGTGTATCGGCTCTTCCATACTCTCTATACGCAAACCCAACTCAGAAAGCTGGGACGGCAAGTCAGCATCGGGCAAGGCTGGGTGTAAGGTCGGAGGGGGACAGGGAGAGTTGGCCGTACAATTAGCAGGTGATGGAGGAAGTTACTATAGAATAAATAAACAATATCAATTTTTCTTGCCTTTCTTGGAGCGTTTGTTTCCGTGCTTCTTCTTCTTTGAATAACCGGCGGTAGAAATTTTCTTCTCGACATCCATTTGATCTGTGGGCAATTCGATCTGCTGTTTGCGGGCGTTTTCCTCGAGTTTTTCGGCAATTCGCTCAGCGCGAGCCTTTGCAACGTCGCCAAAAGACGTGGCTCGTTTGACCGTCTTGTTTTTCTGCACGTTCTTGGCACGGAGTGATTTAGCCATTGGAGTAAGGTTTTTATTTTAAATTTTTCCCAGTAATCTGCACTGGATGGGAGGAAGGCGAAGGGTATTAGGTATCAGGGGTGTTGGGCAGAGGGGTCATGCCGTCATCATTTTCTAGGGCTTAGGGCTGTGGGACTAGGATGCTTTGATGAGTATACCCAAGGACCCCCCCAGCTCTTTTCATTACCCAAATGCCGAATTTGAGATTGCAGAAGCGTCTGGCTGCTGATGTTCTGGGCGTCGGTCAGCGCAAGATCTGGTTGGATCCTAATGAGACCACCCAGCTCAGCGAGGCTAACTCCCGTGTCGAGATCCGCAAGCTTGTCTCCAACGGTTTGATCATTGCCAAGCCCACCACTGGCCACTCCCGCTCCCGCACCCGCATTTTGCACGAGGCTAAGCGCAACGGTCGTCACACTGGTTACGGTAAGCGTAAGGGTACTGCTGATGCCCGTATGCCCTCGCAGGTCCTGTGGATGCGTCGTCAGCGTGTCCTCCGCCGCGTTCTCGCCAAGTACCGCGAGGCTGGCAAGATCGATAAGCACCTCTACCACAGCCTCTACAAGCTGGCCAAGGGTAACACTTTCAAGCACAAGCGTGCCGTCATTGAGCACGTCATCAAGGCCAAGGCTCAGGCCGCCCGCGAGAAGAGTCTCAAGGACGAGGCCGAGGCCCGCCGTGCCCGTAACAAGGCCGCCCGTGAGCGTCGCCAGCAGCGCATCAACGAGAAGCGCGAGGCCCTCCTCCAGGGTTAATATGTATTCACATACTCATAGCCAGAGCACCTTAACGTACCCTACTACTACATCACTTTTTTTCAGCCTGTTACTTTAGCCTTAATTTGCTGACCAAATATTGTTTTCAAAAAAAAAGTCTTGCAATGTATAGAGCGACGGGGTTAATGCGTCAACCGAAAGCCTTCACGGGGCTTGCAAGGCTCGCACGCTTTTATTCCGAGATCCCTGCTGAAGGGAGTTACGAGAGGCTTGTGTATGATAAATTGGCCGCCAAACTTGCGCCACAGGAGCTGGTAGTAAAAGACGTTTCCGGCGGATGTGGGTCTATGTTTGCGATCAAAGTTGTTAGCGGCGAATTCAAGGGCATCCCCATGGTTAAGCAGCACCGTCTCGTGAATGAAATCCTAGCAGACGAGATTTCGAAATGGCATGGGCTTCAATTGCGCACTCAGGCCCCTAAATAATTGCATTGTAGTATTTCTGTTCTATCATAGTGGGCTCTTTTCTTGCTGTTGGCCAAGCTAATGTAGTTGACGCTCTCAAACATCAAGCTGTCTCTTCACTTGGTATTAGGTCTCCCCGCTACTCCGTCACCTGACTCATGGACTGGTTCAAACCCCTCTACAAGGCTCACCGTAAGGCAGAGTCGGTTACGGTGTTTGATCCGGCTAGCGATCAAGAAAATGTACAGTATGAACAATATTTATTAACTCGAGAGTCCGTTAAACCTAATGAAAACGCCTACAAAGTGTACGATGTGCCCTCTCCCAAACTTTTCACCCAGTGGACTACTCCTGATCTGCCCGGTTTGCGCATTATTTCAGGTGCAATTCCCCAGGACTTGCAATGCCAGCTTGCTAAAGAAAGCGTCACAGAGTATTTGGCCAGTCCTGAGCATCTAACCAACCTCGATGCTCACCATACTATCCAGAGACCTATGGATCTCTTTTCGGATAAAGAGGTATCTGCTACCATTTCCAATGAGAAAATAAAGTCCTCGGGACTACGATGGGTCACTTTAGGCGGGCAGTATAACTGGACAACCAAAGAGTACCCCACGTTCGAGCTGGGTGCCCCGGGCTGTCCCGCATTCCCCCAGCAGCTTGGTGAGTTTGTCCGTCAGGGATTCGGCGTAGAGCCTCAAGCTGCAATTGTAAATTATTACCGTCAGGGTGACATTTTGTCGCCTCACCAAGACGTGGCCGAGCTCTCACATCAAGATCTTGTCTCCATCTCGCTGGGATGTGACTGCGTCTTCTACGCCGGCCCCGCAAGATATGATGCAAAACCATTGGCGGTCCTGCTACGCTCTGGTGATATTGTTGTCATGGGTGGAGAATCAAGGGGAGCATGGCATGGAGTAGGACGTGTATTCAGCGGGACTTCCCCTGAGGCCCTTGAAAGCAGCCTCGACAAGCCCGGGTTCGCCGCCTGGATCAGAAATAAAAGAATAAATGTTAATATACGTCAAATGGTAGACTAGAAGATAATACAAAATAAAACAGCAAGTTCAAAATGGGTACTCGCACAATTAAATAAAACAGAGAGAACGAAAGTACCTCACTCAAAAATACACCAGTCCTGGATATCATTTGACCAGTTCATAGGCTCGAATGCAGTCATGGATCGGGCAATTGGTTCAGGCTCGAACATGAACGGAGCAAAGTCCGATGGCGCAGCAGTTGCACTGATTGGTTCAGGAGGAAGATTCATATGGCCCATGGGAGGAGGGTGGTAAACTCCAACTGTCGACATGGACCGAGCAATTGGTGCTTCAATGCCTCGGCGCGGTGATCCAAGACTTTGAGGCAATAGTCCTCCAATATGCTGGCCACTGTGCGCAGCAGGGCCGGGAGATCCCAGCGACCCCATGAGTCCATCTGGGTGGACAGCATCATGAATATTACTTGGCACATTATGCATGCTGTGCATGTTCAACAAAGCAACGGGGGTACCAGACCCAGAGCCAGGACCAGTCGCTATAGTGGGGCCAGCAGAAACGTTTGTAGGCCCCTGAGCTGGCGAAGGAGATGTGCGAACACGACGGAAGATTGTGCGAGCTGAGAACGGATCGCGAGCACGCTCAAACTCGTATAGAACAATAAAGGCGAGGTGAGGTGCATCCTGTCCTTTGCGTTCGCAATAGACTGCCTGCGTGACTGTAACCGCAGAAATTGCCAAATCAGGGTTTTTGGTGCGGTCAGCCTGGCCAGTGAAGCCCTCAAGGAACGGCGACCAAAAGTCCGTAGTAAATGGCAGTTGCAGGCGCTCCGTGCCCTGATAAATATTCTCCTGACTCGGAACCTCGTCGCGGACCGATAATAAACAACGTCCCATCGAGTAAACTTTAGTGACACATGCCCACCGATGATTAGGTACCCGCTCGAATCCAGCAGGCGATGCTGGAGCAGGCGAAAACAAGAGGTTGAATGGTGTGAATCCACTAACAACAAATCCTGCGTCGACGGATAAGGTAGGGCGCTCGTACCCTGAGCGAGCAGCATTCACATCAAGCTTCGATAAGCAGTGAATTACTGGGGTAGAGGGTAGAATAATATTATTCAGTTGCATTTTAGCGACTTCCTCAAATCTCGAGGCAAGTTGACTGAACTGCTTGGGTGCATTGGGTGACTCGTACTGCGGACGCAGTAGATTTGTGAAAATATGAGGATGGTCACCAGCACGAGCAAGTCTGAAAGAAACTGGGACAACCCGTTCACCGCCAAGATCGAGGCTAGATTGTCCACGGCGGTGTCCACGGCGCCCGGGGTGTGGAGGTGTAGCCAGCTGTGAGCTTGTCCAGTCGAAAGGCGGGTGCTGTAGACCCAAATTATGCACAAAGTTGTTGCTCACGCCTCGTCGAGGTGTCGAAAGCTCGATCTGGACAGGCTCTAAGGGCGCAGGCTGGAACATGGGCGGTGGGCTCGAAGTCTCCAGCTCCTCTTTAATGGTTGGCATGTGAGCATTAGGAGGAGTGCCGGAAGAAGCCGATGAACTAGCCTGAGGCAGAGGTTCGCTACCGCCGTCAGAGCCGTTGTTGGCATCATCCGCGTCCTTGTTACGCAGCTTGCTAACAAAATCGTCAAAACTTTCGGCACTGAGCTTAGCGATCAATTGATCAAAAAGCTCACCTGAAGTGCCATCAGTGGGTTCGGTCTCGGGAGGGTCAGCTACCATCGCCATAAAAGTCTCATCGTCTTTAAGCACGTGTTTCAAGACCTGGATGTGGCTGGAGACTTGCTTGCGCGTCCGGCGTTTCTTGGTCTTTTTATAAATGTAATCGGCAATCAGTTCATTGCGGCCGCGAAGCTTTCCACCAACGGTGATTTTGCGTCTCCCTACTCTGGGAATAAGTTTGATGGCTTCCATGAAGGCCTCCTCGACCTCCTTGGACCACACCATAAACCTCGTGGCAGGGACGCGCTTCTGACGCGCAAGATATCCCATATAAACCTCAAGGTCGGTAACCGGGGCATTAGGGTCGACCTGAGCAGTTGGAGAAGCAGAGGCTGGCCGCTCGGGCCCGCTAGGCGGCTGGGGGCCCGCAGGGGCTGTGGAGACGTTCAGGGTATTAATGCGGAATTCTGGAGGGGCAGGAAGGCCCGGAGCAGGACGCCATGTGACACTTTGGTTCGATTCCGGCGGGTTACTGCGTTTTGTGCTGTTTGGTGTGATCATGGTCCTGGCAAGACTGGCCGAGCGGTCCGCCCGGTTAGCCACTGGCATCATTTGGCGCATGTCGCGATATTTATCATGGTAGGCAGTGTGCGGAGGAGTGACCTCTAGCGCAGAAGGTAGTAGCTGTGTGTTTTGCGTCGGCAGTTGATGAGAGCCCAACCGGTGAGCCAAGGGGGTCTGCGGCACTCGGGATAGGCTTTGGGGACCTGAGATCATGCGGTCTTCGGCTTTTGGCATACTCCAATCAAAACTTCGAATTCTAAGATGGGTGGTTCCTTTTTTTCGAGCTAGTATTGTGGTACACGGAGCCCAAAGTATAGTACTACCAAGGGGGACAAAAAAAAAGACTCGGAAACGGGAACAGGAAAGACCAGAAAAGGTTGTGAAAAGAATAATACAAATTGCTGGCAGTCGTAAAGGAATGAGGGACTTGCACAATGAATGGAAGGAGACGCTGTTCTTCCTGGTTCACTTTCAATAGGAATCAAGTGGTGATTAAGTGTGGAACACGGGATTTCTCCCAGCTTATGATGTAACGCGTCGCGTTAGGAGGAGCGTGTCGACGCGCGTACCCCTCGCTTTAATGGTGTGAAGGGGTGAGGGATTTTGGTGCGATAGAGTGTTCTATATAACAATCAATAGTTTACTGTTTTTCTCGGGTTTTTTTGCTCGTCTGAGCGCGGCTTCACGACACTTCGTAGGCGCCAACTTTCGTGTAACCTGCAGGTTACCTGCAGCAAAGCAGCGCCGATGCGTGGGTGTGTCTGGTGGTAATACAACGGGGGCGGGGGTCTTAGCGCTGGGTTCCATGAATAGCAGGCCACCCGTTATGTTGAGACGCCTAGACTGGATCCGAGGGCCGAAATGCCATCACTAGTGGGCCTCTTTCACAAGATGCCCAGCAAAGTCTCCGACCACTTTCCCTGCATGAGATCGACCGTTTACGCAATGAGTGACCCTACACTGATTTTGTGAGTACGTCGCATACAATTCCAGACTAGCTGTACTGCACAGATGTCAAGAATGTAGCACGCTTGACCGTTCTCGAAATTATTATTTTCCTCCAATTTTCGTCTGCCCGCCTTACCCATCCATCTGCTACCCTAGCAACAAATGCACGGCCGTGATGATTAGCGATAATGAGCTTTTGTTCTTTTTCAATTCAAGGGGTGATCTAAAGGTCGGCGCCGAAACGACTGCCCGCTATGGCCAAAAGTAATCCCGTTCTGTCTATAAAAATTAAGTTGTTTAGCATTCGTTTTTGAGCAAAAATCTGACGTTACATGCCCCGCCTGTGTTTGAGACATTATGTGAGCTAATGTAGTAGCATAGCCTTAAACCACTCAGCCAAGACCTTGCACAAAACAAAGCAAACATGCTACGGAAGCAGTAAGAGTAAATAAACGAAATGCACAATGTACCACGCAATAATATTATTTATATACAGAACTGTGCTCTGAGCCATGCCAGACCACGGCCATATATGAGCGCACCTACAATACGGCCCCCGGTGGTGTCGAGCCAGACATCGCGGTCAAAGTCCTCTTCAAGTTCCCCATATTCGACTCGCCGCTCTACCAATGCAAGTACACCCAGGACGCCCAAACGTGCAAGAATCCGCCGTTTGTTTACACCTAACCCGATTGGGAACACTCGTCATAAACCTCCACCATCGCTTCCATCTCATACTGTTTTAACAATGGTTCAGTCCCGAGAGCGTCTGCCGACGCTGTTCGAGGTCCTTAATCGGATGTCGGCACCTCCTGTGGACTTGTGGACCTTTTATGAGTTCATGCGCACCCATTACCGCGGCGTAGAGTATTTGGATTTTTGGCTGGACGCTGCGAATCATGTGAAGCTATGTAAACTTTATGTTGAGGGACAGGAATTGGGCAGAGCGACTGCCGCGAAAAAGAGTCCGACCATGCAGCGTCAACCTCTTACTTCTTATCTGTCTGACGGCAATGGCAGCGGCAATGGCAGCGGCAGTGGCAGCGGCAGCGGCAGCGGCCAAAACATCGACACTTCCCATTCATCTATCGGGAGAAACAGTTTCCACAGCATGCCCTCACCAAGCTCCTCAATGCTTCTGGGTATGCTTGGGGAACAGTCAGGCTCCAGCCAACACCAGCATCGAATGTCTTTGGGTGCGAATTCCCTCGAGTCTCAGGGCAGCAGTAGACGAAGAGACACCATTGCGCGTCTATCCGCACTCCTAGACGAATTCCAGAAAAGAGATGGTACATTTGAGTCGCTGCCTACTCAAGAAGAAGAACATTTTGTACAACCGCCCTCAGCCAGAGCAGTTCATTACGAAAGTGACGATGAAGACGAAGAGGCAGATATCGGGGTATCTCGCACACCAGTTCTCGGAGCACCGTACGAGCGAGTGCCTGGTGGATCACCAACACAAGGCTCGCCTATTCAGTCTTCGTCGGCATTGGGGCCGATCAATCTCAACAACAATTCGTTTGGAGGTCCACTCAAGGAGCCAGACCTGAAACCCTCAACTGAGTTTGAAAAGGCCCGAATGCCGCCCCAGGCTGTTACTCTGGAAGATATTTATGCAAGTGTCAATTCAATTGTACAAAGATACCTTACGCCCGGGGCTGACCGTGAGGTTCTACTGCCCGGTCAAATGGCCCGGCAAATCAGAGATGCGGCCCAGGGAGCGGGACGGAGAGACCCAGCGCTATTCAATGAAGCAAGAGACTATGTTTTTGAGGTCATGGAGCGTGAAGCCTACCCCACGTTTCTTGCATCAGCAGCTCTGCGTAACGTTCAACCGGCCAGTAATCTGTTTCGCTTGCTTTTCGGAATGATTGCTTTGTTTGGCGCCTTTTGGCTTTCATTTGTTTTTATTCTGCTAGATTGGAAGCCCAAACTCACTCGCCTCTGGATCATTCTACCTTTTTCCATAGGCTGGTATCTTGTTATCAGCTCTCTGTACAGCCTCGATTTTATTCTCGGGCTTTTGGGCTATAGCGAGCAGGAGGAGTTCGGGATAGCCCATGTCAAAGAAGCATATGTTGCCAAACTTATTCGCAGTCGTTCGGTGCTGGTTGCCGGACTCACAGTTATTGTCACAGCATGCTGTGTTGTGCTGTTTGCCCTCGTTCCTGGCCATCGGCTCTAATGATCAAAAGAGAAAGAAAAAACCATGTAAACTAAAAATAAAAAGAATATGCTATTTAAGAGGTACTTGGCGACCACGCCGGTTTTTGCTTGCCGACCAAAGGCGCTGTTTCCAGCTCTCCAAGTTTTTGTGCATTGTGAGCAGCTTTTTGACCTGGGATTCCGGGCGGGGACCAGAACTCAATAAGCCGTAAAGTCTAGAGTACTCTGAATAAGTTGCCTTGAATTTGCGAGCCAATGTAAACAGGTCCTCCTCCGTTGTTGGTTTATGTTTCTTTTCTGGCGGGGGCTTGGTGGCTACTTGGGATGATTCTGGAGGAGACAACGAACTGGGGGGTGATGCGGATGAAGGAGGGGATTTAGATGCGGGAGCTGCCGCGGAGGCGGATGGGGTCGTGGAGGCGGAAGGCGGGACAGCAATGGCTGGAGCGGACTTGCGTTTGAGAGCTCGACGTTCTGGCGACACAGACCCGGTACGTCGGCGAGGATCTTTGAGATTAGAGCGGGAAGGAGCGTTAACCACATATCCCAGTGCATCATAGGCCTTTTCGGCCTGATTGAGGACTTGAAGCCGTTCCTTGGCACTGTACTGCTTCCACTCGTAAATACGAAGATACTCGTAGGACTCGTTGCGGAGAATAAATAAGTCGTTTGAGCCCGGAACAGGACGGGCGATCTGATTTAGCAATGTTTGTACGTCGGCCACCGGTATCTGGGTACGCTGGGCCAATGTTATTGCTGTGGCCTGGCCGAGGGCAAGCAAGTGGGCGACTCGCATTGCCGACGAAACAAGCGGGGCCTCAGCAAGTAATTCTCTAGGTGAGCGAGGGGGCGAGGGAGCCTTGTTCAGTGGGGATTGCTTGCCTGAAGACTTTACCAGTCGCTTTTTTAGCGCCGCAGCTGCAGCAGTCGGCTGGGGGGCCGATGCGGCGGCCGGGGGAGAAATTGCAGCAGAAGAGACGGACTTGCGCAGGGTGAGACGCTTCTTGACCAGTCCGGCGCTCTGAAATTTTGCGGAGTCGTCGGCACAGGGCGTATATACCTGTAGAGTGCCCGGCTCATCAGCCACGGAGATGTCTATTGTCGTCCCGTTGACGGCGAGAGTGCCAGTTCGGCCGTCAATTTTGAGCAGAATGCGACCATCGTTTTTTGACTTGAGACTGCTCAACGCCTCGGGGGTTAATCGTACAAACATAGGAGGGTGAGCATCGCTAGTGCTCTGGGGCGGGCTAGCGACTAGAGTAGCCTCCGATGGAACTGGCATTGAAAGGGTATTGCAGAATTGTCAGGGAATTACAAGCACTAACGTGTCCGACTAAATTCGTCCGGTCGTTTTCCTTACAACGTCCTTTGCTAGTGCGGATTAGCGTTTCCCAAACGATAGGGTAGGAAAAACACAAGAGGGGCAGGGGAAAGGGGATGCCATATGCACCATGCAACATTAAGTTATATATAATGTTCAGTTATGGAGGAAGCAAATAAGTAGCGATCAGTAAAAAGATCGGGTTAATTCTCGGTGAAAACAGAATGATTGAGCGATTTGACAGATGGGGTTCTTTGGAGGAACGCCGGGCTGTCGTGAGCGCTTAATTGTTGACGGTGCTCTGGGCGGTCACTCCCGTGATGGGTTGCCTCTCCAACGAAATTAAAATGACTGGATTAGGGTATGAGACAGGCCACAAATAAACGAGGTGAAACGGCGGCTCTAGAGGGCCGTGGGGGAAGCAAAACAAGAGTTCCCGGTTGCGGGGCCCTGCCTTGCAGCGGCTACGGGTCTGGCTCTGGCGATATTTTGACTGTGTCTAACTGCATGGCGTATAGACGCGGCCAGTCACGACGGCAGCTAAATATCCATACTTCAACCAAAGAACTTGATTAAACGTTAAAGTAATAAATGCACAGGGCTTTTTCTACATTATTTAGTTAGCAACGGTGACATCGATGTTGACACCAGGGACCATGTTGTAGGCAGTGATACGCTTGATAACGTCAATAGGAGACTGGATGTCGATGAGACGCTTGTGGATGCGCATCTCGTAGCTATCCCAAGTCTTGGAACCCTCACCGTTAGGGGTCTTACGGGTGGTGATCTTCAGAACCTTGGTGGGCAGACGGACGGGGCCCTTGGTGAAGACCTCAGACTGCTTAGAGCGAGAGACAATGTCCTCAGAGACCTTCTCGATGCTCTTGACGTTAGTCGAGGTAATGGTGATGCGGACCTTGATGATCTTGGAGGCTTGCTCAGTAACCTTGTCGGCTTTGTCGCTCATCTTTGATGATTGTGAAATGGTGGCCCCCGGCTATTAGATTGAGTCGCTCGCGGGCGATGAGATCAGCTGCCCTAAGCCCTAACTGACAGAACAACCCTTGGTCACCCTGGGTCACTCTCTGGCTCCCTTTCCCTCTTAGATAATCATGTCCACCCCTCCGCCGCCGCAAGTATCAACGCCTAATGCGCCTAATTCGCCCAATCTGGTGAGCGGTTTGGGCCCTGTGATCCAGGACCCGCCCAGTCCAAGTCCGTCGATGAAGCGGCACAAAAAAAGGGCAGACAGTCTGTCGATTCGCCGGCAGCTCGATGCAATGGCCAGCACGGTGCGTCAGCTGCAGGCCCAAATTGATCTCTTACGAGACCAACTAGATTAGCTGGAGTTCCAAAAAACACACTTTTTTATTTATTTACATATCTTCACTCTTCCTCAGACGATGAGTCGTCGCTATCGTCAACAGCCATCACGTCGTCTTCACTTGAACTGCTGCTGCTATCGTCTGCAGGCAGAGACGGCGCTCCCGAAGGGGTTCCGCCGCCCTCGTACTGGTCAAACTGGCGCAGCTTGTTCTGGATCTCTTCGATTTGGCGGTTCTGCTCGTCCTCAGTCAAAGGCTTGGACTTTTTCTTTTTCTGGGGCATCGATCCCGGCGAGGCGGCCGGCGCAGTGGGGGCAGGTCGTGGCTTGTCATCTCCTCGGTTTCTGATAACAAAGTCATACAACTTGCGTAGGGTATGTTGCTCCAGCTTGTTCATCTCAATATCGATTTCCTCCTGGCCGTTGGTTGTAAGATGAGGCATCGACTCCTGAATAATTGCAACAACCCGTCCCAACTTGTTCTCCGGCAAAAGCCCAATCTTTTCACTCAGTTCTTTCATCATATCATAAGTAATCTCTTGGGGGGTGGAGTCTTTGGCAACCGATTGTTTACGGCTGTGGCCACCCGAGGTAGAGCTGGAGCCTCCAAATCCGGAAGGCTGCGATTGGCGTCTTACCGCGCCAGTGCTAGACTGACGGGCTCCACCTTTCTTTTTACCGCGCTTGTCGCGCCATTCTGCGACGGCCTCACGCTTGAGCCGACGGACCTGCTGGCGGATCATGTGCAGTTGCTCTTCGAGGATTTGGATGGCTGGATTAGAGAGCCCCAGCTCCTCATACTCCTCGTCATAGTCGCTATCATCACTGGAAAGCATGGGGGGAGGCGTCGGTGCCGGCTGGGGCTTTTCAATACATTTCTTGTCGAACACTGCCTCGAGACGGTGGCCCAGTTCGTTCACTGGTGTGCCCTCCGGGTTGAACGCGTAGCAGTTCCGGAACATGAGGCGGACATCTGCTTCAAACTCGTCGGCATTGTAATACTGGCCCTCGTTGAGTTTGTGCTGAATGGTACTAAGATCCATAGGTTCTTTGATAATATCAAAATAGTTTGGAACGCCTTGAGCAACTGGATCGACAGGTGCCAAAAAGGGATAGGCAATGGCTTCGTGCTTGCGGCTCATTAGCTCCCGGACGACTTGGCTGCAAAACTTGAGCTCAGCAGCAAACTTCTTGTTGCGGGGCCGAGCTTCGCCATAGGGCAAATCGCGAGGCTTGGGGGGATGAATTTCACGCTTGGGGCGGCCGTCGGCAGCACTCTCACGGCGTAACATGGGTACACCGGGAGCTTGCATTTGCTTTTGAGTAGGCGCGGCAGCAGGAGCGGCAGCAGCGGCAGGGGCTGGGGTGGCAGCCGCCGCCGCCGCCACCTCAGGACCAGTACTCTGGCGAGTGTTGGAGGCCAGGCTGGCTCGCTTGTTTTTGGGATCTTGCTCATCATAAAGCGGCATATTAGACAGATGCTTGTTGAAGCTGTGTGCGATAGAGATTGCCATTTTGGAGATGAAAGAGTCCTCACCGTTAAATATGATACAGTTCGACACCACAAGGTCAAAGTCGTCTGCAAGCTGCCTTACGGACTTGTATTCGCTTTGCATGAGCTTTTTCTCGATTGTTCCCAGATCCATCGGATTTTTGATGTAGTCAAAGTATTGCGGGACCCCTTGCTTGACGGGGTCCACAGGGGTCAGGAAAGGAGCGGCGTCTTTGAGGCGCTTGATGGCTTTGATAGCGCTGGTTGCGTAGCGCAGCTGGTGTCGGGGGAGAGCGGTGGGTGTTTCTGGGTCCAGACCTTCAGGAACAACAACTTTTTCTTTGTCGGCAGCTTTTTGGGCTCGTTGCAATGGTGTGAGGCCGTCGCTATCGGGATCCGTTTTCGGCTGAGAACCGTCCGTTTCCATGGGCGTCTGTTGGTTTGAAGCAGCGTCAGCAGGCTCTTTGGACTCCGCGGCGGAGTCCGCAGTCGTCGGTTCAGCGGCGGGTGCAGGCTCAGTGGCAGGCTCGGTGGCAGGCTCGGTGGCAGGCTCGGTGGCAGGCTCGGAGGTAGGCTCGGAGGTAGGCTCAGTAGCAGGCTCAGTAGCAGACTCAGCGGCAGGCTCGTTGGGCTCTGAGGTGGGCTCAGCGGTAGGATCTACAGCATCTGAAGTGGGCTCAGCAGGTTCATTTGGTTCCGAAGCGGGTTCAGCTTCCTGGGCAGGTTGAGAAAGCTCGCTTGCGGGCTCAGCTTGTGAAAACTCCAGCTCGGCAGGTTCGGGATGAGCGCCATTTTCCAGGGGAGGAGAGACCAGGGTGTTCTCCAAAGAAGTCTCAGACTCAAGCTTGGGCCGTTTGGCTTCCACACTTGCTTCGTCCAAAACCCGCTTCTCGGCCTCACGTGGCGTTGGAGAGGCTTCGGTGGACATTTTTTCAGTGTTGCAAAGCAAGAGAAGAGTACTCAGGCAGTAGCAACTTTATAGGACAAACCCGTCGTTTACAAATACCAAACAATAAAGTAGGCAGATGAATTTACAAACGTCAAATGATAAGGCAATGTTGCAACTCAGGCAGCAACTAGATGATCACGTGACGTGGTATTGACGTCAGCAAACCGGCGGGAACGGTGTGAGGGCGTGCGTGGGGGAGGGGGGTAAAGCAAAGAGCGGGTTAACTCAGCCAGCATATTGGGAAGCGCGATGCTTAAGTAGTATCGGCTTGCTGACGTGCCCAGGACACAAACTGCACTTTTCCTGCGTATGTGTCAGCACGCGGGATTCGCGATACCCATTACTCCCCTTTCCGGAAGCCTTCGCCACCACCATCTCAAGCGCTACAATGCTGTGGTGCGGTATTCTATAGGATTAAAATAGCGATAAACTAGTTGCCCCCTCGCCGATATCTGCCAGTGCGCGCCAAGAATGCCGCTGCCTGGGTTCAATCGACTCTGCTATCGGCCAACAATTTTTTGGGCGATTCTGGGGGGGTTTGCGAAAGAAAACGCTGGGAGGCGCAATGCTCCCTTTACCAAGTGCCCGGCACGGGGTGTTAAGGATGGTCAACGCAACATGCATATGTAGGGTAAGGGCCGACAACACTCTTCTGCCGCCTGGGGCCCACAGAACTTGTGGTATCGTGGTTGTGGGCTGTGCTATGAGGTTCTCAGTTACATAGTCTAATCACACAACCAGTTGGAGCAAACCGCATCATAGGCAAAGAACTAAATTATTTAGTAGTTGTAGCTAGATTTGAATATTTTGGGGCGATCAAGCTGTGCGTGAACCCCTGCTGCATCGAGAACCGACGGGCTTGTGAGCGATCGCTAGGTGGCTGTGTTTGCTGCATCGTTAGCAACATGGTGCTGACCCGTTATGAAAACCTTGGCTAGCAATTGATCGACTTGAAGGTTTTGGACGATATCGATGCGTTCCCATCTTGAAAAACGCTCGGCTGCTGGAGATCAAAGACCGGCTTTTTCCTCATGCAGAGACAATTTGCTCGACAAAACACCTTATTCAAAACATTAGCAGGTGTATGGCCCTGTTTGGAGCGTTGACTCTTCGCAATCCTCCCTGAGGCTCGCTTCGTATCGTCGCAAGAGGAGTTGTAGCGATCCTGCAGGGAGACGGACTACATATTTGACTCACTCAGGAAAACACGACGAGGAACAATTATTTTTCACAAACGTCCTTATGTCGAGGCAGTTATCGCTATCCGTGTCGAGGTGCAAACGTTCATTAGATGGATCGGAAGGGCCGAGGATCTCGTACTGTTCGCTCAAGCGAAGACTAGTAAAAACGTTGAGCTGGCCACCAGACCAAGCAATTGGATCTGGGTAATCTCTTCCAGAGCTTGGATCCATCTTTCGCGATAGTGTAGGTCGGCGAGATGCTTCCCAAGCGATATATCATCAGGATGGTTCCGAAATGCCACTAATTTTACGACATAGTTTTTGACCGTTCTTGAGAAATATCCTAGCTTCCCATCAGCCATTTTTATCCAATTCTGGGGTTAGAGGACATTTAGCCAGAGGGCAGAGAATGGTTTCCCATGCAAAGCCAACGCTCTTGTCCTGGGGTATTAGCTTTCTTCACAGGGTAAGGGTAACCGGGGGTCCTATCTCGATTCAGTCTCCTTTAGCGATCTATCGTTAAACATGCCATCTCTGAAATTGCGCGACGGTGTTGATGCGGTTGAGCCCAAGAAGTTCGTCATTGGCGGGCTTGTTGTGTATACTTATGCTGGAGAATTAGACCCCTCAAAGCCTCTATCGTTCGTAGTGGTTGCCCATCCGCGATGCTTGGACTACAAGTACGCAGAGGTTCTTTGTCGTGAGATCGTACATGCAGTCCCCAATGCTATTTGTGCCACTTTCGACCTGCCAAACCACGGCACTCGTACCGTGTCGAAACTCAGTAACGAGGACTGGAAAGAGGGTAACCCCACACATGCACAGAATATGCTCAGCGTTATTGATCAAGCCGCTGCTGAAGTTGAGATGGTCGCGGAGTATTTACCAAGCTACATTGGCGTGCTTGCTCAAGCAGTTTCCAACAAGACAGCCGTACCCCTAGTCACTGGTGTATCTCTTGGTGGACACATCTCGTGGAAGGTTGGAGTAGGACGGTTTGGAGCCAGTGGAAACAACTACATTAAAGGAATAGCCCCGATCATTGGCTGCCCTGACACACTCCAGATGCTCAAAGATCGGTATGCCATCCAGGTTACCGGAGGCAGCGACTTCCCCACGCTCCCACCCAATGCCTACCAAGACCGAGTCGACCTAATTGGCAAGCCTTTCCCTGTTCTCGCGCTTTGTGGTGCAGACGACACGCTTGTTCCTGCCAGTTACACTGAACAGTGGGCCAAAGAAGGCACTTTGGCGGCCAACCAAATAGTCTACGTCCAGCCCAAAACCGGCCACGAGTGCACTCCTGAAATGATCGACATGCTGTGCGACTGGATCAATGGCCTAGCAAACAGAAATCAATAGCTCTTTCATCTTTTGTCGCTCGTAGAATTATATGAGTCAGATGACAAATCAGTAATTTTTCATCATGTCTCTTCGGGCTGGCAAAGCTGCCTCGTTCGTTTTAGCCACAGTCCGGGCGTTTCCTAGCCTCGAACCAGTTGCCGTGCAGCCTGTGAGCGCCAAAGTGCTTGGGCTGCCCCCACGCCGTGATCTTCTCTGGCAGGCAGTCACTTTTGAGCGGGATGCCGAGCGGGTTGGCTCTAAGGTGATTTTGGGCCGCAGCGACATGGGCTACTCCAAGAAGAAACTGCGCCCCCAGAAAGGTACTGGTAGAGCCCGTATGGGCGACCGTGGCAACCCGATCCGCCACGACGGTGGGTTGGCCCACAACCGGCATGCCCCTAATGACTTTGCAACTGGCCTGCCGTCGAGCACCTACTCATTGGCCCTGCGCACTGCGCTCAGCGAGCAGTACCGGGCCGGCCGTTTGTTTATTATTGATGGAGAGATCGAGTTTGGCTCCAGTCACAGCCTTGTAGGCGAAACGTTTCTTAAAGAGCATGGAATCAAAGGCAACCGAGTCACGTTTGTTGTTGGCGACCACCGAGCGAATTTATTTGATGCCACCAGCGACTGCATCAAGGTGGACTTAATCCCCAAGGAAATGGTCAACGTGCAGGATATTTTGCGGGCCGAGCGGTTGTTTATTGAGAAGGAGTCTCTCCAGTACTTGATTGCCAAGTTCCCTGTTCCCGAGCCCCTCAAGCCCATCAAACCATTGCAACCACAGGAGTTTCAGCTCTGAGAACACAAGGACAAAGGGGGAAAATAAAAGAGAAACTGTATATAGGACCTTTCATTTTAGTTTTTAGGTATGAAAAAGTGTTAAATTAGCGTCGTTTGTCGTGGGATAAAAAGGGGGTTAGTGTCCGCGTCCAGATTTTAAAAATAAGAGACATTGAGCCGCCTCAGCGTCGCGTTCAAGAAGTTCACGCGGCGAAGGAAGCGAAACAAATCGCGTGGCCCGCCGGTTGGATACCGGCGTCATGTTGTTGGTGTTGAGCGGCCGCAGAGGCGCCCGAACCACCACTTCAGCCTTGCCGTCAGCGGACATGGCGAGACGGACGGTGTTGGCTCTTTTGGCAAGAGCAGGACGGGGGTCTGCGTGCTCTTGTATACTGTTCAATGTGGCCGGAGCCTGCTTAGCAAGGAATTGCGGTAATTGTGTTGGTCCAGCCAAGGTGGAATGAGATGAAGGAGGGGAAGGCAATGGAGACGAATTCTCGGTGGGATGCGAGCCAAAAATGCTAATAGTGCGGGAAATAGGGGACAGCTCTGGCGCATTAGGAATGGTATTTGATCGGGTCGCCGGAGTGCCCATCGAGGAGTCAAACGAGCTTTCGCCGCTCGACATGGAACTGCTGGTATTGGAAGTGCTTGATGAGCGTCGGGCCGGGTCGCTTTTCTGCCGCCGGCACTGCTGGCGCTTGTTCTGGAACCAGATTTGCACTGCCTTCTCCGTCATGCCCACTCGACCAGCAATGCGTTCACGATCCTGGCGAGCGGGGCGGTTGTTGGCCCGGAACTCGGCCTCAAGCACACTCAGCTCGCTAGGCGAGGTGCGTCGACGTTTGCGGCGGGCCAGCTGGGTCTCATCAATGCGAGGTTCATTCGACTGATACGTCTCGGGAAGGTGCGTGATGAACGCTAGGCACTGCGAATCCTCCACTTTAGCCGTCATGCTCTAACGTCTCCCTGTTATTACTATCAAAGTCAAGGGTTTGTTTTGATTGACACTTGAACCTCAACTTTTGGGGTGAGAGTTATTAATATGTGGGACGCGACGCGGATGGAATGTTTATTTACGCGCAGGTGCTGTGCTGCTGCATGCCTTAATGGCACTGAGCAGCATACCAGGGGGTTCTTAAAGTGAGGATGTGGAGGGGGGTTTTTAACACAATTTTGGTGGATAGAGTGTTCGTGTAGACTGATTTGGTTTCAAGAGTATTTGCTCGCGGGCAAGAGCGTTTTTCTCATTTTTTTCACCTTGCTGTAGATCGTGCTGGAATGCAGCCCTTACTAAGTTCAGGGTAACTTTAGGTTACGACTTTATGGCTGTCGAGAAGATGTTCAATCCGTCGTAACGATGCCAAGTCGTATTTAAAATTCCTATAAAACTAGTGTCCTCTGGCTCGAATCTTTTTTTCACTCAATTAACTTGCAGCATCCTCGGCCTGCTGACATCATCATGTCCTTCACTGCGTTTACCCAGAGCATCGTGGACTTGGCTGTTTTGAACCCACTGCCAGGAGCCGTGCTGGCAATTATCACCCTGTTTGGTGTCGTCAAGCTCGGCAATCTTTTCGGCAGCTACCTGGCTGTTTTGCTCGATACCCTGGTCCGCAGGGGCACCCCTTTGACTACTTACGGCAGTAAGGCCGGCGCCTGGGCAGTAGTTACCGGTGCCACTGCGGGCATTGGCGAGCAGTTCGCTCATCAGCTTGCTCGTGCTGGGTTCAAGGTGCTGCTTGTGTCTCGCACTCAGTCTAAATTGGACGCGGTTGCCTCGGAACTCAAAGAAAAGTACAGTGGCGAGGTGGCTACTTTTGCTCTAGATGCCGCGTCCGCTGGTGATAAAGAGTACAGCCAGCTGGCAGCTTTTGTTGATGATCTTGAGGGCGGCGTCGGTGTTCTTGTCAATAACGTCGGACAGAGCCATGAGATGCCTGTGCCATTTGCCGAAACTACCAAAGAGGAAATGCACCAGATCATCCAGATCAACAATGTTGCCACGCTTGAAATCACCCGTGCTGTCATCCCCGCTCTGCAAAAATCTATCAAAACCAAAAAATCAAAGCGGGCATTGATTCTCACCATGGGCTCGTTCGCTGGATTGACCCCCACGCCTCTGCTGGCCACCTATTCAGGATCCAAGGCATTTTTGCAGGGCTGGAGCTCTGCGTTGGGTGCCGAGCTCGCTCCCGAGGGCATTGACGTCGAGCTCGTCGTTTCTTACTTGGTTACCTCGAACATGTCCAAGATTCGCCGCACGTCAGCTATGATTCCCTCTCCCAAGGCCTTTGTTAAAGCTACTCTACGGAGCCTGAACCGTCGCGGTGGTGCTCAGGAGCGTGCCTACACCTCTACACCGTTCTGGTCTCACGGCCTGCTCCACTGGTGGATCGAAAACGCCCTTGGCGTGTACAGCCGCATTGTTGCTGTATTTAACCGCAAAATGCACGTCGATATTCGCCGCCGGGCATTGCGCAAGATAGCTAAATCTGCAAATACTCAGTAATTTCTCTACTTAGAATCACTCGCCCTCCTATAGCACGTGGACGCGGCCGCGTATTTTCCACCAGCTGATTAAGAGAAAGTAAACATGGTGGAACTATCGGATTATCGACGACTGGAGAAAGTAGGCGAGGGCACGTACGGAGTTGTTTATAAAGCCGAAGATTCGTTAAACGGAGGCCGTATTGTTGCGCTCAAGAAAATCCGGTTGGAGGCCGAGGACGAGGGCGTGCCGTCAACCGCCATTAGGGAAATCTCTTTACTGAAGGAGATGAGAGACCCGAACATTGTTTCTCTCTACAATATTGTGCACTCAGACAGCCACAAGCTGTACCTTGTGTTTGAGTTCCTTGATCTTGACCTCAAAAAGTACATGGAGTCAATTCCCCGCGGCGAGGGACTTGGCGCAGACATGGTGAAGAAGTTCATGCTGCAGCTTGTCAAGGGCACGAGGTACTGCCACGCACACCGCATTTTACACCGTGACCTCAAGCCTCAAAACCTGCTCATCGACAAAGAGGGAAATCTCAAACTCGCCGACTTTGGTCTCGCCCGCGCCTTTGGCGTTCCGCTCAGAACTTATACCCACGAGGTAGTGACGCTGTGGTACCGCGCCCCTGAAATTCTTTTGGGCGCGAGACAATACTCTACAGGTGTTGATATGTGGAGTATCGGTGCCATCTTCGCCGAAATGTGCACCCGCAAGCCCCTGTTCCCGGGAGACTCGGAAATCGATGAAATCTTCAAGATCTTCCGGTTACTTGGCACTCCAAACGAGCAAGTTTGGCCGGGCGTTACCACTTTACCTGACTTCAAAACTACCTTCCCCCAGTGGAGCAGAAAGCCTCTAGAGAAGGCGGTTCCCGAGCTCGACGAATTCGGTCGTGATCTGCTCGACCAACTTATAACTTATGACCCCGCTGCTCGTATCAGTGCTAAGAGGGCAGTCGACCATCCATATTTTCTGTAGCCCTATTTAATCCTACGTTTTTACTGTGGTCTTTCCAGTAGCTTTTACTATTACTGACTATCTTTTTTTCTGCTTTTAAAAATACCAATTATCGCACTGTAATTCCTGAACGATCAGTGTAGAGTCGAGGGGCAATATTCATAGCCATCAGTTCTTGGAAAAGAAGCTTGGCGGCGTAAGGAAGATGCACCTGATAAATTTTAGTTTTGTTCTGGCATGACCGGCACTCGAATTGGACCTTCTTTAAATTCGTAATAACCGACATGAGACCACAAATACCACAGACATGAACCCGGAAGGCATCTGACGCTTCCATCAAACGTTCTTTGAGGAAGGCGGCGGCACCGTGAGCAATCATGCAGTCACGTTCCATTTCTCCGAAACGCAAACCACCATCACGAGAACGACCCTCGACGGGCTGCCTTGTCAGAATCTGAACAGGACCACGAGCACGGGCATGAATTTTGTCGTCTACCATGTGTCTCAGACGTTGGTAATAGGTAGGTCCGAAGAATACCTGGGCCATCAACTTGCGTCCGGTGTGTCCATTGTACATAATCTCGAATCCACGAGACTGGTAACCGTGCTCACGCAGTAGCTTGGATACAGCGTCCACAGTCACGTCCGTGAAGGGAGTAGCATCTCCCTCGAATCCAGACAACGCAGAAACCTTGGACAGTAAACACTCGATCAAATGGGCGACTGTCATACGGGAGGGAATGGCGTGTGGATTGATAATGAGATCAGGAACAAGACCCTCAGCTGTGAAAGGCATATCTTCGTGACGATACGTAATACCGATAGTACCCTTTTGCCCGTGTCGAGAAGCAAACTTGTCACCAATTTGCGGAACCTTGGTCGTGCGCATACGAACCTTGACAAACCGCAAGCCGTCCTGATTAGTAGTCAAAAGAACCTGGTCAACAATACCAGACTCTGTGGAACGCAAAGGCGTAGACGCATCGCGTTTGGTATGGAATTTCGTGCGCTGGCCAAGCTCCTCAGTGTCAGGAGGAACCGGTGCTGTCTTACCAATGATGATGTCTTCACCTGAAACACGCACACCGGGGATAATAAGTCCATCCTCGTCGAGTTTGTCATAAGTACCATGCTTGAGACGCAAAGTGTCCGCGCGAGTAGGCTTTTCAAACTCCTCAACAACAGACATACCGATACGCCGCTCTTGATCCATATAAGAACGGAAGAAGAGTGAACGGAACAAACCACGATCAATGGAAGACTGGTTCATGATAACCGAATCTTCCTGGTTATAACCAGAGTAACACAGAATGGCTACAATGGCGTTTTGTCCAGCGGGTAACTCACGGAATTTGAGATACTCCATACTTCTGGTGGTAGCGAGCGGCTTCTGAGGATAATACAAAATATTGGCCATAGTGTCCATACGAACACTATAGTTCGTCAAGAACACACCCATAGCCTGCTTACCCATAGCAGATTGATATGTGTTACGAGGAGACTGGTTGTGGTCAGGGAATGGAATGATGGAGGCACAAATACCCAAAATCATACTGGGATGAATTTCACAATGTGTCCATGTCTGACCAGAAGACTGCAACATTTTAACACGTCTTGCTGGATCCAGCATCTCCGTGTCTTCCTGTTTCAGGCCGGCACGGTTTTGACGACTCAACTCCAAGTCTTCAGGTGTCATTGCAATCATTGTGGTTTCTTCTTCTTCACCATCAATGTACTCCACTACGCCGTTGTTCACCAAAGATGTCCAACCAAAGTAGTCCGGGTCTTCTGGAGAAAGGTCATTTTGTTCGGTATTGAGAAGCCTGTAGACATGATCCTTTTGTAGTTTAAGTTCACCATTTCTGGGGCTCTGAGGGTCGTTTTCAACCACAAACAGTGGTCTGTAAACACGGCCAGCATCGGTAAAGATCTTGAATTCTTTTTCACGAATGTCACGAACAATAGTGATCTCGGGAGAAATATCACCTTTACGACGCAGATTGCGCATGGTCTCCACCAATACATTTGGCTCACGATGAACACCAATCCAAACACCGTTAACAAACACGCGTGTAGCCGCGCTCGAGGCATGGGGAACAAAGTCCTCCAAAGGCTCCATACCCCACTCCTCGAGGAAGTAAATAATCGGATCAGACGGCGAACCAACTGAAATACAAGTCATCAAGGACAAGTTCTTGACTAAACCACAAGCTTGACCTTCGGGGGTCTCTGCAGGGCACACCAAACCCCAATGGGTATTGTGCAACTGACGAGGTTTGGCAATCTTACCATCTTTACCGATAGGTGTGTTGGTACGACGCAGATGCGATAGTGTAGACGAGAAAGTGTATCGGTTGAGTACCTGAGACACACCAGCTCTCGTAGACATAGCACGCTTTTGGTCACCCCAATTTCCGGTAGCCAAAGAGTATTTGAGACCGTTGGTGATGGTGTTTGATTTCACAGCCATGGTCAAGTTGAAATCTTTGTTAGTCTCCACGCATTTCTGCATATAACGGAAAATGTCCCGGGTCAGTTTGCGGAACAGCATACGGAACAGGTTGGCAAGCAAAGGGCCAGCAAGATCCAAGCGCTTTTTACCGAAATGATCACGATCATCCTGCTCATGACGATCAAGAGCCACAAGCAACAGTCTATGCACCATATAGCCCAAGAAAAAGGCCTTACGGGTCTCATAACCTTCCTTTTGCGTGATATGGGGCAGCAACTCTTTCTGCAGAATATCACGAGCATAACGAATACGCTTGTCACGGTTGATACCTGTGACAGAACCACGGCGACCAATGTAATCCAGAGCCACCTGTCTGTCTTGCACGAAGAAACCCTCTTCGATACAAGGTTTCAGGGCCTCTAGCATCTGCCAATCGGTTTGATCATAGCAAATGTGCTCCAAAATATCACCGTCGGGTACGACACCCAGCGCACGGAATACAAGAACGATTGGAATGTCGCTCTTGACATAGGGGAGAGCGGCTTTGATGGTTTTGTCTTTGCTGAACAGTTTGATCTGTAAAGTAGAAATGAGACGCGAGCCTTTCTCAATAGCCGAACGGATTTCAGCAACATGGGACACCGGGGAATTAGCCGGCTTCTTGAACACCTGCACGATGTTGGCCGCGGAACGCTCCTGGGCAATCAAAACCTTCTCCGAACCGTTGATGATGAAATAACCACCCTGATCCAAGGGGCACTCGTTCAACTCATAGAAATCATCGTCTCGAAGGTTGCGCAACATACAGAACTTGGATCTAATCATGATAGGGACCTTGCCAATATAGTACTTTTCCACTGGTTCGGGGACCTCATGGGGATCGGGTTTCCAGTCAGGCTCCACATCAGGGTCTGTTTCACGGGAGTACAGCACACGCTTCTGGATTTCAACATACAACGGAGACGAGTAGGTGAGATTTCGCGATCGAGCCTCTTGCGGGAATACAGGGTGGGTAGAACCGTCGCTTTCAGTCATAGTAGGACGTGACAGGTAGATTTTTCCGAACGTGATTTCATGTCGTCTTGAAATATTGTCCTGAGACGTGGTATACTGGGCCGGTTGGTCTAAAATAAGGTGCTTGTCTTCCCATACCAGTTCCTGGATAGTCGTCTCGATGAACTCGTCGAAGGAGTCCAGCTGCTGCGACACCAGGCCTTTTTCGTTGAAGAAGGACGAGATGACGGTCCAGCAGTCCTCGCTGGTGATCTCGTTGTCCTCTTCAAAGGCATAGGGGTCCTCCTCGTAGGGGGGCGCCGACATTGTAAGACAGTGGATTAGGTAAGTGAGGACGGTGATGAAATACTTTCACAGACAGGTTGGTACGTACGAGCACGGCTTGCAACACGCTGAAATATACATAGCTCTTCAGTATTTAGACTAAAACCGGTTATACGGCGAAAGTTTGTGCCCTAAGGGACCTTTTACAACTTCTAAACCTCGAGTGAAAAACCCTCTGGATGCTGACCGATCGCTTAGCTTTATGTCCGGCGCCAACAACGGTCCCGCTGCTCGACCCTCTCGGAATGAGGACGAAAAACGCCGGATAATACAATCTCTTTTTTCCAATCGGGATCAGAGCGGACGCTTAGTTGAAGAGTACATCACACATGCGCGAATTAGCGAGGCGCAATCGGTCAACGAGCTGCTAAATCCCACAATTCTGCCCAAGGAACGCGTGGCTATTGTAGCTGTTCTGGCCGATGGCGCAGTGCGTATCCACAAGGCCCGTGAAAATGAAAACCGCACTTTCCAGATTGGCCGTACCTGGGGGCTGCAAGAGCTTGTGAGTCTTGAGAATCCAAGTGACCAAGTTGCTGGCATCGTTGCTCACTTTGGAAAGTCGTACTTTTGGTCTCTGTCTTCGTTCGGAGCTAAGCTACGGTTTGTACAAAGTGTTTCGCAGATTTATGAAAAATTCACATCCAAGCAACTGAGCTTGATTGGTTTTGATCGCCGCCAGTGGACAAAGTCTCCAGGCAGCAGTCGGGCGACTTCCGCTGGGTCCGTACAGCAGGCAAGTCCCTCAATTCAGTCACCAGGAGAAGTTTCCCCTCTGAGATCGGTTGACCCATTGGTGCCGAAGCGACGTAGCCAACCTCATGTCGATCTGCGCCAGCCACCACCAATGAGCCCCAAGCGAAATAGCGCAGGAGCCGCCAGGCAGGCATTGTTATCTCCAGGAAACCCGCAATACCCATCAACTCCTTCTTTGCCGAATCTGAGCCGGGAGAGGTTATCTGGGTCACCAGGAATCCGTACAGTTCCGGTTCCGGTTCCAGTTTCAGGTCAGCCCAGTCCTCGCGCCCCCACACGCTCACAGGAGAATTTAGCCCAACACCCGAAGCCACAAGAAGAGACTCCAAAAGCGGTCTCGAGACCACGGGGTGCAGATTCACCTTCGATCCCGCCTACGAGTGATTTACGGTCGTTCAACTCAGTGAGACGAGCCCCTTCTCAAGATTCTGTGAACAGAAGTCCTGGTCAATTGGCCCCGTCTCAAATGCCTAAAAGCAACAACAACTCTGCGTCATCGTTACCGTTCGCCCCGAAGCCCTTGAATCCGAATCGATCTCCTGAGGATTCAGAAGTGTCGCCTGCTACGTCTCGATCTCCATCCGCAGGGTCCTTGCCACAATCCAGTTCTAACCCAAGTCTTGCTGCCACCAACATTCCACCAATGCCTCCTGTTCCAGAGCTGGTGCCGCGGTCTCCTGATCAGCGAAGGCGCACGTTCGGCTCACTGCCTGGAACACCTCGATCAAGAGGCTCCGGAATGATCTCTTCGCCATTCTATGATACCCAAAGAGTATGGCAGACACATTCCAGACACCCATCTGCGGCATCTCAACAGTCCCAGAGTGAGTTTGATCGTCGACAAGCGTTTTTCGATCTCGAAACGACCTTGAACGAGTTGCAATGGGATGGAACTTCGTCAGTCGAAGATTTAGAAAAAGTTATCAATTCGAAACTGCAGACTCTTGGAGAGTCGAACACGGCGAATGTCGTTTCCCTGGATAAACGCATTGATGAGTTGGAGCAGTTGACGGCAACTAGCTTGGACGACAGCCAGATGCTTCAACAGCTGATTGGATTTTTTGTTGTCCAGCTTTCTGGTGTTGGTGATGAAGTGTCCAAGATTGGTGGCCGCGGAAACGAGCCTCAGGTTGTCGGTATGAATCAGCGTAACCTCTACCACGAACTGGTCCGCCTTTTGGAGATGGTATCGCTGCCTCCTGAAGTTATCGAGGTCATCACAAAGTCTAACTTTGCATCTCCTAATGATCTACCTCAACTCGAGCACGCTCTTGTTGAGCTCCATAGTGCGGTTCAGGCAGTTGAGTTTGGTGGTGAGCAAGGTGTAGGCTCCATGAGAATTCTCCAAGAACAAAAGGGATCAACATTGAAGCTTGCTTCGAACTTTGGCAGCCGAGTTGAGGCTTTCCTTGTTCAAGAGTTCAAGAAAATGTCAGAGGTCAACGTTAGCTCAGAAACGCCAGCTCGTATCGATGTGCCATTCTTGACAAAAACATATCCTTTGGCTGGTCTTGTATTATTCATGAAAGAAAGTGATCCTGCCCGATACCAAAGCTTGCTTTCACAATATATCACCGTTGCTTCCCAATGCTATTCTGAGTCGCTTTCGACGTATTCCGTTAGATGGAAGCGACAGGCTGAGCAGACTGTTGGCAGCCGTGCAGTGTTCACGTTACAGGAGAAACAAGATAGTACAACCAGTGGAGGCAGTACTGTAAACTATGCAGGCTCTGCTGCCGCCGCTGCATTGGCGAAACGTACCAAGTCATTGCGACAGACGCATCCCAAACCCCCACAGGCTAGCAATGACAAGAATTCATTCGCACTTGCATCAAATAACTTGGCTACTTTGGAGCGTCTTTTTGATCAAATGGTCGATGTCATTTCTTTGCATATATCCGCTCAGCAGCAGCTTCTTGTTCGTTTCTTCCATTTGTCGAGTCACGGTAGCCGTCGCTACGATTTATTTATTCGTCAAGTTCCGGTTGAGCTCAGAGCAGAAATGGCAGCGCAGTTTGGCGGGGAACCTGAGATTGGTGATGTAGACACTTCTCGTGAAGAATCTGCTCGAACCCGTCAACAGGTTAGTCTTGTTTTCTCGAAGATGGAGGATCTCATGAATACAGTTGGAGGCTTTGTTGGCCAATCCAGTGTTTTGGAATCAGTTTATTTGATTGCCAAGATCGAGAAGAAACTAGAAACCCTGCAATCGAAAGACCAGGAGTATTTAGTTGATACTTTGAATGCGCTGCACTCCAGGCTTAGCCAGCGGTGGACCGCTGTCATAGACGGACAAGTGCGTTTAATTCTCGGATCCCATGTCACCAAAAAGCGTCATGGATTTTTGGCAATCGTTTCTAGGTTCACACATTATGTCCTTGTCGTGGAGCAGGCTCTCCGCGATGTTGGAGTTGATACAGACAATCTACCTGTGCGCAAGCTGGTTGATAACTCGCATGATCAACTATACCGTGCATTCCTTCAAATTTTCCAAACAAGTTCTACAGACACTTCTACAGATGCAGCTGGTCAAGAAGATAAAGATATGCTCAATCATCACGTTACGATGATAAGCAACTTGAATGGTATTATTACCCAGCTGGAGACCATTGGCTCGTTCTCTATCCAGAACATTATCCTGCAGGCCAAGAAGCAATATCGCGTCGACCTTGAAGCTTACATTAATGATGTTCTCCACCGTCCAATTGGCCGCATCATTGAGTTTGTGAATCTCAGCAAGAGCCCCAAGTTCAAGAACGTGAAAGGGAAAGGCCAACTTGCCGCACTGAAGAAGGCAGTGTTGGGATTCGATGCTAAGGAAATGCGCAAATCTACAGAGACACTTCGTCGTCGTGTCGAAAAGCACTTCTACACTCCTTCTGACGGAGAGGGCGATTCCGCGTTGTTCGAAAAGGTCTGGAAAGCCATTGGCGCTCAGTATCTTGACTATTATAACCAGATTTCTGAATTGGCCAGGAAGTTGGACGGCGAAAACGCCCTGGAAATCACCCGCCAAGACATTCTTTCTGCATTTTAACTAGTCTAGTTTTCATTATCATGTGAAATAGTTGATGGGTTAGTAATTCTCTAAATTTTTCAAATGGGTGCGAACCAGAGCAGTTTAGGCGAGATCAAGCCTAAAGAGTCGCTGTATGATCTGCTGGGCGCCGAGAAGAATGCCACTACGGATGAATTGAAAAAGGCGTATCGCAAAATCGCTTTGCAGCTGCATCCAGATCGCAATTACAATCAGGAGGAGGAGGCGACTGTTCAATTCGCAAAAGTGCAAGCTGCATACGATATTCTTTCCGATCCTCAAGAAAGAGAATGGTATGATACTCATGAAACGAACGAGTATAACGAATATCGACATCCCGTCACGAGTACCGAAGAGCTAAAGAGGTACATGGATCCTGCATATGTAACTCTGAACCCCCAAAAGGACGAGTTTTATCGTTTAGTGTCTGAGCTTTTCGATAGACTACGGAACGAAGAATTAGAAGCCGCATTCGATGATAGCGTGGACTCGGGCAACGTTCAAGTCGCCAACGTTCCGTCTTTTGGCCATATCGATGCACCGTGGTCTGACGTCAAAAGCTTCTACGCTGCTTGGGAATCCTTTTCAAGTTTAAAGTCGTTTGCTTGGGAGGACATATATCCTGTCCATCATGCTGCCGATCGTAAGACCAAGAGAGCTATGGAAAATCGTAATAAACGTCTGCGTGATGCCTCCAAACGTGAGTATAACGATGCCGTTCGCTCGCTTGCACGCGGGATTCGCCAACTAGACGTTCGCGCGCAGAAGCAACGCAGAATCAAGTCTCAAGAGCGTGCCCAGGCCGAAGCCAAAGCTAAAGAGCATGCTACTGCTCAAGCCAAAGCTGCAGCTGACGCACGTGGTGAGTTTAAAGAGCAGGAATGGGCTAAAGTCGAAGAGTCTAGTACCAGTGAAATTCCAGAATGTATTGCATGCGAAATGTCTTTTGATTCTCTGGCAGAATTCGAGGAGCATGAGCTTTCAACTGCACATGTTAAAGCAGTGAAGCAATTGCAAAGAGAAATGATGGCTGAAGACCGTGATTTCGGTTTGGCAGACAGTGTATCATCACTGAGCGTCGACGACATTATGGACGAGCTGGATCAGCATAAGAAAAAGCCTGTCAAGGCGGCGTCCCCAGCGGCCAAGTCAGGCAAGGCCAAGCAACGGCGGCAGAAAAAACAGGCACAGCAGTCATTTGAATTCGAAATGAAGTGCAACACCTGCGGACAAGCATTCGCAACCCGCAACCAATTGCAGGAGCATTCTCGTGCTACCCGTCACGTTTGATAATATAATTTATAACTATGCTTAGGTATTTACTTTTTTGGTCTATTCTGCATGGTTAAAAATTCCAATGTCGACATCAGATTTGACATCAGCTGAAGAAAGACGATCACTGCGAAGTTCCTCTAAATGAGAAAAGTAGTCCTCACTAACACCAGTAATGTATTCACCAGTGAAGACGCCAATCTCAAAGCCAGTGAGTTCAGCGTCATGTGGAACCGAGTTGACAGCCTCACACATGTCCTCGACGGTCTGATAGAACAGGCCATCGCAGCCAATCTCGGCAGCGATTTCCTTATCAGTGCGTCCGAAAGCGACCAGCGCCTTAGAATCAGCCAAATCAATGCCATAGATGTGGTTGAAACGGATGGGGGGAGCACAAGACGCGAAGTAAACCTTCTTAGCACCGGCATCACGGGCCATCTGGACGATCTCAAGCGAGGTCGTGCCACGAACAATAGAGTCGTCAACAATAAGAACATTTTTATCTTTGAACTCATGGGGATTTGCGTTCAATTTGCGACGGACGGAGGACCGACGCTCGCTCTGGTTGGGCATAATGAAAGTACGACCAACATAGCGGTTTTTTACGAAGCCCTCGCGATAAAGAATCTTGAGAGCAGCAGAGGTAGACAAGGCGGAAGAATTGGCAGTATCCGGGACAGGAATCACAACATCGATGTCCCTTTTGACTGCTTCGAGAGAGCCAAATTGGCGGATGATATTGCGAGCCAGTGCCACACCCATAGCCAGCCGGCTCTGGTACACAGAAATACCATCGATAACACTATCGGGACGAGCAAAGTAAACGTACTCGAAGATACAAGGGCTGTAAGATCGGGGATGAACGATCTGACGAACGACCGGATCGGCGTTGTTTTTTGCAACAATAATAGCCTGACCGGGCAAAACATCGGTCACATTGGTGTATCCAAGAGCTTCTAGAACAACATTCTCACTAGCCATCATATAGTCAGTGCCATGCTGAGTTTTCCGAGAGCCCCACACCAAAGGACGGATGCCATTAGCATCACGGAAACCAATAAGGCCATAACCAGCAACCATTGCGGTACAAGCAAAGGCACCTTCGGCCATCTGGTAAACACCCTGGAGGGCAGTGGCCAAGTCATCAGTGTTAACACGACGCTTTTTCAGGTCCTGGAGCTTGCTGGCGAAAAGATTGAGCAAAAGCTCCGAATCACTGTCGGTATTGATATGACGATGACATTGATAGTCCATATATTTCTGCAGCTCCTCTGAGTTAGTGAGGTTGCCGTTGTGGGCAATGGCCAAACCATAAGGGGAGTTGACATAGAAAGGTTGGGCTTCGGAGTTCGATGAAGTGCCTGCCGTGGGGTAACGGAGATGACCGACACCCATTGAACCAACCAGGCCCTTTACACGGTTGGGCTGGAATACATCGCGGACCATACCGTTACCCTTGCATTGATAGAGGCGGCCACGCGAGTTACTGGTCATAATACCAGCGGCATCTTGACCGCGGTGCTGTAGATAGTGGCATCCTTCCAGAAGCTCGGGGACAGCCAAGCTATCTGTATCAGCCAGCATTACGCCTACAATGCCGCACATTTGGATTTTGAAAGAGTTGAGAAAGCGGGGGAAAAAAAGCCCAAAAACGGGAGACGGAGGTGGTTACGAATTATCTCACCTGCAAGCTTTTTCAGCCTTTTATTTTTCACCCAACCCCAAAAAAATTTTGGCGGGAGCTCCTCCGCTCTATTTGTCAGCGATACCTCGCAGTGTCTAAGGTACCCGAATACCCCCCTCCTCGGGGTTCTATGATACTGTAATACCCCCTCGAACGAAGTAAGACTGAGTATTGTAAACTCTACTACGATGATCAAGTCGGGTCTTGTAAAAGATGGAGTGAGTAAATTGAACGGAGTCAAATTCAACAGGGACAACAGCTGTTTCGTGCTGGCTCATGAAAATGGCTTCAAAGTGTTCAACTCAGATCCAATGGTCGAGTGGATCTCGCGTGACTTCACCGATGGCGGGCTTGGGCAGGTGGCTCTGCTTGAACGCACCAATTGCCTGGCGCTGGTGGGAGGCGGAAAGCATCCAAAGTATCCCACAAACAAGGTTGCTATATGGGATGATATGCGAGATCAGGCGGTCACTTTATTGGAAGTCAATTCGCCTGTTTTGAATGTATTTATTACCAAAACCAGAGTGGTGATTTTGACAATCAACCAGGTTACTGTGTACTCGTTCGGAGCCTCACCAAGTATCTTGGCTACTTTTGATACCGCGTCAAATCCACAGGGTGTGGGGGCGATGGCCAATGGGCTGTTAGTTGTTCCTGCCATCGCCGAGGGCAGGGTCCAGTTGATTGAGACAGAAAACGGGGAGTGTCGAATTTTGGGGCTTTTGCGGGCTCACAAATCGACAATCAGAGCGTTAGCGATCAATTCGCGATTTATTGCCACCGCCAGTGTCACTGGTACCATTATACGAGTGTTTCGCATCGAGTCCAAGACGGTCATCCACGAATTCAGGAGAGGGCTCGACAAAGCGGACATATTTTCGTTGGCGTTTTCTCCGTCAGACCAGCTCGCTTGCCTATCTGACAAGAAAACATTGCATATATATGACATGCACGCTGGAATCAACCGGCGACATGCTCTTCAGGGACTGCCGCTGGGTCCCAAGTATTTAAAATCCGAATGGAGCTATGTTTCCGCACATACAGAACACGCGACGGAAGGCGTTCTCGGTTGGATTGATGATCGATGTCTAGTGGCTGTCTGGCTACAGGCTATGCGATGGGAGAAATATACAGTCTTGCCGGAGGCCGGAGAGCTGGTAAGAGAAGCATGGCGGAGACTTACCGTTGAATGATATATACAGATTTAGTCGACAACTTCACATAAAACACGGGAAGATGTGTAAGGGAATATTTGCTGGTTGTAGTCCTTGACGAAACGGTCGGCTTCTTCTTCTGACTTGAAGCGCAGAACGAACGGACTGCCGCCGTACTTGACCCGATCGACGGGGACTCGCTGCACAGCTAGTTTGTCGTCATCGATAAGATCGTAGTCCCACAGCACTCTCAAGATTGTTGTTTCAGAGTAACCTACGGGCAAACCAAGAATCAAGGCGTGGCTATGCCGTGAAACGCCCGGAGCTTTGTCGAGCAAGGGACTGGTATAACCTCTAATAGAGGGCTCGACAAACCGCAGTTTCAATGGCATTCCACATAACTCTGCACCAAGAGTCTCTTGATAATACACCATGGCCGCATCCTTTGACTTGAAAGTTAGAAAATAGCCCATCCAGCGGGTCAAATTCACAGGATTGCGGGCGCGGTGAACCTCGATGTCAATTGTATCGAATTGGGGATCGTAACTGCCGACACGCAAGTTTTTATCGGGTAACAAGCGCTGAAAATCGCTCTGATTGAACTTCATATCCACTGTGTACCAATAAAGAATGTTTGTGATGGAATCCGTGTTGAGAAACTTGACTTGGTTAAGACCGATATTCGAGAGCTTTTCCTGCCGAAATCTTTGGGCCGTTCGATGGCTGGACTGGTCTGTCTTGAAAATACTAGAAAGCAATCCTCGCAATCCCTGCTTGCGGGTTACCTCCACCATTTTTGGCGGCCGTTTATTGGCGGGCCGAGGCGGAGTGCCCGAGAAGGCCGCTTTGGCCGTGTTAGGCGGCAGCGGCGCCATTATTTCATCTTCAGTCTGCGGGATCCGTGGTCGCGGCCGCTTTTGTTTAAACAACGCATTGAAAAGGTTGTTTTTCTTTGTAGCAGCCCTCGCAGCCGAAGTTGTGAACTGTCTACAAAGCATGTGTCAGAATTCACGCTGGGGAGTACTGGTGTGGTTTTACGGGAGAATAATCAGATTTTAGATGGTTAAAACTAAACAGGTAAAATTAAAACACTAAATTGGAGGAGTGGGCAGGCCCCAGTGTTTATTCCCCTAACAGCAGGCTGAACCGCCGTCAGTCAACATAGGCAACCCGTGCCACTAAGGTAATTTAGGACCCCAGCAAGCCCAACAAGCTCAGCACTAGTTACTATGCTCGGCAGTAACTGGCAGCAGCGGGCGCCTGCATCTCCCACTTCAAGTCTACTTTAATAATCAACGAGCTCCCATCACATTTTACACCTGCGGCCGCCGGGAAATCCTATCACCAGAGCTTTACCAAGGATATGTCCTCTAATCCGCAATCGCAGGCCGAATATACCAATCAAATGACCACAGAGATCCCCGCAGCTATACCATTGAGCCGCGGTATTTGGGCCAGTCCCAGCCCGGTTCGCTCGCCGTTCGCCAGTGAAGCGTCGTTGGCCTACCCTGCTACTTACGACTCAGTTGCGAGCTCTGCTGCAGATTACGAGGCGTATCGCAGTGGTGGCATTGCCTGGGGTTCGGCCACTTCTGCCTCAGGACGAAGGTCTAGCCACGCTTTGACTGAACCAGAGGGCTCCCACAGGAGCCTGTCCCGTGGCGACACCGATTTCCCACGCCGCTCTAGTCTGAACGGCCGCGTGGGCACCAAGCAGTCTTCTGCTCCATTTTTATCATCCTTATCTTTCCACCCTCAGCCCAAGAACAATTTCTTGGGGCCTTCGATCTCTCTTCTGGATCAGTTCTCAAACCTAGCCGACGCAACCCGCCAAACTGAGCTAGCCCACAGATTAGAGAATGTGCACGTTTCCGACGTGCCCTCCAAGTACCAAACAACAACCTCCTCCTCTTCGAGCAAATCTACGTCGCCGGTCTCGTCTGAGTCACGACTGTGGAATGGCGCATGGAAGCCTCAAGACCTGGCACCTGCGCCTGTGGCACCTGCACAGATGGCATCACCTGCCCCAGTTGCACCACCCTCAGTAGTTTCTCCGGCACCACATCCCGTCGCCGCCTCAGTTGTACCGCCGTTGGCAGGAGCACCTAAAAGTAAGGCCCCGCCGCCTCGTAAGAAGGATTGGAAACGTGGGCGTCGCAGTGAGAACCCGTTACTAGAAGAACTTCGAAGTCGCAATCACCCGTTGCGTATAGAGGACATGCTTGGACAGGTTTTAGAAGTTAGCACTGACCAGCATGGATCACGGTTCATCCAGGAACAGCTCTCCCAAGCTACCCCAGAGGTAAGGCAGCGGTTTTTCGAGGAAACGGAGCCGCATCGCTTGCAGCTGATGACAGATGTATTTGGAAACTACGTTATCCAGCAGCTATTTGAACTAGGGACCCCTGCGCAGCGGTCGACAATGGTTAAGCAAATGAGTACAAGGGTGCTTTCATTGTCACTTCAGATGTATGGCTGTCGTGTGGTCCAAATGGCAATTCGCCATTCTTCCGAAGCTGAGCAGGTGTCACTGGTGGATGAGCTGCGGACCCATGTAGTTCGCTGCATCAAAGACCACAATGGCAACCATGTGATTCAGAAGGCAATTGAATGCGTCGCACCCAAGCATGTGCAGTTTATTTATAAGGACCTGATGAACCACACCTTGGAACTTTCCCGCCACACCTACGGATGCCGAGTCGTGCAACGGATTTTAGAGTTTGGCGACGCAGAAACCCGACACAAGCTGGTTATCGAACTGAAAGCGCTCATTGATCGATTGGTCGAGGACCAGTACGGAAATTATGTTGTACAACATATCGTTGATCATGGACCTGCAGAAGACCGCGACTGGGTACTGGAGCGATTGGTACCGCGGCTCGTTGTCCTGTCGACCCACAAGTACGCTTCGAATGTCATTGAAAAATGCTTCCTCCGAGGCACGCCTCGCCAGCGGTCCGCAATGATCACGGCAATACTCGAAAATGACATCTACGGCGTTCCTTCCGTTGTGACCATGATTCGAGATCAATATGCCAACTACGTCGTACAGAAAATGCTCGACAACGCCACCGCAGACGACAGAAGAAGGCTGGTTGCGGCAATCAAACCTCACATTGCCACAATCAAGCGAAACTTCTACGGAAAACATTTAGCCGCTATTGAAAAGCTTCTACATGAGTAAACGTATGCCACCTTTGTACATAATAGTAAGTCATTTATTGTCACCCCACATAATCCCCTAACCTTTTCAACTTGACATGTCATACCAAGCAGCGCTGCCGGTAGCGGGCAAATGGAAGCAGACAGTGGCTGAATGGCTTGCTGAGGATGTTCCGAGCTTCGATGTGGGCGGGCTTGTCGTTGGAAGCGATTTACGGACGGCGACACTCTGGTGCAAACAGTCAGGTCGCTTGGCCGGCGTGCCATTCGCTAACGAGGTCTTTAAACAGTGTGGCCTCGAGGTTGAGTGGTTATGCGAAGAGGGCACCGATATCGAAGCTTCTGGGGACAACAAGGTTGCTGTCGCGAAGGTCAAGGGACCCGCCAATGCCCTTCTGCTGTCCGAGCGCACAGCCCTGAACTTACTTTCTAGATCAAGCGGTGTCGCAACCCAAAGCCGTGATGTTTTGAGCTTGGCTCGCAAGGCCAAGTACCCAGGAATTATTGCCGGCACCCGCAAAACTACCCCTGGTTTGCGTCTTGTTGAAAAATACGCAATGGCTGTAGGCGGCATTGACATGCACCGCTATGATCTTAGTAGCATGATTATGCTCAAAGACAACCACGTTTGGAGCACTGGGTCTATCACTAATGCTGTCAAGGCCGCTCGTGATTATGCCGGGTTCTCTGTAAAAATCGAGGTCGAGTGTCAATCCGAAGAGGAGGCAGACGAAGCTATTCTTGCCGGTGCTGACATTGTGATGCTCGATAACTTCTCTCAAGAGGGCATTAGAATTACCGCTAGCAGCCTGAAGCAAAAATACGGCTCCAAGGTTCTTCTTGAGTGCAGCGGTGGCCTTCGCGCTGATAACCTCGAATCTTTCTTGTGCAAGGACGTTGATATTTACTCTACTTCTTGGGTGCATCAGGGAACCGGGGTGATTGACTTTAGTCTCAAAATTGATCATTAAATAGTGAATCGTGATATATCCAGTGATTCCAAGACTTTAAGTTCCTTGCTCTTTGCTTCATCTGCTTTCTCTCCGCCAGAATTGGTGGACACAGAATCTTCGTCGATCAGCTCCTTTTTGGGTGCGGATTCTAGGCGGTGCCTCAGATTCTCGATCAATTGCAGCCGGTAGGTCCAGTTGTCAGCGTACTCACCATGCTGATTGTATACCGCGGCATATAGAGATGCCTTAACAACCAGGTGGCGGACGAATAGTGACAAGTAAGCTTCGCTCATGGTCTTAAGCTCATAGGCTGCCAAAACATTAGCCAGTCCTTCTTTGCGGAAAGCGCGAACCCTCCATTTATTATCACAATAAGTAGGCGTGATAACAATATTGATAAAGTTGAATTGTGATTTGACCATGTCGAAATCAAAGGCATGACCAGATTCATCAAAGTAAATATTGACGAAATTGTTGCCAATGTGCCGCTTTTTGGACGAGCGCTGCTTGTCATCGTCACGGTTGGGCATCATCGTTGTCACATGGAAAATCAGCTGCGATGTCTTCGTTTGGTGACCATACGCATATTTACCATCGAGATCCATTTCAGTGTCTAGACCACCAACATAAAAGTCCCGGTTGTTCTTCAGTCGAATGAGACGGCCCACTTTACGCAAAAAGCGGTTGTACGCAGGTGAGCCCGCGGTGTTGGAGAGCACTGATTCTTCATCATATTGGTTGGGTCCAATGTAGATAATACCGGCTTTGTGAAGATCAAGGACCGGTGCTCTGTCAAGTGTAGTAACTGCTCGTTCGAATTGAGGTTCATCGGGGATAGGAAGTGCGTTGTGTTCACCCTGTTTCCTGAGCGAGTGTAATGCCAGGAACCAAAAGTTTGCTGTATACAGTTCACCACCTGACGTACCGGATACCATTGCCGGTTTAACCTCGGGGCGATATTGTAGCACCAGCGTGCCAACAGGGCGACGTAGCACCATTCTGGACTTGCCAGAGTGCATATCTGTACTGTATTCGTAAACCGAATTACCCATCAGCCAGCGGCGACGGTCACGAGTTTCGGGAGAATCAGGAATCTCCGCTGTAGAGTACAACGATAGTGGCAAATCACTGTAGGTATATCTTCGAACCATATCGAAGGTGACCCTACTCAATGCTGACATTTCCTCACCATCGCCATCGGCAAGAACGAGATTACGAACAAGATAAGGCACAAATGATCTCCGTTGACTGATTTCAATGGACAAAAACAATGTGGTGATAGAGGAATAAGCCAACCGGAGCAAATACTGAGACAACACCTGATTGTCGACATCAGTTGCCGTCTGATTGTTCAATAAATGGTAGTTTGCATCCTGAATGTAGGTAAAACACATACCGAAAACTCGTTTGTACTCCTGGAAATTAAAGTTATCAGTTAGGTTGGAAACAGCACTGGCAGTCAAAATGAACTCGAGAATATGGGTACTGGCTTCACGACTTGACAGTTTGGTTTGGAACTTGTTCAACATCTGAGGAAGATATCGCTGCACAGACTGGGGACACTCGTAACAGCACAATACCAAGCCATGAATGATCCACTTGGACGAAATATCCCAGCTCTTGTTCATGTACAAAACAAAAGTTTGAACGAGGCGGTCGAAATCAGACTTTTGGAATATTTGATCATAAGCCATCAAAATAGTCAAGGCATGGACAATCACCGAGATATAGTCTTGGCGACTGACATTAGCGTTAACCGGTGGTGCAGGCAACTTGCCGCTCGAATTAAGCTGCGACAACAGCAAATTTCGAAGATTCATAACCTCGCCACTGATATGGGCAAACAGTTCCATGTTGGCCAACTGAGATGGAAGGTTGATCAAGACCTGAGCATACGCTTCAGGACAGCCTCCTCGCTGCATGACCTCGTAGATAACACCTAAAAGCGTGGAACTATCAATCGACGTTGTCACAGAGTCTTCTAATGACGTTGTTGAAGATGATTCGTCATTTAAAAATGGAGAACTGCGCTTAAGCACCCCAGACGGTTTATCATTGTGCTCGATATAGGGTGCAGGAACTTGTAAAGACGCAAGTGGACCGTAGTCGGGTTCCACACCAGGCTCTGTCAACCAAACATAACTTCGGTCACCAGCTCTGATTCTTGAAACTAACGCAAAAGCTTCTTTGAAGGGCTCAGCATCGTAGTAGGATCTACGACAGATTTGAATTAGAGCATTGTATGCTTTCCGAGCTTCCCGAGCACGATAGGTGTAAACAGAAGCAAACACCTTGGCGATTGACCGGGAGATCAATCCCAGTTGCCGTGATTCTTCATCTGAAGTGACCTTTTGCGTGCTCTGATCAGGGAAATGGCTCATCAAAATATCAATCACGCGATCAAAGAATAGATTCAAACTAGCCTTAGACAGACGCTCAAACACTGCAAGCAATTCCAAAGTTAGTTCCTCATCTGCGCTGCCTATTACAGCAAAAAGACGATCAGCGATGGGCAAAAAGTCTTCTAGAGCAACTGTTAGCATAGCTTCTGTTTCCTTGAGAGAATATCCCTCGGAAACTTGCTTTGAGATCGCCAAGTCTCGAGTTGAGTTACCATCGCTCAGAGCCCACACATATGCATTGCGTACTAAAGCTATCACTCTCAAACGTACTGCTGTAGAGTTGGTAGCTGGGCGGTAAAGACGAGTCAAAATTAAACTCAACCGGTCTTGCCAGTTTACCATGTAAGGTGCGCAAAGGTGAATTTGTTGACAAACATCCATAACTCTGATGGCAGAAGGGTCATCAAGAAACCTAGCCAGCTCAATGCAAACCAGACAGACTTCTTCTAATGGTAACACGCTATCGCGGGCAACTAGGAGCTTACTGATTCCGCGGAATACACCGGTTAGACTCTTAGCAAGGTCTTCAACAACGTACTCCGTCTCGGACGAGAATTCAGAGTCCTTACCATCGGGGGTCCAACCCGTTTTGTTCAGATCTAATCTCTCAGTCTTTGACAAGAAATCCGCTAGCTGATACACCAGACGCAGGGGCGAGTTGGTAGCCGACTGCCAAAGGTCATAATCAAATAAAACCCCAGGTGCTGCTAGCAACGACTCAAGTGAAGATGCAATCTCGACACCTACGTAGCCAGTAGCAAGGTTTGCATCTAAAGTCCCTGAAAATGCTGCTAGGATTCTAGTCAAGGGAACCTCCTTCAGGCCAGACCCTTCCTCAATCAATTGATTAGCAGTGGTAACTGCGGAAGCTCTCGAACTGGTAGCAAGCGAGGTTACAGACGAGGACGGTGCTGCAGTGGTGGGGGAGGCTGGTATTGCCGCTTCCGGGGTCTGATTTGAGAGCCAAAGGGCGACCTTGGTCAACATCCGAACCGCACCCTGTCGCATTGCCGGCGTGACATCTGCCGGACGCTGTAAAATACGACACAGGGTCGATACTGTGGAGTTAGACAAATGACTGCGACTCAAATTCTGTACAGTTTTCCAGGTCTGATCCTCCAATGACTCTACAACCACGTTGATGCCACACAAGCCCTCCAAGATAGGCGATAAAGCAGGTAGAGGAATAATACCGAAAGCCATAATTGTATCAATAAGATTACAGCATAATTCAATCTCATTGAGTGAGGACGTAGTACGCATGACTGCACAGATAGAGAGCAAAATGTTGAGCAAGTCTTTTTCGTCAAATAGGGTCATAGCGAACTTCAAAACATTTGCCACGAATTTAAGCAGCTGTTCAAAATTCTCTGGGGTTGAAGTGCCCCATTGTGCAGCAATGTCACCCAGACTTGGATTTTTGCGAATTTCTTGGGACCGTAAAGCTAGCAATTGAATCCAAGAAAGTAGGACGGCCGGCATCCTGTATTTTGCCGCTTGCCCAAGAATAACTCGTTTTCCATTATTGGTGAGCTCTTGAATAACCGAAAGCACCAGGTCAAAGTCTTCAATGTTTGAGTTGTCGATAAGGGTCTGATAATAAGTGCTGAAGGCACCCACATTGATTTCATCCTGCTCAATACAGGTTTTCATTAGTTTCCAGCCCGCCCGCCGAACCTCAGTCTGGTTGTCTCCAACAATAAGTAGTTTCACAGAGTACCATACTTCCTGAATAGATGAGACCGCATTGTTTTCGAGCGAAGACCGGATAACGTTCGCCGCAGCAACACGGTCGCTGGCTGGCTGCTGGGGGTCATTCACAATGCTCGTAAGTTTATCAATGTCCTGGGCAACACCAACCACGGCAGATGGCAAGTGGTGCCGCCCTCGTGTGGAGATGCGAAAGCGTTTTGCAAACACACCCCAGGCGTTCGATACGGAGCTCATGCTGACAATATGATCTGGTCGCAGCTACAATGAAACAGCTCGGGCGTCCAGAGTGTAAACATGCAAAACTGCGCACAGAAGAGCATTACGAGCACGTATTTAGACTTGTATTACATCCTATAAAATCCCAGGCGAGGACCTGCCTCCCACACTGCCGCCTTGTTATCTCTTCATACTGTCCTGCGATTCTTTGACAAACAGTGGTGAGTACCTCAAAATATCGGGTAGAACGGCCATTTTTACGTGCGAGCCCCGTATATACACCAGATCCATGTGGCTCACTTGGCCAGTTCTTTCGGTCACCACGACATCCGACAGCTGCATGTTCATATTCTCTTCGCTTCTCACGAGCGTGCCACGGTACGTCTGTCCAGAGTCCAGCTCTAATGTGACAACATGCTGCTGCGCTTCACCAAGCAGCCTTAACGGAACCTGGGTGGGCATTTCGTGTCTAAGTTCAATCGCAAGTTTCTGGCTTACCAACCGGCGTCGTCATCATGGAGGTCGTTCTTGAGCAGGTCCAGCTCATGTTCAGCCTGGAAAACATTGTGGATGTAGCTGTGGCCAACAATAAGCTGTACATTGCTGTTGGAGCGGTGTCAGTGATTCGAATTGACCTGTCTGAGCCGACGAAAGTCAAGGAGATCCAGATCCCCCGTCGCGGTGAGTCGGGAGGCAGTATTAAAGCTATCTTCACAGACTATTCAGGCGCTCATCTGATTTTGGTGACCTCGACATTTGAACATTATTATTTGAATGGTGACGCCGATGACTTCCGTCACCTGTCTCGTTTGAAGGGGCTCAAAACTTCTGCGATTGGCTGGAGCCCGCTGGTCAATTCTCGTTCTCCGGGAGTTATTTTGCTGGGTACCGAGTCAGGGCTACTGTACGAGGCTGAAGTCGAGCCTCATGCGTCGGAGAGCTACTTTAAACGCGATGTTCGCTATCTTAAACAGGTTTGGCAGTGCCCTGCTGGCGGGGCGTTTGGTGGAATCCATTGCGGCATTGGCCAAAAGAGTATCCACTTAATTGCTTTGGCTGGTGCTACCATATATTCCTGGCGAGACGAAATGCTCAAAAACTCTACCTTGACCGATGTTTACAAGCATTTATTCACATTGGCGCCGGGCAGTCGGTCGCTGGGTACACAAACGGAAGCTGGCATGCTCCAAGTCTCGCCCAATGGTGAGCGATATGCTGTATTAGTTCCAGGCACACTATATACCGCGAAAATCTCCGAGGAACTTAGTGGTAACGTGATAGATACACCCCCCAACGCTGCTGGGCTCTTATTATCCAATTACCATGCTCTGTTGGCAGATTCCAGGTCTTTGTATGCCGTCAATATTTGGACAGAGAAGCAGGTATCTGTGAGTCAATTCCCTGGCGAGATTTCTGGCGTCTACTGCGATCGCCAACAACAAACGTTCTGGGCATTTAGTGCCGAAGGATTGACTGAAATTAAACTGGAGAACGAAGAATCCGACATGTGGCGAACTTTTGTATCCAACAAGCAATTTGAAGAGGCACTGAGTGTCGTTAAAGACCAGGCAGATCGTCGGTATATATATGCTGAAATGGCAGCTTCTGAATTAGAAGCGGGCAATTACAGAGAAGCCGCTGCACACTGGGGGCTGAGCGATGCTTATATCGAAGGGATCACAGCCAAGTTGATTGATTTAAATGACGTTCAAGCTCTGGTAGCACTTTTCACAAACAGATTGTCCATTACACGAGGCAAGGCTCAGCGAATCATGCTCAGTAGCTGGATCGTAGAGTTCCTACTTCAGCAGGGTGACCCGCAGCCTGTTATGGCCTTTCTTCGTGGTAGAAAGGACGTTTTTGACAAAGATACAGTATTCGAGCTATTGCAGCAACATGGCGATAACGATCTGTTGTTGGACTTTGCGAACTTGGTTAAAGATTACGGGTTCATTGTCGATTTCTATATTCTGCATGATGAGTGGTCTAAAGCGTTAAAAGTTATGCGTGATGCCGACGTTGTTGAGTTGGTGTATCGTCATAGCAAAGTACTGCTTGCTGCTCTACCTCAAGAAACGGTAGAGACCTGGATGCTTATTCCTAACCTGGACCCGTTGCAACTTTTGCCAGCCTTACTAGACCAAGCTAGGTACTTCAGAGGCGACGTGTCCAAGTCGCAAGTGATTCGCTTTTTGCGATACTTGATTTTCAAAAAAAATGTCCAGGAGCCCATGGTGGACACAGCATTGATGTACGCCTATGCTCAAGCCCCGGGAGAGGATGAGCTTTTGCAGTTTGTGAAAGACCGCGAACAGAGTTTTGTATATTTTGACTCCGCATTGAGGTTATGCCTCAACTATGGGAAGATCAAAACTGCTATTCATATTTATACTTTGATGGACTTGCGAGAAGAGGCCGTAGAGCTGGCCTTGAAGCACGACCTTCTAGACGAGGCGGTTTCAATTGCTGAGCAAAGCCTGGAAAACGAGCGACTTTCCAAAGCGCTGTGGCTGCGAATTGCAAAAATGCGTGTAGCCAAGGATGGGCCTGCTGGTGCGTTGGTGCTGGCAGAAAGTGGCAATCTATCCATCGAAGAACTCCTGCAGCTACTTCCTGACTTTGAAAGCCTGGGTGATTTTGCTCCGAATGTGATCAGAGGGCTGGAGAAATCAAGCCGCGAGCTCAAAAAGATCAACGAGGAAATGACGCAGTCTCTGCTTGCCGGACGAAACATGCAATCCCAGTCTGATGATCTGAAAAAGCGGTACGTTCTCGTGGAGCAAGGAGAAGATTGCCAAACTTGCCACTTTTCTCTACTGACACGAAAGTTCTACGTGTTCCCCTGCCAGCACGGCTTCCATTTCGACTGCTTGATCAAGGAGCTTGAATCTACTCCGGCTGGCCGGCAGATTCGAACCATCAAAGCGTCTTCTGCGCCTGCTGAAGAACAAGATCAAAAGCTGGACGAGATCGTTTCAAGCTGTTGCCTTCTGTGTTCTGATTCACGTATCGACCTAGTTGATCGCCCCCTGGTTGTAGATTTATAAAATTAACTGCTTGATAAATTGATGGCCGTCGCCATGTGGGTTAGGGATATATCAGTGTCAACAGACCTGTCCCAAGTTGACAATGGTACTAGACGTGAAGCTTAAAGGGATCTCTAACGAGGACTTGGTTAGAGGATACCCGGGAGTGCCGGGCACGTGGCCCCGTATCAAAGGCACTATAGAGATCCGTCAAACGGGGAAAGAGGCTATGGACAAAACACCTCTGGGAATTGCCCAGGTTAGTATAGGACTGTACCGCACCGATGTGATCAACGTTCCATCAACAAACCCCATTGGAAACCAAAAAGAGCAGAGTTACCAGGTGACCAAAGTGCGGGATATTTACAATGGGTCCAGCCACGATGTCTACGCCCTTGATCTACCATTCACTCTGAATTTACCCACGAGCCGGCCCATGCCCGCTAGTATATCGTTGAAATCAGTGGAGACGACCTATCATTTGTTTGTAACCTACAAATTGACTACTCCAAGTAAGAATCCTGTCGAAGCTGTGCAGTTCCCCGTACGGATCTGCCGGTTTGATACCCTGTCCACGTTTGGCAAGTACCACGAGCCGATTGTGCGACAGGTCACGTCTCCGGACCATTTGGTCAACCTGCATTTTTCAACGCCCGCGAGCTGCTACGGCCCACGGGACTCAATTGCAATCAAGATGAAGGCGGAGGTGAACCCGGACGCATCGAAGGCCCGCAAAGTTCGCCTAAAGCGCATGTCAATTGAGCTCGTGCAGGTGACAAAGTACTTTGTGCCTGAGAAAGAAGGCAACGAAAAGACGGAAGTGGAAAAACGAACCCGAGTTGCCAAAGTTTCTCAGGATTTCGCCGACCTGCGCATCGGTGAAAAGTCACATGTTGAAGACATGTACATTACCTTACCCGAGCCCGATCTTGAGGTCAAAGACGCTGTGGCTACCAAAGAGCGGGCCGAGATTCCGGATGAGGGCCATGTGGCTTTTACTACGGCAGCGACTCTATACAAGATTGACTTTGTGCTTGTCTTGAAGGCCCGCTTTTCGCACGCCAAAGATATTGAAACCGTGCAGGACGTTACATTATGTGAATTCGATCATGCTACTTGCAGAACCCATATGGTCCACATAGTCCAGGCCGCGGAGTTAGTAGGCACCGAACATGAGCATACCTCTGCTTCGGTTTACAGCCGCCCCATCGATGTCAGAATCCAAATTCGTTAATGTATTTATATACCATGTAGTGCTGGGTACCCCGCATTGTCATCATCACCATGTCGGTATATCCAATGTCTGCTGTGAAAGTGAACGCACCCAAGGTAGCAACTGCCACCGTAATCTTCCTACACGGTCTCGGAGATAGTGGCGAGGGGTGGTCGTTTTTGCCTGGTGAGGTTTATAGACGCTCCAGCCTCCAGCACATCAAGTTTATTCTCCCCAACGCTCCGGTCCGTCCGATCACTGTGTTCGGACAGGATGCTCCTGCTTGGTACGACGTTGGTGCGTTTGGCCCCGGCTCGTCGCAGGACGTTGAAGGCACACTCACCGGCCTCAACACGGTCAAGGCATACATCGAGGAAGAAATCCGAAACGGCGTCCCGCCCGAGCGCATTGTTGTTGGCGGTTTCAGCCAAGGATCGTCCTTGACGATGGGTACCGCAGTGACTTTGGACAAAAAGATTGCTGGATTCATCCCAATTTCCGGGTTCGTGCCCGTCGTCAAGGCTATTGCGCCCCTGGCCAAGCCCGACAACCTGGACACCCCGATCCTCCAAATGCACGGTACTGCCGATGAAATTGTGCCCTTCAAGACCGGCGTTGTGTCGAACGAGATCATGCGAAACAAGTTCCACTTCACCAACATCGAATGGCATGAGTACCCGGGTCTTGCGCACAACATCAACCCGCAAGGCCTGGAAGACATTTTGAACTTTTTAGAGCGGGTCGTTCCTAGTGTTTAATGTGTCTGGTTCATAGATAATAAATTAAAGAAATGGTTCTAGCGTCTACCTCGTCCCGAGCACCTGGCGATATGTGCCGCAAAGCGGTGCCCGGCCACCTGTCTCTCGCAATTGGGACATTCGAAATAGCGGACTTCGGTGCTTTTTTCCAGCCCGTAGATGTCTCGTCCTGGTGCGTTCACTTGGAGCGCTCGCTTCGATAGCACGCCCTTGACGGGCTGTACATTCTCTGCCTTGCCGTACTGGCTGCGGACCTTCTTCTCGTAAAGTAATGCCGGTACCAAGGCCTCTTTGCACTGCACTTCCAGCATCCATTTCAGGATCTCTACGCTGATCGCTTGTGAGTCCATTATTTAGAAGCTGAGTAACTGCGCAGTGTTTTGGGAGAACGGTTGACAAAAAGATCCCGATGAGCGACAGCGAAGATGAGGTGCAAGACTGGTTGGCGCTTACCAGGGTCCAAGATGCTGCTGTTTTGAAGCGAGGCGAAAAGGACTTTGCTCCTGACGGGACAAATATCCAGCAGTCGATCCTAGACCGCAGTAGAAATGCCATGTACGATGCGCTGAATCACCCTCGAGCCACTTCGGCAAAAAACCTTGTCTATGGCGAATGGGACTCGGAGCGACAACAGGTCAGAGTCGACAAGCCAAAGGGAACCCACTTTTTCACGATGGGGAAGGCTGAGCGGACTGCGACGTTCCTTGATCCAGAAGAAGCTGTTTATCTAGCTCAGCGCGGGACGCTGCAGGTCATGTACAGGGGCAACGCTCTGAGTATTGAGGGTATTTGTGCGTTTTGCATGAGTGCGTGTCGACAGGAAAATATGCTCGTGTACTCCTATTTAAAAAAGCTCGGTTACATTGTCCGCAGAGCGCCTGCTCTCGAGCAATGTGTCCCAGAACCAATACAACACCTCAGGCAGTCTCAGGGCTTTTGGTTTTGGTTAACCCAGCCGTGGCATGAACAGCTGGCATGGCGTTCAGTGTACAGGTCGTATTCTCAGGTTTATCGTGATCTATCAATTGTTTCTACTGCTCGGCAAACCCATGTCGAACCAATTGCTGCCCATTATCACGTCTACAAGCCAGGCACGCAATTCAAAAAGTCCAAGCCGCTCCCACCAGATTTCTACGTACGTGTCGTTGATGCTCGCCGTCAGAACATACCCACCCTTACTGAAACGCGGGGTCTGTTCGCCAGTGTGCCCGAAACGAACGAGGCACCCAAACGGTCGCCAATTACTCGAATCAAACAAGGCAAAAAGCAGGTAGTCCTGGCAGTTGTCGATGCGGGCATCGTCAGTTTTGTCCGGTTGGTCGAAACAGAGTTTGAAAGGCTTAATTAGCGCTGGTATAGCGAAGAGTCGTAAGCCGACGGCATGGTGTATCCCGAAAAATCTGACGGTTTTGGGGGCAGAACTGGTGCCTGCCCTGTATTTGTAGCAGAAATAGAAAGTGAGCCCATGTCCGGCACGATCGAGCCCTCCAAATCGTCGTAGAATTTGTGTGCGCGGTTGAGGCCTTCTTTAATGGCAAGCCAGGTTTCATACGCTTGACGGTAGCGCTCAATTGCAACTGCACGCTGAGACAAGACACTTTCGCGATCACTCGCTTGTTTGCGAACGATAGGTGAAGCCAGCGTCTGCTTCCACAAATTGCTCAGCTCATTCAAAAGAATAGTTTGATGTCTTACCGTAGAATCAACTCGCTGGATATAAGGCGAGAACTTGGCAAGTTCAGGCTTGAATAGAGCTTCTTCAATATGAGCAGTCTTACGATGAGCAACCAGCTTATCTGAAATATCATCAGCGTGGACCTTTTCTTTAAACTCTGCAAACACTTTTCGACGTTCGTTGTGGATTTTTTGGAGCTTTACAACGTCGTTTAGCACGTTTTCCAAACTTTCATTTACGGTTGCACGCTCAGAGTCATCGAGATCAAGCAAACTGATGGCCGAAGTGGCTGAAAATACAAACGATTGAGACAACGGGCTACCTGCACCAAATCCTTGACGGAGAATATCAACATCTGCCTTACATCTATTGTGGCTCGCCTCGAGCTCATTGTCAGTCGCCACTGCGGCAATCAGTGATTGTTTGATTCGTTGGGCACTGTGAGTTTCAACGCCAGTCTGCACTCGGTCAAGAATACGTTGTCGCCGGGCAGCCAAGTCAAAAACAAGCGGACCAGCACTCGAGACTTCTTGCGACCACTCTTTTACAAGACCAGGAACGCCACTGATATCCTCTGCCGACTGGTCGGGATGGCGAAGCATACTGGCAGATCGGGGCAAGTCCATGAATTCTAGAGCAGACTTTAGCTCTTCATCGGCAACATCAACTTTTTCTTGCTCATTGCGCAGCATCTGTGCCTTCTCTTCCGAATACATGCTTGCTCTTTCATGGACATCCAAAGGAATCACTCTGGAGAACAAATCCCGGCCGACAACTTTGCTAGCGACATTTTGATCAATATACAGTTTTTCAAGAGGGGTGGGCTTTGCTGCGTCGGTGGCAGGAAGATCCTCAAACACAGCGCTCACAACCTCATGATAAATAAGATCGTTGTCACGTTCCATAGTCTTGAGTTTTTCGCAGGCCAGCTCATATGACTGGTCTGATTCAGGCAATTCTTTGAAAATTGTCTTGGCTTCTTTCATGTGAGCAATTGCAGCTCCAAACTTCTTGGTAGAATCAAGATGCAGCGACATGTATAAATTGGCGTTGCCAAGCATAGTCTGCGCTTGGACGTTGCAGTGTTCGTACCACTCAGACTCACCCCAGGATTCATCATTGTAGAGAGCTTCTAGGCGAGTTCCAGCTTCTGCATACCTGTCTGCCGCAGATTTTGAAAGCTTTGACAGCAATCCAGGCTTGGTCTGACCCTCAATTGCTCTGTTCAGGAAAGCGTGCTGGGCCTGGGCGAGCATCAGTACCGAAAGAGTTTGGGCCGTCTCACTGGCACAATCAATGGTGGGTGCATGCAAAAACGACTCACTAATAAATTTGAAAATACCGGCCGCAGCTTGGTAGGCAGCGTACGATGTTTTGTGGTCGTTTGTGGCTCCAATGTGAGATTGTACAGCAGCTAGATTGAACAACACACAGGCCTTTTCGAAAGCGGCAGACGATTGGACCACTGTCTCGCCATCAAAAAGGTTCCGCCATTCGAATTTTATCCGACAACCTCGGTCGCTGAGTGGAATACGCATGTCAAGTAAATCAAGCTGGCCAAAATACCGATAGAGCAGGTCCCGCCCACTTGTGGTCAAAGGCGGATCCGATACACTTTCGCGCATGGAGTTGAAGGTTGTAATTTCAGACGCGAATTCATTCGAGGAACCATACACGTTCGTCAAATAAGACCGCAATGGTGCCACCCAATCGATCGGTTGGGCCTGCTTCAAGGGGAGGGCGATCATGACAAACGAAGCGATCGTCCAACCACTTTAAAATGGGGCTGCCTATTGATGAAGAGTCTTTAAATTCTATTTCTGCGGAGTACAAACATATCGAAAATGACATTGATCAAGCTATTTTGCAGCTGCGAGGTGGTTCATCCGCTGATGTAGCCCAAATCCTTCATGGCGTCAAAATGCGTGAACGAGAGATTAACCGGCACATAAACCGGGCAGCCAAATTGATCGATAAGGCATATCCTTGCGAAATCAGCACTGAAGATCTGGCCAAAATTACGGCCCTGGAGACTGCGGAAAATAAGAGTCTTCTAGACTTTGCCGTTTTTGTCCATCTCATGCAACAAGATCCGGAGGCCGCTCTAGCAATGATTGAAGAGTGCGACACATTAGAATCAGATGCAAAAGAAACATACGTGAATTTGGCATATTGTTTTGATATGACAGATCAACTAAAACTTGGAAGCTTTGATCCTGTGTTAGAATGGCTAGAAAACGATCTATTCCTCAGCGACGACCAGAAACTAGAATTGAACTTCGACATCCAAAGGGCAAACATATTGCTGACTTTCTCGAAAACGAGAGATAGACAATTGGCAATTACACAGATTCGGGAAACCTTGATACAATACTTTGACAAGCGAGAATCAGACATTGCCGAGCTTCCAACTGTAATCGCTATATGGGACGCACCAAAAGGCAACAGCACTTATGGCGAAGATCTGACCCAAAGATCATTATCAGCACTCAGTAAACTGGTGCGAGAAATCTACTATCGAGAGTTACAACTAAGTCCCATCTCGCCACTGCCTAAAGCCTATTTTGCTGGTAGCGAATGCCTGCGTGCGTATCCTAAAGCCCTTAAACTTATTAAATCACGGAATGCGACCTGGACAACAACGACCCAGCTGCCAATGGAGGTCCCACTCCCCCCCGATCTGTGCTTCCATCCCGTTTTCGTATGTCCTATCTCGAAAGAAGAAACCAGTAAAGACAACCCCCCGTAAGGCTTAACTGTGGGCACATTTTCGCTAAAAGCAGCACAGACGAACTGCTCAAATACTCTCCACGCGATGCCAAGTGTCCTTATTGCCCGGTGTACATCGACAAACCAATGGTAATTGAATTTAGGTGAAAAAAAAAATAAATTATTCTACACGTCCAAGTAGTCGGCTGCCACAAGCAGCTCCAATGCTAAAGAAGGCGGAACATTAAAGGTCGCGGCTCCCTCACTGGCGCGATATTTTAAACTGTAGCATAAATAGTCGCATACTTTTGCCACGATCGCTGCCTCGAGATCTAATCGTAGCCGCCCCGTTTGTGACTCCTCAAACTGCTCGCTACTTAGCATACTTCGCAGCATACCTGAGATCATTGCGGCTTCTTTGGAAATCACAAACTGAAACCCATCCGACGACTCTAGCTGAATATATTGAGGCATGCCTGCTGACAAGCCCTCATGGCCAATCCGACGTTATCTTGGGAGCGGGTTGGCAAGCGGTTTTACCGCACTTTTGAAGGCTACCATATGCAATGGGCAGTGCACGTTGCTGAATCTCACCTCGCAGTAGCTCCGTGTGGAGGCGCCATAGCAGTTTGGGATCGCACAGACGTCATTAGAGCTGGCGTGGCCCGACGGGCTCAGATAGCTATTTACAGTGGTAGTGGGCGCCTGTTGGCAACAATGCCGTGGGATCTAGGCCAAATCACTGGTGCATCCTGGTCTGTGAATGACGAGCTCATGGTTCTCGCGCAATCAGGCGTGGCAAGAAAGTATACCGACTTTGCTGGTAACTTTGTTCAACTGAGACTGCCAGAACCTGTCACACACGTTCAATGGCTTCCTGATGGATTCGTTGCACAGAGCGAAGAAAAATGGACTCTTGTTACAGACTTTTCCTCGGCATCTTTTCTGCAAATTGACCTCCCTACTCAGGTTCTCGATTGGGTAGCCGTTCCCGCAGACCCCAGTTCGGGGCGTGACCATGCCGTTATTGCTACTGCTGAATCCGCCATTCTGTACACATTTGAACAAAAACAGCATCCATTATCAATTGAGCCATTGCTCTCTCTTAAATTGTCTCCGGACAACATGTGGTTAATGGGGCAGAGGGACGGCCAAATTTACATTTATGGTACAGATACGTTCCATGAAGAATACAGGTTTGATGCTTTCCATAATCCAGCGACCTGGGTTGGTGTTGCGGCGGTAGCTGCGCTTGAAGAAGAGGACTCGCTGTCAGTTTTGGATCTCAACTCTCAGGAACGGCTGACGCTCGAATTTGAGAATGCGGTATCGATTTATTCAGAAGTTGATGGTCTGCGAGTGTTTTCAGATTACAGCCATGACTTTTTCGCCCCTGTTCCAGACGTTGTAACGGAAACTTTCAGGCTCGGTAGTCGTGCGCCTTCTGCCATTCTACTGAACTGTATCGATCTTCTTGAGAAAAAATCCCCACAAGCAAACGAAAACTTGAGCGTCATTGGTATTAGTGCATTGCCTGGTGCTGTTGACGCTTGTTGTGTGGCAGCTGCCGCGGAGCTAGATCCGAGATGGCAAAAAAAGCTATTGCGGGCGGCTTCTTTCGGGAAATCGGCACTCAATCTTTATGATTCTACTCTCTATTTAGATGTCATGGAGAAGTTGAGGATCGCCAACACTTTGCGATCTGAGAAAGTTGGTATGCTTGTCACTGTACACCAAATGGATATGTTAGGCCCCGCAAAAGTCCTACGGCGTTTGCAAGCTTTGCAGTGCTATGGTGAGGCTATCGCTGTTGCTCGAGTTCTCAAGTGTCCGGTCGAAACCGTGTATATTGCGTGGGCCTGCCATCAGATTCAGAGTAACGTTGACTTGGAAGATGCCGAACTAGAACAGCTGCTGGCGGCTACTCTAGACAATGTTTTGGGTATCTCGTACGTTGAGATTGCTCAGAATGCATTTGACGAAGGTCGTCCCAAGCTCGCCCGTACGTTGATTGATCGAGAGCCTCAGGCTCAGAGAAGAGTTAAGATCCTGTTACGTCTTCATGAACACGAAAGAGCACTGCAAGTTTCGGTTGACTCAGGTAATGTCGATCTTTTGTTCTATACCGTTCTCTCCCTTGCATCGAATGCTGAAGTATCGTTGCCTCAATTCTATCGCTTGCTGGGAGATAAGCGGACAGCCATTGAAGCCTATAAGCGGCTTTGTACCTTACAACCCAATGCTAAAGAAACGGTTCACAAATTCTTGTACCAGATGGATTTGGTCGTCGATGACATTAACCTATCTTTTACAGAGGCCTGCGTAGAGCCTGAAATTGAGCCAAAGCATATGCAGCTTGTCACAGTTCAGAAACGGTTCGCAGAACTCAAACAGACGCACTTCGAGAGCCAGGCAACAGCAGAATTTGTGGCACTATTGGCTCTCCAAAAGCAGTTGGAATCCGAATTCGAGATGCCATTTGCTAATCTATCCGCTTCTGATACCGTCGTGGCCCTTCTCAATATTTCCCAAACAAACCGAGCTCAAAAAGTCGCCAACAAGTTCCATATCAGTGACAAACAGTTTTGGTGGCTGCGGCTTCGTAGCCTTGTATCTCGCCGTGAATGGACGGACCTGCTTGAGTTTGCAAAGTCAAAAAAGTCCCCTATTGGATACCTGCCGTTCTATGAACAGACCCTGCAGGCAGGAAACCTCGAGGCTGCAGGAGCTTATGTTGATATGTGCACAAACGTCGACTACAAAGAACGTGTCCAGATGTATCTCAAAACAAATCAGCGTGATAAAGCCATTGAGCTTGCTCGAAAACTAAAAGATGAGAGTCTGGTTCCAGGTCTTTGACCTCGAGACCCTTATGTAATTTTTTTTGTAAAAGTCAACTTTTTTTTCCCAACTTGACTCGTGAAGAATGTCGGATCGAGCGCAGCAAAAGGCTCGTAGTGAGCTTTTTATTAGGTCTATTCCTGGAGATGTGACGTCAGAAATGCTCAATGAGTTTTTTGCGGATTTCGCACCAGTCAAGCACGCAGTTGTGGTCAGTGATCCTAACACTGGACAGTCCAAAGGCTTTGGTTTTGTTAGCTTTCCCAGCCCCGAGGACGCAGAGACATCTATCAACCAAGCTCGTAGAAAGCGAATCAGCGGTAAAATTCTCCAAATTGAGTATGCCCGACCCCGTGATCGTAATAATGAGTCCAAACCCACCCCGGCACCTGAACAAGATACTGAGCGTAGACGGCCCCGTTTGATTATTCGTAATGTTCCGTGGAGTTTGAGAGATCCCAAAGAGCTGGAAAAGATTTTCGGTAAATTCGGAAAGGTCACTGAAGCGTTTATTCCTCGGGGACCTAACAACCGTATGTCCGGATTTGCGTTTGTTACTATGAGGCGCAAGGCCAATGCCAAATTAGCCATTGAAGGTTGCAAAGATCTGAAGATTCACGACCGTCCAGTTGCTGTTGATTGGGCTGTTACCAAGGAGAAATGGTTGGCAGGTAGTAAGGAAGAAGCTGCAAGCGAAGACGAGGAGGAAGAGGAAGAAGAGGACGAAGGTGCAGATGAGGCCGAGGAAATATACGACGAAGAAATTGAAAACGAAGACGATTTTGAGAATGGAGAGGACGAGATTGAACTTGAAGATGGTGATAGCGATGCTGACCTTGACGAGGAGGACGCTGCGGATGAGGACGAAGAAAAGGACGAGAAACCTAAACAAAGAGGTTTGAGTGATAACCAAACCATTTTTGTTCGTAATGTGCCTTATGATGCTACTGCAGAGACTTTAAAGGAGCATTTCGAGCAGTTTGGAGCGGTAGCCTATGCTCTCCCCGTTATGGACAAGCAGCTCAACCAGCCTCGTGGTGTTGCCTTTGTAGCGTTCCGAAGTGCCTCAGATGCTCAAAAGTGTGTCGATAGTGCGCCAAATGTTACAACCTCTTCGCTGTTAATTCCAGACGATGTCGATTCCCGTTACGTTTACGAGGGTCGCATTCTTGGTGTTACACAAGCAGTTAGCAAAGAGCGAGCGGATGTCCTGGCCGAGCGTGGTGCCAAAGAACGTCTTGATGTTCTTGGTAAAGCACCCTCCAAAAAAGATAAGCGTAACTTGTTTTTGTTGAATGAAGGACGTGTCACTAGTGAGTCTAAGCTAGCACAAGTTCTCACTCCTGCTGATCTTCAAATCCGCGACAAGTCCTTCCAGTTGCGTAAACAACAGCTCAACAAAAACCCGTCGTTACATTTGAGTATGACCCGTCTTGCTGTCCGAAACATCCCCCGAAGCATGACAGAAAAGGCACTGAAAGCGCTCGGTCGCAAAGCCGTGGTTGAGTTTGCCAAGGAGGTTGCCGATAAAAAGAGACAGCCGTTGTCCAAAGAAGAGGTAATGCGATCTATTCAGTTCCAAGAGTCTTTGGGTGAATACGGCAAGAGTAAACATGGTGTGGTAAAGCAAGCTAAGATCATCCAAGAAATCAAAGGGTCTGGTGAAATTGGCCGCAGCCGTGGTTACGGATTTTTAGAAATGCGCAACCACAAAGCTGCTTTGATGGCGTTACGCTACTTGAATGCCTATCTTGTGACTAAAGCGGACTTGGCAGCTGATCCGGATGCACCCAAAGCTGCAGCAGAGTCTGGAGACTCCAAGCGCCGGCTCGTTGTGGAGTTTGCCGTTGAGAATGCACAGGTGCTCAAACGGTTGCGAGACCGTCAGTTGAAAGCTAAAGATACTGGCAGAAAGCGCAAGGCAGAGGAAGAGGCAGAACAATTACGAGCGGCTGCCGAAGCTGAAGAAGCCGCCAAACACCCTGCTGGCAACCCATCAATTGGCCGCAAGCGTCGTGCAAAGGCCCGTAAGTGAACTCTATAGTAAATATTAATGTCCTGATATTGTATGACGCAATTGCCGGGTGGTCTCCACCCAGGCCTTGGCACCACCTTCATCCGCAACGATCTTTGCGATGTCCGCAGGGGGTCCGAATTTTTTACGGCCAATGATTGCAGCGTTGCGAGTACTGGGTATACGGAGCATCTCTTGTTCAACTTTCCAGCCAGCCTTTTCGGCCAACTGTGCAACTTTATCCACCAAAGCGGCATACTCGGATACTTGAGCTTGGCCGGGGGTAACAAAACGGTGTTTGGAGCCTGAGAGGTTGTGCGAGCAACAAGGAATGGCAATAAACGGGCGATCGAGTAAAGGAAGCCACAATGTCAGCTCATCAGAATGATTGCCAACGTAAAAGGTGTTTTCGGAAGCCCCCTCGACAAAATGCAAGTATGGATCTTGGGCGTCAAACTCTGGCAGATCGTTCTTAAGGACTGCTGGAACAACCAGTTGCTCGTGTAAACATTCTTGGACATTTTTAGGGTACGTTTCCCAGGATTTTCGTTTCCGAGCGTCAATTCCTCTGCCCCGATAGCCCTCAGAAACCAATATGTGCACAAGCAGGCCGTTCCCGCAGCCCAGATCGACAAACTCAAAATCTGAAGGTGATTTGTACATTGAGCCCCATAGCTGGATAAGAAAAGCAGCAATACCCAAGTCCTCAAAAATGTGTTTAGTCGGATCCGTTTTCTCGACCCAGTTGGCCATCAAAGATGCAGAGTATTTGTGCTTGAGGGCGATATACCTGTCTTGGAATTCAATACGGTCCACCACTTGATCATGGCTTACACGTTTTGTATAGCCACTTTGGCTGCCCATGGAGTGTTTTACACATGTGTTGAGCAGGTGCAACCCGACCCGAATCAAACGATCATTAGCATCTCGAGCCAGCAATGGCGGAGTATTTTCGTAGAGCATATAGTGAACAGAACAGGTAGCGCCCCGGTGGTCAACATGATAGAGCAAAGCGACTGCTCTTGCCAGAGGCAAATAAAAAGGACAAGCGTCGGGAGTAAGTAAATGGGCAACATAAACCACCAGCCGATCGCTGTCAGTAAGATCGGTGTACAACGCGCAAGTCTGATTGGTTACTGAGTCCCTGGAAGGGTTGCGAGGAACGTTTCGCCGTACCACATATGAACTCACATGGTAACCTGGTATAGTATACAGTCTTGGTTCAGTATCGGAGAGGTTGTGAGTTAACCAGTTATCAGCCAGATCAACTTTTCTGGTCTTGGAATAATGAATTGTGTCGTTGACCATTTCCTGGTAAATATCTGCCCGCATCAGCACTGTAGAGTTCACGTTTGGATTGCGAATCACGTTCCCCATTGCGACGTCAAAGTAGATCCGAGGAAAAGTTACCGGCAATTCAAACAGCGGCTGCCAAAACTGCCCCAAAGGTGAAGCCTGGCTTCGAATATCGAGCGGCTCAATGAGTCTCTTCTTCTTGGCCTTTCTTGCTGGCATGTTTATTCGAGGATATAAACCAAAACTAACAAAAAGCCGTTTTAAAAAACTGCTGCTAGGCTTGTTGACTAAGACCAAGGTTTCGACGTATTTACAACAGGCAGGACAGAAATGGGTACTTCGCAGTTTCAGCAGCTGGATAAGCTCGGCGAGGGTACTTATGCCACGGTTTACAAGGGCCGCAATCGGGAAACGGGTCAGCTGGTCGCGCTCAAAGAGATCAATCTCGACAGCGAGGAGGGCACACCGTCGACGGCGATTCGGGAAATCTCCCTGATGAAAGAACTGAAACACGAGAACATTGTTACATTGTATGATGTGATTCATACGGAAAATAAATTGAATCTTGTATTTGAATTTATGGACAAAGATCTCAAGAAGTTCATGGAGGTCAACGGCAACAAGGGTGCCTTGGAGTTGGGCCAGGTCAAGGCGTTTATGTTCCAATTGCTGAAGGGCGTGATGTTTTGCCACGATAATCGGGTTCTGCATCGCGATCTGAAGCCTCAAAACCTGCTTATCAGTACGAAAGGCGTGCTCAAACTCGCCGATTTTGGCCTGGCTAGAGCGTTTGGTATTCCCGTCAATACCTTCTCAAACGAGGTGGTCACTCTTTGGTACCGTGCTCCCGATGTGCTCATGGGATCACGTACCTATTCGACATCCATCGATATGTGGTCTGCCGGGTGTATCATGGCTGAGATGATCACCGGCCGTCCGCTGTTCCCCGGTGCCTCAAACGACGACCAGCTGCAACGTATTTTCAAGTTCATGGGTACTCCCAACGAGCAGACTTGGCCTGGAGTGTCGAGCCTCCCGAACTATAATGCCAACTTTTATGTGTTCCCGCCTCAGGATCTCCGCCAGGTCATCCCCCAGCTTGACCATGTCGGCCACGACCTGCTAGCTCAGCTGTTGCAGATGCGTCCTGAAGCGCGAATCACTGCTCGCGATGCTCTTCAGCACCCATGGTTCGCAGAGTACCACCATCTTTACCGCTAATATAAACTATATGCTATGCTCTGCTTCAATCTCCATAAGGCGATTGAGAATGGTTTTGTTTTCAGTCTGTGATGCGTAGGCCCAAAGCTGCTCTGCGTCGGCGAGAGTGAGAGAGTGAGCGCCAGCAGCTTCCACGAGCTTCTCTGCTAGGTCATGGTAGTTTAGTTCCATAGCCTGAATTGCTGCTCCCTGTTTACAAGCGATATTGCGGGATATTAGAAGCTCGACGTCGCTCACACGCCCATTTCTCAATAGTTCGGAATACAAAATGTCGGCGTCGTCGGGAATGCAGCCACAGCGGACCAAATAAATAATTAAATCAAGTGATGCTGGGGAGGAGCTCTCTTGAAGCGACTTCGGGATATGCGGAGAGTCGAAGTCGATAATGCCAATGCGTTCTAAAAGCTCACGAGTGACAAACGGCCATGCGGTGACCTGGGTGGGTAATTGCCCGGATTCCAGCATCTGCCCGCGGATCATATACTCTGCAAGCAAAGGGGTTTTTCTCAATCTCTGGGCAAGAGTTGGAGATGCTTGGGGCAGGGCAAAATTCGAGCTCTGCACTAGAATGACTTCAAGAAGCTCCACAGGCAAACTCTCGATCCCCAGTTTTCTTGCCGGCTCTAGGCGGGCTCTTTTCAAAGATCTTTGACTTTTAAAGTCCTTTAAACATCTTTTAGATCGGTTACACGTTAAAAACCCCATTCCCACGGGGGATGTACGTTACTAAGTCCAGTTTAGAAAATTCGATAGTTAAGGCTTGGGGGAAAATATGGCCGAAGTCAAAATAGGTCGAGTCAGATCGGACTTGTGCCTACTATACATTCCAATAATGCGACAGAAAACAGAAATTTGCCGCTCTAACTCGCCGCCATCTCACTTTAGCCTTCGCTGCAGCCAGCTAGAAAAAAAAATTATGTAAGAGGAATTTTTCACAAACTTTTCCTTCTTCCGCTCTACATCAAAATGAAGGTGAAGAAGCCCACTTCCAAGCGAAAGAGCACGAAATTGCAAAAGGGCATCCAAAAGAAAATTGCTGCTCACAACCGTAAACAAAAAAAGCTTTCAAAGAAGAATGTGACCTGGAAATCACGCCAGCCCAAGGACCCGGGAATTCCAAACTCGTTCCCTTTCAAAGCCCAGCTTCTTGAGGAGATTGAGATGAACCGTCAAAGAGATGCCGAGGAACGAGAGCGCCGAAAAGAAGAGTTACGCCAACAAGCAATTGCCCAAGGTGCGACTGCAGAGGATTTGGTTACCATCAACGATCAGATCGATATGGCTGCGAATCAGAACCGATTGAGTGCCCTTTTGGAGTCTGCTCAGCAGGCGGCTGCCGACTATGAAAGTGATGATGAGGAAATGGACCTGGAGGACGAACAAGATGAAGAGCTCGGTGGTGTGTTTGAGGACATTCAGAAGGACACTTCGCGCAAAGCATTTGAAAAACATTTCAAGCAGGTGGTTGACAGCTGCGATGTGCTGATCTATGTTCTGGACGCTAGAAACCCCGATGGTACGCGGTCAAAACACGTTGAGGAGACTATTCTCGCTCATCCGAACAAACGTTTGATCTTTGCTCTCAACAAAATTGATTTGGTCCCGGAGGACGTTCTGAAGCGTTGGGTCGAGCATTTGCAACGCTCGTTCCCCACTGTTCCTCTTGCCGCCAGTGCCCCCGCAGCTAACGCTCACACCTTCAACCATGCTGGGTTTACTCGGGTCAATACTGCCACCAGGTTGCTGGAAAGCTTGAAAAAGTATGCTGCAGAGTCGTCTTTGAAACGCGCAGTGACTGTCGGTGTAATCGGATACCCGAACGTCGGCAAGTCGTCCGTCATCAACGCCTTGCTTGCTCGCCATGGTAATAACAGCAGAGCTTGTCCCACCGGTGCTCAAGCCGGGATCACTACTGATGTGCGCAGAGTCAAGGTCGACAATAAGCTGAACGTTATGGACTGCCCCGGTATTGTATTCCCCTCTGCATCTGGCAAGAAGCTCAGCCAGGTCGAGGAGCATGCTCGTTTGATTCTATTGAATGCTATGCCTCCCAAGTATATGGATGACTGCCGTCCTGCAGTGACCCGTCTGTTGAAGCGTTTGCAGAAGAACCCGCAACAGGCTGAGCTATTTATCAAGTACTACGATCTTCCTCCTCTTGTCCAAACACCTTTTGATGCATTCGTTACAAACGTTCTTGTTCATGTCGCCCGTAAATTGGGTCGTCTCGGTAAAGGCGGTGTGCCTGACTTGGGCAGCGCTGCTCTGGCTATTGTCACCGATTGGCGTGATGGCCGCGTGTCAGGATGGGCCGAGCCTCCGGCAGACAAGCCTGCAGCCAGCGTTGAAGTAGTGTCTCAGTGGGCCCAGGAATTCGATTTAGATGGCATCCTGGGTGGTCTTCTTGAGGAAAATAATTAAAAAAGCTATATTCTGTATTCGTGCTTATTAACCGATTTTTTTGATCGAAATGCGACCTCTTGGGTTGGCGGCGTTTGACAATGAACGGAGCCGTAAAAAGCAGTATCAATTAGTGGGCGACGCTTTGCTAGCCGGCAATATTGAGCAGATGAACAGCCAGCTCGCAAAGTTCAAGCAATTACTAGCCAACTTTGCTCTAGAACACGGTCGTCAAATCCGTAGTGAGCCATCATTTAGAAACGAGTTTGCCAGAATGTGCGCCGTATTGGGCGTCGATCCACTCAATTACTCGACAAAAAACGACGGCGGGTCGGTTTGGTCTACTGTATTTGCCAAGGACATCAACGATTTCTACTTTGGGCTGGCGGTGAGAATTATAGAAAAATGCCGCGAAACCAGAGGCTCGAACGGTGGCATCATTGCATTGGATAAACTACTTTCCGATTTGAACAAAGGTGCCGAGAACCCTATTTCGCAGGACGATATAGTTCGAGCTGTCGAGTCCTTGAAGCCGTTTGGGCCCGGACTGCACATTGAAAACCTCCACAATGGCTCCACAGTACTTGTGAATGTTCCCAAAGAGCTCAATCGTGATCAAACCAATGTATTGAGTGCATGTGAAGCCTTAGGATACGTGACCACGCCTATTTTAGCCGATAATATGGGCTGGGATGCCGGCAGAGGACAGTATGTTTTGGACGAAATGGTCGCCTCTGGGCTGCTATGGATCGATAAACAGGTCCAGCCAACCCAATACTGGTCGCCTGCGGCCGTAATGTGATATTTATTTTGAACTCGGGACGACACGCGTTTTACCTAATGGTTTGGAAAGAGCTAATAGACGACACTAAACAACACCGGCCAGAGAGCGTTTGGGTGCTGATTTTGGGCGCTCAGTCGCACTCGTTACGTCCGCAAACAGACATTGTTGGATTCAAGAGTCAGATTTACGAAAAAGGCGGCCGCATTCGCGCAAAAGTTCTGCTGTATGCCGTTGATTTGCCCGACCCAAGATTGGTAGAACCCCTGAAAGAAACTGAAAATGCATGTGTTATACTCTGTTTAGACTGGCTAGATGATACGCAAAAATGGCCAAAGAAGCTGGAGTCCTCGATGGCGTTGGCTAAAACTCTCCCCTCGCCGCGTCTAGTTATCTCCGCTGCGAATTTCGATAAAGTCCAGCAACAAATGGCATCTGCCACGTTCGATGAAGACGTCGAAACGCATCAAGCCTTTCTGCGATCAATAGCAATTGAATACGGTGCTGCCTTGGTGTACGATCACCCTGGTTTTGATTGGTTAGCTCTGGTCGCTGGCGAGCCTTTGGAGCCGCGGATTACCGATGATTTTATTGTGATTCCAGCTGGCTGGGATACTAAAGAACGCATACTCACATCTGTGCCACACTATGACTACAATGGCATCCTCCCGAAGCTGAGAATAGGCGGGCCGGTTCTTCCAGACATTATGCCTAAACGTAACGTCACCGAAACCGATTTTTCTGAAGTTATCAAGAATGCCACCTCTTCAGTGCCAAAGCAAGCGCCTCTAGAACTCTCTCCAGATGTGGACGATAGAGATGCCCTGGGCGGGTTCTTTGAATACCTTATAGACAGAGCTAATAGTTGATTAATCTTGGGCCATTGCATCTTTATCACCGGTAATATCGTCAAGACTGAGTTGCGGGTGCTGGTCTACCATAGTTTCTGGGTCAAAGTCGTTACTGGCCTCTTCAATTGCCCTGCTGAACAGATCTAGAGTGATTGAGTCATTTCGAGACAGACTCAAGGCTTGATTCAATCTCAATATAGCCTTATCGGGTTCCCCTAGCTGCATGTGTACAAGAGCTGCCGCTGAGAGGATGCTGGGGTCTTGTTTCGATGACTTTAAAACATGGTTGAAAAACTGTAAGCTGGTTGTGTAGTCGCCGAGCCTTCGGTAGACAAATCCTAGATTGCTGTGGATACATAACCAGCTTTCAGGATCAGATTCCAGGCTATTGGCAATTTCTAGCGCTTTCTCCAAGAACTCTCGCGCTCGATCAAGCTCATTTTTGTTATAATGCACCACTCCGATTTCATTCAGGAGCAGAGGGTCGTTATCACAGATTGAAAACGACGTCATGAGGTACTCTCCTGCCAAGCTCAAGTTGTTGAGATGTAAATGCTGCATGCCCAAAAACAAATACGGTAGGTGCGAGCCGGGGAATAGTCGAGCCGTCGTGGAATAGGCCGTGATAGCCTGTTCGTACTCGCCTTCTTGAGCAAACGTGTGAGCAAACCCAAGCCATGCCGCAGAACAGTACGGCTCCATGATACTTGCTTTGCTGAAATATCTTCTCGCGTCACTGAGGTTGCCCTTTGTAAAGTAGTAAATACCAACAGCTAGCCAGCTGACTGCTTCGTCCGGGCACTCTCGAGCCAAAGTGTGTGCGACTTCAAAAAGGCTGTTCAAGCATTTCAATTCTTGTAAACAAGTAAGATAGTTGGGGTATACACTGTAGTTGTGGGGGTCCAAAGTCAGAGCAGTCTCACAGAGATCTCTACACTCTGCATAGCGACAATGCATCAGCAAGATGTCTGATCTGACAACCATCAAATCCACGTTAGTTTTGAAGTCATACTCCTCGTCCAGAGTAGCTAGGGCATCGTTCACCATCTCCAAGTCACTGGCTTTCGACATTCGCACAACGTAGAGAGCTTTGACAAGATCAGCGTTTGCGCCAAGAACGGAAAAGTCGAGTCCTGCAATTAGCTTCCGTTGCTCACTCGACGACATGAGCTGGTGTCCTACCAACTGCGCATAAGCATCGTAACACCGCGGGTCAGTGGTAACGGCTCGGGTATAAGCTGTTTTGGCACGTTCGTAGTTATTTTGCAGTGTGTGGATCTGTCCCTCAAGATAATATAATAAAGAGCGAGAACTTGCCCCCGAATCGTCGTCGCTAGCCATCGATTGGGATTCAGCTTCAATCAAGGCATCCACTGCCGCATCGGTAACCATTGCCAAAGCTTCTTCGTATTTTTCTGCAGCAATCAGGCTGAGACCTACCAAATATCGTGCCCTGAGCGATTTCAAATGGTCCTCACGCGAAGTTAGCAGGTGCGCAGCTCGTAAATAGAACCCGCGCGCATAAAACGTCTGGGCCTGCCAGTACGCGTCCTCGCTCGAATTCGTTAGTGCCAGAACCTTGTCGCCAATCAGCTCGGCCGTCCCGTATTTATGTTGCTCGTATGCTTGTTTACACCATTTCCGCAACTGGTCGACCTGCGACTTCATTTCCCTCTCCAGTGTGGTCTTGGGATGTTGACCAATATCCCATGAAGGTGAAAAAAAAGTACACCAAGAAGCCGATGTTTTCTGTGGAGCCTGAAAACGTGAAAAAGGCAGTGAGTGTAGGCGATCTACGTGACCTGGTCTTCTGGGTACTTTCTGACCAGCATGGCCCGCCTGCGCCGCAGTGGTTGATTGTGCAGAACCGGTCGGCAATTAAGCGCATGATCTCTATCATGATTCCGGGGCTCGAGCGACCTTATGGGGAAAACGAGCTCAACGATTTTAAACCGCGCGCGTTCAAAATTGATGGGCTTCCCATATTGGATTATTTCCGTCATGTTTGGCCCACTAAAGCGCCAGGGTCCAAAAACCGATTGGATTCAGCTATTTCAGAGTTTACCCGGATTCCATTGACTCCGGCGGAGAAAAAGGAATTAGAAAAGAAACGACAAAAAACCGGGCTAAAGGCCACGTATGAAACGTTGTTGATGACGCCGGAACAGCTCAAGGAATATCCCGTGGCTAAGGATGATTCATGGATTGAGTTAGACGAGCTGGATAGAGACCCCAAAATCTTTGCTTTGGATTGTGAAATGGTGGAAGTTGGCTTGAAAAGCGAGCTCGCCCGTATCTCCATTATTGGTCAAGATGAGCAAGTTGTGTACGAGTCCTTTGTGAAACCCGCAGGAACTATCACCAACTATGTCACGGCGTATTCAGGAATCACTCCTGAAATCTTAAAGGACGTGACTACAACGCTTGAGCATGTTCAGCAATGGTTAAAAGAAAACCTTAGCCGATCCGATACCTTGCTCGGCCATTCTTTAGACTTTGACTTGAATGTTCTCCATCTTGTTCATAAAAAGATCATTGATACGGCTCTTATTTATCAAAGTCCTCGAGGAACGGCATGGAAGCCGTCGCTGAAATGGCTGGCCAAACGGTATCTTGGAATTGATATCCAAACCGGCAACGACGGCCACGATTCTGCAGAAGACGCCAGAACTTGCATGCAGCTTGTTGCCAAAAAAATAGAAAAGGGATTGAACTACGGGATTCAGGAACACACGACAGGTATTGTTGAAAAACTGAAAGAAAGTGCTCAATCTACTGCTATTGTAGACTATGGGGCGCCTCGCTGGGATCAGGGGCACGCCAAAACCGTCTGCTCTATCACCAGCGACTCTGAAGCAGCCCGAAAGGCTGCAGCCCTCACCAAGTCACACAACTTTGTTTATGTGCGATTGAGAGAACTAGAGTCTGCTGTGGGCTGGTATAAAGATTCTGTTGATATCGATATGAGCAAGGTCTACCAGGAACTGAATGCCAACATCAAAACTATTCTGGATGCAGTCGAGCCCAATACTGCAGTGCTGATTTGGAGCGGCCAGAGCGACCCCCGGGAAATGAATCGCCTACTCCAGAAAAAAAGGCAGTGGAACGAAGAGTACAAAACAAAAAAATGGGACGACATCGAGGATCCTTGGACCGAAGAACATGAAAAGAATCTTGGATCTGCCGTTAACAGCGCCCGCATGGGAATCGCGTTCCTGGAGATACTCAAGCCAGAAACGCCAGAGGTAGATGGCCCGGCACCCAAAAGGCAAAAGAAAAACTAGTTTTAACGTAAATATATTAAGCATCTTGCATTTCTACATCTTCTGTCTTTGCTGGAGTTTCTGACTCCGAAACAGGCTCAGACGGGCCGACCATAGAGGCATTTTCGCTTGCGTCTGTGGGATCAATCGACACAGGCTCGACAGAAGTCTCAAGAATGGTTGATACCTCTTTGGATTCGGGCTCGACTGATGATTGTGGCTTGCTGGAGTATCCGCTGGAGATACCAGGGATGGCTTCACCGCCGACGGCGCCGCGAATATCAATAGCAGACAGGCCATTGTCAACCGACATTGCCATGTCCACGTTGGCACTAGTCACAAACTCAATGGTGCCCTCACCGTCGTCCAACGGCTTGAAGTCATCAACAGTTACCCAGGCAGTATAGGCAAAGTCGCGGACCGGCCGCTCTTCCTCGGAACCTTGGTCGTTGGACCCCTTGTACTGGACGCTTTCCAGCCGCCAGTGTGTGACGTTTGTGTCCACGTCTGTGCTGTAAGGAATCGTGTGGTGCTTCCTTGACCGGCCGAAGATGGATCTACGCGACATGTTAGTAAGAAAGTGATCGAGGTTGGCGGACGGACGTTTTGTACGCCATGCGAGTGGACTATTTACGGAAAGGGGTAAATTGGTTGTGTCTATTTAGAAGCCAAGTTGCACTCATTGAAATTCGCTACCGGACTCCCGCGGACCGCTGAGAGCGTTCTGACCTAACCCTGACATGCATGAACGATGACTGAATAATATAAATCCCACATGGATGATTCGAATTTCCATCTTACCACAATGGTTACAATTCATTTAAGAAGTGAAACCAAGCCTATGGAGCACCGCTCTGCATTGACGCCGACTACTGCTCGCAAGCTGAAGGATGCCGGTTACGAGGTTCTCATTGAGCGCTCTCCGACTCGCATCTTTGACGACAAGGAGTTTGAGGACCAGGGTCTTGAGCTGGTTCCCGAGCACTCCTGGAAGACTGCCCCCAAGGATCGCATCATTCTGGGTCTGAAAGAACTCGAGGAGGAGGACTTCCCTTTAATCCACAAGCATGTGTCTTTTGCTCATTGCTACAAGGACCAGGCCGGCTGGGAGAAGGTTCTGGCTCGGTATCCGGCCGGCAAGGGAACTCTTTATGATTTGGAGTTTTTGCAAGACGAAAGTGGCCGCCGTGTTGCCGCTTTTGGTTTCTACGCTGGCTTTGCTGGTGCTGCTCTTGGTGTCCAGGACTGGATCGCTAGAGTCACAGAAGACAAGCCGTTGGTGCCTGTCGAGCATTACCCCAACGAGGGAGTGCTGGTAGACGAGCTCAAGGCGGCATTGGCCAAGGTCGGCAAGACGCCCAAGGTTCTGGTCATTGGCGCTCTGGGTCGCTGCGGTAAGGGCGCTGTAGACTTGTGCCAGAAAATCGGCATTCCTGACAGCAAGATCGTCAAGTGGGATATGGCCGAAACTGCCAAAGGCGGCCCGTTCCATGAGATTGTCGATGCAGACATCTTTGTCAATTGCATCTACCTGTCTCAGCCCATCCCCAAGTTCGTCACTATGAAGGAGCTGAACGACCCCAAGCGTAATCTCCGCGTAATTGTCGACGTCTCCGCCGATACTACGAACCCACACAACCCCATCCCCGTGTACACTGTTGCTACCACATTTGACAAGCCCACTGTTCCTGTAGATGTGACCGAGGGACCTTCTTTGGACGTTATCTCTATCGATCACCTGCCCTCGTTACTCCCTCGCGAGGCCTCTGAGTTCTTCTCCGCCGATCTCTTGCCTTCTCTTTTACAATTGAAGGAGATCGACTCCGCTCGTGTTTGGACCGACGCTAAGAAACTCTTTGACCACCACGTCGCCCGTTTACCCGCAGGCTCATACTAACTACCAAAATCTCCATCTACCAGCCTTAGCTTACTAACATATATCACCACGACTAGGATCTTGAAAAATGGTTATCCATAAGACTGCCCTGGTTACAGGAGGCAATGGATACCTTGGGTCGGCGCTGTGCAAGCGATTAATGGATAATACTGACGAAAATGTTCGTTTGACAATAATTATCACCTCGCGTCACTTCCGCGGAGCCACGGAGGCAGTGCGAAATTTACAAGCCTATGTGTTTGAGAAACACCCGAACCGCCCGCAGCCCATTGAATTTGACTATTTATTGTTTGATCAATGCGACATGATCTCGGTCCTGAATGCAGCTCGCGAAATCAAAAAGAGATATACTAGTATCGAGTATATGTTTTTCAATTCAAGCCACTCTCAAATGACCGGCATTGACAAATGGCAAGCGGCAAAGGACTTTGTCACGGAGCCAATTCGTGCGTTCACAGTAGGAACCTTTAAAATCCAGGGCAAAGCTACCAAAACCGCAGATGGAATGGGTAGCTCTTTCCAGGCCAACGTGTTCGCTCCGTGGTTCCTAGTGCAGGAGATTTTGCCAGTGCTCAAGCCGGGTGCCAAATTGATTTGGATCTCAACGAGCATATCATCACCGGAATTCTTTGACAAGGAGGACTTGGGTGTCGAGGAGAGCCACTACTCGTACGAGGCTTCCAAGTACGAGCTGGAACTTTTACATCGCGCGACCTACAAAGATTTGCTGGCGAAACACGGAATCCAGTCATGGATTCTTCAGCCCGGCGTATTCAAATCGACAACTTTCGTGCCTACTCTCGACATATTCTCGTATTTGTTCATGCTCTTCATGTTCTACGTTTGCCGTCTCTGCGGAAGCCCGTACCATTGCATACACCCCGAGATTGCCGCCAATGCTCCACTATTCCTCGCATTGGAAGCAACGCCGGACAAGGACGATATGTCGGTGAAATACGGCTCGTCAGTGACCCGCTGGGGCAAGGAGAAGCTGATCACTACCGAGTTCAACCCTGACGAAGCTGACGTCAAGGCCGTCCACAGCTATGTGGAGAACCTCCGTCAACAGTGGAAGCTCAGACTTGCGGATCAGATTGTGGAACGCGAAGACTACTAAATATGCAAGTAATTACTCTAAACCAACACCGTTGATCCGCCGTTGATCCACCGCGCCGACTCAGCCCTTTGTGGGTTAGGGCGCGGGACCGCCTGTCCCAAAAGTGACGTCCAGCCACTTTGCGTCTTGTACTTTAGAACATTGCCACAATGAACGTTTTAGGTCTCCAAAAACGTCACCCGGAGCTCACGCAGGAAGAGGTTTTGCAGCTGGTTGATGAATTCCAGCAGATTGACGTCGATGATAATGGATACGTCGACAAACAGACGGTAGTCAAGGTGCTTTCCAGTAATGGTCGGGGAAGCTACGATCAGATCCGAGAAACCATGAAGCAGGTGGACGTAGACTCCTCTGGCCACGTGGAGCTCGAGGACTTTGCTCAGCTGATTTCGAAACTGAAAGAGGCCAAGCAGGCACCCAAGATCCCCTCAAAGCCCAGCGGTCTGCAGGTGCCGGGCAACCGTCCCCGGGCCACCAGCAACTCTCGGATTGTCGTCCAGGGCAAGAGCGGCGCTATGCACGTTATCAATGAAGAAGAGCGTACAGAGTTCACTCGTCATATCAACAGCGTACTTGCTGGTGACCGCGATATCGATCATTTGTTGCCTCTGCCCACAGACACCAACCAGATTTTTGACGACAGCCGTGACTCGTTGATCCTGTCCAAGCTCATTAACGATAGTGTGCCCGATACTATTGATACACGTGTTTTGAACTTCCCTAAAGGTAGCAAGCAACTGAACAAGTTCCAGATGGCTGAGAACGCAAACGTCGTCATCAATTCCGCCAAGGGTATTGGCTGTGTGGTTGTGAATGTTCATGCTGAGGACATTATCGATGGCAAGGAACATTTAATCTTGGGTCTTATTTGGCAGATCATTCGCAAAGGTTTGCTGGCCAAGGTCGATATCAAGCTGCACCCGGAGCTGTATCGCTTGCTTGAGGAGGACGAAACCCTTGAGCAGTTCTTGCGTTTGCCGCCGGAGCAGATTCTGTTGCGGTGGTTCAATTACCATCTCAAAGCTGCCGGGTGGGATCGTCGTGTGAACAATTTCTCGTCCGATGTTCGAGATGGCGAGAATTACACTGTGCTTCTTAACCAGCTCAACAGTGAATTGTGCTCGAGAGCACCTCTTAAAACCCGCGATCTCTTAGAGCGTGCGGAGCAGGTCCTGCAAAATGCAGACAAACTCGGTGCTCGCAAGTACTTGACTCCCACAGCCATGGTTGCTGGTAACCCCAAGCTGAATCTGTCGTTTGTCGCCCATCTCTTCAACACCTATCCTGGACTGGATCCTGTCACTGAAGAGGAAAAGGTTGATATTGAAGACTTTGACGCCGAGGGTGAACGTGAAGCCCGTGTGTTCACCATGTGGCTTAACTCACTGGATGTTGATCCCCCAGTTGTGAGCTTGTTCGATGACCTCCGCGACGGTACAGTGCTGCTGCAGGCCTACGATAAAGTACAAGAGGGTACTGTCAACTGGCGTGTTGTCAACAAGCGTCCTGCCGAGGGTGAAATGATGCCCTTCAAGGCGATTGAGAACGCCAACTACGCAGTCACATTAGGCAAAGAGAACGGCTTCTCACTTGTTGGTATTGAGGGCATGGACATCTGCGACGGTAACAAGACGCTTACCCTTGGTCTTGTATGGCAACTCATGCGTCGCAACATCGACCTGACGCTTGCAGGCCTGGCCAAGAACGGAAAGACTCTTAGCGACTCTGAGATTCTCAAATGGGCTCACGAAAAGATCCGTAAGGGCAACAAGTCTACCACGGTTCGCTCTTTCAAAGATGCTTCCCTTGCCGACGGACGCTGGCTTCTCGATGTCATCCACGGTATCAAACCCGAATACGTTGATTATGATCTGGTGGGTGACGATGCCTACGATAACGCTAAGCTCGCTATTTCTGTTGCCCGTAAACTCGGTGCCCTCATCTGGTTGGTTCCCGAGGATATCAACGAGGTTCGCAGCAGACTGATTCTGACGTTTGTTGCGTCTCTTATGTCACTAGAAAAATAACCTGTTTTGTTTAAGCTTTTATTATTACAGTCTATGGACCAGCATGTTAAATATTACTGAATAAACATCAGTTCGTTTTCACGGCTCACAAGCCATACCGACATTTCAGTATACTGTTGAATGGTGTACTCCAACTCCGATTGAGTGAACCCCTTACCAAGAACCCGCTCCTGGACCACTCTCATAGGAATAGAGTCAGCGGACGTCTGGAGAGCCAGATCTCGGATAATTTCAAAGACCTTCGAAGCAGCTGTGATGTCGAGCTCAGCAACGTTCTGGTGCTGCAATGACCGTTTGGAAACTTCAGACAAACGCAAAGCCTCATCAACGTCTTGTTGGCTTACAACATTGCTGAAGCGCAAACGAGCAAGTGCCTGTGCCATACGCATAATGCCGAGCAACGCACGAGGGGTGGTCTGTCCGAATCCTTTGCCTTCCGACTGCTCACGCTGCTGGCGTTGGCGAAGCTGAACATATGAGCTTGCAACAAAATCGGCAATCTCCTTGGGGAAGTTCGGCCTGTATTCTCGTGCCATGGCAATGTATTGACGAAGAGTAGCAGGATCTACCGGTTCATGGGTAGTAGCCGCTGCTGGTGCTTCGGAGTTCATATGCACAAAGGTAACATGTTCGGCAAGATGCTCATCATTGTCGCGACTGGGAGTATCCAGGATCAAAAATAACAAGTCGAAACGCGATAGCAAAGCAGCAGGAAGGTTGATGTTTTCAACCGGACTCAACCGAGGATTATAACGGCCATATACAGGATTGGCAGCAGCAAGAATTGAGGTACGAGCGTTCAAGGTCGTAGAAATACCAGCCTTTGCAATGGAAATAGTCTGCTGTTCCATAACTTCGTGAATAGCTGTACGATCAGAGTCGTCCATTTTGTCAAACTCGTCAATACAACAAATACCGTTATCAGCCAGAACCAACGCACCGCCCTCGAGCACCATCTCGTCAGTGACTGGATCACGCATGACGGCTGCAGTCAAACCAACACCAGAAGAACCGCGACCAGTAGTGTACACACCACGTGGAGCAACTTGGGAGATGTATTTAAGAAGCTGTGACTTGGCCACACCGGGATCACCCATCAAACACATATTGAGATCACCACGAATACGCATGCCGTCACCAATTTCCTTGGTTACACCACCAATCATAAGTAGCAGCAGAGCCTTTTTAACATCAGCGTGGCCGTAGATCTCGGGCGCGATTGACTGGGAGAGACGTTCGTAGACGTCGCCTTCCGCGCGGATCTGGTCAATACGGCTCCGAGCTTCGGTGCCCAGGAATAACTGGTCGTACTTTTGTTTGTGCTCATAAATATGTTGGGCCTCCAAGTAAGTATCTGTGAGCAAGCCTGCCTTTAGAGCCCGGAAACCGGTGTAGGGACGGGGCAAGAAAACGCCAGTCAAATCGATAAAGTCGCCAGGGGTTAAGCCCCTAACAAGGGTGCCTTTTAGGTGAACGGTGAGGGAACGAGGAATATGGCCCACAGGAACCTGATCGGCTAGTTCCTGGATACGGACGTCCTGGAACGGCACGAACTTGGAGGCACGTGTTGACGGGAAAAGCTGGCCCTTGGAGTTATTACTGACACACTCCTGAGAAGGACAGTCAATCAAAGGAGCAAATTGACGTGACTTTACCTCCTGGAAGATCTCGTTTCCACATTTATCACATGTGTAAGCGTTGACTTCCACGCTGGGTTTCACATCGGAAACACGGGTCACGATGCCCCGTACGGTAATGAGATGGCCCAAATGGGCGCCACGAACTTCACGTACTGCCATTGGCTTCAAAAGATCTTTGGGGCCACGAAGACCCGGAGACAGAGGCTTACAATAGAGCGAGTAGCGGCGGGTGAGTTCAGGAGGGAACATCTCAGCTTCGAGGTCAGTGCCCTGGGCGTTCAGTAAACCTTCGTTTTGAATCTCCTCTCGAATACGTTCGTTCCGCTGTCTTCTTTGATACAGCAGCACGTCCAGCACCTCATCACGGTACGAAATGTCCGTCGTGGGCTCAGGCAACAGATCATCGATAATGGTCGCGATCATGTCAAGATAGTGCATTGTGTTTTCCGTGATATAATCCACGAGCATTTTGCTTTCAGCTCCTTTCTGGCGGCGCTCGAACCGGTAAAGGTCGTCCAATTCTACCACGACGGTATCCTGTTGGCGGTTGGCGACCTGTTGAAGCAGCTCTCCGTACTTGAGGGGCTGGTCGTCCACAGCCATGGCATCCGCATCCTCTGATTCCACGCGGTACTCTGTCAAAAACGAGCGGATGGTCTCCTTCTGCTTCTCATAGTTGACGTTTATTTGAACCGTCGGAAGCAGGGACATTGGAGGAGGTTGGGTTTTTCGCGTCCTGCACGTAAATTAGCTGATGGAAAAGTTTCCTAATCCGCGACGCGTAAGTCACGTGCAGCGGAAAGCTGGCCTCCATATGGGCTTTTTGTGGGTGTTTTCAGTGCAAGCCAGCAGGTAAATTGGAAAAACTGGATCAAAATGTTTCGAAAGGAGCGTGGGCCCTTAGTCGCCACCCCGGCGCGTGAGTTGCGCGGGCCCAGTGAACCGGATTGCCGATGTGGCCGTTGCTGTAGTTCTAGAGTCGCAAACAGATGTTCCATCGACTCCACTGATCGACAGACAGGTACTTCGACTGGTCGTTTTTTAGATGACGGACCTCGCTATACCGATGAGCTTATCACGTGATCAGACGTTGCGTGTGGGATCTTGCATTATATGGCCTGATCAGTCGATCGAGGAAGGTGATCCATCGAAAAAAACTGCTACTTGTAAAACTTAAAAGTTGATAAATTGTCGTAGATAGTCGTAAAGAATAAATGATAAGTTCGAGATAGCGCAGAGGCCAACGCAAAAGGCAACGCAAAAGTATCGTGGGGATGAGGCACCCAGGGGTAGCGCGGTGGATCATATTTTGAATCGTAACAGAAAACACGAGTGACCAGCAATCTGAATCTCGTGGCCACTAACTGTTTCTGTTTTAGCTCATATTGGCCTTGGGCAAGCTGTTGCGGCGGAGCTCAATCGACTCTTTGGCGGGGAGAATGAACGGTGCAACCAAGCCCACAAGCAAATACGCAGACATCATAGAGCTGGAAGAGCGAGCGACACGGTTGGCATAGTGGAAAGCAGGCATTGTGGTGAGGTGTGTGTGTGGACAAGTTTAAGGGACGTGGTTGCCAACACACCCTTATATATAATTGAGTTGCATATGCATTCCTCGTATAGTTCGACTGCGCCCTACTGCAGGTCGATCCTCCGGCATGCCTTAGTCATTGCGAACACGAGCTTACTTGGGCAATTGCACAACATCATTGCACAATCGTTGGGTGGTGTTATTTTGGTTTACGCTGAATGAGTGAGGTTGCTACAGAAGAGGAGCTTGTGAATCGACTGCTGGGAAAGTATGCCTTCGGGTCCTCACCAGAATCCGTCCATGCTTCACTGGTAATCGACCTGACAAGCAAAAGTATCCTCTCAGCCCATAATGTTCACGACCCAGAGGGTACTGCAGATAAAGTAAGTAAACTTTGGCGTGACGCAAGAGAGCTCTCGCAGCGGCCCGAAGTGCTACGGATAAATGCAGAAAAGCAGTATGTGCTTGTTGGAGGTAAGTTGTGTTTTTTTATTTCTTTTAAGCGGTTCTAACTTCAGATGGCCAGTATCTTCTCTGGGTGGTGCTTGACGCACCTATCATGCAAGTAACTTGAATGTAATTAAAGTCGTGTTTATTGTTAAAATTCACATTCCACACCTTATAGTGACTGAGCCTCTACTCTTGTAAACCGCTTTTCCTGTACTTTTTATCTTTTCGTATCACACAGAATTAAATTAGTTCGCCGTTATGTCTGGTCACAGGTCGTTCCCGGAGTACACTTCCTAATCATTACTCATATCTAATCTATGTGGAGATCACCGAAACGCAGACCTAACAGCAGTGGCGGCCGACAAGGCAGTTTGCGGACGCCGGCGGCTGCGCAAGACGCTGAACTCTCTGATATCATCGTGCCGAACCTGGGTTTTGGCAACGAGCCTCTGGAAACCATGGTGCCCATCCCGCAAGATGTCCAAGAAAAAGAGGACTACAGAGAGCACGTTAATAGTATTATTACTCAACAGGCGCAAAAAAAGGGCCGCAAAGAACTCGACCAAGTCTATTTAGAGTTGCTGAAATCCACCAATGCTCAAACGGTTGATAGTCTCAAGGACGACAGCTGGCTATACACCTAGCAGGCTGCCACTAAATAAAACCTGTGATTTATTCCAAGTTATAACTGAAATGCCCTAATAACATTCAAAGCTATCGCTCATTTAATTAGCGACGCGACTTTTTCTCTTAGTAACGCATGTACGTGACGGTCGACCAGTACCGCGAGGCCTGGAACCGAATCAAACACGAGTCACTGTCACATTCAACTTGCCGAATCGTTGTATTTGTATCATGCTTGGATGTAGACGCGCTATGTGCCGCCAAGATCTTTGTGAGCATCTTTCAAAAGGATCTTATTCCCCATAAGATCATCCCCGTAATTGGCTACCGGAGTTTCAAGACGGCATTTTCGCAGCTGGACTCTGATATCACGAACGTTATTTGCATAGGATTTGGAGCAAACGTGGACGTTGAGGAATACTTGGGTATAACGGAAGAGGAATCACAGGTCAAAGTGCATATTTTCGATAATCACCGCCCGTGGAACTTGAACAACCTTTATGCCAAAAACTCTATTGTTTGCTATGATGATGGTTCATTTGAGGACATGGAGAAATATAGAGAGGCGTATTTTTTTCTTGCAGAAGGTCACGAGGACAGCTCGTCCTCCGAATCTGAAGATGACCAGCTTTCCCCTGTTGATCGTAACAAATTCATCGATGACGACGAAGACGCCGACGACGACAACGACGAGGGGGGAGCGTCGATCCCGAACGATGAGAGTCAAGCTCAGGTTATCGAGGATACATTTGCACCACCTGCAGGCCCCACGGAAACGCAGATAGACACCGAGCAGGCAGAAGGTGAGCGCACGTTCACGATAGCTGACGCGCCGAGAAAACGAACAAAGACCCTCAGAAAAAACTACCTCGATCTAATTGAAGAGTACTACACCCAAGGAAGCTACTTGAACACGTCAGATGCCCTTTTAATTTATACACTACTCACAACCATTGGTGAAACGTCCCTGCGAAACTTGTGGTTGACTATTGTTGGCGTTGTTTCGCTCGACAATCAGTACCCAGAGATTTTCAATGCATTATATCCTTTGTTACGCGACGAAATTCGCCGTCTCCGTGGAGATCAAGAAGTGAAAACCGCGGCTGGCCGGGGTCAAAACGATATCTCCCTTAATATTGAAACCGATTACTCGCTGTTCCTTCTCCGCCAGTGGTCCCTATACGAGAGTATGATCCACTCACCGTATGTCTCTGCTCGGCTGTATTTATGGACTGAGAACGGCCGGAAAAAGCTCCATAAAATGTTGGCTCAAATGGGCATTTCTTTACAAGAAGCTAAAGAACAATGGAACCACATGAATCCTACTTTAAAGCGAAAGCTGAAAGTTAAGCTCGAAAAAGTCAGTGGCATGTATGGCATTGAGGCTATTATTCACGATGGGGTTGTCCGTAGATTCGGTTACAAGGGGAGCATGTCGGCTGCCGACTGTTCTGAGGCGGTTGCTGCCCTTTTGGAAAGCGGTGCAAACCTGCACAGTAACGGGAAAACTATAAGCGACTCTGGCAGTCGTCAGTTTTGGATCGAAAGTTTCTGGGCGGCTTGGGATTCTGTTGAGAACTATGATAAACTCGATCGGGGAATAGCCAAGGCAAAGCTTCAGCAACAAGCTGTTGTTTCCGCCGGAACGGCGATCTTTGAAAAGGGCCAGCTCAAAGACTTGCAAACGTTTCGTCTTGCAGTCGTGCGTGAGGGACCTGATGTGGTGCTTTTCTGCAACCCTTTGGCATTGACCCGTCTAGGAGTCTGGCTGTCTGAAGGGTGTGCTCATGTTCACGAGCAGCTGCGTCCTCTCGTGGTTGCAACATTCGACGAATCCACTCAACTGTATCTTGTTCTTGGAATGAGCCCACGAAAGGCCCGAGAGGATACTGCTATTGATACTACTTACAATGTGTTTGGGCAGATTTTCCAGCAAGTCGCCACGGAGATCAAGGCTCGGGTTAGAATAGACGCGTTTGAATCAGCGGTCATTGAGGTTGCAAAGGAGGACCTGTCCAGGTTCCTGGAAACGTTGGCTCTCAAAATGAGAACAGAAAAACACGGCTGGGCATAGATTGCACAAATTGCATAAATTAATCAAAATTACACAAAATAGGGTTTCATGCCTGGCATTACTTGGAATTATAGACTTTGTCAGATTAGTAAATTTCATCCATGCTGTACTTTTTGTTGGCGGTGTGCTCGGCTCCGGTAGCTGCGCAAATGTTTGGGTTCGATCAGATTTTCAGACAGGCTCACGAGGCTCAACAGCAACAGCAAGCCGAACAACAGCAGCGGCAGCGTCAAAACGGCATGAATATTGTTGAAGCGTCCTACTATGAAGTTGACTGCCCAAAGTACTTGTGCGAGGACACCCTGTCCTGTGTTGACAGCCCCGTGGACTGTCCATGTGCATTCGAATCTGAGATTAAATGCGTTCTTCCCGACAAAAAGACGTATATTTGCATTTCAGCCCCGTCCAATGAAGACAGTCCTACGTGTGATACTGTGATTGACGCCTGGAATGGTAAAATTTGAACCACCCAGTGTTCTATCGCTTTATTTATATATAGAAAATTAATCACGCGTGCGATTAGGGGTCCACCGCGAATAAATAACTGATTGAACTGAGTACTGTGCCAGCAGAGCCCTCCAATCACTGATCGTCTTGATCTCACTATAGTCGACAAGATCTGGATCAGGGCCTTCAACATAGGCAAAAGCCAGGGTCTTTTTAACGCTTCCAACAACCCGCGCGACTCCTTGACTCCACCACCAATCATGTATTTCATGTCGATTGGCGTACACCGCCATGACGGCAAATTCTGCATGCTGGAAAGGTGGCCCTCGGCGGTAGAGTATAAAGTCTGTGCCAAACTTGACACCCGAACGTACACACCAACCCAAAGACCGGTAGTAGTGATACGCGATGTATTCAGTGAGAAGCTTTCCTTTGGCTAAGCTTTCAACGGACTTCATGATAGACATCACGCCGTCGTTGTCACTTATATCAAGCACACCTAGACCGAGCTGCAGAAAAAGTGCTTCGCAAGGCATGAGTTGCAAATGCTCGAGCTTGATAATAGTATCACCCTTCACCAGCTCACGATCCTCGTCGCGAATCGGAGGTTGAGCATCTTCCTCGGCGAGAGCAGCCAACTCAATCAAATTAACCGGCTCGGCACGACCTTCGGCAACAAGTTTGTTGTGAAGCTCTTGTCTTTCGGCCAGATCACGCTCACGTTTCAAGATACGGCGCTTTTGCCGACGGAGTTCTGTGAGCTCTTCCAAGCTCATTTCGCCGCCATCGAGACCTAGCCGACGACAGGTACGGCCATACCATGAGGGTTCCGAGCGACTGAGACTACCTTTGCCAAAGAATCCCATCTCCCATAACCGCAGCATTGTGCTTTCGTCAGTGACACGCACGGCCATTGAAGGGTCGTTTGGATCGAAGGTGCCGGCGATCTTGACCTGTCTTGGAGCTGGGGAAAAGCATAATTTGTATAAAAAGTAAAGAACTGAAACAGGATTGTGCAGAATAAGCGTTGGTAGAGGCTGCACCTCGAAGGGCAGCGGATCTACGTACACCTCGTTAATTTTTTTATTCCAGCTGCCTTTCATTGCTTCATATGCTAGTTAGTTTGTGCTCAGATACCGTTGTAGTCTATATTGAAATCCCAGATATCCCCAGGGACCGCTCCCCGGGGTGTCGAACCAATATATATCATCATAACATACCTTTGGCTTGATATTCGTATTTGATGAAAAAACCCTGCACTGGGACTTAAATACGCAGCCGGGGTACTAGAATAAAAGCTGGGGGAATTAGGACAAAAATCTTGAAACCTTCTCAAGCCTTTATCATCTACACAGATTGCACAGATGCACGATTATGCCTCAGAACCAAATAGTTTCGGCATCAGCTCGGGCTCTATGTCGTTCAATGCTGAATGGACCCGAAGTGCTCACACGATGGGCTAGGGAAGGCACCAGAAGAATAGGACGCCAATGGTCAAGAGCTAGATTTAGGGGGCAGAATCACATTTACTAGTGATCAACACCCTTGGAGTAGCCAAGCGACCATTTTCGAATTTTGAGCGTTTTCTAGAAGTTATTCCAGCCTTGCCCTGTCGCGCAACAGCGGCATAAACACGCTTCCTCGCATTGCTCTGGAAGTGAGATCGACCTAACCAGCGCGTCCGGAACCCGGGTCTTGCGTTACCAACACGGACTCGCCCTCTATCTGAAAATAAGCTTAGTTGCAATTTATTATTGTTCGTTGCGTGCCGTGGGTCAAGTAGACCACGTGGACGTGCTGCTACGTGCTGCGGACCTCCTGCAGCGTGGAGGGCATTTGCTGGTTAAGCGATGATGTAGAGGCTGGCGTGGCAAAGCTCACAAGAGGCAGCAAACGGGGGAGGCCAAAATAAAACGGCCGTAACTACATTTTTGATTGGGGAATTTCAACGATGTGAAATGAGCCGCACCGCACATCTCAGTAAACAAGGATCCGTAACTTTTGCGGGGTCACCAGATCACAGAAGGCACATGATCTACCCTGCAGGTCAGGTGGTCGGGTTTGAGCAACACCCAACGCTGACGGGTTGGGTATAAAAGCAGCAGTATACCCTCAATTGGTGTAACAAGTTTTAGTTTCAAACCACAAAGCCGCGAACAATGACACACACTCAGGATATTAACCCCTCGGAGGACACTCGTGAGAAGATCATCGTCTACCTTGAACTCGCATTAAAGGATGCTGAGAAGCGTATTATGGAGCTGGAAGGCATCCTGCGCAAGAACAAGCAAAAGCTTGAGGACGATGCCATCAAGGAGTACGAAATCGAGGAAGCTCACTACAAGGGAAAAGTCAAGCTGCTTGAAGACGCAAAGTCCAAGACCGAACGCACCAGCGGCCACACTCTTAAGAAGGCCTACAACAAGAAGTGTATGGAGGCCCTACATGCCACCCTGCCTGAAGCTAAGTATACAGAGCTCGAGGCACTGTTGGCTGAAAACGGTATTCACTTGCACCACGACAAGCACCACTATGGCAAGCACCACCACGAAGACCAGGAGGCGGTTGCTGCCGCATAGATATAACTAGAGCTTATTTATCTATAGCTTTAATCGCGAACGTATGTCCGCTTTTACTATATCCATAGCTGCACCAGCATCTTCGTAGCTGTCGTGCTCGCCGCTTTGAATATTTCGACTCAAATACGTCCATGCGAGCTGCTTCAGAGAATGCGTCCGGGTAGCATGGCGGGGGTAGAGCATGGCCGTATCGACCACCAGGTTATGGACCAGCCGTAGTGTCTGGAGGTCGTTCTCAAGGCCATGGCCTATAATAATAGTATGTGGGCCAACATATTCGAATAGGGCCGTTAATGCGGACTCAAAGTCCAATGTGGGGTAATGCACGGAGTTGAGGGTGGTTCCCTCATTCAGATCTGACACACCGCTGAATCGGGTGTTTAAATCAAGCACCCGGCCAGACGGGAAAACGGTTCGATCAAGCACAACGTCGCCCGAGTCCCAGTCAAGCGCCGTGACACGAATCAGCTCCATTCCTTTCGACGTGTAGGCCATTTCGCAGTCTATGGCCACCCCGAACAGCCACTTGGAAGATGCAGGGGTGTCGGGCACTGTGCGAAACGGAATGGCCTTATGCAGCTCGCTGGGAGCCGACAGCTTGAAGACGTGAGTGTTGCGAAGCTCGCAACCATTAGACTCACCAAGGACCTGGCCACAACAGGGAAATACGTCCTCGAGCTTTTTCTTTTCTAGATTGTAATTTCGTCGCAGCAAGTGGAAGTGGCACTCTACTGGTGCCTCTTCTGTAGGATAAAACATGGCCCCGCATCGGTCGCACTTCACGGGCTTGTTATCTTCCTCGACCTCTCCGGAAGGAATTTCAATAATATAGCGCTTGCTGAGTTTAGACTCGGGTATAATCAGTTTCGCCAACTCCTCCCGATATTTCAATCTAGTACTTTTGGCTGCCTGCTTTTCTCGAGCTTCTTCGGCACCCTCGTTGTGTTCGCCCCGCAAAATTTCACGAACCAGAGTGCGAATATTATTGGCATAAGTACCCGCTGTACTTCGTTCTGCGGTCTGCTTCTCGAGTTCCATTGCCTTTGCTTCGGGATCGTTGCATTTCACCTCTTCAAGCTTATCCCGGATGACACTCAAATAGCGCAGGCGTAGCTGATGCTGGGCTGGCGGGTGATCCAGCATAACAGGTGAGAACACGACCTTTCTTTTTGGAGGTGGTGCAGCCTTTGCTGGAGTTTCTTTCACACGTTTTACAGCAGTAGCAGCTGCTGCTCTGGGATGCGAGAAAATACAGTGCGGCAACTCGCATTTCTTCTTCTGTTTTATACTGGGACACTCAATGCCCTTGAACAGTCGGGTCTGTGACTGAAACATCGGGTCTTTGTATCCTCTTCCAGTTGTCTGGCCGAACTTATTAAGTCCTCACACTGGTGACGATGATTCAGCCAAATGACCATCCAGTTTGTCGCGATCATCGACGCAGCCGTAAGTGCACGACCGCAATCAATTGTAACCAGCCACTAACCACAAGAATATACCTGTTTTTATCAAGTCCTTTAGCGATGAACAAGAAACACAGCTGGCGCACCAGTTTATCGCCGAGATGGCCCTGGACTATGTTGATGCTGAGCTCAATAAACCAAATCTGCCGAGCACATGCTCTCTGCTGGTAGTCCACAATGGTATTGCAGTGTATGGATTTCTAGCAAACACAAATATTAAACTATTTATTGGCACAGACGCGTGGAGCGAGCAAATGGACCTCGGGCCAACCATGAAGGAGCTACAGCAACTGTATATTGCCCATGTTTGCAATCCTTTCTACAACAGCAAACAAAGCCGCATCACGAGCGCCAGTTTCTCGGCGAAAGTTGAACAAATCGTGTCCCAATCGCAGCCCGCGTAGACATTCAGTTATGGAGTGGAGTATTAGTTCAATTCTAACATATAGACTGGCACTATCCGAAAAATTCTCTTGAACAATTCAGTTAACGAATAGCGATCTGTTTTAGCTTTTCGTTCGTTGCTCCTTCTAGCATCTCTGATCCAAAGGTCTTAACTTTACTCAGCAAAATATATTTTTTTTTCAAACTATGCAGCGTGCAGTGGCACTGGATTGGCCACGCGCAACTGCGGTATTGGCGAAATCTTGCGCAGATCACAAGCTGGGTATTATTTCGACCCCTCAATCCATCGAGGATCTGTGCCAAATTGCCCTTCTGCCCGAATATACCCTTTTTGTACTCCATGCGTTCAAGCCGCTCTTTCTTGAGGTTCAGGCGCTGTGGGTGCTTGGGGAATTCTCGTCCGATACCACGAATGTGTTCCATGCCTTAGCATCTACTGTTTCTGTATACCCGCAGAGCAATGCTCTCGTAGAACACTTTTTGATTCGATATTCAGATTCGCTGTTGGACCCCGAGAGCCCCAGCGAGACCATTTTATTAGCATTCTACCGCATCCTCAGTCATGACAGAGCGAGATACAAGGAGTACATCTCTCCTGATAAGCTTTACAGGTGCATGAACTCCGATGTCGTTGCAATTCGGGGGCTTGCAGTCGTGCTTTTGGCGATCTATACTGAGGCCTCGGAAAAAACCCGACGAGACTGGCTCCAACAATACCTGGGATCTGAGCCTGATAGTATAAAGTTTCTTGCTTTAGAGGAAGCACGCCGCATATCTGCCGATTCGAAGTTTTTGGCCACTTCCCCGGTCTACACCAAAACCATGGACCTTCCGGCTTCTAATATTGTTGCCAACATTGGTGGCACGCTTATCCCGAAAATTGATGCATTGCCGTCTCGTCCGTGTGACTTTGTAGCTACAGAGGGCGCAGTAGCCACAGTAACCCGAATTGCTTCGGGGCTCCTGGAAAATAAGCCTGTACTTCTCGTTGGACCGGCAGGATCGGGCAAGACGTTTTATGTCGACTGTCTTGCATCTCAACTGAGGCCTTCTGAAGACATTGTTCGTATTCATCTTGGTGATCAGACCGATGCAAAGTCCTTGATAGGCACTTACACAACCGGTGAGAAGCCTGGTGTGTTCGAGTGGAAACCAGGCATTCTGACTGTTGCAGTCACAAAGGGCCGGTGGGTCCTGATCGAGGATCTCGATCGAGCCCCAACTGACGTTATTTCTATTTTGCTACCCCTCATGGAAAAGCGTGAACTCATGGTATCCTCGCGAAACCAAACATTCCGAGCCAAGGCAGGCTTCCAAATTTTTGCTACTGTTACAGCAGATGATCCTGATCGCCCCTTAGAATTTATTGGCCAGCGTCTTTGGCATAAAGTTGTTGTTGAGCCTCCCTCAACGACTGAGTTCGAGTCAATTTTGGTTAGCAGGTTCCCACGAGTTGCCCCGCTTGCTGCAAAGTTCATTGAAACGTATCATGCAAGCCGAACAATCTTTGCGAACCGAATGACACAAGATCGCCAGCTCACAAGCCGAGATCTATTCAAATGGTGTCAACGTGTAGAGACACTTCTAGAACGCGCTGTCCCTAGCGGAAATGCATCGACGGAAGTCCCCATTTCCGTTTTCGATGACATTTTTAGAGAAGCTGTCTGCTGCTTTGCATCATTTTTACCGGAACCCGCAACTATTAGAACTATGGCTGAGCTCATTGGTGAACACCTCGAAGTTCCCAGCTCAAAAATTGGCCCCCTTCTTGATCGTCATCTTCCTAGCATACACGAGGAAGCTGATGCTGTACAGATTGGTCGAGCAACCCTCCCCAAGCGGCCCATCAGCGAAACAACCCGCCGTGATTTGCTTCTTGCTCGCCAGAATTTTGCATTAACGAACCACAGTCTCCGTCTGCTTGAGCAAATTGCCGTAGCCGCTTCCCAACAGGAGCCTCTACTACTCGTTGGTGAGACAGGTACTGGTAAGACCACCATTGTTCAGTATATGGCTAATCTGGCCAACAGAAAACTAATTGCCGTTAATATTTCGCAGCAAATGGAGACAGGCGATTTGGTAGGCGGTTTCAAGCCTGTCGATGCCAAACAACTCGCTGGTGAACTTTTAGAAGAATTCGACGAGCTTTTTGACCAGTCGTTCTCGCGAACAAAAAACCAGCAGTTTTGTGATGTTCTTGGTCGTGCAATTGCTAAGTCGCAATGGCCGAATATTGTGAAGCTGTGGCGAGAGGCACATCGTATGGTGAGACAACAGCAGTCTACCGCCACAGAGCCTGCTAAAAAGAAGAGAAAGTTGAATGCTCAGACATTAAATGATTGGGCAATGTTTATGCGCAAAGTTGAGGATTTCGATCAAAAGTTGAAAGAGCTGAACAAAGCAGCCCTTTTCAAATTTATTGAAGGATTACTTGTAAAGGCAGTCAGAAAGGGCCAATGGATTCTTCTTGATGAGATCAATTTGGCCCCGCCGGATACTCTCGAGGGTATTGCCGATCTGCTTGTTTCACCACCCTCCATCACCCTCCTTGAAAAAGGCGATGATGATGCCGTTGTTAAAGCCCATCCGGAATTCAGACTATTCGCATGCATGAACCCCGCGACAGATGTTGGTAAGAGAGAACTGCCTCCTGCATTACGATCTCGTTTCACGGAAATTTATGTCGACACACCTGACAGAGATATCGATGACCTGCGTTTTATCATCGACAAGTATATTGCTCGATTCAAACTCTCCGACCAGCATGTTGTTAATGATGTCGCTGAACTTTTCCTAAAAGCTAAAAAGCTTGCATCTGACAATCAATTGGTAGATGGTGCTGGGCAGCGGCCACATTTCTCAATTCGTACTCTTTCAAGAACTTTAGTCTACGCAACTAATATCGCCCGGACGTACGGGTTGAGACGTGCATTATACGAAGGATTTTGCATGAGTTTCCTCACGTTGCTCGACAAACCAAGTTCTGCTTTGCTTGAACCCATTATCAGACAGCACACAATTGATCGTTTGGGCAATACAAAGTCAGTTTTAGCAACCTTACCTTCTGCACCAGCCGATGATTTCGAATACGTTCAGTTCAAACATTATTGGTTGCGCCGTGGGTCCTTTGAGCCAGAAGAAGATGATCGCTACATTATTACGCCGTCTGTTGAACACAACTTATTGAATCTTGTTCGTGCCACTGCTACCAAAAACTTCCCCGTGCTAATCCAAGGTCCCACATCGAGTGGTAAGACTAGTATGATCAACTATTTGGCGAAGCGCACAGGTCACAAGTTTGTGCGTATCAACAATCACGAGCATACTGACCTTCAAGAGTATCTTGGTAGTTACGCTTCTGATGAGCAGGGTAATCTTGTATTTCGTGAGGGAGTACTTGTTGAGGCAGTTCGAAAGGGCTACTGGATTGTTCTAGACGAGCTGAACTTGGCACCCACCGATGTCTTGGAAGCTCTGAATCGTCTCTTGGACGACAATAGAGAACTTCTAATCCCAGAGACACAGGAAATTATCAAACCTCACCCAGATTTCATGCTTTTTGCTACTCAAAATCCACCTGGTCTTTATGCTGGTCGTAAAATATTGTCTCGTGCTTTCAGAAATCGATTTTTAGAGCTACACTTTGACGACATCCCCCAAGATGAGCTAGAACAGATTCTGAAAGACCGTTGTCAGATCGCACCTTCTTATGCCAAGAAAATTGTCGACGCTTACAGAGAGTTGGCAAGGCAGCGCCAGTCTACTCGTGTTTTCGAGCAGAAGAATAGTTTCGCCACATTGCGCGATTTATTCCGTTGGGCAATGCGGCCTGCTGTCGGATACGAGCAGTTGGCATTGAACGGGTATTTACTGTTAGCCGAACGCGTGAGAAATACATCTGAAAAGCGAATCGTCAAAGAGACGCTAGAGAAAGTTATGCGTGTCAAGCTCGAGATTGACTATAATGCTGTGGCCCCAGCAGACATAATGGCACAATCTACTGAAGTTGTGTGGACTTCTGCTATGAAGCGCTTATTAGTTCTTGTTCTGGAAGCAATGAAGCAAAACGAACCGATTTTGCTTGTCGGTGAAACTGGTTGTGGCAAGACCACAATTTTCCAACTCTTGTCCACAGTTTTTGGACGCAAGCTGCATATTGTAAATGCTCATCAAAATACTGAAACTGGTGATATCATCGGTGCTCAACGCCCATTGAGAAATCGAACAGATATTGTTCATAATCTTGAGAACGCCCTTCGAACTCTTTATGGTGACAAAACGTCAAGTTTGAATAGTTTGAAACAATGCTTTCAAACTGATAGTGGGCTCTCGCCTGAGGAGAGGCAGTCAGTCCAACCCTTGCTCGATAGAAGCGAGGTTCTATTTGAATGGGCTGATGGCTCGCTGGTCACTGCAATGAAAGAGGGGAGCTTTTTATTGATAGATGAGATCTCCTTGGCAGATGATAGTGTGCTTGAACGGTTAAATTCAGTGCTCGAGCCTGAACGTGGTCTTTTACTTCCTGAAAAAGGAGGCACCGATATCCATCTCACCGCAGCGAACAATTTCCAGTTTTTTGCAACAATGAACCCAGGAGGAGACTACGGAAAGAAAGAGCTTTCACCAGCTTTGCGAAACCGATTCACAGAGATTTGGGTACCTTCAATGGACAACTTTGACGATGTAGAACTCATTGTTCAGCAAAAACTTTTGGCTCCAGTCCAGCAGTACGCAAAATCTATTGTAGAGTTTTCTCATTGGTTTGCTGTTTTCTACGGTAATGGAGACGCTACCTCAGGTGTGATCTCGTTGCGTGATATTCTTTGCTGGACTCAGTTCATCAACTCGATGCCACAGGCAGGTGTGTTCAGTGTGTTCCATGGAGGATGTATGGTTTTTGTTGACTCAATCGGTAGCAATGCCCTAGCTCACCTGGCTCAAAGCTCTGATCTACTCTATGAACACCGTTTACGAGCTGTACAAAAGCTTGCTCAGGTAGTCCAAGCTCCACAAGCGTATGTTGATGCTTATTTTGGAACTGTAAGTGTTTCAGAGGGATCTAACGGGGTTAATATTGGTGATTTCTTGTTGCCTAAAAAGGCTAGCACGGTTGCCAAAGAACCTTTCAGCTTGTCTGCTCCCACAACTGCTATGAATGCAATGAGGGTAGTTCGTGCGCTGGTTGTGAACAAACCAATCCTTCTTGAAGGCTCTCCTGGTGTAGGGAAAACCAGTCTTGTTAGCGCTCTTTCCGCATTATCAGGCAACAAGCTTGTCCGTATCAACCTGAGCGAACAAACTGACCTAATTGATCTTTTCGGCTCCGACTCACCTGCAGAGGGTGAAAATGCTGGTGAGTTTGTATGGAGGGACGCCCCATTCTTACGTGCAATGCAGGTAGGTGAGTGGGTGCTCCTTGATGAAATGAATTTAGCATCTCAAGCGGTCCTCGAAGGCTTGAACTCATGTCTCGATCATCGAGGTGAGGCATATATCCCTGAGTTGGACAGAACTTTCAAGTGTCATCCCGAGTTCAAAGTATTTGCTGCTCAAAATCCCCAATATCAGGGAGGTGGACGTAAAGGCCTGCCTAAATCATTTGTCAATCGCTTTTCTGTTGTTTATGTTGATGTTCTATCATTGGAAGATCTGAGAATTATTTCAAAGCATCTTTACCCCAATGTAAACGTGGAAACTGGCGAAAAGATGGTCGATTTCATTCAAAATCTTGACCATGAAGTGTCGGTCAATCGTTCCTTTGGTGTAACTGGTGGACCCTACGAGTTCAACTTGCGTGACACAATGAGGTGGTTTTCAATGGTTTCTGAGACTGCGTTGCAGCCAAAGGACTTTTTTGATATCATTGTCCGTGATCGGTTCCGTACTGCTGAGGACAGGAGTGCTGCAACTGCACTTTTCGTAGAGCATTTCAGTGAGTCTCCAGAACGAACATTGCCAATCGATATAACACCGGACGTGGTGATTGCTGGTCACTCCATCTTTGAGCGCAATGCTACTATTGGACATTATTTCTCAAGCTCTGTGGGACATTTACAGTGCAACACTAGACTTATGGAAACGGCAATTACTTGTATTAAACATTCTTGGCCACTTATATTGTGTGGCCCAACGGATTCAGGTAAAACTTCTTTCCTCAGGTACTTGGGATTCGTCTGTGGAGCCACAACCAAAGAATTTTCCATGAGCGCTGATATTGACAGCACCGATCTGCTCGGTGAGTTTGATCAAATACAGGAGGATCAGCAGCTTGATAGAATCTGGAATGAAATCGACGAGTACATTTCTCAAGGCATTGGATGTATTGGTAGCGATGAGATTGCTTTGCTCGAAGCCTCTGTGGCAAGAAATTTAGACAGTGCACTACGACTTTTACCCAATGCAACTCGAGTACACCGTCTTGTCGATGAGTTCCGCACATCAGATTTTTCCAAACCGCGCTTCAAGTGGTTTGACGGTGCACTAGTGCAGGCAGTTGAGAAGGGCTATTGGCTGATTCTTGACAATGCTAATCTTTGCTCGCCATCTGTCCTTGACCGCCTCAACTCGCTTTTGGAACCAAATGGGATGCTTCTAGTCAATGAATGCGCAGATGCCAATGGCGAGCCTAGAAAAGTTGTTCCACATCCCAACTTTAGACTTTTCTTGACAGTGAACCCGAAGTATGGTGAGCTGTCGCGGGCTATGCGAAACCGTGGTATTGAGATATATATTGACGCGTTAAGCATTCGTGCAACTCATTTCGATCGCAAGGTGCTGGGAATTTCTCAACTAGTCGAAGACGAACCATTGTCAATGTCTCTCGAAACACTCAACTTGTCAACTGAAGCACCAGTTAGTTCCAAGCTTCAAATCACTGATACACTTGTCCGCTCTGTTGCTTTGTACGATGATTTTAGCGACCGAGATAGCTGGTTAGCGTCCTCATTTGTGTCTGAATGGTCTCAAAGCTTGGTATCTGCTGATCTCTCGCTTCCTTTCAGACTGAAGGACTTTGAGCCACTTCACGGGTTAGTTCGTCAAAATGCCACTGGTCCGGTTGAGCTTGCCCCTCTTAACCCACTGAATGGTAGCTTGGTATACAAACTGAAAACATTTGTGCTAATGTATCAAGTACGCAGTGCAATCAACCTTGCGATCGAGAGAAGCAAGTCCATCGCGGAGAAAGAAATGAACCTCCTAGAGCTTTCGATTCATAGCCGCACAAAAGACACAATCCACTGTGTTGATGTGTATGGTTTTGTTTCTCGCATGACTGGCGTAGATTTGCTATCAGTGAAACCTGAGCTTTTGGAGCTTTTGAGTGATTTCTTAGGGTTCATTTCCCGTGTTGATTGTGATATTAGCAAGATCCCTATTTATCGTGATATTTTTGAGGAGATTTCAGAGAATGATTCTTATATCATGAATGTCATTCATCACCTAGGAGCGCATTATGACTTTTCCAACGGCGGTATGTCAATGGAAGCTATCTGGAAAGATTTTGCAACTGGAGGTTTCGGTTCTCAGGATCTTTGGTTGAGCTATCATAAAATCTTGTCTGTGGCAAAAGAATTTGATGACTCTGCATCGCATTTTTCACCAGATAATGTGAACCAGATTGTGGAGGTTCGAAAGGCTCTAAGTACACTTCTTGTTGATGTTCACAAAGCACCAGTTCCTGAAGATATTCTATTGAATGTGACGGAGGGTGTCGCTAGTATCAAAGCATCGTTAAAGCTTTCAAAAGGACACGAAGCGCAGTTTGTAACACTCTTCGGGGACTTGAAAAATTTACTTGAGACTGCATACCTGGCTGATCCGAAGCCGCCGTTGCTCGATACCCTAGCGCTGTTATCCTACTATTCGGCTTCTTCAACTGCTCAGTTGGCTAAGTTTTATGAAAGACCAGCTATACTCCCGGACATTTGCACTTATCCAGTAGACATTCGTCAGACTGTCGTTAGTGCTCTGAGGTACTGTGCTTCGATTCCTTCCAGCCATTATGAGACTGCAATGAGCGAGCTAAGTACGTTCAATCGGATTCTACTTCAAAACTCACAACTTCTTGATATATCGTTGAATATGTCCCAATTCCTTCATCAGCTTGTTTGCTCGCTTTCAGGATCTGTGGATGTCGATCAATTTGAAAAGACTCTTCAGTTGTTGGAGCAGGGTGATCTCGCATCCGCTTGGATTGAATTTTCAAGTCAAATTATTTATCTGTATGTTCCAAGGTCTGTCTTTGATCCAGCTATTCGTCAACACGTGAGATACGAGCACTATACACGACGCCGCAGCCAATACTCTCAAGAACTGGATTTCTGGCAAAGAATGAGGAGCGTATTTGTTGGCGATGACCTTTGTGGTGTAGACAAACAGTTGCTACAGCAATTAGTTGGGCTACAATCCGAGCCTGTGCCTTCGGTCTTCAGACCTAAGCAGTCCCAAATTGTAGCATTGTATCATGAGATCAATGCAGCCTTACCTATGCTTCAGCCTTCTCATGTTGTGAAGCTAAACTATGAACAGCTTGAGGTTTGGAATGGAAACATATTCCGTTTCTTAGATCGCCTTGAGCAGTTTTCCGGATACCAGGATCTCATCAGTGTTCTTCGTGGTGCTGTAATTGGCTTGCAATTTGGACTCAACTTGAAACTTGCTCCAACATCTAAGTCGACCCTATATTGGATCCTGGATGCGAATGTTGTGGCAGATCCTCAAAAGTTTTTGGATGCAAGTAAGAGGTATATGAGCAACGGAAGGGCGCTCCCTCAAAACATTGCTCTTCACTTTTTGAAACTATGCAACCTACATGCCTATCAGTATGTTGCACCAGTTATCGAAGCTGTTTTGAGGCAGTTCTATCATCAGTATGCCATTGACAAAATGAGGGAAGAGAAGGCGAGAGAGCAGAGTGATACTATTTACAAACCGCTAGATGAGGATGATGAAGCAGAGAAAGATTTCCAGCGGCTATTCCCTGACTATGAGGGCGAGGTTTCTGATGAAAAATCTGATCCTGATTTACAGGTAGAGTTGTCCGAAGTTTACAATCAAATCTTCTCTGATCACCATTCTGATATCGCTAGTATGGCCATTCAATCTCTTGAGCTTCTAAGTCAAGAAGAGAATAACTCACTTAACTCAACAAAATTGGCACTACCTTCTCTTTTCTTGGGACTGGTTGATAAAGTCAATCGTTCAATGAGTTCTGAAGCATTCAATTTCTACACCGAGCCATGCTATAAAGAAGCCAAGGTTGCTATCGCCCTAATGAAAAAGGTCTTCACAAGAACATCTAACTTTTTAGAGCGGTGGCCGGAACATGACACGTTGTTAATCATTGCCAATGCCTGTAAAGAACTCGCGAACTTTGCTGTTTCGGCTCCATTGGCGCGCTATCTCGCCAAGGTAGAGCAAATACATCATTATTTGAACGAGTGGCAAAGATTTGCCAGCAAGGATGTGGCTGTTCTTGATTTTATTGACGAGGTTGGCAATTTGATTGTTTCATGGCGCCGCATAGAGCTTTCTACTTGGCCATCGCTGTTTCAATATGAGCTCAAGGTGAACTCTCAAGCGGCGTCTCGCTTCTGGTTCCACTTGTATGAAAATCTTATTAGCAACCCAATTCGCTTGGGGAAAGAAGCACTAGATCTCACTGAAATTGTCAAATTACTGGTTCTGTTCATTTCAGACTCTTCATTTGGTCAGTTCCGGTATCGAATGGGAATGCTGAAAAGCGTAAAGACACATTTAGCGCTGCTGAGTTCAGACTATCCTTTCCTGAATGATGTGCAAAATGTTATCGAAAACGTACTGAGTTATTATGAACGCTTCGCAGGCCTTATATCGGACCATATTGCATCAAAAGAAAAGGCTTTGAGAAAAGAAATTGAAGAGGTGATTCTTCTAGCAAGTTGGAGAGACGTTAATGTTCTGGCTTTGAAACAGAGTGCTCAAAGGTCGCACCGTGCACTATACAAGGTCGTGCGAAAATATCGAGATTTTGTATCACAAAAGGTTTCCAACCTTGTCGAAGAGGCGCCAACACTTTCGCCTCCTCCTCGGCAGCTAGGTAGCCGGTCTCCTTATCGCACTGACTTCATTCTTCATCTTGATTCTCTCGCAAATAGCGAGGAAACCGTCCATCTTTGGGCCACTCGCCCCCGCCATTTACTGGATATCAAGCGACGTACTGATACTATGCAGAATTGGACCGATAAAGTTTGGGATGTGAAAATTGAAAACCTAAGCGTGATTGCAGAAGAAACGAGTCAAGCCGCAGAGAAACTCCGTCAGGAAACCCCTGCCGAACTCACTGAAGAGAACAAAAAGTTCTGTCTCGGCTTGCGAAACGAAAAAATGCAGCTTCTCATTTCAGTCTTGAAAGTTTTGAAAGAATCTGGCCTGCGCATTAATGTGCGTGAAGATACAGCAGCTGCACAGTCTCAGCTGAGCCAAGTGCTTTCACTTACTCCAAGCTTGGCTGGGTATTCGTTGGACAGAGCCAATACATTTTTCTACGGAATTGTTGAAACAATGCCTCGTTTGCGGTCTGCTATTTCGTCCGCTGAGACTGATGTGCCCGTCGAAAGTCTCAAGCGTGGTCTCGTTTTCGGGGAGAATCTTTTAGCAATGATTTTAAGATTCAGGAATAGGTGTGCTGAGGTACTCAGTTCTGACTTTTCGTCCGCCAAAGAATCACTTCTGCAGCTACATGGTGTTTTGGAGTCGGGAGATGAGATGGTTGTGCTTTCTGATAGTTCAGAAGCTTATGCTTATATTGATACTTCCAAGCATTTAACGAAATTCGTCTCATCAGTTTATCAAGCAGCTGGTAACCCAGAATCTTTGACGGATATCACCAACGCAATCCGATCAGTACCACCGCAGAGTATTCCAACTATGCAATGGATTGAAAAAGTGCGTGGGGTCCAAAAAGCTCTGCGCTTGACAGCAGCTAGACTGGATGCTCTCTCGGATGCTGATCGGCTCGTCGCGCCAGTTGTTTCCTCTGTTGCTAGTAACGAGATATCGCTGGAACTCGAAAACCAATCATCTGATATTACGGCACTTCATGACATGGCCGTTCTTGTCTGTAACTCTATTTTGGTTGCAGTTCAATCCGTTTACAAAGTTAGCCAGGAGGAGATCCCTGAAGATGGGTGGTTTACTGCAGGCCAAGTCATCCTTGAAAAAATGGGCATGTCTTTACATGGCAGTACTATTTTGAACGAGGTTCAAAGGTTTATCACTATGGCTGCTACATTTGTTTCCAGTCGTGTTGCTTCTTCTTATACTGGTGTCGTTCTCGCTTTCCTAGAGGGTTATTTAGCTCTTAAGGAAGCTGTTGAGGACAAACTTGCTGCTCATTTGACTGACACCAGTAAGGCCGCTTTCCAGCTTTTGCGATTGCTCTCTTCAATGTCCACCCAGGGCTTTTGCTCTCCGCAAGAACCTCAAAAGACTGAGGATGAGGATACATCGAAAATGGAAGATGGCACTGGATTGGGAGACGGTGCAGGCGCACAAACTACCGCCAACAATGACGAGCAGGATGATGATCTCACGGAGCATGCTCAAACCGAGAACAAAGAGAAGGAAGACAATGGCCCTCGGGATGAAGACGAGGAAGACAATGCAATCGAGATGGAAGGCGATATGGCCGGAGAACTCGAAGATGCAGACACTAAATCCGACGATGAGGAAGATGATAGCAAAGATAATGAGAATGAAGATATGGATGACGAAGTTGGAGACATTGATGATCTTGATCCCAACGCCATAGATGAAAAAATGTGGGACGACCAGAAAGAGGATGATGATCTCAAAGAGAAACAAACGGATGATGTCAAAGGACAATCTGACGATTTGGAGGCACGCGATGAGGAAAGTGAACAGAAGGATCCGCGTGAAAACGAAAGCAAGGACGGGAACAACGATGGCGATGATGCCAGTAATGCCAGTGATGCTAGTGATGAGGAAGATGTTGGTGAGCAAGATGACCACGTTGAACAAAATCATGATGAGCTCGAGCAAAATGTCGATGAAGGAGATGCTTTAGACCTGCCAGAGGATATGAACCTCGACGGCGCAGAAGGTGAAGAAGAAGAAAATGGAGATGACGATGTCATGCCAGACCTACCCGAGGAAGAAGCTGATGGAGGATCTGACGATGGTGCCAACATGCAAGATGAAGCAGAGCTCGATAACGATGGTGAAGCTCAAGAATCAGACATCGATGCAGATGCTGAGCCGGAGGAGGGCGAGGAAGCTGAGGTCGACGAAAACGAGAACTCCAACTCAGACGCTGAAGGAGAGCCGGAAGATGACGTTGAAGCTCAACCAGAAGTTGAAGAGGAGGCCGCTAACATGGAGCAAAATGATGGCGGTGAGGGTATGGAGATCGACACTGAAGGGTTACATGGCCAAGAGGACAACGCTGAGGCAGATGCACAGCAGTCAACCTTGACGGAGCAACAGTCAGAACAAACCGGTCAAGGCGCGAATACTGAAACCAAAGACGAGCAGGAGAACTTTGATTCTGGTGCTACATCAGCGGTTGTTGCTGATATGGATCAGAACAAATCTGAAGAGCAAGATCAGGCGATGAAAGATGCAACTGAATCTCTCAAAGAGCTTGGAGATGCTATGAAAGAGTATCATCGTCGTCGCCAAGAGATTCAGGAGCGCAGTGAACGCTCAGATGAACCCCAGCCGGAGTCTGCAAATGTCGATGCCGACGAGGTAGAACATGTTGTGGCTGAGGATCAGTTTGATACTCAGGCTCTTGGGCGCTCTAACCACAACGAGCGCCAAGATGTTGATGACTCCATGGCCGTAGACGACGAAGACGAGGTTGAAGAAGATCAAGGCGAGGAACTGAAGCCTCAAAATGACGCTGAACCTAGTGGTGGCGCGGGGGCTAACTTAGCGACGGATGATGAAATGGAGCTTGGTGAGAATGAAATTGGCGCTGCCGGTTCAAAACTACGTGAACATGAAGACGATGAGGAAATCGAAGAGCTCAAGAAAGTTGTTGTGAGATCCGAGGCTGAAGAGCGCGAGCTTAATGAAGCGCGCGAACTCTGGCGTCAGTACGACCTCAAGACTCAGGATCTGTCATTGATCTTATCAGAACAGCTCCGTCTCATTCTCGAGCCTACCTTAGCCACTAAGCTTCGTGGTGACTACAAGACGGGTAAACGGCTGAACATGAAGCGAATCATTCCTTACATTGCATCGCAGTTCAAGAAGGACAAGATCTGGCTCCGACGCACCAAACCTAGTCAACGTCAATACCAAGTCATGCTCTCTCTGGACGACTCCAAATCCATGGCGGAACCTCAGGTTCTTGATCTTGCTTTCCAGTCTATTGCCCTTGTTTCGAAAGCGCTCTCTCAAATTGAAGCTGGCCAGTTGTCAATTGTTCGGTTCGGTGAGGATACTGAAGTGGTGCATGCTTTCGATAAGCCCTTCAATTCCGAAGCCGGCGCTCAATCATTGCGACATTTCACATTCAACCAAGACAGAACCGATGTCAACCGCTTGCTTAGCCGCTCATTGGACATTTTTGCAGAGGCTCGCCCTTCAAATGAGAATTGGCAGCTTGAGATCATTATTTCAGATGGCATTTGCGAAGATCATGAGAACCTGCGTCGCCTTGTTCGACGTGCCCATAACAACCATGTTATGGTAGTGTTTATCGTTCTTGACGCTCTAAATAAGGATGGGTCTATTCTTGAAATGTCCCAAGTCAATTACTCTCAAGATGAAAACGGCAACATGTCCCTCCAGGTCGAACGCTACATGGATAAATTCCCGTTCGAGTACTATGTTCTTGTGCGCGACATTGCCGGTCTACCTGCAATTTTGGCATCTGTTCTCAGACAGTATCTTCAAGCTGTCGACCATTAAATAGACATGAGCATCTAGACACTTTTATGTGCTAGTAATTTTTATTTACTTTACTTTTGACGCTTGTAGATCTTGTTGAAGAACTCAGTGAAGACCTGCTTTTTGAGGCCCTCAGACTCGTCAACGTTGTCGATGAGGGTGCGGATCTCGCCGGCCACCTTATCCTCGTACTGGTGGTAGTAAGGCTCAATATCGAGCTCCTTGAATACAGTTTTCACACGAGCCTCAGCTTCGGAATCCTTACGGCCATAATTGTTGTCGAGAATTTCTCGTTGGGCCGGAGAAGCACGCTCAAGAGCGACGTTGATTACCCAGCCGCACTTGTTATCCTGGATATCGGTACCAATCTTGCCAATGACCTCAGGGTCACCGTAGCAGTCGAGGTAGTCGTCCTGAACCTGGAAATAGGCACCGAGGGGAAGTAAAACCTTCTTGCACTGCTCGAGATTCGACTTGGTTGCCAGGCCGGCCATGTAAAGGGCCAAAGCAACAGGCAAGTAGAAACTGTAGAAAGCCGTTTTGTAGGTCACAATGTAGGTGTGCTTGTCTAGAGAGAAGCGACTGAGATCGACCTGGTCCTCCGGAGCAGTAATGAGGTCGAGAAGCTGTCCAAGCTCAGTGAAAAAGGTAATCTCGTGGTACAGGTCGAGCAGGTCAACATAGTAGTCGGTATTACGGAAGTACTTTTTCAAAAGCAGGTAGAGAACACTCTCAAGGATGAAAGCATCGTTGATGGCGATCATACCAACGTTAGGCTTCAAGTACCAGCAGGGTTGACCGCGGCGAGTCTTAGACGCATCCATGATATCGTCGGCAACAAGGAAGTAAGCTTGCAAAAGTTCAATAGTCCAGCCCAGAACAGCGACTTTCTTATATTCCTCCTCAGTGAGCTCACTCTTGTTTGTGACCAACTTGTAGGTGTCAATGACCGACAGGCCGCGGTTCAGTTTGCCGCCGATGGTGTTGTATTTGAGATTCTCGCGAATCCAATCACGCGCAGGCTGCGCAATCTTGGTCTCTGCTACAACAGCATCGATTTCCTCGATAAGTTCGTAAAACACGCCCTCAAATTTGCTTCTGGCTTCGGCCTTGGACATTTTGTCAGCTATGATAAAGCTGCCCCTCCACAAACCGTACTTGAAGGTGTCCACGATCTTTATGAAGAAGCATAACATACAGTGAATTGTGAAAATCGTTATACATAGCGCAAATATATGGACTACGGGAAAGACAATTCCTTGATTTCAGCACATTTGCCGAATTAATGCGCTATGATCTAAGAAATCTCGCTGCTAGCCTCTCAAATAGAGATTTTTTTCAATAAACAGCAAAACTAAGAACCCCAAACTTTTTAGAGCATCATTGTTATTCTGGCCATTTAGTACGTGCTCGACCAAGATCTCAATCTGCGCGCGTCTTTCAATGTGGAAAACTTGAGTCAATGAGACGCGACTTACTTAATCGCGTCAAACAATCTGATGGCGATGCGCCAAAATGGCAGACCCGCTAAACGACTGAAAGAAGGATCGAATTCAACTTCGGACCTGGCAGAAGACAACCAATATCGTATAGGGTCCATTAGGCAGGTTGATCTATACCAATTCCAGGTCTGTGATGAAGCTACATACACTTTTGGCCCTCATCTGAACCTCATCGTATCACCAAATGGCACAGGCAAAAGCACAGCTGTTATTGGCATTTTTGTGGTATTTCTAGGAGACACAAAAGTTATCAACAGGAGCAATTTACGCGACTTCATAAAGCTTGGTACCCAAAACGCATCTGTAACAGTTCATGTGCAAGGGGAAGCACCTGGGGCCATCCACAAGGTCCGCTTGGATCTACAAGATCGAGGAAACTCGCGGACTTCAGCGGATCGGTATATTGATGGTAGACCAGCAAGCGATCAAGAAATACAAGAATTCGTTGATAAGTTCAATATCCACGTCAATAACCTGTGCGTTTTTCTCCTCCAAGACCGAGTTAGTGCGTTCAGTGCTCAGTCTCCGCAGGAGCTCCTTGTGGCAACTGAGGTATCTGTGGGAACAACAAGACTTTGGGAACTTCACAAGGCTTTGGTCTCTGCTGGAAGAGACAATTCTAAGCACGTCGAACAAAAAGCTGCTTTGGACGCACGAATTCAGCGATGCAACGAGGAAATCGCTAAACACACTGAGATCCTAGAAAAAATCAAGGAACTACGAACTTACCAAGATCGCGTCAAAGAGCTTGAAAAAAAGCTAATTATCTCTCAAAACCTTGGAGCAGAAGAGAAAATGGAGCGTATCAGGGCTCAGATCACTGAGCTTGAGACAGAAATCTCCAACATTGATGCTATCCACGCACCCACCTTGGGATTTCATCAAACCAATCTTGAACATTCATTAGGGACACTTGAAGAAGAGAACCAAAAAGCACGACAAGTGGTCAGAGGATTGAGACACGCGTTTGACGAAATACAAATTCAAAGAAGAAAAGTCAAAGAAACTTTTGCTCATTTCAAAAGTGAGCGAGCAGAGGTTGCGAGCTGTCAAAACCAAATCAAAGATATTGTGCGGCGACAAAAAGAAAGCGCTGAATTGATTGATGAGTACAAAAAGAAAGTGAAAAGCCCTGAAGAGATTGAATCTCTCAGAACACTAGGTAGACAACTGAAAGAAAAATATGAGAAAGCTCAGAACTACCGAAATACCTTTCAGCGGCAACTACGAGGTTTTGACGATCAACTTTTGTCTAGTTCACGCGAGGCCACAGCTTTGAAACAGAAGATTGCATCCATTGAAAGTTACCCAGCCAAGCAATTAGAGTGGCTCGATCGCGAAGTTTTGAGTAGAGCTGAAAAGCGGGTATTTTCCGGACTGAAAGCATCTGTAGAGCTGGTACGAAAGCATTCTGCGGATTTCAAAGAAAGAGTCTATGAACCAGCGGTTCTCAGTTTGTCTATCAGCAACGAAAGGGCCCTTCGCTTGATATCCACGGCGATGAACACCGGTGTTTTGATGCGCTTCATATGCACCAACCATGACGACTTTCGCACATTTACTCAATTAATGACGACCCACAACTTAGATGGCACAGCTATCTTTGTTGAAAACCTGAAACCAAAGAGTGCCTACTCTTCAGCTTTCGACTACAAGCAGCATGGGTTTGATGGCGTAATAACGGATTTTTTTGATGGTCCTTGGCCGGTCCTGGAGTCACTTTTCTCTGTAGGCTTACATGAAGTGCCGTATTCGCTCGGTCAAGTCACGGTAGGCGCTCGAGATTGGTTTTTCAGTCAGGGTGGAAAATCTTTTGTTGATTCACTTGGCCTTACTAGGCAGCGCCTGTCTCGTTACGGTCGTCATGAAGCTATTACATCTATGGAAAGTTTGAAACCACCAAATGCTCAAGTCAGGTTTATGCAAAAACATAACCAACCTGAAAGCACCCGTAATGATGAGCATGCCAGCTTCACACAGCGCCTCCGAGAACTTGACAGCTCCGTCAATGAGATCCAAGGTCAAAGATCTGATGCTTTGGCTAGATACGAGGAAGTGAAGCCTGATTTGTTAAGACAACAACAGGAGTATGAAGAGTTCGATAAAGAATACAAGGCCGTGTCGAGAGCCGTTGGTATCCTTGATACAGAGGCTCGGAAACTGAAGTCGTTGCAGGATCGGGAAAAAAGTATTGAAAACCTCAAGAGTGAGCATAAAGAAAGAATTGGCCGAATTCTATCGAAGTTAGCACAGGAAAGTGCTATTATGAGCTCACACTACGGTCTCAGGTGCAAATTTGAAGATGCATATAAGTTTTTGAGTTCGTCTGTTGGTGCAGACCTGCAGAAAATTACTGCTCAAGATTGTATCAAGACCATTCAACTGGCATGTGAGTCTCTGAAAGTTGAAAAGATTGAACAAAAGCGTCGGCTGGAAGTTTCACGACGCGAAATAGAAAGTTCGAGGGGTGCACTGGCCCTCAAAGCAGCGGAACTTAAAAAAGAACTAGGCCGCGGATATGCAAAGCTTGTTGCGGAGTGTAAAAAGACTACTACGGAACAGATCAGAAACGATATTGCTGAACTCAAAGCTGATGTCTCTCTTAGGGATCAGGGACAGAGCTACGAGCGCAGTGAACTCATGCTGGGTGAGGCCCGGAGCTTACTTGTTGACCTGAACCGAGAACTTGAGCAAATCACGGCCGAAAGCCAGGACAGTGAGGCTTTGACGAATCGTCTGCGGGGCGAATACGAACCTCAGATCACCAACAAAATCGATCAAATATCTGCCAAGTTCAGCGAGCTTTTCATGTCCCTGACAGGATGTCCTGGTCAGGTCAAGCTTGAGAGGGCACCAGACTTTCAAAACTGGGGAGTGCATATAGAAGTCAGTTTCCGAGAAGGACAGGGCCCGACTAATCTTTCCAGAGAGCGTCAATCTGGTGGCGAGCGCGCTTTGACTACCGCTGTATACCTCATGTCGTTGCAGGAGCTTAGTCGCACCCCGTTCTGCGTCATTGATGAATTGAATCAAGGAATGGATGCAATAAATGAGCGTCGGTTCCACAACCTACTTGTGAGGCTTGCATCCCGTGACATTTGCCAGGATCAGTACATCATGATCACGCCCAAACTTCTGCTTGGTCTTGATTATACTGATCGCGTCCACATCATCAGCAGTTTTAGCTCTAAAACTGTCGATCTTGAAAACAAATTATCCGTTCCGGCTATAATCTCGCATTTTGAATAACCTATTTATTGACTTTAAACCGTTGCACGCATTGGGCGGCCTGCATTTTAGGAGATCCGCTTAAGTAATTTTTTTTTCATCACTACTTGAACAAGATGGGTCTCGGAGACTCGATTAAAAGGTTGTCGCAATCGTTAGGATTCGGCAAAGCTGAAGACGCTTCTGAAGAAAAGCCAGGTCTTGATATCAGTCGACTCCAGGAGAGCGACAGCGAGAGTGAGATTGACCAGGATCAGGGGAATGACTCCGAAAGTGAGGAGGAGATCGAGGAGGAGGATATGCCACTCAGTGAGGCTGAGCTCGACGATGACGCGGATGTGGTTCCTTTCCAGAAGGTCACTATCAACAATCGCCCTGCTTTGAAGCAAGCGCTGAAGTCCATCGAGCTTCCCGCTGAGGCTAAGACCAACTTCATCGAGCATATGACCATTACTGCTGATTCTGCTGTTGTGCTTAAGGATATCTATGATGATACGGAACGCGAGCTTGCATTCTACAAGCAAGCTCTCGAGGCTGCTTCCTCTGGGCGTAAGAAGTTCAAGAAGCTCAAGCTGCCTTTTTCACGGCCTGAAGATTACTTTGCGGAGATGGTGAAGAGTGACGAGCATATGGAGAAACTCAAGCAGAAGCTCATTACCGAAGAGACGGCCAAGAAGGCCTCCCAGGAAGCTCGTCGCCAACGTGAGCTCAAGAAGTTTGGCAAGAAGGTCGAACATGCTAAGCTCCAGGAACGTCAAAAGGAGAAGCGTGATACTCTTGACAAAATCAAGAACCTTAAACGTAAACGCGCAAATGATGATGTCAGTACAGACCAGTTCGACGTTGAGATCGAGGATGCTCTGCGTGATAAAAAGCAGGAGCGTGATTCCAAGTTCAAGCTAGGCAACACAAAGCGCCAAGCCAAAAACCAAAAGTATGGATTCGGTGGTAAAAAGAGCGGAAGCAAGCGTAACACTTCAGAGAGTACTATGGATATCAGCAGCTTCCAGCACAGCCGTAAGCAGAGCCGTCCAGGAAAGAGCCGTCGTCACAAGTAAATGTGTTAAAATATAAATAATAGTATGAAAGTTTTTGCTGTCACGAGACACCAAGAACCTCAGCAACGTCCTTATCGAGGTACTTTGCCAACGAAGGGCTGTTTGACAAGCCCTTTCGCTTCCGGGTTTTTGATACAAAATTTCGGGCAAGTTGGGCTCCGACCGCAGTCTCTAAAGGTTGAAGCTCGACATCTCCATCCAATGGATCTCCAGGGACAACTGCATAGTGACTGAACACAAAGCTTATTTTTGTTTGGCCTTTTGTGGCTACTCGAATGTCTGTCTCCAACCCAAATGAATCGATAACAGGTACTTTACCCTCAATGCGATATAAGTTAGTCCCAGGAATTGGTCGATCGTCCAGAACCTTACCACGTCGCTGTCTCAAGTTTTCATATACACTTCTGCCTGCCTTCAGTGGGCCAACAACACAGATTTCGTACCATGGCTCAAGTAGGCGGGGAGAAGCGACCAAGAAAGCAGAATAACAGGCCCGACGAGCCGCTGCGACAATCTGGCCACTTGTAGCTTTCCCTTTATCGAAACCAATTACCTTGAAAATGGTGCCATGCAATTCCTCGTCACAAAGGGGTCCTCGGTGAGCACACATCAAAAACCCGTCGGTAATCTCCTCACGAGCATCTTCAGCTAAAGCCCGGTTTTCGCCAAGAACATCATTAAGAATTAGACAACTGCCTCGATTAACATCTGGGCCGAAACACCAAACCGATCTAATACCCATGTTATCCCATCCATGAGCTTTGAGTATAGGTTTCAATGCGGCAAGTGTTTTAGGAACCTGTGCTAGCTCTTTGCTCAACTCTTGGGGAACAGGGGATGCTAGCACTGTGATACTTCCACCTCCAGGCATAGAAACAGGGCAAGAAGCATAAGATTGCTCGACACAGCCCTCTGCGAATTTTACAGCCGGATCAGAGACTTTGACTTCGACATGACCAAGCACAGCTCGAATATAATACATTACGCAGTCAAAAAACATCTCGCCAGTGCCAAAGAGAACATAATCACCCGAGTCTTGTGCTTCAGCATGCAAGCCGGGAAACAAGTGAAGACATTGGCTTACTGCGGCGAGCATTTTCGGTTGATCAGTGGGTAAAAGAGGCTCGATCCCTAGTTTAACAGCTGGCACGCTCACTCGTTCTGTGGTTGGTTCCACATCTATTAAAACAATTTCACCAGGGTACACCTCGCTTTGCGGGATTCTATACTGAGCATACGGGATCCAGAAATTTTCGATTTTCTGACCCTGCACTTCGTCGCCTACCGCCAAAGGTTCCCCTATTCTTGCTAATGTGAGCAACTGAGACCCAGCAACAACCGACTTGCCAATTATTGTCTTGTGTTCATAAGGAAACTCTGTGATTTTGTCCACAAGTGAGGACCAGCCTAAGAATCGATTGAAAATCAACCTGAGCCTGGGGAGATAATTCATCCTGAATTCGCTCTTTTTTAACGAGACTCCAAGTTCTTCGAGAACTTTTGCCAGATCGTCATCTGAAGACATTGCTGCCGAATAAATCTTGTAAATAGGGGCCAGAACAAGCTCTGAAAAACTCCAATGATTTCCGTTTGAGCTAAAAATCTGATTCTCGAAAAATACATCACCCCATAGATGCATAGGAGTGATCTCGTACATTTCTGCAAACACATCCAAATTGAAACACCACTGATTGCTGGCACTGGTGAATAGAACATCTGATGAGTCGAATGCTTCCAAATGTGCACGCACCATGGAATCGTTTACTTCGTCCAACAAATAATCAAGTCTGTGATATGCTTCAGTAGGGGGTAGTTTCAAATCAATAATCAGACGGTCAATTTTGGTGAAAATAAATTTTAGAGGTAACTTGAGCTCTGCTGCTCGCCTGATTGCGCGACGGGCTGCGGGCAAGAGACCTTCCACCACGTCAATCAAGAGAAGTCCACCATCAGCCAGACCCATAGCACAGTTGACCTCATCAAAAAAGTCTGAGTGTCCTGGAGTATCAAGAAAGTGAATATTAAAAGACTTTGACTGCGAGGATTGCAAAAGTAAGCTTATTGGCGTGATAAAAACCGATAAATCCCTACCCTTTTCAAACTCCTGGGTGTGGGTATACTTTAACGGCTTCTTCAATTGCATTTCAGACAGGAGGTGTGTATTCTCAACTAAAACATCAATCAGACTTGTTTTCCCGTGCCCCTGAGCCCCTAGCAGAACGACAACACGACTATGAACGCCCGTTTTTTGTAGTTCACGTTGGAAATGTCGATCATAGCGAACTTTAGGTGGCTTAGCAGTACTAATGTGTACGTTTTCTTCAATAGGCTTGATTAAGGGCACTGAAATGTCCTGTGCATCTTCATCCGCATCCACAATGTCCACATCGCCATAAACCTGCTGCGCCGGCGGGTAGTAGACTTTGTTTTCCTGTAGAACAATAGCTTGATCGTTCTGTCCTTCAATTACCTCCTCCACACTCGCTTCGGACTCTGACTCGGTAACTTCTACTAGCTGATCAGGGCCAATATAATTTCCAAACTCATCGTAGTCCATGATGAATCAGCTAGAAAAAAAGTTGGAATGAACCGAGTTGACTATTTTGCATAATATTTATAAAACAGCTTTTCCAGCGGTGAACGGAGCATTGATCCCTGTCCAGCGGCGGGTTTGCTCGACACCTTGCAGTACAAGCATTTCACGGCCGCCAATGACTGTCCAGCCTTGCTTAGATGCCTCTGCCATAGCGGGGGTTACGTCGGGTTTGTAGGCAGCCTCAAGTAGGAAGCCCGATCCAGAATTGAGAACGGAGCTGAAAGAGGAGCTCAACTCATCGGGAATAGTAGCGTCACCAGGAATGCAGCTGAACACAGCAGCAATACCGCCAATGCTAGCAGTGCTCTCAATAGCCTCGACATTCATAGAGGGAAAAGATTTAGCAACTTTCTCAGCTTTGGCATGAGTACGATTCAAAATGTAAATCTTTTCGAATCCCATCTGATTGAGAGCATAGACGGCAGCCTGGCTAGTACCACCAGCACCCAAGATCAGAGCCTTCTTCCCAAGTCCTGAAGTCAAACCAAACTTCGCGAATGCATTCTTAATGCCGATCCAGTCGGTATTACTACCTCTGAGACGACCGTCAGCTAAAGGCTCGATAGTGTTAACCGCACCAATAGTTTTGGCGTCGTCAGCAAGCTCATCAACCAGCTCGTACGCAGCGCGCTTTAGCGGGATAGTAACCGCTGCACCACCAAACTTTGAGCCAAGCTCAGAGATGCGCGCTTTGACGATCTCAATATTGTCTGTCTCCACTTTGTCGAAATGGTAAGGAAGACCAAGCTCAGCAAACTGAGAATTATGAAGGTTTGGAGACTGAGAATGACCGATAGGCTTACCGCAGACAAAAAATTGCTCGGTAGAGAACTCACCGCATTGCTGAAGTAGCTTACTGATTTGCTTGATAGAGAGCTGGCCAGGTGCAGCGGGGAACGGAACTTTTTCATGTGTGACAGGGGTAAGCAGAGGGTTCAGTGCGCGGCTCAGCATTCCCGCGTAGCCCATGTTCATCGCAATCAGAGGCTTGGATCCAGGAATACTGTGGCTTGCGCGGAAGTTTTCAAGATCCAAATTGTCTTGCATGGTATGTGCCATACCAACAAACTTGACAATATCGCCCAGTCGAGAAGCATTGAAGTAGGCACTCTTCCACTCGAACCCATCCCATTTCCAATCACCAGCAGGGTTGTGATTAGATGCAATTACACGGGTGATACCACGTTTTGCACTTACTCTGTCCAGAACAGATCGAGGTTGCGTGAGCTCTAGGTCAATGTACTCGACACCAAGCTTAAGACCCAGGTTACACAAGCGCTCGTATCCTTCAACATCATCGTCAGCAAATCTGCCAGCCTGTCCCTTGGTTCTGACAGTGTAAATGATTGGAATGTTGGAGTGTAGGCGCAGGAAGCCAAGCTGTTCAGCAACAAAGTCTGTATCAGTTTGCTCGAGCAGGTCAACCCGGAATTCCACAGCTGCACATCCATCCAAAATTTCAGGCAGGTTAGTGACCTTTGTAAGATCAGGGAAAGTCAAAGAAAGGAAATAAGAACGACCGGAAGGTATGTCTATAGGCCGATTTTCAACTGCTGCAGAAATAACTCGACCAAGTGAACGTGCCAATTGAGACTTGTCAGAGTCCTCAACATGAGGGGAGCAGAAAGTTCTGTTTGAACACTCAAAGTACCAGGGTTCACGGCGAATATAAACGTTGCGAATATCATCAACATAAGCGGGTCTCGTCTTGTCAACATTGAGGTAGTCGACAATCTGATCGAGGTTACGATGAACGTGGAAAACCAATCCGCCAGAAGCAATATACGATTTGAGAGCATCTCTAGCAGCAGGGATTTCGACAATACCTCCTCCACAAGCGACAACATGGCCCGTGGGATGAGCAGCGATAAATTTAGTAAACACTTGCAGCTCCCGCGCCCGGAAACCCTCCCATCCCTCAGCTTCAATGATTTGAGGAATTGTGTGACCAGAGATTTGCTCTAGATAATGGTCGAGATCCGTGAAACCATATCCAAGTGTGCTAGCAGTGAGCTGACTGAGAGTGGTCTTGCCGGCACCACGCATACCAATGACAACAATTGTTTTGGTATTGCGAACCGAAGGGGGCTGAGGGAAGTTCCCACTCTCGATACCCTCGATGGTTTGATTGAGGCTGTGCAAAGTGTCCCACCAGCCAGGCCAAGTCTTTTCAACACATCTACGCTCCTCCAAATGAACTGGGCCAGAAACAGAGGCAAGCAAGCTCAGACTCATTGCAACACGGTGATCATCATAGGTATGTACAGGACCGCTAAACGCTTTGGGATTAGTTCCTGTGATGATAATGCCATCAGCGTGCTCTTCACACTCAACACCGAATTTTGCAAGCTGAAGGCGCATAGCCTCTATACGATTGCATTCTTTGACGCGCTGGTTAGCAATTCCATCAATCTTGGTAACTCCATCAGCAGCAGCAGCAACAACAGCAGCAGTAAGGAAAGCGTCAGTCATAGGCTCCATATCAATATACGGCAAAGATTTGAGACCGCCACGTGGTGGACCCTGGACAGTAGTAGAATGGCTTGATTGTTCCACAATACATCCCATAGGGGCTAGAACATCACGAGCAAAGCGTGCATCACCCTGCAGAGAAGCAGATCCAATATTTGGGATGGTGCACTTTGTACCAGTCAAAGCAGCAAACGCTAACGGGTATGTAGCAGAGCTTGCATCAGACTCAACAACATAGCGAGCCGGGTTTTTATACACACCAGTTGGGATATGGTAGGTGTATTCCTCTGTTGTCGATTTCGTAACTGTGATACCAAAGTCTGCCATCATTTGGATAGTCATGTCAATGTAAAGTTGAGAAATAGGCTTTCCATCTACCAAGGTTAGAGTAGTGGGCTCAGCAAAGTAAGGTGCACACATGAGAATTGCAGAAACGTATTGTGAAGAAACAGTTGCAGCCAGTTCGATACGTCCACCTTTGAGACCTGAAGATGTAATATTCAAAGGAAGACTATTGGGGGCTTTCAAATATTTGATATCAACACCATTTGCAAACAAGGCATCCACTAGAGGGCCGATTGGTCTCTCTTGCATGCGCTTGTTGCCTGTAACCGTAACGCTTCCATTCTTGACGAGGCCTGAGACACATGTCAAGAAGCGGGCGGCAGTTCCGGCATTTCCCAAATAGAGCTCAGAACTCGGTGCTTTCAATTCGCCGGAGTGTCCTGTCACGACAAGAACATCACCACCCTGTTCTTTAGAAACCTCAGCACCTTGCAACTTTTGCAGAGCATCAAGCATGTAGCCAGTATCATCTGAGTGCAAGAGGTTTTCGATGCGGCAAGTGCCCTCACCAAGAGCAGCAAGAACCAGGACGCGATTAGAAATTGATTTCGATCCAGGAGGAGTAACTGTGAACTCAGCTGGAGGCTCACCAGTAGTTACTTTGACTTCGTCAGACAGAACGAAACGAATATCCTTATCAGCTACAACTGTAGCGTGGGGCTCGTAGGTCTTACCAATTTCGCTGAGCAGGGCAATTTTCTTTTTGGCGCCATCATTTTTCTTATCGACATTCATGATTTGAAGCAGCTTGTCCACAGGGCATGGCGTATAATTAGCCCGTTTTTGAACGATTGGATCGAGAACTGAAACAGGTAAACGGAAAGCCTTGAGGCATGCAACAAGACGAGCAACAGCAGAAGCGCTCAGATGACCGAGATAACGAGAAAGCTCTGCTTCCAGAACACAGCCAATTGCAACACATTCACCGTGAAGAATATGTGGGGTTAAAATAGCCTCGAAGGCATGGCCAATAGAATGACCAAAGTTGAGGAGATTCCGTAAACCACCTTCTCTCTCATCTTTGGTCACGACCTCAGCCTTGACTTGTACAGAACCCTTAACAATATTCAAGACAATGTCTTTGATAGGTTCAAGGTTGACCCTACCGGTATTGGGATCTCTATCGGTGATGCAATCGAAGAAAGCCTTGTTGACCTGTTCTAGACGAGTGAACTCCTCTTCATTCCAAATCGCAGCAGTTTTAATAACTTCAGCCATACCGTTGATGAATTCACGTTCGGGCAAAGTTTCGAGGAACGTCAATTCAATAAAGATGCGCTCGGGTTGCCAAAACGCACCAACAAGGTTTTTGCCGTGAGGAGTGTCAATTGCTGTTTTACCACCAATTGAAGAGTCAACCATTGCCAACAAGCTGGTAGGGATTTGAATGAAGCGAACGCCACGCATGAACGTTGCTGCAACGTAGCCAATCATGTCGCCAATGACACCACCGCCAACTGCCAAAATGACAGTGTCCCTTGTGCAGCCGTGCATGAGCAGCCAATCCTCAACGGCAGCTTTCGTCTCCCGACTCTTTGACATTTCACCCGGCGCAATAAGGTATTTCAGCAAACGCGGAGAGTTATCAGCCTTAGCCATTGCTGCAGTGAACCGACTCTCGATCTTACGGACATGATCGTGCGACGCAATATTGGTATCCGTGATCAAAACGTACGTAGACGACTTGACATTGGTTAGGATTTCCTCGACAATATGCTCCTGGATGTTATATCCAATGTGGATGGAGTCCTTCCCCAAAATAGACACCTGAGTGAGCGACATGACGTAGAAGTAAATGAGTCAGGGCAGCCAGATACAGGCGGAAGCCCAAACCCATGAAATTTCCATTTTGACAGAGGAAAAAAAAAGATTATCTTTGTCAGATCCATGGGAAAGACAAAGGCAGGAAAAGAGGCCAAGGACGAGGCAGAGGTTATTCCTAATGCCAGTATCGAGGAATTAGATACGCTAAGGAACGCTGGGCGCACTGTGCGTATTGTGACAGGTTCTTATGAGCACAATCTCTTGTGCGTCGCACTTACGATCACACCAAAGGGCGAAGTGTTCACACCCATTTTCCATTTCACCCCACACACGCAATCTATTCGCTGCTTGGCCCGGCACAAACGGTTTTTGGTGAGCGGCTCGAACGATGAGCTCATTAGATTGTACGATCTCCAACGTCGCCGAGAATTGGGCACATTGATGCACCATTCGGGCCAAGTGCTCTCGGTACAGTTTTTCAATAAATGGATGTTCTCGACTGCAGGTGATAACAAGATTCTCATCTGGCGCATCAAGGACTGGGAATTGCTAGCTGAACTCAAGGGACACAGAGCTCCAGTTGTTGACTTTGCCGTTCACAAATCCGGCAAGATCGCCATCAGCGTTGGAGAAGATCACAAGCTCATTCTGTGGAATATGATGACTGGCCGCAAAGCAAGTATTGAGAAGCTTCCTGGTGCACCTCGCCAGGTTGTTTGGGTTCCTGGAGGAAATATGTACTATGTTGCATATGACATGAAGATCATTGGCAGTAATGATCTGCCCGAAATTGCCTTGAAATCTCGTCTTCACCGTATGAAGCTGGTTCATTACAAAAAGGATTATTTGGTCGTGAGCTTAGAAAATGGCCACATTGAATTCTACGATATGCAATCCGGAAAGCTGGAATTCGATTTGGTCGGTCATGCTAGCAGAGTGAAAGACTTCGACACCCTTGAGAACCTGATGGTGTCTGTTTCCTCAGATGGAAAAATCGTCGTGTGGGATCTGGAGTCGCGCGATCAAATTGCTGTTTATGCAGGTGGTGACCGGTTGAACTGTGTCGCGCTGATCCCAGATGAGATTGAGCACATTGTCAAACGACCTGCTTCAGAAAACTACAGCGACTACGAATCCGAGCCAGAAACAAACACAAAAGTACAGAAACGCAAAAAGAAGAAGGCAAAGGTTATTGTCGAGCGATAAATGAGTTGTATTATTATATATAGTCTATGCATTTGCAGCCACACCCGGAGGGACACTCATCGCCTTGGTTGCCTCCCCACCATTCATCAGAGCACTGGTGATGGAGAATATGGTTACAATTGCTGCATTGGATGAACTGCTTCATTACTGAGCGTTCGCAGAATCCGCATTGTCGGTTGTTGCCTTCTCCTACTAGCTCAACAATTGCCTGGAACTCATCAACTTTTTGAGCTTGAGGTCGGTACTTCCTGTTCTGGTAATAATTGTGCTTCAACATCTCCAGCCGCTTATCATGTAACCCCCACTGTTCCAACAGTCGAGCATACAGAATACGATAACGCATAAAAGCCTGTTGCCAGCCAATGAAAATGGCCTCATAATCATCCGAACTCATAAAATCTCCGATACACTCGTTAGAGTAAGGTGCCTTGGTCACAAGGCGAATAGATGTGCGTACTATTTCGCCACCCGGTCGATTCAGCGTGGGGATAGTACTACTGCTACCGTGGGTGCTTCCAGGTTCACTGCGTGCCCCCGACTCTGACGATCGGTTTCGTGAAAGCCTGGGTCGACTACTAGCATAGTCAAAAAATCCAAGATTTGAGCCCACTTCATGCTCACTAAAGGAGCGCGGGTGAGACCCGTATGGCGTATTGGGGCCGCTGCCATGACTGGGGGCACAAGTAGCAGACTCTGTTTGAGACAGGCCAACAACTTGTGTGCGACTGGGACTTGGTGTATCACTGCAAGAGGTACCACTAGACAGATTGTTATTGAGGTTGGGAGTGGCCGATAAGTTAATAGTAGGGGAAGGTTCCGCTCGCATTTGCGTTGTCAGTGGTTCACGCTCCATAGAAACCTGAATTTTCGGTTCATTTGTCTTTATCTTCACATCTATGCCGGCTCCAGCAGGCGCATTTGCTGCCATATCCATGTAGTATACCTTCTCACCTGAATCTCGTTGTCCGTCAGTTCTATCGCGTAAAACCGGAATGGTTGGGTATCCGCGGTACGGACCGTAACAGACCTCTACAAATAACAAACTAAGGCTCCCCAGAAGCTGCAAGTTTTGGGTTCGCTCCAGATATTCCGCGAGCTCTTGCCCAACTGTAAATCCACCAAATGGAGACCCAGTCCAGTCCCAGATAGGTTCGCGTAAAACAAATGCGGAGAACCCTGTAAACATAACCGTTGGGTCAAATAGCTCATCACTGGTTGTAAGGTAAAGAACAAACCGCCATAGATATGCATCGAACGGCCGGCCAGCTTTTTCTGCGGCCTCGGCATTGGCGGTTGCCAATTCAACTGGATCACGTCCAAGATCTAAAGAATACTCTTTCGCGAGTTCTATACTGGATGGAATCAAATAAGAAAAATCAATGGTCACAATATGGTTCCTGGGTCCAGTATTGCTTGTGTGGCCACTTAGCGACGTTTGACTTCCTGTTCCTAAAGAGTCCCTCCGGCCAGAACCATTTATGGGGCCATTTGCATGCAGCATCGTTGTTAGTTTGACAGCAGCAGAAGACCAGTTGTGTCTGGCCGGATCATCAATCATAAACTCGTCACTATCACTCTCATACACATCTTCGGAATCGGAATCTTCGCCAGCAAAAATACGATCGAGAGGTAGAGGAGTTTGATAACTGGGCTTTGCTTTGTTATGATTGAAAAAGCACAATAATTGGCCATGAGGCGTCCAAACCGCGCCACATTGTTTAGGTAGAGGCGTCGAGTCGATTTGTGGTTTCGAAATAAACCCTTCCTCGGCAGCCAATGCGATGGGTGCCTGGCCTGATCCTTCCGCAAACATGAAATCATCAGCATACTCGTTATTATAGTCCACGCTTGGGGGGCACTCACCACACTGCTATTGTCCGAATGTCCGTTATCGCTATCAGACAGTGCTGAGAACACCAACCTGTCCAGGGCAGCATCTTGGACTAGAAAATCTAACGATACTCTATCACCCATAAGGTATCGGAGACAGTATTCAAAGGATCCTTGAGAATGCTGAGCTAGCGCAGCTGTTGCTTCCTTTAAATGAGCTTCGAGGCCAGCAAACTTTTGCGGTTCTATCGACAAGTGCTCTTCTAGAGCAACCGCAAGAGGGGACTGTGGATAATCGGGGGGAAACATGAAGGTTACTCTCAATGTTGTCAATTCTTCTTTTGGTGCCCATGGCCCTCTCAATGTTAGGGTACAGGTTCCAGTAGCTAAATCGATATTCTCGAAATGGAGTTTTGGGAATTTGGTGCCCATTCTTGTCACTTCTTTCGACAAATTGACATGAGCATCCTGAAGGACTTCTTTATCGACATCGACGTTTGACACCAATTGAACTCGAGAGATCCAGTCCAGGTGGCCATTTCCTGTTCTGTGTGTCTCATCTCTGATAACAAGTGGCTTGAACGAATCGTTACTTGCTGAAACCCGTCTTGTGGGCATTTCTGGTTCATCATGGAATGTGACATCACGTCTAGGGAAAGGAGGCATTTCCTCTACTGGGAACTCTACCAATGTCAAATCTTCACGCGTAATAGGCCATAGATTCAAGTGGTGATCTTTAGACAGCGTGACGAGTTCAAACCCATCTCCTTGTCTTCGAAGTCCTAGCTCTTTTATAGGCTCGCTGTGACCGTCGAATGTGAGCTTGGTGATAGCGGGTAATTTTGCCTTGGACCCCGCATCTTTGAGGTCTACGAGATAGGCACTGTTTCCACCACCACGAAGAGGCGCTATCAAACATCCTGGACCACGGGGCATATATTTTGCTCTCCAAACAGGGAATGTGGTCACAATGTCAGTTATTGGCTCTGCTGTGCCCGGGGTAAGGTCCCAGACTTTGACTTCACGGTCAGTGGAGCACGACAGAATGCGGTTTGCCGATTTGAACTCCCAATCCAACCCATTGACTTGACCTGTATGAGCTTCAATATTGTACAAGGGGATATTGTTTCTTCGATCGTCCCAGACTACAATTCGACGGTGGTGGGCGGAGGCCAAAACATGCTGGTTGATCTTATTCCAGCGAACCTGAGTAGCACCCGCGTCAAAATCAGCGAACTTAATTGCCGGCTTGGTTGTGTTGCGTGTATCCCATACCAAAACTCGAGTGTCAACCGAGCAAGTTGCCAAAACGTCTCTTCGAAGAATACTAAAGTTGATATCGGTAATTGCTCGATTGTGGCCGTGCAAGACGTGCTCAATCGCCCTGTGACTTGGCAATGCTAAATTCCAAAGAATTGCTTTTTGGTTAGAAGTCGAAACAATCCATGTTGGGTGGCTTGGATGGTAACACCATTGGATATCCGCAACTTCCCAGATGGTGTGCAATGGAAGCCAGCGGGGCGGCGAAAACGGTGCTTCTAAATCAAGAATATGTATGCCATTCTGAGATGCCAATGCGATATCGCGGCCAGACGGGCTTACACTGAAAGCTCCAACCCCAGCGTCGACCTTGATTGACAGCCGCGATGTCATCTGGCTAAGGTAAGGTTTTAGGGCGCAAGACACAAACACGCCTGGGGCAGTTTGTTATTTGAACTATTGCAGCCGGTTTGATGATTTTTTTGCGAGATGGTAGACATTGAAGCTTTAACTGGCTCAATTGTGCAGTGCAAATAACTGATTGGGCCAGCCGGCTTGTCTATTTTCGCAGATCTATTTGTTACTATTTGATTGATCTGAAGCATGCAAATACCAGATACTCGCGTTTCAAGGCGGTTTCAATGACCTTCAAAACATACTTTCGTGGCGAGTCCGTGCCTTCCCATAAAGAGCGGTCGGCGGATAACTCACGAATGGTGTCGTAAATGCGCTGGATCGTCTTGACCGCCGCCTCAGATCGAAGGTTGACCATAACAGACCGCACAAATTCAATGTCCGCGACAAGCTGGAGTACACCTAACTTCCCGAGACGGTCCAGTTCGCGAATTGCTGTCAACAGACAGGTCAGTAAATGTTCGTAAAGCTCGTTCAAGACAGGGAAGATAATTGCGGGGCAGTTCTCTGAAAGGTTTGAATGCACACTCACCAACAACATGAGACTTTCGTACATGAATCCAGATATTTGACGTGGAGTCTCTTCCTCCATCCACTTCTTCGATCGTCGAGGCACCTCCTGAGATATCGTTTGCGAGATCTTGGCCTTCTGCTTGCGGGTATAGAGATCAAACAGACTGTTGGACAGCTCTTCGATTACCGGGCTGACTGACTCCTCTATCGTACCTGTGTCTTGTCTGAAGCTGGTTTTGAATGTGGCATATAACGACGGCAGCGTTTTATCCCTAATCTCGTACAAATTTCGGGCTGCCATCAGTACTTTAGCGTCTTGTGAAATAGGTGCAGGTAACAATTCATTGTGGACGACAGATGTCTCGCTTTTTACTAAAACGACATGAAGGCTTCTGATTGTCAAACTCAATGCAGCGGGGAATACACCCATCAAGCTCTTGACGAGATCTGGAGACTCTCCCCCAAACAAGTAGCGCAGCTGCGAGATGATGAACGCGTGGAACCGTTTCATATACTCTGGCGTCTCTTTAAGCTCCTGAATTCCGGTCGAGGACCAGGTTTGGACAGTTCCAAAAGCTTGCGAATCATGGCACCAGCAATCGGAGACAGCCTTTATGAATTGACCCCTAATGGTTGTGATCGACCTGTTCAACTGGTGGTTGTCGTTTACAAGCTCCATGATTTCACGCTGCATGGGCACCAAAATGTCCAGCACTTTTCTCAGGTACTTGGACGCAGATAGCGAATTGGTGTAAGGCGGAAGGAACGACAGTCGTGGCCCACTTGAAGCCTCATGTTCAGCCGCAACTGGCAAAGTTAAATGTTTCGGAGTAGGTGCGGTGATGAATTCAATAAGCCTTGTATTGAAAACCTCTACCAGCTTGTCGGAATCCGCACGAATCGCGACTTCCTGGTCACCGGTCAATCGTAAATGAGACTCGAGTCTCCGACCCTGAACCAGTAAGGCGTACTCGCGAAAAAACGCACAAGCACGTTCTAGAGTAGCCTGAAGCTCTTCAAACATTTCCAATAACGAGATCCAGAACTCGGTTGTTTCAATTGTGTCACACATACCTTCAAGGTTCTCACCGCTTGGTGTTTCGGGTAGCTCCTTGATAAATTTGGTCACTTCAAAATAGCCATACGACTCAATGGCATACATTGCCATGAGATTCGTCTTTAGTGCCATTCTGTCGAATTGGTCATTTATCTGGCCCAAAAATTGCTGGATTTGATGCTTCAGCCAAACAAACACCGGTGGTTGATCGGTGCCTAGATCTGTAAGTCTAGTAAAGTAGACGCTATAGTTTGAGTCACAAGGCGTATCCAGAAGTTGTTTCCAGAGTTTTGCCTTGTACTGCTCCACGATTTCATTGGATAATTTGCCAACCATGTCACTCAGCCGAGCACCGTCCGCCGACTGCGAGCCACGCATCTCTTGCATTTGCTCTAATCCTTGTTTGAGGTCTCTCATGAACTCGTCGTGGTCATTGTTCTGTGCGTGCTTCGACAAAAGACTCGGGAGGTTGAATAAATACTTGTATGCGTCTAGAATCACCAGGGCGTTTTGGTATCGCTGACGCTTAGTGTTGGCATCTTCCAGAGGACGTTGGATGACGGTGTATTTCGACGCGGCCTCGTCTATGCGGTGTTTGACGCTGCTCACACCCCAGTCATCGGTTTCATTAATGCCCGAATCACCAAACTGCTGCATAACATCATCCAACATGCGTTTAGAGGCCACATAGTGTTCGTAGTCGGTGTCGACCAGAGTACGCATATCGGAGTCTTGGCTTTCAATTGTCTGCCTCAAGTACTCTGCGGCGTTTTTTAAGTCCTCGTAGCTGGCGTTAGAGTGCACCGCTCTTAAAAACAGCTTGGGGTTGAACTTTGTGGACGACAGCATGTACTTGCTTCGCTCAGCTAGCGAATCGACATCAACTCCTTGGGCTCGCAGTACCGACAACACCGAGTCTGTAGATCCCAAAGGATCACGCTCGTCCTGAGCCACAAACCCGGTACTGTCCAGTGACGACATGAGCTGCTGGATAAGAGCGAACCGCGACAAATCACCGAATTGAGCATCCGCAACGTCCTTCAAATTCACGTCTATCTCCTTATCCGACCACGTAGTCGGATAATCACTGTCCAAACTATACGTTTGGCGCATTTTATCGATGTCCAACCGCATTGCCGACTGGTGTGCTAATGGCTAACCTCCCACCACGCCGAAGCCTTTGTCATGACATGGGACGATAGCGAGAACCCCGAGGGCAGCGGAGATTTTACCGCGCCGACTATTGACCAATTGTGGGCGGAGGAAGGCGTCAATGACAACCAGGAGTTAATTGATATGTCGGACAAAGCGTTTTGGACGGTATCATCTTCCAAAGAAGAACATGGTGTTGTAAACTTAACTGACGACTCTCCATACACTTTCTGGCAAAGTGATGGAGCGCAACCTCATATTGTAGATATCCAATTCAGTAAACGGGTTGAGCTTGAGAGATTCGAGATTTTCCTCGACTACCAGCAGGACGAGTCTTACACACCTGCTGAAATCGCCCTGTTTGCTGGCACTGGGCTACACGATCTGGTTCGGATCAGTGTGTATGAGCTCGACCGCCCCGAGGGCTGGTTTCACCTGCTGCTGAATGAGACGCGCAAGGACGGATTTCTCAAATGCTTTATGTTGAGACTCAAGATTACTGCAAATCACGACAATGGTCGAGATACCCGAGTGCGCGCAATCCGCCTGCTGGGGCCCCCCGTCGCATCAGATCATATGGCCTGGCGGTAATATTTATTCTCTAGTCTATTTCCGTATATGCTCGGTCTGCCGAGCCTTTGTTCTCTGCTGCTCAGATCCACCCAGGTCTGATTACTTGTTTGTTTTGATTTTGGGGCTTTGTAATTTCTCATCATGGACACAGTTGCCGGGCTGTTAAATCAGTCGCTTGATCCTCGCCAGGCTCGACCGGCTGAACAAGAGTTGCGCAAGTATGATAAACAGCAGGGGTTCACGCTGACTTTGTTGCAGATCGTCAACTCCAATCAGCTGCCCATGGGAACTCGGCTTGCTGGTGCCCTGTTTTTTAAGAATCTTATTCGCCGGCTGTGGACAGACGAGGATGGTAATTATTTGCTGCCCGAAACAGACGTTGTGGCCGTGAAGAACGAGATCATTCCGCTAATGATTTCGCTGCCTAGCGCCCTCCAGGCTCAGATCGGTGAGGCGGTCTCTGGCATTGCCGACAGTGACTTCCCTGATAGATGGGTCGACCTCATTCCTAATCTTGTGGCTCGTCTGGGCACAGACGCCAAAGTAAACAATGGCGTACTCAAGGTTGCCCACTCGATTTTCAAGCGCTGGAGGCCATTGTTCAGCAGTGACGATTTGTTGCGCGAGATCAAACTGGTTCTCGAGCAGTTCGTCCAGCCTTATTACGCCTTAATGCTCGAAACTCACAAGCGAATTGAGCAAACCTCCGGTAATAAAGACGTTTTACTCGAATTGCTTAAGACCATGGGGCTGCTTGTCAAACTGTTCTACGATCTGAATTGCCAGGATATTCCCGAGTTTTTCGAGGATCACATCAAGCAATTTATGGACATTTTACACAATTATCTTATTTACTCGAATCCTTTGGTTGAAACAACTGAGGATTCCGAGTCTGGTATCCTTGAGGTTATCAAAACCGATATCTGTGAAATCCTGCAGCTATACACCCAACGATACGAAGAAGAGTTTCGAAAGGCGTTGCCCACGTTTGTTGGTGCTACTTGGACCTTACTCACTACAATTGGGCTGCAGTCAAAGTATGATCTGCTCGTAAACCGTGCTTTGGCATTTTTGACTTCGGTTGCGAAGATCGAGCGTCATATTCACATGTTTGAGGCCACTGAAGTTTTGACTTTGCTCATTGAGAAGATCGTCATCCCTAATATGACAATGCGTGAGAGTGATGAGGAGATGTTCGAAGACGACCCCATCGAGTTTATTCGCCGGGATCTCGAGGGCTCCGACTCAGATACTCGTCGTAGAGCAGCCACTGACTTTTTGCGTGAATTAGTGACCAAAATGGATTCCCGCGTTACTGAAGCAGTCATGCGGTATGTTAATGGATTTTTGGAGCAGTACGCTGCAAACCCGGCACAGAATTGGAAGGCCAAGAACACAGCCTCCTACTTGTTTTCGTCCGTGGCCGCTAAAGGTAATGTCACGGCTGCCGGCGTGTCGACTACGAATCTTGCCATCGATGTTGTGGGCTTTTTCACATCAAGCATTGCGCCTGACTTGGTTTCTACAACCGTCAACCCTATTCTTCAGGTCGATGCCATCCGTTTCATTCACAACTTCCGCAACCAACTGACAAAGGAGCAGTTGTCGCAAGCTCTACCGCTTTTGGTTCAGCTGCTGAACTCCAGGAACTATGTTGTTTACACCTATGCTGCGATCACCATTGAGCGTATCCTGAGTGTTCGCCAAAACAATGTCTCTGTTTTCAAGGCTGAAGATATTCAAAGCGAAGCTGCTCAGTTGATCAGCGCGCTGATGCAGCTTATTTTGAGATCAGCATCGACCAGTGAAAAGTTGTCAGAAAACGAATTTTTGATGAAGTGCATCATGAGAGTTCTTCTCACTGTTCAAGGCGCTATGCAACCGTTTGCTGCTCCGCTGCTACCGCAGCTTGTTCAAATTATGACTGCGGTGAGTGTGAACCCTTCAAATCCCAGATTCAACCACTTTCTTTTCGAGTCTATTGGCGCGGTGGTTCGCTACGCCGGCGCGCAGATCGGTATCTCTGGTCTCGAAGAACACGTGGTTCAGCCTATGCTACAGATTCTGGGACAAGATATTACAGAGTTCATTCCATACGTGCTTCAAATTCTTACTGAGGTTTTGAGTCTCCAGCCGGCCCAGTCGGGCTTACCAGAATCGTTCCGCCAGCTTATTCGTCCATTGATGGCTCCTGTTCTTTGGGAACCCAAAGGTAATGTACCCGCTCTCGTTGGTCTTTTGGAGGTTATTTTGTCCCGTGGAGCATCAGTGGTTGTATCGGACGGCCTTCTAACGCCTTTGCTTGGTGTATTCCAGAATCTAGTTGCTTCTCGGTCTAACGATCAGTACGGTCTTGAATTGTTAGAGTATATTTTTTACTACGTGGGGCACGAACATCTCAAGGAGCTGTCGAAACAGGTTGCTCAGCTACTTCTTATGCGTCTGCAGCAGTCAAATACAGACAAGTTCTGTTCTCGTTTCAGTTTGTTCATGTACTTTTTGGCCTCAACTGAAGCCAACAACCTTGGTCCCGCCTACGCGATCTTCTTCCTGGACCAAGTGCAGCAGGGTGTCTTTGGACAGGTGATGACCTCGTTCATGCTGCCGAGCACGCTCAAAATTGGCGGAACGTTTAATCGTCGCATCGCTGCTGTTGGCTTGACCAAACTGCTCTGTCGGACAACAGAGTATACCACAGGTGAGTACTCGTCACAATGGGCCCATGCTCTTGATATCCTTGTGAGACTGATGAAATACAATATGGCTGAAGAGCATACCTCTGTACCCATTGGGCTTGACCTTGAGGAGTTGTCGTTCGGTTCGTCATTCTCGAAACTGGCAACCACTGCTGCCAAGCCTCTTGACCCTGTTCCTGACGTTAAACACCCAGTCCAATTCTTCAATGACGAGCTCAAGCAACTTGCAGAGAAGTTCGGGCCTGCCGTTCAGCAGCTGTTGCAAAACTTGGACGCAGAGTCCCGCGAATATCTTCGTCAACAGGGCGTTTAAAAGATATCCTTAAAATACATACAGGCGCACCGCGCCATCATTACATAGCTGAGAGCAAAGAGGAATTGTTTCGGGCAGATCCAAAACGTTGTTTGTTTTCACATCCAGAAAAGAGCTGTCCAGAACAATGTGCTTGATACGGCCTGCTTCAAGAGCTCCCTGGGCGATGAGCTTGGTGGCCCGTCCTGGAGTAGCGACGGCGATGGTCTTTTTGGATGCGAGCTCTTTCTTGTCGTAATCGAGCTTGTTTTTGTTGATGAATTTCATGGCACCTCCACCGGTTTTGCGGCAAGCTCGATCGACGTCGCAGACTCGAATAGCAGACATGGACAAAACCAATACCAAATCGGGAGAAGAGACTTCATCGAGTTTGAACCGTTTCAAAAATTCCGGAAAAGATCCAAGCTCACAGTCTGTTTCATTGGTAAACACGCTGCAGTCAACAATCGCCGCCTGGGGGACGGATCGATCTTGGAGTTCAAGCGCAGATAGATCTTTGTTCTCTTTATCGTCGCGGACTTTTGCCAAAATAAAGTCTGCGATAACAGATGGCTCCATTTTCGACAAGTTCATTTTACTTTCAACGGCCATCTGCATCTTCAGCTGCTTTTTCTCTGCCAGCCCTGATTTCGACTTGGTCTTAGATTTTTTGGCTCGTTTGGCAGGTCTCTCCTCGGCACTGCGCTCTTTTTCTCGGTCAACGTCACTCAACTGCTCCTCTATCTTTTCTAAGTCAACCTCAAGACCCCCGGGGCTACCAGCAGCATCAAAACTGTAATCCAATTCATCATCCAGCTCGTCTGCCATATTTTTTTTGGGAAATTTCTGATTACATCAGCGAGATCGAAGATATAGCATGCAGGCACGTGCGGCTCCAATATGTCAACGCGCAATGTGTGGAATTAGAGCTAAAACTCATTACTAGAACATTGATATGCAATTCGCTACCATGCTCCATGACACGCGAAAAGCTGCCGAATAGAACGGTATCACAGTGGATTCGTAGATCGAGCAAACCGTATACAGCATCTTGTCCCGAGGCATACTTCAATGGCCAAGTGGCACCATTAACAAATAAAAACAGATAAATGAACTCGGCCTTCAATCTAGGGTTCTTGTTGAGCTCGTACCGGTGAACGTGGTTGCTCAGTTCAAGCGGTAGCAGACCCGTTATGCAGCTTTCTTTCAACCGCGTACTTTTTCCAAGCAGTCATCCCAAGAGTCTCAAACGCAGAAATGGCCTGTTCGTGGCGTTTTAAGTGATCTTCTTTAACATCAGTTGGCTTCAATAGTACTAATAAAGCACGCTCAGCCGGACTCGACATTTCTGCTGGCTTTAATGAATCAACAACTTTTTGGTGTTCCAGACTAGTCATTGAATCTGGTTTCACCAGTGCCTTGATTAGTGCCAACGTGTTTAGCTGAGGCGTAGTAAGATCTAAAGTTGCAAGACGTCGAAGATGACTGACTGAATTTGGTGCCATGCAAAGTAAATTGAGCAAAACAGTTGGTCTCAACACACTGCTATTGTTCAGTGCAATATCAAACGATTTTCGCGCAGAATAAAAATCGCCAGCTTGCTGGTAAATAACGCCCCGACAAAGCTCCACAAGATCTTCGCTCGCCCCAAGCTGTACCATCTGCTCTAGGAGGATATCACGGGCAGAGGGCTTGTTGATCTGGTGATAAATAAGAATAGCATAAAAGTAAACAGTAGACAAAATCTCGTTGTTAACAGATATGCTGGACACATACTGCAACAGCTCTGATAGCCAAGATTTTGTAGACGCGCACTCTCCGTCATCTAACGAGAAATGGAATACGGTCAAAACAACATAGAGCAACACCATAATTTCATTATTGCTGGTATTTGATGACATTTGAATCAATTCTTTGTTGGCGACGAAAAGCGATTGGCCGTTCGGCCATAGAGCTGACCAGTCGATGTTTCGCAGCTCCTCAACCAATTGAATGTCATCGTCCTCAATGCCATGTCTCAATGCACTGATCAACCTGGAAATAATATTCATGACAATAATGTCTGGACTTGTGATACCGTACTTCCCTCCTATGTCCCCAGACAGAATCATCAACATAGCCTTAGCATTGACATCCTGCACTTTATCTATCATTCCTTTGTCCACGGGTCCTAGGCGCATTCGTTGGAACAGGAAAGCAATAAATAGTCCACGGCAATCAACTGTTTCGAACTTTTCGAGCAATTGATTGCTTAATCTTAATGCGCGTTGGGGATCTTTCTGGCGGATCTCCATCTCAACTTCCAGCAACTTGCATCGGCACTCATACTCTGGTGTGAGCGACTCACCTTTTAGGTACCTCAGAACGACAACCGCCTGCTGAAAGGAAGTGGTGTAAACAATGATCTGCTGAATCAAAAGCAATTGTGCATCCCAGCGGATTGGAACTTCGAGTTTACCCTCTTCAACCAAGTTCCACAAAATAACAACCGCGGCATTGATCATTTTCAGTTTCGTCTTGGAGTTGTTACCGAGTTTCGAGGCTTCTTGGATCAGTTTCAGGGCATTTTTATAGATCTCCTCTCGCATCTTGCTGACGCGTCGGTGAAATACAGGTTGGGTTTTTCCATTGAACGTCGATTTTCGGTTGAGCACTGGGGACGAATTGACAACTGCTGAAAACTGCAAATCTAGTGTAAAGTCTTGTTTTGGTTGAGATCAACTCAGTTGACAAACTATGGACGACATTGCAGAGCTCGCCACCTTGGCCTCCCTGCGATCGAATCCCATCGCCGAAACAAACCATGTAGAGGTCCAGGCTCTTGGTGATAAAATATCAGACCTTATTGAGGCTGCGCAGCATGGAGATCTCGCCTCCATGAAGAGCCTAGTTGCCGATGGAACCAGCGTCAACCAATTGGCTGAAGATGGCACTACAGCCCTCCATTGGGCTGCGTCGAATAACTTCTATGAGATTTGCGTCTTCTTGTTGGAAAAAGGTGCGGACGTGAACGCAAGAGGTGGTTTCCAATCTGCGACACCGCTAATGTGGGCTTCTCGAAACGGCTTTGTGTATATTGCCAGGCTATTGTTGCAACACGGTGCGGTTTACAATGAAGTCGATGAACAAGGATTCAATCCGTTGCATTTGGCAGTACACTCGTCAAATGTTTTACTTGTTATCTACTATGTTCATGAATATGCTTCTTATGGTCTGGACACAGTAGATACAAAGCTTCGTCGGACGCCATTGATCTGGGCCGCTTGTCAGGGAGACCATATGACTGTCGATGTTTTGGTTAAAGCTGGTGCAGATGTTCATTCTGCAGATGCTGAGGGTATGACTCCACTGCACTGGGCGACTGTCGCGAAGTCTCTTGATTGTTTACATATTTTATTGAAAGCAGGCGCCGATCCAACCGCATTGAATAGTCGCAACAGCTCCTGTTTCGATATTGCTAAAGAAATTGATGGGGAGCGTGTTTTAAAACAAGCTCTTGCTCGATCTGGGCGGCTACCGTCGGGGGCGGTAAAAATTCACAAGTTTACCGACCGCGAAGCTGAGCTCATTACCTTTTTTTTGCCTTTCGTCATGGCTAAACTCGCTATGCTTGCTGTTTCTTACTTGAGCTGGTTTTGGAGCGTTCCGCTTCTTGTGCTTTTGCTGTTCATTTCCCGCTTGGTCCTCAAGAGATTTGTTTTGTACAATAAGTGGCCTGGGCACTTGGCGTTTTTACAAAGTACAATCATGAGCGGCATTTTCTGCGGCCTCACCTTCTGGGTGCTTGTTCAATTCATTACTGATGTCCTTCCTCTGTCTTACGGGTCCCACAATGTCGCCTCAATGCTTTTCTTGGCTTTGGCATTCACCGGCCTGACATGTTACTTTGCCGCCTTATTCATGGATCCTGGTATCATCAAAACTGGAAGCGAAGCCGATATCTCCAATACCATAAACAAATTGCTCGACTCCGGCGAGTATGACACTTTGAATTTCTGCTACGCGACATTCGTTCGCATCCCCGCGCGGGCTCATTACGACAAAATTATCGGTGACGTCGTAGCACGGTACGACCACTATTGTCCTTGGCTTTATAATGCTGTCGGGCTACGGAATCACCGGTTGTTTGTGGCATTTCTGACCTTAATTTCTCTGGCCATCACGACGCTCTCTATCGTAGTGGTGTGGGTAATAAGATCTCAGCCTACCACTGTGATGCAGACTTTTAGCAAACACCCACAAACTACCGCACTGTACATGTTTTGTGCGCCTATTTTTGTATGGATTGAAATCCTGACTTTTATGCAGTGGCTCCATGTTGCGAGAGCCTCTACAACCTATGACATTGCCCAAGGAAAGAAAGGCAAAGAAAGTTTCAGCAGCTTACCTGCTGATCACCCGTTAGCCAAGCTTCGTGCTCGCAATGAGACGCCTGCAGTAACCCAGCCCTCTGACAACCACAACCACAAGCACAACCCGCTCGCCATGTGTGCTGCGGTTCTTGGCTTGCAGCAAATAAAGGTCACGTTCAGGACTCTCTTTGGCAAAGATCCTCGTCCTTACGATCACGGACTGAAAGCTAACTGCAGCGACTTCTGGTTTGGTGGTGGGCCCTTGTTCAACCCAGATGCCAGACTTGGCACTCTTAATGGCCAGCTTGTTGACTACTTTTCTCTTAATCAATTGAAGTTCACAAAGCCTGCTACGTTAGCGAACCGCCGAGCAGACAATGCTTTACGTAGATTGACATGATATTTAAATACTAGGCAAGAACCGGTTCCGAGCGCCTTTTTTCTGCCCTCTCTGCTCTTGAGAGACGGGTAACCACAGGCTTTTCAACCACGGTCTTTCGTCTTTTGACCGGAGGGCTTGCTGCCCGTTTTTCTTTTTTATCCAGCTCCAGGCGTCTTCGTTGCAATGCATTCATTGGCCGCTCTTTTCTCACCTCCTTTTTAGGCACGGCCAAAGCCCTATGATAAAGTCTTGAAACATCCATAGATTGTCCGCGAGTTTTCGGCCAAAAACTGCTGTATAACGTCGCGTGCCGTGTACATCTGGGGCACTGCAACCGTTTCCCTTTGTAAGGCTCGACAAAGCTTTTGAAGTTGACAGTGCAGTTGCTGCAGATAGACGTTGCTGCAGGATCCACCACGGTATATGCGGCATACCGGTCTGTGATTGATTGGCTGCGTTCAGCGATCTCGGGGGTACGGCTCCGTTGGCGAAGAACCCGACCACTTTCATTCTGAGAAGGCGTCTCATCAGCATCAGTAGCTTCGTCCTCTGCGTAGCCATTACGCTTGTGCTTTTCACATGTGGCACAGAGACATTCACAATTGTTTTGCCCGAAATAGTTCGGAGCATACTGGACAGTAATTTCCTCTCCTATGTGAATGTTCCGCAGAGCCTTGACGCATAAAGATCGACCATTTGAGGTGAATTGAGCATTAGGCTCACAATCATGATTAACGAATCGAGCGGGGCCGAGCATCATACTACTGCAGTCCCGTCTCGAAGTGTTGATAATACTGAAATCACCAGCACTACCACTGGCAATCAGCTCCTCATCGTCCTCACCCAAGTCAGCGAGCATACCCGTTAAAAACTTGATTTCAGACCCCGCAATAATTTTTTCACGGGCAACAATACAGGCCTCTGCTTGTCGCTTGGTGCTTTCTGCATATCGGGTTGTGACCTCGACTGCAAAGGGCGCTAGCGGAGAGTACATTGCCAAATACCGTCTGACATGTTTTTCAAACATGTTTCGAACAGATATTTCGTGGAAGCGAGCAAGAAATTTAGTGATTGCCGGCATTTCACAAAATTCCTCAACCAGGGGCCCCAATGACTCCTGAGCCACCGCCCGGTCGACTATCTCGCGCACAGCGGCATCGCGAATCCCTGAAATAGGCTTGTATTCACCAGTTTTACGAATATGTGCCCAATAATCGACTCTATCAATGAGACAGTCAACTAAGACGTCGTCAAAGTACGCTAAATCAGAAGACTTGATGGGCATGTGGGAATTACGTTGCAGTACAGCCCCCCTTATTGCAATATCCAGCTGAACTTGAAGAAAAAGCCAAGGCGATTGAATTCGGCTTCAAAAGTCCTAGAGAGTTTAATAAAGAAACCGTCTCTTACTCATGCCTCGACTTTTGGGTCCTCAGCCCAATCCTAAGCCAGTTGAGGCAGTGCGCAGAGAAGAGTCAATAAGCTTATCTCCAGCGGTTGAGAATGACCCTCTCATTAATCCCAAACCAGAGGAGCCTGTACTGGCCTGTCCGATTTGCAATGAAACTATGATTTCTCTCACCCAACTCAACCAACATTTAGACGATGAGCACAGTGACAAGTCACCAATTGTTCCAATTGGGTTAGCAAATGCACCAAAATCAAAGAAAAGTTTGTCTTCTGCGAATATATCCAGGAAGCATTGGGTGGAAGCAGCGCCTGGCCAGACATGTGCACACGAGAGCTGTTCTGTACCTGTAGAACGCAACGGGATCAATTGTAGACAATGCGGTTTATTGTTCTGTCGTCCTCATTCCGTGTATGCTAAAAAACTAGAGAAAAGTGCCCAGCCAGATCCTGCCAATGGCATCTGGGCCCGAGTCTGTCGGGGCTGTTTCGAGTCTCGTCCAGGGTTCGACGATAACTCAGGTATGTTGCGTGACCTTACATTCAGTTTTAAAAAGAAACGCCAAACACATGTGGATAGTCGACGGTTAGTTGTGGAGAGGCTTGAAAACCGTATGGTCAAGTTGGTGGTTGGCCTGTCCAAAATGGACAGAGAACGAGGCTTGTTCTCATACAAAGATGTGCAACGAAAGCGAGAATTTGAGCGCGACCTCGTTCCATGGGAAAATGAAGTTCTCGTGCCCCGCTGTAGGATCTGCAACCAGCGATTCTCCTACTTTTTACGAAGACACCATTGCCGTATCTGTGGGTTAGTAGTATGCGGAGACATGGATCGGGACTGTTCACGGGATGTAGCGATTAATATTCTCGCTGAAAAACTGGAACGAGCAGATTTGGCAACCTCGTCGATGTATGCAGTGAGGGTGTGTAGGGACTGCAAGGACTCAGTGTTTGGGCACAAGAACTTTCTGAAAGAGATAGAAGAGCCCCTCCCGGAGTTGTTACAGCTTCGCACGCATTTGAAACGCAAACAGGCTCAGATCGACTTGATATTACCCCGCTTTCAAGAACTAACTGCCGAGCTGGCCGGAGGAGCTGTCGAGCCAGGGATTGTTAATGAAACTACAACCATTCGGCAGCAATTGCTCAGCTCGTTTGCTCAATTTGATCATCTGTCACGTCGTCTTCGCAGCCTCCACACCGACACCCAGTCCGAGGCAACTCTACAAAAGCAAATGACGCTATGGACGACAAACTATCTTCAAGACACTATGGTTCCCCTGCAAGCTCTTCCCCATGTTTTGCAAAAAGACGAGGTGAGACTACGGAAAGATGAGATCGAGAGCATTCAAAATCAAATAGTCGTCCTCGAGGAACAGAAGTTCATGGTGGAAAACATGATAAATTCTGCCAAATCACGGAGACGGCTCGACGAGATCGGGCCTCTCGAACGATCACTTGGTGACTTGCAATCTGAAATTGTTAAACTCCGCTCAAAGTTGGGCTCAAGAGGTAATTTCTAGTATTTATTTATTCCTGCCACCCAGATTGCGCTTAGGTCAGACGCTATGCCAACGCGCATCTTTTGGCCAGTGGACGGTCTCCAAAGGTACGGACCGGAAGAGAAAAGTATCGTTGTCGGGTGGGTAAATTCTTCCAAGGACTATGTTGTTATGGCTATACTTCCATACTTCCCGGTGCAGCATGCCCAGCGGTTGCTAGAGCAGGATATGTTGGTCAAAGGGCTGGGTGAAAAATCCCCCCAAGAGCTGTACAAAGAGTTTGGTGGTGACCGTTTGCAGGTTTTGGGTACTTGCAATCATTCTCAAGATTGTCTTTTTGTAGTCAACACTCTTTCTGGACAGCCCGTTATCGATTCTGGAAGCGACTCGGTGCAATTAATTTATTATTCACAGCCCAACGCTAAGTGGCTGCACTATTTATCTCTTTATCCGATACAGTTGGATATGCCCGATGAGTCTGTCTCCCAGATTATTGACGCAGACTACAATCATGACTCGCAACAAGCATGCGAAGATCGCAGCTTACTCTTGACCAACTTGAGTTTGCATTGTGGTGGGCAAATACAGTCGAATGCTTCTGAAAGGATGTCTGTTCTTGCCAAATGCATAAGCCAAATCAATTGCAGTCTGGAATTGAGCCGGATCCTCACTGTGAACGCGCTAAAAATGTTCCCGGAACTGCAAAGCCGTGAGCTGCAACAGAGCCGACGACTTAGTATTTCGTCCAAAATCGGCATTGAAGCAAAACATCAAGCCTCTATTCAAGCGGAAAAACTTGGAATATTTGCCATTGCGAAATGGATAGTGCTCTTTACAATCGTCTCGTTCAATGTGTTGGCTGAAGCATTGTTGCAGATCACGGCCTTTCCCATAGGGAACGGCCACTTGACAGATATCTCTGCTACTGCTCTGCAAGTAGATTTGCGGCTCAAGCTGCTGTGCAATCTGCCTGTTCAGTATATGAGGATTCGTAAGCGGTCCAAGTCATGGGCAACTACTGCTCTGAATGTGGAGTATACGCGATTTTACAATTCGCTGTGGCTTTTTGCTAATGACATTATTCTTGGTGTGACTCTTGGAGGGTTCTTACGAGACAACCATTGGCGCGTGTGTTCGTTTATTACCACGGTAACTCAAAACCTATTCGGTGACCAGTTCCAGGAATTCATGAACTGGCTCATGTCGTGGCCCGCCGGTCTGAAACTCAATACGGAACTGGCCAAGTTCTTTGGTGAGGTTTTTGTCTGGGTGCTCGTTTCATGGCAGCACTTGCTGCTCTACTGCACGCCCTTGTTGCAAGGCTTCATCGTATTCCTAAGTCATGCGGGCTGGTTCGGCATAACCTTTCAGATTTCACTTGTTTGTGACTTAATTTCGCTGATTACCTTTGATATTTACTGTCTCTATCTTGGCAGCGCGAAAATCTACCGCAAACAGCTAACGACACTTGTTTCACTGTTCCGCCTGTTTAGAGGAAAGAAACTCAACGTGCTAAGATCTCGTATTGATTCGGGGAATTACAACATCGACCAACTGCTCTTAGGCACCATCATGTTTACAGTACTGCTTTTGCTTTTACCCACGGTTTTGGTCTTTTATCTGGCCTTTGCATTCACCCGAGCGCTGCTGGTGTTACTTTCGACTTTGCTCGAGATGACGCTAGGGTTCTTCAACCACTTCCCCTTGTTCACCTTGCTGCTCCGATTTAAGAGCCCTGCCCGAGTTCCTGGTGGAATCAGGTTCGAATACATCAAGAACGATAGCACTCAGACATTTTTAAAATTGGAGTCCCAGCCCATTGGAATTGGACATATCTTCCACCAGTACAACGTCGTGGCCAAACGGTTTGCCGAGCACTACTACTCGACAAGAGTATTGAGTGGTCTGCTTGTCGGCAAGATGGTTACCGTCCAACGATCGCGGCTCTACAGCCTGTTATACTCCTCATTGCCAGCCCACCGGCCAGCACCCAAGCATTTGTATAACCAACTTCAGAGTCACTTATTTGACAAAAATGAGCATATGTATTAAACAATTTAGTTTGATTTATGAGTTGGCAACGTGTGGTTTTCGTGTTTCTTCTGGTCGATTTTGGCCAGGGCGTACACCAGGCCAGCGGCGAAGCCAAGGAAAATGGCAAACACAGAAGGGAATGTGACTGCTGAATCGAAAAAGATCAGACCAGCCACCGCGATCGGCAGCTTGTTGAGGGCACCGATCATGGAGTATGTGGTACTGGAGGTCACGCGCACACACCAGCCCGAGCAATAAGAAATACCAAGAGACAACAAGCCGGTGACCACCATCATGAGGATGACCGAGCTTCTGGACTCGGGGGGGAAATTACGGGCAATGTTTTCCGCGGACCAGTCCTCGAAAATGAGCGACCACACAGCGAGAATAGGAATGGAAAGCAGGTTGTTGTAAAACATGGTGTCCAAATCGGTAAAGTTCATGAGCTTGATACGCTTGCGGAGGAACAAAACAAACGCTGCGTTCGAAAAGCAGTTGGCAAACATCCAGAAATAGCCGATCAACGCCTGCGGAGTGAACTCGGCCATGGCGCCCAAGTCGGACCAGGCAGCCACCACGGAAGAAAGGACGATCAACGCGAACGAAAACATGATTTTCGGGGTGATGGAGCCATTAAACCACAAAAGCTCACCGTATGCAATCATAATGATGGTCAGATTCTTGAAGATTGTAAAAACCGGCACGGAAAGATACTGGATGGCCTTGGAGGCCGTGTAGATCATTAGCACCAGAAGGAAAGAAATCGGGGACCATTTTTTGGCGTCTTCGGCGTCGAACCGACGGAAACTGACAATATTAGCGGCCTTGAGGGCGAAAATCACGAACAGGCACGAAAGCGACTGGACAGCCAGAACAATGCAGTTCATGTTGAAATGGGCTCCGGAAAGCACGTACTTATTGCCGAGAGTCATCACAATCGACGACAGGCAGTACGATGCAATCGCAATAACCGGATTGTTTGCAACGCTAGTATCCATGTTGGTACGAAGTTGATAAAGTTTCCGCCTGCTTAGTTCTCATTTTTTTTACACCCATGTCAGGGCACGGGCTTCTATATTGATAACGCGTATGAAACGACGGCTGAGGTGTTTTTTTTTGGCCGGCGGTATTTTTTTATAGTTGAAAAATCTAGCCTATTCTGTCGTTTTCCTCGACCCGGACTGCCCCTACATGTCCCAATGCACCGTCGTCTCCGCTCAGCCTCCTCTCTGTCTCTCCTACGTCAGCATGGACGGTTTAGAGGTCGCTAGCTGGCAGGACCTTTTCGCCAAGCATAGCGTCAATGAGGTGAGGGCGTTCTGCAGGACGCTGGACGCTCGCCGGCAGGAACACGGCAAGAAAGTTCGGGAGGCGGTCGGCTCCAACCACAGCCAGATTGTGAGCCTCACCAACCAGATTGCTCGAGTCAAGGTGGAAGCGCTGGCCAACGAGCGGGAGCTGGCTGAACTCAGCAGCACAAAGCACGATATAGAGTGGGAGCGGTACTTGAAGAACCTGGATCGGTATAATTGGGCTGCCCAGGCCGGCAACGTTCGAAGCTGCTCCCGCCAACTTGCCGCACGTCTCTTGAGGTTTGCCTCGGACTCGCTGATCAACAGACACTACCTGGCCACTGCACGTGCGCTATATTTTGTAACGGAGCTCAGCAGCGAGCCTGATGTGGCGAAAAGAGCCGACGAGCAGCACCGTAAGTTGTCGGCAATTGTCAACAATTGGCTGGATAACGGCATCAACGACGGTATGTCACAGGAACTGTTCAATACCTGTCTAATCATTAATTCTGTCTCCCCAAAAAAGATGGTCGTGGACTTTTTGAATCGGAGAAAAGACCACATCGCCAGCGACTTGCAAAGACAGACCCCCGCCAGTGTTTTGCAGACGCTCGATCTAATTGAATCAACACTGTTCGTGGCAAACCAGCTTGTGGATCATCTGTTCAAAACCAAATTGTCGAAATCGCGCCTGATTAACTCGCCCGAGTTTAACGACGCTGATCTTCGGCTCGGTGAACTGGACCGCTGGCTCGACAAAAATATATTCGAGCTCCCCGCTTTCCCCGAAAACTGTTACTTCTCGGATAAAAATGTGGACATTGAGCTGGCTCGAAGTCGCTTTATGAAAGACACTACTGCGCTGTTGAAAGTGTCGGCTGGCCCGACAGCTTCTTGTTTGGATATTGCAGAAATCACAAGCTTGTACTGTGACATTCTGGTCAAATCTCGGGATTCTACCGAGCTTGGTGATTTGGGGGATATAATGGGCGGTGCTTTCCATGACGAGCTGGTTTCTCAGTTCGAAGTCAAAGCATTGGCTCGGTTTTCGCGTCTTGATTCTTTGGTCGTGCCCCTGCCCGCCAAGCCGTCAAAACGACCAGAGCATGGTTTCACAAAGTCGGTCGCTGATTTATTGAACGATATCGAGAACGCAGTAGAGGGCCAAGTGGACATCGCTGCCGAGCCTCTCAAGGCTATCCAGGAATGGGCTCAAGGTTCAAACCAAGTTGATCGGGAGGCCAAAAAGCTGCAGCACGCTGGTGTGCTCAGTCGGGATGCCCAGCACCGGCAACGATTAGACGACTTTGTCGCGGCATTGAATGAAAAGATCAATGCGGCTCGGTCAGACTGCTACAAAGATACCGTTGAGCGGCTTGGAAAGCTTGAGGCCCACACTGCTTCGGACTTTGCCTTGGTTCTGCTCGTGAAACACAAACTAGATGCTAGAGTTGCCGAACTAGGCATGGAGGTCCAGCGCGATCTGGACACAACCCTCGACCAGCAGCTTGCAAAATCGCTAATAGACAACTGGGAGCTGGAACCCGAAGCAGATCAACTGGAAGGCCTCGAGATATCCTCTGGCATTCTCAACAGTCTGTTTGAGCTCGTCAAGACCATGGATGCCACTCTGTGTGAATTCGAATGGCCTCAGTCGACTCTAGCCGTCTTGCGGTCTCTGATTCTTGCCAAGGTCGAATCCACAGCCGACGCAGCCGCCCTGGAATCACTGCTTTCGGGCCAGGGCAAGTTGGCTGAGCGGTTCAGATGCATCCTGGGACCGCTGATTCCTGAAACACAGATTTAAATATATAATTAATAAAAGGATAAACATAACGGCATTACTTTTGGGGGGAGTGTGAGCTGTGGGGCGTTCAGAAAAACGCTTTGGGCTCCTCTTTAAGCAAATTGGGGAGGTCCTTGGCAGCGTCTGCCGGGACTTCCGATGTGGGGGTCGACAGCCCTGTTTCGGACACGGTATTTTCAGACTTTATTGGGGCGTCCAAGGTAGGTGAAGGCGAGCCCTGTTGGGAATGTTCGGTCTTAAGTTTTGCATCGTCCTCGCTGGGCCCGCCAGCAGGGGTGCCCGTGTTTTCGGCACTGCCCGCGGCCTGCTGCTCTTTTTCTAGCCGCTCTTTCTCGGCAATTTCTGCGGCCGTTAAAAACCGCCCTCCCTGGCCACGCGGACGGCGCATCGCATGCTTGTGACGCGATTCATGAAGATAGGGTCGACGCCCCGGCTGCACTCTCAGCGTCTCCTCTAGCTTGGCTCGCGCTATCCGCCGCTTCAAAATTCGATGGTACTGTTTGGCATTGACATAGAATGGCTGCTCGCCAGCCTCTGCGGTGTTCTCCATAGCTGTGTGAGGGTGCAAGGGTAGGGGGGGGGATTTCAAGTTCGCTTCCTCAGCCCGTCACATGGGTTACCCGGACGCCAAAAACAACGAAGCCGTTGGCCCGAACCCTCCCTGCCCAGCTTGCTTCGATATGACTGCCGTGACAATTGTAGGTGGACACGGGAAAGTAGCCCTGCTGTTGGCTAAGGAGCTCACTGCGAAAGGATTCCAGGTCAAGTCGCTATTCCGCAACTCCGACCACAAGGCGGATGTGGCTAAAACCGGCGCCGATACCCAGGTTTTCGACATCGAGAGCGCCAATGTCGACGACATCGCATCCCAGTTCAAGGGCGCCGACGCAATAGTGTTCTCCGCCGGGGCCGGTGGCGGCAACCCCTCCCGGACCTATGCGATCGACCGCGATGCCGCAATCCGAACCATGAAGGCAGCTGAACAGGCCAATGTCAAGCGTTACGTTATGGTCTCGTATTTGGGCGCCGGCCCCAACCACGGTGTTCCCAAGGACAACGGGTTTTACGCCTATGCCGAAGCCAAGGCTGCTGCCGACACTTTTTTGCGCTCGACAAACCTCGACTGGACTATTCTCATGCCCGGCATGCTTAGTCTTGAGGAACCCACTGGCAAGATTGAGTACAATCCGCAAAAAGATAAGCGCACCGCCGTTTCGCGAGCCAATGTTGCTCTGGTTGCTGCCGCCGTGCTTCAGGCACCCAATACCGTCCACAAGGAAATCCCGTTCCTGGACGGCGACGAGAAAATTGCAGATGTCATTTCCCGCATCTAAGTGCTGCATATGCATATGCACAATGCCGTCGTCGCTATGCCAAAATGGTCAATGGCTCCACCACTGCGCCGCACTCGAGTATATACTGCAATATACGAAGATGTCTCGATAACTACGAAAAAAAGCAATTGTCTATTTCAATAAATCGTGCCCACTCGCTCTGGAACCTTCCCTGTACAATTAATCATCATTGTACGAATTTTTTTTTCAGCTTATAAGATAACCCAAACGGATCATTCATCTTACCACAATGTCTGATCATACAGGACCTGATTCTGATCCCAAGAAACCCAAGCTGAACGAGGACGAGGTATTCTCGACAATTGGAAGCCAAGCCGAGGCCGTCGAGCAGCAAGAAGGGGTTGAGTATATTTCCAGCGATTCGCTCCGCAAAACTGGTGCTACCGATGCAGCCGGTCGCCCCGTGCAAGAGGTGGACAGTTTATGTATGAATTGCCACCAGCAGGGCGTCACCCGTCTGCTTTTCACTGCGATTCCGCGCTTCAGAGAGGTCGTAGTCATGTCTTTCGAGTGCCCCCACTGCGGGTTCAAGAGCAGTGAGGTCCAGGCCGCAGCTGAAATCCAGGTGAAAGGCGTGGAAATCACTTTCAAACTAGATACTCCGCACGACCTGAGCCGCCAGGTTGTCAAAACAGAGTACGCTACCTGCAAGTTTCACGAGCTCGATATCGAGATTCCTCCAGGACCGGGCCGTCTCACTACAATTGAAGGCCTTCTGAGCGGCATGAAGGATGATCTGGAGCAAGACCAGCCTGTTCGTTTGCATGTCGATCCTGACATGCATGCCAAAATCCAAACTGTGCTGGACAAGCTTGCGCAGGCAGCCAACGGTGAGATCTTGCCACTGACTTTCGTTCTTGACGACCCCTCTGGAAACTCGTTCGTGGAGTATGAACCTCAAGAGCACGGAAATAAGTGGGTTGCCAAAGAGTACGTCCGCACCGCTGCCCAAGACCGCGCTCTGGGAATGGCCGCTCCGGAAGAGGAAGAGCATCGCAATGAGTCGGTTGCTGATAAAATCAATACTGGCGAGTTCGACGAGGGCATCTCCGAAGAACTCCGCAATGAAGTTCAGACCATCCAGGGCGCTTGCCCCTCATGCCACCACCCCACGGATACTCACATGAAGGTTGTGAACATTCCCCATTTCAAGGACGTTATTATCATGTCCACCGTCTGCCACGAGTGTGGATACAAGTCGAACGAGGTCAAGACGGGCGGTGCTGTTCCCGAAAAGGGCCGCCGCATCCGGCTCAATGTGCTTGAAAAGGAGGACTTGTCTCGTGATATCCTCAAGTCCGAAACTTGCAGTTTGCGTTTCCCCGAGCTCGAACTCGACCTGTCGCCCGGAACACTTGGCGGCCGCTTCACCACCGTCGAGGGTCTGCTCCGTCAAGTCTACGAGGAGCTCGAGTCCAAGGTCGTTTCTGCCGACGCCGACTCCATGACCGTGGAAACCAAACAACGCTGGGCCGCATTCCTAGCCCGCCTCGATGCTGCCGTCGAGGGCCAGCTCAAATTCACAATCGTCATGGAGGACCCCCTGGCGGCCTCTTATATCCAAAACGTCTATGCTCCTGACGCTGATCCCGAGATGGTCATTGAAGATTATGAACGCACTCATGACGAAAATGAGGAACTCGGCCTCAACGATATTCAGGTTTAGTTTATTTATCCTTATCGCTACGTAGTAAATTTTTGCTAGGTTTAAAATCAGAAAAAAGCTCGGAAACTTCAGCTGAAAAATCATCCCAATTTTCAATGCTGCGCAGATCGCGGATTCGGCCGCTTTTCAAGCGGTCAAGTCGGTCGATTTTTATGAATGCCCAGCTTAAGGGCCAACTGGATGCTCTTGAGCAGCATTTCGTGAAAGACGTGGTCGTGATCGGCGGCGGCCATGCCGGTACAGAAGCCGCCGCCGCCTCCGCAAGACTGGGCGCTGATACTTTGCTAGTTACGCCTAGCAAAAAGAACCTGGGTGTGTGTTCGTGCAATCCCAGCTTTGGTGGTATAGGAAAGGGCACGCTGCTTCGGGAAGTCGATGCTTTGGATGGTGTTTCTGCACGCATCGTCGATAAAGCAGGTATCTGCTATATGATGCTTAATCGATCCAAAGGACCAGCTGTTTGGGGTCCGCGGGCCCAGATCGATCGAAAAATTTACCAGAGAGAAATGCAAAAAGAACTGGAGCACTATGGGCCCAGCTTGTCAATTCTCGAGGACTCGGTTGAAGATGTCATTATCGATGCTTCCCACTTGACTGTGGCCGGCGTGATTTTGGAGTCTGGTCACTTTGTGCGCACAAAAAACGTTGTGGTTACCACTGGAACTTTTCTCTCTGCAGAACTCCATTTTGGTTTGGAAATTCGACCTGGCGGCCGGATCGGCGAGAATGCCACTTATGGACTTTCAAAGACACTAAAAGACCTGGAATTCCGTCTTGGTCGTTTGAAAACAGGAACGCCTCCTCGAATCGATGCGAAAACTATCAACTATACCGGCCTTTTGGCTCAAGAACCCGAAGATCCAGCTGTGCCGTTTAGCTACCTGAACACAGACATCGCTTTAAAGTCTCAACAGCGGCCGAACTACTTGACCAAAACAACCGAAGCTACCCACAAAGTCCTACGTGATAACCTGCATTTGTCTGTACATATCCGTGAAACGGTTAACGGGCCACGCTACTGTCCTTCGATTGAAAGTAAGGTTATCAAGTTCTCCGAAAAGAAGTCTCATCAGATCTGGCTCGAGCCCGAGGGCCTGGACACTGATGTTGTTTATCCCAACGGCATCAGCGTTTCAATGCCCGCAGACATTCAGGAACAAATGTTGAAGACTATCCCTGGCCTGGAAAACGCAGTTATGCTTCAGCCCGGTTACGGAGTTGAATACGACTTTGTTGATCCCCAGCAACTCAGCGCGACCCTTGAAACAAAAAAGGTAGGCGGCTTGTACCTGGCTGGTCAGATTAATGGCACGACTGGTTACGAAGAGGCGGCTGCTCAGGGCGTAATCGCCGGTATCAATGCTGGCCGATCTGCTCTGGGAAAATCCCCTATCCACATGACCCGTGATATGGGCTACATTGGCGTATTAATTGACGATCTTGTTACCCAGGGTGTTGAAGAGCCATATCGCATGTTCACCTCTCGCTCTGAATTCAGATTCACAGTTCGACAAGACAATGCAGATCTAAGACTGACGGCTATTGGTTATGATCTCGGTGTAGTTGGCGAAGAACGTTATGCCAAGCTATTGAAAGATAAGCAAGAGTATGCCGAAGCGAAGGCACTAATGCAAGAACATTCATGGACTCCGAAAGAATGGGCTAAGAGAATTGACACTCCCGGTATATGGAATTCTGTTTCCGAGAAGCGAACATGTCTACAGATGCTTCAAAACAATGACGCTGATGTGGCCGAGTTTATCAAAGCCGTTCCCGGTCTTGCCAGGTTCTCGCCAAAGATCTTGCAAGCCTTGGATCTCGATTCAAAGTACGCACCCTACATTAAACGCGAGGCCGCGCTGATCCGATCGTTTAAACAAGACGAGGAGTTGGAAATCCCTCGCGATCTTGACTTCTGGAGCATGGACTCTCTCTCCAACGAAGTCAAGTCTCTTTTGGCTTCCGCTAGACCTGAAACTCTCGGCCAAGCCAGCCGCTTGCGCGGTATGACACCAGCCGCCAGTGTGTATTTATTGGAGCATGTTCGTCGTCGCACTCGCGGCGGGCGACATGGTACAGAAATGAATGTGTAAAATATATAACTACTGCTCCACCTTGAATTTAGCCAGCATGCGAATGATTTTTAACAAATGAGTGACGAGTTCTTTCTGTTCGGGATCAACGACATTGACAAGATGCTCAAGTTTGCCAATACCACCATAGTGAATGAGGCTTTCAGCAACCTCGTCGTCACGAAGTCGTAAGGTGACGCGCAACATTATGTGGAGCCCGGTCAGAACGCGCAGCAACATATCGTTCTCCTCGGTGTAGTCCATGGAAGATATGATTCCCTCGACGATATCAGGGTTATGGCCAAGAGTAGTGGGCCCATCTTCATACTCGGCAAGAATCGCGATGCAAGCTGCCGCTGCGGACCTACCGGCCTCATCGTCCATAGTCAAGCAGTTGCCTAGGAATGACACCAGGGCCTTTGCCTTCTCATCGGGAGCCAGGAAATGATGCGCACAAGCAGGCACGGTCATGAGGTTGCAGAAAAGCTCCAAGGAGGCTCTTTGAATCTGGATAAAGTCTGTGGCGAGAGCTCCTTCAACATATCCCCACGCAGTGTCGGCAATTTCACTACGCAATAGGTCAATATCCATGCTGGCAAGATTCGTCAGAGACATAATAGCCTCAAATGTGTCAAGATTACGGCGCAGACTGTGGTCGTTGTTGATCTGGCTGCACAGGGGAGTGATAATCGTGTGAGCAGGGAAACGACTAGTGAAGGCAACCTGGGGAGGGATTGTGGACAATGTCTTGGCAATACCTGCTGCGGCAATAGATTTGTACTTGGGGTCGAGTTTCTGATGTGGCGGGTCACAAACCCAAAGGTACATATCAACGACAACACCACCCTGGGTAGCGAGCTCGATACGACGGGATTGCTTTTGTTGGCAAGCCATATTGTAAATCAGTTTAGCAACTTGTTCACGCGATCTTAAGGTAAAAAGCGAGCATCCTTGAGATAACCACTCGATAATCTTTGAGTTTAAGACTGCATCAACTGGATCGGCAACATCTTCAGGAAGGAGTCGTTCCTGGATATCAAAAGGCGAGGGGCCAGTGCGCAACTTCAACTCTAATTCACGCTGCTGGTCTTTAGTTGGCTTGAAAGGATACTCTGTGACATTCACAAGAATGCTTAAAGCACCATAAATCCACGAGACCTCGTTGGTCTTGACAAGCTGGGTCAATTTGTTGATAAGAGGTTCGGTGATACGACGACGGACACTGGGCAATAAAGTGGTGCAAGCCAACCCCTCGATTGCGGCACCTTCAGCCTTGAGGTCAGCATCACCTTTCTCGACATAATTCTCAAAATTGACCGAAAGCTTGTCCAACTCACTTGCGGCTTGCTCAGCACTCAAGTTTGGAACAACCATTGAAGCCAAAAGTTTGACTCTCACAGCAGTAGCCATGACTTTGATGTGGGGGTTGTTTGAGTCAACACCAAGACCAACCACATTGCTGCCAAAGCTCTGCTGCACAATCAAACGAGCGTCCTTGACCACGCAAATAGCACTCAGCATCTCGAGGCAAGAGAGCATCACATCGGCGTCACTGAAATGAGCGGTGGTGGCGCTGGAAAGCACGGTTGAAAAGACATGTGCACCACATTCAGGATGAACAGTTGCTGCTGCTGCCACCGAGGAGAACGCTTCAATAACCGGTTGAACTTCGTCCTTTGCCAAAGCCCGTCTGACAAAATCCATCAGTGCGTCTTGGCCGTCAGGTAGCAGTTTCGACATCACTGCAACCGCAGCACTCCAGACTTGATAATCCATGTTACGAGCACAGTAGGGAGCAACCAACGGAACCCATTCGGCTGGATTCTCAAGCGAATCGTTGGCCACAGCTCGCACTAAAACACCAAGGCCATCCGGCGAGGTAGGCAATTCCGCTTTAATCATGTTCAAAATCATCGGCCTCATCTCCTTGTCATTGTTAACCAAATATGAAAGCGCTTGGAGATGGGGATCACTGCGGGTAGCCATCAGCTTGTAGCTCTGATCGAGGTTATTTTTCAGGTATTCTCTGACTCTCTGTTGGGTATCGGGGTTTGCGCACAAATGGGTGATGATGGGGCCTGAGTCCACTAGCTCAAGTGTCTCCCTAACAATAACCCCATGGTCATACTGCCCACTCTTGAGGATGGCAGCGACTTTCGCCGGGTTCGGGCGGTCAACTATCGATAGGATGGTGGACATGACTAACCGTGGGGCTTGCGCCGATCCGAGACTATAAGAGACGATGAAATAAATAAATAAGAGGCTATTTGCGGCTGCGTTGAGCAGCACAGGTAGGACAAAACCATGTTCCCGTCGGGGGCTCTGTGAGGCCCACGCATTCCCAGTGGAACCACTCGTACTGACAATTTGGGTTGTCGCAAGCCACCATTTCGCCAAACGAGGGTTGTTGGCAAATGCAATACGTTGTTTCTTCTTCGTCAACATTGTTAGGGCGGCGTGGTTGTGTGTCTGTACGTTGGCGTTTCATTGCTGGCCCGCTACTTGGTGTTCTGTCTCGGGGAGGAGTTGGTCGTTTGAGCTCTGATTGACGGCGAGTGGCTGAGACAGTGCGGGCCGGTTCGGGCACAAACTTGACTTCCTCCTCGTCTGATTGAGCAGGTACCAACAGACCTTCGTTCTCGAGCTGTTTGATTTGATCATTCAACTTTTTGACCTGGCGCGAAATAATGTAAAGGCCCGTGTTGGCCAGCACACACTTGTCCTGTTGTAGAGCAGCGCTTTCCTGCATATCGGAGCGAATTTTTGAATATGTTTGCGACTCCTTGGGGAATTCACTCAACGAGCCGTGAGTTTTGATGTGTTTCTGAATCGCCCCGTCTCTAGCGAGCACTCTCTTTTGTGCTTCTCGAAGCTTTTCATCTTTGCTGTGGATTTCATCCAGAATGTAGGCCAAATCTGTCGGCAGATTGGTTAAATCCGATAGATACTCCTCCAGAACGGTGGCGGCGTCCATGATAGTAAAACTGCTTGGCTAACTTGGTAAGATGACCTAAGCATGGAATTTCTTGGTGGGGGCTTTAAGCTCTTTCAAGTGGTGCGAGATAAGGAGGTTCGAAGTAGTGTTGCGGTCGGGAAATGTATGCTTTTGGTGTTTATATCGTTCCATGTTGGGGTTGAATTGAATATATCACAATATACAGATTAGCGGAAGAATGATAGCTACAGCTCATAATTAGCTAACATATCTTTATGATCACACTGGCCTCTCATAGCAATTGGCGTCAGACTACTGCTAGCAGCAGTACCTGGAGCTTTAACAAAAAGAAACAAAATAATTTAGTTTATTCGAATGGTTTTCATCGACTTATCATATGATGCAGAGAAGACAGATGTAAAAACAAAACTGCAGCACCTTCTGTTCTCACATGGTCTCCCACTGTAATACTTGGTAAGGCTCTCAGATGGTTCAATAGGACTGATCGGACGGGAAGTCTTGTTTTCACCTGGATATGGCCGCAGCCGACAGTATCTGGATACTCTTGTATATGTGCCATCAGGCCGTGACTGAACTAGGTGAAATTTTACTCATTTGAGAACGAAAAGAGACTGTCACGTGAGCCAAAAGTGCTTATGTAAAAGCAGGTGTAAAAAAACTGCAGCACCTTCTGTTCTCACATGGTCTCCCACTGTAATACTTGGTAAGGCTCTCAGATGGTTCAATAGGACTGATCGGACGGGAAGTCTTGCTTTCATCTGGATATGGCCGCAGCCGCCAATACTATTTTGATGGGGCACATGTACATACATTTTGTGGAGAAGTCTAATGGGCAAACGAAAGCTAACACCTAGAGTTCTGAACATAAAAAAAGCTACAATATATGAATATATGAGGCTATTGAGGAGTAGTGTTTGTTGTACTCGCCTGATCTCTACAGCGCATTCCGGGAGCTACCAGCACTGCCCCGGACGTAATCTCTGCTGCTTATATGATACATCTTTTAGGAGCAGGAAGTATAGGCAGCTTGGTGGCTGTAAATCTAGCAAAGGGGCAGGTTCCTGTAACATTACTGCTCCGAGGGAAGGAGCAACTAAATAAGTTCACCAAGCTCGGGGGTGATATCAGTTTGAAAAGCCACGGAGAGACGCACGTCGCGAATTTTCCGGCCGAAGTTGAGCCCAGCAGCATCGAAAATCTTATTGTATGCGTCAAATGCCATCAAATTAAAGAGGCAGTCTTGAAGCATTTACCATTAATCACCCCGCAAACGACATTGCTAGTCATTCACAACGGCATGGGCGTTGAAGAGGACCTTTTACCGCTGTGGCCCAAAGCGTCGTCCCGGCCCAACATCGTGTATGGGCTGACCTCTTTAGGATCAAAACGGCTGCCCTTTCCATGGGTATTCGAGCACACAGGAACAGCACCTATTTATTTATCGGCACACAACACCCAAGTGAGCAATTTGGACTTGGTCAAAAGTATGGTCAGATCGAGCTCGATCGTGGCATCCAAAGCGCTCCCTTACGGCGATTTTCTGACCCGACAGTATGAAAAGCTGGTGGTCAATTCGGTGATCAATCCCATGACAGCGATTTTGGGCGTCTCGAACGGTGATCTTCTGAAGTTTGATGAAGGGACTCAGCTGCAGCGATTAACCAGAGAATCATGCTCTATTTTGAGTGAGTACGTGGCCACACACAAACCAGAGTACACGCAGACTATCCAGCAGGCGCTTGATGAAAGACGCATGTACAGAATTGTCCAGCAAGTTTGCAAAGACACAGCGTCCAACGCATCGTCCATGTTGGTAGACACCGAGAACGGGCACGAGACAGAAGTCGATTACATCAATGGCTACATCGTTGATGCTGCAAAAAAAATCAACCGCACAGCACAGCAAAATCGGGTAATGGTCAATCTGGTCAAAATGAAACGCGCGCAAAATAAGCGCATGCTCGAATCTGGCTATGTTCCTACTTTAGACCTTGAACTGTAAATAATTGATAAATAGCCGTCATATAAGTGACGGATTTCCGGCCTGGGCACAGGTCCTTTGAAGACGATTTCTAGCTCATTGAGTATCTCTGTGAGGACAGGCGACCACTCGTCCGGCTCAACAAGACCATCGACGACTGATTTGAGTTTGGAGTTTTTCAAAGCCTCACACGCAACAAGCGTCCGGAACGACGCACCATCTGAATTGATCGTATAGTCGCCCCAGTAGCCGAGTTCTTTCAGTTGAGACTCGTGATCTTTGAGCAGCGGCTCGAGCTTGGCGGTAAGGTCGATATAGTCCCAGGGATTTTGCTGAGCAACAAACCCGTATTCACAGAGCAGGAACGCATTTTCATGAGGACCGTAGTTTAGGCAGATTTCTTCGCCCTTTTCGTAGTCCCTGGCTGCGTACAGGGCCATCCCCAGCCCTGATTTTACTTGCACGGTTTTCGACTGATCTGTGTCGTGGTTCAAGAAATCAATAAAGGGTGCCATGGTCATATTCTCTTTTCTCTCGCGGCCAACATCCCAGTACAAACATCGTGAGTTCACACAGAGCCAAGCCCATCTGAACCGGTCAAAGGGCTCGTTGGGACATGCAAGCCTGTGATCCACAGCTATCTGAGCGAGCTGTTTGGCAACGTGCGCTTGGTTTTTCGCCGGCAAAAACTTCAATTCAGCCGGTGACCAGCACACAGGGATTGAGTCGAAGCTTTTAGGAAGGGTTTCTATCCAGAACGAGTCTGAGGTCAACAAAAAATTTGCCAATGCCTGATGGGACGTAAGGTTGGGTTCGCCCAGCGATTGCGCATTAATCAAAAGGTGACGGGACAGACTGACGAGTTTTTCTCCTTTCGAGATAGAGCATGCAGCCACGATGGAATTACCCCGATCGGGGATCGCCGTAACCTCAACCTTTGGCGATATATAGCCCCCCGATTCTGCGATCCAGTGAGTAAGCTGGTCCATGCTCTACTTTCCCCCGCAGAGGATCAAATACTTGGCGGCTGAGAAAATCCAGCAGCGGCTGGTCCGGAAATTCTTGGATTTCAAGGCTTCGGGGTCGACTGGAGTCGCTCCCACGCCCACAATTTTAGCATTCGAAATGGATCCAGTGTATACGTGCGGTCGCCGTCAAATCGGCCAATTCAGCCAAGCCGAAATTGATTTCTACACGTCGGGCGAACGCAATGGGCAAAGGGCTGAATTTCATGAAACGCAGAGGGGCGGGCATGTCACATTTCATGGCCCGGGTCAACTGGTGATGTACCCGATTATTGATCTGCGGGCTGCCAAATTGACAGTGCGGGACTACATCTGTGGAGTAGAAGGGTCAATTATCGAGTTGTTGCAAACGAAATACAACCTGCCGGCACAGAGAACCAAGGAAACAGGAGTCTGGCTGGACGAGACACACAAGGTCGCCTCGCTAGGCGTGCATGTTCGTAGGTCCGTAACCTCGCATGGCCTGGGGTTGAATGTGAATTTAGACAAGTACTGGTTTGACCGAATCGTGGCATGTAATCTCCCCGATGCTCAGTTGGTTTCGATCAATGACTACACCAAGGCCGATTTGCCGACTGTGAGCCGTCAATTAGCCGAGATTCTCTCTCGAAAACTGGGATTCGACCTAGAAGAGCAGCCAGCGTCAGATGTTTATAACTTGTAGAATGATCCCATGTCCTGGATTACGCGATGACCACTACGGAGCCCCCTGCTGCTCAGAGCTCCGAGCTGGCTTGGGTCCTCAATATGGCCATGGTTGAAACGACCACGGTGCAGTTAATTCTGCAAGAATGTCTACAGCGGCTTGAAGCACCCAGCAAGCTCGCAGTGACATCGTCCAAGTCAGAATCTCATGCCGATGTCTTCCCGCTGGACGGCCCACCTCCAACGCATTTCCCTCCTCAATCGATGAAAGGAACGCTCACAAGAAAGGGATGCGATGTAAATATCAGTGTTAGCGCCCACCTGACATGGCTCAACCACCCATTGAAAGTAAATTGCCAAGCTCCTCTTGTCGAGTTATCCATGGTCACCTCTACGCTTTCCCGAGTTGAGCGGTTGCTAGCACCATTTACTACTTTACCGCCGGTCCATGAGTTTCTGGATGCTGTTTCGGAGGCACAAAAGTTCTTGACAAGCGTATACGGGGTGTTGGATGGCTCGTGGCACCAGGCTCGGTCTCATTTGTGCACTACGGTGCCTATAGAGGACGCACCAGGCACTGCGGTTGAAATAAGCATTGCACAAGAAGCAATTGTCGTTCGTTTTTCCGCCTACGAGTCGATGGGGCCTCTCAAAAAGCTTGTACACCAGGAGTCGGAGCGCTCCCCTGATCCTGTTCTGATGGCTGTTTCCGCAAAAGTGAAGTGGGCATTGAACGAGTTACGACACATTGAGCACAAGGTCAGTACGTGCCTGAATGCCCAGCATAGCCGGCCGTAGTTATTTATATTTTAGACAACTCCTCTTTGAGTTGGCGAATGCGCTCAGATTGCCAACGGCGAACGGGCCCGCCGACCGGTTGGTGCTTTGCTTGCAGATCGCTGGTTCGTTTTGCTAGATCTTCGTTTATAGAGCTTTGATCGTACTGCAGGCTCGCAAGGGCGCGCTCGACCATATCCTCGGCGCTGTCGCCCTCTACCCTTGTCTTCACGGGGAAAATCTTGGCGTGAAAATCCCCGGACGCCACTTTGACAACCCGGTCGATGTCGCACGTCACCGCGCCCAGGCTCTCAACTATGGCATCTAACGTCTCACTGCACTGCTTCAAGCATTGTGGTTGTGTCATATCTACGTTGCGAAATTACTTTCTCTGTTGTCATAAAAGTCATCACTGTGGAATCTTTACATTTAACGAGTCAAACTTTTAGCCACATTGAAGGCAGCGATAGCATTAAACTTGAACCATTCGCTGACGCTCTCTTCGGCGGCCTCGAACCGCGACCATGCATTGAGCTGGCGGTCGCAGAAACTGAGTGTGTGCTTGAAATTAGGCGAGTTATCCCGGGTCATGAAGGACTCGCTCGCTGCATAGATCATCGCTAACGAGCCTCGGCGGGTGTACCAGGTTGCGTCGTGACCCTTGTCTCCAGCCAGAAACCAGATCTCATCGACGAGATTATGCAGCTGCTCCAGCGAGTACGGAAGGTACTTGGGAGACATGAGCATTGAGACAGCCTCGCCTAGGTAAGGCCCCAGTTCGGCGTTTGCCAAAAGGCGGGCGTGCACCAGTTCACGAACACAGCCATCGGGAGTAGAGCTCTTCAGCTGAACGGAGGCAAGCTTCGCTGTCTGCTTCTGCAAATAAAATTGGAGCAGGTCGAACTTGCCATTAGGGAAAATGCTAGCTGCCTGATCGCTCAAGCCCAGACTGCGAGTTGCAGGAGCCAAATCCCAGCCGTGCTCGGGCAGCAGCTGCAAACCGCGCTCAAGAATTTGCCGGGGCAAATCAACTTCGGACTTGCTGGTATGAGCAGTAGCGTAGCTTCTGAGCGACGCTTGAACTGTTCGTACGGTGAAAAACCTCGGACTGGCTCGAATCATTTTTCGCAACAACGTGACTTTTAGGTAAGGCGGGAGGTTCGTTTGATTTGTTCCTCAAAAAAAACTGCAATTTGCATCCGTTGCATCCAATTGTGTCCTGGTGTGCGGGGAATAAACCCCTCAGTCAATTCCCTCGACTGAAACAAACCTCCCGAATTTCCTGGACCCGCTCCCTGTACAGCCAAACGTTATTTCCTGTCCCCTAAAAAGCTCGATTACTCATCCAAACTTGTAAGCATTTGTTTTGTGTCAGCTTCTTGCCTCGCGTGTACACATATTTCCTTAGCGTCACCCAGCCGGCATTTGTCTGAATTGAACAATGAGCCTAGAGGCTCCGCTTTTGCATACAAAGCCAAACAAGCAGCTAGAATCCAATGGGGTTGCTGGACTGACGGGCGCCCTGGGATCGACCTTCCGAACTAAGCAGTTTCGTCGACCCCAGTACGCAGTGGTTCTAATTCTCGCTCCTGTGAATGAGTCGTTCGAAAAAAAGAGCCTGGTAGTGCCGTTTTATCCGGAAGTCTTGAAATTAGGCCGCCAGACGAATATAAAGACAATGGCTAGTCCTGAGAATGGCTTTTTCGACTCCAGAGTTTTATCTCGCCAGCACGCAGAGCTCTGGGCTGATAGAGCCACCGGGAAAGTTTGGCTCAAAGACTGCAAGAGTTCAAATGGTACCTACCTTAACAAACAACGTCTCAGCGGAGAAAACACGGAGAGCGACCCCTTCGAATTGAAAAAGAATGACCTCCTGGATCTCGGAATAGATATTGCATGTGACGATAAATCTTCGGTTGTCTACAAAAAGATTTCTGCTCGAGTAGAACGCGTATCCATGATGCCGCTACACGTTACGCCTACCACCACCTCAGCGGGCACAAAAGCCAACGCCACGTCCGCGCTCCCTTCAAGTTTTGGTTCCTCCTCCGCAGCAAACGGCGAAGCGGCTGGGCTTAATGGATCGTCTGGACCGGCACTGCCTCAACGCCCATCAATATCAAGATCTCCATCTTTGGCAACCCTTAAAGCCTCTGAAGCCGACAACGAATACGCAAACTCCATCTTTGGGGCACCGAACGCTTCGCTCGAAACTATAGCTTTATTACACGCCCGGAACACAGTGGGTGGAATGGTAGTCAAACCAGATATCGTTGCCAGTGTCGAGTTTGAATTGGCTACCAAACGGCTGGTATCCGAAATAAACGCCGCCAAGGTCGACACGGCAAAGATCAGCTCGGTCAAATCGCTGCTCAAGGATATTCAGTCTCATCAGGCGGCAGAAAATCCCGAAGTAGCCAGCTTGAAAGAGCAGGTAAAGAAGTTGAGATACGAAAATGCTACGCTGCAGGCAGCTCTAGTCCGATTCAAAACTCAGCACCCTCCCCAAGCCCACGTTCGATCCCGAAAACCCAAAGAAAAACTCTTCAAGCCATCGGATGTTAATAATTTTGTCCTGCTTATTGTTACAACTATTCTCATGGTGCTCACAGGGTTTTCGGTTATGATATTTTTCAATCCACCCACGGGCTGAGCCCAACAGAACCAACGGCACCGTCTTCCACTCCAGTTTTTTTCTTTTTTTTTTTTTTGTTCAGGTCCACCCCTTCTGTCCTACCACTCAAGCCGTTGCATCTATGGCTTTGAATCGTCACCCAAACTGCGTTTTAATTTATTTTCACTGCTATACTTCTATCATATAAAATCTAGGCTACAATTCCAGGAATGAAATCAACATATTTAACGAGGTCACTGAAATTCGGTGTTACAATCGGTGCCACAATTAAACCCACAAGCAAAGAAATCGTGGTCAAAAAGAGGAGAAAGTATCTTTGGGCACTCAGCCGCTGTTGCCTCGCCTTTTGGAAAGGGACTGGGAACTCACCATCTAGATTGAGCCACAACAGCAGCAGGGAATGGATTTTGTTGATGTAAGGAATAAGCAGCAGAGGCACTTGGGCGGCGAGAATAGCATGGCACAGTAGGTAATCTGTAACAAACTGTGTTGACTCAATAGTCTTTGTCAACCACTCGTTGAAAAACACAGGGATAACTTGAATTCCAAGATGCATGGAGTGCCAGCCTCCTGTCCACCATGGGGTACTTGTTTCTTCTCGAGGCCGCTGCCTGCTGAGTACACAGGTGACCAAGAAAGAGTTGATAAGACTTTGTATTGAAAGTATAACCAAATAGCCGAGCAAGACGTTTGGAACTGATCCTCTTTCAAGTAAATATAAGAGGGCCAAAAATGCAGCTAGCACAAATACGCCAAGGATTCTCAGAGTAGTGGCTATAACTCCTGCAACAAACAGTAGCTTTGATTTACTCTTCCGCAAACATATGTTCGCAAATAATGAGACCAAGTGGCCCAGCAGAAGTGTGACAAGGTTCACAAAGTACGGTCCGCATGCGCAAATAGCGATCCTCAAAATGGGATTGTTGCGAGGATTTCGTTGGAACTTGCTTGATCTTTGTGAGCCGACATACACATACGGCATGAGCACTATCATGAGTGACATGATATCAGGGACTAACCGACAAAACAGAACTTTAGCCAGCTTCGGACGATTTGGGTGTGCCGCGTCGTTTCCTGAGGTGTTTCTGTAACCAGTCAATTTGCCGGTATTGGTCCGCACATATGCCTGCCAAGAATCGTTACTATCAATACGTGAAAACCACTTGATGAGTCTTCCGTAGTCCATGAAAAAGCAGAGCCTTGAAAATTGGTGAGGGTTAAACAATACTGGGGAGAATAACAATGCGACCACCGTGACCCAAAACCATAGAAGGGATGGGTGCCAGAAAACAATCGTAGCATACAGCAGGATCAGGAATGATTTGAGGCCGAAATACAAGGCTGAGGGGGCGTAACCAGCATAAAGGACATGGAAAGGTGAGCGTGATGTAGCAAAACCTCGACCAGTCGCAATATACTTGGCTCCACCTAAATTCATATCTTGGATGAAGGACGTGGCATATATTCGGCAAACGAAAATCTCAAACAGCATCGACATTGAGAGAAAGTGGTTACCGATGCGACTGATTGAACGCAAGAATCCCTTTTCGGCAAGCTCCTGGACGAATAGAGGCAGCAAAGTAATAAAAAATACAAGGAAAATTGATACAACACAGCGGTTGACCCAGTGTAAGATAGGCAGAAGGTTTTGGCAATGATCATAATAAAATTCCACCACAGCCGGCATTTTACTAGGGTCGCAGAGAGTTGATGTATACCGAAGTGAAGCCAGTATTAACAAGCATGTCAAGAACAGTTTCAATGAGAAGATGATAAGCACGTTGTTGATGTGGAATCCAGGATGAGCGTAGTAGAACGATATGAACCGGTCAATAGGCAATTGAGTTCCCAAGTAAAAGTACTCACGACTCAGCATCTGTTCCCCCATTCCTGCCCCAATTTTAGAGGTGAAATTGAGGATAGATACAAATCCAAGATCTCGACCCTTGCCACATTGAATGTATTCACTGTGCTTGATTCTGCCACCCCTAGTAAGTGCCATCATACCTGCGTAAATATCCTCGTTGAGATGAAGACCCTTTTGAGCTTTTGAAACACCACCTCTCGTTGTCATGAATACAGCGTTCAGAAAGTCGGGATGACCGTAGTGCAACTTGCTTCCAATTTTAGCCAACGTTCGAGCCGACAAAGTTCCAAATGTTTGTTCTTTACCCGCCGCTACGTCACCCAAGACTCCGATGTTCTCGCTAAAAATATATTCACGTGCCCCCACTATGGCCACTGGTGGAGGAACAAGATCATCTTTGACATATGGATTACTAGGAAGTTCTCTCTCGTCGAACTCCATCAGGACGTTTCTGATCTTAATGCACTCTTCCAAATAATGATCTTGGTTGCTATCAATAAGTTGAATATACTCTCCTCGATAATAAATCAAAGAGTGATTTTGATTATCAGATTTTCCGTCCCCCAGAATTGGATTTCCAGAGATTCTAACTCTGAGTCTTGGTTCTTGATAAGTTCCATTTTCAACACAAGTACTATCGAGAAGCGTTGAGTAAAATGTAGATTCTTCTCCATTTGACCCTTTGATCTCCTCAACATAAACAAGACTCAAATTAGGGAATTGTTGCAATAGAGCAATGACATCGTTGCGCTCTTGCTCGCTGAATGAATCAAAGCGCTGCATAGAAATCAAAAGCCTAAACTTCCTTTGAATCAGACTGTCAATCAAATGTATGATATCTTTCTTGGGCATATAGGCATTCCTAACAGCGTCGTTTTCCGAAAAACACAAAACCTTGATTGCAGTTGCATACTTCATAAAGCCATTGATAGTGCGGTAGAGTGTTTGGGTGTGAGAGGAGCCCCACATTCTCACTCTGTTCGTTTCAACTGGCAGAGATGTGACAAACCCCAACTTTTTGAAAGGAATGTCGAACTTCTCACTCTCAAGGTCGCTACCGATAAGGGTAAAAGGAATATCCGATGGCACCGATTCCTCCGACTCGGATTTCGCAGTTTTATTTGAAACAATATGTTCTCGATACTGAGTAGCCAGCCCGCGGGATTTTTTCACAAAACAGTCCCACTCTGTGGGGTGCAGTCTTTGGAGGTACTCTAATATAGTGACAGTGGAACTTTCATTATCTTGGCGAATAGTTTCTCGCAAAGTTAGGAAAATTTTCTCACTATAATGAGGAACAAGAACGGTGAACGAGGGCATTTCTTGAACTGATATGGGCTCAGGGATTGGTGTGGCCAAAGACTGGGCAAAGAACGAAATACGGCGATGAGCCTCGCAGGTAGCCTTGAAAATCGAGGCTTCTAGACTACGATCTTCTTCGCTGGTGAAGAATGCTGGCTCCACGACAGTACTATCTCCTCCACCAACATGGGCCCGGTGGAGAGTGTACATCAGCTTTCTTGCCTGCTCGGAAGTGAGAAGACTCTCGTCGTACATGCTTTCAATTATAGAGTTCCAAAGCATCTTCAAAGCTTGATCACTTGTAGTTGTGAGTATTTTGGACTTGATTCGTTGCGGAAGTCTAGAGTAGATATTTCTCCACGGAGTCCAGACCGATGCGCCGCCATAGAAGGATATGACGATTGAAACGAGGGTGTTGATGATAACATACCAAAGATAAGTATCCAGCAAAAACAAGACCATATCAGTGATGATTATGCACGTGAGAAGTATGATCGGTATGGTGCGACATAAAATTGACCCAAGTGCTAGGTCTCCTACGCACTTATCAGTGACATTCAGCAAGCTGAGCTCTAGGATGGGATCCTTAAGTGACAATGTCAAAAAGAAATAAGACTCTGTCATTTTGGCTGCAAACACCAAGATTGACACCATCCAAGATATGCTTTGATCGTTTTTGGTCAATTCCTGGAAATCAGAGGTGAACAGCTTATTGGGAAGAAACCGTCTTTTTGTTGCCTTGAATCGAGCTCCTAGCAAAGAGCCAAGCGGTGTGATGCCAAAATATAGCGTATAAAAAAATGCAAGGGCTAACTGAAATGATGAGAGTACCGTGGCCAATGTATGAGGAGAGTCCCATGGTGTAAAGAATAGCGTAAAACCCGATGGTGCAACGATGATCACAAGCATGGCAGTTGTCACCAGCAAGCGTGGAAGCACAGGTTCAGAGCCAGCAAAACTTCTCGGGACAAACCACAGCTCAAGAAGTAGGGCAGTAATAGTAAGTAGCGGCCCAATAGCACCTCCTAGAGATACTATTGAGAGCCGTATGTGATTTTGTGGTTCACTCTCGTGTCGCCCATAATTGGGAGTATAAAGTGGGGCAGAATTGAATGATGTATAGTACCAGAATACACTACCATGGATGATCCAGATGCGAGAGAAGTTCAAGACGAGATGCAACCAAGTACGAACCTCCTTGTAAGTTTTTTGGAAAGAAGACGCCCAATCCACATTTTGCAAAGCGAGGAATCGTTCGCCTCGAGGCAAATTCAATAACAGATTTTCACCTGACTTGATTTTTTCTAAACTCTTTCTATACCAAAAGAGTTGATTCATATCATCATACCCAATGATGTGCTGATGATCGGCTTCACGCTTCTTGTGTTTTCCGTCTACGCAATCAAAATTTTGACTTCGGTAGCATTTGTACAAGGGTGTGATAACATTTTCAAGATAAAAGTACTCTGGTAGCTCCTCCTTGGCAACTGGATAGTAATCGCGCGCACACTTATAGATGAAGGCTAAACATTCGGGCATATACCGCACTTGGTTAGCCTCACCCCAGCACATGAGATAGATAATCAAATCCAACATACGGTCTTCATCTGAGAGATCCTGCATCCTTTGAATCCAGTTCAGCTCAGACTGATCTAATGTTAGCTCTTCGTCCGTATATGATATGGTGCTTGAGGCTAGCCCTTCCGATGTTACACTTGTGGGAGACACGGCACCATCTTTTTTCTCGTCATTTATATCGACTTTGCGAAAGTTGTACTTGTTGGTCAAAGTCTGGACATCAGAGTCTACATCTGACCTTAAGACTACAAACTCGCGTCGCTTAGAGCCCTTGCTCGTGGGAGAGTCAGCCCCGTTGGCACTGGGGTACAACTCGACATGATCCAATAGATCCATTTGAGAGCCCAAGATCCATTTCCTGTAGTTTGAGTTAGGTCCACCGATATAATCTGCGTGTAACGATCTGAGGGCAACGTCTGGGTCACTTCGCGATGCACGGCTATCGAGCTGGCTCATCAGAAGTTCGAATATGTTAATTTCAGAATGAAACTGAAAACCGAACACTTCTCGAACTTGATCAAACATACAGGCGATCTGCTTCACTTCAATGGGCGTGACTTCGGGCTTTTGACACACATGGGGCCGATCAGAACCTTTCAGAACACTAGAAGGAGTTTCAACCGCGCATAGCGAGTCATCTCTGCGCTCACGCTTATTCCATGCTGGAAAGCTGTTCTCGTTCCAATGCACGCCAAACGTGAGCTTTGAAACAATAGGATTTCCGTCCGCATTGACCCGCGCGCTCGATGTGAACACCCCAGGAGTGATTGCTGGTGTAACGGGCGTGCCCTCAGTGTTCCAATGGGTTGACTCAAAGTCGTCTGTTCCAGACTCCAGTGCACTATCCTCCTCATCAACTGTTTTTGAGCTTTCGCTATCCGACATCTCGTGAACAGGCTAACACAAGATTCGTTTGTTGTCGTTTTTAAATAGCACAACAACAACACACGACTGTTCTAGTCAACTGGTCTATTATGTTACACTACTCATCATGAGAAGGGGACTCTACAATTGTTGCCTCGAAGGCATATTTTCCCATGATCTGATGATTTCCGTTTACCTAATGAGCATCAGCCGGTATCCGCGACATGTTCCACTGAACGCTTTCCAACGGGCCTTTTTGTTTGCTAGTTCTGGCATTGCCGCATTGATCAATCCTCGCCGCCATGATCTGGTTGCCACGTTTGGAGAAATGACAATGCAGCCCTTTTTCGCTGAGCGGCTCCGGAAGGAAATGCTCAGCGACAAAGTGGGCCGGCAGCTGCTGAGGGAACGACCAAGAATCACATCAAAATCACTAGATATCGACTATCTGAGACAACTTCCCGCCAACACAGTGGGCAGACAGTATGTGGAATGGCTGGATCGCGAGCATGTCTCTCCAGATACTCGGCTAGATGTGCGGTTCCTGGATGACCCTGAATGCGCGTATGTGATGCAGAGATACCGCGAATGCCACGACTTTTATCACTCAATTACAAAGCTGCCGGTATTTATGGAAGGTGAGATTGCTGTCAAGGCGTTTGAGTTTGCTAACCTCGGTATCCCCATGACCGGGCTTGCGGCTTTTTCGGAGCCCTTCAAGCTAAAGAAGCAGGCGGCAAGAGACCGTATGTGGAGCATCTACATCCCTTGGGGTCTTGCCAATGGTGCCTTCTCTAAACCTCTCATCAACGTATACTGGGAGGAGCAGTTGGAGCGCGATGCAGACGAGCTTCGCTCTGAACTGGGCATTGCTTTGCCGCCTGATCTGCGGACCCTTCGCAAACGTCACCGCAACAAAATAAATAAAAAATAATTTATCTAATTAATTGGGCACAGCCTAGAAATACACTGAAAGCGCCGTTGGATCAACCACATGGCTTTGTCATGATGGAGGGGCAGCAGAAACGCCTACGGGCGGCTTGTTCAGAGGCCAAAGACCTGGCGTACGCTCCCTACTCGAAATTTAGGGTTGGAGCCGCGGTTCTGTATGGCGATAATACGATTGTGAAAGGCGCGAATGTTGAGAACGCCAGTTTTGGTGCGGGGCTATGTGCAGAACGGAGTGCGTTGGTGACAGCTCGAATGGAAGGCAAGGACTGCCAAATCAAGGCTATTGCCGTGACTACGGACACAGAAGAACTAGTTAGTCCTTGCGGTATTTGCCGTCAATTCATTAGAGAATTTTCAGAGCCCGAACTTCCCATCTATATGTTTACAAACAGCGGCGACCTTACTGTCCGAACCCTGGGCGAGCTGCTTCCGCTGAGTTTTGGTCCGGATAATCTGTTGAGTCGAGGGGGTTGAGGGCCGTGACAGCTCAAGTTCTAGCGTATGTGTTAGTTAATTATTCTGTAAACATTGATCTCGGCTATTTAGAGTAGTACAGCTAAAACTACGCGTGCATGCGGCTGAAAACACTTTATGATTAACGAAAAAGACACATGAAGCGCGCGGGCCAGTGACCGCATAGGTATCAAGCGGGCTAACGGTGGGAGTCATACGGGGGCCTCCTACGAAGCAGGGAACGCTTTTAGAGACAGACAGATGCGTTTTGAGGCCTTCAAATACTGCCGGAGATAGCTATGGCGAAAATAATCCGGAAAAGAAGTCTTTTTTTTCGCCAAGAAACCTGCATCCCAGAATACGTGCAGAGAATACAGTCACGAATTCGTGTGCGGCATATAAGCTGATCATCAGCTCGCTGCAGGATGCACAACACCACTTCTACTGCGGATAGTTGACACACCTAAAGTTCACGGTCCAATGATAACCGATCTCGATGCGCCAGGAACTTTTCCCCTGTAGATAGTAATTGAAAACAATAATTTAGAGAATTATTTTGGCTACAGCGTAGGCCGGGTAGACAGCACTTGTGCGGGACAAGGCATGGGATGAGAAAAGCGGGCGGGGAACCAACTTAGAGTGGGCATAATTTGTTCCGCCCACCTTAGGCAAGGTTGACGAGAAAATGGTGGGGTCTAGTGGTTGTACAGCCACGAAAAACAGAGTAAGCTGTTCCTGAAGCGAGTGGCCAATATCATAATTAACTTTGTACATTTCTGACGGAAAAAAACGTGGTTGCGCCGGGTTGATTCTAGGTTTCACGACTGGCTCAATGTGCGGCTACAGATCCATGCAGGGCGAAAAACCTACTACATATGTGCTGCCGAATTCAGGAGGACGATAAAAGCCAGTGGTTTGCCGACCACGAAACTCAACATCGTCCCAGTCACTTATTTTTCACTCGATAAATATCTTTCCGACTGCCACTGAACTTCAAAGAGCCGTGAAGATGTCGTCGCCCGGATCACCAGACTTGGCAGGAACGGAGAGATGGGGCGAGTCGGTACTAAAGTCCTCACGCCAACCCACTAGCGCTAAACTCATAGAGTACAGCATGCCTTCCTGCTTTTCAAGCGACAGTGTATTAACAGGTGATAATTCTACTGAAAACACAGAATACAATCGATGTGTTGATGATGACTACCTAGTAAAACAGTATAAACCGCCCGCTCGACAACCTTCGGGACGGAACCTGCCTGCAGCGACCGAGTCACGTGATGACGTAACATCCGCTGCTGACCACCTGCCGCGTGATTATAGGCTAAGAGGCCGAACGATGGTAAGAGTAGCACCGTCTGCACTGAGAAAGCGCCCTCAATACAGAGACTGCCCCAGGCGAAGACCTGGCATAAGTCCTAAATCCTATTGATAGATTTTGCATAAAGGCTACATAGCAAGCCAAGAAATTCATTTGTGTTGTTAAAATTTCCGGCTTTTCCCAGATTCCCTCGGGCCAGTTCGTTTCAAAAAAAATAAACGAGCGGGGCCCAAATATTGCGCCGAAGCTTGAATGTCAGTCGGTTCAAGTACGTCGTTCTACACGTAAAATTAACCTTCAGATATGAATTTCAATATAATCGGTGGCATTTTAGTTCAACGGTGTTTCGAGATAGACTCCATCTGCGGCATTTTCTGAAGCGGGGACTAGCATGCTTGAACATGAATGAAACAAATAGAGTTCGTGGGTGGAAGGTCCCAAGAGGGTTTCAAGATAAACTTTTTAAATAACCAGGGCCTCCGAAAAAACCCGCATCTGCTAATATGCGGCGGATAGCAGCCAATGGGTCGAGTGGCCAATTGAGATAAATAGAACTCAAGTCTTTAGCGAGGCTGCGAACAGGTCCCGTTTCGGGGTACAGTTGATATCTGCATTGGTCGTACTTGCATACTGCAGAGTCAAATCGGCAGATCGTATCTGGAGCTTCTCCCACCGGCCAAGACAGGTTTTTAGGGTGCGAACCCAAAACAAAAGAAAGCAACTAAATTTTGAGAATAGCAGTAACCAATTTCATTATTTTGGTATTTTATTTCACAGAGTATAAGACTAAGAGCTGTCAAGTCTAATGCAGATCCACCGAAACCTCTACCGTATACAGCCTGCATCATGCTACCTCCCCTATTGAGACATGCCGGTCGGCGGTTCCATGAAGATTGGGGCTGAGTATGATAGTTCCAAAACGCTGGTTTTGGAAGAATGAAAAATGAGTTGTAATTATTCGTCGCATTCTGAACTTGTGTAGAAAAAGTTTGGACCTCAGCTTTTGCCCAAGCCCCTCAATAATCCGCAGCGGCCGGATCATCCACCTCAGGTGGGTGCAGATCCATGCACGTGGGCTCATGCAGCTAAATTAGGTACTGACGAGACTCTTTTAAGGACGGTATTTCCTAGTGAATTTCTGAGAGAAAATCAAGTTTAAATGGAATACACTATGGCCCCAGAGCGGGAGTACCTTAGTGATACTGCACACTTGATCATCTCTGATCCCGGACAATTCTCTACGCCAAAACAGCGCTCGCCAGCCTTTGACATCGCTTCACACAGCCAGTTCTTCAGCACCCCACAGTGGGATGAGAAACATAGTGCGTGCAATGTGAACTTTGCTGGCCTGCCTCTTCTACCTCCCCCTCAGATATCCCCCAAAGACTCTTATCCTGTTGAAAAGTTCAGACCCTCGGACGTATCAATGAGCTACCAATACTCCCCACCCATTACTCCTATTGAACAGCTTATCCCTGAAGACTTGAGCATGCCTCCCACTGCCCCTATCCCGTTCGACTTGTACGGAGGATCCAGCACTTTATTCTCCTCAAGCAGTCAGACGACACTACAAATCAGCGGCGTCAATGTGACGTTAAAAGCATACTACAGTGATGTTGTACGCTCGCTCAGTAACACTAAGCCAATAATCGACTGCCGTTTGGAGTTGAAAGTGCCAAACTTTGTATTTGACGATAGACTGGATCGGGTCTCTGGCAATGAGGTGAGATACTCTAGCGTTGCAGTGGTCTGTGACGAGCTAGTTAATGCAACACTTGTTGGAAACAACATAATTCTATGGCAGAATGATAGTGTTGTCCGCACAATTAGCACGACTCGCGATATCAGCTCCCTGTTCCATGACGAGACCTCCAAGACAATACACTTTCAATTTGTTGACGGTCAGAAATTCGACCTGAAACTGCTCCATCGCGACGACATGAACTCCTGGTTGCAGTGTCTGCTCAACCCCTTTGTGCGTATACGCACAGGAAATAATACCTTATTTACTGCCCCTGCTAATTCATCTCAAGATTTGCTCTCGCCGTTCAGCATATCATATACCCCGCGGAAACAGCTGAATCTTGTGCTAATTCTACCTCATCCTGAGCTTTTGGGGGTTCCTATCGGTGCCCTGGAGGGCATGGTGTCCACTGCCTTGGGCAACATGGGCCTGTTCGATCGCCTCGCCGTATCATTCTATGGATTTGCCGAAGAGATCACCACCGGTTTCCACAGGTATGGCTCGGCAATCTGGCAAAACGGTACCTGGCTCAAAAATCTACTTTACGATGCCAAAGACCGAAACATTCTTCCGAGCAAACAAAGCAGTGTTTGGAATGCATCACAAATGGTCAACAGTGACAAAGTTTCGTCAAACGCCGAAGACAGTGTCTACGCCATTGCCCTTGTGAGCACCGGACATGACAATACCAGTACACCAGAATCAATGCAGCTACCGTGCAAAATTGTTGGGTCGTTTTACAGCATCTCAGTCAACGGAACTGCAGCAAGCTCTATTGAGCATCTGGCCATGCGGTCGAACGGAGGATTCACCGACGCCAAAACTTTTGAAGACGCCAAAGACGTGCTGGCTGACTTTGTACAGTCAGAGCGCTGCTGCGTGGATACTAATGTGGGAATTGGGATCAAACTGAACGGAAATGCCACGATCCGTTCGCTGTCCTTGCGGCGCGGCAACTACGACGAGTTCGATGTTGACCAAGTGAAACAGCCCATGGGAAGTAGGGCTCTATGTCCTATTGGCCACATTCGGGAAAACGAAACATACTGCTTAGATCTGCAAATTGAGGCAGATCCTAATACAATTGGCGGAGCCGTCGCATCTTTTGAAGCATTTTTGAAGCGAGGGTGGTCTCCCAACCCTGAAAATCAGAGTGCACCTGTTCAAATACAAACGTTTGTAGAGGCCATGCCTTTCTATAGAACCAACTAATTTATGATGATGCCGCCTGCTGTTGTTGCTGCATTTGCTGTTGTAGTTCCTGTGCTTTGAGCTGGAGCTCCGCCTGCTTTTCTTGGAGGCTTGTTTGTAAGGTTTTGATGCGGTCTTCAACCGAAGCGATCTGCTTTTGAATGAAGTCCATGCGTTTGGAAACATTTGAGTCGGCCTCAGCTTTGTCTTGGGGCACTAACACGGGGCCAATCATCTTGAAAATCTTGGCCTCGTCGTCGAGCTGGTCGAACTCGAGTTTGACGATCTTCGATTCCTGCAGTTGGGTTTCCAGTCTTTGGCGTTCGCCCACGGTTTGTTGCAAGTCCTGCTTTTGCTTGTTCAGCTCGTTCGCGAGCTCCTGAAGCGCAGGTGGAAGAGACATGTCCTAAGAGTGCACGAGTAGTCTGAAAGCCTCTCCAGCTGACAGATCACTCAAATGCTATTCAAGGATTTGACAGAGCTGCCGCCACCGCGGTATGCGATGGACGATGATGAGGAGGAGATCCCAATGGTAGAGACCGAGTACGAATTGACGTTGGAAGGCGGAGTGGGCTCGCTAAACACGCTGATTGTGGTTGCGCCCCAGGTAATTGGATTGAGAAGTGAGCTAACGCGAACGCTGCTGGCGTCGGTGATTTTGACAATAACGCAAACGACAGCACAACATTATGCACAGGATTTTGATGAACAGGAAGTAGACTTTGAATTGAGCAGAAACAGCCGCACCATCAAAGCATCTATTCACAGCGGTCCCGGCAACTCTGCTCTACTGGCATTGCCCATACTAGGCGCGGCAGAGGCGGCTTTCTTCGCCAAAAGTTTGATGAGCAAACTCACCACCGAGCAAATCATTGTTGCGGCTCCTGGCACAGTGTTTGATGGGGTGCCAGTGTGCTGCGTGGGCACAAGCTCTGCCCAAATGCCCGCCGGTGTTCCTGCAGCAGTTCCGCCAGTGATCATACAAGGGGCCGCGGCGGCATTTTTGTCACAGGCACAGCAGCGCGGGATGCCCGCAGTAGGTTATATTGTTAGCAGCGACGGGCCCATGAATCACGAGGCCATTCTTCCCTCCCATTACGATGCATTACGACAGGCTCTTCACGGTAGTTTAGACATTGATCCCCAAGCAGGACCTGAGGTATCTACATTGTACGTTTAATATAAAACAAAGCGGCTGAAAATTATATAAAAAAAAAGATAGCTTATTTCTTGCTCTTCTTCTTTTTGGGAGTCTCTTCGCCGTCCTCGGATGAGCGCTTTTTCTCCTTCTTTTCTTTCTTTTCTTTCTTGTCCTTCTTGTCCTTCTTGTCTTTCTTTTCCTTCTTCTTTTCCTTCTTTTCCTTCTCCTCTTCCTCGCTGAGCTCCTCGTCAATCATCTCGACATCCTCATCTTGGTCGATTTGGACCTTGACGCGGCTCAGAGCATCGTTCATGGCGTCAACGTTCTTGATAGGGGGCTTGCCCGTCTCAAAGAACTGCAGGCGCTCCTCCATCTGCTGCTTGAGCACTTGGCCAAACACATTAGTAGGCTCGTTGGCGAACGAGTCAATACGCGATGCAATAGAGCACTTGTTGGCGAGGAATCTTGAGATCCGGCCCTTGTTTTTGGCACCCGCCTTGCTGATGAAAGACGAGTGGTAGATGAGACCATATTTGGGGGTATTGCCCTTGGTCTTGAGGGCACGGAAAAGAGCCTTCTCGGCGCCGAGAATCTGGACAGTAGAGGCAGGGTACTTGGACAAGTTGATGAGAGAACCGGCATGGGAGATGAGGCGGGCACCAACCATTTCACCAATGAGCTCGGACAAGTTAGGAGCAACAGTGTGCATCTTGTCGGTGAGATAGGCGTAGAGTTGAGCACGGAACTCGGTAATCTCGACGACGCGCTCAGCAAGCTCAACAACACACTCCATGTCGGTCTCGCTAAGATCGGAACCCATGGAGATCTTGGCAGCAGCAATGACGTTCTCGGCCACAGCCTCGTCATCATTAACAAGTGCAGCAATGTCGTGCTTCTTGTCATCGTCAAGAGTGGATTTGTTGCGGATCAGGCACACCAAGGCAGCAAAATCGTGGTTGTCGGGAACAATGCTCTTGAGCTCAGGGAAGTGCCAGCCGTACCACTCCTTAATACGCATAGCATAAATATTAATATCCTTGTCAAGCTGATCAAGCAAAGCAATAGCCTGGATGATATGGTTGTCGTTCTTGGTCACGCTGAACTTGACTTTCGAACGAGAATAGGCATGGCCCAGACCAAGCTGAGCACGCTCCAAATCGCCGTCTTCAAGGCCCTTGAGAAGCTTGTCGCCAAACAACCGAATACCGCGGATCAGATCCTGGATACCCTCGTTGGAAACAGTGTCAACATAGGGGAAAGAGTCCTTGATGCTCTGACCCAGGTTTTTGTCTGAGATACCAAGAGAAACTTTGGACTTTTTGGAGGCCTTGGGCAAGTTGAGCTCAAGAAAAGACTTGAGGTACTCATTCACAATACCCTCAGAGATATCGTTGGCATTCTCAAGCGCCTGGGCGGCCCCTTTGAAAGGAGTGAACGAAACAAGCTCGACCATCTTACCGAACTTGCCAAGATCCGTCGCGGCATCCTGCACCTCCTTCAGGCGCGAGCCAATATCTTCCGGCTTGATACCAACTTTGAAAAGCGCATAGCCCGTGGCCTCTTCAAACAAGACGTAGTCGGCCATTCGAGGAAGAATTGAAAATTTCTGATTACGAGATTTTCGATCTTTTTAGAGGGCGCACTCCCAAAAATTTTTTTTTTCGCCTGCTCCCTGTTTAACCCTTGCCCGGGGCTCTCTGCGTTTATCATCATGAAATGCAGCGGGGCTGATTGTGCGAACGAAGCAGGCTCACTCAAATGTCCTGTTTGCTTGAAGCACGGGATCGAGAGCGCCTATTGTAGTCAGACATGTTTCAAACGCAACTGGGCGCTCCATAAGGCCACACACCCTTCTGAGGATGGCGAAACGTATGATCCGTTCCCCAAACAGGCTTACACTGGAGAGATCAGAGCGGTGTATCCGCTAGCACCTCGTCCCGAAATCAAGGAAAGCATTGCCAAACCGGATTATGCCGACACAGGGTTCCCCAAAAGTGAGGTGGAGGAGCAACGGTCGCATATCCGGGTTCTTGACGCCGATACTATTGCCAAGATGCGGGCGGTGTCTGCACTGGCCAGAGAGATCACTGATATCGGTGGCCGGGCCGTAAAACCTGGCGTGACTACCGAAGAAATTGACCGCATCGTCCATGCGGCGTGTATGGAACGTGGTTGCTATCCATCGCCTCTGAATTATTATAACTTCCCCCGCAGCTGCTGTACATCCGTCAATGAGGTGATTTGCCATGGCATCCCCGATAAGCGTCCGCTGGAGGATGGCGATATTATCAACTTGGATATTACGGTTTATAAAGACGGTGTTCACTCCGATATGAATCACACATACTATGTTGGAGACAAGGCACGAGCGAACCCAGACGCAATCCGGTTGATCGAGGGCACCCGGCAAGCCCTTGATGCTGCGATTGCTCTCGTCAAGCCGGGTGCGCTGTTCAGGTCGTTTGGAGACGAGATTGAAAAGGTCGCTAAAAAATTCGGCCTGTCGGTGGTGAGATCCTACACTGGCCACGGCATTCACGAGCTATTCCACGCTGCCCCCAACATCCCGCACTACGCCAACAACAAAGCGGCCGGCATTTGCAAACCAGGAATGTGCTTCACTATTGAGCCTATGTTAAATCTCGGAACCTATCGCGACAAGTCGTGGCCCGATAACTGGACGGCGGTGACTGCCGACGGCAAGTGGTCTGCTCAATTCGAGCACACGCTTCTTGTTACCGAAGACGGTTGCGAAGTTCTCACTGCCAGAAACAAGCGCTCTCCCGGAGGTCCTCTCCCAGTCCCTAAAAAGCTGCTTGCCTAGGGGACGTGTGTAAATATATAAAAAATGAACATCGCGTCAGCAGGTCGCAACATGCCAACCACCAAGAGCCTACGCTATAACGATTCGGAGGCAATAAAGCAGCTAGACTACTTTGCCGACAACCGGAATTTGGCAGCCATTATGAAAAACGGCTTTCCGAACGGTGAGCAGACGCTGCGAATAAGCCTGACCGACGAGGTTGACCAGCAACCCCAGGCGCCCCGCCCGCATCGCATTTTGGAAAAGCTAAAGTGGCACAAAAAGAAATAAAAGCTACCGTTTGAGTCGCAGCACTAAATCGTGGCCAAAGCCCCACCCGGTACTCGGTCTAGCGAAAAAAACCCTAATCTGCACCTTGTTTAAACCCAGCTGATCTGGGGCAACACCTCCCATGACTCTACGGTCGCATTTAGCAACATCGTCCAAGACCCGAAGAGGGTACCACAAGCGGAGAAGCATTAATGGGGCGCAATTGACGTCGTCCTTTAATACCATGGCCAGGGCGACTCCAGAAAGCTCCACCTCCTCCGATAACATAGACAGCGACGCCACAGTGGCTACAGAAGAGGCCGGTATCACTATGGAAGATGTACCACCGCCCAGCAGGCGTTTTAGCTCGCTCCGCAGAAGCAACAGCCAGCGCCGGTCGTCGTTCTTGGGGCTAAGCATGCGCAAAGAGCGCACCATGCACCACGAAACAGGAGAGTACGATAGCAATGGCGAGCCCACATACATTGTCCGCGTGTCCGAAGCTCAGGGATTCAAATGGAACCCCCTGTTGACCGACGTTTTTGACGAGTTAGATTTCGAGTAGATACCCCCTTTCCTTTTTAATTTATTATCATACCCTCTTCGAATTTCTCCCTTAGTCATGAGTCTCCAGTTGGTGAATCCAAAGGCTGAATCGCTGCGGCGCAACCAGGCGCTGGCAGTAAACATTAATGCTGCTCAGGGGCTTCAGGCGGTTGTTGCGTCCAACTTGGGTCCAAAGGGTACCGTGAAGATGCTTGTGGACGGTGCAGGCAACATCAAGCTCACTAAGGATGGCAAGGTTTTACTGTCTGAGATGCAGATCCAGAATCCCACGGCCATTATGATTGCCAGAGTCGCTTCTGCTCAAGACGAGATCACTGGCGATGGTACTACCTCGGTTGTGCTTTATGTCGGCAGCATCCTTCGGGAGGCCAACCGTTTCATTGGCGAGGGTGTCCATCCTCGAGTGATTACTGACGGTATTGAGGTTGCTCGCCAGGCCACTCTACAATTTTTGGAAGGTTTCAAGACACCTGTTGAAATCGACCACGAGCTCTTGCTCCAGGTGACGCGCACGTCTATTGCTACAAAGTTGCGTCCGCTTCTTACCGAGCACCTGGTGCCTATCATTACCGATGCAGTGATGACGGTTTGGGATCCCGAGCATCGTCTGGATTTGCACATGGTCGAGATCCAGAAGATGCAGCAACAGTCTGCTTTGGAAACTCGTCTCGTCAAAGGCCTCGTATTGGATCATGGCCCCCGCCACCCCGACATGCCTCGCCATGTTGAAAACGCTCATCTTTTGATTCTCAACGTCTCGCTCGAGTACGAGAAAACCGAGGTCAACAGCAGCTTCTACTACTCGTCTGCAGAGCAGAGAGATAAGCTTGTGGCCAGCGAGCGCAAGTTTGTTGATGCTAAGCTGCAAAAGATCGTCGAGCTCAAGCAAGCCGTCTGCAAGGAAGGCGAGTCGTTCGTGATCATCAACCAGAAAGGTATCGACCCCATGTCACTGGATGTTCTTGCTCGCCACGGGATCATGGCGTTGCGTCGTGCTAAGCGTCGTAATATGGAGCGTTTGCAGCTCATTACCGATGGTATCGCGCAGAACTCGGTTGACGATTTACGTCCTGAGATTCTTGGTTGGGCTGGTCTTGTTTACGAGCAAATCATTGGTGAGGAAAAGTACACATTTGTCGAGAATGTCAAAAACCCCAAGTCGGCAACTATTCTCATCAAGGGACCCAACCAGTACACCATCACCCAGATCCAGGACGCTGTTAGAGACGGACTGAGAGCAGTAGCAAACACTATTGGCGACAAGCACTTGGTCCCGGGCGCAGGCGCTTTCCAAATTGCCGCACATGACTATCTCGTCAAGAATCATGCCAAGAGCAAGAACCGGGCCGGTGTTTTGGTCTTTGCAGAGGCTCTGCTGTCCATCCCCAAGACCTTGGCCGCCAACGCAGGCCTAGATGTGCTCGAAGCCCTCAGCGAGGCCCAGGACGAATACGCCAATGGCCACGTTGTAGGCATTGATCTGGCGACCGGCGAGCCCATGGATCCCACTGTAGAGGGTATCTGGGACTCCTACCGAGTGGTACGCAACTCCGTGTCGTCGTGTGTTGGAATTGCCACTAATTTGTTACTGTGCGACGAGCTGCTCAAGGCAGGTCGGTCGTCGCTTAAATAGTCGCTATAGCAAGGAAACAAAAGGCAAAGTTATCTCTAGTGAGCAATATATATAGATTCAGCGGTCCTGGGCCCACTCGTGTTCACGGCGGATCTGGGCCTCTTCTTCAGGAGTAAAGTCATTTTCAATATTGAAGGTCTTGCGGATCTCCTCGGGCGATTTGTTTTTGATCATATTGGCCACGGTGCGGCACCCGACCTCCAGGAGGGGGCGAATGTCCAGGTAGTTTGCGGTAAGAATGATCTCAAAGAGCATTTCTTGGTCTACCTGCAGAAACTTCTGGTCCCACTGAGAGATTTCGGTAGCCTTGGCCCGGGCAATTCCCTCGTCGCTGCTCACATACGCTGGATCGTTTTTGTGGTGCTCACAATACTCGATAACTTTCTTGAGAACATTCGCTTGGACATTGGGCACGGGCACATCAGTGACATCGTCTCCAATATCTTCCATCATGTTCTTGAGAAGCATCGACTTCTCTGCGACTTCTATATCAACCTCATAAGTCACATTGTCCGCAGATGTCAATCTCACTTTTCGCGACATGGTTGCAGAATGCCACAACTCGGCTGAGTAACCGGTGGCCAACACCCCCCTCATCAGACAGGGCGACATCTAGCACCAACTGTCAGCAAAAACGCATCAACCTCGTTGACATCCGCAAAACTCCAGAATGAGTGTCACACAGTCGTTAACGTTGCGGGACAAGCAATCGAAGGCTCTGGAATTGCTCCTGAACTTTAATGGCTCTGACAATTCCACAGGCCCTATTTGGAAGGTGCTGGTTTTCGATAGTGTTGGCCGCGACATTATCTCGAGTGTCTTGCGCGTCAACGACCTGTTTCGGAACGGTGTTACGCTGTATATGCTAGCCGCGAGCGAGAGGCATGCGCTCTCTGATGTACCGGCGATTTATTTTGTTGAACCCACAGAAGAGAATATCGCGCAAATAGGCAAGGACGTCGTTCGCGGTCTTTATCAAAGCTGGAGTATCAATTTCACAAGCCCGCTCAGTCGCAGCCAACTTGAAGACTTGGCATCAAAGACCTTGCACAGCTCGGCAAAAATCAATCAAGTTTACGACCAGTATCTTCAGTTCTGTATGCTCGAGTCTGACATTTTCAGTTTGGAACTGCCCAACGTGTATCGCGATTTTGCAAACCCAAGAGCGACTGATGATGATATTAATAGCTTGGTAGCAAAGATCGTCAACGATCTTTTCTGTGTCGTAATGACTTACAATGCCGTGCCGATTATCCGGGCTTCGCGTGGAAACGCAGCAGAGTCAATTGCTCAAATGCTGGACGAGAAAATTAGAAGCTATCTGGGTAATCCCCGGTCGGCTGCATTACGCGATTCAACGGCTAGCAGACCGGTTCTGCTTATTGTTGACCGTAATATCGACTTGGTGTCTATGTTTACCCACTCGTGGACCTATCAGTCTCTTATCAACGACGCCTGCGAGTTCCAGCGTAACCGTATTACTATCAAAGGTGAAGATGGCAAACGCACAGCATACGACCTGGATCCCACGGACTTTTTCTGGGGCGAAAACAAAACTTTACCGTTCCCTGATGTCGCAAATAATATTGATGCGGCACTGAACAAATACAAGGCGGATACTCAACGATTGACTGGTGGTGCCGATATCAGCGAAATCGAGCCGTCTGCTGCTCACTTAAAATCTGCAATGGACGAGCTTCCGGAACTGACACAACGTAAACAGGTCATTGACATGCATATGAACATTAGCACCGTTCTTCTTAAGGCCATCACAGACCGGGGTCTTGCTCAACTTTTCGACGCTGAGGAGACTGCCGCGGGCTCCTCAAAGCAAGAGATTTTGGAACTCATTCAAAACAAAGAATTCTTGAACGCAGAAGATAAACTTCGTCTCTACATGGTGTACTTTATTGTGTCCAACAACTTGTCGCCTGCCGATCAGCAAGAGTTGGAAGCAGCGTTGACCGAACAGGGCTGTGATCTCGCTGCGCTAGCTCATGTCAAACGCAGCAAAGAACTGTCTAAAATGTCGTTGCTGGCCGGCAGTGCCAATACGGCAGAGTCGCACCAGGGCGACTTGTTGAAGCGGGTTGGCGGCATGACATCTAAATTGACGGAAAAACTCAACCAGGGCTCGCTCTCCGGCTCGTTTGGTGGTATTATTTCCGGTATCAAGAACTTCTTGCCGGCCAATAAAGATCTCCCTCTCACAAAGATTGTGCAGAGTATTTTGGATTCCACAGCATCATCTTCTGTTTCTTCAGTGACAGATGACTACCTTTGCTTCGATCCGAAGGAGTCTCGAGGCTCACGCTCAAGACCCCCCAAGCGTGGCAGCCATGACGAGGCTATTGTTTTCACGGTTGGTGGTGGTAATTATTACGAGTACGCCAATGTCCAAAACTGGGCCGCTAAAGTTGGAACTAAAAAAATCACCTACGGGTCTACATCATTAGTGGCACCAACAAAGTTTGTTCAAGAATGTGCTGAATTAGGTCGAATGGTGTAAGAGTATCTAAGTTAAAAGGGACCCCTCCGCAGATGATGTAAACGCTCCCCGCATTATGACTGACTATCACTTCAATTCGCGCCGTTCGGTAGTTCATTCGACAAAAGGTATCTGTGCTGCTACTCAACCCGTTGCTGCAGCTGCTGGTGTCAAAATTCTAGAACAAGGCGGCAATGCTGCTATGGCTGCCGTCGCCATGGCCGCGGCAATGGGAGTTGCCGAGCCTATGATGACTGGTATCGGTGGTGATGTGTTTTGTTTATACTATGATGCCAAAACTCAATCGGTTTCTGGCTTCAATGGTTCGGGCAAATCTGCTAAAGATATTGTAGCCGACGATTTGAAGGACTTGAACTCAAAGCACCTCCCGGCAACTTCCCCACTAAGCGTCAACGTTCCGGGGGCTCCCGCAGGTTGGTGTGATATTGTTGAGAAATGGGGTAACGACAAACTCAATTTGACTCAAATCCTTCAGCCTGCTATTGATATTGCCAGAAATGGATTTGGTGTTGCCGAAATCTGCGCTCAGCTTTGGAAAGACTCCGAGCCGAAACTGCAAAGCAGTGCGAATGGCCACGAACTTTTGGTAGACGGGAAACGCGCGCCTACTGAAGGAGAATTGTTTGTAAATGAGAACCTTGCCAAAGTTTACGAGGCAGTTGGCAAACATGGCAAGAAGGGCTACTATGACGGCCCAATTGCCGATGCTATCGTTGAGGCTGTTCAGTCTTTGGGTGGTAAACTCAGCCATGAAGATTTGAAAATTCATGAAAGTTTGATCTTGGAACCCATCACTATGCCAATTGACGACGAGGTCACTCTACACGAATTACCACCCAACAACCATGGGTTGGTGGCTTTGTTGGCAATGGGAATCATTCACGAACTTGCCGAAGAGAAGAAGATTGACCTTAAATCCATGAAACATAACTCTGCCGAGTATATTCATTTGCTCACTGAAGCGTTGAAGTTCGCTTTCAAGGATGCCGACCATTATATTGGTGATCCCCATGAAATCGATTTCAACGTCAACGATCTTCTGGGTAAGAAATTCTTGCAGTCGCGTGCTAAACTTTTTAGTGCCTCCAGCGTCAACAAAAACTATGAGCATGGTGTGATCAACCCGGCCAATTCCTCTGACACGTCCTATTTCACCGTCGCCGATTCCGAGGGTAACGCTTGCTCGATTATTGCGAGCGTTTATCATGGATTCGGATCTGGCATTGTGCCCAAGGGCTGTGGGTTTGCCCTTCATAACCGTGGCTGCAACTTTAATCTCAAGCCCGGCACTCGTAATACTTTGGCAGGAGGAAAACGCCCCTACCACACTATTATTCCGGCCATGTTAACCAAAGGTAAGGAGCTGTATGCTGCCTATGGTGTTATGGGAGGGTTCATGCAGCCTCAGGGTCACGTTCAGGTCGCTCTCAACATGCGTCTGTTCGGCATGAACCCTCAGCAGGCATTGGATGCCCCTCGCATTTGCTTGGGCCCCTATCCCGACAAGCCAGAGATCCCCACCACCGATGAGGTTCTCGTGAACTTGGAAGTGGGTATTGACGCAAAGGTTGTTGCCGACCTAGAGGCTATGGGCCACAAAGTTCGCGTGCTCGAGGGTGCCGACAGAGCTCTCTTTGGCCGCGGGCAAGTGATCCAGCAGTCCAAGCAAAACGGAAAAATTGTGTATCATGCTGGCAGTGATCTGCGCGGTGACGGTGCTGCGATTCCGCAGGTTTAAAAAATAGCAAATTATATCAAATTACACCAAGTAAGAGCTGTCACCCTGGACGGTCTTCAAAGACCGCGAAGCATCCAAAAACAGGTCCTGAGCCTCTTCAAGATCCTGGACGGAAATAACTGACCGGCCGTTGGCATCGGTAAGAATAAACGAAGGAGCCAGCAGTTGCAAAGCGTATCTAAGAGAGGTCTCAACACCAATAACAGCCAGGCGATCAAGAGCATCAGCTTCTAAAGGTGAGCCCTCAATAGAGGCTCTGCTCTCGATGATGGCCTTAGTTTCGTCCTGCGAATAAGGAAGCGTCCTAATGATCAGAAGGCGATCCACCAAATCAGGAGGGACACCATGGGCGGAGACAACGCCGTCGCTGCCGCGAACAGTGGTCATGCCACGGTTTGTAGCCAAAATAACCACAGGGGAGATCGAGGACTCGAGAGCCCGGTTCAAGTAGGTGAAGCACTCAAGATCGAGCATGTGGACCTCGTCAATAAAGAGCACACCGGGAATGAGCTCAGCGATACCCTGATCAATGTACTTTTGCACGACTTTGTTGATTTCCGACCGCAACTTCTCAGTGATTTCGGTCTTCTTGGGCTTGAGAAGCTGGCCCATCATGGACATAATGTCCTGGCCGCCCTGGGGTCGAGCGTTTGCAACATCCAGGTCGTGCAATGTGACATCCTGCACAATTTCTTTCTTTTTGTGGACTTCGCCTTTGGGCAAAGGAACGTATTCTTCGGCTTCGAGATCGAACTCGGTGGCATACACATCGCTGCGGCCAACGCGCTTCACGGAGCCGGTGTTGGCCTCGATATACACGACATCACCAACAGAGATCTTTTCCTTTTGAATACTCTCATAAATGCTAGGATCAAGGCGGAGCTGTTTGGTTCCCTTGGCGGTTTTCAAGCCAACTACAACGTGCGAGATGGTCTTGCCATAGCCACCCAGGGGGTTCTCGGTCTCCTCTGGCGTCATCTCAGTGACTTCTCCCTCATAGACTTCTTTTGTTTCCTTAATACGAATACCAATAGCCCGACGGAAGTTCTCCATGAGGGCCTCAGTCTTCTTGACCTCAGCACTGTACACTTCGCTGCCGACGATGGGGCAGAAAGGCACCTTTGGTCCGAGTTCCTGAGAAACAGCCAACGCCAAAGCAGTCTTACCGGTTCCCGGAGCACCAGCGAGCAGCACAGCCTTGCCGCTGAACTTCTTGGCCTTGATCATATCCACAACCACGCCGCACGCTTCACGCGCCGATTGTTGGCCAATGAAACCAGAATCGATCGACTTGGCAATGCCTTCATCGTCAAGTCCAAGCCCCTTGATATGCGTATGAGCAGCAGCCCGATCCCGAGCAGCAGTGCTCGTCTTGACCTCGCTGATTTCAACCATGAGTTTTGAGTAAGCGAAAATTGGGATCTTTCAAATATGCTATATAGTAGGGAAAAAAATATTTAATCGTCCATTTCAGGGATTTCAAATGCATCATCAGGCTCTTTAGGTTCCTGGGATTCCTTCCATTGGGTTACATCGTCAATGTGGCTCAAAATAAGCTCGACTGATTCGCTGTTCTGAGCATGTAGAGGAAGGAACTGGACCATCCCGAATTCTTCAGTCACTTGGGCAATGGCCTTGGAGAGATCGTAGTACTTTGGATTCATTTCTTCGGTCGCCTTATCAGCCATAAGCAAAGGATCAGTGTTTAGGTATTTCTTGATTTCGCGTTTGGGGACATCTTTCAGCATGTCAACTTTGCTCAAGATGTTGATGTGGGGTATCTCGAGGAGAATCATAGCCGACATTGCGGATAGAACGCCAGAAAAGTATTTTGCAGGGTCCATGACGAACGGAGCCTCCAGCAGATACGCCGCACAAAGTCTGAAGTTCAGATGTTCAGTCAAATGCTTTACCAAAGTTGGCACAGCGGGGAAATGGGTATACAGTTCGATCTGACCGGGGCAGTCGAAAATAAGGTACTCCTCGTCATAATCTCCGATCTCGTGGTCTAGCCAGTCCAAATTCTCTAATAAAAACTCGTAGCAATACATCAAGGCGCCATTGGGGCCTAGTTCCAACTCCTCCATGACATCGTCAACTGATACAAGGTCTCGAATGTCAACGCTGAACTCGTACTCCTTGGGCTCTGCTGCGGGATCGAAGTTTACAATGTGTGCTCTGCGACCCTGAGCTGTGATGTTTGCTATAAGGGCGTTGCAAAACGTCGATTTGCCCGCCCCCGCGGGGCCCATCACCATTACTCCAACTCTGGACATGATTAAGTAAAGATACAGAGAAGTTTCATAGGTTAACGCTAAGAATCTATATTTTTTGGCACCAGCAATTAGATCCGAAAATTTCCATTTGAACGACGATGTTTTCGATTCCTGATTCCTTGAATCTCTCGACGATTTTGGCGCGCAAATCACTGTACTCTGCTCCCAGCGCGTATTGAATGTGAATAGATCCGCGAATGTTCTTGCCATCAGACCAGAATTTGGGAACGGTATATGATGCAACTCCTGGAAGGACAGATATATCACTCAGAACACTGCGCATGTCGTATTCTTGCGAGCTGCCCAGTTCTAGGAGTAGAGTACGGGCCGACGCTTTCACGAGAGGCAGTGCTGAGAGAAAGATGAGAATTGCAATGATGAGAGAGGCAATGGCATCGAATCCTGCCCAGCCAAAATAGTGAGTAAGTAATGTAGAAATAATAACACCAACAGAGCCTAGGGTATCGGCCAGAACGTGGAGAAAGATTCCATGCATATTGTCACTTTCGTGGCCAGAGTCACAAGCACTAGCTTCATGCTTTACTTCGGTGTGTTCAGAATGCCCGTGAGCGTTTGCATGCGATTGCTCATGAGCGTGTCCATGGGAGTGTCCGTGGGAATGCCCGTGAGAGTGTCCGTGGGCATGAGCGTGGTTAAAAGAAAACAAGCCGAATAGATTAACAATCAATCCAAGAACGCTGACAATCAATAGTTCCGTTAGCTTTTCGAGCTCAACAGGGTTGGAAATCCGCCCGAATGACTCGAAAACAATGCCTACCGAAATAGCTAAAAGCAGACAGCCATTAGCAAACCCAGACACTGTTTCCACCATAGCGAGGCCGTAAGGGAATCTCGAGGACGGGGGCGACTTGGCCAAGATAGAAGCGACAAGCCCAACTAACAAGGCAAGACAGTCGAAAAACATGTGGATACTATCTGACAGTAATCCAAGCGAATGAGAGAGAATGGAATAAAACAGCTGGATCAACATAAACATAAAGTTCAGTAAAAAGAAATAAAAGATGTTTCTTGTATCAGCATGGGCAAGAATCGAGTCTAAAACCGACCATGTCGCCGACGGTTTTTTCTCATCTTCTTCTTTTAAATCCGCCTTTTCTTGCTTGAAAAGTAAAGTGGGTAGCGCAGCTACCAAAAGTAAAGGGCTCATCGTAATAATTCCAGACATCAATAAATAAGATACACCATTGGCCAGCAAAGGATTCAGTCTTGAAGGGTAGGCGTCTTTTCGAACCACAATAAACACCGCTAAGGATGCAGCACAAATAGCTGCCAAAACAATAACCGCAGAGGCCGGACGAAACACTAGAAAAGCCCCGCCAAGCGTCAAGCCGCCCAGAGCACAAGAAACTGTGGGGTTGATAGCTGAGGCAGTTTGAGAACTAAGCCACCAGAAGGCATATGCAAGAAAAGGAATTCCCACACATTTCTCGATATTCTCTGCTGCTTGCCAAACACAAATACCGGCAATCCAGACTAGCCAATAAGGTCGAGAGCCCGTTCCTGCCAAAGCAACCGTAGCTACTAAGGGTGGGGGAAATACAGCAGTTGCAACTGTTATTGATGCGATTGCAAGCATGAACAGTATAGTTGACATGATAGATGTTTCAGTATCGCCTGGTCTTTTGTTCAAAGCCACCGCTGGCCCCGAGGCCAAGAGCACCCACCCCGGGACTAGAAACGCAGTTGGAACCAGCCCAACTACAGTGGCCAAAGATTGTGCCGAGGCAAGTCCTGTTGCAATGGCAATAAATGACGGGATGCTGCGTATAATCGACCATTTGCTGTCGACCGGCCCAATGGTAACCGGTGGGGTACTCTGCAGCCAACTGTGCGACGTGTATCTTTGAAAATCTGAAAGCATTCCTGGTACTGAATGAAGACCCCAATTTTGTTCGGTGATTGTCCCTCGACGAACCGGTGCAAGTTTCAGAGTATCTCGGTGTTCCAACGGAGGCCGCAGGGGTGTACTACCCTGACGATGTGAGGCAGGTCCATTCATGCTTTACTGATTTTTCAAACTAAACCTTCTTTTCTCAGGTGTGCTGTACAGTATAAACCCAATCCTGGTTTGGAACCTACTTCAATCGGTGATGTCACGTCGCTTTGTCACTACTATACGAACATGAGACGATCTAGTCAGGGCAGATCGCAGTCAATAGACTCGAATAGTAGTGGAGACATGCTGTACAGCCGACCCAGTGAAGAGCTTTCCAAGGTGCTGAGAACTGAGCCGTGGAAAAGAGACATTGAGTACTTTCAAGAAGTGCACGTATCTGCGTTAGCTCTGGCAAAGATGGCCACACACGCAAAACAAGGCAAGCACGAGGAGATCATGGGTATTCTAACCGGAAGCGTTATTGAAAACGCATTTGTGGTGCTGGACTGCTACGGGTTGCCCGTTGAAGCAACTGAGACCCGGGTCAATGCCATGGGTGAGGCATACGAATATATGGTCCAGTACATTGAAAGCCAGCAGTCTACTGGCAATTCCGATAATATTGTGGGCTGGTACCACTCACATCCGGGATATGGCTGCTGGTTGTCGGGAATTGATGTTACAACCCAGCAACAAAACCAAGCATACCAAGATCCGTTTCTGGCTATTGTCGTGGACCCTGTACGCACTACTACGAGTGGCCAAGTGGATATTGGGGCCTTTAGAACATTTCCAGAGGGTACCACCCGGCCAATTGTGGGAGCCAATCGTGAAGCGACCCTCAGCAAGTACGGTGCGCATGCTCACAAGTACTATCCTTTAGAAGTTTCCTATTTCGGCACTTCTCTAGACGAACCAATTTTCGATCTGGTCTGGAACCGGTATTGGACGTCTCTGCTGGCAGAGTTGCAATTGAAAGAAGATAGAGAGTACGGGATTAGTCGGCTTGCCAGTGTCAACAACCGACTGAACCAGCTAGGCAAAGTCAATCTGGAAACAAGGTCGCACACAAAATGGGGCAAGCTGGCCGCGCTGTCCACTGAACTGTCAAAGTACGCTTCTAATGATATTGGTAGTTTGGTGAGCCAGAAAAATTGTGACGCCTTATTTAAACAATAAACTATTCGTTTTTTAGCTTGTGCTGAGCAGACAGCCTTTGCAAAATCGCAAAAATAATAAGAAAGGTGCCAGCGATGACGGTTAGAGATGTGGCACTGTAGACAAAGTCGCGGTGTTCAGGGCTAATCACCGGGATCTTGTAATGTACTGGTTGCGACTCCAATATGTGGTAAACGGTATCCTGAGGGAAAATACTTTCGAACGACAGCCCTGGGACGTGCTGCTGAGGGAAATCATCATCTTGGCACGCCCAGAACACCAGGGGATCACCAATCAAGTGGTCAATATGTAATGCAGGGGATGGCTCTTCATAGCGGGAGTGGATGGGAATCTGGTATGTCTCATTGTAACCGTTGCCAAGTAGACGGAAAAGAGCAGTGCTCCCTTTGGATGTCTGCCAGACCGGCTTCTCTAGATCAGTTTCGCCCCAGACCCCCAAATTCTCCAAGGGCGGCTGAACACGAGGCAAGTCACCCATTTGATACTTGTCGATGAACAGTGACTTGGGCAGGTCCAGCTGGGCAAACAATTTGCAGCCATAAGGGATGTTGTATTTTGCAACATGCAAGTCTAGTTTGAAAACAGGATGAAGGCCATGAGGGTCATCAAAGCGACCAACTGCCTTACCAGGCACCCTACGAAAAGAGGGAACCTGATGGAACATGATCCGGTTTACATCAACACCTACGTTGTGAACAAACCCGTACAATGTCTTGTCTGCCGGTGTACTCATTTTGTCTACCGATAAAAACCCCACTTCTGTCTTGTCGCCGGTTTTCTCAATTGTTTCGAACCAGTCAGCTCGAGAATACCACGCCTCGATAACCAAATCGTTTGCTTCCACACCGGTTAAATATTCGTTTGCATATCCTGAAGTGATTTTTAAAGCATACGCACCATCTGGTATCCCGTATTGCTTCAGACATGCGAAACTGGGCTTGATGAGACTGGTGTATGAATCCCAGTTCGCAGCTTGAACTATTTGCGACTCGTCAATATCGATCCCACACTGGGCCAGCCAGGGCAGTAGACTCGACCACTCGGTATCCGGCAGAGTATCAACGTGTAGGCCCTTCTCCACGGGAGGGTCGAAAACGCCGTCCGGATGTATTTCACTCGTCCAGCTAACGTACACAATGGACCCGTCAAGCGCATGAGGGACCACAACCCGGATATGCTTTTCCCCCTGCAGTCCAGACAATTTCACAAGGTTATTCTCCTTGATTTCCACTGGATTCTCCCCATCAGCATCATCTATCAAATATGTGATACGCGTTCGCATTGTCAGCAGACGGACCCTGGGCGACAGGCCCTATATAGAGCCCACGGGTAAGTTTGGACTAGTAGAGCTTGGAGATAAAAAAACACATTAAACTTAACAAGTAGAAATGCCAATCGTCAAAGTCGCCCTAATAGAAAAATCACGAGACCAAAGTGGCTGGCGATTTCATGCGGCTCTCTATGTAATATACTTTCCACGCGTACCCAGCCATCCTCCTTTGTAACCGGCACCATATGGACCATCCCTCCACACCACCGGGAGAGATAAGTTTCCCACAAACGCCGGCGACGCCGCGGTTTGGAGCGTTCGAGGACCATGAGCATCCCACCAAGCGGCACATGCAGACGCCAGTCCGCCCCAAAGCCGCGTCGCGCCAGACCAAACACCTGCTCATGACGCCCGGCACAACCCCGCGCAGAAGAGTGCTGTTCCCGCCCGCAACACCAGTTAGGGGTTCTGGCAGACAGGGAAGAAAACACACGGCTACGAAGCTGTTTGCGGCGCCAGCAACGCGTCAGGATTCGAATCCGGCAGTCTACACAACGGTCGCTCCCGACCAAAAGCAAAAGGAGATGCCTCCAAATGGCATGTGGTACGTATTTCGAGGGAAAAAGGTGTTTAGGCCCTTTGCTGCCGATGAGGACGAGCGTCCTACGCCAACAGTGCTGTTTCCCAAAGCTACCGCTACTAAATCAACCACTCCAGACTCCGAAGAGGACACCGACCTGGAATGGGACTGAGGCATCGCTGGCGATGCATTTTTCAACTTTATTTAATCGATATTATATAACTAATTCTCAGACAATTGCACAGATTCGAGTTCTTCGGTCTCTGGGTTCGTGGGCAATGCGTCGAATCGCGGCATGGTAGGCGTTTCCGGGCTCTTCATGCCATCGTCTTTTTCAATGCTGGAACGTCGTAGTTGAGTTGTGATTTGAGCCACCCGGTCCTCAACGCTGTCCCGTCGTTGGACAAAACTAGCCTCGCGGGAGGGCTGCTGGACGGCCAGCTGTTTGAGTTCTTTGAACAGACGGTCTCGATCAACAAGAAGGTCTCGAACAAGTTGGGTGGAGAATGAGTCGCTGAATGTCAGGGGCGACTCGGATTTGGGTCGCAGTATGCAGCGTCCAACTTCTTTAGCAATCCTTTCGATGTCCTCTTCCTTGGCTTTGGCGATGGTGAGGAGTCGATTTAGGTGAGCAGTCAACGCATCAAGCGTTGCAATATTGTTAACCCGCAATTGGCCCAGAGTCTTTTGCACGGCAGTGCGACGAGCCTCCGGACTATCGCTGCGGGACTGCGCATAGATAGCCTTGAGCACTTCGTAGTATCGCGAGGGAATGAGGCTATCAGGCAGCTCTAGCAAATACATTTTCAACACACTCGCAACAACTGGCGGCTCATAGGCGGTAAGAATTGAGCGATCGAACTGGTTCGATGTGTTGATTTCTCGGCGGAGCTCGTGGCTGGTTTTGAGGGGTACAGAGACCTGCCACAAGCCAACCCGCACATCGTCATTCTCGAGTTTGGGGTAAATAAGGTCCAAATGAGACAAAACGGTTGAAACCAGGTACGGAACATGCTTGCGATCACCGCGGCAACGCAGCTCAAGGTCCATACCGAAAATAGTACCGTCTGCTGAAGAATAGTAATTATCATAAACCGTGACTGGAGGAAGAAACGAGCCCGTACGATAGCTTTCAACAATGTATCGCAAATCACTGGCCGGATTAGCCGACTCCTGGTACACCAGTGCTTTGTCGACAGTGGCCTGAAGGGCCGGGACTGAGTTTGACAGGGCGGCTAAAAAGTCCAGCATCACCGCTTTGACAGCCTTCAACCGATCCAGTTCACACCTTTCCATGAAGTGCAAATGGCCAACAATTAGTTCCTCAACCTCGCAGCGAGCATTGTCGAGGATGGCAACATTTTTACGGTATTTTTGATCCAGTTCTCTAACTTCACGAGCTAGTTTCTCAATACTCTCATAATCCTCTTCTTTGTTTCCAGAGCGCCTGAGGTATCCGGAAACCGTTTCAGACCAAGATTCAGTAGCAGCACTGAAAGAATCAAGGGCACTGGATACGTGGCCAAGACCAGCAAACTCAAACGAGCGAGGCCGCCATTGGTACTGCATAACAGATGAATTGGCAAATTTCGAGCCCACTTGACCAACTAGGCGCAAAAACCCGGCGTCAATCAGTTCTTGACCAATCCGCTCAGAGGTGCTGGTTGATTTGGAGCCTTCAACATTTTCTTGAATCCATTCCGTGATATTTGCACCAGTTGCAACATTTTCATAGGTTCCCAAGATGGAGACTTTGACATTGCTGCGGGGGATTTCATTGAGCATGCGAGCAATCAATTGCTGCGCCTGCTCCGAGTTGTAAACTCTATTGTTGAGAACCAACTCTTCAGAGGTCAACACCTCCTCCGACTGCTCTGAGCCGGCTTCTGTTACACTAGTGTTGGCAGTGCCCGGCATATTCGGTGATTGAGACGCTTCTGGAGAAGGTGATCTATTTTCACTGGTTGTGCTTATAATTGAGGTGTCGGGGGCCGGTTCGGGGCCCGCTGTTTCATCCTTTAGATCCTCGAGCAACCTGCACTTGTTGAAATAGCGCTTTTGACTTTTGTGAACCTCCGCGAGCTCCCGTTCGTACTCCTTGACCTTGCGTTTTAGGAGTGTCTGAGAGTACTCGACGCGGCTGGCATGTTCTTCGGACCACTTGGAGAAAGGAACTACAACCATTGTGCGAATATTATTGGCGACTTGGAGATGGAACTTACCTTCGCGGCCCATTTCAGCAACGATCCCACCGAAGGCCGTTCTCAAAGTGGCACCATCGTCTTTGGCAAACCCGTTCTTTTTGGGTGCATGGTTTGTAGGTATGTCTGCCAAGCGTTGGCCGTATGTTTCTTCTATCTCGGCTCGAGTGGCCGCCAGCGCGAGGATTTCGCTGTTTTCAACAACGCCCTGCCGTAGCTTGGTGAAGAGCACATCGAGGCCATTGGCGTACCCAGGCGACCAGAAATTATCCACAAACGACATATTGGATCCAGTGGATGATCAACAGTGCGTTTCAACAACTACCAGAATGTGCTTAACGGGGTGTGAGGATAAAGGTGCTACCGTCTCAAGCTGGTTTCTAATGACGCAGCGCCCTTACCCACGGACATGCCAGTTTATCCTCGGGTGGCCATTGAGTTTTGTACGGCGTGCAAATGGAATTTACGGGCAGCATGGTACTTGCAGGAGCTCTTGTCAACGTTTGGCCATGACCTGGGGGAGGTGGCACTAATCCCAGCGGCCAGTGGAGTGTTTAGAGTAACTATAGAGCTCGAGAGCGGGGAATCAAAAGAGCTGTGGGACCGAAAGAAGCAAAACGGGTTCCCGGATTCGAAAGAACTCAAGCAACTAGTGCGCAACGTGATTGATCCCTCACGCAGCCTTGGGCACTCGGATACACCAGGCGGTCTCGTGACCGATTGCACTACCTGCCAGGAGAGTTAGCATAAACCAGCAGGCAAAATTAAACTCGTCTACTTAAAGTAATAAATGAAAGACTGTACAGCTCTGGGATTCCTCCTAAACACCGAGAATATAAATGGAATTAAGTTTTCACATGCGATCACCCAGATCCAGCAAATGACCCATGCGGTTGACCTTGGTTTCCAGATACTTGTCGACTTCTTTACTTGAAAAGCCTCCTTTCTTTTGCCATGAGAGCGGAACCATGGGCACTCTCTGGGTCACATGCACTTCGTTGTTTTTGCCCTCTACGGCGGCGATTTTGTCTGGGTTGTTGGTTAAGAGTCGGATATTCACAAGGCCCAGATCGACGAGAATGGCAGTGGCCATGGCAAAAGAACGAGCATCTGCTGGGTGTCGCAGCATTAAGTTGGCCTGGACAGTGTCGGCGCCAAGATCTTGCAGGTTGTACGCCTTCAATTTCTCGCCTAGTCCAATGCCTCGGCCCTCTTGACGCAGGTACACAATACAGCCACGGCCCTCAAGAGCCATGAGTCTTGCAGCTTCATCGAGTTGCTCGCCACAGTCACAGCGAGCGCTCCATGCGGTTTCGCCAGTGTAGCATTCAGAGTGGATGCGCACCAGTGTCTCACCGGACTTTGCTGGCAATGGTTGCTTGGGTTCGACGCTGCTAGTCCGACCGGGGTATAGTCGTCCTGTATAGGCGCCGCGAGTCATGCGGTCCTGTTCAGTCTCGCCAGGACGAGCCTCGAATAAGGATTTTGAGTGGATGTCTTCGCCATAGACAATTGCTAGGTGCTCTTTATTGTCGACATTATTCGAATAAACGTGCAGAAACATTTCCGTACCGGACGTCGTAGGAATACGAGCACGGCTTTCGCACACAACTCTAGGAAGCTCCTCAAGCTGGCTCTGCACCCGCTGGACCTCGCTCACAGATAGTCGGGGCTCCGAAAGGACAAACTCCGGGTCATGCTGGACCTCTGCCGCTAGGTTAACAGTACTTTCACTGGGAGTGAACGGCGGTGACACCATACTCATAGAGCTCAGCATATTGTCTCCATTAGTGCCACCAGGGGTCGCCGGATCTGCCATGGATTGTTGCATGTAAGCCGGGGAAAGTGCTAGGTCCGGATTTCTCATCAAGTCCATTACTAACGACAGCCGCTTAGAATGACCGTTGACGGTAGGGCAGCCGTCGTTCGACGAGCAGGGGGACGAGGAGTCCAGGCTCCAGTCAATTACGTCTTCAATGGTGAGTGAATCTAGTGAAAACCGACGGTTGTGTGTATTTTTCATATGCTTGCCGTGGGGATTGCTTTACTGCTTTATAGCCAAGCCTGCAGGCCTGTTGTACCACCCAATTTAATATTAACTTAAAAAAACTTTCCGAGGCTGAAACTATGATACATTTTGCACAGCCTCGGTCGAATACTGCGTCTAGTCGGCTGAGCACCCCGGGAGCGTGCTTCAGCACAGCAAAAGTCGCCAATGGCAGCTCAGATCAGGGCGTCAACCAAGCTGAGATTATCAATTGATCCAACGGCACCTGTGCCTCGTGGGGCAAGGTTTCAACTAACCTTCATGACACCAAGAACCTGGGCACTTGTAGGCGGATCGGTGGGAACTTTGGCATTAGGGTACTTTGCCCGCCCATTTTCGACTGGAACAAACAGAATTTATGTTTCGGTCAGACGCCAGAACGATTTCGAGCCATTGACGTCTTTGCCTAACCCCTTACTGGCCAACTTTTGTATTTACACAGACCCGCTGTCCCTGCAAGTATCCGATGCTTTGAAGTCAATTGTCAACGACGAGACTCCTTTCCCCGTGAGCTGTGTCGACATTGAGTCTGATGAGCCCGACGTCCAGGATATCCTTCGCCGCTACGCCGTCAACCGCATCCCGACGGTTGTTGCTCTGCGTGGTGGCAACCCCGTTTCTTACTTTACCCCCAAAAATCTTGACAATCTCGAGCAGAATCTGAGAAATTGGATCGCTGAAATCGGTTCATAGCTTTAGTGTATATACCTATAGAGCCTTGTTCTCAACTTCACATCTGACAAATGGGTTGGTTCTCCAAATCGCCTTCGGAGCCAGTGGTTGTCCACACCAAGGAACGCAGAAAGTGCTGGGAAGCCCGGGATGAGTTTTTCGCCTGCCTCGACAGCAACGAAATCGTAGACGCAATCAAGGACGACAAAAAGGCCCGCAAGGCCTGTCCCGCACAACTCGAAAAGTATGAGAACTCCTGCATCGAGACGTGGATCGAGTACTTCAAGCAGAAACGAGTTGCTGATCACACGCGCCAGCAAAAGATTGCTGAGCTTGAAGCCAAAGGATATAGGCCCCTGGACACTATGCAGGTCAAGGAAGTCCGTTGATTATACTGTACATAAATTAACTAGGCGGAGTCCATTTCTGGACCAGGCGGTCGTAGAAACTACAGCTGTAGCCATATTTGAAATCGTTCGACCACGCGGCTCCATAGACCATACTCTCGTGGTTCGTTAGCGTTCCTATGACCACAGGAAGCTCGAACCCGGCCTTGGGTTCAAGCACTCGAAGCCCGCCGTACATACAGCATGCAATTATAGGTCCATTTGGTTGACTGGGAATCAGTCGCCAGACGCCACCCCCGAGATCAATATTGCCTTGCTCTCTTCTTGACCTGCCGTCAACTACCCTCAGCTTATCGTCATAGCCGCCTGTCCAGATCACCTCCGGAGCATCAGGTATGATTGATATGGACGTCACTCCGGCGTCATGGTGTCTCATTTTCCACATGACTTGACCCATTCGTACATCATGCATTGCAAACACCGCGTCGTCTCCTCCACTGTACAATTGAGTGTGTGATTCGTCAAAATCACATGTCCAAGCCTCCAATGAATGAGTGGGAGATTTCCACACGACCTCTCCTTTTTCAGTATCAATATATGCCACTTCACCTGTCGACAAAGTAGCCGCTACGAACCCCGCAACAGGCATGATCTGCAAAACAAGAACGCCATCTTCAACCAGGATCGAGCGTTCAAGCACTGCTTTGCTATCGACGAGCCTCCAAATCTGAATCGATCCAGTGCTCTGGGCAGTATAGATCTTACCGTCGTGATATCTTACATCGAGAATAGCACTCTCGGTAGGCAGAGAAGACAACAGATCCAGATCCGCGGAATACACGTCCAGCGACCCATCACGCACTTTTGTTTCTTCATTAAGCCTATAGGTACCGATCACAATCTTATCCTCTATGGTTATGAGCGCACATGGCGGCAGATCAGGCAGTGATTTTTTTTCAACCTGGAGCTCCCTCGCCATGTCTCACCGTAGTAATCCGGGGAGATCCGCTGGTGAGACATGCTTGACCCAGATATGGGGTAGGTGGCGAAAAATACAGTTTAGAAGCAAATGTGCGCAAATAGATTGATTTAAATGAAGTTTTCGTAAAGTCGCCTCTTTCAACCTTTTCCCCTCACTTTCTGTCTTTATCATCACTTCCCCTCTTATCTTATCGCATGGCCAAACGGGTATTGACGGACACGTTTAATCGCACCCATAACTATCTGCGTATTTCGTTGACCGAGAGATGTAATCTCAGATGCTTGTACTGTATGCCTGAGAACGGTGTGCCGCTTCAAGCCGACGACAAACTTCTTTCCAGCCAAGAAATCGTCCAGCTGTCAAAACTCTTTGTATCCCAAGGAGTGGACAAAATCCGATTAACTGGCGGTGAACCCACGGTCAGAAAAGATTTTCTTCCACTTTTTGAGGAAATTGGCAGCATTGAGGGCCTCAAGGAATTAGCGATCACGTCGAACGGCATAGCTCTACCCCGCAAATTGCCCTTTTTGAAAGACGCAGGACTGACTGCGGTTAATATATCGCTTGATACACTTGTCGAAGCCAAGTTCAACTTCTTTACTCGACGCCGGGGGCTGCAACGAGTTCTTGATGCCATTGACAAGGCGATCGAAGTCGGAGTGCCCAAGGTCAAAGTGAATACGGTGGTAATGAGAGGCCAAAACGATGACGAGATTCTGGACTTTGTGGAAATGACCAAAAATAAACCTATACAAGTGCGATTCATCGAGTACATGCCGTTTGAGGGCAACAAGTGGTCCAACAAGAAAATGGTTAGCTACTTTGAGATGCTCGATATCATTACCCGAAAGTACCATATCAGTCCCATCACTCATCGACCAGGCGACACCGCCAAAAACTTCTCTGTTGCAGGACACATGGGCTCGGTGGGGTTCATCACGTCTATGACGTCTAATTTCTGCTCAACATGCAACCGGCTGCGCATCACTGCAGATGGAAATATGAAAGTATGTCTATTTGGCAACGAGGAGGTGTCGTTACGGGATATGCTGAGATCAGGTGCTACGGAAGCCGAAATGCTCGAACTAATTGGCCTAGCCGTTGGCCGTAAAAAGGGCGCCCATGCTGACATGGATCTGCTAAAGACAATGAAGAACAGACCTATGATCCTGATCGGCGGGTAAGTTGACCAAACGTCCTAGACCTATTTAACTATACTGACTGCAGTCGGTCAAACGGCATTTCTAGACGACTGTATTCTAGATTAACCCATGTAGACGAAACGGGTAATGCTCATATGGTGGATGTTGCGGGGAAGGCCGAGACTAAACGCCGGGCTACAGCAGTTGGTCGGATTCTGTTCGCCAACCACGAAGTCCCCAAGCTGATCAAAAGTAACTCGCTCAAAAAGGGAGACGTCCTGAGTGTGGCCCGCATCGCTGGAATCATGGCCGCCAAACAAACAAGCAGCCTCATCCCTCTTTGCCACCCCCTGCCTATCACCAAGATACAAAATAACTTGTTTATGGAGTCCAATGCCGTGCGAGTAGAATGTACGGTCGAATGTACGGGTAAAACTGGAGTCGAAATGGAGGCACTGGTTGGGGCCTCCATGACCCTAAATACCGTCTACGACATGTGCAAAGCAGTGGACAGACATATGGAACTAAAAGATATAAAAGTTGTCCAAAAATCCGGCGGAAAACACGACTTTAGCTTATAACTTATCATAGATCTATGTACCCCCCCCTTGAGTGCGTCTCTTTAGATGTTTTGGTCAGCGAAGCTAATGTTTACAAATACACAAATGTCTGCAGACACCAAAACACTAAAGGACGCGTTCGCGCTTTTTGACAAGAAAGGAAACGGCCAGATTCCCCAAGAATCGCTGGGAGACATGCTTCGTGCTGTCGGCCAGAACCCCACACTTGCGGAGATCCGCGATCTTGAGTCGGGTCTTTCTGGCGAAACCTACGATTACGACACGTTTGTCAAAGTTGTCAATCGCCCTGATGGCTTCAAGTCCCTGGGCCAGGCTGAGGACTATGTTCGCGGATTCCAGGTATTCGATAAGGAAGGCACCGGCGAGATTGCCGTCGGCGAGCTGCGGTACATTTTGACTTCTCTTGGCGAGAAACTCACGGATGGCGAAGTCGATGAACTGCTCAAGGGCGTCAACGTTTCGCGCGACGGGAATGTCAACTACACTGAATTCGTAAAGACGATTCTGTCTCAGTAGAATATACCAACTATTTTATAAATCTATAAAGCGTCGATGCTACAGTTAGGTGGGTAAAAGATATAAAATATAATAAAGAAATAGGAGTTTTCATCCCAGAATTGGCAGGAAGTTTCCAATCATCATCATTGGAATGCCAAACAAGTCCTTTCTCAATGTCAATACGCATGAGGTTTTCACTGGCTGACCCTGAGGTGAGACTAATGTACAGGTGGACATAATGGAACCTGTAGAGTCGTTGAAGGAGATATCGCTGAACATGCGAAAATAGTCCACCACAGACTGGTTGTCCATAACTTCTACAATGAACCGACCGGTCCCTTGGCCCGAGTTGAGCAGCGTTTCCATGGGCCAGCCCGATAGAACGCAAAACTCGTGGCCCACAGCAGCAATCTGGCCTGTTCGCCGCCACACGATCGTTGGCGTGCCAGAATAGACAAAGTATTTTTCGTATTCGAGTAGTGTTCGCTGGAAATATTTCTCCATAAACACCAGATCGTCTTCAGTCAGTGAGTTTGTGATGGCGATAAACGAAGGACGATAGCTGGCCATTGATCTCACAATCTCCATGAGATCGGCTCTTGAAAACCTGCTTTTCAAGTACCGAATAAGCGCATGGAAACCAGGGGTATACGGAAACGGTCGCGTGACAGATTGGTAGATCTCGGCTGGGGTTCGTTGCTGTCCCCGAGCCATTGTCATTACCGTGGTTGACGATTTTGTGCGTAACAGACCACTTAATCGTCGGTTGGGCACAGACTGCTGAGGCTGTAGATATGGTTCCTCAAGAGAGGAGGTTGCGGGATCAGGGTCGGGCGCAACCTTTTCGTGAATCGTTAAAGAAATCGGAGGTGGGCGGTAGTCGATCCAGTCGTCAAATGGCGTCGAGGTTTGCTGCTCATGTTGAAATAAAATATCACTCAGGGATTGCTGGTTTAGATTGTAATTGTTGATTCTTGGCTGGTAGCTTGGGAGCGACGGTGTCCGGTGATGTACCCCGGAGTCGTCGCTGAACGAGGGTGACGACTCCGATTGATCCACTTGCAGGATATTACCCAGCACACTGTACTCCAGGTCTGTAGTCTGACTCTGAAACTGGTGAGGACCAACAAACCTGTGAGGCGGGGCACCCGAGGTGGGACCTGCGTACTGATCGTAGTACGGCACGCCATTCAGCTCAGCCTGGACCTGTGGAGGCACAGGAACAGCAGCAGACATGGCTGAGAGAGAACTCGGAGCCTGTAATTGGGGCACTGGCTGAGATACTGAGGGCGTATGTGAGATATCATATTTGCGGGCCGGGCGTCTTGCCGAGGCATCGGGCACGCTATTCGGAATAAAGTCCCCGCCCAGGTATTTAGCCTTTTTTCGTACACCGTCGCGACAAGTATCTGCAAAACCCCTTTGTACACATCTTTCGCAAGGCCGGTTATTGTCGCAAGTCAAGTGAGTTCTTTGACAGTGAATACACGCTCGCACCGCTTTTCGGCGTTTCGGTTTACCTGTGCGCTCGCTAATAACTGAATTCTTGTCGCCCGCGGCGGGTTTTTTAGGCTCCTGTGTAGTTTTCGTTTCGGAAGCCGAGCCGGACTCCTGAGAAGCAAAGTGGCTTGACGCACTCGGAGCGGTCGATGGTTGGTAAACAGACATAGGGAAATATCTATAATTCCAAAGTCACTAATCGTCGTGTTGGCGTCAATGTGATGCGACTGAATAATATTTGCGCGTACTCTCGCTACCTCAAACCGCTCGAAGTTATTGTGGGGTCGAACTGCAAAAAAACCTGGGGCAGGGCGATCGATGAATGATTAATCACCGGATTTCGGGCTTGGTGGGGGAGTTTGAAAGGTAAAGAGCGGGATTATTCATTATCGGGTATTTACACTACAAGAGCCGGAGCTGTATGAAAACAAAATGACAGAAAAGTTGGGTGAGCACCCTATAAGCCTGTCAATGCAGAACATGCACGAGGAACCGTCCAGGTTTCAACGCAAGCGTTTACTAACACAAGAGCGAGCCGGAGGAGTGTTACCCGGCCCACGTCCGAGGGCTGGGTCACCCTTATGATAAGCAGTAGAATCTTCCGTTATACCAGAGTGTACTCAACAATGTCGGACGTCACAGCATTGACCGAGCTGTTTTCTAAGGTTCTCAAAATCCAGCCTAGCAACGACGATATCCTGAAGGAGATCAAGTTCGAATCTTTCACGGCGTCTCAGCAGGCTCTGATTCACCAATCCTTGACTCTGTCGTCTCGCTTGCCCGAGTCGCTCCCCGAGATGAACGATGTGTTGCGCCAAAGTACGTACATGTTGAACACCCAGAAGCCGACTGAGATTGACTCGGTTGTTTTTGGCCGTGCCGAGCGTTTTGTGCGCAAGTTCTCCAACGAAGATGCTGTAACCCACCGCCATGTTGTTCGTTGGGCAGACCTTGTTCAGAACAGATTGAAAGTTGACGATAAGATTGCATTTGAGCTTGATCTCGCGGCTCCTCGTGAGATCAAGAAGAAGGAGACCAAGGACGCAAAGGACGCAAAGCCCAAGGAATCTAAAAAGGAGGTCAAGATCAAGGAGGAGACCAAGGAAGCCAAGCCCGAGGACGCCAAGAGCGCTGAGGACGCCAAAAAGGCAAAGAAGGAGAAGAAAGAAAAGGCCAAGGCCAAGAAGGATCCCGTGGCTGCTCGTCCAGTTACTCCGGGTATGATCGATCTGCGGGTGGGTTTCATTCAAAAAGCTGTCAAGCACCCCGACGCCGACTCTCTGTATGTTTCGACTATCGACGTCGGTGAGGACGAGCCTCGTACCATCTGCAGTGGCTTGGTTAGCTATGTGCCTATTGAAGATATGCAGCAGCGTTATATTGTTGTTGTTGCTAATCTCAAGCCGGTCAAGATGCGCGGTATCTCTTCCAATGGTATGGTTTTGTGCGCCAGCAACAAGGAAGACGGTGTGGTCGAGTTTGTTAACCCCCCCGCTGATTCCAAGCCTGGCGACAAGCTGTTCTTCGAGACCTACGATGAGGAGCCCGAGGCCCAGCTCAACCCCAAGAAGAAGATCTTCGAAACCATCCAGCCCAGCTTCTCGACTAACGAAAATCTCGAGGTGATCTTCAAAAAGGAGGGCGAGCCTGATCGTAAACTTATCAACAAAAAGGGCGAGGCTCTCAAATGCTCTACTCTGGTCGGTGCTAACGTTAGTTAAATAGTAATTTGTCTGCCGGCTTACTACACAATGAAACTCATTCGTCGGTCTCTGGAAAAAGATCAGAGTGGCACGATCACTCTTTGTCCAATGGACTCTGAGGATATGTGGTACATATACAATCTTGTTCAGGTTCACGACGAGGTTGAGACGAAGACCATGCGTAAAATCGTGCCCAAGGGCAAAGATGGTACCCCTAACGGTCCCAGCGTCCGGAAGCTGATAAAACTAAAAGTTCGCATTGAAAAGATTGATTTCGATCCCGAGGGAAGTACTCTACGTCTGAATGGTCCGGTTGTAGATGACCACCCTGAAGTTAGTGCTGGTACTTACCACACTATTCAGCTTGAGCTTGAACGCAATTTTACCCTTTACAAGGACGAGTGGGATGCATTTGCTCTAGAGACATTGGAAGAAGCAACAAGTGTGGCAAATCGAAGCGAAATCGGCGCAGTTGTTTTGCAGCCTGGTTTGGCGTATATTTGCTTGGTCACAGACGCTATGACCGTTGTCCGACTAAAAGTGGAGAAAAGCATTCCCCGGAAGCGAAGAGGCGATAACTCGGCACATGACAAGGCTATGGAGAAGTTCCTTACTTCGGTATCTGAGGGAATCAATCGAAATATCGACCTGGATAAGGTCAAAGTGTTTCTTCTAGCAGCCCCAGGCAACTTGGGCACCGATCTCTACAACCATATTGTTCACGCAGCTGTTTTGGCTAACGATCAGAAAACAATAAAGTCAAAGTCTAAATTTTTGCGTGTGCACGCTTCGTCGGGCCATTTACATGCTCTCCAGGAGGCGCTGGCCGATCCTAAAATCCAACAACAATTGCAAGATACCCGATACGGAAAGGAGACAGCTGCTATGGACAAATTCTTCAAAGCTCTTAATGATGACAATGGAACAGCTTGGTACGGACCCACACATGTCCAAGCGGCTATCGAGCGAGGCGGGGTTCAAACCTTAATGATCACAGATTCACTGTTCCGCTCGGTTGATCCGGTGGAGCGAAAACAGTATGTTGAAATGGCAGAAAGCGTCAAGACTGCTGGAAAAGATGTTCTTGTATTCAGCAGTTTCCATGCGAGTGGTGAACAACTAGACGAAATGACCGGCGTGGCCTGCCTGACATTCTATCCTATGCCAGAGCTCGAGGAGTTGGAAGAGTAAGCTATGTAGGGCTTGTTAATTTAGTTTTCTGATGGGGGTTCTGCGTCCTTGAAATTCCGTCCTGCTCGGATCAGATCCTGTATGCCGCCAACCACTCCTCCGAACAGCATGAACCCAAGGATTGATCTGGCGGCCTGCCGGAGAGGGAGCCTGTTTACTGCTACTACTGCAAGACCAGTAATTGTGGAAGCACCTACGGTGCCTAATAAATCAATTTTCCCTCGAAGCTCGTCAATGTATGCTTCTGAATAAAGGAAAAGTCCAGTCACCGAGGCGAACTTGAAACCAACCTTGGCGCCCAGATTCATTCCTTGCTTCATGACCACATAATTTTTTCGTTTGTGGAAGAAATACCATGTCCCCCGCGTTCTCGGTAACCGGTGAGCGTTCTCGGCCAGATACGCCAAACTAGACCGCTTGGCTCCTCTAATTAACCCATGCATCAGTCCATAGCCACCTGCCATGAGCACCCCTAAAATTAACCGCTCCTCAGGCACCATATGAAGCCGATTAGCGGCCCGAATCTCTGCAGTCGGCCGACTGACTTTTTCTTCAGACATTTGGGCGCTTACCAACCCTCTCTACGCCATGGAGCCTCAGCTAGCGCACTTTTTGGTGGTGTCGCTGGGCATGCTGCAATTCGGTTTGCACATGGCCGAGTTAAACACGTTGGTTCCATTCATGGATTGCGCCAAGTTTCCAGATCATTGTCTGCCAGGGATTGGGGACCACTATGCTTTGGCATCTTCCATATATGCGGTTGGCGGCTGCTTGGGCTCCGCTGTGGCTGGTCCAATTGCCAACAGATTTGGCCGCAAAACTTCGTTCAAGTTCATTGGTTTCGGGTTCCTTCTTGGTTCGTTATTTATGTGGATTGCTGGTGGGATGTTCCTCTTGACGCTCGGACGGTTTGTTGTTGGTATTTTCGCTGGATTGGCGATTGTCATTGGACCCATGTTCGTTGCCGAGTTCACTTCTGTCGAAAAAAGACGTCCCTATGGTATCATGAATCAGTTTGCAGTCAATTGTGGTATTTCAGCTACTCTGACTGCAGGGTACATATCTGAAAATGCGTCGTGGAGAGCAGTGCTGTTTTTGGGTGTTTTTGTTGCTGCAGTTCAGATTATTATGACCTACAACATTCACGAGAGCCCTCTTTGGCTCACGAAAAATAACAAATTCCGCGAAGCCCAGCAAATTGCTGATCATTTGGGTGTGACTCTGGACGAGGTCTCGAACAATGACGGGTCGCATTTTGTTTCGATACCGACTTTCATCACGTCACCAGAATATATCAAAGTCCTCCTCACTGTCGTTGGTATCTTTACCTTGCAGCAATTTTCTGGTATCAATGCGATTGTATTTTATGGCGTCAAGATCCTGGAGCGATCGTCTTCCAGCAGACAAGCAGCTATCGGCAATGTGGCCATCCAACTTACCAACGCATCTTTAACTCTCGTTGCAGCCACTTTCATCAAGCGAACAGGGCCCAAAAAGCTCATTATTTTTAGCTGCCTTGGTATGGCGTTAGCTTCAGTTTGGTTGGGGATCGCCTTGGACAACGATAATGCCACACCTGCCTTTTTTGCGATAGTGACTGATGTGTCGTTCTTCGCTTTAGGTCTTGGTCCAGTTCCCTTCATGGTGGTTGGCGAACTGGTTCCATCGGAGGCTGTTGGTGCTGCTCAAAGTGTGGCAACAATGTCTAACTGGCTAGCGACCTTCGTTATCGGTGCATTCTTCCCTTCTTGGCGAGAGCTAATGGGCGAAAAGGTATTCTTTTTGTTCTCTGCGTGCGCTGCTACAGGGGGTATTGCACTTTCATACATTTTATAGGCATATCATTCATTCAAGGTGTACCGCGAGGAATTAGTCTTTATTTAAATTTAAATATTTCAAGACAAAATAGCCGCTACGCAAAGCGTAAAGTCGATTTCAAGTGCGAAGAGCGGCCACTCAAATTGCTGAGCATCAAAGGGCCTGCAGGGAACCAGGCACGAATGACCACGGTCGCTAGAGCGATCAACGCAATAGGAATCCAAAATGTAAAAAGCATATGGTCGTTGCTTGTAGTTTTCATAGGGTTGTTGGCCCAGGACTCGATCAATTCAGCTTCTGTAGGAGCATTGGCCTGCTCAATATCACTTTCCACCTCGCCATCACTAATAAGACACTCTTCGTACTGGTCGTAGTCAATGATCAGCGACCGATACTTTTCATTGGCTTGTGGATAAATGTCAGAATATCGAGGAGGCTCGAATGGAGTACCACGGTTCTGTTCATCGAGGTACTCATCCACTAACCGAGTTGTGACATCGGAAGCACCAGGAATCCAGTTATCGGTCTCTGACTCGGTGTGTCCCAGGACCTCAGTTGCGGAACTGCTCAAAGAGTCGACATGCAAAACCATCTGCTCTGGGAGTTTGCGGTAAATCTCAAAGTCCTCAATGCGTGTTGTTTTGCGTGTCAATGCCTTGATAAACATGCCCTGCAAATCTTTCATCAAAGTGCGGCGCTTGCGAGTACTCATAGGAGGTTGAGATTCTTGTCGTTCACGAAGACGACGAACGCTAGCCAAGAAGTCGTCATCGTCATCTGCGGACTCATCACTTACACTCAGACCAAGCAACGACTCGGGGGTGGGCAGTTGGTGAGCATTTTTTTCGTCAAAGAACGGTAACAAATCTTCTCTTGCAAGAAGGGAAGCCAACGTTGAAGAGGACGAATTGCGAGAATTCGTTTGCATGTACCAAGTGCGCTGATTTTTCGGGAGCAAGTCTGAAACTGAGCAGTCTGCCGAGTCCACAATGGTCTGTCCAGCAAAGTTGCGGTGGAAAGGATCGGCATGAGCAGCCAACAAATGTCGGGTGATTGCCCGATTTCCGTGCATTGCAGCAAAATGAAGAGGGGTCATACCGCTCACATCTTGCAAATCTACATTTGCACCCTGAGCCATCAAAGCAATTACAACATCCACGTAGCCCATGATTGAAGCCAGATGCATCATTGTTTGACCCTCGGAGTTTCGCATATTGAGGTTGACAATTTTACCGGAAACAATCTGGATGTACTTGAGGCACTTCAAAATGAACTGCTCTCCTTCCTGGATATCTTTGAGCAGTGTCTTGGCAAGATTGTCTACCGGGCCTCCCCCATGTTGATTATTCAAATCTACCGCGCTGTTGTTCCCACTGTTACCATCCGAAGGGTTATATGTGGACAATTGACTTTGCAGGTCTGAAACGCCATCCACATTTCCATTAACTTTGAACCCAACTACCTGGAGGGCTAGCTCGACGAGCTTAGATCCAGTATCGTTGACGTAGGTGAACACTGCGGATTGTGGAGTTGGCTGCTGGCCTTGGAAAGAAACGGGAACGGGTCCAGCGACACTTGAGGGCGGAAGATGTGCGATTATTGTCGAATCGGACCAGCATTGGGTCGAAACTGCCGGAAGCTCACCAAACATAGCAACGAGGCCTGGGTGGAAGCCCTGGCCCAAAAGAGTAATTTCGAGTCCACCACGCACACTGCCCTGATTGGGAATGGCTCTTTGAATAGAAGCTACCATAATCGCGTTGTTATTCTGCACCAATGGCGCAGTCCCAGTAGGACCCGGTGAAGGAGGCACGCTTGGACTCCCACCGCCACTTGACATACTATTCGAGCGATGCGAAGTCATACGGCTACTTCGAGAGTAAGGGTGGTATGCGCTGGACCTGCGAGTTCTGGATACAGCTGATGCCGAGGAAGAGTGTGTGGTGGAGTTGGATGTGGAGTATTCACTGCCCGAGTCCATGGAGTACATGCCTCCGCCTGGGCTTTCGGGAACATTTGGCACCGGCACACTTGATTGACGAGAGACTCCCGATGAACCGCTTACTCGAGGCTCCTTGTGATTATCCGTAATGAAAATAGTATCTGACACGGTTCGAGCTACGATGTTGCCCTTGTAGTCACGGATTGTGAACACGAGCTTGTATCCGTCTTTGGCGATATGGTGACGACAGTAGCATGCGAGACGTAATGGCAGCTCAATTTCACGGCCCTCGACAATTTCGCCGCTGGGCAGCTTGACTCGTTTGGGTAAAGGCAGAACCAGCAGTTCGCGGCAGTTGAAAATGACGATTCTGCGAGCTCTATTCTCATTCCAATGATGCTCTTCATTTTCATCAAGCGTCTTTTTACGGAAGGCGCGTTTCTTTTCACGGGAAATACATTTGGGGCACATAAGAACCGGTTCGAGGGGCTTTTCTGGAACAACGACATCAACTTCTAAGTCCAAAATTTGGGGGTGTGGTCTGAAATCATCGCGTAGTTGGAATCTTGGGCGGGCAATGGTATCAGCTGGTAAATGGAGAAGGTTTTCTTCAGGGTATGGTGTCAAAAACAGGTTGCATTTAATCTGAGTCTCCACGCGCGATCTGTCCGGAAGCTCACCCAGGTGGAGGTGGTATTTGTAGGGGTGTGGGCCAGATCCTGAGTTGACAATGTGCTCATACTCTTCGCTGAAGCTTTTGGTTATTGCTGAGGCATTGTCAATCTCTTTCACTCGCCCAAAGGGTGTCTCCTGCAGAAGGTGCTGAGCGCGGTGGAAGTTCTCCTCGAGCCCGGCTTCCAGTGGCTTGTAATGCGAATTTGAGGGTGGCTCAATAGGCTCGGCAATCTCGTTTGCAACATGGGCTGATAACTCCCGCGGAATATCAGCCGCTTGCGGCATGGCCAGGTGAGGGGAGGTTTCAGAGTTGCACGAGTCCAGGTGCGCTTGAAACCGCCCCGCCATGGTGTCGGGCAAAAACCGCAGAGGATTGCCCATATCAACATAATCTGATGGAAGATACTCGCGGTGCTGGTACTCGTTTGCCATGCTGTAGGGAGAAGGACTGGCTCGGGTGCTTATATTACTCTGCACAGAGCCCGTCTCTGAAAGCTCGTACTCCTCCTCAGAAGCCAAGGCATTCTCCTCGGGATCAACCTTCAAATAGCGCATGAGGTCATAGTCTGTCTCTATGCCGTACTCCGGCATTGAAAATTCATTATAGGACGCCTCCCCGTCCATTGTAGGATCTTTAATGACGTAAGGCTTAATTCGTGTTGAGTGGGTCAACCTTCATCCCAAACGGAGGATGATGAATAAAACCCCACAAAACCAGAGACAGGTTTGAGTAGCAAGTTTGAGACTAATTAGGATTTAAAGGTGCTTAGCCAGATGCGGCCTCGTCGAATGGGATGTCCACTACTGTGACGATAATTTTGCCGGTGTTGGAGTTTGCCTCCATGTACTTGTGGGCAGATGCCACCTCCTCGAGAGGGAACACCTTGTCTACGATTGCGCGAAGCTTGCCTTGAGCAACCCGCGGCAAAATCGTCTCGCTCACAAAATCACGCAGCACTTGCTGGTACTGCGGCGACCGGGCTCGCAGGGTAGTTCCTTCGATTCGAAGACGTTTGTAGAGAATTTGTTGCGTTGAAATGCTGCCAGATAATTTACCACTCATCAGCCCCATAATAACCAGGCGCCCATCTACGCCTAGTACTTCCATTTCCTTGGGGATGTAGTCACCGCCAACTGTGTCAATTGCAAGCTGGATGCCCTTGGGGTCGTACTTTTTGATCACCTCTTCCCAGTCTTCAGTGCGATAGTTGATCGGGACAACCTCATCGCCTAGGGCAGCGTGCAACACGAGTTTATCTTTGATGAATTGCTTTTTGCTATCGGAGCCGACCGTTGCGAAAACACGCCGGCAGCCTAACAATTGGGCGAGCTGGATCACTGCAACTCCGATGCCCGAGGCGCCGCCGTGGATGAGCACTTTATCACGCTTTTGGAAGCTGCCGACCAGCTTGACAACCTGATAGGCAGTAAACCAGTTTTCGGGAATAGCTGCTGCCTCATTGAAGCTCAGCCCGTATGGCATCTTCATCAGAGTGCGATAATCGCACAAAACGTATTCTGCGTATGCTCCACCCGGGACCAAGCCGCACACCTTGTCGCCGACCGCGAATCCGGGGGTGCTTGTGCCATTCGGAGCACTTTCTGCGCCCTGGCCAAGCTCCTCAATAACACCGCTGAATTCCACACCAAGAATCGGGGATGCGCCCTCGGGAAGAGGATAATTCGAGGATCGCTGGATAAGATCCATACGATTTATTCCAAAGCTATAGACCTTAATCAGGGCCTGTCCATTTTTGACCTCGGGTTTAGGCACCTCCTCAATGAACATGCCTTCGGCAGGGCCTTTGCCACCTTTAATTCCAACTGCTTTCATGTTTTTTGTTGTTGTTGAGATGGTCTGCAGACTCCGACTTTAATTTAAGGGCAATATGCATAACCCCATACGCATGATCCGTAAGCACGCAGTACCCATCCATCCGGCGACTTGCTCTGATCAATGTTGAGTATATATTGAAGATCCGATTCTATATACCGTAGTATACGCCAGATCTTTGAAATTATGGGTGCACAACTTTTGGACATGTCCAGGGGTTACCCTCAGCGGTGGCTGGTGAAAGCGTATAGTAAGCGCGTCTGCGGGTAAATTGGTTTTCATCTCGATGCCTACACCCGTGAGAAAAGTACGACGACGAGACCCTGTTCGGGCATTGACGCCTTCGACAGATGGACCTAATTTTGAGCCTGTAAAGGAAGTTGTTGACTCGACATCGCCGGCAACTCCACGCAAACGAAAAGCCAGTGAAATGGAGCTGTTCACTCCTCCAAGCACACCTAGCGCGTTTTTAGTAGGCAAGGCGCTGTTTCAGCGAGGATCTCAAACACGCCAGGTTATTGGGCGTTCTAGTGAGCGAGAAAAGATTAGTGCTTTTCTCGCACCCCGTCTGAAAAATCATACTGGCGGTGCTTTGTACCTGTCGGGACTGCCAGGGACAGGAAAGACCGCTTTAGTCACAGAAATCCTAGCTGAGCTGGATGCCGAGTGTGCATCGATTAATTGCATGGTGCTAGACAAGCCAGATCAAGTATTTGGGCTGATTGGCAAGGAGTTTGGGCTTTTTGAGCGGAGAAGTAACCCGAGCAAGGAGCGAGCCATTACCGAACTCAACCACCTGTTTTTTGGTAAAAACAACAAAAACTATGTTCTTGTTCTCGACGAACTTGACCACTTAATGACCACAGACCAAGAGGTTCTGTTTAAATTATTCGAATGGGCGTGCCAGGTCGGGTCCTCGTTTATTGTGGTTGGTATTGCAAATGCCATTGACCTGACTGACAGGTTTCTACCCCGTTTGCAAGCTCACAAACTGACCCCTCAGGTCGTTCCCTTTGCACCTTATTCTGCCGACGATATCCAAGAGATCATCAAGTCGCGGTTGCAGACGCTACGCCCCGGTGACGCAGATATACCGCTAATGCATCCGGCGGCAATCCGGATCTGCGCCGCCAAAACGGCCGCAAACTCTGGTGATTTGCGACGTGCTTTCGATATTTGTCGGAGATGCATCGAGCTTGTAGAGGAAGAAGAGTTGAAACGCGGGGGGTCGTTCTCTGAGTTTGACGTACACCTGGCCCCCAAAGTCACCGTCCAGCATGTTGCCAAAGTGTGCGTGGAGGGGTTTGGCGGAGTGCGGCCTGCAGAACGCGCGAAAGATTTGAATCTACAGCAAAAAGCAGTGCTACTGGTGGTGGTTATGTCTGAGCGACGTATCGCTGGTCAACAGGCGAATTTGACCGTCAACCAGGTGTACGCGAACTATAGTGCGGAATGCGAGCACAACAAAACATTCGCGTCCTTGCAATTCCCCGAGTTTCTCCAGGTCCTAGCCGCCCTCGAAGCAAGCGGGCTCGCCACGGTCACTGGGATGTGCCACAAAAAAGGGTTAGGGACTACGGAGCGAGTGCGCAAATCGCGAGGAGGTGGAGGTGCGTCAAACGCAAGAGGAACTGAGGGGTACAGAGAAGAGTACGGGCTGCGACGCATTTCGTCCCGTGTGCCATTAATGGATATTGTCACAGCATTGAGCGACTCCGATCCTCTTAGGCGACTCATTGATGAATATCTCTAGCATAGCAGCCACAAATAATTCTGCATGTAACTTATCTATTTATCAGGCTGAAGCAGGATACTGGTGGTTTTTTGATGACACACCTGCAGAAGAGCCGTTCAGCATTCTCAACGGTCAACAAGATATCCCGAGCGTCAGGCCACTTCGCCACAAAAAGCCTGGACCAATCGTCCTGAAGATACCCCGATATTTTGCTTACTTTATCCTTCAGTTTGGTCCTGATTTATCGTCTCGCCCGTCCGCGGCCTTGTCATGCGGCTTAATCTGTGGAGGAGGCTTACGAGGGCAAACCCTAACACAGCTCGATGAATCACCCAAGTATATTATGCAGAGATAGCCCCCTCAACTGTGCCTTTTTTCGTCGCACTTGATTATATATGGTGATCTCCACAAACTCCTTTTACGGACCAGGTCCGGCTTCGGCCATGGGATTGTGGTCTGTGAACGTTAATGAGGATGCCCTACAAGAAAAAAGGATGGCCGCAAGCGGCTTCTATCAGCCTACCGTTCAAATTGGAATGGGAGAAATTGTTAAACAGGAAGCGAGTGACGATGTGCCTGATCTAGATGAAGACGAGTACTCGCCGCAAGGTAGCATGAACCAGCCCTGGCTTACTGGCATGCGTTTATCGGTCGACCCCGCTTTCGACGTTCCTCCAGAGCTAGAACTTGGGTCGAGGCCCACTCAGCCTGACCGTTTTGCAAGGTTCTTACCCAAACCTTCTATGGATACCTTCGGCCAGGGCCTTGATGTCCGTGGGCTGCACAGCACTTCGCCGGCTGTCTCAGGGACTACCCCGCTCGCCGATACCGCTCGGACCTCCAGCGTCGACAGTCAGGTCATGACCGGTGAGGGAGTTTGTGAAGGCAATATCACATCAAAACGAGCAAAAAATGCCGCGGCTGCCCGTCGCTCTCGCGCTCGGCAGACCATTAGAGTGCAAACGCTCGAAGCAAAGCTCGACTCAATGAGCACCGACAATTTGTGTCTAAAGTACGAAGTCGAAAAATTACGTGAACTAGTGACGCGGTTACAACAAAAGATCGTAGACCATGGGCTCGTTCTCGAAGAAAGCGAAAGACTAGATCCAAATCCAAAGTCTTCCGAATCCTCGTCATAACAAGTGCCCGATCCCCCACCCCACATTCCCCCCACATTTTCTCGTCACGCGTTCTCATTCCACCTAATTTTTCTTTAATATTTATGAACTTTTTTTAACTTTGCTGCCTCCAAACAGGCTTATCTATCTCGGACCTGTGGCCTGTGCGCCAGGGTTAGGAAAGGCCGTGGCTGATCAAATACACCGCAGAAAAAAATTAAACAATCCTGAAAAATTTCTTTGTCATGGGATTCAAACGAAGAGGTCCTCGTCGGGTCAAGACAAATTGGACACAGATTCCCCGTGAAAACGAAAACTGGGAAGCGTACTATAAAGCTCAGGGTCTTATTCCCGAGTCGGAGTTCCCCGCTTTCAAGGCTGCCTTCCAGCGCGATCTCCCGCTGACCTTCCGCATCACGGGCACTCGCCAGCATGCTTTGGATGTTCGCCAGATGCTGGAGCAAAAATACCTGCCGAACCTGAAGGGAATTGAGTGGGAAGGTGAGGTTGTTGAGGAGCCCAAACCAATCCCCTTTTATCCTGATAACCTTGGCTGGCAGGTTAGTGTTGGCAAGCAGGTTATTCGCAAGAACCCGCCATTTGCACATTTCCAGAGGTTTTTGGTTGTCGAGACGGCGGTCGGAAACGTATCGCGCCAAGAGGCCGTTTCGATGATTCCGCCTTTGCTTCTAGACGTCAAGCCCCATCACACCGTTCTTGATACTTGTGCATCCCCCGGATCCAAGACGGTTCAGATTATCGAAGCTCTCCACCAGGAAGGAGACCAGCCAACTGGCTTTGTTGTTGCCAATGATGCCGACTACAAACGCTCTCATATGCTCACCCATCAGATCAAGCGGCTGAACAGTGCAAACGTCATCGTTGTGAACCACGATGCACAGCAGTTCCCTCGCATCAAACTGGCCGACAACAAGGTATTGAAGTTCGACCGTATTCTCTGCGACGTCCCTTGCTCCGGTGACGCTACCATGCGCAAGAATCTTAACGTATGGAAGGAGTGGACGGTTGGTAACGGCCTTGGTCTTCACCAACTTCAGCTCAATATCGCGGTCCGGGCCGTTCAAATGCTCAAACCTGGTGGCAAACTTGTTTACTCCACTTGTTCTTTAAACCCTATTGAAGACGAGGCGGTTTTGGCTCAGATTCTCCGCCAGTTCCCTGAGATGTACCTCCTTGACGTTTCCGACCAGCTTCCTAATCTGATCCGCTCTCCGGGTGTGAGTCACTGGAAGGTTCAAGCCAAGGACAAGTCCTGGCAAGAGCTCAACGAGTCTGGTATGAATCGCAGCTTTTTCCCTCCATCTGAGGAGGAGGCCCAGCGCTTCAATCTGGACAGGGCCATTCGTGTCAACCCTCACCAGCAGGATACTGGCGGGTTTTTTATCGCTGTTCTCACTAAAAAGGGATGTGAACCCACTAATGAGCCTGCCAACAAGCGTCAAAAGCTGGACACACCGGACGTGCCTGAGTCTACGACCGCAGCCGTCGCTGAGATTCCTACTGGCGACGGTAGCGAACCGGCTGAAAACAAAAGCACAAAGCTTCCTCGTGATGCAGTTGATGAACCTTTCCACTTTTTGGATCCCAACCACCCTGAGGTTGAGTCTTGCTGGAAGTTCTACGACATTAACGATAAATTCCGTCGCGACACGTTGGTCGTTCGTAACCAGACTGGCGAGCCTGTACGCAGTATTTACTACGTCGCGCCATCTGTTCGCCCTGTCATTGAGCTCAATGTAGGCAAAGTCAAGTTTATCCACTCGGGTATCAAAATGTTCACCCACCAGAAGAACGAGGGTGAATGCAGATGGCGTGTCCAGAGCGAAGGCATCGAAATGCTTTATCGATTCGTTGGGCCAAAACGCGTTGTCAAGAGCGACAATCTGGAGATTTTGCGTTACTTGAGTGAGCAAGCCTACCCCCGGTTCAACGACGTCAAGGAGCGCGATGAAGGTCTCTATGACCAAGTCACCAAGCTCAGCGAAGGATGCTGCTTCTTTGAGGTTGGCGGCGTAGTCTACCCTTTGTGGCGTGGTCGTGCATCAATTAATACTATGGTATCTAAGGAGAATACGGAGGAATTGCTTCTACGGTTGTTCAATGTCGATAGAGGCACAAAGTCGCACGACAAACCCAAGAATCAAGCTGAGAATGCTCCGACTACCGCGGTTGACGATACAAAGGTCATCTCTGAAGAGGCTAGTTTTGAAGAGCCCAAAGCTGAATAAATGTGTTCACTTGATCGTTTGGCATTGCCGAGGTATAATGCATGGCAATGCAGTTTGGGGAAAACGCTGTGTCTTGACGCCAGCATATTTTAGAAATGTATTAAAATGCTAATACAAAAGTGTAGCTAAATATCGATGCGTGCCGGGTTTTTGTTTAGGCAGGGTGAGGGGCTTCCGGCTTGTAACAGAACTTGCCGGAACTAGACAATTGCTGGATCTGATGCAGAAGCACCCGATCAGAACATGACTTGTCTTAAAGCACTGTGCCTGACATTTGCTCTGAAATCTTTGAAACCGCCACCATGCCCAGCGACATTCAGACGTCCAAATGCGACCTGCAACCCCATTGGCGCAGCTGAAACGCATATCTAAGACTCATTAAACAACTACATAGAGACATATAAGATTTTCCAAGTACAATTTCAGCGCGTAGCTGCAGGAGGCGGCCCACTGGGAGGAGCATAGTTATCCCCCGTAGTAGGAGGAGGCCCAGGAGGGGGCCGGTAGTATCCAGCAGCATCGCCTTCTGCTTCGGTGGAAGTCTGAGTGTTGTCTGGTCGCATATGTGCCGGGGGGAAGTTATCGGTTTCTTGCTTGGAGATGAAATTTCCGTGAGAGTCGTAGTAGCCTGCGTCGTCATCACCAGGCTGCTGGTTGTACAGCGGAAGTGCGGGGCCGTCCCCGTTTGTTGGCTGGTTGTATTGCTGCTGGCTCTGGTAGTAGCTGGGCGGAACCATCCAGCCCGTCATGGGCAGTGGCTGCTGGCCGTGGCGAACCTTCTGGCCAGAGAACCACCTCACAAACACCAGCATGGCAATACCGAGGGCAATCAAGCATCCCATAAGAATCCAGCGTCCATAGGAGTACCATCCCGAATTGCAGTTGTCGAAGCACCCCCAATAGAAGTATCTTTTCTCCAGATACCTCTCGTCAATGTACATGGTCTATGGCGAAAATAATCTTTGTGACTAAGATTGTGAGACTTGTGGCAACGACGTATGGGGTGCATAGAGGTGCTGCGGATTAAAGGCCCGAAACAAATAGGAAGCAATATGCGGTTTGCGTCAAAATTGCCAATCCGGTTAGAGGCAATTGGCCGTTTTTAGAACAATTATAGGCATTAGTGGCGTAAGTGTAGATCGTATACTATCCGAGGCAAGCCCACGCCGACGATCTAGATTTCAGAGTATGCATTAGAAGATCACACGGGCGAGGTGTTTGGAGACTGGATATCGACCGCATCGAGCTCAATTTGCTCGGTTGCTGTTCTCAAAACAGCTTTGGGAGGTGCCTGGACACTGTCGTACGTAGGCAGGCCCTTGGCTACGAAGTTGCCGTTGGCGTCGTAATAGCCGGCGTCATGATCACCAACGGACTGCATATAGGGGGGCACCGGATCGGCTTCCGGTTCCTGAGGACGGCGTGAGGACCTCGTTCGCTCGGCAGATTGCACTATCCACCCAGTTCCGGCAATTGGAGGCCTGCCTTGGTGAAGGCGCCGTCGCGAAAAGTGGAATATTAAAAGGCATATCAGAACCGCGAGCGCAATAGCAATACAGACAATCAGGACCCAGCGACCCCAGAATGTCCAGCCATCTGAACTGTCACATGAGCTGTTCGTCCACAAGCAATCCATTCGGCGCAGCAAACAGTTGCTTGATGATTTGTTGTGAACCCAGGGCGATCAGGCGGTGTATAGCTAGTTGGGAGGAATGAGGACAGCCATGGCTCGACTGGGCAATATTAAACCACCGAATAAACGCCAGGCGACACGGGGTTTGCAGTACAGTGAACGAAGTTAATGCAGAGAAAAATGCTTAAAATACACAGATAAATAAATATGCAGCACCATTTACTAATGATAACGGGTTTTGGGCAGAGGCAGATCATTTTCCCAAACGTCCTCTTCCTCAAGTATGCCAGTCGGGTTCCTCAGTAGCTCCGACGGTAGCGAGTCGTTGTACTCGATATCTGACCGGCTGCTGAGTTTGCTGCGGGAGCTCCGCGAACTTAGCGGGGATGGCCGCTCGGGACTGCTCATCATGGACGGTGTCTTGGTAAAAATGAACGGATCATTCGGCCGGTAGGCGTCGCGTAGCGGAATCTTTGGGTATAGCGGTTCCTGGTTGCGATACGGGTTGCGAAACATCCAGGCGGTGCCCTGGATCGGCGGTTCCGATCTCTTGACTCTGTGGAATGACATCGCCCACAGGGCCAAAAACAAAAATGCAACAATGAACAGTGCAACCAACCCCAACAAAAGCCAGCGGCCCCATTCGTTCCACTCGTTTGTGTACGTGCATTCGGCCCCGTTACAAACGGTCCCCATCGCGACTCGGTGAACTTGGCTGGTTAGTAACCGCGCGTCGTGACTCCTTTGACAACGTGCCAAGTTAAAAATAAAACGTGCGTGGTAGACATCTATATTATATATATACTCAGTTTATTCGGCTGTATTTTGGACCCCGTCTAGCCAGCTCCAGCTCTTCACCGAACAAGCAACTTCAATCCGGGTTGGCATGGACAGCTTAATCAACAACCCTAGTCAACCTGTCGGCACGCAGATCAAGTGTTGGAAGGTCAATTAGCATTCTAATTAGGGCATAAATATATGGAGTGTAGAAAACTATAAGCGCTCTGAAATCGCAGATGGATCTGAAATGACAGACGGCTGTCTAGATAGCATTCGGCTTTCGTCTTCGGAGTTCTTCGTGGGGATGGTATCTCGGTATTTGTGTTTGATGTCTTCGTATCCACCTTGGGCGAGACGCTCACGAACAATGTCGACATCGTCCGGGTGGAACACGTGCTTCACAGCCATGTACAGGAAGCGGGGTATGAGGCATGCGACGAGTCCCACGAGAAGAACTGCCCAGAACGTCAAGGTTCCGTAAACGTGGGGTGCGGTCTTGTAAAACACATTCGAGGCAGTAAATACGGTGTAAATACCCGTCCATGCAAACACAGCAGCCGAAGAAATCACATTGACGATGATCGAAAGCCAGTCCCACCGGTATTGGTTCATCATCACAAAGGCGTTACAGGCCAAGATGGTCGTTGTAGCAGCATACGCACCGACAGCCTCCTTGTAGTTGACTTGTCGGCCGCTCATTGAGGCAAAAGACCCACTGTGGAAAAGTGCATATGCGAAAAAGTAGCAAATAATCGACTGATATGTACCGTCAAGGGCAAAAATAAAGTTCTTGGTTTTGGTGAAAGCCTGCCGCAAAATACCTTTGGCATAGAGGTGGGGCTCGGCAAGACAAACATAGTCCGGGACATCTTGGTCAAAACAGCCCATGCAAACAACTGGCAAGGAAGTGAAAACGGAGTTGAACAACGTGATGTACGTATAGTCAAATAGGTACGACTGGTCCATATTCGTCCAAATCTGGTACCAAAAGAGAACAAGACTGAACACATAATTTTTGTACAGCAAATTGATCGACATATCGGCGGTGCGCATGTATGACCAACGGCCATGGACTAAAACCAGGCGTTGCAAAAACCGAAACTGGCCAATTGCATAGTCAGAAGACATGGCCGCTTGACGTCCTTCCACACCAACAATGCCCACACCAACATCAGCTTCTTGGATCATACTAATATCGTTGGCACCATCACCCACAGCCATAGTCGTCACGTCAAGAACGTTCTTGACAATGTTGACCACTGCGGCCTTTTGGGCAGGCGAGACCCGACAGCAGAGCACAGAGCGACACTTTTTGCCCAGAAGAGCAAACTGCTGGCAGTACTCAATGCTGGTTACAATTTCATCAAGTGCAGCTCCGTCAACAACCAATGCATGATCAGGAGGGGCGGGACTGTGATCAGCGATCGCTGCTTTTAGGGTATCGGGGGTAAGCTCCAGGTCAAATTCCTGCAAGTATTCTTGCAATTGTTCCGCTCGTTCAAGAATCATCAGCTTCATATTGGTCTGTAACAGGTTAGAAGAAAAGGCAATCGAAATAGCAGTACCAATCTTATCACCAGTCAACACCCAAAGTTTGATACCAGCTTGCAAAAGCATTTGAATGGTATCAGGGACGCCAACCTGTAAAAGATCTTCGATAGCTGTACCACCCAAAAGAGTGAGCCCGCTTTCCAACTCGTTAGCTAGACGCTCCATCTCCACATCTCGATTGGTAGAAGCTTGGGCTACGGCATAGCGCTGCACCCAATCCTCCGCATACTTCACGGTTACCTCACGATAGGCAACCATCATAGTACGCAGACCTTCATCAGCAAAGTCATTGATGGCGCCAGTAGTAGTACTGCTTGGTGGGGAACTCAAGCCACGGGCTACAACGCCATCTGCACCCTTTGTGAAAACAAAGCAACGGCCTTCGGGATTTTTCACAAGGATGGACATACGCTTACGCTGGGAAGAAAAGAAAATCATTTGCAGAACCTCATAGGTTTCTTCGACTCCACGAATATTCACAGACATTAAACCTTTTTTGGCCTCGGTCAGCATGCAGCCAACTTGACGACAAAACTTGACAAGGCATGCTTCATCAGGGCTTTGTGCTTGGTGGATGAGTTTGCCGTCTTCAAATTCGGTAACAGCAGTATTGCACAACGCTAAAGCACGCAAATACATATCAATTGCCTGCTGTTGTGTAGGTCCAGCTGCACCCATAATATCTTCGGCAAATTCTGGAGAGACAAAGGCCAACTCATCATTAGGATCATCGACATCATAGTAGGGATTGTCATAGTTCTTGACGAGCATGTCGGCCATTTTCTGTCGTTTTTCTCCAATCAACCTATCCATTAGATGACCCTTATCTTCGGCAGCTGCATCGCCATTTTTGCGTTTATAGTCACCTGCCATTGCTTCGGTCCAAGCGATACCATAGGATTTGTCGTTAATGATACATTTCCTGAATACCATTGAGTTCTGAGTGAGGGTGCCTGTCTTGTCGCTGAAAATAAATTCGATCTGACCAAGATCATCCGAAATAGACCATGTTTTAGGAGTGCAAGGGTAGTCGAGCGCCTCATCATACATGAGCATATCGGAGAAGATAAAGTATGCCTGAATAGTTCGCACAATCTCGACGGAAATGAACAGCGAGATAGGAATCAAATTTTGCAAAACAATCATAGAGGCCCAGAATGTGACGAAACCATTAACGGGGGGATTACCAGCATTCAATCCAAACTCAAAGAATGTAGCGGAGTTGTGGTGAGAACGGAATTTTAGACCGTTCGTGAGACCAGCAGCAAAAGACAAGATAAACAATATAATAAACGAAACAAGAGTGTAGAAACTCAATTGACGGGTAAGTCGACTGCGTTTTGTGGGAGTCTCACCGGCATTCAACATGATCTTGGACTCGACACCTGTATACACAACGTAGCCAATAACGTGTTTAGTGTTGCGCAGAGTACTGCCACGAGGAATGAGATTGGCAGCCGAAAGAGGTTCTTCACGGCCATCAACATGAATTGCCCAACCGAAAGACGACAGATTAGAGTTGGCATTCTCAATTTCCATCCAGAATCTAGCATCACGAATTTGTTTACCACGCTTGAGATGGCTGGTGCACTTGACGGCAGAACGAGGTTTCAAATTAGTCTCACCGTCCAAATTCCGGGTTTCAATAAAGCATTCACCATCCTCATCACTGCTGGAGATAACCACAATATCGGCGGGCACAGCCTCATTAGCAAACACTTTGATGAACTGGCCGACTCTGACATCTTTCCAATAATCTCTGCGGAATTTAACCTTCCCCTGAGGTTGCTCAAGAGTACGAGATGCATCTAGCGAGTGTCTGAATGTACTTAGTGAAAAACGATTGGTTGTCGTGGACGGTCGGAGGGCCGGGGCCGTCGTCTCAGAGTGTAAAGTCGCATTCTCTATAGCATTCAGATTTTTCTGTTTTCTGAATGTCACGGAGCGACCAAACCGTGAGAGATTTCTCGAGGAAACCTTTTTGAATCGTCTCCATAGACTGACGTTCTCTGCAATCACATTAGGGTTGTCAACGCCGTGCAAAATAGACGTCACACCATTGTTTAGTTCGCCATCAAGGAGATAGCGGCGGTAATCTTCGATACCATCACGGATTGCCGTAATGGCGACAATAGCAATGATAGGAACGGCACTGAGACCAGGATTGTCTACACCAAAAACCTTCCAACTTGAAAGCACAGCAATGGACAGGAAGAAAATATTAGCTGGAATTTGAAATTGGAAGAAAATATTCTTGGGCAGGAACTTGAGGGGGGTATATTTTGTCGTACGGATCTTGTTTGACGCATACGTGGCCTTGGGAAAGCCTGTTTTGGAGTCCAGTTCCTCGGCCGGAATCTCTAGATTGTGGTAGAGGTTCCTTCTTTCCCTGTTTAGTTGCTTGACTTTGAGATCCAGCAGGGAGTTTAGGCCCGGAACTTTTGCCAACCCGTCGTTGATTCGCTGGGCCACCGTCGGACGCTCGACTCTCTTAAGCGCCTCCAAGGCATTAGTGGCCTCACGTTTTTCTTCCGGGGTGTCGTCCATGACAAATGGGTAAGTCCAAACACTAGCCTGGTTTTACTCCCAAACGGTGTGCTGCATAATCCAGCATTTTTGCGTTCCAAGCAAAAGTCTTTTGCATGAAGGTTGCAGTTACTGCTGAGGGACGAATCGGAGATAAGAGAATAAACTTTGCCGTCGACAGAAGTTTGCGGATTAGCAGTAGGTTAATAGAAAAAAATAATAATAATGATAGCAAGATTTTAGGCCGCGAAGCGAGGCTAAGAATAAATTACGCTTTGACAAGCAAAGAAGAAAAAAACGCACATGCAGATGAGTGTATAGCTTAGCGAGGTGCAACGGCGGTTGAGTAAGGCCGCTTTTGGTCATGGACTTGACCAGGCCGTTGCACTGTGCGGCAAATGGGACACGTAGCGCTTTTAGATAGCCATGCTCGTAGGCATTTTAAATGAAGTTCATGGCCGCAGACCGTCTCGACGGGGGTCTCTTCTATCATGTCTTCCATACAAATGGGACAGATGCCTTTACAAGACTTGGCTAGAACGAGGCCATAATGTTTGCTCGCTTGACGATAAGAGACCAGTCCGGCCAAATAAGACACCGCACAGCGGATTGTGGAGTACGCATCACGCAAAATGTGCACCGGAAAGTACCATTTAGAAAGCAACAAAAAGGAAAGAGCCCAGTACACGAACAACTTCAGTCCAGCAGAATAAATACTTAAAAACACCCAAAAGAGGCGGTTTTGCGGTAGTAGAAATCGGCCTGTCGTCGCAAGCAGCTCTCCGTAGAGCACGGCGATCTCGGCGGCTAGCGCAAGAACGAGTGGGGTTGGGCCCTCGATACTGTAGATTTTGGCCGACATGGCGTGGAACCAGACAATGTCACACAAATGCAGCGTCACAAGCAGGTAGCCCAGGCGCTTTCGCGTGGGCACAGACTCCTCGGCAGCTCGTCTTGCGGCTAATTTGTGGAACCATTTGAGCACGAGCGAAGCAAACAGAACAACCACGGTGTGGATGCCAACCTTCTGGCGGAAGCAAATCATTGCAACCGCCACTTGGCTCAAGGTGGCCGTCATTTGTGCCTGGAGATCATTGCGCTCGATTGTGCTGAGGGGCCCAAAAACCGCGCTGTGGAGGTACTTTAAAAATAAAAGAGCAGATATGCCCAGCCATGCCCTATGTGACGCAGAAGACAGTATTTGTTCCTTCATACGCCTGTGAAGCTAAATGGCAGATCGGTGCGTGCGTGGGTTGAGAGTTCGCGTTCACACTCCGAAACAAAGTAGCTTTCAAACCTCACTTTTTCCGCCACATGCAATTTTGGGACCAAAACCCTTCAACGGGGAGACGCTTGACTAAGCAACGCATTCGCACCGTTCGCTCTGATGGTTGAGTGTCCGCCGAACTTTGGGATGGCGACCAGTAAGATCTACCGATCGTCATTCCCGCGGCCGGAACACTTTGAATTTCTTAGAACGCTCGGTCTCAAAAGCATTCTAGTTCTGATACCTGAACCCTATCCGGCGGAGAATCTCGCGTTTTGCGAGGAAAACGGAATTGAGCTGTTCCATGTGCCTCTCTCGGGAAATAAGGAGCCGTTTGTACATATGGACCCGGACGTAATTGCCGAGGCTCTGAGAATAGCAAGCGATCCGCCAAACTGGCCTATTTTGATTCACTGTAACCAGGGTAAGCACCGCACTGGTTGTGTGGTTGGCTGTTTCCGCAGAATGCAGCGCTGGTCGCTGTCTCTTATTTTCGAGGAATACCGTCGGTACTCGTACCCCAAAATCCGTCCGCTGGATCAGCTTATGATCGAGCGTTTCGACCCTGCTCTAGTTCGCGGGGAGCTGCTAAAGACGGACTTTGACGAGTGGGTGGAGGCACTGTGGGCTTGATCTACCAATATTTAAATACTATAAAAATGCAAATGTATAAGAACTTTTTTTTATTCGGCCTTTGACTCCTTGGTGGAGCCTGCTAGAGTTTTGATCTTGCGAATGGAATCTCGCTCAGCGTAAACTGTAACAGCCACAAAAGCTATGCCCAATGTGGCCGCAACCAGCAGCTGTCCAAGGTCTTTTACAGTGCCCTGGTTAACCACGATACCGGTAATTACCGCAGCAAAACCAACAGGAAGCGGAGACGGAAGAGCATTGGGAATCCACTGGCCAACTTGAGTTTCGTTGGCGAAATAATCCCGAGCATACCAAATAGCCCACAAAATCCGTAGGGACATTGTTACGACCTGAGCCCAAACTAGACCGACAGCACCAAGATTCATGACCAGCATAAAGATGTACGAGACGACCACAAAGGCAATGGCAATGAAGACCATAGCGCTGCTCTGTTTGCGCAGGACTTTTAGCGAGGCTGTCGACTGCACAAACGCTTCGAGAGCTCCGTTCAGGGCAAGAAAGGGGATATACATCATATACGCTGCCAATACCTTGGAAGCGTCAGAGGCTGCCCACCGACTACTGACTAGCAGGGACAGAAGATACGGAGCAACGTGGGGCCCTAAAGCCCAGGCGGCCAGGCCGATATATAGATACACTCGCAACACTGTAGTCAACACCAAGACCGCCAAATTCACCTCGTTGGTCTCTTCCTTTTCTTCCTCCTCTGTCTTTGATCCGTTTACTGTGTGCAGCTGGAAACTCGGGGAAATGGGCTCAATCTTTATAGTGGGTGTGGGGCTTTTGGAGGTGTTTTCGTTGTCTTCTGAACAACCCTTCTGAGGGAGTGACTTGGAGAATAGAGCCCGTAAAGCTTCCTCAACGGGGAAAAGCACCAGTCTGGCCAATAACGAACCATAGTTCGACGCCAGGGCATATATTCCCTGTTGTTCAAGCGAGATCATTAGCGAAACCAGCAGGCGGTCGCTTTCAGTTAAAAAGTACTTGAGCATGGTCTGTGCACCCATACCTAGAGCGCGTTTTGAAATCTGCGTGTCAAGATAAGCTTTATCATTGCCAATTGGTGCCCATACTTTGCACAAGTACATTTTAAACGTGCCCTCGCGGAACTCGCTCAAGCTTTGCAGGTAAAAAGCAATGCAATAAACAACGGCGTACGTCAACTGGCCGGAAGCAAAAGCAAAGACAGCCGGTGAATGTGCGCCAACAATAAGTAAGAAGGTAACTAGAGTCCTGGATACAGCACTGAGGGCCTCAACTTGGGCCCGAGCGCGGAGGTTCATCTGAAGCTGGTTGATCAAAAAGCACGGCTCGGCTGCCAGCTCGAAAATTGAGGCGGCACCATACATTACGGCTGAAACAATGCTGATGCTAGACCCATCGCTGGCGTGAACCATAAAGCAAGCCATAAAGATTGCCAGGGGTACGCCAATTGCGATCGAGCAGTAAGCCAGGTTGATGGTCTCCTGAATAGTACCTGAGCGCGTTCCGTGAACAGCAGTACCATCGACACGATACTCGTCGGCGTGGGAGTGTGACAGGGTTTGTCTTTGGGAGGCAAACCGGACGGCGTCGCGAGCCAGAGACAACACGGAGATACCTACAAATTCGAGCTGGGCGGACGCGCCGAACTCGCGAGCATCGATGAATCTCATGACAATCTGATTGACAAAAAACGTCATGAGCTTGGTGAGCGCTTGGGCACCGGCCAAAGCGCCTACACCGGAAAAAAGCGAGGCAAGTCTGCGTTGGCTGACTGCCACCGGCTTCTCCGCAGCGGAGCTCGAGGGCGGTGAGGTTTGGCGCGGTGCTATGTACACAGTTGAGGACCGTTTGCGACTGTGTTTGCGGAAACTCGGGCTTTGCATTATCATCGGCGTCACATCGCTATCTAACTCGGTGGGGTCGGTTGCGATAGTAGGCAGTAAGGTTTCTGGACGGCTTCCTTGAGAAGCTGCCGATAACGACCGCACTCTATTAACCATTTCAGCGGACTACGCGAGATTCGCTAAAAAATTCTATCCACCAGGGAGCTCTCAGACAGTGCGGCTTGCTAATTTCGATGGTTCGGTGGAAAAGGGCAGCGCTGACTTAAATGGCGCAGGGCCGGGCTGCATGATTAGAGTTGATTCTGCAGTCCAAGCTTTTCAGAGCTGCGGTCGGCAAGTTGGAAAGGTTAACTATTTACAGAACTACGTAGATATGCCGTGGTCTAGATTTGGGCATTGAACCGGTTAATTGTCTCTGTAGCGAACGTGGCAAAGTTCTCGTCTCCGACTCTGTCTCCAAGACGCGGCTGGCAAAAGACGGCCAGGGTGGAGCGCCAGAATGCAGGATTACCAGTAACCTTATGAGGAACGGCTTTAAATCGGCCCTCTGTCAGCTGTTCAAGACATGATCCGGTCTGAATTGCAATACAGTTTTCGGGAATGTCGACGCGAACGGGCTCTCTTGTGCGCGATCTGATCCACAGTCCAGCGTCGCCAGTGTCGGTGGCTTTACCGGGACCCCACAGGGCGGATGTCAGTGCCGTCAAACAGGAGTGGTCCAAATGGTCACCACACCAAGGTTCCTTCGCGTCTTCCGGGACGTAATAGTGGAGCAGACGGGCCTTGTGGCAGTCACTTTCGTCTACAATACGCTTCAAGGACTTTTCCAGCCCAACCAGTTGATCGCACACTGCACGATCGCAAGCCTCTGCTACCGTACTTGTCACACCAACCATGTACGCAATCAATTCCTTCAGATCGTGTTTCAGTCCGGGCAAAACGGACTCTTCTGGCCACACATTGCTGTGGATGTACGCTTTCAGGTCAGGGAAGTTCTCGACGGTGGTTTGATCAGGCCCTTCATTAGAAGGATCTCTTACAAAGTTGCAGTTCACGTAGAACGAGCCCTTGTTTTTGTCCGGCTTTCCATTCTCAAGAGTTTCGCGTCCTCTGGACCAGCCAATTACCCATTTGCTTTCTGGCACTTCCAGCTTGTTCAGCTCGGAGACAGGCAAGTTGGCCAGGGCGCGGGACTTTTCTAGCCCTGACTGCCGGAGGTGGGCGAAGTTTGCATCTAGACCATCAATGATAAGTACGCCGAGAGACTCAGGTCCAAAAGCTTCGAGCAGGCGTCCATCGCATTTGCCGTTCTTGAGATCATCCAAGGAAACACGTACAGGAGACATGGAAACTGCTTGGCTGACTCGTGCCGTTTAAATGCATAACACGCATGACGGTGTGTTGGGATGCGGGGGTATTATTCCGATCCGCATTTTTCTTGGATTTCCAGCGCTCATTCTATATATCCTCACTATTCGCTTTATTCATAGAGTTCTATACATGCTGTATCCGCTGCAAGCGCACTTTCCAACTTGGACTGACCACATAATCAATGAGAAATAGGAAGTTCAACGAAGCGCCTCCGCCATATCTTAATGGGGCGTATCGCCCTCCTTCAGCTCTGGGAGGCGATAGGGGGTTTCCATTCGGGTTTCTACTAGGGGCTAGTGCTCCACCTGTTCCGCAGCCCCATCATCCAGCACGGCCTGCAACTGTTGACGAGGTGCCTATGCTTGATCTAGATTTGCCGAAATCCAACGACTACCGTGACATTGTAATTATCGAGTTTGATCGTGCCCTTTTCCATACTCCAAGCCCTAACTTGGATCTGCTGGAACCTACCTCAGCCCGACTTGTCGAAACTGGTCTGGGAGACGAGGGGTGGTGGGAAAGTCCAGCAGTGCTGGAGGCCGCCCGCAACAGTTGTTCGAATTGGAATGAGACTCTGGTGGATATTCTAAAGGTGGCTATCTCATCACCTCAGGTTTTCACTGCGGTGATCAGTGGGCGCACAGCACAAAACGAGGACCAAATACGGAAAATGTTGACTGAAAAGGGCATTGGAAACATCGATTGCTTGGTGCTAGGTGAATCAGGCCAGCAAATTAGGCTCAGAAAAACGCAATTGGTGTCCAGGCTTTGGTCTCATTTCTATACATGCAACCGACTAACGGTATACGAGGGCAGGCCGAAAGACGCGAAAGCGTTGCGAAATTTACTTCCAGCTCTGGCGACCGAGGCCCGCAATGGACTCATATTGAAAGAAGTCGTTGCTCCATTAGTGCTGCTTCCGCCGCGTGAAGAAAGGAGCTTCCTTGAAGCGGCGGTTCTTCGATACAACGAGAAAAACCCCAAGCCAATTGTCGCCGAGGTCACCAAAAACGGCTGTATTTATCGCCTGGTCCCAGAGACTCGTGATTTAATCCTGCAAAAAGTCCAAGAGATAATAAATCCAGACCAGATCATCTTAAATCCGGCCAAATCAAGCAATTCATCAACCGAGGAAAATGCCGAGATCGAGGTTAGCTGGAACTTTGTAGACGCAATTATTGAGGGCGGCATCTTGAAACTGAACTTGGCTGTGTCGAACGAAAATATCCAATTCTTGGTATGCGGGAGACTCTCGACGCCGGACGGACCAGTTAATTGGTATGACGGTACAAGTGCGTATACAGCCAGGCGGATCGTTGATCGACGTCTATATCTGCGAACATGATGATATTTATTTATTATATATTATTTTATGCTTCCCCACTAAGCCCGAGGCATCTGGCTCTGGTACTTTTGCACAACTCTGTCGAAAAGCTCTGACTTTTCTCGCAGGGCATTAGCAGGCAGTGAAGTTTTCCCAAGGTTATCGCGGAACTCCTGGGCATCCTCATTCTGGATCAATGCAAGGGCAATGTTCGTGGCCAGCACGTCGTCGCTGTCGGGTGATAGAGCCACTGCCTGACGGAGGCTCTCTGAAGCTTCAGGGAACCGTAAAAGCTTTAGTTGAGCAATGGTTTCGCCCAGATAAGTCCGTGCAGTGGGATGTGAGCCACTGAGCTCTTCAAAAATGTAGTAGGTTTTCTGGACCTGCTCTTTGTTCTGGAACAAGCAAGTCCAAGCTTCGGCCAAGTTGTAGAGTAAGTGGTCGTTGGCCCATTTGCGAGTTTCGTTGACAAGCACAACGGCTTCCTCAACTCTTCCTTGCATAAGTAGAATTTGAACAGTGAGTAAAACACACTCGAGACTTGACTCGTGCGTTTTCAGGAGAGCAAGTGCCTTCTCGAGCTCGCCAGCGCGGGCAAAAATAAGGCCACCTAAAAGCTTCACGTAGTTATTATCGCGATCAGACTCAACAATATCAACAGCCTTGTCCGTCCCATCAACACCTGTCGCAACACTATCAGCATAGACTTTTACAAGAGCCCAAACGGAATCATTCGACGATGTCAAAGCTGCACTTACTTCCTTGGCCTTGCCATCAGCAATGCGGGCTCTAGCATGCAGTAACTGCGCCTTGAAGTTTTCCTCAGGGTCAGCAATTGCCTCCAGGTCAGTTTCGATGACTGCCTTATAGTCTCCCGTGTAAAAAGACTGCTCCAACGACTCGAAAGACATACGTGTAGGATGACAAATGCTCGCGTCGCGATGAAGTTCAAGATCAGCTTGGTTCGGTTATGTTGGGATGTGGAGGAGGTAACTAGAACAGCGATTGGTTTAAAATTTACAGCTCGGTGACCGAGTGGATTTGGGGAAGCCAAAAAAATGCATGAAAAAAATGATCCAACCGAGGATTGAACTCGGAGCCTTGACGGTATTTAAACTCGAAATCGAATGTAAACGTCACGTGATAACCATTACACCATTGGACCGACTACGCCAAACTGGCATTAGTGAGCGAATTTTTCGTGAAACCCAATATAACCTACTGCTGGAGTTCAATTTATAAGTTAGTTAACAAGAATTGTTCTCTAGAGTAAAAGACCTTTCTCGTTTCGAGCTAGCAGTGGAATTGGCTGTCCTTTTAGGAATACACTGTTTTTTGAGCTGCTTTTCGTCAGTTTTATGGCTGCAAAAGAAAGGAGTGTTGCGAACATTTCCATCGCATAACGCGCAGTCTCACTCAGTTCTTCACACTTCCAGTACGGGCAGAATACTAGCAGTCCAAGAGCTCGGGAGACTATCAATGCGCCGTATACTTTTAGTAGTCCAGAAGTGTACAACACAAACACAGTGCAAACGTACTGTGAGACACACATGTGGTCTAGTAGCCACAGACTGCCAAAGAACCCAAATATTTCCAAGTAATATAGTCGTCTATCTTGCTCCAAACGCTGCAATCTGTTTCGTACATCGTTCACTAAAATAACGCATATAGCAAAGAATACTGCCACGGCGGAGTAAAAGAGTGCCTGCTTGAGTGTGCCAAATGGAGCACCAGGACTCATAAACTCCGGAGGTGAAGGGAAAATGTCGAGATTTGCAATCATAATATCTAGTTATACGAAGGGTTTAAAGTGTTGTTTTCATATTATATACTGTCCCAGTCAGGTACTTTCAAGGCCCTCCTTAAAGCAGTAAGAAGTCACAGTAGAGTGCCAGTTACCATACCGGCCAGGAACCTGAACGGGCGATCTGAGCGAAGGTTTACGAAGGGGGCCTTCAAAAAATTGGGTCTCGCGTTGGATTTTCGTATTTCCATAAGTTTGTTCCATGGATTTTGAGTCACCGTAGTTTTTATTTTGAAGAAACACGTAAATACCGCCACCGATGGCAAATACACACCAGATAGCGACAAAAACAGCTCCGACAATTGCCTCACTTTGAATTTGAGAGTATAGTGCATCGGTGACCATTGGCAACACAGTGTTTGCTTTTTGGCTAGCAGATGTGACCTTTGTCTGATTAGAGAAAACGGTGTCATTCAAAACAGATAATTGCGGGAACGAGACATGTGCTTTCTCATGAATCCAAGTCAAGCCAGTCTCCATCTTTTCCACTTTGTTTCCAATTAGGCAATCGACCACTGCGGATAGCGGTTTGTAGAATGGCGTGTTGCCAAAAACGTGCTCTATCTCGTTGTTCATTTTGGTCATAAAGATTTGGAGTGTATTGTTTAGTGTGCTGGTACTCGTAGAGACCCAACCAAGTATTTGTGTGTTGATCTCATTTTGCAAGTCCATGATCTCCTCGTTTGTGGAGGATTGCCACAACGTTAGGTCGCTTTTAATAGAAGCTGAAGTATCATTAAATGACTTTCCAATAAAACGTGCCAGCTTTTTGGACTCCACCGAAACAACTCGGACAATGATAAACTCAAACAGACTCAAAATAAGCATGATTATCCCCGCGCCTAACGCACCCAGAGCCGGCACGTAGGTGATGAAGTGAATGTACCACGAGATCAAAGGTGTTTTTTCTAGGACACCTGTTTTAGATGCAACCTTGAGTGCCGTCCGCGTCACGATGTTTGATTCAGCTGCAGATATGGCCGTGAGGTTCCGCATCTCCTGGCCCAAATCGTCTGAACTGTCTGTACTCCGAAATCTCATTGCAATGTCTGTGTGACGTCTCCATCTGCGGTCCTCTGAAAAGACGTTGTAGAAAATCAGGCACACAATTGCAATGCAAACAACTGCCGTGAGGGCACTAACCGCTGTGTCGGCAGCATTGGAGCAGCGTTCATAGAATACAGCCACATCGCCCAAATTACAAGTGGACACACTCGTTGAAGGAGGTAACTTGATATTACCTGCATGAAAACTCACATTAGAAGACTTTATCTTTGATACGACCATACCAAATGGAATTGATATAACATTTTCTAAGTCCGTCTTCACACCATCATACGTCGGCACATGTGTTCTGAATTTTTCCAAATCTGCGTTGATAGAGTCCGGGATGTTCAAGTTCTCTAGTGCACCGATGGAGAAGTTCACTTTTGAGATCTGCTTCTCACTTCCACTCACAAAGCTTTCAATCGTTCCAATGAGCCCAGTAGCTCCATTGATAAGCTTTTGAAGCTCCTCTAACCCGTCCTCAACTCCATGAACTGCTGTATGAACAGTACTATTAGCAAACTTCACCACGCTCTCGGTAGCATTGAGAGCTTCGTTAGCAGCGATGTTCACAAATGATACTGTCAAACATGCCCAGGTTCCAATGTAGATTTCAATAATAAATAATAGAATTCCCTTCAGTGCAGTCACAATCATTGCCAGTAGATCCAACAGTCCTTTTACGCTATGCGTCAAGCTCTCATCTATCAGCTTGTTGGCCATTAACGCTGCTGCTCTCGGTGCATCGCGTGCCGCCTGGGCGGCTGAGTTTGACATTGAGCAGAGTTCCACTGTGCTTTCTTCGGCAATGTTGATAAATGCTTGGATTGTTATCCTAAGCAGCTGAAGCTTTACTAGGAAAAGCACTGCCATCAGTACAGACGGCGCTGCCCAAGACTGTGTCAAGCGGGACTTCAGTCCCAAAAACGGCGTATGATACTCACTAAACTTGTCCACGATTTTAAAGAATTGCCATAACATATGTGACTTTAGTTCCATTCACGCCTTATATACATTTAGGTGGTCCCTGCAGACCCTGCATATGTAGTGGTTCCTGTGGTTCGTTATCGTTTCTAAATCGTATCTATTTATGCAGTTTCACGCTGGTTGATTACCTCCTCTTCAGTGAGCTCAATTTCCTCTGCAAGTTGTTGAACCTCCTGAGCTTTCCACATGAACGAATACAAGGAGTTTTTATTGGCCAAAAGCTCACGATGACTTCCTTCTTCGGCAACAGCGCCTTCGCGTAGAACAAAAATCTTGTCTGTTTCAGCGACAGTACGAAGACGATGAGCAATGAACAGAGCAGTCCCACCTAGTTTGTTGATGTTGCGATTAATAGTGTCCATCAGAATAGACTCTGTCTGAGTATCCAGAGCTGAAGTAGCTTCGTCGAAAAAGATTATCGGTGCTTGTTTCAAAAGAACACGAGCAATTGCGAGTCTCTGGCGTTCACCTCCAGAAATCATCATGCCCCGCTCACCCACCGTTGTCTCAAGGCCATCAGGCAGCCGCCTGAGTAGTGTATCGAGCTCTGCACGGTTCGCAACCTCAGCTACCTCAGCATCAGTAGCACTCAATCGACCGAACCGGATATTGTTTCCAACGGTGTCGTTGAAAAGCGGTGTTTCTTGTGGGACGACACCGACGGCTTGACGCAGAGAGCTCAATGTCACGGACCGAATTTCTTGATCGTCAATGTAAATCTTTCCCGATGTAGGCTCGTAGAAGCGGAACAGTAAACGCAAGATAGTTGACTTACCAGAGCCGCTAGGCCCCACGAATGCCGCCTTGGTGCCACCAGGTATGGTGAAACTAGCATTCTGCAGGATCGGAACACCAGGCCGATATTCGAAACAGACGTTTTCGAATCTAATGTCGCCGTTCTTTATTTGAAGCGGCTTGGCATCCGGAGAGTCCTTGATGTGCACGGGGTGCTCGCGGACATCAAACAACGTCTCCATATCAAGAAGTGCCTGGTTCATGTCTCTGTAAACAGATCCCAAGAAATTGAGAGGAACTGAAAGCTGGAATACAAGCTGGTTTACTAGGATCAAATCGCCCACAGACATAGTGCCGCCGACCAGCCCTTGGCAGGTCATGTACATCATTGCAGTTAGCGCAGTTGAGAAAATGAAGTTCTGTCCTGAATTAAGAAAGGCAAGAGATGTTGCAATTTTGATGCTGGAAACCTCATACTTTTTCAACGCCTCGTCATACTTGGCGATTTGAGCAGCTTCGTTATTGAACAGTTTCACACTGTCAATGTTCACAAGTGTCTCGGTAGCGATACCTGAGCTAATGTTGTCAGCCTTGTTGGCGTTTCTTCGAAATTGCGTTCTCCACGCAGTGGTTTTCAGTGTGAATACAGCGTACGCCGCCATGGTGGTCAGAGTGACGGCAGCGAACTGCCAGCCAAAGTTGTAAGACAAAATACCACTCACCAAAGCGACTTCGAAGGTTATAGGAACAATGTGTAGCACCAGAGCAGTAACTACAAATGAGATACCTTTGCAGCCTCTATCGATCGCGCGAGTCAGCTGGCCAGTAGAATGGCTCAAATGGAAATTCGAGTCTAGTTTTAACAAATGAGCAAATGTCGATTTTGACACTTTACGGATAGCCGTTTGGGCGACAGTGGCGAAGATTGCGTTGCGAAGCTCGCCAAAGAACGTGGACCCGAATCGGGCTAAGCCGTACGTGACAACTAGGACAATTGCAGCCGTCCCCATAGTGCCAACGCCTTCCCAGTCTACATTCATCTTATCGACGATTTCTTTAAAGTAGAACGGGACCTCCACATTCAAGATCTTGGCTCCGATCAGCAGACTGACGGCTAGTAGCACTCGGGCTTTGGCAGACCAGTTGCCCTTGGGCCAGATATATTTCGTTAAGCCACCAATAATATCAACATGCCTTCGCCGTTCGTTTTCAGGCTTGTCTTCATTCAGTTGTTTTCTGCAGGACGTTGTCGCGAATCGGCGAATTGACATCATTGTCGCTGCCCTTGGAAACACCTGGGTAGCTGGCGACCTAATGGTCGCACTTCTGGCGATAAAGGCTCGCTTTGTTTGGAGGCTCAGCACCCTTGCAGGTACCGAGCGGCCCACGAGCCCTATCGTCGACCATCTCGACCATGCTGACATTGGATGACGAAATTTCGCGCTTAGTCGTTGAAATGTGGGGTTGGGCAAAGTATAGGGAAATTTACAGATTATGGATGAAAAATTAATTTAACCCTCGATCCACGGGTCGTGCATGAATCCTGGAGGGTTGAAAAAGTCTTTTGGAAGGTCGCTTTTGGGTTCTGAGTAGACTAGGAGAGAGGGGTCGATCCCGTCAACGAACTCTCTATTCAAGTTAGTGTTAGACGGAGGAAGCACTGCCCGGACACCAGCTGTGTGATCCAGGATACTATTAGGCCATTCGGTGAGCAACGGGATCAAAACAGTAGTCAGTGCGACCTCAGGATCTACTCGGGGGTCGATTTGAATTTCCCAATCAAACGAGAAGCGTCTCAGCAACGATGCATGGCCCAGCCGTTGTCGCTTCTCTTCGACCCCACCACCAGGGTTAATTACCCTTTCAAGGTATCGAGTATTGGCATCCCATTGGTACATGGCGCCGTCATTGAGATAGAATCGACAGCCAATTGGCAACAATGGGAGCTTTGTAGCGACTTTACGCATCTTGAGTCCCGGTTTGGCGTAGAATTCAAACGTGCTGCCGGTGAGGGCCAGGGTGATCACCGAAATGGGCTCGCTTGTATCAGCACGAGACATACGCCAATGACTTGAAAGACGGTGTTGGCGTTCGTACACATATGGTTTGGTACCATCAGGGGAGAACACGTTTATTTGAGTGCGCGGATTGGCGGTATCCCGCCGCAGGTAGAAAATCTGTGGGGTAGTGGTGAGAGGTGCGACGCTGCCATTAGCCTTGCTCGGGAAAGCAAAAGGTGAGAAAGCATTGGCTGTTTTCACAGCCTTTTCTGCCATATATAAGGGAATGGTGTTCATTAAAGTATACTATGACTATGGTCGGGGCCTTAAGTAGGTCTGGAGCATGATCCCTGAGCCCATGCATTGATTTCATGCCGAAAAATCATATACATAAAACCCGTCTTTGTTTCATGTTTGCAACTACCATAGGCCTCTTGCTTTTGAAACGGAACCACTCGAGGCCTGTCTTAGCTGCCTGTGCGCGCTGCAGTGGAAAACGTTTAGCGAGGTCTAGCGAAGTGGCCGCTAGTACACATTATAGTAGCAAGACAGAGCATAAATATTCGAGATACGTATATATGTACTATTTTATTACTATTATTTTGAAAAGTACGCTCCTCAAGCCACTTTGTTTTGGGCCCGTAACGACTGGTCCACCAAATCCACAATGCAGCTTAATGCAGAAGAAGACCCGCTTGCATCTGCCTTTGGGCTCAGGATATAAAGCAACGCTTGAGCAATGAAATAGTATCTCCAAGATCACCGTCCACCCTTTAATACACTCTTTAAAAAATGAACAGCGCTTCTATTGCCCCGCTAATTGTAGACGCTCCCTCGAACTCTGAGATAGATAGCTTCTATGCTCGTCTTCTGATCTCACCCTTTGTTTCTGTCGCACCATGGCACGACGACTTGGGCTCAGCTCCTAGCAATAATCTTGATTTACACAGGAATTGGCCGCCGTTTAGACCTGCTCAGCTTTCTGCTGCAGCCAATGATTACAACTCTCGTATGCTGTATCAGAGAGCCGACAGCTCAGTGAAAACTCCCACAACTCCTCATTTTTTCCCGTTATCAGTTTTGAACAACACAATGCCCAGTTTCCCTGCGCCTCCCCTGAACTCTGACATCCCTGAACCACCTGAAGATCTCAATGACGACTCTGACTCAAACACTGAATACCACACTCCACCTCCTAATTTTGAAATCATCGAGACAATCAAGCCGCCAAAAGAACTGCAATTGCAAGCCCCCACACCCGCTACGTCGGTCTTCATGCCCCAGGCAGACCAGGAGCTCAAGAACGTCGACAGAAACAGCTGGCGGTCAAAACTCGAGGATATCGTGAAGCCAATTGAGCTTCCTAATGGTCGTCACAAGTGTCCCGAATGCGATAAATGCTACAAGTACCGCAAACATGTTCGAAGACACTTTCTCAGCCATACAAACTTCCGCCCATTCAGATGCAAGTACTGCTGCCTGTCGTTCCGCAGACTTGACTCCTGCTCTCGCCATCATCAACGCTGCACGTTTAGAAAGTACAGCGACATGAAAAATATTTAAATCTGACAATACAATGTAAAATATCATTCCTTCGAAAAATAACAGGGCAAGGGTCTTGCTTTTGGGCCTTCATTCTTACTACGCGTTTTTAGGGATCATACAAGTGAGGCACTCTTTCGAAAAACACATTGGCAAATGAGCGATGCAAGCCCGCCTGCCAAACGCATGAAGGGCTCTATGGCATTTCGGCTCAATGCGAAAACACCAACACGTACACCGGACCCAAACTCGCCGGCAATGCGCGCCCTGGCCGCTGCAAATGGTGCTAGCCCACGACCCCCGGGGACCCAGTTACTGAGACACACCATACCGTCTAGTCCACCCCGGCCAAGAACTGCGGATTTTTCGCGTGGTGGCAACGACACGCTTCCTCAGAATTCCTATTCGAATCTATCGGGGCTGTCCTCTGCGAATACATCCAGGCTCGCACGAGCCAACAAATCAAGATCTTCACGAAATGTTTCTAAAATTCGTGACTCTTCTCATCTTACGCCCGCTGACCATCTTGCGGAAAGCAGCAATTTGCATTTCAGCCTTCTTGACAAGGTCCTGCCCATCAGCGATGCCAGCAGCATTCTGTCTGAGGATAGCGCGCCAGAAAGCACAGCCCACTCAGAACAATTGCACACCCAGCAAGCTAGAGCCATGAGAGGCTATAATGCGGGCGATGTATCAATGGAGGCACTTGGCTACACGTTTCGGGCAAAGACCCGCTTGAGCAGACATTACATACAAGATGTGAACTCCAAGCTCGATTCGCATGAAAAGCTCACGCAAGTTCTCATTTGGTCGTTGGACAGGCGTGTGAGGCATTCTCAAAGAAAGAACAATCTAGCCCCATCTGCTGCTAAAGAGCTGGCCATGGTTACGCTGTCGAAATTACTGGTACGCCTGCAAACCAAAGAATTGAAGCTAGACTGGTCAGATAGGCCCAAGGATGAGCCATTGCCGCCACCGATGCGGGGACGTTTGAACACTTTAAATGAGCGGACACTTCAGGGGTTTATTACCTACAGAAAAGCTCTGGAGGCCGAATATGCTGAATGGCCCAAAGTCATTGCCGCCTACGAACAAGCGATCTCGGAGGCCAAACAGTTGCATTTGGCAACGCCCGAGCCGCGAGACCCGCCCCGCGAACTGAGCGCGGCCGAGCAAGAGATTGTTAAAGCGGCAGATCGAATGCTGGCAAACCAGACAGTGCCCGCAAAGGTATCTGAAGCAGCACTGGCTCGAGATGCTGCCCTAGAGGCTGTGGACTCGTGTCGTGAGCGGGCTCAGGCCCAAGACACAACGTCTCTTCTCAAGGCATTAACTCGAGAACGATAACTTATTTATTAATATTAATGTATTGTATATTTACACGTACGTTTACGACTGTGGAATAAATAAAACTTTGGTATCAAATGATCTTAGGCAAGGATATCAATGACGCCAAAATATTGCTCGACACCGTAAGGGCCGGGACTCTTCCACATGTCATTGTATGTTGACAGAATAACTAGATCCTGACCCATAACCTCCATAATCGACTCTAATGCAATAACCTGGTTTTCTTTGGTGGGGACCTGGCCGCCGTTGGTTATGCCCTGGGATGGGTAGCCAGTCTCGCTAATCCAGACCTTCTTAGATCCGCAAGTGCTTTGAACAAGACCAACTTGTCCTTTGAGGAACTCACCAGATTGAGGAGCTGTAGAGTAGGGATCAAAGTAGGAGTGCGCATTCAAGGCGACGACATCAAAAACGTCACCACAAAGATCAGGATTGTCCTGGATAATGTCAGTGACTTCAGCATGCATGAACAGTCCATTGAATCCGGCTGCTCTGAGCTGGGCTTTATATCCAGCAGCGGCATTGATCAAATCAGGGGCGGAAACGTAGTTATTAACGATATCCTCATTTCCAAAAATGATGCTCTCAAAGACACTCCATCCATGGGCCTGGCCATAAGCGATAATGTCGTTGACCGATTGATCAACTAGGCTACTCAGGCCACCAGGTCCAATCCAGACACCCTGGCTCACAACCATACCAAGCGACTGAGCAGCAGCAACGATAGTATTCAAAACATTGCAGTCAGTACCGTAGGTGCGAAGCTTGTTGATACCCTTAGACTTGATAAGGTTAAGGTCACTCAAAACAGTGTCGTAGTCCTTGCAACCCTGGGTGTCTAGGTAAGGGCTGTACACAATGTAGTCGGGTGGAGTGACACCACCGCCGGTAGACGGTTGGGTAGCCTGAGGGGTAGGGCTGGTGGTAACAACAGTTGAAATAGGTAGAGCATCAGGAGAGGCAGTAGTGGGTTGAGCCTCCTCGGTAGTAGAGGGGGGCTGGGCCTGTTCCTCAGTAGTAGAAGTTTGAGCCTCTTGTTCAGTAGTAGATGGGGCCGCCTGCGTTGTAGGGGTAGGGGCAGGTTGAGTAGTGGTTTCAGGCCCGGGCTGAGGACTAGTGGTAACTTGAGCGGGCTCGCTGGCTGTCGCAGCCTGGGGAGTGGTCTGGGCGGCAGGGGACGAAGTCTGGGGAGCGGGTTGAGTTTCAGCTGGCTGGGTCGCTTCAGGCTGAGATTTCTCAGGAACTGGGTTCTTACCCTCCAGGGTGTTGATAAGTACAGCTGAGGGACTAGCAGGGGCTGGCTGCTGAGTAGAAACGAGTACAGTATTGTAGTCGTCGGTGGGAGACGCTGCAGCAGGAGGTGCAGGGGGGGCAGGGGCAGGGGCCGGTGTTTCGGCTGCGGGCCATTGTGTGGAGTAGTAGGTAGCACCGGGGGTCTTGGTGATAAATTCGTTGGCACCCTGACCATTGACGGTGACATACACAGGACCCATAGTCTTGGTAACGTAAACGTAGACGCGCTTGTCAAGAGGAGCGGCCAGAACAAAGGACTGAAGAAGAAGGAAAAGAATCAAAAGATTGAACATTTTCAGACGAGAAAGATTGGGGAAATGAAAAGAGAATGTAACGGAAGCAAAGTCCTAGTGAATGTGGTCGTATTGGATGAAAGAATGAGTAGAGACCGTCGGCAGTTAGTTGTTCACGTTAAAGTCCGGGTGAATTGACAAGATGCAGAAAAGCACGGATACTTTTTCAATATATAGGATTTGTTGTTCTACATATGCACGGATACTCGGGCGCACTGACATGGCCCAAAAAGGTCAACTGCCAGGGCCAAAGACCAGCCACTGCACCTAATCTCCGCTTAACCTGCCAGCCCCCTGCACGAGGGTACGGGTGGCAGCTCGGTTTTCCATGCTAGCATCCAGACTAGAATTGCGACCAAAAGTATTTTTGTGCTTTAAAGTGGCGGATATTAGCAGCTCTTGACGGCGTTTGCTCTAATTGTCATGTTAAAGATCGCTACAGGTTGGGCGGGCGGGTCGCTCGCACCGCGGGGAGTGGCTGGCTGCATGAGCCCGATCGAGACTGGCATAGAAGATCAGCGAATACGGTTTATGGTGAAACGAGAGTGTGATAGCTAAATAGTTGGTTTGTATTTATAGAGCGTAGGGTGGGACCACATAAGTCACAATAAAGAAGATAATAGCAGTGTGTAGGCTCCTACCTGAGCTCTATTAATTCTGCTGGGGAGGTTGAGCATTTGACCGATACAAATTCATCTGCGGGCTGAAGTATACGGGACCCGTCGGGTAACCCATTGGCATCTGCAAAGCATGTGGGTGCTGCATGGGGATATAGCCACCACCACGGGGCATGATATTCTGATGTTGCATGTGAACGTCCTCGTCCAAAACATTGAGCTGGGCCATCTGGCTTGGTTGCACACCCATATCCTGCGGTGGCGGAGGAACGGGGTTGGTCTTTTGCGAGCTACGACCCTTGTAGCCTGCGGCAGTGTAGCGATCAGGGAAGGCATTTCTGAATCTGTCACGGAGATCCGTTGAACGACGATCTCCAAGGTTCAACGATTGGTCCCGTTGAATCTTAGACCATGCAGGGCCGTGCTTGTTAAATCCCTGCAAGAGGCGCTCATCTTCATCCTGGCTGAACGCACGTCGCTCCTTACGTTTGATCTTGGTTAGTTGGGCAACCTCTGCACCGGTGTTGGGACGCTTGACTTTATGGGTTTTGGCATTAGGATAGAGTCTGGAGTACTCGTCTGGGAAAGAAGTTCTGAATCGGTCCTTTAGATCCACTGCGGTTCGACAGTTGAACTCAAAGCTGGGATCAGTCAAAATCTTCTTCCAGTTACCAACACCATGACGTTTACATCCTTCCATAAGATAGCGGGTTTCCTCTTCTGTCCAGCCCAAACGGACTCTTCGCTTGCCTATCCGTCCAGCGCCCGGCCCGTTGTTCTGCCCAGCCATCCGCTCAGCTAGAGCATGAGAGTTCAAGATCTGGGCGCTGCTGGGGCCACCAACATTGCTGTTGCTGGTAGCCTGGCGAACATGTTCAGCTTTCATAGGCGTAGCTCCAGGCCCAGGCATGTAGGCCGCCGCCTGGTGAGGGGGGTAGTGGACATGGTGGCCGTAATGGCGCACGTCGTCGGTTTGGTTGGGGTCAGCGGCAAACAATGGCTGGCTTTCTGGCTGGCCGTAGCCTTGAGGTACTGTATTCGAGCCTTGCTGGAGCTTGTGGATGTCAACAGCCTGCTGCAGCGCAGTGAGGTCGGGTCCACTAGTCTTGTCTACGCCGCCACGCTCAGCGGCTTGCCGTTCCTCGCGGACAATCTCAGGGTCTATACCTGATACTTCCATCCCATTCACAAAATGGCCTGTTGCACCAGAATTCTTTGATCCACGCGTCATTCTCTTCGTTCAGGGTTTGCGTCGTGGTAAGGAATGGGGTACGGTTTGGGGGTTCAGGGTAAGAATTTGGTGATGATGGTGATGATGGTGATGAAAGCATGGGTTGGGGTTATGACTGAGGCCACGGGAGGGTAAGTGATATGCGAGCCCGCAGCGGGCAAAAAATAGCCTTCTTGGCCATTCATATTCAGATTCATTCGACTATTCTATATCTCGTTTATTTAGCTCAAAAATAGTCGCTGGCGTTGCCACTCCGCGGTCTGCTTTGTCGGGGCTCCTTCTGTAGATGCAATGCTTTTCCCAAGCATGCCGGCGAATAGCCCCTCACCAAAAAATTCCTCTTCGCATAGAAACCTTTTTTTGGAGACCACCACTAATTTTATAGCATTTGCTTTGTATTTGATTAAGAAATACGCTCTGTGCGAAATAGTGACCTATTCCCCTCCGTATATAGCCCCTATTCGCCGTTTATCTGCTACGCCTGGGTAGAGATCTTTGCATGGCACTGCATTCACGTGACAGCAACACCCGGCATCTTTAGCAACAAATCTGGCTCCGCAAAACATGTCCAACGGAGTTTTAAATAGAAAGTGAGTATATAGGCCGATGTAGTCTTGTTTATCAAGCCTAACGAATGTCTAATCGTTAGCGATGTTGCACTACATGCTAATGCGATCAGCGATGTTCCGCGGAGTAGGGTGCGGGGACGCACTTAAACTGTCGTCAGATAAATTTTGTCTTTGGCCCGAAGTTAAAGCCTCAGGATTTGTACCGTAACCGCGATAATCGTCCCTCATGGGCTCTTGCTGCTAATTGAGGTTTCTGAGCATCTGCATATCTACTCTGCCCTGAACTGTTTTTATTAGTTTATCCTTCAAACATATACCATATAAATTAACGCTTCTGCTTTTTAGCCACACGCTTCAAGGCACGTTGTTCCTTCTTCATAACACCATCAACCATCTTGTATTTACCTTTAACACCCTTGGGGCGACCCTGCAAACCACGGTTGGAGCCCTTGGCGGCAACCACCGTCACCTTGGGCTTCTTCTTCGACTTGGCCCGACGCATTAGTTTAGCAATATCCTCAGCCTTTTCTCTTTCAGATTTAGATGCATCGTCGTTGATAAGATCACTCTTCTTTCGGATTTTTTCAAGTCGTTTCTGAGCCCGCATTCTCTTACGAGCAGTCGCTTCGGCCACCTTCTTGATGGGGCGAGCATTCAGAACCTTCATCTGCTCCTTGATTGCAGCAGCAGCTTCTTTTGTGACCGGCTTGATCCGCTTGGAGTGTTTGCCTTCGTCTTCCAAAAACCACTCTGGCAACCCGTCGGTATCGCGGAAAGAGTATTTGTTGTAACCATCGTTGATCAAGTCATGTTTTGTTATTTGGCCTAGCGCAAGCTTGTGTGCGAGAGTCATTTTGATAGCTCGCTCTTGCATATCTTCCTCCTTGGTGGGATCGTAGTGCTCTTCATCAGAGGACTCGCCATCAACCGCCGGCTCTGTGGGCTCTGGCTCTGTGTTGGATGTGGTCTCCTCATCTTCGGTATCACCGTCTTCCGAGTCACTGGCAACATCGATCTTCTTGAATGCATCGTCGTCAAAGAACATATTGGCCTTACCACTCAGATTTTCCGTCTCAATATCAGAGTCGAAATCGCTGTCGCTATCCATATCGCTAGCTTCTGAAGCACTTTGGATACCGTCCCAGACTTCACTTTCACGTGCTTTCTTGGCTTGAGCCTCGGCACTAAGCGCCTGAGTCTCCTTGAATTGGCGGTACATAGCGTCAAGCTGAGATTCGAGCTGAGCACCATCATCATCGCTATCGATCTCCATAACGTCGTCCTCGTCAGCCTCTGAATCACTGTCGGGCAACTCGTCCAGAGCATCGAGTTTCTCGTCGCCGAAATCGAAATCGCGATCACCAGTATTTGCCAAAACGGGGGCCTGTTGTTTACCTTTCACAAGGTCGGTGGCATAGCCCGTCTTCTTCACACTGTTGAGATCGAACAAGCTATCCTTTTGATTGCCTGCATCAATACCAATTTCCATAGGTGTAACCATATTCAGTTGCATTCGCATGATTTCCTTTTGTTTCGCTTCATTGCGTCTGCGCTTCTCTCGCTTTTGTCGAGCAGCAGCATTGGCTTTGAGCTCGTCCATTTCTTTTTCGATTTGTTCCTCGGTTGTCAATACAACTTCAGGCTCGCTCTCAGACTCTTCCTTGTCAATTCCAAGAAGCTTACGAGCGGCCACACGCCATTTCAAGATGACGCGGAAGTCCTTTTTACCCAAAACTTTCAAATCTTTGAACAACTCCAACAGATCAGGGGTCGTCTGAGGAAGCTTCTTAAGCTGTTTGATCTCAGGGTCACTCTTGTCCCATTCAAGAACGTTAGTTTCTCCTAAACAGGTGATGGGGTCTTCAGTTCTAACAAAGTCCAAGGCAGAGATCCGCTTAAACTGTAGGTACTCGCCCTCCTCGTAACCTTCACGCTTCCTAGTCTTCTTCTCAGGGTTGTAGATTTTGGCCTGGTTGTTGTTGTTCTTTTCTTGAAGTTCCTCGAAAACATATTTGGGATCCAAGAGGCGAGGATCAATCTGTTTGGGAGCCTTGAAATTTTTGCAGACAACGAAAATCTCTGCCGAGACGTTACGACTACTGGGCGGTTTAGTAGCTTCGCACTTTTCAAAAAACTGCTGGAACACCCACATGAGCTTGTTATAATCTTTAGAACGGAAAACCTTTGTGACGAACCAACCGCCTGGAGTCAAAAACTCGACCGCCAGCTTGAGGGACTGCAGCACCAGCTCACTCTGGGTAAACGCATCCTGCGCCCAAGCCATACCAACGTTGGGTGCACCATCGTGCATCACAACATCTGCCTTCCATGTCTTTAAATACCCTCGAAGCTGCGAACGGCAGTGCTCGGTAGTGATATCGCTCTGGAAAGTGATGACGTTTGGCAGCGGCTTGATTGGAGCCAAATCAACACCAACAATCAATGAATTAAGCGGGCATTGCTGTGTGGCAACCTGGCACCAACTTCCAGGAGCGGCACACAGATCGATAATGCACATAGGTCGGGGCTTGGTGCCCTTGGGCAGATTGAAGAAGCCATACTTTTGATTCAGCTGCACAATCTTGAACGAGGAACGAGCACGGTATCCCTTCTCTTTTGCCAGTCGATAGTAATGGTCCAAACGACCTTTACCATACTTTTTCTGTGCTTTTCCCATGGATGGAAGGTTTGGAGAAAAAAATTATCTAAGAACTTTTTTCTTGCAGGATCGATTTTTCAGCCGGGCGGCTGCGCAGGACTGAATCTGCGACAGGGAGGTTTTTTTTGGACGTTTTCTATAGCATAGTGGCTCAAGTACGATTTACCTGTAGTTTGTTTGTATTTTACGAGTTCCGCCCGTTCCCAGGCCGCCAATTTGCATGGTCAAGAATAATTTTCCCGCTTAGAAATTTTCCAACATGCCTGTTGGCGCTGTTGAGACATCTCTGGAATTCGTACCTGCGCGTCTTCCTGAGGCTGTCACGATGAAGCCTGGCGCTTATGATGTTGTAATAGGCGAGAGCGACAATTCCGACGGTTCTAGCTTCGATGGAAACGGCACAGCGAACGGCATTGCGGAAACGACAGAGTCCGAAGCGGAAACCGAATCTGCGAGCAGCACGTCCGCTTCGGCCAGCGAGACTGAGTCCAGCGATGAGAGTAGTGATGACGAGGATACAAGCGGGTCCAACCAATTTAGTGCCAGCGCCCGTAGTGCTGCGCCCAGCGATTCGGACGAAAGCGACAGCGAGATCGAATCGCGCACTGCCACGCCCCGGCCGCCGGTGCTCGCGGCAAACCACTTCTATGCATTCAACGAGAATCTAAAAGACCAAGGCTCCCGCTCTAATCGTATTTACAAATCCTGGCAGCCGTCTGCTTCGGCTCCGGTCGGATTGGAGAATCGTGGTGTGACCTGCTACATGAATGCAGCCATGCAGTTATTGTTTCATCTGCCGGCTATTGGGCGTTATCTTGTTGAAGTATCCCAGGGCAAGCATAACAATGTGAAAACCTCGAGCGTCACTGCCGAACTCGCAAAACTGTTCCGCAGGCTCACTGAAGGAAAAAAGAAGTCCAGTGTTTACCCCACACGCATGATCCAGCGCCTTGAAGACATCAATTGCATGATGTCCGAGTGGGAGCAAGAAGACTCGCACGAGTATTTAATGTCGTTGCTTGGCCGTTTACAAGAAGATAGCACGCCGAAAGGCGAAAAATTGAGGTCGTCGATTATGCACGACATATTTGGCGGCACGGTTGAGCAGCAAGTTACTTGTCGTAATTGCGGGCACGTTTCGACCACTAATCAAGACTTTTACGATATTCCTGTGTCGTTTTCGCGATCCGAACGCAAACAGGGCAAGTACACGTTATCGCAGTCTGTCGAGGACTTCTTCAGCCCAGAGGTGATCAAGCCTAAGGACAAAGAAGGCTATCAATGCGAAAAATGCAAGCAAATTACAAAGGCAATCAAACAGAATGCCATTCAGGATGCCCCCGAGTATCTTACGGTGCACATCAAAAGGTTCAAGTTTTCGGGGTCGCTGGGTCAAAAAGTAAAAGATCAAATGCTGTATCCGCTGGACTTGGATCTTACTGCATACTCAAAAACTGAGGAACCTCTCAGGTACTCGCTGGTAGGTGTCATTGTTCATGAGGGTCGCACGCTGTCCTCTGGTCATTATATCGCTATCGTAAAGCAACCTAATATGAAATGGTACGAATATGACGACGACATTGTGCGCAAGGTCTCAGACTCCTACGTGAAGAATCAGGAAAATGCTTATATTCTCGTCTACTCGAGACTAGCCGCCAGACAGCCGGCCCGCCGGGCAAAGCGACCTGCTGAACCAGATCTCCCTACGCCCAAGCGTCCGGCCAAGGGGGTCAAAAAGACAGCAAAAACACACACGTCTCCGAAGCGTAAAAATTCATTACCCCGGGGTCGCGATAAGGCCTTAATTGTTGCAACCCGAGCACAGGAACAAGCGCGAAAATCACATACACAGGTGAGCGCCGAGATTGATGCGATTTTTGGTCGAAAGTAGCTCTTCTTCCAAAAAACAAGAACCCTCGTTATTCGCTCTAATTTTGAAGCGGCAGGCCCGCTCTATGTAATATGTTGTATTTACACTTTTTTTTACTTAGGTCTGGGTGCCTTGGGGTCGTACACCTCTAAACGAGGCATAATACGAGGATCTACCTTTAACTCCCGCATCCACTCGGAGTTGGCATCGCGACCGTTTTGCTTCCATGAGTTGGGCCAATCTTGCTCGTCACTTAGTGCGAGATCAATGTCTTGGGGGGTGAACGGCCTGGTCTGGTTGAAAACGACAGCGGCAGTAAGCTCGCCCATTTCGTTGGCCAGTTTTCTTTGATTGAAATAGCGGACAATACGCCATGGTGTGTTGAGGAAGCCGAGTAAGTGGGGGTGACGGAAAACACCAATGGGCTCGAGTTTGGCTGAGAAAAACAGATCGTCCACCTTGGCTTCGTCGTAGTGTTCGGCACGCAACCAGGATGGGACGCGGGGCTCTTTGTCTTGGGCCTTCTTCTCAGCAGTTTCCTCAGTAGCACTTGCAGATTCAATTGTGTCCACCGGCTTCTCATCTGCTGCAGGCTCAGATGCATTATCAGCTGCAGGCTTGGCCTCGGGGGCAGGTTCAGCTTTGGCCTTCTCCTCTTCGGCCTTGGCCAATGCAGCAGCCTTTCTGCGTTCTATCTCTTCTTTGACAAACTCAGGCTCTTCAAGTGGTCCCATGTAGCCTTCCTGCAGGCCAGACAAGTACTCTTTATAGGCACCGCGGCCTACACAAAGAACGCCGCCCGTGAGATCACGAGCGACCCGGGAATCAATCTTGTGGTCAAGATCATCCTTTTGGTAGCCGGATGTGGGGTGTCCTGCAGCCTCTCGTCGCTCGTTACGAATACTCTCAGCAACGTTGTAGCGGATGGTGCCCTGTTGGGTTTCTTCAATTAGCTCGTAGTCTACAGCTGCAGCAGTGAGAATGGGCTTGATATAGTCTCTAAAGTGCTTCAGCGAGACATCCAGATAGTCATTAGGAGGGGGTGCAACGTACACAGTGACCTTACGGGGAAGTTCAAGGGCTGAGATGGGCGCATTAGCCAGATGGGCCACTTTGTCTTTCCACTCCTGTCGCACTCGTCTGCGCTCGCGGCGGTCGTACCAAACGCCGCCACCAATACCTGCAGTCAATGCCCAGAAAATAGACCAGTTTCTACTGGGCACACGCAGCCGGGGAATGCCCATCATCCGTAAAACTGGATGGCTGAATTCGGGGCGAGCCATAATGAAAAATTATGTCAGGTGGGATCCCACGGGGACGCAAATCGATGAATAGCGAATTAAGCGTGTAGGCGGTTGAAAGAAGCAGAAAAGTGTTAGACTATGTAGCTGTGTTTTATTAAAGGTCTCCAGGGACAGGGAAGTTGGCGGCCCAGGCGGCGACCTCCTTCTTGAGGTTCTGGATCTCGGAGTCCTGCTCAGCGGCGGCACGGAAATCAGCCAGCTTGGGCTTTTCGATCTTGGATGCGACATCCTTCTTCACGCGCTGAGCGATCTTGACGGCCTTGTCGATGTACTCGGCGACCTTCTCAAAGTCCGACTCGGTGAACTCACGAGTGGTCATGGCAGGTGTGCCCACGCGCAGTCCGCCAGGAACAAGAGCAGACTTGTCTCCAGGAACAGTGTTCTTGTTGGCGGCGATATTGATCAGCTCCAACACAATCTCGGCCCGAGCACCGTCGATCTTGTTAGGCTTGAGGTCAATTAGGATGAGGTGGTTGTCTGTGCCGTCAGAGACAAGCTTGTAGCCCTTGGACTTGAGTGCGTTAGCAAAGGCCTGGGCGTTGTCAAGAACCTTCTGCTGGTACTCCTTGAACGCAGGAGTGGCGGCCTGGCCAAGGGCGACTGCCAAGGCTGTGATAGTGTGGTTGTGGGGTCCTCCCTGGTGGCCGGGGAACACCGAGAAGTTGATACGGTTCTCGAGGTCGTACATGATCTCGCGGCCCTTCTTGTCGGTGCTGCGGACACCCTTGCGGAAGAAGATCAAGGATCCACGGGGACCACGCAGGGACTTGTGAGAGGTGGTTGTGACAATGTCGCTGTGCTCAAAGGGGCTCGCAGTGACACCAGCAGCAACAAGACCAGCAATGTGCGCCATATCGCTCAGCAAGTAGGCACCGACACTGTCGGCGATCTCACGCATCCGCTTATAGTCGATGATGCGGGCGTAGGCACTTGCACCAGCAATCAAGATCTTAGGGCGGAACAGCTTGGCCGTGCGCTCAAGCTCGTCGTAGTCAATCTCGCCAGTCTCCTCATTGAGACGATAGGGCATTGTCTGGAAGTATTTTGAGATGAACGAGATTTTCTTAGAAGGAGTCTGATAGCCGTGCGAAAGGTGGCCTCCGTGAGGAAGGTCCAAGCCCATCAGGCGGTCGCCAACCTCCATAATAGCCGAGTAGGCGTAGAGGTTGGCAGGTGCTCCAGACAAAGCCTGCACGTTGACGCCCCATTGAGCAGGGTCCAGGCCAAAGGCAGCCAAAGCACGTTCCTGGCACAACTTCTCGCCCTGGTCAATAAACTCGTTACCGCCGTAGTAACGGGCACCGGGGTAACCCTCGGAGTACTTGTTTTGCATCTCCGAGCCAAGAACGTCCATGACGGCTTTGGAGGTGAAATTCTCGCTGGGAATCAGGGTGATTGACTCTTTCTGGCGCTGCTTCTCGCGGCCAACAATTGCAGCGACTTCAGCGTCGACTTCTTTGACAGGCTTGCCGAGCATTGCGCGGGTGGAAACGCCACGGACTTTGCTCAAGACATTGATTCGATTAAGCCGCAACATGGTGGAAAGTAAGGTGAGGTGAACAAGATCCCGAGTATCCTATATAGAGGGTGAGGGTGGAGGGGGAGAACAATGAAGGGTCCCCAACAGGCCCGAGTCGAGATAATTGGAGTGCCGGGTATGGCGTACCCGGTCAAAGTCCCCGCAACCCGGAACCTTTGGCCACTAACCCGGGGCCTTCAAAACCTCACCCGGGAAACGACTACACACACACTGACCCGAGCCCATCAGGCATATCCCGGGTAAATGGACCAAACAAAAACCAGCAGAAAATTTTTTTACGTAGCTGCTTGTTCACGGTGAGCAATTTAATAGCATCCGCCTTAGCGCTAGATCTAATACTATACAACCGTCTATCGACTCACATGTATCCCACCCAAGTTTCCGGGTTTTTCCGGTGCCCCATAACCTGATCTTGGATGTGCGTCCGTGCCCTGGGCTCGTGGCTCACCCCCGAGCAGGTAGAGCATACATAGCGGGAGTGCTCAGTCAGCTCGCTCGCTGCTTACCTACGCACGATGGCCAAACCGAAAAATCTAAATCACTTGGTGAAACTTATTGTCGGCGCCGGCCAGGCGTCTCCACAGCCTCCTGTTGGTCCCGCTCTTGGTTCTAAAGGTGTCAAGGCCATCGACTTTTGCAAGGACTTTAATGCCCGCACCGCTCACTACATCCCCGGCGTGCCTATTCCCTGCAAGGTCACCGTCCGCCCGGACCGGTCGTTTGTCTACGAAATGAAGAGCCCGCCTACCACCTGGCTGTTAGTGCAAGCCGCGGGTGTTGAGAAAGGCGCTCCCGACGGCAAAACCACTGTGGGCACCATTTCACTAAAGCATGTTTACGAAATCGCCAAAATCAAAAAAACCGACGACAAACACAAGGAAAAGCATCTCGAGAGCATTGTGAAGAGCATTCTGGGCACTGCAAAGAGCTGCGGTATCGCCGTCGTGCCTTAATGTAGATCATACGTTTTTAGAATGAACTGTACATATTTAAATACATATGGGAACCCCGTCGTGCATGGCTGTGTTTTGGTGGTGAGCAAAATGGCCGGCATAGATCACCACATCTTGTCTGTCTTCTTAGCTTTGCGGTTCTTACGCTCCAACATGGCAATGTGTGCGTCCTCAAAGGCAACCCGAGTGTGCTGGTGGTCTGGCTGGGAAACAACTGCGCCGTTAACGATCGTGCAGTGGGGAGATCCCGTGAGCCATGAGTCTTCGAAGCAGCGGTTAATCGTCCAGCGATTAAGAGGGTCTAAGTCGAACATGCCCTGGATCAGTGGGCCGACCTCGTCTGGCAAGCTGGCAAGCAGTTTATCCAGGCCCTGGCGCTCACCGTTCTCGTCTTCACTAACAAACACCTTGAAGGATGCATCAGACATACGGGGCGCCTTCCAGGGAAATTTTTTCATGAGCATGCAGCACAGCACGACCGCGGCAGACCAGATATCAGTGGCACACGGGTCGTAGCGGTTGCCCGTGGCCGCTTCGGGAGCAAGATAAGGGTCGCTACCCACCACACCATGTGCGTCGTAGGTGCGGTCGCTTTCGGGGTATTTGTAAACGACTGAAGAGCCAAAATCGATGATCTTGACAATGCCTTGTGCGGTCACCACACAGTTATCGAGTTTCAGGTCGCGGTGAGCCAGGCCGCTGTCATGCAAATACCGGATGCCCTCCATGAACTGCCGGAAATCGCAAAAGACCTCCTCGCGAGTCATCTTGCCGCTCATTACAATGGCAAACAAATCGTACTCGCAGTACTCCATGACCTGATAGACCTTTTCGGTTTCGTAGATGATGTCAAGGGTCTCAACAATATTGGGATGCTTCAAGGTGAGTCCTAGGCAGTATTCACCGCTGACTTTCTTCGAGTAGCTGCGCTGAGACTCAGTGGCATGACGGGCGCGGAACTCTTTGACGGCATACATCCGGCTATCCTTGCTGGACTTGACGATCTTGACGTGACCGCCAGCACCCTCCCCGAGGGTCTTGCCAAGCTTGCCGTAGGTTTTTGCCAGTGAGTTTCGATGGACAAGCTCGTCGGCGCCGCGCTCAGCTGCTAACGCGGAAATGCTGGACTGAGAGTCGTATGATCCGGCAATGCTGACGTCGTCGGGCGATCCCGAATCCTTCTTCCAGGGTTTGTCGACAAACCGGCGAATGTTCGTGCTTGAGCCACCGGCGCCAGCTGAGGAGGCATTGTTCTTGGCCACCGAAAGAGATCGCGTCCTGGAGATCGACAGCCGGGACAAGCTGCGACTAAGGAAAGATGAGGAAGGATTTTGGCTGCCGACATTGGCCTGCGAGGGGGTACGTGGTAAGTTTACAATGAATCGTGCTTCAACGCTGCCTACCGTGGGGGGCTCGCGGGAGACAGAGGTGGAGTAGCGGGCAGAGGAAACGTTGCCGATCTCGCCGGCACCAAACACGAATCCGCCACTGCTGGAAGGCGGCGACAGAATGGACGATGTATTACGCGAAACAGAGCCGGTACGCACCGATGCGGTCACAGAATCAGGCGTTGAAGTCGACGAGCTGCGTTGGCTCTCCGGATCGAACGGCACAAACGGTGCCGTGAAACCGGGGGTTGCCGGTATTTGAGAACGGCTGGAATTGGGCGACTGTGGGGGGTTGAAAGTAAAAGGCCCGGACGTATTTGGCGACACATCGCCGCTCGAGTCGTCCTGCTTGGACTTGCCTAGCAGCAAAGATAAGGCCGACGGGGGCTGAGAAGTGGGAGCATCTACAGCCACCTTCCCATAGGATGCTGGTGAATCTTCGGGTGCAGGACTCGGTATAGTTCGTTTGCTAAAGTCTAGAGCACCGCTCATCGTTGTTGAATCGCTCGTTGTGGTGGTGATAGGAACTTATCAAACCCAGTGGGTCAGTTGATGAGTACTGGGACCGATTGCCTGCAGCTTTAAGTCTGAGATAAGCGCCTGTCTGCTCCCCGCATAGAAATCCCCAATGAGCCGTGTGGGGAGGTTCTGGCATAGCGTGGGAATTTAGCTGGGCACGCCGGCACTTTTCGTAGAGTTTCGGGAATGTGCAAAAGAAAATCAGGTGGTCCGGGGCAACTGACATCGTTTTGTGGGCCCAAATGCACCGAGCACACCCAGTATATCCAGCCTTTTTTCTTTTTACATAAGGCATGTTCGGCGAACTGGATGCCCTGCATTTCGCTAATCATTACCTAATCGGTTTCTTCACGGATATGGGCCCCCGGGCAACCAAACCCAAATAGGGACGGTAGCCCATATGGGCCTTGTTTTCCTCATTCATTTTATTGCTGACTAAGCCCAACGGTGGTTTTGGAGTTTGTTTACAAATTTCCAATAATTAGTGCTCAGCGAGATCCGCCCTCCCTCAAGGCGGCACACCCTGGTATAGGCCCAGCAGGTCTGCTACAGCCGGCCTGTGTGCTTGCACTACACCCACCGCGTCTTACCGGCAAATAAAAACTCATCTAGTCTCAAAACACTCTAATCATCCAAGGTCTCTGCGCTCTCCTGCAGCTACCTGCAGAACCGATTGTTGTTGACACTTCCCAGCTACCAAACACTATGCTAAAGGTGGAGCTTGAGCTCCCAGCAATTTCCTGTATTGCGTTCTGTGGCTCAATACTGTTTATACCGCCAGCTGGTCTGGCGATTCTATTATCTGCAAAACATTATTCCGAGCTGAGTCTACAGGTTTCGGCGGGGCTCCTAGGAGGATTGCTGCTGTGTTTAGCGTTCTGCACTTTTCTGGTGGGTGTGTTCCCCCACCGGTGGTCTACTTCAATTATCTATTTTATATGTTCTGCTCTTGGAACAATCTCTGGGCTCTACTGGGCGGCTGCCCGCTTCAACTCGCCCTCGCACAGCTCAAGCCTGAAATACGAAATTGCCTGTTTGTGTCTTTGGGTGTGCTCGATGATGTTCTCGACGCTGCTGCTAGGGTTCGAACTCATGGCCCTGGTGGCAGGTCCCGAGCAAATACCCACTGAAAAGCTCCCAGACTCCGAGCTGTATCCTGAGTTGGGCGAAATGCATTCTGACTTTACCAAGTCTCCGAGCTTCCATGTCAGTCACAAAAAGTCCGTGAGCTCGCTGCTGAGCCTGGCCAAGATCCGGCCAACCAAGCATAACCCCAAGGACTCCGGGAACCCTCTAGCTGGCCTAGAGGCCCTGCCTGAGGGATTCACAGAGGCCGACTGGGACACCCAAAGCTCCGACCAGGACCGGGTCAAGTGGATTCTCTCCCAGGCAATATCCCAAAGCCGTAATGTCTCCGACTCTAGCAACCTGACGGGCGCCCTCTTTCCTGCCACAGACTATAATCGTCGCATAAGCGACATGGGCTTCCAACGAGACGAGCCAGTGCCGGTGCCCAAAGTGCGGAAGCAGTCGAGCTTCCCGCAGAGCCTTGGCGAGCGCAAGAGCCGTTCGTTCAAGTCTGCTTAAAAAATAGCGAGTTCTTCAATGAAAGCTATAGGAGTCTATAGATACAACAAAAACTGAGAAACTCGGTCGGCGATCATCTCTTCAGTGAGATGAGGCAGCGCCATATAGTGAGCGGGCGGACGAGGTGCAATCAAAATCGTGGACTCTGGTGCCCGCAGCGTCTTCAGAGTCTCTTCAATAAGTATATTCAGAAGGAGTTCACGGCTTACCGTGATACAGGTGTGTTCTTTCCCGAGGGTGTGGGCGTAGATGGCCCAGTCTTCGAGGTCTCCAGGGCCTTCTACCATGGAGGTGGCCTTATTGAAGACACCGATCTTGATGCTGCTCATTTCCTTGACCTGGATGACAGACACAAACAGCTGGCGGGCTAGGAATGACTTGAGGGCCATGTTTTTCCAAGTGTCCTCGACGGTTGAGAAAATAAGATCCGAGTTGACGTCCACGTCTAGCCCCAGAGCGAACGTAGCGTAGCGAAGAATTGTCACGCAGACGACAACGTCTTCCATAAGAATGTAAACATAAGTTGGTAAATAGTCCCGGTGCTCTTCGGGGAGCATAGAAAAGATAGAAGATAACGTAAATGCTTCGTTCATAGTGTGGTTGACCAGCGCCCGGGCGACTTTCTGTCGGTCAACAGAGTCGGGCTCCATGACGAGCAGCAGCAGCAAAGCACTGACTCCGATTTTAATTTTTGCGGCCGAGATCAACGCTGGCACTGGGTCTTTGCAATTGGACGCAAGCGTGGTGAGATCCCGGATGGCATCTTCCTGCGCAGCGTAGACTTCTGAAATGTGGTTCGCCCGACGGAAGCGGATCTTGGCAGCCTCGAAAACCCTGGTAATCATGTATGCTTTTGCCAGCTCGGTTTCTTGGCTCCAGCCACAGCCGCAGGCCCCCCGAATCAACTGGACGTACTGTTGGGCCAGTGGACGAAGCGTTCGACCCATTGCGGTCATGCTCAAAGCAATAATATTGCTTCCACCAATATAAATGCCAAAGGGGGGCGACGGGTCGAGTTTTTCCATGTTCAGCACTCGCTGGGTCGCTGCGTGGGCTCCGTAGAGTCTTGAAATGCCCCGGTCGCCATATTGGAGCAGGAAAGTTGCCATGAGCGACATTGCCAGCTGCATGTCTTCATTGGACATTTTTGCATCGCCACCGACTGCTATCTCAAGCATCGGGGTACACATTTCCATTCGATCTCGCGCCTTGTCTGTAGACTTGTTCAGGGCGCCGATCGTGATCATTGCCATGCAGGTCCAAGGGTAGTCTTTATCGCATTTGTTCATATCTTCAGGGATGAATGTCGCATTCAGGTATTTGACTGCACATTTCTGAAAACTCTTGTAGAACTCGGTGGCCTCGTCCAAAGTGTAAAACTCGAGGGCCAGTGCTCGGGTCAGCGGGGTGGCTCCGGCTCGGGTGATTGCGTCGAGCTCTCGCCGAGCGTCCCTGATCAGTGTTTCTAGGTACTTGATTTGCTGTGCCATTTTCACTTTATCATTCATATTGCCCGAAGCAAGTGTCGCACGCACATTGGGGTCGTATATGCCCGATAAGCGAGCGCTGTGTGCATCTAGTTCGTTTGAAGCCATTTCATTGCTACCAGCTTCAGGCTGCGGGTATTCGCACTCGATATTGGACTTTGTACAACGGACACACGCAGTTGCTGCCGGGCTAGCAAACTGACACCGTACTTTCAGCTGGCGGCAGCGCTTGCAGGCCTGGCGTTTCCGCCACATTGTGCTAAATTCCATCTTCACAGTTACTGCAGTAGAAGAATAACGGCCTGGGTTGATCTTTTTCCTGTAAATAGGTATCGTTCAGGTTTTTTGCAACCAAAACAAGGCGGGGGTTGTTGAATCAAGCTCAGCCCTGAGACACACTTCCTTTATGTCAGCCACTGTAATATGCTTCTCAGTAACACACTTCGGATATCCGTGCTTCAGATGTACGCGCCACATGATTTTTACGAAGATGATACCTTTATCATGCACGGTAATCACCGGTCGGCAAAGAGACTATCCGAATACAAAATAAAAAATGGCAGAAATACCGTTTCGAACAAAATACCGACAAGGTAGCTTTCGACTGCTGCATGCGGCTTTAATGGTCGCTCCTAAAAGTGCAGGGGGTATCCATTGCTGTAAGTGTGCAAAGCTGCAGGTACACTACGCACGCCAAGCCAGATTCTTTGCATTACCGATCCTGTGGGGACGCCCCATTTCACCTCGCGAGTTTTCGGGTGGCTGAAGCCCATACTTGGGCCTGCAACGCACGAATCACCTTTTTTTTGGCCGGCGCTGCTTTTCTGCACAAGTCACGAAATGCCTCACCGCGTCATCTGTCGCTTTTCATTATGTCAGCCAGACTGATATTTCAAGCAGCTCGTCGCCCGGTTTTGCGGGGCACCCATTTGGGCGTTGCGCAGTTTTCGACGGCTCGAGCTGTCTTGAAAAAGAAGGAGCGGCACGCTGGGGGCGGCAAAGCGTCGAAAGTCGCAGAAGAGCCCGAGATCGACATATCCGCATTGCTCGACATCAAGGAAGTGGAGAGCTCCCTTGAGAAGACGATCAAGGCGTTCAACGATAAAGCCAAGCTGGCAAAGCAGGGCTCCAGCGAGCTCCAGCGATTTACTCAACTCTCAGTCAACCTTGGTAAAACCCACGAGCAGAAACTTAATGAGATCGCAACCGTCGCAACCCGGGGTAACAAGGTCATGATCGTTGCTTTCGACCCCAAGCACGTCAAGTATATCCAGAGTGCGGTTGTTGGCCAACTTAATATGCCGGCAGAGCCTGTGGCAACCGACAAGCAGACTCTTGCCGTGACGATTCCGCCCAACTCCGCCTCCAAAAAGGACTCGGTGCTCAGGCAGATCAAAGAGGACTTTGAGCACTTCAAGCAGTCGCAGTCTCACCACTCCATCGCTGCAATCCGCCAAAAGGCGCTCAATCCGATCAAAAAGGCCCGAACCCAGCTCACGGCCGACGATTTCCGCAAGCTCAACGGCCAGGTCGAAGACGTGGTGAAGCAGTACACTCAGAAGCTCACAGATGCCTTTAAAAAGGCTAGCTAGTATTTACATATATCAGATGCCTAAGAGCCGGCGTAATGCTTTGAATTTCACCCATCCAGACTGGGCGTATCCCAGGTCGTTCAAAGCGCGAACCATGCTCCAGGCCTTGGCGACCGAGGGAATCGGGTAGTCGAGGGCGCGAGGAATAAACGTCGAGATGAAAGGAAAGCGGTCGTAGCACACGCTTTTTTCCAGGCACAGGCCCCGCAGCCCCTCAGCGCCGCCGAATTTTCCATAGCCTGAGCCGCCAACCCCGCCAAACGGCAATTGACAAAGATGATAAGTGGCAAAGTCGTTGATGGCAACGTTGCCAGCTCTGATGCTTTTCACGCAACGGTCGACGTCGCGGGAGGAAGAGCCAAAGACTGAAGCTCCGAGGGCAAACTGCGTGGAGTTGGCAATTTCAATAGCGTCGTCAACGGACTCGGCCTTCATGAGCAAAAGAATCGGGCCAAACACTTCTTCCTGCGCAATCTTCATATCTTTAGTAACTCCGCTCAACAGAGTTGGCTCGAAGTAGATGCCGAGCGGGTATTTGGGGTGAGCGAACCGTTTTCCGCCGGCTTCCAAAACCGCCCCCTGAGCAACCGCATCAGAGACAAGCGCCTCCAGGCGGTCCAGATGATGGGCAGCAATAAGAGCGCCCATATCGATGTTGGCCAGCTCGTCGATCGAAGAGCCGAGACGTAACTGGGGCACTCGCTTTTTGAATATGTCCAAAAGAGCATCATGGGTCTTGGGGAGAGCAATGACCCGCTCAACTCCAATACAGTTCTGGCCAGCGCTCTGGAAAACACCTCGCATAATAATTGAAGCAATTTCTTTGACTTTTGCCCCACTCACATCGTCTAGCACCACCAAGGGGTCTTTGCCGCCGAGCTCAGTTACCACCGGGGTAAGACTTCTAGCTGCAGCCGTGCAGACACTATGGGCGACCGGACAGGAACCGATAAATGTGATATGCTTGATAGCAGGGTGCGAAGTAAGGTAATCGGCATGTTCAGGCCAGCAGCTAATGAGTTGGACGGTCTCGGGGTCGAATCCTTCCAGCTCCAAGGCCCGCTTTGCAATTTGAACAAAGAACTCCGAGGACCACACAACTTGCTCACTGCCCTTGACGACCACCGAATTACCCGCGAAAAGACCGGCGACCACGGGTCCCATGAGGTTGTGTAAGGGGTAATTCCAGGAGACCATGGCGCAGACTACGCCCAAGGGTTCGTAGCGGACTTCAGCACCCTTGTAGAATAGCAAAACATTGGTGGATCCAGGCCGCTTTGAAGGGGTCAGGGCATCTTCGCCATGTTTTATGAGCCACTTGATCTTCTCCAGGGTGACCATAATCTCACCTAGAGCAGCGTCAAGCATTGTCTTTCCAGTGTCACGGCAGGCCACGCGGGCGACCTCACGCTGATGGTCCGAAATATAGCGGGCGATCGTTTTCAGAACCCGTCTGCGGTCATCGAAAGAAGACTCGCCCCACTTGCGCTGGGCCGCGGTGGCTCGAGCAAGCGTGTCATCGATTGCGGCCTCATCAGCGGCCTTGAAGGAGCCAAGCAACTGGCCAGTTGCCGGGCAGAGCGCCTTAATATACTGGGGATCACTCTCGTCGCGAATGTTCATCACAGAGACTCGTTTACCTTTCCAATGCTCCTGGGCGGCTTCGGGGATCGGTAACGAGAACTGGATCCCTTCGTGATTCCGAGAACCCCGAAACAAGAATCGCGCGCACATCAGGTATGTGAGCGGCAGAGCAAGCAGCCCCACCAGAGCTGTGATGGCTGTCTGCGCTGCTATGTGGTCGAGGATTTCCATTGTTGGCAACGTCAGCTGGGAAAGTTCGAAATCCACGAATGCGCAGATATAATTGCCAAAGAGCCCGAGGGGGCCCAACTCAAAAACGGCAGATTTAGATCTGGACGCTAGCTACTGTGAATTATATATTTAAGCCTTGATAGTATTGGGGGCAGTTACCCGCTCCACGAGCATTTTGATGACCTTGTCTTTTGATGCGGCACCCTGCTTCTGGACCGCCTCAATTTGCGCCTGGGCTGCTTTCTCGGCGTCCTCATTGAGCTGGTTCGCACTTACCTGCTCATTGGTCGACGAGCTAGCAAACTCCGCCTCCTTTTTCTGCTTGTACTCCTCGACCTCTTTGAGGGCGTCCGCTTTAGACGCCTTCAATCGCTCGCTGCGGTACTGCCGTGCCTTCTGGACAATATCTTGAGCCTTCTGCTCGGCTGCTAGCAGCGTTTGGATCCCTGGAGAGCTACTGGCAGACATGTATGGTAGGTGTCGTGCTGCCTTATTAATCGGCTGGCTGATATGCCTTGTAACCTAACCTTGAGGTTTTGCTCAGTTCGAGCAGTTTATGGATACTGAGCAGTAGACAGGGTATTTTTCGTATTTGATTTGAATATAGATTAAACGTTTACTTGACGGCCTTTCTCTGTCTGAAAATCACCGATTAGGTCATCGACCACTTTTCGAGCTGATCCATGGAGGAATCAATAAAAAAAGCAGCGGCTGCGGAGTGCTTTATATGCAAAAACCCAGCCCGATACAGATGTCCGGCATGCGGGCTTCGGACATGCTCTGTAGAGTGCTCCAAAGAGCACAAAAGGCTCAGTGGATGCACGGGAGAGCTAGATCCTGCCCGCAGGGTCTCGCGAGAAGAGCTTTTAACGACTACTGGGTTAGATCGGGACTATAATTTTTTACAGCGAATGGGGCGGACGATTCAATTGGAAAAGGCAGAGCCTCAGCGAAAACAGCCGCAGCGCACACGAAACGGTTGTATAGTGAAGAGTCTACCTCGAGAAATGTCTCGGGCCAAACAGAACAAATCGCACTGGGATAAGGTTAAGAAAGTGTTTATTTGGACAGTTGAGCTGATCATTGATGGCGAAACAAAGGTTGTACAGGTTCCGGACAGTGTATATATCAAAGAGTTGGGGAGTGATCTGTGTCTGCAAACCCAGGACGCATACAAACGTCTTGATGGAGACCAAACACTTGCAGAGTCGATAAAAGGAGAAGCGGTGCTTGAGTTTCCGACTTTTGTACAAAGAGCTCCCGACTCGTCTGAGTCCGAGTCTGAGTCTGAGTCTGAGTCTGAGTCTGAGTCTGAGTCTGAGTCTGAATCTGAGTCTGAGCCCGAGCCCGAGCCAGACGCAAAACCAGAATCGGAGTCCGATGGGCCCCCAGAGGAAACTAAATTCAGCTCTTCCGTGGCGCCTGCTTGAAAGGATAAGGCGGTACTTCTGGTTCAGGTCCGTTTCCACACTGAATAGCCTCTCTCACTAAAGAATGCCAAGGCTGAGGTCCCTCAGGGTCCGGCGGTGATGTCACATGCTCAGTAGTCTCTGGCGTGGGCTCTGGAGAATCGCTTTCTAGCAGCATGTTCTCAATCATCTCTTCAATGTTTTCGTCTGAAAACGCGGCCAGCTCCGCAAAGCTGTTTTCGTCACAGACATCACTCATTAGGGCCATCCGTCGTTTGGTGGTGTCTCGATCCTGTCCAGATAGCTTCTGTCGCAGCTGCGATCTGAGCTTGGACACTCTTGTGATTGCACCCTCGACCTCGAGCTCGTCGATAAAGTTCTCTAGCGCCATGCGGATTCGTCGTGCCAGCCGAGGTGCTGCACCACCTGTCGAGACCATCACCTGTAGCGGCCCGCGCTCAATGGTCGACCCAAAGTAAAAATCACAAAACTCGGGGATGTCTGCTGCGTTCACGGGAATCCGCAGCTCTCGAGCCCGCTTTGCTGCTTCAATGGACGTCTCACGGTCATCTATCGCCGTAAGAACCATCGCCCAATGCTGGGACTGCAGGTCAGTTTCAATATCCATCCGACGCCGGATCCAGGTCAGTTTCTTGTCTCTTTCTAGTTTCTCGAGCTCTGGGGTCGCGTCGGGACAGACAAGAGTAATATCTGCCTTGACTCGCAAAAGCCGCTCGACTCTCGACGTTCCAACGTCGCCTCCGCCAACCACGAGCACTGGCTTGTGCTCCAGTTGGTATGCGATAGGCAGCATGACAAATCTGGAGAAGCGAGCAGAGACCGTGGTCTTAACGCGATCGTGGATCAAGTTGGGTTTATATATGCTTTTTGTTTACGATGGCTAGCTTTGGGCCGAAGCCCACACCGCCAATGCTCGATATTTTCTCGCCCACCTTGCTTGGTATCACATGCGTGGCTCAGGCTTACAGATGGCCTGCATACGAAATCTAGAATTTAGGGTTGCATATAAATACCAGTAGCGGTAATCGTCCAGCAGCAACCATGACTTCAGAAATCACCGTCCACTACCTCGAGCACTCCCGCGGAACTCGCGCACTCTGGCTGTTGGAGGAATTGGGCGTTCCTTACACCATCAAGGCGTACAAGCGCAATCCCAAGACCCAGCTTGCTCCCCCCGAGCTCAAGGATATCCACCCCACAGGCAAGTCACCTCTTGTTGTAGACAAGGACGGCAAGGTGCTGGCCGAGAGTGGGTTTATCTGCAAGTATCTTATTGACAAGTACGGCAAGGGCACCGAGTTGGAGCCCCGCAACGAGCAGGAGCGCAATGATATTGAGTACAACCTGTTTGCAGCCGAAAGCAACTTCATGACCGCCGGGCTGGCCTTGTACATTGACCACGTCGCTGTTCAGCAGGCGCCCACCGGGTTCTCGTTTTTGCTGCGTCGCTTGTTCAATGTGATCGAGTCCAAGTACGCTCGTCCCGAGATGCATCTCTGTCTCTCGCTGCTCAACGACCAGATCTCCAAAAACGGCTATATTGCTGCCGACCACTTGACGGGCGGCGACATCATGTACGAAAACGGCATTGACTTTATGAAGCAGCTGGACCCGTCGCTTCTCGACAAGTACCCAGCCATTCTCAAGTGGTTCAACAAGGTGCACGAGCGGCCTGCCTACAAACGCGCTGTTGCCCGGGGAGTCGAATCAGTTGCAAAGTTGTAAAATGGTTTATAGTTAGTAACAATAGTTTATCATTTTTTAAGCTGAGGAGTCAATTTGGCACCGGGGGGAACAAGCCCGGCCTTTTGGAGTTCGGCCTGGACGTTTTGGAGTTCTTGTTGCATGTATTCAATCTTGAGTTTGTTGACGAGCTCGGGGTCCTTGATGTCTTCTTGGGCGACCTTCTCGCGAAGACGCTGCTCGACGCGCTCGTTGGCCTGGCCAAGCGTGCGGGCCATTAATTGCTGAAGCATGGGATTAGCTTGGATTCTAGCCATGGCAGCCTGCTGCTCAGCACTCATTTGTTGGCCGGGTTGGCCGGGTTGAGGGCTCGCGTCACGAGAGCCAGAGGCACCAGCGGCACCAGCGGCACCAGCGGCCTGGCCGGCAGCAGCGCCCGGGGCCGCACCCACTGGAGTTCTTGCTCGCTTCTTACGCTTGACCTTTTGAGGCAAAGTGCGTTGGCCGCGCCACGAATAGAGCGGTCTGAAACTGTCGAGGAAGCCGACGTCAGCAAACAAATTGGGGAACAGCCAGATGCCAGGAGGGGCGAGGACAAGGGTGAGTCCAAACAAAATTAAGCGGACAATTGCCAAAACGATCATCAACGCGACAAAGACAAGCGCCCAAAGCGACAGCATCCAAGCCAGTTTGCGGGCCTTGAAGGGCCATAGGGGGAAGAAGATGAGGGCCACGACGGCACCAAGAATACCAATGCCCTGGAGATACAGTTTAAGAGGAGCAGGGCTGTAGAACCACATGTAGTACTCGTCAGGGCCGTTACGCTGCTCTGGAGAGACCATGCAGCACGGCACACCGGAAACGGGTTTCAGACCGTTCTGGAGGGCAAAGTCAGTCTCGAGCTTGGTGACGTTGAACGCGAGCCGATTCAAAGGTAGTAATCGGATAGCCTCGGATAATTTGTCTGGAGTGTCGACCTCTGGCAGCAGGGGGTTTTTAGCCCGGGCCTTTTCATAGGCCGGGTCCTGCAGCGCTCTAGCAGCACGTTTGAAGCGGAAAAAATCCTTGCGCTCGCCATTCAGCAAAGCCGGCCGCTGTTTCAAGAGCTCGTGGTGCCGCAGGTATTTGGCCAGAGCCACCGCACGTGGATCAGCCGTTTTAAGGTCTGGCGGCCCTACTGTGATTTGGGACATGACAAAGTGGCTTTTTCATTTTCCCCAGATAAAGTAATGTAGCGAGGGTTAACTGTGTAGTAGGCTTTTAGAGGGTATTTTGACAGCTAGTGGCTATGATACTGCTAAACCAATGATGCTGCGCATAGTAGCACCCACTGCGGTGGAATGTGCGTTTCAGCGAAAAGCACGACATCAAACAAAGTGACACTCGTCACGGCGTGTTTCAAATAGCAAAGGCTTATTTCATAAATAGTTATCTACGTAAACTCAAGCACCAGGGGCACCAAAGTGGCCGCGAACAGCTGAGGGCTGCTGGCCGGCGCGGTGGATCTTCTTGCCATCGCTTTCGACCAGATCGACGTCGGTGCGTTCGCGATGGGCAGTCTTCCAGACCTCGACCTCGCAACCGCCACGGACTACAGCAATACGCATAGTAGCCAACAGGTTGTGGGCGGCGTTGGAGTGGCGGTAGACACCACCGTTGAAGACAGCAGTACTGTCTTTGCCGATGGCAGACTTGATAAGAATGCGGCCACCGGGGTGGTTCTCGACGAAATCAGTGACGTCGTGGACAATACCAGAGATGACAACCAAATCACGGTCCTTGGACTTCTCCTTGAAGTCGTCAAACTCAATGACAGGCAGCTGGTCAATGGGGACACCCCAGTTAAGGCGGGCGCGCCATCTGTCAAGCTTCTTCTGCTTCTGCTGGACCATGCCCTGCTCAATGACGTTCTGGGAGAAACGCTGCAAGTTGTAGGCGAGACCAAACTTGGACATGATCCAAATCAGTTGCTTGGTTGGGTCGTACTGGTACCACTTGAGAGCATTGCGGTAGTCGCTGGGGAACTCGTGGTGGAAGTTGTGGTTGCCTTCGCCGAAAGTGGCCAGCGCAGTCAAAGTGTGGTCACGAGGAGTGCGGCGGTCGTCAAACGGCTGGTCACCAATCCAGTGAGCAAGCGAGTTGACGCAGAAGGTGGCCTGGTGGATAAAGAAAAGACGGAAGACACCTGCGTACAGCAAGCCTCCCTTCCAGTCGCCCCAGAAGTACCCGGCAACAGCCATAGGGAACAGGTAGGCAGAAACAGCCAGCCAGTAAAAGTAGTACTTGTGCTGGGAAATGACCATGGGGTCGGTCAACAAGTCGGAGATGTCGGTGCGGCCCTTGAGCTTGGGGTTCTGAACAAACACCATCCAGCCCATGTGGCTGAACCAGAAACCACGCTTGGCATTGTAGGGGTCCTTGTCGGTATCAGTGTAGCGGTGGTGAGTGCGGTGACCGTTAGACCACCACTTGATGGAACCCTCGCCGGCACCAGAGCCCCAGAAAAGAAGCAAAAGACGCAAAGGATAACGAGCCGAGTAGGCACGGTGGGACCACAGACGGTGGTAGCCGGCAGTGATACCGAAGCCGGTGCAAAAGTACCAGACAGTGCCCCAAATAAGCGTCTTGCGCTGCAAGGGGACGTAGGGAATAAAAACTGTGCAAAACAAGGGAATCAACAGAATCAAGGTGGTATTGATCCATTGGATCTTCTGGAAGAAGTTGGAGAAGGTGAGCGGCTGCTCAGAGATGTGCTTCTCGCGAGACTGCTTGAGCTCCTTCTCTGATTTTTCAGCGCCACGGTTGTAAGACACCTTAGAGCGAAAGGTTGTGCCAGCAGCAATGTCTTCAATATCAGAAGCCTTGAGCTCCTTGAACTGAGATGCCATGGTGAATATCAGACGAACTAGAAATTCAAACGCAATCCGGGCAGCCAATCGATCTGTATATATATATACCTGCTGCAACCCAATGCCCAACGAACGAAAAAAATAAAACCTAGTGCCCCCAAAAGGGTAAGGGTGCATACAATGCACGTCGGGTTTTCATCACACCGATTTTGGGTGGCGGTTCCGAGCCAACCGGCAAAACTCTGAGGTATTCCTATAATCAAATTTCTGAATTTGACAGCAGGGCGCCTTCCGGTGCCAGGACCAACTCGTGGCCACAAGCGCAAGGCGATTTTTTCATCGGCTCTTGCTCCTCGGCTTCCAATAAATATTCCTGCACGATAAGAACCACCCCCACCCCTTACCCACGTCATCAGAACACGTTTATTGTCTAAGTTTGTCACAGGGTTCAAGGTGGGATACATCAACTAACCTCGGGCGTGTCGTTGCTTAGTCAGTGGAACACTCTTGAACCAACTTCAAAGTTTTAGCCTCCAGAGTCACAAATCATGCTACCTCTGGAACAGCTGTTCGCCCAGCAGGCCCAGGTAGCATCAATTCGTCCAATTGTCTTGATGTATCAGGCCGAATCGCAACAAAAAGAACTCCTTCATGCACTTTTCGCGTCTAAGGCGCCAAGGTCGTATGTTCGCCAGATCCTGCGTGTGTTGCTGACTGCAATAGAGTCAGCTGACATTGCTGATCCTGTCGAAGAGCTCATCACCACATATGCAGGGTTGATGGTTCCGAGCGATTCCGAAGGCGAAAAAACATCGATTCGATCTGACGAGAGCACACCTGTTTATTACCGATTTGGCCAGCACCTGTTGACGGTCAATGAAAACAGACACACGCTCGTGCAGTTCGGCGGAACCGGCTACCGCACTTGGGAGGCTGCATTAGCGTTGGGGGACTACTTTATATCAACCACCGCCGTCGATCTGAAAAATCAAAGAGTTCTTGAGCTGGGCGCGGGAACCGGGTTTGCCGGAATGGTCACAGCATCGCTCGGTTCACATACCGTTTTAACAGACGGTGACCCAGCTGTTGTCGAGCGTTTGAACAAGACCATTTCCTTCAACAACCTCACCGCAGACGTGCAGGAACTGTATTGGGGACCTGATGCTGCAGTTGACCATTTCGCAAACAGTCTGGTTATTGCAGCAGACGTATTGTACGACGTGGATATATTTCCTGCGTTTATATGTATTTTGAGACGTCTGTTGTCGGTCAATTGTGAGGCAATCATTGCAACCACGGTCAGAAACGAAGACACTTTTGGCGAGTTTCTCGCGCAGGCCGCTGCACAAGAAATTGTCGTTCAGCCATTGGCCACTTATGATCCCTCAGACGAGCCCTCAGAGTTCTTCTGGTTCGCTCCCGGTCCGCGAATTGAGATCTTGAGGCTGGGTTTGTAGTTCCTGGAACGCATTCACATACAGTTGCATGGTTTTTGGATCGCCCAGTCGGTAGGTTTCCAGGATCTTTGACTTCAATGCAGCCTTGGCTTTAGCGTCGGTTTTGGCGTCTTGTTTAAACGGTCTGGAGGTCTGAAGAACCGTTCCGGATAGTAACAGGGCATAATCGTTGGCCAACTGAGCGGTTCTGTGAGCTTGAACAGTGACCGGGTCGGCTGGCGCAACCAAAAACCAGCGGCAGACAGTCAAAAACGAGCCCAATGCCAAGTCAACCAGCCTGAGCCACTGGAAAATAGGGATTTCAAATACATGTCCTTGAGATCTTGTCAACAGCATTGTCTGGGCCGCACCAGCCAAAACTGTCGCGGCAAAATTAAGCATAAAGATTTCCTTGGCGGGCCGTGTAAATAAAAGTGTAGGAAACATTGCACCAAGTTTTGTCAAATACCCTAGTGAAAACGATACGATTTGAGCAGTCAGGAAGTCCGTGATGGTGGAATCGGTCGCCTTCAACGCCCCAGATCCAATTCTGTCGTACATAAACCTCAGTTTCTCGTCTTTCAACACCGAATTCGCTGTAGAAATCAAAACGTGCGTCTCATGGTCGCCCGTAGCCTTGTCGGGATGGGTGTTGGAGCTAATGATGCGGTAGCTTTTGGAAATGAGCTTTTGAGAAGCACTGGGGTATACCTTCAACAGCGAATAAGCCCCGCGTTTGCTATCAAACGGATTGGGGTTCGAAAGCACCTGCTTTAGCGGCGTCCATGCGACAAATGCCACGTTCAAGAACATAAATATCCAGCGGCAATAGTTGGACAGTTTTGCCGCATTTCGGGGACTGAAGAGCTGTATTAGGCGGAGAACAACAGAATATATAGCAAAAAACGCCAAAAATTCCCCGGCCACAAAGGGCCTCAAAAAGTTCACCGTCGTGCTCAGCCAAGTCAGCATGACAGATACCCCGGGAGACCAAACAGAGTTTGAGGTCGAGGACATTGCCGTGCCTGCCCTGCGACAGGTTACTTTAGAGGATGTGGATGAGGCAGAGGTTGAAAATGCAGGCGTGGAGGCCGAGCCTGAGGTTGTGGCAGACGACCAGGAAGAGGTCGACAGCGATGGGTTCGAGGAGGATGATTTTGGTGATTTCGACGATTACGAGGAATTCGACGAGCCGGAAGCGTCTCCGGCGGCTCCTGAAGCTAGCGAGCCTGAGGTTTCATCGATTCCGCTACCGCTTTCTTCATATAAAGATGTCGCGAACCCAGGCGACCGTCTAAAAGAGTTCTTCAAAGTCCAACAAAAGTTCGTGTACGGAACCAAAGACCACCTTACCCCCACGAGCCAAATGCTGTGGGAGCAGTTGATGGCCAATCCTCAAGCCATGCTGATTGAATGGTCCAAGTCTGCCGTGCATCGCCGGCTGGCTGTAGCTTTAGGTGCGCCTCTTGACTTGGATCAATCACTGCCCAAAGCTGAGACACGTCAAATGGTGCTGCCAGACAAAAACAAAACGTCGGGGCTGCCCGACAGCTCACGGTTACCCCATTGGCGTCTTCTGACGCTGGTGAGCGAGCAGGCCGTGCAGGGCATGAGCGATGAAGAGCTTAATGAACACATCAACACGCTCAAGGCGACGGTCGAGGCAGCCGAGCTGCTTCAGCAGGAGTTTGAGAGCGTGGAAATGGGACTAAACGGAGAAAAAGAGGTGCTGGAAGGAATGGTCGAGAGTTTACTGGTCTATGCGCAAAAGAGCCAACGCACCAAGCTGCAAAAGCGCCACTAATTTATTTATATAGCCAGCGTTGTAGGTTACCGTCGCTTAGCCAAACCATGGTCATCAGGCCAGTCACTAGGACAGCTATTTGGGCCACATATTTGGGTCACCTAAGATGTGTGATGGTTGAGTTGACAGGAAATAAAGGGCAAATACAGCAGGTGTTTAAAAAAACGAGAATCTAACTACTTGAGCTTTACTCTGCATCAGCAGCAGGAGCCTCCTCTTTGGGTGCACCGTCGGGGGCCTTTTCGGGCGCGACCTCAGTCATGTCGCCAGTCCAGAGCATGAGGTTATCTTTAAGCAGCTGCATGATGAGAGTGGAATCCTTGTACGACTCTTCGGAGAGCACATCAATCTTTGCAATGGCTTGGTCGAAGGCGTCTTTGGCCAGCTTGCAGGCCTTTTCGGGCGAGTTAAGGATCTCGTAGTAAAAGACACTAAAGTTGAGGGCCAGGCCCAGACGGATGGGGTGCGTGGGGGCCAGTTCGGAATTTGCAGCCTCGGCAGCAGTGGAGTATGACTTGAGGGACTCGTTTGCGGCGTCTTCGCGCTGCTGCCCAACAGCGAACTCGGCAAGATAACGGAGGTAATCACCCTTCATCTTGTAATAAAAGACCTTGGACTCGCCGCTCTCAGCGCTGGGGATGAGATACTTTTCAAGAACTTGCAGAATGTCATTGCAGATGTTGGCGAGCTCTTTTTCGATCTTTTGCCGATACTCCTTGACCAGTGCGACCTGTGGGGTGTTGCCCTTGGACTCTTCCTTCTGCTCAATAGAGGCAACAATGCGCCAAGACGCGCGGCGAGCGCCAATAACGTTCTTGTACGCGACAGAAAGCAGGTTCCGCTCCTCGACCGTCAGCTCGTCGGCCAGCTCGGTCACCTTCTTCATGTTCTCAACCATCTCCTCGTAGCGCTCCGCCTGCTCAGCCAGCTTGGCCAGGTACGTAAAATCCTCACGCGAAGTCATTTCTATCGTTTAATTTCGGTTTTATATCCTGGATTCGACACAAATTGGTGGCAACCGTGACGTGGTGGGTTATATGTAATCCAGGAATCCCCACTAAATTCTCGATAAACCTTCCCTCCAGCAAAGCCGCCGTAGGCAAATGAGGCGTCGGCAGGGTAACTACTCTTTTTTTACGCCACCCTTGCCCTACCTCCTTCTATTCCCAGACGGAACGCATCGCTGCAGCACGCATTGGGGGCTGAAACCCGCATCCGATAGAGTTTGGGCATCGCGGAAACGACACAAATAACTACAAGTAAAAAGTTAGAAACGTTGGCTTGGCGCAGGGTCGCTGCAGCACCACCGCCGGTATCGGCCGGATGCGGCCTTTCCGCATCCATTCGGCCCATGGCGGCCGCTTTAGGGCAATTTTATAAATATTCGCTTATCCAGTCCGGTTTGGGGCCATCTCAGACGATCTGGTCGCCGGTGGCGCCTGCGACTGTGGCGCCTGCTGCGATTGCAGCCTGGATCGCATATCCGGGTCCCTATAGATTCGGGCCTGCCGAATGTACTGCGAGCCTGTGGCCGGACTGTACACCACGGAGCGGCCGAGCACCGCGCCCGTCAGCGACATTAGCTGAGCGATTCCCGTACTCTGCGAGCTCGACGGAAGCGGAGGCACTCTGTTTAACGATCCCAGCAGCTGCTCCCGAACCCGCAGGTACCGGTCTCGGCTTTTAACCGGATATGTCACACGACGGTACAACGGCGTTGCGTGCGACTGCAGCGTGCCCAGTAGCACTTGCTGGATCTCTTCGTGGGGCGGCAGGGGTGCCTCATCGGAAATATCCTCCTGCATGCTCTTTGCCGTCTGCGAGGACTTGGCGTTCTGCTGCACTTGCCGGGTCTGACGGTAGGCCACCAAAAGGGTGTCAAACGGTCGCGACCGGCCAACCACCGCCCGCTTGGCAGAAATTGAGTGAGTTTTGCACGTCAATAAACGCCCGCATTTCGACCCGTTGGGTAATTCCACCCCACACTGCCGGTCGAGGTCGATTTGTTTGGCGGCGGCCGGTTTCGCTCGCTTGGAGGGTTTACTCTTGGTGTGTTTCGACGCGCCTGCTGCAGCTGGGCCTGCGGCACCTTTAGCTGCCATTGTGAATGCCCGCCCAAAGAAACAATTCTGCGGAGTCTACCGTTGCACTGGCCTTTTCGTCAATTCAATAAAACCGATCTCGAAAAAGAGCCAAGTCTGAATCAATCTGGAGAACCCTCTCGATAATTCCTGACAAACCTGTGCTTACCGCTCCAGGCCTGGCGGCATTGTAATATAAAGCAAAAAGCTGACTACGCCCACCTCTTCACTTTCCACCCAATCGAAATGCTTTCCCTGCGTCGCTATGCCCCACGTATGATCTCTCGTGCCCGCCTCTACACTAGTGGCGACTCTGGCTCTTTCCGTGGTACTACCAGCGGTGACAGCTTCACCAAGCGTGAGAAGGCCCAGGAGGACCTCTACGTCAAGCAGCTTGAGAAGGAGACCCTCAAGAAGTTGCGCGAGGAGCTGGCTGCCCGCGAGAAGGACATTGCTGATCTTAAGGCTAAGGTTGACGACTTTGAGAAGAAGTAAGCTCCAATGCCCATTCACATCTGACTCTCGTTTACGTTATAGCAACCCATGTGTCTCGTTTCTTCTTTTGCCATCTGTGATGGTCTCAGTTTCCGCTCTCCCGGGGTTGATTTTATTTAGAACATATAGTCAAGATTAAGAAAAATAACCAAGCGTTTCCGCTTCTACTCAATGTCCATGGCCGACGCCGCCGCCGCTGCTTCTTCTCCCTCGCTTACCCGGCCGGTGACCTCTATGAACCGCACTGCGGCGAACTTTTCTGCACGGGCATTCAACAAAGCTGCAGCGTCTTCATCTGCAAGGGCGAGCTCGCTGTGCGTCCAGGAAGGAGGGAATTGCCGTCCTCCACCAAGTCGTAACAGCTCAGGGAAACCCGATGCAGACTTGGCACCGGGGATCAACACCACAGTAGTCATCTCTCTGGCAACATTCACAGGGACGCCCTGCTTCTTGCTGAGGGGAACAAACTGAGCTTGCAGTCGGGGATACGCAACCAGCAAGCGGCGCTGGACGCACTCGTTAAGACCCAGCCGCAGACTGCGCAGCTCTCTCTCATCGCTAGTCAAGTAGCTCAATTTGAAAGGATACACTGACTGCCGGTTTGCCTTTGCCAGCAATGCCCGAGCATTCGATGTTTTCAAAGCATAGGCAACGGTGTGGTCGCGGGCATACACAGTGGGCTTTTCTAGTGCATTGCCAGAACCATTGAACTCGACAAGCTTGATTCTGCCCTCGGCGTTTTTCAAACTGGCCACATTCAAATCGATTAGCACTGCATCACCCGCCTCAAACAAAAAGTTGTCTGCTTCAGTGTACCCCTTGATGGGGGTCTCCTCAAACCATTCAACGGCCTTGGCGTTACGCTCGTGGACCGTTTTTTGACCAGCAACAAACTGTTTGATCTTGCGAACCGTCGACCCGGCTACAACTTCACAGTTATACGTCTTGGCAATGCTATCGACAACTGCCCGCACCCGGCTACCGCTAACAGGTCCTGATCCAGCGAGCGGGTGGCTGCCAGAGAGACAGATACTCAACAGAGAAATCACTGCTTCATTGGCAAGATATGCTGCAATTGCTGTATCGGCATCAAAGCCGGTCCAAGGCTCCTGAGGAACTCTTTCCCGGACAATCACTGTATGAGCTGCTTGAACAGTGTAGCCGTCAATATACACACCAAGAGCGACTTTAACTACGTCTCCTTCACCAATGACACCGCCCTGGAATATATCAGCCTCCTCAGGTGCCACGCCGGATACGAAATCATTCTTTGAGATCTCTGTAGGTAAAGCGATACCCTTTTCCTCTACAGCTTTGTAGCAATGAGATACTTCACGAGCCAAAAACTCATCAACGCTTCGGCAGACCTGGCCAATCGTTTTGTCTCCAAAATCACGGTGTAATTCTTTAAAAGCAAAGATTAAACCGCTCTGAACGATCACTGCCGCTCGACGATATTTTTCAATATCCGACATGACTAAGAAACAGTAAACTCGCGAGTAATATTTTTTTCTAGCCTCTGGATCGCGCGCACCCTAGGGGAGGGATAATCAAGAAATTGTGACTGAGCTCGAAAAGCAAATCCAAAAGTTGGTAGGATGATGTTGACCACTTGAACTTAGCATTATCGAATAGATTTGGGCCAATTGAGAAAAGGAGGCGCAAAATGTGCCACCTGCATATGGCAGATCGCAAGATTGCGGTCCATTTGTGAAACAGCACAAAAACCAGTACCTGCCGATGAGTCAAATGCAAGTCTCCAAAGCAATCTCCTATTTATATCGCAGAAACCCCACGTAGAGAGCACACCTGTGACCTCGTCTGTGCTGATGCTGCATGGGACGCACAGCCTGCAGATTAGATAATTTATTCGTCCCTGTAGACATATACACAACCGCCTCGTTCTGGAGAGTCTGTATGTCTTTGGAGACTGCAGTTACGGACATTCCATCAGAGGACAAAACAACGAGCCATGTGCTGAGTGACATGGACCAAACCCGTCTTGGTTCACACAGCAGCGTCGCCAGCCCCCAGATTTCCAGGACGGAGGATGTAAAACAAACGATAGAGGAACTGAAACTCAAAGTTACTGACACAGCACAAATAAACAGGCTGCTGCAATGCGATATGGAGGTTTTGGAAAAACGTGTTTTTAACCGCTACGCAAGCTCTGAAGTCAAAGCTGCTCGAACTGCACAGCAAGATATTGGTTCTGACCAGATACACATCGGTGAGAGCAGTCTCCGTCTGCACGGCAGATTTTTGGGACTGCTTCAATCTAATACGCAGTATTTGGCTGATCTCGCCCACAGATGCAGTCTTAGCGAGATCGATGAATTTCTTGAAATTTTGTGTTCAAACATCTATGGAAACCAGTTCAACCAGCACGAGGAACAGCTGTGGCTGTTGACATTTTTGCAAGTTTTGGCCCGCCAATTCGAGTCGACTCGTGAGTTCTCGTCCCTGTTGCGTTCTAACTCTGCTGCGCCCCGAATGATGACTTCCTTTGCTCAACGCATTCCGGGGCAGTCCTATCTGAGAGAAGTCCTTACGCCCATGCTGGAGAAAGTTCTGGAGATCGAGGAGAGCTTGGATATAGGCCCTTTGTCAATTTTCAATGAACTCAGGGAAGCTGGAGACGTATCATCTGACCCATTCAATCTGCATGCTGCCGAAGAACACCCAGACTACGGTCGTATCAATGAAGTTGCTGAGAAACGGTACAGCAAACTCAAGGAGCTGATTATGACCCTATTGCAGTCAATCTTCTCAAGTGTCGATCAAGTTCCATATGGGATGCGGTGGATTTCAAAACAGATAGACCTTTTGGCACGACTACGCTTCCAACAGGCATCTAAACAGCAGACCTCCTCCCTTCTAGTCGGAACGTTTTTCCTACGGTACATCAACCCGGCGATTCTCTTTCCGGAAAAGTACCTAGAGCTCAAAGCTCCTTTAACCGCAACGGCCAAACGAAATCTTACGGTGCTTGCAAGAGTTATCCAGATGATTGCGAATCAGACGTCGCAGCATAAGAAAATCTTTATTGTTAATATGAGGCCCTTTTTGCAGTCGTTGCAAGGAGGAATAGCGAGTTTTTTCGAGAACTTGTGCAACGTTCCTGACTTTTTCCACTATGAACAGTTGGACCATTACCTCTCTTTTGTGTCAAGTGATAATCAAATTATTATGAAGCCGAAAAAGCTTGAGAATCTAAAGAAACTTGTCGCCAAGTATCCGCCTCGTTCTGAAGCCCTTAAGCGCTCATTTGAGGATCTCGAAGATTTGGAAGTGACCAGCGACCCTGTTATGTTCAACCTATCATACGAGGTCGCGAAGGTGTGGTGGCCGATCAAGTTTGAGCGCAGCGAAGAGTTAGCAGGGTTTTTGGTTGCCAAATCTGTCTTGGTAGATGGATTCTGGGCAAATGAGTCGTCAACAAGCCTAGCTCCTGATGAGATCATTGCCAGTACCGCAAACTCTTATAAAAGAGACGTTTACAAGGCAGCCAAGACAGCATTCGAGGAAATCAGAACTAAAGAGAATCTTCTAAACGTCCTTCTAGACGAAGTCCATCTAGAGGTTTTGCGTTTGGGCCCTTATTCAGTTCACCTTGATCAAGAAGTGCTCAAGCTTGAGCATGCTCTCTCCGTGGCAAAGGAGAGAAACATGTACCTCCGGACTCAAATTAAATTTCTCCAAAAGTACTTGAGAGCTTCCAAGCATTCTATGAAACATCATTCCCCGATAACTAATGTTGTTTTATCGGCCAACGAGCTGCACATGAACAAGATTCTTCAATATTGGACCTTCGAGCCTCATCTTTGGCCAATGCTCTATTTCCAACTGAGGAAAACAAATCATAATTTCACACTAGCGCTACATTTCCGCGAGCGTCTTCCTCCGTTGTTGACATTCACATTCACGTTACCTGACCTGTTGACCCTGGAGGAAGACACTATCAACCTGCGCTGCTTAAAGCTAGCGCGAGTTCCGTTAATCAACATGCTGCAACGTAGGCTTTTATAACAATAGTCAGTAAGTATCTCATTTATATATTATCATTACTATGCATTTTCGAAATTTCCCTCCTGCTCGTGGTACATCTCTTCAAGAGATTTCACAGCAGACGCAGCCTTCTGCTTCCCACGTTTCTTGGGTTTAGCATTGGCCTCCTGGCGCTGGATAGCTTGAGAAGCCTCTTCATCGTCGAGCAGCCAATAGGCGACCTCCCGGCCAGGTTTCTGGAAGTCCGCATTCTGACCGCGACCACCTTCCATGACCACCTGCTGGACATGCTCTTTTTGTTTCGCTCGATCACGCATACGCTCTTCAATAGTACCTCTAACAAGAAGCCGATAAACAGTGACTTGGCGCGTTTGTCCCAAACGATGGGCGCGGTCCATAGCCTGTGAATCAATGGTAGGATTCCAATCCGAATCGTAAAAAATGACCGTGTCGGCAGCAGTCAGGTTAATACCAAGACCACCAGCACGAGTAGATAGGAGGAATACAAATAGATCGGGCTTGGTTTGCCAGTCATTGACAAGATCACGGCGATCGCCAAGCTTAGACGAACCATCCAGCCGCACATAGTTGTATTGCCGGTAGGTCAAATACTCCTCCATCAAGTCCATCATTTTAGTCATTTGGAAATAAATAAGAACACGATGATCGTTAGCCTTCAACTCTGCCAAGAGGCTGTCGAGTCGATTGAGCTTACCACTATCGGAAACGAAACGAGCCATCGAGGGGATGGTGATCTGTGACTTGACGTTCGGAGGGAGAAGGTTTGACGGTGGGAAAGGCGCACCTTGTTTCAAAAGAGCCCACTCTTGGTTGAGAGTAAGAGCAAACAGAGACTTCTGCTCAACCGGGAACAGTTCAGCGTTGTTTGAATAGACATGACTTCGGTCAGACACAAAGTATTGAACGGGGGGTGCGATTACTCTGTTTTGGTAGGCTCGCTCATATACCATGAGGTAAGAAGAGTCCAGCGAGTCTGAAACAACAGTAAAAAGCTCTTGTTGCTTCTTTTCTTCGGGACTTAGCTCGTACAGCCCTAGGGCACGATTCAAAAGCCCCTTTCGAGCCTCCTCGCAGATCCGACTGGCTGTAGATCCAGTTAATGCAGAGACCGCTTTTATAGTTGGATTTTGAGGTTCCCACACGGTAAGCATGCGCTCGATGCTAGTCTTGCTTTCTAGATTCTGCCGGTATAAGAACTTGGGGGACTCAAACTTGATTGGATTGCGCTGCGTATAACACAGTTCAAGCTGTGCACCTTCCCGGGCAAAGTCTGTCGTACTTCCAAATGAGCCAAATGCAAAAGCGCTTTCCACATCGGCCCTTTGGAACAAGTCAGGGTGGTTACAAACTTTGCGGAATTGCATGACAAGATTCATGAGACTCTGTGTATCCTCGTTTGTGGTCTGTTCAATCAAGTCCTTGATAGAAATTTGGGACTTTAGCATTTGATACATGACGCGCTGACGATGGGTAAGATCACAGTAGACGTCAATTTCAATTTTATCACCAAGCTCCTGCTGAACGTGTTTCTTTACACGACGCAACATGAACGGCTTGAGAATCATGTGCAAACGTTTTAACTGCTCTTCATTGAGTTGTGAGTTCTTGGTAGCATGCGATTCGATATCCTTCGAAAACCAATCGCTGAACTCCTCGTGCGAATCAAACAATGTTGGCATAATGAAATGAAGCAGTGCCCACAGCTCCTGCATGGAGTTTTGAATGGGAGTGCCGGTAAGTAACAGCCGGTTACGGCATTGCATGGCCAACAATGATTTCCATCGTGACGAGGATGAAGACTTGATAGCCTGAGCCTCGTCAAGGATCATGTACTGCCATTTGACTCGATTGAAGTATTGGGCATCAGCCACAACCAGTTGGTAAGAGGTTACAAGAACATGGAACGGCGAATCTTTGGTATAGCGTAGTTTTTTACGATCCCAGAACTTACGCAAAACCTTGCGATCCTTGTTGTTACCCCAGTATGGCAAAACCTTAAATTCAGGCACGAACCTTGTGATCTCTTGTTGCCAGTTATGAAGAGTTGATGCCGGAGCAATAACAAGGTAAGGACCCCAAATGTTGTGAGTCTCAGCTAGGTATGCCATGGCCGAAATGGATTGAACAGTCTTACCAAGACCCATTTCATCAGCAAGAATACCATTGATGCCTTGCTCATACAAATTAGCCAACCAATTGAGACCCTTGAGCTGATACTCCTTAAGCTGGCATGAAAGCAGCTTCGGTTGGCCAATAGTCAAGTCTCCAAGAGAGGTGGGGTTCTGGAAGTTCATTTCGCTTTCGTCAAGGTCGACTTTCCGGACCGAGTTATCGTCAAACTCTTGAGCACGAGCTCTGGCTGCCATTACTGCCTGCTGGGCATTCTGCTGAGCCACCATAGACAGATTCTCATCGTCAGCCTCATCAAAGTCCAGGCTGGAAGCTTTGATCATTCCATTCGGGGTCTCGCTTGCGGCTCGTGCATCTGCTGCGGGGGTGAGCGTCCCAGAACTGCCTTCATCACCCTCGACTTCGCTAGTTTTGAGTTTATCGCCCACGAAATGCGAGTAGAGCTCAGTCTGAGTGATGAGGAAATTGAGCTTGCGGGCCTGCCGCCGTGCTTCGCGTTCTTCCTCAAGTCGTCGCACCGACTCCAAGGCCTCTTTTTCGGCCTTTTTGCGTTGGTCACGCTCCTCACGTTCATTACGCTTCCAAAATGCAAGCATTTCACGCATTGCACGACGAGCCTTACTTTGTAGATCTTTGACCTGCTTGTTGGTTTTGATTTGCCAACGCCGAGCTTCTCGGGATGCCAATGCAGCAGTTTTGCGGGTATTGGATTGCTTAATATTAAGAGCCGTTTGATAAATCTTGTAGGCTTTTGGCAGGTCTTTACGAGCGATATCACGCCAGATACCCTCGTAGGCAGTCTGGTACTGCTTGGGCGTACCTTTGATAACCGAGATCGAGCTCTTGGAATGAGCGGCATCACCGTCGACTGTTTCATCCGCTTCGTCTCTAGACTCACTTTCGACCGAGCTCTGGCGGCTTCCATCTTCACCGTTCTTCGCGGGAGCCAAATTGCGAAGTTTCCCGCGAGGACCAAGATCATCCTCAGCCTTGCGCTTGCGTCGTGAGCGAGATGGCGTCTCTTTTTCACCATTAGCTTTCGCAGAAGCGCCCTCAGAGGCAGACTCCGCCAAACCAGCGCTGGCTGCGGGAGTTGCCGTTCCGTTTGATTTGGAGCTTCTGGAGCGCGCAGCAGTTGTCTTGGCTTTGGCTTGCATGCGCGGGCTGGGTGCCGCCACCGAGTCGTCTCGTTTTATGGATTTGGACGGGCGCTTGGTGGCCAAATACTCGGCCTCGCTATGGAGAGAAAGCCAGGCAGAGGCTCGTGCAGCCTCGGACCAGGCTTCATGCTTTTCGATAAGAGCCTTACTTGCGGCTTTCAGTGCTTCTGTACTTTGTTGCTTGTCCCATTCAACGAGATTGCCAATGCGTTTTGCTTGCTCGTCCAGGTAAGCCTGCCGGTGGGCTTGAGCGCCTGGCAGCGGCTGGCCGGGCGAGCTCGCGCCCGCAGGAAGTGTTTGTACTTGATCCGCGATACTAGCGTTGTCTCCTTGCTGCGTACTTAGCAGGTGCGGAATAGCCATAGTATCAAACATGGCAGTGTCAGCTTTGCGTGAGGAACGATCCTGCAGCTTGACCCCCTGCCCTCCTAAGTGGCCATCGCTATGGCCTTGGCCAAGTCGGGAAAAAAAGACGTGCTGGAGAATTATTTGACGGGGGTGAATTAACACATTGAGTTTATATATTTCGACGAGAGCAGGCTTCAGGCTATTTTAGACCACGCGGGCCTTGTATTTGCGCACTTTTTTTTTCGAGGCCATCTCGCAGTGGTTCTTCCGATGCGTGTCGTTGCCAATGGCGATATGTAGAAAAGGGCTATTTTTCTGTGTGCGCTACCGCTACTAATAGATGTCGGGGCTATGTTTTTATTGGTCAAACCGTGTTTCGCGGCATCGAGAGCATTGCGTTTTGCTGCTGACGCTACCGCCATCGTTCAACCCCACAAGGCATGGTTGACCAACTTTACTTCATGCTTAGGGCGGTTTGGTTGGTTTGACAACACCCTCTTCTCCCACTGCCGATTACAACCCTTGCCCTTAATAGCATCGGGGTGCTAGGCCGGTTTCGGTGCTCGTCGTATTTTTGACCAGGTAGTTCGTACAGAGTAAATAGTTGACGCACGAGGGGCTTGTATGTTGGTTTTTTCTTTTGTGAGTCATTGATGATCTTGTGACTCTGTTTCTTGTTCGATCGATAAGGTTTACGGCACCGCTGATCTCGTTGCATTGCTACGGTAAACAATGCGTATTCATAAAGTCGTCCCGGAAGAGACCCGATTTTCTGATGCGCTTGAGATTGCGAGGTTTCTGTTGCAAGCATTTCAAGGAGACCAGACTTTCAGAGTTCTGTTGGGGCCGTTATACTTCCCCCCTCTGCCAACTCGATCTACTTATTATTACAACAAAGTGCTGCTTTATTTGGCGTTCAGGTGGTGGATTATTATCAGGGATGGATCAACGTGTAGCTGGAAACTCCTTGGACCTGATGATCAATTGGTGGGATTTTGCTCGTGGGTGTTGCCGGCATCGATGAAACCGACTCAGTCATGGTGGCAGCAGTTCAGTAATTCGGTGCTTAACGCCATTTTCCATGTGTTGCGACGTATGATATCACTTGGCGACGGATACCAATCGTTATCGGCACGAAAACGCCGTCTTGGTCCACTTTTCCAAGAAATCGATGACGAAATTGGCTGGCTCAAGGTCGATCGAACCAAGCTGGCACGTCTAGACCAACATGCATTATCTGAAAGCTTGTATCACAGAGATGACATCTGGTGGTGTACTACTATGGCAATTGATCCAGAGCATCAAAGAAAAGGCTTGGGGTATACCCTTTTCAACCACAGTCTTGAACACCTCGAACCCTTTTATCCTGTTTTCTCAGACGGCGGTTTAGCCACTACGGGGCCAGCTAAATACGGCCTATGTGCATCTGAGGACGGCCGTAATCTCTATGTAAAGAGTGGGTTTACACACTATCAGACCTGCAGGAGGAAACTCGAGGGAGAAGAACTACTTCGATCTATCTATTTCAGAACATTGTTCTGATGCTTTAATCACTTTAATGGTCCTAGCAATTGTAAAGTCCACAGATTGCTATAGAATTGTTATGTTAATATGCATTCGATATATCAGTCATAATTAAAAAAAAGGAAACCTGCAGCGGGAGTTCCCATCCCTATCAATGCTGATCAGAGAGATCGAGGCTAAAGATGTTGGGCTTTTCAAAGCTATGGAACTATCGAGGCTAGTGCTTGATGTTTTTGCTCAAGAGAACTATTCTGAGGTATTGCTAGGACCTCTATACATAAAAGAACTTCGGTCTGAAAGCCGGACCACTTTTCGCTACAAGAAGCTGGTCCTGTTTTTCGCGTTGGACTTGTGGAAAAGAGCAAAGCTATGCAATAATCGCAACTGGGAAGTAATTGGTGACAGTGGCGATTTAATTGGGTTCAGTTCATGGAATGTTCCTATCGGTTCGAAGACCCCGCCTTCCATATGGACTACAGCGTACAGATGGATAATAGAGCGTGCGGTTAGTCTTGGAGAGTTCCTTTTGTGCCTTGGCGATGGCAAAGACTCACTTTTGGCGCAAGGAAAGGCATTAGGTTCGGTCACAGCGCAGATGGATGATGAGATAGGATGGCTGAAAGTCCCTGAAGCAACGCTGGCGCATTTTGACAATGACAAGCTTTCAAAAACCATATACCATCGCAAACAAATGTGGTGGTGCAGCAAAATGGTTATCGACCCCAAATATCAGCGTCAAGGATACGGTTTCAAACTCTTCAAGCATTGTCTCGATAATATTGAACCTTACCGGCCTATATTTGAGGACGGAGACGTAAAAATCACCGCTCCGGCAAAGTATGGACTTTGCTCTAGTGAAAACGGTCGAAGGCTCTATGAAAAGTTTGGGTTCAGGCTCTACAAGACCGCATCCAGGTATGTCGGCGACGTCAAGCTGGAGAGGCCTATTTACATTAAGAACTATTCAGAGCCTCTTTACCAATTCTGAACTCCGTACCGATTTTCTAGTCAGTTTAACCTAGAAATACAAAGCATTTTCTCGTGCGGACCGTACTGCGCCGTCTACTTTGTTAAGCTCTGGGCGCTGCGCTGACCATAGCATAGCCATCACACACCAGATGCAAATCCGCGAAATTGACCCGGCAAACGCCAGCTACGCTCAGGCATCTGAGATTTGCAATCTCATTTCCTATGCTTTCCAGAACGACGACTTCTTCAAGGTCCTGTTAGGACCTCGCTATTTCATGCCATTGCCCCCTCCAGTGGGCAGTGCCTGGCATTACCGAAAACTGCACTTTACTGACACGCTCAAGATGTGGGCAAGACTCAAAAGCAATGATACCAGGAATTTCGAACTGTTGAATGACAACAATGAAATCATTGGGTTTAGCTCCTGGGGTGTTCCTCGTTCCTTAAAAGTAGAAACCCCACGCTGGAGAAGGGTGTCAATTTGGCTCATCAAAAAGCTGCTTGCCGTAGTCAACACGGTTTTGTTCTTTGGCGAGGGCGATCTTTCACCCCCCACTCGCTGGAACAAAGCTCGCGTTATGTTTGACGAGATCGACAAGGACCTAGGCTGGCTGAATGTCAAGGACGAAGATCTTGCCCACCTCGACCTTGATAGTCTAACCAAAACGTTGTATCACCAGGAAACCATGTGGTGGTGCTTCTCAATGGCTATCCACCCCAATTATCATCGCCAGGGCTATGGTAAGGCTCTCTTTAGCCGCTGCCTCGAAGAGCTCAAGCCGTTCTACCCGACTTTCAAAGACGGAGAAGCCGAGATCAGCGGCCCTGCCAAGTACGGCTTGTTCGCCTCGCCCCAGGGACGGGGACTCTACGAAAGTATGGGATTTGTCAAGACTAGAGACATCGTCAAGGAACTCGAAGGCACCAAGATTGAACTTCCCTTGTACGTCAAAACCGTCTTTTAAACAGTCCAGTCAATGCGACAACGACAGGAAAGGATGCATCAAACCTGCCCTTTGCACACGGGTCGTGGGTTAGGGCATGCGGAGAAGTGACGCATTATTTAGACAGTGGATCGCTCCCAAAGCGTTTGTATAATTCACATATGTCGTTAGAAGACCAGACAGCCAAGCTTTCGCTTGCTGCCGTATATGTTAGCGACCAAGGCAGTGACGAGACGGGCAAAGGAACCGAGCAGGCTCCGTATGCCACCCCGGCCTATGCCTTTTACATTTCCAAGAGCGAAAAGATTCTCGTGCTCAAGGAGGGTAAATACGAGGACATCTCTCCCAGCGCCCTGAAAAAAGCCAAGAAGGGTGCAGATGGCTTGGCCAAGAAGGCCGAAAAGGCGAAGAAGGCCGCGGAGGCTGCTTCGGCAAAAGCTGATGTTGAAAGTGAGCGCCTGGAGGCCTCTAAAAACATCGTTATCACCGCCCCGTCCGGCGTGGAAGAGGCTGTGCGCACTAAAATTATCAAGGCTACCCCGTACCGTGGCAAGCGGATCCAGGTCAGTGGTTGGATTCACCGCTTGCGTCAACAAAAGGGTTTTACGTTTATCGTGCTCCGCGACGGCACCGGTCTTTTGCAGGTGATTCTTTCTGGCGACCTTTCTAACGCCTACCAGACCCAGCGTTTGACCCTCGAGTCTACTATCACTGTTTACGGCGAGCTCCATCCTCTCCCTGAGGGTAAGAGTGCCCCCGGCGGCCACGAGCTTGTTGCCGACTACTACGAGGTTGTTGGTTTGGCGCCTTCTGGAGACGATGCGTTCTCTAACCAGCTCCAGGCTGACACCGACCCCTCAATCTTGCTGGACCGCCGTCACTTGGCCCTTAGAGGCGACGCTCTCACCTCTATCATGAAGGTGCGGGCTGCTCTGCTCAAGTCTATCCGCTCTGTTTACGAGGATGAGGGAATCACTGAAGTCACACCTCCCTGTCTCGTTCAGTCGATGGTCGAGGGTGGCTCTACTTTGTTTAAACTTGATTACTATGGTCAGAATGCCTACTTGACCCAGTCGTCTCAGCTCTACCTTGAGACCTGTGTGCCCGCTTTGGGTGATGTCTACTGTATCCAGGAATCTTTCCGGGCCGAGCGCTCGCACACTCGTCGTCATCTGAGTGAATATACACACATCGAGGCCGAGCTTGGGTTCCTTACCTTTGAGGAGTTGCTGGGCCATGTTGAGCGCATGTTTGTGTCTCTTGTCGACAAGGTTCTCAAAGACCCTGTTGCCGGACCTTTGGTCAAACAGCTCAACCCCAAATTCGAGCCTCCTCAGCTTCCCTTCATGCGTATGACCTACGTTGACGCACTGGAGTGGTTGAACGAGCACGGCATTCCCAACGAAGACGGGGAGGAGTTCAAGTTCGGCGACGACATTGCCGAGGCCGCCGAGCGGAAGATGACCGATACGATCAACAAGCCCATTCTGCTCACCCGTTTCCCCGTCGAGATCAAGTCGTTCTACATGGAAAAGTGCAAGGATGATCCCCGGGTTACCGAAAGTGTCGACGTGCTTATGCCCAACGTCGGTGAGGTTATGGGTGGCTCCATGCGTATTTCCAAGCTCGACGAGCTCATGGCTGCCTTCAAGCGCGAGAACATGGACCCTGCTCCTTACTACTGGTTCAGCGATGTTCGCAAATACGGCGCTTTCCCACATGGTGGGTATGGCCTGGGCACCGAACGCATTCTCGCTTGGCTCTGCGACCGCTTCACCGTGCGCGACTGCTCATTGTACCCACGCTTCCCTGGTCGCTGCGCACCCTGATCAGTGAAACCACCATATAGCAAACATGAAAGCACCCATTATCAATACATAAAACACAGTCGAGTTGCCGTTACCGTCCCCGTTGCAATTGCCATTGCTGCTTGTGGATTTGAGGTACTCGGGGCTGCTATCTCTACTCGCGCCACTTTGAGGTTGGCTGTGGCGGTTACCAAGCCAGTCAGATCGGCTGCCGCTCCGGCTTTGTCGGCGCTGCTTGTCAATCAGCTCGTCGAGCGATGAATCCAGGTCTGTCTCAGCAATTTCATCGTTTATCGTGCCATCGGCGTCTTGATCTCGGTGGCGAACAACCACCCATCCCATTGTGTAGAAGTTAGTCCCAACAAGGATCCTGGGGTAAATATGCAGATTGGGAACATGCACAGGTCCACGCGATTTCAGAGAGCGTTGGGGGCAATATTTGAACACAATCTACTGGGTGGCGATGCCCTCTAAGCCCACCATTTTAGCTACCTGGTATTTATTTATATCTCAGTGGCCGCCGCCGAATCCCGCGAACCAAAAACCCTATTATTAAGGGCCCGAACAGCCTATTTCCATCTCTCGGAACTAAAGCCTACTACTACGCGGTGTGTTCGTTTAGTCATGGCAGCACTCCGGCGGATCTTGCAGCTGGCAAAGCCTGGCGAAGCTGCCAGGGCCCAAGGATGGGTTAGCAGTGTTCGCAAGATGAAAAAGTGGGCTTTTGCCGATATCACTGACGGCTCGAGCGTTGAGCCACTAAGTGTGATTTTGACCCCAGATCAGGCAGCTAAACTCAGCACGGGCGCCTGCGTAGATATCCGGGGCCAGGTCAAAGAGAGCCCCAAAGGAGCTACCCAGGCGGTTGAACTACACGCTGACAGTGTCAAGCTGCTGGGTGAGGCTGACTCGACCTACCCGCTGCAAAAAAAGTACCATTCCAGGGAGTTTTTACGCCAGTTCCCTCAGTTTCGTTGGAAGACCCGTACGGCGGCCCAAGTTCTGCAGTACCGGTCTTTTGCCATCAAACAGCTTACCGACTTTTTCAACGAGAATGATGTGGTGCAGGTCAACTCACCTATTCTGACATCTAGTGACTGCGAAGGTGCCGGTGAAGTTTTCGGCCTTGAAAAATCGCTTGACTTTTTCGGAAAACAGGCCTACTTGTCAGTATCAAGTCAGCTGCACTTGGAAGTGTATTGTGCCGCATTGGCTCGTGTCTGGAACATGACGCCTGCGTTTAGAGCTGAGGCATCAGACACTAACCGGCACCTCAGCGAGTTCTGGATGGTCGAGGCAGAGCTGGCGTTCTTGGACAGTCTGGCTGAGCTGACGGGATTCTGCGAACAGATGGTCAAGGCAACTACTCCTACGGGCTCTATCAAGCACAGTATTCTCGCTTCTAAACGAGATCAAGAAGCTCGGGACCGTCTAGAGCAGCGCTGGGACACGCTGGCGGGCAAGTGGACCACTATGACTTATACGGACGCTGTTGATTTTATTAATGCGCATGGCACTAAGGTGTCTACGGCAAAATGGGGTGACGGCCTGTCTTCTGAGCAGGAAAAATTCCTGGCTGGCACGCTAGGCACCCCCGTGGTGGTCACTGACTATCCCACTGAGATCAAACCCTTCTACATGAAGGCAAGCAGCAGCCAAACGGTCGCATGCTTTGATATATTAATCCCGGATGTTGGCGAGCTGGTTGGCGGCTCAATGCGTGAAGACAACTACGAAAAGCTCCTGGCCAACCTGGAGAAATATGACATGAACCCAGAGAGCATGTCATGGTACACCGACCTGCGTAAATACGGCTCGTTCCCCCATGGTGGGTACGGCCTAGGATTCGAGCGTTTGGTCATGTACACTTGTGGACTCGACAACATTCGCGACGCAACTGGATTCATCCGCGGATTCGGCCAGCTGCCCTGCTAAATAACGCTGATTTATGCGTCTGTACATACTTAAATAACAAAAACTCCACGCCATGCTAGGGCGGCAATAACGGAGGCTAGAACAATGACCATTGCAATTCTCTGGGTGATTTTCCAGGCATCCTCGGGCAGCCCATACACTATTCGGCTGGCAATCAGGCTGTAGCGAACGACTGGATCGACCTGCTTCAGAGGCACGACATTTCTCGCTGCACTCAGAATGACATACGGCTCTTCCCACTGCAAGTCGAAATCGGCGGGCTCAGACGCTGGCCAGCACACCCGCACAAAGTATTTCCCCGCCGGTCCTTGAAGTGAAATCCGGGAACTGCTAGCGTTGTTGGGCCACTCGTCAAATTGACCCTGCCACGGCGTGCCCGGCACAATGAGCCCGTCCGTCTCCCCTTGCAGCTCAACAATCATACTTTCGGTATTAGCAAGAACATAGTGCACCAGAACGAAGCCAATCAACGGTATCTGCGCGAATCGCATATTCCCGTACACGTGATTACTGGTGATGAGTAAACCCCAGTAACCCCGCGTTCGGCCTGAGCATTATGACTTCTGGGGCCGAGATCGTCGCCAACAGCCTCAAGGAGCTAGGCGTCGAGCACATTTTTGGAATTGTTGGAATCCCGGTTATCGAGGTGGCTGAAGCATGTATTGCCAAGGGCATCAATTTCATTTCTTTTCGCAATGAACAGACGGCGACTTATGCCGCCAGTATCTACGGCTACCTCACGGGGAAACCAGGTGTTACTTTGGTTGTTGGGGGTCCTGGCGTTGTGCATGCACTTGCCGGTGTCGAGAATGCGCGAGTCAACCGGTCTCCGCTGCTTGTCCTTGCCGGCTCGTCGGAGACTCATCAAAGGGGAATGGGGGCTTTCCAGCAATTGGACCAGGTGGCTTTGATGCGATCGCATACAAAATTCGCAGAGCAGCCGGCTACTCCTAGTGATGTTCCCCGTCTGATTGAGCAAGCGTACCGGTACTCTTACTTTGGCAAAGCTGGTGCCACATACGTTGACCTGCCGGCTGATATCATTCAAGGAAGCGGCACCATTACTAGTCCTTTGAAGGTTGCTGGTCCGCCTCCTCGGTCAATTGCAGATCCTCATCGCATCGCTAAGGCTGCAGCTCTCCTCAAATCAGCAAAATTCCCTCTTCTTATTGTCGGCAAAGGGGCTGCGTATGCTCGGGCAGAAACCTCCATCCGGGCAGTCCAGTCGCAAACAAACGTCGCATTTCTACCTACTCCTATGGGAAAAGGCGTTGTACCTGACTCTGTGTCCACCAACATGTCTGCTTGCCGATCTGGTGCTCTTAAACAGGCTGATGTTATTTTGGTGCTTGGGGCCCGTTTGAATTGGATCCTTCATTACGGACAGGCACCAAAGTTTGCCAAAGATGTCCAGATCATTCAAGTTGACAACGACGCCGATGTCCTTGGAGACAATGGAGGAAGTGCTGATTTAGGCATTCTGGGCGATGTTGACTTGGTTGCCACTCAGCTTTTGCAAGCTTTAAAAGGGTGGAAAGCGCCGAATATCCCTGAAGCCCTGGCTAGCACAAGAGAAAAGAACGAGAAAAAGGCGGCTGCAAAGGAGCAACAGCCTGCGAATCAGCTGTTGAAATACGAGCCCGTTTATAAAGTCATTCGCAACCGCTTGGCAAACGTCAAGGCACCAATCGTGTTTGTATCCGAAGGTGCCAACACCATGGATATTTCCCGCTCCTCGTTTCCTCTAGATTCTCCGCGATCGCGACTGGACGCTGGTACCAATGCTACTATGGGAGTTGGTCTTGGCTATGCTATTGCCGCAAAGACGGCCAACCCCGAGTCAATTGTGGTAGCTATTGAAGGAGACTCTGCGTTTGGGTTTTCTGGTTTGGAAATTGAAACCGCCGTAAGACACAAGCTCCCCATGATAATTTATGTGATGAACAACTCGGGCGTTTACCATGGCGTCGATCCCGGACTCTACAAAACAAACAAGCCGCTGCCGTCTACAGCACTCAGTTTAGACGTTGCATACCACAAACTGGCTGAATCACTCGGAGCAAAGGGCTTCCTGGCCAAGACCTTGCAGGAAGTCGACCAAGCCACTAAAGAAGCTTTGTCTAACGACAGCGTCAACCTTATCAACGTCATTATTGATCCAGCTAAAGATAAGAAATTGGAGTTTGGATGGATGGCGAGCACAAAGCCCGCTAAACTTTAGATATAAATAGTTACTTTGGCAGTGGCCAGTTGTCGAACAGCGAGTCCGTAATATAGTCAATAGCAAATTCAACATCTGGATATCTGTTGATGAAATGGCCCTGGAGGGGCTTCAAGTCAGCCTCGCCGTCATTCACGGCGGGTCTCATCTGCATGGACCGACAGACCAGCGAGTACACATTGACGTTCTCGAAAGGCTCGTAGTGGCCTGGTTTGAACCCTGGCCCGCTGGCAGCAAAGAACCCTCTCATCAACACCTCTTGACTGTCATACCCGTGAACACCATGAGGTTTATACTTGTTGCCTTGGTCGGCGTACTCTGCATGGGTCAGAATACTCCATCCAACGTTCGGCACGATATACACAGGGGGCATCCGATAGCCGTACTTGCCCTGGTTATCGAAGTGCCAGTCCTGCGGCATCTCCGAACTCTTGTAAACATGCGCTCCTTCGCCCAGCTTGTCTCTTATTCTTTCCACAGTCGGCTCAACATCATTGATATCCAGCCACAGACCACTCAGCGGCCATCCGGTGCGCTTCTGAACCACGCTCGTGTCAATCAGGTCGTCCAGAAAGACTAGGCGGTCATCTGACGTCGGTGCCATACCATGATCCGAAACAACAACTAGATTGACTACCTCCGTCAGGTTACGGTCCTCCAACCCGGCGACAATCTCGCCGATTAGCGTGTCTACCTGGGTAATGGAGTCAATAACTTCGTCTCCCGAAATTCCAAATTTATGGCCGATAGTATCGACGGTAGGCACGTATGCCATAATGAGCTCTGGTCGCTCCTTAATCGGCAAGTCGAGCCAGTCCAAGATACGATCCCTCTTGGCGCTCAGTACCTCTGTTTTATTGAACTTATCAACAAAATCGGGATTAAAGTGCTCAAAATCGACTTCTGATCCCGGCCACATGTGCACCGCGCTCTTGCGTTTGTGCTTTTTGGCCGTCGCCCAAAGAGGCTCACCTCCCCAGAACACCCTGTCCAAGCTTGTGGGTGAGACATGCTTGAAATTTCGATTCAGCATAGGATCAAAGAACGAATTGCCTACAATGCCGTGATTTACGGGGTACAGGCCAGTTGCCAACGTCCAGTGATTGGGGAAGGTTTGAGAAGGGAATGAGGGAACGATATAAGGCGTCGAGAACCCGAAGTTTACCAGCCTTGCAAGATGAGGTGATCTCTTTTCGGAAACGTACTGTGGGTGGAATCCATCCAATGAAATGTAGACTGTAGTCGGGTTATACAGGTGCGTTCCATTCGACAGCTGGCCTATACCTTGTTTTGCCGAATCCCCAGATAAAGTCGATAATCCAACAATAGACAGCACAACTAGAATAGCAGCTCCAAAAATGTAGTATAGGCCAGTGTGTTTCCGGTTGCTAAAGGGTCGCTCTTCCAAGCGCCTGATTGCTGCTGATTTGGGCTTGCCATCTGAGTGCAAGTCTTCCATCTGAACATAGTCCACTGGATTCCCATCTGCGTCTTGACCCATCATCAGCTGGAGGCTTTCTTCCTCCGCCACGCCTAACCATCGGTCCTTTCGTCTCGGTCCATCGGGCATATTGAAATGTGGTAGTGGCTTAGGTGAGACGCGAGGGGCCGATGGTGATGCTAAAACTATTTAAAAAGAAACTATGCACTTTTTTCATTCTTTTAAAAGTTCTCAATCCGCATCCAGTTTGTTGAAACGGGAATCGGGGTTTAGATGAGACATGCGAATGTGCCGATGGCATGAATCAGACCGTAGGAACCTCTTGCCGCAATTTTGAACTGCGCAAACGTAGATCGGACCGCAGTGTTGGCTCCTATAATGCCTCATGCATTCCGATTTTTTGTGAAATCCAAGCACGGACCAAACACATGCACTGTCGGGACACAGATAGGGTCGATACTCCCTGTCGTGGGTGGAATCAAGATGCTCCGCCATCGCTTCGCAGCTGCTAAACTTTTCTCCACAGGAATGGCCACAGGACACTAGCCCGCGAATTGTTTGAGAAATGCTTTTCTGTAAAGCAGGGCTTTCATTTACAAGCTCTTGGCGTGGCTTGTCGTCTCTATGGGTCCGCAATGGCTGGAGAACTGACCCGCTCCTCTCAATAAGATAATATAGATTTTCGGTATCTGGGTGACACTTGGAGTCAGGTTTACTTAGCTTTCCAAGGTCTGAAATACCCTGTCCAGGGCTTTTCTTGCGCCGTTTGGTAGGCTTCCGCTTTGTGTAACACCGCTTCCGTGTTTTCCCAGGAACAAACTCCTCATCAGCATCTGATTCGTTTTCAGACTGGTAATTCAGGGCTTCCTCGTGGTTCAGTGTGTGAGTAATATTCTCCAGCGCCGCTCCATTTCCTCTTCTGTCGCATGGGCTCTCGGGAGCTGGGCTCTCAGAAGCAATGCCATTGAGGACAATCGTTTGAGCCTGAGGAGTCTGGTACATTGGGCCATCTGGGAATAGTATTTTGCTAACCGGTATCATTCGCGGGGTATGGGGTGTAGTAGGATTCACCCGCGCTGTATAATGGCTTGGAGAGCTCGTAGTGGGGTCAACCAAAAGAGCCGCTTGAGGAGCGGGTCCATCGGAAGAACCTCGAGTCCAAGAGAAATCCGAGGCGGTTGTATCTGTGGTTTCACAAGGGTTGGTATCAAAATCGATAATAGAAAGATCTGTATGGTCGAAATCGTTTGGTGAAACACTCGAGCTATCAAACAATGCCGGCATAATAGGCGAGTTGAATCCAAAGGCCACAGGATAATTGACAATTGACTGAGAGGAACCCAATAGTAAAAGTCGCGGTGAAACGGCAACACCACCATGGCAATGACAGAGGCTGTCAAATGTCGGGGGTCCTGACGGGATGCGCCAAGATGCTGAATATGATGAGAACCCGGGATATTCGTAGGGTCCTGAAAGCGGCATAACTTGGAATTCGACCTAGGCCAAAGAACGTTTGCGTCTATGTGGCAAGTAAAGCTAAGCGCGCCCGCATGGCGACCCATTTATTCCCGCATGGCGGAATGTCGAGGTGCATTTGAAAAAAAGTGACCTGTCACAAGCTGACGCGTAAAAATAAGGCCGTCTCCCGCGATACTACTATTAATGCACCTTCGGCACATTCCAGTCCGTTAGTCGTGGTAGCCTTGCAGTATAAGATAAACAAGTTTATTAAACAAAGCTGGATGGTCCGGGGAGATGGTGATCTCGACTGACTAAACCCCTTCAGATGAGATGGGCAGTAAGGCAGGCCTTCCTGAAAAGACCTTGCCTGGTTTTGCCTCCACAAAGACGATCTTCAAATTTGTATGAGGTCTTGTCTTTGTCTTTAGGCGTGAAATCAGAACAAGAGGAGCGGCTTCAGGCCCTTTTAACTCGCGACCCCGCTGATTCAAAAAATATTCGCAGGGTGCAACAGCATGTGCAAATCATGGCTAAATCAACAGAAAACAAGAGTGATCTGATAAGAAAGTTTTCAGTCGATCACAAGCCTTTTGCTGGACCAATTAGTGCAGCAATCATGCTAGAGCTAATTTCTCAGCGGTCCCCACAGTTAGCCTCTGCATATCAGGCACTGGTAGAGCGTCTTGGACACCCTTCGGGTGATTTCTTGTGTGCAATTCTGACGGCTGGTATTATTGATACACAACAGAGCTATATTCCTTGTGTGTTGGACTTTGTTGTCAAGATTCCTGACTATTTATTATCTGACCTTGCAGATGTCTGGATGCCAAGATGGCTAGAACTAGGCGTACCATCAGCGAATTTGGACCTGTTGATAAAAGCAGCTGCTAGACGCGGTGTCATTCCGAACCATAGCAACGGCTATAAGGCACTGAATTCGCAACTTCAAAAGCCGATCCAAGTTCTAGAGTATGTCATGGCAGTGAGAAACTATTTGTCGGGTCTTGGCACCCGCCAGGTGGTTCCTCAGTTGGAGGAAGCATTTCTGGTGCTGATAGCACGCAAGATTCGGATTCTCCCCCCACAAATGCATCCTGAAAAGGTACTGGCGGAACTTGTAAATGAGATCAAGCGCCTACGTCCTTTGCCTGGTCGATCGGCGGTACTTGGCGCACGATTCTGGGCGACCGGTAAAAAGCTGAGTTTGGAGGATCCCAGCCGTCCCATTCCCACAACCATTGATCAATGTTATGAAGAGATGAATGTGTTGGTTGCATCTTGGAAAAGTGGGGAGCGCAGCCCTAAAACCCCGAGGCGTGTCGCTCAGCTTTATGCGCAGATATTGAGCAGATATGCCTTGTATGATCCTAATTCTCTGGAGGTAGTTTACGCCGAGGCAGATACCACTTGCAATCAGCTGTTCGAGGCTGCGTCGGCAGGAAACCGTCGTCGCCGATGGCTGACTTCCGTTCTAAGCACATTTGTACATGCTGGACAGTACAAAAGGGCTGTAAAATACACACCAGACGTTCAACGCACAAAAACACCTTATTTATGGGGTCTTGCAGTTATCTCTTTGGCCAAAACCGGTCATCTTGATCACGCCTGGGATCTGACCGAAACGGCAGTTACGACTCTGAGAGCCAGCCTGCCATCAAAAGTCGGGGTGGTTCTTCTGCAACAGCTAATGCATGAAAAGTCTCCCCTTGATCTTGGCTCGTGCTTGACCAAGCTGCATGGCTACAATATGACATTTAGTGATATGCAGCTGGCGCAAATCTTGCACTTTGCTGGTTCAGGTGGAAGTAGTTATCGCTGGTCAGATCTACGCGCAGTACTGTTCAGTATGACTGATGTTCTGCTGGACAGAAACAATCAACTTCGAACTTCAGTGGGGGGCTATCATTGGCGACGCCCGCACAATGTTTTGGGCGAGGCTTGTCTCAAAGAACTTGTGTTGTGGGGCTTTTTGAAGGCTCCACTACAGCCGTGGTGCTCAATTGATTTGATGAAGGAGTTAAAGTCTCGCGGCGTTGCGATTAGCCCTTCAACAGTTCAGGCTGCGGTGAGCTCGGCCCTCAAGGACCTGCAAAACTCCAAGGGCGAAGCGGTCAGGATCCGCCAACAGTGCCCCCACAACATATCCATGATTTCCGAGCAGTATGCGAAACTAATTGAAGAACTGTTCTAATAAATAATCTTGCATCTATCAGTACAAATCACTAACTTCACCGCCGTCACCTCTCCGATCGTAAGGAAGGGAAGTGTTCGGCGGCGGAGGCGGTCTCGAGCTTGGGTTCAGTAAATAGCCGCCATTCTGGGCCTTGAAAACCTCATCAGGCTCTGTAGCGAGTCTTAATTCCGCCCAGTAGGCCTCAGAGCTCTGCCGTTCCAGGTTTCTGGACGCCTTGGACTTTACAACATTATCGTTGGTTTCCTTGAGTTCTTTTTGTTTTTCTAGATGCAGTTTGCGGAACTCGCTGGCTTCCTCCAGTACCGAGTCGCGAAGGTCTATGAGTTCTTGGAGATCCAACTTTACAGCTTTGACCCAGAGGTTAATAATGATTACGAGGAGCAGGCAAGGTATACTGCCAGCCGGCGGTTGGGAGGGGAGTACGACTCTTAAATAAATAGTTATCCGCTGATTTCAAACACCGATCCTTCAGACAAAAGTGGGGTGGTGGGTTCTCTGAGTGCTTTTGCCACAGATTCACGGTTCAGTAGCCCCATAAAGTCGCCGCGGTCGGTTACCAGGGCCGTCCCGACGTCGAGCTTTTCCATAATCATCGCTGCTGTGAGCACAGACGAGTCCATGGCCACTAGTGCAGTAGCGTCCATTGGCAACCTGTCACGGACGTCACTACTACGTTTCGCATCTGGCGGACAGTAGCCAACGAGCTTGTGCTGTGAGTTTACCAGCACCGTCTCTGTGTGCCGGGCGCGGTTTTTCGCATCCTGCACGTCACGCATGGCTACTTCGGTGGCGGGCTTCATTACGTTCTGTACTCTGAGGTTGGGTACAGGTCTTTTATCGGGCATGACACGATCATCTTGAACGGGATGATACACATCCGTACCGCCAACGTAGTCAACCACCCACTTGGCGACCATTACGCCCGACATAATTGGAACGACATAGCTTACTGCACCAGTGAGCTCGAAAAGAATCACGGCTGAAGAGATTGTCAATTTGGTGGCGCCCGTCAAGGCAGCTGCTGCACCGACTAACGCATAAACCCCGGGTGTGATGCAAGGGCCCTGGCCCGGACAGAAAGTCTCGGACAGGAACCCTCGGTGTGCATGCAAAAGCGATTGCATTGCAAGACCCACCAGTCGTCCGATCAATGCACCACTTGTCACTGTTGGTAGCATAATACCCGAAGGAGTTCCCAGGCCATAAGAAGCCGGGGTGAGCAATAAGGCCACAATGCATGTATAGGTGAGGTCTAAAGCGTAGCTTTTTCGGCAAAAAAATTCCCCCTCAGAAGCAGAACATTCATGTAAAGCTTCGGCAAGCAGTTCGTGCATCGGGATTCTCAACACTGTTGTAAAAGACAAAAGTGAAGTGACCAGGGCGGTCGAGCCAACGAGAGCGAAGCTCTGCCACTTTTGGGGGACATTTTGCATATAGCTTACACGCAGTCGATAAATCTCTGACCTGGTGTAGTCAATAAACCGGCCAAATAGGCCGCCAAGGGCCCCTAGCACCACGAACGGAATCAGTTCGATGCCATGCCAGGCCCGATCGTAAACGACCTGGAAAAAAACCACTTTGCCGCTTTCAAAGGGATTGACCATTTCAAAAAACAAATTTGCCGTCATGGCACAGACGAATCCTTGCCACAAGATCCCTCTTAGGTTTTTGGGTTGTAAGGTTTCAACAACAAACAAGACACCGCCAATTGGTGAGCCCATTGCGACGGCCAAGCCAGCTGCAGATACGGACGCAATGAGCAGACGAGCCCTCGAGGGCGACAAGCGGGTGTTGAACTGAGCTGCAAGGCATGCGGCAATGCTGGCCGCTATATGAACCATAGGGGAGTCGGGGCCGATCCAGAGCCCAGACCCCTGTGCGAGGCTAGTTGCGACTAGTTTTACAATAATCTGTAAAGGACTCAGTAGGGAGGGCATGGGGTTGCCTGAAATATACGACCGCAGCTCGGGCACACCGTCAACAGCGGCAGCGGGGGCCAAATCAGCAATAAGACAAGTAGCCGCCAAGGCAAATAGGAGAGAGGAAAAAATGTAAAAAAACGGCAACAGCACCCACGGCGACCATGGGCTCTGGTCGAGTGCAGTGCAAGCTCTTTCCCTGCAACACAGGAACTTGGGCACGTACCACACATCGCAGTGGCCCTCGCGAATCGAGGCCAGCCAGTTGGAAAAGATAGTAGCCACACCTCCCAGCAGACCCGTAAGAGCACCAGCAAGCATCAGGACAGCCCAATGCCCTGCCCAGTCGACAAATGCCTTGCTCGGTCTCATTTTGGCTCGGCGGATCGCATCCCGCGACCGCTCACTCGGCCGGCTTAGACTGGACATTGGATGGGACCAAATGTCAGCGGCTGCGGAAACTTATAAAACAGCGAAAACAAAGACAAAAAAGTATAAAGTGCGTACCAGAGTGCCATAAACCTCCATAGCCCGTCCGTAAAACAACACCTTGGCACCCCCTTCAGAAGCCTTGCCGTCGCCGCGCTAGGCTTACTTTTTTTTCAAACCCCTCATTTCTCCCAATCTCTCTCCTAGTAGTGACTCTTCGTTTTTATCATATGTCTTTGGAGAACCAGACTGCGGATTTGTCTTTGAAAAACGGCAAGGCAAAGCCGGCCAAGCAGCCCAAGCAAAACAAGCAGCAGCCCAAAAATAAGTCCAAGGGTGCTATTGAAGGCGCGGCTCAGGTGGGAGTGACCATCGACAAAGAGCTTGATTTCCCCGGCTGGTACCAGCAGGTGCTCACCAAGGGCGAGATGCTGGAGTACTACGATGTTTCAGGCTGCTACATCATGCGCCCTGCGTCCTTTTTTGTTTGGGAGAAGATCACCGAGTTTTTCAACAAGCGGATCACTGATATGGGTGTCCGTAATGCCTACTTCCCCATGTTTGTGTCGTCGCGTGTTTTGGAGCGTGAAAAGGACCACGTCGAGGGCTTTGCTCCTGAAGTTGCCTGGGTCACGCGTGCTGGCTCCAGTGACCTTGAGGAGCCCATCGCTATTCGCCCCACATCTGAGACCGTCATGTACCCTTACTATGCCAAGTGGATCCGTTCTCACCGGGATCTGCCTTTGCGTTTGAACCAGTGGAACTCGGTTGTTCGCTGGGAATTCAAGCACCCCCAGCCTTTCCTGCGCACTCGTGAGTTCTTATGGCAGGAGGGCCACACGGCACACCTTACCAAGGAGGGCGCCGTGGAGGAAGTGGATCAGATTCTGGACTGGTACGCTGATGTTTACACTGATCTGCTTGCTGTACCTGTTATCAAAGGCCAAAAGACCTCCAAGGAGAAGTTCGCCGGCTCTTTGTTCTCGCGTTCGATCGAGGGCTTCATCCCCACCACTGGTCGGGGCATTCAGGCCGCTACCTCGCACTGCTTGGGTCAGAACTTTAGCAAAATGTTCAACATTGTCGTCGAGGACCCCAGTGCCCCCGAGGGCACAGAGAAGGGCAAGTTGCATGTCTGGCAGAACTCTTGGGGTTTGTCTACTCGCACCATCGGTGTCATGGTGATGGTTCACTCTGACAACAACGGTTTGGTGATTCCCCCGCGGGTTGCTGAGGTGCAGGTGGTTGTTATTCCTCTGGGTCTCGACAAAAAGGCCACCCCCGAGACTATTGAGCAGGTTACTGCTGCTTGCCAGAAGGCGGAGGCTGATCTGCGGGCTGCTGGTCTTCGAGTCACAGTGGACGCACGCGACCAGCAGCCTGGCTGGAAATACGCAGACGCTGAGCTTCGGGGTATTTGTCTTCGTCTTGAAATCGGGCCCAAAGATCTTGCCAAGGGCACTGCTCTCTCGGTCCGTCGTGATAACCGCGCCAAGGCTCCTTTGGCTCTTGACTCTCTTGCCGTGGAGGTCCCCAAGGTCCTTGACCAGATGCATAACGACATGTACGCCCGTGCCAAGGAGCTGTTCGACTCGCACATCAAGACTGTTCTCACCGTTGAGGAAATGGGGCCCCTGCTGAACGAGCGTAATGTCCTGCTTGCTCCGTTCTGCGGCGAAGAAGAATGCGAGGACGTCATCAAGGATGCGACTGCTCGCCAAAACACCGAGGACGTTGACGAGCGTGCTCCCTCTATGGGTGCCAAGACCCTCTGTGTGCCCAAAGATCAGCCTGAGCTCAAGGAGGGCACCAAGTGCGCTGGCTGTGACCGTCCTGCCGTCGCCTGGACCCTGTTTGGTCGCTCGTACTAGGCACAAAATATATAAAATAAAAAGTAAATAATACTTATTCGGTACGCGTGTCGAGCAGCTTTCTGATTTCACGGTTCCGGGACTCTAAATTCTCGACTAACTGCATGGCCCGGGCGACCTGGGACTGCACGCTGCCGTCCAAATCAGGGATATCCGTAGGCACTCGGGATTTTGTGCCTGTGATACTAAGCAGGCGCGACGGCTGGTCACGGTCCAACGCCTGCGACTCAATTCGAGTTTCCAGGACTTGCCACCCCGGAGAAAGCGACTGCGACGACACTATTTCCCGCCCGGACTCGTCAAAGTCGACCAGCACGGACACATCCCCCCACTGCTGCTCGACGACGTCCATGGCGGGCACAAAATTGTCATCGGAGTAGATGTAGTGCACCTCTGGGTATATGGTTGTCTGGCCGTTGTCGGCAGTGTCCTGCATTATCACAAAAATGTTGTCGCGATTCATGTGCCAGGCGCTTGGCTGACGGCGTCCCCCACCACGACTTAAAGGCCTGCTGAGTCACCCGGTTTTTTCACCCCGTGACGACAAAATGTTGGATATTCTTCAGTTTATTGAGGAGAAAGGAGGCAATCCTGAGGAGATCAGAAAGTCGCAGAAGGCACGCTACGCCAGCGTAGAGCTTGTGGACGAAATTATTGCCGACTACAAGAACTGGACGAGAATCCGGTTCGACCTCGACGAGCTGAACAAGAAGCAGAACGCCCTGCAGAAGCAAATCGGGCTCAAGTTCAAGGCCAAGGAGGATGCTAGCGCGCTGCTCAAAGAGAAGGACGAGATCGTTGTTGCCAAGCAGAAGCTCACTGTTGAGGAGCAGCAGGCAGATCAGGATCTCCGCGCCAAGGTCAACACCGTAGGCAACATCGTCCACCCCAGCGTGCCCGTCAGCGACAACGAGGACAACAACGGTCTCGTGCGTGAATGGGCTCCTGAGGGCGTCGATGTGAGCAACTTCCCTGCCAAGCACTCTCACCATGAGGTGCTGACGCGCCTTAACGGCTACGATCCGGAGCGCGGAACAAAGATTGTTGGTCACCGTGGCTACTTCTTGCGCCAGTGGGGTGTGTTCCTCAACCAGGCTTTAATCAACTATGGTCTCGAGTTTTTGATGGAGCGCGGCTACTGTCCCTTGCAGGCTCCGGTCATGATGAACAAGGACGTCATGGCGCGTACTGCTCAGCTGTCGCAGTTTGACGAGGAGCTGTACAAAGTTATTGACGGCCAGGACGAAAAGTACCTGATTGCTACCTCTGAGCAGCCCATTTCCGCATATCACTCTAACGAGTGGTTTGAGCAGCCGGCCGAGCAGCTGCCGCTGCGGTACGCTGGATACTCATCCTGTTTCCGCCGCGAAGCAGGCTCGCACGGCAAAGATGCCTGGGGTATTTTCCGTGTGCACGAGTTCCAGAAGATCGAGCAGTTCTGCCTCACCGAGCCCGACAAATCGTGGGAAGAGTTTGATCGCATGATCGGGTCCGCCGAGGAGTTCTACAAGTCGCTCAAGCTGCCCTACCGGGTTGTTGCCATTGTTTCAGGCGAGCTCAACAACGCTGCTGCCAAAAAGTACGATCTCGAGGCTTGGTTCCCCTTCCAGAAGGAGTACAAGGAGCTTGTTTCGTGCTCCAACTGCACCGATTACCAGTCGCGCAATCTGGAGATCCGCTGCGGCGTGAAAAAGATGAACGAGCGGGAAAAGAAGTACGTGCACTGCCTTAACTCCACTCTCTGTGCCACCGAGCGCGCCCTGTGCTGCATTCTGGAAAATTACCAAACCGAGGACGGCTTCAGGGTCCCTGAGGTGCTCCGCAAGTACCTGCCTGGTCAGCCAGAGTTTATCCCATTCGTCAAGGAATTGAAGCCCGAGAAAGCTAAAAAATAGTCAACCCCATAGCCTCTATGCTCCTAAACGTTCTTTTGGTTAGTTTCAAAGCATCTTTCATCAACTCTAATCTAATCCCCGCCGCGCCCCCCACGTGGGCGACCTGTTCGATTCGCCTATCTAACCGTACCCTTCCGCAGGCTTTGGGAGTTGCAACTTGCCTCAACCGACCAATTGAATCCCCAACTAGGAAGTTATTGGGAGGAGAGCTCAAGGCAGTTACTGAATTCGCACAAAGATTTTCCAATATTACGTCCCAGATCGTATTCGCCTTTGTTGAGAGCCTGAACTGGCTCCAAATGAGTGTGCTTGGAACTCCGCCCATGGTGGAGGCGCCGGAGGCTATAGTGTACGACGACGAGCCTAGTTTTTCTTCTTTACAGGTGGCCTTTTTGGCCTTACAAGCTGTCACGCAGACAATCATTATTTGTTTGATCGGCTACTGGGCGGCCCGGAAGGGCATTCTCACTAGAGCCGCCCAGATCAACTTGTCCAGCCTCAATGTAATGGTGGCAACCCCATGTCTGGTATTCTCCAAAATGGCTTCAAGCTTGAGTCTGTCTACCTTGGTAGATGTATCGGTAATTCCGGTCCTTTTTGTCGTTATGACGGGAGTGTCCTACTTGGCGGGCCGAGCATGTTCGCGGTTCTTCAAATTCACAGAGCGCGAGACGAAATTCGTTATTGCAATGGCAGTGTTTGGCAACTCAAACTCTCTTCCTGTGTCTGTGACAATCGCCCTGGCCAATACTTTGCCCATGCTGCGCTGGCCGGATATTCCCGGCGACAACTCTGATAAGGTTGTTTCCAGGGGCATTCTTTATTTGTTGATATTCCAGCAGCTAGGCCAGATGCTGCGATGGTCGTGGGGCTACAATAGTCTGCTTGCGGGGCAGGCAGACCCGAACGAGGAATCACTCCCCACCGTGGTTGATCCGTCCTCTGTACAGCCCAGTCAAAAAACACGAGTCTGGCGCACATTTGTGAGTGATTTGTATCAGTTTATGAATCCTCCACTGTGGGCAATGCTCGCAGCGGTTATTGTTGCCAGTATCCCGCCCGCAAAGTACGAATTGTACGAAAAGGGCGGATTTGTAGCCAACACCCTTGGCCTGGCCATCACCCAGATTGGCCGCACGGCTATTCCCCTCATTTTATTGACATTGGGTGCCAACTTGGCACCAACGATAGACAATGGACATTTGCGCAAAGCACCCCGCCATAACGAGATGGTGTTTGCCTCGCTGTTCAGCCGCATGGTTTTACCTGCCCTCGTCCTTCTACCCGGCATAGCCCTGGCAGTCCGGTATCTCGGCATTTCGATCATGGACGATCCCATCTTCCTGGTCGCGATGTTTTTACTCACTGTTTCTCCCCCTGCCATTCAGCTCTCCCAGATCTGCCAATTGAACCATGTCTACGAGCTGGAAATGGCCAGCATCTTGTTCTGGGGCTATTCTATTCTCACACTACCTTTCACTATTTTCATTGTTGTTGGCTCGCTACGTGTACTTGGTTGGGCCGGCGTGTTGGACTAAAAAGAAAAGAAAATTTTAAAAAATCGTTTGTCCGTATCGTAATAAATAATATTGCTAGCATGTTTTGTACCTGGCCAAAACATCCTCCAGGCCCTTGAATGCATTAGGATCATTGTATTGGTTGCAATAGCCGTAGTACATTTGTTTGTTGATGACCTGCGTGTACTCTGATCTGCGGAGACCTGGTACCAACGATGCCGCGACCAGCGGGTCTCTGGGGTCGTCTTCACCGACGTCGATTTCATCTGCATACTCCATAGTTGCCAAACGAACAACCAGGGCATTAGCAGTGACCCGAATAGGAATAATATGATAGGCGGCCAGGCCTAGTCTTATAACACGCACGCCGAGAATTTCAGCGTAGCCTTCCGGGGTGAACGAGACAAGGACCTCGTTTTCATTGAGCTGCCAGGCTTCCAATGGTCGCTCGGGAACCGTGGAATTTTTGGGGTACAACTTCAGAGACATGATGAGATCCAAATTGGCATGAAAGCGAGAGGTGAATGACATCATTGCGCCCTTGAATATGACCGCGTATCGAGGCTTTTGACCGTAAAAGTTGCCTAAGGTGCCCAGATTGGAGTCCAACCCAGCATCCTTCGTCCACTCTGGTTCTCCGTCTTCGCCAGCTTCACCTGGTTCTTCATCAGACTGGCCGTCCGGGTGCGGCGGTGCAACCCCCCACTCTTCATCGTCCACGTCTGCCTCGGACCACGAAGTTGATCTTTTGCGTTCCGATTGCACATCTAGAAGTTTTTGAATAGCCGCATTCGATTGAATCGGCCGTGACGGCTTCCGCAGGACTTTTCTGCGAGGTTTAGGCATCAGGGCCGATAGGTAAGCAGGCGGTGATTATTCCGGGTTTGCCCTGGTTCTTTAGGTGGTTTTGTTCTCTGTGATATCCTTACGTAAGCGGGGTGCGGGCGGAGGAATTGGCTATATTCGCTCGATTCAAGCAGTCATCAGTGCATCTGCATTGGTGACTGCATAACCAAACCTCCAGGAGCCGTTCGCTGCGAAAGATCTGTTTTGAAAATCCGACGGTGGCGAATCTTACGCTCCCAACAGCGATGGAAACGAGTATTAAAGGGTCGAATCAGTCATAGCAATGGCACGTGGGGGACCGCGCCTCGTTGTGCTCATGTAAACTTTCTTGTCCTAGGGCGGATGATTAACGCAACATCACCCTACAATAGCCAGATGCATTGGCGAGTGTCAACACAGGCGACGCACACGTTTTGCCAATAAGAGTTAGTAGAAATAAAGATAAACAGATAAACTCGCCAGCATTTCACAATATTTCAGGTGGTACATCGCGTTCCACGATTCGCGTCTCCCAAACAAGCAATATGTTATGCATGCGCACCAAGTCACCCTGCAGGGTGAAGGTGACAAAGATAAAAGGAGCCCTAAGCCCCCGATTTTTTTCGTCATTCAGTTTCAGCTAGAAATTCGATTGCAAGTACAAGTCCAAGCACACTTGCAGCATCGAGCCTCTTGAACACAAGCTTCATCAGGAAAAGTTAGAAACTAGTCGCACCCTTAACAGCCCTTGTCGCCGTTAGAGCAGTATCTTAGCCCCTTCGAGCAATACCCTGAAATCTTCACGGATTTGCTCTCCACTGAACTACCCCACGAGTGGAATTCAGAACAAACAAGCCAATGCAACCTCGAAAGTTCAATTCCCAACGAGTTTAACTCCATTGATAAGGCAAAGAGTCACACCCCCGACTGCGACCACAACTCGTCAGTCGGGGGATCTCCCGCGAGTCTGCACAGATATTATAGTCCAGGGCCCGAGCCCGTCATCGTGTCCCCAGAGTTGTACAACCCTCTGGCGGTAGGATTCGCTGACGCGGTTTACCCAATGCCATTGGATGTGTTCCAATCACCTCTCATGGGCAAACAGGAAGGCATTCCTGGCCCCATGCTAGATGATGGGTTCATGCCCGATCAACGAGCACCCGAGTTGGCCTCGCCGGTCGTTCCGTTAACAACGACGCCAGTTATTGTTGCACGGTCCGATACCGACAAGGCCAAGCTGAGACGAGCGCGAAACGCCGAGGCCGCACGGCGGTCTAGGCGAGTCAAATCCCGCATCTCGGAGCTCGAAGTCCTGGTCGAAAAATTGACGGCAGACAACCAACGCCTTATCGAGGAGAATCTTCGATTGAAGACTAGCTGTTAGAAGCTAGTAAATGGTATCTTAAGAGATATGAAAGACAAGAGCACAAGTACAAGAAAAACCGCGAAAAAAAGAAAACCGAAAAAAAAAATTATTTTAGTTTACATCCCAAAAGAGCAGAAGCTCATAATACTTCTCAGCTCAAGTCCGAAATACAACATTAAGAATTATATAAAATGAAAAAACTGAAGAAAGCTAAACCTAGAGTGGAACGAGCACTTGGGCATTTGCGCGAACTATATTTAGAGCGTGCTGTTCTTGATGTTTCACCGCTGTTTACGCGTACTCAGGTGGGGGTGGATTCGAGATTGATGGGAGAACGCTCGGACGGGCAAATTATTCCGCAGGACTCAAAAGCGACTCTACGAAAATCATGCTAAACGTGCTACACAGTTATATATGTACAATTGAATTTATACGAGCCGAATCAAAGAGCGCTGTCGCAGCAGCACGCTTGATGCAACCCCCTCATTTGATGCTGGGCGTCGCAAGCATGTGAACGCCCCAGATCTCTACGATATCGAATATTCACACCTCTAGACGACCATACTGCGCAAAAATCCACAGAACTACTTGCTACGGCGTTACCATGAGTGGGGTTATTCACCCTGTCCCTGTAGTTGGTCGCAGCAGTATCCTGTCTGAAGAAGCCCAAAAGGGTAATTGATTTTGTTAACGCACACCAATCCGGAATTAAATGGGATCAAAAGTAAATAGCAGACTTTTCTCTACACAGTCGAAGTTATATTGGTTTAAAACAGATGTAGCTTTTTGGGATTTGCATTGAAACACCTATACGCGTTCACAAATTAGCATAGATGAGTAACAAGAAGAAACCCTGTGCTGCAGGAACATGTCGGCAAGAAAAGTAGATGAAGACTCTTGGCAGACGTCGAGTTTCCACTTGCACTGTCTACGACCACATGGGCTCGGAATGTAGCCACGCAAAGTAACGAGCTTTTTCGTGCGCATAGCACACAAGGCCTTTACAGGAGTTGAATGACCCGGCTTCTATCTGAGCAAGCATTTAGGGCTTCGCCAATCCCACCTTCACGAAGACTTAACGCCGGCCCTATCCCTGCTGTGAGCGGGGTAGTGCGTCTAGTCATAGTCTAGAGCGATCGACCTCATATATTGGAATTGATGAATTGCAAATAAAGTATCTAGTCTCTATCCGGGTTTCGGACAATTTCCCAGGTCATTCTAAACAACCGCATTGCCTCTGTCCTCTTTGCCCTCCAACCCTTCCATATAACTTCGTTTAACCCTAACCTTTGTTCTGTTTTTTTCCCCACCCCGGTTTGCATGGCTATACATAGGGTTTCTGACACATCCTCAGGCCAGGTCTTCCCTTTCTGGGTATAAATCCAAGCACCCGTAGCTTTTCTGATCGCGATACAACATGGACAGTTCCAAACTCCTCAACAGTATCACGCCACTCGCGGCTACCTATTTTAACTACACAGGAACGCCTGTGATAGGCTCTGGCATTCGATACGTTATCAACTGGGCCAAAAGTATGAATCCTAATCTTTTAGCCCCAACAACTTTGAATGTTATCGTTCCGGAATTGCCCAATATTTTTGGCGGCTATCCGTATCCAGAGCACAAGGGTATTGAACGTGGTCCTTCCGCTTTGTTTATTTCGGTTTTCGGCGTCCTTGCATTGGCATGCTTTTACATCACGGCGCGCAACACGAAGCGGGGTCACAACTTCTTCCTCCTTTTTGGTCTTGGTGCTTTCTGTATCCTCAAGGTCATTGGTTATGCCTGTCGTTTGGCATGGAATGGTAATATCATCAATATCAATCTTGGTATCTGTTCCATTGTGTTTATTCAAGTTGCACAACTTGTGCTATTAGCACTGAATAAAATTTTGGCCCACCGTATCTTCACTTGGCGCCATCCCGAAACTGGTGCCGCGTGGTGGGTTACTGCTTTTTTCAACTTTACGTACATGCTTGTTTTGGGTCTAATCGCTATGGCCATTGTGGGTGAGGCTCTCCCGTTCCTCTACTTCCTCGGTCCCAGCTCATGGATGATTTGCCAGAATGTCATGCAGGCTGCCGCTGTCTTGAATGTTGTTTATGCTTGTTTGCCTTTTGGTGCTTTGCTTTTGGCCTACGCTTTCAAGCCTGGCCAGCTTGGCCCCAACCCTCTCAAGCGTCGCAAGACGCCCACTGAGGACTTGCCGCCGGTTGTCCAGCCTTACTGGATTGAGTCCGCCAGTCCCCTTTACTTCCCTGCCAAGGGTTCAGTTCGCAAGATCTTCAAGGGTACCCGTGCCGCCGATGCCATCCGTATTATGCCCTCTCGTGAGCCGCCTGCTCACGGGTTGCACGAAAATTACTACAAGCCAATGAACCCCAATAGCCCCAGGATCCTAACTGCCATTCTTACCGTCCTGATTGGTAGTACTACCTTGCTGCTAAACACTTGTTTCCGTTGTGCAAGCTCTTTCCAGCGCAGCAAATCAGTCATGGATCCAGCTTTCCACTACAACTACTGGGCGTCGCACCCCTACGTAATGTACGTCTTCTACGGTGCCACGGAGGCTTTGGTTCTTTCCATGTATTTGTGGATGCGTATCGATTTGCGCTTCTACATTCCGGATATGGCCGGCAAGCGCTCCAGCAAAGCCCAGTTTGGTGGCGATGACAGCAGTTTTGATGTCGACGAGCCCATTATGGTTGACGAGCCTAAGGACTATCTGGAAGAGAATGCTCATGTCTAATAGGTTCTCTTTTCCAAGTGTACTGAATGCCCTTAGGGAGAACCTTGACGGTCTTTATCTCTCCCCCTCTTCTTTTGCTGCGATCTTTAGATGATTCATTTTAATAGTTTTGATAAGAAGAGACTACTTGTTACGCAAGTTCTAAGTATTTAAAAAATTAAACGGTTCGAAAAGCTGCTGGGTCTCTTGAGCATCCTTGGCTTCATTCTCGAGTATGCACTGTTTCCAGTCTGCCGCCTGGTCTTCGAGCCCTAGCACTTTGCATAGGACAGCTCTAGGCAGCTGCAAATCAACGTCCCGAAACGGCAGCTGGGCATAAATAGTTGGCTGAGCACTCACCCTGACAACCAGGTAGTCTCCGGCTGGCGGCTGTCGAGATAATGGCATGCCACGATTTACGATAGCGCTCTGCATTTGTTGGAGCGCTTGGTCCACGGCTGAAGCGGGGATCGGTACTACTTGGGTGTGGCCGTGAACTGTTCGGTCTCTCACAAACTCGTATGTAACAGGTTCCAATCCATGCTGTCTGTACATGCTTCCCAAAGCAATTTCAAACTTTCGAAGCTCAAGCTGGTCTTCGCTACGACCATTACGTGCAATCGAGGGTATATGGGTGCGCGGGATCAGCAAAACATGGCCAGCACAGCCTAGTTGTGCCATGACCTTCTCGCACTGGATGGGTCCTCGAGCAGTAGATAAATAGACGTGTGAACCAGTGGCTACAACCAGCTCTTGAGTTGCTGCAGGTGAATCCAGACACATGTAACATGCACGTTTCTGCTTTTTAGACGGCTTTTCGTTCGATTGCCCATTGCTGCGTTGAGAGGCTCGCTTCAATTCAGGCTCGCCCCACACCAAATCCGAACGATGGCTGGCCTTGACATTGTAAAAGTTCACTCCTGTTGACGGGCGAGCTGGTGTAACGTTCAGGCCAATCTGGACTAAATGAGCCCATTTTTCTGATGACCCCACTGGACCAAGCGACACAAGCCTTGTTCCGCGGCCATTGGAGTAAAACGGTTCTACTTCGTAGTACGCTCCGGGCACAAAGTGGTACCACGGAGTGAGTTTTTCACCGACCCCACGTATTTCTGCAGAGGCCAGCGTTGGTGAAATCAAAATGTCGACGGGGCCTTCGAGTTCAGGAGACGACGATTTGGCAAATGCTATTTTTATACCATTAAAATCGATGACTTTATTGGTGTTATCCCAAAAGAAGACAGGGACGCTTTCCGCTGGAATCTCTACGTCTTTGGCTCCTAAACTTAAAACTGCATCTGGCTTGAAGCCAAATTGACTCGAATGTTCAAATATTTCGCTTAAACTAGACGATCTGCCCACTACTAGTAGACTTTTTGTCCCGGTCATTACAGTCGTCGTCGACCTTCGAAAAAAATGGAATCAGCTGACAAACCCCTTATTAACCAGCTAGCCTCTATTGTTGAAAGGGGCTGGCTCTGGAGGTATGCTAAGGTTGGCCCAAACAGGAAGTTGCTAAACACGCTGAAACAATAGACGAGGATTGCCATATCGGAGTTGCACTGAGCAATTCCATATTATTTTGCAAGGCAACTCAGTTTAAGTTAAACTTTGTCCGGCCAATTTGCCAGACAGCGTCATGCCCTAGCACCCCGCAGCGAAGTTCATGGGGCGGCCCTACACTTGGTGGGGGAGGGGAGGAATGCCGATGATGATCCATCACTGTCGATCCATAGCCCAACCCACGATATAGTGGGTCCCTGATATGTGGTACCAAAGCGCTAACTGTATATTTCTTAGACACGATATCATACGGTATGTCAACTACATATTATTCCGTGAGCTTCGGCTTCTCCAATGCCCGCCCTAAGCTCAGGCATCCCCAGCGTGGGACTAATATCTGCCCTGACCTGCCGCTGGCATAGAAGAGCACATACCCAAACCCAAGGGTGAGCAGGTATGTTCCCACAGCATCGCATTTGACAGATAATTTTCGAGGCCCCTTTTCGGAACTTTCCTTATGTGCTACGCGTAATGATAACGTAGCAGCCTGAGATTTTCTGGGTGCTCAGGTACTCAAAGTGATGCTGCAACGTCGACCGAAGCGATCATTCTAGCTCGTTGTCCACTGCGGCACGCTCATCTGCAAAGATATATTAGCTCATGCATATCTGAAGCACCTGGCGAGAGGCAGGCGTGGTTTCTATGTAACGTCATCGTGCTGGTACTCAGGCAATTTATATAAAGCTAAAGTCATCTTAATTAAGTGAAGCTGCGTAAAATCATTACTGTGACACCACTCGCCGAACCGTTCATTCCCAACTAACACACCCTCTTCGTTTCAGACACGGCCTGCAGGGGTACTCTATTTTAAATTTATTCTCGGGAACGTGAATTTTGAGGAACGCTGCAACTTGACAATTAAGATTACGGATAACACGTTTTGGTTTTATCACGATTTTTACTTGTCACACATCATGAATTGGTTATCACTTGCCTTTGCGGCTACTGCACTTAGTGCTGCCGTAGACCCTATCTCGATCTCTGGTCGCTCTGAAGTTCCCGGATTCAACTACGATACTGACAAAGTACGCGGCGTCAATCTGGGCAGTTGGTTCGTGTTAGAGCCCTATATGACGCCTTCACTATTCACATCATTCCCTGACAATGCGATCCCAGTGGACGAATATCATTTGACCCAGGAGCTGGGTAAAGACCAAGCGAAGGAGGTGCTTGAGCAGCATTGGGCCACTTGGATCACAGAGTCGGACTTTGCTCAAATTGCTGGATGGGGATTCAACACTGTTCGTATTCCTATCGGCTACTGGGCCTTTTTGGCTCGCGATCAAGACCCCTATGTCCAGGGTCAAGAACAGTACCTGGACCAGGCCCTGGACTGGGCCCGCAAGTATAATATCAAGGTCTGGATCGATCTGCATGGTGTCCCTGGCTCTCAAAATGGATTTGACAATAGTGGTTTACGCGATGCGTTGGAATGGCAAAACCCTGAATGGTCCAACATCCAGGACACTTACACCGCTCTTTCTAATATTAATCAAAAGTACGCTGGAAGTGACTATTACGACGTTATCAGTGGCATTGAGCTTGTGAATGAGCCTCTGGGGCCTTCACTGGATGTCAACAAGATCAAGGAATACTATGAGGGCGGCTATAAGGACGTTCGTGGCCAGGGATCCCAAGGTGTCATCATCCACGATGCCTTTTTGCCTATTGGCACTATGAATGATTGGCTAGACATCAACGATGGCTACTGGAATGTGGTTCTTGACCATCATCAGTATCAAGTATTCAGCGTCGGAGAACTCCAGCGTACCTGGGATCAGCATATCCAAACCGCATGTGACATCGGCCGATCCTATAGCCAGGAAAACAAATGGAGAGTTACAGGTGAATGGTCTGCAGCACTGACCGATTGCTCTCCTATGTTGAATGGTGTTTATCGTGGTGCCCGCTACGATGCGACATATCAAAACAGCCAGTACATTGGCAGCTGCGCCAACATTAACGACGTCAGCTCGTGGCCAGAGGACAAAAAGCAGGCGACGAGGCGCTATGTTGAGGCCCAGATGGATGCGTACGATCAAGGCAACGGCTGGATCTTCTGGAGCTACAAAACAGAAAGCACTATTGAGTGGGACGTTCGACGTTTAATTCAAAACGGTTTGTTCCCACAACCGCTGGACAACCGCCAGTACCCTAACCAGTGCGGCTACTAACGTTTGCCGCTTGCTTTTTTATAGTGATTTAAATAGTAAAAACAGATTATCACACAAACACCTATAAATACGATGTTTGGTGCCTAGTTGTTTACAGCTTTTTTTTAATTTAAGATCATATGGGTCTTGTTCCGGTTCCTCGTGGCAGGAACTGGAAAACAACCGCCCACGCCTGCTGATTAACAGTCGTAACAATACAACGGCCAAACCAAGTCAACAGAGTAGAGCCAGAATGTGCTGCTTCTGAGTTAAAAAAATAAGTAAACACACGTTACCGTAGCATTCATTTACGCTATTTCTTGGTTCTTATTCACAATGTATTTAGCTCATCGTGGCATTCCAAGCGCTATATTTGTCCGGCTGCCTCCTGTCTTAGGTAACCAGGTACCTCTTTCGTTATGGTCTAAGCGATATGCAAAAGTTTGGACCGCAACTGCAGCGAATATTGGAATCTGTAGAAATGAGCAGACAAAACCAAAATGCTCGATCAAGACCGAGAGGGTGTAGATGTAGGTCAAAGTGATGATTCAGTATTTCGAGGTAGAATGTTATAATTAGATCTGCTTTATCCATTGTCGTGTCGTCCTACTGCCGTTTGTTCTCTATGCCAAGTCTGGCCGGGTAACCCGAGGTGCATGGAAGTGTGGGCTGACAAAGCCCCTACTACCCGAGTTTGTTGATCTTCATCCGACTACTATTGTCTTACCCATCTTTTTTTTCGCTCGTTAGATTGCTTTAGGTGGAAGCAGAACAATTTTGTTTCTGGACACTAGGAACCATATATTACCTGGGTACAATTCTTGAGGCTGAATTCAGGACGCCATTGCTATCTCTCTGCGTGTTTTGAGGACGGTCTTCCCCCCCCATACAAGGTGCTCCATCAAAACAATAGCCCCAGACTCACCCGGTCTACTATTACTCTAATTGATAGCCACTTGTGATCGGCTAAAAGGTGTAATAGACGCATTTTTATCCAGGTTTTCCCCCTGCAAACCCTTTATTTTATTTTTATTTTTGGTCCTTAGGTGACCTCCTCAGCCGACCTGGTCGCAACATCGGATTCTAGCACAATGTCGACAGCAGGATCTTTTTCACAAATACCACTCCCATCAAAGCAGCAGCAAGGTCCGGGACACAGAATAGGAGTGGCTCCGCCCAACCTTGCTGGCGACCCAGCTTTCCACTATGGCGGAGGTATTCACAACTTTGATAATGTGCCCTCGGAGCTTGTGAACACACAATTACTTATTGATAATGAGGCTATGGACCAGACCGATGCTGATTTCCAATTCATATTCGACTATGAGGATGAGGGAGCTATGCAGATGGAAGGTATGAACTGGCCGCTCACCCCGCCGCTCACGCTCAACCCCCCACCCACCATTCCAGCAGCTGGTTCTGTTAACGGCGGCATTGTTTCTCCTGGTTCTAATGCTCCGGTCCACTCGCCCCCTCGAAACTTGTCGCGGTTTTCCTCTACTTCGTCTTTGCCAGGCCTGGTACATACCTCACCCCACAGACGGGGAAGCATGGCAGGCGATCGATCGCGACCTGCATCACGAGGGCCTTCGCCTGATGAACGACGCAATAGTAAAGTGAAAGGCCAGGCAAGGATCGCGAAGAAACCTAGCCGACAGCAACTTCGAAGCAAGAAGAGTTTGCTGAACATGCAAGAGGAGCTCAAGAGCCCCCCTCCGACGACGGCTTCATTGACGAACGGTGGAACCAAGTCCATGACAACTTCTTCTATTCAGATGAACCGACAACCTCGGCATTTTCAATCTGTTGGACAATTCGGTACCCCTATGAGGCAGGCACCCAACAATATGCAGACGGCTGCGGCAGCAACAGCTCTCTATCCAGCCGTTGAAGAGTATTCTGAAGCAAGCTTTCAACGTGAAAGCATGACCCCATTAAGGCAAAATATGGCCCCTCCGTCGTCGACGCCGAATGCAATGGCAGCGGCCGCGGCAGCAGCCGCGGCAGCAAGTCAAGGCGGACCAACATCGACGCCGGTTCGCCGAGAGCCTGCGAATGGGTCGCCATCAACAATTGTTGTTAATGGCAGCTCCACAATACAAAGGACGAAGATTAGCCGCCCATCGGCGCAACCTTCTCCCACGCCAGCTGTGAGAATGCATTCATCTACAAAGCTTGTTGCAGTTGCTAGCGACATGTCACCTGCCAAGGGTATGTTCGTTCAAGAGAAGAAGAAGTTCACTGTGCCGCCCAAAAAGACATCCAAGTCATCCAAGGCCATTCCGGAAATGTCTTTAGCCATGTCGCAATTCCAAGTGCAACTGAACCCCCAGCCGTCAGTGAAATCCAAGGCGAGCACACAGAATATGCGACCCCAGCCAGTACGCCACATGCAGCTAGGCGGGCAGCCCAATAATCACTTGTTGCAGAATGGCCAACCAAGATCTCTGGCAGTGTCGGCTGCTGCAGTTGCATCTCAGCCACCACCGAACATGCAGCCCTACTATCTCAGTCCTGGAAACGGCGGTATGCCCAAGCAGATGCCACGGCAACCAGTTCGCATGCAAAATACCGCAGACCAACGATACGGTCTTGGTTTAATGATGGATAATGGGCAACAGCCCCCAAATTACCATGGGAACGGGTTCGTGAACTACTCTGTACAGCAACAGCACAATAAACCACATTTTGCAGCGCAAGCCGGAGCGGCTGCGCTCGGTGCCCGAAACCGACGACCATTGCATCCTTCCCCTCATGTTCAACCCCAGGCGCCTGCGCCGCATCAACACCACCATCGGGCACCGCCAGCACCCCAGCAACTGCAGCCGCCACCGCCCATGATGCACGAAGTTTTGACAACACGAGAAGACCAGCCGCAGTCCATGAGCTTTGGAATTCCACCGTCGTGGTCTCCACAGCAGCGGCCGGTCCCACCGCTGTCGTCGCCCGGATCAGGATCGCGAAGCGAATCTTTGCAATCGCGGGTGTCGGCGATCTCGCTGGATGAAGCATCCTGGACAGTGTTCAATCCCAGCCATTTCTCAAATGGGGTTTACGAGAAAAGCGGCTCAAAGACGAACGTGGCAAGCACCGTTTCGCTTGACTCATTCCCTAAAACGGCCTCTGCGCTCTCTCAAAGTACGTCACCCACGATCCAAGACCACGCGGTCGAGGGGACCCCCAAGATAGGATCAGTGGTAACGAACATGGAAGAGTTTGCTGTTGGCTGGAATGACGAGACCGAGGACGGTGGATGGGACGTTATGGACCTCCTCCAGCCCGAGTTCGCCTTTGAATAACACTCCGACAACCCTCCTTTTATTTAATTCTTGTCTACGACAACGACAACACGCCTCATTTTGTTCTTTTTAGTTTTGCTAATTCAATATATATTGATTTTTTTTTTGTGCCTCTACTCCTTCCCTTACGTTTTGCCCGGGGATTTGCTGAGAAAACCCATTTTGAAAAAGTGGATTTGTCAACCAATCACAACCTACCCAACTATGCTTAGGACGGTAACTCGGAACGGTGTTCCTGCCTTTAGCGCAGTGAGACTTGGCCTGCGGGCGGCACCTATGTCTAGTCTTCAGACACGTCCTGATATGGCCACGGATATGCCTCTGCCCAGCCAGCAGAAGGCGAGCAGCGCTGTGGACTACGCTCTGACTGGGTTGGACGCGATTGCCAACTGGAGTCGTCAGGGCTCTTTCTGGCCGGTTACTTTCGGTTTGGCGTGCTGTGCTGTTGAAATGATGCACGCCTCTGCTCCTCGTTACGACCAGGATCGCCTGGGTATTATTTTCCGTGGCTCGCCCCGCCAGTCCGATATCATGATTGTTGCTGGTACTCTCACCAATAAAATGGCTCCTGCTCTTCGTCAGGTTTACGATCAGATGCCCGAGCCACGCTGGGTTATTTCCATGGGCTCTTGTGCCAATGGTGGTGGCTACTATCATTACTCCTACTCTGTTGTTCGCGGCTGTGACCGTATTGTCCCTGTTGACGTGTACGTTCCCGGCTGCCCGCCTACTGCTGAGGCTTTACTTTATGGTATTTTCCAGTTGCAAAAGAAGATGCGGACGCAGAAGGTCACCCGCATGTGGTATCGCACTTAGTCTGCCACCATATATAACTAACTATAAAATGAAATCAACGTATCAGGTTAGCTTACTGGGCGGGGCCGTTACTGCTTTCGGGCGGGTGTTGCACGGTTCAACAGCAACTGCCAGAGCACTAACAGTCACTCTGAGCGGTTGGCGGCTCTAGCCTGGTTAGCTAGGCACCCATACACAATGCCTAAGTTTATCATAAATAGCTATATCTACTCGCTAGCAGGCTCCTCAGTCTCGGGCTGCTTGAACTGACGGAAAAAGGGCCGGTCGCGTCGCAACCCAGCCAGTTGAATCTGGCCGTGGGTTTGATACGACAGGTAGCCGACGCCGAGGGGCAGAAGACAGACAACGGCAAACAAGAAAGGACCAGTTTTTTTGTTGAAGCGGAAATACTGGCTGCTATTGTCGCGCATGCGACCGAACTGCTCGATAGCGGGGTCCTTGCGAAGTGCTCCTGCCATGGTTTGGTGATGACAAAACTGGCGGAGGGAAAATTTCGACCCAGTTATTGGCTGGGCAGAGTCGAGTGCTATTTATTCATCTAATCCGTAGTCTACGAGCCGCTGGTCGGAGCCGAGAAACAAAACACCTCGACCAGCAATAATCATTTTAGTGTACATATCAAACGTGTCCGGGGCGTCTCCGTCAAATGCTGCAGAGTACTCTCCAAGATATGCTGGGTCATAAAAGGACCAAAGGTAAGACCCGTCTCCAAAGTTGTACTCATAGCCCAAAACCAGGCCATGTTTTTTCAAGATTGGCGTTGAGTACTCGATCCACGGCAGCCCCGCGGGAGGTGCTGGATCCAGAACAATGTCGTGGATTGTCTTGACGCTGAACATGTCAGACTCTGCTGCTTCTGGGACGTTGTGGGCAGCACATATAACACGTATAGGCGGAGGAAACCACCAATTGATGCATTTACACAGGCAGTCTTTCACGAAGTCAACTAGCTGAGCCATAATTCACACCCCACATCCCGGAAAGCCAGTTGGCAGGGCAGCAAATACACTTAGTAAGGGAAGTTCCCAAGATCGCATGACCAAGACCAGTGGATTCAGGTACGGGTGGATATAGGAGAGAGATTAGCTTTCTACGGGCCTAAATAAAGACAATTTACTCGGACTTTTCAAACAACTCCTCGTGGAGAGTAATGCCAAGTTCCTCACGGACGTCCTTGAGCTCGGCAAGGTAGGCGTCGTACTGACTACGGGTCTCGACCTTGTAGCGCAGAGCCTCAAAGACACGGCTGGCGGTAGCGTAGTCGTTAACACGGCGAGCAGCCTTCAGGGCACGCTCGATGACAGTGGGAGCGGGGACCAGATCGTAGGCAAAAGCGTTGTTGAGCACACGCTGGACCTCGTAAAGGTCATAGGCCTCGTCGAACTCCTTCTCGTACTTCTTAGTGAACTCCTCGTAGCTGAGAGAATCATCAGAATAAAAACGCATGCCGGCAGCACGGGTGGCAGTACTGGTCATACCGGGGCGGGCAATCGCTCTCAAAGTGGGACGAGCCAGACGCAAGCTAAAAGACATGATTGTGAATGTAAGAAAAGTGTTTGTGATTGGATGGGACATTTGATCCTTGGGTCAGATGATTGCTTACGTGGGCTACACCTTGCACACCTGCGAGAAAACGGCATGACCCCTAGCCCAGACGAAAAAGCCTTGCAAGGATTCCAGGCACCCCACGCCTGAGGTTTTTTTTTTTTCCTCTTTATTTTCAAAACAAAAAAAAGACATGTATTTAGGATGAAACATATATTTTATTTACTCAATCGCCTTTCTAATGTTGGCAATGCGAACGCCCTTGGTCTCGGTGTAGTTGGCGAGAACATCCCGTCCCAGCTCGCGGCCAATACCAGACAAGCCATAGCCACCGAAAGGAACGTTATAGTGGGTTGCATTGTAAGTATTAACCCAAACAGAGCCCGCACGCAGATGATTGGCGACCCAGAGAGCACGACTAACGTTTTCGGTGTGCACACCGGCTGCCAAGCCATAAGCGTTGGAGTTGGCAAGCTTGATGGCTTCTTTAACATTCTTGAACTTGAAAACAACAAGAACAGGACCAAAAATCTCCTCGTGAGCAATGGTGTGGTGGTCCTCGACGTCAGCAAAGATCGTAGGCTTGAGGAAGTATCCCTTGTTGCCCAACCGCTCACCACCAGTCACTAAACGGGCACCCTCTCGCTTGCCAGACTCAATGTACGACAGAACCTTTTCAAACTGGATTTTGTTAGTCTGGGCACCGTAGTAGACGTTCTCGTCGAAGGGATCACCGACCTTTAGCTTCTCGGCCCGCTCGGCAAGAAGCTTGAGGAACTTGTTGTAAATACCCTCTTGCAGCAACAGTCGAGAGCCAGCGCAGCACACCTCACCCTGGTTACTGAAAATAGCATTCAAAGTAGACTCAATGGCATTGTCAATGTCTGCGTCGTCAAAGACAATGTTGGCGGATTTACCACCAAGCTCCAAAGTGATCTTCTTCAGGTTGGTCTTGGCAGAGCACTCCATAATCTTGCGACCAGTGGCCGTAGATCCTGTGAATGCAACCTTCATGATGCGGTCATGGTTGGCAATGGCAGCGCCTGCGTCGCCAAAGCCGGTAAGGATGTTTACTACACCTTTGGGGATACCAACTTCCTGGCAGATCTTGGCGAAAACGAGAGCAGAAAGAGGGGTGCTCTCGGCAGCCTTGAGAATGGATGTATTACCACAGGCCATGGCTGGCGCAATCTTCCAAGAAAGCATCAGCAAAGGATAGTTCCAGGGAATCACCATACCGCACACGCCAACCGGCTCGTGACGGGTGTAACTGAAATGGTTATTATCAGTCTCAATGACATCACCATGGTTCTTGTTGGCCCAGCCAGCGTAATTCCGGAAAATCCGGGCAACAGCTTGCGCATCGCCCTTGGCGGCAGAGTAGGGTTTACCGTTATCCCAAGAGTCAATAGCTGCTAACAGCTCGTACTTCTCCTCGAGGGCGCTAGCAAGCTTAAACATATAAGTTGCACGCTCATCAGGATCCATCTCGCCCCAAGCCTCCTGGGCAGCCTCGGCGGCATCGACGGCGGCGTCGACATCCTGGGCGTTGGCGTACTGGACCTCAGTGATCACTTCCTCGGTAGCGGGGGAGATAGACTCGAAGGTCTTGCCGCTCTTCGAGGCTACGAATTCACCATTGATGAACAGTCCAGTAGGCTGGGTGTATTTAATACCGTTGGGGGTGGTAAGAGTTTTCTCAAACGACATTGTTGTTAAGAAGTCAGCCCCCGATGCATTTATCTAATTTATATTCTAGCCGTTCATCAATATGCATGGGGGATGGGGGGGCCTTACAAAGCACGCAGATCCAAGCGGTCATGTGGTATTGTGGTATTTCCGTGCAGATAGCAAAATTGGCGCGGAATACAAACTAGAATAAACATCCAGTACATAACGATAGCATAGAAGTTTATAAGAGCTCAAAGATTCCGACGGGTGGCTTATAAAGTTACAACTGCTCTGCTGCAGCTGCGGGAGCTTAGATCGAAGAGGTGCATGGGTTCGTGGGATCTGATGGTAGTGGGCCAAATCGATGGGCGTGTTTCTTCTAGCCCATTTCCAGCTTGTATATTAACAAGCATGTTTCTGGCCCTTTTTTCTTAGATCGGCAATTCCCAGCGCCAATCAAGATTTCAAAAGCGATACATAGCAGACCGCATGTCACTAGTTTCCCAAGTAGATCGCACCAGCACTCTGCTCACGATAAGGGTATCTCGAAATCTGCGGAGTGCACTGTGGCTGCATGAATCTCTTGAAATGCACCCAAAAACAGATTTTTCTAAAGATTGATGGCAATATCTCGTAAATATACCACGTCGGGAAGTCAACTGCACATGCGCCTGGCTCCCCCGACAGCCATATAAACCGCGGAGACAACCGAAGTTTATCATCACTTTCTTTTCAAGTCTATCCATTCCAATGCAGTTCCTTTCTCTCGCTATCGCCCAGGCCCTCCTCGCCACTGCCATGGCCGTTCCCGTTGCCAACTCGCTCTTTTCCCTTACCGCCTTCGACGCCGAATTGTTCCCTGAAGGAAAGGCTTTGACCGCTAAGGCTGATGGAACCATCTGGCTCGCTGCCCCCAATGGTGAAGAGCAACTCCTTGTTGCTAGCCTCAGCGAGGACAACCTTATCCACGGTCTCCAGGTCCGCCCCGACCACTCTCTGGTTGCCGGCACCGCTGGAAACGACAGTTTCACTTTGACTTCTGATGCTTCCTTGACCGAGCACGGTGTCAACAAAGCCACTGTCTGCGTTGCCCAGAACGGTGAGGCCCAGATGTTCTGGGGTGATGCTGTCTGCGACAACAAGCACGCTGTTACCGTTCGCGCCAATCCCATTACCGAAGCCTCCGTTGACAACTTGCACTTGAAGAACAACTTCTGCTTCTGCGGAGGATGCAGCCGCAACCAGGCACCCAAGTGTGCTCCTCCACCCCAGCGCGCGCCCCCGTGCCCTCCTCCCGCCCCCAAGTGCGCTCCTCCTCCCCCTCCTCCTCGCGTTGAGCCTTGCCAGCCGCAGACTCAGTGCTCCGGCAATAGCTGCGGTGGTGACTGTGGCAGCTGTTTGGAGTGCGGTGGTTGCCCCTTCAAGTGCGGTTGCTGCTGGAAGGATATCCTCTGCCCCAGCAAGTGGTGTGGTATTTGCAAGAACTCTGGTTCTGACTGCTGCTGTGAGACCGTTGAGACCGTTGTTTACACCCGTGCGCCAGCTCCTCGCCCTACCCGCACTGTGACTGTGGTCGCTCAGCCTCCTGCTTGCACTCCCGTCGAGCCTTGCAATCAATGCGGCTCTAGCAGTTGCGGTGGAGGATGCTGCCCCGCTGAAAAGTGCGGCTGCTGCTTCAAGGATGTGCTTGATTGCATTTGCCCTATGAAGAAAGGTGGATGCGGCGGCGATTGCAACCCTCCCTGCGAGGAGTGTGTCGTTGTTGCTGAGCCTCCCTGCGCTCACGAGCCCCCCTACGTTCACGAGCCCGGCTGCGAGCACCCGACCCACCACAAGCCCCCCCACACTGTTGTGTCGACTGTAACATTTACCGCTTCGCCTTCCCCTCTTGCCCAGCCAGCTGTTACTTCTCCGGCCCTGAGTGCTGAGCTCCTGACTGATCTTCTGACCACCACGCGCACACACTTCGTGACTCTTTCCTCCGCAGTCGGTAACAAGGCTAATGCTGCTATTACCACTCCTGCTCCTAAGAACTAAACATGTTTTTAATTAAGCTGTGGTGAGCGCACTAAAATTTTTTCATTGGTATTCGTAGACCGTCTTATAATTTAAACTTCGTTTTTCTCCTTGTTTTGCACTGTTTTGTTCCAATCTCCAGCCTCGTAGCACTCTAATCTGAGACTATATGACAACAAACCGCTATAAGAAATTGAAAACATGTCAGTGTTTTCAGGTATTTTCAGGTATTTGCAGGTCTCTTCAGAATTACATGAAAATCTGATCTATGATCTCTAGCAAATCATTTCCAGATATAGATCCTGTGTGATACATGCATGAACTCCATCGAGATTTCTCCCGATGTAGCAAGTCGACAACTCCTGAATACGAATTGTCTTGTATGGTAGATCTACTCCCCTGAATAGGAAAATTAAATCCTGCAGACTGCTATCATATGGTTTGCTATAAATTTGAAAAGACCCCTGTTTTCTAGTCAAAGTTCTTAAGTTGCAATAGACAATGATCTTCAAGCATGTTCTACTACTGATGTCAGTAGCAGTCATGGCAGTTCCATTGGCTGATAACTATACACCAGATGCTGATCTTGATGCAGAAGTTGCACCAGAGCAGAGTGTTGAGAACGCTGAGAACGTTGAGAACGTTGAGGATGCTTCACTTGTAGACACACCTTTGCGAGCGTTGGATCGCGTCACGCATTTCTTCTCGAAGCATAAACATCATCACCAGGATTGTGGATGCCAGTCTTCCAACTGCTTACCACCCCCGGCTATGTATTATCCTCTTCAGCCGATTCAGCCGATTCAGCCGATCCAACCAATTCAGCCGATCCAGCCGCTCCAGCCGCTCCCGCCTGTCTACGAGATTCCTCCTCCTTATATGAGCCCTGCCACCATAACTAAGTTCAAGACAAAGGTGCACACGCACACCAATACCTACACCAATCTTGACGTCAACACCAGATTTAAGGTGTGGACACAAACTTACACAGACACTCATCTTTCTACTGCTACCCGCGTATTTTACCCCGAGCACACGCACACTCTTACGCGCACTGAAGAGTATCTGGTTTACCCCGGGTTCACCGCAGCTGTTCCCACTCCTGAGGCAGTCTGTGCTCCTGTAGCCTGCGCTCCGTGCTTCGCTGCCCCAGTGCCTGTGTGCTGTGACAAGCATCATGGCGACTGCGGTTGCGATTGCGGTTGCGACTGTGGCTGCGACCTTTGCCCACTCAGCTGGCTCAATTAGTCGCACTTAAAAAAAATTCTTATATATCCTGATGATATTTCGTGAATCAATAATTTTTGTACTACTTCACAGCCTAAGGTTACACGGGAATCAAGTGGTCTCAAAGTATCTAACCTTTTCCCAATCGGTAACGGCACGATTGTACTTTTCAAGCTCATGAAGTCGAGTGCCAGTATAATGGTCGACAAAGTCGTCGCCAAAAAGCTCTCTAGCGACGCTAGTTTTGGCACTGAACTTGCCAATTGCCTCTTGCATAGTGCATGGCAGTTTTGGGCTATTGAGGAAATCTTGCTCGGAGCGTGTTGGTGCAGTTTTGAGAGGCATTTCAGCTGCCATACCACGGTGACCCAAAGCAAGAATAGCAGCCAGGGCCAAGTGGGGGACCACGTCTGCACCAGGAATGCGAACTTCGAATCGGCAGCCCTTAGCATTGGGCTTTGCATCAATCAACCGGATACTGGTCAGTCGGTGCTCAGCACCCCAAGATATGGTGGTAGGTGCCCAAAAATTCGGATCTAGCCGTTTGTAGGAATTGATGTTAGGCGCAAATAGGATCATCACGTCCTCGAGACCATCCAAAAGCCCAGCCAAAAAGTGCTGGCCTGCCTGACTTAGGTATTTGACTTCTGGGAAGGGCGGGTCCGCCTCGCCTTCCGAAGAGAAAATGTTAGAATTGAACTCGTCCGCTAGAGAAACATGGATATGCCCCGAATTGCCTGGCAAATCACTTTGGGGCTTAGCCATAAAACAAGGGATTACATTGCCCACTTCAGTGCCTGCTTTGCGACATGCCAGTTTGAACAAGGTCGCCCGATCTGCGAGCAGACAGGCGTCTGCATACTCCAGAGCCACTTCGTAGACACCTGGACCGGTTTCTGAATGCAGACACTCGATATCAATACCAAACTCGTTAGAGTAGTCTAGAATTTTATTCCAGTACTCATTGCCCATCATTGGTCGATAAACCGAATATCCATGCATGCCCACTGTAAGCGGCACAAGATCTCGGCCGCCTTTTTTTAGCACTGAAGGACCCGACTCGTTGTAATTGAAGAATTCCAGCTCCATACCAGCTTTTGGATGCTGGCCATCGAACCGTGTGACCACTGATTTCAATAACCCACGAGGATCCTGCGCAAGTGGCGTTCCATCAGTGTTGGCAAAGTAGACCAAAGCCAATGAGGTTTGTTTGCCCGGTTGAAAGGGGAAGTTTCTGAAAGAATTGGCATCAATCACCGCTTCAATATCTCTATAGCCATTAGAGCTATTGGAAATGCCTAGCTCTGGCGTGTACTTGTCGTCGTTGAGATCCCACCCAAACACCACGGAACAGAACCCAACGGCGCCCTTTGCGCGCACTAGCTTTTCCGTTTTCACGACTTTGCCTCTAAGTTGTCCGTCAATATCAATTCCGGCTATCATTGTCCAATCTCTATACGCGGGCGTGTTGGTGAAGTTCTTTTCAAACTTCTCCCGCACATTATTGAGCCACGACATGGAGGGAAGTTAGTAGGTAAGTTTGTGAAGCTCTCCCTGCAGACGGTGATTAGAAATGCATATACGGATTGCAAGGACGGAGATTGGGACAGCGGCGAGCTAGGAGGGCCGGTTGCAACTACTGGGGGCAGTCTAACTGGAAAACCAAAAATTGGACTACCAAAACGTCTCGACTGGGAAATTTACGGACAAGTGGGTTTCCCAAGTGATACGAACGGTGCAGGATGACTACGGTGAACGGCTGAAGCCCTAGCCCTCGGTACCTAAAAGGCAGCTGGCTCCCCCGGAACGTTTGACACTTACACGTTGATCATGGTGGGAAGATTGGCTAACAAGAACACTATCATTACGGGTGCCGCTGGAGGCATTGGCCTGGAGACAGCTATCCAGTTTCTCAAAGAGGGCGCCAACGTGGTGATTTCTGACGTGAACGACAAGGGTCTCACGGCGGCGGAGCAGAAGATTAAGGAGGTTGTTGGTTCCTTTGAGGGCAAGCTGGTGGCCAAGGTTGCTGACGTATCTAACGAAGTGCAGGTTATGGCACTAGTTGAGGTGTGCGAACCATGGGGCGGAGTCGACGTCATGTTCAACAACGCAGGCATTATGCACCCGGAGGACAACGGGATTTTGAACACCGAGGAGAAGATCTGGGACCTCACACAGGCCATCAATGTCAAGGGTGTCGTCTATGGCTGCAGGGCAGCGATTAAGTCGTTGCTCGAGCACAAAAAGCCCGGATCAATCATCAACACCGGATCATTCGTTGGCCTTATGGGTGCAGCGACGCCTCAGATCGCCTACACCGCCTCCAAAGGCGCCGTCCTGGCTATTTCCAGGGAATTGGCCGTTTGTTACGCCCAAAAGAACATCCGGGTGAACGCGTTGTGTCCGGGCCCGCTCAACACGCCTCTTTTGCAGGCCTTTTTGGACACCGACGAGAAACGCACTCGCCGCACCGTGCATCTGCCTATGGGCAGATTCGGCGAGGCCATTGAGCAGGCCAAGGCTGCGGTATTCCTGGCCTCCGATGAGAGCTCTTATGTAACTGGCCAGGATTTCCTCGTTGACGGTGGCCTTACCAGGGCGTATGTTACCGACATCACTGGATCTGCAGCTGCCCCTAAGAACCTCGCATTCGGGCTCTAGATGCACTGCCGCGACAGCCCAGTTTTAGATAGCCAGATAAAAAAAATACGCGAATAAAACTTCAAGCCGCGCTTTCTTTCCCGGCCGACACGCCGCCACGTCCAAACGGACCGAGCGTGTCTGCCAACGGAAGCTGATAATGCGTGCTTCACATGCAGCTGACGTAAACGGAAGCACAGATCCGTAAGAGTGGCTGCAACTGAGTTTTAAACACCCAACGTGTTTTTTATACTTGCGCGGTATATGTGTCTGCTAGACTAAGCTCATAGTGGCGGTATTTTTTCTGGTTTCGATCGGACAATTGGTACACTACAGTAGGTCCCGTGTTTTTCTTGTTTTTTTGCTTCAGCTAGGCGCTCCGATTCAAAATGCCGCGACGCCCCAATGCCTCGCCCCTGGCAATTGACATTAATCTGGACCGCGAGCCTGGTGTTTTTATTTTGAGGGGCTCACCAGAGGAATCTCCTTCGGTGGCGGTGCGAGGAAACGTGGTGATAACGACTCCTGACTCGATGACTCTTAAACGTCTCAGTTTACGGCTCGTGGGCAATCTGAAAATCCGCTGGAACGAAAGCTTTACCTCCCGACAGAGCTCCAACGTACAGTACCCGTTGAGGTACGAAAAGGTTGTTTATGAACAGGACTATGACGATATCGATTTTGCCATGATCGCCACTTCTGGGTCACGAACTCCCCTGAGCGGTCGCACGACCCCGATCAGCTCCATGACGAATTTAGCATCGTATTTTTCCGCAGCCCATGGTTCTGGTGGCTCCGGAACTTCCACACCCGTGGGCAACCATGTCAGGGCGGGCACACACGTCGTGCCGTTCGAGTTTGTTGTTCCCGGCTCTATTCCCGAAACCGTCGAAGGCAACACGAACGTGCAATATGCCTATACATTAATTGTGACTGCAGAAAGAGGGAGATTCCACCCGAATCTTGTTGGCAAAAAGCACCTGCGTTTTGTTCGTACGCTGGGCGTTGATCTCTATGACTCAAATCACACAGTTAGCGTCACAAACACCTGGCCAGACAAAATCGACTATAACATTGTTTTACAGTCAAAATCTGCTGCTATCGGCAGCAGGTTCGAAGTCGGATTCGAGTTCCAGCCGGTGCTCAAAGGACTACGGCTCAAGACAATACATGCAGTGCTGGTGGAAATGCTTAGCATCTCACCGCCAGGCTATCAGACAAACAACAGTGAACGAGTAGTGTTCGAGAAGCTTTTTGATGTTGATCGACCTGATTTCATGGGTCCAGATCAATGGAATTTTTCTTTGTCTTTGAAGCTGCCCTCATCATTGGGGGCCGCCAGTCAGGACTGTGCGATGGTACCGCACTTCAAAATCACTCACAAGCTGAAGATTTTTGTCGCGTTGAGAAACCCAGATGGACATACTTCAGAGTTGAGAGCCTCTTTACCAATGGTACTGTTTATCTCGCCGGCGGTCCGCATCAGCACAGGAAACCTGGCAGCACCGCCCCGTACCGAGGAGGAAGCCCGGAGCTCGTCGCAAGAAATATTGTTTGATACTACAGAATTGGAAGGCCCTGATAGTGGTTCTGCACCTCCTAATTACAACGAGCATGTTTATGATCAGGTGTGGAGTGACATGCCTACACCGTTATCTCTTTCGCCCACCATGAGTGGATTGCACACGCCTTTCAGTCCTAATAGTCGGCGCCCGATGCCTGGATTCGATCCAGCAGAGGCTGCCCAGCTTCAGGCTGGTCTCAGAGAGCTAGCCCTCAGACAAAACCAGGAAACGCCCCCCGCGGTTGACATTGTGGCCCTCAGCAGAGTGCCGAGTTATGACAGTGCAGTAAACCGCCACCAAGCTTTGCCTGCCACCGCTCCTCGTTACGAGACTCAGTAAAAAGCGAGATCTTCAACAGGACTGCGGTGACGGTACATAGATGATAGCTTCCAAATTAACCCAATTACTAGCCCATAAACAGCAAACTGCACGATCGTTGAAAATGATTGGAGAACTGATACGTAGCTTCTGACTTTGCTCACGGATGTTTCCAGGTGGGTTGTCGCAAGCTCCAGCCTGGAAGTTGAAGAGTTCACCACAGACTCCAAAGTGCTTATGCTTTCGTTTTGCCGGCTGTCGTAAATGTCTAGTCGATGAGCCATTGAGTCTAGTTTGAAAACAAGCATTGTATTTCGGACCTCAAGGCTCGCAAAGAGATCTTCCAGAGCAAGCATCATGGCTTCGATGTTTGTCAATTCAGAGTCGTAAGAGGCCAGAGCCAAGCGATTTTCACTCAGCTGGCTATAAAAGATTGACAAAACCCTCGTGAGGTCGTCAGTAACCGTTTCAACATTGTACAAAGAGGAGTGAATGACTGCGGACTTTTTGTGCAACAAATCCAGTTCATTGCTGAAATGGACCAAGTACTGGGGCATGGCATTTGCCAGGTTTGTAGTGTTCGTCAAGCCGCATCTCAATGCCTCCAGCTCTCCAGCCAGAGAATCCAGCTTGGCTTTCCAAACATTTGACGTCTCAATTGCTTCCTCAAATCTACTCTTGAATTCTCTCAGAGTTTTGTCGTGACCTTCATGATGATCATACATTGCCGAACTGACATTTTGGTAGAGCTTGACGATATTTTCGAGCTCATACTCAGACCTATACTCACTGCAGATGGTGGAAATGTATCGATAGTTCCCACTGAATGTGGTCCACCAGGTTGATTTCGACTCCAGCAAACCCGTACATTCCATCAAACTGCTGAATTGTCGGCAGCTCTTTGGATACGATATACCAGCAGCATCAAACTCACAGATCGAGAGCTGCACCCCAAGCCATGTTCGTTCCGCGACGTCTTCAGGAGCATTGCAATGGGGCAGAATATTGTCCAAAACTTTCAAAACACAGTTCGGACTGTGTCCTAATTCATTGATTCGAGCAATTAATTCTAAGGACATGGACTAAAAAAGTTCAGGTGGGCCCCTACATTATATGCAGCCTCTGGCGGTGCTTCTGCAGTTCGTCCGCTTGGTCATAATAGTAAGCCACCATGGGCGGCGTCCACAAGCTGGCACCTGAGTATGAGGAGCTTTTACGGCAACACAAACGGGAGACCAAAAGACGGAAAGTCGCCTCTCCACCGGCCAGACCAGAGCCTGATATAGTGGATCTGGTGTCCTCGGAGGACGAGTGGGATGAGGTCGAGCTTGATCAAAGTGAGGATGAAGGTGAAGGGGAGTCCTTTGACGAACCTTCCGAGGAAATTACTGTTTCATTGACGCCTATACCTGATTCTCGGCCCAAAAAGGAAGCATTATTCTCTCGAAAGGAGCGACTAGAGATCCACACACTGACTTTGATGGCGTTGATCCTGCATACTAGGACTCGCAATTCATGGATTTCTAGCCAGAAGGCTCGAAAAGGACTTGTCAACTTGCTGCCAACAATCGTGCAACAGGAATTGCACCCTCCAAACCACCTTTCCTACAATTTGAAAACTAAAAAGTTGATGGATGGACTTCGGGCTGCCATAAGGATCTGGAAGCACAAATTCAATATAACTTGCATCGGGCTGTATTGCGTGGGATGGGAAGAAATTGGTCAACCCGAGCGGGCAATTACACCGGTTTTAACTCAGGATCAGTTTTTCGCTCGACTGGAAAAAAGGTCTGGATCGGTTGATTTGTTTACGCAAGGATTTTGTGCTTTACTACGGGCCAATGGTCTTGAATGCAGATTAGTTTGTTCATTACAGCCTCCGGATTTTACGAGCCCAGGAAAGTCGAAGCAGAAACCAGTCACCATACTCAATCGCCCGCCGATTTACTGGACTGAAGTTTGGGATCCCTATTCTGATCAATGGATTTCTGTCGAACCATGTCAAGGATTAGTCCAGGTTGTTCGTGGAAAAAGCTCATTCGAGCCTAATATCACAGATAGCCGAAACATTATTCGCTACTGTATCGCTTGGGATATGGCCAATAGATCCAGAGACGTTACAAGACGTTATGCATCAGAGTATAACGCCAGGACGAGAAAAAAACGTTTGCCATTTGCTGGTACGGCATGGAAAACAGTAAGTGACAAAGTCTTATCGAGGTTTTCTGCCAAAACCCTTACTAAACGAGAACTGGACGAAATTAAGCAGCTGAACCGGCGTGAACAAAAAGAGGGAATTCCATCTAGAATTCAAAACTTTGTGGGCCATCCAATATACGTTCTTGAACACCAACTTAAAAAGAACGAGTATTTGGACCCTAAGACTCCTTGTGGCAGGCTTGCGTTGAAAGATCACAAGTCATGTCCTATTTATTTGAGAAAAAATGTCAAGCAGTGTTTGTCTGCTAGATCATGGTACCGAAAAGGTCGTATTATATTACCTGGCGAGCAACCAAAGCTTTATCGAAGGTCAAAGAACCTGATGGGAGAAGAGGAAGATGTTGGGTTGTACAGCAGGGACCAAACAACAGATTTCGTTCCAGAGCCTGTTGTTGACGGAGTAGTGCCGAAATCAGAATATGGAACCATTGACTTGTTTGTGTCCTCCATGCTACCACCAAACAGCGCTTATATTGTTGACTCTTTTGGTGAAAGAGCAGCCAAGGAGCTCGGTGTAGACTATGCACGGGCAATTGTTGGAGCCGAGTTCGAAAGACGTAGTGTGAAATCAGTTTACAAAGGCGTTGTTGTGCCTGCTGCCAACGAGGAAGCGATCAGAGCTGTCTCTCTGGGACTTAGAGAACTCGAAATCGAAAAAAAGCAGCAAGAGGAGAATCTGAGGCTAATGTCAATGTGGCGCCGGCTCATTATTGGTGTCCGAATTTGGAACCGTATTGAGTTGATGAATCCTGAAACTCCAAGTGCGAAGGAACCAGTGTCTGAGCAGTCTAAAACAGAGTCGAAAGAGCATCTTCCTGTTGAACCGTCAGAAACGAAACCAAGCGCATGGGACCCAGGATCAGACTCAGATTCGGAGGTAAAGCCAAGTGCGTGGGATCCGGGGTCGGACTCGGATTCAGAGGTAAAGCCAAGCGCATGGGACCCGGGATCAGACTCTGACTCGGATGTGCCGAGTGCGTGGGACCCGGGTTCAGATTCTGATCTTGATGCAACTAGAACAAAAGACACCGATCAGATCAAACTGGAGGTTGAACCAATTGGACCAATTGGTTTGGACCGAAACAACGAACCAAATACCAACCCTACGCAAGTTTCGGTAGCTAGGCGTTGCGAAAATATCAGTCCAGTCCAGCCCAAGCCAGAAAAATTACAGGCGACACAACCTCGGTCCAAGAAAATCTGCGTGGATCTCAACGAAGTGATTCATGAGGTACGTACTGTTCCGACTGTGAAGCCACCCGCACCCGCAAAGTCGCCAGCTATTGAGAGCGACAGCAGCGACTTTCCGGACGTGTTCTTAGATGATGATGAAGACTAACTAATACTGCTAAAATAATTTATAGACCCTTTTGGGCCTTTTTGCGTGCCTTTTCTGCAGCCAGGCGCTGAAGCCTGGCTTCTTCTTCCTGATCTTCACGACGAGCCTGGCGAGCACTCTTCATTTCTTCGGCAAGAACGTCAGCGCTTGTGGCCTCCATGTCGTCGTCGGAGTAGTCGTCGACAAAGTCTGATCTACTGCGTCCCCGGTTGAACAATTTCCAAATCTCATCGCGGTACGACGGCTCTTCCTCCTCTTCATCATCGTCAATAAAGTCGTCCATGTCGTCATCCCTATCCTGTGCAACAGATGATTTGCGTCGCAGCTTTTCCGCAAGCTTTGCCGACGGCAGAGCGATGGGTGCAGGGCCGCTACTGCGTTTCAATGGCTGCTTTTCGGCAGGACTCGGCTGTCTCGGAGCGGGTTTCGCAGGTTTGGCGGCTAGAAGGGCAGCAGTTTTCGTTTGCTTAGGAGCGTCGGGCTTGCGCCCTCTTGTCTTCACTTGCAACCGGAACTTGTCTTTGTCCAACGTCTCGGCCTTTTTCATGATATCTTTGAAACTAAACTTCTTTTTGGCAATCCCATCCGGGGTAGCTGGCGCACTGGCTACAGGAGTACTCAGGTGCGGTCGTTTTGATTCTTGAGCTGACAGCTTTTGGGGTGGTCTCTTTAAACTGGACTGAGCAGGCGGGGCCTTGGCTGGTTTCATCGCTGGCTTGGCCACAGGTTTACTTGGAACTGGACGTCCAGCTGGAGTGGCCGCCGTACGGACCGGTGCTGCGGGCTTCTTGACAGCTGTCGAAGGTGGAGAATTGTTCTTGTCAACGGGCGTTGGCGCGGGCTTTTTTGAGGTGTTTTCGCCGCTGGCCATCGCCAGCATATGGCGGAAACTCATGGACTCACGCCGTAGTAGGAAGTTAGATGACTGTACCTGGCGGGAGGAGCGGGAAAGATTAAATTACGGGACATAAACTACATAGCGGCGGTTAGCGAGACAAGCTAGACCTTCTTTGGGTTAAATTCAGGCTGCCTATGACAAAAGAAATTGCATAGTCTAGCTGGCCTGTTTCCAAGATTTTCAAGAGGTCGCCTTTATTAATGCGATCGAGATCGGTTGATCCCTTCAACGAGAGCTCGATTTGTTGCTGGATAGTCAATTCGAAACTGAGCAATCCTTGTGAGACGCGTCCTGCTAGAACTAATGCGTCCTGGCTCTCTTGTATCGAAAGATTGATTTCAAAAGAGCTGAAATTCGCCGGCTTGTCTTTGAAATCCAGAGCATCCGCTATAGAGATATCCGCCTCTGAATTATCAACAATGGCTGGTCCCTTCAGCACGCTTTTCACCAACTGCAGCAGCATGCAATCCTGCCGGAGGACGGCCAGGATGTCAGGGATATTCTTGGGGTCTGAAATAGGTATTGAGGAGATTTGAACCCAGTCGCAAGGTAACAGATTGGCAATAGTGACGTCCAGATCATCGGATTTTTGACTTTGAGCAAACGCTGGGTGCCTTTTCATGGTGAATGTTGACATGTACCGTCTTTCATTCAGTGACTCTTCTGCGCTGGACGTCTCCGCCTTGAGCTGTTGGGCAACTGATTTGCGAACGACAACTGGTGGACTGAGAGCTAGAGCGAGTTCTGCTCGCACATCTCTTGGTGTTAGGGCTTCCTTGTCGACGTCTGCCCACTCTCCATCTTCTTGAAGCCATTGTGTATTAACATATAAAGCAAATTCCCTGCGAGAACCAGCACAGGTATCGATAAATGCGTGATGCTTGTTTTTTTCATTTCCAAAGTACCACAGTCCAACACCAAGTCGACCGGGGTTGATTTCCGGGACCCCAAACGACTTTTTCACCTCAGGATCCATGCTGTTTGACACATATGTACATACGGCGTTCCCCACTTCATCTAGGGCTCTGAAGCAGTCCACGTCTTTAGTGGAAAAGCGATCGCAGCGGCTGAGAAACTCGAGGATCTGCGCGAACTGGCCCAACCGAGGACGCCGTAACGACCCAAGAATGACCACTTCTGGGTGGTTTTCGTTGGCCATGAACGAGAACTTGGACTGTTCTGCAGGCATTGAAGCCAGGGATATAGAAACAGTCGTAACCTGGCCGTTGACAAAATCTACATCGATCACCACAATAGAACCAGAAAGACTCAAACGCACGCCTCCATCGGGCAGCGTGTCCTCAAACGTTTCAAAGTGATTCTGCGTAACAAGATGCTTCAGGTTAGCCTTGTTGAGTCGACCCGGAACCGACTGAAAGTGGGCGGCTACCCTCTCGAGCTCAGCGCGATATTCCATGATGACAAAAGGCTCGATGGTTAAGAAAAGTTACAATATATATCTATAGATCACAAGCCATTGATACCATTTTCGTACTTGTCCAAATTGTATTCCTCCTTGTGGCGGCCAAGGAACTCCTTGAGCTCTTCTTGCTGCTCCTTTAAGATGGCAGGCGCCGCGGCCCAGACGTCCGTGAACACATGCTTGATTTCAGGGAGCTTTACTTTTTCGGCCGCAGAAAACTCGCGCAGGATGTCCTTGCGCAGCTCGTGTCTCGCAGACATCTCGTCTTCGTCGGACCACCACTGCTGCTTCTCCATCCACTTGCGCATGCGAGAAATCGGGTTGTCATGGCGCTTCCAATTCTCGACCTCCGTACGCGAACGATATGCAAATGAGTCGTCAGACGTGGAGTGGTGAGAAACTCGGTACGACATGGCCTCAATCAGCACGGGGCGCTGCTCTTTGACGGCCATTTCACGTGCCATAGCAGTCACACGGTGGACGGCAAAAAGGTCATTGCCGTCAACGCGAATGGCGGGAATCCCGTAGCCTGCACCACGGCTGGCAATGCCGTCGCCGCGAAACTGTTCCTCGGTGGGTGTTGAGATGGCATAGCCATTGTTGCGGCAAAAGAATACAACGGGGCAATTGCGAGTGGCCGCAATGTTCAGTGCACCGTGGAAATCACCTTCAGAAGCAGCACCGTCACCGAAATAGCACATCGAAATGGCCGGGGTGCCGCTCATTTTCAACGCATAAGCCGCGCCGGCCGCGTGAGGCAGCTGTGAAGTCAGGGGGCTGGAGATGGGATGCACGTTGATCCGGGCATTTTGATAGTGCACTGGCATCATTCGACCTCGAGCAGGATCGTCCGCATTGGCGTAAAGCTGAGACATCAGCTCTTTAAGTGTAGCGCCCCGATGGAGTAAAACACCTTGCTCGCGATACTGACAAAAGATCTGATCGTCAGGTTTCAATGCAGCAGCACTGCCAACAGAGATTCCTTCCTCACCAGCTGAAACCATGTAGAAACTCAAGCGGCCCTGGCGTTGAGCGTCATACATGATCTGGTCCATGATGCTGATGGTGACCATGTCGCGGTAAATTTTAGTCGCCTCTTCGCGAGTGAACGGCACTTTATAATCCGGATCCAGAAGATTGCCCTCTAAATCAAGTAGTCTGTATGTCTTGATCTTGGGTATACTTTCTGGATCAATCACGTTGAGCTGTCCTGTGAAATCTCTATCGTCTTTCTCGAGACCTGGATTCGTGGCTTGGTGACTAGCCTGTAGCATGCTCCGACGAATCGCACATTTCGAAAAATGCCGCGCCCTCAGAGCGAAACCGCCATATCTCTGTGCAAACATACTTGTGCTGGTTGGTTTGGCAAGTTGGGTAGACTTGGACTCTGCGGGTGAGGTTTTATGCAGCCGTGCATGGCCCTGGGTTGTGGGGGAATCCTCCGACATGGAAACCATATGCCAACAATAGTACCAGAAATATATGAATGGCCAAACTAAATATTCCAAACAAGTATTTGAGTATCTGATTTAGTGCTCAGTAAAAAAAATACACACCCTACAGCTCAAGACCGCCCGTCTTCTCCGCGTTGTGCCACCCAATCTGGGGCTCCGCTCTGGCGGGGTACTTCAACCACTTGTTCTTCCTGGTAAGACATCATTTCGGCCTCCTCAACCTCATCTCGCTCTGAGTATATTTCTCTCATCTCCGCGGTCATCCGCTGTCGCAAGTCTATAGTAATACCTTGAAGCACCTGCTCAAGCTCGGCCTCGTTGAACCGGTTCCGGGGCAATGAAGCGTCTGGTCGTCGAACATACCGTCGGGTTACATCCCGTGCTCCCGTCACAGAAAATCCAATCACGTAGGACATTTTTTTACCCCAACCATCAGCGTAGATCAGAGGCCGGTCGTAAGCTTCCTCGCATGAATCGACATGAATCCACCGCTCATGGAATGGCGAATATACTTCGTTCCAAACGTGATCCTCAGCGTTCCAAACATATCTAACATCCAGATCTAGTGCTTTCAGTAATAATGTAAATGCATTGGCCCATTCGCCGCATCGGCCGCATCGTGTTTCAAGGAGCCTTACCGGGTCGTTATACCGAGGGAATCGGGTCAAAGTGCGGCACTTTTCACAATGATATATCTCGACTGCACGCGCACCATACTTTGCTTCTTCAGGTCTTGGTGGTTCCGCACCTCGAGGATTTGTTTCGCCACCACATCTATCACATTCAGGAGAATTGACCCATTTAAACCACTGTTTGAACCACTTTAGCAGGGCCATTACAAGATGGTCTTCAAATCCGCCCTCCTTACCAGATGAAAGCGCACTTTCGGCCTGTTCGTATAGTTCCGCCAGTGGGATCGTATCCAACGCTTTACCTATCGCAACTTCATGCTCATAAATCGACTGGTTGCTGCTCAAATGGAACAACTCCTCAACACCCATATGAGGCCGGACAGCGTAATTGGATTTGTCAGATGATAAATCGAACCCGTCAGGCAGTCCGGCCTCTGGCTCATCCAAAGCTCTTAGGAGGCCTGATTCTGACGGGAACTTGGGTTTTCGGGCTTCTTAGTATTTATTTTGTTCTGTCCCCTTCCAAATCTACTCCAATTGACGAAAAAAGTACCGGGTGGCCCGTGAACGGATACTACCCACTGGCTACTCTGTTTCTCTCTGTTATTATATGGATCTGGTCAATATTTGCATGGATGGGCATGAAATTCTTCCGCCACGCTAGTTAAAGCTCGTCGTGAGTGCTAGCAGAGCCCTGATAATGAGCGAGCCAGGTTGTCACTAAAATCGCCCAGTCACGAACGGCTTGCTGGTCCAAGTTTTTCGCGTTATCGTTTATGGTATGCCATTGCGGTGGGAAAACTGGTGGTATAAAATGAAGACAGGGCACTCCGCGTACCCAGAAGGGTGTGTGATCGTCAATCATTCGACCCGACATTGCGTGGAACTCGGTAATATCAGTGACAAGCATGTATTTCATCAACTTCATTTGCACAAGCTTTTGGTTCAACCTAGCAAGATCTCGGTGCCAGCTATACGTCTCGCCGAACCATGAAGGCATCAAATGTTTTGGTGTGGCTCCAATTAAATCAAACAGAACCAACGCAGGGGGCAATTCATAATTTTCCGCATAGTGCCGTGCGCCGTAAAGGCTGTCTGTATCTGTCCATGTATCGATTGCTTCTTCACCGTCGAAAAATACGAATTTTACAGGGGGAGCAGGCAGACCTGCGTTGGCCAGGGCCTTCGCTGCAAATAACATCAGAGCACACGGCACAGAAGAGTCGATAGCGCCAACCATCCCCTCCGGAACCAGCTTGGAATCATAATGTGCACCCCAGAAACTCCAAGGTGGTGGTAAGCTATGGTCCTGCAACTCGGTCTCGAACGTAGCTGGTGACTGAGCTATCAAATTGGCCATTGGGATAGGCCCCAGGGGCGTATCAGCTGTAAATGCATCAATAGTCATTGTGTAGTTTAAGGATTCAAATTCCCGAATCAAAAACTTCCTAACGTTCTCAATTCCCAATGATCCAGGAGGTCGAACCTCTAATAATGGCTCTAAAATCGACCCTTCAGGAGCTATTGAGTCCAGTTGTAAATTATTGACCAGTTTTACAATATCAGCATCCTTTAATGCTACACATATGGGTAAAAATGCCAGTAGAAACAGCATTCAGGTAGCAAACCTCGTTTTTCTCTCCAACCAGTGGTGTTTTGGGAGCGTGTTTCACGTAACCTCAAACCACTTTACCTCACATACACATCCACTTGACAGTCTGGCTTGGAAGCTAGAGCTTGCTTAGTTGGCTTCCACAGCCTTCAATTGTATTTTTTAGCTTGTGATGTCGGAATTTGTTACTTTTCCTGAAAGCGAAGTCTACTCGCCCAGGCCACCAAGCTATATTAATATTTATGACCGCGTCAAAGATGCTGCATCAACAGTTGTATCATCTTTGATCCCAAGCTCGTCTACAGCTTTATCTACTCCAGCTGAGAGTGCATCAGCACAGCTGCAGAGTTTTTCAATTGCCAATCAAAATGCTTCTGAGGCTCCAGGCGAAAACAAAGCTGATACCAATGGGGCAAACTCCCCGGCCAAGCCTCCTCCTCTCAATAGAAATGATACAGCTATTTCTATTGCGGCAATTGGTAATTCAGAGCAATCAAGCAGTGGTTTTTTGCCTGTATCTAAAACTCCTCTAGTGGGAGTATCATCGGAACCGTCCGTCCCCATGTTGACGAGTGTTCCAGCCATCGCAATTGACACACCAGCAGATACATTTGGTGATACTGACAGTATTATATCGACTGTTTCTTATTCAAGGGCGTACCTATCAGCACAGTACAGCAGAGCTCGCAAGGGACCAGCAGATCCTCTCTCTAAAGAGTTTTGGATGAAGGATGAGAACGCCACATCGTGTTTTCGCTGTTCACGGCCATTCACAACCTTTCGCAGACGCCATCATTGCCGTATTTGTGGTCAGATCTTTTGTGGCTCGTGCACGAGTTTGGTTGCTGGTTCACATGTGAGCGGTTCGGGCAATGTACGTTGCTGTGAGCTATGCATGTCTTCACTGGATACCCAACATAGTTCCTCAGACGAAGAAGATGTCACTGCTGTATCGTTCGTTGGCTCTTATCCTGATTCAATGACCGCCTTTCATCGAAGAGATGATTTCAGAATTCCCAACGCAGCGAGATTTGGGCCGGTATTAACAGGAGAGCATTTAGAGCATAGTGAGGAAGATGACGACACAGACCCAAACGAAGCGATGACCAGTTCGTTTTCCAATCGTATGCCGTCAACCGGCTTGCCTTCAGTTCACATTACGCGTCCGCGAAGCAACACCAACCGTTCTCAAAGATCCATACAGCAGTTGGTCAAATTCCCCGTTCATACTTCATCAGTTGATTTGAGCTCTGCGGCAGCACATCATACCGAGGCATATCTAAACAAGCTTATTGCGGAAGCAGAGCTGCCTTCTGATCCGTGGGCATCAGTGCTTTTGCAACCGCTCTATACGGCCGCTGCAAGCGTCCACGCTGAGTTTCTTCCAAACCAAATCGATCCTCGTGAGTGGATCAAAGTCAAGCGGATTTGTGGTGGAACCCCCCAGGATATTGATTGCATTAGTGGAACGATCTTTACCCATGCACTCGCCCAGAGAGTCATGCCCTCTCATATTCAGAATCCTCGGATTCTCTTGATCACTTTCCCAATTGAATACTCACGTGGTGCAGGTAGCTATATGAGTTTAGAACCCATTCTAGCTCAAGAACAGGAGTATTTGAGAAAACTCGTCACGCGTATTGAGGCACTCAAACCAACCATGCTCTTGAGCACAACGAGTATTGCACGTTCAGCACTGGAAATGCTTTCACTCGCTGGAATAGCTGTTGCCTGTTACGTCCCTGAAAATGCTATCCAGCGCTTGGCAAGATATACACAAGCAGATGTTCTGTCTTCTTTTGACAAGCTTTCCACCAATCCTCGCTTAGGGTTTTGCTCTGAGTTTGAACGTCGAATATATCGCTATGGTGATATGGCCAAAACATTTCTGTTTTTCACAGGCATCTCTGCAAATTCTGGCTGCACGATTATTTTGAGAGGTGAAGAGAACGAACTAGCCCAAGTTAAGCCTCTCATGGAGGTAATGGCTGTGGTTGTTACGAGCCTTAAGCTGGAGACTGCTCTTATGAGAGATCAGTTTGTCCTGTTGCCGGCTATAGATGATGGTCCTGTACTGAGCAGCTCTCCTTTCGTTGATTTCGGCCGTCCTTATTTGCAAAAGTTAACCCAACAGCTTGAAGATGAAGTTGTACACGCAAAAACCACTATTGAGAATGAACCTGAAAAAGAGGAAGCTGACCAAGATGACTCTGAAGTTATTGATTGGAAGTCGAGAGCTATAGATTTTGGTATCAAGGTCCCCTCAGAGCTGCCTGGAGGATGGCAACTCCTCCGTCGCTATGTGGCTCAAATCCAGAACAACCGTCATGAGCAAGCCCATGGACGTTGGAACAAAGTTCAAGAACAGTGGGATCAGCTCGAGACTCAAAGTCCTTATTTATTTTCCCCTACATTCCATCAAAGCTTGGTAGTGCTTTTTGCCTCAGCATGTCGCCCTGTTTCTGGTATCATATGTATTGGCCCCGAGTCAGTCATGATGGACTATTATCTGAACTCAGATTTAACATTGGGACAGTGGATTGAGCAGTTTTGTCAAACTTACAACGATTCTTGTCCCGAAAACTGTGGCCATGCTATGTCAGAACACGATCGTTATTATATTCATGGCGAAGGACGCCTGAGCTGCGCAGTTGAGCCCCATGATTGCCCCATGCCTGGAATGACTGACACCATTTTGATGTGGAGCTATTGTAAAAAGTGCGATCAAGTACAACCAGTCGTGCCTATGTCTTCGTCTACTTGGAAATACTCTTTGGGAAAATACTTTGAACTGGCATTCTGGGGTAAACCTCTATCTCTCCGTGCCGGCGTGTGCCCCCATAACATTTATCGAGACCATGTTCGGTATTTTGGTTGGCATAACCTTGCGGTTAAAGTTGAATACCAAGCAATTGATTTGTTTGACGTGAAAACCCCAACTCCTATTCGGCATGTCGACTCTGTTGGTGCCATTAACTACAAAATTGACAGTTTTGTGGATATAAGAGCTCAGCTTATCCGGTTTTGGGAAAGCATTCTTTACTGTGTGAACCAGGTTAAACTGGAAGGTCTTGATGAAGAGAAGCTTTCAGAGGGTTTAGAGACTTTGGCACAGTTCAAGCAAAGAGCGGAATATGATCGTGATGTTTCAGTCAATTTACTTGATAGGACCTTTGTGACCAGTGAGCCCGAAGACACGCTGGCGCTCAACAATGTTTATTTGCATGTCCAGGCATTGGTGGAGAAATGGCACCAAGACTTTAGTACTTTTGACGGAATGTTTTTCCCGTCAGAAAAAGATATCCGCCGTGTCACAGCGCAGCATTTGAGATCAATGTTTTTGGAAGATGAAAAGCTCAGTGAGGATTCAACGGGGCCGGGATTGGCCCCCGCGGCAGAGATAACGGGTCAAGCCGAGGCTACCAGCTCCTCGGAGCCTGCAGAGAGCCCTGACGAAGACGAAGTTACGCAGCCTATGCCCATCATTGGTATGCCAGACCTTTCATCGCAGAAGCCTACACCATCGGTGCGCGTGCAGACTAAATTTGGCAATAAGATTGATTTCGAGGTAGGATCTTTGGAAAATCAGGCTCCGAAGCCTCAAATCAAGCCCAAAAAGGAGCAACATGTATCTCTGCTGGTAAAACATTTTGAAGAGCTCTCTAGAGAGTTCGAGCTTGAACGAACTCGAGAAAGACAACGGCTGAAGGAGCGGCGTGATGCATTAACTTTGAAGCAAGCCCCTCCTGTTGCCGAGATTTTGCAGGATCTGAATGATGCTGAGGAAGATTGGAATGACGACGATGTCCAACAGCGTACTCACGTAGACAAATCTAGTGGCCGCGAGTTTCCAGAAAGTGGCCAGGAAGAAGATGCTCGATCAGTGGCCACAGCAGGTTCGGCCCCTGATTTAGATCTTGCCCCTGATTCAGAATCCAAAGGACTTGTACCCCTGTTGGAGAGGAACTCACTCATCAAGTCACTAGTCAACTTTTGGGCAGAGAGGTCGTCAACGCGGTGGAGTGAAATCGAATATATGCTTTCACCGACCGAGCACTTGTTCAATGATTCACTAGTTGTGATTCGTGAAGATGAGCCCAGTTCTATTATTGCTTTTTGCTTGAGTTTACCGGACTATCAAAGTCGTATTCGAGCTGGCATCTCGAGTGAACCAGACAATGTTCTTAGCGCAGAACAGCGCATTTTGAAGCAAACAGGAGTTCATATGCGCTACCAGTTTGAAGAGCGTCAAACCAAAATCTCTTGTAAAATCTTTTTCAGCGAACAGTTCGACGCGATCCGTGAGCAGTGCGGAATCGAAAATGAATACCTGCAGAGTTTGTCCCGATGCATACCGTGGGAAGGAAGCGGTGGAAAGAGTGGATCTTCCTTCATGAAAACAAGAAATGACCGCTTCATTCTCAAGGAGATGAGCCAGCCTGAGTTTGACGCCTTCGTTTCGATAGCACCATCATATTTCGAATACACTTCTCAGGCATTATTCCATGAGCTACCTAGTGTTTTGGCTCGAATTTTCGGCTTTTACCAAATACAGATCCGAAATGTCAATCGGCAGTATAAGCTCTATGTTATGGTTATGGAGAACCTGTTTTATGGGCAAGATTCATTACGGCTGTTCGATCTCAAAGGTTCTATGCGCAACCGTAAAGCGGCAGAGACGGGTAAAGCTAACGAGGTTTTGTTGGATGAGAATATGGTGGAATATATCCATGAACACCCATTATTTGTTCGGGAGCATACTAAGAAGATGCTCCGAACATCTTTGTACAATGACAGTTTGTTTTTGACAAAAATGAATGTTATGGACTATTCTCTCGTTATTGGTATCAATGAACAAGCCCGTACTGTTTACGCTGGTCTCGTGGACTTTGTGCGCACCTACACCTGGGACAAGAAAATCGAGTCCTGGGTGAAGGGTCGGACTACGACTCGGGTAAAGGAGCCTACAGTTATATCACCCCGTCAGTACAAGGTGCGTTTCCGGGAGAGTATGGAGCAATACTTTTTGATGGTGCCCGATTGTTGGAGTGAGCTAGCTGTGTCACAATCTTTTCAACCAGAAGAGGTATGATTATTTATAAATCTATGTACAATGATCTAGATCAATTTCACCGCATAGTACTCGGTTTTTCCTATACGGATGAGGAGCAAGCCATCTTCAATGTCAGAGGACTCGACAAACTGTGATTTTAAGGGCCTCCGATCAAGACCAACGTAAACGCCGCCCTGCTTCACAAGGCGGCCAGTTTCTGACTTGGATTTGCCAGTAAGAAGTGCCAGAATGTTTTTCCAGTGTTTACCAATAACCTCATCAGCAGGCAGTTCATTTAACAGGCCCTGGGATCCAAAAGCTGTGAGGATCTCGGCAGAAGTTGCTCTCGCGTTTTCAAACATAATAGCCGTAACAAACTGAGCATTTGCAGCAGATCCCTCACCATGGATCATATCTGTCAGTTCTGAAGCTAGGCGATGTTGGGCAACGCGATCTTCGGGAGCTTGCATATGTTTTTTGGTGATCTCGGCAATTTCGTCAAGGGGAATAAGAGTGAAAAGTTTCAAATAGCTTTCAACAACCGAATCAGGTGAATTCACAAGGTACTGGTACATGTGGAAAGGTTTGGTTAGCTTGCCATCAATGAACACAGCATTTCCAGCAGACTTGCCAAACTTTTCCCCACTAGGAGTTGTGAGCAAAGGCACCGTTACACCAAATGCGCTACCATCGGGGATTAAACGGGAGATCAGATCGGTTCCGGCCGTAATGTTGCCCCATTGATCATTGCCGCCGATTTGAATAGTGCACTGATGGTGTTTGTACAGATGGTAAAAGTCGAAAGCCTGTAAAATCTGGTAAGTGAATTCGTTGAATCCAAGGCCTGCCTCAGATTTCAGACGCTGTCGAACACTTTCACGTCCGAGCATCTGGGATACACGAATGTGCCTTCCATAAGTGCTCAAGAACCCAAGCATACTCACGTCTTTCCACCATGAGTAGTTATTCACGGGCTCAACCGAGCCTGGCTTAGAGTAACCGTACTTTTGAGCGATTTTGGCACCCGTTTCCAAGAATTTTGTCATTTGGGCGTGAATTTTGCCTACATTTCGTTCCCGTTTGGCATTTTCCATAGCCTCTCGCTCCGTCATGCGACCGCTGGGATCGCCTACCATGCCGGTAGCACCACCTACTAAGGGCATAGCAGTGTGGCCGCGCAAGTAAAAGTGCAATAGGACAGTTAATGGAACCAAATTACCGAGATGCAGGCTTTCTGCACTTGGGTCGGCACCCAAATACACCTTTGTTGGTGTCTCGGCTGCTGCCACGACTTTTTCATCAGTGACCTGAGTGAGTAAACCTCTCTCTCTCAAAGCCTGGATTAGAGGCGTTTTCAAATCCGCGTTGGAGTAGAACCGTCGCGGCTGGCAAAATAATCGCCCTCGGCCTATAATCATTTGAAAGATGACGCTTCCTTCGACTAATCATCTTTCATATGCCGTATTGGGTGTTCGGTTATGGATCGCTCATTTGGAAGCCTCCGCCCCATGCTGTTGAAAGAGTGCCTGGATACATTGTAGGTGCTGTCCGGAGGTTTTGGCAGTCATCTAATGACCACCGAGGCACGCCAGAGAACCCTGGAAGGGTTGTTACCTTGGTTAGTCTAGAGTACTGGCAGTCCCTTCATGATCCACATCCGTATGGCCATGACGATGTTGTTTGGGGAGTTGCCTACCGAATTGATCCAGCAAAAGAAGAGGAGGTGAAGGAACTACTGGATTACCGTGAAAAAAATGGCTACGTCGATATTGATATTGAATTCCATCCTGCATCGGAGGCACCGGCTTTCAGCACAAAAGTATATATTGGCACTCCAGATAACGAGGCATTTGTGGGTCCGCAGGATCCTGAAGAGCTGGCTGCGCATATCGTGCGGTCGCATGGACCCAGCGGCCCGAATATTGAATATTTATACCATCTAGGGGTTGCCCTGGATGAGCTGCATACTGATGCCAAGGACCCGCATATCGCTGATCTTATTACTAGAGCTAAACGCATTGAGAGCGAAATACATTAGATAGAAGAACGTTCTCATTAGTTACTTGCGCTTGTCTTGGATAGACCATGGGCATACTCTTCCAACTCGCCAGGAGTTGGCCATTCGCCCTCGGCTTTAGCTCCAAGTTTCAATAGGGCTTGTCCGTGAGAGCTATAATGAATCAAAGCACACAATGTCCGCTTTTCGGGTGAGAAATTAAGGTTTTCAAGCCAAGGAAGAACTTCAAGAAGCTCGACATCATAACGAGCTTTCCCGAGCATAAAAACATAGGCATAGAGCAATCTTTGCGTGGGGTAGAGCCGGAAGATATCATCTGATTCCCGTCTTACCCACTTGTGGATCTCAGGGATAGTCCTTTGGACTGCTAAAGCATCATCCCATTTTAAACGCACCCAGGCTGCAACACACAGGCTTTCGAGTACATCTGCAGATGGAGCGGTTTGTTTAAGGATCTCTTGATAAGTGTTCCAAACTGCTTTTTTGTTGTGCTTGGCCTCTGCTGCTATTCTTGCGGTAAGAACAGAGGGGTCATTGGCCATGTCACCAAACGAACTGACCAAAGTTGTAGCCAGGGATAGCTCATGTCGGCTTGAGACATGAAAAAACGCACTTAGAATGCCTGTGTTAACCTTAATACCGGACTGTTCAAGGAACTTGAAATGTGTTATCTTTTCACTGATTGTTTGCAATGGCACAAGTAAGAGCTCCGCCATCTGCTGGGAGAACCGAACTTTGGTGTTTTTCAAGTGTCCCCACAACCGTTTGGCAAGAGCTGAGTTCAAAAGACCTTGATTTCGCAAACTCAATAGAACGATCGACCAAACTCGGGACGTCCGGTGCTCTGGTTCAACGGAATTCAACCCTGCTAGGATTTCTTCGGCCGACTGGGCCGCCATAATCTCGATCATTTGGCGTCCAACGTGATAAACAAAGCCATCAGTTTTATCGTGCTCGAGGTTGACGAGATTCAAGGCAGTTTTTCGAGAAGACGGTAGAACCGTGTACGCTAGACCAACCCTTCCCTTCATATCTAAATTCACTCGTCCCATACTCTTGACAAGTATTTCTTGAGCCGCAATCAAAACCAAGCTCTCGCTCTTTGTCCATGTCGTACCGAATTTCGCAAGCACCCACAACAGTTCGTTGAGGGCCGCTGGGCTTTTTGCTTCGACCGAGCCGTAAGTGGAGAAAATCTCACATATGGGTGGAGCCATCTCTACTATATGATCTTGAGCGATCCTGAGAGCTAAAGAGGTCATTTCAACTTGAAAATCAGACTTTGCTTGCTCAATTGTGCTCAAGTATAGCTTAATGGCGTGATATGCTTCAATCTGTGAATGGACCTCACGGTTGAGGGTATAAATAACAAGGAAACTAGGCCATCTTCTGCCTTTCATGACTTCAAGTGCTTCGGTTAGTGTTGGTGCAAAAAAGCAGTCCAACAGAGCCTTGATATCGTCATGTGAAACCTCTGAATCTTCAATTAACTGGCGCATTGCCGGACTAAGCTCTCCAGACTGCCATGCGACTTCCTCTTTCAGCAGGTCAGCAATGTTCAACCGCTTTTGTAGTGTTTTTTCAAGTCCTTTGATGTTTTTGTGTTTAAAGTTTTCAAAATAGGCGGCCAGCACCGTAGCTTGTTCTAATTTTGAATCTTGGCTTCCATAGCGAAGATTCGCTTTCGATCGTAATAAATAGTCATTGTTGAGGGGTGATCTCATAGACGGAGACCCCGGCACCTCGGCATAATCTAGCAGCCGGAGGAACCGGTTTTTAGTATGATAGTTTCGTATTCGAAACATTCATTTGCTTTCCCAAAACTAGAAAATTAGACAGGATCTAACGTCCTCAGTGAAAAATTACCTAAACACTATGAAGGCATAGGCGTCTAAAGCTGATACTTTTTAGCGAGCTCGATACCATCGGATACGTTTTGGACACGAGCGTCGATTTTGTAGCCCTGGGCGGCGAATTCCTCAAGTTGTTTCTGGAAATTGGCCAGAGATACCGTGAAAGACTCAATGAACTCGTTTTCCTCGAGCTGAGGTTCAGGGTTCTTGTTGCAAGGATCACTGAGATCTACATTGACGTGCACTAGCTTGAGATTGGTGTTGCAGAAACCAGGATCATTGAAAATAACAGGGCTGGACTTGATCGCTTTCCCAATATAGCCAGTCTCTTCCAGGAGTTCTCTCTCAGCACACGTTTCCAGAGTCTCATTAGGATCCAAAAGACCGGCCGGGAACTCAATGCAGACGCCTTCAACAGGAGGACGGAATTGCTTCTGGAGAACAATTTCTGGGCCTGACGGTTTCTCAAGAATGGCAATAATGCCGACACCGTCGCAGTCTGAACCCTCGACACGCGTCTTTCGCGAGCAGCATTCCCAGTCCCGCTCTTTACCTTGCGGGTCGATGAACTTGATTAAATTGGTCTGAACCCACTTTGGCTCATCGAGTTCAGTGAATTTGGTCACCTTGGCCTTACTTAAATCTAGGTTAGCCTTGCTCATGTGGTATGATCGACGTAGCGTGAGGTAAGCGTAGTTTATGAATCCTAATTTGCCTGTGCAGCGAGCCCGGCTAAGTGAAGCTGGAATCATCAATGGCTTGAAACCAAACAAAAACAACCTCTTGACTTTTCAGCAATCTCCAAAAGCCCACTCGAACCTTTTATTGCAAAACAACACACTGGTTTTGTTAGCGGATAAGTAATCACGCGAGGTTTATTCTAACTATGACCCAAGTGGAGGAATACTTGGCGAAAAGCGGCGAGCTGGAGAGGCTCTCTAAACATTTGCATGAGCGCCTCGAGCAAAGCGGGTGGTACGACCAGGTGTCGACGCTTGCCAGCGCGGAGCTTAGCGCTGCAGACAGTCTTAATTTCGACAGCATAACTCAACAGGTGACTGCCAAAGCAATGGGTAGGTAAAACAACAGCACGGAAAGGCGGATAACTAACAAAGCTATGGTGTCTGAAGACATTAAAGTGGAAATGCTCCAACTGATTCGGTCAATTGTGGATCAAGTTGTCGAAAAGGTTTAATTCTCACAACCGGCTCAGGCTTGACCCTTTAGTCATGGCCCAAGAGATTGCCAAAAGTACCGGGTGTCTCGTTGAAGAGGCAGAGCAAGCTCTACAGGCAGAAAACAATGTCGTGCGAGCAACCAAAATGATAGCATACGAAATAGATCTGAGGAGGAAACGATATGTGCCGGTGCTTTCCCCTATATGGAGTCGCTACGCGCCCGGCGGTGCAACCACCACCGACTACGATGGCACTATCGAGCTGGTCAGGGACTTGGGGGTTGAATTGGATGACGAGGTGGTACTTGCTCTAGCATATGAGCTCCAGGCTCCACAGCTCGGTGTATTTGCGAAACTACCGTATATTGATGGGTGGGCACGCTGGTCATGTAGTGATCTACCGGCAATGATCAAGGCAACTAGCGTCATGAAGCACAAAATAAAAGAAAACAGGGCCTACTTTGGTCGCGTGTATCGCTATGTTTTCCCGTATATTGTTTCAGAGGGCCAACGGATGCTGCCCATCGATCAAGCTGTCGCATACTGGACATTACTTCTGGTGCCCCGCTACGCCATTGCTGAGCGATGGATCGCATTCATGACCGAAAAAAACTACAGCGTCAGCCGCGACACTTGGAATATGGCCCTGGTGTTCTTTGAGTATGCCCAGAACGACCCGACTCTGGCCGAATATGACGAGAACCTGGCGTGGCCTGCTATTATCGATGACTTTGTCGACTCTGTGCGTGATCATCCTTCCTAATATAACGTCTAACACTAATTATTTTGCATACTTTTACTAGTTCTCCGCTGCCCATTTCAGATCCTCCCACCGAGATGTGTCTTTGTCATGAGCCAACAACCGACGGGCAATCCGCAAAATATCACCCAGCAGCTACAGCGGCTGGTTGGCCAGTACCAGCATGAGATGGAGCAAGCTCAACGTCTTGGTCAGGATACAACCGAGGGAGCGGCTCATCTTCAGCGTGCTAACTCGATTCGCGATCTGCTTCAGCGCTACCAAGCCCAGATTGCCCAGAATCGCCAGGGCAACGCGGCTGCAGTTGCCGCAAACGCCGGACAGCCTCAGGGGGGACCTAACGATGTAAGACGTATGAATCCACGTGGAGCTATGCCCCAAGCTGGGCCCGGTGGTATCGCATTGCGTCAAATGCCTGGCGGCCAAGGCGGCCCTCAAGCGGCAGCTCGTCCTGTTAGCCAGATTAACCAGTTTGAGAACTCAGCTGCACAGCAGCAACAAATGGCGCAGCAGCAAATGCGGGTCCAGCAAGGCCAGCAGAATGCTGTCGCAAGTATGCAAACTTATCAAGCAATTCAACAGCGGCAACAAGCCGTCACGGACCTAAGGCGCCAACAGGTGGAGTTGGCACGTCGTGCAGAACGTATCGAGACTATGCTCCGGAGCGGACAGTCTCAGGAAGACCCGCAACGTCTTCATCAGAGCCTACAGCTGATCCAGCAGCGTCGTGATCAGTATCGACAGCGTGAGGCGCAGATTCTGCAGGATTTAAGAAATGCCATGCGCCAGAATCCACAGCTTGCTAGACAAGTTGCCGCTCAGCAACAACAACAACAACAACAGCAGCAGCAGCAGCAGCAGCAGCAACAGGCACAGCAGCAGCAGCAGCCGCAAATGCAAATGGCTCCCGGCCAGGCCCAGGCCCAAGCCCAGGCCCAGGCTCAAGCGCAGCAGGCTCACCAAGCGCAGCAGGCACAGCAGGCACAGCAAGCACAGCAGGCACAACAGGCACAGGTGCAGCAAGTGCAGCAGAACACCCCAGTTGGCCATATCAATGGCAGTCCCCAGATAGGAATGATGCAGCCCTCGCAAGGCCTGCCTGGGCCTGGCGCCCAGCGTATGGGTGCTCAGGGAATTCCAGCTCAGCAAAATCAGCGTACAGCACCCGCGGCAGGAATGCCCAATGCAGCATTGAGACAAGGAGGAACCCCTCAACCGCCCCAAGCTCCCGGTACACCAACGGGTGCTGCAGCAGGAACGCCAGGAGATGTTTCTGGGCCTGTCACTCGTAGAATGGCCGCTATGTCCGGTAGCGGAAGCAGAACAAACAGCCTGGCTGTCCCGCATACCCTTAACGTTGCTCAGCCTGTTCCAGTGACGGTTCGCCCAGGCCGTCCCACACTACTGAATGGCGGTGCATCTAGTGCTAACGCTCTTAATTCGCCGGCACTTGCCCGCATCCCCGGATTCGAGGTTACGGGCGATCGCGTTCTTTCGAAACGTAAGCTCAGCGAACTCGTTGCCGGCGTGCTGGGCGAAGACAATGCCACTGCGATTGACGGTGACATCGAGGAGCTTTTGTACGACTTGACTGACGAGTTCATTACATCTGTCACGTCGTTTGCCTGCAAGATCGCAAAACACCGTCACTCAGATACATTGGAAGCTAAAGACATTCAATTACATCTCGAACGGAACTGGAATATGCGTATACCTGGATTCTCGGCAGACGAAGTTAGATCTGTGCGCAAAATTCAACCCGTGGCCAGCTATCAGCAAAAGCTCAGTGCTATCGGTGTCAACCGTGGCTCCCAGAAGTAATATAAAAAACTGAACTATATTGTAACCTTTTATTTTTTTTCCAACGCTCTGTGTAAAGTCCGGTGGTTAGGTAATATTTTTTTTTCTTCATGGTTCAAAGCTATACCCGGTTAGAGCTTAGCTCTACATTCGGCATTGTGTCTAGCAATACCAATGTTGTCCACGTTGCAGGATCTAGTGCAGGTACAGCTATTGTAGGAGCCGCAGAGGCTGTGCAGGTCTGGGACCTGAAAAAGTCTGAACTTGTACATCGCTTCGTAGAACCCGCTCTGCAGCAGGGGAGAGTCCAGGTGCAAAGACTTGCCTATGAACCCATTTCGAGTCTTATTGCTGCTGGTTACAGTGATGGGTCTATTCGGGTGTGGGATATGCATAGCGGTGCCTGCTTGATCACGTTTAATGGCCACAAGTCAGGTATCTCCGCGCTGACCTTTGATCAGTCAGGAACCCGACTGATTTCGGGCTCGTTTGATACAAATGTCGTGGTATGGGATTTAGTTGAAGAAACTGGTCTGTTCAGACTCCGTGGTCACCGAGGCCCTGTTACTGCTGTTGTTTTACTCTCGGATCAGTGGCTGGTTTCCACGGCCAAAGATGGTGTCATGAAACTCTGGGATCTTGAAACTCAGTTTTCTGTAGAGTCTCATGTTGCTCATAAATCTGAATGCTGGGGTGCTGTTGCAAGTACTCATGAAAAGCGACTATTCACAGTCTCCAACACTGCAGAGATCAACGTCTGGGCCATCGATCTGGACGATCAAACAAACCACCGGTTTAGTCTTGAGGGGTCTTTGGAAAAGCAGTCCAAGCATCGTGCCGTTGACGTCAAATATTCAAATGAGCAGCTCATCGTCGCTACCGCTGATGCAGTACAGTCCTGGAGACTACGTTCAGCGGAGGAGCAGAAAAAGGCCCTCAGAAGAAAGGAGAAGCGAGCAGCAAAGAAGAAAGATACGAATGAGGATATTTCTTTGACCATTTCAGATATTTATGTTCCTACTAGCATTGTCCGCCCCAAGGGCAAGGTGTGCGGCATCGACACTCTGGATAAGCCCAACCAGATCGTGGTGAACCTGGCCAACAACTCCATCGAGACTTGGCCACTCACGGAAAATCCGGAACGTATTTACGCGATTGAGCTGCCCGGAACCCGTACTGATGTGCGTGACGTTTGTTTGAGTGCAGACAACAAGCTTTTGGCAGCTGGAAGCAACGGTCAGATCAAGATCTTCAACTCTCGCACAAACTCTTGCTTGCGTACTTTGACAGGTACTGGTTATATCATAGCTATTAGGTTCCTACCTGGAGATGCTCTGGTTGTTGCTGGCACCAAAGAGGGCAACCTTGAGCTCTACGATATTACCACTTCATCACTGATCGGGATATTCCCTGCCCATGAAGGATCAGTGTGGAGCATGGATGTTGCGACAGATGGAAAGAGTCTGGTCACAGGTGGTGCAGATAAAACTGTAAAGTTCTGGGAGTTCAGAATCGTTCAAGAAGAAGTGCCCGGTCACGAAGGGGTTACAGTGCCCAAAATGACTTTGAAAAATACCCACAAAATCGAGTTCTCTGATGATGTGCTTGCTGTAAAACTGTCTCCCGATGGAAAGCTTGTCGCTGCTTCTCTTTTGGACAATACCATCAAGGTCTACTACAGGGATACACTCAAGTTTTTCTTGAATCTTTACGGACATCAGCTTCCTGTTCTTTCTCTTGATATTTCTCACGATTCTAAAGTACTGATTTCGAGTGCTGCAGACAAAAATATAAAGATCTGGGGTCTTGATTTTGGTGATTGCCACAAGTCTATCTTCGCACACGACGACTCTGTTCTTCGTGTTATGTTCGAGCCTCAGACTCACTACTTTTTCTCTTGTGGTAAAGATGGCCTAGTGAAATACTGGGACGGACGTAAGTTTACACAAATTCAAAAGCTTCAAGGTCACTTTGGCGAGGTTTGGGCTCTTGCTGTTGCAAATGATGGAACCTTCGTGGTGTCTGCCTCTCACGATAAGACTATCCGTTTATGGGAAATGACCGACGAGCCCCTGTTCATCGAAGAAGAGCGTGAAAATGAACTCGAACAGCAATACGAAGAAAATCTCGTAGAGTCTCTAGACCGGGATCTGCAACAGGACCAAGATGGTGATGAGACCGAGGGCACAGGCCAAGCTGTGTCCAAACACACCATCGACTCTTTGAAAGCTGGTGAGAAGCTATTTGAGGCCTTGGATATTTGTATAACAGATTTGGAGAGCAAACCAAATCCGAGACATGTCATTTTGGCTACGTTAAATGTTGATCCCGAACGATATCTTATGGACGTTTTACAGAAGATCAAACCTGCCTTGGTAGAAGATGCTCTACTAACATTCCCTCTGGACAAGGTGACGGGATTATTCAAGTTCATCCATATTTGGATTGAGAAAAAGTGGAACTTGCCTTTGGTGACACGCGTTTTGCTTTTCTGCCTTCGCAACTTTCACCGTCAGATTGTGGCCAATCGCATGATGGAGCCTGAAATGCAACAGCTCAGAGACTCTCTGAGATCTGCGCTCACAAATGTCAGCGATATGCTCGGCTTCAACTTTGCCCAGATGAAATATATACAAGATATGTGGGATACCGACCACATCAAGGGCTTTGAGGATGATAGCAGCTCAAATGGGTCTGGCGTTAAACGAGTATTTCCCACAGCTGGTTTGTGAATGAAAAGTAAAAAAATAAGCTATAAATGTGTAATATCTAAGTGTGCTGAAAATGGTGCTAGTGCTTCTCCTGATCCTCAAAAATTTTTCTAGTAAATCTCCCGACAGGAACAAAGCTAAGATTGGGATCATGTTCTGTGTGAATATGCGTATCCTGGTTGGCCTTTTTGAGTGACTTCACCCATTTTCTGAATCTTTTCAGAGAGTTGGCAAAACCAGCAGCTTGAGATCCATAACGCTGCACGTGGTATTGGCTCAAAAGAACACCATCTGTGTCTTCAAAAATCAAGTGGTCACCTACCATGAAAGCCTTAAGCTCGACATGGTCTTCATCATCCTCCTCGTACGCGAATTGTCCCATATCGAACATGGTGCGACGATCCGCGATTGTTTCATCTCCAAGCACCTCAGCGGCAGTAACTAGCGAATCATTCCTCGACTGTGCCAACTGGTGCAGGTCTAATGTAGTGGTTTCGTGTAGTGAAAGCTTTAACGAACAGTCTTGGGCCGAAATATTCTCAGCATCAAAACTCAAAAGCTCCTTTCCATCTATTCCTTCAACCACAATCTCATTCTTTTGATGCACTATGCGAATATCTTCAGGTGAAGTTGTATCGGAGGGAAGCTTATGCAACCTATCTCCAATTTGCAGTGAAACGGTCCTTTTAGTTAATTTGGGCCGCTTTGGAACAATCACAGAACCCTCGTCATCTGACCTGTGATCATCTTTGGCAATTTTTCGTAGTTTTCCCTTTGCATCGACGTATAAGAGTAAGTCGGTATCCACGATTGGCGAAGGAAGGCGTAAAACCCAAAGATTAGACCCATCCGTGGCTTTCTCACGACTCAAATGGACGCTGGCAAATTGTTTGCTCCAAGCCACTACGGCAACTGATAGGCCGTGAACTATGATGGATGAAACGATGAGGAAGCAAGTTACGGGCCAAATCGTTGCAAGGACATAGTAGTACTTAGATCCTGGTGGAGGTAAGTCTTTCAAAGGAGCGTGACTATCCTCAAGCTCGGTACGGATCATGATTGAAACAAACACAGCGGCGACTCCAATAGGTCCAAAGTGACCTGCGAAAAGTGCTTCGTGCCAAGTCCTGATATTAGGGATTGCGGGCTTCAAAAGGAGAATGATGGGGATTCTTCGAACGACAAGAATGATGATAGCTAATAACACCAGTTTCCAGGCACGCAAGCCAATGTCTGCGTGATTGAAATAGTTCCACGGTACGATTGCGCCAAAGTAGATGAAGTATGCTATGTTCAAAATGACATCGAAAACCGCTGCAATGTGTGAATCTCCAGTCTTCTTCGTGAACCAACCATCCCAATTAATAACTGTACCTGCAAAAAAGGCAACCAATAGATCATCAACACCCAGAATTGTAGCAATGCCGGCGACAAAAAATGGGACAAAAAAATAAAAGGCTAAAGTTGCTTCATGATCAATCAGTTTGTACCGGTTTGAAAATTTCAAGATCAAGCCTGCAATAAAACCTAAGACACCACCCAATACACATCCAAACACGACTTCATACAGGACAGAAACTGCTATAAAGTCTTTCGCGATAGTGCCTGGATGGCCCTCATGCTTCAGGATATTCAGTGCTAGTAGCGCAAACGGAAAAGCCATACCGTCATTACAAGCCGATTCCGCAGAAAGTAGATTGCGCAAATGAATGGGCACCTCGGATGCAATACCGCCTTTCCCTACAACTGCAGCTGAAAGCACAGGGTCTGTGGCCGTAACACAAGCAGCGATTGCCAAGGCTTCGACCCAACGGAGAGTAGGTACAAGTTTCCAAATAAAAACAGAACTTAGTAGCCAGCCATAAGTCATAACAGGAATCAGTACTACCAGGAGACTGAACCAATTACGCAAAATATACTTTTTCGGAAGCTCGGCGGCAACGGCAAAAATCTGCACCACCAGCACGATTCGAGAAATTTCCGAGGTAATATAGTCGGAATTGCCCCATGATTGAGGCGAAAACCAGTTTAAAGCATGAGGACCAACAATCAACCCATAAATCGTAGCGAACGGTACCTCTCCAATATAAGCTTTGTCTTTCAGGAACATGGACAACGAGCCGAGCAATGTTAGTCCAAATGCTGTGGTAGCGTAGGCCACATGTGGTCGGGTGATTCCCAACTGAGACCACACCATATACTTTAAGAGGCTTCAATATAGCTAGTAAACTCTTTGAAGGAGTACGTGATTTGAAATTCGCATTATGTGAGCACTTGGCGTTATCTGGCCAGGATCAGCTGCGTGTGTAGATGTGCTAGTTTGAGATGTTGCGTGAAAAATCACAATTAGGAGCTAATCTTATATATATTCGAAATAGAAAGCTGGATCCAAGCCTTTTAATAGGAAAATGTTATCAAAAAAGACCATTTTTTACATGAAACCTTGCATGATTATACATTGATTCGATCATTAGGGTTGATGGCTGTGCATATACAAAAAAGAGAACGAGGGAAAAACTAATACATAACGTTTTCTAAAAATATAAATACAACTATCTGAGTATGCTTAATAGTATGTCTTCCTGTTTAATGAGGCTTTTTGGGCAAACTGAATGTCAGTTTGGTATCTGAATTTTCTTCTGCAATGCCTGACATATGGCTGGAGCCCGCACGAGCCTCAGATCGCTCGCTAGTATCCAGGACACCCAGAGCCGCTAAACGACGATTACGTTCGACCTCAGTCTCATCGTCCTCCTCTTCATCATGCGATTCAACATGAGGGTCATCGTATTCCACGCCTTCCTCCTCGTCGTTTTCAGGAGAGGAAGGGTCGTTCCTAGCGTCGATAACATCAACTTGAATTTGCCGGCGATGTCCGCTATCGGCATTCGGGAAAAGACCATCGGACTGAACCATTTTTTCGAGACGCCGAAGAATGTTCGGATTGTTGCCTATCGAATTCTTATCAGCAACATCAGATTCGTCGCCTTCAATAGGCACAATGCGATCTTGGCTACTGTGTTCGATGTCCGGCTCATCTTCATGATCTTTCCGTTGTCTGAACATACCTGTGAATTTTTCCCACTTGGTCTTGTTAGCGTCAGAGGGCTCACCTTTGCGGTGAACGCGATAACGCTTGATGATCTCTCCATCCTCGTTCTCAAGAATGACATTGTTGTCGACCATGCAAGCAAAGACTTGTCGTCGACCATGTTGTCCACTTCTTGAGTGAACAGAAACTGGCCGAGACAAGCTCCTCTCACTGCCACCGACCGATTCGTCATCTCCTTCAACACGAGTAACTCCAGAGTCTGAGCTCGGTTCGGAAACGTCCGGGCTCTTCTCAGTGGCTTTGATTTCAAGTTGGGGCACGCTTGTGACACCATGAATGCTGCCAATATCAAAGTCGTGGACAAAGTTACCCTCATCATCCTCCACAACAACGTGAGAGCCCTCAAGGTATGCACGGATATCTTTAGGGTCCTTGCCAAGGATTTTATTGGATGGGAGAATTTCTGTCTTCTTGACTGTTTCATCACCAACCTCCAACGAAAGAGACACCTCAACATTCTTGGGAGGCTCTTCTTCGCTGGCGGGAGCCTTATTTTTACGCTTGATCTTGGGCTTTCTGCGTTTCTTATTTTTGTTACCGAAAACAGTCTCTGTCTCAACTTTCTCGAGTCTGAGACCACTACCATCGAAAGGAAGACGCTTCATCCAAGAAGGTTCACCACCCTGAGTCTGTGTACGGGTGTAAGTCATAGTGATAGCCATGTTGTTCAGACGTTTACCAAGAGTGAAGACAGCAATAGAAGACCCATGAACAATGATGGATGAAATGACCAAAAAGCAAGTGATCGGCCAAATGGTGGCAATGGCATAGTAGTTTTTTTCCGTCGGAGCCGGGAGCTCTTTCAATGGTGTGACACCACCAGTCTCAAGTTCTGCACGCACCAAAATGGCAATGAACAACCCACCAACGCCAATAGGACCAAAATGCCCACAGAAGAGCGCTTCACGCCATGTTTTAATATCAGGTATGACCGGCTTGATAAGAAGCATAATGGGTAACCGGCGTACGACAAGAACAATGATGGCTAAAAGTACCAACTTCCATGCACGGAGACCAATGTCAGCGTGGTTAAAATAGTTCCAAGGAACGATTGCACCAAAGTAAATAAAATAAGCTGTATTCAGTAGAACATCAATAACGTTAGACACATGTGATTCTTCGGTTTGCTTAGCGAACCAACCGTCCCAGGAGAAAGCTGTGCCTGCACAGAATGCAACCAGAAGGTCATCAATACCAAGAATTGTGCCGATACCAGCACAAAAAACTGCCATACAGAAGTAATAGGCCAGTAGAGATTCTCTGTCAATAAGGTTGTACTTTTCAGCAAACTTAATCAAGACACGCCCCACGTAGCCAATCACAGCACCTATCAAGCAACCAAAAATACACTCATAGAGTACAGAAACAGCAATGAAATCCTTGGCGATTTCACCCGCATTTCCCTCATGCTCAAGAATATTAACTGCCAATAAGGCGAAAGGAAACGCCATTCCGTCATTGCAACCAGATTCAGCAGATAGAAGGTTTCGCAAATGTCCAGGAACACGTTTGGCAAATTTACCTTTACCAACAACCGCCGAGGCTAAAACGGGATCTGTAGCCGTGATACAAGCAGCGACGGCTAAGGCTTCGATCCAACGAAGCGTAGGAACTAGCTTCCAAATAAAGACCGAGCTGATTAGCCAGCCATACGTCATGACTGGAACAAGCAACATGAATAAACTGAACCAGTGGCGCCATACGTATTTCTTGGGTAATTCCACCGCGACTGCGAAAATCTGCACCACGAGAACAATACGCGAAACCTCTAGTGTAATATAATCTGTGTTTCCCCACTTTTCCGGAGAGAACCAGTCAAGGCAATGCGGTCCTACAATTAATCCAAATATCGTAGCTAGAGTTGCCTCACCAATGTATAGTTTTTCCTTCAAAAATAAAGATATCGTGCCAAAAAGTAGTAGCGCGAAGCCGGTGGTGGCGTACGCCACGTGCGGCCACGACGTTCCAAGCTGATCCCAAGCCATTTTTCAACAATCGATCGCTCGAATTGCTCTTGAATAGTAGTGCGGGCCAGAAACAGTTGCGTTGTACCTTGAACGATTGTGCGGTAGGTCGAAGTCCTGATTACGCATTTTTTTTCTCTGATAGCTCTTTCGCATGAATAACCGAAGACGGCAATATAGTGACTCTAGTAACGTTGTTGACCTATTTAGGATAGCCGGGAGTGGGGAGAATTAGTATCATGCTTTCCCGGCTGAGAAAATTGTTGCTAGCTCAACCTCAAGTGGGTTCATTTAGCTCAAGACGTTTCCTGGGCAACCTGGTCTTGGCGTTGAACTATAAATCTAAATCATAGTAATCAGTGCCAGTCAGGGCAAAAAGTGCTAGTGATCCACTGGGTTTAAAGAGGCTTCGATAAGGTCACGCATTTCATAGTCTTTTAAACATTCTATAGCGAAGAAATTTGTAAAGTTGTTTTGTTCGGGACCACCAACTGCCGGCTTAAGTTCGAATGATACAGCCAAGCTAAGTGCTAAAACGCATGTGGCACAATGCAGTGATTAAGGAATGACTTCTTATATGGTCCGATATCAAGAAGAGTCAGGTGAATTGCTGTTGTTTCACATTTCATTTGCATTGGGCATAACACGATTGGTTATTATTTGTGCACATGCATCACGCGCCATCTGATACTGTTTGACTATTTGACGGTGATCATTTGGCGGGTCGCATGCCAAGTAACCCTACAAAATGAGGTCGAGGTGTATGAGAGCCATTTCTTAATCAATACGCTAAATAACAACCAAATTATTATATCCACAATATCATTTATAACAATCTGCTTGTACATGTTTCACCTGCAGGAATAATAATTATAACTTACCCCGCAGCGTATCGCGGCAACACAACAGCTCAATTTTTGCGCATTCAATAAAATCTGAGCCCCTATTTTCCAGGGTGACAGCGGCGTATGCCACACCTTAAGCACGCTCATCGCGCGTTGCAATTTCTCTAGGAAATTCAATCTGTGATCAGAAACTCTCATTGCATTAGTTGCACCTCAGTCATGCCATTCTATGTAGCTTACCTGTAATCAACCTAAAGAGTCTTGAGCGTTCGTGCAAACTTAATCGCCTTCTCAAAAACAATCTGCCGCATTGCTCAATGATACACAGCAAACAAGAGTGGTGGGGAGCCCATTATAACACTAGTACCGAGAAAAACTGAAGTAGGTGTCTAGGAACTAGCGCTAACACAAGGGCCCTAGCTACAAGCTGCAGGGGCGAGCAGGGTCGAATGCATGTCGCGCTAACGTAACTACATACTTGGTTCGCGTTGCTGTTTTCATAGCCCTAGTGCATCATTTTCTAGCTTTAGCATAACCGTCCCTATCAACGTTGTTGCACTGAAGAGAGCGCATATCTAAAGTGCATCTAGAGTTTCACTTTCTACCTGACAGTTCCCTGTAAGTTTCAATCACACGAGTTAATAGGATATCAGCTTTTGGATTCGTGAAGTTTCAAATTACTTACAGTGGACGTGAATTGATCCACGACTGGCGTACTTTTTTTTTTTCCGTCACAAACGCGACTCTAGGATTCGAGCTTTGCAACCTAGTGGCATTCCTTAACATCTCTATCAAAATCAGCAACACGGGTTTGCTGAAGTTAACGTATAATGGCAGGTTTGCCGTATGTTTCTCGCAGTTTGCGAGAGTCCCCTGGTCCAGTACCATCCACTGAAGGGCCCCACTCTGCTTCGAAGTCTGAAGACCAGGTCAATGGCTACCTTGACAATAGCAAGCCCAAGCTAACAGGTATAAATTCATCAGCTTTGGACATGTTTGGTAGTGTGCCCCCAACAAAAGTTTTGTCCGGAAGAGTTTTTAAAAAGTTTCGTGGGCGCAGGGTGGACACGCACCGACGATCTGAGAGTGTTCCAGAGATCGTTCCTCGCCAATACGAGAAAGACTCAGAAGAGTCCCATCCACCCGGAACAAGCACCATTGTTAGTAGCCCTGTTATTATGGCATATGATCAAATTCAAGGCCCGCACTCTGCTCATGGCTCACCATACGAAGTCAACGCTTCAAGGGTTCCTGCACCTGAGATGAATCCGATAGAGTTACACAAAGCTTACGATCCAAAACTCGGGTTAGAATCTGGAACTTTCGACGACAGTAGTGGCAGATCGGTATCACAGGATCGTTATGCTACTTCGCTCGTACCATGCAGTTACATACCGGAGTCCGACATGAAATGGGCGCCAATAACGCAAAGCGAAATGCAAAACACACCTCACGAGCAGAAGAAACTACCTTCACGAGAGGAAGAAGCTGTAATTGCATCAACAGTAGAAGAGACCCCAAGAGAGCCATATATTTTGAGCACTGGCATGGGTGAGGTAAATGATGAGACTTCACGCAAAGATGCATATAAGGAATACAGCTCCAGCAATAAGAGTTTTGCGTTGAAAGCTCAGGAAACAAGTCCCAAAAAGGATGCTTCGGGTTTCTCATCTAATGAAAAAATTAAAGCACCGTTTCAAAAATGGAATGAGAGCTCAAACATGGACGAGGGGAATGATCACTTACCACAATATCAGCAACGCGAAACCCCGAGTGTGTCACATCTGGTTGAGGCTGCACACCAGATCCAGCAGTTTCAGAATGTACCACCTGGAGGTGCATCATATACACATAACTCTGTACCGAGCTATGACATGAGGTACTCGCAATTTGGTTACCCCCCACCGGTATACATTGCAGCATCAACAGGTTACCCTGTTTATTCTCAAGGCCAAGGCCAAAACCAAAGCCAAGGCCCACTGGAATTATACCCTTCAGAACAACATGATACAAACACATCATCTGCCCCTGGCGCTAACAGCTCTATGTCGTCGCCAGCATGGGTGCAGCTAGCTGCACCTCAACAAAGATATATTCATAGCGTTCTTCCAGTTCCAATGACTGATTCGATTGCACAAAATGACCGCATCAGAAAGTCACATAGGAGATCGAGGTCAAAATCACAACATGCCAAATCCAAAAGCCTATCCAGGGTGCTGGACGTCAGCAATACAATCTATGCACCAACATCAGTACTAGGTTTGGAACAACAGTCAATACCAGAAGACGAGCAGGATCTCGTAGGTGGCAATTACTGGGGCATTATCTCTACGTCGGATTCCGAGGATGCTCCTCCAATACCAATCCAGTTGTGCGAGCCACCGCTGAGCGACTCTGTACCTGCCAATGTGGAAGCGCTGAAACCGGATCCAGAGCCGCGTAACAAAAAGCGCTCAAAGTATACCCCTGATCAAGATTCCGTTATCCTGGAGTTAAAAGCTGCAGGGGCTAATTGGGCGGAGATTGCTGAGCGAGCTAACTGTGACAACTCCCTAGCAGCTAGAAATCGGTACCAGGTCCTAATTGGCCAGCAGGGAGGGGGGACCTATACATGGAACCAAAGTGACTGTGAGGCTCTCCAGAGCTTGTTAGATGAAGGTGAGCGGGCCAAATGGATTTTCATTGCAGAGGAGATGTGCAAGCGACGCAATAAAAAGTACACTATCGAAGCCTGTCATTACAAAATTTCACAGCTGTTTGCAGAAAACCCGGAGGCATTCGAAGTAGTCAGGTCGCGTGAAAAAATAGGCGGTGGTGCGCCTATGCGTCACAGACCTTTGAGGTCAGGTTCCAGGCGCCCCTCTTCGGCAGGGTGACATCTTATACGGGGTTCCTTCAAAACAGTACGTTTTTGAGATCTCAGGTTTTCATTCATATCGTTTTCTTTTGGAGCTCAAGGACCAAAGAACAAGTACATATTGAGACTTCTGAATGAAACCAAAAGCATCAAATTTCTTATCTATGTAGTTACAAATAGCTTATTTTTCAAGTTATAGCTCACATGCCAACAGATCTTTGGCCTTGTTGCGCAATTGATTGATGCTCTTCACAAAGATCTCGTCCGGTTCCATGGCGCCAGTGCTCTCCACGTTGAAAATGAAATGGTTCCGCACACGGCCGAGCTGAACCTTGTCTCTGAATTCCGGATGCCTCAGGACCTCTCTCGAGACTGTATCACGTCTTGGATCGACAACTACAGCCTTATTGTTTTTGATATCAATGACGCCAGGAGAAAAGCACTTCTTGAGTTTTTCAGCTTCTTCACCAGTGATATCTTCAGTGAGGGTGATAGAGGGCATAAGACGATAAGAGGCAGTACTCACAGGACTAAACTTGGCGTGGTCACTGCCGACGCCGAGCACTGCAAAGCAGTACAGAGAAATTTCCTGCCCAGGACGAAGTTTGCAAAGAAGAATGTCGGGGGATGCGACGGTAGGAGGAGGGTCCATGAATTCGAGTTGTCCTTCTTGAGGCTGAAACTTCAAATCACGGGCATAGACATTAGAATTGATGTACAGCTCGTTAGGATCTTCGCTACCAGCCGGTGCATTCTTGTTGCGCTCGCACTTGACATTGAGGGAGAAAATCACAGTGTTGCGGGAGTTGTTTAGTTGACTTTCGCCGTTTTCGTCGACGGCTTCCTGAGTAGGATCAACCCAGTCCAACCAGTCCGGTGACAAACGCAGAGGGACCAGTCCTATGCGGGATGCAAGAACCTCATCCTGAATGACAGAGGTGTTCATCTCAATAAATACACTGTCGATAGCGACACTGGGAACTTCGGCAATCATTATACGGCGGAAAGCATTGGCCAAAGACGTATCAATACCTTTCAGGTCGAAGTTGGCTTCGTTGTCGGTGAGGAAAGAAATGTCGATATCGAAGTTCTTTTTAAATGTATCTAACGTCCAATCTTCATCCTCACCTGAGATGTTTCCGGGGTAGTCCCTGCTCCCGGTGTTGGCAACATGATCTTGATAAACGTTGATCATTGCCTAGTAAGATTGAGAAAAAAAATTGGATTATGGAAAATAAAGATCTGATGGATTACCTAATCAACAATTTGAAGTCTCATTCAGTGCTCGATGAGCGTTGCAGACATTTCGAGGCAGTTTGAAGCTTGGACGTGGATTTGAGGTGATATATTGTCAAACTTTGGGGTGCATAGATTTACAATTCGACTCCCCAAAAGTTGTAGACTTGTTGGAATTCTGCCACTTGAAGCATACACCTGGAGTCAAGCTGGTCAAAAGCCAGATGTTGCGCATACATCAGGAGAGCAATGTCGGATACAGAATCACGGGAGATTTGCATCTTCTGAGGACCCCTGATCTTACCACTATCCACTCAAGCGAGTACCCAGATTGCAAAGCGGATCGCAGGACAATATACACGACGGTTGGAGTGAGAGCAGGCCTAGCAGTTCAAAAATCGCTCTCAGGGGCTTGTACAGTGCAATTGAGCAAAACTTTATTGGTGCCGCACGATTTTGCCTCTAGGAGCAGCCTGCCATTCATTGTATTGCTTGCATTGCCTGCATTGGGCTGGCGTTCGTGCAAGTCTGGAATCCCTGGGTATTTTATCTGCCCCGAAATTCAGATCGTACGCTTTCCTTTTTGGAGACAAAGTCCGACCTAGCTTATAATACTTCGTGAGCTTTTCAGAGCACGTTAGGTCCGTCTTTAATCGGCCGCTTACATCACAAACTCTCAATGGAACTTCCAATTCCCAAAGGCTACGAGTCTGTTAATGACGCGATTGAGTTCAGTGGTGTCGAGCTTTTGAATGCTGCTAGCAGTGACCCTAGTGCACAGGCGAGAGATCTGCTTGGAGAGGGCATGACAGCAACGGAGAGCGATGCTGATTCGCAGCTCTTGCTTTACATTCCTTTCATGAACAACGTCCAGGTCGCAAGCATTCTCCTAAAAGTAAACGAGGAATCACAGGTCCCTAACCGAGCCAAGGTCTGGAACAGTCTACCTGCAGCGTTGTCATTCGAGGATGCGGAGAGCCAGAAGGCACCGTTTGATGGTGCCGTATCGAGCGTCAAAGAAGGATGGCGCGAAATCAAGCTGAGGTTTGTTTTGTTCCAGAATGTATCGTCATTACTTGTTTTTTTGGATGGTGAAGACCCTGACACCGCCACTGTGTTGGAGAGATTAGTTATTGTCGGCCGAAAGGGTCAGACGCGCGCGCAAGCGCCTTTACAAAGCCTCGAGGACGAGGACTAGAAAATAGAATATAATAATAGCATTAAATAATTATACCGAAAGGCTAAGAGAGCCCAGGGGATATTAGACTAAGGGGCGTCAAAAATAAAAACGAAAGATTGGTAAACGTTTGCCAGCCGTTCGACAGGCTGATCAGTCGTTTAGGCGAAATAGTGGCTGGGGCGCCTTGAAAAGCCGGAGCATATTTTGCTGGTAAGTGCCACTACGGCGAACGCGATGAAGTAAATACCGAGCTTCAGCATCTGGCAATATCTTTTGGTGAGTAGGGTGTGTGAGTTGGGAGCGTTATACTTTGAGGTTTATATATAATTGCTGCACACAACGTTGGCATGAGCCTGCCGACATGTGACAGTAACCTCGAGCGGTCATATGACAAAGCATGTGAAGCGAATTTTCTCCGAGACCTCTTTGGAACCTGCTTTCGGCCCAGGTTTTTAACAGTGGGCTAAACTCTAAAAAGATTTTGCCACAACGGGGTTGTAACTCGCTGATAATGTAGTCTTTTGCTGCTCTGGCATCAAGTTGTTTTTGGTGGCGCTGGAAGATCGCAGAGGATTACCACTAGCTTGCATGCATATCTGCAGGAAACGAAAATATTTGTACGGAGATAGCAGAGGCAGAAGCGAGCCTAGATAAATCGCGAAACGGACACAGACATGAGCCTGCGTAGGCAAATATGTATATTTTCCAGCAAATTTCCTCAGACCAGCACTCAAACCCACATCTTGAATTTTCCAGTTTCGGCACAACGCAAACGGCTAGGGCAGGGGCCGCATTGGATCAGCCTTGGTTTAGCTCGGCGTTGTTGTGGGTGCCGAGGATCACAGCGGTACGCTTAGTGAAGGCATTTGATAATCATGAGTCATGTGTAGGCGATGGATATTCTGGACGGGGCTTCCGGGTAAACCTAATATCTTAGTCAGAGAGCTCCCCTGGCACACGCTGGCCAACCCGCTAGTAAAAAAATTTTTCCCACACGTAATATATATCCCACTCGGACCATTCTTCCCAACAATAGTTTTTTTTTCACACAAAAAACAGAAAACAAAATGGCTAGTGAACAACTTGATGTCATTGATGGCAACATCACCTCCAACTGGGACGAGACCGTTGAGACTTTCGATGCTTTGAACCTGAAGGACGAGCTGCTGCGCGGCATTTTCGGTTTCGGTTTCGAGCACCCCTCCACTATTCAGCAGCGGGCCATTCTGCCCATCATTAAGGGCCACGATGTTCTTGCTCAGTCTCAGTCTGGTACCGGTAAAACTGCCACCTTCTCCATCGGTGTTTTGGAGAACCTCGACCCCTCCATCCGCCACACTCAGGCCCTGATTCTGGCCCCCACCCGTGAGCTGGCTCTCCAGATCCAGAAGGTCGTCAGCGGCCTCGGTGAGTTCATGGAGGTCACCTGCCACGCCTGCATTGGTGGTACTTCTGTTGCTGATGACATTCAGAAGCTTACCCAGGGTGCACAGGTTGTTGTTGGTACTCCTGGTCGTGTTTTGGACATGATCGAGCGCCGCTACCTCAACACCAGCAAGATTCGCATGTTCGTCCTCGATGAGGCCGATGAGATGTTGAGCCGTGGTTTCAAGGGCCAGATCTATGACATTTTCCAGATGATGCCTGCCAAGTTCCAGGTCGTCCTTTTGTCCGCTACCATGCCCTCCTCTGTTTTGGATGTCACCACCAAGTTCATGTCCAACCCTGTCCAGATTCTCGTCAAGAAGGATGAGTTGACTCTTGAGGGTATCAAGCAGTTCTACATCAACGTTGACGACGAGATCAACAAGGTGCCTACTTTGATCGATCTGTACGAGACCATCACTGTTGCTCAGGCAGTTATTTTCTGCAACACCCGCAAGGCTGTCGAGTACGTCCAGGAGGAGCTCACCAAGAACGACTTCACTGTCTCTGCCATGCACGGTGATATGGATCAGCGCGAGCGTGACACCATCATGCAGGAGTTCCGCACTGGCTCTTCCCGTATTCTTATTTCCACTGATTTGCTTGCTCGTGGTATTGACGTTCAGCAGGTCTCCATCGTCATCAACTACGACCTCCCCACTAACAAGGAGAACTACATCCATCGTATCGGTCGTGGTGGTCGTTTCGGTCGTAAGGGTGTTGCTATCAACTTGATCACCAACGACGACGTGCCTGCTCTTCGTGAGATTGAGATCTTCTACCACACTGAGATCATCGAGATGCCCGCTGATGTTGCCGATCTTATTGGTTAAACGGTTTCCGGTTGCGTTTTAATTTATGTAGGAGGAGCTAATTCTCAATAGATTTACACCGAAAAGAATAAAAATAAAACCCCTGTCTAATTCCCCCGTTCTTTTGCCCAATCCCCCTGTGGTCAATGCGGCTTTTAAGTCACGCTCAGCACACTCAGACGCCCGCATTTGGTAATCATCAATGGAAATTACTGCAGGACCACATGGGGACACAATCTCCAAGGTTTGCTGTGGAAGTCGGTATATTCTTACGACTTCCTGGGATTCGACTGCGGCGCTTTGCAACTATGACGGCCGCAGCGCTCTAAGAGCCACTTTTGATGGGCCGGTACTGTCAGGGTGCTTCTCGAGCGACGAGTCTCGCCTTTTCGTTGGAAGCACTGAGAAACGGGTCGCGATGGTCGATATCGAGAGCAGCAAAATCAGTGGCGTGGGGTCCGTGTTTTCTGCGCCCGTGTCTCAGGTCTGCCCAAATGCTCCCGGTGGACCATGGAGTTTAATCGCGGCTAGTCAAGATGGGCATCTACAAACCATTGATGCTCGGCAGCCCGGGGGAATTTCCTACAAAATTGACCCAAAGGTCGTATGTGCGGACACAGCGAGTAACACCTTAGTATTAGGTCTCGAGGATCGTGGGGTTCAGGTACTAGACTTGCGACAGATTTCCAAACCGCTGTTCACTCGCAAGCTTAATCTGGAGCACCCCTTAGCCCAAGTTCGATGCTCTGTGGACGGCAAGATATTCGCAGCCTCCTCTTTGGCGTCGAGAATTGTTGTTGAGAAAGCTGAGCCCCAGCCTAGCGCTGAGAACTTTTTGTTCAGAGCGCATCGAGTTGCGACAGACAACGGCTACGACGCGCACGCTGTATTTGGGTTGGCATTCCATCCTCTAGATAATAATATTCTTGTGACAGGAGGCACTGATTGCAGTGTTGCAGTGTGGGACCTGAAAAAACGTGAATGCATAAACTCCTACTGCAACTTGCTCTACAACGTGTCTGGCCTCGACGTGTCCCCGGCTGGTGATTCAATGGCAATTGCCCTGAGTTCAATGCCGTATTTAAGAACCCCAGCCCAATCCAAGAACTCGAACCCGTCGACCCTGTTGATCAAAAAAAATATCAAGCTCGTGTAGAGCAACGGCCTGTATTTATTGTTTTAGACCTTTTTTAGCTTCTGGGAATAGAAATAAACCTATGAAGATTATGCTGTTGAAGCGTAACGGCTATGTTAGAGGTCCTTATGGGTGAAATGGCGATTACCACCTGCACCAACATAATTACCTGCGATGTGGCCCTTTCCTTTCAGCAAGTACTGATAGGACATGAGGCCCTCGAGCCCGACAGGACCCCGGGCATGTAGCTTGTTTGTTGAAATACCGACCTCGGTACCGAAACCATACCGATAGCCATCAGCGAAACGAGTGGAAGCGTTCCAGAATACACCGGCAGAGTCGACGCCCTTTTGGAAGGCAGCGGCGTCTAAGGCATTCTCGGTAATAATACAGTCGGTGTGATGAGATCCGTGCTCGTTGATATGATCGATAGCTTCCTGTAATGACTCCACGTACTTGACGGCTACAGTCAAAGCTAAGAACTCTGTGTCAAAGTCTTCTTCTGCAGCCTCGACGATCTTCGGCTCATCTGGCAGAGCCTCCCGGGCTCTGGTGTAGAGGTTGTGCTCGAGCTTCACGGTAACGCCAGCGTCCAGAAGAGCCACGAGAATAGAGCGGAGGACATCGAATTGAGTATCCTGGTGAATGAGAACTGTCTCCACTGCATTGCAACCTGCAGGGTAGTTGGTCTTTGAATCAACAATGATCTCAGCCGCCATTTCGGCAGTTGCATCCTTATTGGCATAGATGCTGCAGATGCCGTCGGCATGGCCAAGCACAGGAATGGTAGTGGAGCGCTTTATGCTGCGAACAAGCTCGTTGCTACCGCGGGGGATGACCATGTCAATATACTTGTCACAGTGCAACAAGTCGGCAACCTTTTCGCGAGTTGCGATCAGCTGCAGCGAGTCTGTGGGAACCGAGGTTTTTGCCAAAGCAGTGCGAATGACTTCGGCCATGGACTGGAATGTGTGGGAGGACTCCTTGCCGCCTTTGAGAATAGCAGCGTTACCACTCTTGATGGCCAGGGCACCAATGTTGGCAATAACCTCAGGACGGGCCTCAAAGATCACCAGCAAAACGCCAACCGGCGAGGCTACACGTTCGAGAACCAATCCGTCATCCAGTTCGCGCAAAATCGACTGGCGCCCCACCGGATCCTCCAGCGCCGCAACATCAAGCACTCCCTGGAGCATAACGTCGAATTTGTCTCCTTTGTTAAGGTCCAGGCGTTTGATGAGGGCTGGGCTCAAGTCTGCCTGCTCAGCAAGCTGCAAGTCCAGACGGTTGCTCTCCAAGATTATGTCCTTGTGGTCTCGAAGGTGGTCGTGGATGGCCTTGAGGGCCGAGGTGCGCTTATCATTGGATAGGGTCTTTAAAGTATTTGCCGCCTTGCGGGCTGCTTTGGCTATTTCCATTTTCGATGCAGCTTCGTCTCTCAGCAAGATTAGGTTGCGTTATAGATAAATTGACAGAGCGGGAACTGACAAACTCAGCGAAGGTTCTGCGGAGGCAATTTAGTCATTTCATACCACTTGCAGAGTCATCGCCCAAACCAGACACGGGGGGTAGTAGGTAGGTCGATCCCTTTAGGTCAGCGGCTTCACATGGGCAATAATAATGGACAGCGTGCTAGAGACGGTGCAGAGAGCGCCATACAAGACCAATGAGCTGGCAGGGAGGGCTATTATAGTACTTGAGGGGGCATCTATGTCTGAGCTTTCGTACGCACTGGCAAATACATCAATTACCCCCACAACGATAGCGAGAGTCATTGCGTTCAACTCGCAGCTGGCCCGTAACTTGCCGCTCAATGAGCAGCTGGAACTGCTCTCGCACATTCGTGCGTTCATTGCGGAAATATCCTGGGCCGAGGCTGAACTGTATGCCTCTGGCATGGACAGACTCGTTGCGAAAGTTTCCGAAATGGAGGAGAAACTGTTGGTTCTGAAGGCCCATATTTTGTACGATTTTGCTCAGAGCTTTAATAAACACCACGGCAATTCTGAAATTTCGCTGGCGCATTGTTTGTTGGTCACGACGGTCGGCAATTCTATGCCGGCCCTGACCGAGGCCATCTTAGGAACCAGCCGGTTAGAAGCAGCGACAAAGGTGCTTGTGCCCACAAAGCCCCAGCTCTGGGGGTATTTTTATCACGGTGCAGTGTTCTGCAGTGTCCACAAAAAGTTTGATCCCGCGCTATCCTACGCAGTTGCCTCGTTGGCTCTCTCCAACCGCGGATCGTCGAGGGACAGCGCTCTGCTGGTCACCGCATTGAGTCTTATAGTCAATGGCGAGCCTTGGCCGCTCAAGTTTGGGTTCGAAGAATCTGATGCCCGGATATGCCTGAAAATAGTATTGTCTTGGTTTGAAACGCTATCTGCGAAATCAGAAATGTGGAGTAAGGAAAGAATCCAGACCACGGTGGTTCCCTCGCTAGAGGCCGAGGGACTGGGCTATTTGGCTCCGCACCTGGTTACTAGCTTTCGCCTTCATCGTCTGCGGGCGCTGCATCGGACCATCAAGCGAACTGCTTGGTCTCGGCTCGAGGAATCCGGGCACGAGTCTCTGGACACCTTGATCGAGGCCGGATACAGGGCCCAGGTGTACATGCAACCCAACATGACGATCATCGAGAGTCCGGACTACGACACGCCGCTGGAAGAGCTTTACGACCTGCTGGAACAAGTTCTGCAAGTTTCGAAGCAGATCGGAGAGGGCAAATAATGCATATTGTGAATAAAAAGAAAATATTTATGTACAAACGGTGTGGCGAGGCCCTGACGAAGGCGCACGTTAATTCTCGTCCTTGTCCTGAAAGCCCAATTCCGACATCTTGAGCTGTTCCATGAGGTCGTGGTCCATGCGGCACTTGAGATAGCGGCGGGCGAGCTCGCGGCAGTTGGGGGCATTGTTGCCGGACACCAGTTTAAGACACGACAGGTAGTCGTCGCAGAGCTTTTTACACTCGCCATAGTGGTCCAGCGGGAAGGATCCCCGTTGGGGTGGAATAGGATTGAATCCTCTGCCCAGCCCAGGAGCGCTCGCTGCTGACATTGATGTTTGTGAGAAAATTAGTCGTCCTGGCCTCCAGTGTTCAGGCCGGGTGGGATTGGATAAGAGCCGGCGCCCCAACCCTTAGAGTGCCTAGGGTTGGGGGGATGACTGAAGTGGTGGTGGTTGTGATGGCGCCACCGCCGGTTGTGGTTGTGGCGGGGCGGTCGCAGCCTTCTGATGATGGTACTCCAAAAAGGCTAGTCGCGAGTCCTGCTGAGAGAGTCGCATTTCCAAAACGTTTATTCTCGACGTGAGCTCCTGGATTATTTGCCACGCGTTTGTTGTCGGCATGGAAATGCCGTCTCCTGGTCCCATTGCAGGACCTGCTGCAGTGGGTGGGGCGGCAGGTGGCGGCAACCTACCTGACAGTTCAGGCATGGGCAGGGAAGCACCCACGGCTGTGGGCAATGTTGATGGCCCAATGGCGGTATTTTGGTTGCCTGATTGATGAGGAACAATGGGGACGAACTCGGGGCCTATTAGTTCTGGTCGTTGGGCAGACAGGTGGCCTGACACCTTAAGAATGACCTTGTTTTTGGCCGCCTCGACCTCCTCCATAAATCTTCTATGACAACCATTTTCTGGCCTTTGATGCCTCATTAGGGCGTCTGCTCTGGCAAAACTGCGTCCACAGCGCTGGCATTTGTGGGGTTTTTTGTTGGAATGCGTGAGTTTGTGTCTATTCATATCGTAGAATCGCAAAAACTCTTTCCCACAATCACGGCACTTGAACGTCTCTTGCTTTTGGACGGCTGGCACGGGGCATCCTGGTCGTGGAATCCCGGGCTCGTGAACGGTTTTAACGTGCATTGTCGACAGAGTTTCGGTATTCTACTTGGATGCGGCTCAAGCTGCTACTCTTGTGGCGGAGGTCAAAATGGTGGCTTCCCAAGGATGCCTGCTGTGGCTGATTCAAATAGAATGCTGGGAGAGTACTACCTAACATCGGCGAAATGCAGCCACGGCGCTCGCCGGCCGAGGCAACGGCTGATCGCACAATGCCACAAATTTGACCTCCTTATTCCGTCGCTAGATAAATTTTTGTAGAACTACTGGTCCCGTGCGGCGCTGGTTCACCAAAAATTCTAGTGTGCACATGATATTGTGCAATAACCCTTCACCCTAGAGCTGCATATCGGCTACATTGAGGTAAAAAAGCTCAAGAAAATCGTGCTGTGGAGCACAAGGTCCCTTGCGGCGAATTTTCTCTTGATCTCGCCTCCTTTCTTGTCGTAGCGCTGTGTTTTTTATTTACTATCTTGTTACTAGTGTCTCGTCGACTTTCTTAAACCCCTCTAGTTAACACCCTTCCCTCCCCACCGCCCTCCCCCCTTCCCAGGCCTGGCCCTCCCTGGGAACAAGCCTGTGACAACCTAAGCATCAGTCTGTTCAGTCCCACGGAGTATGGACGATATCATTGGAGCCGATGTTATATTAAAGGCATTCGGTTCTCCTGGTGACCAGGTCAGTACAGACATATTGAGGCCGTTGAGTTCCACTGAGAGTCCCCACTTTCCAAGCTGGCAAGATGCTGCAAATGCCGTTGGCATCGCTTCTCCGGGATCCCACAACGACAGTCGCCCGCATATTGACCGTGTGGACAGGACAATTTTAGCAAGTGCAGAGCCGCTGGCGGCCAGTTTTGATTGCTTGTTATGCCCCTTTTGCAAACGGCCCTCGCTTAAAGACTTGCATGCCGTTCATGTCGCCGAATGTATCAAGAACCCGGAATCCGAAGCCGGTAAAAAAGCCGCCGCGACTCGCCAGAAAACCAAGCCAGAAGTAAAAATTGAGTCGCCTGCGATTGCCGAGAAAAAAATCGAGGTCAAAGTCGAAGAAAAACCTGGCAAGAAACGCAAAGCCCCTGCCTCAACCTCGGCCACGGCTCAGCCTGGAGAGCAAGGTAAAAAGCGCGCCCGCAAAGAACGTCAGCCAAAACAGCCGAGAGCCAAGGCTCCGCTTAATCTCGACAAGCAATGCGGTGTTGTTCTGTCTAATGGCAGTCCCTGTATGCGTTCTCTTACTTGCAAGGCCCACTCCATGGGAGCCAAACGAGCTGTTCAAGGCAGAAGCATGCCCTATGATGTCTTGCTCGCCAACTATCAGCGACAAAATCAAATCAAAGCAGGCTCCAACATCAAATCATCTGAGCCTGCCGAGCCAGAAGAACCGCTCAACCCAGAAAAGGAGTATCAGCAGATTGTTGAGGGCATGCGTAAAGTCCATTGTATTCCCCTACATCGCAGAGTTCTTATGCCTACACGCATGCGAACCAGGAACTTTAGACTCCGCGAAATGTTGGCGCTGGCGCTACTTCCTCGCGGAATGTCCGGCACTGGAGATTCCCTCTTTGGACGGACTTTAGCATTCCGACCTGAGAACCCCAGCCATCTACAATATGTTCGTGCTCCTGCTGTTCAGCGAGCGATGTATCTAGCCGCACTACAGCAGCAACAGCAGCAACAACGCCAGCAGCAACAGCAGCAGCAACAGCAACAACAGAGAAGATAGTTTAATAGTTTGATACTATGGAAAGAAAAGATCAACTCACCAAGTCATGGAGTCAAATAGAGCAGGTATAAACCAACGCAAAAACGAGTAGAACCAACTAAGGAAGAACACAAACAGGACCGCAGCACCTACCAATGACCATTGCAAAACTTTGAGTTGACTCTCCACGACACGTCCGTCGTCACGTTTCATCTCTTGTGTAGCCTTGACTAGGCTATCGAGGTTTTCCTCCAAAGTGCTCAAAGAGAACTTCGATGCAACTCTTGCATACCCAGCATCACCCATTCGCTTTAGCTCCTCGGGTTTGGCTTCAAGAATAGCCCACCCCATCACTTTGTACCATTCCTCAACATCGGGTTTACGCAAGAACCCAGTTTCTCCGTCAACAATAGTCTCCAACGGACCACCGGTATTTGTTGCCAAGACAGGCGTGCGTGCTTTCATTGACTCGAGAGGAACGATGCCGAAATGCTCGTTAGTAGGCGTGTATAGAGTAAGGCGGGCATTTTCAAGAAGATAGTTGCGCACATCGTTCGACACCGAAGGCAAAAATACAACCTTGGTGTTCTTGTCGAGCTTGAACGGCTCATCAGGGAAGATGGTTTTGTGAGGGAGGCGGTATTTAGATGCACGCTGCTGCAGCTCTGCCAAATGCTCGACATTCTCAGAAACACGCTCGTCGTAGCCTCCCGCAATCACCAAGAGTGACTCACGAGCCTCAAAAGTAGAGTGCAATAACAAGCTGTAACTTTCGAGAGCCAATTCGAGATTCTTCTTACGCTCAAACCGGTTGATAGAGATCAGGACAGGAACCTGTGTCCACTTTTTCAACTGGCGAAGTGTCACATGGTCCAAGTTACTCTTTTCTGACTCCTTAACGTCCACAACTGGATAGAGCACACTAGGCTCGGGCATGTTAGGGCCAAAAGTGTCTCGGTAGATCCCCTTGGTGAACTCTGAGTTGACCACAATCTTGTCGGCGATGCCAGTTGTCCATTTCTCCAACGCATCGAAAGGCAGCCGATAAATCTTCTTTAGAATACTTTTTCGTTCAGTAAGAAGCAAGTCTGGGAAGTGGCAGTAGAACAGAATTCGTGATCGCGTGCTTCCCGTGTAAATTACGGGGATGGCCGCCGAGAGCTGATCTATGACATAGACATCGAAATTGAGTCTTCGTGCGCGGATCTGCTCAACCAGATGGAGTTGCCGTAAAACTGCACATAAAATGGCCCCACGGCCAAAGATATTCCTGGGGAAAATCGAGTTACCTAGCACGACCACATCCAAGCTGCCATCTTTCGTCTCTGGAAAACAGTGCTTTTTGTCGTGATGAGACGTGAAAATAGTCACTTCGTGCCCACGATTCTTTAGAGCAAGAGCTGAGTCCACGACGAGCCGCTCTGCTCCGCCGATTCCAAGATCAGGATGCAAAAAGGCGACCTTCATATGAGTAGGATGATTAGTGTGCAGGAGACAACGTCTTTTGTACAAGATTCAGACTGCGGAACTCTTGTAGGCTGAGTTTATTTATTGTATCTGAGCAATATATAGAGTGCCCGCAGGACGAATTTGTGAGCTGCAAAGAAAAGACCTCTAGCGCGCAAACGCCCAAGCTTACACTGACTATGAACAATGCCATTTCCAAAGTTAAAGAGTATTTGGAGGAGGCAGAGCTCGAAAAAATCGCAAAAACATTAATTGTGCCCAGCCATGACGAAAAAGTGCGTGTTTATCTCCGGTTCCACAAGGAGCCAGTCACGTTGTTTGGTGAAGACAGAGCCGATAGACGAGCCAGACTCCGCAAGGTGATGGCTCTTTGTAAAAAGCAAGACAAGCCGGTATACCCGCCCAAAGAAGATGAATCAGAAGATGAATCTCCAATAGACCGCACACTTAAGGGCACTGAAGAACTACGGCAAGCGCGGTTGTTCATTGCACACGATTGTATTCCTCGGTCTAATGCTCGACTCGCTGATGAAAAAGCGCTGTACGACAGCTACAAAGCGGACGAAAAGAGTTTTATTTTGAGTGAGATTGATAAAAGACGACAGCTACGATTTGAGTTGGCGAAAATCACGCCCTACGGCTCGCAATCGGGATTCCAAAGACCTGTTTCTGCAGTAAATTTCCACCCAGATCAAGATGTTCTTGCAGCTGCTGATTGGTCTGGAACAATATCTTTATTCGACCAAAATACTCTCGAAAAAGTGGCAAGCTCCAGTGAACACAACGGGAAAGTTACAGGGGTTGTGTGGGGTGACAACGTCTTGGCGAGCGGTGCGCAAGATGGCCGGATTCTGCTCCATGATTCTTCTCTCAACCAAGTTGCCGTACTTTCAGGTCATACTTCCCGAGTTGCAAAGTTAGACTTTCACCCAACAAAGAAATATCTGGCATCTGCTGGTTTCGACGAGGTTTGGAACTTGTGGGATTGCGAAAAAACCACATGCCTTTTGTCTCAACCGGGTCACTCAAAACCACTATATACTGTTTCATTTCATCCTGATGGCAACCTGCTCTTATCCGGCGGTCTAGACGGTATTGGAAGAATCTGGGATCTACGGTCAGGCAAGTCTATCATGGTTCTTGACGGTCACCTGCGTGAGATTTACTCTTCAGGCTGGTCGTTCAATGGATACAACTGCTTCACTGGCGGAGCGGACAATAATGTTCTTGTTTGGGATCTTCGTCAAGGCTTGAAAAGTCATGAAATCCCCGCTCACCACAATATTGTTTCCGATTTACACGTTACACGGGACTTTATCATAACAGCATCTTACGACCAAACCGTAAGATTTTGGGATTCTGATACTTGGGAATTGCTGCAATCTATACAGACTGGTGATAAAGTACTTTCAGTCGACTATAAATCAACCCTTTTGGGGCTCGGACGTTGGGATCGTACTATCGATATTTATTGTTAGGTGCTTGTATAATATAAATTACTCCACCGGCTTGCCTCTGCGATGTTTTACATCAACAGGATTGAATCCAGCCTCTTCAGAACCGTAATATGCCCAAGATGGCGTCTCGGCAATATAGTCCATGGGCCCGAAGTCAGTTCCGGACTCCAAAAGCTCAAAGAACTTGGCGTAATCAATATGAGTATACCATTTTTCGTTGATATAGAATCGCTTTTGTGCCAATAATACACAACAAGAGTGTGCGTGCTCAGTTGCCAAACCGTATTCCAACCCACGGCTTTGAAGCTCAGTTTCAAGGGCCTCGACGAATGCTTGGACCTCTTCATAGTACGGAACGTTCTCCATGCTGAGCACACTATTTTTTGAAGTTCCACAGTACGTCATTCCTTTAACTTCGACAAAACAAGGCTCACCACGAGCAATAAGATCTGCATAGCCTTCGACATCCTCAGCATTGAAATTCTTGACAAGCGTCAAACGGTAAACTGTTCGGTGAGTTCGCTTCTCGCGAATGATATCTAGGCATGCCTCTAGGCGTTCCCAGAAATCGCGATAGAGAGGGCGATCAACTTTTCGTAAACTCTCCTTGTCACTTGAATCGATAGAGACATAAAGCTGAGTGACACGTTTGAGCGCAGCGAGCTCTGTTGGATGCTGAGCATTGCAGACTAAGAAACTCGATATGTGTTTTGCGTGCAGCATCTCCAAGAACTCGTTAATATGAGGATAGAAAATTGGCTCACCCACCAACGAAAGAGCACAATGTCTGACAGTAAAGGCCTCGGCAAAACGAGCCGCTTGAACTCCTGGGACGCCTTTCATCATTTTGATCTTCTTGTAATGGCCCTCCAAAGCACCATCGAGAATAGCTTTAGGGGGGTCTACTTGCCAACGCCACGTTGTGCCGACAGGATTAGTGCCATGGCGCCAGCAGAAGACACACTTATTTGAGCAGGACAGTGAAGGTGTAGTCTCCATACACAAATGACTTTTAATGCCGTAGAATGCAAATTTGTAGCACGATCCTCGTCCTCTCAAAGCACTTTTAGTCCATCGACAGATTTTCACACCGGAATGAGACCCCACAACCGTATATCCTTGTTTGGTAAGTGCCTTGTAGGTAGGGGAATCTTTGGCCACCATTTGCTTTGCCTCTGCTAATTCCTTCACTCTCATAGGCTTACCCATGTCCTCAACATCCATCACACTAGGATCGTCTTCTCCCTCGTCGTCGCTGTCGGCAATATCCGCAAGCTCAGACGCCGGGGTGGGGTTGTGGAGCTCACTAGTAAGATGCTCAATATACTCATCAAAGCTCTCGTCGATTGTGGTTTTGATACATCCAGTGCCCAAGGGGAAAACGCGGCGAGCGCCCAACTTCCCAAGGTACTTATCAACGAGCTTGGCCTGGTAACAGAACTTATCCTCCTGCCCCCAGCTTTCAGAATCGCCGATGCCAAAAACTGAAAATCCAGCCAAACTAGACAAAGGGCGAGAATCGATTCGGAAATCGTTGTAGGTCTCCTTTAGACTATCAATGAAATAATCAAGAGGGCATTCAGTCTCATAACTAGGCAGGACGAGAATATAGATTGCTCCAGGAGTTTTCGGGGAAAGGAAGAATTCGTCGATATCATCGACATAGTCGAGATTCAATAGATCGGGCTCGTTTTCCATCACATGCTTAAACTGGTTGTGCAGCTTCTGCGCATAACGTTCACTTGATCCTGTAAGTGTAGAGTAAAAGATGGTCATCCTGCTCGAGGTACTTGCTGATTCTCCAATGGCCTTTGTTTTTTGGGTTTTAGGCTTCACAACCTTGCGGGGCTTCTTAATTGTAGAAGCTGGGGTAGTGAAGTCTACAGCCATTATCCGCTCTTTTTCGGGCACTTTTTTCTTTGGCTCGTTGAGTTTGGCTCTATTTTCTTCTTTGCGACGAGCAAGCTCCAGGAATGCCGTTAGCAGACATGCCAAAAGCACAAATACCCGGATCGACGTCCAAAGCCCCATTTTTCACGCTCTATGGGGGAAGTATTTTTCAATCTGACGTAACCAATGATCTATTCGTGATTTCACATAGTGATTCAACCAGAGGCTATGGCTGGACTTGCCTAGCCCACCACAGAATTGCCGGTAGGACTGAATCTGCTAGATTAGGCTGACACTTAGCTTTTAGTTTTCGTCCGTAATCTCTGTTCTGATTGTTCTTATTCTCATGTAACTAATTTCATGCACCCAAGTCTTTTGGCGAGGCCAGTTGCAGAACCGCAGATCCTAATGCAAAACCTGCTTCCAATTAATATTTTTCAATGCCCTTGTGCAGATTCGATAGGCATTCCACCAAATCACGAACGAATGTTGGGAATAGGGCACCGCAGACTGTTGAAGAACTCGTGACCCTCCTACAGCGGCCCCTCATCTAACGGGTAGACCTGCTCGATTGGACCACCCTAGCCCTACTATCGACTCATTGCAGGGGGTTAATTGTGTATAAACCTTTGGATAACTTGGTATTATAAGAAAATAGCTGGTCTACATGTGGAGTTGAAACTCTTGTTGTTACTTAGATAGCGTTCTACGTAGATCTCAAGCAGTGGGACCAATGTCTTTATCGTAAACATAGAAATGCTCATCACGGACATAGCCGTGGCGTTCGTAAAGAGACTGGGCAGTCTTATTGTCGTGGGCAGTTTGCAGCATCAAGTGAGAAGAGCCCGTCTCTTGAGCCAACTGATCAGCGCGGGAAAGAAGCTTCTCGCCAATACCATGTTTGCGTGCAGACTCGTCAACAAACAGATCATAGAGTAGCCAGAAGCGTTTCATACGCACAGAGCAAAAGAGCGGGTAAAGCTGGGTGAATCCAACAGTCTTGCCATCAAGCTCGGCATAGAATACAATCGACTCGTGGAGCTGCAAGCGCTTGAGCATAAACTCTCGGGCCTCGTCCGCTTTCTCCTCCTGCTTGTAGAATTTGCGATATCCCAAATAGAGAGGAAGAACCTTGTCGACGTCACCAGGACCCGCTTGGAAAATTTGAACAGTCATTGTAGCTACTTTCTGCGCGTACGGCTGTGCCTTATACATTCGACGGGTAGGGTATGGTTTGAGAAGGCATACATGGAGAAATGCGGGGAGAATAAGTTTACTGCAGGTGAGCCGTGCTATGGTCTATTGCAAAATTTTCCGTCCATAGGTACTGTAGCCATATCCGGGTAATGTTTTAGGTTGGGGATACTTTTCGTCTTGCATGGACTGATCTGCAATGTGGTCTGCACGTGAGACTAGGCGGGCTAATCTGAGGTCGTAAGAGTGGTGAGCCCTTGGGCATCCAGCGTGAGAAAAAGAATATTTTGAAGATGACGCGAAATTACAGACAATACGCTGGCAAAAACCTCTGATTTATCCTCTGCCAACTGAAACCTTCCTGCACTGCAGATCAGTTCGGTCCTGATATGACTGCTTTCTTGACTTTGTCATTAATCATCGTGCCTCCATGCGTTTTGGAAGGTAAGTTTTTGGAAAGTTGAGGGAAATAGTGTAGCTAACGAAGGACGCTAGACGAGGGGATTATTCCGGAATGGAGGGCCCAGTACTTGGACTACGACCAGGGGAAAAAGATTATCAAACGGCTGTGTAAAGGCGCAGACTTGCCGAAACCGGCCGAAGCGACCCCAGGGAGTTTTTACACAGACCAAAGTTACGCTGAAACCAATGTCTCGTTGAGACTACCGTCGCCTGCTTTAAATCCTCGAAAGCCGTCTCTGCAATTCAGACGGAGCAGCGCTGTAAAGCTAGCTGGTACCTCCGAAGCAACGGGTACCCCGTCTTCTGAATCGATCACTGATAGATCACCTCTCTTGGACAATGATCGGATTAGGACGTATGGTGGCGAGGCATCTGTGGATGGAACGCCCGCAGTGTCTCAACAATTGCCCTTAACTACGTTCACGAGAAACGCTACCGATGTCTTCTTCAATTGGCTGGGTGGTGAGGTCAATAAAATTGAAGAATTCTACCGGGAACAGGAAAAAGAAGCAGTGCGACGAGGAGATGAGCTCAAGAAACAGATCGATACACTACAAAAACATCGCTTGCTTCTAAAGAAGAAGAAGCAGTCAGCTGTCCCCGGACCGACACTTGCATGGCTCGATAGACTCGAATTTCCTTCAGTGCCCAAGTGTTTTAGCAACAAAAATGATATCGACGCTCGTAATTCACACAGGGACTACGGATTTCGATCTGAGGTCAATTATACGCACGCAAAGTATATGCTGAAGCGAGCCAGTTATGACTACTATCAGAACCTTTTGAAGCTCAAAAGTTACAGAGCTTTAAACGAAACTGGGATTCGTAAAATTGTGAAAAAGTTCGACAAAACTTTCCAGACTTCGTTTTTGGAGAGTTACATGTCTCAAACATCACGATACAACATGCACACGAGCAAACAGGTTGATATTCTCACGGAGGACATCATCAAGTTGTATGCGGAAAACTTTGAGAGTGGTCACCATAAATACGCAGTGGAGAAGCTGCAACGTGGTGAAATCTATGATCCTCACAACCGTAGTGTTCTCCTAACAGGGTTACTTATAGGCGCTGGATTGCCCTTATTCATTCGAGCTATATACGCCGGTGTTCGCGATTTGCATAGAGGACACGAGTTTGCAGTGCGGTTTTATCTGCAAATTTGGGCAGGATTCTTTTTCATTGATCTGATACTGCTGCTATTAAGCTTGAATCTTTACGCTTGGCAGCATTTCCGAATCAATTATATGTTTATCTTCGAGCTTGATCGTTCGATCGCGATGGATTATAGACAGTTTCCGGTTCTTCCCGCCTCATTCTTTTTTACCTTAAGCCTGCTAGGGTGGATTAACTTTGATGTTAGTGCTGGAAAGTTTGGCTATTATATCCCCTGCTTATTTTTGGGTCTTTTGGTTGTTGCATTTGCTGCACCCTATCCAGCGTTCTGGAGCACCAGAAAATGGGCAATGATGGCATTGCTTCGTTTGGTCTTGTCTGGCCTATATCCTGTCGAGTTTCGAGATTTCTTTGTCGGTGATATCTTTTGCAGCTTGAACTACAGCGTCTCAAACATGGCGCTATTTTTCTGCCTATACGGCAAAGGGTCGTGGTGGGATAATGAGACGGAAGCAGAGACATGTGGAAGTAGCCACTCACGGGTTATGGGGTTCTTAAATTGTTTGCCAGCCATATGGCGTTTCTTGCAGTGCTGGAGACGTTTCCTTGACACATACGACTGGTTCCCTCACTTGCTGAACTCCTCAAAATACTCAGCAACCATCCTCTACAACTTGTTTTTGAGTTATGTTCGGATAAATGAGGGTAACGTCACGTACAGAGCGCTTTTCATTGTGTTTGCAATTCTCAATGCAGTCCTCTCCTCATTATGGGATATTCTCATGGACTTCAGTTTGAGCATCGATCTCAGACCTGTTCTGATTTATCCCCGATGGGCATATTATGTGGCTATGTTTGTTGATCCACTCATGAGATTTCACTGGGTGCTCTACGTTGTGTACTGGGATCAGACGCAGCAATCTGCCAAGATCTCCTTCATTGTTGCGCTCATTGAAGTGGTTAGAAGGTTTGTTTGGGTCTTTTTCCGCGTTGAGAATGAGCACGCCACTAATGTTGGCCAGTCTCGTGCGTTCAAGGATCTTAACTTGCCCTACTTTTACACTGATGAAACACCTACACCTACCCAGAGTCCTACGCTGACGCAAGGGAGTTCTGCTACTGCCATTCCTTCCTCTAGGACGCAAGTCGTATGCAAGTCCGACAGTGCTTCGCCTAGATTCACAGCTGTTCAGAGAATCCTCCGCCGTGCTCATACCATGGACTTTGAGCGCAGACAGCAAGTCGCAGATACAGACCAGGAGGACTCGGACGGCTGATGACGCTTATATTTATTTTGGAATGCTATATTTAATGTTTTAGACCTGCACCTTAGCGTAGCTTGGAGGTTTCAGGCGTCTTTCGATGACTCTGGCTACCCAAATGGGAACGATAACAATCCCAAGAATCAAGGCGGCTTTGCCGTAAGCCATTGGATTGCGAGCATACGCTAGGTCGAAATAGTTGCCAAGGAACGGTATGCTACCCATGTAAAAGCCCAAAGTCACGACCTCGCACAAAATCATCGTCTTGTTCCAGGTCACGACCTCTAGCGCAACCATAGCAAGTTCTGTCCAAATAAGAGCAGTAAAACCGACCATAACCATTTTTTTGAAAAGCTGCTGGCTGAGGCCAACAAAGATCTGGCTGAGGCCCTGGATCATTGAACCTTGATAAACTGACACAAGAACCCAAATAAAGTATGACTTCCAAGACAGAGCCCGGCCATCCTTCAACTCTTTGTAGAGCTCAGGGTACATTCTAGCCAAATGCTCATCAACGTCGTGGTCAGTCACCAGCGAGAAGACAGGCATCATTGTGTAAACTGTCGCATACGCAACCATAAGCCAACCGGTATACAAAGCCAGCGGTTCGAAATTTGACGAGATTGAGTAAACCGCTTGGCAAACTGAAATAATCAGACCACGATGGATAACAAATTGCGCAAGCTTGGCACTGCGCTTGTAAGAGTTGCGCCCATGCCAAAGAAGCAGTTTAGTGAGATGGCAAAATTGGGTTACAGAAAAATCCGCTGCCAGAGAGGCCTGGTGACCTTCTTTGCCTACTATACCCACTCCGACATCAGCTGCTTGAATCATCGACACGTCGTTTCCACCGTCACCAATGGCGCAGGTTCTTTTCCCCGTAGATCTCTTAACCATTTTGGTAAGGTCAGCCTTCTGCTGGGGTGTGCATCGACAAGCAATTACAACAGGCAGTTGCAAAACACATTGAGCAAATTCAGGCAAGTTGTCCTGGAAAAACTGTAACGACTGACCGTCCATCAACAAGCAAGCATCGGGGACTTGTGAAAGATAATCTAAATGCTGATGTGCTGCATGGATAGAATCAAGCTTAGTTACAACGTGGATATATTGTCCACGGGCAACTAGACGGGATGAAATAGCTACGCATTGGGCTGTTTCAACCTTATCACCAGTAAGCATCCAAATCTTGATCCCAGCATTTCTCAAAAGCTCAAGAGAGGGTTTGATATCGTGCTGTAGCTTGTCTTCTACTCCGGTGATACCCAGTAGCTCGATATCATGCTCAAGGTATTTAGAAACAACGTTGGCAACCTCAGCATCACGGTTGCTCATGAGCAGAGACGCTTCGCCATATGCTTTGGCAAAACTGTCAAACTCCTGTTCCTCAAGTTTGCGACGGCCAATAACCAGTGTTCGCAGACCTTCGCGAGCCATGTTGCCAATTTCTTCTTCGAGCCAGTCGTTATGTTCAACCAAAGGAGCCATCACGGTATCGGCACCCTTCAGATAAAACCAAATATCTTTGGTAGCCGAGTCGCGAACTACAATACCCATTCGTTTCGAATCGGAATTGAACGGGAATAGATACAGAATCTCGTAGTTCAAGTGATGACCTGATGCACGATGGAAAATAGAAAGGGTTTTGCGATCCCGCTTGACAAGCTCTAGTCCCATCTCGCTGTTCCACTTGACAATGGCGATCTCATCCGGAGAAACGGCTTGGTATCCGCCCTCATCAGTAGGGGTTACTGAATGACAGATCGCTAAACAAGTCACGATATCACAAACACGTTTGGAGACTTCACGCTGTCCACGGCTTGCACCGGGATAAGTAGTACCCCGGGGGTTCCACGATGAAATAAAGCTCTCCACCTCTTCCATAGAGTCACCATAATAAGACATTTGACCAATGTGTATTTTTCGCAGGTCCATATCATTTTGTGTGATAGTCCCTGTTTTGTCGGTCAATAAATAATCAATGCGACCAAGATCTTCAGGAATAGTTGAAGTACGCACAATTGTCTCGGGGATATTTTTGTCGTTCTCGATTTGATATGCATAAACCGTCTTTGCCATATCCAAGTTTACTCGCAGACTCACGGGGATAATTGTGGAAAAAAGAATAAGGTAGCGGAATATATCGATATACCACTTTGGCCCAAAGCCATGGCCGGCAACTAAGACAAATGATAGTAGGAAGACACAAAAGCAGAGAATTTTTGAGATAGAATTGACCTCCAGCTCAAGCAAGCCAACCTTATTTCGAGACTTGCTAGTATTCATAGCCATTCGAGTATCTTTACCCGTGTAAACAATAATACCTTCTATACTGCCAGCAGCAACAACGGTATTTGCCCACATTGTGTTATCAATACTGAGGGGCACACTGTGACCCGATTCGCCCACGTCGATGGTACCCCAGAATGTTGAAATAGATTTTTCTGGAGGAGAGATTTCCAGCTCAATGTCATGGCTTGATACCAAAGGCATATTCTGAGTGAGAGAGCAGGCGGTCCGCAATTTCCAGTCAGTTTCGCCATCGAGTTGATCTGTTCGAATGAACGTTTCGCCATTGTGCTCGCTAGATTTCAGAACTACCAGGTCAGCTGGAACGCGCTGGTTTGTGTGCAATTGAATAATCTGACCTACACGCAAGTCTTGGGCCTTAATGCTTGATCCATTGACCAATTGGTATCGTTCCGAGTTAGCCTGGGCATCTCTACGGCGGCGCTGCCAATCATCCCACGCTTCTTTGCTCATTGTGACGAAAAGAACAAACGCAAGCGGAACAATGTACGAACTCAAATAACCAATACGTAGCGGCTGCCATATTTGCGATAGCGCCACTAACAAAAAGTACAGATTGAAAAAGAACTTGAACTGCTCTATGAGAATCATCGGCAGAAAAGTGAACGCGTTATACTTTGCATTAGAAATGGAATTGGTCGGGAAAGAATAGCCGCGCATGTCAGGCGTCTCCGTGGAGATGCGACGCGCACGGTCAGAAGCACGTGTCGCCGAGCTGGCCATCAACGGCTGCGACGATTCACCACCATGATGAGATGGCCCCTGGGGCGACGAAGCAGTATGTCCCAAATTCATTAAAGGAATATCTTCGGTGGCCATAAGACCGCGTTGTACTTTGCCAAGAAGGTATCTCACCCCGTTAAACAGAATTCGTCGCACGGTCAAAATGGAGAAAGCTCGGAAATCGCTGCTGACTACTTTGCAGTATTAGGTTGGCGGAGATGGATCGGTTATTGGAGCAACTAGAGGAGGAAATAACGACTCTGGTGGACAGAATATCACATTACCAGCCAATTGAAGAATGTTCAAGGTCCATTTTGCAGCTGGATCGAGATGCCGTGGCTGCGCTGGAGGAGCTTCGCGAACACTACAATGCGTGCCGTCGGCTTGAGGCATTGAAAGTAGAAAGTGCTCAGCTGGATAACGAGATAAATGAGACCCTGGTTGGCCTTTCTGAATGCCGAAAGCTGCTTGAAACAAAGCCTGTTCACGACAAAGCTGGTGAGCCGATTGCCGCTGATGTTTTACTTAATTATGCTACTAAAATCACCCGGTTTACCAAGAAGTTACCGGGTATCGAGGTATTACCGTGGCCCACCGAGGACCAAATCCGCAAAGGAATGCTGGCGACTTTGGCAGTTCAACGGCAGGAAGAACAGCTTGAGCAGGCTCAGGAAGCTGACGAGCTTGAGGAGACGAAGCCAGAACAACAGCAACATCAACAACCTGTCCCGAAAGCAGATCCAGAGGTCAAAAACGCACTGAGGCCGCGCCAATCGGCTCCCAAACAACTTATCAACCTCGACCTCGATTCCGACTCTGACTAGATGGCCACAAATTCAACTTCGGAAGCGTTCTCCCATTGTTCTTCAAGGGAGTCGAAAAAGTGCACGCTGTCCTTGTCAACTTTGATAACACTGGCACCTCGAGAAAGCGCGGCATTGATTGCGGGCAGGTGCCGGCTCATGTCACCGTCACCAATTATGGCATAGATGCCAGCGTCGTTGAGCACAGTCTGCAGCATCGACAAATATCCCATGGGCTGTTCTTTGATATCGGCACTGTAACAACCGATTAGCTTCTCGGCTTCATCGAAGAATTGCTTGGTTTGAGTCATGCGTCCAAGTCGCACAAGATTGGATAACGCAACGCCGTTAGATGAAGGTTCGGCAGAGTCGAACCCGGATTTAGGACGGAAAATAAGCCAGGGCCAGTTCTGAGAAGCATAGAAGCCGCCGCGCGGGTCGCTAAACTTCTTAATCGCTTCTAGTTGCAAATTCCTGGCTCGTTCAAGATACTGGACAATAAACGTGGCCTCATAAAGATCGAGAAGTCCCGAAATCAAGTAGGAATAGTCTTCGTGAGTGCTTGGAATACCATCTGAAGTGCGCATAAGTTCACCATGATGGAAATTCGTTTGAAACAGTAGGCTCATAGATTCAACTGCTTCGCCAAGTACGTCTGTTCGGCCAAGCTTCCAGCTGGCTCTTGCCAACGCACCAATTGTTAGACCATTCCAGCCGGTAATTATTTTCTCGTCAATAGCAGGAGGTGCCCGTTTAGCTCTGGCTTCACGCAGAGCAATCTTGCCTCGGGAGAGCACAGTCTCAATATACTCTTTAGATTTGCCAAAGGTAGCTGCCACGTTTTCAACACTCTCATGTACACTTAGAACGTTTTTGCCGGCAAGTTCGCCTTGGGGGTCAAGATCAGCGTTGACATTTCCGTTGTCTTTCACACCGTAATACATTGCATTAATATCGGCGTCAAACAGCGGTCTCTGACTGAAGACTTTCTCAAATTCAGCCATTGTCCACGTGTAGTATCCACCTTCATGCATTCTGCCATCTTCGCCCATGCTATCCGCGTCTACTCCGCTGACCCATAGGCCATCGACCCGTTGAGGTCCCGAAATAAGATACTGGCATAAATCGTCAGCGAGTTCTTGAGCAGGCTCGGTGTCTGACTCAAGGCATGCCTGCAAAAGAAGGGCTTGGTCGTAGAGCATCTTTTCGAAATGAGGCAGGAACCAATCCCGCGAAACTGAATATCGGGAAATGCCATTACCAACCTGATCTTTGATTCCTCCTTGGAGAATCTTTTTCAATGTGAACTCGGCACTTTCACCAACTTCGGGACTGAAATTCTTTCGGCTAGCTAGAATGAACCTTAGCATGTGGCCCATGGGAAATTTGGGCGCTGCAGTATACCCACCAAATTCTTTATCGAAAGAGCCCAACACTGAGTTCTCAATTTGAGAAACCAATGCTTGTTTATCAAGCTCAATTGATCCACCGGAGCTTTTAGAATCCACTAAAGACGCAAGAGACTTCACTGTCTTCGCAGCAGACTCGCGGCACTGCTGCTCATTTTGGCGCCATTGCTGATCCACAGCTTTCAGCACATCCAGCATCGGGATTGCATTGCCCATTTGTGTCTCCGAGCCAACATCAGGGCCAGCCCAGTACGTACCACCGAAAAATGGTTCCAATGACTCGGGGGTAAGAAACACATTCAATGGCCACCCTCCTTGACCATAGGAAGCCTGCAGGTACATCATATAAATATGGTCGAGATCGGGCCACTCTTCTTTATCAACTTTCACGGGCACGAAATTGTCATTAATAGCTTCGGCAACAGTTTCATTGGAAAAAGACTCACGATTCATCACATGGCACCAATGGCATGAATGGTAGCCAATGGACAGAAAGATTGGGCGATTGAGATCTTTGGCCAAAGCAAGGGTCTCTGGAGACCAATCTTGCCATGCCACGGGGTTATTTTTATGGCCTTGAAGATACGGGCTTTTTGATTGCCGCAGCCGGTTAGCCAACTGGCTGTACCAAGCAACTTTGCCCATACGATGCATTTTGTCGATTAGCTAAAGAGTTGTGTACCCCACCCACGCTGGTATGATCTTGGCACAGGAGATCGAAAAGCTCCACGAGGCTCATGAAGTGATAATGACTCGAGTCAAAAACCGAATTGCAGAGTTATCTCAACAAGCAACCGATACCTGCCTGGCAGATCTGGAAGATGCTCAAAAGGGTCCTTTTGCTGAAGCCGAAAAGGAAATTGAGGCATTGAAAGCATCGATAGCTAGCGCAAAACAGCTCGAGCAAAGAGTGATGCAATTGGAAGGGTTATATCAAATAACACAGGAACTCAGGCGCTCAGTGGCCAAGATCGAGGCGCAGTCTCGGGCGAAGGGACTTGTGTAGAATAGCATAAAAAAATAAATATAGATTGTTAGCAAAGCGAATGCTTGCGAAGCATCTCCTGGTATTTATGTTTGGTTTCGTACGACACATGAGCAGTGTCGTAGCGTCGCATTCGCACCGCAGCGTGCACAAATGCGGCCACGCCGGCGAATGTCCTACGTCGAGGCGCAGGGCTGTAAGCCGTAGCTTTTTTATCAGAATAGTTCGCAAACTCCTTCATGAAAATTAGGTCTTGGTTGGTTTGGGCCTGCTCTTGTTCGAGTTCTGTGCTGTATTTTAAGGTACAGTCAAAGGCTCGTTGAACTTTAACCATCTCCTTGATCAATTGAGTTTCGTTGTCCTCAGCCACTTGAAGAAGTTTGCGCTTTTGTGCAGACAATTTACGCTCGTAACGTGATTTCAGCTCCTCAGCCTGTTTGGTGAACTGTGACTCTGCTGTGGCAGCTCCCGTTTCAACCGCACTGGCTACCTTACGCGTGTTATCGAGTTGCAGACGATCCATTCTAGAAGTGGCCTCAGTAACCGTTTCATCGAGCTTTCGAATAGCTTCTTGACGCGCAATATCTATTTCTTCAGCTCGGAGTTCGGCAGCCTGTGCTTTGGAAGTAGCCTCAGATACAAGGGTTTGAAGTGAGCTGATTTTTGCTGCATAATGAGCCATCTGTTCTCTGAGTGAACGAACTTCATTATCGCGAACAGCAATAGTTTGATCAAGCTCATGGAACTGGTTTCTTAGCCGGGTCTGTTGTAACTCGTGCTCGGTAATTACAGTTTGGCGTAAAACAACCTGCTGCTGCGCCTCCTCAAGCTGTCGCACGACTTCAAGATGCAATTGTCGAGCTGAAAAGAGCTCTTTAGATAAGTTGTTGATTTCGGTCGCAAGTCTGGCTTGTTCACGATCCCAGGTTTCCTTGAGGCTGGCCTCAATTCGCCAAGACTGCTCTTGCAGACGCTTCTGGTCATTCTGAGAATACATGTCAACTTGGTCCTGCAAACTGGATATCTTTGATTGTGCGACCTTGATTTCTTCCTGCATAGTGTTGTACGTGCGCTCCCATTCGGTTTTTTGACGCACACTTTCGGATTTGTATACTTCATAAGCCAACTTCGTCTCTTCGAAAGAAGCACGTTCACTAGCTGATAGTGGCCGACCTTCAATTGACTCGAGTTTCAGTTGAAGCCGGAGTTTATCTGCCTCAATTGCTTTAGCTTCATTCACAGCTCGGCGGTTCGCAACTTGTAGCTGGCTCGTCTCCTGCTCAAGTTCGCGCTGTCTGTCTGAAAGCGTTCTTTGGCTTCTTTTAAGTGTTTCAACCTCCAATCTCAATCTCTCAAGCTCAGCCTCAGCTGCATTTCGTTTCTCATACTCATCTGCCACCTGAGCCTTTAGCTGCTTCGTCTCGTCTGTATGAGCCACGTAGCGTTCACGTGCAGCAAGTTCAAGCCTTTTGATATCATTAGCCAAAGATTTTGCTTCACCGCGACTAGCCTCCAGCTCGGTTTGAAGTTGCTCAACCTGAGCCTCGTATTTGCTAGCTCGGGAACTGGCGCGTTCTTCCGCCTGTTGCTGGGTTTCATCTAGGCGGTTTTGTGCTTGATCTTTCAAGAGCTCAATCTGCAATTCCAACTCACGGACTCTAGATTGAGCTCTGGCAAGCTCGGGTTTTAACTGAAGTAGAGTTGCATCACGAGTAGATTCAGCGGACTGAGCTGCTCGTTTTTCAGCTAAAATCTGAGATTCCAGACTGGTCACTTGCGATTGGAGATCCGAAATACGTTGAGACATTTCGGCCCTTGTTGTTTTGAGTTCTTCGGTTTTTTCTTTATAGTCTGCTTCAAGCTTCTCGTAGCGGGCATTTTCTGTTTCATTAGTGCGAGCATGAGCCTCTTCGAGCGCCTTAGCAGCTGCTCTTGCAGCATCGGTTTCTTGCTTTGCAGCTTGGATTTCAAGGTGTTGTACCTCAATCTTTGATTTAAGATCAGTGATCTCGTCACGGAGTTGGGCGCGTTCGATCTTTGCAGCTTCACGTTCCTCTGTAAGTTTATTAAAAAGCTCCTGACGTTCGATTCTCAATCTAGCAATATCAGTTTGAAAGTGTGTAGCTTTACCGAGCGCCTCAACCAATTGAGCACGTACTTTGGCATCATCGGCAAGAGGACGCGATGCTGCCAGCTTTGCATTCTGGCTATTAGTAGTCCGGAGCGTATCAATTTCAATATTCAAGTTCTCGATCTCATGTTCCCGCTTTTTTAATTTCTCAGCGGTTTCTTCTAGTCGATCTTGCAGCTCCTCGTACGCCAGCTCGATTTTCTGAATATCAATATTAGCATTTTGAATATCGGCCAAGTCGTCTTTGAGCTCTTCAATATACTCATTTTGATCACGAACGGTGTTGCGCGCAGTTTCAAGCTGTGATTGCAGTCTTTCAGTAGTTTGCATGGCCTCGCGTGTGTCGTGAGGTACTTTGTCTAAAGCACGTTTAAGTTCATCCACCTGGAGTCTTAGCTGGAATATTAACGAGTCCTTTTCGCTTATTATACGTTTAGATTCAAGAACGCCAAAATTGGATTTGCTCACTGATGGGCCATTCAGGAAATTGGGCTCTCGCGGTGCTAATGCCGGTCGAGGTGATTTAGGCGTGTGTCGACCAATGGAGACCATGTCGTGATCGAACTCTAACAACCCTTCTTGAGTGTCGCTGCGACTAGGCGAATCTACTGGCCGTGGCCGTTTTCGTTGCGGCGAGTTCACCGCGTCGGCCATTAAAGAGTCTGGGTGAGGATCACAAGTCGCGTTACGCGCGTTCTGAAGGTCAGTTTGGGAGAATTACGTTGCTGGGGCAACGCTTTGGGAAGTCTATGTACAACAATAGCTACTAATTTAAAGACGGCCACCAAGCTTAATACCATAATAGCCCAGAGAAAACACAGTGGCAAAATTCAAAAGAACACTGATCCGGTGCAAATGGCCGAATTGTTTGTTCAAGGCGCGCAGCTCGTCGCTGATCTCAGGGTCACGCCACGATTTGCCCTCAGCGGCTGCTTGGGCGGCCCGAGCGGCACTGACGCGCTGGCTCTTGGGCAAAATCACAACCAGATTGATAAGGGCACTAACCAATGAGATACCCAATGCTACCTTATGGCAGCGGGTGGCCACAAACGGAACCGTGAGCATAAGGAATGCGGAGCCGGCGGTCTGAAGGCCGAAATAGCCCGGGAACAAGCGGTTCTGGAGAGCAGAAAAGTTGTCTAGATTGAGGGCCTTGTAAGCCATAATCCCGGCATAAAACGATTGGTAGCATGTAGCTCCAAAAACTAACGAGTATCCGAGCAAATGCGCTCCGCCAAGGGCCTTAGTACTGAACATTGAGGAATAACGGAGAGGTGGGAGTTGACAAATGGGCTTTTTGGAGAGTTTGGCCTGGCCGGCATTATGGCTGGCAGACGCAGGGCTCACGGGCCTTGTTACCTGGAAAATACCATACACAGAGATTGACTGGAAGGCGTACATGGAACAGATTGAATTATACAACAGCGGCGTGCGGGACTACAGCCAAATTCGCGGGGGTACTGGTCCGCTCGTGTACCCTGGAGGTCACGTGATGATTTTCGACATGCTGTACGGATTCTGCGACAATGGCACGAATATCGTCAAAGCTCAGCTGATTTATATGGTCTTGTACTTGCTCACACTTGCAATGGTTCTTTCGATTTATCGGAAAGTCAAGTTGCCGTTCTACTCTGCGGTGTTCATTGTTCTGTCGAAACGGCTGCATAGCATTTACGTTTTGCGCTTGTTCAATGACTGCTGGGCTACATTGTTTGTCGTGATAGCCGTCAGAATGCTGCTGGACAGACGCGTTTTTACCTCAGCTCTGCTGTTTTCCTGCGCGGTTAGTGTTAAAATGAGCGCGTTGTTGTTTTTGCCCGGCGCTGCGTTGGTGTACTGGAAAATGATGAAATTTAGGGCTGCATTCCTTGCAATTCCATTTTTTGGTGTCCAAATAGCTGTCTGGTGGCCATTCAAAGAGTACTGGAGAGAGTATGTGAACGGTGCGTTCGAATTCGGGCGACAATTCATGTACAAGTGGACTGTGAACTGGAAATTTGTGCCCGAAGAAGTGTTTCAGTCCAAGCAGTTTGCATACACGCTTTTATTTGGCCACATCAGTTTTCTTATTGTCATGGCTCTTCAGTTTTTCGAGAAGCCACTCACACCGCGGCACAGCGTCAGAGTCCTCGCGGTTGCAAACGCAATTGGTATGTTATTTGCCCGGTCTTTGCACTACCAATTCTACTCATGGCTATACTGGACGGTCCCACTTTTAATGGCCGATTTGGGCTGGCTAGGCTTCCCTGTTTGGGCTGCCCTGGAGTACGCATGGAATGTCTTTCCGGCCACTGCGCTTTCGTCTAGAATTGGGGTTGCCGGACTCGCCGCATTAGTTATTGGAGGTATGAGCAAATCTAGACACGAATAAATTACGACTGAGATGGTTTCGAGACGTTGACGTCGGTCAGCGGTGTGATCTGGCACGCCATATTGGTGGCTGCTGAGGCAGTAGCCGAACTGTCGGCGAGACCACTGTTGACGGTATCTGTTGGGATCACCGCTGATTTGCTGGACACCGAGGGGCCCAACGCTAAATTGCGCAGCTGGTTTACGTTGTAGACACACTTGTGAATGGTCTGCAGCAACAAGGCAGGCTTGAGTGGCTTGCTAAGATACTCGTCCATCTGGGCCTGCATGCACCGCTCTCTGTCACCAAGCATAGCGTGGGCAGTCAGTGCTACAATAGGCGTTCTCGCCCGAACGTTTCGACGCTCCCACTCTCGGATATGAGCCGTAGCTTCAAAGCCACCCATTTCGGGCATTTGAACATCCATAAGCACCAAGTCGTACCGCTTTCTCCGTACAGCGTCAAATGCTTCACGGCCATTTTCAACCACTTCCACGTTGTGACCAAAGTTCTGCAGAATACGCACGGCGAGCTGTTGGTTCACCACGTTATCCTCAGCAAGCAGGATCGTGTACTTCTGCGAGCCATCTTCGTTGGGTGGAGCTGCACGACTCTCCAACGCAGATCGAACAGTGGTGGCAAGGTCATATACTGAGCAAGGCGTGTTACCGTAAGAAGAAATACCCAAATCCAAACAAAGCTTTAGATTCACCCGCGGGATGTGCGGGCTCAAAAGTACCAAAGGAATGTATTTGAGATAGTTCAGGCGGCGCAGCTGCTCTGCCACCTCCAACGTATCAACAATAATTGTATCGTACTTTTGCTTAGCATTGTCGACGTTAAGTGACTCGGTGTCGACATGATTGACCACAACACAGTGTAACTTGAGTTTCTGAAGGCTGTGCATAAGATCTTCTGCCTCAGACTCGGAATGAACAGTGTTGATAAACAGCACATAGTGATCACAGAACGGTGCCAAGGTCTCGAGCAAAGGTTCCCAGGCGGGTGTGGTCGGCTTGAGAGCTAAAGTAAAGAAGAATTGCGAGCCTTGACCATAGGTAGATCTAACCCAGATGTCACCACCCATAAGATTGATTAAGCGTTTGGAGATCGAAAGTCCCAAGCCGGTACCACCGAATTTACGGGTGGTGGAGCCATCGGCCTGACAAAATGTATCGAAAATTAGGTCGAGCTTATCGCTCTTAATACCAATGCCTGTGTCTGATACACAGAATTCGATCATCATCTCACCATGTTGGTTGGTTGGCGGGTTTCCTTTCTGGACCGTCAATACCACTTCACCACGTTCGGTGAATTTTATGGCGTTGCCAACCAAATTTAAGATTACCTGGCGCAAGCGGAACGAGTCACCAATCAAGCTATCAGGGAATGTGTTGTCAACGTTGTATAAAAGCACCAATGGCTTTTCGTTTGCTTTGACAGCCAAAGTTTTCAAGGCACCAAACACGGTGGACCGTAAAGAGAATGCAATTTTTTCGATTGTCATACGGTTGGCTTCGATCTTGGAAATATCAAGAATATCATCAATAATTGTCAGTAAAGAGTTAGCCAGATTGTGAACGATAGAGAGCATTTCACGCTGATACTGGGTGAGTTCAGTGTCCAGGGTTAGTTGGGTCATACCAATAATACCATTCATTGGTGTGCGAATTTCGTGTGACATGTTGGCCAAGAACTCGGACTTGGTGCGATTAGCAAACTCGGCAGCTTCACGAGCAGCCGTGTTGCGCTGGATACTTTCACGAAGGTTGAACACCATCTGATTGATTTTTGATTTCAGAGCACCCATTTCACCCGACGCTTCAACAGTGATAAAGCGAGTAAAGTCACCGTCTGTTGCAGCAGCAGTGATTTGGGCAAATGCGCGGACTTGCGTCGTGAGATTTGAAGCCATGGTATTAACGTTAGTGGTAATTTGTTTCCACAGTCCGTCGACATCGGAAACTTGAGCTTGAACACCCAGTTTTCCATCGATACCGACATCTTTAGCGACTCGAGTGACTTCAGATGCGAACAACTGTAGACGGTCAACCATTGTATTAATTGTAGACTTTAGGGCCAGCATTTCACCTTGAGCATGGACATCGATTTTCTGCGACAGATCACCTTCGGCGACGGCAGTAGTGACATGAGCTATAGCACGCACCTGAGTAGTGAGATTTGATGCCATTACATTGACATTCTCAGTAACGTCTTTCCATGCACCCTCGACATCCTCAACTTTAGCCTGGCCACCCAGCCGACCCTCAGTACCTACCGAACGAGCCAGGGTTGTAACTTCAGTGGCAAACGTTTGCAGACGGTCCACCATTTGATTGATGGTGATTTTCAAATCAAGAATCTCACCGTTGCATGATGCCGAGACTTTTTGAGACAAATCACCTTGGGCAACTGCTGTAGTAACCTTGGCAATATTACGCACCTGGTCTGTTAAATTCGATGCCATGGCATTGACGTTATCTGTAAGTTCTTTCCAAATGCCTTCAACTCCTGAGATACGGGCCTGCCCGCCTAGTCTGCCCTCTACACCAGTTTCACGCGCCACTCGCGTGACTTCAAATGCGAATGTACGCAATTGATCAACCATTGAGTTGATAGTTTTTTGTAGCTCTAAAATCTCTCCTTGAGCATGCACGTTGATTTTTCGACTTAAATCACCCTGAGCAACAGCGCGAGTAACATCTGCAATCTCGCGTACCTGGTCGGTTAAATTCGAAGCCATGACATTGACGTTATCGGTGAGCTCACGCCAAACGCCTTGCGTGCCATCGCCTTCAGCTTGACCACCCAAGGTGCCACCTGCTACTTCTGTCGCCACGCGGGTGACCTCGGACGCGAACCGTTGCAGTTGGTCCATCATAGTATTGATTGTGTTCTTGAACTTGAAAATATCTGGGTCCAGCTCCTGGCCGTGCACAATGACCTTCTTGGACAAATCACCCTGCGCCACGGCAATTACAACTTCACCAATTTCACCCAGGGCCCGCTGGAAAGCCAGATTGGCGGACCTAGCCTTTTGAAGTTCGCTGCGCAATGTGTCGACGTCCATCGGTTCCATTTTGTCTGCAGTAGCCATAGAGGACGTTAATAGAGATACGACGCCCTGAGCATCATTCAGCTTGATTTCCAAGTCATTTGCGGTGTGTATTTGATTGTCAATATCCGCCTGTTGGCGTTCCAAACGTTTGTACAGCATTTCCCACTCTTGTTTCTTCAAAAACTCGCCCTTGATTTGGTATTGTAGACGAGACAGCGCAATTTGCAGATCCTTATCATGGACGCCCGAGAAGACGTTGGAATCCGCACTGTATCCAGTATCGATATAGAAATGAATAGACCTTGCTAGTTCCTTGGCATTGTACGATCGCGTCATCAATAGAGCAGCAAAATAGTCCAGAATATAAGAGACAGAAGGATACTAATTCAAGATGTCAAATTGATTATGCAGCCAATCAGTGCTGGTTGGCAATATAATAAAATAATCAGTGGTTGTAGTGAACAAAACTAGTTTTGTGTGCAATCCTAAGAAATGCAAATTTATGGTGTAATGTATAATGTCAGCAACACCACTGAACCGGCATGCAGGAACAGTAGCCAAAAAAGCAGAAGCGTGGGGCGTTCTCGCACGGGTGTTGGATTCAGAGAACCAGTTTTTCACCGCCAGCCCAGAATAGGGGCACGATTTCAAGCTAACAGGCAGTTTTATTGCCCCACAACCCTAAGCTGAGCCACGAGGCACGCGGCGCCCTGCTTCGTGATACAATTCTGCAGCCAGATTAGAGCGCTTCATTGACACAGACACCCCCTAACACCCTACCCCATATGGGTCTGCCAGAAATAGGTACTTTATGTAACCTAGCCCTATATTTAGGTTTGACTGTAAATGTCATTACAAGAAAAGTACACAAAGGCCGGCCAGGGCCACGTCTACAACTTTTATTCCAAGCTCTCGGCTGAGGAGCGGCAGTCTCTTGACCGCCAGCTGTCCAAACTCGACCCTGAGGAGATCAATGACATCGCCAAACGGGCCGGCGACTACACCGAGAGCGAGGGTGTAATTGAGCCGCTGCCTGCCCAGGTTGTCGCCTCCATGTTTGACTCTGATCCGGCTGATTTAGAATCGTGGCGTAAACAGGGCCTTGAGGCTGTTGCGAACGGCGAGGTTGCTGTGCTACTGCTTGCGGGCGGTCAGGGAACTCGCCTTGGTTCTTCGGCTCCTAAAGGATGCTACAATATTGGCCTGCCATCCAACAAATCTCTATTCCAGCTCCAAGCTGAGCGGATTGCCAAAGTTGCACGGCTTGCTGGTGAGGAGTTTGGCAGATCTGGTTGTCGGGTCCCCTGGTACATTATGACTTCTGGTCCCACCCGTGCGCCTACCGAGGCCTTTTTCAAGGAAAACAACTATTTCGGTCTACCGTCTAGCGATGTGATTTTCTTTGAGCAGGGCGTACTGCCTTGCCTAACAAAAGATGGCAAGATCATTCTCGAGTCAGCTGGCAAGGTCGCTGTCGCGCCCGATGGAAATGGCGGTGTCTATAAAGCACTATACGAAAGCGGTGTGCTTGATGACTTGAAAACTCGCGGAATTGAGCATGTTCATATGTACTGTGTGGACAACTCGCTGGTCAAAGTTGCCGACCCGTCATTTATTGGGTTTGCAGCTGCCCGGAAGGCAGATGTTGCAGTGAAAGTGGTGCGAAAGCGTAATGCTGGCGAGTCTGTTGGTCTGATTGTCAGTAAAGATGGTGCTCCTGGAGTTATTGAATATTCCGAGATTTCCAAAGAGCTTGCAGAGGCTAAAGACGAGAACGACCCTTCTCTTTTGAAACTGCGAGCAGCAAACATTGTCAACCATTACTACTCTACTGCATTTTTGCTGAAAACTGTTGACCTGGCCAAGCAATTGCCCTATCATGTCGCTAACAAAAAGATCCCCTATGCAGACGAATCAACCGGTGAGACTGTCAAGCCGTCTCGTCCTAATGGCATCAAGCTTGAGCAATTTGTTTTCGACATCTTCCCCCAGGTTTCCTTGGACAAATTTGCGTCTTTAGAGGTCGCTCGTCAAGACGAGTTCTCTCCGGTAAAGAACGGCCCGGGCTCTGGAGAAGATTGTCCGGAAACCGCCAGAGATGACCTGTTGGCGGAAGGTGCGCGCTGGCTGACGGCAGTGGGCGCGACTTCCCAACCTATCGAGATCTATCCTAATGTTTCTTACAGCGGCGAAGGCTTGGAGTCGTTCGCAGGAAAACAAGTCAACGAGCGCTACTTGAGTTAGTGTAACTAGTTTATATAGAGCGTTGATGCAAAAGAAAGGTAAAAAGCCAATTTTGTTACGGTAATGCTTGAATAAATAAACGGCCAGAGCTTCGCATTAATTGGATTCTGAAGAACGGCGTTTGATCATAAGAGACTCAATGTACTCCTGGATGAACTTGTTCTCCGACTGCAGCCGGGAACAGTTGCGCTTCATTTCGTCGACAACGTCAAGTATGCCAGCAAGGTGGTTTTGCATCCGGAGCACGTTGGATTCAAGGTTTTCTCTCGTGGGCGCTGGCTCGTCGCCAACAGACTCTAACTGTTGAGGTTGGGGCGCAGCAGTCGTGTCACTCATATCGACCATATATATTCAGACAGTGATCTCGCCAGAGGTACGCGGTGGTTCCAATATAGCGCGTCGTGTCCAAAAATGTCTCTTTTGCGCGGTGCAGCGGTAGAACCAGGGGGAAGTTAAATAGCGACGGTGACTAAAGGTTCCACCAGTGGAAGATGCAGAAGGTTGACGCAATACCGCTTATCCTACGCAGTTGCGGCACGGATTGATGTGCGGTTTGTTCATGCGTGGAGGCGGTTTCAGACACCGGAAAAGCTGGTTTGTGTTTAGTGTTGCGAGACTTGGCTAGCGGTTCGTTGACGCCCTTGCATCTGACACTGTCGTTACTGCCAATATCGTTCTCGTTCAGGTGCAACCACTTCCTATGCGGCCAAATCTTGAGTTAGTCTGGGCCACCGACGTCGCCTATTTTTGCATTTGAATTTCTGTTGCAGAATGGTCGGGGAACTTAGCGTATGCATGGTACCGAGGATGCATGATGTCATTATACATTGTGAATAGCGATAGAGGTCTGTGGCGTCCAGATAGCCGAAAATCCAGAACCTGGCGCTATTACACTACTTTGCCAAAAAGGTGTCGGCCCAGAATGTAGAAATAACTATGGGCATCCGGGTAGCAAACTCTTTTCGGACCGCTGAACCTTCGCCGGCTTCCGTGATCTTACGTCACATGGCTCGACGGCAGTTCCTAATCGACGAGTTCAAAGCTCTTCGCAAGTCGTATCGGGCGCCAAAGTACCCTATATTTCTGTGCCATGGTCTCTTTGGTTTCGACACGCTGCGATTTCCTGGCGGCAAGCTCGATTACTGGTACAACATACCCGAAACTCTAGAAAAGTATGGCGCCAAAGTTGAGGTTGGTAGAGTTCCACCGGTTGCCTCAATTCACGACCGGGCGCAAATTCTATACGACAGCATTTCAGGAAAAGAAGAATTGCGTAAGGTAAACCTTATAGCCCACTCCATGGGAGGCTTAGACGCCCGGTATCTGATTGCCAAACTAGCTGCCAAAAGAATCCAGGTGCTGTCGCTCACGACAATTTCCACCCCTCACCACGGCACATCTGCCGCAGACGTGTTTTTTGATGTCACATCCAAGCTGCCGACAGCGTTTGGTGCTTTAGCCCAGCTCTCGACGACGTCAATGGCTGAGTTCAATAAAAATGTTCTTGACGACCCGACGGTGAAATACTTTAGCTACGGCGCCCGGTTTTTCCCCAATTGGGTCAGTTGGCTGAGAGTCCCGTGGGGTATAATCTACAGAAAAGAAGGCGACAACGACGGGCTCGTCAGCTGCAAGTCTGCTGAATGGGGGGAGTACCAAGGAACGCTCGATAATTGTGACCATTGGGACGTCATCAACCTCACCCATTTGAAGCCGCGCGCTCTCAGAAACGCCCAGTTCCACGCTCCGCTTATGTACCTCCACGTGATGGACCAGCTAAGTGCTCACGGCTTTTGAGTGTCGTCGTACCCCGCATAAAGCCCCGATGACCTAAGGTAGGCCGCCGGTAAACTTGACCCAACGTTGCAAACAAGACGAGACTCTGACTGGCGACTGAATCACGCGTCAATTCTAGTAGCTAGATGTCAACGAGGCTCTCTTTAGTGGTGGACACCTCTCACTACTTTACGACGGGGGATGCCATCAAGGGCAAAGTGCTGCTTGAGCTCACAAAGTCTACCGACGTGACCAAACTCGAAGTGGCTATATGTGGGGTTTCAACTACCAATCTCACCGAAACCGTGGAGCAGGGCCAACGAATCACAAATGAAGAACACGAGTCCTATGATGTGCTTAATGATGTTGAGATCTTGTTCCCTTCGTCGGACATGGCCGCTCACGGATTCACCATGGGAGTCGGTCGCCATGAGTTCGACTTTGAGTTCGTGATACCAACGTATGCGGTTCCGCAAGGGGATATTGGCACTCGTACTCGTAAGGCAGTTGTGCTTCCGCCTTCAATGTCGGATTTGCATGGAAACACAATGGTGCAGTACTTTGTTCAGGCGTCTCTGCACAAGCCGTCGCGATTCAGCTATCCGACATCGACAAAGCAATTTTTTGTTTTTCTTCCCGCCGATCCAGATGAGGCAGAAAACACCCCGGACCATGCGGTCGTTCGTACCAACGGTAGCGTAGTGCTGCCGGGCATGTCTGCGACGGGGCTTTGGCGGAGACTAAACCAATGGGGGCGCGGGCGCCACAAAACATGTACAGATGCATTCTTTGAGCTTGGCTCAAGTACTGCAATCATTCCCGGTGTCAAGTTTGTGCCATCGATCACGATAGTCTTTGCAAACATTGAGACCACCATCGTTATAGAGTCGGTGATCGTGGACGTTGTCGCAATTACTGACGCCAAAGCTCTGCATATTCACCGTGAGTTTGAACGACGTATTCCGCTCATCAAGGAAAAAAAACTGAAACTCAGGTACTCGTCCGCCAATGGCCGTCACCAAAGTTTGGAACTTCCCGCGGGCACTACATCGATTGTCCCGGACGAAGTGGGACCTTCCTTTGAAACACCTAATATCCTCCGCCGGTACGAACTGGTCGCCAAGATCAAATACAGTCACATCCCCGGATCTTTGGCAGTTCACCGAGCGGTCATGAAACTGCCAATAGTAGTGAAATCAGGCATTTCGCTGCCAGACTACGAAACGGGCGAGGTTCGAATGTGCAAGCGCGTATTCGAGCAGGACCCGCTATACTATACACTCAATAGATCCGAACTCTGATCGTATGTACTCTATAATGCTATGTCTATACCGAGGGTTGTTGATCCGGGAACTGCTCGAGTTCAGCAACCTGCTTTTGCTCATGCAGCCTGGTAGCTGGGCCATCCAGTAGTCTTTCGTACCACTTGGGCTCGACAACGAGCAGCTTGGCCTCCATTGTCGGCTCGAGCTTGTCAAGATCACCAACGACATGCTCGGTACCTGGGGGCAAGACGTAGGTTGCACCTGAAACCCAGACCTTGCGACCGTTTACTTCGGTTGTTTTCGCATGCAAAAGCATCCAATTGTCGCAATGGGTGGGCCGGCGGTAGTCTACGTTGAGAGATGCAGTTACCCCAACTTTGTGGGGAAGCATACAAAAGCCGCATCGGCAAAGAGCCTCGTCCAACAAAGTGGCCAGCAGACCACCGTGGACGATTCCTGAGTGGCCAGTGAGGCGGTGGCCCAAATGGTAGAGAGAGTACAGCTCTGCGCTGCCGGTGGCCTCGATGTCTGCCTCGGTGGACATCAAAACGGTTGGGGTGGGCCTAATGCCGCCTTCGATCGTCATCAAGACCCCAGCAGTGAATTTGGGTCCTTGCTCAATAGGATCGTACGGCTTGAGCTCAACAAAACGGCCAGTGTCTAGAAGCTCTTGAATAACTGGATGGTCCATCGGTTAGGTAACCTCGGTAAGCGCGAGGGATGTTGGTGAGACTAGCGTGGGGGAAACTTAATGCCAGTATGTTGGCATTTTTTGTGTGGACCGTAGTGGCTCGGGTGGCCGTAATCGCCAGCCCGCATAAACACTGTATTTCACTGTACTAAGGCGCTCTCGATTTGGTTGTGCTTTGACAGACTCAGCATGCACCCACCGAAACGGGGCCCACGGGTGAAACCAAAGCGTGTTTCGGGTTAGTGGTGCATGAACGATGGATATAAATAACTACGTACCAGTGTCGCCGAGTCACTGCTCGCCTTTATAGTCCTAAACGTCTTTATTCATGCCCAAACCACCCCAGAGCGCCGTGCGACGTGGTGCGACTGCTTATCACGCGTTTTGCAGTGCAGTGGCCTGCAGTGGGTGTGCATGCGGGAGATGGGCAGTGTAGCGATAAACGCAGTTTAGAACGCGTACGGAGGTGCACTATTGCACGAACTACAAAAACCTCACTCTTTAACACTGATACCTCGCCACTGCCAAAATTATGGTTGCACCCTGTCAAACTGTCGATCACGATTTGACTACCCCTTAATAACCGTCTCATACCGCCTTGTGCGCCTGCACAAACGATCGCTTTTCTTCAACACATACACGGCATCTACTCGCGTATTTGTGTGATCCGTCTTGATATTGCTCTGAACTAGCTCAGTAGACGCCACATCACACTCACGATGGGGTTCAGTAAGAGTGCCTTGCTGCTGAGCATCCTGCTATTTTTGTCGTTCGGGTTTCAGATGGTCGCGGTTGTTTCGGTCCCGGTAACTACTCAGATCACTCTTGCCAACTTCAACGGCTACATATATGGTATCTGGGGGTACTGTAAAGCCGACGGATCCAACTGTTCGGGTATCCATGTTGGCTACGAAGAAATCCCCAGCGGCGAGAGCTTCAGCTTGCCGCGCTCCGCGCGCCACTCACTGAGCAGGCTGCTGATTGTGCACGTAGTCTCCACGGGGTGCACTCTGCTGCTGTTTTTGGGCTCGCTGGTCACCAATTGCGTCCGGGGACCTACCTACTTGTTGATCCTGTTGGTATGGGCTGTTCCGGTGTTTATGGTCACACTTTTGGCGTTCCTGGTCGAGATTTTGCTGTTTGTCAATCATCTTTCGTTTGCTGGTTGGTTCACACTGGTAGCAGTTGTTCTGAATGCCGCCTCTTTTGTCGTCCTTTGTCTGTTCCGTCGCTCCCGGGCCGCTAAACTATCGTCCGGTAAGAATGGCACAGACTACGGCGAAATGGGCGAGCTCTCTCACGTCGGCCTTCTTAACGACCAAGATGAGGATAAACTTGTCAAGCCAAACCACATGTTTGAACTTACCCGTCTCGAATCAGACGATAGCTCGCGGTCTACTGGCTCTCGACTACCACAAAGACCGAACGCTCCGACCGGTCATATGCTGCCCAACTTGCCTTCAAACTATGTTGCACGCCAACCCCCGCTCCCGATTGAAGATCGGCGGCCGACGGCTACAGATGCAGGTGCTCCACCTCCTCGTCCTCAACCGCCGCCCCATCAACTCAAACCAGTTCCAGCCGGTACTTATATGAGAGGCATGGAATCGCCGTCACTGAATGGCCAGAGTGATCCCGAGATGGCCCGTTCACGCCAGGCACCCCAGGGTCATCCCACTGTCAATGAACCAATGGTCGCTAGATCTACATCTCATCAAGCGATTGTCGACTACGCCGATGAAACGCTACAGCCTGCGCCACCTCCTCATAGAAACCGTGCGCAATTCGGTCCTGGCCGTCAGGGTAACCTGAACATCAACACAGCATCAATGTACCGTAATGATCTGCCGCCAGTTGATTCAGAGCCAGCCACACCAATGAACATACCTGCTGGATACAATAATGGAATGGATATGCCACCCCAGCGGACGCCTCTAGAACGATTCATGGCTGAACCAGTTCCAACAACGACTTATAGAGAAGAGCCACCCACGAATTACACCTATGGCACACCTCACTCGCCGACACACTCGGACTCGGCCTACACTTCAATTAGCCAGAGGGCACCTGTATACCAGTACTCTCATCCGCCGACACTGGCAGGCACAGTGCCACTGACTGGACCCACTCGATCCGAGGTAGCGCTCCAGAACAATCCCGACTTCTCTATAGGAGAGCGGACAAACCGATTCCAGAAAAACCGCCGCCGCCCCGGCCGACCAATGGGCCCCTTTTAGCTGGTGTTTTAACTTTTGTACTATTTATATATCTTACTTGGCTCTTTTGCCGCCGGATCATCGCCGGTCGACTTCTCATACAGTGCGGGTTAGGTTTGATGAGACGGCATAGATAGGTGAAGTTGACTAAACGAGATTTTTTTGACGGCCGTCTTTGTGTGGTCTTACAATCAAGGCATAGAGGAGTAAACGGCTCGAATAACTTGGTTGATTAGGAGATGAATTTTCATCACCCGTCGCCGTGGAAGCATGACCACCATGTGCGCACTGAGGAGGATGATTTGGAGAACGCCTCCGTGCGTACAGAGATTCTGCGGGAGTTACGGTCTGAACGGCTAATTGGTAAATCGGCGCCGCTGTTCGACTGGCAATCTGCTTATAGAACGCCTGCTGATCTACTGAACAGCTCGCGAGATGCTAGAGATTACTATGAAGATATGAACCAGCAGATTGAACATTTGGTTGAAGTCGACGAGCTGCTGGATAGCGGCATCAATGTGTCGTTGCTTGAAGAGTATGGAGATGACATCGGCGTTGAAGAGCCCCGGCAGCGCCGTCCGATTCCCACAACCATCCACAATGCCTCCCAAAGGGGCAGGACCTCTGTGTCGACTGTGAAATTCTGGATCAACGCCAATTTGGCTGCTAACGTAGTGCTTTTGCTCGGAAAACTAGTGGTATTTTACATGACCGATTCGCTGTCCATTGTCGCCTCGTTGATTGACTCGGTGTTGGACCTCTTGTCAACGGTGATTATCTTTATTTCATCTCGAGTCGCGGATCAGCGTGATTGGAAAACAAAGCACCTTTATCCGGTCGGCCGCTCCCGACTAGAGCCTATTGGCGTGCTGGTTTTCAGTGTGGTCATGGTTGTTTCATTTCTTAAAGTCGCCGACGAATCTGTCGAGCGTTTACTGGGGGACAAGGGTGCACTCGTAGAAATCACGTTCCCTTCTTTCTTGATTATGGTCGTTACCGTGCTGGTGAAAGTTGTCTTGTACTATCTTTGCCGCAACGTCCAATCTAGTGCAGTCCAGGCGCTGGCGCTCGACGCTGTTACAGACGTTATGTTCAACACTTTTTCCATTATTTTCCCTCTTGCCGGCCACTTGTTTCACAGCTGGCGAATGGATCCCTTAGGTGCTCTTTTCCTGTCGGTGTACGTCGTTAAATCGTGGGGTGGCACGGCGATGGAGCACATCGACAACCTATCCGGTGCTGCCGCGAGCCCGGAAGATCGCCAGCAGCTGTTGTATTTGTGCATGCGGTTCAGCTCAAATATCCGATACATTACAGCTTTCAACGCTTACCATGCCGGCGATAAACTGATGGTCGAGGTCGATCTACTGTTGGATAAGGAACTAAATTTACGCGACAGCCACGATCTAGCAGAGTCCGTGCAGTATGCTATGGAAACTATGCCCACCGTAGAGAGAGCTTTCGTTCACCTGGATTATCGACGTGAGAACTTCACTGGTCATGTCGAACGCTAATATATATAGATGTCTTATGAATTGATCCTTTCGTCTTTTTAGGTTTGTAATCATGCACGCAGACAATGCGAATTTCCAAGCCGGATTGAGCAAAGTGGAGTCGTACGAGATGCTGGTGATGTCGCTGGAAGGGCTGCTGGTTGAGAACTGGGTGTCCAATCTCGCCAACACCGCGTCCTTGCTGTGGCATCACTTCCATTCCCAGCCCAGCCCTCAGAAAGATGTTAACTGGGCGGGCTTCTATACTACGGCTACCGCGAATCAGCTGGCTTTGGGCCCATTTATGGGTAAGGTTGCTTGCCAAACCATCGACTTTGGCCGCGGCGTGTGTGGAGCAGCTGCCGCCACTGGCAAAACCCAAATTGTGCAAAACGTCCACAGCCACCCCGACCATATTGCTTGTGACGGCGATACCAAGAGCGAGATTGTGGTTCCTATTATCAATGAAGGTCGGATTGTTGGTGTGATTGATATTGACTGCACCGAGCTGAATGGATTCGACCAAGTCGATGCGGAATGGCTGGAGAAAATCGCCCGGCTACTGGCTCCGTCGTTCAAAGCATCCACACAATAAAGAAGCACACACATGTTAATGCAAATAGAAATATCCAATTGCTGCAGCTCACGCCGCCCTCGCGAACGCTGCGCACCATTCTTGTCATTGTCGAACGCACGGTTACGCGTGCGCTCTCAAAGCCGTCCTCAAGTGAGCTCAAAACCGTGCTGGAGGCCCTGGCCTCTTCTCCGATCTTCAGACTAATATCCTTGAGCATTCGCACTTTGCTTGTGAGTCCGGAAATCTGCTCGTCGTGCTGAGATTCCAAATGGTCCAGAAACGAGTCACTGTAGCTGCCAGCAGGCTCTGCCCCGCCAGCCGCATTAGGAGTCTCGGGACGCATCATCTGCGACGGCGTATAAGGCGATGCATTCGCAAACAGCTGCGTGCGCTCTCGCTGATGTGCCTGCCCAGCAGCATATCGCGACGAAGACATGCGGTGGATTCTATCCAGATGACAAACTTGGAGGCCGTGGAGAAGGACAAAACAGAAGAACTAAAGGGGGTCAAGTATACGGTCACTGCACAGAGTTTTGCGGAGGCGATTTCTGTTATGGTTTACAAAAATGATAAATGCGGTAGAATATTCGAATGCCAGCTTTATCCGCAGCCGGGCGGCGTTTTGAGTTCAGAACTCATTCTGCCTGGGCTCACTCCTAGACCACTACTCGGAGCTACTCTTGAAGACACTGCAGGTAGCTTGTATTCGTCGGTGATTGCTTCTATGGTGATGCGACAAAGTCCGGACGATACGCGCAAGCTCGTAATTGGACTGGGAGCAGTAGGGCCCAAAGCTGGGCAGCCCCCAGGACCAGACGATCGCGAAGAGCTGCTTTTTGTGACGAAACTCGTTGAATCATGTCGTGTGTGGTGAACGGCGCCGCTCCGATCTGGGTTTGCATGTGTCTGGGTAATAGATATAACTGAGGCCGTTTCACAGCGGCCTATTTAGTAGTCAAGAGATACAACGTCCACGAATCCCAGGCCGTGTGATTTTTCCGAAACAAGCCTGTCAATTGTGCGGAAGTCAGAGGGATCGATCTTGCCCACTAGCTCCCACTCGGTGTCCCAGTTCTCTGATTCAACATCCACAAGCTCGGTGACTTCCTCCCAGTACTCTTTAGCGTGCTGAGCGTCATCGCTCACTCGGATCTGCATTCGTGCTCTGGCAATAGGAATCACCTGGCGTTCGACCAGCAGTTTGATGGCTTCGAGAGCCTGTCCCTTGGCAGGCTTGGTGGATGAGAACTTGAAATCGAGCTCCTGCAGCAGCTTCTGGATAATTGAAACGGTGTAAGGGTAATTGTTGCGCGGATTCACGCATTTTCTCGCCACCTCCTCCAAGACAGTCGCCTGGACCTGCTCCTGCTGAAGCTGACGCTCTTTGCTGCCGACCTGAAGCTCGCCTTTGTTCAAAATTTCAAGCACCACCTCGTTCACGTCCGACGTGCCAAAATCTTCCTTCAGATCCGACCCGTTCGCCACTTCGCCCTTGGCTGCGTTCACAAACACCTGCGGGATTTGCAGCACCTCGTCAATGTCCTTTTCGACCCCGCGGCGCCAGTCCTGTACTTTATTCCGGTAACAGACAACCTCGTATCGCCGCTTGCCCTTGCGCATGCGCACCTGCGACACATTCGTCAGTTTGATGCTGCCCAGCGGCTGCGAAATTACCATTGCAAAGGAAAATAAATTATCTAAGAGCTAATCACCGATCCATACTGGACGGCCCAAATAGAGTCTAAAAGTGTCTCGACTCGAGAATGAGTATTGGGGTGCAAGTAGTCTGCGAATTTCGAGCGTGCAAAGTCGCTGAGGAAAAAAAGCGGCGTAACTAGCAGCATCACAGGGAACAGCGCCGCGGTCGTCGTCTTTTCAGTGGCGTCATGGCGAGTCCACAAGGGCTTATTCGACGTTGCCGGGGACTTGCCGCTGTAAACAAGCGAATTGAGCTCGTGAGTGTTGGCGGACAGAACGCGGGCGCACTTGGCGTTGTGAACGTACCCCCGGACAAGAGCCAGGCGAAAGTAGTCGACGCAAACAAACAGCGGGCGTAGCACGTACGCTAGTCTGGTGATCCACCGCCGCCGGGTCTCGGGAGGAATGCTTTCGATTGCCTGCACGGCCCAATTAGTCGCCCGTTCAACAAAAGGCGCCGCGATATAGTTTGCCAGGCGAACGCCCAGGTTAATCAGCATGGTTGAAGAGACAGACAGCAGCACTACGGGAGAGGGTTTTTATTTAGGTTATTCGCTCCAGCCGACGTCAACGCGAGCATGAGTGGACTCGTCGCCCAACGACTTCTTGAGGCCGTCCGGGAAGGAGCGGCGAACAAAGTTAGGCCCCTCGAACGTGTAGTAGCAGTAGCCGCTGAAGCCGAGGATGATGGCAATAAAATAGAGATTCCAGCGCAGCGACGTAGAGTCCGGTCGCTGGCTAAAGTGGTCAGGCGACCATGTATCGATCAGATCGTATTGGTGATGCAGGGGCTCTCCGAAATTGCGACGGGACTGCTTATCGTCCCACTCAACATCGGGGTACTGTGGGCGCTCGTTGTAGTACTCAAACTTGACCTTGGGGTACGGGCCGACCAGGCGGTCGTCGCCCTTGGTGCTATTCCAGCGAGCCAACGGCCTCACCGCTCCCATAACGGGCCGCGAGCGCAGCGATGTTCTCAACGCGGGAATCATTGCAAGACGTTTGGTTGGTCAGCGGGTCGCTTTTCTTCACGGGTGTGAGCCCTTACCCTGGACGTGGTGGATGGGGGAAGCGGGTTTACTGCCTATAAATATTTAAACAAGTCCGTCTGCGGCGGCAAAAATGCGCTCGACATCGAGTCTCCGCTTGGGCATTCCGTCTAGTGCATACACGACCAGCAGCCCGTCTAGCGCCATGCCCAGAGTGTTGTCTGCCGCGCCGACGATGGTCCATCCCACCCAGAAGCCAATAAAGCCCACCAGGTAGCCGTAGACGCTCGACGGGACAGCAGAACGATCTGCATAGATCCACGCCACAACCGCGACCAGCAGAGCAGCGCAGCTCCGCGCGGCAGACAGCAGTATGCGGGCCACTCGATGGGCTTGACGGTCAATGGCTGCAAAACACGGCAACGTCACGGCAGATGCACCCGTAGCAAGCGTTCCAGGTAGTACAACAGCAGCACTCAATGCTAAAGAATCAAGAAGTGGTAGGGCCACTAGCTGTCCGGCAGTAGCAACCATAGCTTGGAGAGCAGCCCCAACTCGCGTCGGCAGGACCAGCAAAGGTACTCGGCCAAACACTTTTAGGAAGGCTGCCAAACAACAACTACCAAAATGCACGGTGAAGGCATTAAATACTGCCGCCTCCATCGCTTCCCGGCCGGCCATTTTGGGCGCGGGCGGCGGCGGAGGAGGCGATTGATGGGGCGTGGTTGGCCGAGGCGCTTGATGATACCAATGAGCAGCCATTCCTACGACTACGCATTTCTGCAGACAGCACAGCAGCTCCCATGTCCACAGATACAAAAAAGTGAATCCAAGCGCAAACAAAACGCTCAGTCGGCCTTCCAAAAACCCTCGGGCTAACAAGACCCCCCACAGACCGGTAATGATCAAGGACAAGGCTCCGACGACAGCAGCAACAGCATACATTATGGGCTGTGAATTTGCAAGCTCTACTGTTAGAATCACCATCTCGGTAGCCTTTCCAACGAGATGACGGCTTTTTTGAAGAACAATGGTCCAGCCAACTGCGAGTCCTCCAATCGCCAAAGCAGTCATTCTCAACGCTAAATGGACATACGCATGACCAGCCGCGGAGTGAAACGAGAAAAGTAGGCCATAAAGCGAAATAAACCCAAGCACGATAGGCACGCCAAATGTAGAAACCTGGATCATTTCCCGAGCATGGTGCTGCATGGCGACCAGCCACCCCGCAGCAACCACCACCGAAACCAGAGCATAGGCTACCAAATGGCCCGCCGAACGAGCGAGAATCGGATATGCACCACTGGTGGATGTAGGGCTTGTAGTTAAATAGACCAATGCGGCCGTGGCTAGCGAAAATGCTGTCGCCACAAGGTAAACAGCCGTCACGACCATTTGGATGTGGTTTGCAGGCAGACTGCCCAGCAGCGGTCGGCGCTCTATTGCCGGTTGTGAGTTTGCTGCGTGTTCGGGCTGTTCAACATAGTCTTGCGCCCCCTCGTCCTCAGAAACTGCCTCATCTTGTTCCTGAGGAGGCTTCATGTCTCCCCGCCATACTCGCGTAGAATGCGCCCAGTTCGGATACTTGGCCCTCGTCGAATCTATCGACTGAGGTGCGGTTTCAATCGCAATGTCGTCTGGCGGATCGTCCTCCGAAATAGACGCATTGGAGCTTGCTAGAGACTCGCCCACTCCTCCTAGAAACGTTTCCGTGTCTGGGTCAAATCCTCCACTGGCACCCTCAAATAACGGCGCTACTCTTGAATTAGACAAAAATTTAGATGCATCTGAGTTAGTCTTGATCCCTTTCATCGCCGCTTTACTTACAGTCACTGAACATGGCAACACCCAAGTTGGGATAAGCCGCCACAGCTTGATAAGACTACGCCCATTCCAGCATCAACAGAGCTAAACACGTTCAAAACTACGGGCACTATTTCTCAATTAATTCGGGAGAGGCTCTGGCGGACCATTCGCCCCACGAGCCGTCGTACACCTGCGATTTGGTCTCCAAAAATTTGTCAATGGCAAGCTTCAAGACGCATGCAGTCACTCCAGATCCACACATGACAACCACGGGCTTACCGTCCAAGACGTCGAGCTCGTTCAGCTTGGCCACAATGTCGGCATCTGGTTTGAACGCAGACTCGCCACCAGGCACGAGGAGCTGAGAGAAAGGCAGGCTCTTGGCTCCGGGGACATGCCCAGCCGCAAACGCAGGGCCGGGGCGAGCATCCAAGATGTGCTGAGCCTTTTTAGATTCAACGTCACTCTTGAGTTGCTCGAAAGTCACCCACGATTTGGGCTCCCCGGGCTGCGAGTACTTGGTGGGCGCACGCGCTTTGGGTTCTCCGGTCTCAATTGGCCCACCAAGTTGCATGTACTCGTTGTAATTGTCAAGGACAACTGCGTGGGGGTGGTTGAAGGTGTCAAACACGAACTGGACTCTTGGAGAAGAGAAGAATGCCTGCTTGTCGTAGATCACAACAAAGTCATCGGGCTTGATTCCCAAATTCCCGACCGCTTTCTCGAACTGTGCTTTATTCACCATCATATGGGGATATGGCGAATCGGCCTTGATGGTTGCCATGTTGTAGTACACGGCTCCAGGGAGCCGCTCCTGGGCGAACTCATCTTTACCATTGCGACCGGCATCTGGCAAGAACCATGTCGCATCAACGGCAACATAGGGCTCTTTTCTGGCTAGGAGTTCTTTGGCGGTAATAGTAGGTCGAGACATGAAGGTGGCTGAATGAGTTCCCCCAACCCGGAAGGGCTGAAGTTGTGGCGATTGCAGATTCGTGCATATTGCCTCACATGCATTGGCACCCCCGATCTGAGAGTTTGATAATAGCCACTTGGGCAGAAATTGTGTGCACTGTTCGATAGCTGGCGAAAATGTACCGGGCTCAACGTGATAAGAAGCTATCTGGTCAAATATGGCTCCAACAAACTTTTGGCAGAAATTGGCGGTTTGACCGAGTGGTTAAGGTGGTTCCCTGCTAAGGAATTGGGCTTTGCCCGCGCAGGTTCGAATCCTGCAGCCGTCGCCACTTTTTTTCCTTGCTTGAAGATTTCTTTTTGAGATACCTTTTTATTTGATTCTACTCGCTATCTAAACCCCACTAGTACCAATCAAGCTATCAATTGACGGTGGGGCATCTTTGATGAGAATATGAAAGTGCTCCAAAGTAGGAACGCTCTGTAATGCAACGGTATTTTTGAACCAGATGATATTGGTCCGAGTAACGCCAAGTAGTTCGATGTTTTTCTGGATGAATTGCTCAATTTGGTGTTTGGTTGCCGCTGTTGGCCGCTGATTGTCGTCGGTGGCACATGGCACCTTCGACCAGACAATGATGTGCCTGATCCCCGGTTCCAGGCCGTACGGAAAATCATTCTGCAGTATCATGATATCGGATTTGTCTTCGAGAAACCCCTTGCCACTACTCTGAAGCTTGTCAGCCCACTTGAGTTTATATTTGACAATATACTCTGCGGTTCCGCCGTACTTCTTGAAGTCCTCTTTGGCGGCCAGGTACTCGCGTAATTGCTGGGGTGAGCGTGTGAATAACGTCATGTCGTCTTTCTGTACAATCTCCCGGCACTGCTCCCAGGACAGAGGCTCATAGTGGTCGTTGGCAAGGATTTTGGCGTCGCGTTCGATTATGGAAGCCACAGACATGAATAATCACCAGTCAAATTTTCGGGATATTTATGTGCTATTTTACGTTTTTTTCTTTTTATCGTCTTTCCAGGAGCCTTCAAAATGATGCTTAACAAATGCCAAAGGGTCGGACTCAGCCTTTGAGCCCATGGTATCAACGCCCGGGGAGAACGATGTAATTGGCAAAATGAGCACATCGCCAAACAGCTTTGGTTCAGCAAGGCCAGTGAAATTATGCCAGTCGGTGGGTCCAAAGGGAGACGTCGGTAAATTAAAGTAGTCCATGATCGAGTCTGTCCAGATACCGGGGCCTGTCCAGTCCATGATGTCCGTGCCCCTATTAATGGTTGCGTCAAACATGGCGCCCTTCTTTTTCTTCTCCAGTGTTTTTTCTGTGATTCTTGCAACAACCTCGCGCAGGATCGGGTGGCCGGGCTTTGACTGAATAGTCCACTGGCAAAACTGGATTCGGCGAGCGTACCACTCGGCCCAATCGGGACGATCAGGATCGGCCTCAATACCGATGGTGACGCCAATATTAAGCGGGTTCAGCGATCCTGGGATCCAGACCGGAATCGGTTTCAAAAGCTCTGTGTCTGCGTCAGAGTATGTTCCGCCCCGGGCCAGTAAAATAAGATAACGGAAGAAATCGGCTTTGAGAATCTTCTCTGGCATCGCCTTGTACGCATCAATAACATCCGGCACATTCATAAACAAGTGTGTCACGATTTTCTCCGCAACACTGTCGCTGAGCACCTCGTGAACAAAGCCTTCGCCATGATGGTCCCAGCTCTGCATGAACTGGTGGATGTGCTCCTCCAACTCGGCATCGTTACGCCCGTGCTTCCACGTCTGCCAAATATAAGCCGGGAACCTGCTCGACTTGTGGTATGGGAACTGGTACGAGAGCTGTTGGCGAAGAGTAGCGCCCTCTGGAAGTCGACGGAGCTCTTGTATTTGCTGCTCAAGCACGCGTTTTTCGACTTCGAGTTTCTCGATCTTCTCGTCCAGTTTTGAAACACGGTTATGTGACAATTCATCCACAGCTGCCACTTTGGCCATCAGCTCGCGCTGCACTTGCAACAAGCGCTTCTCTAGCTGCTCGTCGTGGAAAAAGCGTTTGGAGTCTATCCGGCCCTTGCCTCCAAATAGCAGGAAAATAGCTAAAACAGTCAAGGCTACTATAAGAACCCTGCGAAAAGTTAGCATGAAAAGTGTGAAGGTGGTCAAAAAGAGTCTTCCAACAAGAGCTCACGTAAGGGTCGTGTCGTTGATAGCGACAATCGCCTGCTCGTTTGTTGTGCTGGGTCTGGTTGAGCAGCTCAGCCGTCTGCATATCAAGGTTTGTTAAATGGGGTACATAATTAGCTAGTTTTGAACAATCTGGGGTCAATAACTTTATACGACTCGACAAAGCCCCTGATGACAGCGCGGGCTTCGGAAAAATCGGAAACAATATCATCCGGCAGCTCGCCGTCCCTTTGCTGGACGACGGTGGTAATGAGAAGATCAGTCTTGTATTGCTTCAATTGAATAAGGCAAAACAAAATTACAGTTGTTCCTTCCTTGGTCACCACCACATCGTCGCGCAAAGCCACGTGGTGACCATTGAGAACCTGGGAACTTACTTCGATAGTGTCCACTTTTTCTGGGCTGGAAAGACGGTGAACTTCGTCTGCGTGCGCTGTTAGGGCCTCGATTGGCGTTTCTGCTTCGACGGGCTCGAGCAGATCAATGATGAGCGAGACGTCTTCGTTGTTGACGCGACCAACAAATACTTCCTGCGTGTCCGGGACCGGCCTAAATTTAGAAGCATCTACGAAGACGCTAGGGATCTCTGCCGTCATGGCGCCGCCGTAAAGTTTGACCATTTTGTATGAAGAAGCAACTTGCGGCAAGCCGCTGTGGGTTTAGACCGCCCCAACCCTGAAAACGAGCACACCGCGAGCTTGGGGCTATATTGGGTAGCAGGCTCGACGAGAGGAACTGGCTGGCTGAAAGTATTTCTAGATGGAATTAGCGTGCTTTCGCGTCCATTTTTCGTGTGCCAGATGCTTGCCCTTTTGCCCTTGGGTCCTCCTTGTGTCCAGTTGGCCAATCGCTTGAATGATTTACCGCCAATCGATCCGCGCAGAGGTCGAATCGACTCTGTTCAAAGCTTGCCTGCCTGAGCACTCGATCAACCAGGCCTGCTCGTCATCGACTAGTACCCCCCCTTTGCCCTAAACCACTACTGGGAACTGTGGGGAACTACAGGGTTCCATCTTCACATCAACCCCAAGTGGTAAATCAACGCTAGTTGCGAGAACGTTTCGGTGCACAAAATGCCAGCGTCGACCCTAGAATCACTGGTGGTTCTCGAGAGCTCCTGGACGAGCTTCACGATCAACAGTCTAGACCCGCGCCATGCCCGTATTTTACCCATTCTGTTTCAGGATAAAATTTCCCTGCCGTTAAGAAATAAAGACGGAGCTCATCTTCTCGATGAAACACGCTCTCTTTTAATAACATCACTCAAGAGATTTGTGACCATCTCAGGCGACTACGGGGTGGCGCCAGAAAACATTACTATAGTAGCGTCGCCGGGGGTGACGCAGATTGACAATTTTGAGAGCCTCAGAAGCGAGGTCAAGTCCCAATTAAAACTCAATATTCATGCTCTTGATCGCAGAACCGAAAACAAAGTTTATGTCCATGGTTTGGCTGCGGCGTTTCACCACGCCAGCGGACTGTTTGTGGACATGAAGTTTTCTTCAACAACCTTCAATTGGATCGACGCCAAAGACGAGATTCGCTCCGGAGACCGCGAAGTTTCGATCCCGTTTGGATTTGGGAACCTGGCTCCTGTGATGGAGGCAGATCAAGACGTCCAGGAAGCCAAGACACAAGAAATCGCCGAGGCTGTTCGACAAGCCATGGACTCTCTCGATATTCCTCCCAGTCTCACCAACGTTGCCGAGCGCCGGGGAGGCCATAAACTGTATATTTGTGGTGTTGGCGTACGCTCGCTCACGTACTGGCTGCTTTGCCAGCACCCTCGCTATCCTGTCTCGTTGGCCAGTGGCTTTGCGCAAACCCCGGAGCGGTTATGCAACGACTGGGCCAGCGTGGACTGGGAATCGTTCAAGCGCAATAGCAACATGAGCGAAACGACAAGACTAAGGACAAAATCATCGATCTTCCTCGCCTATTCAATCTACGAAGCGCTACCGTCTATTCGCAAGATTCTCTACACGGAAAATAATATGCGAGACGGAATCCTGTTTAATATGCTGCCATCAAATATCACTGCTCAGGATCCAATAATTGTTGCAACAGCACCCTATGCCCTGCCAGGGGCCCTCAAACTCACATCCGTTTTGCGCAATGCCCTGCCATCGAACACCCCGGAGGTTATTTCACAACGACTGGCTTTAGCTCTGTCTAATGCATCCTATATTCATTCTTCGTATCCTCGGGAGGTGCAAAGCAATGCCAGTATGCTTGTGGCAACGTCTGGCGTGCTTGCGGCTGCAAACGGTATTTCCCACACTATGCGTGCCCTCCTAGGACTGGCCCTGTCCAACAGATGGGGTGGTGAAACCACGAGCCGCCTGAGGCCGGTGCGAAAAGCCTTTCTGGCTGTGCCACCAGAGAGAGAGCTCGCGTGGTGGGCTCTGTACCTGGGCCATGTCATGCATCTTGTGGGAGGCGCGTATCCCGGTGCACATGTCCGTCCCGGCGTCATCGACTTGTCGGTAAAAAACGAAACAGAGCGCGGGTTCACCCTCAGTGTGGTCTGTCATAAGGACAATGTGTTTGGACACAACCCCATCGTGCAGTCTCGCATAGACAAGCTGCCAGTGAAAATCGAAGCCCTCGCGGCCGAATTTGCGTTCACAGTACCCGAAGTTGTCATAGAAGTTGTATCTGTTTAGTTTCTCGCTACGTTCACTTGCTGAAATCCAGGTTAGAGCCCTTGATACCAATCGACTTGTGCGATTCGTAGCGCTTCTTGGTCAAGGCGGCAATGACGCCGGCGCCGACACCAGAACCGTCCTCGGCGGCGACAACCTTGATGGGATGGTCCTCAGCAGGCATGTCACCCCAGTCGAAGATGTCTGCCAGGGCCCGGGCAGCGCGTTGTTTGAAGTAGGGATACTTGTTGAAGACTGATCCGTCGGCCCCGGCATGGGCAGATTCCATATTCATTTTCTTGGCCATAGCAGCAACACCGCACATCGACAAACGGGCAGCACGAGTACCAATGAGCTCACACAGACGGTGGACCATTGCTCGCTCGGATTCGTTGGTTTCGATACCTAGCTCCTCGGAAAACAGGGCCTCGGTATCCATAAGATTCTCCCAGGGATCGGTTTCGATCTTGGACAAAAACGCCGCGTCGAGCACATAGGGCTGTTGCAATTTCGAAATGTCCTGGCCCTCGAAAATGTTGCCGCCCTCGAACTCGTCAAGCAGCACGAGACGCAAAATTTCTCCCAGCGTATAACCAGCAATCATCTTCTCAAAGGACTGCTGATTGGGCCGGGGAGAGTGCTTGTCGAGATGGTCATCGAACTTGGTGCGGGGCAGCGACACATGCTCGTTATCAAACGCGCCATACTCGCAGTTGATTGCGCACCAAGAATCAGGCGAGATGTCGTCAGGCACAAGACCCTCCAGTTTAGGAATGTTCTTGACAACGTCGTAATAGGCCGCATTACAGCCAGTACCGAAAATGCAGCCCATTTTGGTCCGAGGATCAACGTAGTTCGAGGCAACGAGCGTACCGGTGGTGTCGTTGATCAGAGCCGCGCACTTGACGGGAATCTTACGCTCGTCCAAGGCGCTCTGGAGCATAGGAACAACATCGTGGCCCTCAACGCCATCGATGTCGAATCCCTTGGTCCAGCGCTGCAAAACACCATGTCCAATAGACTCTTGGGTGCACGGGTAACTGAACGTGAAGCACATCATCAATTGATCAGTCGCTCCTTCGTGGTACTGGTCAATAAACTTCCCAACACAATCAGCAACGTATCCCCAAAGGTTTTCTGCGCTAGACGTCTTGGTATTGGCCGGCATATGGTACTTGGACTGGACCACGTCAAAGGTACGGTCACCGTTGAGAATGATTTCGGCCACACGCAGGTTCGTACCACCCATGTCCAACGCAAGGTACTTTCCCGTCTCCTTTCCAGTGGGGTAGTCGAGAACCCAGGCCACGTTCATCGGAATAGACCCGCCCTCCTTCGACAGGCCCTTATCGAGCTCAGCTACGAAATGCTCGGTGATTTTCTTAAGCTGCTCGGTAGAAACACCAAAAAGCTTTTCGTAGTGTTCAATTCTCTCGTGGATAGCCGGTGGGATATAGCACAGCGAGCCTCTGCGCTGAGGTGGTGCTTTGGGTCCGAGATTTACCATTTTATTGTAAGTTGCTAGATATGGATTACCACACACACATTAAGTAGCTGGCGCCAGGGGACGAGTGGCAGAGCCCGAACTGCGGCTGGGTCGTAAATGAGCACCAGCAATAGGACCGAAATGGTGTTTCACCACTGCAATATATAGGTATATACGGCGGAATACCTTCCCAGCATGGCTGCATTCGCTGTTCCGGGCTTTGCTACTTCACCATCGAGCGCCTGACTAAGAACGATCAACCTCACAGAATGGCCAAAGACGACGCCTCCGCTGCCATGCCGGCTGTGCCTAATTTGGAGTTGGCGAACCACATCTTTGTTTTGCGAAATGCCCGCCTGAAGGATATGCACGAAGCGTCGCGCAAGGCGCTCATGGACTCTATCAAGAGCGAGAGCCAAGCGCCACTGCTCAAGTACCTCAAGGACGAGCAGTTGGTGGACTGGGACGAGAAGCTCTACAGCCAGCTTGCGGCAGTGAACGAGGAGCGGGTTGCAGAGCTGGAAAAGAAAATTGCCGACGCCAAAGAGTCCGAAGACGAGCTGGCGATTATTGAGAGCACTCTGGCTCTTGGTATGTACTATACGGGAATCTGCGATCGCGAAAAGGCTATTTCGACGTTGCGAGAGACGTTCTCTTTGACCGCAGCTGCAGGATCCAAGATTGATATCCACCTCACGATCATTCGCATCAACCTTTTTTTCAACGACAAGGCAGCCACCGCAAAGGAATTGGAGGCTGCCCAGGTTGAAATCGAAAAGGGCGGTGACTGGGAGCGCAAAAACAGGTATAAAACTTACAAAGGCGTCTACCTCATGTCTATTCGTCAGTTCACGGAAGCTGCAGACCTTCTTATCGACAGTTTCGCCACATTCACCTCTACCGAGTTGACTAGCTACGAAAACGTTGTGTGCTGGGGCATAGTCTGCGGAGCGCTGGCGCTATCGCGTGTTGATTTGAAAAAGCGCATTGTCGATTCTCCGGAGATCCTGTCGTTGGCCCCCACCACTCCACAGCTCGAGCCGTTGACCATGTTGACGAACTCACTTTACACCGGTGAGTACGCAACATTTTTGGAGGCTCTGGCAAAGGTAGAGACGCAAATCATGCACCCTTCCATGTATCTTGCTCCGCACGCTGGCTATTTTGTCCGAGAGATGCGTTGCAAGGCCTATGCGCAGCTTTTGGAGTCGTACCTCACTCTGAATATCAAAAGCATGGCCAATACCTTTGGCGTCAGCGTTGATTTCCTGGACGCCGATCTTTCGCGGCTGGTTCCGCAGAAAAAACTCAATTGTGTGGTCGACAAGGTCCACGGCGTGATTATCACCAACCGTCCTGATTCGAAAAATGCTCAGTACCAGCAGCTCATCAAGCAAGGCGATGCACTGCTCACCAAGCTCCAAAAATATGGTGCTGCGGTCCGCCTTTATGGTGCTGATCAGCAGTATTAAATAGTCAAACTTCACCTCACATAATCATGCTCCGAGCGGTTCCGCCGGCGACCACGGGAGTCGCTCCACGAGCGTTTACCCGGGCACTATCGCAGTCTTACCGGATCAAACGCGTGCTCAACCTCCCAGCGAGCCTCATGTACGATGTGGTGGGCGACGTCGAGCAGTACCAGGAGTTTGTCCCGTACTGTAAGCGCTCACATGTGACAGCTCACGAAAACGGCCATCCGTCACGAGCAACGCTCACCGTGGGGTGGGATGCTATTGAAGACGAATTCGAAAGTAAACTGACTTATACGCCGACTACGGTAGTCGCTGAAGCTGCCAATAATAAAATGTTCAAAGAACTCAAGTGCGAATGGTCCGTAAAACCTGTGCAGGACGACAAGTGTCTAGCGGACCTCAAGCTCACATTCGCATTCCAGAACAACATGTACAATCTCGTTTCTAAAGCAGCCGGTCCAGCCGTATCCCGAGCTATGATCCAGGCATTTTCAAATAGGGCTCAGGAAATAGCCAATGTGTAATCATGACTGATCTATGGGGCGATCTGAATGAGGAACGAGAGATTCCTCTTGAGTACAAAGCGTTATATGCTGAGTCGGCTCCTCAGGATGGCAAAGTTGCTGTAGGAAAGGTCAATGCCATATTGCAGCGAGCTGCTTTGCCGCCTGATGTCGCGGCGTTGATTCTTGACGGGGCCGCCCGTGGCCAACCGTCGGTTGAAGAATCAGATTTTTACACGGCTTTGGCAATGATTTCAGCCGTTCAATCGCTGGGTGATCCTCAGCAGGCCATTTTGGCCGTGCAGCAAGGCCCTCCTGACGTTTATGGCCCTATCATGTTGAGTAGTGAGGGAACGACCCCCGAGCCACCAGTCCAAGCGTTTCCCGTGGACGTATCCCCTCAATTCCGGGTTACCATTGTCTCGAAACTACAGGGCTCCTTTTTGTTTCGACACGTTGTTTACGCAGTGGAAGGAGTCTATGAATTGCGTCAGTGCCGCGCCATTCGCAGATACAGTGATTTTGTCGTGCTACTCGAGGCATTGATGAAAAAATACCCGTTCAGATTGCTGCCACCGCTTCCACCTAAAAAGCTAGCTGTTGATGGCCATTATTTCACAAGCGACGACTCTTTTCTAGAGTACCGCCGCACGGGGCTTGCCCGGTTTATCAATTTGCTCCTCCGCCATCCTGTTGTGGGAAAAGATGACCTTGTAAAAGCTTTTCTAGTTGTTGACGCACCGCTGTCTGTTGCAATGAATGCACCGCTCAATCATGCGCAAGACGAGTTTAATTCGCGAACGATCTCACCTCTTTTCATTGCCAATTGGGACGCAGCTGCGCAGGCGGAACGTTGGCGTACTATAAAGCAAGGAACTGATGATTGCTTGGAAGAATGTGTAAAGTTAATGCACAGCTACTACCGGTCGGTGAGGCTTCGAGCTGCAATGAGCGACGAGTGCGACGTGGCAAAGGAACACTTTACTGCTCTAGCATACACACTACCCAATGCGTTTCCTGAAAACGACGGTTCGAAAAACGGGCATATTTCCGGCCCGGCGGGCGATGTTCCGGCCATCACAGCGGGCATTGAGGCGGCAGCGTCTTTCCTCGACAAGTACTCTCGGCTGGGACACGACGTCGCCCAATCTACGATCGACGGCCCGCTCGAGCAAGTCAAGGTGTTCAGAGATATGCTTGTTTCAGTGCGAGAGCTGTTTGCCCGTCAAGCCCGGCTGGGAGGCAACACAATTGCTGCGCAAGAGCGCAAGATCGCATCGACCCAGGCCAAAGTAGCTTCACGGGCTACCGCTCCAGACACGACGCCAGAAGACCTGCAAAAACTAAAGGACCGGATCTCTGCTGCCCAGGAATCTATCAAAGAGCAGACGAACCGCGACTGGCTAATCAAGGAAACAATCACCCGAGAACTCGAGATGGCCCGCAGCTTGCAGTACCAGGTTGTGCAGATACTCGCGAGCTTGGGCGTGCTCGCCTCTGGCCGCTCCGAGTCAGCAATCAACCTGATCAACTCATTCACCAATGCAATCGGTGATATGCCCAAAGCTGTTGTCGAGTAAACTAAATAATTTAAATAATTTGAATGCTTTAGGTCGCAGGGCGATCCGGTTTGTCATCATGCGCACGATTTCGAAAAAAAAGGCCAAGAAAGTGGCCCACGTTAAAAAGCTCCGCGAGGCAGCTACGAAGGATATGCAAGATATTTCGGCAAGACAAGAGAAGATAGCCGCTCGCGAGCGGGTCAAGGCCGAGCAAGAGTCCGAGCCTGTTGTGCTGGCGCGCGGATCGGGCACCACGCTTGGCGGGCCTGAATCGCATGTTTTTTAGCTCAATAACGACCCGATAATGTCTTTTCTTCGCTGCACGTCACCATCCCCGGGCCCCATTAGCAAAGGATCGAGGATCTCCGCCGCCGTGCTGCGTTTGAACCCAAAGTCAAAGGCGTGACGTATAAATCCCAATAAATAGATAATGACGTTCGCGGAAACAGAGGGCACGTGCTCTAGAATAGATAATCCTCTCGCTGAGGAAGGGATATGGTTGAGCGGGATCGGTGGGACCGGGAGATACTGGAATAGAAGAATCAAGACACTTGCGACAGCGTGGATTCCAGCGTTCGACGAGGTTTTGTTGGCTGTATCCAGCACCTGTTCATCGAACTCAACCCCTGTATCGAGCCACTCCAGCACCTGTTGGATGAGCCCTGGCTCGCCAGGTTCAGAGAGCATTTCAGGATCAACCCGAATCCACAGATAGTTGATACATGACCAAATCTGCTTTGGTAGATTGGTGGTTGGTTCGACAGTGCGTTCATTGCGCGCGCCATGAGGCATGCAGCACATATCCTCCAGGCTTGAGCCCAAGCAAGAAGGAAGAGCGGCAAAGTCAACGCTGATAAACACATCTGCGCCACCACTGGGTTTTATGATCAAAACGTCAGAAATGGATCCGGTGCCCACGCGTAGTGCAGCCTTGACAAGAATTCGTTGCTTGTTTGATTCATGCAACAGGATCCCACTAGAAGGTGTTACTTGGACCTTGGATCCATGGTGTACTGTCCAACGTATAGCCCGACTTGACATTGAGGTCAAAACAACCCATGCTGATACTGTACTGAGTACAGGACCCTTTACATCAATCACTTGGGTGGATACCTCCAAGCGAGGCTGGGAGATGTTTTCTGCGTGGTCAACTGCCCGGAGAACTTTGTCAAGGATTTTACCTCGCTCTTCGAAATCAAAACTGCTGGTAGTCACATTGAGCTCAGCCGTGACCGGCCGGTGGTCAGAAAGGCGGACGTCAAAACTTTGATATTTCTGTACTTCGACCATGTTCGATGATCGGTACAAGATTCGATCGGTGTATGAAGGTACTCGTACAACATACTGGTTTGTATCCCGGCCATATTTGAAGGTGGGAGGGAACGAGATCGGGCCCTCACAAAAGTCTTTGAGTATGTGCCCCTTTTTGATTTCTTGCTTCAAAGAGTCGTGTTCCAAAACCGCGTCGTATTGGCGACTTCGGATCAGATCGCGTGATTGTTCGGCGTCGAGAAGCGTTCTGTAGTTAAGATCACCAAGAACAATACTGACTTCGTCTTGGACGTCGTAATCAGCTGTAGGATCAACCTCGTCAACGCCGTCATATTCGAGGATATCGCTGAATCTGACTTTTTTGTCTGAGTTCAGGCTCTCGGTATGAGCCAAAGGCGGAAGCTCTTCTTTCTGAACTGGTTCTGTTTCGAGTTCCGGCTCGAGTTCTGGTTCTGGTTCTGGTGGCTGGTCTGCAATTTTCTGCTTTCTCTTCCTTTTGCCCTTGTCTTTTTTACTAGTCTTGCTTGCTTTGCCAGACAGTTTCTCGGTGTGGTTACTATCTTTGTCGGCAGCATTTTGAGCAGATACTTCATTGGGCTTTACAGGTTCAACCGTATGGTGTTGAGCAGTCTGTTCATGCTCTGTCGGTTCATCTGTTTCCTTTACGATCTGTCTGTCCGTTTGATTGCGATATCGCAAAGGAGTTTCCTCTTCGAGCTCATAATCAGCGAATTGCTGTACTGCAGTATCGAACTCATGCTCTGCAGTGTTCAAAGACAGCATAGGGATGTTGAATCTTTGAGAAATCTCTCTGAGCTCCCACCGCCGGCGTCCCAGTTGAGAGGCGCCCTCTCCAGCACTTAGATGACAGTTTACGATGGAAAACTCCGTGCCTCCACCCATGATGCTGTCTTGGAACAAAGCAAAACGGATCAGAACGGCGCCTTTGTTGCCCCACATTCCCAAAAAGCCAGTACCAGACGAAAGGGTCTGGATACGGGTGACGTAGGGGACCAGGCTGGTCTTAATATACACGATTGCCATCAATCCGAGCAACTGCACCTGAGCAAGAAGCTTATGGTCGGGCAATTGAGCAGCAATTCCACTCAAGGTTGTTTGCAGAGTCTGCGGGTTTGAGGTAATATTGCGACTTAGTTGATCGGTCTCCTGAAAGCCTAGAATAACAACATCTTTGCCCGGGTTCAGAACCTCCCAGGTCGACGGATCAACCTTGGCCAGCAGTCCATTGACATTCCAGGTCAACGCCTGTACACTCACCGAACGCTGAACCGTCAACTGTTGCTTCTGAACCATGAGCTCAGCAATGCGGGCGGTCTGGTTGTCGACGGGCCCAATGTCTTTGATCCACGTTGTGACCAGCTCGTTCATCTTTTTCAATCCAGCACTGTCGGATTTCGCAATCTGGCCAATGTCCAAACCGTTCAGAAATACATTGATGTGCTTTGCTGCCGTCCGGAGCACCAGCTTGGCGCTTGCCGCATCGCCGCGTTTCGTGTGCACCCAGTTGTCTTCCTCGTGGTTCGTTTCAAACTTTCGCAGTTCAAACTGCCGACCGTCTAGAGAAAGACTGAACGTGTCCGTATTCAGTTGCATTCCGCAAAATTATGCCCGCCAAATGTCCTATATTTATGAAGGTGGCAGGCCCAATTAGGTCATCTTCGAATGCAACAAGTGGTGATCGGGGTGTTGCTGAAGCTTTTACTGTTTCCGGCGTACCACTCGACTGATTTCGATGTTCATCGCAATTGGTTGGCTATAACAAGCAAGTTGCCCATTTCCGAGTGGTATTTCGAGGATACCTCGGAGTGGACGCTGGATTACCCGCCGTTTTTTGCCTATTTCGAGTGGATACTGAGCAAATTTGTGCCCAAAGTGGTGGAAAACGACGGCTGTTTGGATATCGTTGCTCATGGAAACTACGGGTGGCCCACAGTGGTGTTTCAGCGCACTACGGTGCTTGTTAGTGAGCTGGTTCTTGCAGCAAGTCTGATTTATTTCACGCGATCAAAGGCCCCCCTGAGCTATAGACAGAAAATGACGGCGGCGGCTATTATTTGGTTCAGTCCCGGTTGGCTGATTCTTGACCATATTCACTTCCAATACAACGCCATGATGTTTGGTTTGCTGGTAATTTCAATCACCGCTGTGGCCAACGGCCAAATGCTCGTTTGTGCGTTCACCTTCGCCAGCCTGCTTTGTTTCAAGCATATTTACCTCTATCTTGCTCCTGCATACTTTGCTTTTTTACTTAGGGCATACATTTTCGAAAACAATAAGCTCAGTTGGCTGAATGGTGTGAAATTAGCTGCCGTGGTTGTGGCTCCTGCGCTGGCATCATTTGGGCCGTTTGTCCTGCAATTACCCCAGGTATTATCCCGGCTATTTCCTTTTAGTCGAGGGCTAACTCACGCATACTGGGCTCCCAACTTTTGGGCGCTCTACACGTTTGCAGAGCGAGTGTTAGGAGTTGTGCGTCACAACTCTTCGGCCGCGGCCACGCGAGGAATCGTTGGTCAAATTGAGTTTGTGAACCTGGCTGATATTACGCCACGTATCACTGCTGTTTTGACTCTGTTTTACCAGGTCTTGAGCGTTATTCCACTGTTTTTGAAACCAACCTACGACCAGTTCCTGGGAAGTCTTACTCTATGCGGGTTTGCGTCGTTTTTGTTTGGGTGGCATGTTCACGAAAAGGCAATTATGATTGTTATCGTGCCGTTTGCTTTCATGGCTGTGTCATCGAGATCTTATGCTCTGGCCTTCTCGCCCCTGCTGGTGGCTGGTCACCTCAGTCTTATGCCTTTGATCTTCACCCCCAACGAAGCAGTTATCAAATACGTCTACACTGCCGTGTACCTGACGGTGGTTTTGAGTGTTTTGCCGGAAATTGCCCCGGTAAAAGACCAGGCGAACCGAAGATTCTTTGCCGAACGATATGTGTTTATGTACAACGCACTATTCGTCTTGCTGATTCCTGCGCTGGCCATATTGCCGGTCATTGCAAAAAAATTCGAGTTCGCAAACCTCATGCTGCTCTCTGTGTACTGTGCCCTGGGTGTAATGGGATCGTGGTTGGCGTTAAACACAGTCTACTTTTCTACGGATCTACTGTCAAAATAATTTAATATAGCTGGCGTTTCTTGGGTGACTTGAGCCCAATCCTCTCGCGGCAAGTCGGACAAAACCACTTGCCCTTAGGAGCCACAGTAATGTCTACACAGGCCATATGGTACCACTCGTAGGGGCAGTCTGGGTCGTCGCAGCCGACCATTTCGCCGAACGCCGGTTTTCTGCATTTACAATACACTGGCTCGGTGTTCTTCGGCGGGCGACGCGTGTTTTTAGGAACCAGCCGGTTGAGAAAGTCGATGCGGGCCGTCAAGAAGCTGATCAGGTGGTCTGCTTCGGCAACCGCATTCGCGTTGTCGGCCGAGTCAGTCTCCGCGGGGCGGAAGCTGGACTTGACAAACGAGTCGCTGGCCTGCCCAAGCATCTCGGCGATCTGAGAGCCCGCAGGGTCTAGGTTCTCAATCAATTGGACCGACCGGGCGACTTCATGGTGCATCAAGTAGGGTAAACCGAGCGGGCGGCTGCTGATGTAATATAGGAATAATCGCGTGTAACACGGAGGTTAGGGCATCTGAGCCAATCACAGCAGAGCAAATCAGCGCTTAGAAAATCCCAAAGAGCACCGTTCAAAAGTCATCATCGTCCTCCTAGGGTCAAAAATGTTTCGCTCGGTACGTATAGAAAGAGGAATCGGGAGAGGGTAGTTTGGGTGTGTGTGTGAGTGCAGGCGAGAAAATTTGCGGTATTCCATGGACGCCTAAACGCCTCCGGTCGGAGAGGGCTATTTTTTCAGCATACTAACAATTCAGAAAGTCTTGTCCAAACAAGCAGTTGTAGGAGCCGTGTCTACCGTGGGCCTCACGGCGTACTACGCCCACCTTTACTGGAACCCTGCAAACGCTATGACCATGGCAGAGCATGGTATGCATGCGCCCGACTACCCGTGGCCTCAGAACGGCCTCACACAGACTTTCGACCACCAGTCGATTCGCCGTGGCTACCAGGTGTACCGCGAGGTGTGCTCAACCTGCCACTCCCTGAATCTGGTTACTTGGCGCTCGATGGTTGGTGTTTCCCACACGGCCTCAGAGGTCCGCGACATGGCCGCTGAGTTCGAGTACGACGACGAACCCGATGATGAGGGCAACCCCCGCAAGCGCCCCGGTAAGCTCGCAGACCCTCTGCCTGAGCCGTACCCCAACGAGCAGGCTGCTCGTGCCGGTAACCAGGGTGCCCTGCCCCCTGACTTGTCGCTCATCACCAAGGCCCGTCACAACGGAATCAACTACGTTTTCTCCTTGCTCACCGGTTACCCCGATGAGCCCCCCGCCGGTGTCCAGCTCGGTCCTGGTCTTAACTACAACCCTTACTTCCCCGGTGGTGGTATTGCCATGGCCCGTGTCTTGTTCGACGGTTTGGTCGAGTACGACGATGGTACCCCGGCCACCACCTCCCAGATGGCCAAGGATGTTACCACCTTCCTCAACTGGGCGGCTTCCCCCGAACAGGACGACCGTAAGCGTCTCGGTATGAAGGCTCTCATCACCATTTCTATGCTGTATACTATCGCCGTTATTACCAAGCGCTACAAGTGGGCCAACATCTGGACCCGCAAGACCGTCTGGAAGGGCCCTGGTTCTCACAAATAGGCTAAACAGTAAATATTGCCAACTAACTAATATCTGCCGGCAGTCCGTTTGCTGGTTCGGTGTCCAAATTCAACCCGGGGATCGCGGTGTGCTCCTTTTTGCGCCTTTCCGGTACGCTGACCTCCACTGCGTCGGTGTAGAAGCGTGTTTTGAATGCCGTGGGGTCTCCGGGCCGCCCGCGGGCCCAGAACCGTACGCTCTTGTCATTAGACCCGGAACACAGCAGGTGGCCAGCCGGGTGATACGCTAAATCCCACACGGGCCAGCCGTGTGCCTTGGGAATAGATGCGGCAGGTAACAATCCAGAGGAGTTTTCAGCCAGCTGGCTGTCGAGTAAGAAGTGATTGATGGTGCCGTCTCTGGTGGCTGTGGAAAGCAGTTCCGGGTGCACAGGGTGCCAGGCCAACGCGGTAACATCAGCTTCGTGGCCACGCAAGACAAGAACATGCTGCATCATCCTCAGATCGAATATCCGAGCGGTGTTGTCTCTGCTGGCCGACGCCAAGAGATACTGTCCGCCTAGGGTCTGGAATTTTGTGCGAGTGAGTGTGTTTTTGAATCCATGTAGTGTGCTTAGGTTTTTAGCCTGCCGTGGGTCCCACAGTTTAACTGTATTGTCCTTAGATCCAGTAGCAATCAGCGAAAGGGACGGGTGCCAGTCGACGCATTTCACGTCCCAGCCGTGGCCCGTGAGCGTCGTTTCTTCGGCCATTGTCGCAAAAGACCATACTTTTGCCGTAGAATCGTCGCTTCCCGTGACAAATTTGGCGTCGGTGGGGCTCCAGGATATACCAGAAAGACTCTCGCGATGGGCTCCGCTCACGATGTTAACGTTGTTGAAGTTGGGCTGCCACACTTTTAATGTGCCGTCTCTGTCACCACTCAAGAGCCAGTCTCCTGAATGTGAATACGCCAGTGCTCTGATCTCGTTTTCATGTGCCTGCATCAAGCTCTCGAAGTTGAACGTCATTCCATGCCACAGCGTGAACTCGCCAGACGATGCACCAGTCAAAATACGTCTTCCTTCGGGAGTCCAACTTATACAAATTACTGGTTGTCTTGTTTTATTGACGCTCATATGTACAAAGCTCGTGCAAAGCGCAGTCGCTGGATGGTTTCGCCAGAGCATCTGTGGGGCCATTTGGTGGATGAAACTTGGCTCAGGACGAACCTGTAGCGGATCCGCACGCATTCCAAGCCTTCGACATAGCGACCAGTGCGTGAACTCATTGCCATAGTCGACTATCTGCCGGCTGGCTGGCGGAGTCTCTTCCATTACGTGAGATGAACAAGTTGAATTCGAGCAAATATACAGTTATTGGCGGTGGGCTGCTCATAGGGTCGTTGATTGTGTCGTTGGTACTTTTCGTGAGCAGAATTGACCAGGTCGACATCAACAATATCCGCCTAATGCACCAGCAGCGTCTCACGAAACAGGAGCGGAACATCGCGAAGTTCGCAAGTGATCATCTGGCCAGTATTTATGCCTCAAAGCCTGCTTCTGAGGATTTGGAAGAAGTAAAGTGGACGGCTCATAAATATGCCGTCTCTTTGTCGGAAAGCGCTCCGCAAGAGCTTTATGAAAGTGGTAGAGCGGTTGTACTGACGGCTACGACCGAGAGTATGCCTGATCTGTTGATTTACATTCAATGGCTACGGATGAGAGAGGCTGATATTCCTATTGAAGTGTATCTGCCAGACTGGTCGCATTATGAACCTGATTTGTGTGCCGATATGCTTCCTGGCCTTGATATCGAATGCCGCGTTTTGACCGACATTTACGGCGAGTACCTGCTGCGGAACTCAGACTACAAACCGTCTACAAAGTATTTGGCCATGCTTGCATCCAAATATGATGATGTGGTCTATTATGAGCCCTTTTCGCTGCCTTTATCGAGCCCACATTCGGTACTGGGAGCTGATGCGTTCAACAACACAGGTCTGGTTCTTTTGGGAACAGGTGAGCAGGCTCGTTTTGAGGCTGGCGATATCGATGTCGAAACCTGTGACCCTTCGCAGATTTTCCTTTCTAAATCAAGTCATTTATCGACCTTATTACTGGCAGCTTACTATGAAATGTGGAGCTTGAGCTATAACGTGCCTTCCGCGGCGGCCAAAATCCTGGCAAATGATTTTCGTTTTGCTGAAAACAAGGAAAACGCTTTTGTTTTGGACGACAAAGTTATTGCCTGGCACCCGGGTGCTCTGAGCTTCGAACCGGGCCGCCATTTCGGAAAGCTTGTGGACATCGAACGGCTTTTGAATACTGACGTCGATATTGAATTTATACTCTGCGATATCGCTCGGCATTTAGCCTGTGATTTGGGCCTTCACAAGCATAAGATTCCCCGAGCGTGGAAGTCTAAGGATCTGAATGGTATGTGTGAGTCTTTCAAGCAGAAAGCCAATTCATTTTAGGAACGTTAGGTCGAATCCGTTTTTATTCTCAACAACACCTTTCTCCGTAACAATTGCATCGATCAGATTAGCCGGAGTGACATCAAAGGCAGGGTTCCACACTCCGATTCCTGGAGCAGCCACAGCAACACCTTGGACCGATGTTAGTTCTTCAGCAGGCCGCTCCTCGATAACAATCTCAGCACCTGATCTCATCTCAAAGTCAATGGAAGTTGTGGGGGCAGCCACAATGAATTTGACACCATGGAATTTTGCCAAAACCGCCAGTTGATAAGTTCCGATCTTGTTGGCGGTATCTCCGTTTGCAGCTACGCGATCAGCACCCACAACAGCAACTTTGACGTCCGGGAACCGCGCCATTAATGAAGCGGCCATTGAATCAGTCACCAGAGTAGCGGGTAGTTTATCATGAACTAACTCATAAGCAGTTAGTCGAGCTCCTTGGTTATAAGGGCGGGTTTCGAGAGCATAGACATGTTTCAAGAGGTTGTGCGAATGCAAAGAGCGCACAATTCCCAGTGCCGTGCCATATCCAGCGGTAGCCAGACTGCCGGTGTTACAAACAGTTACTGCTGCAACGGGACCATCCGTTTGTTTGGAAATCCATTCGGCACCATTGCTTCCGATTGATTTGTTATCGGCAACATCATCTGCCAGCATCTTTACCGCAAACTCTAGTAACTCATTAGCCACGCCAGCACCAGATTGTGCCGAGGAAGCAGCTAGGACGCTCAACAAGTCAGTGGCAGCCCTTGACAAATTAACCGCGGTAGGGCGAGACGTCACAATATATTTCAGGCGCTCAGTCGCGTATTGCTTGACTTTCTCCGCATCCGGCTCGGCTTTGGCTGTCTCCACGACATCTAGAGCAACTGCCAACGCTCCAACAATTGCGATAGCGGGCGCACCGCGAACAACCATTCTCTTGATCACGTCGTGGCCGTCTTGGGCGTTTTTCACCTCAACATAAACGGATTCATGCGGCAATTTCAATTGATCGAGAATGGTGAGCCGTTGGCTCTGTGCGTCGTATTTAATCGCTTCCAAACTCATGATGAAATTTCAAACCAGCGATTTGGTAACTAAGCCTTTGCTCATGTCAGCGGACGATAAACGACGTCGAGTCGGACTGATCGGCAGTTGGCCGTTTCTCGATGCTTTTGCGATATTTTGTTTATTTATGGCGGCTCCTGGTGACATTGAAGTTGCTGTGGGCTTAATGGTTTTGTACTGGCGCCGAAGCTCTCTCAAGCTGGCTCTCCATTTGGCTGCTGCATTCGTGAGTGGGTTGCTGATCTACTCTGGGGTCAACGTTTGGTCTTATATTTATACGCTATGTGCTGCTCTACTTGCTTCTAGAGGATCTGGGTCGAGTAACTGGCTCATCAATGTGGTCTTTTTGTATGTGGGCACCACGGCACTACGGCTGCTCGGTCGGCTAAGCTTTGACCATGAGCTCCACGTTGGTGTCGAGGTTATTTTGGGTCAGATTTTATGTGCATTGGCACATGAGCTATTAGATATTCGTACCGAGTCTGATGAACCCCCGAAAAAAGGGCGCAAGCTCGCGGTGATGAAATCGCGTCAACCGATGTGGACTTTTATTGCATTAGCACTATCGAAACGCAAAAAGAAGGACGTGTATGAACCAATTGTTGTCCGCTATGTTGAAGATCGCATTATAGGACTGGAAACTGAGGCGTTGCCAGTTCTCGTCAATGATGTCGCATGGTCGCAAACTCACCATTTGCAGGGCGTCTTGTTGATATATGGACTCGAGCCTTCTACAAATTACAAGATCCAAGTTGGAGAGTCTGTTGTTGAGTGTTTAACAGCGAATCAGCGGAGTGAGTCACCAAGTTGGACCGCCGAAGAGATCATTGCCGCAGCAGAGATTGCTTTAAACGAAGCCAAAACGAAGCTACGCAAGTCCAAGAGAGACCAAGCGAAGAAATTAGCTACGATCCGTCAAGAAATTGTTGCTTTGAATGACCGCCAAGATAGTACTGCCAAGGCTGATGAAAGAGCACGTCGCAAACTTTTGTCACTGCAAGATCAGGTTCGCCAGCTCGAAGAAGACACTAAGGAGTTGCAGGCCCGGGAAAAAGAGCTGAATGATCGACGGCCAGAGGCTAAAGCAGCGTTCGCCGTGAGAGAACGTGAATGGAACGACAAGCGGCTAGAAGCGGAAAAAGTACGGGAGGAGCTGCAAAAAGTCAGCTCTGAGCACTCTGCCCAAGTCCGTGAGCTCAACGCTTCTATTGCGGAGCTGGAAGCTCGGGAGTTGACCTTGAAGGCCAAAGCAGACTCTCTTGCCCAGGAAGCTACTGAGATATCCCAGTCCACTGAGCTGGCAGTCAAAGCACTAATTGACTCAAGAGCAGAAGCAAGAGAAGCCAAACGGAGACGTCGAGCCCGCCAAGAAGAGGAGCTCCAGGCCTCCATTGATAAACTCAAGCGCGGAGTCGCCGACATGGAGCAGCGGGCATTATTGGTGACCCAAGCTGCCGGCAAATGGTCAACAGATTGGTCGTGAATATTTATATACAATACATTATTTGAGAGCCTCTCCCAAAATATGGAACCGGCGAGCTTGGTAACACATAGATCCGCCCATTCTGGGTAAAACGTCGATCACACGAGCGACGACAATGCGGTGGTCCTGGACCGGGACGATGTTAGCGATTTCGCAAATGAACGTCGAGCTGCAGTGCTTCAGAATTGGCAAGCCGGCCGATTCGTCAAAGAGTCTGGGGAATTTTTCAAACGGGTTCATGGGACCAAGCTGACCAGAAAACGCCAATGCAAGCTGCATCGACTCCTGGCTGGAATTCAGGACGTTTACTGCGAATTTAGGCGCCTTTTCTAAGAGCGCAAGCGTCCGAGTCGGCGTCTGCATGTTGAACGAAATCATCGCCTCTGGGCTCACCGACACCGACGAGAACGACGATATCGTCATCCCGCCCTTGTCTGTAGCGGATTGCGTCGTGACAATAGCAACTGGAGACGCCACTTCACGCATCGCAGCCTTGAATCCAGCAACAGTCGTCGAATAAAACCGTCGCCCCAGGCATCCTCTACACATTACGTACGCTTCAGGATGGATCCCCGGATGGTTGCAGAGGTTTTACGGCGGCCGTTACGAGAAAACTTGGTGCTGCGGCCGCCAAAAATAACATTGGAGGAAGCGTTGGCCGCCTGGCGAAAAGAGCCTGCTCGCAAAAGACGGCCAAAGCCCCCAGCTCCTAGCAAGTGTTTGCCTACTACTGCGAAATCGATCCCGGCTCTGGAAAATAATATATTTTGTAGAATCCTCGCTGCAAAACCTAAAATGGATGCGCAGACCCGTGATATTCTACCTTCTTTCTTGCTAACAAAGGTTGGCGTGGACGCAAACCACCAGATCGGGCCAGTACCTTTTTCGAATAAGCGATTGAGGGGCCCAAGGGCCTATCTTTCATGCATCCAACCCGATCTACCTAAAGGTTTTGTTGCCAAACTGACAGCGAAGTACCCTGAAATGCACGATATCAAGTCGGAGCCTCAATTCGACCGTGCTGCTCGTCAGATCATCGTCGATGAAATAACCAACGCACTACAAAAAGTTGACAACACTGCTCCTCCCATATGCAGTTTGAAACCGCACGACTCTATTTATTATCTGGATATTTCCTGTCTACCCGACGACCCTGTCATGCCTTCAATACCCGATCTAATTCCTGGAGGTATTGCAGGTGTTCATTTGGCAACCCTGCTCTACAAATACTCCTTCATCGAGCGGTGGCGTAAGGCAAACCATATATAACTGGCGCTGCTCCTGTACAAAACCGTAAAACACATGCACTGCGGGCTTCAGCTACTGCTTGCCCAATTGGTTCATTATTATCGAAAATGCGGGCAAGCAGCTCTTTGCTGAACCGATTGATATCCCGATCAGCAACGTCCCACAAATTGCCAACCAAAAGTGAACAACCTGCCATGGCGTAATCGCTATGAGGGCCGTATCCGTCAAAGCCTAGTATGCCACCTCTGGTTCTAGCCGACGAGCAGCCCATCAGTATTGCATTCGCGCACCGCTCCAGCCTCTGAATTCGATGGGGTCGTGCACACACTTTGCCTGAACCATGTCCTAAATAAATATACCACCCATGGGTTTCTAATGCTTTCAAAACTTCACCGTCTTTTGGTGGGCTTCCTGCAACTCCCTTCCATCCACGAAGCCTGAAATCAGCTTCAAATTCAGGCTGTAGGCGATCAAGATTGTTTTCTGGATTCAAAACATAGTAGACGGAATCGGGTTGTTGGGTTTGTGAAGCGAGCGCCTCTTCGAGCAATTTCAGCGATAAAAACCGGCCAACTGATGCACCTCTCAAAGTGGGCAAAGATTCCCATGGAAAGTTTTGACAACAACTATTGGGGATAATAACCATATCTCGTTTGGGTGGTGGATCGACTGCAACATGGAATGCGTTCAGAGCTTTCCGTAACTCCCTAGTCATTCCAGTGACATCCACCTCGTCGTAATCAAAGTTTGTGCCGCGTAGCTGTAAACTATCGGCAATATAATAAATAATGTCCTCGGCACCAACTCTATCAACATTTCCAGCCCCGGCAACCAGTTGGGCTAGAACAGTCGGTACTGAAATTGTAGCTTTAAAGTAGCGTTTGATTAGATCTTCCAAGCTCTGTGAAATGAAGGAAACATCCTGGTAAACATATGGCGAAAGCATTCCTTTGAATCCTCTCAGCCACTCCTGCTCTACTCGATGCAAAAACTCGTTGAACGCTTTCTCAACTTTGCCTCGTTTCGACCAGTACGCCTTTTTATCCTCGGGGGTGATCTCACCTTTAAGGCCATCACTTTCATGACATACATCAGTCAATTTTTTGAGCTCGTCCATGACTGCTTCAAGAGAAGCTACTTCGGTGTCATTGCGATCAAGGGGAAGAGTCACATGTACCTCCTCGCCATCAACCACCCGAGACAAACAAAGCTTTTTCTCGGTTTCAAAGTTCACCGAAACCACCACGAGCTCGCCATAGCTGGGCCGGTTGGCCCGTTTTGTCGACCGGCACATTGACACATACGAGTATTTCGGTTCTTCGACCAAATTGAACATAGGTGGTACTTTTTGTGACGAAGTGGACGACACGACCAATGCCATAGATCGTGCTAGCTGACTCTGTAGATTTGTATCATCCCAGAACAAGAGCTTTGTGCTGATGCATTCAAGCAGGATGGAGTGCAGCGTTTGCGACACAGCGGGAACGGTGTCTCGTCCAAGCGAAGGCACTGAAAGAGCACAGTCAGGTATAACGCTGAAGACAGCATCCTGATTCAGAAGCTTGCACGCGTTTGCATAGTTTGTTTGTACTGAATCAAATTCCATTGAATTGAATTGTATATCTTTGTATCGATTCTGAGCGTTGGCAAGCGCCGTTGGCGAAATCTTATGAGAACAAGAGAATGTACCAGTGACTTCCGACGAATCTACCAAAGGAGCAATGGCATTCAACATACGAACATAGACTGATTCTCTTAGTGGCGTTCCGCGGCGCACTGCTTGTTTGTGAGCTTCCTTCAAGTACATGAAAGAATCCTTCATATTTCCAACAAACCTGTAAATCTGTGATAGCCTCACACATACGTCCATGACCACAGCGTTCGCCGCAACACCAGTGAGGGCAAGAGCAGCAGCTATTGTTTGAAGCATAGTGCTAATTGCATCGTCAGGTCTACCTCGTGAAATTAAAACCTCTGCCACAGCCCATCGTAGCAGAACCTGCTGCAGTTTGGACAACGCGTATTCATTGAGCTGATTCAAGCATTCAGAACGTGACGGATCCCTAGTAATCTCCAGAAGCTTCTGCTCAGTTTCATTTTCAACGGCCGTATCAAAGTAACCCTCGAAGATAGCTTGCCAGCCCCTGCGAGGCTGTTTTGCATTATTTTCAGATGTCATGAGGGGATGTATGACGCTCAATATTCTCTCATTTTGAATTTTGTCGCCATCTACTAGCTTATTTAGCGCTGTAGCGAGACTGCCCCACTCCACTTTCATCTGATCAAGTTTCATTATAGCCTTTTCAAAAACATCCGGCATAGCGTCGACCTCGAGAAGAGCTACGGCCAGTCGTGTGGTTTTTTCAAGCAACATATCGCATGATGTGCCTAGTTCAATCTCAATTGAAGCTGCCCAGGCGTTGATAAAAGCTGGATCCGGACGTAACCGTCTTCCCAAGTTGAAAAGCGTGTTGGACAACGCTTTGCTGAAGGATTCACTAGAGGCAAGAGGAACCAGCAGTTGGCAGGTTGTGAGCATTTGAACAAGCTCATGTTTATCAGCGGAAGCGATACGAGTATGCAGTGCTTTGAGAATTTTGGCCGAGTCTTTTGGGCAGATCGGCATAGTGTTCAGTAGTTCCCAGTTCTTACTCTCCAAAACTTCGAGCAGCTCGTTATTTTTGGGGAATATCCTGTTTGCCTTTTCGATTAGCTGTTGCGGCGGTGATTCGATATCTTCGAGAACTAGGTAAATGGCTTTTTTGTCGGCGGATCGTCCCAGCTGAAGCCAATACTCAATGGCCAGCAGCCGTGCTTCTAACGTGTTGAGGCTCTCCACAAGCATCAGGATGTCCTCGTTTGCCAGCACCAGTGCCATTGTCGGGAGAGCTTTCAAAGCCAGTAGTTTGAGCGCGTCAAAGTTGGAGGTAAACAGCTCTTGTAAACACACGTCTTTTCGAGCAGACTGTTTACTCTCAACGAGGTAGTGGCGCCACAATTCGCACGTGATATCTTCGCCTTTTTCGATTAATTTCAGAATAAATAATTGGAATAGCTTTCGGGCTTGAGCGGGGCGGCGATTCGCAAGAACACCATAGGCGATCTCGGCTTGGGCGCGTGATTCAGGCGATAAAGTCCCGTTCGGTGCGTCCCTCAAAACTCTTTCGGCACTGTCTATGCTAAGTTTAGTGCTTTTAACTGCATCGCCACGCGGTAGCCGCGACAATTTCACTATGCCTGCTTCCATTCGGTGCTAACGCGCGACGAGTGTCTTAGTCAGAATCTGAAAAAAGGTTTAAGTAATTTTTATTTTCCACCCAAAATTTTTTTTTTTAACATCGCTCACTCAGAAATCAATGGGTGTGCAGAAGAAAGAAAAGAGCCGTCGTGCTCGTGAGGGCCAAGTCAAAGATGGAAACCTGCGTCTGAAAGGAGAAAATTTCTACAGAGATGCCAAGAAGGTCAAGAAACTGAGCATGTACAAGGAGGGCCGGGCTCAGCGGAATGCCAAAGGAGAAATCACCAAAGCAGCAACGTTGCAATCAACTGACATCCCCAGTGCACGAGTTGCTCCCGACCGTCGGTGGTTTGGCAATACTCGAGTCATTTCCCAAGATGCGCTAACCCATTTCCGGGAGGCTATGGGCAATATTCGCAAAGACAGTTACCAGGTTTTGTTGAGACAGAACAAGCTCCCTATGTCGTTGCTGGAGGAGTCTTCACAAATTCCTACTGTTGACATCACTGAGACAGAGTCCTACTCGTCCACATTCGGTCCCAAAGCCCAACGAAAAAAGCCGCGAACGGCTGTGTCAAGCTTGACCAATTTGGCCGATACAGTTGCCCGTGATACTGAGGAGTTCGAGAACAAAGAGGAGGAGAGCGAAGACGAGTTCTCTGCGGCTGCCAAAGAGCATATTTTCTCAAAGGGTCAATCCAAGCGTATTTGGAATGAGCTGTACAAGGTCATTGATTCATCAGATGTGGTGATTCATGTTCTTGATGCCCGTGATCCCATGGGAACTCGATGCAAATCTGTTGAACAATATATTAAGAAGGAAGCTGCACACAAGCATTTGATTTTCGTGCTGAATAAATGTGATCTTGTCCCTACGTGGGTATCGGTAAGTACAAAGCTTAGCGAAGCTATGAATGGACGAATAAAGAAAAAAGAAACGACCCCCACTGTTAAGTCAAGGAGCTGCTGTTTTTTTCATGAGCATGAGCCTGTTACAACTGTGGGAGATAAACACTTGCTGGTGCTCGAGCTCCGTTTTGGAGCTTTTCCGGCAACGGTGATTTCTTTGAGTTGGGAAGGGACGTGAAAACAATTTCTGTGCCCAACCCTTAGTAGAAATCAAACATTTTTTCTCTTGTTTCCTTTTTTTTCTTTATTTCTGACCCATTCAAGGCTGTGCCTTTCAATTCAGGAATTATACTAACTTTCAGGCTGCTTGGGTGAAACACCTCTCTAAAGATTATCCCACGCTGGCATTCCATGCTTCTATCACAAACCCCTTTGGAAAAGGAAGCTTGATTCACATCTTGCGGCAGTTTGCTAGTCTGCACAAGGATAGAAAGCAGATCAGTGTTGGTTTGATCGGCTACCCCAATGCCGGTAAATCGTCTATTATCAACACACTGAGAAGTAAAAAAGTTTGCACCGTTGCTCCTATTCCTGGAGAGACAAAGGTCTGGCAATATATTACCCTTATGAAGCGCATTTTCCTGATCGACTGTCCCGGTATCGTTCCACCCAGCAGCAAAGACACCGAGACGGACATTTTGTTCCGTGGTGTGGTTCGTGTTGAGCATGTTTCAAATCCAGAGTCATTTATTCCGGCTTTACTGGACCGCGTAGAGCCCCGTCACCTGGAACGCACATACGAGATCAAGGGCTGGAACAATTCCGCTGAGTTCTTGGAAATGCTTGCTCGAAAGAACGGGCGTCTTCTCAAGGGTGGCGAGCCTGACGAGTCTGGCGTGGCCAAGGCTGTTTTAAACGACTTCAACCGAGGCAAGATTCCCTGGTTTGTGCCCCCGCCTAGAGACGAGGAAAAGGACCAAGAAGACTTTGCTGGGTTCGACGATAAGCCTGCTGAGGTTTCTGCTTAAATTATATATATTATTTTTCTAGCCATTTTGCACGCCCTTCCGGGGTATCAATCCACTCAAAATCAGGCAGCGTGTCTATGCGGGACCAGTTGATACTTTGGGTTTCGCGAATCCAGTTGAAGTCGTCGATTTCGTCCCAGGGAGAGCCGAAGTAAGCCGGTCCAAACCGAATTGCCCGGCAATCTTCAATGATGGGTCGCTTGGTTCCCAGAAACACATCGCACTCTGTGCTCTTGTGCATACGGAATTGATGGCACTGGGCAACAATGGTTGTGTTTTCGATGTTTGTCAAGTACAGCGGGCCGTCGACCTGGAGAAAAATCACCGAATTGGAAATTTTCGACAGATGCAGCGTTTTCTGCGGGACGTCGCACATGACAATGCAGTGGTCGAGGTCGTTGGCAGGCTCTACAACTTTGCGAGATTGCCGCGGGGTTTGAGTTTGTTCCGGGGCCTGACTGACTTGGGCGTTTGCAGCAGGCCTGGCTAGCTTGGATTTGAACGCAAACTTTTTCGGTTTCTCTCGGCATTTCTCACTCCATAGACTCAATTCCTTCTCGTACTTTTCTAAATCGTGTGCCGGTATTTTATCCCGGTTATTTCGTACATCTGCTATGAGAGCCGATATTTCGTCCAGGAGCTGCCGTGAGTCCTGCTTGCCTACACCGTCTCGAATCGCCTGGATCCGCTGCGTATAGTCAAGCATTGCCCTCCATGTACGTTAAACAGTAAGCGTAAGAGAGAAGTTTCAGGGCGAATGTCGGATCTAGATTAGAAAGGCTAAAATGAAAATAGGCGACCAATTGAAGGCTGTTTCGACCGGTAAACAGCACTAATAAACTTAGACCCCACTCACCGCCCGCATGGATGCGATCTCATCACCTGATACATCAGCCAACCGCACGCCCAGTTAGTCATCATCACCAATGGACCAACTGCTCGACGAAATCCGAGGACACATCGAAGGCACCATCGACTTCAAGGGCCAGGCGACTGCCGAAAGATACAGCGATACTGCATCTATTAGCGGCATAGCCCTCAGCGTGCTGGTCGGATTCGTCCTCCAAAACTTCGAGGTCGCGGCGGCAGGCATTTTTTTGACCTACATGGCCGTGCTCGTCCTCTGCCTGCCATTTTCCTTCTACCGGAAAACCCCCGTCACGTGGACTGCTCTATAGAATGAATACGACCTGCTACTTAGCGTTTATTTAATAGATTCGCTTCTAGACGAGTTAACCCGGTCTCTACCGCGTAGAGCTCTAGCTACGCGCCGGCTCGCTCCTGCATTTTCCGTGGTTTTGGTTCGAGCCGGATCAACCGCTGTCAGCACATGGCGTCTAACCCCCCCGGGCGCCCATTTGCTTGCCAGCCAAAAGGGAACCCCGCATTCAGAAATGGTTCCTAGGTTAGGGTTCGGTAACGGTTTGCAGGTGCGCCCGACGGTCCCCCTCAAACTACTAAAAATCGAGCCGAGGGCAGAATTGGGGCCGAATTGGCGCGGGAGACGAGCCGAACCACAAAGCTGGGCTCAGTTGCACCTGTTGGTAAAAAAATTGCTTCTCGGAGCAACCAAAAACTGCCGTTTCTGAACAATGACCTCACATGCAGCTGACTTAGCCCGCTGCCTCGGCACTGTCCTGCTGGCAAGCATATATAATCCCCACATACCCCAGGTTTCGACTTTTCCTCAAATCACGACGATGACCAAGTCGCTTTCGACCAACCCCGCTAACGACGTCGTCATCGACGGTAAAAAATACAATACTTTCACAGAGCCTCCTAAGGCCATGGCCGCTGAGCGCGCCAAGGCTAGCTTCCCCGTCCGCGAGATGACCTACTATCTCGACGGCGGTGAGAAGGTCACTGAGTACAACGAGGCAGTATGGGAGCAGCTTGAGCGTGCCCCTGCTTTCGACAACACCGACTATTACGATGTCTGTGGTGACCACGAGCTTTTGCGTGCCCGCACCCTTGCCAAGGTCGGCGCGATTGCTGAGATTGTGACCGACGGTCGCAGCGAGCGGGATATTCAGAAGGTTCTCTCCTTTGTTTCGGTCATTGACCCCGGCGCCATGACCCGTATTGGTGTTCACTTTGGCCTGTTCCTCAACGGTGTCCGCGGCTCGGGTACCTCCGAGCAATTCAACTACTGGGTCGGTGAGGGTGCTGCCAACCTCAGCAACTTCTTTGGCTGCTTCTGTATGACCGAGTTGGGCCACGGCTCGAACGTTGCTGGTGTCGAGACCACTGCTACCTTTGACCGCAATACCGAGGAGTTCGTTATCAACACCCCCACCATTGCTGCCTCCAAGTGGTGGATTGGTGGTGCTGCCCACACTGCCACCCACGGTCTTGTGTTTGCCCGCCTAATTGTTGATGGCAAGGACTACGGTGTCAAGAACTTTGTTGTTCCTCTCCGTGACCGCAACACATGGAACCTCATGCCCGGTGTCTCCATTGGTGACATTGGTAAGAAGATGGGCCGTGACGGTATTGACAACGGTTGGGTTCAGTTCTCGAACGTCCGCATCCCCCGTCTGTTTATGATGATGAAGTATGCCAAGGTGTCCAAGGACGGCAAGGTCACCCAGCCTCCTTTGGCTCAGCTCGCTTACGGTGCTTTGATTTCCGGTCGTGTCTCCATGGTCTACGACTCTTACACATGGGCTCGTCGCTTCCTGACTATTGCCATCCGTTACGCATGCTGCCGTCGCCAGTTCTCTTCTAGCCCTGGTGGGCTCGAGACGAAGTTGATTGACTACACTTTCCACCAGCGCCGTCTTTTGCCCCGCCTGGCCTATGCCTACGCCATGAACGCTGGCTCTGCTGAGCTCTACAAGATCTACTTTGCAGCCACCGATCGTTTGGCTAGCACCAAGCCCACCGACAAGGAGGGTCTCCAGTCTGCCATTGACGATGTCAAGGAGCTGTTCTCGGTCTCTGCCGGTCTCAAGGCCTTCTCGACCTGGGGCACTGCTCAGATCATTGACGAGTGTCGCCAGGCATGCGGTGGTCTCGGTTACTCTGGCTACAATGGCTTCGGTCAGGGTTACAACGACTGGGTTGTCCAGTGCACTTGGGAGGGTGACAACAACGTTCTTACGTTGTCCGCTGGCCGCTCTTTGATCCAGAGCGGTCTTGCTATCCGCAAGGGCGAGCACGTTGGTGCTGCTGCCAGCTACTTGAAGCGCGAGCTCAACGCCAAGCTCAATGGCCGCAGCCTCGAGGACCTCAACGTTCTTATCGACGGTTGGGAGCACGTCTCCGCCGTCGGCATTTCTCAGGCCGTCGACCGCTACGTCGAGCTCGAGAAGGAGGGCGTCTCTCAGACCGAGGCCTTTGAGCGCCTCTCCCAGCAGCGCTACGATGTCACCCGTGTGCACACCCGCATGTACCTGATCAAGTCCTTCTTTGAGAACCTCAAGACTGCCAGCCCGGCTCTGCAGCCTGTTCTCACCGACCTTGCTCTTCTGTTCGCCTTGTGGTCGATTGAGATCGACGCCAGTGTGTTCTTGCGCTACGGCTTCCTCGAGCCCAAGGACATCAGCACCATCACCGTGCTCGTCAACAAGTACACCGGCAAGGTCCGTGAGCAGGCCATCCCCCTCACTGACGCCTTCAACCAGAGCGACTTTGTTATCAACGCTCCTATTGGCAACTACAACGGCGATGTTTACAACAACTACTTCGCCAAGACCAAGGCCGCCAACCCTCCCATCAACACGCACCCTCCCTACTATGATAGTGTCATGAAGCCTTTCTTCACCCGCAAGTTCAACGACGACCCTGATCTCAGTGCTCTTGAGGAAGAGGAGGCCGAGGAGAACGAGTAAAAACTTCGTCTTTCGACAGAATTATATATTGATATTTTCTACTATATATGCATCCTTGTGTGCTGCGCAGTACAATGGCTTTCTTCCTCCGCGGGTAAGGGCGTCAACCACCTAACTGCTTTTGGGCACGGCGGCTCGATGACTTAGTGTATTTGGTCAGCCGAGATGTCCACCGATGAGGTGGGTTGGCTTTTTGTCCAGCAATACTATACTATCCTGTACAAAGACCCGGCCAGTCTATATAAATTTTACAGATCAGACTCGCAAGCTATTCATGGCGCTGGGGGCGAGTCTGTGAAGCCCATTCTAGGCCAGCAGGGCATGCGCGAGTTTGTGGACCAGGCTGCGCTTAGGAACTGCAAAGTGCGGGTGACCAGCGTTGATTCGGTGCTTGGCATTGAGTCTAGTATTGTCTTGCAGGTTCTTGGCGAAATCTCGAATGACAACGAGCCTCATAGCAAGTTTGCTCAGACGTTTGTACTGGCCAACGCAGACAAAGGGTACTATGTGGCCAGCGATATCCTAAAAGTCATTCCGGCCGATACCGAGGAGACGCCTGGGGTGACAGAGAGTACAGCAGTGAAGGAGGTCAAAGAGAGTAAAGAGACCAAGGAGGCTCAAGAGAGCCAAGAGATTGAGGAGGCTATGGCTGAGGAGGTTAAGGAGGCTCAAGAAGCTAAAGAGGCCAAGGAAACTAAAGCCAAAGAAGCTAAGGAAGCTAAAGCCGCCAACGAATCTAAAGCAGTCAAAGAACCCAAAGCCGCCAAAGAGCCTAAAGCCGCCAAAGAGACCAAGGAATCTAAAGAGAGCACTGCCGAGACCAAGTCCAAGCCCACCCCCCAAACCTCACCGAAGCCTCGCGAGAATTCCACGACTGAACACAAAATATCCCGAGACCGCTCTTGGGCAGCTGCTGCACGTACCTTTGTTCCACTCGGTGTGGCTACTCCTCAACCTCAATATATCCCTATGCCGATGATGCCTGTTCCGATGCCCATGGGTGATCTCCGGCAAATGCACATGATGAGCCCCAACCTACCCGTCCAGTACGACTTCTCAAGCCCCTCTGAACAAATGAACCGATACGGACCTGGGCAATACAAAGAGCATTCGCATTAAATTTTAACATGCTATGTACGACTAAAGACCCAAATCCTTCATGACCATAGTGCGGCAAATGGGATGATAGAAATCCTTGTATTTAGCAAACGTGTCAAGAGCCAATTGCCGGCTGACACTGGCAAGGTTACGGTAACCAGGACGGGTGAACTTCATTCGACCAACCGTTCCCAACCAGTCGGCCAGAGGCTGGTACTCCTGCTCAAGCTTACCTGCGATCGCCAAACGGAACCAACGAGCCTTGATCTCCGCATTGTTAGAGGTGCTGAAATTGAACAGCTCGTTCATCTTCTCGGCAGCAGAGGAGATGTGCTTTGCACCCTCGAGTTTCTCGGCAACAGAGTCCAAAAAGACCAACACCTGGCGAGCCTTCCATCCCTCCGTATCCTTTTGAGTGGCCCAGGAGAAGTCTCCGGTAGATTTGGCGGCTTCAGCATACTTGGCGGCGAGATCAAAGCAAGGCTCGGCGATGCTTGTATCAAAGTCCGGCTTGGGTGGAAGACCAGGAGTGTGCAGCCAGAGATTCCAGTCAATGGCATCAAGCTTGTCCTTTTGACTAGCAAAGAACTCGTACAGAGTCTCCTTGAACATGTCAGTGTCCAAACTCTTGGCCTTGAACTTGGAGAAGTAGAAAGGAATAAACTTGTCCCACTCCCCACGGCCTAACAAGTTCTCGAGATACAGCAAGAATGTTGATCCCTTTTCGTAGGGCACTGTGGAGAACGCATCATCGGGATCGACGTTGCCTTGAAGGTCAACCACCATTTTAGAGAACTTTTCAGCGGTTTCTCCCATAGCATCAATAGCTTCAGTCAAATCTTTCCAGCCGATGATCGCCTCAAAGTGACGGTAAGATTCACCACGAAGGGCTCCCATGATTCTCCGCTCCAGGTAAACGGTCCAGCCCTCATTGAGCCAGAAGTGCTCCCATGAGCAGTTTGTAACGAGGTTTCCACTCCAGGAATGGGCAAGCTCGTGGGCAATCACTTCCACCAACTGGCGATCGCCCGAAACAAGAGTAGGAGTCGCGAAGGTGATGTTCGGGTTCTCCATCCCGCCAAACGGGAAAGACGGAGGCAAAACGAGGACATTATAGGTCTCCCACTCGTATGGGAAAACAATCTTTTCCGCAACCTTAATGAAGTTCTCGGTGTCAGCCTCAAACTCGTACTGACAAGCTTTGAGATCGCTAGGCTCCGAGTAAACTAATGAGCGCGGACCGATGGGAGCACTGGCCAAATCACCGCTGGAAATAGCAAACAGATAGCTGGGAATAGGAATGTTCTGGCGGAACTTGTACACACCCTCCTCATCGGACTTGACAACGTTGCCAGTTGCAACCGTGGGGTGGGCGGACTCGACCTGGATATCATATGTTGATTTGACGCTAGGAGTGTCGAAACAAGGGAAAAGAGAACGAGCATGAATGGATTGACACTGCGAAAACATGTACGGAGCCTTTTTGCCGGAGGTCTGCTCAGGATCAAGCCACTGCAGCGCCGTGCACTTTTCAGTGGTTGCAAACTCGATGTCCAAGTCACCGCTCAGTGCTGATTCGGGCAGGCAGATGACCAGAGGCGCACCTAGGGGTTCTTGGCGCGCGCTAATGGAGTACTTGACCGGCTGACCATTGAACACGACGCTGTTGACATCCAGAAACGAAGTGTCGAGAACAACTTCGGCGTTAACGATAGAGTCGAACTGGTACTTTACCGAGCCCGACAGAGTCTTAGTAGGCCAGTTTACCTTGAGCCTAACAGCAGTCGAACGCAAAGAGACCTTCGTGTAGTTAGAGAGAGTCGACGGATCCAATTTCATTGATGATGAGCCGTGGATGCCAAAAAACCGTGCTGCATATGATGTTGTCTGGGTTTGGGTTCCCCGCTCCCGCCCAGAGTCTACTCCCTCCCTTCCCTTCATGATTAAGTAGGGCAGGGCTAAGCACAGTCACGCCACTCTCGCACCCGTCGCTCATGCTAAGTAATGGCGCCCCGCCGTCCTAGTCTCCATCCTGATGCAGATTTTCGTCAAGACCTTGACAGGAAAGACCATCACCCTCGAGGTGGAGTCTTCCGATACCATTGACAATGTTAAGTCCAAGATCCAGGACAAGGAGGGAATCCCCCCTGACCAGCAGCGCCTCATTTTCGCCGGCAAGCAGCTTGAGGATGGCCGCACCTTGTCCGACTACAACATCCAGAAGGAGTCCACTCTGCATTTGGTCCTCCGTCTCCGTGGTGGTGGTTCCGTTATTGAGCCCTCTCTTAAGGCTCTCGCCGGCAAGTACAACTGCGAGAAGGCCATCTGCCGCAAGTGCTACGCCCGTCTGCCTCCTCGTGCCACCAACTGCCGCAAGCGTAAGTGTGGCCACACCAACCAGTTGCGTCCTAAGAAGAAGCTGAAATAAACGATTTCGCTTGCATGTACACTGCAGTTCCGCGGAATGTTGGCCTGGGCTTTTATGTTTCGTCTTTAAAATGGCCGCTCCTTCCGCTTCTGTAATTATTGCCTAGGCAGTTAAATAACACAAAATTCAATACATGTTGAATTAATTAAAGTCTAGCTCTCTGGCTACTATAAATACTTCTCGTGGTACTTCATAATGATACGCACGAGCGCGGCCCGCATGATGGGTTTCACGAGCACTTCTTGAATGTTTGCCCGTTCGCAGGCTTCTCGCGTTTGCTGGTCTGAGTATCCGGTTAGAGCGACAATTGGGTACGGATACCCGAGAGTACCACGAATGACTTGGGTGGCATCCAGTCCGTTGAGGTCTGGCATCACCAAATCCATAAAGATAATGGTATAGTGCACACCATCTTTGATGCTCTTCTCGACTAGGGCAATAGCCCCGTTACCCGAGTATGCTGTGTCGACGGTTTGGACACCCATACGCTCCAGCATGCTGCTGAGAATGCGCACATTGAGCTTATTGTCGTCGGCGACCAGCACTTTGATGTCTGGGTGGGGTTGTGACGCAAATTCGTTTTCCCTTTCCGTCAAGTCATCTGAAGGGCTTCGGGGCCCGCGAGATCCCGTCAGTGTTTCTGGACTGGCCATCTCGAGGCTCCCTGGAATGCTCGCTGGGGTTTGCAGTTCCGATACCTGGGGGGAAGGCGTCTTTTCACTCGACGTTGCACCTTTGGCTGTTAAGAACGTAGAAGAACTCATTGGACTGTTCGTTGTGCGTGGCGGCTGGGATGCCTGTACTGAAGCGAACAGAAGAGAGGAAGATGAGTTGTTGGCGTACATGTTTCGACCAACCGTTGTGTCACTGGTAGACACGGTAGACCCGAAGCTCAACGCCTTGTGGTTTTGCCGTGTTTCAACTGTCAAATTGCGCCGTTTGTTGGCCATAGGCAACATTTTCTTCACAACACCAGTATGCAACGAAACAGTGTAAAACGTGTCGGGGAGAATAACCGGCGCCGGTCGATAAAAGAGGGGAGTCAAATTCGGCCACGGGGCAACAATTTGAATTGGAGCTCGAAGCAATGCCGTTGAAGAATGTCCTTCTGAAGACCAGACAATAACATAGCCGCCGATACCTTCAGCAAGCTGCTTGCACATCGACATGCCCAGACCAGTGCCTTGATGACGTTTGGACAAAGACTCATCACCCTGGGTGAATGGTTCGAAAATGCGTCCAAGCTGTCTTTCTGACATTCCTTGACCGTGATCTGTTACTGAAACCTCCAACATAGCTAGCTGTCCCGTTAAGGGATACTCGGATTTCTTGTAAGGTTCAAGAGAGATCCGCGAATCGATTTTGGGATACAGACTCACTAGCACCGACACAGAACCATTTTCATCACTGAATTTAATAGCATTTGACATGAAATTAATGATGACTTGGAACATGCGATAAGAGTCACCTCTCAGCTGAAGGTTGCTGAGGTCCCCAGGAACGGCAGCCATTGACACGGACAGATGCTTTGCGTCTGCACGGGCACTGAACGTGTTTTCCACATTAGAAATCAGTTCTGCGGGAGTGAAGGTTGCAACCTCGGGAACAAGGTCAATTTGGTTCTTTGAGAACGTCAAGAGCTCGTTTAGGAGTTCCATCAGGACGCGTCCGGAATCTAAAATGACCTTCAAATTGTTTCTGATTTTCTCAACATTCTTCTCGCTCAGCGAAATTGATGTCATTCCCATAATACCATTCAAAGGTGTGCGGAGTTCGTGGGTAATATTGGCAATGAACTTTGACTTTGCCGCATTGGCGGTTTCAGCAACAACTCGGGCTTCTTGAGCCTCTTGAGTTCGTGCCCGCACTTGATCATCAAGATAAAGATACTGATTGCTGAGCTTGTCGATCATTTTGTTGTACTCATCAACCAAATCGTCGAGCTCATCAATATAGGGGCGATGAAGCTTGGGCAATTTCTGAGGCAAATGGAACGCCTTTCGACGTTTCGCCCGCTTCGTAGGCTGGGAAAACGATGCCACAGTTGACTTTGTTTCGGTGAGAGGCGAATTTGGTGGTGATGGTGTCGGTGAAGTTGTTAAAGACGAGTGCAGCCTGCTCGGGTTGTCGCCATCGGTTTCCGTATTGTCATCGTATTCTAGTGACGAGTCGGTCAATTTTGAGGGCTTACGCGAGGGGCCAGTGCTACGGTTGTTCCGATTTGTCTCAAGAGGCCTTAATACCAAGTTGTTGTAAATCCTGTATAGCGAAGAAGTAAAAGCTCTGCCGATAGGAACAATTACCAGGACCAGAGCTCCCAAAATACCCCCAGAGGTACCTATAACCCGGTTTCTTAAGTGGCGGACATTTGCATAGGCCACTGATTGAGGGATTGAGACAACAACAAGCCAGCGTCGTTGTAGAACCTGCGCATAACTGAAACCCGTAGATGCCTTGGACGAGAACGGGGTGTATGTACGAAGAAAAGAGCCACGTGCACGCTCTACAGACGTTGTATTGGACAGTTGAGAGGCAGCCTCCATGGAAGGGAATGTAGAGTAACCGGAGATCCCTGATGAACTGCCAGTGGGCGGGAAAAGGAACTTGTAACCGATGCTGCCACTGGTGGAATTCCTCGCGGTTTCTCCAATATAAATACTGTTATCTTGCAGTGTATCGCTTGATAGTTGTTCTGTATCAAGTAGAGGCTGAGCAGACATAACCACAGTCCCGTAACCAACCAGGAGCTCGCGATGAATGGTATCCGTAGAGTTGGTCGAGTTGGTCGAGTTGGTCGAGTTGGTCGAGTTGGTCGAGTTGGTCATGTCGTTGAGGGGCTGAGAAATCTCCATAGTAATGGGCAGAGTAATAGAATACGAATAGGATACCATCTTTCCCTTTGTGACTACCGCAGTAGGGTCTTGCAAGATCCCGGTTTGGTGTAAAATACGCCTTTGCACCTGTTTGGGCTGCTGCAGCGGTAACAGGTCGCTCATAGTGGCCAACAAAGCAGTCAATGACGACGCCGAGTCCGAATGTTCCAACGAGTAGGTTTGTGTCATATTCCAGTCGTATACAACAATCGCCTGGTAGCCTTGCTTCGAGGTTATCATGGCATTAAAGTAGCTCGAAAGGTCGTCCCACTGTTTGGTAGTTGCATTATTTATCATGTGCGAGAAGAGCGTCTGGGTGACCGTGTCACGGCCAAACATCCACGAAACATCAAACTGGGTGTTTTCAATCGACTGCTGCAACTCCACGGCCTTCATGGCTGCCACAGACTCGAGCTTGAACGCCATAAGCGCGGAGCCGTAGTCCCAGCTCTTGACCGAGGTGACGGTGATCATGATTAAAAGTGATAAGAATGCCACGCAGAACACAAAGAGTGTTAGCTGCAGCCATAAGGGCACGCGCAACGTCCAGTTGCCCTGGTATATGGCCTTCAGTTTTCGAGAGGCCCGTTGGCCAAGACCACGGGGCATGACAAATAACTCCTGCATCGCAGAGGCTATTTAGAGATTTGGCAGCCAAGGGGGTTTTAGTATTCCCCCAAAGGGCTGAAGGCACAGAGTCGAGGGTTCGCCGAGTGTATTATTTTCCGTATATTTATATAAATGTTTTCTCGACCTCACAGAGATCACCGCGATTTGTCATGGGAATCAGAGGAACGATTGCCAATCCAAAGCACAAATTGGTCGATTATTTGGCCCAGCACGCCGCCAACAAACTGACCAAATCGGTTCTTGTTGTGGGCACGCCGCAGTATGCTGACCAGCTGACCAGCTTGTCCAAGGATCTGTCGGGAATCCAGACAGTCGCTGCTGCAGTCGATACGGTGCCATTTGGCAACCAGCGTAATGGGTTTTCTTGGGCCGTGTTCGACAAGCCGATCCAGATCCAGGACCGTATCTCTTTAAAGAGTGTCGAATCTACAGACACAAAGTGGTCGGCTTCTACTGCCGCTTTGTCGTTCTCAGCCGCTGCTGGATCAGCTGGTCCTGGTGCCGAAGTGAGCATGGCGGCTGCAAACACGCTCTTCTCAAACGGGCTGAGTGCGACAATGTTTGACAGTGATTCCACTGAGCCACTTGCCGGATTGAAGTTCGAGCTGCCCGAAAAGCTGATGGCTGTAGGTGGTGTTAGGCCCATCGAGCCTATTTCCGATTGGCTAACCATCACCAGTGTCACCGACAACATGCTGAAGACCCTGAATGACACTGCTGCGGCGTCGTATCTTGAGAACGCTGAGGCGTTGAAAAATGCGGATGACGTTGACACTTTCCTGGTATTTGCAGAGATCAATTCAGCTACCGGGCGTCCCCCACAGTTCATCAAAATTATTGCCGGCGGAGGAGGTTTGTGGTCAGCCCGCAGCCGCATGCTTGTTCTTGAACCCCCAGCTAGTCCGTCTGTTGGTGACCAGCTCAGATTTCATCTCGCCAACTCCCGCAAGCTCTCGGAGCCGGCGTTGAAAAGCCTCCACAGCCACTATGAGACATACGAACAGCATGAGGGCGTAGTTCTTGAGACTGCTCTGGTTGAAGAAGAGCTGGATCAAAAGCCACTTGTACATGCCAAGAAAAACACCTTTTGGCCAGTGTTCGGAATGGGGTCCGAACGCGGCTTTTTAGTGAATAATGTAAAGCATGCGATTCCAGGCGAGATCATGGAATTGCGAGACCAATAAGCATAGACAAGCCTAACAAAATAATAAAGTGATTAAAATAAAAAATAAAAAGTGGAACATAGAGATTTTCTTCATGCCACAACAATCTGGAAGTTACCCATAATCTCCCGGAGAACAGCCCCTAAACGTCTATGAGGAGTTGCTTGTGGTGGAGACGGCAGTTCGGGCATATGCTGAGTTGCAAAAAAGCGAGCAAACGCATGGCGGAACATTGTGATGGAAAACGCAGCCGCAGCAAGCATCACCACAAATCGCCATACTTTGCTGTTCCACTGGAAGAGCTTAAGAGGATCAACGTTTCCAATGGGTCGCATTTTTGGAGGGTCGGCGAGCGACAACTGCATTTGCCCTCTACATGCAAGCGACCAGTCTAGATCCAGTTTCATTCCAGGCGAAATCGGCACGGGGTATTGCGAGAAACGGGCGCCGTAGTTAAGGGAGCGGGCCGAGACCCAGTCGACAAACCGCCTAGCGGCATGTTCACGTACTTGCTGAGCACCGTTATCAGAAAAGAGCTGTTTAATGAGCTCTTGAATGTCACTTTGAACAAGAACGGTGCTCGAATAACCAGGTGACATTACCTCAGTCATGGTCATATCGTAGTTTTGTTCGTGGGATGTCGATACAGCCAACGGGTACTCGAGTTGTGGGGTATCTTCAAATTCAAACATGTCAATGCGGTTCTCTTTCAGGATTTTTGCAAACGCCTGCTTGCGTGCAGCAAGTTCTGCGGAACCAATACATTCACTGTCGGCGATAAGCGGTATAACGGCAGCGAACCGGGAAATGGCCCGCAATATCTCGATGTCTTGCTCTGTGATTTTGTCTTCTAGTAGATACAAGCAGACGTCAATATGCGAAAACTGGCCCAGCGACCAAGAGTGGCGCAGGATCTGCGTACAGGTAGGATTGAGGCCATTTATGAGCGTTGCGGTCTGAGCGAACCTCGCCTCTAGAAACGAGGATACGAGTTCAATCTCATTGTTATTTCCTGTCAGAGACGGTGTCTCGACAAACGCAATGTTAAAGTGGTCCTCGCCGTACGAGATGGCATTATGGGAAATCGGCAGCGACTTGGCTCTTCGTTGGAAGATCTCGGGACGGTCCCCCGAAGTCAAAGGGCCAGTTGAGTCGACAATTGCTGGGCACTCGCTAATAAGCGTATCTACCAGCTGTGATTTGCAACCTGGCGAGCCGCCGGCAACTAAAACGCCCAATTTACCGATAGGTGCAGTCAAGGCAGTTGCTCCGCCACTCGCGTCTAGCGAGAGCAGCAGGCGGGGCATAACAAGAGAAGAGTCCGCAACCTCCACGCTAGGGGTGGGGGAAATAGGCATCTCGTCCTCAAGGTCGGAAAGAAGGTCCGCGTTGAGGGAGGACACGTCCCAATCGTCGCCCGACTCTAAAGCGAGGGCCGGGCTATCGGGCATGACCGTGCGGATCCGTGCAGCTAGCCCGTTGAGATGCAAAATGGAAGAAGTTACAGAGGGGTATGGCGAGGGCGTTCTGGAGGACGACGCGCATCCGCGGCTGGAAGAGCCTAATCCAGAGGAAGACCCTGGAGGCGCGCCGGTGTGAAGCGGTGTGGCGGGGGGTGAGGGCATGTGAAAAAGCAAAGTGCGACTAGTTTTTTGTTCTGTGCCCTCAATTGGTGTGGAATATGGTAATTAGAGTGTTCTTATTGCTGAATCGATGCGTGATGGGCACCTGGGATTGGTGATAGTGATAACGATTAAGCGAGGGGGAGGCCTCTTTAATCAGCGAGGGGCGAATGCAAATCAGGTGGAGGATAGGATAGTGAGATGCAACGGTTTAGGGGGTACTAAGGTGGCGGGATTTATCAATTTGCGTCCCGCACAGCAGCGTTATGGCGAGAAATCGCCTGCGCGACAACAGGCCCCATGTGTTTTTTTTGGTTCGGGATATTTTTGCAGACACGGGCCATGGGCCATATATCACGTGACATGTGGGCAACACCGCGGTGGCCAATTTGCCTCAAACAACTTCCATTTGTGTCTACTGACTGTGTGCTGCTATTTGTGAGCGAAATTTGCCGTACCTAGTGCCTGCTTCGGTCCTCGCCAGCTGTGGTGGTGGCCCAACCCATGAGGCCCGACCCCGTAGGCCGTAAGCAAGTCATGTGGAGACTACTTTGACACAAACATGTATAGGGCAGTGTATAACGTGTTTGGACGTGTTGAAGACTAATTATCGACTACACGTGTTTTTAACGTGGGCTATAGGTTGTCGGAGCTGTCCGCACACGGCCAGCACAGGTATAAATGAGGTGATATTCGCATTTGGCAATGTGGACCCCCGACGGCATGCCCAGGACTCCACAGAACACACCTACTGAAACCAGTGACGTTAAACCACATCCCCATATAGAATAAGCCCAAAAATATTCTCAACTACCTGCAATTAGAGGCAGTATAGGCTGATCACGCTACTTTTATGCATGCAGGTGCATGCTGCATGGCAGTCAAAAGTCACACCACAATGCAAGTAGGTGTATTTAAGCACTGAGTGCGTGGACGAATTCGTAATCTACACATCTCTAATAAAAATGTCTGTTTTCGCTCGTGAAACTGTCCGCGTCAGCCGCAACCTTGCTGTTACTGCTACCTTCCTGATCCCTATGGTGTTCTGGCCCGCCGGCGGTCGTATCGTTGGTGCTTTTGGCTACACCCCCTGGTTCCGCTCTCAGAAGGAGGAATTGAAGCATATCCAGGTTTGAGCATATCTGCGCCCCAGCCATGTTATTTTATAAGAAGCTCGACGCTTTAATAGACTAAAACCTTTCCATCCGTGCTTTTCAGCCTCAAATGTCTATGCCCCAAGTGTGGCGCCACGCGGCATTTTCATGCAGTCTTTTGTGGCGTCCAATCGCCGGCCATGTATATGTTGTTTTGAAACCTCGACGAGTTTTTAGAAATGTTTTCGGTAATACAATAGATACTAATGTAAATACGTTATACTTGATCAGATTCTTGACTTCACTACACATTTTCCCCGCTCCTCTGCACCCTCTCTGGAGCAACATTTTTTTGTTCGCTTAGCTCATCGGTTACCCGGCCTCAGCCTAGCTTCCCACGTCGGTCGGTACTGCTTAGTGAGCCAAAGGCCCTGAACTGAATCCACATCACCCCAAATGTCTCTGCACGCACCGGCCGTGGTTATGGACAATGGTACCGGCTTGACCAAACTTGGTTTTGCCGGAAACGATTCGCCGTCGTTTGTGTTCCCTACAGCGATTGCAACGTCGGGTGGCGGCGTGTCCAATCGCCGGTCAACCATGCCTAACTATGTGATTGGTGATGAGGCGATTGCCAAGGCCGACGGCTCGAATTACGCCCTGTCGTACCCTATTCGCCACGGTATGATTGAGAATTGGGACCAAATGGAACGCTTCTGGGAATCCAGCATCTTCAAGTATCTCCGTTGCGAGCCTGAGGATCACCGCTTTCTACTCACAGAGCCTCCGCTGAACGCTCCGGAAAACCGTGAAATGACCGCTGAAATCATGTTCGAAACCTTCAACTGCGCCGGCCTGTATATTGCCGTTCAAGCCGTGCTGGCACTGGCTGCTTCCTGGACTTCGAGCAAGGTAGTCGGCCAGCCTCTCACCGGAACCGTCATTGACTCCGGTGACGGTGTCACTCACGTCATTGCAGTCGCCGAAGGCTATGTCATTGGATCCAGCATCAAGCATATCCCCATTGCTGGTCGTGATATCACCAGCTTCATCCAGGGCATGCTTCGCGACCGGGGCGAGGCTGAGACTTCGTTGCGCACTGCCGAGAGAATCAAGCAGGAGTACTGCTACGTTTCGCCCAACATTGTAAACGAATTCAAACGCTTCGACCAGGAGCCCGATCGGTTCAAGAAGTACGTTGCTGAGCTCGCGAACGGCCGCAGCGTGAAAGTCGACGTCGGCTACGAAAGATTCATGGCCCCCGAAATCTTCTTCTCCCCTGAAATCGCCACGTCCGATTACCTGACTCCTCTGCCAGAAGTCGTAGACACCGTTGTTCAGGGCAGTCCCATGGATGTTCGTAAGGGTCTTTATAAAAACATCGTCCTGTCTGGCGGTTCCACAATGTTCAAGGACTTTGGCCGGCGTCTCCAGCGTGACATCAAAAAGTTGGTTGACGAGCGTATTCACAAGTCGGAGCGCCTTACTGGCGGCAAGAGTTCTGGTGTCGAAGTCCAGGTCATCAGCCATAAGCGTCAGCGCAACGCGGTCTGGTTTGGCGGCTCACTGTTGGCCCAGACCCCAGAGTTCAAGAACTACTGCTACACCAAACAAGACTACGACGAGTACGGCCCTGGAATCGTCCGCCAGTTCTCGCTTTTCAACGTGAACTGAGAATAGAGGAGAGAAATAAAGATATTATTATGTACACTTTAAAAGGCAGTGCCCAGCAACTGTTTAACAGCCTGAGAGTGGTTCCCCTTAATGATAATGCGTTTAGAAGCATCCTGGATCCAAATGTCCTTTTTGGGTAGATCAAGCTGCTTTTTGATGTCGTTCCGGAGCGCACTGACGTTTCCGGAGATCTTGCGAATCTCGGTCCAAACGCCGCCGGCATTGTTGTAGTCAGTGTATACTGGTAAGTTTCCCGCTCGTGTACGCTCAATAGAATACCAGACAGGTTCTTGTGTGTCGTCCAGGGCGGCTGCGTCGACAGTCTCAGGCATCATACTTTTGACATACTGCGACTTGACAGCAGGGCTGGGCTTGGGGGAGCCAGTGGCCTCGACATATTTCTTGATTTCAGGCGTCGTTCTGGCAGTTTGGGGAATAGGCACTGCCTTCACGCCCCGAGGAATATGCAAATATCGAACACCTCGAATCATGACGATGAAAATTTCCAAGTGACTAATCAAGAATAAAGTAGACTAGGGGATGATATATTTTAAACTAGTGAGTCCAGAATCGGACGGTTTTATCTTTGCCTCCGGAGCAGACTCGCTCGCCATCAACACTCCAATCAACCGCATAAATCTCGTCTGAGTGGCCGGGGAGATCGCTCTTCAGTTTGCGGGTTTTGACATCCCAGACCTTGAGAGTAGTGTCTTTGGAGCAGCTGACCAAAAGTCTGCAATCAGCACTCCAAGCGCACTGATACACAGGAGCAACATGGCCACGAAGAGATGCAATGAATTTGCCGTCCCGGCCATCCCACAATTTCACCGAGTTGTCGAAGGATGCCGATGCGATGAATCGACCGTCAGGGCTGAATGTAACATGGTTTACGAGTTTTTGATGGCCAGTCATCCGACAAAGCGGTTTGGTGGACTTGGAAGGCTCCCACAAGAACATGGTAAAATCGTCACTGGCAGTGACAATACGTTCACGCTGCTCACCGCTGATTGACGCAAGTTTAATGAAGCGCTCTTCGGCTCTTTGGCGAAGTTGTTCTGGCGTCATATCCTTTGGCAGCCCCTTTTCATCACAAGGGCCAGATCTGAGGGCAAACTCGGTTGAAAGAGCAAGATGGTTCACCCAGTGGGCATGCGACTGTAGCGTGGAAATCAGGCGGCCATCTGTGCCCGACCAGACCTTGATTGATTTATCATGAGACGTAGAATAAATATCACCAAAACCACCCCATTTTACACAGGTTACTGTAGATTTGTGTCCGGACATTGACATTTCACAAACACCTTGGTCAACAGCCCATACGCGTATCGTGCCATCTTTGGAGCTTGACGCTAAGCGGGGCAGTCTGCCCTTTGCCAAGTGATATGGTTCCCAGCAAAGAGATGTAACATATTTCAAGTGCCCACGCAGGGGCTTGCCAATAGCCTCGCCAGTTTTAGGGTCCCAAAGACGAACCGTGGAATCCATACTGCCTGTTGCGACCATTGAGCCATCAGGAGACCACGCAACCACCAAAACCCAGTCTGTATGTCCTGACAGTGTTCTCATAGGAGTCTGTGTGTCTGCATTCCAGATCCGCGCGGTGCAATCGCCGGCACCAGTTGCGATGCGAGAAGAAGTATTAGGGGCAAATTGGGCAGCTAGAATCGTTGCACCATGGCCCATACCAGCACCGCTAGACCTAGTGATTGTTTTGACTTTGAAAACAGCCCTGGGGGTGTAGATCAATGTCAATTGGTCTTCTGTGCTTTTCAGCTGAGGCTTGAGAACATCCGAATAGATATCAGAAGTAATGTCGACAGTTTCCGTGCCATTTGTAACAAGAGCAAACTCGTATGGAACAGAATCGTCACCGTTATTTTGCAGCTGGTTCAAAAGCAGCTCCAACTGAGCGACCGTGGCGTTTCCTGGCACCCGTAAGTTACCAGGCAGAACATCGCCCGTATCAAAGGCTTGGAATCTGACCCTCACATGGGGCAAATCTTCAATAACATCAACAATATCTTCCTGGGGTTGCTGGGCTTGTTTTCTTTGCTTTTTCGACGGCGGGGGAATTATCGTGGCCATTTCTCAACCGGTTCAGTTAATTTTTTCACCACCAGAGTATAATCTTAGCTAATCTTTTTTTTTTGTACTTTTTCACCAAAATGTCGGTTGTGGGATCGCTGATTTTTTGCACTGATTGTGGCAATTTGCTGAACAGCATCACCGAGAAAATGGCTGTTATAAAATGCGATATGTGCCAACGAGACTACGACACTAAAAACTTCGAAGACCTCCACGTTGTCACCGAATCTGCCCCCACAGCCTTCCCCTCTGCTTTAAGACTTAAACGATCTGCCGTCAAAACCACACTGCACGATCATGAGGTTGAGGAAGGTGCAGTTATCAAGGAGCGCTGTCCAGAGTGCGGCAATGACGAGATGCGTTTCCACACTCTGCAGCTGCGCAGTGCCGACGAGGGTGCCACTGTGTTTTACACTTGTACGAACTGCGGCTACAAGACGCGGGTTTCCAATTAAAATTTTTATCATATAAAAGTCATCTATTTAATACTCATTCCGTCTTGATGGCGGCATACTCAATCTCGTTGCTGTTTTCATACTCGTACATATCCAAAGCGACCTCTGCAGATTCGCGAACAACACGCTCCTGGTCTTGGGCAAACTTGCGCAAAATGGGGAGCACATCCTCGGTCGCTACGGAGCCCAATGCCTCAGCTGCCTCGTGACGAACCATACCCTCCTCGTTAGGGTTCTGCAAAACCTCGACGAGGGCGGGCACGGAGACAGGGTCACAGAGCTGGCCGAACACGTAGGCAATTTCGTGGCGGAAAAGAGCAGAAGGGTCTTTGAAACCGTCGGCAAGGGCAAGCACAGCCTCCTCGGTGCCAATATCACGGAGACGGAACATGGCACGGTACCGGACGAACAGGGACTCGTCCTGGTTCAAAAGAATCTCTTTGAGCTCAGCGACCTTCAGACAAGAATCAATAGGAAGCGGGGGCGCAGGATCAATAGAGGAAAACTGGGACTTCTGGAGCTCCTCGGAGTTCGGGGCATCAGACTGCTCCCAGTGGATGCGGGCAATAGCCAACTCGCAGGTTTGACGAACTACTTCCAAGGGGTCATGCTCATAATAGTACTTGAGGATATCCAGCGCCTCGCTGTCACCAATAGCTCCCAGAGCCTCGGCAGCCTCGTGGCGAACCATCGCCTGCTGGTCGAGATCCTTGAGTACATCCTCGAGGGGCTTGAGGGCATACTTCTGTTTGGTCTGGCCAAGGCAGTATGCCATCTCGTGCTTAAGCAGCTCGCTAGGGTCCTTGAAGCCCTCGGCAATGATGTCGATGGCCTCCTGATTTCCCTCGGCACCCAGGCTTTTGAGGTGGAAAAGCGCTCTGAATCGGTGAGCCATATCAACATCACCGCTCTTATTCAATAAGTGGTCCTTCAGCAATTGCAAATCCTCATTGCCGTCGGCTTGACGAAGTGTATCCATTGAGATAAAAAAATTACAAAAAAATCGTAATATTCGCGATTAGACATCTAGACCTCAAACCCTTACCCGGAAGAATCTCGAAGCAGCCGGCCCGAATATTGGATTCAGAGTCGAGATATGGCAGTAGTTTACGGATTCTACATCTAGTCTAGCCTATTTTGCTCATGGTCAAGCCGGCATGTAAAAGGCTATCACCAACGCTCAGATTTGTCATCTTAACAAAATGTCTGGTGGACAAATGGCAATTCCAGACCTGTCTAATGCCGTTATGGCGCAAGACGAGATGGGTCGACCGCTGATTATTGTGCGGGATCAAGGCACAAAGCAGCGGGCGCACGGTATCGAGGCGGTCAAGTCCCATATTCTTGCAGCAAAGTCTGTGGCAAGTATTGTGCGAACATCTTTGGGCCCCCGCGGAATGGACAAGATCCTGATTTCGCAGGACGGTGATATCACGGTGACCAACGATGGTGCCACGATTTTGTCACAGATGCAGGTCGAGAACCAGATCGCAAAGTTACTGGTTGAGCTGTCCCGCTCGCAGGACGAGGAAATTGGCGACGGCACTACTGGCGTAGTTGTTTTGGCCGGTGCTCTTCTTGAGCAGGCGTACGAGCTTATCGATCGGGGTATTCACCCTATTCGTATTGCCAATGGCTACGAGGATGCTTGCCAGGTCGCCATCAAGGAACTGGACAGAATCGCCGACGAGGTTCCGCTGGATTCGGACAACGCGAACCTGTTGCGGGCTGCAAGGACTTCTTTGGGCTCGAAGGTTGTTTCGGAAAGCAAGGATCTGTATGCCCAGATCGCTGTGGATGCTGTTTTGGGTGTCGCCGACCGCGAACGCAAAGACGTGGACTTTGAGCTGATCAAGGTTATGGGCAAGACTGGTGGCTCTCTGCGCGACTCAGTGTTGGTGAAGGGTGTTATTATTGATAAAGAGATGTCTCACCCCCAGATGCCCCGCACAGTTGAGGACGCCAAGATTGCTATCCTGACCTGCCCCTTTGAGCCCCCCAAGCCCAAAACCAAACACAAGCTGGACATTACCAGTGTTGAGGAGTTCAAGAAGCTTCAGGAGTATGAGCAGGAGACGTTTAGAGGAATGGTTCAGAGGATTAAAGACTCCGGTGCTAACTTTGTTGTTTGCCAGTGGGGTTTTGACGACGAGGCGAACCATCTGTTGCTGCAAAACAAGCTTCCTGCTATTCGCTGGGTTGGTGGTCCCGAGATCGAGCTGCTTGCCATGGCTACTCAGGGTCGCATTGTCGCTCGTTTCGAAGACCTCAACGCTGATAAGTTGGGTGAAGCTGGATCTATTCGTGAGCTTGAATTCGGCACTACACAAGACCGCATGATCGTTGTCGAGAACTGTGCTAACCCGCGTACTGTTTCGATTTTGGTCAGAGGCTCCAACGATATGATTGTCGAGGAAGCTAAGCGTGCTCTTCACGACTCGCTGTGTGTTGTGCGCAACCTGGTCCGCGACAACCGCGTGGTCTACGGTGGTGGTGCTGCGGAAATTGCCGCTTCGCTGGCCGTCTCTGACGAAGCTGATCAACACGCTGGTATCGACCAGTACGCCTACCGAGCGTTCGCCAAGGCCCTGGACTCTATCCCTTTGACCCTAGCCGAAAACTCGGGTATGAATGCGATTGAAGCTCTTTCCGATGTCAAATCTAAACAAGTTACATCGAAGATGAGCCAGCTCGGTATCGACTGCCTGGGATCTGGATCTAACGATATGAAGAAGCTCTTTGTTATTGATCCGTTGATTGGCAAACGGCAGCAGTTCTTGCTGGCCACCCAGCTCACTCGCATGATTCTGAAAATCAATACCGTCATTGTTTCTGGTGAGCCCTCGGAATTCTAGTTTACAAGCCTCTATAAAGCGTCTAGTTCATACAGAATATACGTCTCATGGCCGCTGACAAATTTTTCATCATGTCTTTCAGACTTGGAGGGTTTGTGCGCTCTTTGCACACGTCTGTGCCCGTGCAGGCGCGGCAAAAGTATATGAAAAAGATTAACCGACTGCATAAACACTGGGCCAAAGAGCTTTTCAGACCACAGCCCGAGTACGTTGACCCGGTGCTAGGCCAGGCGCAGGTGCCATTTCTGGAGCGAGTGCGGGCCAGTATTAACCAGGCCGAGAACCAGATTGACCAGCTGAGCCCCGAGGAGTCTTCCAAAATTCTGTTTGGTGCCGAGCAAGCCGCCAAACAGCGCACAGGCTTTGCCCACAACGAGGCAGTCAGCCAAGCAGAGGCTCGCAAGCGGGAGATTTTCGCTCGGTTGGTGAGCCTTAATAACTCCAACCAGCAGCAGTACAAAAAGCAGGCTGTTCAGCTTGCAGTCAAGGAGTTTGAGCGGTTCCCTGGCGACACTGGCTCCAGCGAAGTTCAGGCAGCTATTCTGACCATGCGCATCCAGTTCCTAGCCGCGCACGCCAAAGACACAAAGAAGGACTTGCAGGCCAAACGCAAGCTCGAGCACCTTGTTCAGACCCGCCGCAACATCCTGCTCTACCTCAAGCGTACCAACCAGGAGCGCTACATGTGGACTATTGAAAAGCTCGGCCTAAGCGATGAGGCAGTCATGGCAGAGTTCCACATGTCTCGGCAGTACCTCTTCAAGACCCAGTTCTACGGCGAACATACCTTGCCGCTCAAAAAGACTAAGAAAGACACCCGTGCTGCCCGCAAGTTCGAGCAACGCAAGGCAAAGGCTCTCAAATATCTGGCTCACAACAACCCGGATATGGCGCTTTAATGTTTCTGTATATAAATATGTGCTTCTTTCGAATAAATTAAGACTCCAAAAAGCGTTGTAGCGGCTTGCCGACATGCTCGATATCCAAAATGAACGTGTCGTGACCAAACTTGGAGTCGGCGTAACTCAGCTCGTGGTACTGGATATGGTGATGTTGCTGGCCGGCCGCCTGGACGAGGACGTCGTAGATTTCCCGCTGCTGCCAGGACGGGAAGAGCACGTCAGACTGGACCCCAAGCACAAACGTCGGGAGCTGGGCCATCGCCGCCATACCCTTAGCCAGATCGCTTTTGCTGCAGGGCTGAACATGATCTCGTGGTTTCTCTTCGTACGGCTTTGAGGGCAGCGAGCAAGCATTAGCCTGAGTTACACCGTTACGCCATTTAGCCCGGACCTGCGTATTCTCGTAGCCAAGATCAAACATATCCATCGCCTTTGACACATAGAGCAATGAATTGGGGTCGTACTCTAAACAGAACTTCTCGCCTTGATGGTCCAAATACGTCTCGATTAGAAAATCGGGGCAGAGGGCCGGAATCATTTCTGGATCCATTCTGTCTCTTCCAAACCTATCTTCCCACTCGGGGCCCGATCGATAGGTAATTGTTGCGAGCTGGCGGGCCAGCTTCATTCCCACGTGGGGAGGAATCCCGTCGTAGTAGAAGCCTCGCTTCCAATTGGGGTCAGCCATCAAGACTTGACGTTGAACATGTCGCATGGCAATCGAGGAGGGATGGGACCGAGCACAGGCACTGATCGACGCAACCCTGCCGACACTGTCGGTGAATTCAACAGCATAAGCAAGCGATTGAAGACCACCCATAGAAGAGCCCACGGAAGCATAAAGCTTAGAGATGCCCAAGTGTTCTTTCACCAACCGGTATTGGACTCGAACCATATCGTGAATGGTTACAATAGGAAATCTTGTCGCATATGGCTTGCCATCTTCAGGGGACAGAGATGAAGGTCCGGTAGAGCCATAGCAACCGCCGAGAACGTTTGTGCAAATAATGAAAAACTTGTTGGTATCTAGGCTCAATCCAGGACCAATGAATCTTTCCCACCAACCGGGGTCCGTATTGTTGGGCTGAGACTTTGCGTGCGAGGATGCAGAAAGACCGGTATGAAGAAGAATGGCGTTTGACCGATCAGCATTTAGAGTTCCCCATGTTTCGTAGGCAATCTCGACGTTGTCGAGAGTCCGACCATAATCCAATTGAACAGTTCCAGGTACTTTATAAAGTTCAAACCCCTTTGCCTTTGAATACGAGGGCTCGGGGCCCTTGTCGGCAATCATTTGTGTGCGTTTCTCTAACTTGTCAAGACAAGGAAATGACATGGTTGGTCCACTGCGTCGGGAAACTGAAGTTGCAAAAAGCCTCGGGTATTTCAGACAAAAGCCCGAAAGAGCCGGTACCATTTTAGTCGAAACAAGTCTCGGTTGTCTCAGGCTGAAGCCCAAAACAGCTGGTACCACTTTTGCCATCGCTGGTAATGTGATTGGAGAAATCTTGGACTCTGCAGACACTATGCATAGCACGCGAAGTCAGCTGATCTGACGAATCTAACGTCGATGTTTCCAATTCGAGGTATAATGGCGAGGGGAAACCCAGTTCCACACCGCCCCCAAAATACTGTTTTATTTGCCGATTTTTTGAAAAGGTGCTTCAAATTAACCTAAATTACTGCTGCATTTCTTCGGCAGAGTCGCCAGCCCATTTCGCATAGTAGTCGTCCATAATCATTTTTGCAACCTCGACTTTACAGATCTCCTGACGGAACGTGGGCTGTTTTAACAGCGTCAACATATGCAAACAATTCGGATATACAATGCTTTTGGCGTTTTCTGGCTCCCGCCAATACTCAAGATACTCTAGGTACCTCAAAAACCGAGGATCCTCGAGAAACTGGTTTTGGGCCAAAAAATGCACATACATTGGATTTGCCAGCGACTGAACAAACTCAAGCTCGACTTCCCATCGTGTTGGGGACGGTCCACTCTCCATTGATATACGATCCAACGCTGTCAACGCTTTGTCCGTTATGACAAATGAGATAAGACACTATCCGAGATGGCCGCAATACGTGGTGGCGGTTTTGTTTCCGTCAATTGTTTTAATTGGTAAATTGGCAAGTTTTTGGGCGCAAGAGTCGTATTTTGGTTTGAAGAGTAATATATTTAATCGAGTTTTTGTCAAGCAGGGCTGGTTTTGGACCTCACTTGCTTTCTGGGCCTCCTATCGACTACAACACCCCCAAAACAAAGGTGCACTGGTACATGCCACCATACGTTACTTACTTGCGACTCTTTGGTGGATTTTATTCACGCAATGGATGGTGGGCCCGCCCCTAATGGACCGCATTTTTGTCTGGACTGGCGGTCAATGCGTAGCTGCAGCTGTCAAGGCGAGCACTGAATCCAGCCAATTTGCAGAGACAATAGCTACAAGCCAGCTATGCAGAAAGGTTGGTGGCAAGTGGATCGGTGGCCATGACCCTAGTGGACATTTTTTCTTACTAGTGCACTCTAGTGTTTTTCTTCTTAATGAGATCTTACCCCAGATCGCGCACCATACCAGCCATACCGAACCATTCGATTGGAGTGTTAAAATTCCACTCGCCCTTGTTGCATTTTGGACGTGGATGCTGTTAATGACCAGTATTTATTTTCATTCGGTGTTTGAAAAACTCACCGGTTTGATCTTTGGTTACGCCGAGGTCTATATTGTGTATTACCTTGGCGGCAAGTATCCGTTCGGCCGTACATTAGGTGTGCCTGAGACAAAACAGGACAACCTCGTCGAGGAAGCTATCTAACTCTATTTTCTATATAATGCGTGCGGGCCTGCTGCAGTTCCCTGTTGACTAATGGACCAGCACATTGAGCTCCAACACCGGAAACGGGAGCGGGAGGAAATGTCGCTGCCAGTGGCGGAATTTGATGTCGACGGTGAGTTTGAAACGGCCCAGCCCGTGTCCATGAGCATTGGCTCACTTTCAAAACGCGACCGCAACGGCTTTTATTTTCTGACCATGCTCTATTACCTCCAGGGAGTTCCAGTTGGTTTGGCGTTCGGTAGTGTTCCATTCATTCTCAAAGAGCATTTGAGTTATGGTCAAATTGGAATCTTTTCCTTTGCAAGCTATCCCTATAGTCTCAAGTTGCTCTGGAGTCCTATTGTTGATGCATTTTTCTGGCCGCGTTTTGGTCGTCGACGATCATGGATCGTGCCAATTCAACTGTTTAGTGCTTTGGTGCTGCTGATTTTGAGTTTCCGTATTGATGACTTGCTAAAGACTGCTGAGACCAAGCTACCGGTCATTACTGGGTTCTTTTTTGTCTTGGTTTTCGCCTCGGCCACTCAGGACATCGCTGTGGACGGCTGGTCTTTAACGCTCCTGTCTAAACCAGCGCTTCCATATGCCAGTACTGCTCAAACTATTGGTATTAACAGCGGCTATTTCACTAGCTTCACTGTTTTCCTGGCTCTGAGTTCTCCAGAATTGGCCAACCGCTACTTTAGGTCGGTTCCCCGCGATGAAGGGCTGGTGTCGTTCCCTGAATACCTACGATTATGCTCTTTTGCATATCTAGCTGTTACAGCGTTCGTTGCATTCTTCTACCGCGAAGATAAAGAGGATGAAGATTTAGGACAAAATGCCTGGCAAAGCACAAAGCACATCTACCACACAATGTTTGGTGTGCTGCAACTGGAGAATATGCAGAAGCTTATTCTTGTTCATCTTGTTGCCAAAATAGCCTTTCAAGCCGCTGAAGCCGTCACGAACTTGAAGCTGGTCGAAAAGGGTCTGTCTAAAGAAGATCTGGCAGTTATTGTCCTCATCGACTTTCCCTTTGAGATTATTTTTGGCTATATGGCTGCCAAGTGGTCAACCAGGTGGTCTCCCTTACAGCCATGGTTAATTGCGTTTGTGGGTCGACTTATTTTTGCTGTTATTTCTATGTCACAGGTGTTCTTTTTCCCCAAGCAGGGCGCAACGTTCACCTACCTTGTCTATGTCACGGTTGTCCACGTTCTTGGCTCGTTCTTGTCAACGGTGCAATTCGTGTCTATCTGTGCTTTCCACACCCAAATTGCTGATCCAGTCATTGGCGGAACGTACATGACAGTACTAAACACTATCTCCAACTTTGGCGGTACCTGGCCGCGAGCCCTCGTGCTGGCGGGCGTCGACTGGTTCACGACGGCTACTTGCAGTGCCACTGGCGACTCTTGCACGACCGAGCCGGCCAAGCAACGGTGCCGCGACCTCGACGGCGTGTGCACCACCCAGCGAGACGGTTACTATGTCATGAATATTGTTTGCATTATTGCTGGAGTGCTTTTATTCTACGGCTTTATCAAAAGAACACTGGAGCGTCTCCAAAACTTGCCTACACAGGCTTGGCGATCCAAAAAAATGTAGTCTGCTGTTGTTTTTTTATTCTTAAAATGTGCATTATTTACCTTCATTTTTTTAGGCATCCTCGTGATACAAAACCTGGCGAGCTGCTCTGACAACAACGTCGGCGTTGGGGAAACTCATATCCTCGAGTTCCTTGTAGTAAGGAGTAGGCACCTCAGCGCCGGTGACACGGGAAATAGGAGCGTCGAGGTAGTCCCAGGCCTCCGACTCGGACACTTGGGCGCAGATCTCGGAGCCCAAGCCGAAGCCAGGGAAAGCAGACTCTACAACGACCGCACGGTTGGTCTTTTTAATACTTTCGACGATGGCAGGCACATCCAAAGGTTTGATAGAGCGCAGGTTAAGAACTTCAGCGCTGATATTGTACTGTTCTTTGAGGATCTTGGCTGCAGCGAAGCAGTGACGCAGCTGATAAGAATGCGAGATCAAGGTGACGTCAGTACCGGGGATCTCGACCTTAGCCTTGCCGATGGGGACAACAAAGTCGGAGGAGTGGAAGTCCTCACCAACGGCGAAGGATTCACCGTACATGAGCTCGTTCTCAAGCATGACCACCGGGTTAGGATCACGAATGGCGGCCTTGATCAGGCCCTTTGCGTCCTCAGCGGAATAGGGCGAAACGACCTTGAGACCGGGGATGGAGCCGTACCAAGGAGCATAGTCCTGAGAGTGCTGGGCAGCGACACCGGAAGCGAAACCATTAGGGCCGCGGAAGACGATGTTGGCCGACAACACACCACCAGACATGTAGTGACTCTTTGCGGCGGAATTAACGATCTGATCGATGGCCTGCATGGCGAAGTTGAAAGTCATAAACTCACAGACCGGAGTCAATCCGGCCATGGCGGCACCCACACACAAGCCAGTGAAGCCCATCTCAGTAATGGGGGAATCAATGACCCGCTGGGGACCAAAGCGATCAAGCAGTCCACGCGTGACCTTGTAGGCGCCCTGGTACTGGCCAACCTCCTCGCCCATGACGAAGACCTTGTCGTTGGCATCCATTTCCTCAGCAAGACCCTGGTTGATGGCATCACGCACCGTCACGGTGGCTTGTTCGCCCTGGGTTGAGGCACGGCGAGCTGATCCAGCTAAACGGGCAGCAAGAGGCGAGGGCGTGGCCATACCGCCAGCCAACATGGCACGGGTCGATTGGGCCAAAGAAACCTTGGCAAGTCCAGAAATCGACTTCATTTGCAAAGAGGGGTTGAAATCAAAGATTGTTGGGCAGACAGCTAAGCATTTTGGCCCATTAGGGTTAGGGCCGGATTTACTTTTTCGGATGGGGATGTACTCAACGTTTTTTAAGGGCCGTTTGGAGCCAGGGCCCGCAGAGAATAAAATCAGATGCAATTAAACTATACAATAACGTCTTTGGGACTACTCATATCAATACCGCACGCTCGGGCTGCCTGGGCAATGCGGTGCCAGGCATCTTCGATAACTTGCCGGGCAAGCCCCTTACGCCGGTGGGACGCAGTTTCGGGATTCACCGTTGGCAGCACATTGTCGTTAGCACTGAGACTGATGAATAACGAGAACGGCACCAGCCAGACCAGGAGCCCAAAAAACGATGCAATTTCCCGAAACGGAGGATGCGTCTGTCCGCGATAGTCCGGGTACTCGTTGAGAATAGAGTGCGGCGGGATGGCGTCGTCGCTAAAGTAGGAAAACCATAAAAAGTGCGAACCAATGGCGCCCACGCACGACAGAATGAAAGCCGGCCCCGCAATCTCCACCGACGGAAACCGCTTCATCGTCTGCAAGTACACCACGTTCACTCCCAAACTGAACAAAGACCGCATAATCGGCATACCGTCGAGCAGGACCAGCAGAACGTGCGTTGCTATGATGGCTATGATGACCCGCACCAGCACACGCTTCGCCAGCACGGTGTGCACCTCGACCTGTTCGCTCAGGTAGTACAGTCCCGCCGCAATCGTCAAAACCAGCGCGATTAATCCTCCCAGAATGCCTACATACGAAAGAAGCTGGAGAATCATTATGTCATACAAGATTGGACAGCGCTTCCTATACTGCTCAATCACCAACCCTAGGGTGGGACGATAGGTGCTTCAAAGGCCAGGAATGCATGCGCCTTTGCATATTACAGGGCACCGCCCACGGACAATCCGTGGGGGTCCGACATATCTCAAAGTTGCAAAAAAAAAACCTCGGGAAAATCTTGTTTGCCTGCTGCTGTTGAAACTGCCCGTATTACAGCCGCTGGGGCCAGTTTATGCCGCCGAGGCTTTTTGCCCAAACCGGAGAGAGAAAACAACGCTCTTACATAAGGAGTGACCACTTGCTAAAAGCATCCCGCCCCATCCTCTACCCCACCAGTTAAACTCTGAGTCTGATCCCACTCACCAGCGGACTGAATACGATTCCCCCCACCAACTTTTGCATCTGTGATCAGGTCGATTTATCCCTTTACAAGATCACCTTTCAATAGCTACCGTTCTCAATGCCTAGACAAGAACGTGCCGAAAGCATCACTAACGGTCAGCTCGCCGAGAACGTCACTTCGGCCCCAATCAGTCGTACGCAGTCTTTACCAACTGCACGATTCCGTCCCAATGCTGCAACTCCTGCAAGAGCCGTGGATGATATCACTGGGTACCGCCGCAAATCATGGTTCCGAAACCTCGGTCACAAGCTCGGGTTTGAGCGAGATAGGCATGCATCTCCCTCCTCGCCCCCGCCGCCTACACTTGACCCGCCGGGCAAACCAAGACCCATCGAGAAAAGTTCGTCTGTGCAGGAAGATTTCCTAAAGTTCAAAAATCCCTTCGATGCGGCAAATAGTGACATCCTGGTTCCTGCATCCCCAGAGTCGTCCACTGGCAGTTTCAAGGACAGGTTCAGGCGCCTTTCCAAAACTTCAACCGAACACCGTGACCGCAGAGCCTCCAGCAGCGCCAGCGCTTGTGTTGATAAAACCTTTGCCAAACGTGGATCGATCACGAGCATGAGTAAATCCAGTACAACCTGTCCGGTCCCAGAGCTCGCTCCACTCATGATCAAACACGTGGGGTTCTCGGCACAGGTGTTTTCAAAAGACCCCCCTCAAATCATCCCTCCTTTGAACCCTCATCAGGGCAATGTCGAGTTCCTTCCCGACGGCAAACTTGTCGTAACGCCGTCTGAACGCTTCCAAGAGTTGGGGCTTTGTCGCTACTTGGATTCCAATCATAGCGAGGTCGCTCAAAAGGCAACAATTCAAGCGGCTGATAATGCATCTCGACTGCACGGCCAGCTCACTGGTAAGACTCGCGGCGGCTTTTTCAGTAAAGTCACTGGTGAAAACCAAACCATGCATAAAGCAGAAGAATCAGAATGGGACCGTGAGCTGCTGGATGCGACAGTAAAATGTCCAGTCCCCAATAACCCTCGAAATAGCAGCTATGGTGCGGGAGAAAAACTCGCATCATCAGACGAGGAAGAAGAAGTCAAATCGGATGCTGATGAACAGGATTTGTCTCCTGAGAAAATCTACACACGTTGTTGTCATTTACGAGAGATTATGCCCATCAAAAGTATGTTGCGACAACTGAAGGATGCCCGCGCTCCGATCACAAGCCTGCGAATCTGCAATACCAAGCCTACTATGATTGAGATTCTTGCGTTCAGTGATTTTGTTACTATTGTGCCAGTGATAAGCGTCAACTTACAGAATCTCGTGATCACCAGTGAAATGTTACGCATCATTTTGTGTGGACTTGAGCGGTCCAAGAAGCTTGGTAGGATCAATCTCAGCAATACAAAACTTGATGAGCTTGGATGGAAATACCTCTGTGTGTTTATGCTTCGTACCACGTCCCTCACTGCTCTCAGTCTGGAGGTTGATTTTTCAGAAAAAAAATCGAGTATCCCAGAGTTTAATCGCCGTGATATGGACTGGTCTTTGTTCGACAGAGTCCTCAAAGCTCGTCCGGGAGTCGAACTCATGGATCTTGAGGGCACCAAGATTCCCACAAAATATCTCAAGCTACTTCTGGAAGATGGGTTTAAGAACGGACGTGCTCTCAGTGTGTCCCGCAACAACTTGACCCATGACGATATAGCAGCCATCAGGGCCTGGGCTGCCGCCGAGGGTTCCCGAGTCGAAGGATTGGATCTCAGCCATAACGATTTAAGCCAAGAGTGGGATACAGTGCGCGATTTGCTGTATAACCCACAGATTGCGCGGTTGGAACTGAATGGTACGAAATTGAACCGCCCTGCCACGGGCAATCCATTCGCAACAAAGCTGATTAGCCAGCGACTCGAAAGCCTTGATCTCAGCGACAACCCCCAGATGTTCCCTAGGGATCTGCCCCACCTCGTTGAGTCACTGCCTGCCTTCCGGCATTTGACGCGCCTCAGTCTTAACCGGTGTGGCATTACGCACGATGTGATGGTTTCACTTTGCGAAGCAATCTCACATTGTCACAAACTATCGTATCTTTCGTTGAAGGATAACGGATCGTGGACAGAGACTAGCGCAGCGGCTCTGTGTGTAGCTGTGCGAATGAGTCGCAGTCTAGTTACCGTGGAGGCCGATTTCAATGACTGGTCAGAGCCTCATCGGGGCAAGCTCACAAAGTACTGCATCGAAAACCTCGAACGGAGTACTTCAGGGGCTCTCAATGGCCAGATAGAAGAGACGTTTACGGGAGAAAAGGATGTCGATGAGTTCAAGCGGGATATCAATTCATTGACTCTGCACCTGCGGGAGAACCCCAAAATGAATGTTGATCAAAAGTCTATCGACAGGGTCGTATCTCTACGCACCAAAGTGCGCGAACAGTTGGCTCAGTTGTTGGAGAAAAAAACTTACAACACCTTGACAGTGTCGGAGCGCGAGAAACTTATCAGCCTGTATTACTACGATGGATCACTTGACCGGTTGATCAAGGAATGTGCTGTTTACTCTGGCCTAGTTCGTGAAGAGGACGACAAGACAGGAGACGACCTGGTCACTCCGGTCGATTCACTCCGGCCATCGTTAAGTCGTCGGTCATCGGTGTCCTCGCTGCTGAGTCTCAAAAAGCAGGAACATGAAGAGGGTGAGTTCCATAAAATCAACACCTTCCTGGCCCAGAACCCGGATATTCTGAACGAAAAGGACCTCGATCTTACTGGCGAAACCCTTCGCAAGGCCCTGATAGAAAAAAGCAGTGGCCATGCGGAAACACTCCTCTCCCAGCTGCAGAAGCTGCATGCGCTAGATCTCGAGAAGATCTTGGACTAATATTTATAGAAGAAGCAATTCAAACAACTGATTACATATTTTTTTTACTCCTGAGCAACCAAAGTGGCGATCTTGGCAGCAATGCGCTCCTTGCGCTCGGCGTTGGTGAGCTTGGTCTTCTTGTACTTGAGACCCTCGGCCTTGTAAGCCTCCTTGTTCTTGTCGGTGGGCTTGGCAGCGGGGTCGGCACGAATGGCCTCGTGAGCGTTAGAGAAAACGTCCTCAATGGTATCGGGCTCAACGCCGTCCTCGAGGTAAGAGTTGAAGAGTTGGCGGTAGCGCTCCTCATCATCATCAGCAAGCTCCTCCATGTACTCGGCGACGTGGCCACCGACAATGTACTTCTGGAGAACCTCGGCGTCGAGCTCCTCGGACTCGATATCCCAACCAGGGAAACACTTGGGGGAGTGGGGGACGTAGAGACCACCGTCAGAGGCACCCTTGAGAACACCAAAGACCTTGGCACCGCAGGTAGTGCGAGCAAGACCAACGTCCAAGAAGACCTTGAAGGGACGGGGGCCGTCCTCGACAGCCTCAGTGAGGGAGAACTCACCAGAGTGCTCCTCGTCACCTTGGTAGGTCTCGTCCAGGCCGAGCTTCTGGAGAACACGGCGGGCGATCAACAAGCCAACGGCGTAGGCAGAAGACCAGTTGGTGAGACCGTGCTTGACACCGTAGCGGGGCAGCTCGTGGGCGTAAGCAGCGGCGAGAACAACGTCACCGGTGATCTGGGAAGAAACGATCTGGGCAACGATGTCCTTCTGGGTGAAACGGACAACCAACCGGTACTTGGGAGAGTTGTACTTGGCCTTGTGCTGGGTGACCAAACGCTTGCGGGCGTAGTAGTCGGTCTTACCCTCGCGACGACGACGGAAAGGAGTCTGGAAACGGGAGTGGTACGCAGCGGACTTCTGGGTCTTATGGAAAGGCATTGCGATAGAGTCGATGTTCCCCGGCACCTAATTTTTGAGTAAGACACTGAAAATTGATTTGGGACAATATGAGCCCTAAACCCTAAGTTGAACCAGGGGCCGTTGCTTACTTAAACTCGACTTTTATATTTCACCTTTAGGATACTCTGATTTCTGTTCACCAAAAACGTACGTATGATGATCAACATGGTCCGTGTTGCTGAGGAGGATTAAGACCCCTTCAAATGCTTATTACCATTTTACCTGACGCTAACTAGTCCGTTTCTTATCTATCTTCTCGTCGTAGACTTAACTCTTTGTATTAATCCTCGTTGAGGTAGATCCTCCATTGACGTGCTCTTCAGCTGCCCGACCAAAGACTTGGGATCGATTCCGGGACGCGCAAGCGCCAGGTCTGGTGAATTACTTTGAGCACGCATCTGGTAGGCTCGCGCGTCGTACCTCTGACCTAGCATTCCAGTGGGTGCTATACGTGCATCATGATCAAAGTCTAGTGCCATCATTAATGGTTTGCGCAGAGAACTTGCCCGCGATAGAACCGCTGGAGTCGATTCTCGGCTGGTGCTGCCTGACGGAGGACCCGACACAAGGTTCACTGAATTGGAGGACATGATTAACCCATGTGGATGTTCAATGGCTGTTGACCTCAGTGTGTAAACAACGTTTCGGAGCACCGAGTAGTCTGGGTCCGAGTCGAGGCTAATAAATACAATGCTGTCACTTGAGTCGATAAAGTAACTGCGGGGGAGACAGGACCGCAAGGCGAATGTGTGCTTTGCCGGCCCAACGTTCTTTGTGAGCTCGTAGATGTCAATCGTAGAGATCTGTAGCGTTCTCGAGTACTTGAGCTGCGAGTTTGTGTGCGATCTCTGCGTGATGGACACTGTGCCGTTACGGAGATTCAGTAGACACAACGACCACTCGCTGGGCGACATCGAGCGCGATCGCGGTACAGAGAAATGAACAATCAGGTTCCTAAGCTCGGGAGGGCTTTTGAGCATATCCCGTCTAGGAATCAGCGATGCAAGCGAGTGTACATCGTACCGCACGTCACCCAGCGACGTCTCAAAGCAGTACCTGGAGCCAGAGTCCAGCCTCCAGGTGTCCATAACAGCCTTGACTTTCTCAATCAGTCTAACCGGGCGCCGCACTTGGTTTGCTACTTCCCAAATAATCACGTCGTTGGACCCTCCCATCTCGTGGCGATGCTGGGCCAGCAATTTGTCCATCATATTCGCCACTGTCGCATCCAGGTCAAGAACTATTTTCACCGGCTGCGTCGGAAGGTCAACGGGAACCGTCAATTTGGCAGGTGCAGCCGCTGGGCTCCGAGCTGGTCCCGGCGAGCTTGCCGCGGAGTCGGCTGGAGCAACGATCGGTCGTTCCGACCTCTTTTCTGTGCCCATCCGAATAAGTAACGAAGGCGGTGCCCCATTTGACTGGCGGTTTCTGTATCTGCCAGGGAGTTGACTCATTTAAAGCCGCGCTAGTTGATCCTCGCTCGTGATGCTTGTTTTGATAATGTAAGATCCATGCAATGCCTCGCAAAAAGCACGGACCGGGCAGGCGATTCTACACGTATGGTTAAGAATTAAAACTCGCCATTGATAAAGCGAACTATATCTTTGTTTAGTGCGGGCCCGTCGTTACGATTTCCGGATCGAGCAAGCACATCTTCCAGCCGATCACCCTCGAAGCGGGTTTTCGAGATGGACTCAATAAAGTATTGCGTGTATTCAGGGTGTCCTTGGAAACATAGGAGGCTGTTTGGTCTATAGAAGCCTTGAATAGGACAGACACCATTCTTGGCTAACAGCTCCGTTTCCTGAGGAAGCTCGAATACTTGGTCCTTGTGCAGCTGGATGAGCTGGAGCTTGTCGGAGGGCACATTTTTGAGTAGACTACGACCGGCTGGTGTGAGGTCCATTGGACAGACGCTCACTTCCCAATCGGCAGCGCGGCCGACGGGCGCGCCCAGAGCCCTGCCGACAATTTGGTGGCCAAAGCAGATTCCAACGACCCGGCATTTCCCAATAATAGACTTTGTGTAGTCGGTGAGTTTTACAACCCACGGCACATCGCTCCAGGCATCGCTTTTGGATCCAGTGATCAACACGGCATCAGACGACGTCAGCTGCTCAATCGGGGGATACTCTTGGGCCTCAAAAACATCATAGTATTTGCATTCGCCCCGGTAGCCAGCGGCCCGCATGCGGTTCTCGAAAATGGTTCCATAGTGGCCTTCTTTCTCCATAAACGCCGGGATGACCGTATCGGCCATCAATATGTAAAGCATGTAATCAAACCAGCAGGACGAAGCCGCGGGGCCATATGAAAGGCTGCTGAGCGGGCGGCAGGGTCTGTACAGAAGCTATTTGACAAAATTACACATTGAGCGCGCCCAAACATTCTAAACCAATAACCTTTCATGGGGCAGCCAAGCACCGCCGTGGAGTGCCGTGCCCGCTAAGCCCTGCTTAGCTTATCGGACGCAGGAAGAAAAAGCGAAAAAGAGGCATATTTGACTACCCCACTGACTGTTTACATCCACAATTTCTGCCGGACGAGCGCTTTGCGACCATGTCAAGCAACACGCTTTTAATTTGCAATGCCTCCACCGAGGAATTGGCGGCCATTGCCAACCAGCTCACGGAGAGTCGCACCAGCAACCAGCTGGCTCAAGCTGTCCATCTCAAGTCTTTTGCGCGCGTGCTGGCGATTTTCGCCACGGCAACAGCAGCTACTCATGAAATGAGCCGCCTCAAGCACCAGTATCCTGATTCGACGGTTGTTTTCGGCGAGTATACCAACCTTCATGCCCAGCCCAAGTACCTGGCCTTGCCGGATGCCGGAACGCTGTGGTTTACGAGCCCCCCATTAAGCCCCGAAGAGACATGGGAGCAGACCATGGAGGAGGAGCCCAACAAGCAGTCGCACTCTGATGCTGATTTCACCAGAACGCTGGCGGCGGCTCTGCAAAAGGTTCGCGACCATGCAGCTGTCATGCACGACCCCGAGACCACCCACTCATGCACTATTTACCAAAGCCCTACAGAGTCGCTACCAAACATCAAAATCGACTGGGAAAACTGTGAAGCTCCAAGCCTGGCGTCCCACAAAGAGTATCCGCACACGACGATGCCGGCAATGGATCAAATAGATTAATTTATGTACAAAAAAACTGGAGAGCTAGATCACGCCCCAGGAGCGGCTGTTTCTTCGACCACGGGGCCTATGCGGCCCAGATCCGACAGCTTTTTGGCCATGTCCTCGGACTCGAGCGACTTGAAGAATGTGTAGTGGAGGACGATGTCGTTGGTGTGGGACATGGCCGGGTCACGGGCGTAGTCTGGATCGATAAAAAAGAACACGGGCATGTCGATCTCTTCGCCAGGCAGCAGCAGCTGCTCGTCGAAACAGAAGCATTGGATTTTCGAAAAGTACGCAGCAGCCCGGTCGGGAACCACCGTGTATGTTGCGATGCCGATCAGCGGCTCGTCGCTGAGATTCTTGGCCTTGTAGAACGCAAGGGCAGTCTCACCGGGAAGAACCTGGACCTCGCGCTGCTCAGGCTTGAATGTCCAGGGCAGCTGCGGCGACACTTCAGAGGAGAACTTGATCGAAATCCGCTGGCTGCGGTCAACTGGTTGCATGCGGTCCGCGCTGAACTTTGTATAGTCGGTGATTGGGGTGCCACCGAAACCAGTGCGTGAGCAGAGGGCACGATATAGAGGCACAGAGGCGTATGCTAGAGTCGTAAACCAAATAACGATGCCCGAGCTGTACAGAACAAGCGTCAGGGTATCCTTTCGCTTCTGGGCTTTCTTGAGATCCAGCAACTTGAAGTACTCATCTGCAGTCAGTCGCCGCTTGGGTCCAGAGGGACCGGCAGCTCCTGTGGAATTAAAACGGAATTTATTCCACCACTGTACAGGTTGACGGGGTTTGCATGCTCGTTTAAATGCGAGGCTAAACATGGAAGCAGACAGATAGATTGGCTGACCAATGCTTATAGGGCCTCGCTGATTTCGGCCGCCAGGGGTCCCAGGTTTGGGTATTACGGGCGCATTGCGGAAGCTTGTGGGGGGTTGGCGGTTTATTGACAGCCAGCTGGGGTTCTATCGCCTAGCCAATGTTTCGTTCCAGCACCTGTCCCCCCGCTTAACTACTCCTGCTTTCATCTAGCATGACCGCGGCCTCTCTGGAGCTTTGACTAAGACCATGGCCGAAAAGACAAAACCTCGAAAGCGCAAAGTGGACCTTGCGTGTGTCTATTGTAGGCGCTCTCATATGACGTGCGACGACCAGCGACCCTGCTCGCGCTGCCTAAAACGAGGTATTGGGCATTTGTGTCACGACGAAGTCAGATCTCGTCGCAGCTCGACTGAGCCGTCAGGCGTCGAGCCATCTGGGGCCCCGCAACAAGAGTCGGGGAACCAATACCCGGACAATCCAGGAGCCGAGAACTCGGGCCTGGAATACAACACCATTAATGACTTTATGACTATGATCAACGACGACGCTCTGTTTCTACAATACGACTTGGGATCTCCCTATGCGGTCAAGACAGAACAGCAGCATGCCGTGCCAATGCAAGTTGACCCGGCTTCCCAGCATTTGACGCCCATGAAAAACGAAGCAGGGCTAGCTCTCAATGCTCAGGTGCAGGCAATGGACTTGCACTCTACCCCGCAATTGCAGTTTTCGCAGCAAAAGCCCAGCGATAGCCCTGCAGTTGACCAGTTCATGTTAACCGCAGCCGACCCAGAACACACAAGTGCCGAGGGCCGTTTGAAGCAGGTCATTTCAGCAAAACACAAGGCCGGGTTGATGAGACCGTACAACTATGCCGACGGCTACGATCGACTGAGGGTATATATGGACAGCTATATGAACGCACAATCAAAGCAGAGAATCCTCGATTCTTTAAGCGTCGTCAGACCGGCCTTTCGTGCTGTCGCAAAGTCGCTCAACGACATTGATCTTGTAAAAGTCGAAGAGAACTTTGAGCGGATGCTGCTCAATTACGACTGGATGTTCTCGGCCACTGCAATGCCGGCATGTCTATGGAGACGTACAGGAGAGATTTATCGCGGGAATAGAGAGTTTGCAGAGCTTGTCGAGTGCAGTGTAGACGATCTCCGAGATGGGCGGCTGACGATCTATGAGCTGATGACCGAGGAGTCTACGGTCAGTTACTGGGAAAAATATGCCAACGTTGCGTTCAGTTCTGAGCAGAAAGCCGTCCTGACGTCCTGTAATATTCGCACAAGAGACGGCCGTAAACGCCGACTGTGTAGTTTTAGTTTCACTATTCGGCGGGACTGGTATAACATTCCTAGTTGCATAGTGGGGAATTTTATACCCATTCCGCAGAGATAAACCTATATAATATTTACTCGGAGTTTTCCTCTTCCTCGGCGTCCTCGTTGGCTTCTTCATCACCCTCTTCACCAGCGGCAGCGGCACCCTTGCGCTTACGACGCTTCTGTTCCCGGTTGTACTCTTTGATCTCGTCTTCGTCAACAACCTCCTTGAGCAGCTCATCCAGGTGCTGCTCCTCAGCCTTGCGTTTGGCAGACTCGCTCTCGTCGTTATCTTCCAAGGCACCAATGTCGGCTTCATCATAGATCTTCTCAGTGTAATAAATGGGGAGGGCAGGACTCTGTGACGTCTTGATGGAAAGGGTGCGAATACCGGCCATGCTCTCATCAAGAACATTTTCAACCAAATAATCAACAACGGCCTTGACGTTCTCAGCAACATGCTTGGGTTTGGAATCAGTCAAACCAACCCGGATGAGAACTAACGTGGACCCGGGCTTGAGGAAAACAGTAGACTCAAGAACCTGCTCGATCTCTTTTTGTGCCAGATCACGATCAATTTTGTCTCCCTGGCGGACGGAAACAGTAATGGGGGTTTTAACCTGGGATCCGTAGAAGGATTTGCCCAAGACAGTAGGCAACGAAGGAGCGACTTCTGGCTCGGTCAAAAACAAATCAAAGTCATTTTTGAGGGCACGACGAGCCTCGTAGCGCTTAAATTTGCCCTTGAGCTTCGACAGACCAACCACCCGGTCAACAATCTTCGGTCCGTTTTCACCAGCATACAAAGCATCCTTATAAGCCCGCTGAGGATCACGGCTAAACAAGCAAATGCGAGGCTTTTCGTTCTCCGGCCACACGCTATGGGGCACTTTGATCAGTTTAGGACGCAGGTTCTTCTGCTCTGAAAAATAGCGCTTGGCAGTCACTACGAGGTACAACGGCTCAGCATCGCTGTCTTCAAACAGCTGGGATTTCTCTGAAGTCTCCTTGGATTTATCTTTAAGATACTTTTGCAAGGCTTTAGTCGCCTCAATTACCTTTTTGTTATCCATTGAAAAAAGGTCCTTGCAGGAAAAAAAAAAAGATTACCAAAGCGATCGAGCTCCCTTAGTTTTTTTTTTTTCTTTTGACAATTAAGATCCTTTCACGTAAGCAAGAAGGTTACCAGGATAACCACTACTAAATGGTAAGTTAGATGATGGCTGGTCCAGCGACAGTATTAACGCTTTAGGGTAAAAGAAAGAAGAGCTCTCGTGGTCCCCAGAAAAAACTGAAACAAGTTCTCCCCACCACATTCACCTGTCTCTTTTGCAACCACGAGGACTCGGTGGTTTGTGTTATGGACAAGCGACTAGGAATTGGAACTCTGAACTGCAAGGTGTGTGGCCAGAATTTTCAGGCGTCAATTAATGCACTTTCGGCACCGATTGATGTCTACACAGACTGGTTTGATGCATGCGAAGCAGTCGCCGCTAAGAAAGACGATGCCGGCGAGGACGATATCGACAATTTGTCCGACGCCGACGAAGATTTTTGATTGTGCTATTATTATTGTAATTTCTATAGTTTCATACACACACTGGGGGTTGTATACTCAAAGGCCCTGTCCGCTGCTCGACTCTCTCCATCCGATCTTACTCATGAGCCGGCTCGTGAGTCGAGTATCGCTCAGGCCAAGAATACGAATATGGCCAATACAAAGGGCGCTGTTCCACCAGAAAATGCCAGTATACTCAGTGGCAGACCGAATAAAAAGTATGCTGCCCCAGGTCATTCCCGGAGAGCCTGTTTTCGCAACAGAGACCGGGCCCTCCCCGATCAGCATCCAGGAGATTTCGTGTGAACAAGAGGCTGAAACTGTGAGCCAAGCCAAAAGGGTTGCCCAGAAAGGCGATATCAAGCACGCATGTGAGCTGATACTTGCCACTGTGCCGTTTAATCAAATCTTATCTGTATTTGTTGACGAGATCGTGCCAGTGCTGAAAATTTCGACGTCCCTCGATTCCCCACAAAGCATTCCGTTGTATAATTTGGTGCTAGTTTTGCAAGCTATGGGACATGGACCGCTTGCATCTCAGCTTTTGATGGAGCTTGATGCAGATATTGAACAGATTTTATCGGACCTGCAGCTAGCGGAAATCCTTCAGGAAGTCACCCCAAACCTGCAGATAGTCGATGAATTTTTTTGGAGCTCAACTCAAATGCATTTCCCGCAAATTCTATACAACCAACAAGTATCATTGTGGCTTCGAGCCATAGTTATGGCCCACGTGAGTCGGGGTGGTAGAGCGTATTTTGAAACGACCCTCCAAAGGTACGGAAAACATTTTCAATCTAACGAAGCGATGAACCTGATTTTAAAGTCTAATCCACATGCATACAGCTCATTGAGCTCTTATTTATTGAACGGCGAACATTCTAATTCTCTTGCGGGACTTATTGACGCTATCGACAGCTCAAAACAGCTGCACAATTTATGGAAAAAGTTAAAGCCAGCACCGGATCACTCAGTTGTAGGGCATGTGCTGCGCAAGGCCATCCATCTGAACGCAAGTTACACAATTCCAAGTATTGTTCGATACACCAGCGACACTAATCTGTTGACCAAAGCCCTGGTAGCTACAGCGTGGTCGCAAAAATTACCTCCCAAGAACGACGACAGAGCTTTGACAACCGCCTGGGATGTCCAATCCGAGCAGGTTACTCGGGTTGTTGATAATTTAGGCGAAACCGTCGTCGACCAGGTCGTCGCTCAGAGCGTCAAGTCTATTAGCAACTCGGAATCTCCCGGACGAGTATTATGGGCTCTACTACTTGGCATTGAAAAATCAAAACTGTCGAAATCTCACAGCTTCCCGGCCGTGGTGGTCCGACAGTTTTCGCGGGCCCTAATGCAACGGCCGCTCCTGGAACAGCTGAGATTCATGACGCTTGATCTAGTCACCTCTGCGGGCATTTCTCAGCTTCTAAAGTCCCACGTCTCTAAAATGATCTACTATCGCCGCTTGCATAAACTTCCGCCCCTAAGTTTAGAACAGGACGAAAACGTGAAGCTCATGTTGGCAGGTATGATTGTGATGTCAGAAAAAATGAGCCCCGACCACAACGACGGCATTCATCTTATCAGGGTGGTTAAAGAGCTTTTTGAAAACTGGGACCCCAAAGTTGCTGCCAAACTGGTCGAGGACTTGAACGACCGTCACAGGCCATCTAGCGAGGTAGCTATGGCCACGATGGGGCTGCTGCTAAAGCACGGTAACGTTGCTTTGACAGTCCAGCTTATGCGTGAATTGGGCCCGGATAAGCTTGAACCTCCGCAATTGCACCAAATTTTGGTGAGAGTAGGTCGTGAGCTTCCTATTGTCATTGTCCCACTGGTATCTTGGTTGATTCGAACCCATAAGGCGTTCATTCCTCCGTCCGTTATTCGCAAGCTGATTGTCTGTTTGAACAAAACTACTCAAATGTCCTATTCTCAGCGATTTACCAGGACTACTCGGTTACTTAGCATCCTGCGGGGCCTTGGTGTCGGCCCCGGTGCTGTTGCCGCGGCTGCTATGGTTGACGCCATGATCAAAGCTGCCGAAGAGTCTGGCAGAGGGAGTCGCCGCAGACTGCAATGGGCTCTAGACATTTGCCAGCGCGAAGGAGTCCCGGAGGAAAAGGTCAAGCATTGGCTGGCCAAAGTCGTCGAAATGAGATCAAGTGGTAAAGGATACTGGGCGAAATAAATTGCATCCGTTTTTTCTTGAATTTGGAAAAAACACTACCGTAGGTTCTATAGACAATATCACGCCTGCTGGTTTTCTAGATCTTGCCGGCTTACATATGAAGGCGACGCGTAAAGACTCCAGTCAAAAGCCGCTTAGCGCGTTTTTTGGCGGATCAAAAGAAAATGTGAAGCTCAAAACAGTTGAAAACAAGGCTTGTGTTGTGGTTAAACCTGCTGTGCCCGCAGAATTGCAAGTTGAGAGGGCCCAGCGGCAGCCATCGTGGTGGTCTCGGACGTCTAATTTCAGCCAAACCACCGCCAACTCCGGATCTCGCAAAAGAGAAGTCTCACAGTTCGTATCACAGCCAGCAAAACGTCCTGCCCCGTGGTCGGGAGTTGCAGTTCAGTCTGTACCCCGCCAAAATAGCCCTTCTTTAAGTGGTCAGAAAAAACTGAGCGAGGAACAGTTGAAAGTCTTGAACCGCATTCTCAATGGCAAAAGCGTTTTCTTTACCGGAGCTGCTGGCACGGGAAAATCATATTTGTTGCATTCAATTGTGGAATCGCTGCGCCGCCGCCTGAGTGGTGATCAAGTTGCCATAACTGCTACCACGGGGTTAGCTGCACTCAATGTCGGTGGCCAAACGATTCATCGATGGGGTGGACTGGGATTAGGACGTGACAATGTGTCTAAATTGGCACTGGGTATTCAAAAGCGCAACGATGTGCTGAGAAGATGGCGAAACTGCCGAGTATTAATTATTGACGAGGTCTCGATGCTTGAAGCTGAGTTATTTGAGAAAATGGAAGAGCTTGCTCGAGTATTAAGAAAAGACACAAGACCGTTTGGTGGCATTCAAGTTGTGATAACAGGCGATTTTTTCCAACTGCCTCCAGTCGGTCGGAATCGCGCGGTGAAACTATGCTTCGAGTCGAGTAAATGGCAAGAGGTCATCCAGGAGCAAATGCTGCTACGGAAAGTGTTCAGACAAGAGGACCAACGATTGATTGATATGCTCAATTGCATGCGAGTTGGCAAATTGACGCCAGAAGTGCTCGCGAACTTTGCCAAACTTAACCGAGCAGTGTGCTACGAAGACGGGCTTGAGCCCACCCAGCTATATCCACGAAGAGAGCAAGTTGACAATGCCAATCGCGCTCGCATGCAAAATATCAAAGGCCGGGAGTTTGTGTTCAAGGCAGAGGACTCTGGCACGTTCGATGCAGCGATCAATGCCAAGCTGCTGGAAAATATCATGGCGCCAGAGAAGCTGGTCCTGAAAGTAGGCGCCCAGGTTCTGCTAATCTCCAATATCGCAAACGACTTGGTGAATGGCAGTCGCGGTCGTGTCAAGACATTTGTCCACGAAGAGAAACACCCCCAGCTCCGCACGCTCGTGCAAAAGGCTCCGCCCGTGCTGGACATCTATAACCGCATGTTGGAGAACAACGGCACGATCGATGTGAAAATGGACGAGGACATGAGAGTGTTTCTAAGCGAAGAAGAACGCGCACAGCTACTCGAAATATATACACTGGAACCAAGAATGCCCGTCGTGGACTTTGGGGTCACCAACTGGTTCACTCTGCTCACCCCGATCGAGTACGCGATCAAGGGCCCTCCTCCCCACAGCGTCGTCACTGCAGCACGGCACCAAATACCCGTTATTTTATCATGGGCACTGTCTATTCACAAGGCTCAAGGTCAGACATTGGATCGGCTAGTCGTGGACCTAAGCAACGTGTTTGAGAAGGGGCAAGCGTATGTAGCAGTGTCACGAGCAACCAGCTACGATCGGCTCCAGGTGATCGGATTTAAAGAGTCAATGGTTCAGGTCGACCCTCGGGTGTCCGAGTTCTACAGCCAGCTCGAAACCAACATTTAGCATATTTCCTAATCTACCTTCCTAAACGAGACAGCCCCCCGTCCAGGCGATAACGGCCTCGCTAAACCGAACGTATCCCTTACCCTTGATATAGCGGGGTGAAATGGTCGGCTGACATTTTGGCAATCCAGGTTGACTCAGTGTTATAGTTGAAAAAATGAGCGACAAGCGTAAGTTTTGGGCATTTATGGGAGTGCGACAAGGCATTCGAACGTGGACATGAGAACTAACTAAGCTTTGCCCTTTTTCTACCAGTTCATCTCTGGTGCCGTCGCCGGTATCTCGGAAATCCTGACCATGTACCCTCTGGACGTGGTCAAGACCCGTATGCAGCTGCAGACAGCTGCTCCAGGCTCCCCTGGTGCCTACACTAGCATGGTGGACTGCTTTGCCAAGATCATCAAGCAGGAGGGCCCCTCCCGTCTCTACAAGGGCATCAGCGCCCCTATCCTTATGGAGGCACCTAAGCGTGCCGTGAAGTTCTCTGCCAACGATGAATGGGGCAAATTCTACCGCAACCTGTTTGGCGTTACCACCACAACCCAGCCTCTGGCTGTTCTTACCGGTGCTACTGCTGGTGCTACTGAGTCGTTCGTGGTCGTTCCCTTCGAGTTGGTTAAAATCCGTCTCCAAGACAAGGCCTCCACCTACACTGGCCCTGCCGATGTTGTGAAGAAGCTTGTGCAGTCTGAGGGCTTGCTTGCTTTGTACAATGGCCTTGAGGCCACCTTGTGGCGCCACGTTTCTTGGAACGCTGGCTACTTTGGCTGCATTTTCCAGGTCCGCCAGCTTCTGCCCACCGCTACTTCCAAGAGGCAGACTATCACCAACGATCTGATTGCCGGTAGTGTTGGTGGAACCGTTGGTACTTTGGTCAACACTCCCTTTGACGTCGTCAAGTCCCGTATTCAGAGCACCGTCAAGGTTCCTGGTGTCACACCCAAGTACAATTGGACCATCCCCAGTGTTGTCACTGTCTTCCGTGAGGAGGGCTTTGCTGCTCTTTACAAGGGATTCTTGCCTAAGGTGCTCCGTCTCGGCCCTGGCGGTGGTATTCTGCTTGTTGTTTACACTGGCTGCATGGACTTCTTCCGCGCTCGGGTTTACAAGAACTAAAACGACAATAAACTGTATACTTAAAATTCGATAACTAGCTTGCCGCGAGCACCTACATTTTTCAGGCGCTCAACAGCCTTCAAAGCCTCGTTGTAAGGCGTGACCGAATCCACAGGCACCTTGATGTCTGCTCCGGTGTCGAGGAACTTCAGAGTCTCGGTCCAATCTTCTCTACCAACAGCAACCATCGAGTACTTGATTCCCCACAGCCTTCCAAACATGGTACGGCCACTAATACGGGGGAGAGAGGTAAGCAGATGTAGCATGCCGTACGAATCACCGGGAGGAGCGGTTCCTGCACAAGACAAAAAGTTGTATTTCGACTTGGGCTTTTCCACAAGCTTGTTGGCAATCCAACCAACAGGTCCATCGCCCACAGTGTCGATAATCGAAGTGTATTTACCATCCTTCACAGACTCCAATAGACTAGCCCTAAGATCACCATTATAGTCAATTGTCCGATCCGCGCCGAACGACTTGACATATTCGGAACTCTTGGAAGAACAGGTCGCCACAACCTCGGCTACATTATACTTTTGCTTCAGAAGTTGAATAACGAACGTTCCAACGGACGTAGCACCTCCAAGAACCAGAACCCTGCTGTCGGGGCGTACCTCTGCGTATTTAGTTAGCCGCCAAGCAGTCCCGAGCGTTACTGGGGCCGCTGCAGCCTCAATTGGACTAAATTGCTGGGGAATCACGCCAATTGCATCTTTTTTCACATTGACGACACTGTACGATCCGACGAACCGCGATCCAGGGATGGTCGTTAAGCAACCGGAGACTCGGTCGCCCACACTGAAGTTCTGTACATCAGAGCCAATATGACGCACGACACCAGCATAATCAGAACCAAGTGGCACGCCAAACGGTAGCTTTGCGAATACCTTTACATCGACAGGATTTACAGCGATTGCATAAGATTCGACAACGACGCAGTCAGGCGATGGAGGAATTGGAATTGGTTTTTCGGCCAGGCTCAAATGGGCAGTTGCAGAACTGTGAATAATTTTGGAGTTGACACCCATTGTTGCGAAGGTTTATTGTCAGTGCACTTAAGTAGTAATACGCCACCCTTGTTTGACATATGCGGGTCATCACAGAGCCCTAAACGGCTAGAATATAATAATAACAGTAACTGGATAATGTAGACGATTGTGTGTAGTAACGGCTAGTGGTTTTCAAGCTATTTATCGGTGCTGCACCTGATATGCCCGTCGTAACGTTGCCACAGCCTTATTGGCTTGTCGATCTGTGCGGAGATCTAGTGGGTAGTCAGGTGAGTGATCAGAGTGAGTCCCGTAGTGGTGGTCCTAGTCGCCGTCCCGGCAGTATTCCCTCAAGGGCTTGGCAGATCACATTCGCCTGATCTATAGTCTAACACTGTTTCTTCGGTAACGGGCCCCTTAATAAAGTCTGGTAAGCGACTTGGTTCGGGCGATGCATTCTTCACCCATCGGCTAAAGTGGAGACCTGTCAAAGATAGCAATCACATCCACATGTGATAGATTTCGCCTGGCAGTTGGCCCGCACATGTTCCAAACCACCTCCGTTTTAGCGAGATAGTGCGCCAAGCCGCTATAATTTTAGGCAGTGTTTGAAACGAAAACTATTGGTGAAAATCTGCCTGGAGGTCTACTCAATTTGTACATAGAGCACTATGATATCGATCTATTTTCGTCACTTCTATTTTCCAATGTCTCTCAAACGGGGGCGTGAACTCGCGGGCTAGGGCTACTTTTATCGAAGAAAATGACCTTACCGCCTTACCCTCCAAGCAGGATGCTTATTTGGGCCAAGCTTGCAGCTAGCACAATGTGACCATGGCACGCACCAAATTATGCTAAGCGGAAGTTTGATTTCTACTGCTCCTCGCACCGAAACAGCAAGTGACTCCTATCCTTTGAGCAAAAAATCTGGCCAAAGACACCGTCCTGAACCGACCTACAGAGTGTTTTTCAGCTGCATGTGCCGACAGCACTGGTGCATGAACATCTTCATTCTTGGAACGCTGAGCGACCTAAGACAATTCCAGCTAAACCTGCGTATTCAGTGCATGTGGTGCAAGCTCTTCGAGCAGAGCCCCCATCCTTGGCGACAAAGACGATCTCTATCTCCGGGCGTAGGGCCTAAAAAGACAAGGTTACCCCTCTGTTCGTATTGTCCTTACATAATGAATCACACCCTTACCCAAAACCGCTCGCTGGCGCGCCTTACAAAGATAGCCCGTCGTCTAGAATACCCTGCGGTCATTTAACATTGCGCACATTACCCACGTCTCAATAAAATTTGAGTGTACACCTTTTGTGAAACGATACGTGGTATAAACAGTAAGTACTCAATGGTGGGGTTCCCTATGGATCACTGATCTATATTCACATTCAAGCGAATCACCACAGTATGCCCTCGACAGCAGAGCTAACTTTCCCAGTGTCCGGTTCTTTGGCAGACAAGATCCGCGCCGTGCACAATCTCCAACCCTCGGATGTGCCCGTTTCTGAAGACGATGCGTCTATTCCACCGACGAATGGAGCCACCGCTCCCCGCTCCGGCTCCCCGCAACACAACGGCAACGGTCATGTAAAGGAGGGCAACTCGCTCGCCGACTTGTTGGCAAAAGGCAAGCTGCCTTCTCTTCCTCGCAAGACAGCTGGTAATCGCTGGAACGATGAATCGCCTCGAGCATCCCCCGCGCCACTTGGGGTCAACGGCCCTGGTCTGGGGGAACCCACGTCGACCGCTCGCATCGAACTGCCGGCTATCGACAAACAACAGGCCGCCAAAGCAATCGCCGAGATAAAAAAGCTAGGTGTTTCTGTTGAAATGTCAAAAGGATCGACTAATGTCACCACTGTCCTCCTGAAGGGCCCGACCTCAGCGGTAGACCGAGCCCGTCAGATCGTCGAGCGCCAGCTTGCCCCACGGATCACCGTTCGATTCGGCATCCCAGCATCCACTAGGTCTGCTGTTATTGGCACCCGTGGCTCAAATTTGAAAAGTATCATTAGCACGACCGGTACTAAAATCAATATCGACAACACTCCTCGGCCTCGGGTTGGCTGGGCCCTACCATTGGTCGGCGTCGAAATTGTTGGCTCGGCCAAGGCAGCCGCTGAGGCAAAAAAGATGATCATCGATTCAATCAATAATAGCACCGTTCAGGATGTGCGTGAACTTCCAGAAAGCCTGCGCTTGTTCGCCCATAAGTTCACTGCTGACAAGGGATACCCCGGAGTCGCAGACTCGGATGGTAACGTTCTGCGCTTGTCAGCAAAGTTCTCTGAGTTGCAGGCAGCCCAAGAGGAAATTGATAACTATATTGCTGGTTGCGTGGCTACTTATGCCTCCAAAGAGCTCGAGCAGCTGGCCGGACCGTCCGTCCCTGCCGACGTTTTGTTTGATTCTCATAATGTTGTTATCGCTGATAATAGCATTTACGGGCCCGCAGACAAACTCGAGGCTGCTGCTGAGGCTCTTACAGCCTATCTGGCCGCTATCGAACAACTGCAGTTAGATATCTCAAAGGCCCACAGTCGAAATGCAGAGCATGCGGCACGTCTTGTGGAGTACCTCGAGCTCAGAGGCGCGATCGAGGAACTGCAAAACGCTTATAATGTTTCCATCAGCCGGCCCTCGAATGGATTAGTTTACAATATTTCTGGTCGCGATAAAGATTCGCTGCAAGATGTCAAGCGTAAGCTTGTTCAAATGGTGAATCAGCAGGTCCCTGCCTCGCTGGTGTGTTACGATGGAATTGAGTCTGAATTCGGTCAGACTCAAGCGAAAAGAAGCGCCGAGTCGTTGAGATCCCGCAAGCACCCAGCTGTGGCCTATGTTGGTTCGGATGGACGGGTCTACGTCGCTTATGACTTTGAGGCTTCCGAAGACGCAGATTTCGGCCCTACAAATGAAGAGATCATAGAGGCACTGGCCACAGCTGCCGAGCCGTTTGGTACTATCGCCTCTAGAGAAGCTAATATGGTAAAGAAACAGACACCAATGAGCAAATCCGACTACAAGCACATTCAGTCCCCATCGGGCGCGGCCAAAAAGCGACTTTCGTCTCTTGTAGAACAGGGCGGTATCCGGAAAGTTGGTGTTTCTCTTGCCCCCTCAGGTGACGCAGTGTTTGTAACTGGTGCGCCGGAGGATGTTGAAGTTTTGTTGAAGGAACTTCCTTCTATCGTTGAAGAGTCCAAGAATGAGTTTGAACTTCTGAACTTCACGAAGCAAATCGAATTCGACCCGAGCTTCATAAAAAATTTGGTGGGTCGTAATGGTGCCAAGATCTCCAAGATCCGTGAGACTTACAACTGTAAAATCGAGGCTTCTTCTGATGGAACTGTCATTGTGCGAGGCCGTGAGAATAACGTTCTTGACGCTGTCAAGTACATCAAGAGCTTGGAGAAAGAGCTCAAGGATTACAAGGTTGAGGAGCTCACTGTACCCCGGAAATATCACGCGATCCTGATTGGTTCAAAAGGGCGGTTTGTTCGTCGTATGCAGGATAAATACAACGTTCATGTCAAGTTCCCTGCTCGGTATGATACTCCCTTGAGTGGGAGTGACGACGGCAGCGTGTCTAACGAAAGCCAGTCAACAGATACGATTGTGCTTAGTGGTCCATCCAAAGGGGTTGCTGCGACCAAAAAAGAGTTCGAAGAGCTGCTGGCCTACGAAAAGAGTCACTCTTACGTCCAAGAGGTTGATATTCCTAGCGAGCATATCCCCCATATCATTGGTCGCCATGGAGCTTTCATTAGTGAGCTCTGCGCTAGCGGGGATCTCACAATTGATGTCAAGCGTACGGACGAAAAGTCACTACTTGTTATCCGAGGTGCGGAGAAGTCAGTAAAGGCTGCCATTGCGCAAATCAATGCGGAAATTGCCCGGCTCAAAGACACCGTGCACAAGACCGTTACGGTTGAACAGAAGTATCACCGTTACCTCACTGGACAAGGTAATTCAATCCGAAATCAAATTGTTGTGGATGCTGGTGGCGACCTGGATGCTGCAGCTCGCATTTTATACATTCCGAGCAGCTCGTCGGGGTCGAATCAAGTTCGAATTTCAGGCCCATCGAAGGTTGTTGAGGCTATTGAAGCGAAGATCAATGAAATCGTGGAAGACCGTAAAAACCGCAAGAAGTTTAAGGGAACTGTTAATGTACCAACAAACCAGCTTCGGTTTGTTATTGGTCCTGGTGGCTCTACCAAGCGATCCATTGAAAATGAGCTGGGCGTGGTCGTGGATATCCCTAATACCAAGGCACCGCAAACAACTATTTCAGTAAGTGGTAGAAGTGAGAAGGACATCGAGGCAGCCAAGCAGCAAATTCTAAGTCTTGTTGATCTCGGCCAGATTGAAATGCTCATTCCTGCCTACCTCGAGAATGACGTTTTCAACCGGGGTGCGTTGGCTCAGCAGCTCGAGTCCAAGTACGGTGTAAAGCTCTCAACCCCCAAACGTCCAGGAAATCCCCGGGCTGCTCCCAAGCCTCCCTCGGAGGAAGTTCAGAACGCTCGTGCCACCGAACCAGGCACGGTGTACTTCAAAGCAACACCGTTCGAGAACGAGCCTTCGGATAAAACAGTCAAGTGGGTTCTCCTAGGTAAAGATGAGGAAGCATGTGAGGAGGCCAAAAAGGAGGTCCAGAAGCTGGTCGACACTCACACCAAGCACGATACCACCGGTTACCTGTGGTTACCGAGCTCTTCGTCTTATTCCAAGATCATTGGCCCTGGTGGTTCTTTGATCAACGATGTCCGCAGTAAGTCGGGCTGCCAGATTGTCGTGCCCAAGCAGGGCCGCTCGGCCAGCGAGCCTGTGTCGATCCGAGGTAGTAAGGAAGATGTTGAGCGTGCCCGGCAACTACTCCTCAGCCTGGCCGAACTGGATCTAGACTAATTTCGAGATAAAGCGCTTAAAAACCCCACAGCCCAAAAAATATAAAATCTCCGTAGATGTCATTGAATCCTTATGTATTTGTTGTCGGAATTCGACGCAAAAATCCGCAACTCCAGCTCCTCCCCCTACCCTTGCAGCATGATCCGAATATAATGTCAAGGGTTCGCCACCAGCCACTCAAAAAACAAACATGAACATTGTTAGCCGAACCATCGGGTTTGAGTCTTCGTCTAGCCCTGTTCTCTTGGGTGAAAAGGATATATCTTTGCCTTTGGCTGACGACTATGTAGTGGTTGAGTTAGACGCCATGTCGTTGAATCCCGTCGATATGAAAATAAAGAGTATGCGCCTGTTTAGTGGGAACTACGCGGCAGGCCGTGATTTCACAGGAACCATCACACACGTTGCCGCCAATCTTCAAGAAAAATACAATGTTGGTGATAAAGTTTCGGGCTGTTTACACAGTATGTTCCCCAAAGGATTTGTCGGCTCGTATACTTTAGTTAACGTCCAAGCAGACTCTCTGGTGCCTGTTCCCTCTCAATTCAGCTCTATTGAGGCTGCTGCTTTCCCTCTTGTTTTCTTGACCGCCTGGGAAATGCTCGAAGACGCCTTTATTGATCCCAAAAAACCTGTTCTCGTTTTAGGCGGCGCAACCGCCGTAGGAACCATGACCATCCAATTGCTCAAGCTCAAGTACAATGCCGAGCATGTTGTAGCTACTTGCTCTCCTCGAAGTAGCGACTATGTCAAGTCTTTTGGTGCAGATGAGACGATCGACTACACTTCCGATCTGCAGGGCAAGCTTCGCCACTATGCTAGCAGTCAGGGCAAGTTCTGCTCAATCCTTGATGCAGTAGGCGGGCGCGAGGTTGCTTGTATAGCTGGTCATATCCTTCATGGTTCTGACGGCAAGTTCAATTTCCTTTCTGTTGCCGGTGACGGCTCCAAGTCCGAGAAGTATGCTTTAAACTTAGGTACCGTCACAGGCGGATTTACCATGCTTGGCAGATCGATGCTTGGCCGCTTTTGGGGCGTCAGGTATAAGCTGGTTCGTGCAAATAACAGTTGGATGGACGAGGGTTCTAAGTTTTTGCGTGACACCACCATCAAAGTGCCCATTGATTCTGTCTATCCTTACGAAGACGCTCTCAAGGCGTGGGATAAGGTCGAATCCATGAGAGCCAGAGGAAAAGTTGTTGTCGAATTCAAAGCGGTAGATGAGTGATGTATCTCGAGTAGTATACGTATGTTCTTGTTCTAGTGAGTTCGAAGCTCTGGTGCTCAAATATGACGCAGTCGAATTAGGGTGGGCGGTCGCGCAGCGCGAGAAACAAGTCATTCGACAGGTAGATCTAGCTAGGGTGATTGACACACCTTTAAACAGTTGGCCTGAGCTCCAGTCGGAGTCACAAACCACATTTCTAATGGCCAGGGGTGTCTCAACGTCATAGATGGGGCTACCTAGTAACGGGCCGAACCAGAGTGCAATCCCAAGTAACGAATACTGGCATTTCACGTGAAAGCGTGACACTCTTGCTTGTGTAGATCTTTCTGCTAGTACCCGACAAGTTACAACATGAGCAAGGCTCATAAACGGCAGACAATGTGGTTTGCCAAGGGTCAAAAAGCATTTTTGGAATTAAACTATCCTGAACTTTCAATTGCTCCGTGATTTAACGATTATGGTCAAGTATACAACCTGTTAAATATACCTCTACATCTAGCCAAGCAATTTGCACGTGCGATAAGAAGATATGCAGGTGGTATTGGTCACATGCCCATATTAATGCAATGCTGTTGCAGGAGCTGTGATAGGGACATGAAGGCAAATTAGCTCGCTTTGGCACTTGAGCACCTGAAAACCTCCAGAAATTTCACTGACGTGAGTATATATTTTTTCCAAACATACTCATGATGTGCGTTCAATTTTCCACTGCTTTAAATCCCATTCAAGGCTTTTTCGGACCAGATCGTAGCTGCAGGTGCTGGCCACTGTGCGTGAAGCCGTTCAAACTGGTGCCAAGCGAAACAAGATACGAGGATAGTAAAATACTATAAGTACCTAGTCGTGCAGGAATTTAATCTATACAGAAGATACATGGTTATTGAAAAGGCCGTTGTTCAAGGGGACACGGTGGTTGACAGCCAGAAATGCGAATTTATCAGAGTTACCGCAGCAGAGGCCCCCAGCCCTTCGTCACGATCATTAGCCGAGGGCACTATACTATATAGCGATGATCTCGTTATGCTTGTTCCAGGCCATCCGGATTACCCTCTGACATGGTCGACTCGTAAAAAGGTCTGCCACACCATGGGATTTGGTATTGCTGCTTTTGGTGCACTTTTTAGTGGGGCGGTTTTGACCCCTTCCATTCCAGCCATGATGGACGAGTTCAAAGTTCCGCATATCGTTGCAGTCTTAGCCATGTCAATTTACTTCATCGGCAGCTGCTTAGGACCAATGATCTTTGCACCGGTTAGTGAGGTTTATGGGAGAAAAAAGGGCGTATTTGTTCCTTATCTTTTATCGGCCATGCTGATGTGTGTGGTTGCAAATTTGAACAATATGCCCGCAGTGGTTGTTTTCCGGTTCTTATCGGGAATTTTTGCTGCTGCACCTATTGTTTCATCAGGAGGAGCTTTAGCAGATATTTGGCCCGCACACCAACGCGCGCCGGCAATGGCATTATACTCTATGTGCATCATTTTTGGCAGTTCGGGTTCTCCCATCTTCGGAGCGCTGCTGGCAAATACGGGCTCTTATGGATGGCGCTGGGCGTCATGGCTGTCTGGACTTTTGGGTATAACAATCTCCATGTTCAACTTGATCTTCCTTAGCGAAACGTATCTTCCCACGATCACATGTGGACATGCTCGGCACTATCGTTTGCTAACGAGAAAGTGGTCATTACACTCTAGCCACGACGAGCTGAGGCTCGACCTGAAAGAATTAATTGAGGTGCACCTTGCTCGTCCTTTCAAATTATTCTTGACGCCAGTCGTCTTGCTGATTTCACTTTATGCAAGCTTCGTATATGGTGCCTTATTTATTGTCATCTCGTCTGTTGGTGGATTGTTTCATCGAACGTATGACATGTCGACCAAAGTGTCGTATTTGCCTCTAATCGCAAACTTGGTAGGCTTCTCTGCGGGATGCCTGTTAAACGTGCTGAGCGCGAGACGGTATGTTCGACTCCAAGAAAAGCTTGGACGACCGCCTGAGCCGGAGGAACGTCTGATCACAATGATGTACGTGGGGTGGGTAATGCCAGCCGGAACTTTCCTTTTTGCCTGGACCATGAATCGCAACATTCATTGGATGGTGCCAGCCATAGGCGTTTTCTTCAATGGCCTAGGGCTGGCATGCATTTTCCAAGGATGCCTTGTATACACTGTTGATGCCTTCACCAAGTATGCAGCTAGCAGCATTGCAGCGAACGCTTTTTTGCGAAACGTTTTCGCTGGCGTTTTCCCTCTGTTTGCCCGGATCATGTTTGATAAACTCGGCGCAGGATGGGGAGGCTCGATCATTGGCTGCATAGGTGTAGTTATGCTACCTATTCCGTGGATTTTCTTCCACTACGGAGCACGTTTACGGAGGATTACACCCTTCAAAGATAGTATGGGTTTATAGAACATACATATAAAGTAAAGCTACCCCCCAGCTTCGGACGACTGTGATTTCGTAATGGCCAAAGACGATCTTGACGATATTCTGAAAGAAGTTTCAGCGGCGATTGGCGACGTGAACGCGCCTGTTCTCGATCCCAAAAAAGAAAATCTGGACAAAGCACCGGTCGATGGAACAGCGTTCCCCACCGAAATGCGATGTTCGCAAGTCTTTGACCAGCTGCTCAAGTGCTACTCGATCGGTGGGCAAATTAGACACTACTACCGCCACGGGGAGCTGAGCTATTGCATGGATAAACGAAGCAAACTCATGTTCTGTCTGAAGACCAAGTTGAATACTGAAGAGGTACGGAAAGAAAAAATCTCAAAGTGGTACAAAGAAAAACTGGCCGAGCAGATGGCCCAGCGCCGAACTAGCGAACAGGTGTGGGCTTCCCGCGAAGAGCCTCTAAGGCGCCCGTTCCGTGAAGACGCTGAAAATTACCTCGACGAGGGATCGAACTGATAAATAGAGTATTTATTGTACATACGAAATATCCAAACCCAGCATGATAATTCCTTCCAGCCGTATCCCGCCCTTACCCCAAAGTGGGCTCGATGATGAACGAACGTAGTAAGCCCCGCTGGGATAGACAGCTTTTATCTTCTTATGATGTCTGCTGGTCGGGCCCAACCAGGCAGCCTGTACAAGCTTGCAATTCTGGGCGACGGTGGTGTCGGCAAAACGGCACTCAGCATTCAGCTCTGTTTGAATCAATTTGTTGAGACCTACGACCCTACTATTGAGGACTCTTACCGCAAACGTATCGTGCTCGACGGGCAGCCCACCACCCTCGAGGTTCTGGATACGGCTGGTCAGGAGGAATACACAGCACTGCGGGACCAGTGGATTCGCGATGGCGAGGGATTTCTGCTGGTTTATTCTATCACGGAGCGCAATGCCTTTTCGCGCATCAAGCACTACTATAATCAAATCTTACGAGTCAAAGATGGCGAGCCTTTCGGCGCTGTGCTGGTCGGCAATAAGTGCGACCGCACAGAGGACCGGGCTGTGTCCGTCCCTGAGGGTGAGCGTCTGGCCAAAGAACTGAACATTCCATTCTACGAGACAAGTGCCAAGCTCAACATCAATGCCGAGAAGGCGTTTCTTACTGCGGCTCGCTTGACGCGCGACACTCGCAATGCCGAGTTTGAGGGTTCCCAGCACTATGATGAGCACCACGACGCTAATGAGCAGCTTGCAGGAGCTGCAATTGTCCCAGATTCCGCACCTGCTGCCCCCGCGGGCACCGAGGGTGCTGTGGCGGCGGATTCGACTGTTTCAGCTGCTTCAGCTGCCGTCTCCGGTATCGCAGCAGGTGCTCCTGCTCCCGCTGCTGCCACAAGTGCTCCGCCTGCCGCTGCGATCCCTCAAAAAGATCCCCAGACCAAAGCTCAGCCCAATAGTGCCTCTGCGTCCTCAGAACGCCCCGATTCAGGATCGCGTAGAAAGAAGCGCAAGTCTAAGAAGTGCACAGTTATGTAGTCAGGTAATATTAAGTTTTCTTCTCCTAACTTGTTTCCTTCTATTATTTTTCTACCATTCCTCACCCCCAGCTGGTCGACAACCCTATTTTTTTTTCCTCCCAGACCAACGTCTGTCATCCTTCTCCTATATGCCTCGGGTGCCGTTACAGCCTGTGACTGAGGCGGAAACTAATTCGCGTCGAGGCGGGGGAAAGGCAGAGGAAGAGAATGGACAGGTTGAAACGGATGCGATGCGAAAATGGCGACGCGATTGGCGCCGGATTATGGCGATCTCCGTATTCTATTTTGACGTGGGGATCGAAGCATCGAGCGTGGACAAGATCAAGGGCCACTTGCAGCTTTTGGGCGCGAGATTCCAGGCGTTTTTTGACAACTCGGTAACACACGTTATTTCGAACCGCACGCCCGGCAAGGAACACGCTAGGGGAGACATTCTTGTCAAGGCCTCTCAGTTGCGGATGAAAGTGTGGTCAGTGGACAAACTGGTCAAGTTTCTTACGGCTTTGTTGGGCCACAGTCCATCTCGGGAGCTCGATTCCGCACAATGCGCAAAGCTTTCCCAGCTTCTTCGCCAGGAGAAGCTGGTTGGGCCCAGCGATCGCGACCCGACCGCGCGACGCGACGACTATTACTACTTCAAAGGTCCCTACATTTTAGTCTGGGATCCCTCACACTACAATCGGCCCCTTTTGCACAAGGAATGGGATCGGGCTGCTACCCCTTACGAGGGCGATTGGCCGCAATTTCGAGCAACTCCCATTGGAATGTGTCCGTTCGTGGTCGAACCTGGAGTTGGCCATAAAAAGCGTTCGCACCGTAACACAACTGATACATCGCATAAACGAAGAGCACTGGAATTACGGGCTGAAAAGGCCGCAGTGACAATAGTTAAATCCCAGCAACCGCCGCAACCAGAACCGCTCATGCACAAAGCTGCTGATGAAAAGTCACAGACTCCCCCCGATACCGAAACACCAACCCCCCAAATTGCAAAGGATGAAAACGAGCCGCCGGTCGGCGTTCCTGCCCAACCAGAGACATCTATCCAAAGACCCCCTGCGGCGTTCAGAAAATACTGCGAGATCACTGCATCCGGTATGCAGCGGTACTCTGCTACATCAGCGGTAAAGTCAACCGTATTGGGTGAAACGGGCAATGGGCTGGGTGCTACACACGCATTGGCCTCTCGCGAAGTTAACAATCTACAGCGTAAGGTTCTCCAGCCTATTCCGATACCGCAATTGGTTGCCCCTACCAAGGCACCGGCAACTATGCCTCCAAGTACTTCGTCAAGCAGAGTGAAGATCTCAAAAAAGCCTGGCTTCTGTGAGAATTGCTACGAGCGGTTTGAGAATTTCGACGATCACGTACTTACCAAAAAGCACAAGAAGTATGCAGCCAATGCGCAAAACTTTGCTGCTCTCGACGCCATTATTGACTCATTGGCCCGTCAACCCAAACTCCCTTCGCCATAGTTCTAGCCATTTTTTTATTCTCCTTATCAAAATAGCCAATTGCCTCAAATACTGACACTTCAACCCGCGAATATCGCGCACGGCAAATGTCACGTGACCGATGACTCGCGGATTGCAGATATCTTTACTCCCTGCATCTTATCAAGTGTCATTTATCACACGGCAACATCATCGATGCGGGACGCAATTTGGGCACAGAGGATTCAGGAAGTAGCTCCTCTGCGTCTGAACCTGCCAGATTGGGCTCTGCCAGTGAAATGTGTTGGCTCGGCACTTCCAGTTTTCGACCCCAATACTGAATTTCTGTCCTCATGTCTGTTAACCCTCTGTGAAATTGTGGTTTCCCTACTATCTGTCCTGCCTATTCTCGCAGAATTATACAAATTGGCTGGTCAGGAGCGCGGCAAGTTCACCATCAAGGGTAAACTGGCGTTCTTGTGTGCACTTATCGCCCCTGTGGTAAGACTCTCAATCATGTACCAGGACCAATCTAGCTCCACGGGCGCCGACTACTTTATTGTGGCAGTCGGATTTGTGGCGGCTCTACTCCATCATGTCCAAGAAGGTCGGGTTTTGGTTTGTTCGTCTGAGCTGCTCCTCTATTGGCTCTGTATCGGGCTTACTTCAATCGGTCGTGCTGTCGACGCTTTTCTAAGCCAGGCTCCGTCATGGCAGCTTACTGCTGCAGTGGCTGTGCTCAGTGTTTTTGCGTTCATTCTTGAGTATTCGAACGACCGTGTCCATGGTGTAGTCGGCTATGACACTGTGAGCATCTTTGATAAGGTTTCGCTAAATTTCATGAGCCCTCTTTTGAAAGCCGGTGCTGAAAGACAACTTACCCAGTCAGATTTTCCTGAACCAAGCAAAGGTCTTACTTCTTACAATTCTTACCACAAGCTGAACGAAATTTTCGAGACGTACAGTCCCGATTCCAAGTACCGTGTTATTTTGAGTGTTCTGTGGTTGCTCAAATCCCAGATTCTCAGCATCGTTGTTATCGATTCAATAGCTGAAGCCCTCACTTATTTCCGTCCCTTGGCACTGGCTTGGTTTCTGAAAGCACTTCGTGATTTCTACAACGGTGAAGTACCTATTTTTCATGCAGCTTACTTTGGGGTTTTGGTAGGAGTCCTACCTATCCTCACAACTGCTCTACAGAATATTATCCAACTGGTTAATGCTTATACCTACGTGGTTTCGCGTTCCTCTTTGACTGGGTTGATTTACCGCAAGGCACTTCGTCTCTCCCCAAAGGGACGAGAAGTATTTGATTCTGCCAAGATTATGAACTTGATCAATGTCGATTCAGATCAAATCGAAACTGGGCTGAACTTTTTACCGAATTTTGTTAGTGCCCCTGTCGCTCTCATTATTTCAACCTGGCAGTTGTATTTCTTTATCGGAAAAAGCATGTTTGCCGCTATTCCTCTTTACGCTCTTTTTGTTCCTTACTCCAGCTACATGTCAAAGTTCTTCTTCACTCTTTACCCTGAAATCATGAAGGTCAAAGATCTGCGAACCAAGGCTACTTCCAATGCGCTGCGCAATATTAAATCGGTAAAGCTCTATGCTTGGGAGGAACCTCTAGCGACTCGTATTGATAATATTCGTGAACGTGAGATCCAAATTGTCCGGCGTACTCAAACTATCGGTTCCATGCTTGGCGGTGTTTGGTCCACCATGAGTGATTTCGTTGCTGCTGCCGTCTTTATTGCATTCTTGTACTTCAAACAAGGTCAACTTTCGCCTGAGGTTGTTTTCCCAGTCTTGGCTTTGCTCATTAATTTGACTGCTCCCTTCGCTTTGATTCCCATGTCTATCACTTCTCTGGGTCAAGCTTTCGCGAGTCAGAAGCGTGTGAACGAGCTCATGCAAGAGGAGGATCAAAAGTCTCTCAATATTCTTCGCTTACCTGCTGATGATGGGTACGATAGCGATACCATCAAATTTGATAACGCCCAAGTATCCTGGAATGGTGACTCTGATGAAGACAAGATTGCTCTCAAGGACCTCCGCTGGACAGCTTCCAATGGTGAGCTAGTTTGCATCACCGGTCGTGTCGGCAGCGGTAAGACTGCAATGCTCAAGGCTTTGTGTGGTGAATTGAAGATTGTCAATGGCTCAGTTGTGGTTCGTGGTTCCATTGCTTATTGTCCTCAGGAAGCATGGCTTCAAAACAAGACAGTAAAGGAAAACGTTTTGTTTGGTTTGAAGTATGATGAGGATTTCTACCTTCGCACCATTAGAGCTTGCGATCTCGAGAAAGATGTTGAGTCGTTGCCCAATGGCCATGACACTGGTGTAGGTGAGCGTGGTATTTCACTTTCGGGTGGTCAGAAGGCCCGCGTGGCATTGGCGAGAGCAGTTTATTCCCGTGCGGATATTTATGTGCTTGATGATGTGCTTTCTGCTGTCGATGAGCACGTATCGGCACATTTGATCGATAATCTTCTCGGACGGAATGGTATTATTGCATCGAAAACAATTATCTTGGCCACCAACAATGTCAAAGTGCTGTCGCATGCGTCCAAGATCATTGCTCTTCGGGACAAGAGCATTGTGGAGCAAGGTACTCTTGGAGAAGTGCGTGACAATAAGGAAAAGTCTGAAATCTATCGTTTGATCAAGGAGTTTGGCACTGGTGGAAATATAGACAACGTGACTTTGCATGATCGTAAGAAGCACATCTCGTCCAAGGAGGCTTCAGACGAGAAACCACCAGAGCTCGATTATTCTAAGCCATCCCTCCTCAAAGATCAAGAAGAAGAGGAGCAAGACAATGGTTCCGTTTCGTGGAAACTGTTCCGTCGCTATTTCCAAGCAGGTGGATATTGGACTTTGGCAGGTTCTGTGGTTATTACTATCTGTTCGGTATTGGTTATGAACATGTTGACCATTTGGCTGGGACTATTGTCAAACCAGGGCTTTTCCAATCTGTTTGATGCTAGGTTCTACGTGATTGTGTATCTTGTTATCGCATTCGTTTCGGCTTTCCTCATTTTTTTCAGCAGCTTCTGGACCATGTCTATCTTGGCTCTTCGCGCTGCCACGGTCATCCACAACGAGATGGTTCGCACAACACTGCACGCTAAAATGACCATTTTTGATACCACGCCTCTCGGTCGTATGTTGAATCGTTTCACGGGTGATATTCAGAACCTGGACAGTAAGCTACCGTATGCGGTTTACTATATGTTCCGATCACTTTTGAACTCGATTCAAGCGGCGATAATTGTTCTATTTGGTGCTCCTCTTGTCATTATCGTTGTCTTGCCCATGACTTTACTCTCCAACATGTACCGCAAAATGTACGTTCCCGCTTCTCGTCAAATCTCTAGAATGAGTTCTGCGGCCAATAGTCCCATTCTTGCTCATATTGAAGAGAGTATTAAGGGTGCAGCAATCATTCGATCCTACGGATTCACGGAGCAGTTTATCAACAATTTCGAGTATCGCACTGATTACTGGATTGAGACGACCTTCTTAAAGATGAATTCTCGCCGCTGGTTGACTTGGCGTATCCAGGCGATGACGGCAATCTTGGGGTTGTGCGCATCGTTGACAATGGTCGTTCTAGTCTATAAAGGCCTGCTTTCCGTTGGATTCGTTGGTGTCGTTATGCACAACACAAGTCGGCTGGGTGTCATGGTCCAGCAAACCATTTTCTTCTTTGCCGAACTCGAGATTTGTGGTGTATCCCTTGAACGTGCCATTGAATACATCGATGCCCCCCAAGAGGCTGCCGCTCACATTCCGGAAACATTGCCTGCCGGGTCCTGGCCTAGTGCTGGCATTGTCAAGTTTGAAAACTTCAGCACGCGGTATAAGCCTGACGGCGAGGATGTGCTCAAAAAATTGACGTTCTCTATCCAGTCGAAGGAAAAGATCGGCATCGTTGGTCGAACTGGTTCTGGTAAGAGTACACTTACCTTGTCACTTTTCAGGTTGCTTGAGGCAACTCAGGGCCATATTGAGATTGATGCCATTGACACTTCCGGTTTGGGCCTAACCGATCTTCGTTCCAAGCTCTCGATTATCCCGCAAGATGCTCAGATTTTCGAAGGAACTCTTCGTGAGAATCTTGATCCACTGGAGAGTGTTGACGACACACGGTTGTGGCAAGTTCTTGAGCTCTGTCATTTGAAAGAGCACTTTACCAAGATCGAGACAGGTTTAGATACGCCGCTTGTCGACGGTGGAGAAAACATCAGCCGTGGCCAAGCCCAACTTATCTGTTTGGGTCGGGCTCTTGTGCATGACTCTAAAGTACTGGTACTGGACGAGGCAACTGCGTCGGTTGATGTCGAAACCGATCGCATCTTGCAACAGACGATTAGATCACAGTTCAGGGATTGCACAATCATCACGATCGCCCACCGGCTTAACACCATCATGGACTCTGACAAGATCATGGTTCTCGATGGTGGTGTCTTGCAGGAGTTCGACACTCCTGAAAACTTACTTAAATCCAAGGGATTTTTCTGGTCATTGCACGAGGCCATGATGAAAGACCCCGACCATTCTATTTAGTTATTTTAGACATCAAATCTATTTTCTCCCTAGAGCCCATGTCACGTGATATCGTAAGCTCATGAAAAGTTTCAAAAAAACCTCCGGAAACTTTCCTCTGACAAATGCTGTACAAGCGGCTATTTCCCCGGATCATAGCCCGGGCAGCGCATGCGAAGCCGAAGAGGATGCCCGCACGGGCGAGCAAACCATTAAAGAGCATTGTGCTTCCGAAATTCGCTACTGTTTCCAACTTGGCCACGCTTTTACAGGTGCGTTTTGTCGATTTGCAACAGCGCATGCAGGACATGGGCTACAGTGACACCGATCCAGACCATATTGTAGACGACGAGAACGCTCAGTTAATTGCTGATGAGTTTGGAATTGAAGGGCAGGTGAGCCAAAGCCACGGCGATGATGTGTACGCTCAGCCACCTCCGGAGAATCTCGCTGCCTGTCCGGAGCGCCCGCCCGTAATTGCTCTCATGGGCCATGTTGACCACGGAAAAACTACTTTGCTTGACTATTTCCGATCTTCTCAAATTGTTAAAGGCGAAAAAGGTGGAATCACTCAGCATATAGGTGCGTTCATGACGAATCTGCGTCAGACAAACCGCCAGGTCTGTTTTTTGGATACTCCAGGCCACGAGGCGTTTTTGAAGCTTCGCCAACGTGGCGCCAATCTCACAGATATTGTCCTACTTGTTGTAGCTGCAGATGACTCGGTGATGCCCCAAACTAAGGAGGCTATCAAGCATGCCAAGGCAGCTGGCGTACCCATGCTGGTTGCAATTACGAAAATTGATCGCCCGGAAGCCAATATCGAGAAGGTAACTGCTGATCTAGCTGCTGCGGATGTCGATGTCGAAGACTACGGTGGAGAAACCCAGACAATCCCCGTTTCAGCCGTCACAAAGCAGGGGGTGGATGACCTCGAGACCGCACTTACGGCCTTGATTGAAGTGATCGATGCGAGAGCTCCAAAATATGGGAACGTTGAGGGTGTTATAGTTGAATCGCAGAAACTCAAAGGTCTCGGGCTCACCACCTCGATGATTGTACGTCGCGGCACCTTGAAGCCTAAAATGCCGTTGGTTGCCGGCACAGCACACTGCCACGTGCGTCAAATTTTCAACGAAAACAATAAGGCTCTCAAAGAGGCTCCTCCTGGTACTCCCGTTCGTATCACAGGGTGGCAAGATTTGCCTGAGCCCGGTGACACAGTTCTCCAAGCTTCATCTGAAGATATGGCCAAAAGAGTAGTGGCGAACCGTAAACGGTTGATTCAAGAGGCGCTAGAAGCCAAGCAAGTTGAGATCATCAACGAAAATCGCCGCATTGAACATATGATGGCTAAAGAAGCCAAAGAAAAGGCTGAGCGGTTGAGCCTTGGTCTCTCTGTCGACGAGAAAGAAACAGTTTCCCAGCAGAAGACCTGCAGCTACATTGTTAAAGCCGATGTCAGTGGTTCTGCTGAGGCAATTGCAGACTGTGTTAAGGATTTACGGAACGACCAGGTTGCTGCAGACGTTCTCTTTACCGGTGTTGGTGCAGTTACTGAAAATGATGTGTTCCGAGCGCAGGCCGCTGGTGCTACGATTCTTGCCTTCACTACCCAAGTCTCGAGACCAATTCAGCGCATCGCTGAACAGCAAAAAGTACCGATTCGAAATTACGACGTGATTTATAAATTATTGGGTGATATTTCCGAAGATTTGTCGAACCTGCTCCCCCCGGTCATCACCCGAAAGGTAATTGGCTCGGCAGAAATTCGTCAAGTATTCAAAATCACTGTTAAAAAGAGTCATATCCTTGTCGCGGGTATCAAGGTCATCAAAGGAAGCTTCAATCTCCGCACCCTTGTTCAAGTTGTGCGAGGTGGTGAGGTGATCCATAGTGGACTGCTCAGTTCGATTCGCCATGGCAAAGATCAAGTGGCCGAGGCGCACAAGGGATCTGAGTATGGCGTGGGCTTTGATAACTGGGACAAGTTCGAAGAGGGTGACGTTATTGAGGCTTATGAAGAGATCAAAACGAAGCAGTACCTCTGATCTGTTTTTTTATTGTACATAAATAATTGACTGTATATATCATGCTTTCTGAAGTTCCCATTGAACACCAGCCCATTCTTGAACATACCCAACTCCATCATCGTCTAGATCTGGGATATCGTCGTCCTCACTGGTTGCGACTACGATGGTTCCCCATTCCATGCCATCGACAAGCTGGTCGTCTGTTTCCAGCTCTGAAATCAGATGAGGCATCAACTGGAGTTCGAAAATACGGCGTCCTCCACTAATTTCGCTGTCAGGAATCTCATTGGGGTTAATGAACACCCGGTAGATTTCGTCATTCGAGTAAGGCACAATTTTGAGCGGGCGTTCATACCTTAAGACCTGGTCTGGATTGTGTTGAACAAGGCTGGCAAATTTGCTGAAGATAGGGTCAGAAACAGCCTCGGCAATAGCTGCAGCCTCTGGGTCAAGTGTGCTGTCGGGCCCAGAAGCTGAAGAAGTCTCCATTACATCAGAGCCTAATTCTTCGATTTTAACAGGTTTTTCTGGGACCAAATACTCATCATCGACTTCGACGAGCTTCTGGAGCCAAACACCCTTCTCCTCAGTTTCATCTTCTTCAGTCTGAGTCTGAGATTTGCTCTTGGGCTTCTTTTTTTTCGAGTCAGCGGGCGGATCAGACTCTTTAGGCGTGATTTCAAACGGATTGGAGCCACCAAATGGGTTGGATGAAATCGTACTACCACCAAAAATCATGTCACCCACGTTGTGCTTTTTGGATTCAATGATAGTGGGGTTGTCATGTTCGATCTCCGCCCGGATTCGTGCTCGAACTTCCTCGTTATCGTGGATTCCTCTAACAGCCTTGATACTTCCATTCTTCCGTCTGCATTCTGGATTGGGGCACCCAAGAACATAAATAACCCGGTCATATAGCTTGTCATCCAAAGGACAAGAAAGTTGAGCCAGCAAACCCAAATGCCCATTGCATGCATCACACGACGTCAGATCTGATGGTGGTTTGGTGCCGTTCAACCAGATTGGCACGCCACCAATATGATTATCCAGGGCTGTGATTCCACGGTTCCCCACGAGTTTTCCAGCAAACCCTAGAAGCACTGAAGTACTCCCCATCACCTCGTCGTCGCTATCATAGTCTGACATGATGTTGAAAATGCTTGAAAAAAAAATTATGTAACTGAAATTTATATATCGTCGAAGATGAGTTCTTCGACTTCCTCAAACTCGTTGGCTTCGATTAAAGCGTCGAAATCGAGTTTGATTTCCCTGTCACGAACCACAGCCGGCAGTTTTTTATTCTTGGCAATGCCTTGATATTTCCATAGTCGTTTAGCTGTCTCGTCCATAGTAATTTCGACAGGGATGAAGTCGATATTGTAGCTCTTGAGAATAGTAGACGCCCGATTGAAATTCGACATTGCTCCCCTACCACCAGTGCTCATAGACACATAAAGATAGACGGTCTTTTCGTCTGCTGAGGCAGATGGCGCTTCATTCGGTGTTTCCACTTCGGCCTGCTTTCCGGATGCTTTTGATGCAGAGGCACTTTTTTCCTCTTTCACCTGTGGTTCTGTTTCCACGTCTTGGGCCTTGGATTCAGAAGCCGCAGGTTTTACGGAAGTCAAGTTATTTGAGGCTGTTGATTTCGGTTCAAGATCCTCAGACTCTTCTTTGATGTTAGCTTCCTTAGGCTTTTCCTGCTTTTCCTCACGTTCAGCATTATGCTCTTCCTTTGACACCTCTCCAGATTGCGCCTCGACGGACGGTTTCAGCACTCTGGGTGTAGTGTCCTCCAGCTGTTCTTCTGCAAGCGTAACAACATTGCCCTCGCTCTCAGTTTCAACGGCTTTCTTTTTGTCCTTCTTTTTGGTCTTTTTCTTACTTTTTGGCTTGGTAATTTCGGAATCATCTGGGGTCTCGGATTCTACTGGTGTGTTTGCAACATCTGAAACGACCGCATGAACCACTTTCAAGTCGGTAGCGTTTGAGTTCCTAAGAGATGTAAGATTGGTTTTGGTTGGAGTCCCTGAGGCTTTTTCAGTTGAATTTCGAGAGCTATCGATCGGAGTTTCTGTTGGTTTTGGGCTGGTTTCTGCCTCTGAAGCTTTATTTTCCACTATAGGTTCAGTCTTGGGCTCAGTCTTGGACTCAGTCTTGGACTCAGTCTTGGCTTCGATCTTGGACTCGGTCTTGGGCTCAGTCTTGGACTCAATCTTGGACTCAGTCTTGGGCTCAGTCTTGGGCTCAGTCTTGGGCTCAGTCTTGGGCTCAGTCTTGGGCTCAACCTTGGGCTCAACCTTGGGCTCAACCTTGGGCTCAACCTTGGGCTCAACCTTGGGCTCAACCTTGGGCTCAACCTTGGGCTCAACCTTGGGCTCGGCCTCGGACTTGGTCTTGGCCTTTACCCCAGTTTCTGCGTTAGGTTCAACCTTGAGTTCAGTGTTGGGTTCTGTCTTAGGTTCTGCCTTGGACTCTGCCTTGGCTTCGGACTTGGACTTAGTCTTGGCCTCGGTCTTGGGCTCAGTTTTGGCCTCGGTCTTGGGCTCAGTTTTGGCCTCTACCTTGGGCTCTACCTTACTCTCGGCCTTGGGCTCAATCTTTGCCTTTACCTTAGACTCTGCCTCTGGCTCGACCTTAGGCTCTACCTTGGACTTTGCCTTGGGCTGAATCATAGCCTCGGTCTTAGAGTCTACCTTTGGCTTAGGCTCTATCTTAGACTCAGTCTTAGGCTCTGCCTCTGACTCTGCCTTTGGCTCTGCCTCTGACTCTGCCTTGGTCTCTGCCTTGGTCTCTGCCTTGGTCTCTGCCTTGGTCTCTGCCTTGGTCTCTGCCTTGGTCTCTGCCTTGGTCTCTGCCTTGGTCTCTGCCTTGGTCTCTGCCTTGGTCTCTGCCTTAGTCTCTGCCTTGGACTCGGTCTTGGTTTCTGCCTTTGGCTCTGCCTTGGTCTCTACCTCAGGCTCGGCCTCAGGCTCGGCTTTCGTCTCGGCCTTTGACTCAATCTTAGGCTCGACCTTAGAATCTGTCTTGAGCTCAATCGCAGGCTCCACCTTAGATCCCACCTTGGATTCTGGCTCGGCTTTTAACCGAGCATCAGCGTCACCCGCGGACTCGATTTCGGGTTCAATTTTAGACTCGGCCTTAGGCTCGCTTTTGGACTCGACCTTAGGCTCACTTTTGGAATCGGTCTTAGGCATACTTTTCAGGTCGGCCTTAGGCTCAATTGTGGGCACCTTGCGGTCAGTTGTGGATTCTGTCTTAGTCCCAGGGCCCGCCAGAGGTACTGTTCCTTGAGGCTTTTTTGATTTCGCATTCGCAATGGCCGCTTGCATACTCTTCAGTGCATCATCAATATCCGAATCGGAATCATCAACTAGAGTGCTGGCAGGCTCAGACGTCGAGACGTCTGCCTTGGGCTTTTCTAGTGTGCTCTCGAGATTTTGGGGCTCATCTGTCGGAGCTATTTTCACTTCTGGCGTTGTAGGGGCGAATGAGGCAACTTCCGAGCTCAATGCCGGGGTATTGGGTGCGGATTGACCCTTTCTCTTCTTCTTCTTCTGCTTCTTTTTCTTCTTTTTAGCAGCAGTAGCAGCAGGCACGGTAGAATCGACTGGAGCCTCAGGCAATTCAGCATTGCTAGGTTCTTTTCCATCTTCAATCACTTCATCCTTATCTGCATCCTCGTTTCCGCTGTCAGACCCTAAAATTTCAGCATAAAGCTCCTCCAACTTCGCCAAATCTGAATCGGCCATCTCACACGACACGTAGTGTTGACAAATCGGCAAGCTTTCACAGGCACATGATAGTATGCGCACTACCTACGTATATAAGTCAGAATAAGTTAAATCGCCGCATAGTATTGCAAGTCCTCTTCAAAAACCTCTTTGCGCAAATCGAAACTGTCCAGGGACTTGGAAAAAGACTTGGACGAGCTAGACAAACTCTGGCTCTTGATCTGGTCGAGTAACGAAGAGGCAATCAAAGGCACGCCCAAAGAATTGGCACCCTTGGGCAGTAGAACGTCAGCAAAGTCCGACGTGCGTTGAATGTATCTGATGTATTCGGGACGTGCCTTGTCCAAATACTCTTTGAGAACTACGGCCAGTTCGAGGTTACCGTGCGCTACATCTCGTAGGATCCACTGAGCAAGGCGAGAGTCCGCATCAGTGTCAACAAACACTTTGACATTGGCCATTTCACGGAGTTCTTGGTTGAATAAGGCGTAGTTGCCGTAGACAAGAACAATGGACTCTGCGTCTTCCTTGTCCAGTTGGTCGATGTGCTGAATTAACCCGTCGAAATCAACATCTGGTTTGTAGGCGAGAACCTGGTACGCCTTCATGTCAAGGAGGTGGATACCTAGATTCAGCTCACCTTGGATCTCCCCAATCTCGTGTCTGAGCTTTTCACAAACCGACTTCTTCCCTGAAGCATGGCCTCCAGCCACCAAAACCAACCAAACCATTTGTATGCAAGAAGATTTGGTTGACATAATCTTTTTTTGGTTTTTTTCATATATTCACATGGAAGACTTGGACGAAAATGACATTGTGGTTAGTGACAACGTGGAAGCGGTGAAATCATTTGAAGAGATGCATCTGAAAGAAGATCTTCTTCGGGGCATCTACTCCTTCGGGTTCTCAGCTCCGTCTGCAATCCAAAGCCGAGCTATCACCCAGATCATTTCAGGCCGCGATACGATCGCCCAGGCTCAATCTGGCACAGGAAAAACAGCTACATTCAGCATTGGTATGCTACAGAGCATCGACATGAAAAGCAAGGAAATTCAGGCTCTGGTGATCAGCCCAACCAGGGAACTGGCGGTTCAGATCCAGCAGGTGATTAAAGCCTTGGGTGATTATCTCCAGGCTAATTGCTACGCTTGCATTGGTGGAGGAAGTGTGGGCGATGATGCTAAAAAGCTTGCTCAAAAACCCCAAGTTGTGTCAGGAACTCCAGGCCGCGTTCGCGACATGATCGCTCGGGGTTATTTGCCTCCTCGACATGTAAAAATGCTGATCCTTGACGAAGCAGATACACTTTTGGAGCAAGGGTTTCAAAAAAATATCTCTGAAATTTACCGTTTGCTACCTCCGTCTGTTCAGGTGGTGGTAGTCTCCGCGACCCTCCCCTCCGAGGTGCTGAGTTTAACTAAAAAGTTCATGACGGATCCAGTGCGTATTCTCGTCCGACGAGACGAACTGAGCTTGAAGGCCTTGAGACAATTCTACATCAATGTTGAGCAGGAGGATTGGAAGTTCGATACCCTCTGTGATCTCTACGACACCCTTACTATCACACAATCAGTCATTTTCTGCAACACTCGTACCAAAGTCGACTGGTTGGCCTCCAAACTGCGTCAAGCAAATTTCACCGTAGCGTCGATGCATGGCGATATGTCACAAAAGGACCGCAACAAAGTGATGCACGAGTTCCGCCAGGGCACCTCGCGGGTCTTGATCTCCACGGACGTCTGGGCACGAGGAATTGACGTCCAGCAAGTCTCGATGGTGGTCAATTATGACCTCCCTGCTAACCGCGAGAACTATCTCCATCGCATTGGCCGCTCAGGAAGATTCGGACGCAAGGGTGTGGCCATTAATTTTATTACTCTCGAGGATGAGCAAGAGCTAAAACAGCTCGAAAAGTATTATAGCATCCGCATCAAAGAAATGCCTAGTGATATTTCAAAATACATGTAGATCAATTCCCCCCCACATCAAATACTTGGATATGCAACCTGACTAGGGTGCATAACGTTCAAACATTTTTGTCATCATGAATCGAACGCGCGACCGCGACGACGATAATGTTCGTGTCGTGGTACGCTGTCGCGGCAGGAACCAGCGGGAAACGAGCGCTAACTCTAAAATAGTAGTGGATCCAAGCAGCGACACCCAAATATGTCTCACCGCCCGCCCGGGCGGTCCTACAAAAGTGTACACAGTCGATCGGGTATTTGGTGCTGGTACAGATCAACGCACATTGTACGAGGAAACCATCCAACCTCTGGTTCAAGATTTTATATCAGGTCTCAACTGTACAGTATTTGCCTACGGACAGACTGGCACAGGTAAAACTTACACAATGAGTGGAGATTGTACAGATCGTCACAATGCACGAGCGGGAATCATACCACGAGTTTTGGAGCAACTATTCGAGCACCTGGAAAGGCAGAACAAGGATTGGAGCGTTTCGTGTCAATATGTTGAGATCTATAACGAAGAACTGAGAGACTTACTTTCAGAGGGCGAGTCGCCAAAGCCTCTGCGCTTGTTGGATGATACTATTAGGAAAACCGTTAAAATACGTGGGCTCGAAGAGGTGTTCACTACAAATGCCGAAAATGCACTGAAATTAGTAGTACGTGCGAATTCAAGACGGAAAGCTGCTGCTACGAAGCTCAATGCATGCTCAAGTCGAAGCCATGCGATCTTCACGTTGAAACTTTCCACGACAACGAGAAATAACGAAGTTGTATCGTCAAAAATACACTTGGTAGATCTTGCTGGCTCAGAAAATATTGGTCGATCGGGTGCTGAAAAACACAGAGCCAGAGAAGCAGGATCTATAAACCAGAGTCTACTTGTTTTGGGCCGTGTGATCAGCAGTCTAGTCGACAGATCTCAGAGGATTCCTTACCGCGATTCAAAACTCACTAGAATTTTGCAAGATTCGTTGGGAGGCGCTACGAAAACATGTCTTATTGCTACTCTAAGCCCTGTAGACGACGATGCTGAAGAGTCTTTGTCCACGCTTGAATATGCGTCGAGAGCAAAGAACATCAAAAACCACCCACAAGTTCTGCCAACGGTTCCCAAACCTAGTATGTTGCGTGAGCTAGCTCTTGTAAATGAGAGTCTTAGGAACGAGCTGGCTGCTCAGCGCGATCACGATAATGGCGTATTCTTATCGAAATTAAAATACGAGCAACTTCAGTCGGAGGCTGAAAGTAAGACGCAGGAAGTTGCTGAAACTAATAGTCGAATGAAAATCCAGGCTGAAGAGATCGCTAGATTAGAGGGTCTTTTACAATCGTCGCAAGTGTTGAATGCAGACACCAGGAGACAGCTCGAAGACATTACCGAAACTGTCACAGCACTTAATTCTGAAAATCGGGACCTGTCCGAACGTTCAAGCACTCTTATCAGTGAAAATACGCGACTCAGCGAGCGTGCTTATTCGCTTGAAGACGAATTGCTCGAACAGCAGCGAATGCATTACTCTCAGCAACAGATATGGGACAGCTTCCGAGCGCAAATACTTGGTTCATTATCGGAGCATCAGCAAGCAGTCAAGTCACTCGAAGAGTCACTGATTACACGTGAAGCCAACCTCCGAAAAGAAGTAGCAGCGCTTCTTCATGAGATCGAGCAGGGCGTAGAGGCTCTTGAGCACCCACCCTTAATGTCATTTGACTCGGGGAGTGAACTAAAGCGTAGCTGCAGAGTTGACATAGCCCGTGGAATTGAGTCCATCGAGCAAACTCTTACAATGGCCCTGCAATCTGCCCACGCAAACGTCAAGACGCTGTTCGATAATGCCCGTACCCCCTTGAACATGGCCATTGGCTACGTCCAAGAATTAAAGCGTACACTTGATCTCGATTCTACAAACTCTCGTGTCGTTGCACAGCTGGCAACCGAGTCCAAAGCGTTTTTTGTTGCCTATGAGCAACACCTAGCGTTCCTGCGCGAGCAAGAACGGCAGCGAACCAAAGAAAGCACAGAAGCGGAAAATCGGATTATTGAAAGTATACGCAGTGCGTTCGCCACACATCGCAATAGCCACCTGCTAGAGAATGTTCCCGACCCGACTGGGCTTGAGCATCGGATTGAAACCATCACTCATACTATAGGATCAGCAAACGCTGTAACAGAAAACATGCAACTTCTTGAGCGGGCCCTTTCCAGCGCGAAATACCATCTAGAACTTCCGCCTATCAATACAACGGAACTTCCGGGCGTGAACTCTTTTGTCAAATCCATGTCGACCTCTGTCGATGAGGCAATAAGTGGTCTTGAACAGAAGGCGAGAGATGCTATTGAAACTACTCAGCAAAGCTACCTAGGCAAGTTTGAAGCTGCTCAATCTGAACTGAGCAATGCACAGGAACGGATCCGTTCGCTTGCAGTCCCCGATGATGTACATGAGACGCCTCGTGCACACGTTGATGACTCCATGCGACAACTGCAGGGGATCGCTGAGAACATACGTTCGTGCGATGGCAATTATGATGGTCAGGGCCAACCCGATGACGCAAACCGTGGAGTAACTGTTCGCGTGCGTCCTGCAGCAAGTCCGGTGGCTGCCCTTCGGGAGATCGTTAATGACGATGTGATTGCTTCGCGTAAACGTCGGGCCACCAAGGAGCGTCCCTCTAGCAGCTGTAAAAAGCCTTTGCGTAATATTTATTGATTAAATTATTTTCACGTGATCATTAAGATTTCTATCAACCGTAACACACTCAGTCTATATTTCGAACTAACCAGGGTATGCAGGTCGAGGCATATTCACTGTCAAGCTTTACTTGAAAATCTGGTTAGTGCTGGATCAGAAATAGGCTTATTATCCTCACTAAAACTCGGAACAGGTCTGTGAAGTGTTTTTCATCCCGTCAAACATACCTTTAGGTCTCATATTTCAGCAACTATTGGGTAGAGGTGAAGAAAAAACATTTCACGTTCATCACCTAATCTCGCCGGCACACCTTAACACCCCTAGGAGCTAGTGCCTGCAGGCTCAGGGCTGTACCAGTCTAAAACACCCACTTCAAACATCACTGCAGAAGCTCAAAGAAAGAGCATTGAGTAGATAGACCTTATCGGAAATCATTATTACACTATAATTAAAAATTTCGCGCTTATCTGAGCGCCAAGCAAAGCGTGAAATCGCGTAGTAGCTGAAAAGCTGCTCTTTGCAACCTTATTGCTGTTTGATCCATCAGACGGGCGTTCACATCGATTGGTGTCTTTCCAGAGGCCAAATGGCCCAATAGCGGATACACTCATGGTGGCATTCAAAGATGCTCGAGTCCGATAAGGAAATGAGTTGCAAACCTCTTCAAGAGGCGTCCACCTCGAACGTGTGCAGGATATTTATGATTACACTACAGTAAACACCTCATGCGATTGATCTAGTCTCAGATGTAGGAGAGAAAATACCATAACCAGCGCAATGGACGACACGACGTATAACGAGTTATTTTTTGCGTCCATCAAGTACTGAGTCTTATGAAGAGCAAATTACCCCAGAATAATCGACGATGACGATCATCTCAACATTCGCCAATCCACTGAACAAAATTACAGGTCGACCCAAACGAACAGTCAAGGCGATTTAGCCACTTTCGGCTATACTATGTGGTAAGACTCGAGGGACTGAGTGGAACATACTGATACACGTACTGTACATACATTACGCTCCAAAATACATAAATAGCTTGGTTTGTAGGCCGCCATGCAAATGTATCTCAATAGCTCGGCTATGACTATCAAAGTGGAGGGATGTAAAGATGTGTCATCGATCCGAGGGTTAGGGGAGGGCGGGAATCGACATGTGGGCGTCAAGAAGGGTCTAGAGATAAGGCGTTGCAGAAACACGAATTAAGCCTATCGGTATTCCAGACTAAACACACCGAGGATATGCCGAAAAGTACGACATGTTTATAGCTAAAGCATCTTAGCCGTTATCGGCAAGGGTCGGACGAGAACCCCCCCACAGGACGACCTAGCCCTATTGTTGTCCGAACAACTCAAACCCTGTTCCCCTTTGGGCTAGCAACCGGACCGGACGGATGCCCAGAAACGTTAGAAAGTGGGTTATTTACAGCTAGATTTTCTTTTTTAAAACGCAATTTACTCGGATATAGCCAGCCCAGGACCTCTGCATGTCGTGGGCTATCCTATGAGTTCTACCAACTTAAACCATTATGCTAAAAAATATTTTCTGGATCGTGCTGTGCGCATATTTGAGGTACGTGCCACTTTAGGGTATAGAGTCACCGCCCGCCTCGGAAACCGGTCATGTGAACGATAATTACGTGTGAGCAATCTGATTGGCTAAAGATATCAGCTGCATGATGCTTAGTGGAAACCCAGTTTTTATATAATTTCGGCGAAGGTGCTAAATTTATCCAAGTGTTTTTGTTCTCAAACAACACCAACCGCTTTACGCACCCCCTTTTCCACCCCCAACCAAAAACAAACTTTTTGCACCCACTTCATTTGAAAAATGGTGTCCAATACTGCTACTTTGTCTAAATACGCCAACCTTGACCAGCGCGGAAAGGTCCTGGCCGAATACATCTGGATCGATGGTACCAATAACATGCGATCCAAGTGTAAGACACTTGATAGCCTCCCCAAGTCCGTCGACGAGCTCCCCGAGTGGAACTTTGACGGTTCTTCCACTGAGCAGGCCCCCGGTGACAACTCCGACATCTACCTGCGCCCCGTCGCCATCTACCGTGATCCTTTCCGCGGTGGCGACAATATTCTCGTTCTTGCAGAGTGCTGGAACAACGACGGTACTCCCAACAAGACCAACTACCGCCACGAGTGCGCCAAGTTGATGGAGGCCCACAAGGATCAGGAGATCTGGTTCGGCATTGAGCAGGAGTACACCCTGCTCGATAAGTACGACAACATCTACGGATGGCCCAAGGGAGGCTTCCCTGCTCCTCAGGGCCCTTACTACTGTGGTGTCGGTACCGGCAAAGTCAACTGCCGTGACATCGTGGAGGCCCACTACAAGGCCTGCTTGTACGCCGGCATCGACATCTCTGGTGTCAACGCCGAGGTTATGCCTTCCCAGTGGGAGTACCAAGTTGGTCCCTGTGAGGGTATCAGCATGGGTGACGAGCTGACTGTTTCCCGGTATATGCTCCACCGTGTTGGTGAAGACTTTGGCGTCAAGGTCACATTCCACCCCAAACCTCTTAAGGGTGACTGGAACGGTGCCGGCTGCCACACCAACGTCTCCACCAGAGACATGCGTGCTGAGGGTGGTATCAAGGCTATCGAAAACGCCATTGAAAAGCTTTCTAAGCGCCACGCCGAGCACATTGCTGTCTACGGTGAGGACAACGAGCAGCGTCTGACTGGCCGCCACGAGACTGCCTCCATGGAGTGCTTCTCCTCCGGTGTCGCCAACCGTGGTGCCTCTGTCCGTATCCCTCGCTCCGTTGCTAAGGAAGGCAAGGGCTACTTTGAGGACCGTCGTCCTGCTTCCAACATCGATCCTTACTTGGTCACTGGTATCATCACCGAGACTATCTGCGGTCAAATCCCTGACGCAGATATGTACCAGAGCTACCAGAAGGAGTAAGACGTTCGATGATGGGTTTGGTGCCTCTTTTATCGCATTGTACAATTATTCACTTTGTAGGCACAAAAATTTCCTTATTTATCGGTAAAAATTAGACTTTTAAACAAACCTCTGAGAATTTTTTTTTTTCAATCCCTCTATAGCTAATTTATTATTTCCTACTTCCTCACTACAAAAATCTAGACTCCGCAGATCTATTTGTAATTTATGATACCTCGGTTTAGAGCAGGGTTTCGAAACTTATCCAGCCATGGAGGGTCGCTAGCGGAATTTTTCGCAGAGAAACAAAGTATATCTTCTGCAAAGGCCACAGGTCTATTTGGAAACAGCCGGCTAGACTCAGCAAGAGGCCTAGAGGCGTTCTCAGAAGCATCTCTTCGAAGCGCCCAGAAGATGGACGCCAACATCCAAAATGCCACAGCCCCATCAAGAGACACGGTTCTCCAGCTCGACATTTTGAGTGATGTTATTTGCAAAGTAGTCGATATGGCTGCGTTTGTGCGGCTAAGCCATCCGAGCAGGCACATGCTGGATGCTGCACAGCAGGCTCACGAGACCATGTTCGAATTCATGAACCATTTAAACACTTCCCCAGAACTGTATAATAAGGTGACAGCGGTGTTAGAAATGCCTTCTATTTTGAAGACTTTGAGTACAGAAGAGGTTAAAGTTGCTGAGATCCTCAAGCACGATTTCGAAAAATCAGGTATTCAGTTTGACGACAAGACAAGAGAGTCTTTTGTCCATTCGGCAAACATCGTATCTATTCTTGGTCAACAGTTTTTGAATAATATCGGACCAGCGCAGGACAGCCTGGTATTCACAAGTAGTGAACTGGTGGGGCTGGACCCGTACATCATTCGCCGCTTGCGAACTTTCACCGGTAAAGTTCAGCTGCCGTTAGATAGCCAATTGGCAGAGATTGCATTACAGACGGTGCATGATACAAATGTTCGCAAAAAAATCTGGAATGCGGTTCGTACACCGTCCCAAAGCCAAATAGAGGTGTTGACCCAGGTGTTGCAGTCTCGATCTTCGATCGCAAAAATGTGTGGATACAAATCGTTTGCTTCATATGAGCTCACAGACAAACTTATGAAATCGCCGGATCATGTCCAAGACTTTTTGCAGTCATTATCGACCACTATTGCTCCCTTGGCTAAAAAAGAGCTCCAAACGATTACTCCGGCAGGTGTTCAGCTTGATCCATGGGACCACAGCTACTACCTCACCCGGCATACTGCGTCAAAACGGGGCAGCTCAAAAGACACTGTTGGAGCACTCACTGGTTACTTTAGCTTGGGCAACGTCATGCAGGGTATCTCCGATGTGTGTGAAATGCTCTACGGCCTCAAGTTCCAGCCGGGCTCCGTGGCCGCTGGAGAAGTTTGGGACCCTGAAGTTCGCCGCTTAGATGTATATGAAGGGGATTCACGGGTTGGCGCAATCTACTGCGACTTGTTCAATCGCGAAGGAAAAGCTCCTCACCCCGCTCACTTCACTATCCAATGTTCTCGTCAGGTCTACCCATGGGAGGATTTATACGAGGATCCCAACCTTAATATTAGAAACAGTGGACCAGGAGACCAACAAGAAAAGTTCCAAACCCCCATCATTGCATTGGTTTGTGATTTCCACACTCAGAATGGCGTGACTTTGCTCTCATTCAGCGAGGTGCAAACTCTTTTCCACGAGATGGGACATGCAATTCACTCCATGATCGGCAGAACTAGACTCCACAACGTATCTGGAACTCGTTGTGCAACAGATTTTGTGGAGCTTCCTTCTGTGTTGATGGAAAAGTTCGCGTCAGCCCCTCAAGTGTTGAATTTGTATGCCCGCCACTTTGAAACTAACGAGCCACTTCCCTTGGACTTGTTTAAAGCACAGCAGAATCTCAGCATGACTAGCGAAAACTGGGAGACCCACCATCAAATCGTTTTGTCGTTTATTGACCAAGCCCTCCACTCAGAAGCTGCCTCTCAACCATCATTCGATCCTACCGCTATTGTCAGTGGAGTGCTCAAGCAGCATAGCTTGTACCATGTCAACAGCAACAAACAGTACGCGCAATTTGGCCATCTTGTTTCTTATGGGGCAACTTATTACAGTTACCTGCTGGACAGATGTCTTGCTAACATGACCTGGGAAAAGCTATTTAAGGACGACCCTCTGTCTAGAGAAAGCGGCGAGAAGTTCAAGTCAGCGGTTCTTCAATGGGGAGGCTCGAGAGATGCTCTTGAATGCGCACAGGACCTGCTTGGTGAGTTTGACTACAGTCAGGTTGCCCAGCATGTCAAGTGATCAAATAGACGCTTTTCTTCTTTAAATGATGTATGTAAATACGAAAAAAAGGCATTAATTTTTGTGCTTAAACCCAAACACACCAATTTACATGGTGTGCATGACCTGCCAGACGCGGATCTTGTTGTCGGTGTAACCGGCGAAAAGAACGTTGCCGTCAGCAGACCAGGTAAGAGTGCGGGGGACGGGTCCCTCACCCTCAATAGCCTCAGGCTTGAGCTCGTCAATAACAACGTGCTCTTGGAGGTTGTAGATCTTGATGCCGGAGGCGGTAGCAGCAGCCAACCAGTAGCGGCGGGGAGAGAAAGCAAAGTCGAAGATCTCGTCTCCAGGAGGCAAAGCGTTGCGGAATTTGCCGTCGTAAACGTCCCAGATAAGAGCCTGACCGTCCTTGCCACCGGTGGCGCACAAGGATCCGTCGGGAGACAGAGTGAGGGCGTTAATGTAACCGGTGTGGCCGACGTAGTCAGCCTTCAAGCGGCCGCTGGTAACATCCCAGGTCTAAAAGTTAGTATGCTTGTTTTGTGTTGAATAAGACCGAGGGTGTCTCATCAAATAGCAATAAATAAAAGGATCAGAGATCTTGGTGAATTTGATGTCTCATTGTCTCGGAAGAAACTCTGAAGTAGCAAATATATTCCACATCACCTCCTTTGAAACATTCCTTAATCGATTTAACAGACCTCGATGATCTTGTAAACTTACCTTAATGGTCTTGTCGTGACTGGCAGACAGAACAAGGGGAGCACGCTCGTCAGTGGTAGGAGTAACGCTGACAGCAGAGACCCAGTCGCTATGGGACTGGGGGCCATCAATAACGAAAACGGGGTCACCGAGAACGTTCCACAAACGGACGGTCTTGTCACGGGACGAAGAGACAACCATCAAGTTGTCAGAAGTGAAGTCGCAGGACAAAACGTCACCGGTGTGGCCGACGAAGCGGGTTGAAGTGCCGTCAGACAGATCCCAGAGACGCAAGGTCTTGTCCCAAGAAGCAGACAGGACGTAGCAGCCGTCGTTGGAGATGGCGACATCCTCAACGATGTGGGAGTGGCCACGCAAAGAGCGCTTGGCGACACCGTAGTTCTCCTCGGAAGGAGAGAGTCTCCAGACGATGACGGACTTGTCACGGGAACCAGAGACCAAAAGATCGGGGTCCTGGTCACAGGTGGCGAGGGAGGTAACCCAGCCGTTGTGGCCCTCAAGGGTGCCGCGCAGTTGCAAAGTCTCAGTCTTGCTCATTTTTGGTATGAATCTTTGTCCCGTAGGTGATCTAATATTTTAGAGTCTACCCCAGAGTCCGCAGGGGTGCTCAAACCGGATCAATAGGGCTGAGCCCTAACTGCTCTTGGCTCTGCTTGGTCTTGGTCAACTCGGCGAGCACACTTGAATAAATTAGACAAAATTAAAATTAAATAAATTACTCCTTATTTTCGTCAATTTGAGCGCGAATTTTAGCCCAAATTTCATCTTGTTTGAGTCTTCCAAACGTGTTGGCTTTGGCCTGGAGATTTAACGGTAGTACATCCTTGTGCCAAGCCTCGTACAACAGCTCAACCTCTTTTCGTAAGTCAGAATTCACAGATAAAACTAGTTCCTGGTACTGCTGCATCACCTCTTTGAACTCTTGTTTAACGGCTTCTTGGTCACCCGTGCCCTCATGTGAACTGCGTTGAATAACGTCAATCGAAGCAGCACCCATCTCCAGAATGCTTGACAGCCTTTTATCAATAGATTCGAGTGCCACAGCCCGTTCCTGGACTCTGTTAGCTGTCGCTTGATCGAGTGTCTGAGGCATTTGGTGAAATGACTAAAGACCGACGGGCTCGTCTCAACATAATAAACACACATAATAAACACACATAATAAAATTACAACGCACCGATTGCCTTTTCAAGACAAAGCTTGCTGGTGCCTAGATACAATAATGCCAATTTTTTGTGACCGGTAGCTGCGTTAGCTATTCTGTGGTATTCTTCACTTGACATGCCACCGTCTGTAAAAGCCATAAACCGAGCTTGTAGAATTTCTCGAAGAATGGCTTCTCTCCGCGTATGATCATTGGGCTCTTTCAGCCTGCCCCCTTTAGATAGTAGTACGAAGGCCTTGAGGGGCATTGCGAGAATTGTCAAGAGCAATTGGAAGGGCTCAGTAACTTCTCCGTGAATGTTGACTTCAACTACGGACTGCCAGCTATCAGCCTCAGGTTCGCAAAGTTTGCCAAAGTTTTGTTTCCACCATTTGAACCTGAGCTTCAGGTCGTTAGCCCGGCAATACTGTAGGACCTGCTGGCTCACATTGATGCTCTCATTCTGATTCGCCCAAATAACGAATCCGTAGCGAGATACCAGCACACTGTTTGGTTCATCGCCGTACGTGTTCATGATCTCGTTGCCGGCTTGAATATACCTGACCGACCGGATCTCGCAGACGTTGTCAGCGCCACTTTGTACACTAGAATTTTCATTCTCAGATCCAGTCTCCGACTCGTTTTCGGACTCTTGGTCATTATTAGAGTTACTGACATGTTCTTGCTCGAGCTCCATAGCTTTTGATTCACGGCAATCACAGAACAGCCCACCACACAAAGCACAGACATCGAAATCGCTTTCAAAATGCACATCTTCCTTATCTGAATGATTGAATAAACAGGCACCAGGGACTAAAGAAAGCCCGTGGAACTCATCAACCAAAAAAGCCCTGCTGGAGACGATGATCAAAGCATCAGCATACTCCTGGTAAGAGAAGGGTGGGATCATATCGTCGCAATGGCTAACGAACTCGAGAGCCTCTTGATACAGTGATGAGATTTCCCCCTCGTCTAGGCCACCAATTGTATCAACATCAGTATTCTTGAGCAGCATTTTATCCTCGTCTGACCACAGTGTCGAGACATCAGGTCTTCGGGTCGAATCCAAACTGCTGAAGAACACCCCCCAGGGGCTCTGATTGCCCAGTGATTTTTCAAAAAGATATGCCATCACCAGGCCTTCCATTCCTAAATAATCGTATTCTGCCAGTAGATTGGAAATTCCACAGGTCCTTGGCGATAGGATTTCTTCTTTTGGCAGCCGGTACAAGACCGTATCTTCGGGAATATCTTCAGTTGCAAAAACTCCTATTCCACCAAGCGGCGACGTCCGGAGCTCCAGGCTGTCCGAAAAGAACCCTTTGTTGTCTTGGATCCATTCTATGAAGTTTATCATCCTCCCGAAAAATAAATCGATGGTCAAACTGATCAGCTAATCGCAGAGAACCTAAAGGGTCATGACATGCGTAGTGCATTTGTTAAAAGCGAGGTCGGATGACTCTGAATACGGTCGGCCCGACCCGTATGAGGCGAACATTGACAATGTGCGATTTATTCCTATCATGAAGTTTGAACCAGTCAACTTCGAAGGCTTGTGCAACCATCTTTCATGTGAGACTCAGTACGATGGAGTCATTGTGACTTCTCAACGCGCAGTGGACGTTTTAAAGAACGCTTTTGCGCTTATAGACAACTGCCAGCACTTTTGCGACCTGCCAGCATATACAGTGGGTCCCACAACAGCCAACAGGCTGGAGCTGATTGGGTTCAAACACGTTTACGGAGCTGAGACAGGCAATGGCCGGGTATTAGCTGAAAAAATGGTGCATGTGCTACAAGAAAAACAGAGACTACTTTTTTTGGCTGGTGAGGTTCACCGCGACATCCTTCCTCGAGAATTAACCGCTGCGGGCCATCAAATCGACAAGATAATTGTGTACAGAACGGAATGCTATAACTATCAAAAAGAGCTCTCACAGATCAAAAACGGTGATTGGGTGGTTTTCTTCTCACCAAGCCATATTGACCAGGCACTAAATGAGCTCAGAAAAAGGCAGCTGGATGTCAAAATCGCTGCAATCGGGCCCACAACGCATCAGTTCTTATTGGATAATGGGTTCGAAGTCGACGCAGTCGCAGAAAGTCCGACGGCGGAGTGCCTGAGAGATGCAATGAAGTAGATTAAAATGTAACAACAAGACGATTGATGCTAGGAACAACCATGATCTTACGGGCAGCATGCCTCAAGACAACTTCCATACGAATTCGCGAGTTGTTGCAGGTGATTTCAACTTCAGGCGTTTCCAAAAGTCCAGCTTTGTACGGCGTCAGAAAGAGATCAACCCTCACTTCATCTTTCGAGAACTTGCCCCAGAGGATACCGCTGAACGCAAGCCCATTATCACTGTCAAGTACTCGGTAAGTGAATTCATCCTTATTGTCTTTGGGACCAGCCCATGTGAAATCAGGTTTGATGCAAAGCTGACACTTGATAGCTTGTCCAACAAGATAACAGTCGCTTTCTTCAAAATTGAGCGATACAAAGTGAACAACAGATTTCTCAGGTGGAGGAACCAGGACACGGAAGACTGTATCTAATTCTGGGAACTCTGTCTCGTGTCCTAAAAATCCAGAACAAAGAGCCTGGGGAACAACTTCTAGCAGCTTCGACTTATGGTCGAGCTGTACACTTCCCAAGCGAGCGGCAAGATGCTTCTTGACCTCGTCTGGGTCAACCTTGAATCGATCCTGGAAAATGAATAGTACAATGTCAACAGGAATATCCCGTAGTGCCCGCTTCACGAGTATGCTGTATGCCTGAAGTCCATACGTATCCAAATCAATATGAGACCACATGATGGCCTCACACTCGGTGCGTACCGTTCTATGCTTGACTTCGAGTGCAAGATCCCGTGGCTTGCTCGAGTCTGCGGATTTACCAAGCGTGAAATAGTGATGGACTGGAGATCCTTGAAGAACAATCCCTGGCTTGCTCTCGCCTGCTTCAATCACAGAAAAGTCTCTGGAGTCACTCAGAGAGATGTTCTGCACGATCACAGGCATGCTTTCGGCGCTCTCAACGAGAAACCTGGTAATTACTTTATCCGCACGAAGTTTCTCATCGGATTGCACGCTAATGAACAGCGAAAGGTCAACATCATCGAGAAACTCATACCAACCGCCGTCGGAATACTCAATAACGACTCGGATACCAATACGTTCCTTAGTGTAGTCAACCAAGGCGGGGACACTGATGACAGCTTCAGTAATCTGTTTTAAAGGTGTATCTGAGATGCGTTCGGTCAAAAGCTGGACCCCATCTACCGCATTCATACGAACTTTGACGTCAACGGGCGTGGGGCTTGAAATTTTTAGATCCACATTGCGTTTAGTGGTTGCAAATTCACGACCAACCTGCAAGGATGCATTGAAAGCAGTCGAGAAAGGCACCATTTCCATCTCCAAGTTAACTGAGTCGACAAGAACCTGCTTCTTGTGAGATAGCATAAACTTTTTGAAAACAATCGTGCCCTCAACGAACCGTGAAGTGGAAAGTTTGAGGGTTTCACCACTGACATCTGTTGTCGAAAACACAATTGGCGTTTGATCAATAGGAACATGCATGTTCTGAGGATAGGCAAAAAGCTCTGCCTTGTCGAAGCCCAGAAATCCTAATGAGTCTTTTTTCTTCAGGTTCACCTCAACGTAGTAACGTCCATCAGCGTGCAAGTAGGGTAGAATCTCTACATCGAACCAGCGACTTACAGGCGCTTCTGTTGGCTGTAAATCACCGAGCTCTTCAATGAATTGAATACATTGATCATTCAATTCGGGTGAAAGTACTGGACGCAGATACAGAGCACTCCATGCCAATTCGATCACCTTGTCATTTTTACCGAGTTTCTGAGCACAATCGATAAACATGCGATGCAATTCAGCGGAGATTTCCAACCATCCCGCTTTGGCATACTTACGAGGAAGCACGTCCAGAAGCTGGATCGTCTTGGCCCAATCTTCGTAGTGATAATAATAAACAGCTGCCATCTGATACACAAGATAGCCAATTGTTCTCGGCAAGTTTGATGTGGACTGAAACTTTTCGAAAACTTCCTGAGTTAGCCTCACGTACTCCTTCACATAAGTTTCCTCATCTGCTACCAACTTGTCCATATCAGAGTCAACACTGTTCTCAGCCTGAACGGAGTCATCAGTTACTTCTGTGAGAGGGATGTCACTCAAAATTCCAGGAATTCTGTATCCTTTGAGCTGACCTAGTGCTTGTAACGCCTCCCGCTCTATAAGCAAAAGCTCACCGCGACCAGCTTCGCTGCTAGCTACAAATGGCTCGATCGCGCGATAGACCTCACAAGCAGCCCGGTATTGCCATTTAATAGCTTCAGAAACAGAAATGTTACCGCCTAGCAGGCTTAATAGTCGTACAATGTACTCACGTGCCTTTTGTAGAGCAAATACAATATGTCTTTCGGCAAGTGATTTGGACGTCGATTCTGCAGCCTCAGCTTGATAAATTAGAATACGGATTTGGCGTGAATAAAGGTAGCGATAGTAGTCAAACTTCGATACATTGTATTCCAAAATAGTATCCGATACCTTGTGTTGGTCCACCTCAAGAATAGCACTCGTGGTGTCACACGACGCATTCTTGGTGAAACATGAAGGATCAACGGTCTTTTCCAACTCCGCGTAGGTTTGCAAAGCATCCTCCAAAAAGTTCATACGCTCGAAAGATGATGCCAGGCCCTCCTTTATGCAGAATAGTGTACCGAAGTTCCAGCCGACATTATTGCGACCAGCTTCAAGCTTCTGAATCTCGCTCTCATAGCTAGCAACGCGGCGGCTAAACGCGTCCAAAGCATGGTATTTCAGCACAGCAAAAAATTTGCCCCACATCTCGTCGAGATCAGCCTTCAAGTCGAAATCCATGTCTATCTGCACGACGTGCCCTTCGAAATCTGTGTTCAGTTTGTGCCAGACAGACTTCGAATGAGGTTTTCCTTTGCCAATGTAGTGCGCCACCAACCATCCTGTAGGCTCACGAATATGCGCATCGTCGTTCCTCCATTCCTTGGCGATTTTGCGTAGCTTCCCACGGTACTCATCAATTCCGTCAGCTTCAAGGATCAACATCCGAACAAGAGGCTCATCCGTCAAGCCTCTGTTTTGGTGGATCTTCTCCTGATGACCTAGCGGCACAAACTCGACATCCAACACAGGGATTGTTCTCAACGGGCGGTCGCCAGGGTTCCAATGAAGGTTGTGCAAAGGCAATCTCGATGTTAGCTCCTGCTGAAATTCGGAGAAAATACCCTGCGGATCCACGTATACAATTCGTGGGCGTCTTTTATTTATCTCCATAATCTTGGCCCTTGGTTAAACCGGGGATAATTTCGACGTAATTCAGAGTTCCGATATGGTTTGGGTAGGATTTCGCGTGCCAGCAAAACAGCCTTGAGGTATGTCAGCGCTTTGGGTGCATTTTTGTTTCCTTCTGAAACCTATCATTTGGGGCAATTAGCAACAGTCAAGCAAGTGCGATTGCGAAAACAATTGATCTTGGAATATTTCAATCACTGACAAGTTGTTTTTTTTTCTAAATGGACAATTCGGAACTTCCTCCGAGTCTAAAGAAGCGCTACCAACCGCGAGTTCCAAGTTCTTCCTGGGTAGGGTCGGTTGTAGAACGACTGCGCTCTGCACTTTATGCCCCAGGGCCAGAAGAAGAGGAGGATTCGGGGCCAGAAGAAGAGCTCCAAGGTATGGTGGGTGATCGCTCATTCAATTTGTTGAACAATATCGTTGAACAAACCACGAGCCGATCATCGATAGATGACTCGTCGAACAACGAGTCTTTCTCCTTAGCATTACCCGGTACATGGCCGACTCCACGAGTGAAAAGAGCGCATAATAATATCCCGAGCCGACATGGGCTCGGTACACCAAGCACAGGACCGGTCGCCCAGACCGAATCCACCCCCTGTAGGACGCTACCTAACCATCAAGGCACTCACATTGATTCCGATCTATCATTTGTGAGTGCTGCCGAAGGGAATCAGTCACTACCTCATAACCAGAGCGTTCAGGATGCATCATTTATTACTGCCACAGAGGGAAGTCGCACATTGGATATTTCGCAGCCTGACGAGAGTACGCAACATGCGTCTTTTGTTACTGCGTCAGAGGAGGATCGAAGACTCGGGCCTTCCGCAAGCACATTACAGGCTGATAGTTCTCAAGTTTCTGGAGTACAGTTCTATGACGGTTCAACTATTGGAGAGGGCGACCTGCACGATACGCCTCAAGAGATTGACGACTCCCCAGCCAGTGTGGACATTGATATGGAGGATGAGATTGAAGATGTCTCTATTGATGATCTGAATGATCTGGAAGCCGAGATGCTCACGGATGAGGAGTTTGAGGTCGAAGAGCTCGATGAAGACGATATAAGCGAGGCCTCTGATCTTGAACCACAGATCACTGAACCCGAAGATATTGATGCGGATGACATGGAATCTGACGATATTGATGTGGAGGAAATTGAAACAGAGGAGATTGAAGCAGAAGATGTTGAAGCAGAAGATATCGACACAGTATCTATTGAAGCAGAAGATGTCGACGCGGAGGATATTGATGACTTCGAACAGTACGAGTCTGAGATCGCATCTCACGAGGTCGAGTCTCAAGGAATCGAGACTTCATTACCTGGAGGTGGGGACGCTGATGTGATTGATCTGGTAGACGATTCCCCTGAGTATGAATACATCAATAAAGAGGAGTATGTTGCAACCGACCATGATCAAGGGCCCGTAGAGCCGCAGTATGAGCAATGGGACAGCTACAATGCACAGCAGCTAGCGAATATTTTCACGGCCATTGAGAATGCTGATACGGCAGGCTTTGAAAATCTGGGACCTGGGTTCTCTGCTGAAGCTGGGCTAGAACTAGCAACATTAGAACAGGAAACTGAACCTAATGTAGAGCACAGTCTCAACGTTGAACAAACTGAGACAGCTCATAATGATAACCCACATGAACACCCATCTGAAGACTCGCATGCCGCCAGACCAAATGCCACCGACGAATCGGCGCCAGAAACAGTTGAATCAGCTTCTAGTGACCATCTTGTTTCACAAGGGTTTGAACCAGAAGATACGCGAGTAGGTTTTGATATTACTATTGGGCTGGATGAAGAGCCTGCAGACGTTATGGACGCCCTACCAGAAGCTGAAGCGCCCGAGCCAGTTGAGCCAGTTGGGCCAGTTGAGCCAGTAGCAGAATCAGCAGACGAAAACGCCAAAACCGACCCTTTCGAGAATGGCGACTACGGGTTGTGGAATCTGTTTCGAGTGGGATTCACAGTCGCACCAGGACAAGGCAATGTGCGTTCACCATGTACATTTCAGGAACCACTTGAGGAAAAGGCAATGCTCAAGTCCATGGCTGAGGAGGCACTATTTTTATGTTCGCGAAGCAGTTTATTCGGCGGCGCATCAACTCTTAGTCGAGCACCTACCCATGCACCAGAGCCAGCACCCAGATTTATTCCTCAAAGTAATCCTCGGCGTGATTTAAGCAAGAAGGCGTTTGATCTGCTTCTCCAGGCGCCGTTGTTTGGTGGAACAGCATCTGAGCTTCCGCCGGCCAAGAAACCGAAAATGCCAGAGAGGAAGAAACCATTACCAAAACAAACAGAGACTTCATCTGAGCTGGTTATACCTAAAACCCGGCGACACAGTCGTCGTCTCGCCAAGTCGACCGACCCGAAACCGCCAGACGCAGAATGTCTGGAAGAATCAACCGAGGCCACAGTGCCTGTAACCCCAATTGAAACACCAATGGAAGACGTTCAAGAATCTCAAGGCGATAGAACGCCAACAGGACGCAAACGCAGAGCGAAGACGACGCCGGCGTCGTGTGCGAAGAAACGAGCTCGCCGCACATCTCAGGCATCCCCCGCGGAACGAAGACGAACACTTCGTAATGGCAAGACCCTGCCTGAGCCAGAGTAAGCATAAATTTACTTTATATATATACAAATACAAGCCGGAATGATCAATGATACGGCATAAAATTGCAGAAAAAAAGGAAGTCGTTAGTGAGCCGGAGGCCCAAGATGCATAAGGTATTCGTAAACAGAGAAAAGCACCATTCCGTTCAGACTAGTGCGGAGGATGGAGAAACCAAGACCGCGGTACATGTGCAAGCTGATTTTGAACTTGGGTCTCTCCACAACCGTGTCACGGAACTCCATCGACGAGGCCAGGGAATGATGGTAAAGGTCTCGTTGATAATGGCTTTTCATAGTGTCGATAGGGTACACGGCGACCCAAGAAATAACGCCGCAGACACCGCCGGCAGTTGCAACGGCGAGGGGGTTTGGTTTGGAATCTTCGGAAGGCAAGAAACTGCCGACAGTCTGCTTTGCATGCTCATAGACAGAGAAATAAATAGCCGAGCCCAAAGAATCTCTCATCAAGTGATAGCGGTAGCCACCGTAAAGTCTCATAAACCCTCCTCTACGCAACAAGTCTTTGACCGCTCGTAGGGTGCCCATTGACTTGGGCTCCGGCAGCCCTCTTGAGCGATACACCAGGGCCTCAACCTGAGAAGCGACTTTGGTGAACTCAAAAGGACACGTGAACAGAGTGCTTGCTGCACCGGCCGTCATGCCGCTAGCGAAAGTGACCACCGTCGATCTTTCGTTTGCGACGCCGAGCAGTGAGGCGTACGCGGGCAATAGGGACGTGTAGAGGCTCATTGTGAAGGCCCGGGCAGTCGAGCCCGAAATGATAGAGGCGGTGATACCCCTGTAGAATGCCGACAGACCGCTCTCTGCGTAAGTGGTGGTTATACATTGCCAAAAGTTCGGGTACTTGTAGGTTTGGAGCCGGGTCTTGACAGTGTCCAGAGGGTATCCCACGAAGGTCGCGCACAACGCGGCGGTGAAGGATGATAAGACAACTTTGGTCGTTCTGTTTGGCGACGCCAAGACTGCTAGTGAGGTCGTCGGTTCCTCACTTAGCTGCTCGGCCCGTTGCATCGAAAGGTTGTGTGGGCTGGATGACTCAAAACCCCACATTTTCGCGCTAGTGAACTTTCCACTTCCGACCGGCACAAGCGGGTTCCCTAGCCCCCGAGTTTACCCGAGGTGTCACGAGCAAACAACGTTGAGTTGTCGGGCAGCTGGGGCGGTGATTGCCGACGAATAGAGTTGGTGTGGACGGACGGTTTTTGGAAGCCCAAATATTGTGCGAGGGTGGCTGGGCAGTTTGGCCGATCGGGGGCTGGGGATCGCGGGCGAAAGCGCGATCAAAACCGCTCGGCAGTAAATGCGGAGGGGAGAGGAAATAACAATACAATTAGAAAAATTTATAAATACATGCTAGTAATCGGCGTACTTTTTAACCTGCTCAGCTACCATCCGTTTATACGCATCAGGATGGCTTTTGTAATGGTTGTATGCAGTGGTCTGAGCCGGGGAATGGATATTGGGCTCGTCCAAAAGAGCCTGAATGCCCAGCACAATCTGACGAACCGTAATTGCTGGACGCCAATCCTGTGATTCGTTGAGCAGAGACAGACAGACCGTGCCTGAGGGATAAACATTGGGGTGGTAGAATCCCTGGTCAAACTTGCACTTGGGGGGCCGAGTGGGGTACTCTTGAGGGAACTCCAAGACCACCGGGTACACACCTCCTTCCCACTGGGTGCCCTTTTTGCCGGGAATGCGGGCTTGCCACACTTGGAGGTTGAGCCCACCCTTCTCGTCCTTGACCGGCTTGGCAGAGAACCCAAACGGATGATCCTTGCGCCAGTTCTTACGCTCTTGCTGCAGTCTAGATAAACACAAGCTGCTCATTCCTTACGCCCCCAATCGTCACGTTGATCTCGTCGAATCCGGATCAACTAGTATCGTAAAACCTTCTTTTTTTAAATGACTAAGAGTCTTATGCCGCCGCCGTCGCCGCGGGATCCACTAACTTATGACATATTGTCCCAAGTAGTTTTCGTTTACCCCACTACTGGAGAAGTGTGTTTGCGAGATAGCGACATTCAACAAACAGCAGACTTCTTTTTCCAGCAGAATAACGATGGCAGACAAGTACGATGATCTCGACGACCTTTTAGATGAGTTCGAGGAACAGGACCGTATTCTGAACGCACCTCCTGGCTCGGCTAATCTAGGTGGGGCTTCCATCAAGGAGCTTGATGCTTCTGCTTCCAAGCCGGCGGTGCCTGCTACCGCGCCCAAGGTTGTTGACGAGCCTGGCGTGTCTTCAAATGAAGACAAAGAACTCAATGAGGCTGCTGAACGGCTAGCAAAGCTGCTCACCCCGCAGGCCGAAAAAGACGAGCTGACGGTGCCTGAGCTGGACGAAGAATTCGCCAAGCAGCTGCAATCAGGTATGGACGATTTGGTGTCTGAGATGTCAGATGATCCTGAGGCCCGCAAGGCATTTGAAGAGCTCATGGCCGGCCTCACTGGGCAAAACCCCGGTGATGTGTTTAATGCTGCGGGCGTCAAGGACAAACCGGCCGCGCCCGTCAGTTTCCAAGACACAATTGCTGCTACAATGAACCGTCTGAATGAAAATCAGAGCTCGCCAGGGCCCAGTGATGATGCTTTCCTCGAGAAAATGCTTAAAGAGCTCCAGGACGCCGCCGGATCGGGTGCTGGAGCCGGTGGTATGGATGGGCTGCTGTCCAGTCTAATGGAGGAACTCTCCAGCAAGGATATTTTGTACGAGCCCATGAAGGAGATGCACGATAAGTTCCCTGGCTGGCTCAATGAGCATGGCCCCAAGATCAGCGCTGAAGAATTGCAGCGTTATAAGGACCAGCAACGCATCGTCGAGGACATTGTTTTGAAATTTGAAGAAATGACTTATAGTGATGACGATAAGGCATGCCGCAAGTACATTTCGGCCAAAATGGAGGCCATGCAAGCCACTGGCGCTCCCCCTCCCGAGCTGGTAGGTGATTTAGCCGATGGTGCTATTCCCGGCGGTATTCCTGGCGCTGGGCCTAGTGATTGCGGCGTTCAATAATTATGTACTTAAATCTTAAAATGCGGCAACGTCCAAGAACATAACTTTATTTTCTGAATAATCGCGTAATGCTGCTGGCCAGCCGCAACGATTTGGACAAGATCCACGCGCCGGGCGAGCTCATTGACGAATTTGAGATCAAGTTCGTAAGAGACCCTCCTAAACCAACCCATCTTACCTGGGGAGTGCGAAGTGTACATGATTTCGAACTTCAGGCTATAATTGTGTTTGGTCCATCGCATTCGGTTACCGAAACCGCCGAACACATAACCAAAGGAGCGAAAATACGTTTTGAAAACCTCCGAATATCGGACAAGAACACGAGCCCTCTAACGTTTTACACATGTGCCAGTACAACTCTCATGATTATCACCGATGATGAGGACAAGTTTATGTTTGTATCTTCTGCGCCCAAGTTGGCGGCCAATAAAAGCAGTTCAAACGTGTATCCTTTGCTTTTGAAGTGCCAACGTGTAATTGGCGGCAATTATGCTCTTTGGTCCGATGGATCAACCGTCCCACGTTGTGAAGTGCCAAATATTCTTGAGCCGAAAGCGTTTAGCGTTTCTACTTTGGATCCAACCTATCTGCCGTTGACGATATACGAAGGACCTTCCCAATTCTACGTTGGGAGTATAATAAAAGCCGAAGTTCATTTTAAAATGCCCGTGCTGGGTGCGTATCCTGGGGTTTTGGAGGGAAAAGTCGACGTTTCGCCAGTTCTTGCCTCGGAGAAAGAGGAAAGATTGTACTATCAGCGGCTTGGGGAACTAGAAAAGATTGCTCCCAGAGTTAGAAATTCAGTCTCAGAACCACAAGAATTGGCCAAGCGAAGCCTTGATTCAGCCCGTGCACTACCGCCTAAGCGACTGGCATTCTCTCAACTTCCCGCTACTTTCGAAACACAGTCCGACTTTGGGGACAGCTTGTCTACTTCTTTTCCGAGCCAGACACCTAGGATGCTGAATATCTACAACACGACGCTGTCTGATGACGAGGATGAAGACGAAGAACGCCTGGTGAATGAAACCCTGTTCTCTCAATCGGCGATTGTAGAGAACTCACAACCACAAGAAGCAGCTGATGCCAAACTGTGCGACTTTTACGAACAATTGGTTAAAAGTTTGGTTATAGAAATCCAAGGCATGAATCTCTCTGCGGCCCAAAGGCTGACCGAAGAGCGCCTGAAAGAAGCTCGCACGAAACTGGCACTGCCGCTCCAATCGGAGCCAGAGCGGCTGCAAGAATACAAAAACAGGGCAATTGAAGATATGCAGCGTGCTACAAAAGCTGCATTGGATGAACTACATCATAAGTTCATGTCTCACATTGACTCTCTGCGTTGACGCAGTACAGTCAGCGTCCTACTCTAACGATAATGGGTAAGTAAACAAGACAAACTAGAGGCATTGGCTAACAATATAGACAAGGAAATCAAAAAGGCTCTTTGTGATCGTATTTATGATAAACGCAAGCTAGCTGCGCTTGATTTGGAGCAGTTAGTACGTGATTGTTTAGCGGCTGGAGACCGGGATCGAATCCAAGCTATCATCACTGAGCTTGTGCGGGACTTTGCCTATGCAGTCCACCACCCTAATTATCGCAATGGTGGACTGATTGGTCTTGCAGCTGTATCAATCGCTTTGGGAAGCTCAGAACTGGCTGTCTATTTAGACGATATCATCCAGCCCATTCTATCGTGTTTTGGGGATGCCGACGCCCGTGTACGCTATTTTGCTTGCGAAAGTTTATACAATGTTGCCAAGGTTGCCAAAGGAGAGATTCTGCAGTACTTTAACGAGGTTTTTGATGTGCTCTGCCGTCTGGTTGCCGACAGTGAGGAGTCGGTTCGAAATGGCGCTGATTTGGTGGATCGCCTGATTAAAGACATCGTTGCAGAAAAAGCTGCAACATACAAGTTTTCCGTCAATCGCAGTGCTGCAGTGCCACCTGCTGTTTCGTCCAGTATAGATGGGCTGAGCCCAGCGATTCAGGTAGCGCCCAACCAGAACACCGACTCGTTTTCGTTGGCAAACTTTATTCCCGTGTTGATTGAAAGAATTTATGTCATAAATCCTTCGACAAGAATGTTTCTTGTGCAATGGATTGTTCTTCTTGACTCAATTCCAGATTTGGAGCTTATTATCTACTTGCCTGAATTCTTGCGTGGGTTGCTCACTTTTTTGAACGACTCGAACAAAGATGTACGGGTCGCCACCAAAAATCTACTTGAAACTCTATTGCGGGACATTCGCAGTATCGCCAAGCTGCACATGTCGTTGAAATCTTCGGAAGACGCGGTTACTCCTTTGGCTACCCCCGAAAAGCCAACCAGTACTGCTTCCAGCCTTTATCAAGTTGGCCAAGACACAGCGATTGACTATGATCGAATTGTGAATATTTTGCTGGATAATCTCCACGGAGGCAACTCCGAAATACAGACCACGATTCTCGAGTGGCTCCGAGCCTTTTATGAGGTTGCTCCAACCGAGTTGGCCAAGAACTTCGGCCGGTTAGTTTCCGTGTTGTTGCCCACGTTATGTGAATCAAGCACTACAATATGCGATCAGGCTCAAAATCTCAACTCTGAGCTGTTGGAAGCGGTAAAGGCCAACAACATGACGATTGAGTATTCTTCGGCGGTGAACGCATTGACGTTACAGTTTTTGCACGAGTCTGAAGTGACGAGAGTTGCTGCAGTCAATTGGTTGGTGACGCTACAAAAGGTTGGTAAAATTGAGCTTTCAGACTCGGTACTCTCTACCTTGCTGCGACTGCTTTCCGATACCAGCGATGTAGTTGTTACCAAAGATCTTGAGCTGCTGGCCCAGATCCTTCACAATAGTACCGAGGAAACTTTCAGAGGATTCATCCGTAAGTTGCTGGTATATCTGGATAGTCACCGGCAACTTGAAGCGGCACGGGGCAAACTCATTACGTCGCGCCTATGCCAGGTTTTGGCTCCAGAAAGACTGTATCGGTATATGGCCGAAATCTTGTTGGAATACAACGATGTTCATTTTGTGTGCAGCATTGTGCAAAACATCAATAATAATCTCATGATTGCCCCCGAACTCTCTGGTCTCCGCGAGACCCTCCGCCGCTTAGACACGCCAGAGGGAGCATCGCTGTTCGTGATCCTGTTCCGGACATGGAGCCGCAACTCGGTGGCAGCTATTTCTCTCTGTCTCTTGGCGCAGGCATACGAGTACGCATTCGAAATTCTTCAAGTCGTGGCCAAGAGCGACATTTCAGTGGCTACATTGGTGCAAATTGATCGCCTTGTGCAGCTCATCGAGAGCCCTGTGTTTGCTCGCCTAAGAATACAGCTCCTCGATCCAGCAGCTTTCCCTTATCTCTACAAATGTCTCTATGGTCTGTTAATGATTCTACCGCAATCGTCGGCCTTCAAATCGCTGCAAACGCGCCTGTCAAGTGTCGCACCCATTGGAGGCCTGCCCTTACCCGAGACGCGTGACAAAATTCCGACCCCGGCCCCAGTGGTCACGAGCGAGTGGAGCGAGCTGTTAAGACTCTACAATGAGATGCATTTAAGTAAGTGAAGCGTGCTTTGAGAATTCCGATTAATTTATAACCTAAAATAACGTGTAGGTGGCGTGCGCCAATAAAAAAGTTCCCTGCCCAGAGATGAGATCTATTAAAACTTGAGGGACGAGATTCGCTTGACCAGGCCAGGCTGCTTTCGCTGCTCCTCTTCGAATTCGTAGCCTTCAATAGCTCGTTGCGTAGCTTGGACCGCGCTCTTTCGTCGCTTGCCGTATTGGTTAGTTAGTCGTCGGTGTTCCATCTTGCTACTGAGTTTGTCGAGTATGCTCATTGGGAGATGAGGTTAGAACGGCTGCGAACGTGCTTAAAACAGGGGGACTTAATCAGCGAGCCTGCATTTGGAAGGTTGTAAACATGCAGGACAGTGCAGGCGGGCGGAATAAGACAATAGAATACAAGAACCAATAATACAAATAGACTCGTACAGGCGAGAAACTGGCAGCAGCAGCGGCCCACTTTGCTCCCCCAAAGCCAACAGCAATGTCGGCTATGCCTGCAGGGCCGGGCGGTTATGCGGGCCTGCGTCTAAATCTTGGCTTGCGCCCACAGTGTGCGTGAATTGTCTAGGCGGTTAATAAAAAAAAATAAACTAAAGCTACATGCAGAACGGTTGATTATTGGAGAAGCTCGTCGCGGAAGTGCTTCTGGTTGTTGATAAACTTGTCGCGTCTATAGAAGGTGTGCTGCTGCTTCTTCTCTTCCTTCCAGGTCTGCTTGATCATCTTAGTGGCCTCCTTCTCAGTGACACCCGGACCCCGCATGTCGATCATTTTAACGGCCTTGGGGCCCTCCTTCTCGGGCAGAGAATTGAAGCGTTGCTTGTAATAGCGTTGCAAGGACCGGTGACCAGCGACTTTTCCGGGGCCCACCACCAACTCGTATCCATCGACATACAGACTGTTATCGACAGCGTCTTCATCATCACCGCCCTGGACTCGCACAGTGTAATCAGTCTCTCCATTTTCGTCACTGACTTCCTCCCATTCGTCTCCGTTAGCACTATAAGACGAGGAGAAGTCGTAGAAATCAGCCAGCTCGGCCCGATGGTTCTCTGTTTCATAAGGAACCTTGACGTGCTGTTTTGAGACCATGTGGGCTCGCACTGCCTCTAGTGATCGACCCATGTAGCTGCAGGACAAACAGCAATTGCCCAGGCCTACCTTTTCATTAAGATATTCAACCAGACCCTCCAGATCGGTCAAGAACATCCTCTCGGGAACGTACAAGCCGTACTTGCGCTCCAAGTAATCGACATTTGCCTCGACAGAATCAGATACATGGCCATCCATAAACGAAATATTCACAGGAATCTTTACCATATTGGCGATCTTGTGCTGTAGAACCTGATCAACCTCATCCTGATCGTTCTCATCTTCGCTAGCACTGAAGTCGTCTTCTTCCGTTTGATAGCCACTACGGACCGGGTCGCCCAGCGAGAAGTTCGACATGGCAGACGTCACACTGTGGGCCCGGGATGTAATGGATCCGGAATCGCTAAGATTGTCTTCATCCTCGGTTGGTGCCGTACCGGAAGCAGCCGTGGCTTCTTGCCGCCTACGCTCTTTCTCCATGCGCTTCAGATCTTTCTTGGTGACCTGACGATTAGCATTACGGGGCTTGGGCTCGAGCTGAGCCGATCGCTGCTGGATCATTTTCTCTGCAAATACATCCGAAGGAATAGGCGGTAGATTGGCAACTCGGCGTTTGAGATTGTAACGATGCCAGTCTGTTTTCATATGCTCACGCTGATACTCAGCGTCTGTGAACGATAACCCGCATGTGTTACAGGTAAACTTTGGGTGGTCGTCACTCATTGTGGAGAGTAGAAAAAACTACTTGCTGCTTATATACGCTGCTGCAGAAGTGACGGCATATACCCGCCAAGTGGGCAGAGAGCGCCTGATCCGATCATTATGGGCCGTGTAAAACGTATGTCTTGTCGATTGAGGGTTCTCAAGGATAAGAAGGATATACGAATTAGTTCCTATTTACCTCGGTGGCGAACCGATACTGATCTATCGACGCCAGATTTATAAGCCAACCCTTCGAACGAGCCCTGCATAAGATACCCGAGTGGAATCAGTGCACCAGACTATCTAGCGATTAATTTTTCGTTCTAAGAGTTGTTTAGCTTCTAGAGGTCCAACTAGAGGTGATTCCGAGATCTCGACAGGCGCCGAAAGCCCAGCAAAAAACCTTCACACAATCACTCCAAAGAAATCAAGATATAAAAGGACAGGTTCCTTAATTTTAATATTCATGCTACGGGAGGGGATCCTTCCATTAAAAAGCCTCGCGTATACACGCACACATAAGTGAAGGCGCTTTAGCGGTTCTTGACGAAGCCAATATCAGTGGCCTTCTCACGGAAGCACTGACGGGACATGTTCAAGCCATACTTGCGGATGACGGCGTTGCGGGAGCCGGTAACACGGCAGGCGCGGGAGCCCTTACCATAGCGGCGGGGGTGGCTGTACCAAACGTTCTCGTGAGCCATATTGCTGGATGTACGGAATAGACGACACTGGTGAACCTATGAGTGGGCACATAATGTAAGACGCCCTAAGCCCTAATAACGTATTAGTCATTGCTCGAGACTGTAGTTCCAAAAAAGCTGAATAATATGATAGAGATGGAGTTCACAGCCTTGAGGTGCGATAAAGTCCGGTAAAAAAATATAATTAACATTTTAGCGACAATTGTACACAGCAGCCATATACTTACATATACATCATACTCATATAAGGAATTCAAACTTTTTCATATAAGCAGTGGACGTCTTCGACTTCCTACACGGGCGAGGGTTCAAAAAAAAATTAAGTAACAAATCTTTCATCCCAGTCGCTGTGCACATGACCGTTCACAGAGAGACTTTGAAGAAGAAGCAGAAGGGCTTCAAGTCGCGACATGCGACTAAAGGCTCAATCAGAACGGCCAATAAAGGCAGGATCGACAAAGGGGGTGCCACTGGCCCCAAACACAACGTTCGCACAAAACAAGATCGAAAGAATATTGCAAAGCAGATTCAGGCAAACAAGCGCGAAACAATCGCCGAAAAGCTCAAAATTTTCGAGACAAAAAACGGCGTTCCCCGTAATGTTGCCTTTGTGCCATTAACCCCTGATATCGATCGATCCAAGGTACTTTCTCAGTTCACCAGCAGTCTCGAGGCTCAGGCCGATCCCGAAATTCCTAATGTTATTTATGTACCCAGATTCCGCCAACGTTTGCGGTTGTTCTTGCCCGACTACCCTGACTTTTTTGGTGTTTTGGATGCCTGCAAGGGCGCTGATTTCGTCGTTTTTGTGCTGTCTGCTGAGACCGAAAACAACGATTACGGTGAAAGCTTGATCCGTTGCGTTCTCTCTCAAGGTGTGACAACTTGCTTAGCTATGATTTATGCCTTGGAAAACATTGAAGGCGTTAAACAGCAAGCACAGGTCCGCTCATCTCTGTCTCAGTGGTATGCTCATTTCTTCCCTGAAGCAGAAAAACTTCAGCGCCTTGACACTAACGAAGCTTTGACTACTGCTCGTATTATTTGCCAGAAAACACCTAAAGGTGTCAATTGGCGTAATGAGCGACCCTACGTCGTTATTGAAAAGCTCGAACAGAACCCGACTAATGGTGCTTTGGCGATTCAGGGCTACGTCAGAGGCCGGACCTTGAATCCAGACACGCTCATGCATATTCAAGGTTTCGGCGATCTCAAAATCGAAAATATTACTGAAGTCTTGTCCGGTCGGCAGATGGATGTCGATCCTCGAACTTGGACACCGTCCGAAAACTCAGAGTCGTGTGCCCCTTTGGGAGACACCGCTATCGAACTTAACGATTACGAGGAAGATGATGAAACTACAGCCAACGCTGGTGTTAGAATGGACGGCCATTACTACGTGAATGAAATGATTGAGGCCGAGGGTGGTGAAGGCCCCCAGTCTTTGTCTAGAGTCCCTGAGGGTGTGTCTGATTATCAGGCTGCCTGGTTCTTGGAAGGCGAAGATTACCATTTCGACGAGGACGAGATGCCTGGTGACGAAAATATGCTTGAAGATGAGGAGGGCGAGCTTGTAGGTGAGACGCAGAATGGTGCTGATGAGCGCATGATGGAAGATGAAGAGCTTGATGAAGATGAGGAGTCTCGTCAGCTCAAACAGTTCCGCGAGCGTGCTACCGATGATCTCGAATTCCCGGATGAAATTGAGCTCAAACCAGAGGAGAATGCCCGCGAACGCCTGAAGCGTTATCGTGGTGTGCGCAGCCTTCGCCAGTGCCAGTGGGATGCCAACGAGAATGACCCAAGAGCTCCAGAGGAATTCACACGTCTGTGTCGCCCGGGAAACCTCCAAAACACTATGAACCACTTGGCCAAGGAAGAATTCAAAGGCCCAGAAGTGGGAACGTCTGTTATAATCACGTTCTTGCCCTTTACTGAGCCGGCAGATACCAAACTCGTGGCTAACTATCAAGAAAAGCTAGCTAATGAGGGAATGATGCTAGCCGCATACGGCTTGTTGAGATCGGAGAATAAGGTGGGCATGATGAACATGTCCCTGACCACCGATAGCGAGTTCTCAACTCCTCTCAAGTCTAAAGAGCAAATCATTTGCCAGTACGGCCCCCGTCGTCTTTTGGTGGAGCCCCTGTACTCGCAACCTGGCCGCGGAAGCGACAATAATGTGTACAAGTTCTACCGTTATCTTCAACCAGGAAGCCAGGCCACAGTTAGCATGATGGCACCGGTTATGCTTGGAAGTTCACCAGTTATCTACTTTGCTAACGAGACTGAACCTAAGTTGATTGGAACTGGAACAACTATGGATGCTGATGCATCTCGTATTATTGTCAAGACCGCCATCCTTACAGGCCACCCGCTCAAAATTCACAAAAAGCTCGTCACAGTGCGCTACATGTTTTTCAATCCGGAGGACGTGGCATGGTTCAAGGCTGTTCCCCTTTTCACCAAGTGGGGTTGTACAGGCTATATCAAGGAAAGCTTGGGTACCCACGGTTACTTCAAAGCTACTTTCGATAAACGCATCAAGGCGCAAGACACGATTTCAATGGCACTCCACAAGCGTGTTTGGCCTCGTTTGGCCCTACCGTGGTCTCCCCCGAATAAATAACAGATCTATATATTTGAAATACGTATCTGAAACACCGCTCGCTATCCCAGCACCTGAACGTGCTAGGTGACGTACCGTAATCAGCGTGTACATCTATGCAGAGCGAGTCGAGCTTGTTCGATTGCTGTCATACTTTCGACCTCTTATCAGCATGCATATCCCCGGAAACTAGCCAATGCATTGATTGAAGCGCCTGCACTCTCGGTGCTTTTTTCCGAAGACGCCCTACAAACTCGATGAACACGGTTCTACGCCTGTTGGCTGGCTTGTGAACCCGCCATAGGAGAAACAACCCAGCACTTTATATAGACACATTTTAGCTTCCACTACGATCAAATTGTCAAATCGAGGTGTGAAAGGACGATAATATCATGCAGGACATCTCGATCGTTGTGCTTCTGGCATAATGGCCAAAGCGCGTCATTTCAACTAACAAGGTAGGCACACAACACAGGCACTATTTTAACACCATTTAAAAAAACTAGACCCGGCCGCATACCAAGGGTACGTATTATCCTATACCCCTAGCTAACAATACTATGCAGCTCGTGGTATGATCACGACAATCTTAAACTCGTGCTAAGATAAGGACCCTAACCACTATCATAATCGCTTTACCTGCATAGTACGGTGCCTCGAATATCAGGCGTAACTGGCACAGGGATGTTACCATTTGGTGGAGCAAACTGATTTTCCTATTTCCCTAAGTAATACGACAAGCCACCGACGCGCTTTGTTGCGCGAGATTGCTGCCATCAGGCGGAGTAGTTAGCGAGAGCTTGACTTCAAAGCTCCATCGGCCTTGCATATCTTAGCATATAGTGATGCTCCGAAACACACATATATAAGGTAAGTTTAGAATTGTTAAACATACAATAAACAGCATGACTGAAACACATTATCCGCTGGCGCAAGGTGCCGGCTATGGAATTGTAGTTGGCGTTGGATTCGCCTTTGCCTTTGGTATGATTGCAATAACAGCTGCCCTACGTCGTTACCAGAGGGAAAAAGTAGACTCCGAGGAGTTCGCTACTGCAGGTAGAAGTGTGAAGACTGGTCTCATCGCTTCTGCTGTCGTTTCTTCTTGGACATGGGCTGCTACACTTCTTCAGTCTACCACCCAAGCCTACAAGAATGGCATCTCAGGACCCTTTTGGTACGCTGCTGGGGCTATGGTGCAAATTGTTCTTTTTGCAACAGTTGCTATCGAACTAAAACGAAAAGCCCCTGGAGCTCATACCTACCTTGAGGTCATCAAAACCCGGTATGGCACCCAAGCACATTTCATATTTATGTTCTTTGCAATTGCTTGCAATATTCTTGTCACGTCGATGCTTTTAGCAGGAGGGTCAGCAACAATTATCAGCCTGACAGGTATGAATCCAGTTGCTGTTATTTTCTTACTTCCTCTCGGTGTGATGTTGTACACACTGTTCGGCGGACTCAAAGCCACATTTTTGACAGACTACATCCACACCGTTGTAATGATTGTCATCATTTTTGTGTTTGTGTTCTGTGTCTATACAAGCAGTCCCCACTTGGGTTCTCCTGGTCGGCTGTGGGAAATGATCATGGAGTTAGGTAAAACCAATCCTGTCGCGGGAAACGAACAGGGATCATACCTCACTATGAAGTCTAAATTCGGTGGCATTTTCCTGGTAATTAACCTTGCTGGTAATTTTGGAACAGTGTTTCTAGATAATGGCTACTGGAACAAAGCCATTGCCGCTTCACCTGCAGCCGCCCTTCCTGGCTACGTCTTTGGAGGTTTGGCCTGGTTCGCTATTCCCTGGCTCACGGCAACAACTATGGGTTTGGCCGGTCTGGCGCTCGAAAACACGCCTGCATGGCCTACTTACCCAAATAAGATGTCGGCCGCTGATGTTACCGCTGGGCTGACGCTACCCAATACCGCTGTCGCATTGCTCGGTAAAAATGGTGCTGCGGCCTGTTTAGTGATGCTTTTTATGGCAGTTACATCGGCAATGTCCGCTGAAATGGTCGCTTCTTCTTCGATTCTCACCTATGATATTTACAAAGGCTATATCAACAAGAAGGCAACGTCCAAACAGCTTATTTGGTGCACACACCTTGCTGTTGTATTGTTCACGGGTGCCATGGTTGGTCTTTCAATCGGATTCCACTACGGTGGTGTGTCCATGGGCTACCTTTACTTGTTGATGGGCGTGCTGATCTCTTCAGCTGTTCTGCCCGCGTGCCTTACAATTTTCTGGAAGGGCATGAACAAGTGGTCCGCTTGTCTTGCTCCACCAGTTGGTATGGCGTTTGGTATCATTACTTGGATGGTCGTTACTGCAACACTAAGCAATGGCGTAGTTACTGTTGAGACCTCTGGTGCCGATTATCCCATGCTGGCTGGCAACGTTGTCTCTCTTTGCTCACCGGCACTTATTATTGCCGTTTGTCAATTGATCTGGGGCAACGACAACTACGACTTTAATCAGCTCAAGGAGCTGCACTCGGTGCGTGACGTTGAAGCTGAGATGGCGCCTTTCGAGATGATGCCAGAGACCGAAGCTGAGCTTGCCTACAAGTACGGAAACAGCACCCATAAGCCAGTGGATCCACACCACCACAACCTCTCAGAGGTAGAAGAGGCTCTACTGAAAAAGTACTCCAAATGGGCCAAGATCATTTCTGTGTTCACGGTATTAGCCTTTATTATTTTATGGCCCATGCCTATGTATGGCACGGGCTATATTTTTTCCAAGAAGTTCTTCACTGGCTGGATAGTCGTCGGTATCATCTGGCTTTTCCTCTCTTTGTGTCTCGTAGGAATTCTGCCTCTTTGGGAATCCCGCCAAGGGATCTTCGAAACTGTTCGGGGTATATACTGGGACTCTACAGGGCAGTCCTACAAAGTTAAGCAATGGATCGCTGAGGCCCAAGAAGAAGAGGACAAATCTGCCGATCTAGGTGAGGTCCTTGTTGGAGAGGCAGTGACTGAAAACTCCTCAGAGATCTCCAAGCCTGGAAAATAATGTGCTCTATTTATCTAAGACGCTCTGTTGCTTTTCTTAATTAACCAATACTAAAATGATCAACTAAACCCTTTAGGGTACACAAATATGTGAACATTCATGTCCTCGTGCCCGATCGAGAAGGGGCACTACGTGAATAGGCTCTTATCGTGCATGAACCCGATCAAGCGAAACTTGGAGAATATTTCAAATTTGCGCAACATTCTCAAACCTGGCCGGTAATTTAGGGTAAAATAGAGGTGTCATTGATCCTAGTTTCCAAAAACATGCCAATATGTGAGGTATGGTAGCGTATTTCCGCCGCGATGTTTTCTTGCTTGCGGCAGTCATCCACGGACTGCAGATCCTCGACTATGGCGGGGCTATCAAAACTGGAGAGTTCGCAATATGCTTCAAATGAAGGAAGAAAAATCACTCGAATATGTGCCTTTGAAGTGTACACAAGTGATAGCGTCGTATTTTATTTGACGTTCTTTTCAATAAAATGCTGAAATACAATGGTCCAACAAATTCAGGTACGGCACTAGATACCTAACCTGCGCATATGTCATTCGGCACATTTTTGACGCTGTTGAAATCAAAATCTGACCATACTGGTATTTTAAACAGAGAGTTTCTATATACCAGAATGCTAATTACATGTATCGTTCACGTTTTTTCTCAAATAGTGGGCATTTTAATGGCAGAGGCTGAGCTCCCACGGCACTGGTTGTGCAGGGCTTCGCTTACAGAATATGGTGCCGCGCGTCAGAAAAAGCTGACTTTCTACCATGCGTCGAGTGCTGCGCCGATTTAAAGACGGTGGGTCGAAACAAGACGACCCGGTGGACAGAAACACTGCTGAATTTACTCAGGACAGTGTAGCGATGCCCGAACTCGGTAACGTCGCTGATGCAGGCTCATATGCGCCCCTCAGCCAAGAAGGCCAATTGTCGTCGGTTGAGAGTCGTACATCCTTTTTCCAAACTAATCAAACGATACCATCAACAAGTAATGCTCCTGGACCATCAAAACTCACGCAGGCTTTGTCTATGTTGCCAGAACCCAAGCGGGCAGACTCAATTTACAGCGAAGAATCGTCATTTGCAGATCAGTCTCTCTTCTCCAAACGAACAAGATCCACAGCCCAGTCCACTATAGGATCTTCCATATCAGGTGGTATGTCGAAGCGTGCTGCTGAGGAACGTATTAGAGTCATGGAGTCCAGCTCGCTGTCTGAATCTCATGGAAGGATTTCAGTAGCCATCCCAACCTCGCCCGTCGAAACAAAAACTCGTGATGTTGCCAGTATGACTACTATGGGAATGCCTCTAATGACCGCTCCTTGTTCAGTACCCGACTCCTTAAAAGGATCCTATACCCGTCAAACAGCGGGTCCGAGTTCTGCGGCTTCGAAAAGTACTTTTGAGCTGCCGCCCAAGGAACTTGAGGCACCCGTTTCTTTAGCGACTTCATTGAAAAGTCTGTCAAGCAATCTTGAGATGCTATTTCATTCAGCAGACAGTACGTCTGCGCCCCGTATTTCGGGAATTATGGCTCAACTGATGAATGATTTTTCCAGCCTTCCGAATTTGGAAAAGGACTCTCCAGCGGTCTCGATTGAGACTTCCGATGAATTGAACCTAATCATAAGGTGCGTTCTTGGAGTATCAGACAATCTGCTTAGAGCTCCCATGGTTCGCAGCGCCAAATGTAATCTTTTGCGAGCTCTCTACCAATTGGGTGTTACTCTGGGATTGCTTGAAATGCACATTGGCGCAGTACCTCAACCCCGTAACTGGGCTTTGGGTATCAGGAAGACCCCACACGATGATCTGGTAGGTCAACTCATGGGCAAACTGTACATGTCACCTACCGGCTCTATTGTTGAGCAAGAAGGCGCGTACGTCGCACCAGTGTTACGCGGGTTCAGTCCCAAGTTTTCCGTTGCTACAGTTTGCTTCGGTATTCCTCGGCCCGACGAGTCAATCTTTGACTCTGTTGCGGCATTACAGTCTGTTATGCCTTCGATCCACGCTTATGGCCGCATAGACTATTTGAGAACTTGCGCTGGTGATTTTGGTAGTATTGTTCCTCCATATAGACAGCTTGGCAGCGATATGAAGCCGCCAATGTCAATGTCGCTCGCCTCAGAACGAGCAGGAACAATTTCAGGAACCCTTGGAGGATACCTGTACCCTCTTATAGAAGATGAAGATGATGACCTCAAAGGATACACATTTTCTATCACCTGCGGACATGTATGTTTGAACACTACGTCCTCTAACACCAACGCATCCGGTACTGAAGACAATAATGCATTTGTGCCATCGCCTGTCCTGGTTCAGATGTTCCGAAAAGCTTTAGTTGATGAACGCAATAAGCACGAAGTGGACAGTTTAGAGTACCGTGGTTACCAGAATGCTATTTCTGAGCTTGAAAAACGGCCCCCGTCGAAGCTGGGGCCGATTGTTTGGGGCGAACGCACTGTGGTTGGTGGCATGCTTTCGGATATTGCCATTATCAAGTGCGACAATGAGTTCCAATGCAGGAATACTTTGGGAACCGATTTGAATTTGTCACAGTACGATCCTGGTCTAATGTTCTGCAATTTGGCTGTCAGCGAAGTCGTGGAAAAAACGGCGCCCGGGTTATCCGTTTTCAAATACGGCTCGACCTCGAGATATACTAACGGTAATACCAGTATCAGCCGCATCGTCTACTGGTCTAGTGGCAAGGTCCAGAGTTCTGAATTTGTTGTAAACAGTGATCAACCGGTGTTTGCAACTGGAGGTGACTCAGGTGCGTGGATTTTGACGAAAGCCAAGCATGGTCTCGGTGTAGTTGGAATGTTGCATTCATATGACGGTGAGATGAAAGAGTTTGGACTGTTTACTCCGATGTCAGTCATTCTGAACCGCTTGCAGCAAGTGACTGGTGTCCAATGGGGTGTTGTCGGTGTTCCGCACCCCAAAGATCAAGTGAACGAGCCCGTTTTGTAGATATGCCTTATTTATTTATATTTTTTTTGACAACTACTTCTTAAATGTCTTAGAGCGCCCTTGAGCGACCCTGCGGGGACCACGGGCACCTCTAGGTCCATTATCTTTTCCTCTAAATGGCCTGAATGCCGGAGTTTTGCGTTCTTGAGTAATAGGTTCAGCAGATTCAAAGTCAAACGCTTCCTGATCCTCAAGTTTGTGACGATTAGATGAGTTTGGTTGCAAGTTGACTTCACTAAGATTTTTAACAACCTGAATTTTGCGTTTCCGGGACTTTGGTGCGACTAAAACCTCTGTCTCAGAGACCGACTCGGATTCGGACTCTACTGAGGACTTTGATTCATCCACCTCGGGTACCTCTTCCGATGCGCTATCGGCCTCTTCCTTTGTAGAATTGGGCAAATCAGCGATTTTAAGAACGCCGAGATATACAGTGGGAGGCTGTTTTGTCTCACGATCAGCCTCGGAATAGATAAGTGGTTTGGCCATGCGCAGCTTCTTGACCTCGTTGAGTGCTTTTTCGGAAAACAGGTCAAGTTGGGGGTCAGGCGTAGGAGCAAAGGCAAGAATATCGATGGGGTGGTTCAAAGCATCTGCAATCACATCAGCGATCGCCTGTGCATCATTACGAACCCGAGGAGGAACACGACTTCCAATATTTATCACTCCTGAAGGGGATGTAGGGTGGAGAGCGGACAGGCTTATAAGAATAGCGTTAGACATGATATAATTTGGAGACTCGTCAGCCTTGCGACCTTCTGCATCGCGCCATTCATATAGTTTAGCCATGACACCGGCCTGCTGGGGATTGAGGGAATTTGTTACAGCAAGTTTGAGCCATCCTGGCTCTGAGCCTTGACCTGGTTTCTCGTAGCGTTTTGCAGCAGTTAAACGGGAATCACGCAATACATCCTCAAGCTTGCCAGACTGTAAAAGCTCATTGCGCAGGTTATCATAAATATAGAGCAAGAAATGTGTATCGGCACGGGCGTAATCGATTAGTTCTTGGCTCAACGGCCGTACCCGCCAGTCAGCCCGTTGGTACTGTTTCGAGGGCTCAAAATCGGCGTATTTTTGCAGCAAAAAGGCAAGACTGTGCTTTACGAGACCTAAAGCACGCGATGCATGATATGTATCGAAAAGATTCACAACGTAAACGCCCAAATCACGCTGCAACCATTGTATATCCATATAGGCGCCGTGGAACACCTTTACAATGTTGGGGTTGCAAAACACCTCGTTCAAAACCTGCAGTTCCGTGCGTAGTTTGAGGGTATCGACAATAAAGTCTTCTTTTTCCGTGCTTATTTGCATCAAGCAGAGCAGACCCATGTAACTGCGTAAATCGTGGTGTTCGAGATCAACGGCAATAGCAGAGCATTTGGCAAGCTTAGACACCATTTTCTTGACCTGCTTGGGGGTATCCACGAACGATAACGGCGTCTCGCTCCATTTTCGGAACATTGTTGGTTCTCGGCTTTCATAGACCTCTTTTGGATATTGTACCTTCTCAATCTCGGTTTTGTAAGGCTGATCATACCATTCCTTGGGGTGCTCAGAATCTGGCGCTTTTAGCTGGGTAGATTCCTCCAAACCAACAATTGCATGTGGTTTGCTTATAAGTTTTGGTTTAAAAGGTCCTGGGGAGTTATCGACGTCGTGTGCAAAACTTTCCTGGGGTTTGGCCAAAGATTTTTCATGGGTTTGGACGTCCGACGGAACAGGAGTTGATTGACGGGAGTCTGATTCACCTGAAAGCGCATAAGAAGCTTTGTCTAAAAGTACATCAAATGCCCTGTCGACGGCGTTCCACTTGGAGGTGAGATCGGCTACATTGGACAGTTGAACCTCTTCACCTGTAGCGCTCGTAATGAGCCTCTTGATCAGAGTTAGTAGTCTTTGAGATTGTTCAACGCTCGAATTCTTGAGCTTTCGATCGAGAGTGCGTATGAAGCCAACATCTTGAGCATTCAGCTGGCTCGCGCTACGTATCACAGCCACTAGACTCTGAAGCAGTTGGCTATTTTCTGCCGAAAACTGCATAATGACAAAGGAAAAAAAAAAAACCGGCACTTCACTTACATCACTGTTTGGGAGATATATCAAGTTAATATAAATAATCAGAAGGTCTATAATAGTCTACAAAAACCAGGGAGGGTGAATCTAGTCCAATTCGCCCATAACACCGCATTCTTGCGGCGGGATATCTTGGAAATCCCAGAGCTCGTACTCGCTTTGCGCAGCGGCAACAAACTGCTCCATAATGAGCTGACGGCGTTCGCCGACTTTCTGTCCCAAAGGGGTTTTGAGTGTTTTGCGAAGAGCGAGCAACTTGTCGAAGAAGTGGGAATAAGCGGAAATCACCGTTGCATTTGGACTGATCAGCGGTTCACCTTTGATGCAAGCGTATCCGCCTACTCTAAAGATCCCGATGGCGCCAATTGCATCCAAGCGATCGGCGTCTTGGACGCAATGGTACTCACGACAAGTTTCGTGCCATTCGGTCCAGTTGCCGCTGTTTTTCAGCTTTCGTTCAATAGAATAACCAGTATTCCGAATGATTTTTAATACAGTAGCAATACGGTCGTTGCTCATACCATAATCGGCCATGAGCTTTGTAACTGTGTCAATGCGCTCAGCGACCAAGGGGCCACTGACGTATTTGTGGTCCACAATGTCGTGAAACATCGCACCCAGCACGGTGACCGTATTATCTATGACATTGAATTGGCCCGCAAGTCGTTCTGCCATTCTCACAACGCGATCAATATGGTGTTGATCATGACTTGGATCGTAGCTCTCCATGTACTTGACGGTCAGCATCCTAGCGGCTCCTAGTAGCTCCTGTTCATTGTTTTCTCGTTCTACCATTGGTGACGCCCACTCATCCGGGGGCGTTAGCAGTTTTGCATTCATTTGTGGAATCCTCAACAATTTTTGTGCGTGGCAACAAATAGGAATACTCCCGTTTATATAAACCGCGGGTCTCGGCTTAATCTTGTATAACAAGGTTAGGGTTCACGAACGGTAGTCTTCCAGTACACATGCTTCCGAGATAAGAGTCACCCAGTTGCCGATGATGATCCCTTACGGTTGGTGGATCGTTTGCGCCAAATCTGTACTAGTATTTGCTTAGAATGTAGCACCAGCAGTAATAAATAAGCGTTCTTCGTGGCGACGGACCCAAATAAGTATTCTGCGGACTGCTTCGCTCAATGCGGTTTTATTCAACGACTTTGCTGCGCAGTACAATTCGAACGCTGGGGTCTGCCATGCTAAAAGAACATGGTGGGGGTACCGGGCGTGGCAAATTCGGAGCTTGTTGTCGTGCATGTACCCTTGCAATTGCGAGTAGGCGAGCTTCAGCAGGGTCTGTTGATCTCCTAGCGACTGCAAATCAGATTGGATGTACTGGACGTTTGCTCGCGACTTGTAAAGAAAGTGCGAAATCTCGGGCACTTTCAAGCTGTCTGCAGGCCGCCTTCCCCTCTCGACTGCTTGTTGAAGAGGCAACAACAAGTTCTGTTTGTTGATTTGCTCCATGATGTTTGTGTAGGCCTGCTGCAACTCAAAAAATGCAGTGCGGTCGGGTGAGAGTAGCACCAATGCTGCTGATTTGGTGAAGAAATGAATGTAGGCATACAGAAAGCCTTTGGGGTTGAATCTCGGAAGACAAATAGGAACCCAGTGTTCACCTTCGTCGAAAGCAGTTGTATTGAATAGCATGCTAAACAAAAGATAAAGATCGGCTGGATGCAGGCTGTGTTTCTTGGGGCGGACAACGCCCACAAGCTGCTTGTCTGCGACGATCATTCCGTAAAGCATGTTGGGCGTTCGACACTCGACCAAGATCGAATTGAGGGCCAGTCTGGTTGTTTTGCGCAGCTCCAAACTTTCTAAAGCTCCAAACCAAACAGGATCTCCCGAGGCCATGTCTTTAGCCAGGGCATTCAAAAAAACTTCTGTGCCGGCCAACAAGGGGCGGAGGTCCATATTGGGGCGGCTTGTGAAAGCCTTTTCCAGTTGGTTTTGGGTCAATGTGGACAAAATTTGAGCATGCAGAATGTCCAATTGGTGGCCCAGCTGGGTTTCGGAGCGGTGCAGTTTGTCTATGGCCACAAGAATCAATGGAGAAACCACCCGGAAAACAAAAGTCGTGTTCTTGGATCTGAACGATTTGAGAAGCTGGTTGTCCGCAGCAAAAAAAGACACCAGCGTTTGGGTAATTGCCAAATATTCAACATACTCCACCTCACTGCCGTTTAGTGAATACACTGGCTTCCCTGATTGAGTGAGAATGAGGTAATGGGCCGGAACAGCGCAGAAACCGCTCACCGTTGGCTCGTATACGCTCTGTATAATTGCTTCATTGAGGTCGAGCACCTCGTCGCTTCGAGCTGGCGCGAGATCTCGTGCCTCCATGTCAGCTTACTAGGCAGAAGGGACAAAGAAACTGTGAAAGATATAGTTGAATTTAATTAAATATATGCAAGTTAAAGAGCAGCTCTTTCGCTGGTCATTGATAACGTGAACGAGTTTTGCGCAGAACGCCACGAAGTCATCGCGGGATGTGGGGGCAAAAGACGGGACCTAGACACGAAGTTGGCGTCGTCGCTTTCGCCTTTGCGCGTCTTGCCGGCCCTCTTTTTCAGAAGCTTGTCTAGTGTATCTTGTTTTTCCTCCTCGAGCCTGCGCTCGCTGAGGTTCTTTCGTCGACGTGCCAGCTCGGCCCGTTTGATGCGCTGCTCCTCTACGCTCAGCACCTTTTTCTTGCGGGCTGACGGCATATCAATACTCGTGAGATCAGGGAATACAGGCGGACCCTCGTCGTTATCTTCGATTCGCGCCCTTTGTCTTGCGGTGAGGCGCGACATGTCGATTGAGTCCATTTCAAACTCGCCTTCCTCTTCCGCATAGTCCTCCATTTCATCATCAATCTCTTCTTCGGGCTCCTCTTCTTCCTCTTCTTCTTCCTCCTCCTCTTCCTCCTCCTCTTCCTCCTCCTCGTCTTCGTCTTCGTCCTCGTCGTCTTCCTCGTCGTCGTCGACCTCATCAACGTCTACCTCGTCATTACTCAACGAGACGCCACCGCCGCCTTCTCCGTCGCTCTCGCTGTCACTCACTGCTCGGCGCCGTCTGGCTTTGGGCGACTCGGCCGGCAACTTGAGCACTACCCGTTTGGTGGTCATGTCGGTAAGCTGAATTATCTTGACTAACCTGCCTTGACTTCTACCCCACTCGAGATGGCGTTGGATTTGGTCTTCCCAGAGAACACGGGGAGGTTGCCAAACAGCAAATTGCCACTTCAGCTGAAACATGTGCTGGCAGTAGTGTACGTATTTGGCGGATTCTCGGCGCTCATGGCTCTCCTGTCGAAGCTAATTGTCAAGCCGCTGTTCGAACAATTAACTGCTCAACGACAAGAGTTGGCGCAAGCCGTGCGATACAAGCTGGTCAAATTCAACTGTGAGCTGGAGCACTCACTTAAAGACCCCCCTTCTCTTCATTCGATCAAACACGGATATGCCGACACTCTTGTTCGGACTGAAAAGCGAGGCACTGGGAAGACAGCTTCCTCGGGTGCCTATAAACTTGAGCGAAATGATTTAAAGGACGAGTGTTCTGCTGCAGAAAAAAGCTTGCTTGATGAGATTAAGAGTTTAGAGGAGTACATGAGAGACGTCGCATTTGGCTACTCCAGCACTAGTTCGAATGCTAAAGCCAAATCCAGTACTGTGGCTGAATTCAGAAGCGAAGTTCGGTCGTTCAAGGGCGCACTGCTTGCTCTGTAGGTATGTACACAAATAAATATTTAAGACTCAAACATCTTTAAGACGGTCACCTCGCCGTTTCCAACGAGCCTGTAGTTTCTTATGCTCCTTAGCGTCTGGCTTCCACTTGGACTTTAAAACATGGCGAATGCTTTCAGGACTTACTTTGAATCGCATGCCCAAATCGTCGTTGGTGAGTTCAGGAAACGCCCGCTTGAGATCCCGCACCTCTTCGATTTTTTCCCGGCTCAGGCGTTTAATGGGCTTGAAGCCGTCTGGGAACTTTTCTCTCAGGGCAAACATGTGCCTTTTCCACATGTCTATGTCCGATTTGCGCCAGTTTTTGGGAACATTCACCGCTGGCTTCACTGGCTCAGTGGCGCCGCTCAAGTCCCAGGAACCCTTGATGTAATACGGAACGGACCGTTTTATTGGTTTTGTCGCAGGTTTAGCGGCCAACATCTGAGCCCCTGTCGAAAACCACCTCAACCGCTGCATCAGATAATTTTCAGCCTGATGGGGAGTGGGTTAGGTCGGACAAACTGGCTTTGATCCGGAGGCTTTGACCACACAAGGGCGTTCAGGGGCGAGACAGTCACTTTTTCCGAGGAACAATCTCGTGCCACAATTCCTCTTTGAAAAACTGCCAAAACTTGTCCCTCTTGCGTTTTCGAATCAGCTTTTGCTGGTGCTTCAGTCTCAGCATTGCCGCCAAATCCGGGGCATGGGCCGCCGTGTATCCCTCACCATTTAACATTCGGACGACCTGGTGGAACCTCGGACTGGCCAAAAACTGTTTGACCAGCCATCTGTGTATGCTCTCTCGCCACATTGCAGAAACCAGCTGACGGCTTGGTGGATGGTAAGATGAATAAAGACGTTTAGTAAATATGAACATGAGATTGATCTAGTTAGACAAGTAAAGCGGCCCAAGTTGGCCACGGGATACAGTACAGCGCAAAGCAGGACTATTTTAGATTCGAGCAATCGACTTTACAACCATGATTTTGGCCGGGCCGCGTCCCAGCGGTTCCAGAGAGTTCAGTCTGTTTTCACCGCGGCATTTTGAGAAATGTAGTGGAACACAAATATTAAGACGAGCGCAGCAACACCAAGCACTACCACGAGATCAGAGAGCTGAGTATCCTTGATCATTGTGGCTTTTTTGTCAAACGTTCAGGACTGGTTTTTACCTGACTTAATAACAGCGCTTCCTTTGATGGACCAGCTGACATCATCCGAAGGCCTCGGCCAGAAGGTTCGCGGAGAGGACTCCTGGTATACATAGGGCTATATGAAACAAAAACCTTATTTGGGACCTACGTAAATGATCCATACCCAGCATTTTGTGGTATGCCGGTTTTTTTAACCGATGCACTTCGGAAGCTTATGAGTTCTTGGCGAAGCAACACGTGCGAGCACTTTTTTTTCTGATTACCAGCGCCAAAAACTATTTGATAGCGAATTCACAACCTAAATTATAAGTGCGGACTGATCCGGTATACCCGGCAAGAATTGATGTCCAAAGCTCATAAGACAAGATCGCATGACCGGAAAGCTGTTGCAAGCCGCATGGCCGAGCAGCGAGGGTTTGTCCCAGAGCACCGGCGGCCGTTTCACACGCGAAATATTTCTGGCCAGAACAGCCGATCTAGGCTAGGTCTGAGGTTTCTGCGGACTCCGACCTGAATCATTCGACTTGCAGTCCTCGACTGCAGCTCGTCCTATTCACAGATCATACACCCGTTTAGAAGTCGCAGCCTTTAATCGGGGTGCTGATGTTAGGGTAGTAACCGCAACGACGGCTATCCAGGTGGCCAAATTTTTGACTAGTGAGGGGTTTTGAACAAACGCGTACGCCCCATAAACCAGTACGCCAAGATTGATCTTGCAGAAAACACGCTATCCAAGCCTAGACCGGCTTATCTGGCACCATAACCCCACGTAGATGTGTTGGCGCCTTGCTATCGACTGCGTACAGCATGCCCGATGACCCCAGTTGACTCAGGGTTGAGGCTGGCTCTCACTAGCAGCTTCTTGCATTGATCAGCTTACGTCAGGGGTTCAGGCCCTCTTATCTTCAATGCAAAACTATAGACAAAGACATTTTAGAGCCCTAGTTGAAATAATTTGCAATCGTAATTATTCAATGGACTGAATTGTCCGCTCTGTCTCCCGCTTATTTGCTCCCAGTTGTGTGATCGGGTAAGTTGTGCATGCCTTTAATTGCGTTTGCCCGAGGGTATGCCTGCCTCGTGGCGAGCTTAGTGAGACAGTTAACCTCCCGGGACCTGCTGCTTTTCAACAACCCAACTGATCGCCTAAAAGCCTCCATCTCAGCATATCCACGTACTGAGTTCTTGGCAAACTTTGATCAAATACCATACTTGGGTCATCAAGCTTTGTGCCGAACAGGTTTCAGCACTGTTAAAGACTTTTTAACCAGGCCGCATTGTAAATTTTCTCCTCCCACAAAAGGCGGACGAGCATTTTTTTCCCTCCAGCATTGCGAGCTATCATACAGCAGTAGCTTGTTTACCTGCGCAAATACACAAACCGAACCTCGTCTATTTGCTTGTAGTCACACAGCACTAGCCATGGGGCTCTTCAATTCGTCAAAGGCTTCATGCCGATCTGACCCCAAATATTCTCAATTGCCTAGTCCCAAAGGCTCCAGTATGAACGACGATTGCCATATATTGAGCGATGTAGAGCTGGAGAGACGCTACAATATTTTACGAGCAGAGGAGCATGCCAGAACCGGCGGGAAATGTGGCCCCGAATGGTCTCGCCAAATCGGTCTTGATCCAAACAACAAAGACCGCAACCGCTATTCGAATATTATTCCTTGGGACCATTCCCGCGTGAGACTGCCGGTAAATGACGGCGCTAACGATTACATCAATGCATCGTGGATCCAGCTGGGTGCTCACACCTATATTGCTAGCCAGGGCCCGCTCGCCTCTACCTCTGCACATTTCTGGCAAATGGTATACGCATATGGTGGCGACCCTGCCACTGTGGTCATGCTCACTCCGGTTTACGAGCATGTTGTTGAAAAATGTGCCAGATACTGGCCCTCCGACAAAAATGCAGATACATTCTATGCTAAAGAACAGGGCGACTTTGAGTTCGGGCTTCATCTCAAGCTGGAAAAGAAATCGGAGAATGAGCATTACACCTATTCTCAATTCAAGCTCACTCCTGACGATCCACACCACCCCACTCACACTATTCACCATCTCTATTATAATACTTGGTTGGATTATTCCAAACCCAACGCTGATGCAGATATCCGGGCACTTATTCAACTCGTCAACAATTCCCTCAAAAACCCAGGTGCACCTTTAGTGGTGCATTGTTCGGCTGGCATTGGACGGACTGGTACTTTTATCGCTATCGATGCCTTGCTGTCCAAGGTTGATACAGATATCCGATTGCCTAATTTCCCAAAGGTTTCTCCAGTGTGGAAAGAAGATATCAAGGAGATTACTGATAAAAACTCACCCTTTGATGGCGAGAGAGACCATCATGATACGACTACCCCCATAGACGCCGGCCACCTCAACCCTCTTTCGATCATTGCCCAGAGGAGTCCTTCGTTTGTTGCATCATCTACACCTAGTGAGTCAGAAATTCCAGATCCATCGTCAAGGCGAAGATCCTCTGTTTTATACGAGTCAGTGCGCGCAAGTGATCTACCGCTGAACGTCCTCGAAGAAGCTTCGACTGAAGAAAACACCCCGGCGCCCGAATCAGCCATTGCCGATGATAGCGATGACTGTAGAGGAAGCGTCCCCCGTATGCTCCTTTTTGGCTCCAAAAAAGTCGCAGACGTCCCAGCCATCACAGTTTCCTCATTGAGCTCTGCTCTCAAAGCATCCAAAACTGCTATGAACGGCCGTAGAAACGGCTTCTTGACGAATGGCGGCGATTTGAGCGAATCGAACTCTACAACAAGCACAGATCTAACTTCGTTGAGCACTGCAGCGTCGTCTGTAGGAGGGTCAGCCAAAACCGGCCCTGTTTTAGCCGGGTCAGCAAAGACAGGCCCTCTTCTCGCGGGATCAGCAAAATCCGGACCAGTTTTGGTAAACAGACCATCGCAGATTGTCCTTTCAGATGAATTCTTCCAGGAAAAGCCCAACGATATCGATGTCATTGAGTGGTTCGACCACGAAGACCCTGTAATGGCGGCAGTGAGATGTATGCGAAAGCAAAGGCCAAAGATGGTCCAAGGTAAGCAACAACTTGGATATATCTACGATCAGCTCGAGATTGCTCAGCAGTTATCAAAAGCTCACAAAATGTCACGGAGAGAGACATTCGCTGGCCATGAGCTTTCGAGCTCAGGCATGTCTATTCACAGCTCTGAATCCACGGTTGTTGGCAGCCTGAACCGGTCAGAAACAACCCTAAACAAACCAAAATCGAAGAGCACTGCTGGGAGCGTCCCTGGACGCAAACTGTTTAGAAGACCCACCATTTCGTCTATGTTTTCGCCCAGTTCGCCAATAGCTGCCGCAAAGCGACCCACAAAGTCATGACATCGAGTGTGCCCTTTCATGAGATTCATTTATTAGTTTTGGCATGTGTAACATATATATGAGCATATCAAATTCATAACTAACAAGAAGAAAAGCTTTTTTTTTCAAAGCTATCTATCAAAACGTAACGGGCCTAGCCGGAGCACATCTCACAAGCGCTGGGATTGTTGATGGAGCATGCAAGAACCTCGTCGCTGAAAATGTTGACCTCGCCAGTGGGCTTAGGGGTAGCGGTGTTCTCAGTAACGACAGGCTTAGCAGTAGACTCAGCTTCAGGGGTCTCAGCGGGGGTAGTATTAGCAGTAGACTCGTCCTGATCAAGAGAGACACGAGAGATGTCACCCGCCAGATCATTGATTGAGGTACGGGGAATATACTTCTTACGAGACAGCTTGTGACTGGCAACGTTCGTCTCTTCCAGTGCTAGTTTCTCCTGGTCAACAGTGAACTGAATGGGAGCCGAAGCTGCCTGGGTACGCAAGTAGTACATACCAGTCTTGAGGCCCTTTTGCCATCCGTAAAAGTGCATACTGGTGAGCTTGCCCATCGTAGGAGCCTGAATGTAGATATTCAAAGACTGGCTCTGATCGATGAAAGCAGAACGGTCAGCCGCCATGTCAATAACGGTCTTTTGGCTAATCTCCCAAACAGTTTTATAAAGTTCCTTGATTTCGTCGGGAATAGAAGCAATGTGCTGAATAGAACCTCCGCTTGCGATAAGACGGTTCTTCATGTCGTCGTTCCAAAGACCCATCTCAACCAAGTCCTTCAGCAGGTAAGGATTGACAATCTGGAACTCACCAGCCAAAACACGGCGCGAATAAATGTTGGAGGTGTAAGGCTCGAAACACTCATTGAAGCCGAGAATCTGAGAGGTGGAAGCTGTGGGCATGGGAGCAACCAACAAAGAATTGCGGATACCGTGTTGGGCCAAGTTAGCCTTGAGAGTGTCCCAGTCCCACAGATCAGTCGGAGTGACATTCCACATATCGTACTGGAGAATGCCCTTACTTGCAGGAGAGCCCTGGTAGCTCTCGTAAGGACCAAGTTCTTGAGCGAGCTCAATGGAAGACTCGAGAGCAGCATGATAAATCGTCTCGAAAATCTGGATGTTGAGATGCTTGGCCTCCGTAGAGTCGAAAGGCAAGCGCAATGCAAAGAAGGTATCAGCCAAACCCTGGACACCCAAGGCAATAGGCCTGTGGCGGAAATTGGAGCGACGGGCTTCTTCAACGGGGTAGTAATTCTTGTCGATAATACAGTTCAAGTTGCGAGTGACAACCTTGACTGCATCATGCAATTTTTTGAAGTCGTACCACGTACCGTTGTCATCACTTTCAACAAACGAGGGAAGCGCCATTGATGCCAAATTGCACACGGCAACCTCATCAGGAGAAGAATACTCGACAATTTCACAGCACAAGTTAGAGGACTTGATGGTACCAAGGTTCTTCTGGTTGCTCTTACGATTGCAAGCATCCTTGTACAACATGAAAGGGTTGCCAGTCTCAGTTTGAGCTTCAAGGATAGCATACCAAAGCTTCTGAGCAGGAATGGTCTTGCGACCTTTATTTTCCTGTTCGTACTTGGAATACAAAGCCTCAAACTCATCGCCATAGACATCAGAAAGTCCAGGGCACTCGTTAGGGTCCATAAGGGTCCAATCCTCATTAGCTTTGACGCGCTTCATGAACAGATCAGGGATCCAAAGGGCCAAGAACAAGTCACGAGCACGGACTTCCTCTTTTCCATGGTTTTTGCGCAGATCAATGAACTCGAAAACATCAAAGTGCCAGGGTTCGAGATAGATGGCAAAGGCACCAGGGCGCTTGTTGCCACCTTGATCGACATAACGAGCAGTGTTGTTAAAAACACGGAGCATAGGGAGCAGACCGTTGGAAGTACCATTGGTACCAGCGATATAAGAGCCAGTGGCACGAATATTGTGGACATGCAGGCCAATGCCACCAGCAGATTTCGAAATAAGGGCACAGGTCTTGAGGGTGTCGTAAATACCGTCAATGGAGTCGTCCTTCATGGCAACCAGGAAGCACGATGACATCTGGGCCTGAGGGGTACCAGCATTGTAGAGAGTGGGTGAGGCATGAGTGAAATACTTTTGAGACATGAGCTCGTAAGTCTCGAGAACTTTAGGGATGTTGGCACCATGGATACCCAATGCAACACGCATAATCATATGCTGGGGACGCTCATGAACCTTGCCATTGAGTTTGAGCAGGTAAGAACGTTCCAATGTCTTGAAACCAAAGTAATTGTAGTTGAAATCACGATCATACACGATAGCAGAATTGAGCTCGTCGGCATGCTTGCGGACAACCTCAGCCACCTCATCCGAAATCATGGGAGACAGCTTACCGTTGCGAGGGTTCACATATGTGTATAGATCCTCAACGACCTGGCTGAACACCTTCTTTGTCTGCTTGTGCAGGTTGGACACGGCAATACGAGCAGCAAGAATGGCGTAGTCCGGGTGAACGGTAGTCATGTACGCGGCAGTTTCGGCAGCAAGATTGTCGAGTTCCACGGTGGTAACACCATGGTAAACGCCATTAATGATACGTTGCGTGATGTGGACAGCGTCGACGTGTTGAGGGTCGAGGCCGTAGCAAAGACGCGAAACGCGGGCGGTGATCTTGTCGAACTGGACTTTTTCTTTACGACCGTCTAAAGGTTAGTATCAGGGACGTTGAAACAGTGTTTCGGGAGCAACTTACCTCGCTTGTATACAAACATGGTTACGATGGGGCGTAAAGGAAGAACAAAAAACCTTGCAGGATCGTTCGGTCGCGTTATTTATAATTTTGACGCGTGCGCGCCTTACCCTTGAATTCCATATCGTGATTTATACGGCGGTTAGAGGGGTAGGATGGGTTTTAAAAAATAATCTGACGAATGAATACTAGCTGATTTACGCAATTTTTGTTTTCGAGAGCTTGTCCGAGTTGTTCATCTGCGAAAAGCCCTTGTGGCAATTCTCAACCATGCATTCCGATCCCATGCAAGTAAATTACCCTAATTAGTCTGACTTTCAGCAGGGTTACCCTGTCAGAATCTACCAAGCCGCTTATTCAGCAAACACATCGCCGGGCCGTCCACGAGCAGGGGGGATTACAGGACAAAAAAAGTTTTAGCTCAGCACCCTTATCAACCCATTCACCCCTTGGATCCACCGCCTAACGCCCCCACCAGCAACCCTCCAACCCCCCCTTTTGGTTTGCCGGCAAATAATACCAAAAAGGCACTAAAAGTATGCGATACCTTAACTCAGGAAGCTCTTTGAACGACAGCTACGACGTGTCTCTGTCGAGCGACCATGGCGGGGCCCAAACTGACCGATCAGAGTCCCTAGAACCCTCGGAGTCCGTTCGGCCTATGTCAGACCAAGTAGAGCTCATTAACGCTCGCATTTTCGACAATTCAGACCGCACCCTGTTTCTGCGTGTAATGGGTCGTATTGGCACCCGCTGCACCTATGCGGCAATGGCCACAACCATCGACCGGGTGTTTCGCGATGAGAAATGGACGTATGTTTCAGTGCTTGGTCCCGAGGAACTGACGAAAAAGATCACCAACAAACTCAAAACGCTCAACAAACATCATACTCACCAGGATCTAGAACGCCAGCGCTATCTGATGAACAAGGATTGGTATGAACGCGTAGAAGAGCGTATCGTGCGTCGTCTCAACGATTCATCGCAACCACCAGTGCGAACAAATGCTCCTTCTTCAAGTAATGTTCGCCAGAGCTCTCGCCGAGTGCGGTACTCTGAGGCAGAAGAAAAAATGTTCCGTCATTGGATGGTGAGCTTGACCGAGAATGCAGTCGGCTATATCTACACTGCATACAAAGGGACTCGCAAACGTGAAATGCTCAAGCATAAACTACGTGAAGTCCGCAAATCATATTCTATTAAAGAGGTGAAATCCGTTTCTCGCTCTGAATCAAAAGACGACCTTGCCAGCAACAATGCTGAAGCTGATAACTCGGACGGCGAAGATAAGCACCCGGCTGCCTCCGATGGCAAGTTCCAGCAGGTGGTCACATACCGTCGCCTTTATAAACTCGATTCGTCTGGTCACTTTGATGAAACCAAAAAAGACAAATGGGCAGAAGGCCCTATTCCCGAAGCCGACAAGGCTGCTTTCAATCGCCGTGTCCTGGAGCTCAAGCATGAGACTTCAACATTGAATACCAACGATTTCGATATGCTTGACACTACAACCTCAGCTTTAGGACCTGAAGATGATTTCGACACTTCTACGTTCATTGGCAGAACTCTGGACGTAGATGACCCAGATCGCTTCATTAGCGAGCATTTGCGGGATGCTACGGCGGGTTTGGCTTCTAATAATGACGGTAATCAACAGTCCACTACTGCTAATCTCATTGATGCTCTGCGGGTCGAAATTTCTTCTTTAACGGATCGTGCTGGCCACAACCAAACACTATATCCATTCATTGATGCTTACAACAATATTCTGCAAAGCACTTTGAAGGTGTGTCGTGAAGTCGAACGTAATAGGCAGGGTGGAGAGAGCCAGTTCTCGTACAAACAGCTGTTTGAGGGTGAAGAAGATCGTCACCGCGCCTCGGTTGCTCAGGTACAGAACTATATGAGCTCGCACGGTGCTAGCCTGGGATCGGGCCACCCAACCGCAGCGGCAGCAGCCGCTGTTGCAGCAGCCGCGGCTGTTGGTCAAGAGGATCAATCCAAGGAACAGGTTTCGAAACGGCAGAAAACTCACTGAGAGAGAAACCGTCCAACCAGCCTACCCACCGAATAAAAACAAAACAAAAGCAAAAACAAAAACAAAAAACAAGTTAAACATATCAAGTGTACGAAATAAATTAAGTTATATCTCAAGTTTAACCACCAGTCGCACCTTCAGGGCGAGCAGACTCCCGAACTTCCACGATCTTGCGATCGCGCAATTGCCTGAGGGAATCAGGAACACTGGGAAGCACAGCATGCTGGCCATCTTTGCGACGACGATCAATCAAGTCAATCGTATTCGAAAACCTCTGGAACAGTTGCTCCGCACGCATAAGAACCACATCTATATCCAGAGATTGACCGAGCTCGTTGATGTACTTGAGAACCTCATCAAAGTGATGCAGTTGGGCCATGATGACCTCTTTGTTGAGATCAAGAATAGCCAGTGCCAAGAATAAGTGGAATTGAGAAGAGTAAAAATCAGTCCAGAGCACTTCCCATAACCTAAGAACAGCATCCCATTCAAATTCTCGCTTGTACCAGACTAGCAGCATGCGGAAAAAGAAGAAAAAGTGGGTACTTTCAGCCTTTTCGAGATGCTCGAATAACTGCGGGAGCATGAAGCGAACAAGGCTCTCCAAGGTTTTGAGCTGATCGTGCATTCCGGATTGATCCCGGAGAAAGTTGCGCTCCATCCGGCGCATAAACTGGCAGAACGCCCAGAACGCAAGAGCATCATCTTGAAGAACGACGTAGAGAGGAGAGAGAAGATCAGACATACCCTGAATGTAACCTAGGTTTTCGTTGTACTCATTATAAGTGATGAGCATATCTTTCATCTGTTCCAAATGCGGGTTTGCACCCTGACTGGCAAACCTGCTGTCGGGATCTGGATGGGGAATATCGCTTTGACCGAAGATTTCAAGCTGGCGGTCAGTTCTTAGCACGTCTTTCTCGATTCTGTGTTTTTGATCTTTCCAGAACTCATCATTGTTCTGACGCTCAGTATCGTCCCACCAATGGCGTTTCAAACGATAGTATTCGTTGCGCTTTTCAGAGGTAATAGAATGCCGCTCAATTGCATTACTATCCCATGGATACACGCCGAGCAAAAAGAGCCAACCCTCAGTTCGGGCACTTGGTTCGAGTCCACCATGGAAAATACGATCAAGAACCTCGGTTTGAGTGATACACAATCTGCCTGACAGGTCAAAGAACGAGTTCCATTCTTCTAAAGTGACAGGATTGCGTCTCTCTACTGAGGCAGCCAGGCTTATGACGTCGTACTCTTCATCTGTAGCGCCTATACTCGAAATGAGATCGTCGTAGCTATCCATCCAAACCACATCGTAACGAGGATCAGAGTTTTCAGCAATTCCCAGTGCCCACTCAGCCAAATAGATTCGAGCACTGTCGAAATCATTGCTCAATTGCTCGACCTCGGGGACTTTTAGCATGGCTTTAACATTGGCCGGAGTGCGATCCAAAACCTGCTGGCCGGCCTTACGACTAAACCTTGTCACAGCGGCCAGCTTCTCCATTAGACCCCATTTCGCGTCTTCCCATGCTTTTGAGAGTTTCGCGATATTGTCGTCTCCAGGTTGAGGAGTGACCAGCTTAGCGGCGGCCGGTGAAAACGACAACTTGTCTGCCACATCAGGGTTTACTAGCAGTAGACCTCTTTCGACAGTCGCGTCCACCAGCTTTACGTACTTTCTGAGTTCTTTCAAAAACGATTGGCCGCCCCAATACAGATCGCCAGAGTCCGAGAATGGCTCGAAACTCTCACAATTCCGCTTTTGCTCGTTGACTGTACTCTCAGACTCCAAATCGTGGAAAAACAGTGCTGGTAGCGTCACCTGGGTTCGCGTGTAGAAAAGCAAAGAGCCCCACCACCAGCCTAGAGAGGGCTGGCGGACCTGGATAGAAAACAGGTCTTTGACTGCAATTGAGAAGGCATGAGAGCTGCGAGCATTCAATGGCGGTGGGGAAACCATCACCCTGCTTGTTTCGGAGATTGCGCCCGATTCAGGATCAAGATCTACCTGCACATAGTTGTCAAAGTCATCTTTGGACTGCCGAATGAGATATTCAGGGACCCAGCTGAGAAGAATGTCTAGATCTGAAGCACCGTCTGGCCTGATAAGTGCTAAATAGCCAGCAATGTTGTCCTTGGACGATTTTGAAGGATGTATATAGACTTTTGATTTGCAGTAAAGCAGCTGTACTTTACTGGTGTCCATCAATAGGAAGTGGCAAGACAGAGGCTTGGGAGGGCTAGGGCCATGATGATTTAAACTGGTGCAGTGGCTGCAATAATTTGGATAGTTTGAAATTTAGGGACTGAATTAGCTTGAAGTACGGTGATTTAAATGTGAGCAAGCAGGCTCGGGGGCCTCCTTTTTGCAGGACACCCCTAAGCTGAAGAAGCCGCTGGCCGGACCCAGGCAAACTATCCAAAGCACCTAAAACAGACACTTCAAACAACTACCTTTCCGATTGATAGATTATTTTTCAAACTTGTTGTATATTGTCTCCACCTTCCTTTTCCGAGGAGGTATTATATAAAGCTGCGGGGTGCGTATTTTGATTCGTCCCATTTCTCAATCATGTACTTGCGTCGATTGTACTCTACAGGTCTCCCCAAGTCTTTGACGGTCATTGGTGCTGGTCAGATGGGCGTTGGCATTGCCTATGTTGCGGCTGCCAACGCCAAAGTTCCCGTCACTTTGATCGACAACAGCACCCAGTCCTTGGACCGCGGCTCTGCGTTTGTCGACAAGCTGCTGGCGAAAAACGTCTCGAAAAAAAAGTTGACCGAAGAGGACGCCAAGGCGATCAAGGGCCGTATCTCTTTGTCTCAGGATGTTGAGGGTGTTGTTGGCCAGACCGATATTGTCATTGAGGCCGTTCCGGAAATTCTCGATCTCAAGCTCAAGATTTTCGAGAATCTGGCTAAAATTGCTCCCCAAAACACAATTCTCGGCACAAACACATCCTCGATCTCTATCAGCAAGATTGCTGCCGCTGCCAAAGGTGCCGAGGACCGGGTTATTGGTATCCACTTTATGAACCCTGTTCCCGTCCAACCCGGTGTGGAGATCATTCGCGGTTTGCAGACCTCCGACGCTACTCTTGCTACTACCAATGCATTTGTCCAGTCCTTGAACAAGATCACCAGCACTTCCAATGACGTCCCGGGCTTCCTTGCTAACCGTATTCTTATGCCCTACATCAACGAGGCAATCATTGCCTATGAGACCGGTGTTGGCCAACCTGAGGATATCGACAGCATTATGAAGAACGGCTGCGCCATGCCCATGGGTCCGCTTGCCCTTGCTGACTTTATCGGCCTTGACACTTGTCTTGCCATCATGAAGGTTCTGCACAACGACCTCGGCGACTCCAAGTACCGCCCCTCCGTGCTGTTGGCCAAGATGGTCGATGCTGGATACTATGGCGTCAAGTCCGGCCGTGGTTTCTACGATTATTCCAAGAAATAGATAAACAATACGGATTAGTCTGCTCTTACAATTGTGTTGTTTTCGGTTGTTTGTGTTACATTACGCAGTCAAAACTTGGGCATATCCGATAAGGCCGGAGAGTTGATCGACTCGGCCTCACGACGCAATCTCTCTTCGAGTTCCCGTAGTTCTTGCTCACGCCTCTGAAGTTCGCTGCGTCGCTGCTCAAGCTCGGTTTGCAACGACATTTCGTGCTTTTGTAGCCGCTCTTCCTCCAGACGTAGCTGTTCTTCGCGGGCAAGATAACTCGGACTCGACGCGTCGGTAGGCGGCAAAGCAGGCAGATTAAGTCCACTGCCGTTGGCATCGTCGCCCTGGTTCTGGACAGACAAACGCTGCGTACGATAGGACTCGTACAGTACGTCATATGTGCTCTCCTTCAAGTCGTTCATGTGAGAATAAAGCAGCAAATCACGCAACAGCGCAAGGTCACTGTTGTTAGGATCCTCGACGTTAACGCTACCCCACGGGTACTGGCGAATGAGGACGGGCCGGCCGTCTTCACCGGGAACAAAAGAGTTTGTGCCAATGACCGAGAAAGGAACCGACTCTTGCACGTTAAGCAGCGCATCGTAAGACGCGTTCGGATCGGCTCCATCTTCTTCCTCTTCCTCGTCAAGGCTTGTGAACTGGTAGATTGGGATGGAGTATCTGGCAATGTCCTCACGAACAAGTCGTTTATTCAAAAGGATTTCACCTCTGGTCAGCGTGTCAGCCTTCGCCAGCACGGGAATCACGTTAACCCGAGACCCAACCATTCGCATAAACTCTACGTCCAACTCGCGAAGACCGTGACCAGTGGGCTCAATCATATAGACTAAGGTGTGTAGCCTGTGGTCAATAAAACGGGGATTACGCTTGATGCGGGACTCCTCAGCAAGCACGTCATCAAACTGCTGTTCAATGAACTCCAGGGCCTCTCGCAAAGCTCCCGAACTGTCCTTACTCTCACCGAGACCGCTGGTCTCAATAAAGCTCAAAGTGATATTACCCACGTCCGGATCGTTCAACTCCTCAGTATAGGTTCTGAGGCGAATGGGCCTGTCCCGGTGCGCGTTATTAGGGTCATCATCAAGCCAGTCGGTCGTGCTGGCAATCTCGCGTCCACAAAGGGTGTTGATCAGGGTGGTTTTTCCACACCCACCGCTGCCTGCAACCATCACATTGAAGCGCACATTCCGCTTTTGGTTGCGCTTCTGTCGAAGCACTGACGCTGAAGGTAGCCGCCGGTGCATGTTCAAATATTATCTCTCGACCTAAACGTACGGGTGGTTGAGGGTGTCGCGTCGTTTTACCTAAGCACAAGATCCCTTTATGACTGGGGGCTTCTTGCCGCCTGGGTGTGTAATCCGTCCATGGATCGCAACACCCCAACCTCGAAGCGGAGTCCGTCTATTCTAGTCACGGATGCGCGAAACAATCCGCCTGGGAGGTCTGCGCCATTTGTGCGAAAGCTGGGCAACGTCTCTGTCGACAGAGTTCTTTCGGGCACCAGCGAGGTTCCGTCAGCGCTAGCCCGGCGGTTGGGCCCCAAACTGAGAGTGCCGACGATGAACCAGCCAATGCCCACGCGGACGTCTAAAATGTCGCAGCGACTGGTTTTAATTCCCGAGGAGGAGTACAGAGACGAGAAGGCGGACGGCTCCGATCCCACTTTGGGGCACAGAGTGGGTCTTACGTCTGCAGAACAATTGTCCCGCGAGGAGCGGGCTGGCCAGTACCCGCGGGTAACGTCTTACTTGGTGGCAGATTTATTTAAGCTGAAAGAAACCGCTGATTATTTGCGAAGAAACCATTCGGCTCGCATTCGAATGTATGACGAGGCGTTGTTTGTTGATTATTTGCTACCGCTTTTGCCAGGGAACGGCGTTCTGGCACGTGTCCAAAGTTCGCTGGGTGACAATCGCACAATGGAACGATTGATCGATATAAGTGAGCAGGGTGACCACCATTATGAGTACTTTAGCGAACTGGAGTCCAATCAGCCCGCCGGCCATTCGGGAGAACAAAATGACGACTTCGACCCCAGTGAACCACAAGACTTTAGCCCCCGAGGCAAATCACCGCCTAGCTTTGGCCGCCAATCACACCACCGTAAAGATACCGAACAGAGTGAGCAAATCAGAAAACAGCAAGAAGAGTCCAAGGTTTCGAGGTATCTTACCCACGCGGCCATGTTTGTTTTGAACTACGGGGTCGTAGTATTTTGGAATTTCACCGAATCTCAAGAAAAAGCCATCCTCGCTGATCTTATTCTGCAGAGCCGTGCCCTAGCTGTAAGACCAATGGATGTGGACGACGTTGAAACGGAAGAGTTCCATTTCACATACGCTGTCAAAGAATCACGCCCGCGAATATTCAACGACATGATCACCCTCACAAACAATAGCCATATGATCAAGCTGGCAATGACCCATGCTATTGCTCAGTCCACCAAGCTAAGTGGATTTGAAGAGCGAATGCAAGCTAAAATGCGGGATGTCAAGGCGGTTCCAAAAACACTGGCGCTCACCGGCGAACTGGGCATTAAACGTGAACAAGTTTTGCGAATCTACGGCACGCTATTCAAATTGCGGGTTGACGTCAATTTGAGCTCTAATGTGCTTGACACACCGGACATTTTCTGGGAGAGCGAGCCGTCGCTGGCCCCTGTGTACGCAGCCCTCCGCGAGTACCTGGAAATTGACCCCCGGATCCTGGTGCTGAATGAGCGATGTAGCGTGTTCTTAGAGATGACGCAAATCCTTGCCGACTCGGTTGCTGAATTCAACATGGACCGAATCACGGTGATTATTATTGTGCTTATTATTCTTTCAATTCTCGTGTCTCTCACCGAGATCGCAGTGCGATATTTACTTCTACGAAGGTATCATAAATAGGGGGAATGCATTTCACACTTTATTTAATTGATATTGTAGCATCATCACTGTCCTTATCATGCCAATCATCGTGAAAAAGGATGCCAGTCCAATAGGAATCACCGCATAGACCGCGGTGTGGAACAGGTTTAACGTGCGCTCCTTGGTGTTTGCCGCCATATTAGACGCAATAAAGCTCTGCAGAATATATGACACAGTGAGCACACAGGTGATAAACACCCAAATCTGCAGGGCCTGGATGTCGCTGGTGCCGAAGCGGGAAAACGACTGAATAAACAAGTAGTTCAGTAAAACACAGGACACCATGCGGACAGTCGCGGCAATTTGGGAGTATGTAACGATCCAGCGCACAATCAACCCATCTAAACTCAAATATGCCATGTAGCCGCTCGCCATGCACCAAACCGCCGGGTAGAGAGCTGACGTTCGACACGGTGCGAGGTTGTGCTGCTGAAAACAAGGTTCCGCCAGCAATAAATACTCGGCTACGGTCAGGCAATACGGGAGAAGCGACAGAACCTTGCTGGCTACCAGTAACCAGTACATATGGCCGCGAATAAGTCGACGCCCAAGAGCGATAGGATCTGGCTTTCGAGGCATTGTCAGCAAACCAACTCGGCTCTCCGCAGAATGGCACATGAACGGTTGTGCTGGCAAACCACCGGCTACACGGGGGGGAGATTTCTTGGTTAAATTATGTCTATCTTATCTAGTTCTTTTTAGCGCCATATTTGGAAACAACCTTTCCGTCAGGAACATTGAATAAGACAGCCTTCTTTCCGTCAAAGGCCTTGTCGATGCGGAAGTAGCCCTTGCGCTCGAATTGGATAACATCGCCCTCCTTGAGATCGCGAACATTAAGATCTGCAACCGACTGGGAAGTGAAGATAGTCTCGGGGGTCAGGTAATCCTCGAAGTTCTCGCCCTCCTCGATCTTGTCCTTGGTGATAAGATGGTCGAAAGTGACAATCTCGACAGGGGTGAGCTCGTCAGTGTTGGCCAGCCACGTGAGCTTCTTCTCGGTCTTGCGGAAGTCACCCTCGAGATGCAGCTTGGCGGCAATCTCAGTGACCTTGCCGTCCTTCCTCACAAGCTTGGTGACAATGGCGTTACCCCAGTCCATAAGAGTGAACTCCTCGCCCTCAGAGAGCGTATCTGCGTCATCTTGCTCGATCAAAAGCTTGCAGGATAAAAGCATGGTCTTGTCACCGAGATCAGCGTTCTTTTTGTGCTTGGGACGAGTCTCGCGGACCACGTCGGCCGGGCCATCCTCCAGGGTCAACTCGATGCCGTTTTCAATGGCCGTGTAGCGAGGAGAAATAGGATCAATGACCTTCTTGTTGATTGCCCAAATTAGAGACCAGTCCAGATTAAGAATGTTCTTGGACGGACCCTGAGCAATAATGAAGTTGCGCAGACCCTCAACGCTCATGCCCCGGCGACGGACACCACGAACGGTAGGGAAACGAGGATCGTCCCAGCCAGCGACGCGGCCCTGGTCAACAAACCATTGTAACTTGCGCTTAGAGAGCAGTGTGCGAACAAAGTTGACTCGGCTAAAGTCCCAAACGTGCACCCGGCGAAGTTTGAGAGCCTTGAGCATCCACTCGTACTGTGTGTTGCGATCGCGGTACTCAATGGTACGCAGCGCATGCGTAACACCCTCGATACTATCAACCACGGGACAGCAGAAATCGTAGGTGGGGTAGATCTTCCACTTGTCACCGGTGCGGTGGTGCGGGGTTAAGTTACAGCGGTAAACGACAGGATCACGCAGGGTCTTGTTGTTGGCATCGACTGAGATCTTGGCACGCAAGCAGTGTTTGAGACCAATCTCGGTACCTTTCTTCATCTCCTCCTCAAAGATCTGCAGGTTCTCCTCGACAGTGCGGTTACGACGCACCGAGGCGATCCCGTCCATACGCTCCTCACGCATCTTTTCTTGAGGAGTGTCATCAGCATATGCATTACCGTCCTTGATCATCTGCACAGCAATGTCGTACATCTCCTGAAAGTAGTCTGAAGAGTGCGTGATCCGATCGCCCTTGATACCAAGCAGCTCCAGGTCCTTAAGGATGGCATTGGTATACTCGACCTTCTCCTTCGACGGGTTAGTGTCATCGAAACGAATAATAAGTTTGCCATGGTACATCTCGGCGAAATATTGGTTTAAAACAGCCGCCTTGGCGTGGCCAATGTGCAAGTACCCACTAGGCTCGGGAGGGAAACGGGTGACGACCTGGCCGTCAATTGCGTCCTTGAGATCGATATCGAAGGAGGCTTTGGACTCTTTCTTTTGGCCGACCTTGGCCTGTTTACGCAGGTCCTGGACACTGTTGAGGAAGTCCTGAACAGCACCGCCAAACTTGACGTTTTGGTCGAGGTGGTTGTACCAGCGAGTGATATTGACATAAGTGCCAGATTTGACGGCCGCACCAAGAACACCGTTAGCTCGCAAAACACCCCAAATCAGGACATCGTTAACGCCGGCCGAATAGCCTGAAAGGTAGGAGCGGAAGTTAAGGAAGTCATTGAGCTGCTCGAGCTGGGGGGCAATGTCCTTGAAGTTCTTGCTGGAAAACAAACCGAACGCCAAATCAAACCACTTGGAGTCGTACTTGAGGTTGGCAGGATGTGCGGCAGCCAGGGCCTCGACAATCTTGTCTGTGCCCTTGACTGAATCAAGAGTAGCCGGCACGCCGTCGACGTCCGCAGCATCGACAATAGCAACATCTACATCGGCTCCAGCAATCTGGGCCGCAATAAGTGCAGGGTAAGCCACAAGTGGTGCTTTTGAAGCAACAGTTAACTTTTGAGGCATGACTGAATCAAGTTGGAAGATTCTGATTTTTCAGGGTAAGTTCAATAAGGCTCCCAAAGATGACGTTGACGTCGGGTTTAGGTAATCGGCACGAAAAGGAAGCATCGTGAAGGATCGAGAGGCCGCCGGGAGGAAAATGTCGGAACCCACGCCTAGCGCGCGAGTAGCTTTGATCACGACACTTGGCAACATTGAAATTGAGGTCTGGGCCAAGGAGATGCCGCTGGCGGCTCGGAATTTCATCACCCAGTGCCATGCGGGGGTGTACGACGGAGCCTATTTCCACCGCATTGCGTCCACGTTTGTTCAGGCGGGCCCTGAGAACGTCGAGACTATTTATGGCAAGCCTTTTGAGCTGGAAACCAACGGGCGGATTAGGATGAATCGCCGAGGCATTGTGGGCTGTGCCGGCACCGCCGCCGGACAAACGTCGCAGCTGATCTTCACTACTTGTCCGGCCCCGGAATTAGCTGCACAGTGCACGGCGTTTGGTCGGCTAGTGGGCGACTCTGTCTACGTGCTAGCGGCCATAAACGATGCCGAAAAGGACGGGGAAGCACCCGTGCATCCCGTGCGCATAGACCGGGCAGACGTCCAAGTGCCATTTTTCGAACTGGCCGCGACTGAGCAGCCCAAACCACAGGTCTCCACTCGCCCCAAACGCCAAATTCGCGTTTTTGACGACGAGGACGCTCCGCCTCTGGTGCTGAAGAAAAACCCCCGGCTTGGTTCTGCGCCGTCGCCCGCCCTCGAAGCTGTGAAGCGATTCGAAGCCCAGCTGGACGAGTTTGTAGCGAAAAATAAATTACGCGGATAAATAACAATCTATGTACTGACGTGAGACACCTCAGACGTCCAGCCAGGAATGGATTCCGGGCCGGCTTGGTGGTCAAGCTTAATATTTTCGAGTCCCAACGCTCCCGAAAGCCAGGGATCATTGGCTATAGTTCCAGCATCAATGCGATTACGAGGGTTTAAACAAAGCATGGGTAATAAGAAGTCACTCAACTGCTTTGCATCCCGTCCATCGAAATGGTACTTTTCAATAAGAACGTCATAAAGCCCCCATTCTCTAAGCTGATGAATGTTGCGCAGCTGGCCGTAACGATTAAACAGTTGGCTGGTGTTACGACCGGTGAGCAGCACCGAGATGGGGATTCGGCCAAGGAGCTCGATAATTTGGGCGATATGGTCATCGTCCTTTGTATAATACTGCCCATTCTGGGGCTCAAACAGGTAGTCGCCGGTGATAAGCTCAAATGTCAAGCATGCCATACTCCAAATATCTACGCTGGCCCCCCAAGTAGATCCCAAGAGAACCTCCGGCGCCCGGTATTGCCTCGTCTGGATATCATCTGTAAAGTGCCGGTCGACCCAGCAAGCGTTACCGAGATCAGCAATCTTCACGGTGATCAGGCAGGTCTCCTCATCACCCCATTCGTTTGAAAACTCGTGTGCAGGCTGCAGTCGATCAACGGTTGGTATGGAATCCGACTCGCGCTTCTGGGGTCCTGGGGTATCGGCTACTTCAGGAACCGTAGGCGACGGAGATCTGTTCAAGGACATGGACGACGCTGTGGCCACAGCCGTCAAGTTGTACGGTTTTTTGGTTTTAGGGGTGCTAGAGCTCGATGAGTAGCTGCTTTCTGTTGAGGGCATTTTGGTAGCAGGTTTCAAAACAAAATCAGACGCCCGTCTCAAATCACTGGAGCTATCTTCCGATTCCTCCTGCTCGTCTTGACTTCCATAGATGTACGGTAGCGAACGGGCACGATAGGGCAAAGGCTCGCTATACATGATGGAGCTCTTGCGTACGGCTCGGCGATTATCAGAGGGAACATGGTTGCTGTCAAGCTTGCTGGTAACTGGAGCAGTTTTGGGGCTAGACATGGGTGAGCTGACCGCACTGTCGAAAGATTCGGAAATTTCAGGTTTCGCAGACTCTGCGATTTCCAGGTCTCTCAATTGCTCCTCGACATCCTGGACTTGGATTAAAACGTTTTCCGGTTTGAGGTCGGTATGGATGATTCCGCATTTGCGGTGAAGATAGTCAAGACCTAGCAGAACCTGCTTGGTGATCTGCTTCACTAATTGGGGCGGGACCCCCTTGTGACTGTATCGTTTCACCAAACTCAGCAGGTTCTCGCCCAGAACCTCAAACACCATGCACACGTGTACGCCGTTTGGTCCATGATGTTGGAAGGAATCGTAGAGGCTAACGACAAAGCGGCGGCCCGGATGGCTAGGATCTGCTTCGTTTATGCGATTTAGAAGTCGAATTTCGTCGTCAGCCGTCTCTGTATAGTGTGGAGCAGCGCGGACGACTTTGAGAGCAACATGGCGCTTGTTATTATGGTGGTCTTTTGCTAACCAAACGGTGCTAAAGTGACCCCAGCCCAATTTTCGAACCACCTCATAGCGTCCGTTTTTGAATCTTTCTCCAATCTCGACCGGGTGATAGCCGCCTTGCGTGTAGTCTTCAATGTCTTCCTCGTCGTGGAAGTCGCTCTTGACACTCTCATTATCGGCCATTAACGAGCCATTCTCACTATCTGTTGTAGCAGGGGGTCCCATTTGTTGGGGCTCTGGTGTTTGGTCCAATTGATAGGATTTTAGATACGGCGACGTAGCTTGCGCTTGTTGCAGATCCTCTAAAGAATGGGGTTCCACTCCGGGTACAGCCGGCACTGGTAAAGTCGAGGGGTTCTCCCTATTTTGGCTTGAGGTTGCTCTCTTAGGCTGTCCAAATGGTGACATGCGAATGGTTTCGCTCATACCAACCATAGTCCTGAACGGGTAAATTTTCCAAACTATGCAGCAAGGTACCACACTAATGGCAAGGCAGCAAAAGCGTTAAGAGGGGAGACGCAGTTACTAAGCAACAACTAGTGTGCAGTATCTTTGCCCGCTAGGAAGGTACTGAGAGAGCCTTGAGCTGGGATTGAAGTTTACGTTCAAAAGCGATAAATTATCGAGCTAGGAGTAGTTGCTGGCTAGTGGAGCGAGTTTAAGGAATTTGGAGTTTTCGGGCACAACAGTTCTATGGTTCGCCTCGACATATGTAGCCTGCAGCTCTAATATGGGACTCGTACTATTTACAAATTTACCTGGACAATGATTTTTTTAGACATAATCAGCTTCACATTCTCGGAGTTGGGCATTTACTTCCGCACCTTCCTGCATGGCTAGGTGCCAACGTTATGCTACTAAGCCGGATTCATGCAGCGTTAACCAGTAATGTAGGGTCCAAATTGTGGGTTAAGGGATCCTTAGAATTGTTGCTATTGCCCACGAAAGCACACCTAAGCCTGACTTGAGCCAGATTCTCGGGCCTAGGTCACCAGTGTGCGTATGATAACGGTAGAGGCCCGGCTGATCGGAAGAACCTCTGCTAAGAGAAGTAAAAAGAAACCTATGCGCGCCCGGACGTTTTTGATATATGGGTTAGGGCAGACATCGAATGACATCTGGGGTAGGTAAAGTAAGCCCCATAGTTTTAGGTTTGCAGAGCAGTTTTATCGCCATGGCCTTTGTGTGAGGTGAGAACAATGGCAAAGTTTATGGGGCGCCCTGAGACCTCAACAAAAATGGTCCTTTGCCGATCGGTTTCCTAAAAAAACAACTACACGCAGCCAACGGCCAGTGAAGATCCCATGTTGCAGGCGCGCCTGCTCGCATACAAATTGGGTTTTTTCATTCAGGGCTCGAACGAATTCCGACTCAGAAAGTGGGTAATTTTTTTCCTCCTATTTTTGTCTTGTTCTATTAATAAATATGTTACTTTTTATACCTGACCGAAAAGTTTTTTTCTCGCTGAGTCGTCTGGCAACCCTCGCCTCGTGGGCCAGCTCACCCGTGGGGTGTTAAAGAGGTGTTGGCAAATCTCTTGAATGATGTGGATTACGCAAGCTCAGTGGAGGTTAGTTTAGAATTATCGACGTGAGTGGCAATGAGCTTGCAAACATTGTCTCGCGAGTTCGTGACTTTATTCCAACAAGAAAATTGCCGCGGCGCAGCTGGTCTGCTGCCAAAAATCAAGCTAGAGTATGCCAAAGAAGGGCTCATGGCGCCCTCGTCGGCGTTCAGTAAGGAGGACCTCATGGCCGCCCGTCAGCTCTTGGAGATGGGGGTTTTAGTAGAGATTCACGCTGGGGCAAGTGCCGCTGAAATTGATCGCTTGTTTGCCCAGCTTCGCCCGTTCTACGATCCAAAGTTGAAGCTGGCGGCTAGCGACAATGAGTCCAAGCTTATGGCGCTGCACCTGCTTCTGCTCTTGACCAACAATGAAATTGCCGAGTTCCATACCGAGCTGGAGACTTTGTCGAATGCTGAAAATGACAAGTACTTGCAGTACCCCGTCAAGCTAGAGCGGTGGCTCATGGAGGGCGCCTACGACAAGGCATGGCAGGCGGTGACCGAGAAATCGCAGTTCCCTGCTCCTGAATTTGCTATCTTGACGCAAGGACTACAGTCCACTATTAGAAACGAGATTGCTGCATCTTCTGAAAAGGCTTATTCTTCGCTGCCGTTCGCAAATGCTCGCCACCTCTTGTTTTTCACATCCGACGACGATCTAACCGAGTTTGCTCAAGCTCGTGACTGGACAGTTAGCAACGGACGAGTGAACTTTGCAAAAGTCGAAGAAGAAGAGCAGGTTGCATCTACAGAGGGTCTTATTAGCAGCATGCTGGCGTATGCTAGTCAGATTGAAACTATCATCTAAGTAGACGTAAGATTTTTACTTGGGCTTCTCGCAGCTTGGAAATTCGCCCTCACAGCCTCATTGTCGGGGCCCTCGGATTCTAGCTCGTCAATTTCAACCGGCACGACGCGGCTCAGTTGAGCCAGTGCCTTGGATCCTTTGACCCACAGCGGCATGGTTTGCGGTAAAGATGCTGGGGTTTGATGCAAAAGATCAGTGAGTGCGCCGGCAATTTTCTCGGCCGTGTCTTTGTGCTCTTCGACGTTGGCCAGGCTCGTAAGTCCCTGAGCAGCCCGAGACAATGCCAAGACCCGCTCGGGGCTGTAGTCGGCTTCTTCGTCAAACAGAAGATCAACGACTCTCTGGTCGTATTTAACAGCTAAAAGGTGGCCTGCCAGCTGCAGCAAAAGCTCACAATCCTCCTCGTCTTCGGAGAGGTACTCCACGACCTTGTAAATACCTTTTTCCCACAGCTCAGAGGCCAGCTTGCTGTCACGAGCAACATTGCGGAGGAAATAAGCGGCAAAATTCAAGTTCGCGTCTTCCTGACCATCGTCAGAGAACATTTGCAATATAGTGTCAATAGCGTTCGGCCAGTGGACCAACACAGAGTCCATAGCCTCGAGTTTCCCGGTAAGGTTTGCTAAAACCAGGGCAAATACAACGCTTGAAGTCAAGGGGATATTCTTGGCTGCCTCTAAACCAAAATTCTCGTTGCATGTAATTGCTGTGATGGCAGTAATGGCGGCATCTTGGTCAGGATAGCTCACGGCGATGGCAAAAACATCATCAAACTTCTTGATCAGCTCTTCATCCATGGCGAGCTTGGGATCAATCTCTAGCACTTCGAGCAATTGGCCATCAAGAACTAGCTGCCTGCTCAAGCTCAAAGGGAACTCGTTCAATTCCTGGAATAAAACACCAAGAAGATTCATACAGCCCGGACCCCGCTCTTCCGAAAGAGCAGCGACAAGGGGCTCCTCTTGAGAAGCAATATACTCAGCAGCCGTAGGATTTCCTACGCAGAGATTATAAAGAACCGTCAAGGGAAGCACGAAAGGAGTCAAAAGACTATTGACAAAGTCTTTGTGATCCAGGACGATTGCCTGATTCTCCGGAGAATTACGAACGGCATTTCCTAACAGTCTCATTTTCATATCATCACTCAATGTCTCCTCGCGGCACAGCTCCGCAATATACGGAGTGAACATCGCTCTGTCGGCAGTCCCTCTGCTCTTGTCGAGCAAGTCATCCCAGTCTGGACTGTCAGTCATCAAGTGTACAAGACGACGGCGGGGCGGTCCAACATTAAAGGCAGCCTGGTTCGGTAACACAAAAACTATGGAACCTATTTATCGGTATTTTTTTTTCCCGGTAATTGGACTGAAAATATAAACTATTCACTATATACTCTCATGGCTAGATCCAGTTTGTCATCATGACAAAAGCCACGCAGGCCCTCGTGTTTTTCATCGCGCTCCACGTTGTTTGGTTCCTTATTCTAACCGGACACATTCCTACAAGCCCCCGTTTCCAAGAAGAGGTGGCACCTCTACTGCCGTGGTGGAGCATGGTTGCATTTGGCTCCTACGCGTTGGGAACGCTGGGCTACGACCTGCTCACATTCAAGGACAAACCGAAAAAGTACGCTGAACTGATGCAGCAAATCGAGGAGGCCAAGGCGGATCTCAAGACCAAAGGTATTACTGTTTAATCTATATATAAAATGCATTGTGTTGTGTTCTTTTCAGGCCTGGGCCTGCTTTGCGGCGCGTCGGTTCCGCAACCGCTTTTCTGTCTCGATAAATACCCGGATTCCGGTGTTCAGGCCATCAAATGCCTCGTCATCAACTTGAATTGGCATGCCATCGTCGCTCCCTGACGTGTCTACGGGCCGTGTGCGCTTGGCAGAGCCCGGCAATGGCCCCAGCTGATCGGGCCAGATGTCCTGCCAATTAGGTAGCTTCATAATCTTTGTTCGTGCTTCTTTGACCTTGCTTCGCCATTCTTCAATCTCGTCCTTGTATAACTCCCAAACGCAGTTAACACAACCAGACATACAACAGTTTGTAGGTTCCTCCGGCTGAGCGGGCACTTTGACCCCACATACTACTACGGCTTTCGATTCGGCCTCTGACCGCGATTTTTCGCGAGACCCCAGATCGCCAAACACTCTTTTGGCTCTCGTAGACATATCCTCCGTCGAAGAATACACTGATGGGTTGAAAACTAGTTTAGACCCGTGGGCCTCCACGCCGTCGTTTTTGGGCTGTGCAAGGCCAAGGTCGTAAATATAGTACGGGTTCTTTAACAGTCCCCTACTACTGTGGAAAGATCTGTGCATACTTCCCCTAGTTCTTAGTGTCTTTATCATGTTAACTAGACCTTTTTTGCTACGACTTTGGGAAGATGACTATTTTTTTTCTTCGTTTTACTAAAAGGCCTAGACCCTGATGGAGGATTTGACGAGCCGTTTAGAGCGAATCGGTTTGGCCGATGCGAAAGTTAAGGAAATTCTGAAAAACGAAAAAGTCGCTGCAGCGCTCGGCCAGATCGCCCAAGAGGCGGGCTACTCGTCCGCGGCGCCTACTTTGTTGCACCATCTTGCCCTGGCGTCTAGAACCGCTACTCCAGAGCAGATCGCTAACCGCAAACTAGTGAGCGAGGCCATTGCTAGTGGCAAACTTTTAACCACTAACCAGGTTGATGCGGCGTGGAAGTACGTTTCATCCACTCAGGCTCCCAGCGTTGCTGAGTTGGAAAAGGAGAGCGGTGTTGGTGTGGTCGTTACCAAGGAGGACGTTGAGAAGGCGGTGCGTGCGTACATTCAAGAGAATAAAACAGAGGTCGAAAAGCAGCGCTACAAGGCCCTGTCCACTGTGCTCATGGCGGTGAAGAAGTTGCCGAGCATGAAGTGGGCCAGCCCGGCGTTGTTCAAGCCAGCGATCGACGCAGAGTTCTTGGCTGTACTAGGCCCTAAGGACGAACGTGATAACCCCAAGCTCCAGGCAAAACAAGCAAAGGCAAAAGCATCGAAAGATGCCAAAGCCCCTGTCGTGTCTGCCGTCAAGCACGAGCAGCCACATGCGCGCAGCATCTTCCGCGAGGGCTTCTTGGCTGGTCTCCACCGCCCTGGTGAGAATGAACAGGCTGATCCTTGCCTCATGGAGGCTCATCTTAAAACAACAGGCGGGAAAGTTGTTACACGATTCCCTCCTGAGCCAAATGGTGTTTTACACATTGGCCATGCCAAGGCTATTGCCACTGATTTTGGCTACGCTAAATATCATGGTGGTGTCTGCTACTTGCGTTTTGACGATACAAATCCCGAGACGGAAGATGCCGAGTTTGCAAAGAGCATTGAGGATATCGTTCAGTGGCTTGGCTTCGCGCCTTACAAGATCACTTGGTCGTCGGACTATTTCGACGCTCTTTACGAGCTTGCAGAGAAACTCATTTCTCGTGGTTTGGCCTATGTCTGCTTCTGCACACCTGAGCAAGTCAAGCGTCACCGTGGTATCAACGAAGACGGTACTCGCGGTGGTGAACGTACTCCTTGTGAGTGTCGCTCTGCTTCTCCCGAGCGTACCCTTGAGCTGTTTCGCGAGATGCGGGACGGTAAGTTCAAAAGGGGCGAGGCGACATTGCGCATGAAGCAAGATTTGTCCAATCCTAATCCTCAAATGTGGGATCTTGTTGCATACCGGATTGTCGATGCGCCTCACCACCGTACAGGAACCAAATGGAAGATTTACCCCACTTATGACTTTACACACTGTTTGGTGGATAGCTTCGAGAACATTTCTCACTCACTGTGCACCTTGGAGTTCCGATTGTCTCGCGAGTCTTACGAATGGCTTTGCGATGCTGTTCAGGTTTACAAGCCTGCTCAGCGAGAGTTCGGGCGGCTGAACTTAACCGGCAGTGTCATGTCCAAACGCAAACTGCTCAAGCTTGTCGAAGGTGGATATGTTCGTGGCTGGGATGATCCCCGTCTGTATACCCTTGTCGCTTTACGCCGGCGGGGTGTTCCTCCTGGTGCTATTCTTAACTTCATTTCCGAGCTCGGCGTGACCACAACGACTTCTCAGACCGAAGTAATCCGTTTCGACAACTCTATCCGAAAGTACTTGGAAAATACTGTTCCTCGTTTGATGCTCATTCCTGATCCTATCAAGGTCGTTCTTGACAATCTCGATGACGATTTTGTGGAGGAAATTGTCTTGCCTTTCAAACCCGGAACTCCTGAAATGGGTGAACACAAAGTGCCCTTCTCAAAGGTCGTCTATATCGACCGCAGTGACTTCCGTGAGGAGGCGTCCAGCAATTACTTCCGCTTAGCTATGGGCCAGTCGGTAGGTCTATTGCGAGTCCCTTATACTATTAAGGCCACATCTGTTGAGAAAGATGCCTATGGGGAGATCACAGTTGTACATGCTATTTATGAGAATGACGGAACTGCTAAGAAACCCAAGACGTTTATTCAGTGGGTTGGCGAAAGCGCCAAACACAACTCACCAATCAAGGTAGCTGAAGTGCATGAGTTCAACCAGTTGTTCAAGAGTGAAAATCCGTCTGCTAACCCCGATGGCTTCCTTGCCGATATCGACCCCAACAGTGAGCATGTTTGGAAGAAGGCATTGATCGAGGTCGGTTTCAACGAGGTTTGCGAAAAGTCACCCTGGAACCCCGCAGACGACTCGGCGTCTAAAGATGAGAAGATCATGTCGGGGCACGATGTCAAAGGAGCGCCCGAAGCAGTTCGCTTCCAAGCCCTGCGGGTGGGTTACTTCTGTATGGACAAGGATTCTCACGATTCTTCAATTGTACTGAACCGCATTGTCACCCTTAAAGAAGACAAAAGCAAAGAGTAGATACTCTGCTGGCTATCGAGCCGGTCGTTTCGTTCGTAGCATATTTGCATAAGCCTCCGGTAAAATGACTTTCCAGCCTGCATCGCCAAAGCATTCCCTGCATATCCAGGTCACGGGTCGCGGCGTAAAAGATGTAGTTGCTATCATCATGAACATAAGCTCCAGTTAAAGCGACAGGACGCCAATTTGCTACTTTGGCACTCTATGCTTGAACCGGCGGCCCCTCGAGTGTTTTTTTCCGACTGAGCACTCGGGACTGAGCAGCACTCAGTATCACGTGATCTTACGTAGATGTCAGAAGCTCGGACGTGAGCACTTAGTAATCTTACGTCACCTGGATGCTGGGTTGGGGTTGTTTGAAGCGAAGTCGAGAGGAAATCCCTAGTGTATATAAGAAACGCTAAGCGACCCCCACACTTGTAATAAACCACACGAGTGTCAGCAAGCCTCGAAACGCCCGCCCACCAAGTTACCAGAACGCGAACAAGGTATGGAGAAGTGCGAGTCACAGAAAATGGCTGATGACCGCTCAAGCGCTCCAGATAACGCTGAGAATCCGGGTCATCCCGCACCCAAGCGTGATACCGCTGCGCTCATTGCAGCGTATATGGCACGGCACGCAGAGACCAGAAAGCAGTCAAGCCAGTATTGCTACCGTCACAACCCAGCATTTAGCAGCAAAAGAGCAGACAATGTGAGCTTGCAAGACATGCAAAAGTCGCTAGAGTCCTTCTCACCTGAGGACTGCCAGGTGATCAGTCATATTTGGGGTGCGTTTGGCGCCGCCTCGAGTGATCAAAGACAAGTTATGTTACGGGGGATTCTAGGCCAGTGTTGTCTGCCCCAGTTGAGTGATGTGGCATCTATGATTCGGGATCTAGTGCGCATCGACTTCATCTCCCTGTTGCCAATCGAACTGTCCTTTAAGGTACTCGGTTATCTGGACGCTCGATCGCTAAGCATTGCATCAATGGTATCCAAGCGCTGGAAGCAACTTGCAGACGATGATTATGTTTGGTATCACTTGTGCGAACAGCATATTGACCGAAAATGCACAAACTGCGGATGGGGCCTCCCCCTGCTTGATCGAAAACGCCTTCATAAGTCCAAGCAGGCTGTTTTGCAGCGACTTGAGGATCTTTCAATGTCCGAAAAGTTGTCAAACCCAGCGCTCTCTGCCCCGTGCGGGAAACGCAAACGGTCTGAGCCCTCCTCAGGATCATCTGCGGGCCAAATGGAATTCTCTTCCAAGTATAGGTGCACCGACAGCACGCCCCGGAAGACCCGCCCTTGGAAAGAGGTTTATATCGAGCGTTACAAGATTGAAAACAACTGGCGCAGCAACCGCTATACTATGCAAGTCTTCCATCACACATCTCCAGTTTTGTGCTTGCAATTCGACGAGCAGTATCTCATGACAGGTACTTATGATGGCCACATTAACATCTGGTGCGTTGAAACTGGAGCTCTTGTACGAACACTTATTGGACATATTCGGGCTATTAGCGGGTTGAAGTTCGACAATTGCAAGCTGGTCACTGGATCATGGGACCAAAGTGTGCGAGTTTGGAATTACCAGACGGGACAGTGTCTGTCCACTTTTGGCGGGCTCGATGCCAAGGTTCTGTGTATTGATACAAACAACAACCTGATTGCTGCTGGGTCTACTGATGCCACCGTCAAAGTGTGGGATTTTCTAGAAAAGTCTTGCTTCACTCTTCGCGGTCATACTGAGCCCGTCCATTCTGTCAAAATCCATCACCCTTCATCAACCCTGTATTCGACAGGTGAAGACATGACTGTCAAGATGTGGGACCTCAAGACAAAGACTTGCGTGAGATCGTTTGGTGGACCTAACGTTGGCCCCAATGGTCATGTAGCACAAATCCAGCAGGCCCTACCGATGACAATCGAACATCTTGAAGGTGACGACCACCACATGGACTTCACAGACGACAAGGATCCGGCCAGCATTCAAGTGACTACAGCAGAGGAAGAAGAAAGTAAGGCCAATCGTCGCCCCACTCATCTTTTGACCGCCTCGCTTGACAACACCATTAAGCTTTGGGATATCAAGACCGGCAAATGCACCAGAACTCTGTTTGGCCATGTCGAAGGTGTTTGGTGCGTCGCCGCAGATAACTTCCGCATTGTATCTGGCGCCCACGACAAACTCGTCAAAGTATGGGACGTGCAGTCTGGCAAGTGTTGGCATACATTCAGTGGCCACACCAAGCCGGTCTGCTGTGTTGATCTGAACGACACCGGCTTTGCTTCAGGCGGCGACGACGGCATCGTCCAGCTCTACTCTTTTGAAAACTGAAAAACACTTTATTTATAACGTATTATATTTTTTATTTATAGAACGAAAAGACATGATGAAAACAGGGGTAATAATCTATGATTTTTTTAAAACTGGATGGATTTTAAATATATTTGTCGCAGGAAACGAGAGACAAAAGATGGAAAACAAAAAAATAATATATGATGAGGGGAGAGGGAGCAAAAGAGCCCGTTCACGACTGCACGAGGCGGAACGATGAATAGCTGGTTGTTCTCTGTAAAGGAGCTGTTGTGGATGTCTCGGGAGGCGGGCTTTCGGAGGGCGAAAGAGCCGGCGACACCGGCTTGCCTACTGAGCTAGGAACAACAGCAGACTTTTTCACAGTTTGAATTGGCGCATCAGGCGGCGAACTGTTATCAGATCCGGCAAAACAGAATTTGGACAAAATGTCCTGGTACCCTGTTGAATCCCAGGAAAACTGACTGGGGGCCGCTGCCGGGAAAACTCTCTTTGCGGGCGCCTTCTGTGTAGGCGACCCATTTGTTTTGACATTAGTGGGGGTTGGCTGCGTGGAGGTGGCTTCACTCGATTTCACTTTAGCTGTGCTTTGTGTTTGGTTTGCGGTAACGGGAGATCGTAATGGTTGGTTGAATGCTGATCCGAAGGAGTAGCGAGATTTCAATTCACTGGGTTCTTTGGCAGCAGGCCGTGATATGCTATTAACCCGGGTTTCCAGAGCCACGGATGCAAAGATCTCGGACGCATTGATATCAAGGCCTGCATCATCCTGGACGTAGGGCAAAGTATCATCTGCAGACAGTCTTCGGCTAACAAACCGAGGTGGTGCGGACATGCGTTTTTCCATGTAGCGATCGTGGTGGTGCGACTCGTGGCGAAATACGACCTCGTAGTTGAGTTTGTTGTTATTATCCCAATAAACCTCGTTCTCAATCGAGTACTTGGCGCACAAAAACATGGATGCCCTGCGCAGGACTCTGCTCGGCAAAGTGGCCAGGGGGATCTGGAAAGAGAATCGGTCGTATCCAGCAGCCCGATCTAGCCTACGAACGTCAGAGTTGTAGTAGGCCTCGACCTCAGACAGCGTCTGCCAGTAATCAATTGTGTAGCGAATTGTGACTTGCTTTGCAAACGAAATGTTCCGAACACAAACGTTGCCACGTAAATACTGCTGATCAGGGCTGAGAAAAAGACTGTCCAGGTAAACGATGGGACGGTCTTTGCCCTCTGTGCGATCATAATTAGTAGCTTTGAAGTTGGGGGTGCTTATAGTCCACCCCTCCGAGAAGTCGTCATCGGAGAGTTCGTCATCGTCGGAGGCACCATTAGCATCCTCGCCGCCCCACTCAAATGAGACTTTCGCGGGCTTTTCACGATAGTTGAATCTGCGGACATGTTCAAGGTTGGTATCGAAATGGACGGTTTTGGTATTGGGCATGGACCTTGTGCGCGCCAAAGCAGGCAATTTCAAAGATGATTTGACGAGCTCACCACTTTTTTTGCGAATAAGCGCCGGGCGCTCAGCAGACTCACTCCGCGGAGTGGGTGCCACCTCGTCGGAGGAGCGACGCTCATGGAAGAATTTGAGAGATCCTTTGCCTTCGTCAGTGCCAAGGCCTAAAAGCCAGGATGTGGGACGGTCAGCTTCAGTTGGCGATGAGTTGGCGGAGACCGGCTCCGATTGGGTGTCCAAATCACGCCGGGTAGGCTTGCGGCCCTGGCGAGGCTGGGTGGCCTCAACAACCAGGGACGAGGTGTCAAAATATCCTTCGGCATCATTGTGTAGTTTCAAGCGCTCTAAATCAACGCTCATTGTCATAAATATATGTGCTTTACCGGTTGGGAAAAGGTGGTTTTCTTGTAGCTGTCAAAAGTGCAAACCACCCGCGCTGGCTCCAAAGATAATTTGCCAAAGTGTGACGGGCAAGCTAAAATGCAGACGGGAAAGACCAGGTCAGTGGTGGATCTCTATTTGCAACTTAGGAGGCCAAATAGAGGTATGTGGCTGTCTTTTGGTCCAACAAAAGATTCTCGATCAATTGGATTCACTTGGGTAAGAAAAGAAAAAAGGGATGCATCAATGCAAAGCTTACTATACATGCAGGGTTAGGCAGATAAAGCTGGCTTTGCTGAGTTTACCCACGCAAGATAGATTAGGGTTTCGAGGAAGAACTGAGAGCCGGAAGAAGGTTTTATTAGCTGGAATGCGAAACCACTGTTTGGTTGCTGTAGTGCGCGTCGCTGGGGGGCTTCAGGATGATGAGGAACACCTTATTCTAGACTTTTGTGTACTTTATCGAGTTAGAACAGCTTTAGATACCGGATGGCTCATCTAGCGACTCTTTTCTAGATCTAACCATATTCCTTCGGCCGCGTGTGCCCTAGACCTGATATATTCAATGCAGTGCTTTCTAACGATGACCTGCACGCGCCGTGACTTGAATGAGCGAAGCGGGTGTCATGCGGGAAACATGTGTGGCAATGATTGCTAACATCAGAATTTGAGTCTGAATAGAGTTCGAAAAGCCGTGCTTTTGTCCTCCATTGCCGTCTATAATAAATGGTGAGATTTGAGACGCCAGTCGTGCTCCAGCTCCTTTCCAAAATCAGCCCACGCCGAGCAGGAAGAATAGCGATTCTCCTTACCCTGGTGCCTTCAAGCGGCCAAAAGCATGCTATTGGCAGTGCGGAGCAGAGGCGATAATTTGATGGAGAGCCAATATTTGGCGCTATCTTTCCGCTACAATACGGGTTTCTTTAAATACAAAGTCCTGTAGAAAACAAGATGAAGTACGAGGTGCAATCTATGCTCGGTCTCTCCCTTTATGCGGTCTTGAAAGACGCGAATGTGACCTATCTGTACCCTAAACCCGAGTGTTGCAGGTGGGCATTACCTTGACCCACTATTGTCCTCGGATTGCTGCGCTGGTCCCGGCCCCCGAAGCCCGTCCCGCAGCGAGCGAAACTGGTGAGAATTATGCGAATACCCACGTTACCCCGCACATTTTCGTAGCCGACAGGATCGTGGGTCATTTCCGCTTCCGGCTCGCCGGTCGCAAGTCAGGTCTAATTTTCAATTTCATGTACCTGCCACCATCATTGGTGGGTACCGCTAACCTTGCCAAGTGTGCTATAGGCACGCCCACTACAACCTGTGTGAACCCTAACCTCTGCCTCAGCTGGATCAATCAAGATCTCAGAGGGAAATCGACAATCTCGGAAGCTGCGGGGCCCAGCTCTTTTTTTTTGTTAAACACGTTCGCCTGATTAGGTTTGTGTGTATCCGATGGGTCTTGGCGTGCACCCGCAGCGTAGGTCGGAGTTATGCCTCGCCCGCTCTCACGGATATCGGTTACGCATCGGCAGGAACCAGTATGCACCCTCGTGGTGGAAATTTTGCCGATTGTGGGCACCAATGGAATTCGCTTATCCTGATGGTAAAATTATTTTGTATTTATTGTATAGGAGTTGTCGGATAGCTCATTAATTTCGGTTTTTACGACCGGGATCTGTTTTCTTTTCCTTTGTTCGCCTTATCTGTCTGTTGAGCCGCTATCTTCTCAATCAGCGGCGCCTCACGCTATCGATGACGCAATAAGCGCGGCCCTCGCCCTACTTCGAAGTGTTGCTGAGGTATCTTGATAACTGGTCAAGTTCCAATGTATTTTTGCATGTCATAGTTGTTCAAGTCATTCGTGCCATTGATTCAAATAAACATCGGACCGTTCCGGTTTCGAAATATGTCAACACTGGTACTGAAAGTTTTTTCACAACACACAGGTGGGGGATGCATACTAATTGATATTGTGTATACTGCCTAAGCATCGTAAGCCATTAAATGAGGCATCATCAAGTGCCGTGAACAAGACCTTGTTGACTACAAGACATTAAACTTCAAAATCCCGCAAAGAAACTTTCGAGTTATTTCTCTATTGCCCTTAGATTTAGATTCACTCAGGCTCTTCCCCCAACAAGCCGTTACATTCGCTACCAGCTTGCCGCTCCATCATAATTGGCATGTCTCGCTCAGTCGTAAATTGTCAGAATACCTTTGCCGCCATTTTTTTCGTGTCTACTCAAATATCACTCCCCTGGCTTCAGTGGATAGCGAAAGTTGGCAGTTTGGCTTCTTGATCCCGCTTACATCATTTTTTTTTTTCAACTCTAATATGTCCTTCGCGAAATTTGAGCTGGACAACCGAATCGAGCAGGCAATCGCCCAGCTCGGTTACACAGAACCCACACCCATCCAAGAAACAAGTATTCCATTGGCTCTGAAAGAGAAGAAGGATATCGTCGCCAAGGCCAGAACCGGTAGCGGGAAAACTGCTGCCTACCTTATTCCTATTCTTCAAAATATGCTCACGACCGCTCGCCCAGGAAACCGGTGCTTGATTGTTGTTCCTAGCCGTGAGCTCGCCGATCAAGTTGTTCGAGTTTTGAGCGGGCTCACTATGTTCTGTTCTCGTCAAATTTCATACGCTAATGTCGCCCAACAGGTGGCAGACAAAGTGAAAGCGACTCTGCTGGCAGACTCGCCGAGTATTATCGTAGCCACGCCTTCCAGTGCACGCGCTCAGATCGAGGCTGGTCATATCGACACTGAGGGTATTGAGTTTGTCGTGTTTGATGAGGCAGACTTACTCGTCTCGTACGGCTATGAAGAGGACCTTGAAGTCTTGAAAAATCGCCTGCCTGAACACGCTCAAAGCTGGCTCATGAGCGCCACGTTAGGTGATGACGTTGAAAATCTCAAGAAATGGTTCTGTCGTATGCCGGTGACCCTAAAGCTTCAAGATACTTCATCGCAAGACCAGCTTCTGCAATACTATGTGAAAACCGGGGAACTCGACAAGTTCCTTCTGGCCTATGTCATTTTCAAGTTAAATCTCATCAAGGGTAAGACCATCATTTTCGTCAATGACACCGACCGCTGTTATCGGCTCAAACTGTTCTTTGAGCAGTTCGGCATCAAGTCATGCGTTCTCAATTCTGAGCTCCCTGTTGCATCTCGACTGCACATTGTTCAAGAATTCAACCGTAATGTTTACAATCTACTGATTGCCACTGACGAATCGCACGAGTCTGATGCTGATCAGGAAGCTAATACTACCCAACAAGCAGCCAAGGACGGAGACTACGGTGTGAGCCGTGGCGTCGATTTCAAAAATGTCGCCTGTGTCGTGAATTTCGACCTCCCAACATCTTCAAAAGCCTATACTCACCGAATTGGCCGCACGGCTCGCGCCAACAGAGCCGGCATGGCCTTGTCCTTCGTAGTACCCAGGGAAGAGTTTGGCAAGCATAAAGTTGCAACCACACCCACATCTCGTAGAGATGAAAAAATATTGGACCGTATTATGAGTGCTCAGACTAAGATGGGAAACCAAGTCAGCCCCTACCAGTTTGATATGAAACAGGTCGAGAGCTTCCGGTACCGTATGGAGGATGCATTCCGGGCAGTCACGAGAGTTGCCGTGCGTGAAGCTCGGGTTAAAGAAATCAAAAACGAAATTCTTGCCAGTGACAAGCTCCAGCGTCATTTTGAGGAAAACCCCGACGATTTGGCAGCTCTTCGTCACGACAAAGAGCTGCACCCGGCTCGGGTTCAGACCCAGCTCAAGCGGGTCCCAGATTATTTGCTGCCTGCTAGCGCACGGGTCACCAAGCCTTTGTTTGTTCAACAACGTATCCCCTTCCACAAACAACGCCGTGGCAAGAAACTGGATAGAAAGAAGGGTCGCAAAGGTAAAGATCCTCTGAAAAGTTTCGGTCGTTAGCCATATATAGTACTTTAATTAACTTATCGCATGACATCAAACTCAGCCAATGCTTCATTCGAAACAACACCTATGATCTCATCATCTTCGGCTGCCTCTACAGCTGCTGCCGCTACGGCTTGGACGGAAATGCGCGACGGTGGCTGGCCGCTAACTTTGTCCTTGACGCCGACAGCCATTGTCAGAGCTGATCTGAACGACGGCCAACACTCTGGTTGTGCGTTGCTATCGTACATGAACCCAGGACGCAAAAACACAGGTCTCAGGTTTTTGAGCCCCATCAGATCATGCTCAGCACGACGTTTGGTCGCGATATAGTTTGGGTCGGCGAGACTGCTCCAATTTTCAGCCGAGATATAAACAAATGGAAGAACCCGCTCCTGCTTTGCAGCAATTTCATTGGCAGTTTGGGCTAAAACCATTGCCGAGTCGTAGTTTAGTCGCTGGAGCGTGTTGGACATTGGGTTACGACCCTGGAGTTTAAGCTGAGCGAGCTTAAACACCGTGGACGGAACCAATGGGGCGTTCACTACCTTTTTATATTCCGAGTGGTCCATAAAAGAACCGACGGTGTGCACAACCGCGTTGGTGCTCTCAATAATGTTTCTGTAGACATCAGGCTTGAAAATATCTCCCGAGATATATTCAAGATTGGGAATGACATCTTTGTCAAGTTGTGGGACTGTGCGGCTGATTGACGACACCGACCATCCATTCAAAATGCCCTTTTTACAAATATGACGACCAAGGAATCCAGTCCCGCCAAATACTGCAAGAGAGCGCATCACGTAACTGGGACAAGCTGGATTGAAGGAAGGGCGGTACTATAAAGGGTGATTTTGAAACAGCAAGAGGTGATTCCATATCATCTAGACCAGTCTAAGCTGAACTCCTCAAAACGCCCAAGAAAAATCAACAGCAATATCACCAGTCTGACCAGCCGCGATGTCTGCACCTCCCCAGGTTTCTTACTCAGCAAAGAGGTTTCTTCGGTCTGACATTAGGGCTTAGGGCCCGTCATAGATTTCCGACTCACAACTCATCATGAATCAGATAGCGAGCGACTCATCGTAACTAAGTTCAAGCATGTCCGTGCAAACTGCTCAGAAGTGGTACCCTGCCCAGCCGGCTCCTACCCCCAAGAAGTCGCGCAAGACGGCTCGTCCCGCCAAGTTGCGTGCTTCTCTTGTTCCCGGTACCGTTCTCATTGTTCTCGCTGGTCGTTTCCGCGGCAAGCGCGTTGTCTACCTGCGCTCTCTTGAGGACAACACTTTGCTTGTGTCTGGTCCCTTCAAGATCAACGGTGTTCCCCTTCGCCGCGTTAACGCCCGCTACGTCATTGCCACCTCTACCCGCGTCTCTGTCGACGGCGTAAAGGGTCTTGACAAGTTCAACGTCGCCTACTTTGCCCGCGACCGCAAGACTGAGAACAAGGTCACCGAGGAGGAGCTCTTCGGTGATGCCACTCCCGCTAAGAAGGTCGTTGCTGCCGAGCGCATTGCCGACCAGAAGGCTGTCGACTCCGCTTTGCTCGCCGAGATCAAGAAGACCCCTCTGCTTAAGGAGTACCTTTCTTCTTCTTTCAGCCTCAAGAAGGGTGACCGCCCTCATCTGCTCAAGTTCTAAATAAAGTCCATGGGTGGCTTGCTCCTTTTATATAATGTAAACGGTGCCTGAAATGGGTTCCTTCATCATGCCCAATCGGCTGTTTAATCAAACCAGCTTTTTGTACCACAAAAAAATATCAACTTTAAACCCCCTTATGTAACAGAGCGGCGCTCTCTATCTTAGCGCCCATTACAGCAATGGAGCACGAGCACGCAGAGAATGTCCCGCTGGTCAGAGTAGTCGAGCCGCGGAAATCACGCTTTCCTCAGCGTATGTGCTTTTACACCGTTGCAGGGATTATCACATTGACCGTAGCACAGCTGATATTTTTGGCTCGAACCTCGGCCGCCCGCGACTGGGACCATTTGCACCATTCAAGGTTTTCCAGACAACAGGTGAGACGAATTATCTCTCAGGAGGTTTCCACTGAGTCAATTGCGAACTTCTCAAAAGTATACTACGATGGTGAACCCCATTTGGGCGGCGACGGCCCCGAGCTGACTGCGTACACCCAAGACAAGTTTCTCCAGTTCGGTTTGGAAACCCGCTTGGAGAGTTACGAGGTGCTGCTAAACAGGCCTATATCTCACCGGGCGGCGCTAATTGATGGCGACAAAGTGGTGTATGAGCTGTCTTTAGAGGAAGACGTCCAGGCCCAAGATCCTTCCACCCGGCGTCCAAATAGGATTCCAACTTTCCACGGCTATTCGGCTTCTGGAAACGTGACAGCCAAGTTTGTATTTGCTAACTACGGCCAGAAATCCGATTTTCAGGCTTTGGAAAAGGCCGGTGTGAGCTGTGAAGGTAAAGTTGTTCTCATGCGTTATGGCAAGATCTATCGCGGTAACAAGGTTTTACATGCACAATCTCGAGGGGCCAAAGCAGTACTCATTTATTCAGACTCCAGCCTTGATGGCGATATCACCACAGACAATGGTTACAAGTATTATCCCGAGGGGCCGGCACGCAATCCTTCGATGGTTGAGAGGGGCATGGTCTTTGACTTGACTCAGTATCCTGGCGACCCAACTACCCCCGGAAGAGCCTCTCACCCTGGCTCAGACAGAATTGAGCCCGAAACTTTACCCAAGATTCCTAGTTTACCGATCTCTTACCTGGATGCTAAGCCCTTGCTGGACGCTCTCGAGGGCCATGGCCCGGCTATTTGGGATAACATTTCTTCTGGACCCTCAACTCTTGAGGTTCTGGTTGAAAATGAGCAAGATTACGATTATCATACAATCACCAATGTAATTGGTGAAATCCCTGGTCTGCTTGATGAAGAGGTCATAGTCGGAAACCATCGCGATGCATGGATTCTCGGCGGTGCAGACCCCAATTCAGGCACTGCAGTGGTTATGGAAGTAGCAAGAGTGCTGGGTGATCTATATCTAAGAGGTTGGAGGCCTTATCGAAGAATTGTGTTCGCATCATGGGATGCCGAGGAGTATGGTATGGTTGGATCAACTGAATGGGTCGAGGACCATGCACGCCGTTTAAACCGGAAGGCTCTGGCTTACCTGAACATTGATCTGGGCTATTCTGGTGACCAGTTTGCTGTCAAAGCTTCTCCATTGCTTGAAGCAGCGATCAAAGATGCCACCCGTTTCGTCGATGATCCTTACGGCCGACATGAAACGGTTTATGATGATTGGATGGCTTCGCCTGTGGCCGGTGTCCGTCCACTAGGGTCTGGAAGCGATTACACGGCCTTTTTCAATCATCTCGGTATTCCTTCGGCTGATTTAAGGTACCAATTCCGAGATGGCAATCCCGCCTACCACTACCATTCGAATTACGACTCGCTTCACTGGATGGAAAATTACGGTGATCCCGACTTTGAAGCCCACGCTGCCCTTTCAAAGGTTTTAGCGCTGACAGTGATAAATTTAGTTGGTCATGGCGTTGTACCTATCCGCACCCGCAGCTATGCTGTTTTGATGGATAGAGTTCTTCGACAATATCTTTCGAACATGGAGACTCAAGAAGTAAGAGACGTGCTTGAGACAGCTGAATACCTTTTGGATGCCGCCTCGTCCTACGACAACCAGCTCGAAAGGCTCAGCCGTGAATACTTCCGTGATTACGCTTGGTACCATTTCATCACCAAATTTGCCAACATGTGCAGGATCAAAGTAGCCAATTTCAAACTTGTCCGGCTGGAACGAATTTTCCTACACAAGGACGGTATTGATGGCCGGCCGTGGTACAAACACATTGTATTTGCGCCCCATAGGGATGATGGTTATGCACCAGCGCTATTCCCCGGGCTAATTGAAGCAATTGAGGATAGCGACACGGAAAAGCTTGACAAGTGGATTGAAATCGTGCACAGAGCACTGAAAACCGCACTCCATACCATAGCAAATTAGCCCTTTTTGTGTCTATAGTACAGTTTATTTATCTTTCGCTCTTCGAATCAAGAGACAACCCTAGCCCTCGAACAGAAAAAAAATTAAATTTGGTAATATATATCAGAAAACGTGGATTCCCAAATCAAGTTTTTCGTATACCACCACCTAACTGAAAAATGTCTGACGTTGCACGACTTCTTCCGCTCGCTTCCTGGGGTTTGGAGGTCATGCCCAAGAAGCTGACCCCACCCATTACCGCCGACTTCCCCGTCACTGTGCGCATCACCATGGCTGCCATTGACTACAATTCGCCCGTTGACAACAAGAAGAATCCCTCGGTTTTGCGACTGGTTCGCTTGCCTAGTGGTGCTAGCGAGTCTAGCGAAGATGAAGAGGACGAGGATGAAGAAGAAGACGAGGAAATGGACGAGGAAGATGAGACAGCTGTCATGGCCAACACCGTCGTTTGCACCCTTTCTCCCACCACTCAGTTCCAGCAGGTTCTTGATCTTGTTATTACTCCCGCTGAGGATGTTGCTTTTGAGGTTATTGGCTCGTATCCCGTTCACCTCACCGGCAACTTCTTGGATCATCCCTACGACAACGACAGCGATGATTACGACGAGGACGACGAGTTTGATGAGGACGAGGACGACCTCGATGAGGACGAGCTTGATGACGAGGAGATCGATGATGAGGACCTCCGCCGCCGCATCAATGAGCTCATCGACGATGATGCCGAAGAATCCGAGGAAGAAGAAGAAGAGGAGGAGGAAGAGGAGGAAGAGGAGTCTGAACCCGAGCCCGAGCCCAAGCCTGCAAAGTTGACCAACAAGCAGAAGAAGCAGCAAAAGCGTGCTGCTGAGGAAGAGGCTGCTGCCGCTCAGAAGAAAGCCAAGAAGGCTGACGACAAGAAGGTCGAGTTCTCCAAGTCTCTTGAAAAGGGGCCCGAGGCCACCGAGGCCAAGTTCCCCACCAGAAAGCTTGAGGGCGGTGTAGTTATTGAGGACCGCACTGTTGGCGAGGGCCCCAAGGCTAAGAAGGGCCAGACCATTGGTATGCGTTACATTGGCAAGCTCAAGAACGGCAAGATCTTCGACAAGAATGTCAGCGGCAAGCCCTTCTACTTTACTCTTGGCAAGGGCGAGGTCATTAAGGGCTGGGACGTCGGTATTGTTGGCATGGGTGTCAAGGGCGAGCGCCGTATCATCATCCCTCCTGCTATGGCCTATGGCAGACAGTCTTTGCCTGGCATTCCCGCTAACTCAGAGCTTATCTTTGATGTCAAGCTTGTAAACATTAAATAAGGACTTTTTAGCAACCTCTATTGTTTTGATTAGAAATATCTTTCAATCTAATTTTTTCTTTTTGAGACTGAAAAAGCCTCGTCGCTTTGACGGCGTCGTCGTCAGCTCTTGCGCTCCAGCTTGCAGGTTGGTGACTGGTTGAGAATCGCCGTTGGTGGAAACAGGCGCCTGTTGGGGTGTTGCCGCAGCTTGCTGGGCGGCTTGGTTATGTTGGTTGGTTTCCCGGTCACTTTCTAGTAAATGACGAGGCGCCGCGCCGTCAGGGAACATGACAGGAAGCCGTAGATCTTGGAGTTCTAGATTCTGTCGACCTAGTGCAATCACAAACTTCTTGGGCGTAAGACGATCGCTACCACCAATAATGATATCCTTTGAGTATTTAGTGCTCAGCTCATATACAGTTCGCGACTCAGAAGCTGTAAACCCGCCTAGCATAAATATGATGATTCTTTGTCGGCTCGCTTGCCCGACTGATTTTGACCGTTCCCAAGTGGCTCTTTGACGGGGATTGCGAAGGGATGTAGCAGTTTCCAGAACGTTATTTTCATAGTCTGGAACGTCATCCCCGTTAACATAAGGGAACATATTTGGGTCCAATTTGTTACGAATCATAGATTCAATCAAGTTTTTGACTCCTGGTGTGAACCGGGCAAACAAAAATTGACCACTATCATTTTCTCCGTAGAACGTAGGCATGGTGCCTTTGTTTCTAGATGGAATCAAATGCTTTGTGGTCGAACTAATCGTTTGTGTGAACGCATTATTGGTGATAGAAGACGTACCAAGGCGTGAAGGTCTGTCTTCATCTTCCTTGATAGCCTTGTATCCAAAGTTGCAAATGTTAGATGCTGTCTCGATATCCCATTCACCAAGCTTTGAATGAAGCCTAATTCTTTCGAGATCTTTGGAATATAGTCCTGTCTGGCGACCAAGCAAATAGATCAAGACTAGCCGCACTTTGTCCAGGTGACTTACTTTGTCGTTGGCCAGCAACGATACGAAGCGATCACTCACCCTAGTTTTGACTTCACGATCACGCTCTTCACCCAAAACAGAGGATTGCTCGACTTCTGCGAGCTCTTTGAGCATGTTTGCATCCACTTTTTCGACGCAGTCGAGAGCAATTTGCAAATTGACGGCCATCTGAGACTTAGTTTTGACAAAGCTGGGCAGCGCCGCCATCATGTTTCGAATATCGTGCACAGTAACATCCTGGGTGGTATCAGCAAAATGGGGGTTTGCGTCCTTCAATTCCTGAACACGCTTGGTCAGTTCTTCTGTGACCTGGGAAATGTGCAAATGACGAAGATCGACCCAGTCTACATCTTCCTCGGTAAGTTTGCCATTGACCTCACCATCAGCGGACTTGTACGTATCATTGGCCTCAATGTCAAGCAAATCGTAGGCCATGGCCTGGTATGTAAATTCGTGTACAAGAGGAGCCACAGCATCGACGCTACGATCCAAAACCAAAAGCACAGCACGACCGCGTCGATCCGCCTCCGGGTCCACAATTTGATCGCGAATCTCCTCAAGCTGATGCGATACACTCTGTGCCAGCTCAGCCGGTAAATCATGTGCTGCGTAGTCGCTGGAAGAGTTGACATAGCGGATGTACGGCACCTCGCCTATGGCTTGACAGACGTTAACGATTTGGGTAGCCGTGCGATGTAGATAGGCGTGCTGGTTTTGAACATTCCGGTTGTACAGACGATCATTCGCAAACGGATCACCCAGAGAAAACACATGGCGCTCTAAGGCTAAAAACCCAATGGGGGCAATGCCAAAGCCTGAGAGCCTACCACCGAGCCGGTTTCGCAGGTTTGTGATCGCACTATCCGGACCACCGGGCAGGAAGTACACATAGGCATCCCGATACCGGTTTGGCTGGCGAATAAAGTCCGCGGCGATACAATTGATGTTGTACCCTGAGGGCTCACAAATATACATAGCAGAAAGGGACGTTTCGGAAGTACGATGCGAGTCGAGCACCAGAACATTGGCAATACGTCTGTCAAGTAGCTGGTGTTTCTCCACGCAGTACTCAAACAAGTGCTCCACCCTGCGATCAATAACCAGCATCTTGTAGGTGCTCCTAGGGTTGACACTGTCGACCAAATTGAATATTTCTTGGGTTAATAAAAGTCCTAATCACCGGTTTTCCCCGTTAATACTTACTCTCTCGAAGCGCCGCTTGAATATCCATAGTTATGACAATGTGTTTAAGACAGTGGGAGACTCTTAGTTGCCGCTGGATAAGCTTGTGAGAGATTCCACGGGGTTTCGTGGGGTGTGGTTAGGGTAGTTGTATAGAGAGATAGGGGGATTAGGCACTAGAATAAGTAACGGGGTCATATTTAGAGCGGATGCTGTCGCGCTCGATACTCTCCTCTGCGGTGACTTCCTGCAGTCCGACTTCGAGTTTGTCGATGGTTTCTTCTTTGACTAGTTGCTGCTTCAGCGGTGCGATTCGTCGTCGTTTCAGACTGGTTCGGCCCACTACTGGCACATAATAGCATGCATCATCGCCCATACTGATAGCAATCTCGTCGAAATCGTTTTCATTTGCAGTGAAATCAATGTCATTCTCCTGAACTAGCTTGAACACAACAGGGTCGAGCGGTGGCTCACTCGCCGGTAAGGTGTCTCTCGTGTCTTTCAACCTGTTCAATAACTTCTCAGCTGATTCGTCGTCTTCGGGCATAAATAGCCCCATCCACTCCTGCGAATCATCCTCGGGTCCCACTGTAATATTGTTGAAAACTGCGGTTTCCAGTTGCAGCCTTGACAACGGTGGCTTGACTTTAGTCAACGAGGCAGAACCTGTCATGTTCACAGCCAAATAAACCAAATCCAGCTGCTTCACATCAGGAAGCAGCGGGAGTGCTTTAACAGCATGCACATTTCTCTTTTTTGGATGCTTGAGAGTATCAAGTGGCGCTTGAGCATGGTCAAACGTGCTTTCGATCCGCTGCACCCGCTCCTCAGGGTTGTGTGTGCTCTTCCGCGATTCACGTGCTGTCGGTCTTTTGATGCGCATCGGATCTGAGGAAATGTATTCGGTACGACGCAAAAAGGACACACCTGCGCCGGCAGAGCTTGGTCTTGAGGTCGAGGTTTTAGACGATGGTTCTACCAGCAGGTCTCTATCAGCCTCCTCCAGTTCTACTCCCTCGCTTGCCTCCAGGCTCGTCTCCGGGTCAAACGCGTGTGGAATCTCAACCAAATCTATTGGCATCCCAAGCTCCATGTCAACGTCAACTAGCAGGTCTCTACCCAAGACAGCTGCGGATAAGCTTGAAGAACTCAAAAGGCCCGAGAGGTCGATCTCGCTTTTCAAAAGTTTCGGCCCACATGGCGGAGGCGGAAGCTCGTTTTGATATCTTATCCGTGCAATATAGTCCTGGCGACGGGACGACATTTTAAGGCAGAGTGGTCAGTATCCAGACAACGTATTAGTAAGAAGAGTAGATTTACTTCAAGATAGCCACCGACCTTGAACAAACATAGTGCTAGGGGCTAGGTGCAAGTACACGAGACAACATTAGTTTTGGGGGCCTAAATGATATTTTGCAAAAGCTGAGTTCATAAAACATTCGAGAAAAAAATTGCGTCAGCCCGGAATCGAACCGGGGGCGCATCGATGGCAACGACGCATTTTACCACTAAACCACTGACGCTCGCGTTATACTATGGCTACCGCGCTCATATAAGTGCTCTCATATTCTCGGAGATATGTCCCAATTGTCTCCAAAGCATAAACTTCATCTTCCCAAACAGTACCATATACCTTGTGGCAGCGCTAATGAAAACATTCGATAAGACATAGCTGTCCGCCACCAAAATATTCTTCACAGCTCATGATATTTTAGTGGCATTGTGGAAGCAGGATTCAAGCTCACAACTTCATTCCGTGACTACAAACAAAGTACCACCTCTAATATGCATTCCTCAAACATCTCTTCAACAAAAGGAGCAGTGGACTCAGTCCATATGACTCTAACCTATGAACATAGTGCCAAATTGATCTATATTTGATGCTTTGAGTGTGCATACAACCACGCACCCAAATGCATTTCATTGCTAATGTTTAGAATCATGCGAAAAGGTTTTTGATTCGAAATTTGCACACGCTTTTAATATAAGATACCATATATCTGAACAAAATCAGTTCAGCTCTTGAAATACTTGTTTGTTTCTACCAGAATGGGCTTTCGAATCAACCATGTTTGGCGCTCCTGTATACGATATGCTGCGAACATGCAAGGTTGATAAATCTATGCCGGTCTCCTCCTAACTCACATAGGGAATGCGTACAAGGAGTTCTACCGGATTTTGTTGATCTCGTTGCTGTTCTTTCTGGCTTTTGGATGTTTCGTAATTGTTGGAGAGTTCTTAATGTTGTAGACTATATAGGGTAAAGTAAGCTAATTGCATTAGCAGTAAGCAGCACAATTAGTAGGGGCAACCGGGAAGCTAGGAATTCCATTGCTGATCTTGTAAACCTTGGAAGCTCCTGCAAAGGCAGAGGAAAACTGGCTAGCAACGGAAGCTGCTACAGCTACCTGATCGCATGGTGCATTTGCTGGAATAGCGGTGAAAAGATTCGATTCAATAGCAGAGGCAGGACCTGCTAGTGAAGTGATGTCGCCAACAACGATGGAGCCCACACCAACTCCTTGGAAAAGGTTGGCTTTCTCGTTCAAGTTGTTCAACAGAGTACTGATGCCTGCAACAAGAGTATTCAGGGCATTCAAATAGGTGACGACATTGTTGGGTGAAATTGCAGCATGGTATTTGGCAGCTGAGCCCAAGCTCATCACTGAAGAGTAGAGAGGGTAGTAACTCATCTGAATGTCCAATGCTCCAAATAGTCCATCTTGGGATTGAAAGGCACCAACAAGACTAATCAGTTTGGAGAGAGGAGGCTTGACAGCTTCAATGGAGCTCAATAGAGGGTCATTGAGGTTCTGCGGAGAAGCGGAAGTGATACAGGTTTCTGCCGGAGCAGCGATGGCAACTGCAGCGAGAAAGGAGGTAGCGATAATGGAGGTCTTCATTTGGGTATAGCTGGCTATGCTATAGTCAATTCCGCCGTCTTTTATATTTTACAGTTGAGGGGTGCATACTTCTTGAACTCCATCTGGAAAGTGGGGGATTAAACCCTCAAGGGTGAGGGTTGTCCTTTGATAGCGTTCGATGCCTCCCATATGGTCCCTTTTAGAATGAGAAAAGTGATCTCCCGATTTTAGCTGGAGTGCAATTGGCATCATAGCACCTTCACTAACATGTCTGTTATTCACAATGTCTTTAGTGCGACCCCAATTTAGCAATTATGCATGCTGATCTGCACTATCGTATAACCCTAACATGACCATGTAGCACTGTCAACAGGTTTGGTCCACAACACTGAGGCAACAATGAAACCAATGATTATTCCTAATGTAACATATATGTGTGTTGATATTTCCTGCACTGACGTTTGTTTTTTTAGTCAACTGTTTTCAGAACGTGCTCAGTCGGCACCAGAACAAATCAATATGCCGACCCCTCATCAGTGGCTTGGAAATCAGATGTACGATTATTTGGAGGCATAATTTTTGCACCTATGGTTTCTTGTTCTGTTAGTTTCATATGAAGCAACAAATATATCTAACGATAGCTTGAGGGTGACCTATGTGCTATTGTCTACTTCGATCTATGCTACGCGAGATCTTCACGTCCACGAGGCAGGGTTAAATTGCGACTGAACGTCGGCGGCATCTCCCGTGTCCTAATATAAAGATTTATTCGCATGAGTTTTATCTTGGCAACTGTTAAATTTTGTTTTTTTACTAAAATCTTCTATTCTCTACTTTGTTACGATCTCGACTTTCTATTTATGTCAAAACGAGAACCCCTCCAATTTACAGAGTCATTATACCATTCAATTAAACTAAAATTCCCTGGGATTGGATGCCAACAACCCCATAAGGTTTCAATATTCAGTAGAGCCCAATACCGGATTTGATTAATTGATTATATCGACTTATTATTGAGCTTTGTTGCCTTAATCGTCGTACCAGATAGCGGTATATTGCCATCTTAAGCAACCGATTTGAAAAAAATTCGACTCTTAAAGAGTAACTTAACGCCCCAAAAAAGAGTAGCATCGGTTGGTTTCGATCCAACGACATCAGGGTTATGAGCCCTGCGCGCTTCCGCTGCGCCACGATGCTTATTCTGTCTGAAACTGGGCTAAGTCCAATGATACCCCAATAACAAGCGATCTAGGCTTTCGCAGGTGTCTAGCTGCAGAAGTGCAAAAAATGGATGTTTTATATGTTTGCTAATTTCAAAGTGTTACGATTATTTCATTTAGTGATAGCAGTCTGTGTTGGGTTAATTCTCAACAGAACAACCCGCTAGTCTTTCAGCTCAACACGTTTCTCGCGATGAGTGGTTACACTTTTAACATTAGTTAAGTTTGTTGCAATTCTCCGCACAAATTCAGTACTACTTATCTACCCTTCAATGTTTTTAGACATGTCATATGAACGTAACTATTCCAAGCCGGCGCTGGTTGGTAGATATGTCCGGTGACGTCAGCATACATATGTGTTTTTCAACTTGGCGAGAGCCAGCCTAACCCTATCTTCTTGCACGGCGTCCCCCATCAAAATCCACCGTGAATGCCGTCTGTTTACATTGCCGGACCTGACGTGTTCTACCCTAACGCGAGAGAGCTCGCTGAAAATGCACGTGCTTTAGCGAAGCAATATGGTCTCACAGCATTGATACCAACTGACAACGAAGTGAAAGATGGCACTAAACAAGAGATTTCTAAGGCAATTTTCCGGGCAAATGTTCAAATGATTGAGTCCGCAGATGCTGTGGTAGCTAATATTTCGCCCTTCCGTGGTCCTTCTGCAGATGCGGGGACAGTGTGGGAGATTGGCTATGCTCGCGGTACAGGTAAGCCCGTCGTGGCCTTCTCAGACGATACCCGCGACTACAAGACAAGGGCAGAGAAGTATCCCGATGGAAATATGATTGAGGATTTTGAGAATGTTGATAACTTGATGATCGCGGAGTGCTTGCAGGGCAAAGTTCACCGATCCATTGGCGATGCACTCAAAGCAGTGTCGGAAGCACTCTAGGGTACCTATATAGCCAACATAACCTAAAATGCCTTCCACTTGAAATACTTTTCTCCGGGATTTACAAGCTCGCGGTGGTTTGTTGTGAAAAACATCCCCTTACCTGGTTTGCTCGCAGTTAGAACATGAAGGATCTGCATAAAGGCCGGCATAGTGCGTTCGCCAGCGATGGACTGCTCCACAGCGATCTGCAAAGCCTTTTCATAAGGTACCGGATCGTTGTAGATCAATGCGACGCCAGACGTTTTGCTATAGCGTTCAACAACCTTGCGTTGGGTAACTGCGTAGCTGAAAATGTTGACGTGGTCAGGGACCTCGGAGAAGTCGGGCCCGAAGAAAGCAGCAATGCTTGCGACCGACTTGCCAAGATCCTGATTCCAGGTTGCATGGAACAAGTTATCAGGGTTGCCAGTGAAGGTAACCTGGTTTGTTTGGTGATCAAGGCCCGCAATGCTAGCGAACCCTGCTCCAATGCGCCCGACGTCGCCATCAATTGCACCGGTTTGAACTTCAATCACCTTTAAACCGGCATCCCGGGCCCTTTTGGCAAGCTCGGTTTTGCGCTGGAACCCTAGAGGTACCGGCTGAATAGCAAAGTCAGTTGGGTCGGCCCCAAACTCCGACGGCATATAGGCACGAATGCGGTCTTTAGATCTAATGACCGCCTCGGTGATCCCGTCCCAGTCGGCACGTGGTCCGGTGGTATTAATCACTAGGTCGGCATTGGCAAACACTTTGTCCAGGTCGGAATTATCTTGCCACTCAACATACTTGATGCGATCACTTTTCACCGGAATATCCGAGGCATCGCGAGACAATGCTATCACCGGCTGGCCGATTTTCGAGTAGAAAACATCCTCCACAAGCGCCTCCAAAAGAGGAATGCCAACATACTTGCTGTGTGCTCCAATAACAACCACCTGTGTCATGGCGAACGCTGACATCTGGATAGCTGGTTAAGGGTTTAACAAAGGTCGCCGGATGCGCTCGGAATAAAAAGGTAGTTTATACATACAGGTCTAGGAAATCAGGTCAGCGGAGTACCGGAGCGACTCCGTGGAGTAGCGGCAACAGCGGCCACCGTAGAGCGATTCATCCGGTTGCGGTCACGGCCAGTGACATTAGTTTGGGACTCGGAGAGAATCCTGTTCATTTCCTTGACATTGTCCAGCTCGGTCTGTGTGATTGCAAGCTTGTTTTGTAGTTCGACCTTCTCGGCTTCGACAGTGATCTCACGCATGCGCAAAGCATTTTCCGACATGAGCTCTTTCATCTCCACAATCTCGTCCGACAGCTTCTTTCTTTCGATTTCGGCATCGGCAGCGGCTGAGGAGGCGTTCTGGAATTGGAGACGCATATACTCCAGATCTCTGGAGTGGATTTCTGCTTTATCGCGCAAGCGCTGTACCTCTTCGCGAAGTTCGATAGCCTCGGCTGTTTTAGCAGCCAGTCGAGACTCGGGCCCTTCTTCTGTCGAGTTCTTTGCCGCCTCGAGCTCGCTGTGCTGAGTCTCGAGTTGGGTTCTCAAACCTTCTATATCAGCACGGTTCTTTGCAAGCTTCTTCTCATCCCGTTCCCGCGTTCGCTTGAGAAGAGTGTTTTCTTCAATCAGCTCCACCATTTCATTCTGGACAGTCTCTAAAACCTCCTGGCGATGAGATGCGGTTTTGCGTAGGTTCTCAGACTCGGCTTTGAGCCTCTCGTTCTGGTCTACGAGCAATTGAACGCGGCGAAGAAGCGAGGAGCTTAGCGTGGAAGGATCCCCTTGTCCCGACAGACCATCAGTCTTTACTGGATCCTCTAACTTGATACGTTTTGGCTCCGGACCAGCATTTTTTTCATGGGCCAGTATCTTCTGTTCGACATCAGTGGCCTTGAATTGAGCGGGCGGCGAGGGGCGCGCCAACGGCCATGGCCGGTCAGCATTTTGGAACCACGGAACCATATCCCGTAGATCATTGTCATATAAATACTTCATTTCCGGAGGAATCTCTCCTGCAGTCTCGCCCAAAACCACGGTTGAGCCCAAAACGAGGGTCAACTGTTCGCGTTGGAGGTTTGCGACATCGGTGTAAGGCATGACATGGTTCACACTACCCAGCGGTATCAGGCGAACCAATGGAGCTAAAGGTACACGTTTCGAGGGATCTCGCAGCTGCGCACGGATTCCCTGGGCGTAGGCAGAGCCCAGCTCGAATGTATCGTCCATTACAATCATAAAGTCAAAGGCGAAGTTCACGGAAGCAATGAGATCCTCCAACCGGGACGGAACTATATGATAGCAGCTTCCTTTGGCAACAAATTGCGCGTCTGGGGGAGGGTGATTGAGCGGCTTGCCATTGGTATAGCGGAACAGATTTGCAGTCTTATCGGCCAGAAATGCTTCGACCAAGTCGCTAAGATATGAGTCGCCCACCAGAATGGCAACGTGAAGCCCCAGGTCATTCGTGGTGCGCACAATTTTCGCCAACACCTCGAACTTGCCGGAGATTTCGCCGATTCGGTATGGCATATCCCTGGTAAACAAGTTCGAGGGCCGGTGCTCGTCCAGTAGCAGCCATGGGTGCGTGGTGATTTGCTGAATCTCGCAGAGCATCTTCACAAGGTCCTTACCGTACTTGTGTGTTCTATTATCTGAGTCCAGAAACCCCAATAGCTCCGAATAATGTGCAGAAATGACCGTGTCAAGCAGCTCCTTCTGCAGCGGGGTGAGCGGCACAGGCAGAATGTAGTCACCACTACAGTCCGCTATGGGCGCCGCGAACACCCTTTCGCGACTCTCTTCTCGCTGCACAGCAACCGCCTTTTGAGAGTCCAGAATGCGGCCTAATTCCATCGCTGGTAAGGGACAAGGGTAACTTGTCAGCAACCTTGAAATGGCCGATATCACCAGAGACGAGGTCAGTCTTTACGACCGGCAGATCCGACTTTGGGGCCTTGACGGCCAGCGGCGACTGCACGAGGCCAATGTGCTTGTGGTCGGATTCGATGCTGTCACCGTTGAAGTTGTCAAAAACGTGGTGCTTGCTGGGGTGGGTGCGCTCACCATCGCTGACGACAACCAGGTCTCAGAAACCGATCTAGAATACAATTTTTTCGTGACTGCTCAAGATATTGGCGCGAATCGCGTCGAGGCTGGTCTGGTGCGTGTGCAGCGCCTTAACCCCCGCGTGGCAGTGACCGCGCATCTCCACAAACCTGCTGACCTGCATGCTGAATTCCTCGGCCAATTCGATGTCGTGGTTACCAGCGGTGTGCCGTTTGACGAAATGACAAGAATAAATGCTGCTGTGCGTGATGCCGGGCACGCATTCTACGCAACTGGCCTCTTTGGCTGGATGGGCTATATATTCGCCGACCTTGTCGAGCACACATTCACCGTTGAGCGGCCGCGGCCCAACGCACCAACGAAACTCGGACGAGTGTCATTGACCCGAGAAGTGCTTGACGCACACGTCGACAGTGCAAACAACGAGCGGCTGCAAATTCGGGAGGTCTATGCTCCTCTGCATATTGCGGTGGAGAACGCCGTCAAGCTGCCGTTCGCAAGCACCTTGAAGCCTCGTGCTCGGGCCCGGGTCACCCCTTATCTTCCTGCGCTGCTGGCCAGCTGGGAAACTGCAACTCTCGCTACGGCAGATGTAGAGGCCAAGGCCCGGGCTCTCGGGCTCCCAGCAACCATTGTCACCCACGAGTTTGTTGCCAGCTTTGGTGCCTTGGAGGGTGTCCAGATCTCTGCCGTGGCTGCGGTGGTAGGTGGCCAGCTCGCCCAGGATATGATCAACTATCTTACGCGTCGTGAGTATCCCATTCAAAACATCGTTATTTACGACGCTAAAAGCGGCCAGGGGCCCATGTATGTACTGTAGATATAATGATACTCTCAACAATATACGCGAACCCCCTAAAATACTATAATGGTTTAGTTACCGCCAGCGACAGCCAGCTTTTGTAAGTGAGACATGAACGTCTGCAAGCTCACGTCGTCAGTAAGCACCACTGCTTCCGAAGCCTGGCCGTAGGCACCTTCGGTCTGGTGCGTACTGGACGGGTTCAGTTTAGACAGCAAGAAACGGGCCTGAGAAGCGCCCACCTCGGTGTCGATGAAACGAGGCAGAGGGAAACGATCAACCAGCAGCTGCGCGGCCTCGCGACGGGGCTCTTCCAGCAGCTCCTTGAAATTGGCATACTCCTCCTGGTCTTGATAACCAGCACGACGCCACTGAGCAATGGTCTCACCGTGGAAAATTAGAATGTGGAAGAAAGTGTCAAGCAGAAGAATAGCATCTTTTTTGATTGAAACCGAGTCAAGAAGCACCGGCTCGGGCTCAGCATCCAGCTGGAAGGACATAAGGGTGGGCTGTATCATAATCAGCGAGTTTGTTAGGTCCTCCCGGTTCAAGCAATGCCGGTAGAAAGCAGTCTCATCCGGAGAGTTGTTGAAAACCTGCAAGAACTGCGATCGCCGTAAATGGAACATGAATTGGGGGTACAGGGAAAAGTTCTGGGCAAGTCGGAATGAAGATGGATCATCTTTGCGATAGTCGGCAAACTTTTGGCACAAACGAATGAGCATGCGATCGGTCCATCGTAAAATATCCGGACCGTCGTCGGTCTGTCCCTTGAACACAGCAATTCTTGCCATAAGAACAGCAGCAGCCTCTTGATCAAAGGACGCAGTGAGCATCAGGTCGCCTCCATTAGCCAGAGATCGCACAACCGTTGTCACTCGCAAGCGATAAGTACCGGAAGAGTGCTGGTAGTGGGTTAAGAACTGGATATGTGCGGAAGGACCGGCCTGGCCGGGACGCAAAGGCGGAACATTCTGTGTGTTTGCAACATCAAAGAATGCACCAAACGTATGAGCTGGAGTGATGGAGCATACCTGCCACGAAGAAGTGCCACCGATACCCACTTCGGTGTCGGAAACGGCAGCAGTCTTCTTTCCCTTGGAAACGCAGTGACCGATTACTCCTGAAACCTTCAGCTCTTTAGTGGTCAAAATGTCAAAAGTGGCATTGAATCCCATGAGCAGATTGCCCTGGTCATCGGTATTGAAGACTCTTTGCAAACTCTGTTTGAAGATGGACGTAGTGAACGCGTCGGTTAGCACCACGACACCACCCGTCGAATTGGGCATACTTTGCATTTCATGCAATCCCACCTGATCATAGCAACCGGCAAAGATATCAATAGCATGACCGTTGCTCGCTGATCGCTTGGCCAGCGCCTCGTAAAACTTGACAGCCTTGGAGTGGTGCTTTGCGTTGTCGCGGTCGATGTCGTGGTGAGATCGAATGGGTTCGCGCAGTTCGGTACCAACGACGAGACCAGGGCCCTCTGTTGGCGGGCCGGCAGCGAACAACATAACACGCGCACCGGTATTAGGAAGGAGCTGGTCAAGCAACGAGACAGCAACAGAGGTGGCTACACCGGTGCACCGCGTCGCACGGGCCTCATTACGAACTGGCCAGGCATCACGCTGAAGACCCTCAATGATAGAGGTGAGCTGGAACTCGCACTCCTGAACGGGCATCAAAAAGCGCGACAGGGACGGGTTGAGCATCTGACCCGCAGCGCCGTTGGCACCCTGGAAAGCCTTGGCGGGGCCAATACCGAGCATCTCCTGCACCTGCTTGACCGTGTAATCAGAGGTTCCCCGGAAAACATAGGACTTGTTGCATGAAGTGAAGCCAAGCTCGTATACCTGAACCATAGCACCAAAAGTGACCAAGCCAACCAGAGCGTTCGGAGGCATCAACGACAAAGCCACGATGAGCGAGTCCTTAAGGGCTTGGAGGTTCTCCTCATCCTGGCACAAATCAACCACAAACAAGAACGCCGGAGGCGCTTGCACAGGACGACTCAGCACGTATTCAATAGTGGACGATGTAGGCTGGAGCTCGTGAGGCAAGGAATTTTGCGAAATGTCTCGGTAGTTCTGGGGTAACGCATTTCGCGACATGCAAAACGGACAAATCCAGACCTGTGCACGGACGTCCAGCTGGCAGAACGGGTTGAGAACCGCCCGGCACGGAGCCCGACACGAAACAGGCTCGTACTGCAAAACCGGCAAGTCGGGCTTTTCACGCAGCGGAGTGTACAAAACCGAAACAGGCACGATTGTACGCGAAGATTCTACTTTACTAGACGGAATACAGTTCCATGCAAACCGCACTCCATCCAGCTCCTCATACTCTTCAAAGTTCATGGTGCCAGGTCAGCAGGTTAGTCAGGCAAGCTGGGAAGTAGTTAAGTGGAACGCATCGACGGGCAAGCGCTGAACTGGAGGCACTAAGAAAACAGTGTCGGACACCAATTCACTGCACAACGGCGCATTTGCATCTAGAGCGCACTGTTGTTCCCCTGCGTTACTATTTCCGTAAGATCCCACCCATCCCGGCGTTTTTTTCTCCCCCGGCCAGATCGGTCTTTGTCATGTTACTAGTAGGCGTGATTCTGCGCATCGGGTTGGCTGCGCTGTTTCCGTCGCTGCCCCAATTCCTGAGTGCCCAGGTTGAGCTTAGCACACCGGTATCATCGTTCAGCCGGCTGCAAGAAGGAGTCTATCTGTACAAACATCTGTCTTCTCCGTACCAGGGCAATGTGTTCTTCCAATCACCGCTGTTACTGAGTTTGTTTTCTGTGCTGCCAGTTCAAAACTCGTTCTATGTGAGTGTTTTTTATGCGCTTGTTGACGGCTGGACCGCTTACAATCTTGCAAAAATCGCAAAAGCTCGGCCGATCACCTCGTTCTCGCCGAACACCATTGCCCTGCTCTACCTCATGAACCCGTTTTCAATGCTCGGCGGGCTGGCGAGATCAACGCTAATCTTTACAAACTGGGCGATTGTTGCATCCGTCCAAGCCGCCATCGCGGCGAGACCTATCAAAAGTGTTGTGCTCATCGCTCTCGCGTCGTGCCTCTCACTGTACCCGCTTTACCTTGTGTTACCTATATTTTCACTCTGCCTACAAAACAGTTACCGGTACTCGTTCCGGTCTATGGTACTGGCGCTGATCGGCTCGATCGGTGCCTTTTCGGCCCTCGGCTATTTACCGCTCCAATCCTGGAACTTCCTCGACAAGCAGTATCTTACAAGCTTGCTATTTCGTGACCTTTCTCAACCCAATTTAGGTGTATGGTGGTACTACTTCATCGAGATGTTTGCCCCATTTAGGCCTTTTTTCGTAGGGGTGTTCCAGCTTTTCTTGGGCTCGTTCCCCGTCGGCCTGACCATTCGCTTCCCGCACGAGCCGCTGTTCGTTATCAGCGCAGTAGTCGGCTTGCTGGCCATCTTCAAACCGTATCCTGAGGTTGCAGACATTGGCTTGTTTTTGACTCTGCTCGCGTTGAACAAACGAGTGGTTGGCCTCATGCGCTATCGCCTGGTCGTGATTCTTGGCCTGCTCTACGTCAGTGCTTTGGCTCCGACCTTCTACAATCTTTGGGTCTACCGCGGCTCGGGCAATGCCAACTTCTTCTATGCCATCACGCTTGTTTACACGCTAACGGTAGCGCTGGCGCTTTCAGATGCGATCTGGGCAGCTGTTCGCCTCGACTACGACGGCGGCAGGGGCCGCAACCTCATGCAACTGTGAAAATTCCGCTCTATATAGAGTTTGGCGCTATGAACATATGTATCAACTAAAGCGACTATGTAGTCCCATCTCCAACGTTTTTTTGTCATCCAACATGGTCGTCAACCCCAAGCCCTTTTTGAAGGACCTTCAGGGCAAACAAGTTCTGGTCAGATTGAAATGGGGGCCCACTGAGTACAAAGGCACTCTGCTGAGCACAGACTCGTACATGAATCTCCAGCTCGACCAGGCCGAAGAGATCATCAACGGCGAGTCCAAGGGCGTGTTGGGCGAGGTCTTGATCCGATGCAACAACGTTCTATGGATCGCCAGAGCATGAATGTTATTTATTTATATTTACCAAATCAGTCTGCTACGTCTCCTATCACAGGCTCGATGTGTATTGTGGTCCCAATGCATCCCGTTGTGGTCTAATTGAGCCCCCCATTCTGCTCGGTTTCCCTTATCCTTTGTACTATGCTTCGAACGATCACCAATGAATTAGCAAATGAAGGCGCGCAGCAAACCAAAAGCCAGCTGGTGATACCGTTAGGGCGCTATGAGGCACCCACACCACCGCTTGATGTGGCCAAGTCTCGAGCGTCCCCCTTCGAAGCACTTCCGTTCGCGCAAGCAACTACCACCCCCGAATTGCCCTTGTTCAGTCCCAGTCTAGACGAACCCCTCGGTTCGTACGAGCCTCTTTCGTCGCCGCAGGAGACACCGGAACTATCACCCCCTCAGATCAGGGTACCGCAAAAGCCTGCGATTTTGAGGGACGATACCTCGTGTGTTGTCGATGAGACTCTGGCCTCCTTCGAATCGTTCACCTCCCAGCTTTCACTCGAGATCGACGAGGAGCTTCATGGTGTAGTTCACAGCGTGCTGCAAAAACTACCTCGTGCTATTGACGCCCTCAAGGCCAACGATGATATTTACTGGTTCCGCGACTACCACGGTACTTTGATCAGTGTACATGAAAAATGGTATGATTCGGAAGACCACCAAGGCGTAAGTGCCACTTGGGTGTTACTTTTGGTGCTCCCTCTTCTCAACGTGGTTTGCTCGAAGCCAATCATCCAGGGTATTTGCTCAATTGCAATGAATGACCTGCTTTCCACTATGCGTGGCCTCTCCGTAGGTCTTTCGGATGATACCACGTTGGTTGAGCAGATGCTCGGTGGATCATGCTGGTCCCTTTTGGTTAACCTGATGGGGCGAAATCAAGCAGATATCCCGTACCAGGCGTTTCGGACAGCTAAGCTAATAGTTTACAATGCGCCCATCTGCGAAGACGTACTTGCCAAAGGTACTGGACTAGGTCTGGGGGCCGCGGAATCTCAAAATGCTGACATGCGTCTGTATTGGTATCGCATTGACCTCATCGAGATCATAGTAACAAAAATCGAGAATATCCAAGGTAACGCATCTGACCACATTACTGTCTATTTGATGCGATACGCTCATCAACTTGAGCAGGCCAAGTCACAGGAGCGTGACGTGGTGCTCCTGCGACAAATAGAAGATATTTTGACCACCATCAAATCGATAATCTCAGCAACCGCAGCAGTAAGCCCCATTGTCAAAAGGGGTCGTTATTATGCTACACTGGCATCATATCCTGCTATTGGCGAACCCAGAATCCGGGTCGTTTCCCACTCTAACTCCTCAGGCTCCCAAGTTGTTGATGAGTTCGACCGTCTGTTCCCTTCGGGTATAGACAGTTCGGGTGCTTGCGAAATCGACTCTTCGCTATTCCGTCCTCCCTCTGCGACACCCCGCTATGCAACCTTGCCTGAGGGCCCAACATCGCTGAGTCCAGATGCCGACACACAAGATCCACCAAAGGTACACTCCTGGTTGCGAAGTTGGCGGTCCCGCCGTCAACTCAAACCTGATGTCAATAGTGTTGAACACCGAAACCGGTTAAGGACATGGTTCAGTGATCACTTCAAGCGTATCATGCGTCCGTTTTCTGCATCCCCAGCATCTTGCGTCTCTTCAGAGATCGACACTACCCTGGACGTGGAAATTCCAAACTGGAGGCTGAGGTCCTGGCACTCCGCATACGAACCTGGCGGTTTACTTCGCCCTAAATTATAAACTTTGGTCAAACTCACTTAATCCAACCCGTGAATAGTGCGCGAGTGTCTGCCTCGTAATCCTGCCTCATGTCCCGCAATCCCGCGTGCAGGTTGCGTCACCGGCCCGGAGACTTTTCTTACTGATGAGAGGAGACCTATGCTGCGTCTCTTCCAACCTCGAGTAGATCCACAGACGGACTTCACAAAGCCTTTTATATAAATCAAAATGATATACTCAAATGGACCCAAAACTTGCCGCGTAATTTGTCTATCTAACATATGAAAGATCACATGACTGCATGCAAGCTGCAGCGGAATACGGGGTTTAAAGCCAGTGGTTTCGGACTCGTGATCGGTAGAAATGAGCTCCGGGCAGCCAAATATCGTATTCATTCTCGCTGACGATTTGGGTTATGCAGACTTGAGCGTCTATGGCAACATTGACTTCGAGACGCCAAACCTCGACCGCTTGGCCCGTGAAGGAGCACGCTTCACCCAAGGTTACGCAAATTCGGCAGTCTGCTCTGCTACTCGCTTTGCTCTGATAACCGGAAGGTATCAATACAATTTTCCGGGCGGTCTTGAGGAGCCTCTGGTTAGAGTTGGTGATAACTTAGGACTACCAGCCGAGCATCCTACCCTACCGTCGCTTCTCAAAGAACAGGGCTATGAAACTGCTTTAATTGGAAAGTGGCATTTGGGACGTCCGCCCAAATTTGGGCCTCTAGTTAGTGGTTACGATAAATTTTTTGGTAACCTGGGGGGCGCCCTGGACTATTTCACTCACCGAACGGGCGTGGGGCCTGACGTTCCGAAAGATCTTTGGGAAGGTGACGTTCCTGTCGAACGTACTGGTTATTACACGACAATTGTATCTGATGAAGCAGTCAAATATGTCAAAACAGAGCGTGACAAGCCTTATTTCCTCTCTCTCCACTACACAGCTCCTCACTGGCCATGGGAAGGTCCCAACGATGCGGCAATCGCTCCTACAATCAAGGACCTCTTCCACTACGATGGCGGGAACCTTAAAAAGTATGCAGAAATTGTTCAAGCACTCGATGAAGGGGTTGGAAAAGTTTTGAAAGCTATTGAGGAAAGTGGAAAGACAGAAAACACCATTATCATTTTCACCAGTGACAATGGTGGGGAGCGCTTTTCCTTCAACTGGCCCTTCCTTGGACAGAAAACCGAGCTATTGGAGGGTGGTATTCGCGTTCCAACCCTTTTCAAGTGGCCAGCCCAAGTCAAACCGCAGGTCAATGAACAAGTAGTTGTTACGTTTGATTGGCTTCCTACACTTCTCGCAGCAGCGGGAGGTAAACCCCACCCGGATTATCCTAGTGATGGAGAGAATATTCTGCCAGTTTTGAAAGGAGCACCCCCGCATCATAGAACACTGTACTGGCGCTACAAATCCTGCAACCAACGGGCTCTTCGGGATGCTAATCTCAAGTACTTGAAAATCAACGAAAACGAGTTCCTATTTGACGTTGTAGTGGACCAAAGAGAACGTGCGAATTTGAAAGATAAGAAGCCCCAGGAATTCGAACGTTTGAAGAAGCTATGGACCGATCTCGACTCCAGGTTTTTACCTATCACTAATGAAGTGTTCACTCATGGTATTACGCCTGATATCCAGGCTGATCACTATGTACCTCATCAACTCACCCGAAACCCGAATAAAAGGCCTTAACGTTTATCATAGAATCTACCTAGCACATCTACTATCGCGAAGTATATCTCATAAACACGTCCGCTTACAAATATCGTTTGGCTAAAACAATGGAAATCGAGCCTACCCAGCCGTCTATTCTGGTACCAGAAGGTCAGAATGCGGTAGAACAACCGCAAGCTGACGATTTAGCAGGAGATATTGAGGTGGATTCTGAAATGCAGGTCGAGGGCGGTGCTGAAGTCCGCGAGAACTCTATCTTCCTTAGCGGGGTCGATGACTTTAGTGCCAAAGATGTTGAGAACTTTGTATTGTCCTTCTATAAGAAACCGTTTTACATGGAGTGGGTTGATGACTCGAGTCTAAATGTTGTTTATGATGATGCAGAGGATGCCTTTCAATGTCTAGTGGCTCTCACATCCGAAGAAGAGTTTTCCAAAAGCGAGCGGATTGAGCCTACACAACTACGGTTGACCAAGCCAGACCCTAAATGTGGCGTTAGTTTAAAAGCTCGATTCTCAATGTCGACGGATAAAAAAGTTCAAAAGGCCCGTGAGCGAAGCCGATTTTATCTCATGAATGGTGAGCCCACAAGAAAAGAGGATATCGTACGATTCGGAAGTAACAGATCTGGTGCCTACAAGTACGGAACAAGAGACCAGGATCTTCTTGGCGGGGACAGGCATGGGCATCGCCATGGAAGCGAACTTTTCCCCTCAAAGCTGAAAAATAAAGCCATCAGTGCCAACGATTCCCAAGTTCTCAAAGAGAGGGCAAAAGAACCAGATCTGTTCGCTCATAAAATCGGCTCAAGGTCAAGGAATCGCCGCAAGCGAAATGACCGCAAAAAGAAGCCCTCGTCGCCGGGGGCCCCTTCTGTCTACAGTAACATGGACTACTGAATCATCACTCGTTCAAAATATGTAATTATGTCAAAATGTTTCTTCTTATTGCGTGCTATGTATCCTCCTGAGACAATTTTTATGTTGAATGGGGAATGATGAGCTCTTTCCAGCCCTTTTCGTGGTCAACAATCTCACCGGGGAACTTGAACCGCTTCTCGCTTGAATAGAAAAAGTCTTTGCGGGCGCGGGCAGTATGGTTGGCATCAATGCTGATAATTGTTTTACACTCAATCGAACCAGCCATGAATTGTGTGTGTCCTTCAGGGTCCACAACGGAGGTATTACCGTGATAGACGGCTTTGTCCTCGCCGACGCCAATGCGGTTAACCATTGCCACAAAGACTTGGTTTTCCTGAGCGCGAGCTTTCACAGAAGTCTGATGCAAATGGCCATAGGGCTCCATGTTGCCATCACAGATGACAATTAGGTCGACTTCAAGTTCAGCAAGAGCCCTACTGGTTTCAGGGAACTCGGAGTCAAAGCAAATGATAAGGCCGATTCGGACCCCTTTGTGATCAAATGCTACGAACCGATCACCGGCTTGAACGACCCCTCTGTCGCCCAACCACAGGTGGGTCTTTTGATACTTGCAGAACACACTGCCATCCTTGATGAAAACAGCCGTGTTGAAGAGCTTGTCTCCCTCTCTTTCAGTGAGACCCATGATACCGGCGATTCCACGCTTTTCCAGTGCTTGAGCCACTTTTTTAACCGGCTCGCTGTCGAGAGAAAGCGCCAACTGATCTACGTTTGCTGGTGTGAGGAATCCGGTCATGGCGACTTCAGAAAATACAATAATATCTACCTCAGAAGAGCACTTCTCGATGGCTTGGACAATGCGGCCTACATTGTAGTCGATGTCTCCATCCTTAATCTCTTGCTGAACGAGCTCCAACTTCAATTGTGTCATGGTGCCAACAATTAGGTAATTCCCCGCTTTATATCTGCAGTTCCTGCAAGTTGAGCTCTTAGCTTGCAGTTGCCAAATATGGCTTTTGTGCACTCGAACACGAACTCGCTAAAATCTTCTATACGTGTGTTCCTTAAGCCCAAAGCTCTGAGCTGAAATGTACTTAACACCCTGATCTGTGCTAACTGTGACTTTGTTGAGCTCAACAATTGCTGGCAGAGCTTGATCTCAAGTTTCAAATCGTACACATTTTTTTGGTAAATACTATTGACGAGTGAGTGATGTACTGCTGAGTGGCCCATATTGACCAATGCTGATTGTATGCAATGTGATCATCTGCAACATCTCGCCTGCATGACGAAATCTTTGGGATGTTTTCAATAAAGAGCTTCTGAAGTTTTTTGGACCCAGACTAGAATCAGCTGTGAATATATCTGTAAATTATCCTGCTGGCAGTTAGGGACGTGACGATAAAGACTCCAAGTGGACAACGTACTTGAGGATTTTCGTTGCCAAGTCTATGCAATGCGCTGCCTGAACGATGAGATTTGATTTTTGACATGTGCCAATCAGACAGCGTGTTTTGTTCAAGTCAATTGTAGGTATACCTTCTTAAAATTAGCTTGAAAACGATACTGAGTAATATGAAAGACGGATACTTTTTTGTACACGCTCACCACATCTCTAATAGTATGTCTCCCTGGCACGCCGTAACACGCTCAAATTCCTCAGTCGAGCTACCCCTTTCGTAACTCAGTGAACGAGCCGAGATTAATCGGAATAAAATTGGAAATTGCAGAAGCACTTATGTATAAACTATGCTAAACCTCAGAAAAAGTACTACGGGCTCGAGGATGCTATCAAGGTATTTGATATTGGGCCCTTGTGCAGCAGGGTTCGGAGGACTAATATCGCCTTGTACTGTACAAGTACGAGTACACTTATTAGGCTAACTGGAAACTGCGTAAGAGACTTCAAGTCGGAGAGCAGACCGATAATGGACACCTTGGTGCCCCAAGCTTCAGGGCACGCTTGGGTTCCAGGCTTTTCCAAAGGTTTTTTGGGGGCTTCTCGATTGGTTCTCTAGCATAAAATGAACGCAGCTTATCTTCGTACCTTACTCAATGCAAGATGCAGGTCTGGATAGATAAAAGTGCGTGTCACCTTTTTATTCGGACGGCAGCCTCTTAAGGTGCTTGTTCTAAAGAATTATATATTATTATCATGTTGTTTATCTCAAGTAACTTTTGCTTCAGTAAACCACTCCAACTAGTAGACCCTGTCCTGATCGGACTTTCTTCACTCCACTCTCACGATAAGGTCGACATGTTCTTGTATCTTGCAGTGCATGGGCAGGTGCACGCATACTAGCGTCTATAGAAGTTGGAATGTTCTATGAGGCTTTCTCTGATGCTACTGCTCACACAAATGGGTTCAGTATCTTTAGATGATTTTTTCGCCTTGACAAGTGGAATTGGATCTCGCAGTCTTGAAGTTCTAACAGAAAGTGTGAAGCTGGCTACTTGCCTGGAAGCTACTCAAACTTGCAAATCACACTTGCATACACACGTACGCATATCTGCTTTGAACAATATCTAAAGCCGTGGTGTATAAATACGTGGTCAAGATTGCCATTGATGCCGTACCAATGGTTCGTCTCAGTCTCTTTACTCTGATCTCCTATTCTGCCATTGGAGTTTTCGCCAATGCTACTGACTTGGACACTACTCTCGTATCTACCTCCTCTACCCCGTGTGCTTCAGTTGTTACCACAGTGGTATTCTCTCAACCTACTTTCTGCTCGTGCCCTAATGACGGCACTTTGGATGCTCTTGTACAAGCTGAAAAGGGTGCCAAAGACAGCGTCGACAAGATTGTTCTAATTCTCCAAAGTGCCAATGTCAATTTGAGTAGTGTCCACGAAGCTTTAGTGGTACTTGAAGATAGTATGACAGGCTTGGCCAATTTAGTTAATGGTGCAGCTTGTATTGGGCCTGACTTCGTGAATGTCTTCTCTAATATTGTTCAGGCTATCGCGACATGTGCTGGACTTATTTTTGACCTTGCCACTGTAAACGTGCTAGGTTCTATTGAACAGATTTTTGAACTTGTTAAAAGCGTTGGAAACTCTGTTTCTGCCATTGTTCATGGCATCAAGGCTATCATTGAAAATAAAGATCTGCTCGTATGCTTTGGATGCCAAGAGGTCAATGCTTTGAACAATATGCTTCTCGTTTTAGAAGACGTTGCCAAAAAAATCATTCCCGGGTTTAAACTCCCACAGCTGCCTTCTTGTAGTGGGCCCACTACTACGGTTCTCACTGTTAGCGGAGGTTGTAGTGCCGCTCCAGCTCCCACAATATCTGACACAATCGGAGGTAGTAGACAATGCACTCGTATCTACACTGTAAGTGCTCCTCCCTTGGACCCGACACTGTGCCCTTGTTCTGAAGATCAAACTCTGAATGGAGTCATCACCGATATCCAGAACGTAATTAACTTTGCAAAAGCTATTCTGTCTATTCTTCCCCCGCTACCTGGTGTTTTGGGTAGTCTAAGCTCAAAAGTTTTGCCCGAGCTCGTTGACAGCTTGATAAGGTTTCTCAATGTCCTATTTGGAGCTGGTTGCTTGGGGAGTTTCGCGGGACCACTACTTAGCGCCTTGAAGGACCTTCTTATTCGTATTCTTTCTCTTGTGAAATTGCTTCAGCAAGTATCTCAGAACCCATCTGGTGCAGTTGACACTATTGTATCTGTTCTGACTGCCGTACTAAAAATGTTCAACTCTTTGACTGACCAACTGTTCGCAGTTATTGAAAGCAAATCCATGAAATGTTTTGCTTGCTCTGATATCAATTCTCTCAATTCACTGATTTCTAGTGTTAATGAAGAGCTATCTCGCTTGCCGGTTGTTTCAGGGATCCAAATCTCACTGTTCCCCAGCTGTGATTCCTCTGCTTCCATTCTTACCAATATAGTTCCTTGCACTGTTTCGGCCTAACAGGAATGAAAACAGCTTGAAACCAAATTATAACTAGTATGTCTGATATTATGCCTTTCACCACTGTCTTTGGCTCGCACAGCCATCTACGCACTTTTGAGGTGCTAGTGAGGATGAATTCAAACAGGCATGGCCTAAAGGCACAATCACTCGTGAAGAAACTCTAACTCAGTAATTAACCTCAAAAAAAATTTCAAAAAAAGAATGGTCCCTGGCGGGATCGAACCGCCGATCTTGGCGTAACTTAGAGTATTAGCACCACGCCTTAACCAACTGGGCCAAGGGACCGATTTCTGTTCCAGAAAAATTGGATATATCCTATATGAAATTGCCAGTTCCCAGAATCTGATGATAGCCATCAATAGTAAAGGAGAGCGTCCAAACTCGAGGATGCCTTCAAATGCAATGAAATGAACAGTGCATAATGTAACAATACTAAGATCTTCTATTCGCATTGTGTATCTAAAAGCTATGGAAGCTAACTCCTCAAGAGGTGAGTGCACAGAACCAGATTAGTCTGTATCAGGAGCTTTGGTATATTTATTCAAATAAAAATTGAGGACGGTTAAGCGTGCTCGAATATATAACAGTTGAAGTTAGATTTCATGGTGTTTTTTTTTTAGAGTTGGCCTCTGTGCTTGATTAAACACGCTTGTAGGCAACTTTCTTGGCAGGGAAAGAGGGACCGACTTGCTGGATAGACTCCTTGGCGAGCCACTGGCCCATATCGACGCAAGTATCTAGATCCTTACCTTCGACGAGACCAGCGAGGAAGCCGCCAGCGAATGCATCGCCAGCACCGTTGGTGTCAACAATATCGGTCTCAGGAAGAACATGAACGGGAACAGTGTGAATTTTGACAGTGTTATTAGCCACATCACCCACAACAACGATAGTATCGTCAAGGCCCTGAGTGAAAACAACAACACGGGGGCGATTGAGATTCTTCTTGGGCAGCAGAGCAATGTGCTCTGCAACTTTAGTGACACTAGTGGTCTCGAGACCGTGCGACTCGGCATAGGCGGCAGCCTCAGACTCGTTACCGATCAAATAGTCCCAGTACGGGGACGAAGCGTCAAGAGGCTCCTTGAAGAATTGGGGCAGGAAGGGAGCACTCAAGTTCATGGAGAAGATCTTGTTGGTCTCAGCAGCATGCTCACCAAGTGCCTGAATGGCAGGGGGGCAGACAGTCAGATGGAAACCACCAACGTAGAAAATCTTGGCCTCCTCGACCAATTTCCAGTTCTCAGGCTGCTTCATATGCTCAAGCTTGTAGTGGTTAGCAGCAGCAAGATCGGTAGCCAAAGAACGGTTGATGCCAGTCAAAAGAGCAGCGCATTTGCCAGTAGGGATAGAATCCTGGAACATGTAGTGGGTGACGACGCCGGCAGCCTCATTGGCTTCGAGAAGGAGCTTACTATAGTTATCACGGCCCACAGAGCCGAAATAAGCAACAGTGTGCTCCGGGAGCATGTATGCAGCGCCACGGGCAGCGTTCTGGGCAGCACCACCGGCGATAATGACAACATCGTCCTTGGCAAGAACCTCGTCGTAGATAGGCATGTGCTTTTCTTCAACAAGAATGGCGTCATTGGCCTTCAATCCGTACTTGTTGAGGTATTCTTCATCAACAGTGGCCTGCAGATCGAGCAGAGGGTTTCCCAGACACAGAAGTTGAATAGGCATTGGTATAACTTGGTTGTTACGTCTGGCTTTTTTTCACGAGTTATTAAGCGCGCGATGGTTCAACAGCAGGGTAACATATGCTTTTCTATTCGGAAGGGACGTTGAAATTTATCTATTTCGCAGTATTTTAGTTTGTATTCCACGGTGTATCCAAATTGAATATAGCGGAGGCTCTTTGACTATGCGCGCCCCACCCTCCAAGTGAAAAGTCCCTGTCGCGGTTTAGCATTAGCATTTGCGATAAAAGCAGTAGCATTAGTTATTCAAAGACAGATAGGATTTACTACAAAGAGTTCAGGACGGGAGTGATTCTGCGCACAGCTTTGTTTTTTTGTTTTGTGTATTACAACTCAAGAATCTCCTCCATCCGCTTGACCTGAGCATGGAAATCGTCATACTCAGCCCGGCAGTTCAGTGGCCGGTTCTTGTTCTTCTCAAAGCACTCAATGAGTTTGGCCCGCGCAGTCTCGCTCGCCTTGTTAAGAGCACCCTTCTTGGGCCGAGACGACAGCTCGTTGTGCAATTTTTCTAGTTGGTCCTTAATTTTTTTGCTGTCGGTCTTGGCAATACGTCCCTCGTCGATTTCCTTGATCTTCTGCTTGGCCTGCTCCAGCTCGGCCTCTGCGTCAATCCGAGCTTGGTACATGCGCTCGGCAACCTTGTCCTCTATGTACTTGTTTGTGCGCTGGTTGCGGGTGAAATCAGTCTCGGGGTTAGACTGGATCGAGTTCGACAAACGCCCACTAACCTCGACAGGGGTCTGAGGTTGGAATACCTTCGAGTTATTCTCCTTCGATGTGGTCTGTCCCATTGGTAGCTTTGTGTATTTGTCATCACCCGGGGTCGTCTAATATTCACCCTGTGAGCAGCTCTGCATCGACTGACCATGATTTAGCTAATTCACGAAGATTTTGATCTGTATTCAATGCGATCTTCGAATTGTCTCGCCAGATTTGCCAGGTAACTGCCTGGACCAGAGCATCATTGAGATCGTCCTGTTTCGTGCGTTTGGTTGGTAGTTCAAGTTCCGGCGAAAACACAAATGGTGCTTTTTGAGGCTTGTCAATCCATTTCCGCACAAGCGCCAGACGTGCCTTTTTAGATGCATTGTACACCTGTGCAGGTGTGGCTTTTTTCAATCGCTCAACGGCCAGGGCCGTACCTCCCAGCTCCCTCTCGAGTTGGCTCCGCCAGTACCCTAGCACATGCTTTGGCTCGACACTTTCGACATAAATAGTAGGCCATTGAGTACATAAGATGGCATGAACCATCCCTTCAAGTACATTGACCCGCAAGATATCGTTAGGGACCGACGCACTGCCGGCCGATCGCGACCGCTGCTTTTCCACAAGCACCACATTGGGGCTGTCCATCATTACCCCATGCAGCAGCCGGCGCGCTTCGTGTGCGAAATTTGGTTGAGAATAATTTATATGCTCTGGGAGAGACTTCAATGACCACTTTTCCACCTCAACTTGTTGACCAGGAGTCGCGAGGGCCTGACAGACGCCAATGTTTTTGAGCCCCAAGTCGATCGATACGAGTCGGACAGCGCCCTTTGGTCTTTGCTGCAGTTTCTGGATCATGTAGTTGGACACTTGGGCTTTATTTCCAGTAGTAGGGCTGCCACAAGCAAGCGCAACGGCTTTGAGCCCAGCTACAGTTAGCTTCGCGAAGTCCACAGCATCTCGCATTAGAAAGCAGATCACACAGGACGCTAGGTTGGGTCAAATGATCCCGGCGTTTTAAAAGACTGGGTGAATGGTTCCTTGATTTTTTTGCTATAATTGTAGTGTGTATCGCTAGTAAACCAATTGAACCAGTGGTTGTTATAGTGCACAAGAATTGTGGTGTTATTCCTTCTTGAACCATGCGGCTCACAGTAAATGATGGCCAATTCAAGCAGGACAGCTCTGCTGGTACTGAAAAATTGAATATTGTGAGACGGCGAGCTCAAATATCTTCAGAGGTAAACTATGCGCCGCCGGCGCCGCCGCCTCCCCGTATCCTCCGAGGACCGTGCGATGAGGTCTTTTTGAGATTCGAGCTGCTCGGAAATGGTGCAACTTCTAAGTGCTACCGAGTAGAGCAGCTGCATAAGAGCCAGCTTGCTATGAAAGTCATTCCCCGCCAGTCGCTTGACAGTGACACTAACAGAAGGAACCTAAATCGGGAGATCCTCATTACTTCGCGCTTGAAACATGCGCGTATAGTGGGATTTCAATCGTATTTTTACGATTGTGTTAATGTTTACATCTGTCTTGAGTTCTGTCCCTACGGCTCCTTATCCCAGCTAATTAAGTCGCGCAAGGGACTCACTGAATCCGAAGCCTGTTTTTTAATGGCAAATATAACAAGAGGAATGGAGTATTTGCACAAAAATCTTGTTTTCCACAGAGATATCAAGCCCGGAAATATACTACTCGATAGTGAAATGCGTCCCAAAATTGCAGACTTTGGACTTGCCGTTGTTCTTCCCAACGCTACGTCGAAAGTAACTAGTTTTGCTGGGACACCGTGCTATATGGCACCAGAGGTGATAGTCAAGCCTCGTTATTACGGTATGGCAGCCGACATATGGAGTGTTGGTACAGTTTTATTTACAATGGTGTTTGGGCGCTCGCCTTTCGCCGGGAGACATATCAGCAGTATTTATCGTCAGGTTGCAAAAGCCGATATCCAGTTTCCGTCTACAAAAACGTACTCAGAGGAACTAGAGAGTCTTATTTGCGGCATACTGCAGCTGAATCCCGGAGATCGTCCGAGCTGGGGTGAAATACTCAGCCATAGCTGGTTCACGACCAATTATGTCTCCAGAATACCATGTAACATATACCACACACCGATGTCGAGCAAACCGTTGAATCCTGCTTTCCACTTTGAAAGATTTATGAGCCAAACTGAAAGCAGCATCTACAGTTCAGCCGACCTGTACCGTGACTATTGTTTGAAACAACTACATGATCCTGTCATAATCCATTGAAGCAGGCAATTTGAATCAAACCATGAAAATTGATGTTTACAATCATGGCTGTGGCCTCGGTAGCTTGGGGCACACCCCCCATGGGCGAGGGCTTTTCCGGGGGAGTCTTGGTCAGCACCAGAGAGATCTTTGTTTTGTTCGATCGCCAAAGCGGATTCCACAGTAAAAAGGTGCCACAACGAGTTTAATGGGTCAGACCCAAGATACAGAGGACTTAGAACCCAGCCTGTCAAGATTGGCAGTCTCTGGGCTCCATAACTCCGCAGAGGAGAAGGAGGCGTTCCACGATTGCCTAGAAGCAAGCGAACTCGAGACTAGAGATAATACGGCGACGCTACCTCCGCCGCCTCAATTTGGCATAACGGTTGACCACCCCCCCACTATAATTCAATCACCGATGTTAGCAGTTAGAGAGACGTCACCAGCACTATCAGGAGTGTCAGGAGTGTCAGGAGTATCAGGAGTATCAGCAGTATCGGGATCTGTCATGTTAGGATCTACAAACAGCCTGCTCGATAAAACAATACACCGAAATGTGTCATTTATCAGAGGTTCTAGGACCTCTGTGGCGTACAAAGAACACAATCCGCCTGCAATTCTACGGCAAACGGACAGCACGGGCGACGATGATCCCACGACACCCCTGGCTCAGCCCGCGACCCTCCGACCCACCACCTCTGCCTCCAGCGAGAAGAAAGACGGCGAGCCTAAAGCTAAAAGCAAGGTATCAAAGGATAAGAGAGATGAATTGCATATTCTTATCGGTGTCACTGGCTCCGTTGCGACTATTAAGGTTGGTCCAATCATCCACAAGCTCAAACAGATTTACCGGGAGCGAGCGATTATTCAACTGGTGGCCACCAAATCATCATGTGTCTTCTTCAAGCCTACAGACGTGCCGCGTGACGTCAAGATTTGGTACGACGAGGACGAATGGGACTCCCGGGACGGCAAAGTCGACAGCCAACTCCATATGGAGCTGAGACGATGGGCAGATATCCTGCTAGTAGCACCGTGCTCAGCAAACACGCTCGCCAAACTGACCTACGGCATTTGTGATAATTTATTAACTTCAGTCTTTCGAGTGTGGAACCCTGCAGTACCTCTACTGGTTGCCCCGGCCATGAACACCCACATGTACACAAACCCGGTGACGAAACGACATTTCAAGGTTCTGAAGGATCTCTATCAATTCGTTGAAATCCTGAAACCAGTCGAAAAAGTGCTCGTCTGCGGAGACATCGGCATGGGAGGCATGCGCGAGTGGACGGATATCGTCCAGATCCTCTCCAAAAGGCTAGGGGTTGCTCCAGACGACGACATTGACGATAGAGATGACTGAAGATCTAGGGTTTAGAGTTTATAGCGATTGTACAGCAGTCAACCATCAGATTGTACCGCCGACGGCTTGGGCCGACATTTTGTCATCACCGTTTGAAAAATTCAGATGGCATTTAGACTGGGTGCGGCAGGCCTGAGGGCTTCTCGCATGTACTCTTCTTCGTCCTCGAACAGGTTCTTCCACATAGCAGACCGCAAATTCAACATCATGATGATATTGCTTGTCGGTGCCGTGAGCTCCGAGCTCATGTGGATCATCAGAACCAGGAACGAGACTGAACGAGTCCAGAGGAACTTGAACACGGAAATAAAAATCATGGACCGTCTTATCGCCAGGATCAGCAGTGGGGAAAAGGTTGATGTAGAGCAAGAACTCTTACACCCGGCGAGTGTCGAGGACGTCTCTCTAGACTCTATTTTGAGCCAAATCGAAGAGGTCGACGGCAAGTGGAAAAGTGCAGCTACAAAATTACCCACGGCACCGAAAACAGCGAAGGCTCTCGACACAGACAAGCCAGATGGGGCATCAAAAGGCGCAAGCTCGTCCAGCTTCCTCTAGTCTCAGGGGACGTTTTTATTTAAATTTTTAGCTTTTATAAACAAGTAAACATAGCGAATACACTAATAGCTGGGGGTTTTGTCCCATTTTCAGCTATCAAACTGGGGGTTAGTACAAGATGTCTCGAATACTGACTGGTTCAACTTACAGGTACCAGATAAGCCTCTGCAACCAAACGGGCTCTGGCATTCAAAAAGAGCTTGATCTCGGAAATCTCCTTGTCCACTTCCTGCATGAACTCGATAATAAAGTCGACCAGCTTATGCTTCAACATTGTCTCGGTGTGGTGGTTCGTGATCAGGAAAGAAATGTCGTAGCCCTCCACGGGCTTGCGGCGGAGGATAAAGAAGTTCTCAGCACGTCGCGTCAAGAAGCGGGTGAACTGACGAACCAGAATCTGCTCGATTTCATCTGCTTGCTTGATGCTGATCGACACCCGGACCGAATTGATGCTTGGCTCGATGAGGACTCTCTCATTCTCATTACGTGAAATATGCATAGGATTCAGCAGTGCCATTGGGTTGTTGCCGGCCTCAACTTCAGGATAGTTGTGGCGCTCGACCAACTCTGATGCGAAGTTGTCCAGGCACAATGCCGCATCCAGGGAGACACGGACTGCGTTCAGGTACGGTCTAAGTGACTGGGACTATGTTAGTACGAGTGCTCTTCAATCAGAAACTCTCAGTAGGATTTCGCATCGTTGGTTGTTGCATCCACCGGCGTGCTGTTCTTACCATTTGTCGAAGTTGCAGTTGATGACAAACGATCGTCGGTCTAAGTGCTGCAGCATAGATATCGTATCAGTGGGTTCAGCAGGCTGAAATTGGCACAAAAAATGCGCCAGTGGCGGCAGCTGCTAAAATGAGCAGAGTTTCGTGGAATCGAATTTCGACCTGTGTGGTCGCATATGTTGCTCTCGACCTCTATTTAACTCGATGGCTGACAAATATGATATGCACACATTCCTAACTCAGCTGGCTGGCCCATCCACTCAGTTATCAAGCGTCCAAGTGGTCTAGGTGCAAAGGCCCTTTATTGAACGCGTTAACATACAACTATTCACGGTGGAAACAGGTATTGGAACATTCCTTACAACTCGCGTCTCTCGTTAACCTCCCATTTCCAGTCTTGTTTGTCTGTGTGCTGTGTGCCACATTTTCTCCGCTTTCTCCGCCATTTCACAACCTAATAGACCAGTCGAGTCTGTGATCAACAAAAAGCTTCTATGCCTAATATTTTTAGAAGGCTCATCTCCTGTTTAGCGTGCCAATTGGACGACTTGCCTGCAGCACCTGAGCTCGCCTCAACCACTGAGCCCCCCAGGTCAGACAAGAAGCGTCCGGCACGTAAAAAGGGCTCCCGCTCTTCTATTCTACCCAATGTCCACATACCTCTGGAGTATGTTGCGCGCGATGCGAATCCTGGTGATGCCAGAGAAGGCGAAATTCTAGGGCGCCGTTCCTCTTACTCTGTGGGCGCTCGTCATGATAGCGGTGAGACACCAAATATCGACGCCTCGCAAGCTAACTCTGAAGCATTTATAGGAGTTACCCAAGAATCACACGCACAGCCCACAGCGCCCTTGCTGCCTCCGCAAAGCAGCGCGGTCAAGGGCCGCAAGTGCCTTGTACTGGATCTTGATGAGACCTTGGTTCACTCAAGCTTCAAATACTTCCCCGATGCAGACTTTGTGATTCCTGTGGATATTGAAGGTAGAACACACAAGGTGTATGTTGCAAAACGACCGGGTGTCGACGAGTTCCTTGATGAAGTTGGAAAGCTCTTTGAGGTGGTAGTTTTCACCGCAAGCGTTGCGAAATACGGCGATCCTCTGCTTGATCGTTTGGGTCACAAGGAAGTCATCCACCATCGCTTGTTTAGAGAAAGCTGCTACAACTTTAATGGAAACTATATCAAAAATTTGTCCCAATTGGGCCGACCCCTTCATGAAGTTATTATCATTGACAACTCCCCTGCATCATACGCTCTCCACCCACAACATGCAGTTCCAATATCAACGTGGTTCAGTGACATGAACGATAGTGAGTTACTTGGAATGCTCCCCTTCCTTTCCGATCTTGCTGGATCCGCAGTAAACGACGTCAGCGCTATCTTGGAGGTGATAACAGAGTAATCAACTATTTTTTATGATGCCATGATATCCGTCTAATAATAAGCTGCAACTGAACACCGAGCGTACCTTGTAATAATTAATAACTTAGTTTGTTTCATGTTGCTTTCTACTCTTCCTTATCTTGTATGGCAGTTCCAAGAATGTGCTTCTCACGTTCTTTCTCGTAGCCAACAGTGCCCTTTTTAGAGTTCTTGATACGGTTATCACGACGACGGCGTAACGAGTCGAGCTCTTCTTTCTTGATGTCGCGGGCAATTTTGACGGCCTTGGGCAAGCGCCGAGCCTTCTGAATCTTACGAATTTCAGGCATGTGCTTGAATCTTTCAGTGAGAGCAGCGTCGTATTCCATTTTCGCCCGCTGTCTTGTGCTCTTGACAGAGCTCCGCTCATTTGCGTTGGCTCTCCAAACCCGTACATTACCATCGTCTGATCCGGAAAGAATGTACTTTGAGTCCATTGAATAGCGAACAGAAAACACCCTCTGCATACGCTTTGTGTGATAAATATCCCTCGAATGACCCTCCTGTAACTTGAAAATGCGAATAGTGCGGTCGTAGCTACCCGTCACAAGCTCTTGGCCCGTGGGGCTGAAGTCTACGTCCATAACAGCGGCCACATGGTCCTTGTAAACATTGAGAGCTCTTTTCAGGTTTCTCATGTCATACAAATAAGCATTGTGATCTTCACTGCCCACAGCAAAGTTGAATGCCTCCATTGGGTTCCATGCAATACTATTGTTGGACAAAGAGGTGACCATTTTCTGAACGGGTAGCGAAGTACGCATATCATAAATAACAATAGATCTGTCGTTACCGGTGGATGCACATATCGAAGTCTCTGTCATGTTAAAGCGCACAGAGTTGAGATTGTCAGCGCCCCATGTGAGAGAAGCAATGGGCTTGGATCTGTTGGTATCCCAAAGCTGCAAAGTATCACCCGCAGTGACGAATTGATTTTCGTCACGGTGATGGTCGACAGAATTTAAGCCACCATTAGAAAGATAAGTTTGAACGGGCTCCTTGGAAGAAGAAGACGGCTGCCAAAGCTTTACATAGCCATCGGCACCACACGACAGTAGCTGCGAGATAGGAGTATAACAAAGGCCCTTAACGATATTTGAATGTGCCTGGACGGAGAAAAACTCTTCCCTGGCGCCAATGTTCCAAGCCTTGATGATACCATCGCCACTACCACTCGCCATAACGCCTAATTGACGCTGGTTTTTTGCAAGAGAGTACACACCATCGATGTGACCGGTACCCATTTGACCAACAAAGGGCGCAGCAAACATGCGATCCAACTTTGTAGCGTTCAATGCACGGGTATATTCGCGGGCCCGCTCGAAAGGGTGCATTTCCGGGCTCAAATTGCGTGGCTGGCGGGCAGTTTCTGAGTTTCCAACAGGAACATAGTCATCGGCCGAGCGGCTGATTGTTTTGATTTTCATTTTCAACGGGACCTTGTGTTATGTCGATATGTTTGACAAAAAGCCCGATTTCAGTTCCAAAAAAAAAAATTCAGCGCTCGATCACATAATAAACCAAAAGCCTACCCGGGTTAGGGTGGGGTGGTATAGGGGAGAATACACAGGAGAATAAATTAAATTAAACACACTAAACTACGTGTGCGAAAGAGGTTAGTGCGGAGCAGTTTGGGACTTGAACGGGTCGAATGTGCCATACCTCGACATGCTGGTATCAAGATTCCCAGGGAAGTGCTCGCTGTTGCAACCGTACTCGGGCGACTGGATCATGGTGTCAACGAGGTAGTACTGCACGGCGTTCATCACTGCTGGGAAAATGAACATAACAAAAAGAATCTGCACTCTTAGATCGAAATTGGTCCAAGAAATGAGATACGCACCCCAATCATCCAGGAACGGAACGGTGTAGAGGATTAAATAGAGGAATACCTTAGCGAGGATCAAAGCGATCATGTACAGGCCTGCCTGCTTGGCAAACGCAGCAAATTCTGGAGGATTGCCATACTGTCCCGAGACAATTTTGGTCATTTTGAGCTTGAAAGCCAAAATATAGACATAATACAGGCAAGCCCACAAAAGGGGCACGCCGATGGTGGTGTCAAACAGCACATTCAGAAAGTACCAGGTACAAGGATTCTCATCCAGCCCGCTACTGTCGTCACTGAACAGAATTGATGCCAATAAGTTCAGGAAATGCAGCATGAGGGCACCCAGTACCTGCTTGCCCACGTCGTAGAACCACACTCGCCACGGCCGGCGGGGGTTTTCGTACCGCCGCTTAAGAACAAGCGACGAAATAGCAATGCCACCCATAATTAGTTGTAACAATAGGGATACAGGCCCTAAAAGCTCACAAGTGGGCTCTCTTTCCCCCCAACTATCCATCGTTCCGGTTTATCAGACGAAAGATATCGGTCCACTGGGTGTGATGCAGGTTAAAGCTGGGGGGCAAACAGGTTGGGCTACACAGGCTCAATGGGGCAAAAGGGGTATTGGGGTTATTCATGCTGGGTGGGCAGGGTGCGAGGCCGTGATGAGGATGGGTACCGAAACAGGAGGCCCAGATGCGAGCACCCAATCGGAAATGGCCGCCGTAGCTCTTAGAACGCGGCCACTCGTTTAATTTCGACCAGCATTGCACCGCCGGTGGTTGGATGCTGGGACCAGAACAACGCAGCCGGGTAATTCCCAGTCCGCTGCCCCGAGGCCAACTCCCATTGGCTCAGATGAATAATATTCCATCAGCTTTCACAAATGATGTCTATGCGCTCGTTGAGGCCTTTGACTGTCGCCGGTGGCCGTAAGGCCCTCCAGCAGCGCTCTGTGATGGGTGTCGCCGCCCAGGCTTCCCGTTTCTACTCGACTCAGGACCCCAAGGCCAAGGCTCAGTCCATCATCGATGCCCTGCCCGGTAACTCCGTTCTCTCCAAGTCTGGTATCTTGGCTACTGGTTTCGCCGCTGCCACTTATGCAGTTGCTAACTCTCTCTACGTTGTCAACGCCGAGACTGTCTTGCTGACCTGTTTCTTCGGTTTCATAGCTGTTGTCTCCAAGACGGCTGCTCCCGGTTACAAGGTCTGGGCTGAGGGTCACGTCAACCACATCAAGAACACGCTGAACAAGGCCCGCGAGGACCACGTCGTCGCTGTTCAGAACCGTATCGATAACGTCGAGAAGCACGGTGATGTCGTTTCAACCACCAAGGACCTTTTCGCTATCTCCAAGCAGACCGTTGAGCTTGAGGCCAAGGCTTTCGAGCTCAAGCAGCAGGTCGACTTGGCCAAGGAGGCCAAGGAGGTCCTCGACTCCTGGGTCCGCTGGGAGGCTCAGATCCGCGCCCGCGAGCAGTCCGACCTCTACGCTGCTGTTATCGCCAAGGTCGACAAGGCCCTCGAGTCCGACAAGTTCCAGAAGGACAACCTCAACCAGGCCGTTGCAGAGATTGAGCGTCTTTTCAAGAAGAACTAAAAGAACTAAAATCCCAAAGTTATAAACTCTTTTTTCTTTTTAGTTATATACAACATTAGAAAGTAAGAACTCGCCATGTTAAAGTCACTGTTAGCTTGACACCCAAAGCCGGGATATCCCCACGTTAGATACAGTTTTGTTCGAAAAAAACCAACAGAAAACATATAGTACGCTACGCGACCAGACAACAAGACCAAAAAAAATATGCTGGGCTAGATTCTATGTTTAGTACTCTGCGGTACGGTACAGCAAAATGAGAGCAGAATCGGACTCTCCACCACCACTGAGCTGCTCAATCTTGGCATCATCAACGAGCGTAACCTTGTTATCGTTGAATCTCCACCATTGGCCGGGCTCCTTGTCGTGTTTGGCGAAGCACTGGTAGTGACCCGAATCAGCGCTCATACCCTGGTGGGTTACAATTGCAACCAGTTCATAAATCCCTAGAGGATTGGAGCCTTCATCATCCGCTAAAGTGGGGTCGATTTTCGCTACAATATTGTCATGGAGTTCTTTTCGGCGTTCCTCGCTCAGCGAGTCATTAATTGCCTCCTTACGCGTCTCCATGGACTGGAACTTGGCTCTTCGGGCAGCTCTCCGTGCTTCCTCGACAGCATCTTCAGCTTTCCGGAATTCTTCACGTGCTGGCACCAGCTTGGCCCTCAGGTCATCAGTGCACAGGTCGCTCACATCCAGCTGCAAAGGGAACGTGACTTTGCGCAAAATTTTAGACTTTTTACTGGTATCTCTTCGCCAAAAAAACCGAACAAATTGAATCGTCAGATATTTGGGCAATCGCGAGATACGCTTGGTGACAGTATACTCTGCGTTGCGGCCCAGCGCCTCGTTGTGTTTCTCTAAAGTCTCCTTCAGACCAGCCATGAGACCGTCTTTGAGGAAGTTAGTCGATGCGGAAATATGACAGTTGAGTTTGGCGAATGTGTCGTAGCTCTCGGCTGGCGGCTCATCAGTTTCAGCGCTCGACATTTTCACAGCCATCTGACCATCAAAGTACCGCTCAGCCGGGGCGACACCAGCTTCCTTTAATGAATACATCAAATTGGTCCACATCTCCTCAGCATCTTGCTGCTTGGGTCCCATTTGGCCCATTTCAGCGAATTGCGGGAAAGTCGACCGCAGACGCTCCATGAACCCGAACGGGGTGTGCTCCTCGCCCGAGTTGAGATTTGTATACACGCGTCCGAGAGCCGTAGTCAGACTATTCTGTCCTTGATATTTTTGTACAGCTTCGACCAACTCCGGTGCTTTTCGTAGTGCCTGAAGGGTGGCGTTAGCGTAGCAGGTGTTGCCAATGTTGACCAAGCCAGCTGGAACCGGATCAACTTTGGCAGAGTCTGCATCGGCACTAGAAGCTTCTTGTGCAACATTAGCTGGAGCCGTTGGCAGATCTCCGGCAGATCCCAGCATCATGAGCGTCTGGTTCGGCTTGAACCCGAGCGCAGACAAGCGCACATCGTCTTTCAACTGCCCGCCTTTTACGAGTACTTTTTGGCGTTCGGGCACGACATTGGTCAACTTTTGCAACTCAAGCTTCAGGTCCAGGCCAGTCTTGGTCGTATCGATGTCAACGTTGTACTTTTGGCCACTATGTTTCACTACAACAGGAATAGTAGTCATGACGTCAGCTCTGGATGGATCGTTCACGGCTTATGACGATAGGGGAGCTGATCCTACTATGGCACTGGGCACCCCAAATAGTCCCAATTGCAGTAAATACACTATCAAAAACTAATTTATAGCTACATCCCGGTCACGGTTACCAGCTTCTTAAACCTACTGCCAAACGGTCTTTGGTCAGCACGTGTCAGCTTCCTCGCAAGATGCAACTGAATATACGTGATATTAAGCGCAACGCTCACCAGGTCCTGGGCATGATCTTGATCTTGTCCGGGGCTTTCATGTGCTACAAAGCACTTTCGCTCATTGCAAACACGTCAACCCCGGTGGTTGTTGTCTTATCTGGCAGTATGGAGCCTGCTTTCCAGCGGGGAGATATTTTGTTCATGTGGAATCGTCAAAGCCGCGTCAACGTCGGAGATATTGTTGTTTATGACACAAAAGTGAGAAACATTCCAATTGTGCACCGAGTACTCCGCCAGCATGCTAGCTCACGCAAACAGCTTGTTCTCACCAAGGGCGACAACAACCCCCTCGACGACTTGGACCTCTACGCCTACAAGCAAATGTACCTGGACCGTGCAAAAGATATTACTGGTGGTGTTGTAAAGGCGTACTTCCCCAAGCTAGGCTACGCTACCATCCTACTCACAGAGAACCCTACTCTTCGGACAGTTGTGATTGGTATCTCGTTGTTGAGCCAGCTCCTCTCTAACGAATGATGATATATTTACACAGATCTCCAGAAGATAATAAAAATACATAAAGGTCTTTTTGGCGCTTTAAAAAAGTTAGTATTCCAAAACGGGTTTATGATATTTACCGCCTTCACCTCTGGCTAGCGATCGCTGGTCGCGTCGTTGGCTGTCGAAATTGTCGACTTTCAAGTAATTGTATATGTCAAGGGTGTCCTGCACTCTTTTATCGCCCTCGAAGAGACTTTGGAACTCATCCAAACTCAGCCCGGACACGCTCAGGTTCTTTTTGGTCAAGACGTCCTCTACAACGCCCACTTGAACATTGAACTTCTGCTTGAGCTGAGACACATAATCCCAGAATAGTTCGGTTGCCGTGGATCCCCGAGAATGACACACTGCCATTAGAATATCCTCTGGAACCGCGGAGAGTACTGTCTGCCAATCACTGGTAGCCCTCAGTATACCTTCCTCGTGAAGTTCAGCTAATTTCGCTCTGAACCTTTCACGAGCTTTTCGATCTTTACGTTCTTGGATTTTGTGCCGCATATCAAGTGATTCCAGACCAGCGTCTAGTTTCACCGAAATCACCTCATCGAGAACATGGAGATCATCTGTTATGTTTCGGACCAACCTTTCCAGAGCTTCCCAGTCAGTATTAGTATCAATTTTCGTAAGCTCTAATGCCTGGGATAGTTTTGAACCAACGGCAATTCGTTTTTCAGCCCGCTCTTTTTCATTAGCATCTCTCCACAAGCAGTAAGCATAACAGTCCTCCTTGGTACCTTTGAGGTCCAATCGCTCTTTAGCGGTCTCCCAGTCCACGAGCTTGTCGCCAAAAGTACTTTGGAGTTGAATTAATAGCATAGCAGAGCGTTCTTTGCGTTGTTGTAAGCTGGAACTCAGTTCTTTCTGCTGTAGTTTCTTTAAATATGCCTTGTATGCGTTGCGTCTTTCTGATGCTGTGTCAATTGCCCAGAAGGCTTCTTCTTTTATCAACCGGGGCAGAGCCTGCGAGAATTCGACTTTCAGATCGAGCCTTGCAGCCATGTCCTCGAAGCTCTCGGTATGCCCAGAGGAGTTCGAGGTATCATTAGCACTAGCTGGGCTTTTGAAATGTTTAAACTCTTTGGGAATTTCCCAGACGCTGGTACCAGACTTCTTGTTATACCAGTAAGGCTTGCCATCTTCTGTGGAGTATTCAAACCAGTCTGCAGACGCCAACGCCTCATCCAACTCGGTCCAAAGCTCTTTAGGTTTCTCCCATGTTGTCTCGTTAGTATTATCGTTGAAATAATAGGGCCGATTGTTCGAATCAAACGTCCGATGCCACATACTACTCAGATCAAACTCTTTGTAATCGATGAACGCCAAAGCACCGAGCAGAGCTATTTATGCTGGAAAACAAGATTCGAGGAAAGCTAGAACCGAACCTGTTACTCGGGCCTGTAAATCGAGTGTGCCTTAGGAATTGCACACTACTGCAAACGCCTACTTACTAAATGACCGCGGCAGCTCTTAGTAGACTAATTACTACACGCCGCGTTAGTAACACCCAATATGGAAAATGGACGCGTTGGCTCGCCTGTGGTTTTGCCAATAAAGCTCACGCCCTCCCAGGTACGTCCTGTTGCCTATAGAATAATGTCCAAAAAGCATGGGCTTAATCTCAAGTCTGCAGCGCTAGATGTCCTGGCCTCTTTCCTGGGTAATCAGTTTGGCGCAGATTGGCGGGGGGCTAAAGCTGAGCGGTTTATGGATGATCTAGCCAAGCTTTGGAAAGATGATGACCGTGGAGTCTTTGTGGATGGTGAGCCTCTATCTCGACTCATCGCCAATCTGGTCAATGCCCAGCTATCACAGGCCAATAGCGAAACTTCAGAACGTAGGTTCAACTTCAAAGATTACTTTAAAGTTGTCAACGCTCAAAGCCAGAGACAAATCTCTTACAACCACATCAAAAAGCATTTCGAGCTTTCTCAAGGAGGTGCCCCAGGTCGTGTTTTAGGACCCCCTAATGCGTTGGTTCATATCTTCCCTACCCGCTTCCATCTTTTGAGTGATAGAATTCACCGCAACGATCAGTTCCAGGCCCGATCGTACCAAAACAATGAAGAGTCCTTTGTGATCACAAAAATCAAAAACTTGTTAGGCCGTGAAAAACAAGAGTTTTTCCTTTTCGGCCACCTGCTGAAAAACGAAGACGAGTGGTGGCTTTTGGACAATAGCGGCAAGATCCGCCTCGAGTTTACACCAGAATCGACTTACGCTCCAGGCCATTATTTTACCGACGGCAGCTTTGTTTTGTGCTATGGTGTTCCTCTCGGTGATTACTTTCAAGTTGGAACTCTCGGCCCTCCAACGGTTGAGCGTCGTGAGCAGACCAAGGATGCATATGGCAATATAGATTTCTATGGTATCACATCCTCGATTTCTTCACGGTTGGAAAGAATTGATCCAGATTTGGAGGAGATATTGGTTGCAGAAGAGCAGCGGCTCGATCATCGCATAATTCTTTTGGGCGGGGACGTCTATCTTGATAGACGTGGTACTCTGGACAGTCTTCGCAATGTGCTACGCGAAATTTCGAAAAATCCACCGCTGATTCTCGTTATCCCCGGAAGCTTTTGCTCCAAGCCTTTCCAAATAGGTGACACAAGCTCATACAGAGAGGCGATGAATGCTTTTGCAAATATTCTCCAGGGCCTACCAGACCTCACTTCGAAAACTAAAATAATAATGGTCCCGGGGGAAAACGATCCATGGCAAGCGATGTCGTCGAAGGGAGGAACACAGGTCTGGCCATTGGAGCCCATCCCCAAGCTCTTTACGGGCCGAGTAGAAAGAGCAGCGCCTGATATTGTTTTTGCAAGTAACCCGTGTCGTATCTGCTACTTATCCCAGGAGATTGTGATCTCCAGGGACAATTTTGGGCAAATGTTGCGTCACAACAGCTTGCCGTCAGCTCTCACCGCATCGTTAGACACCACCAACGGGCATCATGTTGAAGAGACAGTTGTCGAAAGGGGTGAAATACTAGATCTTGATGAGGATATGTCGTCGCAGCGGGCCCTAATGCAAATGCAAAGCGAAAACGATATTTTGCCCCGACATGTGGACAGTGTTGATTCCGATGAATCTGAAGTTCGTAAGGTGATTGCAACAATCCTTGACCAGTGCCACTTATCGCCTTTCTCTCTGTCCGTGAGACCTGTGGTCTGGGAATATGACATGTCGCTGTCTTTGATTCAATGGCCAAGCTCTTTAATATTGATTGACTCGACCACACCTCGATTCAAAAATACGTACGAGGGTTGTCAAGTTTCTAACCCAGGCTCCTTCATTCAAAACAATAAAGGACAATGGTTGGATATCAAGCTTGGTAGAGGTCAGTCTGAACTCATGTCTCTAACTGTGTGAACCTGGTAGAATTATTTATTCGACAGAACAAAAAAAAATTACATTAAAAGTGGCACAGTATGCCTGTCTAAGTAAAGTATATATTTACAGTCACATCTCCATCTCATCAGAACCATTGTCGCGGACCCATGATTTTTCAACAGAGCCGACGCTAGGATCGTTATTGTGGAAAAACTGCTCGGCAGTTCGGCGGTCGTTAAAAGAAACAAGAACAGAATTGTCACTTTGGCGTTCAATATTCGAATGATCCACAGACACTAAATGCTCCCGTAACGCCTCCTCCCTTTCTAGAGGAACACCTTTCACCAGCACAGTTTTTGGCCTTAAATCCAACGAAGCATTTGTGAAACCACCACGTCCGCCGCGGAAGCTACCACGCCCGCCGCGGAAGCCACCACGAGAGTACGGACTACCACGACCACGGAAGCCACCACGATAACCACCGCGGTAGCCACCACGAGCTGGTTGAGGGCTACTTCCATCGATACCAAGGGCTTGGGCTTCTGCTTTCAAAGACTCGACCTGTTGCTTCAGACGGTCGGTAAGATTGTTTGTTTCGTCAATAACACCTGAAGCCGCACCCTGCTTGAGCAAAGCCTCCTGTTCCTGCAGAAGCTTTGTGCGCATTTCAATCAAACGTTGCATCTTTTCATGGTTCTCTTTCTTCTTTTGCTCACGTTCCAAAAATTGCTGCTGCTTGACTGCCTGCATCCGTTTAACAGCTTCGACATCGATTTCCTGCGGATCGCTTTCATCTTTTTTACGCCAGTAGACTTTGATGAAGCGATTATCAAAAATTGGCGCTGGGGAATCATGAGCGGCGACCGCCTGATCGTGGGATTCAAACTCGAGCTCTGCGAGATGCCAGGTGTGATCGACCCGCACCTTGGTGATATTGCCGAATTGGGCAAAGTAGCTTCTGAGAATGTCCTCATTGAGTTTATCGTCCGGAAGCTTGTCTACAACTAGTCGCCGGTTTGCAACGCTGAGTTCATTGTGTACGCTTCCGAGCATAGGTTTCGAAGGGCCGCCATCTTTGTTAAGTCTGTTGTTGCGGCGGTTATTGTGGTTTGGCTTACCACCATGGACGTTGAATTTGGGTGGAAAAGTTCCAGGAGGGAAGCCTTCACCTCCGTTTTGCATAGCCATGGCTACCATCATATCGGCAAAGGCCTTCGGGTTGTTGGCAAACTGCGGGGGGATTTGTGGAGCTTGGAACCCAAAATCTGAATTATTAGCACCGTCGTTATTTCGGTTGCGGAACGATGCTCGAAACTCTTCTTGGCCCCCCATCATTTGCATTGGCTGGTTGCCACTAAATGGTTGGGGAGGGGCGAAGCTTGGCTGTGCAATATTTGAGGGTGCCTGAGCCTCAGGATTCTGTATGCGATGGATCTGTTCGAAAAGTGCATCCAGAAACCCGCTAGTTGCTGAATGCAAAAACTCTTCTAGGTCACGCTCACATGCTGCGCGCTGTTCAGCCGGCGAACTCGAATTTTGCAGCAATACAATGACATAGTCTGCCAGATCCTTAGGATCCATATCACTGGCCCCCTGTAGCTTCTGTTCGATCCATGGTTTTAGCTGTTCAAGTACTTGACTATCCATGATGAACCAAAGTTGGAAAGTCCATGACTAATACACACGCTAATAGTCGAGAGCTGTGGGGGGAGGGCAGATGGGTAAAGATTAAACTTTGTCTTGTCTATTCGTAATCGGTAGTTAGGTTTTTCGGCATTTTGATTTGTGCTGCAGCACTTCTGGCGCCCTGACAAGCTAGTTCTTTTGTTTTGGAAAGTCCAATATTTCCCGAAATGGCGGTACCACCGGCAAACTGAAACTGTTTACGGTATAAATAACTCATATGATCTACATGTGGTTCCAGTAACTGTGGGATCCCTCGAATACCACCGCAAAAATCATATTCTCGTAGTTCCGAGAATTTGTTTACGAAAGAGAGCTTAAGCCGTGCGCGACTTCGAAAAGCGGTGTTGATATGCTAGTTACATTCCGCCTGTCCTGCATGACTTACTTAAACAACACTTCGCAGCCTCTAGCTCTTCTGCGTGTTTCTTGACTGTGCCAACTTTAGCAGCAAGGGCTTGGCTGTGAGACTTCAAGCCTGCCAAATATGTATCATTAGCCACAAACTTGGCTTGTGCTTTTTTCAGGATCGAATCCGAGGGTGCTGCAACAAACATGTGGACCTGCCAATAGCTGCGCGGTCCTCAGGACGGGCCCGTCCCAGCTTCTATTTATGTATGGCGGCTCCCATATATGTCACCAATATATGCAAGGAGGCCCACCACGCGTACGCACTAATAAAATAAATAGAGAATAAAGTTGAGGAGGTTTGTACGAATCAAACTGCGGACTTAACATTTACATATAAATCATTCCAAAGCATTTGTTTTCAGTGCGGAGGTCTGTATCCTGAGGCTTTTTGTGTCTGCACACAAGGGGTACCAGGCTGCAGCTCATCTCATATATTGCATGTGTGAGATGCATCCCCTTAACAAGCTCAGACATCAAGCCAAAAATTTGGCCAAGCTCTGCACTTTTTGCTACCACACTAGCGTTCCACCGTTGAATGGACGATAGCTTGACCGCAGTACACCAACAAAATAGCCAGGTTTCCGCCACACATTCGTTTTCCTCCAGCAAACTCCAAACACAGCAAACTAAGACTTTTATGGCCACTGTGGACCCCCAACAAAGTAACGATGATGCTTCATCACCATTATCAGAGCCCTATGAGAATGGTAGCTCCAACCTCGGCAGCAACCCAACGGTAACAAACCTCACAACCACCGGAACGTCGAGCGCTAAAACGACGGCCGTGCCTACATCAGAGGCAGTACCTATTATAAGCCTATCGAGTACCAGCGCACCGGAACTGTCAACTTCGCAAACTCCCTCAACCTTGCAGTACACATCAAGTTCTCAAGCTCCAATTTCCAGCAGTATAGCAATATCGAGCCTGTCGAGTATCCTGTCCAGCTCCGACAGTGTGGGGTCGAGCCCACACATGTACTCGTCCACGATGCTGCCTTCATCCTATTCTTCCCCAATTTCAAAGTCCTCTGCTATATCTAGCACTGCATCTTCTTCGTTTTCGTCTTCCAGAATAACAAGCTCATCTGCAGTTCCGAGCTCCTCTTCAATACTTAAGTCCTCGACCCAAATACCGTCCTCAAGTGCGTTGCCCAGTAGCTCAGCTATCTCAAGCAGAACGACCTCAACCTCAACCTCAACCACACGGCACACAACTAGCTCACAGCCAGATACTACCTCTTGGTCACGATTGACATCCCAACAGGTTACCGAACAAAATGGCTCGACGGTAACTCTCCAAATAACTTCATCGGTTGTAGTTGGGGTCGAGGCTACCTCAACTTCTTCATCAGCTTCTGTTTTACAAACAAGCTCTGCTCCCCGTGTTGATGAATCTCACCATGGTGGAACAAACACCACAGCCATTGCAGTCGGAGTAGCTGTTCCTGTCGGTGCGGTAGCTGTTGCAGGTGTTGGCATTTTTTCGTATTTCATGAGAAGACGCAAGAAATTCGCTAAGGATGCTTCGTCTATTGATACAGTAGACGCAGAAGAGGACGAAGAAAGCGACGTTTCTCGGAAGAGTTCTCGAGGACATATGCGTCATAACTCTCTTACCGCTCACCACATGTTTTGATCATTTTACAAAACCCACATCCCATCCCTTTTTTTTATCGCTCTTTATTTATATACTTCTAATTTAGCATTTTCACCATGTACAAATTACTCATCTATGTCCCGCCATCGTTCAGATCTGGTGGTTTGTATGAGACTTCCTGGAACTACACGGGGCCAGCTGTGTGAGAAATGTGATGGGAAATGCCCAGTATGTGACTCGTATGTCAACCCTGTGGAAGAGGTAAGAATCTGTGACGAGTGTGCATTCGGGAACGTGCAAAGGTGTATCGTATGTGGATCGATAGCATCTTGTCCAGCCTACTTCTGCGCAGAATGCACCAGGCTTGAAAAAGATCGCGATGGATGTCCAAATATCCTCAATTTGGGATCCAGTCGTATAGACACACACTACGAAAAGCGGAAAGCCGCTCAATAATCATGCTACATATATATTTATTCACTTGCAGAAACAGCGCTGGCTGCTTGGTCGGTAGGACTAGATCTTGATTTTCCCAGTATATCAGGATTCACGTCTACGAGAGAGAAGCGATGACCACGGACTTCAAACGCTTCCTTATCACGAACAAGCGAGGCAGTGTCGAACTCCTGAGATGAGTTCTCAGTGAGAACCTCTTCAAGTGATGCTTGCTGCACCCGCGAGTCATTCCTTTCAATGGGGCCCCTATCCGATCCGATGCTAATTGCTGATAAAGACGCACTTTCTTCAGTCAACGCCGTCATAACATCGCTAATCTTAGAACCTGAGCCAGTCAGGTCTTTCCAGCGGCTCTCTGTGAAACGCAGGTCCATCTCTAAAATATTTCGATAAGACTGGTACCTTGCCCTATCGATCCATTGCCAATCACACTTTGACGCATACTGCCCAGCAGCGAAAACTAAGGCGTCGCGCGTTTTTTGTTGAATTGGCGCTAAAATCATCAGATGGCGACAGTCGCGCTCATGTGCCACAATTTCATTTTGTAATGTGAGAAGCTTCTGGTCCAACTCGCTTATCTGATGAAGCAGTGCACGACTTCGAGTCCTTTGTGCATGCAATGCCGCAGTTGATGTGAGCGAAGTATCTGACGCAGATCTATAAAACCCTGTACCTGCTCCGGCGCCAGAACTGTTTTGAGAACGCGAATACACGCAGGAATCCGTACTCGTATAAGATGGTGGGCTTAAGGGTATCGGGTGTGTGGTGTATGCCGCTGCAAAGTTGATGCAACGTACCCAGTCCATCCTTTCGCTCTCGTCAGATGCTGAGAGCCATGTGTGCATTCCACCGCTCCCTCTAAGAAGGAACATGGACTTTTCATCTTCATTCGACGAGCTCTCGTACAGCAAGGCAGCCATATCTTTGGTAGATAAAACAGTCGTCGCGTTGAAACCTTCTAGGGAGGTTCTAGTCACTGCGGCTGCAGGATCAGGACTAGCAGAGGACTCTGCCATGAGCGATTTAACCCATGCTACGTTCTTGAAAAGATATAGTTGACTTTCGGTCAATATAGCCCCCCACTCCCGCCAAATGCTCCTGGGCGAGTACAGCATTTTTTTACTAGACTCTCTGCGTTCAAGAATCCCCATTTTGACAACTTTTATATCCACAACACCAGGACTAGCCAGCAGGAGTAGATCCTCGGTGTTTATTTCAGAGACAGTGTTGTGGTTGACACCAGTGTAAACGTCCGGTCGTGACCTTTCAGAAACCAGTTGAATTATTGGTCCATTGGCTAATCGGTTTCGAAGGCCAAGAACTTCGGTCACAGAGGTCAAGTAGCCACAAATGTACGGGTCGTTTGCCGACAATACTCTGACCAAACTTGTTGGTCGCAAGCGTGCGAGCCGCCCTTCCAGTATCAGCATGTAGGGATCAAACATATCTTTAGACCAGCCAAAAGATGTCCTTCTAGGAGTGGCTGACTGTGCTGAAGCGACGGAAGCCGTACTTGAGCTGACGAGTTGAAGATCACTCGGAGTACTGGGAACATCAAACAGCTGTGCAAGCACACTGTCGTCCTCTGTATGAATAAATTGGGTGTAGGTGATGTTGTCATAGATATAATCCAAAACTTCCAGCGGAACACCGTCGCAATATCCAGTTCGCATGTAGCTTGACTTTGACATCTTGTGTTTCACATTCTTGTTGAAAGTGTCGGTGTGCAATATAACCATGCTGAACACAATGAAATAGACTTGGTCTGAATTTTGGAATAAGTTAGGATTTTGCTCGTGATATGCTGTGCTGAAAGCCTGAAGTACCCTTTCAATTTGTTGAGATTCTCTAGGGAGGCGTTGAAACATGAGAAATTTGCGTAAAGACATATCAATAGGTTCACCATGAAATGAAAACCTATCCATATATGCCAGCAAGCAAACCTCCAGAAACTTGTCAGATTCTTGTGACAGGGACGAACATACGGTCGGACCAAACCCCAGCTCTTGGAGCAAGTCAAGATATCCAGTCACGGATTCGCCATTACGAGGAGGCAGAGGCATATCCGCATTATCTTCAGGCATCATGTAAATACTGGGGGTTCTCGAGTGAGTGATTGATTTGGTTCTTCTCCCATCGGAGGAGACGGTAAACCGACGATCTTGATCGCTATCAGAAAAAAAGGCTTCGCTCTCAGTTTTTCTTCGAGGTCTATGCTCTTCACTTAAGCGCGCTGATGCCGGTCCCCCCGAAAGCGACGACTGAGACCTTATGAGCGGAAATGGCCGAAGCGCAGCTGAGGCGAGGGTACCAATAGAGGGGGTTCCTGTGTGTGACAAACCAGTGTGGTTTTCATCAACTGAGGTGCGCCTCAGCGTTCGCTGACGGAGCTTTGTTAGACTGCTTGTCTTCATTTTCGAATTTTGACGACTCTTGATGGAACTATCGCGGGACATGCTGATGGAGCTCGAGTCGTTCTCTGCAGTATAATCCATCTGGGGAGAGTTATACTGTTTATTTTCTTCATGATAATACTGAGGCCGCTTTTCTTTTTTCTTTTTATCGTTGCGGAAGAACATCGCTGACAATTTGCGGCGTGCCGCCTCGGTAGCAGTATCGCTGGATATGTCTTGATGTTCCTCATCCTTGGGCACGGAAACCTTTTGAATTTTTTTCTTCAAGGACTGCATCGAAGCATTTTAATTCCTACCAATTGCTAGAACGAAATGTTTGGCTATGGCGTAGCCCAGCTCCCTTTGCGTTCAAGTTGGTTGGCCCCGGCAGTGAGGGATGAGAGATGCTGAGATGGGCAGGCTTAGTAAATTATGTACTTCCCCAAGGCGAAAAGGTGCGGCCGCGTCAGGGTTGGAAACTATATGGGTTAGTTAGGGTGAAGGTTACAGGTGTTGCGAGGTTTTTTTTTTTTTCCCCCCATCTATGGAAGACAAATCAAAACCTGCATGCTAAATTGTAACTTCATAAAATATGTCATTGTCTGACATATATACCTTTTACAATAATGTTCGGTTGTATTTTTACAGCGTCAGCGCAAGACGCTCGCCCGAGAATGGAAACTGGGGAGTACTTGACTAAGGTGAGCTCACCTTCCGTCACACACCTCTTGCCTTACTACACACCCCCATGGGCAGCAAACCTGATAAGACTACTGCCACAAAGGCAAATCAGGCAGCCGTAACGGTCGGGCAAATTTTTTTGTACGTTCCTAATCTCATCGGTTATTCACGCGTATTATTTGCATTGTTGTCTCTGTTCTTCATGAGATGGCACCCTAAGTATTGCACAGTCCTTTACTGTCTTTCATGCCTTCTAGATGCCCTTGACGGTGCAGCAGCGAGGAGGCTTGGACAGACATCACACTTTGGTGGCGTCCTGGACATGGTTACCGACAGATGTACTACGTCATCGCTTATTTGCTACTTGTGTATCACCTACCCACGATACGTTGTCTTATTCCAACTGCTCGTCTCACTGGATTTGGCATCCCATTATATGCACATGTACGCCTCATTGAGCTCTGGATCTACTAGCCACAAAAACGTTGGATCTCGATCCAAACTTTTGCAGCTTTACTACGAGAACAATAAAGTCCTGTTCACTGTCTGCGCGGCAAACGAGCTCTTCTACGTGGGACTCTACTTATATAGTTTCCCATTGAAGACCCCACCCAACCTTGGCTACTATGGATCAATTCCCTTAAGTTACGCGACTCTGATCTGCATTTCAACCTTCCCACTGTGGTTACTCAAGCAATGCCTCAATGTCATTCAAATGGTCCAGGCTGCTCTCAAGCTTGCAGAAACAGATGCTCAAGAGAAGAACAAGCTACTCAAATCACAATAAATTGGCCGCAAACTATTCAATCGCCTTGTTTGCTTTAGTTGGCACAGTAACATCTCCGGCCTTCCTACTAGGTGAAAAATCTTAGTAAGCAACGTCATAGAAGCTGAGCTATCAAAACACTCGAACTTTTTTTCTACAAATTTCCTATTTTTGGCGGCGTAAAAGGGACGCTATAGTCATTTGCAGTTCCATATTCAATACAAAAAGAAGTTATACCCAACTTCCTGAAAAAATTTTATTCTCGGGTTTATAATCCAAATTGGGTTGGGATCGCCAGGATCTAGATATTCAACAAAAAGTTTCAGATACAACAAATACTGCTTGACTAGTCCCCGTAGGGGTTTGCACGTATCACTCGAAATAAAAAAGAGATTGAATGCGGCTCAACAAAAACCCCCAGCTTCGTAGGTTCGAAATCAAATGTGCGTTATAGGATGTTCTATAGATATGGTCAATGAAAATCTAATTTGCTGATGCGTTGAGGGCCGTGACCGCCACATTTCCTAAGCAAATGTTGGCTTTTGAGGATCTATGAAAATGTGGGGCTTGGGTTGGGTTGAATTCTGTCATCATTATTCACACAAATGTCGGCAAAGTCAATTAGAGAGGCAGATGGTAAAGCTTTACTTTCGTATTTCTTGCCAAAATCCCCGGTGTTTTCTGAAAACGAACCTAAGACTCTTTTCCAGCAGGGTAGCACCCCCAAGCTTGCCCAGCTGAACTTCGAGTCTGGTTCTAACGCCGCTGCTATTGAGGAAGTTCTGTCACGTGCCGAGAAGGAGTACCCGTGGCTTCTTACGCCCGGTGCCAAATTCGTTGCGAAACCTGATCAATTAATCAAGCGCCGTGGAAAGTCTGGCCTCCTCGCTTTGAACAAAACCTGGGCCGAGGCCAAGGAATGGGTGGCTCAACGTGCTGGCAAGCCCCAACAAGTTGAGCATGTTGTGGGAGCTCTCACCAACTTCTTGGTTGAGCCATTTGTTCCTCATGAGCAACAGCATGAATATTATATTAATATTCATTCGGTTCGTGAAGGTGATTGGATTCTTTTCTATCACGAGGGTGGTGTCGACGTTGGAGACGTTGACGCCAAAGCTTCCAAGTTCTTGATGCCTATCGACATCGAGAATGAGTACCCCACCAATCAACAAATTGCTAGTGCCCTCTTCCAGCACGTTCCAGCGGACCAACGCGACGTGCTTGTTGATTTCGTGAATCGTCTTTATGCCGTCTATGTTGACCTGCAATTTACCTACCTTGAAATCAACCCCCTTGTCGTTATCCCAACCAAGGACGGTGCTGAGGTTCACTATCTCGATTTGGCTGGTAAGCTTGACCAGACTGCAGAGTTTGAGTGCGGCCCCAAGTGGGCTATCGCTCGCGCTCCTGTGAATTTGGGCCGCCAGGTTCTCGTTCAACAGACCACTGTTGACAATGGTCCTCCCATGGAATTCCCTGCTCCTTTTGGTCGTGAGTTGACTTCGGAAGAAGCATATATCGCTGAGCTTGATTCTAAGACTGGTGCTTCGCTCAAGCTCACTGTTTTGAACGCTGAAGGTCGTATCTGGACCTTGGTTGCTGGAGGTGGCGCTTCTGTTGTCTACGCTGATGCTATCGCTTCTGCAGGTTATGCTGATGAGCTCGCTAATTATGGTGAATATAGCGGTGCTCCCAACGAAGTCCAAACCTACGAGTACGCCAAGACGGTTCTTGATCTCATGACCCGTGGCTCACCTGTGGCTGATGGTAAGGTTCTTTTCATCGGTGGTGGTATCGCAAACTTTACACAGGTTGGATCCACCTTTAAAGGTATCATCCGTGCTTTCCGTGACTACAAGACTGCCTTGCACGCCCATAAGGTCCGCATTTATGTGCGTCGTGGTGGCCCTAACTGGCAGGAGGGGCTGCGTTTGATCAAGAATGCCGGTGAGGAGCTGGATCTGCCTATGGAGATCTATGGTCCTGATATGCACGTGTCAGGTATCGTTCCTTTGGCTTTGAAAGGAAAGAGGCCCGAGGGCGTCAAACCTTTTGGTGGTGACTCCCACTCTCTCATTTAGAAGTTGGCGTAACAAAATTTAGAAATTTCACCAAAACAAGGGGCAATGTAACCCACTATAAATACTACGTGTTCAGTTTCCTTCTTCGTTTAACCCAAACGACGCCACTGGTTTCACCTTGCGTGCGGCACCGGCTGCGGGTTTGCTAGCCATTGGCACGGCTTTTACACGCGGATCAACAATTTTATAAACAGATGAATAGTCATAATTCGCGCTGAAGCCAGCTCGAACACCTCGTTGAGCAGAAGGTTGAAGAACCACCGGCTCGACCTCTTCATCAGTATCCTCGTACTTCAGTGTGGTAGCGGGAAGAGGGGCGATAATTGTATGCCCAACTTCCTGCTGAACATCGTGGCGGCGCATACCGAGGAATAGACCGCCCTCGTCATCATCATCTTCTTCGTCGTCCGCTTCGGAATTCGATTCGTCTCCGTCATCAGAGTCTTGTTTTCCACCGAGAATATTCTTGATACGATCTCTAGAGTGACTAGCGCTTGCTCTAGGAGGCTCGCTTTTCTCTGGGGAGCAAGGTGTGGACTCATCAATGTCTAATGCAATACATTGCTCAACACGATCATTGAAATGAACTCTGCGTGTCGAACTTTGCGAAGTTGTTGAACCCAATGATGCAATACTAGCGGCACTTGCTTGAGATGCAGTTCTGTATGACGCGGGTCTTATTACAGTGGATGGTGAGTTATTGTCCGAGTAGTTTGTTTGAGGTATGCTTCCAGAGCCCGGATAATCGGAATCTAGAGCCCCCTCAGTACTTCCACCAACAGTACGGCTTTGTTCGTATTGTCGATTGAGCAAAGCCGCCATCCTTTCACGATTTTGACCAGTAGGAACCTGTCGATAAATATGGTGACGAAGATAATTAGTTGTCTCTGAGCCCGAATGACCCGGGGTGTAACCTGGCGTTTCCTCGAGCATGATTTGGGCTAAAGTCTTCTTTTTCAAAATTGACTTCGGCCCCACTCTAGTATTGGCACAAGATGCTGCGGTAGTCGAAGGTGTGACATCGGTAGCCGGAGCAACTGTGGCGACGGCTACTGCCGCTGCCGCGGCGTCATTTTCTGAGGTCGTACGTGGGTGGAGGTTTGTTTGCGAGCCTGAGAGTCCAGCATGCGATGAGTGCTCATGATAGAGAGGGCCATATAGCCAAGTTACGTCGTAATCCTTAAGCCAATTAAGACTTTCGGGGCTAACTGTCTTCAAGTTGTACTTGGCTTTAGCCCAAGTGCGCCATGATGCGTTTTCTAAGCGCGCACTATTGGCCATCTCTTGACGACGAGACACAATATAGCGCCAAGAAGAAGAAAGGTCGGACTCGTTCCAGTCATGGGAAAAGTAATCTACGCGAGCCATAGGTTCATGTTGAAGTTGACTATCGTCCAGTGGTGACGTGACCATATCCAATGACACATTTGAGCTCGGTGAAGCTTTAGGAGCAGTGTCAGAAACCTCTTCAGGTGTTTGATTGGTAACTGCTTGAATTTCTGTTGGGTGGAGATGTGCTTGCGAATTGTTAGAATTTGACTCTGGGACAATGGCCTGGTTAGAGATCGCATTAACAGCGTCCACACCAGTTGTATCACGGTTGATGAAGCTATCAAACGTCCCCATAGATCTCGATCTTTTCAGAAGACCTTGAGAGGGAGTGTTAATAGTGGGTGTCGCCGAAGCAGAGACAGGATTTTTCGTTGAGCCCACGCTAGCCGCTTTTTGGAAGGAAGCCATGTTGTTTCGCACATCAACTCCTGCACCATTGAGACCGGCTAGATTTCCTTTTGAACCCGTGCGCTTGAGTCCTTCGAGTCCCTTATGGCCCTCCTGACTGCTAGCGCTCGACATAATTGTGGAGTGGTGGGTAGTCTGGGATGACAAAACAAAAACGTCGATGCGCCTCATCGCCTTAATTTGTGGGTTAGGCAAAATGCCTAAGAATATCGAGAACTGAGAACTAGAATAAATAACTTACTTCAGTTTTAACCCTACAACTTCGCCATCTTCGCGCATTTCTGTTGCGTTCCCCTGCTTGAAAACAATTTCGAGTACCTGTGAAAGAATGCCGGGATCTAGGCTTTCGAAACTGCTAAGACCAGACAAATCTCCATTAGTTAGCTCAAACAGAGTAATGACCGCACCACTATGACCAGTCGCTTCCGTCCAAGACACTAGCTCAGAAGCCAACAGATGTGGGCTCTTGATATAAACGTAAACTTCCTCATTCGGTATTTTCCATGCTGCTGTGCCGTCCTCCACCATGTGGTTAAAGAGCTCGAGAATGACTGGTGCTGGTAACGTCCGCTGAATACGTGAATTGGTGAATACTGGGCTATTTTTGTTCAGAGTCCATTGATTAATACCTTTGCAGTAGTTCAAGCATATTTTTTCCCAGTTGCTTTTTTGCGCAGCCCAAGTTTGTTCATTTATCTGTTTTGTAAAAAAAGGAGGGAACTCGTATATAGCCGGAGTTCCTTGCATTACAAAGCAAACAAGGCTTCCTCGTGCTAGGTTTCTAATAGAAATTACTAAAATGCTACTTAGCTAAATTCTCGCGAATGAGCAGACTTTTGGGTACATTTTTTCACTGCGATGTTATAACTGCTCGACAATTGATAGTTCTGGTGTTAAAGAATTGTCGCAGATCTTCAGGACCTCCCTCCTGTATGTAGGTAAAACGCTAAATCAAAAGCCTGCATGAAAAAAATGTATGTGAAAGTAGAACAAGAATGAAGTTCAATGGTACTAAACAGAGAATTATCACAGAGTGCCGCGGGCCAATTGTTCTGCTTCAATGGCTTCGAATAAAGACTTGAAGTTGCCCGCACCAAAGCCATCAAAGTTTTCACGCTGGATGATTTCGAAAAACACGGTTGGCCTGTCAGTGAGCGGGCGTGTAAAGATCTGAAGTAGATAGCCACGATCATCGAAATCAACCAGAAGGTTCAAGCGCTGAATATCATCAAGGGCCTCTTTGATATGAACTTTCGACTTACTGAGACGTGAACGGAGTCTGTCGTAGTAGGCATCAGGTGCCTTCATGAACTCAACTCCCCGGCGTATCAGGGTTCCAACGGTTTCAATTATATCATGTGTCAAAAGAGCAATATGTTGAATACCAGGGCCCTCGTTGAACGTATAATACTCTTCAACCTGGGACTTGCGCAAGCCTTCTGCTGGCTCGTTTATAGGCATTTTGATCACTTCGTCTGCCGATGCCACTACTGTAGATCTCAATGCAGAAAAGTCTGTATGAATCTGTTTTTCATCGACTGACCAGTAACGATGGAAACCAAATGCTTTCTCGTAGAAGTGGGTGATTGGCTCCATCTCGTCCCAGCCTTGACTACCAACGCAGTGATCAACACAGTCAAACTTGGTTTCACCGAATAAATTGTAGTGGTTGTACTGTTCTGTAACGTCCGCGTAACTGGGAAGGAAAGTGCCCCGATATGCTTCGCGATTGATCAATGTGTGTGTAACATCACCATACGCTTTCACTCTAGCCATTGAAACTTTGCCGTTTTTGTCAAATAGGTCGAAGGGCTCATCGATAATCTCAGCTCCAGCAGATCTTGCAGTTTCCAAAACGTCATGAACATTGTCAACGGAAAAAGCTATGTCCTTGATTCCGTCGCCATGCGTTTTAACAAAGTGCTGAATTTCGTTAACAATCTGAGAGTTAGCTTCCTCAGATGCAGTAGACCTCAAACAGCTCTTGAAAACCATCAAAATGTTACCGCTTTGAACCACATGTCCGCAAATATCTTGGGATCCTGTCTCGAGGCCCATGTACGCGACCCTAGTGAAACCAAAACGGGAAATGAAATACGATGACGCTTGTCTAGCGTTTGAGACATACCAAGTTACATGATCGTAGTTACGAAAGTGTGTTTTGGTTGGTGAGGAGACCGAAAGAATAGGTTGAGGTACCATGTTGAAACTTGAACAGGTGTATGCTTGAAAAAAGATATATCCTCTTTATATAGTTTTCAGAAGAGATAAATGCTGCCTCATAAGGAATATACGAAATAGGTGCTTGATGAGTACCTATATTGGCATATTCCAGTGCGGACAGATAAACAGTTGGTGTTTGTTTCCCAAAATGGGAGCACTTTTAATGCACACATCCTGAGAGTTGCGCTGCATTGAGAACTATCATTACCACCGACCACCAGATCTACCTATAGAGGCTGTTCATACTGGGAGCCTATTTTTATTACCTGATTTGCTAGTTTATTATCACAAGAGACATTCATCTATACGATGGGCTTCACACCAGTGTGGATGGCTGCGACACCAAACGTCAAATTCTCATAGCCAGCTCCGTTTGTAGCAAAGCCAGCATCCCTAATCATCTGAGCAAAAGTTTCTTGGTCAGGGAAACGGTCGATACTCTCAACGAGATATTGGTAGGAATCATGGTCACCAACTAGCACCTGACCCAAGAGAGGGATCACGTTGAAAGAATAAGTCGAGTAAACTTGAGCTAGAAGCGGATTCGTCACTTTACTAAACTCAAGACATGCAAAAACTCCACCAGGCTTCAAGACTCTGTGCGCTGTACTTAGAGCTTTGGGAATATCAGTGAAGTTTCGGATGCCAAATGAGACAGTATACAGGTCCTGCGAATTATCAGGGATTTCGTCAAGAACCTCCGCATTTTGAACCTTAAACGAAACTCTTTCACCTTGACGTGATTTCGAATGGTATTTAGTATTTTCAAAACGCTTGACGCCTTCACCCAGCATCTCTGGGTTGATGTCACTAATGATCATTTTGCTTTCGAAGTCACCGTGCTCTTTAGCGGCGTGCTCAAGAATACGATACGCAATATCACCTGTTCCTCCTGCAATATCCAAGAAAGATAACTCATTCCCACCAGGACGGCGTCCAGGGTCAATCTTTGAGACAAAATGATCCTTCCACAACCTGTGAATACCGGCTGACATGGCATCATTCATATAATCGTAGTTTTCAGCAACATTCGAGAATACACCACGAACTAATTTTTCTTTCTCTTCTTGAGCTACTGTTCGGTACCCGAAATGTGTTGTAGACGAGTAGAGTTTGCTGTGCAACCGGGCACTTGCGTTTACACTTCTGATCTGTTTGAAGATCATGTTAATAATCCAATTGGGTGATTGATACTTTTAAAATAAAGCCTGCCAGCTTGGCTATTGTTTTTACGAGTTCAAGTGATTATTTTTACAATACTAAGAACTCACGGGGTTGTTCACTATGGTAACGCTTCTAGTCATGTTGTTGACTTTGTAAATTCCAACCAGTCTACTTGCCAACTCAAACATGTTATTCCTGAGTGATATCACGATAAATTGACCATTGGTAGTGCGCTCTTTGATGTAGTTTGCGACAATAGAAACATTGCGGAAATCCAGCGCCGCGTCTATCTCGTCCATTACATAGAGTGGTGTAGGCTTGTAATGGTGCAGTGCAAAAACAAGAGCTAAAGAGCTCAGCGTTTTCTCGCCTCCTGATAAATTGGCAATATTGCGCCAACTTTTCTTGGGGGGCATCACGCTGAATAAAATTCCCTCTGCGAATGGGTCTAGATGATCTACTAGTTCGAGCTCTGCATTTCCCCCCATTGTGATCATTTGGTACATTTCCTTTAGTTTGTCAGAGATCGTCTGAAACCCATCCATAAACTCCTCAAATCTCCGCTGTTTCAGTGACTTAGTGCAGGCTTCAAGCTTTTCATAGCGTTCCACAGCATCATTAACAGCGTCACGTCTGTTTGTGTACTCGCCAAATCGAGTCTGATAATCCTCCAGTATTGTCAAATCAATCCTACGGCCCTCAAGCAGCTTTTCGGAGGTTTTTAAAGACTGTTCAAGTGTAGCAACATCAAGACGCTCAAGCTCATCCTTATTCAAGCGGTTCAGCTGCGGCAAAGGTTCAACTTCTTCAGGGTAGCGTAAATCTGCAGCTTGGCGAAGATCATAGACATGCAGTTTGTCTAGCTTGGATTCAAACTCCTGAATATGTTTTGATGCAGACCTCTTTCTAGCTTCCTGATTCTCTACTCGTTTTCTTAACTCGATCACAGCTGAGGAGAGTTCATCAATGGCGTTTTGAGTTTGTTCTAGGGTATCTGTAAGGTCTTGCGCCTTGTCTGTAGCAGCGATACTTCGAGCATGTTCACCTTCGAGTTCGGCAGCTAAGTTAAGTTCTTGCTTTTCAGATTGATTGATTTGACTTTGTATCGCCAACAGGTCATTACCAACACAACCGAGTTCTCTCTGGGCATCTTCAAGTGTTGACTCATAGCGCTTCACTAGAGTTTCTTGGCGGGCCCGCTCATCATTAAGCTGAGCGAGCTGGTCAGTGATTGAAGACGATTTTTCTCGCAAGTCATTGACTTTTGAAGATTGCATCCTTAACTCAATACCACCTGCAGCCAATATTCTCTCCTGTAAATCAGCTATTTCTTGTTCAAGAGATCCCGATTCAGCTAAAAGCACCTGCTTCTCATTTTCGAGCACACCTATGTTAACCTCGGCACTTTCCCGTGATGGACCATCTGCTTCCAATCTTTTCTCGTATACAGTCTTGAGCTCTCGACGTTTCGATTTCGCATCGTTCATCTGCTGCGTCAACTGATCAAATGCAAGTTTAGTTTTCGCTATCTCAGTCCCGGACTTGGAAATTCTCTCCTTAAGCTCTTGTCGCTGATTTTCCAGCTCCTGCTTGGTACTGCGAGCCTCTAAAAGTTCCATTTCCAAGCTTGCGAGCGTCTGTTCAAGCTCACCCATGGTCTCAGCAGAAATAATCCCTTTAACTCCAGCAGACCCTCTGATCATCATTTTGCCTCGTGATGGCTCCCCTCCACCGGACATTGTTCCTGACGGTTCTATCAGGACCCCCTGGAGTGAAACAACGCGATATCTTTTGTTGCCCCCAAAAGCAATGCGCCTGGCCTCATCGGGTGTGCGAGCAACCAGGGTATCACCCATAACCGAATAAAATGCGGAAAGAAAATGAGGGTTCTCCACCTTGATAAGATCATATAAACGACTAACCCCTGGAGGTGTTGTCATATTCGTTACGGGTGGGCTCTGCTGGTCTAGGAGGATGAATCTAGCAGTGCCCAGCTTGTTTTTGCGTAGGAGTTGTATGCATTTCTGACCAGTCTCGACAGTATCAACAACAAAATCATCGAGCCTTGGACAAGAAGTGGAGACTGCGACGTCAAACTGCTTTTCAATTGTCGCAAGACTACCAAGTCGACCATAGAATCCATGAAGCTCGTCTTTATCTCGCATTTCCAAAAGTGCCGACAGCATTCTATCTTGAGACTGCTGCGCTTGTCTCGAGTCACGTGCAGAGGCTACAGCAGCTCTCTGTGTTGCCACCTTTTGTGCAAGAGTTTTCATAGTGTGGTCGATAGTACTCAGATCATCTTCCACCTTTTGGAATGTATCCTTATTTTGACGTTGTTCCTGTTGGAGCGATTTAAGGTGTGCTGCAGATTTCATCCCCTGGTCTGAAATCTCTTGAGCAATGCGAGTTGTCTCCTTCCACTTATCAAGATCCTCTTCCTGGCGGGCCTTCATGAAAGAAAGATCTGATTTAAGCTTAGCTATTGATGCTTCTTTCGTTTGAATCTTGACTCTCCAAGGCTCCACCTCCCGCTGGATTTTCTCGATTCGATCACTGAACACCTTGGTTTTATCCTGGAGTGTAGCTTGAATATCTTCAAGTGCTTTTTCCTCATTCTCGAGGGTTTCTGCCAGCTTCTGCTGCAGCTGCAACTGGTGATCACGATCCAGGGCAAAATTCTTGAGCCATGCCCTCGCAAGCTCACTGTCATTGGTTGTCGCTTGAACGGTCTTCTCCACTTTTCTCGATTGAACCTGAAGTTGTTGTAACCGAGTTTTAAGCTTCACGTGTGACATTTTTGCTTGCTGGTATAATTTCTCCTTACTAGACACCGCAGATTCCGCTTTTTTCAAATCGTGACTAGCACTGTCTAGCGCAAGTTTATATTTTTTTAAATCACCTTCCAAATCGTTGATCTTTCCTTTCTCCGTACAAAGCTCTTGCTTAGCAGCCTGAAGGTTTGTTGTTGCTTGAGATTCTTCCGCAGCAGCATTGTGCATTTCGATCTGGTACAGAGAAGACCGAGCAACAGTTATGATATTGTGATGCTTCATGTAAAAAGCGATATCCTTCCGTTTATTATCCAACTGGTCCAGATCACGCTCAGAAATCTCCATGCGGCCACGCTTCTCACCGACTTCCGTTTTCAACCCTTCTAACTGGCCTTCAGTCTCTTTGATTTTCTGTTTGTACTGACTAGTGCCAATGATATCCTCAAGATACTCCAGAAGGCCATCATCGCCCTCTCCATCCGCTTTAGGTTTCATCAAAGCTATACTCTCAACTTCACCCTGAAGGATCAAAAAGCGTTTGTGATCCAGGTCAATTCCACGACCCTTGAGAAGTGACGTCACTTCAGTATATGTGGATGAGCGGTTGTTAATGAAATAGCTAGAACCAGAGCTGTGCGATATCTCTCTGCTGATGACGAGTTCTGAACCTTGAATTTTTTCACTTCCTAGCGGTGTGTCAATAACCTCCTCAAAGTGTACCTCTACACGAGCTTCTTGCAGATCGGGAAAAGCTTCTGATTTGTGTATAAGTGCTGTAAGTCTCGTGTGGCGCATTTTAGTCGCACGGAATCCAAAAACAAAAAGAAGCGAGTCAATCACGTTACTTTTTCCAGAACCGTTTGGACCGACAACAGCACTAAAGTTCGTATTGAAAGGTCCAATCTCCTGACGTCCTGCATAGCTTTTAAAGTTGATAAGAACAAGCTTTTGTATAACGAGGCGTGGAGTTGTGGAAGCAATTCTCGTGGGGAGATCTTGTGTGGGGGTTGATGGAGAGCGTAACGGTGATGTCTCTACATCAGCAAACTGTGGCGAACGTGCAGGGGAGAAATCAGGACGAGGCGATGCGTTATTTGCAGTTATACTTCTTGTTGGCGAAGAAGGGTGTTCAAGGTTCGGGGAATCATTTAAATACGGCGATGGTCTCAAACCAGTAGAGGCTTTGAAGTCTGGAACGCTTCCACTTGCTATGTCCAAGTAATTAGGTCTCCTTTGTGGGGTTTTTGGCTCCATTGACGCGTCTCAATTAGGCTTGTAAGTTTGGTTTTTTGGATTATAAACAAACAAATCGAAGATACCTTTGTCATCAATGGAGAACGTCCTTGTGCTCGATAATGGCGGGTACAACATAAAGGTAGGGCTAGCCGGAGGTGAGTGCATTTCTGTTTTCAATGGGATAGCTAGATCGAGAGATAGGCAGGTTTTTGTTGCAAACGAGATGTGTAAGTGCCGTGACTTCACATCGCTGCAGTTTCGGAGACCAGTTGAACGAGGCCACTTAGCATCTTGGGAGCTACAGAAGACCATCTGGGACTGGATTTTTGACAATGAGACTCTACTAAGAAGTTTTGATGTTGCTAGTAGCGGACTTATTTATACCGAAGCGCCTTATTCACTGCCGGCACTCTCGATCCATGCTGATCAGATAGTATTTGAGGAATATAACTTCAATCATTACAGGCGATGTACTGCCGCAAGTCTGGTCCCATGGAATAACACAGATTCACTTTTTGGTCAGGAAACTTCCAGTACTCCGTCAGATGCATGCTTGGTGGTAGACGCTGGATTCAACGCAACGAATATTGTGCCAGTCATACGAGGCAACGCAAAATACAGCTCCATTAGGCGAGTAGATGTAGCGGGAAAAGTGCTCACAAATTACCTCAAGGAAACAATATCTTTTAAATACTACAACATGATGGATGAGACCTACCTGATCAACACTATAAAAGAGCAACTTTGCTACGTTTCCAGAGATTTCAATGACGACCTCAACAAATGGAAAATAAATAAGCATAGTGTGCAAAAAGGATACCTGCTCCCCGACCATAAGAATTCGAACTTTGGTCGTGTTCTAGATGACCCCTACGAAATTCGTCGACTCCAAAAGGAAGGCGAGCACCAGCTGCTGGTTCTGGCAAATGAAAGGTTTTCAATACCCGAAGCACTCTTCGATCCAAGGGAAGCTGATTTCGACCAAGCTGGCGTTGCAGAAGCGGTTGCACAGAGTATATCGAGTACGTCTCCAATAATTCAGCCGCTTCTTTGGGGTAATATTATTCTTGCGGGTGGTACAGCCAAACTAATGGGCTTTTCTGATCGCCTGGAGAGAGATTTAAGGCTCCTAGCCCCACAAGGTGTAACTGTTCGAGTGGCCACTCCGCCCGATCCCATAAGCTACGCTTGGAACGGAGGGTCTGTGATGGGGACCCAGGCCTCGAAAGCTCTTTGGTTTTTGAGTCGGGACGAGTACTTAGAAAGTGGAGAATCTGCATGTCTGCGTAAATTTGGAAAGAACCCGGGGATGACAGTTGAGAGCGTGACGACAAATGCAGGGCAGGATTAAGTGGTAACAATCCAAGAGATTCCACCCACTCCGAAGCACATGACTGCGAACCAGAAGCCATGTACACATACCTGTGACGGCCAGTTACTTGGGTTGTGTAGTCCGAAAGCCATAGCGCCTAGTGTGGCGAGAATAGCGCTGAGCAAAAGGCCAACAACAAGCACCACTTGGGCCCCCACAACCAAGTCCTCTACATCCTCACTCAAGAGGATTGCGTAAACCATAACGTCAATAATAGCTGCCAGCGTCAAGCAGACAGTCGTCAGCATTGCCATCATCATGTTTTCACGATGTTGTAAACGCGTTCTAACAAGGGCGTTATCAGTCTCGAGGTCTGGTCCAATATCTGTCGGTATTAGTCGAGGAGAGTACTGTGTGCCACTCAAACGATCAGTGCCTAACAAGCTCTGTGTCTCACTTGAACAAGGAGAATTCGATGGATACTCATCGGCGGTGCTGAATTCTAGCCCAAGCAACTGCTTTACATGACGAACACTTCTGCGAACAGTTTGTGAGAATTTCATTAAAGGTTGTGATAGTGCCTCTGCCCGCATCATCCGCACTAACTCTTCATCCTCATCGTTCACAAAAACGCTGAACGCATTTTCATCATCTTCATCCTCCGGGTTGTCAAACTCATTCCAGTACCTGGTGCTGTCGTTGGCAGTTGTATCATTTAATAAAATATTTCCACCACCTGCCCCACCGCTGCTACTACCACTTTGTCTCCGTAGAGTTTGTGTGCTTCGCTTAGATCTCTGTTGTCGCGCCGGCTTTGGTGCCTTTCTTATATCTTCTCCTTTCTCGAGTATTTTGGCCCAACTGGGCGAAGACCAGAACACCTTCTTGTTTTGAGCAAGATACAATGCATAATGATAAGATGAAAAGGATTCCGACACTGGGTGCATCAAGTGTGATTTTCCCATATCTTCGAGCCATTTAGGTGCATCTTGCCCTGTGAATCGAATTTGCAGAACATGGTATGGAAACTTGGACAAGGAGTTCCTGCAGTTTTGAACGACGAGGTCACTATCTATGACTGCCCATACGTGTTGAATCTCTGCATCGGTCGTGGCGAAGTTCGTCTCATATCGCAAGCGACTCGAAACCACAGTAGCTCGAGGTTTGATCTGCCTAGAAAGTGCCCAACCAAGTGCGAACTTGGCATTATTATCCAAACTATCCAGGTCCTTCGAAGTGAGTGCACCTGTGTAAAGCTTGTGCTCAACTTTCGAGCTGAGAGTAGCAGCGCAAAAATGCCTTATTCCTCCCGTGGGTGCACAGAAAACAGTTCTGGATTTCGCACTGACATCTCCATTCTCTAACAGTTCGACTTGACATGTCTGTGCTGGCTCTCGCTTTCTGACAGCACAATCAAACTCCTCGTCATCATAAAAAGTCGTGCGCGTGACTTGTGAGTGGTCGCTTCCGGCTAGAAGGCTTAAATTTTGGAGCAAAGACACTTGAACTTGAACAATATCTTCACTGTGAATCCAATAATAAATTGTTTTTGCAGGCGTAGAAACCATTCTAACATCAAACTGACACAGCCGCGTTTCAAGAGGTTTACTGCTAGGGCCATTCAACGTCCATGGCGGCAATGACTTGAAAGGGCTAAACCTTCCTGAGCGAATCATATCATACAATAAGGATAACTCTAGAAAGATAGAGGTGAAATCAATACTGGCAAATGACTCTGAGCCGTTTAACAATCTCTCGAATTCATGAAGCTGTGGCCCGTCCTTTGGCGCTAACTTGCGGAATTTTTTGATGAGTTTTCTGAAGCCAGTGAATTGTGCGCCTGCGAACCGGCTTAAATGTTGGACATCGCGTGAAACCTTAGCCACCTCGCATTGAAGCTGGTATATATTCGTGTCCCTAGTCATTTCTGAAGTGCTTTGAAGATCTTCCAGTTTGTTGCGAGAGCCCGAATCCAAACTTGAAATTGCGGCTACAAGACGTTGGCACGTGCGCAATCGCTGCTCAATTTCGCCAAGTTTTGATTTGACAAACAGGTTAACATTTTGGTATTCATCATTGAGCAAAGAAAATATTGTGTTATATCCATCAGCGGTAATAAGATTGCCTGAAGTCTCCTGGGTAATTGTATCTCGAATATCGTTGTAAAGAATATTATGTGCACGCCATTCCGGTACAGAGCGGGAGGGAAGTTGGACGCCGTATTTCATTCTGAATTGGGAATAGATGCGCCCGTGATAACACTTGAAATAAATAGATTGCTTTAAAACTTATCGATTGCGGATTTGGCCTCTGTACACTTCGATTTTGCTTAAAAAATATAACTTCAAGATGGAAACGAATACAAGGTGACTAACCTGAATGTCTACGCCCTGCACATTACGATCAGCGTTAGTTCATTTTCTCAGGACCAACGAGTACTAAACCTCGCCCTTGCTTTTTCAGTTATCATATCTTATGTCTTCAATATGGAGCATATCTTCAAATCTCTTGCTAAGAATAAAGATCAAAAAAAAATTTTACACATTGAGCGTATAAGTGAATGCCCACAGAGATAGTGCTCATGTGAGCCGTATTCTCTGTGTAGGAGGCTTGCCACTCAATTTTGGAGAGAAATCAGGTTGCGCTGCAATTGGAATTAAATGTCAGTGACTTGCAGCATTTATAGCCCCATTCGTTATTTTGGAAAAATGACCCGAACACAGCTTTGTGTCCGTTCCTCTGTTTGACTTCCTCTCCGTAATCTGCCGCTGCAAGGACCGAGCTCTGTGTCATGGATTGTTTGCAAATTAACTCTGACTCTGGCATTCCACTAGCTTCCTGATTTGTTTTGAGGTTCATAGGTTTAGAGTGAGAGTTTTGTATTGGCGAAGTAACAGTACTAGCTTCAATGTCGAACTCAAGCTTAGGTACATCTTCCAAATAGTGCGCTAAATCGCTCCGCTCTCTTTGAGACGAGACAGCTACAACTTTTGAATACTCATCAATGATTGGCTTTTTATCGGCTGTTAAGTTCGACATGATGTTTCTTCGTTTGAGCGAATGACTCGATTTACTCACCATGGACGAATCGTAATTTGCGTATGGATCGCGCTTAGCTGCATACTCCAAATCAACATTCTCCTTATTGCTTTTCAGTTCATTGATTGCGTTTCTTTTATACCAAACTTCTGCTGCGACAAAACCTGGTATTCGTTGGGCGACTTTTTTGCCGTCGGATCCCACCACGATTTTTTCGTTATCCATTAATTATCTAACCTTTGGAAGAGATTAATTACTGCCTATACTAGTCAAATCCCTCCCAATCATCCAGCTCCTCCTCCGAAGAGACAAAGGCTTCGGATGTTTCTTTGAGGCCCCATTCGCGTAAACGAGGATCTGAAAGCGCGTCTTTTGCTCGAGCTTTAATGATTTTGAAGCTAGAGAAATTCGCCAAAGCTTCGATAGGACTCAAAAGCTCACTGTACGGTATTTCGTCAGCTTGTTCACGCAATCTGTCAATTTCATCGAAATAAATGTCACATAAGTGGAGTCTTATTGCATGCGGGACTTTGGGGTTATCCACATTCAACGGGCCGGTTGCCATACTGTTGATGTACGAGTCTAGCTCCTCGGAAGACCATTTACTTTCATAAAGATGCACCATCAATGCGAAAAAAAACCGACGAATTAATAAATAAAACTTGTTGATGCGGTGTGAATCAATAGAGTGCCATTCTCGGATCAATACGGTCCAAAAGGAGTTGACAAAGTTCCAGTAGTTTTTCGACTTGATTTTCTCTGGCAGTGTTGCAATCTCACTAGCCAAATTCTGCTGCGTGATTGGACGATCACAGTACCACATAGCATAAAATATGCCTTTGCAAAGCTTTTTCAACTTAAGTTGATCAAGTGTCTGCGGAGTTGCCAAGTATTGTGCCAACGCTTTGAGTGCTTTTTCGCGAACAGGGCGACTATTGTCTGCCATTTTGCGAATCAAAGCATTCTCATCAAATGAGGATACGGCTATTTGAGAAGCTTTAAGAGCCTCATCCGCTCTGCCGCTCCTTGAAATTTTTGGCATCTGCTTAACTAATTCTTTTCGGGAGATCCTGCCAAAAGTATGTGTTACCCGGCCTATCTCTCGTACTTAAATATTTTCTGTCCCAAAGTTCGCTCATGTTGACTTGCGTCTGCTAATGTGTGATAAGGTATTATCTCACTACAGTTGGCGTCTCGACACAAGCGTGGAAGTGGACTTTTTGGTATGAAGCTTTTAATGACGGCCCTGTCGACAAGTCAAATAGTGTATCCGTTCTTTGAGCTCGTCCTCGGACTGAGCTCGGAGCGTCCCAGCATATTCCTACACCCTGCGTACGGCCATCGGCTAATGGACGGTTGGGTTAAACCATGTTGGGGACATACAAATATGTTTTTAGTCGTATAATTCAATTTGAGGTATCAGCAACGTTGTAAAGTTTAGTGCCCGATCTAGTTTCGTTTTTCCATAAAACAAGTTGTGTAATCGTATGGTCTGTGACTATGTTCGAGCACCCATGTTTTCCCACCAGAGAATTTGTTCGTACAGGGACAAAAGCACGATTCAGAAGTAAATTCCGAGAAGACGAAATAAAGGATTTCGGCCAAAGTAAGAAGGAGAACCTGGAGCGGTATGTCAAATCAACCAACGTCAAAGGCTCGAGAGAGCAGGTTCATTACCTTGGGCTCACTAGTAATGACGTTTATGACGAAGAAGGTAATGTCCTTCAGACGTCGCAGAAATTCAATGCTACGCCGGATACTGGATTTTCGAGGCGAATCGGCTACAGCCCTCTGAGGTTGTACGAGCTAGCTAAAATGGGTCTACATAACCTTCCCCGATCCAGCCAGCAGCCTTCTGTCGTGAAGAAACCAATGAAGATTAGAAATAAAGCCAGGTTAAGTGCCAAAGCCAGTATTTTGGTTGCTAGGTCTAATTATAAGGCTCATTATTGGTTAACCTTGAATTCAGAGGATGACGATTGGATACATAGAGGCTTCCGCGTCAAGCACCTTCAGACCTTGGTTACAATTCTACATATTTCTATCTTAAGGTCAGATCTGGAAACAGCCTGGAGAGTGTTTCCCTTATTAATTCGATTCGCAGACGTGGATGTTCGACAGTACTGGACAATCGGGATAGAACTTTTGAACTACAGATACGGAAATCTTGAATCTGGGCTTAAATTTTTGGACTGGCTATTCATCAATTATCCTAGTGGTCGAAGCTATCGAAAATCGTTATGGAAAATCTGGCCTCGGTCTCAAGAGCTTCTACCTTACTTACTGCTAATGAGGCTAGTAAGTTATTCACCTCGCGATGTATGCGAGCAATTAGAAGACCTTGTACTGTCAAAGCCCTATACTGCAGATCCCAATGTTTGGATACTACACGGAATTTCGTTGTTACAACTAGGCCAGCGATCCAAAGCCAGAGCCAAGTTCCAGAAATCTATCGAGCTAGGAGCCTGGCTTCCTCAACCTTTATTGAGAGCGTCTGGGTGGCACCAATAGAATAAAAAGTGAGAAACCTTCTCTCACTTAGCGAGAGAATAGGTATGACCATGATTAGGCATTTGTTATTTATAAAGCTCGATATTTAAACCATGCAAAAGAAGTTTGCCTCGAACTTTTGCAGGCAGTCAAATATTGCAGGCCCAAACGATTCAACTAGAGCTCCATTAAAACTAATTCTTGTCTATGTCAATATTAATGCATAACCTACTTTACGGTCAAGCAGTAACTCCTTTCCAAGATTTGAATCAGAATAGTGCACACTTCTACGTAACAAGGTAAGAGCGAAGCGTTTTCTTCATCGTGCCGCGCCCGGTCAAAGGACTTCAGCATACGCTGAGGGCTACTATGTAGAAAATTTTTCATCATATGATAAACTTGGAAGGATAACTAAGATCATGCTTCGCTCGCAAGACGTACCTATGAGGTAAGGGTTAATTCCCCGCCATATCTAACGCGGTGTTCTCCGAGTCAACTTGTATTGTTCCTAACAAGATCACAATGAATGGCAGTTCCAAAATATCGTCTAAGAGAGTTCTTATCGATGACAAGCTCGTACCAGCTACTATTACCTTTGAGAATGGTGTGATAACTGAGATTGTCAGTGGACTTCAGGATGGTGCCAACAGTTATGGTAATCTGGTGATTTTACCCGGGATTGTAGATGCACACGTTCATCTTAATGAGCCGGGTCGTACCGACTGGGAAGGATTTGAATCTGGTACAAAAGCTGCAGCTGCTGGAGGTGTGACAACCGTTGTGGATATGCCGTTAAATGCAATCCCTCCAACTACAACCGTTGAGAACTTCGACACTAAAGTCTCTGCGGCAACTGGTCAATGCTGGGTCGATGTCGCATTCTGGGGCGGTGTTATTCCCGGGAATGAAAACGAACTTCTTCCTTTGATCAAAAAGGGCGTTCGTGGGTTCAAGTGTTTCATGATGGACTCAGGTGTTGAGGAGTTCCCCCAAGTGTCTTTAAGCGACATTGATACTGCCTTAGCCAAGTTAACTGGTCAGCCAACTATAATGATGTTCCATGCTGAGCTAGACACTTGTGCTGCCCAGTCCAATGGCGGTGATCCCTCTGCCTATCAAACTTTCTTAGAGTCACGTCCGGATCGTTTTGAAGTTGACGCTATCAAAGCAATTATTTCCGCAATGAGCCGGGCACCTGACGTACCTCTGCATATTGTTCATCTCGCATCTGCGGAAGCTACTGGCCTTGTGGAGAGCGCACAGAAGAATGGAGGCAAGTTGTCTGCCGAAACGTGCTTCCACTATCTCACCCTTGCTTCTGAGGGTGTAGAAGATAAGTGTACGCTTTTCAAATGTTGCCCCCCAATCCGGTCTTCTAAAAACCGTGATGGCCTTTGGAACGCTTTGAAAGAAGGAGTCATTGATTCTGTCGTGAGCGACCATTCACCATGCACACCAAATCTCAAGAAGCTAGAAGAGGGTGATTTCATGTCTGCTTGGGGTGGAATCTCGAGTATTGGACTTGGTTTGAGTATTCTTTGGTCACAGGCTTCGGAGCGTAGTATTACTTTGGCTGATATCTCTCGTTGGACTTCCCTCAACACAGCTAAACAGTGCGGGCTCGAGTCTCGTAAGGGTAGCATCGAAGTTGGTAAAGATGCAGATTTCTGCGTTTTCGACCCAGAGGCCTCCTGGGAATTCGACCAGTCGAAAATGTTTTTCAAAAACAAATATTCACCTTATAATGGCATGAAAGTTCGCGGGAAAGTTATCGAGACCATTCTTCGTGGAAATTGTATCTATCGCTTCGGGGAGCAATTTTCGAAGGCTCAAGGCCAATTGATTCTTGAACCACGCACAACATAGGTTTAAGACTACTCTTCTATAATCTTTATAGTAAATTCTAGCGTGCAGCAAAACGACGCCCGCTTGCTGTCTTCCGTTCGCGCTCAATATTTTCAGGCTTAGCCCTGTTCAATACCTTGAGGAACTCATCAGTGCGGAATCGCATACGCGAGTGCACATATGCTTTCGAGCACTTGATGTGGTAATGGAAATAATCTCTGAAGGTTTGGATGTGTGAGATGCATCTTTCCTGACGCTGGGCTGTCAAGTGTGCCGGAAATAGTACGAACGTGACATAGCCGACATTACCCGCATCTTTCTTGATGAGCTCTCTAAGTTCAAGGGGTGGCTGTTTGCTGTAGAGCACTTGTGGGGCATTCTGAATAGCGCGACGGCGTGCATCAACGAACTCCTGAAGGAACACCTTTCCAAACACTTGGTCCGTTTCATCCTTGAACACAGTACCGAATGTTACCGTTACGCGATCAAAGTTTGGTTGAATAAAAATAGATTCCTCATCGCGATAGTGGATTGACATGATTTCCAGGTCCTGTGCTGAAGGCTGGTAATAATCGAGCCCATTCTGGGTTGCCTCTTTGTTCATAGCCTGAAACTTCTTGAAAGCCAACTCAAACGGAGCGGCCATCGTGTTTCGGCGAAGTAGTGACAGGTCAGCTACAAGCTTCATTCGCTCCTCAAGTGAGTTTGGCAGTTTGTCAAGATCAATGAGAAGTGAAAAATCGTATCCTTGTTCAGTTTCTGTAACAAGGTCCTTGTATTCACGTTTTATGATATCTTGGGCGCCATATTTGACAAGGTCCTTCCAACTTTTGATGTACATCGAGACAAGAATTTTAGACTTCGCCTCAGGCGTCGAGATATGGTATGTGACATTGTCAAAGTCACTTACAAGCTGGTTTATAGCTACCGGTTCTTGCTGTTCAATGATTGCCTCCGTGAAGAGACTCTTCAGCAAGACATTGTGATACTCTAATAACTCAGTTGCCATTTGTACAGTCGGTTAATGATTAGTCAACCTATTCTTATTAACTACCGTGCTCGGTCACCAATAAGAGTGATATTGAGACGATTAGTGTGCTGCATGGTGAATGGCCTTTCTAACATTGCTATCTAGAAGTGTCTAATCTTGATTTAAGCAAGTGCTACTTTTTAATTGGCATTGAAATCACTCGAATCTTGTCGAATTGTATATCGAACGGTTATTGATTTATTGATTTCGGAGCTGGAAGAGTTCGACCCCGATGCCGTTCAACACATTAGCTAAGTATTTGTGGTGTGCTTGTTTCGGTAATGTATTGTGTAATGTTCGGGTTGCTTGTGTAATGTATTTATGTGTGGTGAAGCTTTGTGCTTACGAAATTCTAATGTGGTGTCCAATAATATGACTTTATTGTGTTATTAATATATTTACATATTTGAGTGTAAATCATATTAGTAATTAAACTGTTTTTATTATATTGTTTTATTTTGTCATATAAAAATACTACTGACTCCAATAATTTTCCGATTATACCCAATCAATTATCTTAATATGATGAGTAAGGAAACTACAAGAGCAAGGTTTGTTGGTGGAAATTACAAATATTTATAGCAGTTTCACTAAAATATTTTTTGAAACATATCTCAAAATGTTTTTAAAGCTTGTAGGTAAGCGCGGCGACGGTGATAGAATTTGGTCGTCTTGATTGATGTTTGTATAATATTAATCGTTAATTGGTGTGTGTATGTCTGTCTGTGCGTTACCGAAAATATATATACAGTGCTTTTATGTTATGTGCCAAATAAACCCAGTTGCATCAATGATCCAATTCAGGCTGACTGCGAAAGCGGAAGGTTGGGGCACAATTCGGCTTCACGAGTGATGGATGACCTGATTGGGACGGTGAAATCAAGTCCGATCACATGTTGACGCGTTTTCTCGTCACACCCTCGTTGCATGCAAAGAAAACCTATTGCCTGGTTATACTACGAGTCTAAGTTTTATGACGCGACGGAGTTTGAACCATCTAAGTTATTTTTATGTCGTCTGCATTTTCTTCGCAGAAGTGTCTCCTCTCTAGAACATAAGCAGTGGAGATGCCACCCCCTCCACGAAAGCGGGGAAACCTTACCCTCGTACACATATAAATGCCCTCTTGAATTCTGGCATTCAAAGTAAAAAGATGTCAGTAGACTTTAGTGAAAACCAATGGCGGACCATTGAAGCTCTTTCTGATGCTTACATCCCAGCAATTGAACTGTTGCAGGTTGATAGCCTTCTTCAAGATGTCACACCAGAGCTTCGCTCTGTTGTGGCTCAGAAGACTACAAGAGATAATCGAGGATTCCGTCAAAACGTTTCAACGGCATTGTCTCAGGCCAGCGAGTCTAATACCCGGTTGTTCAAGTTGGTAATTGCGATTCTGAGCCGACGAACGCTCGCAGTTCCTATTACCCACAGCTTTAAACTTCTTTCGGAGATGAGCATTGATGAGAGAACGCATTTTATCATGTCACTCAGAGATGCAAAGATCGCTCCCCTGAGAAGCCTCTACCGTGCTCTGCTGGATCTCTCAATGATCGCTTTTTTCTACAGCGACGAGAAACTTTTAGAAGGTTTGGGATATAAGTTCGATCGTGCAAACGCAGCTCGTTTCGCTGAGCAACCATTCTGGGAAGTTCCTATCGAGGCTGCTCCGAAGGATCAGTCTACATGGCGTATTGAGACCGACGTAGTTGTCATTGGCTCTGGTTCCACAGGAGGGGTCATCGCGAACCGTTTAGCTAAAGAAGGATTCCGAGTTCTGATTTTGGAGAAAGGTGATCAAATCAGGCCTTCAGACTTGGGAAAAAGCGATTTGGTGACAGACTCTCGTATCTACGAGCTATCAAATAAGATGATGTCAACAGATAAGTCTATCAACATTGTTGCTGGTAGTACTGTCGGAGGAGGCGCAGCTATCAACTGGAGCTGCTCATTGAGGCTACCGTTCGCTGTCAGGCGTCAATGGGCAGCTGATGGTGTGCCTTGGGCAACATCCACTCTTTTCGATGATGCCCAAGATTATGTCTGGAAGAAAATGGGTACCACTTACGATTACGGTGAGCACTCATTTACGAACCAGCTCATCTTGGATGGCTCGAAAAAGTTAGGCTACCCTGCAGCACCCACAGGTCAAAACACGGGAGCTCATATTCCTAATACTGTTTTCCAGGGCTATGGTTATCGGTATGGGGAGAAGGGAGGAGTTGTCAACTGGCTCTATGAAGCCGTGCAAAATGGTGCTAAAGTGATTGATCGTTGCCAGGTCGTCCGTATTCGTCATAACAGAGGCAAAGCATCAGGCGTTGAGGCAGTGGTCAATGATGGTACCAAACTTGTCGTGAATGCCAAGCGTGTGGTCTCTTGCTGCGGTTCTTTACAAACACCCATTTTACTGAAACGCTCAGGCTTTAAAAATAAAAAGATTGGGGATGGATTGAAATTACACCCCGTAACATGTGTTTATGGGGATTTTGACGAAGTCGTCAATAAGGAGTCGGATACAATCATGACCAGTGTTTGTGTGGAGGACGACAATCTCGATGGTGAATTCCATGGTCCTAGGATTGAGGCTATTCATCATCTGCTGCCCTTGACGCTCAAATTTTTGCCTTGGTATAACGGGGAGTCTTATCGCAAAATATGTGCACGCTACAAGCATTTATCCGCGCTTCTTATTCTCACTCGCGATAAAGGCGCTGGTAAAGTCATCTACAACAAAAATGACCCCATGACTCCAACCATCGAATATACGCCCTCAAAATTCGATCTTGACGCTTTGAGAAAAGGAGCGTTGACCGGTGCCAACCTGCTTTATATACAGGGTGCACGAAGAATTTATATGCCGCATTACTCGATTCCAATGTTTGAGAGCGATAAGCCTGCAAGTGAGCGACGTTTGGCTGACGCTGATTATCAGGCATGGTATGCCAATGCAGAAACTGTAGACTTTGAGATCTTTAAAGTTGGCACGGGTTCAGCTCACCAGATGGCATCTTGCCGCATGAGTAATAAAGGTCCGCAGTTCGCCCCAGTTGACGAACGTGGCCGATTATATGAGTGCCCTAATGTCCACGTTGTGGACACAAGTGTCTTCCCATCTGCATCTGGTGTCAATCCAATGATTAGTTGTATGTCAGTCGCGCAAGTTCTTGGTGGATTCCTTGTCGAGGAGCTTCGCAAAGAGGAAAACCGTGCACGTCTTTAACCTCTTCCCAATAGTTCGCTTAGGATTGTGAGGTGATGTGACTCTGTTAAATAGTTACCGTAACCTTTACTAAATGTAAGTTGTTTTTCCGCGTGATGATCAATTCAATAATCGACCCATAGTGATAAAAATTGCTAATTTTTCACTTAGACATATACTATCGAGTTAACGAAAACGAAAACGAGCACGAGCAACTGCATCAGCAAGTCAATACAGGTTTGATTCTTTGATCTAAGCTTCGTGAACTTTTTGGGCGATGTTATTACTCATCTTAGCAGCAGTTTGAGCACTGAGCAACTATGGGCTCTGGGAGACTATCGAAAGCACTAAAGGTCTGCTTGATCGAAGCAAATTGAAAATATAGCTAAAACAATAAAACAATCGTCCACTCAGGTTTTTCAAGGTTCAGTGATCTTGGCAAATGCTCAGGGTGCATGAGCGGCAGTACCGCAAACAAGCAAAAAAGAGACATTATTCAAGACGAATTAATTGCAGGTGGTCATATCCGGACTAAATCTTGGTCTTGATGTGACCAGAAAGAAGAATCATCATGATATCGATCCTAATAACTACAATGGATATCAAGCCCTTTTCAAGGGTATCGACAAGGTAAGGCAAAATAGGGCAAAGCTTCCGAGAAAGTATGCACCACCGATAGCTACAGCAGAAGTCAGTTGACGACTGTTTAGCCGTTCTACAATACCACAGACCATCTCGATCATGACGGCAGCTGAGAATTTGTCGTTTCAACGTCCGATGCGAGGCCTATGTAGGGAAAGGGTCCTGTAAAACGGCTAAACGTTTAGAGGTGGCGCCGCTTCTTGCAACCTACAGTATGTCATTTATCAAGAGGGTGGTCAACAAGCTCCAAAATGACGATACATGCGAAATAGGCTCAGAATTTGAAACAGCCAATCTATCCGATGAGGACTGTGGAGGGTGCCCAAGTAAATATCCATCGTCGCTCAAAATAGATGAGGATTCGAAACTGTTAAACTCTGCTCCGAAGCCTGCCCTCCAAATTTTGGTCGCAACAGGCGAAAAAGATTGGTTACGTGATATTAGTGATGAAAAGACAAGTTGGGGGCGCGTGTGTAATGCTCTTTCGAAGAGCTCAGACGCACTCCAGACTGCAGCAGGTGGTCCGGTCCGGGTAAATGGTACTGACCTCGAATTTGATAGTGACGATGGCCATGTGGTGTCGATAATTCTTTTGCCTCAGTTTGTAAGAATCGAGACAACAGCGAAGACAGTTGTTGATGAGGTTCTACAAGTGCTGACGGCTGGAAAACGCAAAGATTTACCCAACAACGCTCTTGTTTTGAAGGACAAGGGGTATGTTATGATTTGTTCTCATGGCAAGAGAGACAAAAGATGTTCAGTTACAGCACCTATTTTGCGGAAAGAGCTAGAGATCGAGCTTCGTCATGAGGGACTCTATCGTGATCCATACGACGACGAGCCAGCTGGAATTCGTGTCGTATATTGTAACCATGTCGGCGGGCATAAGTTTGCCGCAAACTGTTTCGTATATCTCGAAGATGGAACAGTTGTTCTTATGGCACGAGTGAAACCTGAACACGCAAAAAGCATTGTACAAAAAACAATTTTAAGAGGGGTTGTATTCCCAGAAATCACACGTAATTGTGCTAAACTTAAGTCCTGTGAATGGTGACCAACACGTTCATATTCGTTGTAGAATCGTAGAATTAATACCTCTTTTGTGGTCTACATAGGCTACAGACAGGGCTCGATTAAGTCAGCGGCAGCACTGAATGTCAAAACGTCGTAGACAGCCGACATCGTATGCTGGGTTCGATGACGCTTTTGATTCCGATTCAGAAGCTACAGTAGGTTCCAGTGATGAGGAGTTACCTGAACTACCTCGTTTGAAGCTGAACTGTGGCGATCCTGACGATGAGCTAGTTGTAAGAGAAGCCGCTAGCCTTCATACGCAACGGACGTCAGACTCGGTGGCAAATATATTTGGCAAAGGAGACTTTAGCTATTTGGATTTGAAGCCCGATCATGAGCATCGCCCGTTATGGATCAACCCAGAGGATGGGAGAATCATTCTAGAATGCTTCTCCCCTTTGGCCGAACAAGCTCAGGACTTCCTCGTGACTATTGCTGAACCTGTCAGCCGGCCTGCTCACATTCATGAGTACCGCATTACCACTTATTCGCTATATGCTGCTGTTTCAGTCGGATTGGAAACTGAAGATATTATCTCTGTTCTTAATCGATTATCCAAAGTTCCGGTTCCTAAGAGCGTAGTGGCATTTGTGCATACATGCACTGTTTCATATGGTAAAGTGAAGCTTGTTCTCAAACACAATAGGTACTTTGTTGAGAGTGCGCATGCTGAAATACTTCAAATGATGTTGAGGGACCCTGTGCTCTCTAATTTGCGAATTGTGGGTGGCGATCAAACGTTTCGTGATGGACTTCTTGTGCAGCCCCGGCCTATCAATGATCTTGTCATTCCAGGGACACATTCCGCAAGCACAATCAAGCCGATTGATGGATCAGTAACTCAGCATCAGAAAGAAGGGGACGTTGGGGGCATATCGGCCCTGGTCAATGTAGACAAAGACGACGATGACGATGATACGGAAGCTGTGCACTCTTTTGAAATAGCACCCGAAAGCGTAGAGGAGGTCAAGAAGCGCTGCCAAGAAATTGATTATCCCGTTCTGGAAGAGTATGATTTCAGAAATGATACACGAAATCCAAATCTAGACATTGATTTGAAGCCTTCCACTCAAATTAGACCTTATCAGGAAAAAAGCCTAAGCAAAATGTTCGGAAATGGCCGTGCTCGTTCTGGAATCATTGTGCTTCCTTGCGGAGCTGGCAAAACTTTAGTTGGAATCACCGCGGCGTGCACGATCAGGAAAAGCGTTATTGTCTTGTGTACATCTTCCGTTTCAGTTATGCAATGGAGGCAGCAGTTTTTGCAGTGGTGCACTATAAAACCGGAAGATATATCTGTGTTTACGTCGGAGTCTAAGGAAAAGTTTCAAGGCGAGAGTGGTCTAGTCGTATCAACTTACTCAATGGTTGCCAACACACGGAACCGTTCACATGACTCGCAGAAAATGATGGACTTTTTGACCTCGCGAGAGTGGGGATTCATCATTCTCGACGAAGTACACGTTGTACCCGCCGCAATGTTTAGACGTGTGGTCACTACCATAGCTGCCCACACAAAGCTGGGTTTAACTGCGACCCTTGTTAGGGAGGACGACAAGATCGACGATTTGAATTTCCTGATTGGACCCAAGCTATACGAAGCAAACTGGATGGACCTGGCCCAAAAGGGCCACATTGCCAATGTCCAGTGTGCAGAAGTTTGGTGTCCCATGACCTCAGAGTTCTACCAGGAGTACATTGTGGCTGATCCCCGTAAAGGTATGCTGCTTTATATCATGAATCCAACTAAGTTTCAAGCTTGTCAGTTCCTGATCGAGTATCACGAAAGGCGGGGGGACAAAATTATTGTATTCAGTGACAATGTCTATGCACTCAAGGCATATGCCCTCAAGTTGGGTAAACCCTTCATTTTTGGGGCCACTCCACAGCAAGAGCGAATGACGATTTTGAAGAATTTCCAATTCAACGACGCGGTAAACACAATATTCCTATCCAAAGTAGGAGATACCTCAATTGATCTTCCTGAAGCCACCTGTTTGATTCAGATTTCAAGCCACTATGGCTCTCGTAGACAAGAAGCACAGCGGCTGGGTCGTATTTTGCGCGCGAAGCGTCGTAACGATGAAGGTTTCAATGCGTTTTTCTATTCGCTGGTATCAAAAGATACGCTTGAGATGTACTATTCAACCAAACGTCAGGCTTTTCTAGTGGATCAAGGCTATGCGTTCAAAGTAATTACACATTTGCTTGGCATGGAGAAACTGCCTAATTTGGCGTACTCTCTACTATCGGAAAGGAAAGAGCTGCTCCAAATGGTATTGCTCCAAAGTGAAGATGCTGCAGGTCTCGAGATTGGTGACGATGCTGACTCTGCCGTCGGTCGTGGCCAATTGAAATCTTCAAAGGTGAAAGCTCGCAAAACTCAAGGATCCTTGGCGAGCTTAGCTGGTGGTGAGGACATGGCGTACATCGAGTACAACAAGAGCAAAAACAAAGAACTTAAAAAACATCACCCGGTTATCTCGAAGTTATACTATAAAAAGTAGTAATGGTTATTTAATATTGAAGCCTTACTAGCATTCTGTGTCGGCATCTCCAGCTGAAAAGTCTGACCACTCCAAATCTGAAACCATACTGAATTCTGAAGTGAACTCAAGGCCTTCGGTCTCAGAACTGAGTAAAGAAATATTTACTTTGGAATCAGCGCTTGATGGCATCATAACATCCGGTAATTCGCGCTGGCTTGTGCGAACGTTGTCAAACGAGCATCCTGTCGCTAAAACGCTATGGTTACGCTTCCCTGAACTTTTAAAATCTTTCTCCACCTCAGTATCTGATTCTGTGCCTGAAGTGCCAATTGCATCCAGTTCAGTGTCGATTATTTCTGAAGAATGCACCTTTGAGTTGGTGGCGTGGTCCAGCTTGCTCTTGAGAGGCTGCATTTTTTCGCCCCAAAAGGAAGGGTCAGATAGCTCATCCCAATTGTTGTATACGGCATAGCCAATCCCGGCGGCCGCTCCAACTACTAGCAGCCAAGGTAACGGTACTGCGTACATTGAGATTATAATGTGGAGATCTCCCAACTCTCGATTCAGACTCTAATAGTAATATAAATAAATTGAGCTACAAACTATTGCAAACACTCAAGGTGCAGCATCTTGTAAGCCGGTATGATCCCAGAAGTATAAGAATCGAGGCTCTTGCACATTTGGAGAAAACGCGCTAGCCGTATCAGGCTCCGATTCAGTGTCACTTGTGCACAAGGAAGGAAGTGACTCAAGATCGAAGAGACTGCTATCACGCCTAGCATTCAAGCTGTATAAAGCCCCCAAGTTAGTGCCTCCCAAGGAACCAACGGTATTGATTGACATGAGCTCTATCTGTTGTTTTGCGCCATTGTTGCGTCGACACTTCAACTGCTTAGGCAGGCTACTGGGCTCTCGAAAAAATTGAATCACACAGTAGTACACACTGTCATTATTTCCTACAAGGGCAAAAAGTGTACCAAATACAAACCCCAGAGAAGAGGCGACCAGTGTGATGGTCGGCATTTCTCAACTCTCAACTTGGTCGCGGTTGGTAGTTAGCTAAGCCTTTTGGGCTTAGCTGAGACGATAGCCGGTCCCAAGCGTCTTAAACCCCTGCTTAGGTGCCGTTACAGCTAGCGTGGTAGGATGATTTCTGATATTCCACTCGGCCAGATTATTTGCTACGCTCATTAGCACACTAAGTATTCTACCTATCAGATTATTACTATTTTTTAGTCTTTGAACTTGTAACTCCCAGATGCATTGGATATAATTGATCCCCCACGATAGCTTCCTTTTTTCATTTTATTCTTATTTTTAGTGAAATCTTTTCCTCTAACTTGCATCAGCTTGGTGTTAGCCAATTCACCCCAGGTGCCTGCCGCACCTTTGTACGTGTTGTCTTGCAATACCTGGTCCTCGAAACTGATTTTTGATCTATCGATTCTAGAAAAGAACTTTGGCCCTTTTTCTTGAACTGTATCTGGTGAAGCTCCTTCTTGATTATCCTCAAATAGGTTTCCACGGACAGTGTTGTTGCTTTTGTTGGTAGATGTTTGCCCGGTACGTGAATCTGAATCTGAATCTGAGTCTGAATTTGAGTCTGAATCTGAGTCTGAATCTGAGACTGAATCTGAGTCTGAATCTGAGTCTGAATCCGAGTCCGAAGTTGAACTGGAATCGGAACTGGAATCGGAACTGGACTCCGAGCTAGAGTCGGAACTGGAATCGGAACTGGAATCGGAACTGGAATCGGAACTGGACTCGGAACTGGAATCGGAACTGGAATCGGAACTGGAATCGGAACTGGAATCGGAACTGGAATCGGAACTGGAATCGGAACTGGAATCGGAACTGGACTCGGAACTAGACGTGCTGGAGCCAGAATCAACGCCAGCTTCCGAGCTAGAAGTCGAGCTGCTTTTCGAAGTCAAGCTAGAGTCAACCTGCTCACTCTCCAGAACTCTCTTAAACCTTTTAGACAAGTTCGCGCCTCGCGCTTCATCAACTTCGAGATCCTCAGCGAACTCTCTTTTGAGCGTTTTGACTGTCTTATGTAGCCCTGCAGCTGCTAAATAGCTAGCGACCTCACCAAGAACCTCTTTACTAGCTTCTGGCATGTGGAGACTAGGAAAAAAAATTACCTAATATAATATATAGCTCACGCGTGGTTAGCTCGTGACGACAGAACTGAAGAATATTGGCTGAATAGATTCTCAGTCACATTAAAATCACAGGTGAACTGAAGCGGGTTTTTAAAATTGGACAGTCTGATGTCTTCCTCGGTAGATTTAACAACCTGCGTGCTGGATGTCAGCATGCCGTTGAATGAAGCACCTATCTGGTTGTACACCCTGGAGAACTCATCGTAACGATCGATAAGTCTATCTTCTAGTGGTGATATCGTCGCTAAATTTTCCATTCTTTCCTTATCGAAGCATATTTTGGCTTTATCGACGTCGGAATGAGCATTAGTTTCTTTCTCACTCGTCGATGAGAGCGACCTCGCGTTTTCCTCCTCTACTTCACCGACCCACTTAGCCAACAGAACCCTGTCATTCTCTAATGAGCACCGATTTGCTTCAATATTGCATCTTTTGTGTTGCAATTTTTCGCTCATCTTCAATTTCTCGTTAATTATTGGCCCATGTGTAGTTTCTAGAGCTTCTCTTGCCTTGTCCTGCTTGATTATCTTCACCCGCAACCGCTCAATTTGGTTATTATGATAAATAATGGCTTGCTCGAGTTCCTTTTGAATCTCAAACAACGTTCTTCCTGTTAGCGACTTCGCAGATTTCCCCAAATCATTATCAAGCACATGTGTGATACGAATCTTGACTGGCACATCAGCTAAGAGATTATATCTTTCTGTAGCAGAATGGACAAACTCGAACTTCTCTTCAACACCATTAAGCATCGCAGATTTTTTCAAAGAGAGGGACTTAAGTTCGCGTAACTCGTTAATTTGCATCAGAAGGGTGCTCCTGTACTGTTTCAAAAAATCCTCAAGTATATCCTCGGTATAAGACACACCAAGAGCGCTTTGGTCACAAACTTGTGCTTTGAAATCGCTCTGGATTGTCCGGATTTCTATTCGTCTCTTGGCTATTTCGTTCTTCCTTCTTTCCAAGTTTGAGAGCTTCTCCTGGAGGTACTTGCGGTCTGCACTGATTTTTTGTAATTCTACCTCAACATGGCCCATTTTGGAGTCTGTCAGACTATTCTCGACTGCACTGCTCTCAAATTTTGATATTTGGTCTCTGAGCCTAGTTGTTTGGCTAAGTGCAGTGGCCCTCTGCTTTTCCAGAACACCGACTGCCTCGGTTATTGCAGCAGTGTATCTCTCCAAGCCCAAGTGTAAATCATGTTGAAAAGATTTAGGATCAGCTCCATCTGGTGTAATCTCTACCTGGTATTGTTTCGAAACGTTTCGTTCAAATAAGGCGTCAAGCATCGGCCGGTCTATATTTGATATCTCACCCCCCAAGCGAAACTGGTTCGTTTTATAGGAAATACACATAAGCCAATGTAGTCCATCTAAAACTAGAGGCCATATCGCAGGTGCATTGGCAAGAGAGGGTTTGCGAACGTGAGACACGCCTGGATACTCTGTGTATCTCAAAAGCTTGAGAAATGCAGCTTTAAATCCCTCCCCTAACAACTGATTTGGATCAATTTGTTGGCGCAAAAAAAGAAATATACCCTCAATAGTACTTTGGGTAGGGGAATCAGTAGTTAGTCGGGGCAAAGTGTGTCCTGACAAAATCTCAAAATCCATCGCCCTAAGGAAGTTGAACAACTCCCCAGCAGCCTTCTCAAGTTCCTCATTAGATTTTGAGAATTGTCTATTAATCAATAGCCTGGTATTTTCATCTAAACCAGCTCTTATCATGCTCGTGGGTGCGTGAAGATTGTCGAGTTGACTGGTATTGTGGCTCTTGGAACCAGTCAATACTGTTTCATATGGTGGACCATTGTGTATACCCGTTCTTTGGGTAGGTGTGTGTATATTTTGGCGGCTAAAAACACCACTTAACCCCCGAGAGTGTCGCGTTTCCTTCTGTTTGCGCATAGGTTAGTGTTGCATTCCTCACACTGATTTGCTTACGAGTGCAGCTTGAGGACGCGCTTCGTCCTAGCTAAACTAGATGAAGAAGGGTTTCTGAATTTTCAACCATCTCCTTATAATTTCTAGTGGCCATCCACATATTTAAATTGAGAATCAACTTTTATTTAATTGAGACTGTGGCGGCTATTCGCGCATCTCCTTTACCCATGATAAGATCCTGGTATGGCGTACGCGTCTTTGTAATTAAACATGCGGATCAAAGCACTTCGTCTAGAGAGATTTACTTCGTACAAAGATCATACTAATATTGACAATCTGTCTCCTGGTGTCAATGTTATTGTTGGTCGTAATGGCGCTGGAAAATCGAATCTCTTCGCTGCCATAAGTTTCGTGCTAGGAGAAACTTTGAACGAGGCTCCAGATGATGGCCGCCGCAGTGTCGTTTTCAACGACCGCCACAGTTCAACTATGCAAGCGTGGGTTGAGATTACTTTTGATAATAGCGACAGAACATTTCCATTAAGTGGAAACGAGATTGTTGTCAGACGAACGAGCTCACCTCGAAATGATTCGTATCATCTCAATGGAAAGCCAATATCTCTGAAGGAGCTCAAAACTTTTCTAGAGTCCGGAGGTTTCAGTGGGGCCAATCAGTTTTATATTGTACCTCAGGGACGTGTTTCGGCACTGGCTACGGCCTCCGACGAGGAACGACTATCTGTTGTTCTTTCAATTTCAGGGGCAACTCTCTACAATAAAAGGCGTGCACAGTCCCTGGAGTTACTTTCAGAAACAGACAAAGAGTTAATAAAGACCAAATCGCGTTTATCACAGATAAAGTCGCGTCTTGAGGGCCTCAAACTTGAAATGACGGATCTAGAACGGTATCTTGATATCGTTGGCAAAAAGCATAGCATAGAATTCGTTCTCCTCCAGCGCGAGAGTGTGCGACTGGATGATATATTGAATTCCTTAGCTGAAGAGCAAGAAGGAATTCGCACGAAAAGGATTAGTCTCCAGACGGCACTAAATAGTGCAGCTGACGCCGTAGTTGACAGCGAGGAGGCTATCAGCGAAATTCGAAACAAGATTGCGATCTGCAAAAGCACTCGAGAGATTTTTAAGGCTAGTCATGCTTCTCTAGAAGATGAATTATACCAACGGAGGAGAGATGCAAATTTAATGGAAGACTCTCAGGGAGACAAGGTGGATATTCCGAAAATTCAAATGGAGCTGTCTAACGTGAAGGACGAAAACACCAGGCTAGAGCACATCACTCAGGAAAAACTGTGTTTATTAAATCGCATTCAACAAAAACTAAGAGGTTTAGAAGCAGAAAAGACTCAATTGGAGTGTGACATTGGCCAACGCGGCACTTTTACGGCTAATGAGCGCGAAAAATGGATCTCCGATAAAATCAGTGAATTCATGTTGAACCTCAAGTCCATCGAAGCAACAATATTGAGCTCAAAAACTAGTATTTCGGGGCTTAGAAACGAGCTTTCTGAACATCAACAAAACCTCGAGGCGCAGAACGCTTCAATAGATGTCAAAGCTTCGCTAGTTCGCAAAACCGAAGAAGCCTTTTGTCAAGCTGAGAAGGCCCTAGAGAGTCTCGAGTCGAAGAGAAGCCGTGCAATGCTTGATGTTAAAAAGTCTACAGTGTTGTTAAATGCTGAGGAGCAGAAAATCGCTGCTTTGGCAAAGAAACTACAGCGGAACATTTCCCAATCAACACTCAGCGGTATTCTGGCGGTACGTCAAATCGCGAGAGATCTTGGTCTGGAGGATCAAGTCCACGGAACGGTTGCAGAGCTTATAACTATCGCTCCGCAGTTTCAAACTGCCGTTGAGCGTGTTGGCGGGAATTCGCTTTTGAATATTGTTGTCAAAGATTCGCTGGTAGCAAAGCAGATGATTGATGAGCTTTTGGCGAGAAAAAACGGTACTATAACCTTTCTGCCATTGGATTTGATCCGGCAAAGGCCATCACCAACAATTTCTAGTCGAAATGACGAAGCTCTTTTACTGAGCGACTACATTGAGGTGACTAAAGGATTCGAGGTTGTCGTAGATCACATTTTTGGTGGAATCTTAGTCTGCTCGAAACTGGCCCTTGCTCATCAGTATAGCAGAAAAACAGGGTGTATCGCTGTGTCCCTTATGGGCGAGGTAGTGGATCCTAGAGGTGCTGTCAGTGGCGGGTATTCCAGGCGTGATGGGTCGAAGACCTCTTTTGTAGCTGATGTGGTGAGACTGCGAGAAATGGAAACGAAAATTTGCGAACACAGAGCTAAAGCAAAACAGGCACAGCACATGGTAGAATCTTTAAAATCTGACATCACTGCTGGTCACAATAAGGTCACTGAAGCCTTGTTGATGTCGCGAAATGCGCAGAGTGAACTTGATCTCGAACAATGCCGACTCGAATCTTTATCGGCTATCATTGAGACCGTGGAAAGGCAGCTTTCAAAACAAGAGTCCGAGGTCGCCAGCTTTGAGAAGAACCAAGCGGATATTCTTGCACAAATTGAGCACCTGCAACATAATACGAGTTCCTCTCTTTGTGAAGCACCATTTGACGAACACCGAAGTCTGCAGGTTGAACATGAGATAGCAGAACTAGCAGAGGAGTTTACTCGTATTGAAAGTGAATTGAAACCTCTTGAACGACGACTAGGCTTAAATCACTCGGTCATCAAGAAGCTTTCAGAGCAAGTTTCTCGGTATAATGCGGGAAGCCGGTCTGGCAATCTTCCTGGTTCAGTCTCAGCATATCAATCGGTCAAACGCACTGAAGAAGAACTAGAAAGCAATTGGACGAAAGTTACTACAGTTGAGTCGGAGCTCGTGGAGCTAGATGAATTGCTCCTCCGAAATCAAAGTGAGCTTGAAGCTCGCCGAAATGCAAGTGATAACACAGCTCGCATGCTTTACCTACAAGAGCGACAATCAGCGAAATTAGATCTGAAACTTCAAAGCTTGCAGGCACTTAAAACAGATAACAGCAAGAAAGCAAGCGAAGTGCGCCAGGTATCGGAGATTGTGTTGGAACTTCAGAACCTGACGACAAACGAGCTCGACCACGAGCTAGAGCTAACAAATTCTACGTTGAAAAATTTTGATCATGTCAACAAAAGATCAATCGAGCAGTTTCAGACTTACTCACAAGAATTGGAAGAGCTCGAGGATAGACACGGCACTCTAAACCGTGATATGGTGTCTGTTGGCAAGTTGATTGACAGGTTGGATCAGGACAAGAATGACGATATCCGAAACTCGTTTGAGAAGGTTAATAAAGCTTTTCAAGAGATTTTCGCGAGGCTGACCGGTCGCGGTGCCAACTTGGCATTGGATGAAAGTCAAGCTGGCGAACAAGATCATGAGAACTCCGATTTTAAAGGTGTTAGGCTCGAGGTGGACTTTGGCGACGGTTTAAGGCAAACTCAACAACTCAGTGGAGGCCAAAAGACAATCTGCGCATTGGCTCTGATATTTGCAGTACAGTCATTCGAGCCAGCTCCCTTTTATGTGTTTGACGAGATTGATGCCAGTTTAGATCCAAGTTTTCGTCGAGCTGTGGCATCGCTAATTTCTGAGGTCTCCTCTGAAAAACATTGTCAGTTCATCTGCACGACGTTTCGTCCTGAGCTCGTTTCGGTATCGTCCCAGCTATATGGAGTATCATTTGCCAAAGGAGCTTCCCAAGCATTACCTGTCACTAAACAGATAGCTCTTTCATTTGTAGATGCCGATGATGAGACAGTGAGTTCAGCAATTCATAGCTCTAGTTAGTGCTCTCAATCAGATTCCGAGTCACTGTCTTCCGCAACACGGAATGTGTTCTCGATGAGCTTAATTGTTCCACCAACAGGGAGTCCAATTACGTTGAAAACGTCACCTTCTACGTTTTCAACAAATTTTTTAGCCCCCCCCTGTATTTTGTAGCCGCCAGCAGCATCGAGGGCCTCCCCAGACTTCGCATAGGCCTCTATTTCTTCATCCGAGATATCACTCCTAAATTTTACCTTGGAGTCCCCAAGATAAGACTCCATGGCATATCCTGGTGCAATAGGTTTCTCCAATGGTACTATAGCGACAACCCCGGTGAAAACCCGATGCGGATGGGGTGCGTCCCGTAGCTGTTTTAGCATAGCGATCTGATGTTCGACATTTACTGGCTTTTCCAAAATAAGCCCTTGGTTTACTACAACTGTGTCTGCTGCAAGAACCAATGCAGGTGGCTCGTCGGCATCAACTTCACTCTGATAGACATCAATTGCTTTGCGAATAGCTGTTTGCACAACGTACTCAAATGGTGCATACTGATCCTTGTCTAGATCCTCTGGGAATCCCGATCCAATCACCTCAACACTATCAAGTCCTATCTGCTCTTTCACAATGTCTAGTCGTCTTGGAGACTTAGACGCAAGCACAACGCGCTGTCCATTTAGTCGTTTCAATAACCTTGTGTCCATTACAAATGTACATCGTGCATGATACCTACAAAACCTGCGAATTGTTACGCCCAGAGTATACTTGGTACACTGTCTTTAACTCTTCATCAAATTGTCGGATACTTTGAATAAAAAGAGTACGCCTTTTGTTCGTTGTTGTCAGGGGCACGGTCAACTCCGGGTCTACTTGACGCAAAGGGCTGTGCAAATCTAAGCGTTCATTTGATTCTAGTTGACATAGACGCTAAATAGAGCTCTTGATATTTGTTCGGTCTAATTTTGTGCAGTAATGCTATAGAATTAACGAGATCTGCCCAGAATTGTCGGCATGGTTCTAGGGATACCCTAGCCCATTTACCCTACTGCATTCACTTGTTTCTTTTCACCAATGAAATACTCCGATAGGACAGGAATATAAAGCACCGCTTACGAAACAAACTAACCAACTTACATTAGTTTAAATTTGCAAAAATGGTGTTTTTCCCCACTGCATCTCAACTCCAAGCATCGTTCAACCCTAATGGTGCCCGTTACTGGGTCAAAGCTCCTTCTGTCGAAGAAGCTAAGGACAAAACTGTTTCTGCCTTGAAGAAGGCGGAACAGGTTGTTGCTGCAGACGTCGCAAAGATTGTCAAGCCTAACCACAGCATCCCTCTCTACTCCTCTGAGTACTACAAATACTGCACACTCGGTGGTATTCTTGCTTGCGGTCCTACCCACGCCAGTGTCACTCCTCTTGATTTGGTCAAGTGCCGTCTCCAAGTTGACCCTAAGCTTTACCGGGGTAATATGGATGGCTGGAGAACCATTATTCGCACCGAGGGTGCCTCTGCTATCTTTACTGGTTTTGGTGCTACCTTGATCGGTTATTCTTTGCAGGGTGCTGGTAAGTACGGTCTTTACGAGTACTTTAAGAAGAAGTACTCTGACCTTGTTGGTGAGGCTAACGCTATCAAGTACAAGACCGGTGTCTACTTGATTGCTTCTGCTTCTGCTGAGTTCTTCGCCGATTTGATGCTCTGCCCCTATGAGATGATCAAGGTCAAGACACAGACCACTATGCCTCCTTTTGCTAAGGGTCCTTTCGACGGCTTCTCCAAATATGTTGCATCCGAGGGCTACGCTGGATTGTACAAGGGTTTGGTCCCCTTGTGGGCTCGTCAGATCCCTTACACCATGGTCAAGTTCGCTACCTTCGAGAACACTGTTCTTGCCATTTACTCTCTCTTGCCCAAGAAGAAGGAAGAGTACTCCCTGATTGCCCAGACTGGTGTTTCCTTCCTTGGTGGTTATATTGCTGGTGTTTTCTGTGCTATCGTTTCTCACCCTGCTGATGTCATGGTTTCCAAGATCAACAAAGAGAAGCTGCCGACTGAGGGCACTGGTGAGTGTTTGTCTCGTATCTATGCTAAGATCGGTTTCTCCGGTTTGTGGACCGGTCTTGGTACCCGTATTATCATGGTCGGTACCCTCACTGGTCTCCAGTGGCTCATCTACGACTCCTTCAAGGCTTACGTTGGTCTGCCCACTGCTGGTTCCGCTCCTCCTGCTGAGCAAAAGTAATTTCCATAGATACTTCAAGCCACGGCCAAGTCTTTTTCGTAAATTTTTGTTCGTCAAATCATATCGCAGATCGTGCGAGATAGATCAAAGGCCTCAAATACACCCGCACGCTAGCTTCTGACTAATGGCTGGCGAGCGGGAAACGTCGACTCAAAATAAACAAATCCTCAAGCGGCTCCTGGCGGATCCAGCTAACAAAACCTGTGCAGACTGTAAAACTGCCACCCATCCTCGCTGGGCATCATGGAATCTTGGAGTATTTCTGTGCATCCGCTGCTCTGGCGTCCACCGCTCGTTGGGAACCCATATCTCCAAAGTGCGGTCTGTAGACCTTGACTCGTGGACGGACATGCATTTAGAGCAAATGGTTAAGTGGGGTAACCAAAAAGCGAATATGTATTGGGAGTCTAAGCTTGGGCCGAAGTACGTGCCAGATTCCTCGAAGATTGTCAATTTTATCAAGACGAAATATGAATTAAAGCGTTGGGTTTCTGGGCCTGTTCTGCCAGATCCTACATCGTTTGATTCTGTGACGAATACTATAACCTCCGAAGATATACCATTGTCTAAAGTTAAGCAGACTTTGGCACCTACACCCTCTAACAGCAATGTGCGAACTATTGACCTTTTGGGATCGTATGACACCAATACTGAGCCTGCGCGGTTAGCCCCGGCAGTTATTTCTGTAATGCCATCTTTGCTCGATTTTGATTCACCTACTACCCCTTCTCAATCCGTGCCTCCCCCACAAACTTCGACCAATCGCACTGAGCGACTTGGTTCTGGACCGCGTGTGGCCACGTCAAAAACGGGCCCTCTGTTAGCCAGACCACGAGTTGTCACTAACGTACAGACCTCATCAGACGCTGCTCAAGAGCAACGTTCCAACGTCCCTGTAAACTCGGCTCAAACCAGTTCAGCCCCGCTGCCCTCGCAAAGGGTCGACCTCAAAAAAAGTATACTTTCTCTCTATGCCCAGAAACCGACTCCTAGTCCTCAACCGACCCATAAATCGCAAGCTCCCGTCGCAAAACAGGTGCATTCATCTGCTAGCTCTGGCCCGGTAGATCTTGCAGATATGCAGTATGGTAGTTGGAGTACAACTTCCAAGCCGACACAGGCATCTTCCTTAGTGGACTCTCTTTCCGGTTTGTCTTTTCAGCCCTCGACCCTTTCGTCATCAACCGCTGTAAATAACAAACCTGCTGAGGTGACGTTCACGTCCCAGTCGCTGATCGCAGGCCCAAATGTGCTTGTCGATGCCGACAAGTTCCCTGCGACTACCCCTGAGGAAACCACTGCTGTAGCTCCCGAACCCGACGATGGCGATATTTTCGCTAACGTATGGAAATAGGCTGTTTAACATTACATCACAAAGTATAATTGATTCCGAGCGACTTCAGACGCTTGTTTTTCGCCTTTCTACGTGAGTCGAAATCAGCCTGACGGTCTTCCCACATTTCCCGTGGTTGCTTGCGCTCGTAGCGCCGCTTTCCAACTTTTCCCCAAGGTATAATTTGGAAGTTTTTGTTTGCTCCAGTGAAAAGGGATTTATGAACGTTTTCTGGGGCAACTCTTTTAACTTTCAACAAATGTCCAAATAGAAGATAGTTATCCATAGTTTCACAAACGATATTTGCAATTTCTGGATGTTCAAATTCCATGAATGCGTAGTGCTTTGACGCACCTGTTCGCTTATTTCTGCTCATTCTCAATTTTGAGATCGCACCAAATTGTCCAAAGTACTCTCTCATTTGTTTTTCGTAGAAACCGTGCGGAAGGCGCCCCACGTAAACTATGCCGCTATTTTCTGCTCGCGATTTATCGTTCGAGAGGTTTCTATCTTTCAGGGCTTCCTTTGCTAACTTCGCAATTTGCTTTTTGTTGTAATCATCTGCTTCGGCACTGGAATCACTGCTGTCGCTTTCGTTATCTGTTCTCTCCGATTCCGAAGAAAGGAACCCTTCGAATTCATCATCTGTCGAGTTGAAATCCTCTGGATCGAGAGCTGTGCTCTTTTGGGGGCCTGCTTTTCTGGAATGTGATTTTGGAAGAGGCATAGTCACACTGCAAAAAAAATTTAGCTGTCATGTTGATTATGCATTCTGATCGTTTGACCTAACCCTGTCCACCTGTGAAATGGTCTTCATGGTCGAGAGCCAGCCCATATGAACGGTGTCGACTATCCAAACTAATGTTTAGGTATCAGTCAGGGAATAATACACTAGGCACTAGTAACCTTTGGTTTGAATTCCTAAAACAACAAGATATAGGAAGGAAAATCTTCAGGCCTTTGGTGTGTGTTGAAATACTTACCTCGATAAAAGACCATATGAATGAGATAACCAACCCCTCTAGTTGTGTGGATATGCTTTACTCGCTGTATAACATGCCATTCGGTGAGTGTATTCGTCGTCAGTGTTTACTCTGTATATGCTCGTTTAATTTGAATATAGTACTGTTGAACTTTAGGCGTCACTAGATTCGCCGAAAGCGCTGTTGGGCATTTAAGGTCCTGTATCGGCCTGCATAGAATTGTTATGTGGGTTGGAGCAATCGCGACTCTGTAATATATTAAAATATAATAGCTGGGCTTGATGTCTGTTTACCTCTTGCTCCAATTGCCTTTACCGCATGCTAACGCACATGCATGATTCTAAAACGAAATAGCAATACCTTAGCCCGAGGAACCCACGTAATCCTTGTTGTCACCTCTTTTGTGAACTTGTGTTAAACTCAGACATGCATCCCTTTCGCGATCTAGTGAGAGCCCTCACCCTGGTTCAGCCAATTCTGCGTCTAATTTAGAACTGCTATTCTAATATGCTCTAGTACTACGTTTAGCTGCGTTGTTACTATTTATCACTGTATTTTAAGGTGACATCTGATTTCCTCGCCGTATACAATCATACGCGCTCAGAAGAAGCCGATCCAGTTCTTTAGAGTCATCGAGAGTTTCGAGCATGCATGATAGTCAAACGTGCTCTTCCCTTGTCCATACGTGCTGTCATTTAGTGAGCTTCTGGCTGTATGGTCTAACAGGCGTGCTGTCCTTTTCGACATCGAAGTAAATGATAGGTGGTATGCCCTGGCGCTTCGCGAACATGTGTCTTGCAAAGTCACAGCAGGGAAGGAAATCTATACCTATTATAAAAATAATATCATTGACGATGCTTCGTCCGTATATTTCTTGTGTTCGGGTTCGAGAGGCAGGGACAGACATATGAGGTTGGTAGAGTTTGGAATCCTACCCCACCTGCTACCCGGTCGGGTACAACACTTCAATTATGACTAGTTGTTGATACTTTTGATCACCACATGGTCGCTTTGGGTTTTATTGGCTAACTGTTAGTTTCTATATGTCGTTTTTGGATGCTTCACATCTTCCATATATCTAAAAGCTCCTGCGCAGCTTACTTAGTATGTATAGTCAAGCGATTGTAACATAAAAAACATTTACTATTGGAAAGGAAAAACCAATCTCCAAAAATACATTAAATACACAGATACACGAGAAACAGACGGCCGGCCTGTTTATATACACTCAAACAACACCGGAAGCCGTCTGAATTTCTGCTAGCTCGAAATCCTCAAAGAAGGCCCGTCGAAGTTCACGCCACTGGGTCGTCCAGATACCAAGAACCACCATCAAAAGCGCCGATGCAAACTGGGAGGTCCACCAGAGCCAGCTGCGTGGAAAATGCCCTGAATAAGCCCAAACTACAACGAGGTGAATGCCATGAAGGGTGAGGGAGAAGTCCAGCGCAAGTTTACTTCGCCCCACAACAATTGCTAGAATGAGCACACTAAACACAGCATTTAGTAGCCAAAGGAGAGCCAAAGTCCACCCCATAGAGGTATCCGCTCTCACATGTTCCCAAGAGAACACATAGCTTCCGCTCCATTTACGCCCGAAAACTGAAAGCACAAACGTCACAAGAATCAAGCCCATAGCGTAGTAAGCTACTTGCATTTGTATGATCTGCCATAGAAGCCGCCTAGGTGCCAAGGTTGGCGACTGCTTCACTGCGCCCATGCTGCTCAGCTTACGTTTGCAACGGTGATCGGCGAGCAGCAGCTGCTCAGAAAACTAAAACGAGCCCTGGAAAAAAAATTACCTAACACAATGAAAAAATCGAAGGACGACTTTATTTACACAATTGAAGACGACCAGGATGTCGTAGACTGTGATTCAGAAAAGGCAAGTGAACTTAATCCTTCCTTTTCGTTCGGTGACGAAGATGTGACCAAGATAAAAGATATCGGCTGGAGTTTCGGCTCAACCAGTGTACCAGAAACAGATACTCTTGATGAGATCATTAAAAGACATGGCGGACTTGCTAAAGACCAGAGTCTCAATGAGAGAGATGATAACGAAAATGATGCCGAGGATTTTTCGGACAGCGATGAAGAGGGTGATAAGAGCGACGCCAGTGAGGAGGGTGAACAACAGCCAAATAACACATCTGCAAATGAAACAACAGAGGATACCATCCACAGCGAGAATAATGGATTCTTTGAAGATGCAAAAACGGACAACACTACATACAAATCATTTGCGCATCTCTCACTCTCGCGACCCATTCAAAAAGGTATTGCCAACGTAGGCTATAGCCAGCCCACTCCAATCCAGTCATCTGTGATTCCCGTGGCACTTCTGGGTAAAGATATCGTTGCCGGAGCAGTAACAGGGTCAGGTAAAACCGCAGCATACATGATACCAACACTTGAGCGACTGGTCTACCGTCCACAGAAAGTGGCATCAACGCGGGTAGTGATTCTGACACCCACGCGAGAACTAGCACTTCAAGTTCATGATGTAGGCAGGAAGTTGGGAGCATTTGTATCTAACCTGAGATTTGGATTGGCTGTCGGTGGTCTGAATCTGAGAACTCAAGAACAGGACTTGAAAACTCGACCAGATGTTGTAGTTGCCACGCCGGGCCGATTCATCGATCATGTACGAAACTCACCTAGCTTTTCGGTGGACAGTGTGGAAATTCTGATCGTTGATGAGGCAGATCGTATGCTAGAGGAAGGATTCGAAGCAGAGTTAAACGAGATCCTTTCTCTTATTCCGACTAAGCGACAGACTCTATTGTTTTCAGCAACAATGAACAGTAGCATCAAATCCTTGATCAAGCTCTCACTCCACAAGCCTGTTCGTATCATGATTGATCCACCGAAACAAGCAGCGACTGGTCTCACACAGGAGTTCGTTCGTATCCGAAAGCACGAGGAGTCACGGCCAGCCATTCTGGTATCTTTATTGCGCAAAATTAGCCGAAATCAGCGTGTTATTGTATTCGTGGCAAGGAAGCAGATGTGCCATCATCTGCGTATTGTAATGGGACTTATGGGCATCCGCGTAGGAGAGCTGCATGGTGCTTTGACACAAGAACAGCGACTTGAGTCGATCACGGCGTTCAAGAATCTTCAAGTACCTATTCTGCTATGTACAGATCTTGCTTCTCGTGGTTTAGATATCCCCAAGATCGAGGTGGTTATCAATTATGAACTTCCCTCTACTTACGAGGTATACCTTCACCGTGTCGGTCGCACTGCTCGTGCGGGTCGTAACGGTACCTCGATTTCTCTAGTTGGTGACTCGTCCAGCGAGAGACAGGTTGTTAGATCTGCTATTAACTCTGCAGCTGAGATGTCGTCGAAAACTCAAAAGCAGAAAATTCTTGGTCGAAATATCGATTGGGCCGAGATCGAGTCTATCAAGTCTGACATCGATAGCAAGAAAGAAGTCGTCGACCAAGTCGTTGGAGAGGAGAAAACTGCCAAGGAACTTGCTTTAGCCGAGCGTGATGTGCAAAAGGCTGTCAACATTATGCAACATCAAAACGAGATCAAATCTCGACCGAAGCGTACTTGGTTCGATGATAATTCGAGCAAGAGCAGCAAAAAACCAAAATCAAATCATCAGAAGAAAAAAGCTGAGGTTGGCAATGCCAGTTGGTCATACAAAAAAACTAAGTCGGACCGAGGGGTCAACTCTAAGCGTGGCTCTCAGAGGGCAGTTGTGAAGTCTGGAGCTAAGAAAGCAAAGAAAATGATGTCATCTAAATAAAATTAATCTAGTTTTCGACAACAAAGCGTTATTTCTTCTTCTTTTTGTTCTTCTTTTTCTTCTTTAGATTATTTGCAGCCGAAGGTGAAGGGGAAGTGTCAATCAATTTTTGATTGTTGTCCGACTTTTCAGCAGCATCATCGAGGCTTGTATCCAAAGAATTAAAGATCTCGACAGAAGGCAAAGCAGGGGTTACGATTCCACTTTCTCCAGGCACCGCGGTTGACACAGACTTCTCAGTATCGTCTTCCTCAGTAACGTGAACCCCCCCTGGGGAGCTGGGTTTATCTTTGTTCATGTCCTTTAAAGTACCTGAGAAGGCGGTGAGATCGTCCTCGAGATCAGACTTATCTTGTGTCACACTAGTCGGACGGGTTGCTCCAGGCGTTCTATCCTCCTCAATTTCTTTCTTCATAGAGTATTCCGACCTGGACTCGGATGCTAGAGAATTATTCTCATTTTGCCGGGACACCTCCGGAAGAGGACCCATGTGGCCCTCTTCAACATTATGGTGCGGCTCGAAACCTGTTTGCTCTGCTAACGAGGTTTCGTGTGACGGTGAGGTGCTTTTGATCGAGCTTTCATAGTTGTTTGCAGAAATATCTGTACCTGGCTCCTCGATAGCAGGTTTACTAACCTCCAGGGATTGATTTTCCATTGGCTCGAGAGTATCACAAGTATTATCTCTTCCTGTTTTATCTTCTGGAACCGTACCTGATTCGATTATTTTCGCTCTAGTATCTGGCAAAACCTCAGTGCTAGGGTATTGTGGGATGGAACGAGCTGAAGCAAATTTAGTCTCCGCGTGCCTCAACACCTGCTCCTGATTCAGATCAGGAGCCGAAAAATTGTCCACAGTTTGATAAAGCACCTCAGCAACATTCCCTATACCTGAAATGGCACCCAAACGTTCTCTGAATTCTGATATATCTCTCATCAGATTCTCTTTTTCTTCATAGGTTTCAAGCCGTATAGCGAAATACGCCTCTAGAAGGCGTGGTTTGTAGACATCGAAAATTTCAGAAAGAATGGCCAATGATTCTGAGGAAGGTAGTATGTCTTCCAGAACTCGTGCAATACTTGTGGTGTCTTTTATAAGGTCCAGCATGTACTTGTTCACTGGTTCTGGTTTCTTTGCCCAATCAACATTAGCGATAGCTCGACAATAGTAGGAAGACTTGTCTGTCATCAAACTCACAAACTTGACATGAATCTCATGCTGGTGATCTCCGTAAGCGTTTATTAGACCGTCAAAATCACGGCTAATTCCAGTTGAACAATGCCGGTCTACAACTCTTTGCATAGCAGGCATTATACCAGCCACTGCACGAAGACTTTCATAGGCCATTGCCATGTGCTTCACGTAAATGTGCTTAAGTCCAGCTGTTTTAGTAGCGCCTGCCCCTAGAATAAGCTGTGAGGTTCGCATATTGTAAAGCCTCAAAAGCTCCAATAAGTTGTGAGTCAAATCTTGAGAATAGTGGGGAAAAACGCAGATCAATCTTAGATAGTCGTGGCAAAGGCCAAGCAGGAAAATAGCAGACTTGCTAAGGAAATAGGACTCGTTTCCGATGAACAGGTTGAGGGGTGAGGTTTTTGTTTCAGTGTGAGAAGCTGGCTCTAGGGGTAATGCAGCAGAGCTCAAAATCGACAACCACGATGCCGGATCTAATGTAGCCGCTTCTTGAATCTCATCTATTAGCTGCTGGAAGCTTCTGGGGATCTCTTCTTTCTTCCAAACATCATTGTTCAAGGACCTTTGTAACATCTCCTCATCATTACTGTACTTGGTGAAGAAAAATAGTTTTGTCTGGGCAACCAAAAAGGTAGCGAGCTCTATAGTTTGGACGCCACAAATAGCTTCGCACTCCGCCATGAACATACTCGTCAAAGCATAAAATCTGACAAATTTGGTTAGCAGCAAACGTGCTGTTTGGTCTTTTCGCACTTTTAGGATCTTGAGAACGCGTGTATCAGAGCTTTTAATGACACTGACAAGCAAATCGCCTAGGTCAACCGGGGGTGCACCCATTGAGGAGGTAAGGTCAAGTAGTAGCTTCTGATGTGTAGCAAGCCGCCTCAGAGCTTCACTAAGAGAAGCATAAATTTGTTTGACCATTTTTTCAGAATCATCAGAAGAGAGATCCCGCAGCCTTAATGCTAGGGCTGCAGCCGACGCAGCTCTATCCGAGGCGTGCGATGATTGGCTTGACTCAAATCTTTCATCGTTCGGCTGTGATGGCAAGCTGTCTCGTATGAGTGTTTTGATCTCCCGCGTTGCAGCATCTCGATATTCTGCCACGGCTAACTCTGTGGTATGCGCTCTTATAGACCCATGCAATATCGTTTTCACCGCTTCCCGTAAACTATCATCCACAACCAAGTACTGATTCTCTAAGGTCGAATCGGAAGAGCGCTTACTGCCTGCAATACCGCGACCTAAACGAGCTAAAGTCTCTGAAACCGGTACTGATGCTACGTGACGATGCAAGTCACCAATCAAGCAAGATTTGAGTTCTTCAACGTAAAAACGTCCTGCTTTCAGTTTAGCATCTCCGAGTTCTTTCAATCTAGGCTGGAGGATCCCTAGTCTGGAGAGATCAACAAGCGCTTCTCCTTGTAGCCACCTGTTTTCCTTGCCCACGATAAGTTTTTCGACTACATCCACATGATCCAAAAAAGAAGCCATATCACCGGACTCACTTATGTGTTCAAGATCATCTAACTTCTCAACTGCGAGTCCAAGTTGTCGAACAGACGCCATCAGTCTCTGAACGTCTGACAGCTTTCTGGCCAGTTCAACGGAGAGACAAGCTTTTTTGATCGAGTGAGTAGATACAATTTCCAGAGTCCTCTTCAGTTCCATCAAGCCTGAGGACAATTCATTGGAGCGGTCTTGAATATCGTTGAATTGGGCTGTAGCAGAGAAAAATGTGCTAGACGCATTTGAGATACGATCGATTAGATGAAGTTCCACAGTGTCAATGTACCAGCTGAGTTTCTCTTGAAGAATTGCACTATCAAACGTCGCAGTTTGAGAGTCTTCTATGACTGCGTCAAAGACGCGTGGGTTGTCCAGGTGGAAATGCTCACTGAAAAACATGGCTGGAACAGTCTCCAAACTTTGAAGATCTTGACGGCTGTTCCCTTCTCTAGGAATTTCAAAACCCTGTACTTCAGCGACATACTGATTCAGGGTGCTATCTTCAACTGCAGGAACTCTGGGTAGAGTTACCTGAGGAATATCTCTAGAGGTCGGCTGCCGCCAACCATGGGTCCATGGGTCCCGGCCAGCGTAAACGCAGTCAGACAAGGAGTTCGAACCACGGCTACCAGCCGTAGTTGCAGCAGTACTCGTTGACTGACTCCACCCGCTTTGAACACTTGGTGTTCGAGTGTGCCCGCTCATGTCAGCTGACTTGCCTGGACAGCCTGCATCTATCTAACAGGATTGATTTTGGCGAACACCTCATACTGGATAAGCCGACTCTATATAAAACAATTCAGACTAGCATGCTATGTGTTTGAGCTGGTTCAGCAGAAAGAAACGCAGTCCACTCGAGGTTGCCGTCGAGGAGGTAACTAATGCTAACCTTGCTTTGCGTAACAACGATGCTCGTACAGCTGCAACTTCATATGAAAAGGCTGCAAAAGCTTACGGGGAGATAAACCAGACGTCTGAACAGTCGAAATATTTACTAGAAGCGGCCCGAATCTACCAGAGTGTCGACATCAACGAGGCAGTGCGTGTGATGTCGACAGCTATTGATGGCTTTGTTATACAAGGCCAACTGCGACGAGCGGCAACACACGCTTCTAACCTCGCAGAGATATGCAAAGATGGCGGCCATTTCAGTCAAGCTATGTATTGGTACGAGAAAGCAGCAACTTGGTTCGAGCAAGAGGGGTCTACGTTACTGAGCAACAAGTCGTTTATAGCATACGCCGATATCGCAGCACTTAATGGGGAACCGTTTAGAGCAGCTGAGATTTATCAGAAAGTTGCAGAAAAGTCACTTGGAACTCCATCTGCGGGTTGGACTGTCAAAGAGTACTGCGAACGTGCAGTTCTTAGTATGCTCATTGCGAAGGAGTTCGCACAAGCAACCCAGCAAAGGCTCAAGTTTTGCTCTTGGGATCGAGTGTTCGAATCTTCCCCCGAGAATGCCTATTTGGAGCGCGTAATTCACGCAGTCGCCGGCAACGAATTGACGCAATTCGAGAATGCTATGTTTCAATGGGATCAGGAGTCGCGCCTGAGCGATTGGATGGTGAGTGCAAGTCTGATAATAAAAAAACAGATGTCTGATGAAGAGTTACTATAGCGTATGTATTCTGACTGATCAGCTTAAAAGCTACGACCGTGAACACAGAAGTTGCTGACATGAGCGACTACTCGTTTTCTAGCGAGGGAGCATCTAGCGACGACGACCGCGATAGCTATGCTAGTGAGATATCAGCGTTCAATTCCGGTGAATCTGAACCTGAACACGAAAGTGAACACGAACCCGAACCGCAGGACGTACCCATTTCAGCAACCACACGTTCATCTCGAAGGAGGTCCGCGCGAATAAGTGCAGAGCCTCAGTTGACTAGAGCACCAAAAATTGTTGTGATCGACGACAGTGATGCATCAGATTTTGAAGAAGAAGAGCAAACTGAACGTTATAGCCGAGCTCAACGCCAGAAGCCTCGGAAAGTACACCGAGTCAAACGCACGCTACCACTAGCATTAATACCTGAGGATGTTCCATGGAAGAAGCCGAACACACAGCTTCTACCTGATCCTGAGACAGTTGAAAATGCACCAAGTGTTGCATTCATTATAATTTTCATCAATACCTTCACTGAGCTGTTCAGTGATCTTCCACCTTATGGCCCGCAGGATATTGAGCGCGGCGTGAAGGAGTGTACACCTGCCATCGAGCAGCTTTTCCTTCGCCTGCTTGGATTGGTACTTAACCGTAAAAAGGAAATTGAACGTGGCCGCTATTCGTCAGCTTTGTCTGAGCTCCACGCGCTTTTACCGCTACTAGGAGTTGGTCTCCAGTTTCCCCTGATTGACTGGAAATCCAAAACGGCATTTGAGGATCTGGTTTGGGAAGATCGGTTAGAGCTCCTTCATGTGCTCATTCATTGGTCTTTGGCTAACTCAGAACGCGTGAGGTTGCAACTTTCTTCTTTGGACGACTCTTCTACGATGCCGTGGATTGGGATGGACAACGACAATTGCCGGTATTATCTTGTACGTGGTGAAAGTCTCGAAGAGAATAGAGATACAGAATTCCGCGTTTACAAAGAAACTAATAGATTGTTGAGCTTCGTTTCTTGGCGCGCAGTCGCAGCCACCCCTCAAGAGGTATCGAAACTAGCACAGGAGCTACAACCGCAAGGAAAATCAGCGGCAAAGCTTGGAAGGCAACTAGCAGATATGGTTTCAGAGCTTGAAGAATCGGAAGATCGTCGATTTAAAGAGGCACGACGTCAGAGGAGGCGCCAGGATATCGAGCATCAAACAATGCAGGTGTTGCAGGGTGAAGGGCGCTATTCTGGTCGCACGAGAGGAAGACGTGTGGACTACTCCCAGCTTTCTTATGACCGGGAATTGGATGCCGCCATGCGTCGATCTTCTCGTCGATCAGGTAGGGTTGACGGTAGCGAAGAATGGTCCGAGACAGCTGGTTCCAGTGGTCCAACTGGGGACCGTCAATCTCGACGACTTAGAGGGGAGGTCACGATGGATATTGAGCAGGTTGAAAAAGAACTCGAAGCGGCAGAAGCCCGTGGACGCAAGCGGGGCCGAGAGCAAGCTGAAAAAGAGCGGCTAGAACAAGAACGTCTGGAAGAACTTGAAAAAGAGCGACTTGAAAAGGAAAGTCTTGTAAAGGAGAGGATTGAAAAGGAAAGGCTTGAAAAGGAAAGGCTTGAAAAGGAACGGCTTGAAAAGGAAAGGCTTGAAAAGGAACGGCTTGAAAAGGAACGACTTGAAAAGGAACGAGCCACTAATTACCCTGAGCCTCAAGTCGTATCGCAAGTGCCACAAACGCTGGTACCAAGTGTATATAGCGCACAGACCGAGGTGCCCGCTACTGTTGCTAAAGCCGAACCCAGTGGTGGCATCAGTTCCAATAACACAAACATTTTTGGGAGAGTGCAGACTACTGGCTATCAAAATATCGATCAGCAGTCTCATATGAGCCACTCAATTGCGAATGTAGCACCAGGATCCTCAAGACCGAGCTATCCAGCATTGGCACATGCCTCCACTGCGAATAAGCAGATCCCTCAGCTTGCTTCTCAAGCCCGGACGCACAACACCGGACAAAATTCTCCACCTGTGAATTCTTTTGCTCAGCATTTGCCCGTCCAAATCATGAATTTAACGCCACCATCTACATCTGCGGGCCCGCCAGTTCAGTCAGAGCGGCAAGACCCAAGAAATGAGTACATGATGCGACCGCAATGGCCCCCTGCAGTGCAATCATTTAATGTTCCATCACGGCCGTCAAATCAGGCTCTCCCTGGGCTAAATCAGCTTAGCACTATGGGGCGTACCATTCAGATGCCCCCACATGTGCCGACAAGCAGCCATCCCCCAATAAATCAGGGTGCTGCCCCGCAATTGGTAAACTTGCCAGCCAGCCAGTCTTTGATGGCCCAGCAGCAATTTCAATACTATCCTGGTATGCAAATGCAAGCCCAGATGCAATACCAACAACCTTACAACTCTCCTTCTGGAACCCCCAATGGTGAGAAAAAACACGAAGGGAGTGGCCAAGAGCAAAGTTGAAAACCAGATATTCTTATAATTATGCTTCAAGGAAATTAATGAGCCAGATGTATACTTTAACGTTGTTTTATACCTCGCTTTACTTAATGTGATTTGGTTGAATCAGTCTACGATATTGGCGAAATCTTCGCTAGTCTTCTTGCGCCGACGATCAGACTCCACAGAGTCGTGCAAGTAAGTGTTCGGGCGGTGCCAACGAACCATGAAAAGAAGATGATCAGCCAACTTCTGAGGGGTGATACCGAGATCAGCATAGGTCTTGGCGTCTTTTGAAATAACCTGGTTGACGAACATGCGCTCAACCTCATCAGGAGTTAGGGGGCCTTGCCAGTAAGCGGCAACCTGGAAGAACTCTGCAATCAACTTGAGCACTTTCTTTGGAAGGTTGACAAAATGTAGATCCTTCTTTACACCATCTTTGACCTGGTCATGGATCTCGCGCATGGTGAAAGACTCATTTCCATAAAGTTCGAATAGCTGACCAGCAGTTGCATCGTCGTACACAATTTTCTCGAGGGCAGTGGCCAAATCCAGTAGATGAGTAGGATAAATAACCTCCTGACCGTTGTTTGCGGTAAGGAAAAACTTGCGAGTAGCCATGGGCTGGAGAAGACGATCGGTGCCACCGTAAACGGGACCCGGACGAACGATGGTAGCATCGGGAATAATACTACGGACAACCTCTTCACCTTCTGCTTTGGTAGCCAAGAACTTTGAATGCGAATTGATGTCGGCGGAGTGGCTCGAAACATGAACGAAGCGGGGTACGCCTGCGTCCTTTGCAGCTTGGGCAATACGGCGAGCACCCTCGACATGAACGTCGTAGAAGCTGAAGTTTTTGGTTTCCCAGCTGCGGCCAACCAAGTTTACGACGACATCGCTAGACTTTACAGAGTCTGCGATGGACTGAATGTTCCGTAAGTCGAACTCCTGGAAGTTCACTACGCCTAGGTCTCCTGCGGGTTTGAGATGACGCTTGAACATTTCCTCACGGTAAGGAACCACGGTAAGAGTACCATGACGGGCAAGCTTGGAGACAAGCATAGTGCCAACGTTTCCAGCAGCGCCAAAAACGGTGACTGTGTATCCCGAGCGGGAGGAGCGCCCGCCAGTACCCTGAGACACTACAGTCTTTCCGTTACGAAGAACATTAACCTGAGAGTCTAATGCTTCAAACGTTTGGAGGCCTCGTGCCAGGGCGGGCCGTGAAACAACCGACTTGACTCGCAACATTTGATTGGAAAGAAAAAACGTAAGCCACTCACCATTTTGAGTGAGCCGGATTGGCTGGTTTGTAGGTCGGCTTAATTATTGGAATAAGCAATGAAATCTGATTAACAGAATACAACCTATATAAAAGTCTTTTTTCTCAGTATTTTTATAGTGTAGACCTTATTGATGGCTTGCCAGGTATCTTTTCTGAAAGCTCTTTGAGCAGAATTTCCTGAAGACTAAGTCGGTCACGAAGATTCACCACAGGACCCTAGAAACTATATTAATCCTCTTGTAAAGAGTTGAGAGTCTCAGCTTGGAGAATAGTGCCCGCCATGGGTATCGTTGTGAAAATTGTATTGATCGCGTTTGCCATATACACTGTAGTTTTTTCAAGCTACATCATGCTCGACCAATAATAGCTTCAACAAACACAGTACCAAGAATCAAAAATAAGAAGAAAGCTTTTGGTTAGTTCATCTAACATAGAGCCTGTGCGAGGGTTTGAACTTACCGATGTACCCAAAGGGGATCTTGCGTGCTGGCTTTTTATCCAACTTGGACTTGTATGTTGGTGCTACGCGCTTTCCTTTCTTAGCCAATTCCCGGCGTGCGTACTTTTCGTTAGCCGCTCTCTGAGCTGGTGTTTGAGGAGCCATTTAATTAGGTGTCAAGGTTGAGTCACGTGGGCCGAGCGGCAGAAAAGCTCAAGGGTTGCTCGAGCGAGCCAGGAGGGCTACGAGACATTACATAATATACACTCAGGTCCAACAAGTAGCGCGGACGTCCTAACCAGACAGTCTCTATCAAATTTGACACTGAGTGCCAATATACGATTATGAGAAACTATTGTAAGGAGAGAAAAAATCAAAACGTTGGTCTTTTTTGCTATTTTATAGGCGAGTCGTTGGAACGTAGCATGACATAGGACTGCATTTTGACTATATATGGCAAGATTATGAGCTTGAAACCCGAATTTTCTGGCCGAGATGTGAACGGAATAACCCAATGAACACCTAAATTGCTGCTAAATCAACATTGGGACTCAAACGCTTTTCGAATATCGAGAGCTCGAGTTGTTAATGCGAGCTCAGAGGGACTTGCATGACTACCAGCACCTTGGCACTCGATCGTGCGTTTTGGAGCTGCAGAAAAGTTTCGGAGCGGTTTGATTCAGGTTTTTTTCAATATGAAGCTGCAACCGAATAAACAAATAACTCCAGCACAGCTTTCAAAAAAGGTGAACCATTCAGACGCAATCGATGAAGAGCTATTGGAAGGTCAACGAATGCAGAATCTAAGTCAAGCCATCAGCCAAGTGTGTCTTTCCATTCAGCCCCCCGCCAGGTCGAAGGAGGGCTGGAGCTGCACTCGATTTAGCTCACGCGTTTCAGGAATGAGTGTACCCTAGCCCGAACCGCCCAGTTCGTTTGAAGATCGAACCGAGAGCGGGCAGTGAATCACCTAATAAAAGTAGCTAAAGGCGTTATTCAATTGGAATCAAACGGGGCAAAACTCTAAAATGGTACAATTATGCAATATTGAACCTTTTTGATCCGACAGATTTAAGCATATATACTGCGAGGGTAACTAGGGGCTAAGTTGGAGGGTCATGCATCAAGTAACACATTGTACATACGTGGGAAGGGGTTAACGAGGGGGCTAGGCCACTGAAAGATATTTGCATGGCTGGGCGTTTCGTCAACTTGACATCTACATCGTCTTTAATTGTTCGACGTTTCTCTTGTACACTACGGTCTAGTAACACACGCTTCGCGACTCTACTAGCTATCAAGGTTCTATTGTTCACACACTCCTTTCTTTCCCGAACTCAATCAACCTCCATTCCTTAAGACCGCGTTCATTTCACTCCTTTATACTATGTTGCGAACTGTGAGTATCTTTGCTGCTTTGCTAGCCTTCGTTCGCGCCGATTCTTGCGAACTTTCTGGTGGTAACTATTACTGCTCAGAGGTCAACCAAATCCAGTTCTCTGGTGTTGGCTTTGCTGGTTCCTACAACCGAGTCACAGACATGAACCCTACAAGTGGTACTTGCCAAAGCACTCCTTTCTCTTTCGAAGGTCCTCTTGCTCCTTTCGACGAGGGACTTTCCGTACACTTCCGTGGACCCATTGAATTGTTGCAATTTGGCGTCTACACTCCCAGTGGCTCCCCTGCCAAGCGCGACTTGGGGGACCACCACGTTCACCGACGTGACCCTCAGTTGGTTACCGAGTATCGTGACTATACTGATTTTGTTACTGTCGACCAGTTTGGAAATCTCTTGACTGGCGAGGCTGCTGCCGTTGCGACTGCAGCCCAGGACCCCAGTGCGGTGACTACTGTGAACACTGAGGCCACACTTGAGTTGGCCACATCTGTTCTTAACTACAACTTCAATCACCAGGCTGAGTCTTCTGCTACTGGTCCCTCAGTTATTACTACTCAGGCACCGCCCCAGGCTACCGCTAGTGTTTCTGCTAATGGCGCTTGGCAAAAGGCTGCTTTCTACGATGCGAACTCTGTTTCTTCGTCTGGTTTGACCTTCTTGAACAACTTGGGTGGCCAGGGCTCTGGTGTTTTCGACTATGCTTTCGGAAACTCTCTCTCTTACTGCGCTGCTGACGGTGTCAACGCTGCCTCTAGCCCCCAGACTCTTAATAAGGTTGTTGTTCCTTCCAACAAGGAGTTTATTATCTTCACTGACCAGCAGTGCTCGTCAGCTACCTGCGGTTACTGGCGTGAGGGTATCCCAGCCTATCGCGGTTTCGAGGGTAACCAGAAGATCTTCGTTTTTGAGTTCACCATGCCTTCCGAGTCTACGGTCCCTGCTGGCTCTTTCAACTACGACATGCCTGCCATCTGGCTTCTTAATGCTCAAATTCCTCGCACCCTTCAATATGGCCTGGCCGACTGCTCTTGCTGGGCTTCTGGATGCGGTGAGTTTGATCTCTTTGAGGTTCTGACCGCCGGCGAGCAGCGTATGCTGGCTACCATGCACGATAAACAAAATGGTAATGGTGCCGGCTGCTCGAGCTATTTCACTCGCCCTACTTCAGGCACCATGAAGGCTGCCGTTGTAATGGACAATGGCGTTGTCACACTCGTGCGCCTCGACGATAGCGTTGCGTTTGGAGAGTCCATCTCTAATGATCAGATCCAGCAATGGTTCGCCGCTACCAAGGGCCAATCTGCCGCTGTCCAGGTTTAATAAAGACGGCACTCTTTAAGTATTATTTGTTTATGACTTTCGCTGGTTCAGGCCCAACTCTCTTGAACTTCAGCTTGTACTTTCATAGACTGTCTAAATCGTTATACAGTTTTGTTTCTAAAAATTCTCGTAATCAGCTTTCCTATCTATAGACAATGCTGGTCTTTATGGGACCCAAAAGCGTCTCGGCTGCTGTCGCACCTGCAGAAACGTTTAGCTTTTCCGAACCCTATGGGCAGGTTAGGTTAAGAACACCGGTGATTGTTTGACCAATAAGCACTTTCAATTTATTATATCCCTACAATCTTATGAGACCGACGATATAGCTCGAACTTAGTCACAAGCTGGTATCTCAACGGAGGACGCCCGCTGAAGCGGCGTTGAACTGCTCAACATGGTCTTGTTGGCTCGCGGGCCCGATGAGCACGGTTTTTGCTTCTGAGTGTACCAGAAAAGTCAATTCTTCTATGGGGCATGTTGATTGATTTAAGCTTTTCAGAGCATAATAAGCAGTACGCTCTTGTGTTCAATATCAATTTGCAGGGGCTCCTGCTCAACTTCATGCACCATTTTTTGTGTCTTCGACGCGACACTTCCCTTGCAGCCGAAAAGTTCCGAATCAGGGTTAGGAGGAGTCTCTGTTTGGCGTACGCTTCTGGATGTCCCCCCTTGGTCTCGCTCCAAAACGTTGAAAACTTTCGTCAGCCATTTTGGCGGAAAACCCTCCGGGTCGAACCCTTAACCAGAGGAGTCACAGGCAGGCTCGGACCCGAGAACGCACAGTAATATATTTTTCGCGTGAAGCAGAATGGGGCTAAAATTTTAGACAAAGACCGCTAGATAAAAGAAATTAAAAAAGACTCATTAAAACAACCACAAACAGTCCACAATTGGATACCAAAGAGAACCGCTTGCCAACTAGAGAGTTGAGACAATAGCGAAACCTCGACCCCACGTCATTAGCAATTGCTCCTCCTCCAAGTTAGCTCAGCCCCAGATTTTTCTCCACGCTGCAGCCGAAAATGGGCGAACAATTTAGAGTGTAGACATGTCGCGGCTACGTACAAACTCGAAGCCGTTTTTGGTGAACAATATAAATTCGAAACAGAAGGTATGTCCACTCAAAATCATATTAAAGGGTATCCCGTCCAATCGTCGATGAATTGAATCAGATTTTTCCGTTCCCTCGGAGGGCCTCCCGGCCCGCATAAAGTTACCCTGACAACTTAGAAATTCCATGCAACTCGGGTGGGTGTTCCGACAAATTATCGTAGTGCCTTGAATCTTTCAACTGGTCTGCCTCACCGCATTGACCAAGTCCATAGCTTAGCATATAATTCAAGGACATTTAGAAGATAGTCAGTCCAGACCAGGTGCTTTTGACTAGCTTTCATCGGCAGCAGACACCACGTTCTGAGACCTCCTCCTCGCAAGACCTACCCCACAGAGTTTAGTATATGGGCTAGGGTCCAGCGGAGCTATGCAGGCGCCGCCAAGGATGCACGAAAAGCAGCAATCCCAGTTGGCTCGGCTATATAAGTAGTGCCTGTCCCACTATCAACGTTCAACCCAACACATTCACAAAAACATGGTTCCTCCCGTTGTTAACCAAACCAAACTCAACCCCAAAGGCATTGAGGCTCACGTTCCGGCCTCTCAAATTGAGAAAGACCTCTACGAGGTTGCCCACATCGACTACAGCAAGGTCAATATTGAGCACAATCCTAGCGTTCCCACGCTCTACGAGGACGCTCTGACCCGTGAAGTCGGTTCTGCTATCAACTCTACCGGCGCGCTTGTCGCAAACTCCGGTGACAAGACCGGCCGTTCTCCCAAGGACAAGCGTGTCGTTGACGAGCCCAGCTCCAACAAGAACGTCTGGTGGGGTCCTGTGAACAAGAAGCTTTCTGAGACCTCTTGGAATATCAATCGCGAGCGTGCAATCGACTACTTGAACACCCGCAACCGCATTTACGTTATCGATGCCTACGCTGGCTGGGACCCCAAGTACCGCCTCAAGATCCGTGTCGTCTGCGCCCGCGCTTACCATGCCTTGTTCATGCGCAACATGTTGATTCGTCCTAGCGAGGAAGAACTCAAAAACTTTGGTGAGCCTGATTTCACTATTTACAACGCCGGTGCTTTCCCAGCTAACCGCTACACTGATGGTATGACCTCTGCCACCTCCATTGACATCAACTTCAAGGCTATGGAGATGGTTATTCTGGGTACCGAGTACGCCGGTGAGATGAAGAAGGGTATCTTCACCGTTATGTTCTACTTGATGCCTATCAAGCACAACGTGCTCACTTTGCACTCCTCCGCCAACGAGGGCCCCAAGGGTGATGTCTCCGTCTTCTTCGGTCTTTCTGGTACCGGTAAGACCACTTTGTCTGCTGACCCTCACCGTGCTCTGATCGGTGATGATGAGCACTGCTGGTCTGACCATGGTGTCTTCAACATTGAGGGTGGCTGCTACGCCAAGTGCGTTGGCTTGTCCCAGGAGAAGGAGCCTGATATTTTCAACTCCATCAAGTTCGGCTCTGTTCTCGAGAACGTTGTCTTCGACCCCAAGACCCGCGTTGTTGACTACGATGATGTCACTTTGACTGAGAACACTCGCTGCTCCTATCCCATTGAATACATCCCCAACGCCAAGCTGCCCTGCTTGACCGACAACCACCCCACCAACATCATTTTGCTTACTTGCGATGCCCGTGGTGTCATCCCCCCCATTTCCAAACTTACCAATGAGCAGGTCATGTACCACTTCATTTCTGGTTACACCTCCAAGATGGCTGGTACCGAGGAGGGTGTCACTGAGCCCCAGGCCACTTTCTCTGCCTGCTTCGGTCAGCCCTTCCTTGCTCTGCACCCCATGCACTACGCTAAGATGTTGAGCGAGAAGATCACCAAATACAAGGCTAAGGCTTGGCTCCTCAACACCGGCTGGGTCGGTGCTTCTGCTGCCAAGGGTGGTCAGCGCTGCCCTCTCAAGTACACTCGTGCTATTCTTGATGCTGTCCATGCTGGTCAGCTCGATAACATCAAGTACGAGACTTACGAGACCTTCAACCTTCAGGTGCCTACTGAGGTTCCCGGTGTTCCCTCCGAGATCCTGAACCCCGCCAATGCTTGGCAGGGCGGTGCCGCAGACTTCAAGTCTGAGGTCAAGAAGCTCGGTGCTCTGTTCGTTGAGAACTTTGAGCGCTTCAAGGATGAGGCCACCCCCCAAGTTTTGGCCGCTGCTCCTGTCGTCTAAATACATATTTAACAAAAATTATTACCTCACACCTTTGCCCCATTGTGATTTTAAACTCGCATCAAACGGGCACCATAACAGCAACGTCCGTAACAGATGAGCCCAACCACGGAGTTCGGTTCTCGATATAGCCGTTGTAGCTCCTGTCACCGGCGCAGACTTCGCCGCCAAAGCTCTTCTGCATCCATGCCGAATTAATCAGCAAACACTCAGCATAAGCCGTTTTGATACCTATCCCAAAGCCTTTGCTTTATCTTTGTTACAAATGTTGAAATGGGCACAAGGTGCTGTGGCTGCCGTGACAGGTAGCGCCGAGCCTATTTATGGAGCAGAAGCTTTTATGTCAGTTGATAAAACTGTGGCCGGTAGAAATCCTTACGGGAAGCTAGAAAAAGCTGACCTTGCATGGGAACAGCCCCCACAAGCTCATGTTGAGACTCAAACGTTCTACTTCACCGATCCGAAATCGAACTACTATGGCTTTTGCCAGCTTATCCACTCAAACCCTGTGAACCTTGCTTTCACCTCGCAATTTACTTTCTTGCTCAAGAAACGGGACAACCCCGACTTCAAGCTGTGGACATCTACTCGGTTGAGCGGCGCAACAGTTGTTGAAGATGAGGACAAGACAAACTTTTCCGCGGACAACTTCTCCATCACTTTGAATGAGACAGCAGACGAGTACGAGTTCAAGTCGACCGTCAACCCGGAGTCTGAGGTGAATCTTGTCTTCAAGCGAGTTGGTGAAGGCTTCAAGATCGGAGCCGATGGTACGTCTCGGTACGGTGAGGATCTCGCGCAGCCTTGGGGCACGATGCGCCACGTCTTTTGGCCTCGCCTGGATATCTCTGGTACCATCAAGACAGCAGACGATATGATCACTCTAGATCATTCTCAGGGTCTCTACGTGATGGCGTTGCAGGGTATGAAGCCGCATCACGCAGCTGCTTCTTGGAACTTTTGCAACTTCCAGGGCCCCACAGTCAGTGTTGTTGTCATGGAGTTCACCACTCCTGTCTCGTATGGCTCGTCGCGGTCGGCGATCGGCGCTATCCATCACAATGGTGAGTTGATCGCCACTTGCACAGGTACGACTACCGAGCATGTCGATCCTACGGCCGATGAAGTTGGTTGGCCAGCACCAAAAGCCATCAAGTTTGCACTCGAGGGACCCAAGCCAGGTGTTCCCAACGCGCAGATCAATGACCCCGAGAACATTGTCAAAGCCAAGGTTTCGGGAGAGCTCAACTATCTCGTTGACCGGGTGGATGTTCTGGCAGAGATCCCCGCATTCGTGAAGCGGGTGGTTAACAACGTCTCCGGCGCCAACCCCTACATCTACCAGTACATGAACGACATGGACGTCGAAGTCGAAGTCGATGGGGAGACCATCAAGGAGAAAGGTGTTGGATACGTCGAGGTTACGTTCATTTCCGAGACATAATCTTCTCGCTTCTAAACTAAATGCTTGAAATAAGTTATTAAAATACATAAGAAGTAATGTTAAAGTTCGTGAGGGCGAGAAATGACAGCGTAAGGATGCTCCATGCAAACGGGATCCAGGTCGTCATGTGAAGAGCTCCTGCTCGGTAGACGGCAGCAAGTAGAAGGCCAATAATAGAGCCTATTGAGAAGGCATATAGGGCACCTATAAATAAATAAAACGATATCAGGAGAAGCATTGTCTGCTTGCGGGAACCGTATGCCCCTATTGTTCCGACTATAACGTGGGCACCCGTCCACATTATGAGATGCCAATACACCGTAAAGCAGTAAATATCCCACGTGCGAAACAACAGCGGTGACTCGTACGGATTACCGTCGACGGGGAACTGAAGAGACGGAAACTTTGGCGTTACGTAGCCCACAGGAATGTTGCCGCCGCCAAGGGACAGTGAACCGCTCATGCTGATTCACCCAGGCGTGGAGCATCAAGTAGACTGCTCATAGGTTCATATTCTCATTGGAGCTCATCAAGCTATATAAAAGCATTATGCCCGTTATAAAACATTAGATCCAACTGTGTGTATAATACTTGTTAGCTACCGCCAGCGGCTACTTTTTCTGAGCTTCCTCGGCCTCTTTGTGCTTCTTCAAGGCAACTTCGATATCGGCTGGCTTCCAAACATTGTATTTGACCTCTCCGTCAGCACCAGAGCCCACGGTAGCCAGTTCGATCTTGGTGGAGGTGAGTGTCGCCGAGTCCATGGTTTTCGACAGGACCTTGAGGGCGAGTTGCACCGCATCCTCGAGCTCTAGTTCCTCTTTGAACTCTTGCTTGAGCAGAGTCTGTGCAGCTGCGTTGTTTGCTCCAACAGATGTGGCTAGCCACCCAGAGTAGTTGCCACTTGGGTTCGACTGGTACAGCTGGTAGCCTTGAACGGGGTCCCAACCAGCGTAAATAAAGGAAACGCCAAAGGGCCTCAGACCACCATACTGCGTGTAGCCTTGCATTGTGTCACAGAGCTGCTTCACCAAAATATCGCAGGGAATTTCCTCGTCATAGGTGGCCAAGTGATTCTGCGCCATGTTGCGCGCCCGCTGGACCAGCCGCGAAGCATCACTGTCGATTCCGGCAACGGCACAGACAACGTGTTTGCTCAGAGCATACATTTTCTCTGCAGATATGTCTTGCTCCAGCAGTTTTGACGTAACTTTCTTCTCGGCGGCAAGAACGATGCCGTCCTTGGCTAGAATACCCAGCGCGGTTCCGGCGTGAGAAATCGCTTCTAAAGCATATTCGACCTGATATAGACGGCCCTCAGGCGAAAAAATCGTGGTTCGGCTATCGTAGCGACGAGACATTGTGCTATACGGTGTCTTGTAAATGGAAAGATTCGCCGCCAACTGGAACCTAGTTAGGTAATGGGCCTGCGCGAGCCAGCCCAGCAGCCGGACCGACCGAAGGTGAAAAAGAAGCTAGCAAACGGTGAATATGTTGTTATAACGAGGAATGGGAGAATATTTGTATTTAATAAAGAAACCGGCAAAAGCAGATGGGACATACCGGACGATCCAGAGCTTATTTTGCTGGTAGCCAAGGCTCGCGGGTTCAAGGAAAGTGAAGCCACCGATATCCAGACGGAATCAGCCAGCGGGAGTGCAAGCTTTGAGTCTGAATCAAATATTGAAGCCGATATCCAGTCTGAGCTGCAAGATGTTGTGGATAGTGGACCTATACAAACGATTGAGATTATTTCAGACGACGAGTCTGATCTCGATTTGTCCGACTTTGAAACAGCAGAAAACCCCGATTCTTTCAAGCAGATGCTTGATGAGAAAAGGCTCAATCCGTTCAAAAGTTGGGAATTTCACCGTGACAGTCTTGTGGATGAGCCAGGCTATATGGAATTGGAGTCGAACAGCAGAAGACAGCAGGTGTATGACGAATGGGCACTGACTCGCAAGACTAGTGTAGAAACACCAACAGATCAATTTCTGGATCTTGTGCATCGCGAAAGTAACCCTAATCGATTCTATATCCAATTCAAACGGTTGTTTCGCGCGCTGCCTGAGTTTGATGTGCCAATGCCTGACAAGGTCAAAGAACAGCTCTATCGCGAGTATTATTTGGCCCTCAAAAAGACCCCAGAACAGAGAGAAGAGATTCTTAAAACTACACCTACGACGGAGCCCAAGTACGCTGCAAACTATTTCGTCAATGAGAAGGCTCGTGACGTTTCGACGAGTTCAAAAGGCCCTTAGGCACTCTACGTTTCCAATAAAACCTATCACCTTCATCAAGGAGTAAATGGCCATCACCGTCATCATGATCGTTTTCTTCGGGTGCTTCCAATTGTATGTATTTTCCGTCGAACTTGTACTTTCCCCCTTCGACCAAGTCCTTGAGCACAATCTCCCGGGTCCGGCCCAAGCTCTCGATGGCAGCGACTCTGTCCATTGTCTCCTCTAGGAGCTCATCGAAACCGGGCATTGAAGCAATTTCATTAAAGGCATGCATCATTACCATAGAGTCAGGTTTGACCCGAGAATACGAGTCCAGAGTGAAAATGTTCAGATTGTCATAATCCTGAATATAGTCCGGACGAGTCATGATTTGACGAGCTCGCCATAGCGGGATTTTGGGGACGGGGTCTTCTGCATCGGACATTGGAGATGCAGTGGAGATATTGTGGTTATATATCCGGACCATTTCGCGGGCTAGTGTCATGGCAGAAGTCGAAAACTTACCACTTTCCATCACGTCGTCGTCCATGTCCTCGCCCAATAGTCCACACTGGTTGAGGAACCATTGCTTTTCTTTGTCTATGAGTTTGTGACAAGCTTGGATCATATCTTTGTGTAAAGTGACCGCTGCAATATGCTGGGCACGTCCACCTACTAGGTGGTAAACAGTAGCAGCTTCAATGTCGCTGATATTCTGACCAAAGTAACGAGCGCGCGAAGACTTGATGAGCTGAATTGCCTGGGAACGCGAAAAATCGGCTGTAGCAATCACATCAAGACGCGTGCCCAGTTTCTTCAGTCGCTCATAGAGCCAATAGTCGTCACTATTGAAGACAACCGTGGCTAGACCCAAGCCTGACAACGTCTCAGCCTTTTGTTGGAGTAGCTCCACAAGATTTCGCCCCTCCTCGTCATCTCTTATGAGATGTGCACTGTTGATAATAACAACCAGTGGCCGTTTTGTCTTTCTTTTGCGAAGAATGGCTACCTGTTCAAGGACGGTTAGAGCACGCTCGATGTCCATGATGGCTGTGTTTTCGCGGGGGCCACGAATCGAAAACAAAGATCCCAGGTAGTCCTCAAAGAACTCAAAGTTCAGAGCCTTCCCTAGTCGAATTCGGAAAATTTCAGGATCGGCGTGGGCTTCAACAGACACCACATTGAAGTTTTCAACTTTGGCGAGAGCAGACAGCATCATTGAGGTTTTGCCCGTACCTTTCTCGCCGAAAAGCATGTAATACCTACCAATTAGCTTTCCAGAAACAATATCGTCAACAAGCTGCTGCTGGTCTCGCTCTACCCAATCACACAGGCTTGCTGCTTGGCGTGCCTTATAGTACGCTCGCAGATCCTCGTCCCACCCGTCGAAAGCCATTGAGACTTTACGATGGGTGTGCCAGAGATAGCCACGATGGTAGCACAAACCAGCGAGACCAAGAAGTGCTAGCGAAGCAATCATCACGGCCGCTGTTTCGCCCGCCTTCAGCAAGATCTGGCGACTGCCATTGCTGCTATTGCCCTGGCTTTCACGTTGCTCCTCCTCTTGTTCGAATGGGGTTGCCGCACCTGGTAGGAACCTTAATCTTCGGGTTGTAGAGAAGCTCCTACCCAAATTGCGACTTATGCCACCCCACAGCCGGAACATGTACAACCTTTTTTCCGAGTTCGGGGCTCCGACGGGGTAGTTGGGCTGACAAATTTGGAGGTTAACGGCTTTTTGCAGTTCACGCCGCGTCTGTGAGCATATCGCCGTCGGATTTTAACAGGAAAAAGATAAAAACCTACAATTAGAAGGTTCCCGCGGTACTGGATCGCGTTCCTCTTCGTATCACCACCATCACCCCATGCCCCGCATGTGATGTACAAAGGAGGACCGATAGGCAGGGCTAGGTATGATGCATAATATTTCACATCAGACAGCACCGCGCGAGATATATAAAGTGTGACACCTGTGTGTTTTTGTTCACACCAACAAACAATGTCTGCCCCTTACCTTCGCTCCATCGCCACTCGCCGTACCATCTACCAGCTTGGTCGTCAGAACTTCCCCCTCTCCCACGCTGAGGTTACTGCTATCGTCACTGATATCGTTAAGCACACGCCCAGCTCTTTCAACTCCCAGACCACCCGTGCCGTTATCATCTTCGATAAGAACCACGAGAAGCTGTGGGGCGAGTTTGCTCACGATGCTTTGAAGGCTATTTCTACTTCTGAGGAGGCCTTCGCTGCCACCAAGGCCAAGCTTGACATGTTCAAGGGCGCCTACGGCACTGTTTTGTTCTTCGAGGACGACAACGGAATCAAGAAGATGCAGGAGCAGTTCCCTCTCTACGCCAGCAAGTTCCCTGAGTTTGCCGGCCACTCCTCAGGTGCTGCCCAGATCAACGTCTGGACCGCTCTTGCCCTCGAGAACGTTGGTGCCAACCTCCAGCACTACTCTCCTCTGATCGACGCTGATGTCCACAAGGCTTTCAACGTTCCTGAGAACTTCCGTTTGACTGCTCAGCTTGTTTTCGGCAGCAAGGTCGGTGAGGCCGGCGAGAAGACCTTCCTCGCTGACACCGTTCGCACTATCGAGTAAAAAAAATTAAGTAGACAGATATTCTTAGCATTAATCTATTTTGAAAAATAAAAATAGAGAGATGTTATCAGCATTTATCCATTTCGAATAAACAAAATCAAAGCACAAGTAATTTTCCGCAGGTCAACATGCGGCACCACGCACGGCACGAGCCGTAGTGTTGACGGAGACAGTGATTTCAGGCAGCGAATGGAAACACAGCCAGTGTCTACTTGAGATAGTGAAAGTGCAGGATATACCCCACACCCCCGACCATGGCCAGGCAGCAAATCAGCCCTTGGACAATGCTCTGGGTCAGACCCTTTGATAGCAGTGTCGGGGCATAAACCGTAGCCGAAATGTAGACCATTGTGAATGCACAGCACATGCCCAAGAACTTCCATAAGTTCCTGGACGGATAGTTGAGATTCGGCGGCTGGTAGCCCTTGGGGGTGATCAAGCCCGGCTGTAGCCTGATGTGGGTATTCCAGGTAGCGATCCACGCAAACAGGATGCGGATCACCGGATGGAAAAGCTGGCTCCATGCTGCGTATTGCAAAATGAAGACAATCGCGAGAATCAAGAACGGCCCAAACTGCATTTAGATAAGCCTGTTGCGTATAGATGGGAAGGTTTACGGTGCAATGGAATAATTCTATAAATACAGTACATCAATCACAACCAGCGATATCGTACCATTCGTTGCCGATCTTGACTCGGGTGGGATGCTGGTTGTCTCTGCGGATTTCGAAAGTGGCCCAATTCTCAGAATCGGGCTCAACTCTGGTGGGGGTCGCCGCGGGACCGCCCAGTGCAGTTTGGCCTGCAGGCTCGGGATCATTTGGAGCAGTGAAATAAGGCCGCTGGGGAGGTAAGGGCTGCCGAACATCAATTATCTGAGGCCCATTTTCTGCTGCGTTCGAGTTATCTTCTCGAGCATTGGCCTGCGGGGGTTGGGCGCCTGCAGGGGTACCGGCTTCTGCATTGGCTTGTCCGTCTTGCCTGAAGCGGTCTATGTAAGATGCAGAAAAAATGTCATTCGCAGGCTTTTCTTTAACTGGACGACGGCAAGTGGGGCAGTCCTGAGACTGTCTCATCCACAATTTGAGACAACCTCTATGGATCGCATGCCCACAGTTGAGCCGCTTGGCACACAAACGAAGTTTGCTCGGATTGAGCTCCATCTCATCTCGGCACACTACACATGTACTATCACGAGCAAGATCAGCTCGGGTCGCATCTGTAACATATTGGTCGAGTTCGTTTTGGGTTCTTCGGGCAGCCAGGAATTTAAGCACCAACTGAGAGGTGAGGAATAGATTGAATGCCAAATAAAACATCAACAGGATGGAATCCAGCAGTGGCGTCATCAGTAGCAGTGCCGACAAGCCAGTAATAAAGATCAGCTTGCCGATAAAGTTGCTCATAAACACGTACACGTACTTGGCCTCCCACTGCTCCTCGTCATTGCTCTCTAAAAAGTAGCCCTCGTACTTTTCTATCGAGAATCGGGTGACGATCTTGAAAAATAATTCCAATTGGGTTAACATTCGTGCGCTGAACATTAGCATTGTGTGGTGGCCGAGTAGAAACTCGGAATATGTGTAGCTGAGCAGCAGGTAGTTTCCGAACCCGAGAGTGAAAACAAAGGCCAGGAAGCGGGCCTGCAAGAATACGGAGGGCGGGTGCATGCCTTGGAACATGACTTTCACTCTGGAGAACGCAAGCCCATGGAGCGCGGACATGAATGCCAAGGGATATGCGCATGCAATCAAAGAATGGAAGTGGCCAGTTCTCAGCGCATCCTGATTTGAAAAGAAAATCTCCGACAGAACCATAACAGTCGGCTTGATCAGCGATTCCTGTTCATTCACGCTCAATTTACCCAGGCAGATCCAAACCAGTACTCTGCTCACAACCAGCCCCAGCACAGTCACGAAGTTGACTAGTATGATAAGACTAGCAAGGTTGACTGACATTGAACTGAAAGCAGTGAATACATTCGGGTATTGGATCAGTCTCAAAGCAAGGAGACCGACCATCACTGCCGTCGACGCCAGCGCATAGAGCCAGAACTTCATTTGCTGATGTAAAGCCTCAAGCCTCTGATCCCGCGAATGAAGGCTTTGGAAGAGAACTTTATTTAAGCAAAGAAAAAAAACCTTGGCCGGGGACGGGGTAGCTGGGTTGGCCCAATTCCTTATTGTTTCGAGCTCCGACAAGATGGTCTAGGGCTTCGACATTGCACGAGCCGTCGTGCCAAAACCCACTAACTGAACCCTGAATCTATAGCTTTTGAGTTTGCAGTAAAGCGTTTCACGGGGAAATGGGTGCCCGCGAGGCTATTTTAATTGCAAACCAAGAATCTGGCGTAATTATTTTATTCATTGGTATCGTCAAAAGCGGTTGCCATGGTTACTGGCATTTCCCACCCGCGAAGATCTGGAAGCCGTGAAAATCACAGGTATGAGTTAAAATCTCGACAGTCTATTAAATTTTCTGGAATCAGCTCTCAAAATTGACTTTTCGCAGAGGCCTTAGCCTGGCTCAGATTCTGTCCACATGCGGGCTCATGCGGGTGCTATACAGGGAGTCGACCGCTAGACCTCTTTTTCTTGCCCCCCCCGCTATCAGGTGCCTTTGAGAACGCCAAATACAACTGAATCCGATGATGAGCGTCAGTGGCCAAATGCCCAAAATCGCGCTGCGACCTGGGCTCGTCGCTCTGGATACCCAAGAAGAGACAGCGTTTGAGAATCAAACGGCAACAATTCCTCCTTTTGACCCAGAATTTTATGACGATCGCTCAAACTGGACCAACACGTATGATCCAGAACAGATCGACAGTGATTTCAAGTGCCAATATACGCCAGAAAACGAAACTGAACTGGCCATCGCTAGTGGAATTGCAGATTTTATACTCACACCAGTGGAAAAAGCAGACAAGTCCTGCAGTTTTGAGGGAGCCGACGTGACGGACTTTGGGTACTTGGGGCCGAGCATTCCAAGCCAAGAGCCGAGTTTCCAAGCTCAGAACGACGAAGAGAGACAAGCTTTGAAAACTGCACAGTTCAGCAATTCAGAACTAAACGAACCCATATTTATTCGAGGACCCTCATTAACGACTAATCGCCATATTGAGGCTATAAAACCGCTACTTCGAAGGCCAGAAGTTGGTGTGATTTGCATTGTCAGATTCGATCCGAATCTGGCCGCTCTTCATGGCGCCCTACCTGGAATCGCCAAAGTGAGTGACCAAAACTACTTTCTGTTGCATCTGCACTACAATTATTTGGTATATGCTGCTAGAGCTTTAAGGTGGACCTCTAGCATCAGTTACAACAAGATCAAGCAGGGCCTTGACGACGTCTGTCAGGTCATAGACCGTCAGGTCCCCCACAACCTTCAGGTCACCATTTATCCACAAGGGACTTTTACTATTACAGCCAAACCTACTCTTCAACGCGACAATCTTCTAAGTGGAATCTTCGGACATGCGTCCAAGGAGCCGGAGCTCGATGAACTGACGAGAAAACTAGCTGATTTGAAAATGACCCAAGAGCGACTCCCCCAGTATGTATACCATTTGTTTTGGGATACAGAGTCTACAACCACTAGTTTTCACACAACGTTCAAGACTACTTACAAGGATCAGTTCGATATCGCAAGGATAAGAACGCTTCAGAGCGTCAGTGAGAAGGACCTTGTTGACGTTGTAACATTCAACTCAAGCTACGGAGTAATCTGCGGCCGTGACATTTGCATTGCTGTATATCGTGATGAAAAGTGGTATACACCTGCGTTCACTGAGGGGGCTATGTGCGATCCCATGCGTTATGTGCTTTTGGCAGCTGGTCTGATAGTGGAGGCCCCAATTAAAGCGTACGACATCCAGGAACACGAAGAGGTGATAGTGTTCAACGCATCAATTGGTGTTCTTAGAGGTGTATTTATGAATGCTCCCCCGGCTGCTCCTCTAAAGAGACGGAGAAAGTTGACCAAACCTCACACGCTTGAGCGACGCACTGCAAGCAAAATCATCAGCGATCAACAAAATGCCTTCAAGCAGTCAAAAATGACGGAACAACTACCGGGAAAAACTCAACACAAGAACAAAATTCCTGGCACGCAAGTATTGAAGTTTTAGTTATAGCCTAGAATATACAGGATGTCAGCGAGGTTTCCAGTGTTCAGTCTGCTAGGGGCCTTGGCCTGGACAATGGGCTTTGCGCTGAAGGCTACACCGAATCCAGCGCGGTCCATCATTTTCAAGTCGTTTGATCCATCACCAACGGCAACCGTGTACTCGATGGGAATGCCCTCCTTTTCAGCGATCTCGGCTAGCAGCTGGGCCTTGACTTCGGCGTTCACGACACGCCCAACCGTTTTGCCCTCCAGTTTCTCGCCATCGTCGGCCAGCACATTTGCATATGCATAATCCAAGCCCAGCACCTCTTTAATCCAATCGACAAACGGCTGGAAGCCACCAGATAGCACTGCCATCTTGACGCCGTTCTCCTTCAGGCCCTTACAGAGCTCGAGAGCGCCGGGGGTCAAGTTCAACTTCTTTTTGATATCATTGTAAACTGTAACGGGAACGCCTTTGAGAAGCTTGACCCGCTCCTCTAGAGAAGCGTTGAAATCAAGCTCTCCCCGCATTGCGGCTTCAGTAACTCGTGAAACTTCCTCTTCAACACCAGCATAGGCTGCAATCATGTCGATAACTTCGTGCTGTATAAGTGTAGAGTCCATATCGAAAACAACCAGCTTTTTTTGTCTGGTAGGATGCGATGGTTGAACAACGATATCAACCTTTGACTCATTGCTGAAATTGTACAGTTTGTTCTTGACACCATCATGGTAGCCCTCCAGTTCATACTCTATAGCAGAGCCCGATGGATTGAGATCCTTGTGGTTTGAGATTGCAACGTTATTCTGTTGAAGAAGCTCTACAAGGCCGGTTTTGAAGCCTGCAGGGATTGTAGATTTACTCAGGGCAGTGAGTACAGTCATAGTACAAGGATTCAGCACGAACCTCTCTGATACCTTTTTGTTACTGATTTTTTAAGTCTCTCCGCAGCGGTGCCTAACCAGAATCGCGCTCGCTTGAGGGTGTAAAGAAGACTTTATTATGTGAGGGTTTCTCCCACGGAGTTTCCGTCAGCTGAAGCTGGAGCTGGGCAATGGATCGTACTTTGCTCTATCGGGAGATAGTTCGACTAGCCAACCCTTCAGCGGATCAGGTAATTGAGCCAAGAGACAGTGTTGATGCAGTAACTCAGCAATGTCTGTCCATCGCGACGACTCTTCGAGGACTTGAGGACCGACTAGCGGAGATCCGTGGCTCTTATCTTGCCACAGCAGGCCGCGGTCAATTAAGCGAGTCTCAGTGCGACGAGATTGACTACGATGTGAACAGAATTCTCCAGCAGGAAAAAGTCAGACTGAGAAAACTCGAAGAGTACCAAAACGCACAGGCTTCTGAAAAGGCCACAGGATTTAAACGGCTGCTAAAAGACCCAAAACTCGAGGAAATCAAGCGTACACTGGAAATGCACAGGCAAAGGATGTTTGTCTACTTGACTGAGCGACTAAAACACGTGACTGATATTCACGTTGCCCAGAAAAAGGCTCGAGCGGCTAGGCTCAAGGGCCGTAAAAAGGCTGCCGCAGCAGTATTGCAATCACATTCCCTGCCCACACGAGCTAGTAGTGCACCAAGAGCACCGGTCGCAGAGCTAGAAATCTCAGACCAAGAGCAACAGGCTTTGCTTTTGGAGAATAACGACCTGCTCCAGGATCTCCAAGCTACTTTGGATCAAGCACAGCATGCAGAGCGTTCGATGAAGGAGATTTCGGAGATCCAGACCGAATTGGCAAACCACCTTCACACGCAGACCGAAATGATCTCGCAAATGATTGACGACGTCTTCAAAACCACCGATGATATTGGCGGAGCTAATGTTCAGTTGAAGCAAGCTAAGGCACGCAATCGCCGTGCCTCCTCCATCATTGTTTACTCGTCATTGATCATTGCGATCCTACTACTAGTCTACGACTGGCTTCTTTAATTTCTTATTGTGCTCTGTCAATCGAGCCTGTATCTTAATCTATAGCATATGTGCTGCTCAGGTCGACTCTACGACTCCACCACCAACAGTGAATCCATCAAGACGCAAAACAAACCGGCCAAGATCTTTGCCGTCTTTGTAGGGCAAAAGAACTGTTGGCTCGGTTAGCTCCAAAGTCACAAGAGCAGTTTGACGCTTAGTGAGATGGCGTGGCGGCCTACCGTCCTTTCCAACAAGTGATATGATTTTTTTCAGCTTGATTGTTTGGTTGACACGACCCATATAGAAGGACAGTTTGGATCCCGTCAAAATCGGCCGTTTTGTGTCGAACAAAACGATGCGGGCATCGAACGCTGTGATCGGCTGAACAACAGCTTCAGGACTCGACAGCACGTCACCTGGACGGCAATACTCGACGTCCCAATCTATTGAAAGCTCTGCCACATCTCCTGAGATAGCCATTTGGTTGCCTCCAGCAGCCACAGCCTTGACTGTGCCTGGCAGGTCTCCGCCTTGAGTGATGTTCAATAAGGGATCGCTTTTCTCAATAGCTCCAGATACAACCTTGCCAGTAATTGTGGAAGTTGATTGATGATCCTCTTGATATACATTTGAGACAATGAAGCGGAAAGGACCGCTATAGTCGCGAGCACGAACATCGAGACTCTCCAAAGCTTCCACAAGTGAGGGGCCCGTGTAACCGGGTGTATTAGATCTCTTGACAACATTGTCACCGGTTTTGCCGCTGGTCGGAACAAAAATTAACTTCTTGGTATCGTAGCCAATCATGCGAGACAAGAATTCAGTAAGCTGAATCTTGATATCTTCAAACCTCTCCATATCCCAATTTTCCATATCGAGTTTATTAACGGCAATAACCAGGGTATCGATTCCCAAACTGCGTGCCAGAATAGCGTGCTCCTTTGTCTGTCCGTCCAGGGAAAACCCCGACTCGAAGGCATTGGGGCCTGCGTCGACTACCAGAACAGCGATATCAGCTTGAGAAACACCTGCAATCATATTAGGCACATAGTCACGGTGACCGGGGGCATCAACAACTGTAAATCGAGTATTTTCAGTCTCAAACGAGGCTTCGCCAATATCAACTGTGACACCTCGCTCGCGCTCTTCTTTGGTGGCATCCATGACCCATGCCAATGCAAATGAGGACTTGCCAATTTTCGAGCTTTCTCGCTCGTACTTGTCTATGGTACGCTTGGATACGGCGCCGCTGTCGACGAGCAGTCTACCCATCAAAGTTGACTTGCCAGCGTCGACATGCCCAATTACGACAAACGACACATGGGGCTTTAGTTTCATGCTCTTCAGCTGCGACAAAAGTTCATCCTTGGGCTTGGTCTTTTTCACCACTTTAAGAGCCTCCTTGGGCTGAGGTTTAGCCTTGGGCTGGAAGGCATTCTGCTGAGCAGCGAGTACCTTCTCATCAGGGCTGAGCTCTGAAAATGCACTTTTTGCTTGAGGTGCTGTTGAGACTGTGTTAGCGACGTTCGAGCATGGAGCTACAAAAGAAGAGGCACCCAGGAGGGCTCCAAAGCGTGATGGTTTCCCCATAGATGTACTGGGATCGAAAACGGTCTTCTCGAAAACTATTGGCGAGGGAGACCGTTCTTCTGAAGGCAAAGGGTTTGTGGGTTCGGCAACAACCTGTCTCTCAGCCTGCGAAGACGAATTAGAAGGTGGAGGGGACTCCGAGGCAGTTTTCCTAGCTTTCAGACGGGCGGCCAGCGCCGAAGTGCCTGAAGAAGAGTCCTTTGACCGAAGTCGTGCTAATGCTGCAATACCCGCGCTTGGTTTGATCTTACCACTATCAGGAGGGTCCTCTTTCGGGCCCTGTGCCTTTTTCTGTAGAAGCTGCTGTAGCTTTGACAACTTACCTTGGCCACCAGATGCGCTCGCTGGCTGTTTCTGTCCAATTTTGGGACTCGCCGCAGGTGAAGAAGATGCTTTTTTCAATGAAGCCGACGATCCAGAGACAGGTGTAGCCTTCTTGCTTTGCTGGGCTCTGATCAGGGCGATGGCAGCGTCGACATCGTAGTCAGTTTTCTCCAGAGCTTCTGCGGCCTCCTCCTCTTTAACCTTTTTGCCAAACACAGCAAAAATCTCATCTAGTTGGTCGTAATAGTCGTCATCATAGTCAGCCATATCATCCTCGTCGAAATGCATTTTCCGTCCTGGGGCTTCAAATGAAGAATCGCGAATTATTCATCACCAACGACTTCGTTTTATTTAGTGGGCAGTTGGAACTTGTTCAATTTCGCAAACTAAAAAATGGTGCCAAATTTGCCTCAGGTAGATGTATTTGCTGTCCCCGAGCCTCGCTACGGACGATATTTGTCCAAGGACTGGTCGTTGCGCTGGCCGCTGTTCCGGGCTCGACTTGCCATCGAGGACGGGCCAGATTTCCTCAAGGCCCAGATTGTGGATTCCGAAAGCGGCGAGCTAATTGCCGAGGCACCATATAACGGCCAAGGCGGAATCAGACTTTGCTCTGATTCTTCACGGCATTATGTTGTTATTGCTCGAAAAGGAGAGGTCAATGCGGTACTCGGAATTGGCTTTGTTGACCACAACCAAAGCTTCGATTTCAGCCTCGTCCTACAGTCTTTTGCCAGAAGAAAAGCTGCCGAGCAGCGAATGGATTCTTCGTGGTCTTCCCGACTTGTGGCATCTCGCGCAAGTAGCGATACCACGAGCTCACCATTGGCCCCGGCATTGGCTCCTCCCCCCGGCTCCTCCAACCGCTGGTCCAAATTTGACTCTGATTCATCCTCGGAGGACGAAGCTGTGGTTGAAAACAAACCTGATGATGGTGAAGATGATTTTGGAGACTTCCAGTCGTAGGCAAAATCAAACAGCACAGTGTTTTTATTTTATTTATATACAAAACATAACCTTTCTTTCACCTTCAATTATGCATCGCGAAGCCAAAAGGCCTTGCGGCGTTGTCTGTGCTCGCGAGCACGAGTGCGCTTGTCGTTCCAGATGCTCTTGATAGTGGCGAGTCTGGAGTTCATTTCCTGGGCCCGCTCTGCGTTGGGCTTCGACAAAATGCCAATGACATGCTCGGAAACAGAATACTTGCTCGCTAAAGCCTTACGAGTCCACTTTTCGGGCTCCTCGTTTCGTAGACGCTGGATCTCGATGGCATCGGCCTCCGTCAGGTTGGTCGTCTTTTCTGCTGGTGTTTTCAGTGCTGGCATGTTGGCAATATCATATGGCTTGGCATCTTTCAACACAGTGCGTTTGTCGCTCTTCGGAACGAAGGCAGCAGGAGTCTCCCATGCGGTGGGGGCTGCCGGGCTGGGATTATAGACAAGACCCTCGGGCAGAAGAATTTTCTGCTTGTAAGCACTTCGTACAGGGTTGTACTTTGTAGGGAATCGGGTCTTCACTGGGGTTTTGTGGGCTCTAGCCGTAGAGTAAAGCCGACGAAACATCTTTTCCGCTGGTGAAAAATCAAGTTTCCCTGTGATGATTAATCGGACTTTAGATCTCCAAAGCTCAGCGAGCTTGTCGAGCATAGAATTGGTTTTGAAATAAAAATAGTTAGAAAAAAATATGATACCCGCAACTAGCAAAGCTCGGCTATGCAATCACTCTTTCCAATTGTGGCTCCATTAAGATATTGCATTGCTGCACAAGCTTCTTCGCTAGTGGTGAATGATATGTAAATGCGTTCACCTCCCGATGTCACGTCTAGGTGACGAACATTGCCGAATTTTTGCGCAAGCATCTGTAAGTATGTGCCACCATCCGACACATTGACATTTGACAAAACAATAGTGCGCGAGTATTTTGAATATTTGCCGTCTGGCACCTTCGGAACTTGAGCAAAGGCACTGTTTGCGAGGGCCAACTGATTTAAATTGGTATGCTTGGGCTTGAATAGCGGTCGGCCTTCGTTTGGAAAGTCAACAAAAATCGCCTTGGCGCCTGGAGATTCGGCCGGAGTAGCCGGGGTCTCACTATCTGCAGTTAGCGGTGTAAACAATGGGCTCATTTCTTCGTTTAGCGGATGGACCCAGTGCTCCGGCTCTTGCTCGGGATACACGTATGAAGTGAATTTCCCATTGTAGCTCTGGCAAACTTTCGCGATGCTTTCGATCTCACTCCTGTAGCATTCTAGTGCACTAGAGCCGTAGCTTTTTTCCTTCCAGTTTTCCAAAGCAACAGCAGTAACGGGGTTGTCTACTTCCACGAATCCTTGCTTGAAGAAATACTGGTCCAGGTCGTCGTAAACGAGAGTTGCTCGAATGGCGTCTCCAAAATAAAAACGCAGGCTATTGAATAATGATGTAGCCGTCCAGGCCTGGGGTATTTTTTCAACTCGCAAGACTCGAGTTTTTAATAAACTGCCTTTTGCTTGGCTCTCTGCCAGGTCGAATGAACCGCTGCGAAATGGGGTGTCACTGGCTGCCGATCCGCCGTACCCACAAACTAACGAGATGTTTGAGCTCGATGACACCGAGCTATCCAAGAGCGTCGTACAGCGATCCCCTTTCGGCGCTTCTGAGCATGCATACGGACCAGGGTACCGGATCACGGTCCGGTCGTTATCTTGATCGGCAGGAGTCGCAATAAATGCAGGCAAAAACAGCTCATCTGCCTTGCCTAGAGGTACCGGGGATCTATCGTATATTGACTGCGACCCTATCGGCGTGAGCGTTTCTGCAGTGCCTGCCGACACCCGGTCAACATCTCTATTAACGGCGGGTGTTATGCAGGATGCGTAGGTGGTCTTGCATGAACTCTCTGACCGGCGCCGGGACCCTTGACGGAACTTGTACTTTTGCTTGGTTCTGCAGTTACTTTTGCGAGCTACAACAATAGGAGCACCATCGAAACTCAGCCGATTTGGTGAGTTGAGGCATTTTTCAGCAGATTCTGTTCTTGCAAATTCCACAAACCCGTAGGTGCTGTTGCGAGTGGGTATCGGTTTTTTAATAAAAATTGAGGATACCGGGCCGAACGGAGCGAGCAAGAGCTCGATATCCCGAGCAGTGATGGCAGTATCCAGGTTTCCGAGGTACACGCACTGCTCAGAGTTTTTGTTCCTGTCGACATGCAGGCTCTTGGCAGCATTTCTGTTCGACGGACCAGATGCGCCTTGCTTAAGCGGGACTTTCGCCATGGATATTATACAAATGAGCGCTAAAAGTTCGTAGTCTTTGGGGTAAAAGAAACAAAACTCGAATTGCCTTGGGATGAGGGTACCACAACAAAAACGGCCACCTGCACCACAACTGAAAAAAAGTATCGTTCACATGACGAGAAGTTGGAGGCCTTGGTATCGTGGGCCGAAATAGTTAAACCGTGCTACAGGTCAAGCACTTGCGTGCTGCACGGAAGAAATCGGTGACGAACCCCTTCCCACGCTTTTTGTAACCACCTGCCGCTACCACATGGAATGCGTCATAGGAGCATTGATCAGCGTCTTATCTTACTGATCAGCTGATCCCCACAATAATTTAAGCCGTTTAGGGCGGCCAAGGAAGATTGTCTAAAGTCCGATTTTGTTCATAATAACCCATCCACGTACTATCTTGACTGATTGAACGGCAAACCACCCAATTTGCTATGAGTGTCCAGGTACAATTCTTGGAAGCTCGACTAGCCGTTATCTCCGTGCCCCTTGAACACTATTCACATGTGTTCCATGGCATCGCCAGACTTGCCCTAGGCACCTGGAAAGCCATTCGAACGGGTGATTCTGAGCACACACGTGATAGAGACAATTTCCGCCACGATTATTGCGACTTTGAGGAGGATTTGAGCGACTACTTCCACAACATTTCAATAACCCCCACCGAGTGCTCCATTATTTGCCGCGAGGATCTGATCCAGCCGGTGTTTGGAGACGAATATCTGAGCTCCCTAAAGAATGTGGCGGTCTTACCCCGTCGGTATATGGCTATTAAAGTTGATGCTGCAGGCGTCTCGAGCGGGAACGAACGAATACTGACGTTAAGTTCCTCTCTCAGCGCGGCTGGGATCCCCATATTTTTCATGAGTACCTACTTCAGTGACTACCTACTTGTGCCCACCGACGTGAAGGAAAAGGTTCGAGATCTTCTGGAAAAAAACAATTTTGTATTCTCGAGCTTGGAAAATTCGTACATAGCCCTGCAAAACCGGTCGGACTCGTCGTCGACTTCCAGCCTTATTCTCAATGACGACGAAGACGCCCGGCTCGAGGGACCCACAGCCGACAACAAACCCTTGGAAACGTACCATTTGAAGCCGGCGTTTGACCAGACAGAGTTGCTTATCACAGGACCGCGCAGCCAGAGCGACCTGGATCTCATTGAGTTTGCTGTACTCCGCATTCTCGCTCGGAGGCCGTGCTATTTCTCAATCACGACCTATGCGGACGAAATTGCCCTGGTGCTTGAAAAAGAAGATGCCAGCCTCTTCCCACCCGATAGTCTAATGGGCTCGCAGGACGAGCTCTATATTCCAGTTACACTAGATCTCCGACAAGTTCCCGTGGACGTGGTGGGCGTTGTAGCGGAGGTGGCAGCAAAATTGGAAGGATGCAAAATTCCAATGAGCTTTTTATCTACGGCTATGACTAGTACGGTCTTTATTACGAGGGAAAACGCAGAGCATGCCAAACGGGTATGTGGCACGGACTTCCAATATTGAATGTTTATAAATCATCTAGTACACAGCGATGTGGCAGACCCTTGAAAGCGACCCCGGGCTGTTTACGGAGCTGATTGAACGACTAGGCGTAGAAAACGTGGAGGTTAGAGAGCTACTTAGTCTTGATGTTGATTCGCTGGAACAGCTGGGCAAAGTGTATGGTCTATTGTTTCTGTTCAAGTACCGCCGGCGAGAATATACGGAGACCAGCGACCAGGGGGTGCCTGCTGAGCAGTCGAATGTGATATTTGCCCACCAAATAGCACAAAATGCCTGCGCAACCCAGGCAATTCTCTCTGTTTTGTTGAATACGCCTGGGCTGGACTTGGGCCCCCAGCTAAGCGAATTCTGTGAATTCGTACAGCACCTTGACCCAGAGAGTCGCGGCGATGCGATTGCGATGAGTGAATTTTTGCAAACCCAGCACAATTTCATGTGTCGACCTCAATTGATGGTGAACGACGGCCCGACGCCGATAACGAGCGAAGAAGATGACGGTCTTTATCACTATATTGCATATGTACCCACAGAACAAGGTCTTTTTGAGCTCGATGGACTCAAGCAAGCGCCCGTATTCCACGGGGCAAGTTCACTAGAAAACATGGTCAAAGTCGTTCGGAAAAGAGTCGATAGGCACAGAGGAGACCTCCGCGTCTCTCTCCTAGCCGTCACGCAGGATATGCGCCAAGTGTATGAGCAGCGGGGACAAATAGACCTTCTTGCTTTCGAAGTGGAGAAAAGAGCACAAAGTACAAGAGAAAATGCCCTGCGAAGAGCATCGTATACGGAATTGATTTTTACGCTATTAAAGCAGTTGGCAAGTAAGTCCAGTGACGACGAATGGGATCAACTCGTAAAGAATGGAATAATTACTCGTAATATGCAACGTTAGACCTGTTGGAGTGTCTCGAGAAGTAGTCAAAATCAATGCTCACTGCGGTCGCCAGCGAAACAGCCCTTTGCTCCAGGGAGAGCGGGCTGGACGAACCTGGGTAGCCAACTTCGTTCAACGAGGCGGCGTCTGTTCTCAAAACATAAACGCCAGTGTCTGTAAACATCTCTCTTGCCAGCCCCACCCAGTTCCTGTCAACAGCACCAACAATGCCTCCATCCTGGCTCTGAATTGGGAAGGCAAACGACAAAAACGGGGCGTCGACCCTACCGAACTGCTCCATTTCCGCCTGCTGGCGATTGAACAAGTACAGGTTGTAGCGGCGTCTCCATAAATGCCATTCTTGACGGCTCTCGCCAATCAGCCCCTCGGTAGAGTTGCCATCGTAGCCCGGAAGTAGGCAGCGGATGTGCGAATTGATGAACGAAAACGGCCGACGAATCGTCATGGCGTGCTGGCCGCTGGCATCGTAGACATTGACCGTAAAGGGCCGGTGTAATCTATAGAACTGCCGGCTAATCATTTTGAAAAAGCTCAGATCGTCCTCCTCCATGTATCCCAACACTTGCCCCGATGGGTTGTAGATCGTATATCGGTTTGCCTGCTCGTATCCCAGGAAAACATTCATCATTTCGAGCTGACGCTCGATCACCAGAGTCGGCTCGGACAACAGGTTTGCCAGCGCCTGCGGAATGGGGGTGGTGGGCACCGGAGACACTGGCGTGCCCAACTGCCGAGCAGCGCTCGCGCCGCTGATTACCGGCTGATTGTCGACATCCGCCTGATTTACTCGCTTACGCAGTTGTGGGCGTGGCGGTGTGGGTACTCGGGAACGTACCGGAGTATAATATCTCAATCCAAGCCGCAATGGCTGAAACCTGGGCCGCAAAAGCATAGGTTTAGTAAAGAGTACGAAGATGTCTCGAGCTCCCAAGTGCTCATCTAACCGCTCTGCTCACATAATATCTCACACTGCCTTGAGCTGAAAATTTCCAAGGGGTAAAAATGTTTCGGCAAGTACGGAAAATCCACACTATCCCGACACTATCGTACGACACAGCCAACGGCATTCCGGGCCTGTTCTCGCCGTCGGCGTTGCGGGTTGCTTGGACAGATCATCAGACGGACATCGTGAGCAGACTGAGCGAGGCAGTGGTTGACACAGACAACGAGGCCCGTATTCCGTTCCACATTCTTCTAAACACTGCTCGTCGAGCAGATCGTGCGCATGTTTTCAACTACGCATCGCAGGCCCACAACAACCATCTGTTTTTCGAGTCGCTGACCTCTCACGAGACCGCGGCCAAGGCCTCGCCCTCGCCTGCTCTTCTTCGCCGTATCGAGGAGCGTTTCGGCAGCGTTGAGAACCTCAAGCAGGCTTTTAAAGAAGCAACCGCTACTGTGCATGGAAACGGATGGATATTCCTTATTGAGCAGCCAGACAAGAAGCTGGACATTGTCTCTAGTCATAACGCCGGAACGCCATATCACTTTGGCCGCCAGCAATCGCTTGATTTGGCAGGACCCGTGTCAGAAGACGACCTTGCCCACCTCCAAAAGCTGCAGCACAAGATTAATGCCAAGGAAAAGAACTTTAACATTGCCCTTCTTGCCCTGAACCTCTGGCAGCATGCCTACATCTTAGATTTCGGTATCGCCGGTCGTGAAGATTATATCGAGGCTTGGTGGAGAGCCTTGGATTGGAACAAGATTAACGCTCGTCTTTACAACTAACCTTTTGTTTGTTAACCTGTATATACTTTAATGGCTATCCCATATCTGAACGTCCGATCTGATGTGCTCTGCCCTTTAGTCAACCATGAAGGTTGAAGAGCTCGCGCCAGCTCTTGCCGACGCGCTCGGTAAAATTGAGCTTCAAGAGCGGCTTGCAGAGTCAATGATAAGACTCAGTAATACGTTGCCGAGTTTCGAGGCCTTCGAATTGGCCTGCTCAGGGTTCGGTCGCTTCGACAGCGGTCTGCTTCACAGAGTTTTCGACTCCAGAAATGCAATTGAGCTCGAGCCCACTGAGTTAAATGAACTAGATGAACCCGAAGACTCTGAGGGCTCTGATTTGGAACAAGACAGGGCTTGGTACTGCGACGAGCCCGTAGTCCCTCAAATTGAAGATTTCGACTCGAGCAGAAAGGTCCCGCGCGAGTTTGACGATGAAGAGCATTCAGCATTCAGAATCTTTGTTTCCAATCTGGTTCCTGACTTTCTACGCTCTCAAAATATATATTCTACATCCAAAAGCCAGGTGTCTCCCGTCAGGGACCCGGAAAGTCAGTTGGCCCGTCTCGCCAAGGCAGGCAGCGAGATGGTCAGATCTCAGAGACAGAAACATGAAAGAAGTATGCAAGCTCGCAATGCATCAAACATCGAGGGCAGTATTCTTGGCAAGATCATGGGGCAAAGTAAAAGGGAAGCAGCAGTTACCACGACGGCTGTTAAACGGGTTAAGGAACGAAAGCTCAGCAGGGAAGAGATCTTAGCCCAGAGACAAAGTTTACCAGCGTTCGCGATGAGAGAAAAGATTTTGAGCACAATTAGAGAGAATCAAGTTGTGATTGTTATCGGAGAAACCGGTAGTGGTAAAACAACCCAGCTCACCCAGTTTCTCGCCGCAGACGGTTATGCTAGGCACGGGGTCATCGCTTGCACCCAGCCAAGACGTGTAGCAGCCATGTCGGTTGCTGCTCGCGTCAGTGTGGAAATGGGAGTAAAGTTAGGTGAAGAGGTTGGTTACTCGATCAGGTTCGAAAACGAAACTAGCGAAAAAACCATCATCAAGTATATGACTGATGGCATACTTCTTCAAGAAAGTTTAAATGATCCTCTCTTGGACAGATACTCCTGCATTATTATTGATGAAGCACACGAACGTGCTTTGAACACGGACATCATACTCGGTCTGTTGAAACGTGTATTGGCTCGACGGACGGATCTCAAACTTATCGTCACCTCGGCCACTATAAACGCCAACAGATTCAGTTCATTCTTCGGAGGGTCCCCGTTGCTCAAAATCGAGGGAAGAACATTTCCAGTTACCTCGAACCATTTATTAACAATGCCCGATGATCATGTCGCAGCCAGCGTAAAGCAAGTTCTGTCAATTCATTTGCAGCAGGCCGCTGGTGACATTTTGGTATTTATGACCGGCCAAGAGGATATCGAGGCTACTTGCAGTATTTTAGCCGAAAAAGTGCAAGCAATGGAGAACGCCAAACCCCTGGAGATTCTTCCTATTTATTCGCAGCTCCCAGCAGATTTACAAGCCCGCGTGTTCTTGCCTGCGACGCCAGGAGCTCGTAAAGTAATTGTTGCAACCAACATTGCAGAAACATCTCTTACTGTCGATGGTATACGATATGTTATTGACGGTGGCCTGGCCAAAATTAAAGTGTACAATTCTCGCCTAGGAGTGGATACGTTTCAGGTTGTGCCTATATCCCAAGCTAATGCTGCCCAGCGAGCAGGTCGTGCCGGCCGAACAAGTGAAGGCTTTTGTTATCGCATGTACACGGCTGATGCCGAGAAAAATGCCATGTTTCCGCAAACGATCCCAGAGATCCAGAGAACGAACCTTGCCAATACCATGCTCACACTGAAAGCCTTAAATGTCGACGAAATATATGACTTTGATTTCCTTGACCCGCCGGAAAGCAGCAGTGTCTCGTCAAGCTTGTATGAGTTATGGGCGCTGGGGGCGCTTGACAGTGAAGGTAAACTTACGGAGCTGGGATTAAAGCTGTCTAGGTTCCCCATGGATCCGTACATGGCTCGATTGATTGTGTCAGGGGTGGAATGCAATTGCTTAGACGAGATGCTGTCCATCGTTTCGATGATGTCGGTTCCAAATGTTTTTATCAGGTCTGCCGAGCGGGCCAAAGAAAGCGATACTGCTCGAGAGCGTTTTCTTGTAGCGGAAAGTGACCACCTCACTTTACTGAATGTGTATAGCCAGTGGTTGGCATTCGGTAAAAGTGATCATTGGGCGACAGAACACTTTTTGCATTCCAAGTCGCTCAGACGTGCTCATGAGACACGGCAGCAGCTTGTCAAGTTGGCCAGATCTTCTTTTGGAATAAAGAATGTGGAGAAAGCAAAATCACTTGATGACGTTCGCCGTTGCGTGTGCTCCGGTTACTTCCACCAAGCTGCCAGAACCAAAGGGTTGCAAACGTACCAAGGCATCCGAAACAATGTTGTAATGAAAATCCATCCAACTTCGGCCCTTTATGGCCTAGGGTCTTTGCCCGAATACATTGTGTATCATGAATTGATTCTGACAAGCCAACAATATATGACTGTGGTCACAGCTGTTGACCCGGAATGGCTTTTAGAAGATGGCAAGGCATTGTACACAGCAGATGAGCATTTCGTGCCAGCAATTGAAGATTCACAGCAAAAAAAGGCGCAACCAGTTTTCAAAAAATCTAAGAGCTCGAATTTCAGGGCCAAAAAAAAGTTCATGAAAGGCGTGTAGTTTTATGTTACAGAATGATGTTATCTAAAATGCGAAGGGGCGTTCCAGCCGCAGAGTTGAGTGCAATGGCAGCACTCAGAACTGAGCCTGGACGAGCGTTTTCCTGAGGACTCAAGCTTTCCAGGTCAGTGATCTCGACATATTCGATGTTTTTAACGACAGGCTCGGCCGACAAAGTCTTCTTCACGATGTCGACGAGGACTTTTGAGCTTGTCTCTCCAGCGTTGTACTCATTTTCGGCATTTTTGAGTGCTCTATAAAGAACAGTAGCCTTCTGTCGAGTTTCTGGATCAAGGTACTGGTTTCGCGAGCTCATGGCCAACCCTGATTTTTCTCTGGCGGTTTTGCCCATGACGATCTCAATTGGGAAGAGGAGATCTTTGACCATGCGACGGACTACTGAGACCTGCTGAATATCTTTCTGGCCAAAGAAGGCTACGTCGGGCTGAATGGCATTGAACAGTTTCGACACTACTGTTGCAACTCCCCGAAAGAAGTGAGGTCTGACTAGGCCTTCAAGCTGATGCGACAGGCCTAATACCTCGACAAATGCACCCACCTGTTTTGTGCGATCGAGCTCAATACCAGAAGGATACATCTCGTCAACTTCCGGCATGAAAACCACAGGCTCAACCTCGGGGCGAGCAGATCGAGAAACCTCAGTGATCTCCGCAATATCTTTTTCGAAAGACCGAGGATACTTGCTCAGGTCTTCGTGGGGCGCGAATTGACTTGGATTGACAAAGATGGAGATCACCGTCGCGGGGGTAGCGGCCATCGACTGACGAATCAGATCGATGTGGCCAGCATGAAGAGCACCCATTGTGGGTACAAACCCAACCTTTCTCCGGGCAAGTGTTTGAGCCAAACGCCATTCTCTTAACTTCGTCAAGCTGCGAATAATCTGAACCATGGCCAAGAAATCACTGGCGAGCTAAGAGTCGGCTCCTTACTAAGTGATGAAAAAAAAAATAACCCCCCAGTTCTGCCGATATCCTGATGTGAGCAAGTGTCTTAGGCCTCTATGAATAGAAACAGAAAAAAGTAAAAAAATGGCCAGTTCCAAACAGTGGCGAGAATGATTTGAAGGTTTCAGGGCATCATTTTTGGTTTTGGATGAAAGGTTTGCAGTGTGACATGCACCCCGCTTTTAACGTTTCTAGAAGCCGTACTTAGTTTCTCAAGTCACGCAGTGATTGCAAGAATGATTTGACGCTCTTCAAATAGGACAACCGGTCTTATTGTGAGCGTCCATTCAGATCAGCAATTGTGGCGAGATCTCTGCACTTTGTGGCTGATAAGGCGCCTGCATATAATCCCCTGCAGGAACGATTTACCTCGGCAGACATCGACGATCTTGGACGCCGTCATAAACCAGCATCTACAACCATACAAAATAATGGCTAGATTATTACGGGTCATAGAGCGACGAATATGGGCACAATCACCATAAATTAGGTGCCACTCGCTACTACGTCGCAGGACGTGCATCTCGCTTGGGCTGCTTGTTTAAGGCATGATTCACTGGATCTAAGGAGTTCGTGTCCAGGTGGAGAAAAAGATCCCTTCCTGAAAAACAGAGCTTGAGTTCTAGATAAAGGACCAGCCCTTTGCATTAATAGCAGCAGAAATACGAGCATACATTTACTTCACTGAGGAACCCGAAATCGCCGAGGTAGTGACGGACAGCGTGAACAGCACGAGACGATCGTTGCTGCACTACTAACGCCAATTTCAACGCTTTTCCTAGAATTTACTGGTGTTCCAATGAAAAATAATAGCTGCGCAATTTGAATGAACCTCAAGTATGAAAAATAGTGACCTATATTGTTGCTATAGCCTTGAAACACATCTACTTGTGAGTGTCACAGCATCCACTGTCGAGAAGAAGCGCCTAAGCAACTCTTTTGGGAATTTTGCAGACAACCCTATTCTTTATCGCCTGCAGTTTACTACATGTCAGTTTTAAGGCGTGGTAGCGAAAATACTGTCCTAAAGAGAGCGTTTTTCGGGGTACTGCCCTTTCCGGCTTGCCAATGTTGGGGTGCGCTTTAGAATATACCTAAAGCTCACCGCTAGTCTGTTGTTACTCGATCACTGGTTATGGCATTCCGCGATGGGCACAAGGTTGTATGCATCACCCTGTTTCAAGAGTACGCATAGATTCAAGAGAGCGCAGATGAGCACAAGGATCCGGTTAGCAACGCCCCAGATACTTCAGATGTCTTTTAGAGTACTGTTATCATGAGTTATGTTTCGTTCTATGGATATAGCGATAGTAAAGTCTAATAATGGCCCTGCAAAGTGCCATCGAATGAAAAATGACAGAATACGCTGATTCCTCCTCTGACTAACCGGCATAGGGGTTCCGATATCAGCCGAGTGAAAAATCCAAGAAACACACCCATGAGCCGCAAAAACGTGCTAAAACTACCGAAGAGTATCAAATGAAGTACATAAGACGAGGGCCCACAGAGATGGCCCTTTAACTTGAACATTTGCTACGCCTTTCATGTGAGGCATGTGACCAAATTACGATCGAATAGGCCCAGGGTCAGGAAGGCGGCAGCGCCTTTCTCAAAAAAATTCGCTTAGCCGTCTCGGAAAACTACGGAAATTTATCTGCACCACACAATTGGTCTAGCTCCTTTGGTTTAACTTTAAGGCGGTCGGTATTTCCATTGGGTTAACTTATTATTTAGTACCATGTTCCAGCTCGCAGTACTGCTGCGTGCATGGTCGGGCTGCTGCATGCGAGGCGAAAGCAGCTCTCGATAAGCTCTTCTACAGTTTACCACGAGCTTTTGGACCTCGGACAAATACATATCGAGTATTTTAGAGCATTAAAGTAGTATAAGCAAAAAAAGAATTTTTTTCGTCGTCGTTTCGCTGCCCGAGGTATCTCTCCGCCGCTCAGAGCCCTGCCTTCATAACTGCGGTAGCTTACCTATCTGGGACGGCCGTCCCTCGGGGGGAAACTCCTAGCGCAGGACGATGTAGACCATGTAATGGTACAAGCAAAAATGCATATCGTGTAAATACTTGTATTCAGTATATTAAAATCTTTTGAGCTCGTTAAAATTACTCGTAGCAACGCTTCAAATGTAGAGCTGCAACTCTCGATGATATTCCGTATGCTTATCCCAGGACTTGCAGCATACATCCGCTGTGCGGGGATCACAGATCGCACTGGCCGACAGCCATTTAAAAACTCTCAGGATTTCCGGCGTTTGTCACCGCGATCCTATAAAGATTACCGGACTGGATCAAGAAGCCAAAAATAACACTGCTTGTTACGATGGAGTCCACTGAACAAAATGCATTCCTGTTCTCTGCAAATTCTTCTGCAGCCTTGACGGTAGGCCCAGAAGAGAAGTTGGTTCTGATGTCCCGCCTCCAGCATCCCATTTTGCGCAACATTGCCTCTTCGAAAGAGGATATGAGTGCCCGGCAACGTTGTGTCAACCTGTTACAAACAACTGTCCAGGATATCATGTCCACCGACAGACCCTGCGACGAGGACGACGATTTGGTTGCCGCAACTATAGACTCTGCTCTGCACTCAGAGATGCCGTCGCCTTTGACTAACCCAAATACTAGAAGGCCCTCTCTGAAACGAGGCTCAGAGGCTTTTGATACACTCTCCTCTTATTCTGTGTGCCGCAAGCTCAAATCGCAAAGTGCCATGTTACAAAACCTTTGTCTGGCCAGCGATGGCGCATCATGTAAAGTATTTTGGGATCTTTGGGACGAGGTTTTCGTTATTCTTGCTGAAAACGTGCCGCTGGCCAAACTCAAAAGCGCGCACGAGGGACGGATGTTCACTCCAAACAACGACGCGGCCAGTTACATTGAGTCAGACACCGCACTTCGCCCATCTAAATACCAGTGCGGGTCTATGTCAGAAGAATGCTTCCCATCGCGTGCGGCATCAATTTCGAGCAGCATCGTGAGTGTGCAAGCAGAGCCCGTTTCGCCACCTATTGCCTATGGATATACCCCGTCTTTCGCTGCTGGCTTCCAAGACTTTGAGACATTTGAGTTCGAGTCTGACCACGGCGGATGTAAAGATCTCCGCCAACAGCTTCTCGCCATGGACGACAGCTCTCTGTTGCCTAGGTTCGACAACAACCACCTCTGAACGTTGGGCTGGTTTGCGTAGAGAGACAAGCCATTATTTATTGAAATATCATGTCGCATTCAATAACTAAATCAGAAAATGTGAAAATATATTGTACAAAATAGTATACTAGGGTATGCACAGATATCGTATCGTGAAGCTCGTAACATCGTAAATAATTTAGGAGGGGGTTAGCGGGTTTTGCTGGGACGCACCATACGGTCCCACATCTTGCTTCGCACGGGGCGGAACATGTCCAAGGGCGAAGAAGTTACTGGGGATACCAGATCGTCGCTACCCTCGCTTCCCGAGGAAAAAGTACTGGACAGGTCCGACCGGGTGGCCGCGGCGGACATGCCGTTGCGGTTGACGAAATTGCCAAGCCCGCCGCGACCAATCATGTATTTGCGGGGCTCGATTTCTGATTGGCGGTGCATTTCATCGAGATACTGGTTAGGTGTGATGGGCTCGAGCTCGCTGGCTTCGATAGTATTGCCAAAGCCACCGCGACCGGTGCGGAATTTGTAGGTCGGAGACTTGACGTGCTGGATGGGCGCCGGGCTGATGGGCACTGTTTCAGGGATGTTGGCCTTGACGTAGTTGCCAAAACCGCCTCTGCCGGTTAAAACCATGTTGGGATTTAAATTCTTCAGGTTAATGTGATGGGGGTGGAACCTTCTGAAGCGCGGGGGCTAGAAGAAGGATAGTCCGAATATGCCAAGGGAATAATAATGGGCCAGCAAACTCTTTTGGTGGACAAAAAGAGTGCTTTCGTGCTGGATGGGCTTGCTGGTTCCACTAGTTGTGTTGCGGCTCAAGTTAAGAAAACTTTGAGCCTCACCGAGTTGACTTATAAAAGGCATCAAATTTGCGGGGTAGGGTAGGGTAGGATTGGTCATGACGCACTCGCCGCAGAAATTACCTACTAGAGGCCGATCTCAACGTGGCCCACGCCGACTTTAAAGCCTAAATAGTAGTTGGATCTAAACTGAATTAAGATGAGTTGTACTAAATGGCTCGTCAACAGGTTCTCAACTATTACAAGTCACCTAGAGACATTTTTTGAGGCCGTTGCACCGAGGACAATGTCTGCAGCATGAAAAGCCCTCCGCAATGTTGCAAGTCACGTGCATGCTTGCTATTGTTCGTTCTGTTGTCCCAGTGGGCCTGGAATGACGTGCGAAAAAAGTGAGTTTTTAGATACAGATCTGACTTTAAGTTTAATAGGTTGATTTTTTTAGAAGCATCTAGTGAATCCTCGGTTTTTTCTCATCAATCTCGCTTCTCAGCTGTGGGGTATACACCACGTGGTCTGCTCATCGTCGCGCTTGTTGATTTTTCGGTTAGGGCAGCATGTCTGGGGCGAGGCCCTGCATGAGCCTTTAAGGTTCTTGCCCATGACTGAAAATACTACAAAGTTTGCATATATCAAACGCACCAAAGGTTGGCCGAGAGTCTATTCAGCAAATCTCGCAGGCAATCTAAAAAAAAGCGAATAGTTCAATTTAGTATCTAAAATCAGCAGATCAAACGCACGGCCGCGCTACTTCGCTCAACCAGGACAAGGAGGCACAGGGTGTGGGGCAGTCCTTTTCCAACAATGCAGAGGGCCGCCAACGATCCGGAAGTCACGTGAATGATCCGAAGAACAAAGCCGTTCGCCTAGACTTTTTTTGGATCTGACGTCGGGTACATATCATATTAAGGTTTGCTATAGACACAGCACACTCATTAGGCCCTGGTAAATTTCCAGTGCGCCGTCTAGTCAAGCCAGCCAGCCCAGCCAGCCAGCCTCGTGGGACCCCATTAGCTAACCGACCGGCCGCTTGCTTGGCTCTGTCCTGTTTAAGCGTGTGGCAAGGGGCGAGATGCTCAATGGCCTAGCAGCACAATTACAGGAGCGTGCTGTTGAATTTAGACAAACAAACGACTCCATTGACATCATACAGTACGAACCAAACGTCGTGTACTCCGTCATCCCATGGGCTGCAGATCCGGAGACGCCCGTCTTGTATTTTTCGGTTTACAACGATGACTATACACCGGTTACTGCGCTCGAAGCAGTAGTTGACATCATCGGAGCCCGCGAAGATGTTCGGAAATTCATCTCGCACTGCGAACACCCAGTAACCGGGCTGCCTTGCTTTTTTTTACATCCGTGCAATACGAAAGCGATGCTGGATTCATTAGGTCAAGATAAATACATTCTTTGGCTGGCGGGCGTGGGCAGATCCGTTGGCCTAGCTCTCTAGTTTGCTCTCTAGTTTATCTAAAATGTGCGAGCGTGCTTTCGCATAGCTGATCTTTAAAGGTTTGCCGAAAACAGGACGCTCTTGCAGTTTGGCCAGGGCCCGCGCAGCACATTCCTCGCGGGCATAGACTATGTGGGCCTGGCCACGCATCTTGGGCGATTTGTGGGCATTCACAGAAACAATGTGACCATAAATAGAAAATAACATGTACAGGGTGTGGCGCAGGTCGCCTATGGACACTTGATCATTGAGGTTGTGTACGTACAGAGTACTTCCCAAGCCCGTAGGCGGGCCAGGCTGGCTGGCCGTCTCACTCACACGTGGCTTTTTAACGGCTGCACTAGTCTCGGGCTTCCCAGCTTTGCGTTTAGCCATGTAAATCCCCTTGGTTCGTTCAGTCTTTTCCCCCGTGATGGACTCGGCACAGTCAGCAACCCGACTAGCCATGTTCTCCAAAGTCCGGATTGAGGCGCGGACGTTAGAGGCAGACTGCGACCAGCTGCTCTCGCGATACTCGTCGCTGGGACCACACGCTGAGAACGCCGGCACTGTAGCCAACAGTATCCAAGACAATCTCAATGAGCGCGCAGACAAAGTTGAGAGCCTGTTTGAGCTTGCAAGCGAGCCGGAAGCATCAAGCGCATGGAGACATCAAGCACAACGGCACCATGAAGTGCTAGAGGATCACAAAAAGACGTTTAGTAGGCTTTCCAACCAGTACAAACTTGAGCAGAACCGCGAAAACCTCTTATCTTCTGTTCGCTCCGACATCGAAAGTCACCGTGCACGCACTCCGCAGGACGAAAGTACGTACTACGCAGACGAGCGAGGCCGTATTGAGCAATCAAACTCATTGGCTGATAGTCTTTTGCAGCAGGCGTACGAAACGAGAGCCGAATTCTCTCGCCAGCAGCAGGTTCTGAAAAACGTCCAACGCCGCATCTGGCACGCTGCGAGCAAAATGCCAGGTATCAACACACTTATTTCACGAATCAATACGCGGCAAAAGCGGAACTCGCTCATTATGGCCGCGGTCATTACTATATGCATATTATTCTTGATCTTTTTCCATTAGGCGTACAGCTCAGGGGCGCTTAACGTGGTATGGTTTCCAAAGAAAAACTCCGGGTGCAGCAGTTTTCGTTGCTCGGAGAACCGTAATGCAACGGTGAGTGAATCAATCACACAATCGCTCACCCCCACACCTCGGCCTAGCGCCATGCCGGTGAGAATCACTCGGTTGTTGTAGGTCTCGGCTGTGGCCTGATGAATATCGTGGATCAACGCGCTGTGGCCCACCTCGTAGAGCGGAATTCCATTCTCCCATACTCGGACATTGAACTCGGCGTTGCTCTGATCAAAGTCGCCTACATACTTGCGGATTGTTGCCGCAGCGTTCGCCTCAGCCTCCCCCGGGGTCAGTTCGCCTTTCCATAAATCGCCTCCCATCATCACAGTCATAATACTCCCCTCGATGGCAGGAACCTTTTGTTCGTCTTCAATAGACACTGCGGCATTCCGCACCGACGAGTCAAAAATGATACCCAAAGCGTGCTCGGGGTTTCGGGCGTCTTCGGTTTTGGGAATGAGAATCCCAAACCAGTCTTTGGCAATTGGCTCTGCCGTCCGTACGTTAACAACAGCAAGTGTAGTTCCTTTAAGCTGTTTTGTTTTATCTTTGATCGCATCAGTGAACATAGCTTGGTCGGCCACCGTGCTGTTCACAATGTCAGCCTCCAACTTGGAGCCATCGGTCAACGTGAGGTACACTTTGTCGAGTCCTGGGGCGAGGCTAGTCACGCCCACACCAAAATGAAGGCTCACGTTCTTCCGTGTCGCGAGATCGTCGGCAATTGTCTGAGCCATGCCTTGAATTCCGTTCTTGAACCCAAGCAGGCTGTATTTGGAAATATCAGGCAACACTGCAGGGTCACTACGCTCCGGTGTGATCATGGCGTCAGTTAGAAGCGGAAAAACCTTGTTCGGGTAGTCATTAAGATAGCTCAGGGAGCCGCTGAGTGCGGCACCAACTACTGACATATGCTCTGTCCGTTCGAGGTAGTACAACCGATTCAGCCTGGCCACAGAACGAGCACTCAGTTTCGAGACATCTGCCGCATAGATGCCCCGCATCAGAGCTGACAGGAACCGGTCAACAAAGTCTTTGCTGAACCGGCGGCTCATGAAAGACGCTACACTCTCATCGTCAATTTCGCGATCACGCGCCATTTTAAAGGGCTCGCCAACAAAAGACTTGAGAAGCCCCTTCATGATAGGACTGCTAGACAAGAACGAGGCTGCTCCACCTAACGATCTCGGCAACTGGACTGTTTTGCCGTTGTAAATCAATGCCTTTTGATTTGTCGCTGCAGATTTCGGAACGCCATATACCTGGCTACCTTTGCCCATTTGCCACAACATCTTAAGCAAAACCGTAGTTCCTGGGTGTGAAGGTAACAAAGTCCGTGGTCCGGACTCAAAAAGTCTTGATTCAGATACTGAAGTCAACATTTTTCCGCCCGCCTTTTCGTTAGTGTCAAATACATGGATTTTGACGTCTGGTCGGGCACGATTGAGCAGCCACGCCGTAGATAATCCCGAAATACCGGCACCAATTACGGCAATTGTCCCGTTTGGTTTCAGATCCTCCAACTTTAGTACTTCTGTTTCTTCATCTTCCGTGATCTCGTTCCAGTCCTTCATTGATTCAACCGAAACTACTGGCGCCCGCGGAGCTGCTTTAGGCTTGCTCGGGGTTTTGGGGCTGTTCTTAACTGCAGCCTTGACAATTCGAGCAAGTGTCCTGATGGGCATATTCCTTCTGGTTGTCGAGGCCTCTTGGCTCATGAGCTTCGGATTCTTGACGTACTTTCGCAGCACAAACAGCCCGTCCTCCGGCGGCTTATCCACCTCCAGCAGCTTGACCCACTTTTCGTCATTCAATTTCTCTTTGCGAATGAACCTCCCTCCTAAATATCCACCTGCTGGCTTGGCCGCTTTGCCCACTGCGGTTTTTCCAATCATAGTCAGCACGCTTGGAAGCACCTGATGGTTACATACTGTAAGTGTAGTGGTGAGCGATCTGCTCCTTTCCCAGAAAATTAATTAAAAGTCTATAAAATAGAGCTGGAACAGGATTAGAACATGCCATCAATTTGGCCGTCGGGGGATACCTCAATGTTCATGTAGCCAGGCAACGTAGGGAGACCAGGAATAGTCATGATTTCGGCTGCCAAAGCATAGAGATAGCCGGCACCCGAAGACACCTTGATATCACGAATAGGAACAACAAAATCGGTGGGCACACCACGGAGTTTGGGGTCATGAGACAAAGAGTACTGGGTCTTAGCAATGCACACAGGAAGATTGCCAAAGCCCTGGGCCTCGTACTCGGCGAGCTTTTTCTTGGCCAGATCACTGAGCTCAACACCCTTGGCGCCGTACATCTTGCGGGCAATTGCGTTCAGCTTCTCTTCAGCAGTCGTGTTCAGATTGTACACAAACTTGACCTCGTCGTGAATAGTAGATGTGACATGCATCACTGCTTTAGCGAGATCGATTGCTCCAGCACCGCCCTTCTCCCAGTGTTTAGACACCACAGCGTCAGCGGCACCTGCGGCAATAGCAGCCTTGCGGATAACTTGGTGTTCGGCGTCAGTATCGTGGATGAAGTGGTTAATGGCAACGACAACAGGACGGCCAAACGACGAAGCGTTGGCAATTTGCTTTGCGAGGTTAGCACATCCCTTGGCAACAAGCTCAGTATCCTCCTCTGTGTAGGCCTTGGGAAGAGGAGCACCAGGCTTGACCTCAGGACCACCACCGTGCAACTTCAGGGCACGAACGGTAGCAACAATGACAACGCAGTCAGGCACCAAACCAGAGGATCGGCACTTGATGTCGAAAAAGCGTTCACCACCCATTGTGAAATCAAAACCAGCCTCAGTGATAACATAGCCCGGCTCTGGACGCAAAGCATCAGTGCCAGCAAGTTTCAGGGCAACCTTATCTGCCAGTACACTACTGGCACCAATAGAAATATTGGCAAATGGACCAGCGTGCACCAAAACCGGCGTACCCTCGAGACTCTGCATAAGATTGGGTTTAATCGCATCCTTCATGAGAGCACACATGGCACCGGCAGCGCCGATATCCTCAGCAGTGATGGGTTCTCCATCCTTCGATGAGCCCACAGTTATACGGCCAAGACGCTCACGCATGTCCTCAAGAGAGTCGCTGAGTGCCAAAATAGCCATACACTCTGAAGCGACAGAAATGTCGAATCCTGTTTCCCGGGTCAGACCCTTCTCAGTGGGGGCCTCACCAATGGTAATACCACGAAGGTGACGGTCATTGCAGTCTACCACACGCTTCCAGGTGATGGTATCATGGTCAAAGTCCAACCTGACCAGTTTTCTAACCTGTTCAGGAATCAATTCCTCGGGTGCACAATCCGGTAGACCAAGCTTTTTCCAGCGGTGTTGCATAACACTGTTCAGTTTTCCGCCAGGGATCAGACGCCTGAGTAAACCCTTATCGGTCTGGGTCTGTTCGTGGAAAATACGCGTGTCAATAGCCGCAGCAAGCAAGTTATTGGCTGCAGTAACTGCATGAATGTCACCGGTGATGTGAAGGTTGAACTCGTCCATGGGGATAACTTGAGCGTAACCACCACCGGCGGCACCACCTTTAATACCAAAAGTAGGACCCATAGAAGGCTGCCGAAGATTGGCAATTGACAGCTTGCCAAGGTTACCTAGAGCTTGGGTCAAACCCATGGTTGTTGTAGACTTGCCTTCACCCAATGGCGTAGGGGTAATTCCGGCAACCAAAATGTATCGACCGTTCTTGCGATCTTTCAGTCTGTCCAGAACGGAGAGGTCGATCTTGCCTTTATAGCGGCCATAGGGCTCAAAGTCACTCTGGCTCAGATCAAGATCGCTAGCGATCTCTGTGATCAGCTTGGGCTCGACGGAGCGAGAAATTTCGATATCGCTAGGAACCGGGGTCTGGGGCTTGATTGTGATGAGATTGACTTCGGTCTTTGAGCGGTTCTCATAATAATATTTTGCAGCCTTCACGACGTTTTCCATTAGCATGGCCACAGTCATAGGACCTACACCACCCGGCACTGGGGTCAGATACGAGGCCTTTTCAGCAGCTGACGGATCGACATCGCCAACAAGACGGTGACCGCTCTTCTTGCTCTCGTCGGGAATCACGTTGATGCCAACGTCAATGACAACAGCACCAGGCTTGATCCAGTCGCCCTTGATGTAGTTTGCACGGCCCAGTGCTGCTACAACGATGTCGGCCTCACGGATGTAATCTGCGAGACCAAGGGTGTGACGATGGCACACTGTGACCGTGGCATCGGCGTGTCGGAGAAGAGACGACACAGGGGTACCCACGATGTCTGAGCGGCCAACGACGACAGCCTTCTTTCCGCGGAGGTCCATCTTGGTTTCTTTCAAGAGCTTCATGACACCAGCAGGAGTGCAGGGAACAAAACGAGGAGAGCCCGAGCGTTTTGCCAGCTCGCCCATGTTGACGGCAGAGAACCCATCGACGTCCTTGGACGCAGCCACCAGATTGGTGATCCGCTCTTCGTTGATGTGCTTTGGCAGAGGCATTTGCACCAGCACACCGTGCACCTTGATGTCGTCGTTGAGACGCTCGATCTCAGCAACCAGCTGACGCTCCTTGGTGTCCTCAGGAAGCTTGATCACTTTGCAATCAATGCCCGAGTCCCGAGCAGCCTTGAGCTTTGCATTAACGTAGGTGGTCGAGTCCGGGCGCTCGCCGACCTGAACAATAGTCAAACTGGGTCTGAAATCGGGGAAAAGCGTTGAGCGAATATTCACGATCTTGTTTTTGGCATCCTCGCGCACCTGCTGGGCGATAGCCTTGCCATTGAGTAGGTGGATTTCTCTAATCCAGGCCCGCCGTAACGGCTGCATCTGTCTGAAACGAAACATTGAGAAACCAAAGTCAATCCAACCCCGTTAGTACCGTGTAAATTAGGTAGCTATCTTTTTTTATGTCATACCAGTTTTTTTTCGGATCTGCATGAGTCAAAAAAAAATCCGACTTTCCATACCCACCACTCCCCCCGAGCGTGGTTATAGTAATAGCGCATGCCCAAGAGCCGAGTAGACAAAAGCCGCATTCTTGCGCAGTTCCGGGGCGCCAAAGCGCGAAGGTCACCGGAGACGAAGCCACGATTCAAGCAGAAGATCGACGAGCAACTCAGTGAGGCACCAGGCACGGGGCGGCAGGGACCGATAGGCGAGCTTATCTCAACGCGTTCTGCCATGCTGAAGATCTCTGGTCCGCCGCCCGACGCAATTGCGGTTGCTGCGCCGCAAAACAGGGCCAGATGGAACAGCCACGTCGACGTGTGTGGTTCTGATTTCTATATTGCTCTTGACGCTGGCGCCGCCCGCGACTATTGCTACTGCTACGGCCCGGGTATCTTTATTTATTGCAAGCAATTTCTAAGCTGAGGTTGACTGGGAGGATGCGAAGGTCGATTTTGCCAAAAACGCTGATCCGGCACGCTCATACGCAGTCTCCGAAAAGAACGGTGCCAAAGTTCAGTGGACGAGGCAAGTTCAATCCTGAAACCCAGGAACACGACTATGTGCAGGAGCACGACTACACTGTCACGCCGTACACCTACTCGTACCTGGCTTCAGACAACATGGAGCAGTTTGAACGGTTTCCTTTGCTGTCAAATTTGACACTGTACAAACGGAAAACCAGGCCTGTCAAGTCGAGAATGCTTGCTCGGGACTTCATCGACGACAGTTTGTACAACCCCCACTATGGGTATTTCGCGAAAACAGCCGAGATTTTCAGTCCAGACTCACCCTTCCGATTCAAGGAAATGGCTAATATCGACGACTTTCTCGACGAGTGGTCCGAGGAGTACAAACGGGCTTCTGCAGACAAGGATCTGAACGCTTCAGAAGTCGCCAAAAATCAGCTAGACAAGCTGCTAGCCGAGAAACGGACGGCAAAAGTAAATCGCCAAGTCTGGCATACTCCCACAGAGCTGTTCCACCCTTATTACGGACAAGCTTTGGCCAGATACATCGTAGGTCAGTTCAGATCGCAGGCAGACCGGAGCGAGCTAGTGCTCTACGAGATGGGTGCCGGTAACGGTACATTGATGGTGGATATTCTAGACTTTTTACGGGACAATGAGCCGGAAATTTATGCCAAAACCCACTACAATATTATTGAAATCAGTGCGAGCCTGGCGTTGAAGCAAAACGTACACAGTGCTGGTCACCGTGATCGCGTAACAGTTACGAACCAGTCGGTTTTTGAGTGGTCCAAACGCGATGAGCGGCCGTGCTTTTTTATTGCTCTGGAAGTCTGGGACAATTTTGCTCATGATTGTATCCGATACGACAACACAACCAACCAACCGCACCAGGCATATGTGGTGGTCGATGGCAACGGCGACTTTACTCAGGTCTACTCCGATAGACTTGACAGCCTAGCCAGCCAGTTCTTCAGTCTCCGTGAAAAAATCAACTATAAGCCCACTCTCCAGCTAGGTATCCACCCCTTGCAAAAGCCTCGCTTGTTACGCCAGTTGAAAAACTCGGTTTACTCTTTCCATGGCAACCTGAGCTCTCCCGAATATATCCCCACGCGATACTTGCAGTTTCTGAATGTCTTAAATGCCAAGTTTCCCAACCACAAGCTACTTGCGTCTGACTTTACCAACTTTGATGAACACATCTCGGGATACTGTGCTCCAGTTATTCAAACGTTCATGGAGGGCATGCCGATCACAATTCCAACCTATATGGCTTTACAGGGCTTTTTCGATATCATGTTTCCTACCGATTTCACTTTTGCTGCACAGCTTTATGAGCAGGTGTGCAATCGTAAAGCAATTGCGACCTCGCATGGTGATTTTTTGAAGAACTGGGCAAGCAAAGAAACCTCTACTCGAACCGGTGAAGACCCCATGCTGTCTTTTTACCGCAATACTGCATTTTTAACGTCGTAGATCTTGTGCATAAATCTCGAAACCATCACCACTTAGTCATGGATCAATCACTGTAGGTATAGAAGAGCTATATGAAGGGCTTTGGACTAACATTTCAGCGTCGTAGAGATCCCTTTTGAGACATCCGAACAAGCTAAAGCGGTGTACAATGCTATTTTCCCCGACTCGGAGCTGAAACCAGACGAGATCACCAGAAAAACCACCCAAGAAGATCGCAAGCTCGTAGTCGAGTTCAGGGCCAAAAGCGAGCGAAGTCTGCGGGTGGGTGTCAACAGTTTTATGGACACACTCGCCCTTTCCGTAGAATGCGTTGATTCTTTTGCCTAATATTTAATATACATCCTCTGTAGTCCCTCTGAACATTTTAGTCATGTCCGAAACACTGTTTGGCACTGCGGTTGCCAGTGTCACGGCTTCGGTTGTCGAGTCGTGCGTCACATATCCGCTCGAGTATCTCAAGGTGCGTGAGCAGATTGCGATTCGTCCACTTGGAATGGCCGAGAAGTTTAGAGTGCCCAACTACACTTCGGTTTTCTACAAGGGCTCGTCGGCCCTTATTCTGGGCTCGGCAGTCAAAACGATGGTTCGCTTCCGCGTATACAACTGGGCAACAAAGTTCATGACCGAAAGCTCTAGTGGCAAGCCATCTGCAATTGCTAGTGCAGGCCAAATGGCGGTTGCGGGTATTTTGACTGGCATTGCCGAGTCGGTGATTTTGGTCCCTTTTGAAAGCGTCAAGACCACCATGATTGAGTCTAGTGCCTTGGGTAAAGGTTATGCTGAAGGGAGCTTGCCTGTTCCTGGCTCTAAAGGCACAGAGGCCGCTTTCAAGACTACCACCACGCCGCGACCGGTTTCTTCAAACGCGGGAACTAAGCGGCCTCGTCAGATTCGACCCCAGATTGCCGTCATGCCGCAGAACTCACTTTACGAAGTGTCTGAAGCGCAAGGATTCTTGAGAACGGCCCAGAAAATGTACAGCGATCGCGGTGTTCGCGCATTCTGGCAAGGCTTTAATCCTACAATCTTAAGGCAGATTGCAAACTCCTCGTTGAATTTCACAACTTACAATTTCCTGCGGCAGATTTTCACCCCTAATGAAGAAGTTATTGGCCTCACACCTCTTGTCGCTCTCACAGGAATCACTGGCTTGGTGCAGGCGCTGGCCACTCAGCCTATTGACGTGATCAAGTCGCGTATGCAAACTACAAACGGTCTCAAGCTCTATGGAAACTCATTGTTGTGCGCCTATCGTATTTATAGTGAAGAAGGCGTGGCAAGACTCTGGGCAGGTGTTTTCCCCCGCTGGCTACGTATTTGGCTCTCTGGAGGTATCATGTTTGTTGTTTACGAGCAGTCGAACCGTCACATTCAATCCCTGATGAAGGAAAATCCATTCGCATGGAAGTAAATAAACTTAATTAACTAGACTATATTTTGGTACCAGCCCTCGGTGTTGGTCAATGTGCATACACCACTGCCCTTGACGAGACGACCGATCTCATAAACGCTTTCGGTCTTGGAGAAAGTAGCCTTGACAGCCTCGGCTTGCTCCTTCTTGACTACCACAACCATACCGATGCCCATGTTGAGAGTCTTGGAAATGTCCTTGACAGGAACGTTACCCGCCTTGCCCAGCCAGCTGAACACAGGAGGCAGAGGCCACGTCTTGACATCGACGACGGCATCCAGAGTCTTGGGGAGAATGCGGGGCACGTTCTCAACCAGACCACCACCGGTGATGTGAGCAAGGGCAACAACGCCGCCCTGGTTCGGCTGGCGAATAACCTCCAGAATAGACTTGACGTAAATGCGAGTGGGGGTGAGCAAAGACTCGCCAGCACTCGTCTTAGGGTCCCAGGGAGCTTTGTCGGTGAACTGAACGTTTTTCACCTCAAGAATACGGCGAACAAGAGAAAAGCCATTGGAGTGGATGCCAGCCGAAGCTAGACCCAGGAGAACGTCGCCCTCAGCGAGCTCATTTAGACGAGGCAAAACCTGGTCACGCTCAACAGCACCAACACAAGTACCGTTAGCGTCGTAGTCGTTACCGGTATAGAGACCAGGCATCTCAGCCGTCTCACCGCCAACCAGGGCACAGCCGGCGTCGACACAGCCATCAGCAACACCTGAAACAAAGCCTGCGGCAACTTCAGGGCGCAGTTTACCACTGGCAAAGTAGTCGAGGAAGAACAGGGGCTCAGCGCCTTGGACAACCAGATCATTGACACTCATGGCCACGAGATCGATACCAACAGTGTTGTGGATATCCATGCTCTGTGCAATCATAAGCTTGGTACCAACACCATCGGTAGCACCCACCAGGAGGGGGTCTTTGTAGCCGCAAGCTTTGAGATCGAAAAGACCACCAAAGCCGCCGATCTCAGCGTCAGCACCAGCCCGCTTGGTAGAGGCGACCTTGGCCTTGATCTGCTCAACAAACTTGTTACCAGCATCAACGGAAACACCAGCACTTTCGTAAGTAATCGCCTGCGCAGAAGCAGCAGCATCGGCAGCCTTGAATGCACGGTGAGCGATATCGGTGCGGAAGTAACGGTTGGAGAACTTGACAGCATCGACCCCGCGGTAAGCATCATCAACTGCCGCACGAAGTGTAGGGGCAACGGCAGAAACAGCAATAACACGACCACCATTTGTGACGACCTTGTCGCCAACTGCCTTGGTACCGGCATGGAAAACTTGGGCATTCTCAGGCAGAGAACCAATGGTGATTTCGTCACCTTTGGGGTAGTTGCCAGGATATCCGCCCGCAGCCAAAACAACAGTAGCAGCATAACCAGGGTCAATCTCGACGTCAACGGCGTCCAGACGGTGCTCAGCCGCAGCCAGCATGATCTCAGCCAAGTCGGTCTTTAACAGACCAAGGACGGTCTGGGTCTCGGGATCACCGAAACGAACATTATACTCCAGAACCTGAGGGCCCTTTTTAGTGAGCATGATGCCGACAAAAAGAACACCAACAAACGGGAAGCCATCCTTGCGCATACCCTTGATAGACGGCTGAAGGATGGTTTGACGGATCTGCTCAATAATTGCCGGAGTGGCAACGGGAGCAGGGGCATAAGCACCCATACCACCAGTATTGAGACCAGTATCGCCATTGCCAGCCCGCTTGTGGTCCTGAGCAGGAGGAAGATCGATGATAGTGTAGCCATCGCTGAGGGCGAGGATCGAAAGCTCATCACCCTCGAGGCACTCTTCGACGACAACTTCGTCACCAGCGTCACCGAATTCCTTGTCCTTCATAACCTGTTCAAGAGCGGCGTAGGCCTCCTCTTTGGTCTCGGGCATCAAGACGCCCTTTCCAGCCGCCAAACCAGACGCCTTGATCACGACCTTGTGGTCCACGCTGGCCACATACTGCTTGGCCTTTTCGAAATCAGTAAAGTTCTGGAATGCAGCCGTAGGGATGTTGTGCTTGGCCATGAAATCTTTTGAAAACGTCTTGGAGCCCTCCATGCGAGCAGCTGCCTCGCTCGGACCAAAGACAGGAATGCCCACATTCGTGAACTTGGTAGTGACGCCCTCAACCAATGGCTGCTCCGGGCCGGGAACTACCAGTTTGACGTTGTTTTTCACTGCAAACTCAACAAGAGCATCGAAATCTGCCTTGGAAGAGCCAATCTGCAGATTCTCTGCTTTGCTTAAATTGGCAGTACCTCCGTTGCCAGGAGCAACAAAGATCTTTTCAACCAGCGGCGACTGGTTGAGCTTCCAGGCAAGAGCATGCTCGCGGCCGCCGTTGCCAATCAAAAGAACATTCATTTCCTGAAAAAAAAAAATTGGGCAGTTAGTCAGATGCAAGGTGACGAAAAGCTCATGCAGGTCCTATAATGGGTGGATCCAGTACGGATAATAAATAGATACCAACGCCAGGTAAGGCGTCGAAATACTCAATTTTGTAGTGTTTGGAAAATTTGGTCAGAGCAGTTTCGAGGACCTGCTCGTCTCGGAGTTGAACAACGATGATTGTGGGACAGGGGCCTACGCACTGTTGCACGCTTTGGATGCCCTGAATGAGCGGTTTGATGAGAAAGAAGTTGTAAATTGTGTCGACGGCAACAATTACCGGCTGAGAATCAAAAGTGTGCGCAAACTCGTGCTCCTCCCAGTCGAATTCAGCAACGTCGACGTTGGTGATGGACGCAGTATTTTTCTTGGCCAGCTTGATCAGAGCTTTCTGATCGGTAGCCAGCCAGGGTTGTCCGGTTTTGGGAGCAAGCAGGCGGGCCAAGGCACCAGTTCCACTGCCCAATTCAACCACTGGGTTGTTGAAAATCAAGTCGTGCAGCGGGTTGGCCGAATGATGCTGAACCCACTCGGCGAACTTGGGGGTAGCGCCCCAAACTACTGCGCCGGTGCTTTTTTCATGCAAAAGCGAGGGCGATTGGACTATCTCTATTTCGTCATCTCCGTCCTCGAGCACTAGACAATCGCCACGATCGATGATCCCGAGCCCGCTCTCCCTTTTGCCCGTCGCTAGCTCCCATATGTGGTCCTCGATCTCGAAAGGGCTGATTATGGTCATGTGCTTACTTTATATGGAGAGAAAAGTGTGAATGTCTTTTATTTGATTTAGATGATGTTTTTGGCTTTAAGAAGTTCTGCAATGAGAATGCCCGAGCCAGCGGCGCCGAGAACTGTGTTGTGCGACAGACAAACAAACTTGTAATCGAGAACCTCGTCGTCACGTAGCCGGCCGCAGGACACAGTGTAACCGTTGCCTGTGTCGCGATCCAGGCGTGGTTGGGGGCGATCGGGTTGATCCAAGTAAACAATTGCATGCTCGGGCGCCGATTTGCACTTGAGAAGCTCGCACTGGCTCTGGTACTCCCGCCATGTCGCAATGATCTCCTCCTTGGAGGGCTTATTCTTGGCAAACTTGATGGACACAGAGGCAGTGTGGCCATCGATAACAGCAACTCGCGTAGTGGTGGCCGAGATCTTGAACTCATCCTGGGGGATATGCAGGAACGTGCCGGTAGACGCATCGACGTCGCCCAGAATCTTGCGGGGCTCCATCTCGAGCTTGTCCTCCTCGCTGCCAATATATGGAACCAAATTGTCCAGGACGTCCATGCTGCTAACGCCAGGACTGAACCCAGCACCTGAAACGGCTTGCATAGTGGTGACCATCATGTGGGAGATGGGACCGAACTTTTCTTGCAGCGCCTTTAGCGGAACAACCAGGCCAGCAGTGGAACAATTAGAAATACAGATGTGGATGCCCTTGGACTTGTCGTGGTTGGCAAGATGGTCGAGGTGCTCGGGGTTCGCCGTGGGCACCACTAGAGGCACCTGCGGGTGTTGGCGGTAGTTTTTGGCGTTGGAAATAACATTGATTCCGTGGTTGACAAACTCCTCCTCGATGTCACCGGCAACATCACTGTCCAGACCACTGAAAACAACGTCGCAGGAAGTAAAGTGCACGGCACTGCACTCGTGCACCGTCAGGCCGGAGCTCTGCGCCGGAATCGGCTTGGTCTGCTTCCAGGCGACAACGTCACCGTAGGCGCGGCCAGAAGACCGCTTCGAGGCACCCAATGCCACTAGCTCGAACTCTGGGTTCTCTTCAAGTAACAAAATAAACCGCTGGCCAACCGAGCCAGTAGCTCCTAACACTCCTGCCTTGATCGCCATGGATGAAATGAGTCAACTTCCCAAAACCTCGCGGGAAGTTTCTAGCCGTCAGAGGTTACTCAGCGGCAGTGTAGATGGACAGGGCGGTGCAAAGAACCGACCACGATGCCATTGCGTCGAAGCTGTCGGCAGTCAAGCGAGGCTACTACGAGGACGAGTACCTGGAGCTGTTTTGCCCCAGGTTCGAGCCGCGATTGCCCCTGATCAACATCGGCACATGGTGTCGTGTGCGGGCAATTGATCAGGCTATAACCGAGTTTCTCGAGAAAAACACAGAAGGTAAAACCCAAGTTATATCTCTGGGTGCTGGGTCCGACACGAGGCCGTTTCATTTACTGCCAAAGCACCCGAACCTGGTTTACTACGAGATCGATTTCCCGACTCAAGTGCGCAAAAAGGCGGCCATTGTTCGCCGGCACTTGTCTCAGAAGGTGGAATTATGTGATTCGGCGACGCCGGTGACGCTGGAGGGCGATATCAACACGTCAAGGTACCACTTGTTGGGCCAGGACCTGCGGCAGCTTTCGCTGCCTGATCTCGACGAATCGGTGCCCACTCTCATTATTAGCGAGTGCTGTTTATGTTATTTGGCACCTGAAAGCTCACATTTGGTGCTTGAGTACTTTGCATCAAGAGTCGCCCACCTATCTATTGTCCTATACGAGCCCATTGGCCTGGATGACGAGTTTGGACGAGTAATGGCCGAAAACCTCATGATGAGAGGCCTGTGTCTCCCCACATTTCAGAAATTCAGCACACTGGACTCCCAGACATCCCGCCTCAGAGAGCTTGGGCTGACGCACACAATATCCGCCAAAGACATGGAGCAGTACTACAACGACCTGCCCAGTGCAGAGCAGAAACGCATCCACCGGCTGGAGTTTCTGGACGAGGTCGAAGAGATGAATCTCTTACTGAGGCACTACTGTGTTGTGTTTGCTGGAAAATGAAAAGCTAACTAGGTTACAAAAAAATAGTAGTCTAACTAACTTTGACGAGAGCGGTGGGGGCGCTCATAATCGTCACACACACATCAGCGGAAGGTCAATGCCTGGGGACTTAGGCAATGACACAGAAAGCAGTCGAAGTGCTGTAGGGATCAGGCAGGCGCCAGTTGGTCTCTGTGGAGGTGGGGATAGCGGCAATGGGAGCAGACTTCATTGGAATAGTGTTCGTTGTTTGGGATGAGGAATAGAGCCCCTGGCGGTCCTTTTTATAGCTTGTTCTGCTATACTGCACGCTGATTTCGGTGGTTTTGGTGCTGCAGGTGCAAAAGTGTGCATGACACCCGCGAGCCTCGATTTGGGCCTGTCTCGATAATCCACCGGGCAAGTTCAAAAAATAAACTGGTCTTACGCTCTACAAATGGATTTTTTTGTTGTTTGTTGCGACATCCTGACTCGACTCTCCAACATGCCAGTTCAGTTCATTGTGCGCTTCCTGGATAGGAAAGAGGCTCTTGAGTGGATACAGAACTTGCGGGGTGCGGTGCAGGAGCTTTTTTTTCAAAAAAATAAATCAGCTATATACAAATTCGGTGCTAATAAGTGTGCTACTGCTGAAATCCAGTGCTCTCGTGGCCGGTAGAAACGTTCATCACTTTGTAGGTCTTGCCCATGAACTGCATATCTGTAAGACGGTTGTAGGCATCTGCAATGCGTTGTTTACCTTCTGCGGACTGTTGGCTGTTGGCAAGCACAGTTGCTCTGGCTCCAATGCCCATTTGGTGAAGCCAGTCGCCCTGCATAACAGGGCCAAATGAATTGAGAGATTTGAACGAGCTGAAAATGTCTTTCAGGGCCTGGAAGTCGACGTCGGCGGTCAAATCAGAGTCGCCGGGCATATCGTAAGGACTAACCTGCTTGTGCTTGCTGAAGCCACGGAAGGTGTTGACAGGAATAGTTGAGAGAGGACCGTAGTCAATAATTAAAGCTGAGCCGGTGTTGGAGGACAGGGTGTGGCCGATCTCGCGAGCAACCTGCCAGCTTTCGGTGGACAGTTCGATTTCAGAGGTCAGCGGCAGCTTGGTGAACCGGGGCTGAGCAGCTAGAGTTTGGCTCATTAGCGGATTCACGGGCTGCAGCGTGGTCTGAAACTCGTCCTCGGCCTTGTTGAACATAACCATGCGCTCCTGCCATCCTTTTTCAGTCAACTGGAACTGCTGGATGGGCAGTGCGTCGAAAAATTCATGTGCAACAAGATACGTCGGGACTTTGTCTTTGGGGACCTGTCTGGTCATTTCGAACCAATTCAGGTTCAGGCCATAGCGGCCGAGTCGCTGTTTCTGTAGATTCCGCAGCGTGGGACTGGCCTCGACCAGATCAACCGTCTGGATAGCGTTGAAAAAGTCGGGGAAACTTTTGACCGTGCGAAGCAGATCGTCCATGAGGGTTCCGCGACCGGGTCCAAGCTCGGCCAGACGGATTTTTTTCGGACTGCCTTGCTCCATCCACTGCATCAAGATGTTGATTCCCACCAGCTCGCCAAACATCTGCGAGATCTCCGGAGAGGTGATAAAGTCGCCTTTCGATCCAAAGGGGTCTTGCTTGACGTAGTAGCCGTCCGTGGGGTGTGTTAAACATTGCCTCATATAGGTAGAAATGGGTATAGGCCCGTGAGCCTCGATAGCCTGCTTGAGCGAGGTTCGGAGCATGAGATGACGTACTCGGAGATTTCCCCACAAAAAAATAGGCGCGACAGCCAAGAACCCTAAAAGCAAGGTGCTTGCGAAACGTGCTGGAAACACCCGGGATTTACAGGTTTGGCGTGCGTGCTCCCGCCTGTTCGGTCCAGTCACCTGAGACTCTGGGGCTCGGCTATAGATCTCGGGGTTCGATCCGCTGCCTTTGGCCGCCCGCTACTGGCTACCCATTGATTTAACACAACATACATCTATCTACAAACAAGTCACGAGCCATTGCAAGAGCCACATGCACCATCCTGCACTTGGCACCGTTGGACGCTCGAATCCGGGAAGTCGGTCACCCGATGCTGCCTAATTATAAAGACAACCAAGTATGCACAAAGTCCCCAGGAAACATGGTGCGCATGCCAAGTATCTTTGTGGGCCACGGCTCGCCTATGAATGCTATTGCAGAAAATAGCTTGACTAAAGAATGGCTGGCCTTGGCAAATAAACTGCCGCGGCCCAAGGCAATTCTGGCCATATCGGCGCACTGGTACATAAACGGGTTGCAGATCACCAGCAATCTCAGCCCGGAAACGATCCACGACTTCTCGGGCTTCCCCAGACCATTGTACGAGCAGGAATATCCCGCGCCGGGCTCGCCTGATTTGGTGAAACGAGTACAGAGTCTGGTGCCCGGGGTCGCTCCGAGCGACCGCTGGGGCCTGGATCACGGAAGCTGGTCAGTTCTCAAGCACATGTACCCCGACGCAGATATCCCTGTTGTCCAGCTGAGCATCGACAAAACACGGCCCGACGCGTTCCATTACGAATTGGGCCGCCAGCTCGCTCCGTTGCGTGACGAGGGTGTGCTGATTTTCTGCAGCGGAAACATCGTGCACAACTTTGCCGAACTCGATTGGGAATCCAAGCTCAGCCCGACCCCGTCGGCCGCATGGGCTCAGGACTTTGTCTCGTTTGTCAAAGAGAACCTCGCGTTCACTGGCGACAGCTCGTCGCATCCTATTGTCAACTGGCGTCAGCACCCGCTGGGTCCGCGGGCGAATCCTTCTCCAGACCACATGCTACCTCTTCTGTATGCTATGGGTAGCTACAACGGTTCGGAGCCTGTCTCAACCCACACAGATTTTTGGGAGCTTGGAACACTGGCTATGCTCAGCGTGGTTTATGGCCAGTAGCCACACACCACCAGTTGTCTTTCTCGTATCCGCTTTCAATAATATAGCCGCCCGCGGCCTCCACATTATCTTCCAGCTCGCCCTTTCTGTATAAATGATAATAACGTTGCACGACTTTTCCTGAATCGTGGTTGTCGACCCAGGGCACCATGACGTCCTGATCCATACCTTCATGCCATCCCCGGCGGCTTTTCTCCTGCTCTAGTGCCCATACATAAATAAGACATTCTCCGTGGGTACTCAGCGTCTCCAGCACCGCTTTGACAGCGGCTATACGGCGTTCTGGAGTGCTAAAGTGGTGGACTACGGCAATCGAAATTGCAAAGTCAAACCTACCCCGGCAGTACGCCGTATGCATTCCGTCACCTCTGAAAACATCATTGGCGCTTACCATCGCTCGCTCGCTGGCAATACTAGTCAGATTCTCCGACCGATCACTGCCAATAGTAAACACCTGCGGGTACCTGAGATATTTGCCGTTCCCACCACCGATATCACACCCAACGGCGCCCGTGGGCCTTGACTTTAAGAACGAATCGACTTTGGGCCATGGCTTGTACCTTGTGCTGGAGAAATGATGGGCAATCTGCTCGTACACCTTGTGAACATGTTCGTCCTCCATGTAAGCAGAAGAAATATAAATATACTAAACGAGGAGATGACCTCCGGCTATAAACCTACTCTACAACAGCGTCCTCCGGGCCATTACTGGGCGGCTTTTCCTCGCTACGCTGGGGAGGTAACCCCCGGAGATCGCGCTGCACACGCTCAAGCTGATTGGCGACACTGTCGTGGAGCAGGGAGGAATCAAGGTCCGACAGAATCTGTTCAGCAGCGTCATTGGTCACTGGAACGGTCTTTGTAACGTGAATCACTGTGGCCATTGTCAAGGTTTGTCGACTTTTAGTGAACTAACAAAAAAAGTTTCACTGACTAACCCGATTCAATGTTCCGTTTGGTTTCGCGGCTTGGTGTTAAGCAGTTCTCGACCATCGCGAGGCCGCTGGCTCGGCCCCAAATTCTCAATAAACAGGCCGCAGTGTGTGTAGTCCCTCGTGCTCACGCCGCTGCGCCTATGGAGACCGTCGGCGTGCCTATGGCTACTCCCACTCTCAGCCTGCTTGGCCAGATGGGCATGCTCGGCCAGCTGCGCTTCAAATCTCGCGGTAACACCTACCAGCCCTCCATGATTCGCCGCAAACGCCGTGCTGGCTTCCTTGCTCGCCTTCGCACAAAGGGCGGCCGTAAAATCCTCGCCCGTCGTCGGGCCAAGGGCCGCTGGTTCCTGACCTACTAATGTACATAACTTTATTAACAAGGTATCTTTTCCCTCATAAACCGTCTCTTTATCCCGGCCGTGCTTGATTTTCCACTCCGCTTTCCTGCGTTTTAACCTCCAGCCTAGCTGACCAATTTTTTCATCAGATGCTGTCGATAGTACGGACGCCGACCCGGGTGGCTGCTCAGCCGTTTGTGCGGTTTGCGAGCAAGAAGGCCGGCAAGAAAACGGCAGAGGCACCCAAGGTTGATCAGAGACAGGTCGCTGCGCAGCGCGAGCGCGAGCAGAAGCGGCTACAGCAGAAGCGCGACAGCCAGCGGGCCATCAACAGCCTGCGCGACGAGGCAAAGCGCTCACTGCAGCTGCCCCACTCCATGGACATTCAAACTGCCTTGCGCTATATTCGTGCTGCCGAGGTTGGCCGCCCTGCTCATGCGACAACCCTTACTTTGTGCATGCGAATCGTCGCTGAAAAGGGCGCCGCCAAGCTCGCAGGCACCTGCCGGCTGCCCAAGCCCCTGGACGAGGAAATCATTGCCGTGGTCACTAACGACAGTGCTCTTGCTGAAGAGGCCCGCCAGGCGGGTGCTTCAGTCGTCGGTGGTGACGATCTCATCACTGCCATTCAGGAGGGCCGTGAGCCGGCGTTCGACAGACTCTATGCTACGCCTGAGATCATGTCCCGTCTTGGCCAAGTCGCCCGTATTCTCGGTCCGCGTGGTCTCATGCCCAACGCCAAGCGCGGCACCGTCACCAGCGAGATCGGTGCTGCCATCTCCGCCGCCCGCGGCGAAATGTCTTTCAAGCAGAGCGAAACTATGCTGCTTCTGCCTATTGGCCGCGCCTCTTTCACAGACGCAGAGATCGTTCGTAATATCCTCACAGCTACCAACCGGGTTCGAGAACTTCTTGCCCAGTCGCAGGCATCCAAAACAGGCTACATCGGCCGCACTCTTCTCACATCTACGTCCTCTCCGAGCATTGTTATTGAGGTTTAATTGTATATAACTAGCGCGTTTTTAAGCAAAAGAACTCCCTCATCACTCTTAGTGCGTCGTCGGCTCCTCCTCGTTGTCAGCATGATCCTTCTGGTTTTGGCTGCGTGGTTCGCTATTCTGGGGCCCTTGTGGCTGTTCACCTCGCGCACGTACCGGGCTCCTCTTGACCTGGAGTCCATGCGGTATTATGAGGCCAATATCGACCGTATGGTAGCCCCCAGAGTCAAGGTCTACATACCCAACAGCCAGCAGTTTCCGGACCTGGCACAGGCGGTCGAAAAGATCGCCAATGAGAACCTAGCCAGGTCTTCGTCGTACAGACTTGAAGTTACTGGCGACAGTTCGCAAAAAACCGACGATCACATCACTATGACCATCCACCAGGCCAAGGAGGTGCTGTTCGCGATCTCCGATACAGAAAAGGACATCGACATGACATATACGCTTGAACTAGTAGACTTGGGCGAACTACCAAGCATGGTTTCTTTGGTGTTGTTAAACCACGTCCTTGGCAGCGAAATTGCCTTTTTCTCAAACCACGCTACCCTCGCACACCACGTTGCCCCTTACTCGCCAGCTTACCACCTGACTTTCAGTCTAGTATATGGCGGCGGCGATGAAATTCAGTGGGACATCAAGGAATCAATGCACAGATTCGGCGCTCTAGTTCAGAAACTCGACGACTCGGTCGCTAATATCACAATTGACTCGCAGGTCGAGTACTACGCAGAGCTGGGTACCTCTCCACAGAACAACGGGACACACCATGTTCTTGACAAAGACAACCTGAGTACTCTAGTCAATTTCGCCGAGTGGTCTTTGGCCTCGACGGTAGAATACCAGACCCTCAACTTTGTGCTGTACATCCCCTCGCCCTACCAGTCACCTCTGGTCATTGCCGATTCGTCGACCAACTCCTTTTTAATTCCGCAGTGGGGCGGAGTCACAATCATGAACACAATGCAGCATCATTTGACCAGCCAAGATCTGGACCCGGTGTTTGACGTCTTTGCATCTCAACTCCTCTCGCTTCTCGGTGCGCCAACTTCCCCGTCATCTCCTGCTATTCGCATGGACATGCTGTCCAGAATGACCACGCTGCGAGCACTGCGGTCCACCGCGGCTTCTCTGGGTGCTCTTGTCCGTCTTTACAACCATATGCCCAACATTGCCATCCCGAAACGCGTGCTGAAGCACTCAGAAGCAGCAATCGAAGGCATCAAAGCGAGCTTGCATGCCCTCTCCAGCTCGGAATGGGCCAAGGCTGCTTCGCTGGCCGGCCAGGCTTTTACAAACGCTGAACAGGCCTTTTTTGACAAAGAAATGGTTGCCCAAACGTTTGTGCCTAGTGAGCATATGTTTGCAGTTTACATGCCTCTTCTGGGCCCAATTGCCCTTGTTTTGTTCACAAACTTTCTTTCTTACAAGAAGCTGCGAAGGCTCAGCGAGCAATCAAAGAAAGCTTTGGCCGAGGCTGACGCGCTGGCTGCGGAAACTAAACTGCAAGTTCAAAATGAATTAGAAAAGACGTAGTGTTTGTATCACAAAAGAATTGCTTTGAAGATTATGTCTATTATCAACAAGTGTCTGGTTGACTCGATGCTCATTGTGACGGGGGCGTAGAATTCTACTTGAGCCAGCTCTGTTTGATTCCGCGACGCTCGAGCTCCTTACTGATTTTCGCCGTGTGGTCGCCCTGCACAATAACCTCCAGGCCCGTTCGTGCCTCTTGCACCGTAGTGGAACCAGCACAAACCACCCGGAGTTTTTCTGCAAATGCCTTGGGGTCTATCAAAAACTTTTCAAGACCAGCGACTTTAGTAACGACTTTATTTCCGCCTCGACGCTCGGTCTTGATTTCAATGTGCGGGACTCCTCCTTTCAACATCTTCACGGGGCTGTCATCGTTGCTGTTACGAATAGTGTGGAACATGTTGCAGTTTTTGAGAAAGTCGGTCATGACCTGTTCTCGTTTGACTAGCGTAACATCCTGTTTTAGTCCTAATGCCTTTCGAAGGGAGTCGTCAACTTTTACTTCGGCACCAGCTGCCAGGTCGTTCGAAGAGATATAGTTATTGACCATTTTGCGCAAATCTGATGCGGTATAGTATTGGTCAATAGCCGCTGGGGCAATCACTTCGCGAGCTAACGACCGGGCGCTGTAATACAGCTGTACTTCCATTGCTGATGGTTTAGGTGCCCTTTGTCGTGATTTCGGAGCAGGCGGCAGATTTTCTTCGTTTTGCTTTGCACTCATAATGATCAGATCATTCTGTCTCTCTTTAAGTGTCATAATCCCTTGTTTTTCGGCTGATTTCAGAAACTTGGTGAGTTTTTTATAAGACGTCTTCTTGATGCTCAGTTCAGGGTGTGAGTATGGTAGATTCTCATTCAGCAAAGAAGCGAAAGACGACGATGCCATAGGATATGAGTGCGTAACTGACAAAACTTTTCGCAGAGCGTAGTCGAATGCCTCGTCCGCTTCTTCCGAAGTGAGTGTTTCGCCTTCCCCAAGATAGTCTTCATCGTCTTCTTTCTCCTCTACGGGTTGAGAGTCTTGGGGCTCTACGGGTACGCTCGGTGGCTCCTGCGATTTTCTTGGAGGCATTTCGTTCTCCGGAACAAGAGTGTCTCCCACAAAATTCACAATCTCCACTGCTTTGCCTTTATCGTCCTCTTTAACCGACTGCATGTCGACCAAAGCAAATCCGACTGCTAACAACTCACCCTCCAAGGTGCGAACCTGCACAACTGAACCGGCTTTAGCTTCTGGTAAGGTGCCGAAAATCCCGGGGATCATAAAGTCCGCGCCATTCTGGAGAAACTGCCGGGTATTGGGAACAGTGTAAACCGCTGGAACAAGATCTGGATCGATCTGAAGCATGTAAACAGTAGGAACCAATTTATCCCGCAAAACAATCCACAATGGATGAGAATCTGCGCTGAAAACCTGCGCCTTGGCGCCTGAATGCAATATACACTTTGCCGACTGCACGGCTTTCGGAAGCAGATCATTGCGACCCTCAACTGAGATTTCTAGCTGTGCTCCGATTCCTTGCAGCGTCTTCTTCCGCTCGGATCCCTTTATGGCCGCAAACGGCTTGAATGAGGCCTTCTTGGTGAACATTATGTTGGAAACCTGATGAAATCAGCATTCTCCCAAAACCAAATCCTCAAAATCGCATGTTTTCGTTTCCACCGGCGTTTGCGGCCAGCGTAATAAAATGGTGTCCGACTATGGACGTGTTTGCTGCTGGATCGGAGCGAGGCCCGGTGCTTCTTATCCGGGGCTCCACGGGAAGACAGGTCTGGCTGGTTCCAGGTCGGAAGAATATCGCAGTGCGAGGAATCCATTTCAGTAGAGATGGCCAGTTGTTGGCCGTGCGCTACGAGGGCGGAACGTTTCTTGTTTTACAGACTTCTTCTGGTCGTACGGTGTCTGCTGGTGCAGGTCCTGCGTCGTGTCTGGCCTGGCCTGAGCCACAACCTAGAGCGTCAATTGACGACGATGCTCATGTTTTAATGCCGTCTTTTGAAACTATGATGCCCCAAACTCTTGTTCAGGGCTCTCCGGTAGGCAAGTTCAAACTCACACTGCTTGGAAACCTCTCAATGCGCGAGATGTCGGTAGGGGCAGGTCCCATTACCCACATTGCAAACGAAAAGGGCATCTGGGCCTTGATCTGCGGTAACGAGGTTGTTCTGTTGCAGTGTTCCCAGATTGAGGATAGAGTCAAATTAGGCGCTATCCGTGTCGCGGATACGGTACGGGCAATCGACCAAATTAGAACCGCTCTTAAGCGATACGGGGATTTTTACAAGTCGTTTGAGGATAATATGAAACGATTTTTCGAAGGCCTCAAAAGCCCCGATAATTTATTTGCCTATTTCCTCGCCGGAGCGCATTCGAAAGAGGTTGAGGAATGGCTGTTGCATCAACATGAAAGCGGCTTCCGAAGATGGTTCAAGGCCGTGCATGCCAATCTGGAGGATATGCGTAAACAACTGTCCACCATTGTTGCCCCCAATTCCAAGGCGGTATTGATATTTTGTAGCAAAATGCTAGCCCTCCACGAAAGTTTCGCTCACGGGTTCGAGATGATCGATGCCGCTCAAGCATTCAATCTTCAAAGCCAGTTACTTCTGAACCACGTCATAAAGCTACAAAAAGATGTTACAGCCTTTGCTTGTGTTCTCGAGTTCGTCCTGGGCCGGGCTATCGATCGAGTGCTTAATATAACGTCAAAAGAAGATTGCAGTATTGACGACGCCTGCGCTTACTTCAAGTCGGATCCGCAGCCTGAGATAAATGTTGAACCTCTGGCTGATCTAGTTTCTGCTACCTGGCAGAACACTCTTGATGTCCTAGAAAAGACCGTGCAGGAAACCTGCCGTTTCCCTATTGTGGGCACGGCGGTTGATCTCGATGTGTGTGACCAGCACGTTTATGCGTTGACGGACTCTAAACTATATGTGGCAGAGCCTGCATCGGTTTCTGAGTTCGATATTTCGGGGGGACTTGCAACATCGAATGGCCTTGTAGTTGCTGTGGACAACAAGGATGTCAAATTCTATGAACAAGACCAGCTTGTTAATACTATTTCGCTCGATACAGAGCCTTCGCTTGTTGCTGCAAAGGCTAACGCTATCTGTGTGCTGCAGCGAGACATGCGTTCGTTCGACATTGTGGGTTTGAATTAGAATGGAATGTCGCATTTGATTATTTTACCTTGCTCGTCCACGGAATAGAGCCGTCGTGCGCACTGCACCAATCGCCGCCTGTAAAGGCGTGGTAAATCGAGTTTTTTCAGCTGTTCTTCCATATGCTCGATAGTACTGGGGTGAACAGGACGGAGCGCGTCTCGGAGAATCATGTGATATGCTCGTTTCAACAAGTTGCGTTGTCTGCGAGCTACTGGAAGGCCGCCCAAAACTGTATATTGTATGCGGGGATTCAAGAATAGTTTCCGCCCATTCACACCAGATGTAAGCTTATTTTTGGAAAGGAATTGGATAAATTGATAGAACATGTGCGAGCCCTCATTTAAGTTAGCCATTGCAGCCTTGTGCTGATCAAAAGTTCTAGTTCCTGGCATTTGCAAGTTGTTGAACTTGTAGGCAAGTAGAGACTTGTTTATTTCTGGCTCATCGATTGGAATCAACGTTCGCAGGGGCGATTGTTTGACACGCACTCTCGCAAACACCCTCTCCAACACTTTTTCAAGATCTTTTACATCTCCCTGATTCGCAGAAGTTAGTAAGTCAAGTTCGGCTTGTGCAAATGTACATAGTGCGGCAATTCTCCTAGGATCAGTGACGTACTTGTACGCGGAGAACCGATGGGAAGCATACTTGTTTAGATGCCGGCGTGCGAGTGGATCGGGTAGCCTATTTATTTGAGTCAGTATGTTTCGAAAAAGTCTCAAAACATTCTGCCGTGTCGGTTCGTGGATGTACTGGGGGAAGCATGCCTGTCTCAACAGGAAAAAGGGCATGGACCTGATCAGTTTAGTAATGGCGCCGTTGACGGTGTTAAAGGTTGGTATGATAAGAAAAAAATTTTTGAACTGAAATTTTTTGAAAGACTGTGGTCCACGTGGGGTTTTTTGTGCCTGAACCGACTACAAGCGCATTTCCTCGATACTACAAAGCTCAAAAATCATTCAAGATAGGCTCGATCGCGTCGGCGCGGCGTGCCCCACAGATCTCCAAAGCAGGTACCGCAACAATGTAACAGATTCTGCACCTCGATTACCTGTACTCTTCAACGATTCGCATGTCTCAAAACAGAAGGATGCATGCTTACTCTCGATACTGCTCTAGCATGCGAGGCGGGAACTAGCCCAAGAATTTAAACTTCAAGGCATTCAAACACGTGGTTATGCCGCATGACGGGCATCCGTGTTGGATCACAAGCTTCAAGACTGGAATGGACTTCCAAATCGACCCCCACTTGCAAGATGAGACGGGTAAAACTGACTCGCGATGCAGACCCCTTGGTGCCCCTCGGCCCTGCGTTTGAAAACAGCATATGACGTCATGCGGTGTTTCAAGGTACGTCCTTCCTTTATATGCCGGATCCCGGAACCGTTTCTGAAACGAGCTGTCTGCAGAATCGAACTGGTGCTTCTTGCCATATATAACGTGAGGTCAGGACGATTTCGATCACTACCTCGAATCATGCCAACTGCACATGGGCTTGACTTCGCTGCGGACTTTGCAAACTCTGCGTCGCCAACCACGGCAAGTTTCCTACCCGCGGCCATAATCATTCCTCACTCTTCAGCCATAGACCTGCCCGACGAGCTGGTCCAAAACGACTTTTCAACTGGATCTGTAATGACTCTGATGTCAGTGCCCTCGCTAATTGGCGCGGCCAACCCGAGTCAAGGTGCAGTCACCACCAGTCAGGCGCCATTCACCGGTGGCTCGAATGGATTGCTGTTGGATTCGGGCTCCCCATCGGCAACCGGGCATGTCACGAACTCAACAAACCAGACAGCTACCCTCACCATTTCTAATTTGCCCACGTCCACGGCGGTGAACCAGACGACGTCCTCCTCGACGTTCCTACCAAAAAACGGCGCCAATCAGCCCGCTTCTTTCGCAGGGGTCGCAATGGTTGCTGCAGTGTTGGCTCTTATTTAATTGTATATTTTGCACTCGATCTTTATTTCTTAAACCACTGTTCACTTAACTACGCTTTGTCATCCAGCCCACGGTTCATCATGTCAAAAAAGGGAGATCTGGGTGCCGACCACCGAGAGGAGGAAGAAGAAGAAGAGGAGGAGGACCTCATCAATCATATTGTTGGGGGCGCTTCTAGCGATACGCAAGATATGGAACGTGAGCGAATGAAGCTACTGCTGGCGAATTTCGACGAGGACCAAATGGCCAGATACGAAGCGTTTCGTCGAGCAAACATCAATCGAAACGCCGTCAAGAAGCTGGCGAATGCGATTTTGAACCAGTCCATTAGTGCAAATGTGTCGGTGGCCCTGTCTGGTATGTCCAAGGTTCTTGTTGGTGATATTGTCGAGCGCGCTCGGGATGTGCAAGCGCGATATGAGAACATTGAGGGCGTAGAGCCTGGCCCTTTACGGCCCGAATATCTAAGAGTGGCATGGCGAGAATACAAAAGAGACACGGGGTCTGTTCCCGGGTTCCGTTGGTCACGGGTGGGTGATATGGACCGCTTGTTTTAATAGATATTTATTGTAATTCTTGGTTAATTTTGACGACGCTTGAAAAACTCAATGATTCACTTCTGCATTTCGCACTAACTATTGCGCTTTCCTGCATTCTTCATCGATGCGAACCAAGAGGTCGTTGGTAAAACTTGTGGTTTTTGTTTTTTAGATATGAAAAACAGTTCAGGTGTAGTAAATAAATCGGTTGCATTGGCATTGCGGCCAAGCAAGTTATATTGTTAGATTTTCTAGCCAAAATTGGCAAAAAATTGATTCGACCCAGGATCGAACTGGGGACGTTCTGCGTGTTAAGCAGATGCCATAACCAACTAGACCATCGAACCGATTTCTGATTGAGGGAGTTATGTAGAATATAAGCGAGTATGCTTTTATAACGTTAATGACGTCGGAAATTGAGTACGTCCCGGTCGTGGAGATTGAACTCGGCCTCCTGGTAGACTGAGTGTATTGTATTCACATGTCGATTTTTCCACGAAAAAAACTTAAGAAATGCTCTTGTCGCGCAAAAGTGCTTGATGTGTTGGTGTGCCTTGGTCTTGTGATATCGCTTTCACAAATCGACTGGAGAAGGGCCCTAACTAAAGGAGTAGGTAAGAGTGTTTTGTTTTATGGTTGTATCCGGTTAATAATGTGCGCCCCACCGAGAATGTTACGGTCCCCTAGTACCCATTGATAAATTTCACTGCTGGGAAGATGCCGGTGCCTGACACACGTGAGGGTTTGAACAACAGTCCCGTCCATAGTCGACAATTAGTTTAAAAATAAGTTATGTCTTGGTCTCATGGATATTGGTATGGCTTGCCGAGTAGGAAAGCTCATGTCACAATCTGACTCAGTGCTGCTTGGTTCCTAGCTGAGTCTGTACTAACTTACCGCTTTAAATATCTTGTACCTAGCTGATTACCCAAATTTTAACACTTTGAACCCAATACGGCTGGATTACTCCGCTGAAAACTCCTCTACATATGCGTAACAGACTAGGTCACAAGACCTCAGACTAGTTCTAGTGAGTGCAGGGTGTGCAATCCAGCACCTCCAACCTAAACACCATTCCCGTTAGGTACATTTACAAAAATCTATAGACTGCGATTTAGCATTGCTTGATATACATCACTAAAGAGGCTGAGTATAGATCAACAATTATACGGGGTTTCCTAACCCTGCGTGAAATGGCACAGAAGATGCGTTTAAGGTAATAAATTAGTTCAAGTCGGTAAGAGAGCCCTTCAAATGGACGTCTAACCTTTTCCATTAGAAGGACTCGTTGACTGAGCAGCGGCCAGCCGCTGCACGATCATGCCGTCTCCTCATTTGGAGGTGACCACGAGATCTTGGCGTATAACGCGGCCACTTGCTGATGTATGTCTGCATAGTTTTCAATCATGTCAAGAAATCCATAGAACATCTGCTGCACAAAGTTGATTTTGTCGCATGGATCCCCTATATCGCCAAAACTCGAGACGTCAGGGTCCACCTCGGGACGACTAAACAGTGTATATTCCAACAGGATACCAGGAACCTGTACGACCCTTAAGTACTCGAACTCGTGTTCAAAAAAGTCTGCGTACTCAAGGCACTTGTCGAAAAGATTTTCCATCATTGGCACAAGCAAACGGAGCCGGACCAGCTCTTCGCCCTCGCTTGCAACAGCCACAGACGTCGCCATAGCAAGAAAAGCCGGGTGCAAAGCGTAGAGCACGTCTCTAACCATATTACAAGCCAGTCTGCTTGTTTCCTCTGTTCCCCCGTAGCCGTCCTGCCACAGCAGCGCTTGCAAGCCTTTGAGGAGCATGCACGCGCTCTGCGGCGACTCAAGCAGATCCTCAAGGTGGGGACTCGACTTTTGGGCCCTTTTAACAAAACTTACAAGCTCCGGATCAAAAACACCCGTTGCTTGCTCGACATGCTCTCTATCCTCATGTCTCATACCCCGCGCGGTGGTGTGGTGAACCTCACTTGGACACTCTAAGCTACTAAGCGAAATTACATAGGCAAGCGGTTCCCTATGAAACGCATCCCCACTGCATTATACAGCATACAGAAGAGGAATTCAAGGTTTGTAGGGTTTTACAAGCATTTGGCTGAACTTCTCCAGAGCCTCGACGCCGCGCACTTCTTCGGTGAGCTGAGGTAGCTCCACCAGGTGGTAGTCCTCGTAAAGCTCGTGGATTTGCTCGAGATACTTTTGTTGGAGCCGTTTACGGGCATTGCACTGGTCACAGTTGCTTCCGGGTTTAGGGAACAGCAACTGGTTGACGATAATTGTGTTGGTATCGATGCCAAATGTGAGTAGTTCCTGGATCATGCGCTCGGTCTCGTACAGCGATAAGAATTCGGCAATGCACACACAAATAAAGGTGGTCAGATCGGGATTGGTGAACTGCCGGTTGACCTCGGCAATGATGTCGCGCGTCTCGTCAAGCTTGCCGAAAATCTCGTCAATGCTCTTACCCTGGGCACCCAAAATCGTGTTCAGCATAGGCCCAAATCGGGTCGACAGCTCGCGCACCTTACCCAAGGCCTTCTCGAGGATGGCGGGGAACTGCAAAAAGCGCAGCGTGTGGCCGGTCGGGGCAGTGTCGAAAACCACGACCGAAAAGTCCTGCTTCTTGACTCGTTTCATAACCTCAGCAAACGACAGGGCCTCGTCAATGCCGGGGATGGCAAATGCAAGGTCCTGGACCATGTCCATCATGCCATCCTGGTTGTCCTGAGAGGCCAGAAACTCCTCAATGGTGCCAGAGGGGTCAATTTCCATCGCTGACAGGTTGGGCACGCCATTCACGGGACTGGGATCCTTGCCAAACTTCTGGCCAAAGGCGTCACTGAGGTTGTGTGCGGGGTCCGTGGAAATCAGCAGGACGTTCTCGCGGCATTTTGCCAGCTGGAGTGCAACGGAACAGGAGTTTGTGGTTTTACCAACACCGCCTTTGCCGCCTACGAAGATCCACCGCAGGCTTTTCTGGTCTAGGATTTCTTGAACAGTTGGCGCCAAACTCATGATTAGGTGAGCAGGCCTGGCCCCAGCCGCAGAGCATTACGCATCCGGGGTGTGGAGCTTAGTTTGCCAGTGTAGCTCAGCTCAGCTCAGCAAAGGCCCCTGTCAGCTTGGCGCGGTAACTTTATACAATAAGGCGCACCGGCAAGCTCCGGTCGATCGAGAGGACCGGTAAAGGCCGCAAGGATAAGCTCAAAAAAAGTCGCCTAGCGTCGAATTGACGTATAATTCTTTACGCCCAGTTACTTTAATAACCGTGCATATGGCGAGCATTACTACGCCAGTAGCCGGTTCGGCAAACTGACTCAACGGCGAACAGGAACCGCTTGCAAAGTAATCGAATTTGAGGGCAAACGGTTAAACTGTTGGAACCCCAAATATCGGCTAAAACAATTTGTATGCCTCCTGGTAACCACTTGTCAGTGCTCAACTCTATCAAGAAGTGCTCAAAAAACCCCAACGTTCGGAAATAAACGGCAACGGAAATATGCAAACGCTGGCGCAGGTGTACCCCAGCCCTATGACAATTTCTTTTTTTGGGGGGAACGGGGGGTGCTAGTGATCTGGCGGCTGATTCCGCCCAGCAAAAGCTTCACGAGAAACCCGGTAAACTCAAACGAGTCCGTCGCATTGATCTCTTCTCCGTGCCGTGCTGATTAGAGATGGGGCCCTTTCGATTCGGGTTAAATGGCGGTTCGCTGTGGCCTGCCGCACAAAACGGGGGTGTCTGGGTTTTTTGCCCCAGGGTACTTCTACCCTAACATCGACCACACCCGTCCTCCGCAGCTTATTTGTTCGCACCCAGCGCAAACTTGTCTTAACCACAACAAGTTTGTAAAAATGTTGAGGACACTGTCCAAACAAATCGGTCGCGTGCCTGCGGCGGCACGCGCCATCCAAAAGCCTATTCGGCCTGCTGTGCTATCGGCTCGCCGGGCCTCCACCGACGCTGATGTCTTTCTCCAGGGCACCAACGCCAACTACATCGACGAGATGTACCAGGCATGGAAAAAGGACCCCTCCAGCGTCCACGTCTCTTGGCAGGCGTATTTTAAGAATTTAGACGGTGGTAGACCCTCCCAGGCTTCGTTCGCGGCACCGCCCGCTTTGGGCTCGGGCGCTCCCATTGCCCCGCACACCAACATTGACCAGATCCCTACCAACCTCGCCCAAGAAACTTTGGACCACGTCAAGGTTCAGATGCTTGTGCGTGCATATCAGGTCAGTGGCCACCTCCGTGCCAAGGTCGATCCGCTCGAGATGACCCTGGGTTACGACCCCAACCGTAAGGAGCACTCCGAGTTTAAGATCGAAAATTACGGTTGGACCGAGAGCGATCTCGACCGGAAGGTCACTCTTGGCCCCGGCATCTTGCCCCGCTTCGCCAAGGATGGAAGCAACGAGTACACCATTCGTGAGATCATCGACATGCTGGAAAAGACCTACTGCGGTACCATTGGTGCCCAGTACATGCACATTCCCTCCCGCACCAAGTGCGACTGGATTCGTGAGCGTGTTGAAGTTCCTGTTCCTTTCAAGTACACCAAGGACGAGAAACGCAGAATTCTTGATCGCCTTATGTGGTCTACTCTTTTCGAGTCGTTCTTGTCCACCAAGTTCCCTAACGACAAGCGTTTTGGTCTTGAGGGTGGTGAGACCATGGTCCCTGGTATGAAGCAGCTCATAGACGCTTCCGTTGATGCTGGTATTGAGGACATCGTTATTGGTATGCCTCACCGTGGCCGTCTCAATATGCTGTCCAACGTTGTTCGCAAGCCTAATGAGAATATCTTCCACGAGTTCTCCGGTTCTGCCACTTTCGACGAGGGCTCTGGCGATGTCAAGTACCACTTGGGTATGAACTACCAGCGCCCCACCACGGGCGGCAACCGGGTTAATCTGTCGCTGGTTGCCAACCCTTCGCATTTGGAGGCCGAGGACCCCGTCGTTTTGGGCCAGACCCGCGCCATCCAGCATGCCAAGCGCGATGAGGGTGTCTTCAACAAGGCTATGGGTGTTTTGATGCATGGTGATGCTGCTGTTGAGGCCCAGGGTGTTGTCTACGAAACTTTGGGCACTTGCAACTTGCAGTCGTTCAGTACTGGTGGTACCATCCACATCATTGTCAACAACCAGATTGGTTTCACCACCGATCCTCGTAGCGGTCGCTCGACTCCTTACCCCAGTGACTTTGCCAAGAACATTGACGCTCCCGTCTTCCACGTTAATGGTGACGATGTTGAGGCGGTCATTTTCGTCTTTGATCTTGCCGCTCAGTGGCGTGCTACCTTCAAGCAGGACGTTGTTATTGACCTTATCTGCTACCGCAAGCACGGTCACAACGAGACCGACCAGCCCTCCTTCACTCAGCCCATGATGTACAAGAAGATCGCTACGAAGGAGACTGCTCTTGCTCAGTACGAGAAGAAACTTATTGATGAGGGAACCTTCACCAAGGAGGACATTGAGGAGCACCGCAACTGGATCTGGGGCGTTTTGGAAGACTCTTTTCAAAAGTCCAAGGAGGTTGGATCCGAGATGGAGGACCAGTGGATCGCCAAGCCCTGGAAGGGATTCAAGACCGTCCGCGAGTTGGCTACCGAGATCTTGCCTCACGAGCCCACTGCTATTGCAGAGGAGCAAGTCCGCAAGATTGGTGACACCATCTCCTCGTGGCCCGAGGACATTAACGTCCACCGCAATCTCCGCCGTATCCTCGGTGCTCGTAAGAAGAGCACTGATACCGGCGATGGCATTGACTGGTCTACCGGTGAGGCTTTGGCGTTTGGCTCTTTGCTTCAGGAGGGCCACCACATTCGCATCACTGGTCAGGATGTCGAGCGTGGTACCTTCTCTCAGCGCCACGCTGTCTTGCACGACCAGGACAGTGACCGTGTTTACACCCCCCTCAAGGAGCTTTCCAGCGACCCCAACGATTTTGTTATTTCCAACTCACATCTTTCAGAGTACGGTGTTCTTGGTTATGAGTATGGTTACTCTTTGCATGATCCCCGCGCGTTTGTGATGTGGGAGGCGCAGTTCGGTGACTTTGCCAACACCGCACAGGTCATTATCGACCAGTTTATCGCTGCTGGCGAGTCTAAGTGGATGCAGCGCAGTGGTTTGGTTCTGTCTCTGCCCCACGGTTATGATGGCCAGGGACCTGAGCACTCTTCTGCTCGTCTGGAGCGTTACCTCCAGCTCGGTAACGAGGACTCGCGCTACTTCCCTACCGAGCACCAGCTGCAGCGCCAGCACCAGGACTGCAACATCCAGGTCGCCTACCCCACCACCCCAGCCAACTTGTTCCACTTGTTGCGTCGTCAGATGCACCGTCAGTTCCGCAAGCCCCTGATTTTGCTCTTCTCCAAGTCTTTGCTCCGTCATCCTCTTGCTCGCTCGCCCATCTCTGAGTTCACTGGTGACAGTGGCTTCCAGTGGGTCATTGACGATGTTGAGGTTGGCAAGTCGATCAACAACCGCGAGGAAATCAAGCGCGTTGTGTTCATGACTGGTCAGGTGTACGCCACACTGCACAAGGCTCGTGCTGATGCCGAGATCAAGGATACTGCCTTCGTCAAGCTTGAGCAGCTCCATCCGTTCCCTTACGAACAGGTCCGCACCATCCTCAACTCCTACCCCAACGCCAGCGACATTGTCTGGTGTCAGGAGGAGCCCTTGAATGCCGGCGCCTGGTCGTATGTCGAGCCCCGTCTTGCCACCACCATCGCCGAGAGTGCCCACGCCGACAAGAAGGCCCGCTACACCGGTCGCGCGCCCTCTGCCTCCGTGGCCGCCGGTTCCAAGGTCATGCACAAGGCTCAAGAAGAGGCCTTCATCAAGGATACTCTGGGGCTCTAAAACTAGAAGCCCCCGTTGCTGTTGTTAAATCTATACATTATTTGTATTTCAAATAGAACTTTTATCGCTTGCGTTTGCATATTCCTTCTCTCTCCTCCCTCCCCCTTCAAATCAAGATTCTCCCAAGGTCTTCAAGAGGTGCGGTGTGTCAGCAACCAAGGGTTTTTTTTTCACCATGCGTCCTATTGTCATTAAGGGCCATAGCCGTCCTGTCACACAGCTTAAATTCAACCGCGAGGGTGATTTGTTTTTCTCCACCGGTCGTGATGGCTTGGTGAACGTCTACTACAGCGAGAACGGTGACATGCTTGGAACTTTTCAGTCCAAGGGTGCAGCCTACTCGGTTGACATCGATCCCACGACGACGTTTGTTGTTTCAAGTACCTCTGGTATGAAGGTCTTCATGTGGACTGTCAAAGACGGCAAGGAGATTTTCTCTATGGACACCAAGTCCACGCCCCGTTTCGTTGAGCTCTCTCCCAACGTAAAGCAGCTTTTGGTGGTCACAGAAGAGCAGATGGGTCAGACTAGTAGCATTTTCCTGTACGATATCGATATGTCGGATGTCCAGAATCCGCAGGTTGCTGAGAACAAGATGATCCTCCGTAAAACGTCTCCCTTCATCAAGGCATCGTGGACCTACGACGGCAAGCACATTATCGCCATTCATCGCGACGGATCGGTGAGCAAGATCAATTCCGAGAGCGGAGAGGTCGAGAAGGAAGCCAAAATTCACGAAGATTCTTGTGTCGACCTCCAAATGTCCAAGGACCGCACCTACTTTGTCACTGCCTCCCGTGACAAGACTGCCCATCTCTGCTACGTTGACGACATCGAGGTCCGCAAGACATATCTTGGTGATGTTCCGTTCAATTCGGCCGCCATCACCCCCGTCAAAGACTACGTCGTTGCTGGTGGTGGTATCGATGCCAAGTCCGTCACCACCTCATCCGACGGCCGCTTCCAGGTGCACTTCTTCCACAAGCTTTTCGAGGATGATCTTGGTCGCTTAGGCGGCCATTTCGGTCCTATTAATCACATGACCGTTCATCCCCATGGTACATGCTTTGTTTCCGGCTCTGAAGATGGTTACATTCGTTTGAACCACTTTGATCCTTCCTATTTCGAGTTCACCTATGGTGTTCCCTCCTCTGCTTAAATGATATATAGCTATTTTTAGCCAGGCGCTAACGTTTTTTCCAATATTATTTTCCAATTCATGTTCTAGGCGGTGGGGGCGCCGGAACCAACACATTATCCACCGACTGGGCTGCCCGCACAGGGGGCGCGAAGACAGGCAGGTCGAGCTCTTTTTCGAGCATGGCGTCATTGAACCGTACTTTGGTTCTCTGTAGTGTTCGCTTTTTTCTATTGTAGCGTCCCTGTCGACGAAGTACCACATAGCAGAGAATAGCACAGATTAAGGCGACGCCGACCGCTCCGCCTATAAGACCACCAAGGATCTTACCGGTGTTTGAGTTGTGGGGAGCCGACTCGTCTTTGTTTTTACTGACAACTGTGTCCATTGAATGGTTGGTATGGGGGAATCTTTGTTTTTTTCTTGGATGCTTTTTGTTAAAACGTTCTATTTTACACTGATTCTGTAACATGTATCAGATTTAGAGTTCTCGATATAGACATTCGTCATGCGTCGTAAAAAATAAATGCATCATGATCAAAGCTGGCTCACTTTAGATATGCTGAGTGGGCGAATATCGTAGGCTCCAGGTGTTCCTATTGATACTGGTGACGATGGATCTGAGGGTATCTGCAGTGGGGGTGCCAATCGCAACGTGCTACTTGAATCGAGTGTTGAAGCTGTTATTTCGGAGTCACTGAGAGCCAAATCCTCGTTAGATCCAGTTACTATTCCCGCCAAACGTTCGTATTCGGCCTTTGAGTGGTATGACAAGTTGAGGCCAGAGCCCAGATACTGCTCTCGCAAGTTTTCCAGAGTAGCACTCAAGACAACCCTCTGTCCCGAAAACCTTGAGCTCGCGGTAGACCATCGTTCAGAGCCACGTTTTTCGCTCGAATTCAAAAAGTCGAAATCGGACTCGTGTGTGTTGGTATATTCCGTGGAGCGAGTCACAAGAGGCGCGGGAGCTGCTTCTGTTCCTTCTGGCTTCCAAACTTCTGGAGCTGGCTGCACTGGCCCACTAATTGGGTCTGGCTCACTCAGTTGGAAATTAGAAAAGTTGACGTCTAGGCCCTTCAGATCCAAGGGCGAAAATTGTGGCAGTTGCGGGGGTGGTGTAAACTTTGGCGCTGCTAGCAGACTATCGTCGGAATTGGACTTGGATGAATGTGGTTCTAGTCGCTCACCGGATTTATTAGGAAATTTTGAGCTATGATGTCGCTGGAATAGGGAAAACAAACGAGAAATTTGTGAGCGTCGATGGGGCTCGTGTGTCTCTGGTAGCTCATGGGGCCGACTATCGAGCAACAACGTGTGAGGCAATGTATCTGGATCTAGCGAAGGTTGACCTGAAACTGTTGGGTGAAGACTTGGAGCCCGCGGGGGGTGCAAACTCGGTTGAGACACATGACGAGTATGCTCCAAAGGGGGTTTGGTGTAGGGCCGGGCCGCTGGTGGGATTGGCGGTGCAGGCCTAGGGGATTCAATTGAGGGTCTCGATGTTATTATAGTTCCTCTGTTGACAGAAATGCCCATCTTACCATCTATTTGTGTTGAGATGCGTTGGGCCACCGACCTTGGCAGTCCGTTCAAGGTTTGCTGGGCCGAGGAAGGCCGGCTGGGACGCGGGGGGTCAATCGTGTGCAAGAGCGGAGGTAGTTGTATATGGTCCGGAATATATTGCTGTTGGTGGTGGGGGATGGGCTGCTGAATGGGGATCCTCCTTGGGTTTGCAGCCGGAATCCGAGGTGGCCCCCTGACCTGCGTCGTAGTTGGTCGAGCAGGAAGCTCTTTTTTCCAATAGTACGGCTCTTTTTCTGGATCGCGGGGCTTCCGTCTGATCATCACACTGGTTATGAAGCCAAGAAAAGATAAAGTTGCAAACCCGAGAATACTACCAAGTAGACACCCGAGAACAACGTTGAACGGTCCCATTGATGCTCAATTGAGGTCCAAATCAGCAATACAGGAAGGAAATTTAATCATATTGGGGAGTTCGGTCAGTTGCTGGTTTTAGGCAACTTCTACCCGGCCGGGCTCTAGAACCTCGTGGGGGGTTATTTCCGCTTTAGGCTCAATGATGCCAACTTTGATGGACAAAACAACCTTTAAAAAATCGTTACAAGTTCGTTAAACTGAAATATATAATATGAGGAGTGCCCGAACACTAGATCGGATAGATAGACGGTGGATACGTCAAAGGAACCGGAGATACAAAAGCGAGAAATGTTGGCAGAAGTTAAAACGACGACGGCCCCCCAGAATATGCAGCCATAAGCCCCAACTTGTCATATTTGGAGTTTGATCGCTGACGGTTCCGGGCCATGGCGTTTGCGCCCGGGTTAGATGCAGGCGGAGAAAATCCTGCTCGGGAAATATTCAGCGCTTCATCGTGGGTCAAGACCGACGAATCCCGACGGGTCCGTCGCGTGGACGGGTTTCGGACAGGCCCCATCTCAGCAATAGCTTCGCTAGTAGGTCTGCTTGCAGAACCAACCGACAGCGGCGCAACCTTTGGAACCGGCTCGGACGAAGGGCCAGGGGGAGGCGCAACCGCCTCCGAGGTTGAATTGATCTTCGCGGCAGTCGGGGATAGAGTTTGAGAAACCCAACCGAAAAAGCCCTTTCGCTCGGGAATTGTCTGGGGTGCGGATCGATTCAATTCGGATTCAGCTAGCCCGGTGGCGGCGGTCCTTGTTTCCTCGCCGCCCATTTGGTAGGTTGAGATGAAAAACCGCTTACTCAAGCAGGTGGTCAGATGATGGGATGTGGGGGGAGATGATTCGACACGGGTCCCTACGTCACCACGAGGCGGGGGATGAAACAGAGTGTTACATGTAGGAAAATTTAATCATACTTTTTGTTTAGTAAAATGCATTAAAAATTATATAACTGTGCGTGTGGAGTGCGCATGCCTAAAAATAATGAAGAACCCGGGGTCAGGGAGGGTAAGGAAGAATAGAGGGGAAGGAAGTGCAGGCTGGCTAACCGGACATCTGGAGCCTCCGCATTTTCGTCTGGCTGCCCCGTGATGTCCGCTTTGGCAGTTCAATGGTACCGTCCTCATCGGCCTGCGACGAGAAACTAAATCCTGAAGAGCGAGAGCTTCGTGATGCAGATCGAGTTTGCGGCTCGGGCGTGGGTGGCTCAGGAACCACATCGTCTACGCCCAGTGTCAGCACACGGCGGCCCGTGTTGCCGCTCAAGTGGTAATTGAACAGCATGGACGTCCATTGAGCCGGCGTGCTGGCCGTGCTGCCTCGACTCAGCCGGGTCGCTCTGCCTTGTGGGGAGGTAGAATCGCCGCTGTACGAGGCAACCCTGGTGCTGAACGCGCCTATTTTACGGGCAGGAACACTCTCCTCAATTGTTTTTGCAAATTTCTCGCTCTCTAACAGTCTGCATACCAACCGCTCGAGAGACATACGCAGAGCCTTGTTGTGATTTTGCAAAGACTTGGTTTCGAATTTTAGTTGTTTCAGTTCTTTAAGCTGTTCGCGGTAAGTCTCGTCCTTGATTTCATCCTGTATAGTCTCGCCATTAGCCTCAATAGTGTCTTCGCCTACCGTCTCTTCATTGTCACTTGCAAGCTCATCAGCTAAAGACATGCCGCCATCAATGGTCTTTTCAGCAAGAAGCAGTTGAAAGCCTTCATTTTCCTCTTCAAGGCGGCTATTAACTTCTCGAACCTCGTTGATTTCTTCTTTTAGATTCTCAAGACGAAGTCTCAGCTCATTGACCAGTAGTGTTTGTGCATGGTGCTCCATACTTTCTGTGGGAGTCGGAAGAATCATTTGACTCTTCTTTGGTGGGGCGAGCTCGTCGGCTTTGGCCACAGCGGCTGCTGCAGCGTCCGCCCAAGCCAGCTCTTCGGCCTGGTGCTTTGCCGATGCGACCCGTTTTTCACGCTTGAGCTGGGTGATTTCTTCATTCAGTAGAGAGGTCTGGTCAAGCCATTTGGTTTGCGCGTTGATGTGTTCCATAGTGAGTTGCGCCAGATCCGATTCTACGGCATGCGTCTGCTTGCGAAGCTCCTTGAGCTCGTTCTGAAGCTTGGCTATTTGGTCATCGCGCTCCGCAACATCGTGTTCGAGTTTGGACTGAACAGCCAGGCCCTTATCGAATCTGAGTTTCAAATCTTTCATAGCTGTATTCAACCGATGCGTTTCCTCCATCTCGAACGACAAGGCGTCCTCGAGCTGCTGGCGGCTTGAGTGCAGCATTGAATCTTGAGAGCTGAATACATCTGGAGCGATCCCACGGGGACCCATCCTAGGCGGTGCATTGGGGTATCCTTGTTGTCGTTGCTGCATCGCCTCGTCAGTCGCAGGTTGTGTTCGTTACGCCGCCAAAATCTGGTTTTCGGGGGAAACTGCAACGATTTCTGCGATGGAAACGAGTGAATATAGATGTTTTGATATACAACGATCTCTCGGTAGAAGCGGAATCCCTCTAATGCGATATTGTATACGATGCGTGTCTAAAGAGAAAGCCTCTGATGACAAACCTCGAAATGTATCTGGGGATCATAGTGAAGTTTTAAGATAACGCACAGCATGGGACAAGAAACGCGAAACGGATTTCGTAGAAGGGCCATTTGGCGGCGTCAACAACGGTGTACGTGTCGAGTTTTGACTCTGGTCACGTGCGGGCCAAGTCCATGGGAATTAAGTTATGCTAGCGCCTTTTGGCTCCCAGCCGTCGTCCTGGTAGATATTGGCAACAATTTCCAGCCCACTCGACCAGCTTTTAGCAGGGCTCAACTGCAACTGTCTACTCAGGCCTGACAAATTTGCTCAATGAGCCGTTAATGCTGGTGCCGAAACCTGCAGACCGGGCGCAGCGTATTCGGTTTTTGGGCTTTTCAATTGTTCAAAACAATTAAACGAGATAATCCAGAATCTGCAAAAGGTCTTCTGTACATTGGGTCCCCAGGATATTCGCTTCCACCGGGGCCTCGCTGTATCTGTCGCATGATGTCGAACCATGCATGTGCGGGTTTTAGCGCATATGAGCATATTTGAGCAAATTATAAAATCCTTATATCATGCCTCGAAAGTTAGTCAAGTCCATACAGACTTTGAAATGAATATGGAAAGCATGTCTCAAATGGATATCGTTAGTTCTATTGCCTCTATGTCTATGGCAATGGCTTCTATGTCCAGTGATATGGCTTCAATGTCTATGGCGTCCGCCGCGGCTTCAGCTACACCTACTGCGATGAACATGGTCGCGTCGGCAGCTTCGGCTATGGCCAGCATGGATATGGGGGGAATGTCCATGTCCCCCACTGCAACGAGCGCTGGTAACCACAGCAGTCACAGCATGTCTGGAATGGGCATGGGAAATGGCTGTAAAATCAGCATGCTGTGGAACTGGAACACCATAGATGCGTGCTTCATCTCTTCGGGATGGCAAATCACCAACAGCGGCATGTTCGCCGGCACATGTATTGGTGTTTTCTTCTGGGTTGTTGCTATTTGCCTGGTTCAGCGTCTGCACCGAGAATTTGATCGTTATATTTATCGCCAATGGGCTGAAAAAAACGGCGTGCTTGGCTGCAGCCCTGCTATCATCGACAACACCTCTAGCTCTTCGGGCGGCAACGCTAAAAATAAGTTTAATGTGCTGGCCTCCAAAATGGGCCTCGTTCCCAGTGAAACTTTCCGCCCAAACTTCTGGCAACAGTTTGTGAGGGCTTGTTTTTTCACAATTGACTTTGGTGCAGGCTACTTGCTGATGTTGATGGCTATGTACTACAATGGATACATTCTTATCACCATGTGGCTGGGTGCCTTGTTCGGGTACTACTTCTTTGCTGGTGATAGCGCCAGTGGGAACACAGGAACACCCCAAAAAGCCACGTGCTGTTAGTAGTTTTGATGATACGTACAATTAATGGATTCTTACATGCTTTTGCTCCATAAAGCACATGCCCCAGTCGACTCTGCCTGTTCTTCCCCCATTAAAATTAGGGTATGGGTAATGTTAACGCTCGTCAGTCCTCTCTAGGGCTTAGGGCCAACCACTGTGATTTTTGTCAGCCCGACGCTATCACTAACCAACTCAACCGTGGTTCAGGTCCATATCACCCACAGTAATGAAGGTTTCCAACCAGGTGTCGAGCTCGCGCAGCAAGTCTCGCAAGGCCCACTTCACTGCTCCTTCTTCGGTGCGTCGCGTCATCATGTCTGCTCCTCTCTCCAAGGAGCTGCGCGAGAAGTACAACGTCCGTGCTCTGCCCATCCGGAGGGACGATGTTGTCCAGGTCGTCCGCGGCTCTCACAAGGGCCGTGAGGGCAAGGTCACTTCCGTCTACCGTCTGAAGTTCGCCGTCCAGATCGAGAAGCTCACCAAGGAGAAGGCCTCTGGCGCCGGTATCCCTCTTAACCTGGCTGCTTCCAACCTCGTCATCACCGAGCTCAAGCTTGACAACGACCGTAAGGCCATCCTCAAGCGCAAGGGCGGTGTCGACGCTGAGTAAAGCATAATTGCATGGTTTCTTTTACTTCTACGTCTCTCTATATAACGGATCTATCCGACAATAAAAAAAGTGTTAGTCCTTAGTTGACATTCCATAATCCACACGGTTACCCATCTCCGTTATACACTTGCCCCCATGGGCTTATTGACTATTCTGCGTAAACAGCAGCTCAAAGACAGGCAGATCCGCGTGCTCATCTTGGGGCTCGACAATGCAGGCAAGACTACGATTGTAAACAGACTGCTCGGCAAGAGCGTGAAGGACATCCATCCCACGCTCGGATTCAACATCGAAACAGTGACCCGCGATGCCTTGACGATGAACATCTGGGACGTCGGGGGCCAAAAGTCGCTTCGGCCGTTTTGGCATAATTATTTTGAGAAAACAGACTGCCTAGTCTGGGTCGTGGACGCAACCGCCACGGACAGGCTCACCGACTGCAAAACGGAACTGCACTCCACCCTGAACGAGGATCGGCTATCCGGGGCAGGTCTTCTGATCTTTGTTAACAAATTAGATGCCATTGACCCGTTGGAGCAGTCGGAAATTGTCCACACAATCCAGTCGGAACTCGATCTCTCGAGTCTCGGCAAACACCAATTCAAAGTCCTGGGTTGCTCGGCATATACGGGATTTAATATCGAACAGGGCTTTGATTGGGTTGTAACTGAAGCTAAATCCCGTCTATTTATTCTTTAAATACCTTCTCCACACCGAATCCTCCCTTTAGTCATGGAGCTATACAATGAAGACGATCTGTTTGAGGACGCCGAGGACGACAACGAAGAGCCTGATGGAGTAGCTGATGCGTCTGAAGAACAGGCTGGAGATGTCATGGCCGAGAACAGTGACGATGAAATGGAAATGGGCGAGGACGACGACGAAGACGACGACGACGAGGAGGACGACGATGGAGAAGCTGGTCAAGAAGAGGTTGGAGACGCTGAGGAGCCCGAAGACTCGGCACCTATAGACATACCCACCTTGAAAGCTCCCACTGAAGAAATTGAGGTAACTGCAACCAAGTTCAGGGATCGTTATCCGGTCAAGCCTGACCAGTCTTTACTGGATGCTAAAGTGTACGACGTTGTGCCCACAATGGCGTTTGTGCATGGGTGTTCGGTGTTCAGCATGGATGCTTCGTGGGGCGGGAAATGGTTTTTCACTGGAGGTGAGGACGGGTTCATCCGGCGCTACAATTTAGCCGACACAGTGAACGGCAAACAGACGTTGACGGTGGGCCAAAGACACGCGTTTTCAGACTCTGTCACAAAAGCCGGTGTTTTGACGTCGTATTTTGAGAACGAACAGCCGCTTCCCAAATTAGAATATAAACCAGATGCTGAAAATAACTACATGCCAAAGCTGAGTCCTGTGTTTTCTCTGGCTGTGCAAAGCGAGGCACTATGGCTATGCAGCGGGCTGCAAAGTGGTGGCATTTCAATTGTGAGCACGCGCTACGGTGAAGGTAATATTATAGCCTATTTGGATGGCCACAAGAACACCGTTAGCGAACTACGTCTGTCTGGCCAAGAAACCCACTTGCTAAGTGGAAGCTGGGACAAAACTGTCAAGTATTGGGACCTTGAAGGAGGCAAGGTTGTTCATACATACTCAAATATGAATGGTCAAGTTTCCACTATAGCTTGGCAACCAGTTGGGGGTCCACTGCTTCAACCGGACGACGACAAATCTATGGGATCGCTGTTTGGCAGCGATGAGGAACCAGCTGAAGAAGCGGGTAATAACGAGGAAACAACTACAGCAAAAGAAAATACCGGCTCCTCATTCCTCTCAACAACCATGACAGGACATGTAGATGTATGGGATACGCGATCAACGTCCGTTTGTCTGCAAACCGCCGGGTCCACTGCTCCTCCGTGGTGTATGTCTGCTTGCTGGTCTGTGGACGGAAAACTTATTTATGCCGGCCGTCGTAATAGCACTGTCGAAGAGTACGACGTGCGTAAGGCCTCGACTCCGGTCAGATCACTCAAGTTCCCTCAGATTAGTGGTGCGGTTACTTGTGTCTTGGCCATGCCTAACGGTCGCGGGCTGATGTGTGCGTCAAGCGACAACGTAAGATTGTACGATTTACAGGCCAGTGACAAGCGCACGCCCTTTGTTCTTGTTCCTGGCTACCATGGTTCGCTCATTGGGCGAATGTACCTCGATCCCTCTGGGCGATATTTAATTACTGCAAGCGGTGGAAGAGGCTGGCTCGAGAGTGGAGGAGACGTTGTTTTAGGCTATGAAATTTCTCGGGAATCCTAAGGATAACGGGCCCGCTGGAGCAGAAAGCCAACAACCACGACTACGACCGCCACGGCGATCCTGCGTCGTCGGCCATCGGATGGAGGGCGCGAAAGCTCAATCAAGTCACGGCGAGCCTGCTCGCTAGGAATAAGAGAGCCTGTTTTCACTGCTGAATGGCGCGAAAGCTTTCGGTATGACGGCAATCTAGACAGCGGGATCCTGATACGCAGCGTATCGGCAGACTTGAAGAGCAAATCAGGGTCGATCCCATCCAGTGAGTTGCCTGCTTTACTGAGTATAGAATGAACCACTTCTGGAGGTTCACCAGTCGCCTGCTCGACGATCTCGTCTCGCCGGTACATCATCACCGCAGTGTATAAATATAGTGCATAGCCGAGTCCGTACTGCTCAACTTTTAATTGCACACTCTCCAACATTGCATTGCTTTCCGTATTGTGGCCAAACAATGTGAGAAGAGGAGCTAGGGCAAAATGGGGCTCTGGGACGGTCCTCATGATTGCATCGAGCCTGCTATCCGCGATAGAGATCAATTCAGGGAGTAGCGCAAGTACTGCTAGCGTAGGCTCGATTTCGGGAGTCATAAAGTCGCGCAGACACAATAGAGCCAGATCCTCTAGATCATCCTCGGACGCACAGTGCACAGCTACGTCATGGAATCCTTGGTAGTAATGCAGTTCTGGTACGTGGTCAAGCACGTTGCAAATACGCTGAATCACACACTCCTTTTGTTCCTTCTTTAGGCCCGTGCGTTCGACATCTCGCCGCACCTGCTCGCGGTAGTTCTGCTCGGACATTACCTAACGTTGGACGAGACGTGAGCATGCTCGGACGGGGAAGATTTAGTACGGTTGTTCAAGAGGGGGAAGAAGCAGTGAAGATCATCGATATAGACGATCAATGCGCTCCGCACAATTACAGGGCCGAATTAGCCGCTCTAAAGGCGCTTGGAGAGCACCCTAATATCACTGAGATGCTGCGAACAGAAACAACCCGTGGTTTCGAGCCTCAATGTCGCATATACATGCATCTATATCCCCTCACGCTCGACCACGTTCTGTTTGATGCCTCTAAAGCAACTTACCCGCCGGGATCAGGCTGGCGAAACCGTTTGAATCCGGACAGAATCGGATCAATCGCCCGGCAGCTTGCAGAAGCTCTTGCCTTTGTGCACTCACAAAACATAATCCACCGCGACATCAAGCCAGAAAATATTTTGTTCAAAACAACAGATTCAGAGCCAATGCTAGCGGACTTTGGCATCGCATGGGTTCCTGGATTCGGCGAGGACCCAAAAGTCTGCGACGTCGGCACGGCAGAATACAGAGCGCCAGAATTATTGCAGGGGAAAGTATATACGAATGCAATTGATGTATGGGCATATGGATGTGTTGTAGCTAAGCTTTGCAGCACGAACAGTGAAGCACTCTTTACGCCCTACCGTTCCGATATAGCCCTGTGGGATCAGCAACAGGGAAACCTGAAGGAGTCCGTGAGCTCTCTAAGAGTGTTTAGCGAGAATGTAGCCCGGATTCTGTGTCTGGATCCCGCACTGAGACCCACAGCATCGACAGCAGCAGAGTTTCAATGGTAGATTTGACAGAACTTAACACGGCTAGTCGATTTGCAGCCGGTCACAGCACAGCCCCGGAATGGGGCACTGTTGGTGTTGATCAAATGTACACACTTGCCACAGTAAACATGTCCACACGACCGAAAATAAATACGTCCCGAGAGACGGCGAGCTTCCTCGCTGGTAAGAGTCTCGTCTGAAACACCCACTTCGTTTTCACAGCCGGCACAGGCAACTTTGGGAGAGCCCTGTAGCGATCTGGTGAAGCCCTCTCTTGTTTCAGTGGGCTTCTTGGGCAGGCGCAGCTGGGTCATATCTGGGGGCTTGAATGCATCTGTGTCAATTAAGGAGTTGTTGATGGCCCGATGTAAATCTTCACTAGCCAAAGTGAAATCTCGCAGAGATATTGCTCGTTGTCTTCGGATGCCTAGCCTTCGAGCCACTAGACGAGCCCAACTTGGAGGAAACGAGTTTACGCTTAAAACTTTGGAAACGGCTCTGGAGAGATCGCCGTTCAGCGACGGAAAATAGGAGAAAGCTTCCAGGGCTTCTTCTGCCCTTTCAATAATAAGATCAAGCACATAGTTTGTGGGAGTGGTGGCCACACCAATTTCATTCCTGATGTACAGCGTCATATCTTCAGGTTCGAGGTAGTCCGGAGGCGTCCGCGCCTGCTCGTAGTCTGAAAAAAACCCATCTTCCCCTTGGTCTTCGCGGGGATATGGTGAGTCTGGGTTGCCAAAATCAACCCCATTAGTATATCCTCTGCCTGGAGAGGGAGAAACGCCATAAAACCGGGCCAGTACGCTGTCACGGTTCCGACGATTGCGAGCAGTAAATAAAATAGGCATCCCGTGTCTCGAATGCAATGCGATAGCTCGCCTGTGTCGTTCCTGAATTGAGAGCTGGTGGGACCCCAGAATCTCGACATCGGAATCGTCACTCGAATCTGGACGGTTGCGCCTCCGGTTTTGCCTCGCAATTTGCCGAGCAGCTCTTGTTTCAGGTGAAACAGGCCGAACAGCTATCTCCGCTACGTCGTCGTCTGAATCATTTGCTAAATCGACAATCTCAGGTGCAAGGGGACCGGCCATGGATGATCAAAATGTCTATTGAAATTTTTTTGGGTAATTTCGGCGGTCGATGATTTCAGTCCACCGTTCAATAATAGGAATTGAAGCGATTTCGTTGCAAATGTCTATGATGAGGAAATAAATAAGGCACCTGTTACTAATCTGTGCTGCTCGCCCTAACCTTATTCTTCCATAGGGTTGGTGGCGAGCAGCCGAGCTCCCAAGTTCTCGTAATCTCGTTTCCCTAGTTAGGGCTTGACCCTAACGTCACACAGAGTCTCTGCGAGGCATGCCAATATTTCACAGCCCCGAAACCAACCCCTCCTTTAACCTCCAAAAAACATGTCTCACCGCAAGTACGAGCAGCCCCGTCACGGTTCGTTGGCATTCCTTCCCCGCAAGCGCGCCGCCTCCCACCGCGGCCGTGTTAAGTCGTTCCCCCGCGACGACAAGACCAAGCCCGTTGGTCTTACTGCCTTCCTTGGTTACAAGGCTGGTATGACCACCATCGTCCGCGACTTGGACCGTCGTGGCTCCAAGATGGACAAGCGTGAGGTCGTTGAGGCTGTCACCGTTGTCGACACCCCTCCCATGGTCGTTGTTGGTGTTGTTGGCTACGTCGAGACCCCCCGCGGTCTCCGCTCTCTCACCACCGTCTGGGCTGAGCACCTCTCCGACGAGGTCAAGCGCCGCTTCTACAAGAACTGGTACAAGTCCAAGAAGAAGGCCTTCACCTCTTACGCCAAGAAGTACGCCGATGGTGCTGCCTCTGTCGAGCGTGAGCTTGAGCGCATTCGCAAGTACGCTACCGTCGTCCGCGTTCTTGCCCACACCCAGATCCGCAAGACCCCTGTTGGTCAGAAGAAGGCTCACCTTGCTGAGATCCAGATCAACGGTGGCTCTGTTGCCGACAAGGTCAACTGGGCCAAGGAGCACTTTGAGAAGACCGTCGACGTTGCCTCTGTCTTCGAGCAGGACGAGAACATCGATGTCATCGCCGTCACCAAGGGTAAAGGTTACGAGGGTGTTACCGCCCGTTGGGGTACCAAGAAGCTTCCCCGTAAGACCCACCGTGGTCTTCGTAAGGTCGCCTGTATCGGTGCCTGGCACCCTGCCCACGTCCAGTGGACTGTTGCCCGTGCCGGTCAGGACGGTTACCACCGTCGTACCTCCATCCACCACAAGGTCTACCGTGTTGGCAAGGGCGAGGACAAGGCTAGCGCCGCTACCGCTTTCGACCGCACTGAGAAGACCATCACTCCCATGGGTGGCTTCGTTCGTTACGGTTCTGTCAACAACGACTTCTTGATCATCAAGGGCTCTATCCCCGGTGTCAAGAAGCGGGTTGTCACTCTCCGCAAGTCCCTCAAGGTCCACACCTCTCGTCGTGCTACCGAGAAGGTCGAGCTCAAGTGGATCGACACCTCCTCCAAGTTCGGTAAGGGTCGCTTCCAGACTCCTGCTGAGAAGACTGCTTTCCAGGGTACTCTCAAGAAGGATCTTTAAGTAAAAAAAAAAGTTAATAGTTAAATAAATACCCAACTGCCTGCAGCCGGGAAACATTAGCTAGCCATCTGACGCTCGAGGTTGGCAAAATCAATCACCTCCTGCTGCTCGTTTATTTGCCTGTGCAACATCTCGTACTCGGAGGGCGCATCGGGATCCAGCAAACAGAAGATCTGGGCCCAGGTGGGCTCGCTGCGAAACTGCCGTTTCCGGCTGAATCGGGGGTTCTGCAGAGGTGTGGCTGGCTCGGCACTCCTTTTCAACGTTGCTTTGTTTGGCGACCCGCTTTTTGCTTGTTTCATGGGACTATTGCGCTCGGACAACGCTTGTCGTTGCTCGTTAGAGTGATGCATGAAATGTAAACAAATGCTGACTGACCATAAAACGCCCTTTATATGAGCCTGAACGCCGGTTGGCGGGGGTCTTTGGTTGTTTGTACGCTTGCTTAAATAGTCTATTTACCTAGTTTGCTTGCTTTTTGGCCGCCGCCATCTTCTCCGTCAAAAACTGATTCACCTGCTGCTGGATACTTAGCACGTCGGCCCGGAGTTTTCCCATGGCTGTCGACTCATCGGGTGTCGAGCAAGCATCCCGAGACGTATCTTGAGTTACCTCGCCCGTTGCAGACTCGCGAGTGAACGTCTTGCTCTCGCCGCTCGGGCCATGATAAACTGCCTTCATTGATTACCAAGAAGTCAGGTCTTAGGTGCTAAATGGCTTGCGTTTACTTTTACCTGGCCAATCGAGCTTTTTTGTCAAGGCAAGCGGCAAACAAAACGTAGGGTCAATTGGCTCGAGGTTTTCGTATCCAAGGAGCGATAGCCCAGCTAGACCAAAAATGGTGTGAAACACGTCTGGCTCGTCGCCTTTCCGATCCGCGAGGCCGCCTGTCTCGTCGTCCTGGGCACTCAGAATAAACCCACGTAGTTTGAGGCCATCGATCCAGTTGAGATGTCCAAGCATCGCCAGCGGGGAAAGAACCCACCAACTGTAGCACACATCAGGCAATTTCTCAGGCCGGCCATTGAGACCACCTTCGGGCAATTGACGCTCGCTGAGCCAGTGCGAGGCCGCATCCCCATCGATGCTGTCAAGACGTCCCAGAATGTCGAGGGGAGCAACAACAGTAAAGATCTGGGCAGCGTGGCTCTCAGCGCCGGGAGTCAGACCGAAGCCGCCGTCGTAATTCTGGCAATCCGCCAAAAACTTGACGGTTTTGTCGACTGTGTCATTGATCAGATCGAGTTTCCCAAGAATACACAGGCATTGAATAGCTGTATAGATAAACCGGGTATCTACCTCGCCGTATTTGTCGCCAACAAACTCACCGCCCTCGCGACGTAAACTAAGCACAAAGGAAGCAGTTTTGTCTTTGTCTATCCGGTCCAGCGCATCACACAAGAACAAAATCTGTACTGCACTCAAAGTATACAGCACATGGGGGTCGTGTTTTGGATGGGCGGCGAACCCACCATTCGAATCAAGACAGGAGAGAACAAACTCAATGACTGCTTCACGATCGAGCGCATCGGGCGCACCAAGCATGTGCAGAGCAGTCAGGCCCCAATACAATCCACTCATCCGCAAATGAGCGGTCATGGAGTACCGCAGGCTGTCTTTGTTCTCATCCAGCGACTTGATGTATTCAATGTGTTTGTCGCGAAGGAGCATTTGATAAGCGCACGAGCGGGCGGGCGGGCAGCAGGATATAATGAATGGTTTAAGCCGTAAAATTACTTGTAAATAGATATCTACGCACGAAGGGCCTTGCTAAGGTTGGCCACACGGTCGCTGTTGTCACGGGCGCTCTTGGAAATGGCCAGCACGTTGCTCAAAGACTCCTTCCATGCCCCTAGTCTCTTTTCGATCTCTTCCCAGTGAGCGTTTGTGAACTCGCCAACGGGCGTCACCTGCTCGACCAGAAGCTCCTGCTTGAACTGGTCCATGCGGCCCTTGATAAGACCGGCCTTGATGGCGTCAATAACGAGGATTTCCACCCGGGAAGCCTCGACACCAGTGGCCGCGCTGATCTGGGCGTACGAGACGGCACGCTTGGTGCCAGCGATTTTAGCAAGAGCAACAACCCGGGCCTTGGACTGGATCTGAGGGTTGGAAGCAGCAGGCAGGCTCTTGAATGCATCGTAGTCTCCGATTGAGACAGCCTTGAGGGTGGCATAAAGATCGCTGTTGGTCTTGGGCAGCTGCTGAACAGCGGGAACTGCAAGTACCTCGTCAAAGTCGTAAATGTGAGTGTTTGCAAGAACATCTGTGACAAGTTGCTCGGTAATATCGCCCGCCGCATTGGCCTTGCTGGCAGCAAGCAGCAGCTGGTAGGTCGCCTTGGGTGAGAGTGTGTTCAAGGAGTTGACAAGCTTGTTGTAAATATCAGTCTTGTTATCCTCGGTAGCGTTCCACTCAGCGAGCCACTCCGGAAGTTGGGAAAGCTGGGGGACCAACTGGCCAAGCGTGCCGGCGGCAATAGAAAAGTCGACGATCTTGTTGAAGACGTCGAAGCGGAACCGCGAATTACGGGGCATAATGTTGAACAGGTTGCCCAAGATCGCCAAAATAACCAGCTGCTGAGCACTGCTCTCGGGGATATCGCTGGCCAAGTTCGCAAGGATGACCGGCATAAGCGTACCAAAGTCGGGTGCCTGCGACAGAACAAAAAGAAGCAGGTTGTAGCTGGCCTCAAGATCGTTCAGCGGGCCCTTGAGCAAGCCAGCAGAGCCTTCGGCCAGTGTAAAGTACAGCTCCTGCTGCTGGGAAGGCTCCTCGGTGGCTGCCAGCTCGGCGGCAACCTGCACAAGCGGTCCGTCCTGCTCTTCGCCATTAAGCTGGTCAATATAGCCGGCAATATCGGCCATGTTGTCCGCCAAATTGCCATCAACGATCATATACCCTTGGTCCATTTTTCTGAAAATATTTCACAGAGGGTGTGACTTAGGTAACATTTCACCTATGGGAGGTTTTGGCATCGCAGAGGTGAAAGAAGGGCAAATCTAGGATAGGTTAATATATATGGCGGTTTTATATTTTGTTGCAGCAACGGGTGTCCATTACCTCGACCGAGCGGTTAAATTTCTGATTCGAGGGGGGCACGTCCATAGCAGGGTTCTCGGTGAAGAACCCATTGGGGTGCAGGCCGACAGTCAACCTCTCCACGGGCATGACAGGGAAGTCTTCGGCACGGGGGTGATGAGTGAGCCCGAAGGAGTGCCACAGCACTACGTCTTCGTTGCGGACGTGTTCGTTGCGGTTGACTGCGTCCTGGACGCCTCCCAACTCAACCGCCGCCTGGTTCGTCCAAACCCCGCCAGCAAAGAACTCATCATCAACGTGCTTGGTGACCCAGAAATGATGGGTGGCAAACTGAGCACGGCTACGGCAAATAGTCCCTTCGGGCGCGAGTAGGAGAGCAGATGGAACTGCAGAGAGCTTGTAACCAACCGGGCTCATGGTGATGGGATTGATCTTGTTCTCGTTAACAATCTTGATGTACCGGTTCACCGTCTGGTCAGCATCAAACGCACTTGACTTTTCTACATAGCTCGTGCTATTGTAGAAGCCGGTGCCATGCGGGTTGATTTGGTCGCGGCGGTCTAGCTTGGTGTCGCACACAGCAATGGTATTGTTGTGACCATCGACAGCAGGGTCAATACGCATAGAAAAAATATGCTGGTGGGACGCGGCCAGAACAGAAGGAGCAACGACAGTACCCCATTTGCTCTTCTTGCCGGGATCAATGTACTGAGTAGAAACGATGCCCGTAGCCCGGATCTCAAGTTCGACATTGGCGGCCTGGTCAAAGTGCCAAGCAAAGATGTATTCGTAGTTGGCCACAGTCAAGACCGTCTGCAAAATCAGAATACGACGGCGAGCAACGCGAGGAACATTGGTTCGATAGTTCGTGTGCTTGTAAAGAATACCGTCGTCCTGCTCGTGCATGCAAATAACGTTTTTGCGGACTTCAATTTGTCCATCACCGTGGACAAGATGACCATCGAAATACTTGATAGTGCCCAAGCAATCACAACCCAGGGCCAGAGAGTTCGCACAGTAGCCGGCACCCAAGTCTCCCAGATCGAATGCTTGCTTGCGATGGAGGGGGGGACGAGGGTCACCATAGGGGACAGTCATTTCTGAAACAGATAGGCGATAAAAAGTCTGGCGGCCGTCGTAACGAACATCATGAATAACCAGGCCCTCGCGAGCATTGAACCCCACTCTGAAATCCCACTTTTGCCAGCGAACACGACTGCCCTCAACACTAAATGACGGACCTTCGGGCTGAACGACGTGATAGGGCTTGATGTCTTGGCGAAGAGGTAGTTCGGGTCGGAGCTCAGACATGTACTCGCTAGACCTCAATGTTTCCACGAGAGGCTGCATGGGGTTTCGGGTGTTATAATTGATCTCGACTACATCGTCGCCATCACCACCAGTGGCACACCAATCCACTCTGGCCAGTTTCTGTTCCATCAAATCGTAAACAGGAACGAAAGGCAAAGGGAAGCTGTAGATGTTACTATCAGCGTTGTTGGTTTTGGCATCACGCATGTACATCAGGAACATAACATAGCGAGGCTGCACAATATTGGTATCACACCCATAGATCCAGCCATCGGGAGCGACACACTTCATGAGCTCATCGGTCACTCCGCATTTCTTCAGTGCTTCGATGACAGGCTTTTCCTTAAGGAGCTTCTCGCCGTAGGGTAAGATCTCGTTGAAATCCAGCGGCGGGTGGCTTCCCTTGGGGAACGTCCGACGTTGAACGACCGATTCACTTTCAAGATTGAGCCACATCTCTTCGCCTACTCGGTCCTCCAAGACATAGTAGATGCAGTAAGCGACCCGAGGCGGCGGTGCAACAGGTGGGCCGCTGTGCAGAGCATCAAGGTACCTGGTCATGAGCTTCTTAGGGGGCTCTTGAGCCTGAACATTTTTGATATGCAGGCTCTTTCCCTGGTGTTCACGGCGCAGTAGGCTCACAGCCTTCTTGCATTCAGCTACCGTGAGCTGGTCCAGGGGGTGGACAGAAGTTTGGGGGGCCAATTGCTTTTCCATCGTTTGGAGATACTATATGATAGACATTGAGCTCCTTTTTGTAGTCGAACTTTTAGGGTATCGGGGAAAGATTCAAGTGATAACAGATGCCACCTATTACCCAAATAGGCAGGTGAAGCCATAAAACCAATATCTCGGATTCGCAGGCCAATTACACCCTACATAAACGTTTACTGGGTCCAAATGGACCCTTTGAAGTACGCTTTTCATCCGATCTAGCTGAGCATGACGTATTTATGCCGATATTCGCTCAAAACCCGCAATAATTCTCTAAGACGTACTTCGTCTATGCCGATGTAAGGGTTTATAACCGGTCACCTGCATAGTGATAAGACATACCCTTAGATAATATGATACTGGTTGTGCATTTCCGCCCAGCTCTAGGCAACGGCGTCTAGCGGCTTGGTATATGAGTTCAAAGCTTGGACATATGATTAATTTTAAATTTTATTTTCGAGTTGTACGGTTAGGATAGGTCTTTTAGCACTGCTTTAAAAGTATGAGCCTCATATGTTCAGTTCAACAGAAATCCCATTATGCGTACCAACAATGCAACAATACCAACAATGCATGAACTTGTAACCGGTACACATATAGAACTCGTCAAACTATGAAAACGGAATACGGATGAAGAACATGCCATATTCTGGTGGCCAATTTTATCATCTGGCTCAATCTCCAGCGAAATTCGCATCTAGGCAGTTGGCTAACCTACACCCCACAGCATTGACCCCGCTTCATTGCAACCCCTTGCCCCCTACGCTATCGTCAGTTTGATGAACAGGAGAATACAATGGTTAAAAAGGCTCTAAAGCTATAGTTATGTATAGATAAATTATGCTTGGGTTTACATCTTGTTGCAGCAACGAGTTTTCATGACTTCAACAGAGCGGTTGAACTGCTGATTGGAAGGAGGGACATCCATGGCAGGGTTCTCGGTGAAGAAACCATATGGATGCAGACCGACTGTGATCTTTTCCAGAGGCATGACAGGGAAGTCTTCGATACGGGGGTGGTGGGTGAGACCGAAAGAGTGCCACAGAACAATGTCCTCATTGCGGACATCCTCCTTACGATCAATAGCGTCCTGGACACCACCGCGCTCAACGCTAGACTGGTTGGTCCAGACACCACCGCCGAAGAACTCATCGTCAGTGTGCTTGGTGATCCAGAAGTGGTGCTTAGCGAACTGAGCACGGTTGCGGGCAATAGAGCCCTCGCGAGCCATGATCAAAGCCGAGGGATAAGCGGAAAGCTTGAAACCAACGGGGTCCATGGTGATGGGGTTGATCTTGTTCTCGTTGATGATCTTGATGAAGCGGTTGACGCTCTGGTCAGCATCAAGAGCACTGGACTTCTCGACATAAGTGTGTTTGTTGTAGAAACCGGTGCCGTGAGGGTTAATAGCATCAAGAGGATCCAAAACACTGTCGCAGACGGCAACGGTGTTCTTGTGGCCATCAATAGCGGGATCAATGCGCATAGAGAACAAGTGCTGGTGAGAAGAAGCCAAAACGGAGGGGGAGACAATGGTACCCCACTTGCTCTTCTTGCCGGGATCAATGTACTGGGTAGAAACAATACCAGTAGCGCGGATCTCGAGCTCGATGTTGGCAGCCTGGTCCAAGTGCCAAGCAAAGATGTACTCGTAGTTGGCAACAGTCAAGATGGTCTGGAGAACAAGGATACGGCGGCGGGCAACCCGGGCAACATTAGTGCGGTAGTTGGTGTGCTTGTAAAGAATACCCTCATCCTGCTCGTGCATGCAGACAACGTTCTTGCGAGCCTCAACGCTACCATCGCAGTGAACGAGGTTACCGTCAAAGTACTTGATGGTACCCAAGCAGTCGCAACCAAGAGCCAAGGAGTTGGCAGCGTAGCCGGCACCGATATCACCGAGATCGAAAGCCTGCTTGCGGTGCAGGGGAGGACGAGGATCACCGTAAGGCACAGTCATCTCGGAAACGGACAAACGGTAGAATGTCTGACGGCCGTCGTAACGGACATCGTGCAAAACGAGACCCTCGCGAGGGTTGAAACCAACGCGGAGATCCCACTTCTGCCAGCGGACGCGGGTTCCTTCGATAGAGAAGGAGGGACCCTCGGGCTGAACAACGTTGTAAGGCTTGAGGTCCTCGCGGAGAGGCAGGTCAGGGCGGAGCTCGTGGTAGTACTCACCAGCACGCATGTTGTCAACGATGGACTTCTCGGGGTTGCCAGAGTTGTAGTTGATCTCATTGACATCATCGCCATCGCCGCCAGTAGCGCACCAGTCGATGCGAACCAGCTTATTCTCAAGAACGTCGTAAACAGGGACGAAAGGAAGAGGGAAAGCGTAGATATTGCTCTCAGGGTGGTGAGTCTTGGGATCACGCATGTACATCAAGAACATAACCAGACGGGGCAGAGGCTCATTGGAGTCACAGCCGTACATCCATCCGTCGGGAGCGACGTCCTGAATGCCGTCGACACCGCACTTCTTGAGGGCCTCAAGGACGGCGGGTTCGTTGAGAACAAGCTCCTCGATCTTGTCGCTCTCGGGCTGATCCATGGGAGGGTGAGTACCGTTCTCGAAAGAGCGGCGCTGCACGACCTTGCGGTTCTCAAGATTCAACCACAGCTCCTCGGCATGGCGGTCGTCCAAAATGTAGTAAACGCAGTAGGCGACACGAGGAGGAGGGGCAATGGGGCTGCCAGCGTGGTAGGCATCGAGCCACTTGGTCATGATTTTCTTGGGGGGCTCCTGAGCCTGAACGCTCTTGATGTGTAGGGTCTTTCCTTTGTGCTCATCGCGGAGTAAGGAGACAGCGAGCTTGCACTCCTCAACAGTGAGCTGATCCAGAGGATGGATCTCTAAAGAAGAGGTAGTTTGTTTCTCCATAGTGTGTTCTATTGAGTTATGGAATTCGACATGGATCTGTGCGGGGTTTATATACTTCAGCCCTGTGGGTTATACAGGTGCACTGGTTATCCTAGGGTACGGTGCCGCCTGATTAGGCAGCTGCAGCCGGATTTTTTTCCTGCTAAGCGATGGAAATGGACGGGTTGTGCATGGTTTTCACAGTCCGCTCCGGGGGATGTGATCTCGGTGGCGTTTGGCCTAGCAAGGCGTCGGTCCGTCAGGCAAAAATGGCCGCTACGAGTTTTCTCCAATTTCAAGTTTTCACTTCTGGGCTCCTCCCAGCAGCAGGGTAGCGGGGATCAAATGTAATTTAGGTCATCTGCATCCGATAAACCTAGTTGGGAAAGTCGAGCCTACCTTCCGAAATTTCAAGGTTTGAGCGATAACGCATCGTTGGGGTGGCCACCGAGCATTCTTTGAAGAATTCCGGACATTCGGGTAAAGTATTCGATACCACGCTGAGCGTTGTGTTGTTGCTCAATTTTCTAAAATTGGCTTTGCAATCCAGGCTAGATTCCTTCAACTCTCCTGCTAGGGCACGGCCACGCACATAAGATCCCAGTCGACACAACAACCTCTGATCCGGGGCGGCAACTGGATCAAAGCCAAAGCGTGGGGCAAACAGGGTTTTTAAAAGCACAACCTTGCTTCTGTAGTCTATATACATATAATCCATTGAGTTTTGGTCTACGTTCTCTTTGCAAATGTTACTTTTCTGCACTTGCCCCCGCACCCTGCATAATGCGTGTACCCCGCGTCATTGGGGGCTGATAGGATCTCTTCGCTGCCAACAGGGTTCACTGCATAATCACTTGGAACGGGCAGTACCTTCCCAATTCAAGATGATAGGAGCGATGTCGCTTTCAGTGATTTTTCGGGCAGCTCGTCGGGATAACTGAACCAGAAACTGGCTCAGACTGACCTCGCCGAGGTGGGCATTGATCTCCTTACGGCTTGTCCTGGCAAAAAGCAGCGGCCGCCCCTGCATCACCCTGACTACCAGCTGAAAAATTGATGCAGCCAGTAGGGGGTTCATGCTAAACCCTAGGTGCCGCTCAAAGTAAGCGATCGCCGCTGCCGCTCCGACAATGTCCTGCTCGGCACTGACAAATGCCTGCGAAACGTTCTCCACCAGCCCCATAGTCGCCTTGTAGTTTCCCGTACTCAGCATATGGCCGAATAGTTGTCGGCAGTCTCTGTCAAGCTTTTTGTCTCGAACAGCGGCCCAGATCAGCCGCCAACAGTAATCGTCCAAGCCCAGTTCTGTCTCTGCCAGATTAGTAGGGTTTCCAACTTCCAAGATACTCGCTGCAAGGGGCGCAGTAATCGTGCATTTCAGATTATTCAAAAAAGGCTGGACCTTTTCAACGTCATTAGAGGCATAGTAGCGCAGCAGGACAGCGTTCACCAGCGGCTCTTGGGCAAACATGCTTGCGACCTGCTCACCAACACTGACCTTGTCCCGTCGGAGAAGCGTATAGACCAGATTAGCAGCTGAATCTGCGGTAAGGTGGACTTTGAACTTGTCTAGCTGGTGCAGCACCTCGACCACCTGGTCTTCTTCGCCGGTCCGTGCGAGCGCACAAAGCCATGCGGCCCAGAACTTTTCCTGAAACAGCATATCGCTATTGTCTGTCAGTAGCTCAGCGAAATCATGAATGGGCGGCTCGCTCTTGGATGTGTACTTTGTCGTTCGACTCATGCTCGAAAGCAGCTTTGCATTGTCGTAATGTTGGGGGAGAACTTTAAGTAACTTTGCAGCAGTATCCCACTGTCTTGCTTCAACACAGTTGTAGAGAACCTGCGCAGCATTCTCGGGTGTGATAGGCGTTACACGATGTAGAATCTCTTCGAGACTGCTTACCTCTGAGACGTCCTCTTTGACGTTGCCTTTCAGCGACGATATAAATCGGTCGGTCCACAACCCAAGTGCTTTGTTTTGTTTCTTGGCTGCAAATTTGACCATCTCCCCAGCCAACCGAGGTGATAAGAGACCCTTTTCATGTAGAGATAGAGCCAATAACTCGGCTTCATGCCAAAGCCCCGCATCGAGGTGGTATAGCGCGCCAATTTCAGTCCAGTATGTTGTTTCCTTTACCTCTTCTCGGTTTTTGCGACTACTCCAGTATCCCAATGCTCGAAATGGTCGTCCTTTTGCCACCAGAGAATCAAGATACTCGACCTCGTTGACGGGGTCCAACCGAACTTTTTTCAAGCGGTATAAATAAGTTCCGACGAGATAAATGACATCGATCCGGATGTTATCGGGCATTCGTTTGGCAACCTCAAACAGCGTGCTAAAAAGCTCAATGTATTTAGGGTCTTTCGTGCTGGCCAATGTTTTGACCGCTTCCCAAAATGCAGTGCCAAAATCTGACAGGTTATCAGCAGCACCCAGAGTTTCCTTGACAAATGCGTACACATAATTGAGTTCTGACTCCTGTCGGTTGTCTGATTTCTGGGCCATGTCGTTTTCTTGGGCCTTGAGAAGCTCAGAAACCTCTTGTTCTCTTGTACTCAACACATGCTGGAGATATTCCCGTTGGTCCACCGGCAGATTCGCCAACTGCTTCCTTAGCACATCTATAGTCGGTACTGGGATCACTTTTTCGATTTGCTGGACTCGATTTGGCCTTTTTAGCGTCCTTATTCCACGCAGGAACTGCCTTTGCATTTCCAGTTACTAAGTGCAAGTTCAAGTTTCGCCTTCAGTGCTCCGGGTAGGCAAGAGGCCTCTCCTGTGTATTTATTTAGTAATTAGCCTATCAAAGTACCACCAATATAAAAAAAAAGAATATTACAGTTGATTTCAACTGAAATGTTTAACTCCGACACGGGGAATCGAACCCCGATTTGCCCGGTGAAAGCGGACCGTCCTAGCCGTTAGACCATATCGGATAATTATTTACCAAAATGTGGATTACGTATAAGTACTTATCAAAGTTTGTAGGTCAAGGGTAAGCTCGTCGATTTCCAGGAGCGGTTTTTTCAAGCTTCAATGCTCGAAAGCCGGGCATGTGCTCACAAGTGGGAAATTTCGACTCTATTCCCACTGTCTTGTTAATTAGTTTTGCTCCTATAGCGGCTCTGCTATGAGTTAGAGTGCAGTCGACCGGCACCAGTCAGGAGGAGGCTGATCCCTCTTTTTCAGACAGCATTTTCGCTTTGTGCCGAAAATCATTTGCTGCTTGCACCCCTAGCAGTCTCTCGAAGCCGTGCTTGTCTAGTGTTTCGAGTTGCACATGTGTGCGAGCCACCGCAGTTACCACGTTGAGCGACTGGCCAAGAAGAGCGAACTCTCCAAATATGTTGCCTTTTCCGAGTGATGTCATTGGCACTCCTTTCATACTGAGCATAATTTCTCCCTGGCTGATAATGTAAAAATTAGTAGCCTCCTCGTCCTCCCGCATGATGGCCTCCCTGGCATTGAAGGAGACAGATTGCAGGCCGCTCACCAACTTTACTTGGTCCTCTTCATCTAGACACTGTAGAGGCTTGGTTCCTTTTATAACTCCTCGTAGAAACTCTCTCTTTTTAGCCAGCTGGTGGGCCATGACTTCTTTGAAAAGGATTCTGTCGAGTGTCCACGCTTTGACATCTGTGACAGCCTTTATTGTGAATGTCTTGATAGAGTCGTGAAGCAGCGAAATTTCATTAAAGCTTGATCCGGGTCCCATCTGAGCAAATAAGTGACCTCCGCTAGAAACACTCAGGCTTCCTGACTCTACTACGTGAAACTTGTTAGCTGTCTCTCCACCCTCACCTTCGGTAAGAATAATTGTCCCTTCGCTAAACTTCTCTTCGGTGAATAAACTCACAATCTCTGCAAGCACGTCTAGTTGCAGGTCCACGAATATAAGCATGGTACGGAGTCTGTCCAAAATTATTTTTCGGCTATTACTGCCTGGAGGTGGATGAAGTGCATTTTGACCAGCATTGAAATAATCTTCGTTATACTCATTTGGGTCCACTGACTCTGCCGATACCGACTGTCGTCTTTGCGCAAGGCATGTGGGCCCCTCTATGACTGGGAGCGAGCTCTCTAGCCCACTTGTGATGAATGGAACCAGTTGCTCTTTGTCTGTTAATTCTGACATGAACACGTATTCTTTCCGAGATGCGATTAAATAGTAACGACAAAACCTTCCCAAACCGTCCATGTTGATGCTGGGAGAAATACAAGCTCAATGAGGGTATTCTGGTGTGCGTTGCTAGTTCATGTTTGTGTCTTTGCATTTTTGCATTCTATTTTTTTTTTTGGGATCCCTGGTTCAACTATTCAACTTTAACTTGCAGTTCATAATGAGTCTACAGTGAGCAGCATGTTGTGTAACCTAGTTAGCATCCGTAAGAGATCTGTGTTAGCTATCTGCATACTCGATATCTGCGTTATCCTGGCACCATTCCACCCAATTCTTCAAGAATCCATCATTTGCACCAATTGTTTCGCTATCACCGAAAATCACCAACTGGCGGCGTGGTCTGGTTATGGCGACGTTCATCCGCCTATCATCTGCAACGAACCCAACTTCCTTATCAGGGTTACTACGCACAAGACTTATCAAAATAACCTCCTTTTCGCGACCTTGAAACCCGTCCACAGTTGAAACCTCTACTGAAGGTAGCAGTCGCCTCAGTTCTCCTACTTGAGCATTGTACGGGGAGATGACTCCGATTTCGTCTGGGTTGACCCCAGAATCCAAGAGTTTCGAAAGAAAACCTGCAACAAGCTCTGCTTCACCGATGTTTTTGGTGGAAAACGCCTCTTCTTCTTTTTGTTCAGGGTACATATCACCCAAGGTGTCAACCCAAAGGACGACGGATTCAGTGGTATTGTTTTTCTCGACATGAGGAAGATGGTAAAGACGGTGGGAAGCAACTGACTTGTCGGCGATTAGCTTTCCATTATACATTGCTTTCGAGGGAAACTCCATGATTTCCTGGGCCATGCGGTACTGAATCGTGATAAGGTGTTTCACTGCTGGACCACAGCTATCAACAAGTTGGTCGAAGAGGGTCCGCTCGAGAGTCTTTAAAACAGAAGATTCAGTTGATTTTATAGTTGGAGGTAATTGCTTGTTATCGCCTGCGACAACGAGCCTTTTAGCGTTGGGCTCGATCACCAGTGGGATGTAGCACTGGGGCAACAAGGCCTGTGAAACCTCATCAATGACAATAGTATGGAACAAGGGTATACCGCCGAGAAAATTGACGGCATCACCGAGATATTTTGAGCCTGCCGAGTGCAACGTTGCAACAACGACACTGGCCTTCAAAATGAGATCCCGAACGACAGTTTTTTCACGGACTCTATAATCCTTTCGCAGAGTTTTGAGGTCACTCCAAAGAGCTTTACGCTCGGAGCCGCGGGCCTTTTTGACTTTCCCCAGGACCTGATTGATCTCGGTTTGCAACTCGCGAACAACTTGTCCTTCGTTACTCTGTTTTGCAACCAGGTCCAGCGAATGCATCATGACCGAGTCCAAAAGACGAGCCGGATGCCCCAATCGAAGGAGACCACGAACATGAGGAGAAAGGCGCTCCACGATATTGTCAACAGAGATGTTGGACGGACCACAGATCAAAACCCGTTCACCTTTAGCCACCAGTTGACGAACGATCTCGACAATTGTAGCCGTTTTCCCTGTACCTGGCGGTCCATGGATCACCGCGACTTCAGAACCCAATGCATGTTTGACGGCTACCCTCTGCGGATCATTCAAAGAACCCAGCGGGGTAAAGTCTGCTTGTTCAATGTGGGGTGCAGCGGACCCCTTAACGATATCCAGCAGTCTAGTGGTGGTGTGGTTTTCGAAACGGTCAATCGCCCACTTAATTCGCTTATAGGTAACCTCGTTGACAAGTTTTACAATCCATAGTCGTGCGTCAGGAAACTCAATCGAGTCATCGTCGGAGGCAACGACAATCGACTCTTTCGACACCTTTACAACCACCGCCTCGAACCCACCTGGCTCTACCGTCTGCTTTGGTTGTTTTGCCACCTGCACAATATCGCCGACCTTGACTACAGGATCAAATAGCCCAATAGCCTTGTCAGGACCGAGCTCGAACAAAGTGCGGCCACCAAGGCCCGTAGAGACTCCGTTCAGGCTTAGATTGAGCATTGCCAACCCGCGCCTGGCCAGCACCTTTGGTGGCAATGATTTCAGCAACTTTGCCGTCTCTAGCGTGTCAGTTTGCTGCTCCTTTTCAATGGCTTCACGAAGGTCCATTTCACATAAGCGAACACACAGTAACTGCGGGTGGATATGGGCGAGCTGGAGGAACTGTACGAGCAGTTACAGCAGCTGAGGAGCCATCTCCCTGGATTGATGCAATTGCTTGCCACATTCGAGGACGATAAGACGAACCGGCAAGTGTTTTACGAGGTGGCCCGCAGCGTGGAGAGATGGCGGTCGGCAGCTATTTCGTTCAATCAGAGGTACGCAGATCTAAAGAAGCGGGGCGTTCTCCAGGACAACGTGCAGCCAGCACAATTATCTCCTGAGCTAAACAACGATTTCGACTATGGGTTTTCTAACGACTTCGGAGTCGACGGGTTGGGCGTGGACTACAACCTCGGCAGCGATATGCTCGATGAAGGAATCGGCGGCGACCCTCTTGTTGACGAGTTCCTTGATATTTAATTTATCCAATCTATAATATGCGCGCACCCCCTTCTCTTCGAGCTCGATCTCATATATTCCGTCCGGCTTAGAAATCGTGACTCACTCATGTCACAACAGATCCGTGATACTTTTGCCCAGTGTAAGGCCGAGCAGCGGCCTGCTGTGGTTACTTTTTTAACATGTGGATTCCCGGGAATTGAAGAGACTGTTCCCCTGCTTATGGCGCTTCAAGAGGGCGGCGCTGATATCATCGAGCTCGGTATGCCGTTCAGTGATCCGGTGGCTGACGGCCCGGTAATTCAAAAGGCCAATCAGATCGCTCTTGACGAGGGCGTTACCATGAGCACTGTGTTGCAGGCTCTGCGTATTGCCAGGGCCACTGGCCTCAAGGTTCCTGTTTTGCTCATGGGCTACTACAACCCCATTATGCAGTACGGCGAGGAGAAGTTCATTAAAGAGGCCAAGGAGGCCGGGGCCAACGGGTTTTTGATGGTAGATCTGCCTCCTGAAGAAGCTATTCGATTCCGCAACGTTTGCCACAAATTCTATCTATCGTATGTGCCATTGGTTGCCCCTTGCACTTCCGAGAAGCGCCTGGAGGAGCTCGCTGGCATTGCCGACTCGTTCATCTATGTTGTTTCCCGTATGGGAACCACCGGATTCACAGGAACGCTAGAGGTTCATATCGACGAGCTGTTGGCTCGGGTCCGCAAGCATTCTGGTGATATTCCTTTGGCTGTTGGATTCGGTATTTCGACCCGTGCACACGTCGAGGAAATTGGCAAGATTGCCGATGGTGCCGTCATTGGTTCTTATTTGATTTCTCTTATTGAAAAGAACGAGGACAAGGCTCGTGTTGCCGCTCTCAAGGCCTACGTCGCCGAGGTTTCAGGCAACAGAAAAGTCGATGTTTCCACTATCCCGAAGTGTGTTATCACCTCTGTTGACGCCGAAGATGAGCCTCCTGCTGTGAATGCTACTAATATGAAACTGGAGACTCCTGTTGAGCCTTCAGTTGATCGGTTCGGCCTCTTTGGCGGCCAGTACGTCCCTGAGATTCTTCACGAGTGCCTCAAGGAGCTTGAACAGGAGTTCTTTGCTGCCCGTGATGACCCAGAGTTCTGGAAACTCTTCCGCTCGTACTACCCTTACATGGGCCGTCCCTCCTCTTTGCATCTTGCCGACCGTCTTTCTGAAGAGGTTGGCGGTGCTCGCATTTGGTTAAAACGCGAGGATCTCAACCACACTGGTTCCCATAAGATCAACAATGCTTTAGGCCAGGTTCTCATCGCCAAAAGACTTGGCAAGACCAAGGTCATTGCTGAGACCGGTGCGGGCCAGCACGGTGTCGCCACGGCAACTGCTGCCGCCAAGTTTGGTCTTAAATGCACTGTATATATGGGCGCCGAGGACGCTCGCCGTCAAGCACTCAATGTGTTCCGTATGCGTCTGCTGGGTGCAGAGGTCGTTGAGGTCCATAATGGTACCAAGACTTTGCGTGATGCTTGTTCCGAAGCTCTCCGGGTTTGGGCCACTCGTCTGGGCGACACACACTATGTTCTTGGTTCTGCAACAGGTCCTCACCCTTTCCCCACAATTGTGCGCACTCTGCAGTCCGTAATTGGCCAGGAGACTCGTGAGCAGTTTGGTGCTTTGAATGACGGTCGTCTTCCCGATGCTGTTCTTGCGTGCGTCGGCGGCGGCTCAAACTGCGCTGGTATGTTCTCTGAGTTTATCCCTCTACCAGAGGTTCGCCTTATCGGCGTCGAGGCCGGCGGATCTGGTCTCGATACCAACGAGCATGCCGCTACTTTGACTGGCGGTAACCCCGGCGTTTTGCACGGTGCCAAGACCTACGTACTGCAAACCCCCGATGGTCAAATCGTCGACACCCACTCTATCTCTGCTGGTCTCGATTATCCAGGTGTTGGTCCCGAACTGGCGTCTTGGAAGGAGAGCGGTCGGGCTAAGTTCGTCGCCTGCACAGATGCCGATGCTCTGCGGGGCTTCCGCATACTTTCACAGACCGAGGGTATCATCCCGGCTATCGAATCTGCCCACGCAGTCTACCAGGCTACTGTTGTCGCCAAAGAGCTCGGAAAGGGCAAAGATATTGTTGTGTGCTTGAGCGGTCGTGGTGATAAAGATGTTCAGCACGTTGCAGAGCTTTTGCCTACGTTTGGCCCTAAAATCGACTGGGATCTCCGCTTTTAGAGTATAGACAGTATATAAAATTATCAAAATCCGTCCCTATTAGCTTCGTTACCTCGCTGCTGATCTCAGCATGTGGACTCACCGACTTGGCTATGGCCATCCTGGCGGTATAAAGCCTGATCCCGGTGGGTTCAAGGTGGCCAGAAGAAACGAGTCTGCCAGGTTATACGATGGTGGGACAAGGATTGTAGATATAGGCGCCGAAGAGGACGAGAATGGCAAAAGAATTGGAGAATGGGGTCCGCCTAGCTTTGAAACTTATCGGATGGCCCAGCAGACGCAAAACATGGACATTGGGTTCGTGCCGCAGTCAATTGTGCAGGATTATAGCTATCAAAGTTATGTTGCTACGTCTCCAGCTACGCTAGATCCCACAATTGGCCCAAAACTCTGTTTATTTTCAGACAGTGTAGTTTTTGCCAACGATAGATGGTTGAGCTTTTACGGCCAAGAGTGGACTCACTTGGATATGGGCAGTTTGGTTACGGGTGTCAGTCCAGGGCTGGCTCGAACAAGGGACTCAGTTTACAGATTGTCGACCAATACGGCCCAAGTGGTTTGCCAGAGTGATTCTATGGACGCTTGTTTGCATGGCGAGTTTACAGCTGTTTTGTCGTCGAGAGGCGACGTTCGAATCTACAATTTGAACCAAGAACACACAAATTTCCATCTGCCCAGGGGCAGCAAACAAGGATGGGGTCGAATTGGATGGACGAACGAGACAACTGTTTTATGGACCAACCGTAAACAATGTGCCTTTGTCGACATAAGGACGCCTTCACCGCGTGACAGTGTTTTGTTCGAGTTTTCAGGCAACCCTGGTGAACTTCTCGATATGAGTTTTGTGGGCAATGATGCCCTCATTCTGAACTCTGCCGAACTAGCTTGGGTCGATACGCGCATGAAAAGAACCAAGCTAGCATGGGAACATTTTTTCAGTCCCGAGGACTACACTTTACGACTCACTGGATGCAACCATAATGACCAGACGTTGGCCCTGATAACTTCTCAGTTGCATCCATTTACCACTATTTATACCCTTGGCACCAGCGAGGGAGACGCGGTTTCTACGCGTGACCCGTACGTTATTGAAACATGGCCATACGCATGCCCTCAAAGTATTCTTCCGATATCGAAAGGGCAAGAAATCACAATGTATATTGCAGGTGTTCAAGGCCAGCTTTTCGAACAAGTGCTGAGTGCCACGGAAGGCTGTCACGAAAACTACTCGATAGACCCCGAACCCACTGCTTCGAACCCGCGGGAAGAATGGAAGCAAAAGCAAGTCGATTTTGACTTGTCCGTTGCCCCAGACAATCAGCATACGCTTGGGTTTGCTAATTTGTACAAGTATGTTACCGAGCTTGCCCAACCGGCGCTGCCCCAGCTTGGATCACCTAAAACAAGCGTTTTAGAGGCACTTGGATACGAATCCATTGACGCATTTAAAAAGCACAGCTATAATATGTGGATCTCTCCCCTCGAGGACCAATCGCTGGCTGGTCCCAGACTAGAAGCTATTGAGTGGATAGCCAGCCACGTTGCGAGCTATGAAACTAAAAATGTGGACTTGAAAGTCAAGCTCACGCCTGATATTAAGGTGTTAAGTGATGAATGGGAGGACGAGCCCGAGCAACAAGAAGAAGAAGAGGAGCAGATGTATCCTGCCACCCAGCCAGCTCCCTCGTACGGAATATCCTCGTCACAGCCTGCTGTGTCGTTCATGTCACAACCCACGACTGGAATTTCGCTGTCGCAGCCTGCTCCGGCGCGAAAGCCCAAGAAAAAAACCAAAAAACGCAAACGAACCGAAGGTTTCGCATAGTTCACTTTCTGCTCTTGCTGTGCTTCAGCTCTTGCACAATTGCATGAGGACTAACCCCTGCTTCTAACGCCCTTTGTATTGTTTCTAGATCCTCTTTGCTCAACCCCGTGTCCATTAACCGAGCTATTTCAGCGACCGCATCCATCTTGGCACTTAGTCATGTTCAGTTTGGTGGTCGCGCTGCTGTTAAGCGTGGCTTTTGCGGATCCCTTGCTGTGGGGACCGTATCGCCCCAATGTATATTTCGGCATGAGGCCTCGGATTCCACATTCTCTGATTTCCGGACTCATGTGGTATAATGCCAACGACATACGGGGCATAAACAACCTCCGTCACGATGTGACCATGGATAATCAGGGCGTGACGTTTGGATGGGATCATTACGATCCTCGTCTTGGCGGCCAGCAAACAATCGTTGATAAAGAGAACAGTGTCACTCTGCGCACGACGTTGCTCAAGTCAGAGAATGGCGACAGCTGGGTTGTACGGGTTGAGGGTGACCAATCCCCCGATGCGGTGCTGTCGTTGGTGTACTACACTGCCATCGAAGGAGATGGCGACCTGCAACTCAAGTCCATGCTAACGGCTCAAGGAATCAAAGGCGACACGCTCATTGAGGGCTCCAGCCCGGAACTTGGTCGGTTTGATCTCAAGATCGTCGATGCCCACGGCTCTCACCCCGAGTCTTCGCATCCTGTAGCAGCTGACCGACCTGGTCAAAACACACAATATGCTGCAATGAATGTGCCAAACGATAATGCTTGGCGAGCACGACAGATCTTCCTGACGTTGGCTCAGGAACATGTCAATCAGTTGAACACCCGGTTCCCTGATGCCCAAGAGGATATCCCGGCATTTGCTACGTTCGCTCTTGCAAATACTCACCAGCCGGGGTCCAATTTCCATATGGTTCAAAAATCATTCCAGGGTCCATTTGCCTTTGACATCGAATATGGCCCTCGCGGAGAAGCCTTCAAGTATAGTGTCAAGGCATTCGACAAGCTCAAGTCTGCTCAGCAAGCCAAATTTGATACTGTTTTCAAGCCCCGGACTCCTTTCAAAGCTCCTGAGTTTACAGAGTTTGCCAGACAGCTTGTGTCCAATCTCGCTGCTGGCCTGGGCTACTTTTACGGAGACTCACTGGTTGGTGATCCTGACAATCGTCAGTCTGTTGACAAGACTGAGCCTAAATCATTGCTCACGTTCACTCCTACTCGTGCATTTTTCCCTAGAGGATTTTACTGGGATGAAGGTTTCCATTTGATTGGTCTGTTCGATTACGACCCCGACCTATGCCTCCAAGTAATCAGTTCGTGGTTCAGCAACATGGATGAAGATGGATGGATTGGTCGAGAACAGATTCTTGGTCCTGAGGCCCGTTCGCGTGTTCCCGAAGAGTTCCAGGTACAATACCCAGACTATGCGAACCCTCCTACCATTTTGATGATGTTGGCACAAGTCGGCAGTGCTAAACAGAGCCCCGCATCGATCAAATTGCTCAAAGACGTGTATCCTGCTCTCAAACAGCATTTTAAATGGTTCAGAAGCTCTCAACAGGGCGACATTGTGGGCTATGATCGTGAACCCCCCTCGCTTCGTGAAGGCTATCGCTGGAGAGGCCGCACACCTACTCATGTGTTGACTAGTGGGTTTGACGACTATCCGCGTGCATCTGAGCCCTCTGATGGTGAGCTCCATGTTGACTTGCTGAGCTGGGTTGGCGCCATGGCCCGTTCGCTAGCGCAAATTGCCGACGTGCTTGGCGAGTCGAAGGACGCCGAGCGGTTTGCCAAAATTCAAAAGGACGTTCAATCCAATCTGGTCGCACTTCATTGGAGCTCCGACCAAAACACCTTCTGCGATGTTGCTGTGGATGAATTTGAAGAGGACGTTCACGTGTGCCACCCCGGATACGTTTCCCACCTGCCTTTCTTCCTTCGTCTTGTTGATGCGCAAGATGAAAAGCGTCTACTGTCACTGATCCATCAACTTCGTGACGAAGATCAGTTGTGGTCGAATGTGGGTATTCGCTCTCTATCCAAGTCTGATGGCTTTTTCGGCATTGGCGAGAACTACTGGCGCGGCCCCGTCTGGATCAACATGAACTACCTTGCTCTGGAGGCGCTCCAATACTACCATGAACATGGTTCTGAGGCTGTTCAAGAGCAGGCAGCCAAGCTATTCAACGAATTGCGCCGGAACGTTGTGAACAACGTGTACAAGCAATGGAAGACCACAGGAGCAGTGTGGGAACAGTACGACTCGATGAACGGAGCAGCCAAGGGTGCTAAACAATTCACTGGATGGACTGCGCTTGTTGCAAATATCATAAATATGCCAGAGCTCGATGCTGGACATCGGGAGCTTTAAAAGTACAGAGCTATAAATATAAACAGTTACTCGTCGTCTATTTCGTCGTCGTCATCGTAGAGGTAGAATTGGCCGAAGATAACCAGGTCCTCGAACACGGTGCCGACAGAGCCCAGGAGCCAGGGCAAATAGAGCATGATCCACTCTTTATCTTGACGCAAAATAAGAATCTGGCCAGAATAGGTCAAGTTGCCGAGCATGCTGAGCAAAAAGAAGCCCATTGACAAGCCCTCGACACTGCGACGGCGATGGTTTTGGATGATCTGGGGGATGCGAGCGAAAAGGTACATTGCCGCCGAAAAGTAGCCGAGAACCTCTGCGACCAGGGGCTTCTCCTCGGGGCCGTCGTCAGGGGTTGAATCAGACAACATATATGAGCCAGCGGAAACCAAGAACACGAAGACGAGGGGCAAACCGGTAGATAACCACCAGGGTGCGTGGTGTGCGTGATGGTGATGATGATGATGGGTATGGTCCAGCTCCGATTCGGCCGGTCCAGGAAGCAGGGGGGTGTCTTCATTGGTCTCTTCCAGCATTTTCTGAAGTCTTGATTTGTGTGTGTAGTAAATATAAGACAGAACCAGCAGAGAATCACTGAAACAGAACCACAGCGCCAACAGACTGACGTTTGGCCGCAGGTGGCCGATAACCGCGCCCAGCAAATTTGCGATATCACCGATCATCCACAATGTGATAAAGCCAATTGCAATACCGTCGGCGCTCTTGAGCCTATATTGCTCGATGAGTTGGGGAAGTAACAAAAACACCCAGCATGCCACACTGACAGAGCCACAAATGTTCGAGCCGACGACGAACTCGCGCGGGATTTCAGGAGTGTATCCTGAAGCGGAGAAGAACATTCACGTGTTTGAGCAGAAGGCGAGCGGGAATGACTGCAATTACGGTTGACAACCAAGGTGCAGATCTGTGCAGACCGATAAGGCTCGGAATGAGTCAGCGGATTTTTACCGGCGCTCCATGCTGGGAAACGCTAGGGCTTTGACCTAGCAGTCACGGCGATGAAGCTTACACTCACTTCCCGGCGGACGGACGGACCGTACAACACATATTTCAAATGGTAAGTTTATGAATTAAAAGGGAATCCCTCGAACGAGTACGGAGAGGGCACTATTTCTGGTGATTTGGGCACGGTGACCGGCGGGCCGTAAAGGGCTGTTTAACGTCGGGAGCCGTGTCGAAGAATCCGCTCTACAGAGTGTCTCGCACACTGACTTTTTAACAAAAAGCAAATGGCTGAGTCTCCACCGCGAGACTGTAGAGTGATCATGAAAAGAGCACCACTTCAAGCACGCTTGATGGGATTCTTTACCTTTTTAACTGTTTTGTTCGAACTTGTACTGACCACTCAATGACCCAGCCTGCCAAAGGAAAAGGAAAGACCCCGGCCCCTGCGCCCTCTTCCGGTAAGAAGACCAAGGCTGCTGCCCACCCTCTCTTCGAGTCTCGTCCTCGCTCTTTCGGCGTTGGCGAGAGCCTGCGTGCCAAGACTAACCTGAGCCGCTTCGTCAAGTGGCCCAAGTACGTCCGTCTGCAGCGCCAGAAGAAGATCTTGAGCATGCGCCTTAAGGTCCCCCCCGCTATCTCCCAGTTCCAGACTGTTCTCGACAAGAACACTGCTTCCCAGGCCTTCAAGCTGCTCAACAAGTACCGTCCCGAGACTACTGCTGAGAAGAAGGAGCGTCTGACCAAGGAGGCTGCTGCCATTGCCGAGGGCAAGAAGAAGGAGGACGTTAGCGAGAAGCCCTTCGTCGTCAAGTACGGTCTCAACCACGTTGTCTCTTTGATTGAGAACAAGAAGCCCCAGCTGGTTTTGATCGCCAACGACGTCGACCCCATTGAGTTGGTTGTTTTCCTGCCTGCTCTCTGCCGCAAGATGGGCGTTCCCTACGCTATTGTGAAGGGTAAGGCCCGTCTCGGTACTCTTGTTCACAAGAAGACCGCTGCCGTCGTCGCCATCAACGAGGTCCGCTCCGAGGACTCTGGTGCTCTTTCCAACTTGGTGTCTGCCATCCAGGCCAGCTACGTCCCTCAGACCGAGGAGGCTCGCCGCAAGTGGGGTGGTGGTGTCATGGGCTTCAAGGCCCAGGCCAAGCAGGAGAAGCGCCGCAAGGCTTACGAGGCTTCGCTCCGCGCTTAGATTTAATTCATGTACTGAAAAATATTGCAATTTCCGCCTGCTCGCTGACTTAATCACTCGGCCGCTTATTACTAAGCCAACCCGGCCAACCAATAAAATGCCCATCTTATTAACCTTCTCCTGTTGCGATCACCCAAAATGTCTGGCTTGGCTACCCTTTGGTCTGATTTAAAAGAGTCTTTCTTGCCCGCTGTGGCACTGGCCGATAACGAGGAACCCGTTGAGGACGCTCCCGCCGACGAGGAAGGAGACGAGGACGACGACGAGGACGACGAGGACGACGAGGATGACGAGGACGACGAGCCCGTCGACCCTCAGGAGACTATGCGCGAGCAGTACACCCAGACTGTGTGCAAGAGCGCCAAGCACCACTTTGACGAGTGCGTTGCACGCGTCACTGCCGAGATGGAAGAGGACGGCTACGAGGATAAGGACTACAAGGAGGATTGCGTTGAGGAGTTCTTCCACCTGTCTGAGTGCCTTGACCACCACATTGCCCCTGTCTTATTCAACAAGCTCAAGTAAGTATGGGGGAATTCTTTTAATTACTGGGTTCTATTCTGTATAGTAGTTGATTTTTTCTAGAAAGGTCGACTGATAGGCGTTTGTTTCGGATGCAAGACACCGGACCCAGGCAATAGCTGATATAGCGTTGTATCAAAATGATTGACAAAAACCGTTTGCCCACCACCAGCCCGGAGCTCAGACTCATTGCACGCGGGCCGCCCCGGACAGCCAATCGCCGGAGGACTCTCCTTACTAAGCATAAATAGGGCAGAGCCCTAAACTAAAGCCCACTCAACCCCCATCGTGGCCAGGCGGCAGTCTACCTTCACCAATGTCCAAGTCCAAGAACCACACCAACCACAACCAGAACAAGAAGGCTCACCGCAACGGTATCAAGAAGCCCCATACCTTCCGTTACCCCTCCATGCGTGGTGTTGACGCCAAGTTCCGCCGCAACCACCGTTGGGCTCTCCGCGGCACCGCCAAGGCTCTTGCCGAGAAGAAGGCCGAGTAAGTGCACTCTTTAATCTATTAAAATGCATACTTTGCCTTGCCGAAAATTTGATTTCCTTGGGCGTTGCTCCCCAGCTAGCCTGGCCACACACCTTGAGTAAATAGATTTAAGGAAGTTAATTCTCCTAAGCTACTTTTTGTTACCACTCCGACTCTCCGGTCGCTTTGTTGAATATATAGTCTGTGTTGTTTACCGTTGCAACGCCGTCCTTGAGCACGTACTTCCACTTGTTCTTGACACGCTGCACCCGGTCGTACAAACACAACATAACCCCCAGACTAGGGTCCTCGACGTCGTTGTCGCTGTTGTATTCGTCTTCGCTGTCGTCCAAGTCGCTGTTGACTTCTTCGTCGCTCAACCCAGCCAGATCGTCGCCGTCGTCGCCGTCGTTGACATCGCCGTCGACCATATGACGGGCCATGATCTTGCCAATTGTCGTCCGGACGTCCTCGGGATCTTCTGCAAGCCCATCTGTTTGCGGAATGTTGCCTGGCAGTACTAGTCCGTTCTTGTCGTTGTCGTGGTCCTCTCCGGCCCGGTTCATGAGCCCCAAAACACTCTGGTCGACACCGGGCAGACTCGAACCGTACGCCTGAACCTGCTGAGCTGCCCGCAGCGCCGCAGGGTTTCCGTAAATCTCTTCCTTTTTAACGTAATTAGACATGGGCGGGGCGGCTGCATCAAGCAACGGTGCTGCTCCGTCCAGTCCATTAGCACCCACACCACTCATACCCGGATACATTGCAAACTGTTGCGGCTTCGTGGACATGTCAATTCCTGGAAACATCGACGGAACATTGCTAGCTGCGGCAGGTGCCTCATAGTTCCAGGGCAGGCTGTCTGTGATGTGCATCTCCGACAGGCGTTTTTGCCAAGCAGTGCGCAGCAACCGCAGCACACTGACATCCTCACCGTGCTCTTCAAACTCTCTCGTCGCTTCTTGAAGCACCGTCTCGATAATGGACGAGTACAGCGGCCCCACGTTGTTGGACATTGGACGACGTAGAGTTGACTCAGCGGGGTTGCTTCTGTGCGGCTTCCCAAAAAAGCAGGTACAGGTGGGAGACGAGAAACTCTAATTGAAAGACAACTTTAATCATAGAGGCATTTGCCTGAACGTAACTGTATATGCTATTGATTTCCTGGGTGCGGGTAACTGGAAACATGCCGGTGCAGGTCAAAAACCGCCGGTGCTTACCAAAGTCGACCTAGGGCTTAGCCCTATTGTGACACCGCCCAGGCCATTCAATATCCCAGCCAAACACTCGGGAACTGGAAAACCAACCTTCAGAATGGGTCGCGTTATCAGAAACCAGCGTAAGGGTCACGGTTCTATTTTCACCGCTCACACTCGTTTGCGCAAGGGTGCCGCTAAGCTCCGCACTTTGGACTACGCCGAGCGCCACGGTTACACCCGTGGTCTCGTGAAGCAGATCATCCACGACCCCGGTCGGGGTGCTCCCTTGGCCAAGGTCGCTTTCCGCGATCCCTACCGCTACAAGTACCGGGTCGAGACCTTCATTGCCAATGAGGGTGTCTACACCGGCCAGTTCGTCTACGCCGGTAAGAAGGCCGCTTTGGCCGTCGGCAACATCTTGCCTCTCGGCTCCGTCCCTGAGGGTACTATCATGTCCAACGTCGAGGAGAAGGTCGGTGACCGTGGTGCTCTTGGTCGTACCTCCGGTAACTACGTTATTGTCATTGGCCACAACGCCGATGAGAACAAGACCCGTGTCAAGCTCCCTTCTGGTGCCAAGAAGATCCTGTCTTCTGACGCCCGTGGTGTTGTCGGTGTCGTCGCCGGTGGTGGCCGTACTGACAAGCCTTTGCTCAAGGCCGGTAACGCTTTCCACAAGTACCGCGTCAAGCGCAACTCTTGGCCCAAGACTCGTGGTGTTGCCATGAACCCCGTCGACCATCCCCATGGTGGTGGTAACCACCAGCACATTGGTAAGGCCTCCACTATCTCCCGTGGCGCCGTCCCCGGTCAGAAGGTTGGTCTTATTGCTGCCCGCCGCACTGGTCTGCTCCGCGGTTCTCAGAAGATCCAGGAGTAAGCTGGTTGTTTGTTTTTACGAAAACTAGTTTAGCTTAAATATCTCATGCTAATCTTTCATATCCTATCGTCGATTCGTCAGTGCTGCTAATAGCCCGCCATACAGCAAGCTCCCGGCAACAAACGGGATTTTGTCCCAGACCCCGGCTAGCTGGCCGCCCACCTGGGTCACTATGAGAATGCCCACGCCGCCGCAGAGTGAATACACGCCGGCAACGGACCCGGCAATATCCCGGCGACGATCTGTGCACATAGACATTGAGATAGTGATAACTCCAATCTGGGCAATACCCAGCAAGGCTGCTGCAGCCGTAGCTGTAGTGCTTTTGGGGGACTGAACTAGGGACATAAGAATCATGGCAATCACTCCGACTATACAGCTGATCCGTAAAGCGATATAGTGGCCGTATCGGTCGACAGCCCAGCCAAAAATGGGCGCAAACAATAACGCAGTAGTGTTGGCCACGCCCGTCAAAATTGCCGCCAAGATATACGCTTCGCGGCAGCCCTCGTCAGGCTTGCAGAGTTCGCTTTTTCTGAACCAGTCGTTCACCAATTGCGGAATAAACAGTGCAGTAATCACGGTTGCTGCTCGAGCCACTGCGCTACCCATGTATGCGTACTTTAGTTTTGTATCATCCTTGGCCACAGCGAATCCAGATTTGATGAGCTCAAAATAGGGAATCACCTGCGGAGAGACATCGAACGCAGCCTCATCGAAAATCGATACTTGTTTGCCCAAAAGCCATACAGATATTCCTTTGGCCTTGTTTTGGTACAATGTGAAGAAAAAGACAACCGCCGCGGCTAGAGCAAACAGACCCACAATCAAAAACGCACTTTTCAAAGCGCTTACTGGATGTTCATCATAATTAAATTTCGTTGGCAGCGGTAAAAACACCGCGACAGCGAAAATCGCCCCGAGCCCAGAACACAGGCCCACGAGGCCTGCCATTTTGCCATTGGATCGTTGCTCTGGTGAATACTGGTCATCGCTGATCAGCATTGGCGCCTGGTCGAGTTCAGGCAAAGGCCCCGTGAGCTGTGAGTACTCGCCCAGAATAGCGGCCACCATTGACACACAGGCCGAGGCACCCAGAGCGAACACCAGCCGCATAAACAGCAACCCAGGGTAGATTGTGTCTTCGCGGGGGTAAAAAATAACCGCAATTCCCATGATGGCCATACCAGCAACCGAGACGTATCGAGTGCCGATCTTATCGCTCAAAGCGCCCCACAGTGGCGCGGCCATAATGTTCATGATTTCGTCGGCAAATGCCAATGTTCCAGCAATGCTTCCAGTGCCGATTATCTTGTACTTGTCACTCAGAAGAAACGACTGAGTGCTGTTCAGAAACACCAGCAGAGCGATTGTGAGCCCGCATAGCAGCAAATAGGCTACGCGATGCATATGTCAGCTCTCCAAGCTCCGGTGATTGTGGACACTGACCAAATAGTGGTGAGCGTTTGGGCGTAATATTTAGACGTTTCGTCCCTGTTTTATTGTATTTCGAAACTCGCAGGCACTGCGCGCCTCACTATTTACATCGAACTTTTGTTTACTTTTGATCTGCTTACATGCGCGTTCAGGAACTGGTTTTGGACGGCTTTAAAAGCTATGCCACACGCACGGTAATTACAGACTGGGACGCGTCTTTTAATTGTATCACAGGTCTGAATGGTAGCGGCAAGTCGAATATCCTGGACGCGATCTGCTTTGTTCTGGGTATCACGTCTACCGCGACCATGCGAGCTCAGAACCAACAAGAACTTATTTATAAACGCGGCCAGGCTGGCGTCACAAAGGCCAGCGTATCTATTGTATTCGACAATAGCGACAAGAGTCGGTCCCCGCCCAATTTTGAGGACTTCCCGACCATCTCGGTCACTCGTCAAGTCGCCGTGGGCAACACCTCGAAATACCTTATAAACGGCCACAGAGCGACCCAAGCAGATGTCCAGAAGCTCTTCCAATCGGTTCAACTAAATGTCAACAACCCGAACTTTCTCATTTTGCAGGGCCAGGTCACTAAAGTGCTGAATATGAAGCCACTGGAGATTCTGGCTCTAATTGAAGAAGCAGCCGGAACTCGCATGTATGAAACTCGCCGAGAGGTCGCTGTACGTGACTTGACGCGAAAAGAAACAAAGATCACAGAGATCAAGTCGTTACTGAAAGAGGAAATCGAACCGAAGCTCGAGAAGCTGCGAAGAGAGAAACGCGACTACATGGAGTACCTGGACTGCTTGGCCACAATAGATAAATACGAGAAGATTCTTGTTACCCATGACTTTTTGAAATTATCCAATGAGGTTCACAACAGTGCAGAGCTCCACAAAGAAAAACAGGACCGCTTTGACCTTCTCTCCAACACAATAGACCGAAAAGAGCAGGAGGTGGAAGAATTAATGGCTGAACTGGAGTCTCTTAAAGAAAGTCGAACGTCCGCTTTGCCATCTAACGACTACGTCCAAAGGTCAGAAGAGTTCGATAGGGAGCTGACCCAAATACAGACCGAGATTGAGATGAAAATCAACCAGCGAAACGACGATGAGGCCCGCCTAGCTACATCACAGGAGCAGCTTGTTCTTGCACAGGAAACATGCGAAAAGTACAAACAAGAGGTTAATGGATTCAAGGCCGAGTTTGAAGACCTAAAGGCCGAGCATGAATCGGCCGAGCAGAAATTGCGACAGAAACAGGAGTTGTTGCGAAGTTTGCAAACGGGTATTTCAACGTCCAACCAAAAGGAAACAGGTTATGCCAACGAAGCCAAGCTGGCAAGAGAAAAAATCACAGAACTCACTACCAGTATCAGTCAGGCCGAAAAGCGCAAGTCCGAACTAGAAGCAGACCGTTCTCCCAAAGACGTGAAAAAGGCTCGAGAGGAAATTGAGGATCTCAAGACAAAACTGCTGAGAATGGATGCTGAGCTGTCCCAGATCGATGCCCAGATCGCTACCAAAGGCGGGCCTGATACAAACCAACTCGATGAGCTCGTGCACAAAGACAAGAAACTTCGTGAGGAAATTAATAACTTGAACCGACAGATTGAACAAATAGTGCGGCAGGTCCCGCAGCTCGAGTTCAATCTACCCGGATTCGGCAGCGACATTGTCAAGGGGGTTCTAGTGAATCTTTACCGTGTCAAACCTGGGCACAATGAAAAAGTTATTGCATTACAACAAGTGGCTGGAGCACGTCAATATAACCTGGTTGTTGACTCTGACACCACTGGTCAGAAAATTATTTCGAGTGGTATGAAACGCCGGGTCGTTGTTATTCCGCTGAACAAGATCAAGGCCATGCCTCTCACAGAGGCTCAGATCAAGGCCGCCAAAGCTCAAGGCGCTCCAGGAGAGGTTGAGTGGGCTTTGGACTTGTTGGAGTTTGATAAAGAGATCAGCCCTGCAATGCTTTATGTGTTTGGTCGAACTATGATTTGCAAAAACGATGCGATCGCTAAAAAAGTCACTTTTGGTGGTCCTCGGGTCCGGTCCATTACCTGGGAAGGTGCGACCTATGACACAAACGGCACTTTGCAAGGTGGTGATGTTGGAAGATCTGGCCGTGACCGTGCAGTTCGCCAATATTGCGAGTTGCAGGATCGTATCGCTTCTTTCCAGGCACATCACGACGAGGTTGCGGAGCAATTAAGCAAACTTCAGATTCAGGCAGACAGTATCAAAGATCTGAAAAAGTCCCGTGAACTCAAATCTTACGAGCGCGATCTGTTGGAGAAAAACTTGACCAGCGGCACCGCTGCTCAAGTTATCAACGCGGCTGAAAGCACTGAAAGCGAGATTTTGGAATTGACAGCACATATCAGCAAACAAAAAGCCCTTTTATCTGAATCCGAAGCCTATCTTGAAACCGTATTGCAAGATATGAAAGAGTTTTCTTCTAACAAGGACGAAAAGCTTAATGAACTAAAGAAGGAGGTGGAAGCCCTCAAATCGAACGAGGTCAGCCTGTCTCAGAAGGTGGCCGATAATGAAGCTCGTTACACGCAAATCCAAAACGAGCTCGTGGATCTGGAGGGCACAATATCCGTCGAAACTGCGCGGATCGACGAGACTAAATCTTTGCTCGTTGAAGTAGGCGAGGCGTTGGAGCGTTATGATGTTCAACGCCAGTTTCTCATACGTGAGCAGAGTCAGTTGGAGCGTGATATGGAAGCCATGTGTGAGCAGGTCGCTGAAATCGCTGCAACCATCCAATCTTCAGAGGAGCGCTTGGCTGCTGAAAAAAGGGAGCTTGTGTCTCACCGTCTTGAACTACAGTCACTTCGACATGAGCTGGCATCATACGAAAGCCAGCTTGGTGAGAAACGTAAAATATATGATGCTATGCTCGCGAAACATACATGGCTCGAGACGAATCGCGCCCTATTGGGACAGGCAAATACCCCGTACGATTTCAGATCGGTTTCGATACCGAACTGCCGGGCTGAGCTACAGGAAGCGCAAAACATGCTCCCCAAACTCTCCAACAAAGTGAACGAAGCTGTTATGACAATGATCGATAGCATGGAAGCCAAGGAGTCGGAGCTGCGCACACTTATCAAAACATTAGCCCGGGACCGCGCCAACATCGAGAGCACACTGAATAGCATCAACGAGAAAAAGGACGAGGCTTTACGCAGAACATATGCTCAAGTCAGTCAAGACCTGGGCCGCATTTTCGGCGACTTGCTCCCAAACTCGTCAGCGCGCCTCGATGCTGTAGACGAGGAGGACATCACCCGCGGTCTGTTGATCCGTGTCAGACTCGGTGCGGTATGGAAGGATGGCCTAACAGAACTGTCTGGCGGTCAGCGCTCGTTGGTCGCTCTGTCGCTTATTTTGGCCCTGCTGCAGTTCAGACCCGCTCCCATGTACATCCTGGACGAAGTCGACGCCGCGTTAGATCTACACCATACCCAGAACATTGGCCATATCATCAAGACAAGATTCAAGGGTTCGCAATTCATTGTCGTTAGTCTCAAAGACGGCATGTTCACAAACGCTAATCGGATTTTCCAAACAAAGTTCGAAGAAGGTAAATCTAAGGTTTTAATCAAGCAGTAGTCAACCCAGCCTCCCCATAGAAAGCTGTCATTACCCAATTTGTATATAAACGTTTCTGCATAGTAGCTTTAAATCACTTGTATACCGAAATCGCTAGTATACGAAAAGACCCTGAGCCCTGCATGGGTCTGTTTGGGGAGGCTTGAATCGACAATCTTGGCCGGCTAGGGCATGTGTTTGCGGATCCAGAATTCATACACTACTACCACACTTTACGGGTCCACTTTGCCGATGATCCACACCCGAACTAATGCCAATAACGCCCGCAGGACTCTTGGCTACTGCTGACGCGAGATAGGACCTTCACGCAGGCTACGCATCCTTGCACCAAAAAAATTGATGACTGCATTTTGCCGTTTGTCATTCTCCCAGTCTTTAGGCCCAGTTAAAAGAACGGTGATAGAAGAGAACCTCAAGATCTGGCCGAGTTCTGCAGGTGAGTATCAACCGAACATACACAATGACTTGCGAGGGTCCGTTTTGGAAAAAAGACCATATTCCTGCATGCTATCAGCAGCGTTATGTGCAGCTTTATCCCACAGCGGTGTTGTTAGCATGCACAGTAGCGATCTCCGTGTCTGCGATTCTGCCCAAATTGCGCTTTCATTGGCACTCAAGTCGGCGTGAAGCTCCGCTACTTGTTGGCGACGACGAATCATCTTTGCAAACGACTCTTACCGAGGGATCTTCGTCTGCATCGTCTCAACTGAATATCAGCTTCAACCCCAAAGAAACCCTCTACGAAAAGCCCGAAAACCGCAGCAATGATGATGCAATGGTCATTATCCGTGGGCGCACAATCGCTGACAAGCTGCGGCTCTTGTCGGAGCTGGTGCTGGTAGTGGGTGAGCTCCTAATTGCATCAGTGGCATGGGTTACTACGGATGTTGGCGATTTCTACGACGAATACGCACCAAACCTGCCTTTCTTGATAGTGCTGCAGGCTCTCTACCTAGTTTTATTGGTTGCGTTCCGGGTCCTCAATATGAACCGAACAGATCGCATCCCAGCACACCCTTTTACTCAATGTGCGGTTCTGTATACAGCAACCATGTTTATTGATGTTATTGTCAGCTACAATGCTTATATGAAAAACAGTCCTGATTCTTATCAACAAATATCGGCTGCTTTGTTGGTTGGCTCCATTCTGCGGTGGGTTATTTTGTTTTCATCGCCCGTTGGCGATATTGCCCCTAGAATATACACTGTTCCTGGTATCGAGCCTTCTCGGGAACCGACCTCTTCGCTGTTCCGCATTTTTGCATGTTCGTGGAACACCGAGATGATCTTCCGCGCGTCAAAACAGCCAGTCGAGTCGAATGACATTTGGGAGCTTAGAGAAAAGGATCACGCCTACCATATTGTCGAATACTTTGCGAACTATATGCCCAACCGCAGCTTATACTTGCGTTTGGCATGGGCCTTTAAAGAATCACTTTTTATCAACCAAATGGCTGGTATTATAGGTGGGTTGTTGGGGCTATTGCCAACCGTGTTTGTTAACCTGATTTTGCGCTACATCGAGGACCCTAATACTTGGCCCAGGCAAGTAGCCTACTTGATGGTCTTTGGTCTTTTTGTGGTTTATATGGTACACAACGCCATCAACCAGCAAACTTTCTACTATGGCCGCCGTGCTTCGATCCAGGTTCGTGCTTCATTGATGTCTTTGATTTATAGAAAAGCATTGTTCCGCCGCGTGGCTACTGCAAATCCTGAGATGGGCTCTGATGATGAAGGTGAGGAGAACACGAAGGACGAAGAAGAGGACTCTGACGATGATACCAAATTCAACCCCAACAATACCGGTGCTGTCATTAACCTCATGTCTGTTGATACTTTCAAGATCGCCGAGTTCTGCGCGTATATGCATTACCCCACAACTTCTGCTTGTGAGATTATGTTCTCAGTTTACTTGCTCTATACCGTGCTTGGCGTTAGTACGTTCGCGGGCTGTATCATGATGGTTATCACCATGTGGCCCAACTATATCTCCGCCAACAAACAAAGCCAAATTCAAGAAGATATGATGGCTGTAACTGATAAGCGTATTGAGCGCACGAATGAGGCCGTTTCTGCTATTCGCATCATCAAATTCTTTGCATGGGAGCACCGTTTCTCTGAACGAATCATGGAGTTGCGTCGGAAGGAACTGAAATTGCTGCTGTCGCGTTACCTTTGGTGGGCTCTTACATCGGGCTCTTTCTTTTTGATCCCGTTGCTCACTACTTTGACCACGTTTTGTGTTTACGTCAAGTATGAAGGTAAGGCTTTGACACCATCGGTGGCTTTCACAGCAATCGCTATTTTCAACATTCTTCGTTATCCTCTGCTAGATATTGCTCAAACCATCTCGCGAGTGATGAGTGCCAAGGTCTCACTTTCTCGTATTGCAATTTACCTTGAACAGGAAGAAACACCAAAGTATACGAACCTCAATCCCCAGCATCCTCGCGGCCCCAGCTCTCCGCATATTGGTTTCGAAAAGGCTACTCTTAGCTGGGATACATCTGGAGAGGATTCCAGCGCGTTCAAGCTTCGAAATATCGACTTGAGCTTTGTTCCTGGCGACGTCAACGTCATTATTGGCCCTACTGGGTCTGGCAAGACATCTTTGTTATTGGGATTGCTTGGTGAAATGACAATCGAAAGTGGTTTGGTATGGCTACCTAATGCCGAAGATCGCAGATCTGTAAGGCTCAACCCGGCAACAAATCTCACCGATACAGTCGCTTATTGCCCTCAGCAGGCTTGGCTCGTCAATGATAGTTTGCGAAACAACATTTTGTTTGCAGCTCCATTCAACCAAGAGCGCTATGATCAGGTCCTGGATGCGTGTGAGTTACGCCGTGATTTGGAGATTCTTCGTGATGGTGACAAGACTATGATTGGTGATAAGGGTATTGCTCTTTCCGGTGGTCAAAAGCAGCGTGTCTCTTTGGCCCGTGCCATGTACTCGAATTCTCGTCACCTCATTCTCGATGACTGTCTGTCTGCTGTTGACTCTCATACGGCCGAGGCTCTTTATAGCAATGCCATCACTGGTCCAATCGCTGCAAACAGAACTATAATTCTCGTATCCCACAACGTTGCATTGACCATTGCAAAGGCAGCTCAAGTTATTGTCATGGACAACGGTCGCATCACTGCAGTAGGCCCTCCTGAAGTCCTCAGTGCCAGTGGCGCTCTTGGAGAAGATGAGCTTGTGCTCAAGAATGCCAGAGAGTCTACAGTGTCTCGTTCAGCTTCTACAGTTGATCTAGTGAAAGCACACAAGCCAACTGCCGAAGAGATCGTTGAGCACGCTATCGAAGATCATACAGCTGATGGAGAAAGTGGTCTTGAAGAAGAGTCTCGAGGCCTTGGAAGCATCCCGCTTGCTACTTATAAAGAGTATGCCAAAGCATTAGGCCCCATGTCCTGGTGGATTCTTGTGAGCGTTGGAATCGTAAGTATTTCTGCTGGCCAGTATTTGCAGGCGTATTGGTTGCGGCACTGGACTGGTGCTGAACAAGAGGTCGCTAGTGTTTTGGTAACTGTCAAAACGGCGATTGTGCGTTGTGTTGAGCCTGCTGTCGAGCTTCTTCAAGAGCATGGCCTCGATGAAGACACCGCGAGAAGTCTTACTTATTACGCTGGTATTTACGGTGGTATTGGTCTGCTTACATCGATCGCCTCTGGTTGCCGTGATATGATTCTGTTCCAAGGCAGTGTGAGAGCGTCGAGAGTTGTGTTCCAGAAACTTTTAAACGCAATCATGCGTGCAAAGATCAACTTCTTTGACTCTACTCCTGCAGGCCGAATCATGAATAGGTTCTCCAAGGATATTGAGGGTATTGACCAAGAGCTGATTGCAACCATCGACTTTTTCGCTATCAGCTTTCTGGAGTCGATCGTTGTTACCATTGTTATCTCCTTTGTTACGCCTCAGATTCTTCCTGTTGCTGTGATTGTTTGCGCTGTTTTCTATCTCGTTGGAAAGCTCTATCTGGCTGTTTCACAGGAACTGAAACGTCACGAATCTGTAACCCGGTCACCAATTTTTCAACAATTTGGTGAAACCCTGTCTGGTGCTGTTTCCATCCGCGCCTATAGCGATGCTCGCCGGTTCATGAAATCCAATATGAACGCGATCGATGTCAATCATCGCCCTTACCTTTACCTGTGGATGTCTAACCGTTGGCTGTCTTTCTACAGTGTAGTGATCTCTATGACTATTTGTGTGTCGACATCGTTCTTTATTGTTTACAACTCATCGTGGCTTCCTGCCGGTATGGCGGGTATCTCGCTTTCTTATGCAATGATGTTTGGCGACAGTGTTCTTTGGGTCGTCCGTATGTATGCCGAAGTTGTGATCTACATGAACTCCATGGAGCGTGTTAAAGAGTACATCGACATTGAGCCAGAGGCTGCTGAGATTATCCCAGAATCTAGACCTCCTGCCAACTGGCCCTCCAAGGGTGAGATTGAGGTGAAGGAGCTTTCTTTGAGGTACGCTGATAATCTCCCAGAGGTTATCAAGAAGGTTTCGTTCCATATCGAGGGTGGTCTCAAGGTAGGAATTGTTGGCCGCACCGGCGCCGGAAAGTCTACAATCATTACTGCTCTTTTCCGCCTTTTGGAACCTGCCCATGGGTCAATTGTTATCGACGGTGTTGATATTTCGACTATCGGCTTGCACGATTTGCGATCTCGTTTGGCTATTATTCCACAAGACCCCACCTTGTTTGTTGGTACCTTGCGGTCTAACCTTGATCCCTTCGACGAGTACACTGATGATCAGATTCTCGCTGCCTTAGCACGGGTCAAGCTTGTTCCCGAGGATACTACAGCTATCACTGCCGCTGAAGCGGTTGCTCTGGCATCTGCCAACGCTGGAGAGAACATCAACCAGTTCCTCGACCTTGCCAGTGATGTCCAAGAGGGTGGATCCAACCTGAGCCAGGGTCAACGCCAGCTTGTATGCTTGGCTCGGTCTTTGCTCAAGAGTCCGCAGATCATGCTGCTTGATGAGGCTACTGCTTCTATTGACTACGATACTGATGCCATGATCCAGACCACCATTCGTGAGCAGTTCAACAATGTGACAATCCTTACGATCGCTCACCGTCTCCGCACAATTGCCGATTACGACCGAATCATTGTATTGGAGATGGGTGAACTAAGCCAATTCGGCTCTCCCGCTGAGCTTCTCGACGACAAGGAAGGCATTTTCTATTCCATGTGTGAAAAGAGCGGCGAGCTGGATGCGTTGATGGAGCTTGCACATAAGGCGAAAAAATAATTAAATTAGCAAATTTACACTAAATCACACGTGCGGCCTTTGCGGCTGCAAGCGTACGTTCCGAAACATCCGATAGAGGCACTTTTGGAAGCTCAGGGAGGGCGACTTGTTGGACAGACGCGATGATGTAGACGCTCAAGAGTTCTTCAACAGCGTTGGCAGTTGAAAGATGTTGCGCGGCGTGTTTTGCTGCAACTGTTGGGTAAAAGGTGCCAAGCGCTAGAGCGAGCGCGACTGATCCTTCTGACTTGGTGGCCCAAAAATCCGTCTCGGCCATATCGGAGATGTCTATGTACGGGGCAAGAGACGAAATAGCCAGCAAATTGGGGGGCTGGCTACTGCGGAGTTTGTCGTAAAAGCTTTGTGCCTCGGCACTCGCGGCAGCGCTTACGGGTGAGTCGGCGTCCAGTGCCTTTGCTAGTACCTGCTGAATTGTAACTGCCATATTTTTAGTGGTGTGGTCAGCAAATGTCCGAAGGATTTTGGCAAGAACCTCCTCGTATGCGGTTTCAAGACCTCTTCGTGCAACCGCAGCCAGGTCTACTAGCATAAAGATCTGGACAGCGTCGGGAAGGCGCTCCTCGTCATGGTCGTATTCAGATAATAGGCGAGGCACAGTTTCCAAAACTCCAGCTGCAAAGTTACCGCATTTCTCTAGTTTTTCGTCACTCGTACTTCCACGCGGCTGCAGCTCCTCCCATTCACTGCGACCGAACCCCAAGGCCATGGGAAGAATTGCGTGTGGCACTTGGATGCCATCAGCCCATTTCTTATCTTCAGGCCTGACTGATAATCTTGAAAAATCATATAAAGCAAAGCTGGTTGCAGATTTGAACGTAAATTTTCCTGCTTTAGCCATTGACTCTGCTACTTCTGGCGTCGGATTCAAAGAACCCAATTCCTGCAGCACACCCCATGCAGGATCAAGTTTATACTTTTCATAATTTGCTGATGGTTGCCCTGTTATTTCAATGGCGAGACTTGCAGTAGCAATTCTTACGGACGCATCGGCGTCGAACACTAGCTGCTTAGCCTTGTCGACCAAAGTCGGAGGCCCATCCACCAGAACTTTGAGAGCTTGTTTTCGACATCTTGTATCAACATCACGTTGAGCAATTTCCAAAACACGTTTCCATTGCGCCTGGGTTTGAGGAACAAGCCCCTTCAGAGCAGCCAGACGCACTGCTGCAACCTCATCGTTCAACAAACGCCCACCGAGTTGGGCAGGGTCCAGAGCAGCCAAAGCCCGAGCCGCTATTTCGCGAATAGGAGGAAACACATCCTTTACGCGTTCAGAAGTAGTGGCCAAAGCCATATCACGTAGCTTTACGATTTGATCAAGTTGAGATTGTAACTCCGTAACGTGTCTAGTTCTTCGTTCAAGAGTAGATTCCAGGTCAGTAATTACCGTTGCGAGTTCACAAGCTAATGAAAACAAAGCCACCGACGCCGCGTGACGAATTGAGCGTAGAGACAGCGTGGAAAACTCTTTAAGGTATTTCACGAGTTTATCCTGTGTCCCTAAGATTTCACCTACCGCCAATTCCGGGACCATTGTGGCGAAAAAATCGGCGTAGCGGCGTGCAAAATCACGATCAGAAGTGAGTGGATATTTAGCTGGGGCATAACCTTTAGTTGCAGCCTCAAGATCAGTGGCAGCAGCACCAGGGGCAGTCAGTTGCACGCTAGTAGCACATCCCGCAGCCTTGACAACCAAATTGAGCAGATCTAACAGCCCGTTGTTGGGGTCATATTCAAGCATTCTTACTGTCCCACCAACAACGTCCTCTAGAGGAGTATCCCTATCGGCGAGAGAATCGAATAATGGGTTGTCCAGACGCGGTTTCCGGGGAGCTTCCGTGACATCACGCGTCTCTGTTCTCCGGCGTTTCGTAGAAGCCGGGCTTTTAACACTGCCGTCACTGGGCCCATAATCGCTATCGTCTTCAATTGGTGTGACTTTTCGATGACTGCGACGCGGCATTGTGAATGGTAAAAAGAGCGCGTTCCCTCGCACCTTAACTAATGAGGTCGCTGGGTCAACCCTATTCTTTCTTCTCGGGTTTTGGGGACGATAACTGGCTGAGAAGGGTTTGCTGTTTTTTGACTCTCCTCTCGCTTGCTGTCCTCATAGCTCAGAACTTCCTGCTTGGTCAATTTTATCGCAGTAGGTGGCCGCCGTATCATCGCTTCTTCCCGCTACTATATTTCCCGCTCTCGGCCAAACGTAGTGATAAAGAAGACTGGTTACTTAAGCCGGGAAGTTTAGAACCTTTCTAACAGGCGGTGATCTGATATCTTTTATGGACGAAGTTTGTCGGATTTGTCGCAGTGAGGCTACGGACGATGAGCCACTCTATCATCCGTGCCGCTGCTCAGGCTCCATCAAGTATGTACACCAGGACTGTTTGCTTGAGTGGCTAAAGCACTCCTCCAAGGGCCAGTACTGCGAGCTGTGCCACACGAAATACACGTTTACTAGCGTTTATGAACCAGACATGCCCGAAAAGCTGCCGGTAACCGCCCACATTTATCATTTTCTTACGCTTGTGCGACGGGGCTCCCGGTACGCGTCGATGCTCATCTGGATTCACATTTGGTATCTTACCCTGGCTATTACTCTCAAATACGAGCTTGAGTTCAGCACAATTTACGGCAATAACCTGCATAGAGTTATGCCCCACTATATCCTGCAGATTTTCCTTTCTAAACTCGGAAGAGAGCCTGTGTTTGAGGCAGCTTGGCCGTACAGTCTGCTCCCTAACGAAATTCAGCACGCAACGGTGCGTGGGACATTTGCACTAATTGCGTTGATCTTTACTGCCCTTATACTCATTACAGTCAGTGCATGGACTACTGAGGATCCGTTTTTCCGTCACGAAATTGAGCACCTCCAGGATGGCGAGGTTGGCCCTATGGAAGTTCCGGACTTGGCCGACAATGTTGGCGATGCTCCTGTACCACAGAATGCTGCTGAGAACGACGAAGATGATAATGGGCTGATCTGGGGCCCTGCGCCGGCTGATCCCGCCCAGGACGATGGGCAAGAGGACTGGGACAATGTGGACGATTTGTTTGAGGCCGGCAACGACGAGGATGATGGAGAGGGTGTTTTGAGAGAAATCTGGATTAATGCTGAGGCTTTTGTTGGTGCTCCATGGGGTCAACAGATTGTTGAAATCGTGAGCACTGTCGTAAAGCTTAGCGTCATGGTTGTTGCATTTTATGGGTGCCCCCATGCTCTCGGACGACTCCACATCCATGCTGCGATGTATGTTCCTGCTTATCTTCAGGCCCTGTGGAATTTCGCCAGACGAGGACCCGTTGATCTCGAGGCGTCCTTATCCAGGGTTTTTCTCATGCAGGTTCCTGAGGCTGTACCGTTTGAAATCATGGCTCTGGTTTTAGGGTACATCGATATCGCAATGGCAACTTACTTTATCTATCGACAATTCTTCCAGGTCATGCTTTCAGACGAGTCGTATCGAGGAGTTCTTGTTTCGATGGTTTACGTTTTGTCTACAATGAAGGTCTTATGCGTTGTGGTTGTTGAAATGATTTCCTTCCCTATTTTCTGTGGAATCAACTTCCATATTGCAATTTTCCCTCTCGTTGATGTTTCTTGGAGGGTCACTGTCGAATACGTCAAAAGCCACCCTTACCAAGCTGCGGTCAGTTATTGGGCGAGTGGTTTGCTGTACATGTCTGTCTTAGCAGGATTCTTGTCCGTTTGTCGAAAGTTCTTGCGACCGGGTGTTTTATATTTCGTGCAGGACCCCAGCGATCCCCGATATCAACCGGTTAGAACTATTTTGATGAACGGTCTCATTGACCACCTTCGCAAGGTTTTGCTTTCTGCCGTGATGTACACCTTCTTGATTGTGGGTGGCATTGGATCTGTCTGCACGTTTGTAAGGTTTATCTTGCCCATTCTGTATCCTGTCAACCTGGGCTTTGAATTTACCTGGGATTTACTGCAGTTATGGCCGTTTGCAGGGATGCTTCTGATCCAGTACCGTGATGGTGCCTTCAGTAAAAAGCGCTGGGCCCGAATCTTGAGAATGGTGCTCCCTGTGTTTTTCCGCCGCAGTGCTGATCTCGCTGGTATTCGCCACTTTCTGTTTGCGGACGCGCCCAAACCACCGGCTGGTCAAGCTGGAAAGTTTGTACGGGCGCCTTCAAACGACTATTTCAAGATGCGTAAAAATCTCGAGCTGTTTGTTCCTGTTACGCCTGATGATAAAAGATTGGATGGTGTTGAAGGGTTATCAGAAAGAGAGTTGCAAAAATACACCTTGGTGTGGCGCCCTTCTTATTTCTGGGCCCGTATTGCGTTTTTCATGGTCTCTCTATGGGCGATGCTTGCTTGCTCATCCTGTCTTTTAGTGTTCCTCCCTCTGTTTGTTGGCAGAATGGTTAGCAACTACTTTTTATCTTCGCCCGTCACCAACAGTAGTATTTCTCTGCTGGTTGGGCAAGCTGTTATGTGGGGTATCTTTAAATACCACCAGCAGTTCCTGCACCTCAAGACCCAGATGGCCGCGGACCCTCTTTTGGCCTACCGGATCCATACCTACACACTTGTTCTCGGACTCTTTGCGGACCAGTGCTTAAACTTCCCTCAAATTCTTCCCCCTGCTATTCAGCGAGCCATTGTTACCTCTCACGTTCCCGTCGCCAGCTATGTCGTCTACGGAATCCCTCTGTTGTTTTGGGAGCGAGCCAATATAGACCCCATCACGAGGGAGCAGCTGCGCGGGCTGATTGGCAGCTTAGCCAAGTTGTTGGTAGGACGCACTGCGTTCATGCTGTTGCTCCCCCGGCGTTTGCAGCAGATCCTCGCCGTCGATGCCCGGGCAGGCTTCCTCTTGTTGGCTGTATATGCTGTTCTCATGAGATTCGGCGTCTTTGCATACATTTCCGAATGGAACTCACGAGCCCGCGAAAGCTATTATTCTCGTGGCGTTCAGCTCATCAATCTACGTGAAAACTAATTTATTCCTAGTAACATTTTAACATCACCTCTCCTTAGCTAATCGGGCATGTCGAATGCACAGAGAGCCCAGACGTTTCTTCAGCATATTGACCAGGCTACAGAGCGGTTGCTATCGCGGCAACTAGCATTGGTGCGCATAGCAGCCGAGCAGGAAAAAGACACCCCAACCATGGCGGTGGAAACGGCCGAAATCGAGGCAAGTGCGACGTCGATTGTTCGGGCGGTGGAGGACCTGTTAGTGGTCACTCGGAGCCTGAAAGAGGCGTGGATTCTGGGCCAAATACGCCAGGACCTGCCAGAGCCCACTGAGGACGAAATACAGAACCGAAAAGACGCGCTGAAGCAAGTTTTCGAGGCAATCTCCAAGCAGTCGGGGTAAAAAATAAATATTTATTATGCTAATTAGTCTATTCAAATGCTGGTTCAAGATTGGTTTGTCGCCTGAAATGTGGTTTGGACAGCGGTTGCAAGGAAGTGGTTCGCAGTTTCCGATGATGATACCGCAGGCTTGGCGATGAGTGTCGTCGCGGGCCCAGCCGGACAACGTGGGGCGAGTAGCCCGCATAGTCATCGTGTTCCTCTAAAAGGGCGTGCTCAGGAGATAGCGGTGGAGTCGAAGGGTCGGGCGGTTGGAGCTCCGGCTTTGCTTTGCTGGGGGAGCTGGCAGACGAGGTGCTTGTTGGTGAACCAGCGGGAGTTACCGAAGCCAGCTTTTCAGATACTTTGCGCAGGCTGATTCTGCGTCTCCTCGGCCGTTTGGTTTCGCTTGTAGAAGTAGTAGATGTGAACGAAAACTCTGAGGCCGTGTCGTCGGCCAGGAGATCGGCCATGTCGATACCGTCACCATCCGTGCCATTTGGCGTTTTCGGCACACTGGGCCGTTGCCGCGTGTTCAAAATGGCACCGGGAATGTTTGCATCCAACGACAATGTATTAAAGGGAGTAATGTCCGGGATGTGTGCACTTCCAAGGCCAAGTTGACGGAACATTGTTTTCTGGATCAGGTGCTGTCTCCAGCGTCTTGGCCCGAGTGTAGGGTCGGGGGACTGTTTGTCTGGGTTTGACACCTTCCAAACCATCTCAGGCACGTCTTCCTCGAACGCCTCAGCAAGCACTTTTGTGAGCATTGTCGTGATCATCTTGTTGACGCCAGGAACCCCATCCAGACTTGATTCTGTCTCCACGTGGGTTACCATGTTATCGCTGAACAGTACCGTGAGGCCCTTTTTAGTGTAGACAACATCCATGTACCCATCCAGGTGAATTGACTTTAGTTTGAGCTCGAACGGAATCTCCAATGGGTTCGTGGCCCCCACCAGCGTGGGCTGGACAAACAGCGGCCATTGATTGCTGATAAACAGTTCCCGGAGCGGGTTTGCGTGCAGACGCGTTTTCAAAGTGATCGTAGCGTCTCCGTCGTACTTGATGCGGAAAACAATGTGGGCCCGGCCCTCCTCGACTTGCTTGATGGAGTCAAACGCAAGCTTGGGTGGGCTGGTGCCGAAGTCGATGTCGGTGACCTCCAGGGGATCGGCCATGATCGCAGGCCGCTTCGACTCGGCAATGGACTTTGTTATCGCCACCTTGCTGTGCTCTTTCAATTCCTCCACATTGAAAAAGTTCCAATTGAACTTGAACGACATTGCTGACAACAAACAGGGTGCACCTGGCAAGCCGCGGGTTATGCTCTACAAATAAGGGATAACTATAAATATTTTCTGGCCAGTGCACGGACTTTGGTGTCGAATGCGGGGCTCTGAATTTTATCGGTCACCCGGTAGAATGGTGACATGAGTGTCTTTACATAGAGATCGTAGACGTCGAGGAAGAACTGGCGGATGGACTCCTCGTTTTTCGTCTCGTGCACAAGCATGAAGCGGATGTTGCCGGCTGTCACGAACGCAGAGATCATGTAGCTGTAAAAGTTGTCCACGGTCTTCAGGTACATTGCCGGCGTCGTCCACTGGACATCGTCCACCACGTCCAGCGCGGCGTGGACTACAAACGGCGTCAGGTCGTCCATGGCCTTGTCGAAGTGTGGCTGGCCGTCGCCACCCTGCCGGCTGGATCCGAACTTGAGCTCGTATATTGGCTTATCCTGGCGGCTGAGCAGCGCCAGGTAGTACGACATTCTGGTTACCTAAGCCAGCCGTGCCTGGGAGAGCTATTCTAGTTGCGCACAAGTGGCGCAGTGCACATCGCACCTAGGGCCGGCTCGATGAGGTGATTATACCTGAGGCTGCATAATGGTAAAGAGGCCGTTATGTGCTCGCGACTACCAATGGTGTTTGTATGCAAAATTTACTAAAAATAACCTTCCCAGAAACCAATAAAACCATACTTTGTGGGCCCGGTGGGTCCGGCTCCTCACGTGACGAGGACTATCACAGTCCACGTGACGAGGTGGTATATCGTATTCTAGAACATGGAGGGACGCAATGGTTGAATACCGCCACAGCGTTCAGTTATGGCGGCCAGCATTATCCCGACTCAGAAAAGTGTTAGTGCCCATTTCCCTTCATACTTTTAACACCCCCCTTCTAGTCACGTCTAATCCGGCTTGGCAAACACCTCCTCGAAGCTATGCACATAACAGTCGCGTATTTAGAGCTTATAATTACTATTTTAAAAATTGGGTGCTGCCCATATCGACTGATCCGCCGAATCGCTAGTTCCCAGACCACTGCACAGTGCGTTTCACATGAAACCCGCCTTTCCGCCGTTTAAAACTCAGCGAGCGGGTCGAAAATGCCAGTATCTGATTTATCTGTGTTGCATAGGGCAAGGGCTTTATGTGGCCTGCGAGCGGACAGCAGCCAGGAAAAATTAAGCCTCCGACAAAAAAAAACTCACGTGCACATTGCAGGGGTACTCTCTCGAGCACCATCCGTTTTCCAGCCCATTTTTTATTAAAACTATCAGCAACACGTCCTCGACCGATCAGACTCCACCGGCCTTCCCCCCCAACTGCAGAATCTCCCCGCCCTGGATTAGATAACCCTAAAAAATCGGGCAGGCATATGAGGTCATCAGTCTCACCTCTTGTCCAGATCAACCACCCAACGACTATTTTTATCCAACCCCCTGCGCGGCTCACCAGGACTCTGCCCTACGACTACCAGACACATCAAGACCCCTTGACCCGCACACTCTGTATGCAAACCGTGAGCCAACAACTACCAAGCTCGCACCCGTGGGAGGCCGCAAACCTGGGCCCTGTCTCCAACGTTCCAGAGACGGCCAGCAGGAAGCCGCTGCCAGGCCTCACCTCCCTCGGGTTCCGGCCCGTCGATCCCGGTATGAAGCTGGGACGCTCGGGTGCTAAGTCTTTTCAACTTCCTCAGGACCCCGCGGTAATTGACGATGTTACTTCGATGCTTTCGCAATCTATGCGCTTCAGAGGCTTTGGTGCGGCCTTACCCACCATTGAGCCCACATTCGGGCCCATCAATGCGCATTCGAACGAAGTCGTTGCGAAAGTAAGAAATCATTTCGACCTTCACTTTCAGCTTATCCGTGGCTACCATAAAATCTCAAAAGCAAACTGGGCACCACAACACCCGGCTCTGGGTGACCTCGAACCACCGCGTTATAACCCTCTGCAAACCATTCGGTCTCGGCGGGCACGCGGGCAGCTTCCGCAAAAGTTCTTGTGGTCTATCTCTTTGAGCGAAGAAGTTTCGGACTTCTCTTGGCGCCAGAATTGCTATCATTCCAAGGCAGGCCTTGACCCCCCCGTCATGCCTGCAGCATCAGTCAAGGGTCACCGGCGTGGAACAAGTTCAAATATTCCGGCCACTCCTCGCCGCCACAGTGCCAAGTCTATTGGCTCCGATTCAGATTCTCCTTATGGATCGTCGGCCATGGCAGCTACTCCCGTCCCGGCCCGCCGGCTAGCCACACCACCCTTGACGTGTCCATCGAGCAGCCCTTCCCGCTCCTCCCCAGCCCGCGACACGTTTGGTTCTTATCCAAACTTCCGCGAAAATGCCCGCCTCAGTTCCGGCGGTGGGCTCATGAAGCGCTTGAAAGCAAAGCATGGAGACTCTTCAAGTGCCAGCGACGACTCGGATGCTGCAAGTAGCCGACCATTGTTCTCTCGCGCGCCCTCGGTTGGCCGTCCAACCGCAGTTAACTCCGCTGTATCGTTGCCTGTACCCCCTGGCACGGGCTCCGTCGGCCCCACCACCTCCTTACCCAGCCCACCACTGCCCGATCAACTCGGCGCTAGTTCGGTCTCAGTAGGAGTCTTAACATACGATAGTGGCTCCTACACTCAGTCAGGAACGGGAATCCAAACCCCTCCAGAACTGCCTCAAGTCGTTGTATCTAATGACGAAGACAAGGAAGAAGATGGGAACGAGAACCAAGTTTTGCCTTATTTAGGATCTCAAGTCCTGGCTCAGCTGGAGCAAGACCAGAACCAGACTGGTTCAATCATGCCTGCAGACTCTTTTGGTCGTTTGGGCCCCTGCGAACCTGTAGTCAGTGACGACGAGTCGGAGTACTCGGTAGAGATCATCGCTCCCCACCACGCATCTGATGAGCAAGAGCAGCTCGGCAAGGCTCAGGCCCAGCTCGAGTACGTTATTTCAGTTTTCCGCATTGCCTTGCAACAAACCTATCAAAACAGAATGGTTCTCTCGCCCTGTGCCAAAATCTCTGCGGAGTGCGGCAAGAACTGCGAGCAGCTAACCGGCTGCATTATGCCCCAATACCTTGAGTTCCTCTCCAATGTGGAAAGCGAGGTTATCGGCATTCAAGACAACTTGGAATCAGAGGTTGGTAAATCCATGGACCACCTCCGAGTCAGCACCGAACGCATGGGCTCTGCAGTGTCTACCACCCTGAACCGCCAGCTGCGCGAAACTGCTGCCCGCCTAGATCGGCTGGATTCCTGCCGAAAGTCCAAGTGTTTCTATATTCTTGCCTACGCCACTCTCGAGTACTTTGTCAAGGCCCTGCTACGTGTAACATGGCTTGTTGTCAAGCTCTTCCTTGTGATTAAGAAAGTGCTTTTCTTTTTCACCAGTTCATAGGTTTGTCTATTTATTTATTTGTATTATTCGCTCAAAGTCCTCCTGACCAGGGGCTGCTAATGTGACTCGTGATTCGAGTGCTTTCTGTTTGCAAGTTGATGGCTGCGATGGAAAACTCCATTTGATGGGACCTGAAAAAGGCACAGATGCCTGCCATTTCCGTCGAGGTGAAGCCAAGCTGACGCCGGCAGATCTTCAAAGTGTCGTTGTTCCGGTATTTGAGACTGAGATGCGTAGGCGAGCAGCAGATCTTGAGGTGCACATCGTCGGCTCGAATATCATCGACCACAATAGTTTGTCGGTACACCATTATTCGTCTGGGCTTGGAAATCAACGACAGCTGAAGCCCCGACGTGGCTGCCAAATGCTGCCAATGGAGTACCGGCTGTATATGAGGAGCGAGCTTGATGGGCGTCTCACACCGGGCATAGCTTTTCACAGTAAAAGTTGCAACAGGTTCTAGGGTACTCTGCAAGATGGGAGGAAGAATTTCGAATGGTACCACTTTGGGCTCGTCCACGGAGCACTCGGACCCAGCGCTCCAAACGCCAATATTACTCGGGCTGCTAACCAGATTCAGGCGGGTATGATCGACAAAAAAGTTCACAATACTACTTGACAGCTCTTTAATGTTGTCAAACTCGTTTTCGGTGTGAACACAAAACTTCCTGATTGACCCTTTGAAATCGGACCACTGGAATTGGACCTTGGGCCGCCTAAACATCAAAATAACTCTAGAGTCGTAGAGATCAAAAAGCTTGATCGACTCCAAAACTCTAGTTCCCTTAGTTAAAATAATCGAATCCGCAACAGTTGGAGACAGAAGCACGAACGTGAGAGTGAGGTTGGATATTCCGACGACATGAAACCATTGTGTATTTTGTTTTGACCGACAGAACGAATAACGAGAGACTTTAAAGTGCCGATATTCAGGCATGTGATAACAAAGGGTGAAGATCTTGGGGATGCAGAATACTGTCGTTTAGGGCGACCCGCATGCCTGCATGGAAGCTGCAGCACGATGCAGCCTGGCAACCAGATTTTTGGGCATATTATTACCAGGCAGACAGTAATCGATCGTAATCTCGCGCTCAAGATATCTTGATCTGGCATATACCATGGTTAGAAGGTGCAGCACTGCATATGTGTGCGACCACACCTAGAACGGCAACTTGATAAAGAACAAATATACACTATAAGTAAGGCAGATCCGAGATGAAAGAAATCATTACGACTCCACGGTTCACACTCGTTTAAACCCCTACACTCACTTAATATGAAGTCATTCCTTACAGTTGTTGCCGTTCTTTCAGCTGTAGCAGTTGCTCTTCCATTAAGTGCTGATGTCGCCTTAGAGGTTATCAGACACCAGGCCCCACGGGATTCTGCCATTGTCGTTTTCACTAAAGACGATGGCACACTGTGGATTGGCATGCCTGCTACCTGCGATGGCACGCAGCTCGTCATCGAGCCCAATACGTTGACCGACAGAGCCACAAACAAGGTCTTGAACGTCAACCAGCAGTCCGGAGCAATCCAGCTATCTGACGCTCAGCGCTCGGATTTTGCGTTTTCAGGCGAAGAGCTAGTCCTCAGTGGGACATCTAAGGGCATCGCCTGTCCAAGTAGCACAGGTGTTCAGTTGTTTTGGGGCGAAGAGTCCATGTGCACCAACGGTACTCGGGTTGACTTGTTCCAATCTCAACATATCTTGAAAAAGGAACGCCGAAGCTTTTTCGACAACGCAGAAGCAATGGTTGCTGGAGGGCAGCCTGACGATGCCTCACTTTTCGGCTTGGACTTGGAAAAGCGTTCGCTGGATGTCTCTAAACACCTCAGATGCGGGTGTGGGTGCGAGGGTGCTTGCGGTTGTAGCGTAGGATCGCCTTGTGGTATTCCGCCGCCCTGCGCCATTCCGCCGCCCTGTGCGCCCTGTGCTATTCCACCGCCTTGTGCTATTGTGCCACCCTGTGGTGTCCCTCCTCCATGCGGATGTAGTACCTGCGACGGCCGCTGCGATGAGTGTCAGTTCAAACGCTGGAAAGACAAGCATTGCTTCTGCGACCTCCTGCGACCCTGGGGCAACTTATTTGACTGCATAGTCCCTGACCACTGCCCCATGGAATGCTGCTGTCCGGCCGCCCAGTGCTCTGCCAGGCACCACGAAACTGACTGCTACAAACCCGACTGCTATTGCCAGGACCCCCGATTCTACTATCCTTATCATTCACGCTACGAGCACTGGTGCTATAAATGAACACCATCCTTATTACTATGTCACATTCCTTTAGTCCATATATTCTGTAGCAGTTGTTAAAAAAAACCTTTTTTTCCCGGCAGAATTGCTTCGTTACCGCTGTACATGCAAGCTTCCCTCGAAATCTCATGTGACACAACCCTTAGTCAGGCACCACGAGCCGACCGGTTTCGCTGTCTGCAGCATGACAATTCACGTGACTATTCGCGATCAGTGACTTAATCAAAACGGGGTATTTTTCACTACAAAGTTAGCCACCGAAACTTTGAAAAGTCTGTTTGAAATGGTCGATATCGCCACCAACCTCGCCCATTCCGTTGCGACTGCCGAAAATGTGCCTCGCTCTCCTACCGAATTCAAAGGAACTCAATATGTTTCCCGCCAGCTGCTCGTCCACCAGGTCGCATATAACCTCTCAGCGACCATTTTCAACTATTCTCCGGCTTCTCTGAACATTGACCGGGCTGTACGCTCCTGGGCAGACTCGCAGCAGGTCAATTTGTTCGGCCAGGTGCCCCACCTCATGAATTTAGAGTCTCGTGCAGGTGCCGGTGCTGCTCTGCTGGGCTACCTGCGGGCCACCAAGCAAAACGGCCCCGCTGCAGTTTTGTTGACTTCCGGAGCCTTTGAGTTCATGCTCCCGGTGTTGCTTCAGCACCAGACTCTGCTCTCCAACCTCAATGTCGCTTTCCATGTTGCTGCCGTCGAGTACGATCAGAACTCGGACCGTCTGGTCAATGACTTTGACACTCCGTTGGCTATCGCTCGCCAGCTTGGCTGGACTTCTGTCATCTCAAACCTGGGTTCAGACGCACGCGATGTTCAACAGACCGCCGTGCTTGCCAGCCAGCTAGCCACCGCTGGACCAGTTGTCCATGTTTACGACGGTATCCGCGGAACTGCCCAGCTGTCTCTGGTCCCCATTTTGGAGCCCAGCACTTACAGTAAAGTTCCATCAACTATTACAACTAATGTGACTGATGCCATTGCTACCACTAACGCTACTCTTGGCACTTCATTCGCACCCATCGAAATTGCCTCTAGCACCGACGCTCAGGCTGCTGTGGTTGGTGTTGGCTCTGCTCTTCCTTACAGCCTGGAGGGCGTGACTCGTGTTAATGTCCGTGTCTACACCCGCACCGTCGCTGTGGATATTCTTGAGCAGGTAAAGGCTAGCACCATCTATGTCCTTGATGCTGGGCTGTACAAGGAGCTTTCTGCTGCTTCTCATCTCGTTTTTGGTCCCGGCCGTGGTCCAGCTGTGGTCTTTTCTGAAGCCGAGACCGCAGAATATCTTGCTTCAGAGATTGGTGTCACCACCGTGAACATTGATGAGCGCCGCAGCGCAGTGTTTTTCGACAGCGACTGCGCTCGCGCCGCCGGTGCCCCAGCTGCTATTGCTCGTTTCACTCAGGCCGACTTCTATCCTGTCTTTGATAGCTTTGTTGCTGGTGGATCAGTTGAGTCTAATTTGCGTCTTGATGGCACTGGTGCTCAACGTGTCGAGAATGCCGCCTTTGTTTACGCCGGTGCTTTGAGTGTCGCCAAAACTGTCGACTTGGCTGCCCGTGCTGCTCCCGGTGCTAATATCGTTGTCGGTGCTCCAGCCGACAAGGTTGAGAAGCTTACTGCTGCTTCTAAGCGTAGTATTGCCGCTAAGAAATTGAACGTCTTCACTCTGGACTTTAATCAGCTCGACACTTCAAATACTCAGGGACGCACTGCTTCAATGGCTGTCCAGGCTGCTTTCTGGTACCTAGGCGGTCATGATCTCACTCTAGATCAAATTACTACCCGGATTGTCCAAGCCAACGGCCAAGACACCGAGCTTGTTGCTGCAACCGTCAACAAGTTGGCCGCCACAGTTATCGAGAAGGGTCTAGTTCCTATCGACACCAAGGAATGGGCTACAGCCAGTGAAGAAAACGAACAGGTTCTGCCTGCAGCGTTCGTTGAGCGCTCATTGGTCCCCATGCATTTCTCCACTTCTGAAGAGGAAGAGCCTGAGCGTGAAATTGAAGAACTCACTCGTTCTGAGATTGCTCAGCGCTTTGTCTTCTCTGAGGCTTTCAACGAGAAGGAAGAACTTCGTCCTGATGTTTCGTCAAAAGCTGTCATTGCTAAGGTCCAGGTCAACCAGCGGGTCACACCTGAAAATTACGACCGGCACATTTTCCATATCGAGCTCGATATCACCGGAACTGGCCTCACCTATGCCATTGGTGAAGCCTTGGGTATCCATGCCCCCAACAATGCCGACAATGTTAGTGAGTTTATCCAGTGGTATGGAATTGATGCTAATGAAGTCTTTGGTGTTCCTCATGGTGATTCACCCGACGTGATCGAGTACAAGACCGCTTTCCAGGCTCTGCGTGATAACCTTGACGTCTTTGGAAAAGTTCCCAAACGCTTTTTCGAAGAGCTTGCCAATTATGCCACCAAGGAGGATCAACGCCAGAAACTGCAGCTCCTGGCTCTCCCAGCCGGCGCCGAGGAGCTGAAGCGCCGTAATGAGGTCGATTTCGACAACTATGTCGATATTTTGAAAGAGTTCGACTCTGCCCACCCTCCATTTGCCAAGCTTGCTCAAATGATTGCGCCCCTCAAGCGTCGTGAGTACTCAATTGCTTCCTCGCAGAAGGTCCACCCCAATGCAGTGCACCTGCTGATTGTCGTGGTTGACTGGGTTGACAAGAACGGCCAGAAGCGTTACGGCCAGTGCTCCAAGTTCTTGGCCGACCTCCGCCATGGTGCAGAGGTCACCGTTTCCGTCAAACCCTCAGTCATGAAGTTGCCCAAGGACCCCAAGACACCCATCATCATGGCTGGTCTCGGAACCGGTCTTGCTCCATTCAAGGCTTTCCTCGAGGAGAAAATGTGGCAGCGTGACCAGGGCCATGAAATTGGTGAGGTGTTCCTCTTCCTGGGCTCTCGTCACCAGCGCGAAGAATACCTGTACGGTGAGCTTTTCGAGGCTTTCAAGTCGGCCGGGGTGTTGACGCATATCGGTGCCGCCTTCTCGCGTGACCAGCCTGAAAAAATCTACATTCAGCACCGCATTTTGCAAGCCAAGCCAGAGCTTACCGATGCCTTTGTTGTCAACTCCGGTAACTTCTATCTGTGTGGTCCCACATGGCCTGTCCCCGATGTGTCGGCTGCCCTGAGCGACATCGTTACGGCCGAGGCGGCTACGCGTGGGGAAAAGATCGACTCCGGCCGTCTTATCGAGACTCTCAAAGACGACGAACGCTATATCCTCGAAGTGTACTAATAGCTATTTAGCCCACAATTTTTTTTTTTTCGTTTTTCATAGCTTCCTACAGCAGCGCACATGCATGTCCCCACTGCCCTACATGTATTTCCATGGTTTACTGGGATGATTTTTCATACACCAGGCAACGGAGCAGGTGTTCTGTCATCACACAACATGAGCCAACAAACCTCTCTGGAAGACCTCATTCCAGTGGTCAACAAGCTGCAAGATTTAGTGTTCAACACTATTGGGTTGGACACTCTGGATTTACCGCAAGTTGTGGTTGTGGGATCACAGTCTAGTGGCAAATCCAGCGTGCTTGAGAACATTGTGGGGCGCGACTTTCTGCCTCGCGGCACAGGAATTGTTACGCGGCGGCCTTTGATTTTGCAGCTGGTCCATGTAGAGTCCGACTCCTCGTCGGTTGAGCTGGCGGAGTATGGCGAGTTTCTGCACATTCCAGGCCAGCAGTTCTACTCGTTTGACGAGATCCGACGCGAAATTGAGCGTGAAACCGCGCGCTTAGCTGGTGCCAACAAGGGCATCAATAAATTGCCCATCAACCTCAAGATCTTTTCGCCTCACGTGCTCAATCTGACTTTGGTCGACCTGCCGGGCGTCACCAAGGTGCCCATCGGTGACCAGCCCACGGATATCGAAAAGCAAACCAAAGAGCTCGTGTTGGAGTATATTTCCAAGCCCAACAGTCTCATTCTGGCTGTCACGCCTGCTAACCAGGACTTGGTAAACTCTGAGAGTCTCAAACTTGCTCGCCACGTTGACCCCAAGAGCAAGCGGACTATTGGTGTCCTTACCAAGCTAGATCTCATGGACAGGGGCACAAATGCGCTTGAGATTTTGAGCGGCAACGTTTACCCGCTCAAGCTTGGGTTTATTGGTGTAGTCAATCGCTCCCAGCAAGACATCCAGGATTCCAAGTCTCTGGACGATTCGCTGAGCGCCGAGCGCCTGTTTTTCGAAAGCCACCCGGCATACCGCAGTATTTCACACAAATGCGGCACCTCTTACCTGGCCAAGATGCTCAACCAAACTCTCATGGCACATATCCGTGAGAGACTGCCTGATATCAAGGCTCGCCTCAATACATTGATTGGCCAAACCGAACAAGAACTCGCTGCGTTTGGAAAGACTCAAGACTGGACCGAGCAGTCACAGGGACCATTGATTTTGCATTTGATGACCAAGTTTGCCGGAACATTTGTTGCGTCGATTGATGGCTCGTCTTCGGAAATTTCCACTAAAGAGCTCTGCGGTGGCGCCCGGATTTATCATATTTTTAACAACATTTTCGTGGCTAGTCTCAACGACATTGATCCAATTGCTTCTTTGTCGTACCAGGATGTTTTGACCGCCATTCGCAACTCCACAGGTCCCCGGGCCTCCTTGTTTGTTCCGGAACTCGCGTTTGATTTGTTGGTCAAGCCTCAGATTCGCCTTTTGGAACAACCGGCCCAGCGCTGTGTTGAGCTCGTTTACGAAGAACTGATGAAGATTTGCCATAACTGCGGGCACCAGGAGCTCGAGCGTTTCCCCCGTTTACAGTCACGACTGATCGACACGGTTTCTGCCCTGCTTAACGAACGACTCGGCCCTACCTCTAACTACGTCACGTCACTCATCGAGATTGAACGTGCATATATCAATACCAACCACCCTGATTTCATGGGTGCCGCCTCTGCCATGGCCAATGTCCTCGACGAGTCTCGGGATCGTGACGCCAAGGCACCTCCGAAGTCGATCGCCGAGGCGGTCGAAGAGCTCAGTTTGAGCAAACCTGCTGCGAGTGATGACAGTGTGAGTTCACTCGATGACGAGAATAGCCTGGACCATGACCCTGCTCATCGGGACACCTTCTTGAACTACTTTTTCGGATCTAGCGGCAGTGACAAGGAGAAGCGTTCTCGGGGCCGGGCCGCTGGTCCCTCGATCTCGGAAAAGCAAGCCGAACGTCTTGAGTTGGAGGCCTCGGAGCTCAGTCAGCGCGAACGCCTCGAATGTGACTTGATTCTCAAACTTATCTCTTCATACTTTGCTATTGTCCGCGAGACAATCGCCGACCAAGTCCCCAAGGCGATTATGCACTTGCTGGTCAACTTTAGCAAAGAAAAGGCTCAAAACCGTCTGGTGTCTGACCTGTACAAAGAAACCTTGTTTGCTGAGTTGCTCTACGAGGATGAAAACATCGTTCAGGAACGCAAAAAGTGTCAACAAACTTTGTCGACCTACAAACAAGCGGCTAAGGTTATCACCGAGGTGATTTAGTATATAACTAATTGTTCTTTTTTTTAGTGAATGTTCGTAGAGCGGAGTAGAATGCATCGATATCGACGTAGGTGCCTTTGAACCAGCGCGAGCCAGAGCTGGCGTCGAATTCGCGACGAGCATGCAGCACCCGGCGGTTGTGGAACACAATGCAAGTTCCTGGGTTCATACGGAACTCGAGCTGGTTGCGTGGGTCCCCAATAAAGGCCTCGAAGCGCTTCAATCCTCTGAGGAACGCATCGAGTTTAGCGTCGGAAATGTCTCGAACCGCATCTAGAGGGCCCTGGAAAGGCGGGGAGTAGTTCAGATGATCAATAAACGGACGGCCGGTATTTTTGTCAATTTTGCCGTACTTGGATTCGACAATCATCGGCCGCATTTGGAAGTAGTGCCTTCCATCATTCTCGTAGTGGTACGTCAAGGGTACTTCGCATATGGCCTGGTAGGCTTCGGGGTCGTTTGCAGAGACATCAATAGCAGCAGCATATGAGTCGGCAAAAATGCTCTCTCCGCCAGTTGTGGAGTTTTCAACCACATGCAGGAACTGCAGCCCGGGTGGAGACTCGTAGTACAGAAGGTCCATATGCAGAGGTAAATAAACAGAGGTGTACGCGACATTTCGGGGCTGCTGAACGCTCTTCACATTCCATGATGTCCCGTAGAAAGTTTGACGAGGAAACTCTCCAATAACAGCAGCAATGCTCTCTACAGTGGGGCGCGGTGTACCCTCCCCATGGGGAATCCCGGTAATTTGCAATAGACCGTACTCGTTCAAGGCCTCAAGAGCTTCTTTGTATCCGGCGCCATGACCTTTAATATAGTCCTTGTACTCGACCTTTTGCACCTTGGAATCACCCGAAAGCGGCTTCCATTCTTGTAAGCGTCGGTAGTCGACGGTGGCCTCGGCAGAGCTATAGCGTTCAAGCCATTCTTTGGAGTACACTGAGCGGTGTCCATCAGACCAGTCAACTACCAATGAGTTATTGTCAACAACTGCAAAGTTAGGACGGACGTCTGCGTTCAAACTGCCGGTGTTGAACGTCTTTTGGCGGGTATTCGGGTCCACTGCTTCTGGCGACTGAGATCCGTCTCGGAGAAAAAAATGACGAAACGAAACCGGTTTGGGACCCAGCCCTGCAATCGTGATGGCCGTTTTACTCACCGACTCAATAGAAAACGACCGCCGCTGTACAAAACGATGCATTTTTGTGGTCGTGCTGATGACAAGATCACCCCACAAAATCGCTATGCATAGTTGTTTGAATTATCGCTATGCAGCTTCCTGCAGGCTTCCTCAACTCATGTGTGAAAAGTGTGTGGAAATCCATTTACAGAAAATATTGGAGAGCTCTCGACGCTCGTTCTTTAAGGCAGGAAAAGTGCTGCTGGAACTTCCTACTGCCAGTTTGTGTGATAGACTGAGTTTCGTGCAAAGGCGTCGCTATAAACGACTATTCGTGTACCCGGCCCCAACCGCAAAATCCAGCACGAAATTTACGATCCTGGTACGAATTTTGAGACTCATAGTAGACAATTTCTGTGTAGGCAAGAAGGCCACTGTCCGCGACATCTTTTACCAGGATGTCAATCTGTTCCGCACCCAAAAAAGCGTTGTCGCCGCAATTGATCAAATATGCCGAACTTTGCACGTTCCTCGACGTCTTTTAGGGATAATCCCGTCCCCCAATGGATTGATTGCTGGAGACTTGACTGTGGTGTTCAGTTCGGGGGCAGTGGTGGAGATTGATCGAATCAACAGCCCACACATTATACCTGTAGGATCACAGGTGTTTCACATTTCTGTCAAAAAGCAGCCAAAATTTATCTTGGTTATTGAGAAGGAAGCGGTTTTCTCGCACCTTTGTAAAGAGCTGCCTGAGGCACTGCTGGTGACAGGCAGAGGCTTCCCAGACCACTATACCCGACTATTTCTCAAGGCACTGGTGGACGCAATGCCCAGTGTGCCCGTCTATGGATTAGTAGATGCAGATGTACATGGGATTCTTATTATGAAGACATACTCATTAGGGTCGGACACAATGGTTGAAGAACAGCTACCCATCCCTCAATTGCAATATCTTGGAGTTAGTTTAATGGACTATGAACAAGGAGTTGTCAATTCCACGTGGCGTGATAAAAAGCTCGCAATGTCAACATTGAAAAAGGCTTGGATCAAACACGATAAATATACCAAATGGAGAGTTGAACTACAACGGGGGTTGTTTTTCGGCAAAAAAGCGGAAATGAACGTTTTGGACGCAAAACATTTACAGGCACTGGCGAGATATGTGAGATTGAAGGTCAAACCCATGGAATTGAAGCCTGAATCAAAGATACCTCACGTACCGAAAGAATCAAAACCACACAGCGTCCAGGGACCACCTCACGTATTAAGAAGGTCTAAACGACTTCAACTTCAACGTTGAGTTTTTTGCTTTTTGCGCACAAGCCCTGCGCTGAGAACATTCACTTGAGGCGTTTCGACAGTTCGTTTTACTACAGGAGTAGTCAGGGTTCCCTTGACGTCAATTTCAGCATAAGAGGGAACCCGGGATGCAAACTCGTTTGATGAGTATTCGGCGGACGACTTTGTCGAGTAGTCGCCCTCTAGAGTTACTTCTCTCAGTAACCTTGCTTCCTTCTGTGTGATTGAATGGTTTCCCTCGAGTGATTCATGTTTGTCGACAGTTCCCTCCAATCCGAAAATTCCAACCGTTGTGCCCAATCTGAACTCTTGTCTACTTTGAAGTTCTATCCAGAACTGTGCTCTAGAGACCTTCTTCACTCTTTTTTCAGCCACAAGGAACTCGAGGAATCTAAGCTTTGGATCATCAGGGAACCGAGGAATTCGTTTCACAGCAATTGTTGGATCATCCGGCGCTCCTTCCCAAAAAATGTCACCCACCGTCCATGGTAACTGGGGATTTGACGGTAAATATGATTTTACGGCTGCTTCAGAAGCACCGGGGATTTGCAAAGCACACTTTTTTATACTGCTGAATTCAGATTTCAAACCATCAAGACAGCTTGCCCACCATTTTACCAGTTGAGCATCCGACAGGACGTGTTTCAATGGATTCTTTGCAGATCCCAAAAATAAATATTGCCTTTCGGCTTTTGCAAACAAACAAACGCGTACTGGTTTGTCCAATGGGAGATAATACCGAATAAGCCCTCTGAGCAGTTGCTGGACCACTTTACCCATTTGTGTAGGAGGCTTATCACTTGGATAATGTCCAGTTGTATCGGCTTTTGATACAAACATTGTTGTATACTCGCGCGATTCATATATATACACCTCGAGGCCCAGCAGGTCGATTCCATCGAGCGACAACACGAAAAAATGCGTTGCGTACGCGTCCACCGACTTGTCACTTTTGCTCGTGAAAACGAGCTTTCTGCATTTTTTTAAATGCGTCTTTAAATGATACAATTTGAACTCAAGCGGCGGCAGGACCTGGGCCAGCAGATCTACAAACCGCGACTCGGCGAGCATGACTAAAAGGGATTCTAAGATCGAGAGCTAAATAACGTATTTCAAGCGGAAACCGGGGTTTGAGAAGGATACTCATCGGCACGATACTCATCAGGTAAAAAGAGCAGTCTCTCGGGGTCGTTTTTAGTGAGCAAAACCATGCGGATGACGCCACCCGACGAGCCGTCCCAGCGGATCGCTTGAGTGAGCGACTGTTTGACAAATTCAATGGCTTCTTCGCGCTCCATATCGGGCTTATAGTACTTGTTGCACAGACCATAGATGTAAGTGGAGCCACTGCCTGCAATAGCGTAGTCGGCCTTGTGCAATGAACCGCCCAGCGGAATCGAATAGACTTCACCGCCAGTTTCTTCGTCGTAACCGGCAAGAATAATGCCGGCAGTCAGTTGCGCTTTATTGCGGTAGCAGAGCTCGCGGAACAGATTCGCCGCAATACGCGCGGTGGGCTTTTGGCCAAAGTCATAGGTGCACTGATCCAAAAAGAACTTGACATAGTCGCTCACCGACTGAGTATCTGCTGCCGAACCACTACGGCAACACCATACCTTGTCGTGGATTTGTGTGAGCTTGTCGGTGACTCGGTTGGCGATCATCGACCCCATGCTTGTCCGGCTGTCTGCACCAAGGATAATGCCGTCCTTGAACTTGATCGCCATAATTGACGTACCGAGGTTCACCTCGCCCTTTTTTAGCGGTCTCAAGTCCGCTCGTGGATCCATATTATACTTTTGTGGTTGTTAGAATGGCAAACTGGCCACCCAGCGGCCGTCCACCTTAGTCACCAGCTAGGCGTGGTTACTCAGCGGGGGACGTGAAAAAAAACTTCCTATATGAACTTGCCAGAGTTTTCGTCGATTTGGGGTCCGCCTGCTGAAGTGCCTTCTACTTTGCGTTTTAGCGACACTCCATACGCCCCATTTTCCAAGGGTGACAAGCTAGGCAAAGCTGCCGACTGGGCGGCTGATCCGGTAAAGGATGGTAAAGACCAGAGGAGAACTCAGGGCCGTGGGTTCCGTGATCCTTATCACGCCTACGGTGCTTCTTCTACTCGTTTCTTCACTAACGAAGACAACGAATCATCTTGGTCTTTCAATGTTGTCGATTCCGGCACTAAAGGAACTCCTAAGCCCCGTGGACAGCAGAATGCAGTGCTCAAAACTCGCGGTCGTATGCAGGGTCAGCAGCAACAGAGCGCTCCTCAGGGCCGTGCAATTGGCCAGGCAAGCTCTTTCGCTAACCGTAGCGCTGGTGGCGGTGGTTACCGTCGTCCTGGTGCTGGCTACGCTGATAAAGGTAAAGCCCGTGAGCCTAGTGTGGCTATTGGTCCTACTTGGAAGCTCGTTCAATCAAACAACTTTAATGAGCTCAAAAAGCTTACTTACAACGTGCCCCTTTCCGAGGGCAAAACCATTGGCACTTATGGTTCCGTGCAGTACTTTGATCGCGCTACTGAGAAGATCACTCAGCCCATGAAGCTCAAGGTTGTTGATAGCACTGTTTACAATGTCACAACCAGTGAAGATCCCGTTATTAACAAACTGGCTGGATCTAATGTTGGCCAGGTGTTTGCTACCGACGCTATCCTGGCCGTTATTATGTGCACGACCAAGTCTAATAACCCTTGGGATATTGTGGTCAACAAGGTTGATGGAAAGATTTTCTTCGACAAGCGCGACGGTGGTCCTCTGGACTTTTTGACTGTCGACGAGAACTCTGTTCACTCTCCTGCTGATGACGCCGAGAACCGTATCGACTCCACCAGCGCTCTTAGCATCGAGGCCACCTACATTAACCAGAACTTTGTTGCCAACGTTGTTACCCGCGACGGTGCCAAACACGACTTTGAGAACACAAACCCCTTTGCCACTTCTGACGACGAGCCTGTTTTGCCCAAAGGTTACATTTACCGCCAGTTCAACCTCGAGGCTGATTCCGAGAAACCTCCTTTGGAGCTTGTGGTCCGTTGCGAGATCGACGCCGTCGTGGCTGGACCTGACGGTGACAACTTTGCTATTGTTCGTGCTTTGAACGAGTACGGTGGCTACAAGTCTTTGGAGTGGAAGGACCGTTTCGTCAACCACCGTGGTGCCATTGTTGCGGCTGAAATGAAGAATAACCTCAACAAGCTGTCGCAGTGGACTGTTCAGGCATTGCTCAGTGGTAGCAAGGCCCTGAAAATCGGTTTCGTTTCGCGTGTCAATGCTAAGGAAAAGACCAACCACGAGATCGTAGGCGTCCTCAGCGGTGCCCCCACCCAGTTTGCTACCCAACTTAACTTGCAGATGCAGAACGGATGGGGCATTGTCCGCTCTCTTATCAACATTATTTCTAGTTTGGAGGATGGCAAGTACGCGATCTTGCGTGACCCCAATCTGCAGTTCTTGCGGGTTTACCAGGTCCCCAACTAAAATATTTCAAATAAGAATTTGCAATTCAAATTAAACTATCAGCTCCTCGTCGTGAGATGGGAGAGCCAGTGCTATGGACACGCCCAATGGGCCTTCGTTGTGACAGCATTCGCGAGACCGTTGATCTCTGGAGCAGAGCCTCGGATCGCAGGGGGGTTTGAGGCGATGGATGAGATCGTTCTGTGGACCGCCGCCACTTTCTGAAGATCCTTCGCGTTTGCTGTTGAGCGAACCAATCACTGCGGCGGGCAAGCAACGGGTCTTTGTCTTTTACAAGCATAGTGGCCGCTCTCCATTGCTCAAAGATTGCGGCAGCTTTTTCAATAGCGCGGCCGTCTTGTAACAGTTCGAGTTCCAGCTCATTCTGTCGTACTTGATCAAGACGATCTCGCCATTTACCGAGTGTGATAACCCGAGAGGACTCTATGTACCAATCACCAGCACGGGCGAGTTGTTCTTGGAGGTTGGCTAGCTTCCCAAGCCATAGGCGGAAGTAGCGTTCGCACAAAATTAAATCACCGTACTCTTCAGCCTCGGAGATTCGATAAGTCTTTCCCCGCCATTGTGAGAACACACTTTTCATTAGTTTCATGGCGTGGGTGGCTTTAGCATAACTTTCGAGTTGTTCAAACTGTTCATCACGAACCTGCTTGAAAGCCTGTCTCCAAACGGAAAAGTACGTTTTCTTTAGCTTTTGCAAAGCTAGATCTCCGGCCATCACGTCGCCTTCGATTCTTGAGACAGCAAACTTGCTGAGTTGGTCAAAAACTTTTGTTTGAAGCCGCTCATTATAGTAATTTTCAGCCGCAAGAAGCTCATATTGCTGTTCTGTATATTTTCTTTGAACAGTTCTCCAAAATTCTGCAAACTCGAACTTTTTGCGCAACAGACGAGCGCGAAGACTTAGCGCATGTTCGCGTCTTTGCGTGTTTTGTGTTTCTTCGCGCCAGAGCCCAAACAACTGACGTAGATCTTGTATTTGCTTGTCCCGTTCCAAGGTTTTGAGCCGAGCTTTTCTCTGCCAATGATCAAACGTTTGTTGACAGTGCGTAATGTTGTTTCTTGACTCTAACACCAGACATCGAGCTTTCAGCCTCCAACACTTTAGCGCCTCTTGCGCAGCAAAAAACTGTCTGAAACGCTCACTTTCTCGATAAATTCCTGCCAGCAGCCTCCATTGATGCAAGATACTGTGTTTAACTCGTTGCTGCGAATAAAATAAAAATGGAGCTCCTCGAGATAATAGCTTTGCATTCTGTCTCCATTGTCGAAAGACGGTTGCCTTCAAATTCGATTCAAACAAGAATTCACCTGAAGCATATAGGTCGTACATCTGCTCAAGCTTGGCTGTCCATAGCTGATACCAGTGAATAACTTGGCTCTTTTGATAGCGATCAGCCTTTTCAAGTTGAAATCGAAACGACTCGAGTTTGCCGAGCCATGATTTCAAATATATAGATTTTTGTTTGGGTTCAAGATACTTTTTGCATTGTTCTTCATGGAGTCTTCGTCTCCACCTGGCAAACACACTTTTGGCGTGTTCAGCTTGGAACTCCTTGGTAGCCTCAAACCGTTTTGACAAGCTGTTTTTCAAGCCATGTACTCCAATCTGAATCAATCGATAGTGATCAAAGTGCACCGACTTTTCGTCCAAATCACGAATCTGCTTCAGATGGTTCCTCCATCGAATAAATAAACGCGTTTTCTGGGATACCTGGTAAACAGCATCTACTTGAGCCAGTTTTTTCTTCAATAAATAAGCCTCTTCACGCCATAAATTGAAAATTTGTGCTGTCGGTGCCTTTAAAAACTGGTCCAACTGGACTTTTAAAACACCCGCATTGTACCATCTCTGGAACCATACAGCCTTTGAAACTGTTTCTATTTTCTGGATCAACAATGCGTTTCTCCGCTTCCCAGCTCTTTTAGCTTCTTTAATCAAGTAGTCTTCCTGAAAGTTGTGCAAGCGATCTATCCACAGGGTCTCATTTTGAACACCCAGATGTAAAAGCAGTTCCAGCCATTTTGGGCGACTTTCAAGACTTAATTGGTGCAAAACTTGCCGATAGAAAACCGAATTGAAATTAAGTAGTTCGTTTTCATCAAACTTCCGGACAATACTCTCCAGCGCGTCCCAGTCAAAACTGTCAAACTCCAGATCCACCAGCCTTGACGGCTCAATTGGCGAACCCAAGGGGTACACTGGCCAAGTAGGCGCAGAAAAAGGCCGAATAGGGGTGTTTGGGGAGTTCGAATTTGCGTGAGGATCGTACTTTGTTAGTCGCGTGGGTGTGCGTGGATAGAAAGCAGGCTGTGCTCTTGGTCTCCTGGGGGCCCCTTGTGCATCATCGGGCGATACCTGTAGCTCGTCCAAACCTACCGGCACATCCTCCGATGGCGTGAAAACCATCCTTTACCCTCACGAACAAGCTATGTCAAAACGCGCCAGGAAACGCTGATTAAGTAACCAAACCTATGCTCAGTTTCGTGGCCGGATTCGCGGTTCTCAGCGCAGTTTTGGGCGCATCTTCGCCTGAATCTGCGGTTCCTGATGTTTTCAGAAACATTGAGCTTCAGCAAGTTATCGATTTGACTGCCGCATACACTCGTGAGTCGCTCAAGGTTGTTGCTATGAACATCGGCGAAGAGCCGGTGCGCGAGTACTTTTTACCGCTCACCTACGAGGATGCGTCCAAGCTGGCGGCCTTGGAAGCTGAAGACGACGTGGGTTCATTGAGAATCAACGAGGTTGATAGTCTCCATGATGGCTCCAATGCTTATTTTTCAGTCAACCTCCGCCAGCCCGTGGCACCCGGTGAGGAGATTGAGTTCACGGTTGGCCGTGCGTTCATTGCAAAGACTCAGCCTTATCCTCGTAAAGCTGAACAGTCTGAACAGCAACTTTTGGTCTACAATGGCAGCCGTACCATTTTGTCCCCTTATAAATCGCAAAAGCAGACGCTGACCATCAAAACAGTGACCCAAAACATCTACGACGTTGAAAAGGATAACCGCCAGACCGCAAAATCACAGCAACTCGGCGGTTTGGCCACATTTGGACCATTCAACAACGTCAAGCCGTTCACTCGCACCCCGCTGACGCTGCAGTATGAAAACCCATTGCCGCAGGTCCACTTTCCTCGTTTGGACCGTAAGATCTGGATCTCCCATTGGGGCGATGCTATTAGTTTTGATGAGTCTTACGATTTGCAGAATGTCGGCACCGAACTCAAGGGCTCCTTTTCTCGTTTGGATTACATGCGTACTAGCGACGGTAGAGCCTTTTCTCTCAATACTGCTGCTGTCCGTCAACTGATGCTCTCGGTTCCTTCGCCCGCTCGTGATATGTATTATGTTGATCTGGTCGGTAACGTGTCTACTTCGCGGGTTCAAACGTCCGCCGAGGGCACAAGACTCGAAATCCACCCTCGCTACCCCGTTGTTGGTGGCTGGCATTACAATTTCACCGTCGGCTGGACAAATCCTTTGGGTCAATTCGTTCATAAGGTCGGCCCTAACCGTTATACGGCCGCTATCCCTTTGCTTACGGGCCCAGAAGACGCTAGCTACGATGAGGTCTCAACCAAAATCATTCTGCCCGAGGGTGCAACAAATATTGATTTCGCTGATGTCTATGGCAACAGTGCTGAGGTTTCTACCGTCTATAGCTACTTGGATTTCCAGGGACGTCCTGCTCTCGACGTGGTGCACCGAAAGCTTGTCACTGACCATCGCGCGGGCCTGCTGTTGGTCTCCTACGATTATTCGTTGCTCGCTGCTCTTCGCAAACCGCTTATCCTGGCGACGGCGGTTTTCTGTGTTTTCGTTACCGCATTCTACGGATCTCAAATTAACTGGAGTCTTTAGGCTTAAATAGTATGCTTATACCCCCATCCAGCTCACTTTTTCCACACACTCAAACTTACGCTTGCAATCCCTCAGGACACCCATCAGTTTGAGCTCAGCAATTCCTTCCAAAAACCAGGCCAGTGCTTGTTTCTCCCACAGCGACTCGTCGACAGTTTCTGGTTTGTTGATGTGTGCACGGAACTCCGTGTAGAAATCAAAGATGTTGATGTACATGCTTGACTCACGGTATATTTGGTATAGCACTGCGAGAGGAATTGCCGACTGATCACCGCCAAAGTAGGCTGGAACGGCCAGGGCGGTTTCAAGAGCCGGCCGCTGCGTTGGTGCAAACACAGTACGATGCAGAGCAATATCATTAATCTGCTTCGGGTTCGGGCCGCCACAAGACTTGGCTAGGACAGCGTACTTCAACGCCTGAGCGGCCCTGTCAAACCTCAATGGTGTTAGCTCCTGGATGAGATCTTCACCCACATTAATATCAATTTCAGTCAGCTTGGCCCTGACAGCAGCAAGATACTTAGAAGTGTCTGCACTCATATTGAACGCGCAAGCCGAGATATCCGATAATGTCGACTGCGAGACTGTTTCCATAACGAGCTTTGGTGACGTCGTCAGACTCAGCACCAAATGAAACGGCAAACAGTTCAAATAAATAGTCATGTAATGCATGAGCCCATCAAGAATGGCGACGTCAAAGCATTCTGTGTCCTCAATGTAGACAACGAGTTTTTTGGTGGTCTCCGGTTGGAGCCAGTCGTTTAGAATCCCAAAATCGTACGTCAATCGACGATCCACTGGAATGTCGTCAAGTTTTTCTCGGTTAGTGAATCGATTCACGACCAGCTTCAACGCCGATTTCAAATTGGGGCACTCTTTCGAATGGATCTGAACCATAGCGATTCCAGGTTGCTCTTTCAGCCGCTCAACAACCACCTTGTTGCTAGCTTGCGTCAACATAGAAACCGGTAGCTGATCATTATGTTGAGTATCGCTGATAAAGTGCTCTAGACCACCCATTACGTTTTGTAATTGCTCATCTACGAGACTCTGGGCGACGCTCTCGATAATTTCTCGTCCGTGTAGGTACTGCTTGACCCTGTGCTCAATCGAGCTATCGGGCTCAGCACCCTCGAATCTCGCTTTGACTCTTTGTCGAAGCCGTCCATCAGGGCCAACGCTCCGTAACGGTTTGGGCTTCAGAACATACACAGTCTCCTGCTCGTCCATCTGGCGATAGTCAGCAAACAGGCATTCAGCGGCCGTGATGCTGAGGTTTATGGAAAGAGACCACGAGATACCTTGAAGTATTTTGGTGCTTCAGGTCGTACCCGTTCAGTTTTTCCTGGGCTACCCTTGCGTCCTGTGCATCTTCAAAGACTACAAAGGCACTACCTTTCGTCTGATCGGTGTCGCCGACTCTTATTTGATATACAGCGCCGTATTGTCCGAAGAGAGCATAAAGTTGTTCTGGTGGATAAGAATAAGGTATGTTTGTAACAAAAAGAATGTTCAAGCTATCAAAACTCATGGCGAATTTCAAATAAAAAAATATGGTGACGAGTGCGAGGTTCGAACTCGCGCGATCTCACGATCAGCAGATTACCGTAAGAAACTTAAGTCTGCCGCCTTAAACCACTCGGCCAACTCGCCAGTATGCTGACTATTTTGCTGAACGCGCTATATGATCGAAAAACTTTAATTGTTTTTAATGTGGCTCTTTTCTAGATGAGGTTCTCACAATTCGAACAAAAATCGATGAAAGTGTACTATTGTAGAGAGTTGAGAAAGATTAGTCAATTGGAAAGAACGCAACTAGTATTGCTTTGATCGTATGGCATAAAAAGTAACTAGACTGGGGTAGAGATATGACTCACAGAACTTTAATCTCTTATCGAAAAAGTAGTAAGTAGAAAGTGCGCAGCTCAATTGTCCAGTTGGAAATAGTTGCAAAAGTCCAATTTCAAATAAATATCGAAAAGTACAGCACGCTTTAACCCTCTCATCAGTGCCCTCCCCGTTCCCGGTCAATTAGTTCTAGTACTGACCTGGTAGAAGCTCCTCATTAAAAACGCACAATCTAAAACAAGTCTAGATCTCTAAGATGGGTCCTGATTATATTCTTATTAAATCATAATTGTATTTCGATAAAATATAAGAATAGTGAGAAAAGCATCACACAAGCAGTATATGTCCAAGTTTTAAGAAGAAATAACAAGCTATCCAGAGGTCTCGAGTGTACTAGTGCAACAAGAAAAGGACAAAGCCTACGCTATCCGAGGCGGCTTAGGGGGCACTTGCAAGAGTTGATATAGCCGTAGCGCGACAAGCCAAAAAAAAAGTGATTGCGCTAAACTGAGATTGACCACTGCATATTTAGGGCCTATTCAAGAAGTTTTCGTCATTGCATGTGGAGCGGATTAGAACAGTTAAGACTGGAAACTACGCTAATGTAATGTTTTTTAGAAAACGAGGGCCAGAAACAGCGATATTGGTACACTGGCCGGTATTTAGGTGTATCCGAAGCTCAGAATAAATAGTGCTACTACCACGAAAACGCTTCTTCGAAATAATCCACTCGCATACTAGACTCCTGGATGTGGGACACAATAGAATCACGGGTATCATCCACGAATACAGAAGGACCACAGCACAAGATAGCCTTGGATCCAACCGAAGTTTTGATGAACCGGGCAACTGTCTCACCAATTTGCGGACGCCCATACTGAATAAACTGCTCCAAGGATATTTCACTATCCTCAGATGGTTCACTGTGACTGTAGCCCTCCTTTACTGTCATGGTAGAAGTGTGATTCTTTTGATCAAACATGTCCTCAGTGCTGGATGATTGGACTCTATCTGACGGTCTCAGCGATGAATGATCAGAAGCATTGTTTCCCTGGACTTCAACCTGTCCGCTTTGTGGGGGCGTGCGCTGCGTGAGACACAAAGTTACCTCCACATTCGACCTGGGGAACTCCAATAGACGACGCAGCTCTTCATCAAACGCATGAACAAGGTCTTCACAGCCCAAAACCCACATCAACATGATACGTTGCCCGTCCTTAATGGTCGCTGCCATTGCTCTCACGTAGGAGTACATCGCGGTTATTCCTATTCCTCCAGCCAACACCAGCACCGAATCGTAGGTTGAAATTGCACTGTAGTTTCCATACGGGCCCTCAATAAGGATCTTGTAAGTTGTACTGCCTTCAGGTTGGGTTTGCAGGTACTCATAAATGTGCTTTGTTGCACCATTCTGGCTTTTGATGATCAGCTCTAGGCTATTGGACGACTTTCCTCGTTCTGCCTGGAATACACTAAAAGGGTGAGATTGCCAGAAAATGTGCCGATCAAACACACGGATGTATGCGTATTGTCCAGGATAAATGACCCAGTTGCGACGACCATAAGCACGAATTCTGAATGCATCAGCTGATACAATCGAAAATTGTGCTTCTACCAAGCCCCCGGAGTAAACAGTGCGTGCTATACGCAAAAAGTGTTCACCAAAGTAGATGACGACTGTTGCCCAAATCCAGCCCATCCAGCCAAAGTCTGAGCAATGAACAATGAGACAGACCATGACAATGATGAAAAAGATTCGATGAAGAGACAAGAAGATTTCATACGCTCGTTGACGTACGGCTCTGATTGAAAAGAATATCATGAAAATCATAAAGTACGCAGCGATGTTGCCACCTCTCCAGTTGTGAACGTGATTCCACTTGAAGATCAAAATATTCTCCTGACTTGCTGCCCACGTCATTAAAACTCCGTGAATAATTGATTGAATGACCATCATTCTAGCGCACCAACGATGGAACAACATAAAAGTGTCGTATGGCCAACCCGTAGTGACGATGAAGGGATTGTTACGGCACGCAAACAAGACTGCAACCGGAAGATTGGTGAACGCTATGATACCTGTCCGGTTTGCCAAGAATCTGGCAATCTTGTCTCCTTTAGAGGCAAATGTCATTGGATAAGAGTCGTCAAGGTCGTAACAGATTGAAACGGATATGATATTTATCACAATGAACAAAAGGATAATGAGAGCTTGACCCCTGGTTGGAGCAGTAATGTGGAACAGGTGCAAAAAGTTGTAGGGAGTGTGGTGTTTATCTCCAATAACAGCAGGGAGTGTCAAATACTTGCGAATACGATTTGCAGTTTGTTGAGTTCGACGATTTTTGGTGGGGCGGAAGAGTCGTAAATAATGGAAGATTGACGCAATCAAAAGAACCAACGCCCAATAAGCTATCATGCTACATCCAAAGATGGTGCCAAGTCGGTAGTGAGATTTCGCATCATTGGCCATAGTGAGCTCCTTGTTGAATAGTTGGCGGGGGATAGCCACGGGATTGTATACGGGCTGACCAGGTTTCACTTCAGTGGCTGCTATCATGTTTTTGACATTTTGTGTATAGATTTCGCTCAGTTCACGCATGTTTAGTGTGCGATTACCCCAGTAGTGGCACTGGTCCCTGATGTAGCTGTAACCATAGGCTATGTCCTCTTGTTTCTCCGCATACATGTGAACACAGTTCAGTGCAGTTGTCAAAAAGATATCACTTTTGCAATGTTTATCGTACCAACCTATCTCGAACGGGACGGTGAAGTTCCACTTGAAGGCACAGTTCCAGCATCCAAAGCCTACCGGGCTTTTAACGCCAACTTTTTGAGCAGAACCGATCCCCACGAGGAGGGCTAGAACATAGGTGAAGAACAAATTCATCGCTCGATGAAATGGCTGTTTAATGGCAGGAGAGGTTTCTTTATTTGGCCAGTAGACCAGCACTAAACGTGAATTTTAAATTGAAACTCGGAGCTTTTTATCTTAATTGCTGCCGAAGAAGAAAGTGTAACGAGATTCTAGTTTAGTTTTGTACCTAAAAGTTTATCTTTACTGGCTTATTACCGCAAGCGGCAACAAGGAAAACTTAGGAGATGTTTCGTGATATTATACTAAATCGAGGATTCGAAGTTTCCTAGCTGGGCGAAATCGGTGGGCGAGCCAACGCCTGATGCGTTCTTACTGCTTAGCGGCAGCAGTGGCTTCACCACAGCTACAGTCTGCGTGCATTAGATGCATAATTTCCAGCAAGTAAAATTAAATAATGCATGTTAAATGAAGACCGCAGCACTGCAGCTGCAGGACCGGTGAGACTACCAACAAACTCAAGGTGATATTGCTTAAGCATGTGGATGTGATATATTTTTGAATTTGGCTGACCGATGCGCAAATGCTCTGTGGCTAATTTTGTTTTTGCTTTTCGTGGGTGGTGTCCCTTCTCATCATTCCTGGAGGCCTGTCTGCCTACCCTTGCAAAAGGATGACGTCATGTGCCATCATTTCACAGGAACGCAGATGACTGCATGTCCATTTGTGGGTCTAAAAAAGAGTCAGAAAGATCTAAAAAAACAAGACAAGATATGCTAATGCGATTCACTGCTATGTACAGGTTTCATTGTACAGATTGAAATAAATAAGTGTTGAACGTTTTATACCAATTCCAGCTGGTAGACAAATCTGCTGGTTGGGTTAGACCACTGAAGATCCGGTTGGAATTCGGAAAAGTCAGTGTCTGCGGGAATGATTGGACTCGAGTAAGAGTTTTGGTCCATAAACCCTGTATCATATACTGGATCCCTGAAGTAGAGATCAGAGTACATGTCTGTCGAGGGTTTCTGTTCGGCACGAGGGTATGAAGAGTTCGCATACTGTCTGTTGTCGACCGATTCCCAAGCCGGCGAAACGGGGTTGCTAAAGTCCATAATGCTAATTTCATTCTCCCCAGGGGCGAGCCATCCGGGTTCAGTAGAATTGTAGCTCGAATACAAGCTGTTTTCGTAGCGGGACTGTTCAGGGTGGTAATAAGACTGGCTAAACTCAGGTGGTGTTTGAGGAACCTGTCGTGAAATCCAATCTGCAGTAGTCTGCTGGTTAGTAAGTTGATTTTGTTGGTCAAATATCCGTTGAGGGTAGTTGAGGGTAGGAAGATGGGGCGATTGCTGGTGCTGCTGTTGCGGCGATTCCGTCCCGGGCAGAGGCAGAGGTGTGCCCTGTGTCCTGCGGGTCGAAGCGAGTGTATCCTCCTCGTAAGTTTGAGGATGCATTGTGTGACGGCCTGAACGACGCACGAACGACAGATCGGGCTGAGCCTCGGAATACTCGTAGCCGTACTCGGAATCTGAATGGGGGACAATCGAGTCCGAGACATCCGAGTCGCCAGCAGTGGAGGTGCTCGTAGAACTAGTTCTGCGGGCACGAGTTCGACGAATTCGATAGCTTGGAGCCATTTCTTCGTCGCTCAAAGAGCATTTGCGGCGATGGCGCTGGAGCAGATCGCCCCGAGAAAAACGGCGGCCGCAGTCTTCGCATTCGTAAATGACTTCATGAGTGTGAGAGTTGAGATGACGTTTCAGGTGTTTGAAGTGACGATAAGTGTTTACACACATGGAGCACTTGAAACGACCTTTAGCGTTTAGGAAATCCGATGGGCGGAGTTCAGAACTTTCAGGAGGCATTGTTGAGTGATAGGTAGAATGTCCAATAGGTTGATGATAGCTGTGTGTACAAGAGATGACCAACGATGGACTATTGTCAAAACTTCTGATGATGACTCGATGGTCGCTTACTGCTCTTTTATAGAGCTCGCGAGCCGGAAAAAAAACTGGCGCTAATGCATGCTCCATGCGTCACCTTACCCTAGTTCTGCATCTCGCCACTGCACCGAGGCCTACATAGCAAGACGCAGTGGGGGGACCTTTTTAGCTGCAACTGAAGCCTCCTTGCGCTTACATTTTCACCCAAGTAGGCTGGATAAACCCGTTATATCATGGGTAATACGCCACAGATACCATCGTGGCAGCATCGATTCCCTCGCCTCCCATAGTGCCTTGACCTTCGTTTCTGCCAAGAGTGCACTGACGTGCATGACGCACATGGGAAGAAAAAAGTCAGCCGATACGTGGATTTAGCCTACCCCGGATTTGTCACTTGCCCCCAAATAGAGAATGCTTGGCAGCGGTAACGGAGTTCTCGCATGGAGAAAATGATCAGTGTAAATAAAGATATGTAGCGAGTAGTGTCTAAAAAAAAAGATTAGGAGGTAGGTTGCGGAAGCAGATGACTGCGACGCACCTCGAAAATTTTCTGGGGTCCGCTGTGTAGCTCTGCACGGACAGATCCTGATTGTCCAAGCCAACCCGATGCTTACGGAACCATGGGGGGAGGCACAGAGAAGTCTGTGGCAATTGCCAATCCTCCCAAGACTTGGCTGCATTGCTCTGAGTTTCGCTGATCCTCTTAGTCATAGTAGGGAAGAAAGGGCAGTTTGTCATGCGCAGTGACCCAAGCAGCGAATGCTATGCGCTAGGGTGTCGCCCAAAATAATATTTGACCACAGCAATGCAATTACTTGGAACAGGCCATTGCCTAGTTGGGAATATACTGCAGATGAGCTTGAGATGAAGATATGTCTTGAGGAGCGCGGACTACGCCGCGGACTCATGCCTTGGTGCTGACTCTGTTCGCGGGGTTAGTTGTTCCATGCAAGACGAGCACATCCTTGGCACAGAGCCTCGCTAGACTCTATCCTACCATGGGTTAGGGTTAAGTGGTCCAGCTAGCGAGCTTGGTATTCAGTAGTGCAAGTATTGTACTATGGAAGGGTGGGTATCAATGTTCCGGATGGAAGCGCTCGCTAAGGCGTCTAGTTGGCCTATAGATCAGCTAAAAATAGCTCAAGATAGAAATCTCGCTTGGTGGTGCGATTTGTCTCAAGCGTGTGCTTAGCCACAACGCAGTCTTGGCCAACGTAGTCTTGGCGGCTTAGTTAATCACCTTCGTGCCGGGAAGAGCATGGAATAGTCACGAGCATGGGAAGAAAGAAAGCACGGACTGACGCAGAGCGCGGGGCCCATGGTGTTTCAGACGGAGAATTTCCGCTGCTTGCATCTCTGGGGCTGTATGCTTCCAACACTACGGGAGACGGCAACTGTTTGTTTCGAGCATTGAGCGATCAACTGTACGGTGACGAGTCACATTTTCGAGAGATCAGATCAGGCTCAGTCGGATACATCAAGGCCCATCCGGACCGGTTTGCAGCGTTTGTTGGAGAGTTTGGAGAGTCGTTTGACACGTATACCAAACGTTTGATGCAAGACGCGGTGTACGGAGGGCACCTGGAGGTAGTGGCTGCCGCTGAGCACTATGCAGCCGACATTGCCATCTACCAGGCAGATCAAATGTATATTGTGCAGCCCATCGAGGCAGTTGCGAACAAGACTTTACACATTGCCTATCACACCTGGGAGCACTATTCGAGTGTTCGGAACAAGAGCGGTCCTCACAGCGGGCCACCCCAGGTCTCAGCAAAGAGTGGCCCGGTTCCCATAGCCAAAGAAGAGGTTCCGAGGTGGAAGCTGGAAATTGTGATGCGGAGCTGTCCCGAAGCTGAAGAGCAGACGATTATAAGCAAACTCAAGACTAAAGACTACGGGCAGGTTATCGAAGAGCTTTTGACGGAGCCGGATCGCCAGTCGGATCACCAGCCTATCACAGAGCCCACGATAGAGGCCGGCCCAACGGTGAAAGAAGAGCGCACTGCAGAAGCCGGCCGACCCAAGAAGCGGCAAAGTGTTCGTGAGAAGCGCGGCCAGGCCCGCAAAAAGGCTCTAGAGCGCAAGCTCAACAAGAATAAAAGAAGGTCGGAGCCGGCCGTTTCGGACCAGGCCAGCGAGCCAGCGGTGAATTTGCCGGATAAAACTATTTATATTTAATAAAGGGGACTTGCAGAGTGTTCTGTTATGGAAAAAAAAGTACGTAGGCAAATTCCTCTAGGTTAAGTTCTCAGCGAGGAAAAAAAATTATTGACGAGCGTCGAGAATCTGCTTGACCTTGGCAGCGTTGGCGCCCTTGACGACGTCGACCTGCTCGCCCTCCTTGAAAAGAATAATAGTGGGCACGGCAGAGACAGCAAACTCGCTGGCGATCTCGGCGACCTGCTCGATGTCAACCTTGTAGAAGCTGACGTTGGTGTACTGCTTCTCGAAGTTCTCCAGCACAGGAGCAATCATCTTGCAAGGGCCACACCAGGTGGCGAAAAACTCAACGAGCACAAGGCCGGAACCAATCTTGGAGCGGAAGTCGGCAGCAGAGGCAATTTGGGAAACCATTCTGGGAGTTGTGGTGGTGAAGAAACGTTGAGAGGAGAGGCGGGTGCCTGAAATACTAAGCCGAAGCATACTACACTTGCTGCATCATTACAAATTATATGCTAAGAGGTCACTAGTCTCCAGGGTGTTAGATGCACGCTTATGGCATCGTTGCGTCTGGACCGGTCCGGGGGGTCATTTCGAGAAGGATAAAGCAAAACTAAGAGTTAAATAATATAGTAAAACTAAAACGCGGCTTTGGCCTGCTGGAACAGGTGCTTTGCGTAGCCGTGGGCCTGGTACGACGACTGCAGGGTCGACGAGGCAGAGCCCACCTGCGCGTACAGGTCGCGGGCCAGTTCCTGGGCGGCGTTCATGGTTTCAGTGGCGCCGTTTGTGTACACGTAAACTCCGGTCGACAGCAGTAGTGCCAAGACAGCGAGTTTGAAGAGCACGACAAAGGATGACCATAGCATGCGCACGGTGCGATGCACAATCAGCAGCACCAGGTACACCACCGACAGCGACACGAGAATCCGCGTGAGTCCTGCGGTGTCTCCGCTGGAGAGCGCCTCGACAATGCTGCGAGCCAGAGTATATAGAAAGCCTAGGCCAAGGCCCACCCAGTAAACAATTAGTTCCAAAACCGCCATGTTGGTTGTTTTCGCGGTTAGTCAGTAAAACGAACCATGGAGCGAGAGTTTGAAAAATACACGAGCTGCGACGCTGCAGACGCCATGGTAGCCGTCGGGGGCGCCAATGATGGAGGGGCAATTCCATTCGTGCATCAGCAGTCAGGTCGGGCCGGTGCAACCATTGCCGGGCCTGCGTATACTGTCGAGTATGCCCCGCAGAGCGATCCTCGCCCGGCAGTTTCCGGTCATTATATTGATAGCGTGCCCGCCGGAGCAATTGTGCTAATTGCGACTGCTGCAGACTGCCAGCTTGACTATGCACCCTACACTTCGCTGCGTAACTCGCTCTATGGCGGGCTAATGTCCACGAGAGCCAAGTACCTGGGGGCCGCGGGCACCGTGGTGCTCGGGCTAATTAGGGACATTGCTGAGCACCGCCGGCTAGACTACCCGGTTTACTCGTATGGATTGGGCTCTTGTGCCCCGAACAAGCTGGCCAAAGTGGTTGCAGTCAACGAACCTGTCGTCATTGGCGACCGAACAGTGCGTCCGGGCGATGTGGTGGTCGCCGACGAAAACGGCGTGGTCACTGTGCCTGCCGACAAGGCCAACGCCTGCCTGGACTATATGCCATTGCGTGCAAAGGCCGACGAGCTCGCTGCCGAAGACATTGCCGGCGGCATCCCGGCGGCCACCGCCCAGAAGAACCGACGTCAGGGGCTTCCTAAATAAGTTATCTACACTCTATTATCTGGAATTAGCATTGGACTGGGCCTGAGCGTGAATAGTGTCTTCGTGTGTTTGCAGGTGAGAAGCGTACTTGGACCGGCGGTTCTTCTTGGTGACCATGGCGTTGGCGACGATCTCTTCAAACAGCTGCACCTGCTCGCTTTCTTCAGCAGTACGCTTGCTTTCCTTGAACACTCGGCCAATCATTACCAGTCCTCTAGCACGATCCAGGCGCTTGTACAGGGGCACTCTGCGATCGTTGAGCACAACGTCGCACACCTCCCGCAGCACGCTCTGCACCTCGAACCGGGAGCCCATCCAAACGGCAGCAAGGACTTTGCCAAGCATGGTTTGCTCCATTTGTGCTCTATGGTCCTCGCTTAGCTGAGCACCCTCTTCTTCGAGCTTTTGCATGTCCTGGATAGCCGACTGGGCGTCCAGAGCGGTGCTGACCGTGTTCCAGCCGTCCTTGATCATGCTGCCCTTTTCCTTGAACTTGGAAAAGAAGCCGCCAAAGCCCAACAGTTTCTGGCTTTTGAGCATTGTCGAGCCCTTAGAAATATAGATCGAGCCGATTGTGTGCAACAGCTCGAGGCCAAACGACTCCATTTTCAGCTCATCGGCTTCAGCCTTGATTCTGTCCATGAAAAATCGCGAGACATCGGGCCCCATATCGGACTCGGTCCAGAAGGACAGTTTGTCGCAAAGCAGTCCAGCAAGCTGCATCACCCGTTGCTGACGGGCTGCAGCACTTTCTTTGGACAGTCGGCTCTGGACCTCGCGCTGGCGCTGACGCGCGGAAATACGGGCCTGCCGCTCTTCTCTGGCGGCCTCAAAAGAGTCGTGGCGGTGGTGGTGCAAAAAGCCCCCATGCGGGCGGCCCATCGACGGCGACGGACCAGGGCCATTGGGGCTAGCTGTGCGACCGGGACTGGTGGGCCCGCCGGGCGGCGTCGGGGTGTAGCCAGGGGAATTCGGGTCCATGGCCTGCTCTTCCTCCATCATCGCACCCATTTGCTGCATATCCCGCAACAAGCCCAGTTCGCCGATCCATGGTTGGAACGCCTCACCGCCGAAGATGTTGGTCATGGCCTCTAGCGGGTCCTCAAAGCCCTGCTCGGGCACGGCCTTGTCTTTACCCAGAGTGTCGTAGCGCTTTCGCAGCTCCGGGTCACTGAGAACCTGGTATGCTTCACTAATCTCCTGGAACCGGACCTTTGCTGTCTCATCACCAGGATTCTTGTCCGGGTGGTGCTTGATTGCCTGCTTGCGGTACGCACGCTTGATTTCGCTCGCGTCGGCGTCGACCGAAATACCCAATATCTCGTAGTATGCCGTATCAACCACCATTTCTAGACACACGAACTTGCTTGGTAGGTTTCTAAACCCCGTCGGCTTACATGATCGGCTATTGCGTTGTCATGCAGGTGCTTGAATCATCACATGGCAGGGCTTAGCACGGAGAGTTGGCGCGACAGCGGCGACGGAAGGGCCGTTTGACTGCTAAACTGTTGTCGCTTTTCTATATGGACCACCCCGCTAGTGCAAGGGCTCGCTATGTACGTGAATGTCTCTTAAACCAGGTCATCCCCGCGTCATGGGTAGTCAGCCAAAGGCGACAGCCTGCACGACGATGGTTTTAAGCAGGATATGTTACTCTACGACTCAGAGGGTTGCAAAGGGCCCTCAGCCACCCTGCCACAGAAATAGCAGACTGGCCCTTGTGAGTGTCGCAAGTTGAAAAGTTTTTTTTACTCAGCAGGGACATTTCACCATGTCGTCGCTCAACGACCAGCTCAACTCGTTTCGGGCCAAGGTGCGCAACGCGCCTGTTCTGGGGAAGCGGATCATTCCGCAGGTACCACAGACCGAGACGAGCGGCGGGACAGGGCCGGACGGGGGCGACGCAGCCAAGCGCCGCAAAACCGCCGTCGTGTACTCGCAGCCGGCGTCCGCAGGCACCGGGCTGCACCGCTCGACCCAGCTTGTGCATGCCATTGAGTACCTGCGCAAGCACGAGCAGCCGATTCTATTTGCTGATTTGGAAAACTACCTGTCGTCGCCCGTGCAGCCGCTGATTCCCATGCTGCAGCAACACCGCAATGTGCGGGTGAACCTCAAGGACCAGACGGCGACGTATGTGTCCAAATTCGATATTTATTCTGCCAATGACCTGCTGCGTTTCCTCAAGACCCAGAAGTCGTACCAGGGGACCAGCGTCAAGGATCTCAAGGACGGGTGGAGCCAGGCGATTCCGACGATAAATCGGCTGGAGCAAGAAAATAAGTTATTGGTTTTGCGGAACAAAAAGGACAACACGCCGCGCCTGATCTGGCCGAACGAGGCCGGCCCGCTTTCCACAATTGACCAGGTCTTTGTTGATCTGTGGCGTACTGCCAAGGTGCCCTCCAGCTCAGACCTGCCGGGCACCCTGGAGCGGGTGGGGCTGAAACCGTCGTCGGTGGATCCCAGCAGCATCAAGCAGATCAAAAGGGCGCCCGAGAAGAAAACAAAGAAAAACCACAGAGGGAAAATCACAAATACCCATCTTCGGGGCGTGCTCAAGGACTACTCAACCTGAGCCGCTGATTACCCACCCTCTCCCGCTCGGCTCTCCTCTTACCCCATCTTTGTCATGTGTATCTTTCTTGCCTCGAGGCTACACCCGGACTAGTAAGTATAGGCCACGCGGAACAACAATCAAGCAACTAACAAGTGCGCTGGTGATTTTATCCAACCGGGACGAGTACATTGAGCGAGAGACTCAGTCGGCTCATTGGTGGCCTGACGGCATTTACGCACCAAAGGACTTGAAGAGGGGAGGAACGTGGATGGGCGTTTCGGACACGGGGCGACTGGCCGTGCTTGTCAATTTCCACGAAAAACAGCCCATTGGTGAGCTTAGTCGCGGACTGCTTCCGGTTTCTTATCTCACAAGCGAAATGTCCGCCACAGACTGGGCTAACGATACCAGGTCTTTACACGCCGACGCTCTCAAGCTAGCTGGAGGCTTCATGATGATGTTTGGCGACATAACTCCGGCAAATGGGGAAATCCAGCCACTGGAGCTGCTCTCAAATCGCCAGCCTCCGGAGGTGCTACTGGGTGACGATTGCCCTGTACTGTGTATGTCTAACGGGCCCTTGTCCGACAAATCCTGGGAAAAAACTGAAACGCTCGCCAGGGTATTCGAGCCTTTGCTGAGTTTGCATGGTGACGAGTTTATCAAGCAGTGCTTCAAGTTGCTTTCGACGACGTGTGTTGCTGACACCCTCACCATAGAGGACATACGCAAAACCGTGTTTGTTCCTCGCTGCCAATTGCCCAGCGGTCCGTACGCTACTCGCACGCAGACGATTGTTCTGGTTGACCGCAAGGGCCAAGTTACTTATATGGAAAAAACACTCGGTCCCGAGGCCGGGGACCCCGACGCACAAGTCGAGCCCGTAGTGGAACAATTTAATATTAAATAGCATTTATTTTGATTTTGTTTTGTCTTTCTTGTCCTTTTTGTCCTTTTTGTCCTTTTTGTCCTTTTTGTCTTTCTTGGACTTTTCCTTGTGGCTCTTGGACTTTTCCTTGAGGGGAGAATCAACCTCAGGCTTTGCGACTTTCCGGGGACTCTCGCTGGCAATACCAAACGCTTTGGCGCTGTAGCCGGTGGGGAAGTGTCGCATTCGCATGTTCTTTACCTGCTCCACTCGGGGCTTTGCAACTCGAACCTCGTCGTAATCGATCTTGGGCAGGCCCACCCGTTTTGTGAGAACCATGACTTTGCTCGGCTTGGTTCCGGTGGGATGCAAAACAGAGTTGGTATCGGGGATCAGGACCTGGCAATTACCAACTGGCATCTCGGTTGCTTTGAGAGCGTAGGTCGAGGCGCCCACCTGGATCTCGCTCTCAGAAACGACCTTTGCATCTGCAATATCCACATTGTTAGGAATTTGGACAAGCCATAGCTCGTCCTCAGGCTTAAGAGCCAAGGGCTCGCCGAATGAAACTTTTTGATAGCCGGCAGGCATAAAAAATTAGTAACGAAAAAACCCTGGCTAAATAGGATCTTGCCAGAGCCGACTCGTTGGAAAAGCCAACTAGCTATTTCAGACATATCCTCAACGTTGGCACAAATTAGAACAGTTCTAGCTAAAACATAGTCTCTCTGTCTGCTACAATATCTACAAAACCATCACGAGAATCTTGTCAACTTACTAATGGTAAATTTTGCTCGTGGTGCGATGGCTCGCCAGTTTGGCCGGCCTATGGCCCGGATGTACAGCGAAGTTGCCAAAGACGCCACCAAGGACTTGCGGCAGAAACGCGAGGAGCATCTTGAGCAGCTGAAAAAGTACTACCCACCGTCGCTGATCAAGTCTATCCTGGCCGCAGAGGCAGCGGTCACTCCTGAGATGTGGGCTAATCGCAAAGCTCCTGCGCGTGCTTTTGCTCCAAACTACGCCGACGACTACGCGGAGTACGATCCTCTCTACGACCACGCCCGGGGAGAGTGGGTGGACAAAACAAAGCCCAGACAGCCTATCCCGCAGAGGGTGCTTCCAGGCAGTCAAGTCCCCCCAGACATCATGTCTTCTCGGGCGCCCTCGGCTACAAACCTCACACAACTCGAGCAGCTGACCGGTCTTAAAGCCGAGTACCTGCGAAAGCTAGTGTGCAAGCCGCTCATTCGCAAGCGGGTTGTCAACATGACTCGTCTCGGTAAACGCCCCAGCTACTACGCGTTGGCAGTTGTAGGCGATATGAATGGCCACGTGGGTATTGGCGAGGGCCGCGACTCCAAGCTGGCTACCAAAGCGGTCGCTCATGCCCACTGGGAGGCGGTGAAAAATCTCAGATACATCCCCCGGTTCGAGGACCGCACAATCTATGGTGACATTACACACAAACGCGGTGCGGTAGTGATCAATCTGCGGTCGTCTGCTCCCGGCTCAGGCCTTCGCGTCAACCACATTATTTACGAGATCTGCAAGGTCGCCGGCATCAAGGACCTGGTCGGCAACGTCTACCGGTCGCGAAACCCCATGAACGTGGCCAAGACTGCCCTCGAGGCTCTGTCGACCAAGCAGGTTTTGATTGACGAAATCGCAGCCGATCGCGGCAAGCGGGTGGTCGATGTGACAAACACCTACTTGAACTTTTAATGTATATACTTTAGCTGCTTTTTTTTACTGTGGTGGGTGCGTCCTGCATCGTGTTCTGTTTCAGGAGCGGCGTTCAATAACTAGTTCAGGCATGCCGTACATTGAGTTGATCAGGGACTGGCGGGAAAGCATGGCCAGGTCCTTGTGGCCCTGGGCGAGCGCCTGCTGGATCTCGGCCGAGTCCGTCAGCTCCATGTTCGACCGAAATCCGTCTCGCGCTCTCCGGATGGCGTAGTTCCGGAAATTATAGTTGTTAAACTGGTTTGCCTTCCGCAAAATCTCCCGGTACAGCTGGAGGGTCTTCATGGTGATGTGCTTGGTAAGCGGCCGGCCTCTCAGAAACTTTAAATTTAACTACCCCAGACAAGCAAGGGTGTGCATGGAGAGAATTGCTATATACAGCTTTATTTAGGGACGATAAACGAACGGGCCTTTTCAATTTCGCCCTTGGATCCCAGCCAGACGCCGGAGCGCTCGTGGATGGTCTCGGGGACCAGGTCGAGGATGCGCGTGCCGTCGTCGTTGATGGCCTCGCCGCCGGCTTGCTCAATGATCATTGCCATGGGGAAACCCTCGTAGAGCAAACGCAGCTTGCCCTTTTTGGACTTTTTGTCAGCAGGATAGGCGAAAATGCCGCCGTACAGAATGGTGCGGTGGACATCAGCAACCATGGAGCCAATGTAGCGGGCCGAGTAGGGCTTGCTTCCGTCCTTGGGGAATTTGAGGCTCTCAAAGTACGCGCGAGTGCCATCAGACCAGTAGGCGGTGTTACCCTCGTTGACAGAGTAGATGCTGCGAGTGTGCGGGACTTTGAGATTGGGGTGGGTGAGAATGAACTCGCCCAGGGAGTCGTCGAGGGTGAATCCGTTGAGGCCGTTACCCATGGTGATAACAAGGTTGGCAGAAGCACCGTACATGGTGTAGCCGGCGCAAACAAGCTCCTTGCCGGAGCGCAGCACGTCCTTGATGGAGCCCTGCGAGCCCTCGAGCAAGCGGTAGATGCCGAAAATGGTGCCGACAGAAACACCGGCGTCCAGATTGGACGAGCCGTCAATGGGATCGCACACGACCGCGTAGCGGCCCTGGCCAGAAAGCAGAATGAGGTCCTCTTGCTCTTCAGAGACAACCACCCGCACCTTGTTGGAGGCCTTCATGGCATTGATGAAAATTTCATCGCCAATGACATCGAGCTTCTTCTGGTCGTCGCCAGTGGAGTTGGAAGTACCGGACATACCCAGCAAATTGACCAGCGTAGACCGACGGATGTTAAAGGCAATCATCTTGAAAGACAGCTGGAGCGCATTCAGCAGCAATGTAAAGTCACCAGACGCCTCTGCGACCTTGTTCTGGCTCTGCAGAATAAACCTGGTGAGGGTCAAAATATCTGTCTCAACTTTGTGCTCGGTGGACATGTGGATAACCGGTTATGATCTTGCCCTGGCGATCGCGGTATTTATATATGGGGTGGCTGCGTCAGCTCATCGGGAGATGTCGGTGGGCTGCAGGCTATCTCCGCATTTCTCCGTAAGCAATGCGTGGGGTAGGAACGGGAAAAATGTTTAGGGCACTGGCGGTCTACATAATGATCTCTGGCTTTTCGACGTTGCTGCCAATGGACTTGTGAGGCAGAACGCGGCCGCCGTTGACGTAAATCTCGTCCTGAATCTCGACATCGTCACCCAGCACGGTGACGTTTTCGGTGCGAGCCCACCGCCCAATGCGCGAATTCCAGCCTACAATAGTTTGCTTCACATGAGCGTGAGGTTTCACAACCGCATTGGACATGATGACTGAGCGGGAAATCCGCGCACCATCACCAATCTCCACGCCGGGGCCGACTACTACATTAGGCCCCAGCTTGGCGCTGGGAGAAATCTTGGCGGTAGGGTGGACGAGCACGTGTCCCGAGTGCAGGTAAGAAGCGTCCTTGGGGACTAGCATCTCCGGGTTGCGGACGCCCAGAGAGTTAAGATAGAGGCCGGTGCCGGCCAAAAAGTCCTTGGGCTGGCCAACGTCCATCCAGTAGCCCTCGAGGTCGAACGAATGCAGAGTGCCCTTCTTGGCCAGGGCAGGGAATGTCTCCTTCTCGATGGAAGTAGGACGTAACTCAATAAGATCAATAACACTGGGGTTCAGAATGTAGATACCGGCGTTGATGCGGTTGCCTACAAACGTCACCGGCTTCTCGACAAACCGGTCGATCTTCGTGGTGCCCGGGTGGTGCACAATGACACCGTATTTGGATGGATCCTCAACCTTGGTGGCTACAATAGTTCCCTCGCCACCGTGTGCATTATGGAACTCGATCATCTCCTTAAAGGGGTAATTACAGATAACGTCTGAGTTGAGGACAAAGAAGGGAGACGGGTCCTTGGCCAAAACCTTCTCTGCCAACTTAAGCGGACCAGCAGTACCCAGAGGCTCAGTCTCAACGCTGAAAGTAATGTTCACACCGTACTCCTTCTCGTACTTTTGCAGAGTGTCCACCATGTCCTCGGGGCGGTAGTTCACCGCCAACACAATATCTGTGACTCCGGCCTCTGCAAGAGCCTCGATCTGATGTAGAATCATTGGCCGATTGCCAAACTCAACCAGAGGCTTCGGCTTGGTCAGTGTCAAAGGTCGAAGACGCGTTCCGTATCCTCCAACTAGAATCAAGCCTTTCATTTCGCGATGGTATAATGGGTTGTAAACCACGTGTACACGTAAGATTAAGTCCAGGAGGTCTAACCTAATTTGGAGCGTGCATGGTTGCTGGGGCAACTGCTAAATTGACTTTTTTTGGCTCAATATCTCACTTATTTCGAAACTTTCCCGCAAACCCCAGATTGCGCTACCTTCGACGTCCTCACTTCGCCCCTGCTCTATTTCCACTGTCTACCCCGCTTTCCCCCTTCAAACACTCAATCACAACACCTCCCAACCTTTAGTGATCGGGCAATGCCCCATATCGAGGAATATTCCCCAGATTGGGATACACCAGCAGCCGCCAAAGAGCGGAGACGCAGCTCACTTTCGAGACGTAACTCTTCCGTATGGCTGGCCTCGGCGGCGATGGATAGCCAGGGCCCCAGCCGGGCAGTCAGCCGCTGTCCCTCGGGCTGGAACCTCACGGGCCTCACTCCGTTGACCCCGCTGACCCCCGTGATTCCGCACAAAAAGAAGCGTTCGCTTGACTCCCTGCCCCAGGAAATCCTCACTATCATTCTCCAGTACGTCGTGTCCTCGGATACGGGGCCTGCTGATTTGTGCCGCCTCCTAGCCACCTGTGGGAGAATTTATGATCTCGGCGTTGCAATGCTTTACAGACACGTGGTTTTCCGTACTCCTCATGCGTTTGACAAGTTCAGATGGTCTATCGAAGGTACAGGCTATGGACAGCATGTACGAGTCTTTGATTTCAGCGCGTTCACTTCGGTTGGACTGGGCCGCACAAAGCGGATGAATTCAGAAATCCAGATGGTGACGGCGTCAACGATTCGACGGGCTCTTGATTTATGCAGCCAACTAGTTGAGTTTTTGGCGGCAGAGAGCATTGACACCGATTTGGATGCTGCGGTGCTCGATCAGCTGTTGACCATGCCGGTCCTGCAAACTCTTGATTTTTGTGGTGCAACGGCGCCCCAATTCATCGAACAGCTCCATGGCTCGCTCGTAATGCAGCAGGACTTTTCCTTCTACACTTTAACCAAGCTCTCTCTGCACTGCTGTAATACGATCCCCGCAGAGACCTTGACAGCGTTCTTATCCAAATGTCCGAATCTGACTCGCTTGGACGTCACCCACACCCAACTAACTGACGAGGCCTTACACGCAGTGCCTCCAACTGTGCAGTTGACGCACCTCTCGCTCTCTCGCTGCGTTAGAGTTTCGAATCACAGCGTGGTCAGATTCCTTGTTTTACATCCGGCATGCAAAAAACTCAAATGGCTAAACCTTATGTTTGAAGCAACAAAGCCGAACCCGCTGGGTCACCGCGATATCGATACAATCTTGCGCTTTTTGCCCAAGGGCATGACCTATCTGAACATATATGGCCAAAAGGTCACTGATGATCTCCTCCAGCTAATTGATACAAGCAAACTGCGAAGTTTGTGGTTGGGATACACCCAAGTGACAATGAAAGGCCTAGAGCACTTTCTGCCTAGCTGTCGCTCACTCAAGTTTGTGAACTTGAGTGGTATCCCGTCTATTTCTACATGGACTCTTAAAAGTCAGGAGTTCCAGAACCTCAGTTCTACAGTCGACATGTTCGAATTCAGCCCCGAGACGCTGGACAAGCTGGCGAAAATGAGAGGCTTTTTTGTGTTCCAAGGCCGCGGCCGCCGGTGCTGGCTATTCCGGTCGAAAGACAAGGTGTTGGAACGAGAGCAGTCTCAGCATAATCTCCGGCAGACTTCATTCTCATTCGGCCAAGTTGCGCTGGATCGCATCAATGCCCGAAACCAAGCCCGTCGTCCCATGGTTCAGGTCCAGCAAACCGAAAAACCTCCGCCTTCCTGGGATCCCATCTGGAGGTACGCCTCTGTGAAAGTCAACGTGTCTTTGATCGGGCTTGGAAACGTCTCATCTCCTGCAATCTACGGAAACGAAGGATTTTACAATTACTATGCGTACCATAATATTTAACGTAGCTGTATTTTTTGAACTCTTTTTTCAACTTTATTTACGCGATCTATTCTGATTACACATGGACGACGCGCTCCGGGAAATCGCTGAATCTTTGCTAGATGACGTATCCGAACGAGTGGTTCGAAGATCCTCTAAACTTGTTTTGCAGAGTAGAGCGAAAATTCAACTAAAGCCAGCTGAAGAGCCCGCACGCAGCTATATCTGTGTACTCCTAGCTGCCGAAGCGCATAGCGGACAAGAATTAGCGGCCAAACCACCAGTTCCCCCGGCATTATTCTCAAAACTAGTAGAAATATTCAGACAAGAGCTCGGGTTCAAAGAAACGGTTGTTGCAGCACCCGAAACACCGCGGAAACGCCGAAAAGACAACCCAGAGACCCCCGTCAAAACACCTCAGCGAAACCCACGAACTCCAGTGAAAACACCCCAGCGAACGCCTCAGCGAACGCCTCAGCGAACGCCCCGGACACCTCGATCAAAAGAGCCTACGACATCAGATATTAAGCGGCTGGCCGCAGAAATGGGTCTGAAAGACAGCACCGTAAAGGCTATTCAGCACGGCTATTTACAGTACAATCATTTGGTAAAGGACAAATGGGGCTTGCTTTTAGGATTGGCCTACGTTGTAATTTCTCGGGCAGAGCCTGATCAGAAGGAACTACCCACCCGCTTGGCCAGAGCGGTGACTGTGGCCAGCGCCAACGGCCGCTTGGAGGAGTGGATACATTGGGCCTCGCAAATAGCCACTGGACAATCGTGGCTCACCAAAGTAGCAGTCGAGCCGGAGCCAATTCGCCAATTGTATACGGGACCAGGTGATTGGGATTAATAAATAAATAAGTCTTACCTCTGACAGCGAGTCTCGGTGTGGACATTCATACACGCCAACGAGCAGTATCGGGCGCCGCAGCGAATACAAACAGCATTGGAGAAATAGCCACAAATTGAGCACTTGGGGCGTGAGGGATAAGGACTGGGCCGAGCGGCCATGCTGAGGAACTTTTGCGTGGCCGACTGATCGTCGTCTAAATGGTTTGCCAGGGTTCTTCTTGACGCGAGAATTCGTCTAGAATTTACCGTTTTGCCTGCTTTCGGTCCTCCTTTCAAGTATGCTGGTGGAATCTCGATCTTGACGTCTCTAAAGTTCTCGTTCATCAGCTCGTTAATTCGCCGTTTGCGAGCTCGTTGCTGGCTCACCTTTGCTGCATCAACTGTTCGAGCCCCAATAACAGCAGTCTTCGCGCCCGCCCGATGCAGCGGAGCACCAGTTAGATCCGCAGAGGCGTCGATTTTCATTTACTTTGTCGGTAAGGCAGACACGCGAAATTTGTCATCAACCATTTTTCGATTTAGACGACTTGGATTTCGGCAGATAATGTCTCCGACAAAACGACTTCATTCAAGTCCGTTGCATGCCGGATCTACGGCTCATCAAATACCGTCATCTCCTGAGCTGGAGCTTGGGCCCACGCACCCGGCAAAGCGCTTTGCTGAGGCAAGTTCTCCAGGCAGTCCACCGTGGACAAACCAAGGGACAAATGGCAAGGTAGCGGCGGTTGCTGGCGCCATGCTTGATGGAATTTCCGATGTGCGCTCTGAGAAATGGCAAAATACGATGCAGGATGTGGTCAGAGCGGTTATTTCAGTGCACTTTTGCTGTCCTACCCCATTTGATACTGAAGGGTCATACGTTTCAGAGGCTACTGGATTTGTGGTAGATGCTGAACAAGGTATTATCATGACCAACAGACATGTAGTAGGTCCAGGCCCCTTTACTGGATTTGCTATTTTCGACAATCATGAGGAAGTACCCGTGTGGGCGGTCTACCGTGACCCGGTCCATGATTTTGGCTTTTTGCGGTTCGATCCCAAGGCAGTCAGGCACATGAAGCTCCACCATTTAGAGCTGCTCCCTGAACTGGCCCAAGTCGGAACAGAAATCCGGGTTGTGGGTAACGATGCTGGTGAAAAACTGTCCATTCTCGCTGGCTTCATTTCTCGAATGGACAGAAATGCTCCGGAATACGGCGATCTCACTTATAATGACTTCAACACAGAGTACATTCAAGCCGCTGCTTCAGCATCAGGGGGCTCTTCAGGCTCTCCAGTGGTTGACGTCAACGGTAAAGTTTTGGCACTCCAAGCGGGTGGATCAACTACAGCTTCGACAGACTTTTTCCTGCCTTTGTATAGAGGGAAACGTGCCTTGAAATGTTTACAAAATAACCAACCAATCACTCGCGGTACTATTCAGGTGCAGTGGATGTTGAAGCCGTACGATGAATGCATTCGATTGGGATTGACTGAAGAGGAGGAAGTTTTGGCTCGGGAAAACCACCCGGGATGTACTGGACTGTTGGTAGCTGAAACTATTCTCGATGGCGGACCTGCTGAAAACTCGATCGAAGAAGGCGATATTCTTATTGAGGTTAACGGCAAGCCCACCGCGCTATTCCGTGACGTCGATGACGTTCTTGATTCCTCAGTCGGTGAAAATATTGAATTTACTGTCCTGAGAGATGGACAAAGAATCAAAAATACCTTTGTTGTACAGAATTTGCATGATATTACCCCCTCCCGTTATGCCATGGTCGCTGGTGCGGTTATTCATGATCTCTCTTATCAGCTGGCTCGCCTATATGCTGTTCCTGTCAGGGGCGTTTTTGTTGCTGAAACGGGCCAGGTTTTCCGCCCTGATCGTGACCGTACTGGCTGGCTGCTTGAGGAAATCGATAATCATCCAGTGAGCAGTTTGGATGAGTTTCTGAAGGTTGCTCAGAAAATACCCGATAGAAAACGGGTGTCTGCGAGATTCCGACACTTGACTGACCTCCACACCATCAAAAGCTCCATTGTCTGCATGGATCGTCACTGGCACAAGGATATCACTGTGGCTACACGAAATGATGAAACGGGTGTTTGGGACATGAAGACGGTTGGTGAGGCTCTTCCGGCTGAGCACATCACTCGGCTGCCAGCGAAGTTTGCCAAAATTAGTGACGACGAGCGCACCGAGCGCATTTCTCGCTCGTTCGTTAAAGTCGAGACCCGTATCCCCTTGTCTATTGAAGGCTACACTGCTTCTGAATGCACAGAATATGGCTTGGTAATTGACGCCGAGAAGGGATACGTTATGGTGTCCCGATTCTGCCTTCCCCACTATATGTGCGACGTTTCCGTGATTGTTGCCGAAAGTGTCATTTTGCCAGCGTGGGTGGTGTTTTTACACCCGCAACAAAACTACGCGATTGTTCAATTTGATCGCAGTCAAGTTGATGCTCCGCTTGAATCTGCCGTACTCTCAGATGAGCCCTTGAAACAGGGCACTCGTTTGCATTTTGTTGGCCACAATTTCAACATGAGAGTGTTTACCACTGAAACCAAGGTCACAGATATCTCGGTGCTGTACATTCCGATTGGCACGGATTTAGCTCCCAGATACAGAGCAACTAATATTGAAAGCATTGGATTTGATGCACCTATGATTTCAGATTGTATTTCGGGTGTTTTGACTGACGAAAACGGCACTGTACGGGCCTGGTGGTCGTCTTTTATGGGCGACGTGAGCTCCAACGGGCGTGACCGTCAATTCCGCCTAGCTCTGGATACATCGTCTATTAGTGGAGTTGTTGCTAAGCTCGAAGAGACGGGTACCATCAATCCGAGATTCCTTGACTTGGAGTGCAATGCTTTGCACCTTGTTGGGGCCCGCATTCGCGGAGTTCCCGACAAATGGCTGAAAAAGGTGCAGGAAAAGCAACCCGAGCGGCCTCAACTTCTCCAGGCTCTGCGAGTCGCCAGCAGTTTGGCTGGCAAAGTATTTGAAGGCGACATTTTGCTGTCCATTGACGGAGAGCTATTGACATCGGCCGTACAGCTCTTGAACCTTGACAAACCATCGGTAAGCCTGACGTTGATCCGCAGCGGCAAAGAAAAACACATTAGCGTCGAAACTACAGAGGCGGAGTCAGTAGTGACCCGCACAATTGTCTCATGGTGCGGCCTCATTGTGCATGCCCCCCACCACGCGGTTGTCCAGCAAATCAAGCAGCCGCCATCGCTTGTCTATGTTGACCATGTGGCGTCAGGCTCCCCAGGCAATCAGTACGGGGTGTCGGCCACCCATTTTATTACCCATGTCGGCGGAAAGCCCGTGCAGACGGTAGAGGAGTTTTACGACGTTGTTTCCGCCGTCGCAGATGATACCTACGTGAAGCTTCGCATTGTCACATTCGATGGCATTCCGTGTGCATGTTCTATACGCACCAACTACCACTATTTCAAAACATGGCGCCGGGATCTTGTCGATGGAACTTGGCAGCGCGAGGGCGGCGACCCGATCGAGTAGCATCAATACTTTAAAACTATTTACATGTGTGGGAGCAGCTTCCCGAGCTTTTTGTGGCGCTGCGTGTTGGCGGCAGTGACTGTGCCGTTCAAATGGCGCAGAATACGGCCACGCGACCAGCCAACGTTTCCGTGCCGGCGGCCGGCTTGTTTGCGGACAAATTCACCTTGCCCGTTCTTCCACCAGCGCTTGGCAGCGCCAGAATGTGTTTTCATACCGCGAACGGCTTGCAGGAGACCCCCAGCTTTCGCAAAAATCTGCAGCATGGTGAGATGGTGATTTTTCAACCGGCGTATAAAACTCTTTGATTTTGTAATCACATGGGGAATACCATGTCTGCGAGTTTTGCCCCAGAATGCACGGAAATGAAGCAAAAATACGACAAATGCTTCAACGAGTGGTACAGTGAGAAGTTCCTCAAGGGCAAAAGCAACCAAAACGAGTGCCAGGAGGTGTGGGACCAGTACCAGACCTGTGTAAAGGCCGCACTCCATAGCCAGGGCATCATCAAGACACTGGACGAGGCGCGAAAAGAGGCTCCGTTCGAAAGTGGCGGCGTGCCGAAAGAGTGACGGGAGAAAAATAAGATAAATTATGTACAGACTCATTTAACTGATGTGGTCGAGGTGGATCTCGTCCAAAATCCTCTTTGCTCCTTTGGCAACCAGGTCGGCGGCAAGATCGATGCCCACCTGGTCGGCCTCTTGGTCGGAGTAGACCTCGGACGAGACCTCTCCTTCGACTGCCTCGGAGCCGTCGACGCTCACCACGATCCCGGCAATACGCAGAGTGCCTGAGGTGGAGTCGTAGCTGGACTGCACCCCGATGGGCACCGAGCAGCCTCCTTCTAATGTACGCATGAGGCTTCGTTCTGCCCGACACCGAAAGCTTGTGGATCTGTGATTAATGCGGGACACTAGCTTCTGGATTCGGGCGTCACCTCCTCTGATTTCGATTCCTAGAGCGCCCTGACCAACCGCGTAGTACATGTCTGGGGGCTCGAGGTAAGATGTGATGCGGTCCTGGAGGTGCAGGCGGTGCAAGCCAGCTGCAGCAAGAATAATAGCTGCATAGCGGCTGTCCTCTGCCTCTAGTTTGTCGAGGCGAGTGCCCAGGGTGCCTCGGACAGGCTCAAATTGGAGTGTGGGGTAGCGGCGGCGGAGCTGAGCCGAGCGGCGTAACGAGGAGGTGCCTACGATGGAGCCATCGGGCAGGTCGGCCAAGTACTTCCACGGCGAGGTACTTTTGATGCAGAGCGCGTCGCGAGGGTCTTCACGCTCAGTAATGGCGCCCAGAATGCAGCCCTCAGGAAGCTGGGTCGGCATGTCTTTCAGGCTGTGCACAACCATGTCGACCTGCTCGTAACCAGGAACCTTCTCCAAAAGCAGTTTTTCCAGCTCCTTTGTCCACAGAGCCTTACCACCAAAGGCGTAGAGCGGCTTGTTTTGAACGTTATCACCTAGAGTGCTCAGGGCAATCACCGGGAAAGTCATACCCGGGTGGACGTCGCGGAGCTTGGCAGCAACCCAGCGACTTTGCACGACGGCTAATTGCGACCTGCGACCTCCTACATATACTTTGAATTTCGTCTCGTCGTCAAAATCGTAGAAATCCGGTGTGCCTGGATTGACTGGCGTGGCCAGCCGCTCGTAAATCTCCGGCGTGTCCGCTCTCGAATCAGTATTATCCATGCTCATTTGTTATTCCGAGCAATGCAAATTCTCTGCTGCTCTAAAGTGCTTCTCTCGCCGCGCGCAAAGGTGTGTCAGAGAAATCCCTCTTCCTATTATAAAGCTTTGTACTCTTAATTTTTCGTTTTTTTTTCTCCACAGTCTGCCCGAACTGGTAATCCTGACATAATAGAAATTACCGCTCCCATCACTGGACGGGCTAGAATTCAATAACCGCAGAGGCTTTTTTTTATGGACTCATTGGCTGACCTGGGGATAGGGGCTGCAGGTGAGAGGGGCAGCATATACGGTCGCTGGCTGGGCATATTAAAGAGTGTGCAGCAGAAAGAGGGCGGGCTGCGCAAGGGCTGGTCTGAAGCGGCCAGGGCCCAGTTCCGGAGCACCTTTAATACGTTTTTGTCGGTATACCCGTGGTTCGCGGGCTACTGGATTCACTATGCTCGGTGCGAGTTCAAGCTGGGCAACACCCAGGGTGTAATTGATGTCTACAACCGGGCCCTCGTCGAGCTGCCCTACGCACCTGATCTGTGGGCTGCGTACCTCGAGTTCATCGTCCTGGTGTGGCATGATACTGATTCAATTGACCGCGAGTTCGAGCGCGCCGTCGCGTTCGTGGGCGACGACTTTTATTCCCATGTCGTCTACGACGTATACCTTGAGTATCTGACGCTGCGGAATTTCCACGCTCGCAAGAGCGAGCTGTTGCTGCTGATTTTAACTAAAACACTGCATCAATTTGCTAAATACTTTGCAATGATTCGAGACGATGGTCTCATGGGTAAATATTATGAGCAACAGGAACGAGTGGCCCAGGCCTGGAAGTACGAGTGCCAGCTGCACCGCCCGACGTTTTTCCACCCCAAGCCGCTGAAGCAACAGGAGCGGGCGGTTTGGATCCACTACTTGGACTCTCAAATCGAGAACGAGGGCTTCAAGCACCAGCTGTTCCGCAGACTGCTGATTTGCGGTGCCTTGGACGAAAGTCTGTGGCTGCGCTACATTCGCTGGCTGATTGCAAAGCGCCAGTCGCCAATCCCGGCGTTTGAAACCGCCGACCGCCAGTTGTCTGCTGATCTGGTTCAGGTCAGACTCTACCATGCCCTGTGGCTGGAACACACTGGTGAGAATCCGACGGCAATATACGAAAAACTTGGCTCCCGCGGCGCGGTTCAGGCCAGTCAGTATGCATCAAGAACTTCGGGAGACCCCCGATCCATCTTAGAGTCGGCTCTCGAGTCAACTTCTTCACCAGCCGACAAGGTCGATTTGCTGCGGGAGCTTGTGAAATATGATAAAAACGCGTTCGAGGCACACCCTTTACCGGACAATGCAGAGTACTGGCGAGCATATTTGGCTGCTCGTCCCGACTGCGGAGAAGATATTTATTTGCGGGCACCCGAAGGGTCTATCACAAACGAGTACCTCGCTCTTCTGGCCCGGACCAATGTTGTAAAGTACGTTGGGGTCGATCGAATGGTCCATAGGTCTGCACTCGTGTAACTAGCCGATAAAAATGTTTACAACCACGCTCAGTACCCACAAACCGATGAGGATTCTGCCGATGAGTGGTGTGAGATGCCAGTTATTGTATTTGACGGCGAACTGCAGAGCAACCAGAACAGCAATCAACAGAGGGCCAGACACAAAAATCTGTGGATCAACGGGCATTTCAACAACGGTCCGTCTTGTCATAACCATATGCACAAGAGACCCCAGACCTATGCCAATAAGCATGGTCATGAAAGGGCTTGCAAAGCAGGCTGAAACAGCCATGGTCGACATGCCCAGCTGGGCAATGGAAATGTTTGTAACCAAGTCGCCCAGAGAGTCTCCAATAGCAAATACCGTAAGCCCCATAAAAGTCTCGGAAATGCCTAGAGATTTTCCGACGATTTGTAGCTCATTGATCACGAGCTGAGCCAAGTTGACCACCCACACCACCGACATCACAAATCCAAGCAACGTCATAGCTAAACTCTGTGGACGCAACCAGCCAATATAAAGTGCCACAACTACCAAGATACTGGTAATCAATGATAAATAAAAGTTGTCCAACAGCAACCAGAGTGCTGCGGGGCAGCCCATGGCTAGAATGATGAGGGCGGCATTCGGGACCTCCCGCTCGCCAACAACAGGAACACTGGCGGCCAAACAAAAAATGGGTAGCAAAAGAATGAATCCATGTATGCGGGCAAGCCAGTGTTTTTCCGAGATATCTTCAAACAATGGGAAAAGATGCAGAAAAATAAAGTGCATAGTGGAAGGCTGGGGTGGGTCATCCTCATGTACACGGGGTACTTGATCAATTTCTTCGCCTGGTGGTTCAATTGTAAGAGAAGGAAGAAGTGGCCGCTCTGATCCTTCCAAATCTTGTAAAAGGTCGCACGGTGGCAGGACGTTCTTGCTCTGTCCCTTGGGTGAAGTCGGGGTTGGAACATCTAAAGGAACCTGCAGAGCCAAAGAGTCCTGTCTGGGAGATCGAGACCTTGAACTTATTGGCGAAAGCCCATCGTTGACAGCATCATGGAACTGATGTGCACCCAGCAGCGAGCCCCTGGGCGGCAAGGGTGAGGGGGGGATGCTGCCGTCATTTTGTGATTCATAGTGATAGATGCCGATATTTCTTGCAACATCGGCATAGAGGTCCTCCTGATTTTTGGTATTATCGAAATGATCCATTGCGATAACAATTGCGTAAACCGCATATAGCGCCAGCAGACTGAAAACCTCGACAAGAGTGATAATGCCGTCGTAAACAATATACATCACCACCACACTTGCCAATAATAGAAACCTGCTGTCACGCTTGAAAAAGCGACTCTCGACCTCAAAGGGCCCAAATAACGCCATCGATCCGACCACGACGGTTGTAATAAATAATGCAGCGCCTATGAGTTCGCCTATGGCCAAGGCATTGGCACCGACTGAAAGGGCAGCAATAGCACCGAATATATCTACCGAGCTGTTTCCAAATGCCACAAATACCACACCCACAATGTTTGCTGAAAGTCCTGACCGTGAAGACAATGTCCGAAGGTTTGGGCACATAAAGTCATATGCTGCGACTGATATGGTCCCGAAAAGAAAAGTCAATAACGCGACATGTCCCGATATGCTCAACCATTCAGAATAGTCGCCAGCCCACTCAGAAAAGGTATGGCTCCAATTTTGATAGCATTGCAGCATCTTGCTTCTGGGGCGGCGTGAGAAGTAAGCGGTTTGACTTGGTGCAGGACTTTTATGCAATATGCTGAGCCCACTATTAAGCAAGAACGAACTCAATGATTCCTTCATGCCTACCCCCTACCCTATCCCAAGCTTCTCCGAAAGTCATCTCCCACTATGTTAGGAACCAGGGCGGCCTGGGCCAAGGTTCCCTCCCCCTACCCTGACCCTATCGTTTATTATCACCTCCCGATTAGAGTGGTTTTAAATTATACCATGAGTCAAGTGCCGGTATGGCAGGGTGATGAAGAGGCGGCTGAATGTCCCATTTGCCATCGCAATTTCACCCTATTCTTCCGTAGACATCATTGCCGCAAGTGCGGGCGTGTTGTTTGTGGGTCCTGTTCTTCTACCGAAACCACCTATCTCGCCACCACCTACGTCGTCTGTCCTCCTCAACAGGTCTATTTGGAGAGCCCGCATGTCCCACACAGAACGTGCGATGAATGTGTGGAGGAGCTGGCGCTAATTCAACGGGCGCTTCCTGAATCTCTACCTACTCGTGAGCTGATGGTCCAGCATGTGAGCCGCATCGACGAGGGGCTCACCCGATGTCCGGTTTGCGACAAGCTACTAATAAACATGAGCGAAACGCAGCAGGAAGCGCATGTGGATGCGTGTTTGCGGGGGCAAGCGGGGTCTCCGGGAAACAATGGCAACCACAACCGCATGATCATTTACCGGCTCAACCCTAAAGAGGCAGGTGCTCTGGGGGAGTGCACGGTATGCTTTGAGGATTTTGAAGCAAATGCCATGGTCGGACGATTAGAATGTTTGTGTGTATTCCACGAAAAGTGCATCTTATCTTGGTTTGCCCGAAAAGGCGCAGGAAAGTGTCCTGTGCATAGCCAATGAACCAAGGGTTTTTATTATTTATTTTGTACCAGTATTCATTCGTAGAGTTTTTGTAATACGAGCTGTGTGTTTTCAAGATATTGCTGCCAGTATTCTGTGAGCTGCCTCAAGTCGGCGCTCTCCTCGTTGATCTCGCTCAATCGGCGCGACAGCTCGTTGATATTTTCGATCAATCGCCGAAAGTTTGTGGCAATTCTCGCAGTTAAAACAAGATGTGTGTATTCGTTCGGATCTTGCATTGAGGACAGAGGAAACACCACAAAGTGGAATTCCCAAATCTATCGGCCTGAACGCGGAGGCAGCAGCTCGCCACACATCTGCTCTGACCTCAAAATTTACCCTGCAAACGGGTCCTAGTCTATCTAATTTCCTCTATCTTCTCCCACCTCACCCTACAGAGCTGTCTAAATATCTCTAGATCCGACTAGTCAGCAAATTTTTTTCACAATGCATTTGATGTACACTTTGGACGCCGATGGAAAGCGGGTTTACACCCTGAACAAAGAGACCAGCACTGGTGAAATCACAAAGTCTGCCCACCCTGCCCGCTTCTCGCCCGACGACAAGTACTCCCGTCAGCGTGTCACCCTGAAAAAGCGCTACAACATGCTACCCACCCAGCAGGAACCTCTTAAGCACTAAGATATTTAATTACGCCAGATCGGTTTTCCCCTACGTTTTTGTCGCATATGTATACCGTATTAAAACTATTTCAGACTAAACTTTTAATCAAAGGAAGCAAAGCCCAGCTCAAATGCGTAGCTCAAGGTAAGCTTGGCATGTTGAAGCATATGGTCGAAACTGAGATGCTCAATCTTGTCGTTGATGGAGTGGATGTACTTGTCAGATGTATCGAGAGCACTCTCAATCACAAAGGCTGAAGGATAGCCGAATTTCGACGCAGAGGCATGGTCGGAGCATGCGTAGCCACAGGTGCTCTCTACATAGGGAATATCGCAATAATTGTCGATCAAAAGCTTGATGTAGTTGGTCAAGCGCTCGTCAACAAAGTCAGTGATAACACTCAGAGCGTCATGGCCAAGAGACTCAAAGTTGCCCGCAGAGTAGCCGGTCATGTCCTGCTGAAGCATAGCCTTCACGACTCGGTCTTCTTTCGAGTAGCGCTCAAAAATATCCTGAGAGCCCCAAAGTCCAACCTCCTCAGCACTATACCAGTGGAACTCGACAGTGTTTTCGGGTTCGTAGCCGCTGTAGGCCAGAACCCGAAAGACCTCGAGAGTGGTGACGGTTCCGGACCCATCGTCATCAGCACCAGGAGCAGGCAAAATATTGGGCAGTAGCAGGTTAATTGAGTCCTGGTGAGCACCCACAACCACAGTGTCGGTGGTTTTGGAGCCGCGGAAGCGTGCAACCAAAGACTTTTGCGGCCAGTCGTGGTCCACCAGCTCAATATCGATATCATCGCGAGCCGATTGAGATACAATGTCAGCCACCTGATCACGCAGCCACAAACTGGACTCTAGTCCGGTTTCCGATTTACAATAGCGAGTGTAAAACGAGGTCAATTTGGTCAGGGTGCTCTCGAGCTCAGCCTTGGACAAATTGCCACTCAATTCCTGGATCATTTCCTTGTAGTAGACCTTGCTCGGATAATTGACATCCGCAGCAACATTCAGAGAGCCAAACTCCAGAGGAAAGTCCGTCACATCCATAAAAGTGACGCCGTCTCGTTTGAGGGCAAGCATCTCATTGAAAGTGTAGGACTTGCGAACACCAGGAGCAGTCTCAAGAATTCGGTCGGGCTCTGAAGCGCCCATGGCCTGCTGAACAACAGCTGGCTCAAAGCTACCGGCAAAGGCGCCACAAACAAAGGCTAAAGCGATAACGGACTTCATATTGTGCCGTGCTGATTAACTGAATGCCGCCTTATGCAGGCTGCCCATTTAGCTCTGGGTAGCTCGCATTTGATTCAATGGTGCAAAGCACGATTGTCCTTCTTTGATATTCAGTTGCCATAGATAAAACCGTGTAGTGTGTACTTTTTATTAAGTTTGAGGAGTTTCACCCGTTAACTCTCCTAATTTACTTGGCTTATTTACCTACTTACATCACGCGTCGCGATGGGAAGACTCAGGAAAATCCGGCTCCATAACTTCAAATCATACGATGGACAGCGCGATATTCCGATTGGAGAGGCATATTTCACGTCGATTGTCGGTCCAAACGGCTCAGGAAAGTCCAACTTGATGGACGCCATCTCTTTTGCGTTGGGGCTTAATTTGGAACTAATTCGGGTCAGTGAGCCACAAAGTCTTGTTTCTGAGGGCGCTCGCAAGGGCACTGCATTTGTGGAACTCGAATACGAGCGCCAGAACGGTACTGTTGTGAAATTCAAGGGCTCTATTCGCAACAACCAGTGTTTCTATGCGATCGATGGCAAAGAAATGGACCACCAGAATTACAAGGATGAGCTGGCCAAAGAAAGCATTCTGGTGGACGCCAAAAACTTTCTGGTATTTCAAAATGATGTTGAACGCGTGGCAAATGGTAATCGCGAGGAGATTTGTACTTTGATTGAGCGCATATCGGGGTCTGTCAACTGCAGACCAGAATATGAGCGGACCAAGAAGAAGCTGGAGCGGGCAAAACGTGCCGCTACAGCCGCCTTTGCTGCAAGGAAGGAACTGAAAGCTGAAATCCAGCAGTACACGCAACAGGAACGGACAAAAGCCGAATTTGATGGGCTTAAGGAAGAACTCAAGCAAAAGAGGGTTGAGTTGGTCGAGAAGCGGATATTATTGCACGACTTGAGATCTTTGGAAACCGAACAAAACCGGAAGGAAATTGAGGCAGGTCTACAGGCTGCCAAGCAGGCGGTTGAAAATGCCCAAAAGACTTATGATCAAGCTAGTCGCGAATATGCCATCGCTCGTCGAGAGGCGGTGCGAGGAGAAGCTCTGTCTCGCGAGCATCAGGACAAAATTAGCTCTTTGGCAACTGACCAGGACAGCCTAAAGCGCAAAATTGAGTTAGCCAATAATGATTCCGAGGCCTGGAAAAACAAAATTGAGTACTCTAGCAAACAATTAGAGCAGGCTGGCGCTGAGCTGAAGCAAGCCGAAAAGGATCTCCGCATCGTCGAGCGTGCCGAACAAGACCTTGAAGAAAAGTTTGCTTCGCTCGAGAGTATCAGCAGTCTAACTCAAGAGCAGCAGGAAGAGTTTCTTCAATTGAAATCCCAGTACCTTCTCCAGACTAATGACGCCCGCCAAGAAGAAGGCAGGATCGAACGCCAGTTGACCCTTAAAGAAAATGACGAGTCGATTTTGACCGATAATTTGGCAACGGCCCAACTACGTGTCGATAAACTCAAAGAAGAACATGAACTTGTTGAGATCGAAAAGAATCAGCTTGAAACATTCATCAAAGAACGGAAAGAAGTTCTTGTTAGCAAGCGGAAGGAGCTTGAGCAAATTGGTGTTGATTTGCAAAAGAGCCGGAGTAAAATCGAGAACCAGAAAATGGCTCTGTCCAAAGCATCTTCCGATCTACGTCAATCCGATGGTAGTATCGAGCACGCAAAGATCCGCAACAACTTCTTAGATGCGGTTGCTCGTCTCAAGCGTAAATTTCCTGGTGTTGTCGATACAATGTCCAATCTTGTTGAGCCCAAAGAAAAGCGATTCAACCGTGCGGTCGACCGTGTTCTTGGTGCGCACTTTGATAGTGTTGTTGTCAACAACTTTGACACCGCTTCTAAATGCATCGAGTACCTGAACAAGGAGGAGCTTGGCCACATGACCTTTTTGCCAATCGATGATCTCAAAGTAAATATTGTGGATCGCATGTTACGAACGATTCATCCCAAAGCCCGTCTAGCTATCGATGCAGTTCAATACTCTGACAAGGCACGCATTGCGGTAGCATTTGTTTGTGGTAATACGCTGATCTGCGATGATCTTGATATCGCGCTTTCTTTGCGCAAACAAAAAAACGTCAAGTCTCGGCTGGTGACAATTGAAGGCTCATTGGTACATTCAAACGGTGCGATCACTGGCGGTATTGTGAAAGAAACCACCCGCTATGATGAACGTCAATTAGTTACGTTACAGCGAAAGATTGAAACGCTTGTTGAGAGTATCAACAGTGAAACGAGTCATGCTGCTGACCTCCAATTCCAAGAGGAAGCTACAGCCACTGATTACGACAAGCTGTCAAAGCTGGTGAAATTCAAAGAAACCAGCCTGGATACGGCTCTTAAACGGCTCGAATCACTCCAAAGAGAGATCGAACATCTTGTAAGGGAATCAATTGATCCCAAGAAGGAAGAGCTGCAAGAAGTGCAGCAGGTTATTTCTGATCTGCGTAGCCAGTTGGATGCTGTCAAAGCACGGTTGCTTGATGCTAAATCTAATGTCTATGGAGCATTCTGCTCAAAGACAGGTGTGGACATTGACAACTACGAGCGCAACTTTGGCGTCGAGACCAGACAACGCCGTGAGCTCGCGAAACAACGCATGCGGCTTGAAGACGTATACCGTCTGGCGAAAGCCCATTATGAAGCTTCTGAGGCTCGAGTCAATGATCACAAAAAGCGTTATACTGAGTTCCGGGAGTTCCTGGCGTCTCTTAACGAACGGTTGGCCGACGTTCAACGGGAACGCAATGAAGCGCTAGAGCAATACGAAGAGCTAAAGCAGTCCATTGACGAAGCTACGGCGAAGGCCGAAAAGCTGAGCGAGGATTTGGTTGCTCTGGAGGCGCAGAAGGACGAGCTGAATGAGGCATTCCAAGACGAAACCTCCAAGTACGAGGAATATGAAGAGACGCAAAACCTGCTCGAGGAGAAACGCAAAGCCATTCTACGTGATGCGCAGTTTGATGGAATTGAGGTGTCTGCTGATCTGAGGAAGCAAGCTAAAGAACCGCAAGAAAGTGTTCTGGAACTCGAAGCGGCAATGGTCACTTTGGATTCCGAGAGCCGGGAGATCAAGAACCGGCTCGAGTCTATGGTCATCAACACCAATGCATTAGAGTATCTTGAGCGGGCGAAAGAACAACTGGAGATTGCAAGCGATGATTTGGTAGCCAAACGTAAAGCCAGCGAAGTTGCCAGTAAAGAGTTTGACCAAATCAAGGAGCAGCGACGCAGCACGTTCTGCGAAGCATTCGATCACATCAAATCAAACATCAACGATGTTTACCAGGAATTGACCCGGTCTAGGCACCAGCCAATGGGAGGAACAGCTAATTTGGTTATCATTAACGAGGATGAGCCGTACCTGGAAGGAGTGGAGTATACGATCATGCCGCCGTCCAAGCGGTTCTGCGAACTGTCTCAATTGAGCGGTGGAGAGCGTACAGTGGCCGCCCTGGCATTGCTTTTCGCCATCCACAGCTTCCAGCCTGCTCCGTTCTTCGTGCTGGACGAGGTGGACAGTGCGCTCGACTATGTGAACGTGGCGTTGCTGGGCCAGTACCTTGAGCGGCATGCCGGTCCGGACTTTCAGTTTATTGTCATTTCCTTCAAGTTGCAGCTGTATTCGCAGGCTAACTCGCTAATTGGTATCTACAAGGACCCCAACGAGTACCGCTCGCAGGTGCTCAGCTACAGGATGGATGACGACGCCGTCATGGGCAATGAATAAATATTTAATACTAGGAGATATCCGCCAACTATCAACTCTAATCTAGCTCTCCGGACTCACCGGTAGAATCCCGGGGGACAGGTACGCCGAGGGTAAGGGCTCCATCAGGGCGCGAGGGTTGCCGTCGTGACCTAAAGCGGTCATGGTGGGGTCTGCGCCTAGAAGACAGCGGCGAAAAATAGCCTTTGGCGTCGGTTTGCAGGCTGTATATTGAGCACGCAGAGAAGTGAGCCTATAGACCGTAATGCTGCGCGGAATATGGCCCTAAAATGCCGTATTCGGGGAAATGATGTTCCGTCCGGCACATGACACTCTCCTCGGCCGTATGCATACCCCACAGCCCAGAACCCTGGGTGGCAGGTATATAAGCGATAAGTTGCGCCCCATCACCATCTTTAACCAACCCAAAAAATGACCCTTTCTGATCCCGCTTTCCCTTCTTCTGCCGCTTTCGACGTCCTTGCTAAGGGCATGGAGGACGCTGCTCTCAAGCAGAAGTACATCAAGCAGGCCAACGTCCTGGTTCAGTTCGACATCAAGAACAAGGATGGTAAGACCGCTTCCTGGTACCTTGATGCCAAGAACAAGGGTGAGGTTGGCAAGGGCAAGGCCCCCAGCAAGGCCGACATCACTCTTATCATTGGCGACGCCGACATGCACCAGCTTTTCGAGGGCAAGGCTAACCCCCAGAAGCTTTTCATGTCTGGCAAGCTCAAGGTCAAGGGCAACGTTATGAAGGCTGCTGCCCTTGAGCCCGTTCTCAAGGCTGCCCGCACTGAGGCCAAGCTCTAAGCATTTTGTAATTCAATTTAGATTATTTTTTTGCCATAACTATCCCGCTCCATCGCGGGCCTGGTTTCCTCCAGCTTACATGAATCTTCGCCATATCACTGGCTGGGGGGTTCAGCGCTGCCGGACGGACCGCCCAGTGCGGTTGGTGGTGTACGCGGACACCCAGAAACAACCGGTGTACGTGAGTGAGCCGGTAGAGATGCCGGACGCCGAGTTTCGGGGGGTGGATCTGGCCCGATTGGGTCGGGCGGGTGGAGCAGACCACCTCGCCGTACGCGTATTTGAGCTCGTTGACGGCCAATGGTGCCTGCTCCACGAAACCGAGCTTTATTTGGAAAATTCAGAGCCTTGGGTGCTCGACAAGGACTTTGGTTCGACCAAGGGCCCCATTGTAGTGTTTACAGTCAAGCAGCATTGGATGTGGGTGCCGGGGCAGAAAAAGCCGTCGAAAAAGCATCGCAAGGCGAATGGATTCACGGCCCCAGAGGCGCTCCGGCCTGTGTCTTCTTTGACCTACGATAAACTTGTAAAGCTGCACACCCTACAGACGTGTTTGGAAGACTCGTGGCGATCTGAATCCGAGCTGATAGCTGAAATTGAGAGCCGGCTGCCGTCGTCGACTGTCAAGGACGTCGCGTACGCCGACAATTTACGCCGAAACATCAAATTGACAAAGGCAGCTGTCGATCAAACTAGCCAAATAACCGCTCGACTACGGGCAGAGGCAACCCGGTACATTACAAGCTCAAAGTCGATTGCAAACCATCTCAACGACTGGCAAAAGTACTGGCCGGCTCTCGAACCCCAAAAGGAATCCACAGAAGAGCTGGACAACGAGGAAAATGCTATGGTTGTTGAACGTCGACGTCTGATCAGAGGGCTCATGGAAATCTTCCCCATCGATCCAATTGACAGAACATTCCATTTTACTATATGCGGACTACCTATGCCAAGTGTGTTTTCTATTAATCATTATGATCCAGTCCAAGTCGGCGCCGTGCTCGGCCTCATAGCCCAGCTCGTCGTGCTTCTCAGCCGGTACCTTGACGTCGCGCTGCCCTACCCAATTAGACCTTATGGCTCACAATCTTATATTATTGATACCGTATCGAAATTGCAAGGCTCGCGGACGTTCCCGTTATGGACCAAGGGCGCTTTGCTTTACCGCGTCGAATACGGCCTGTACCTCTTGCACAAAAATATTGAGCAACTCATGTTATCTCAGAATCTCGCGGTCGCCGACCTCAAACAGACGCTGGCCAACCTCAAAAATCTTATGCTTGTTTGCTCGTAGCTGTATAAATATTTAATTTTCCCTCCATTGATGCCCGCACGCTGTGCATTTATAGAACGTCGTCATAGGCTCGTCGGCACTGCGGATCTGTAACTGGTAGAAATACGCCTTTTCACCACCGCAGTTGGTCGTGGGACACAAAATGGCCGTTTGATCTACATTATCCCACGCTCCTTCTCCGCCAAGCATATCATCAACCTGCTTTCGCTCCATATACTTGCGATCGTACACCTTCATGTCGCCCACAATGGGGAACTGATACGGGCATGTTTTGCACTCGAACTTGTTGCCCTCGGCTCCCTGGGCTATTTGCAGCATATTTGAACAATTCGGACAAAATGTGATCATTAAAAAAAATCTTGGTCAGCCGGGGTTGACTATGAGCCGCCAGGCATTGAAAGATGAGCTGGACAACCCTGATTTTGATGCCCAGGAGGAGATTGACAACAATCTGGAGCTAAACCGCGATATTCTCAAGTCCGTGGCTATTGAAAACACCGAGATCAAGGATAAACCACAGGACAAAGTGGTTCAGCAGACTGCCCTGTTTCTGGACGGGTACGAGGGCTATTTCGATCAGCACAAGCAGCGCGAAAAGATCTCGACAACGCCATTCTCACGGGCCCCTCCGATCGACCATGCAGCTCTTGTTGAGTTAAACCAGGTGCAGCCCCGCGGGTTGGAGCACATCCAGCAGACGCTGTCGCAAAAGTACTCTTCCTATTTCAATCAATGGGCTTTGGAGATTGAGCAAGGATTCAATCTGTTATTCTATGGAATTGGCTCTAAGCGTGAGCTCATTACGGATTTTGTGAAATTCTGGGACCCAGAAGCCGCCGTAGTAGTGGCTAACGGGTACAATACAGCCTTGAGTTTGAAGGAGATCATCAACACGTGCGTTTCGTGTGTTGTTCCCGAAGAGGTTTCTTCGGAATGGCTCAGACAACCCTCTGAACGCGTCATTCTTCTAACCGAATACTTGGAACAAAATAAAATCAGTCTGGTACTGGTCATTCACAACATCGATGGTCAAGCTCTGCGAGATGCTAAATCACGAGAGTTTTTGTGCCGTATTGTGGCGTCTTCGTCCGTTTCTTTGGTGGCTTCCGTCGACCATTTCAATGCTCCAGCGTTATGGACGGCCGAGCAAGTCAGTCAGTTGAACTTTGTCTGGCATAATGTCACCAACTACAAACTCTATCGCACAGAGACCGCTTATATGGATCTTCTGAGCCTTGGAAAGAGCAGAGCGGCCGTTGGAGCCAATTCCGTCAAATACGTGCTTTCGTCGTTGACTCAAAATGCCCGCAGTCTCTATCAATCACTTATTATGCAACAATACGAGCGCATGTGCGAACAGAATTGCGGTCAGAATACTATTGGAACGGTATTTCATGGAGTCGATCTACAGAGCTTTTACCAGTTGTGTGTGGAGAGCTTTATTGTATCGAATGAACAGAACTTCAAGGTAATGTTGTCTGAGTTCCTAGAACACAAAATGGCAGTCAGAGCCAAAAATAAGTCTGGCAAAGAGGTCGTGTTTGTTCCATATACGCTGGACGATTTGGAGCATTTGGTTAGCGATACTTAGACCTACGCATGAGCATGCGAAATTAATCCATAAGGGTTATAGCACACTAATTGTTACATTTTTAATACGGTTTCTTATGGAGGTGAGTCTTTGGCAGTGGCCCTCTTCTCTTTTCGGGGTTTTCAAGCGTCCAGACCTTTACCAATCCGTCTTCGCCGCCAGTATAAACAGCATTCTTGTGGAATGAGAATCCTCTAACCACTTCTTCACCGTGTGCTCCTTCGAGATTGATAGGTGTACCTGCAGCCTCATTAGCAAACGGAACAAGCTTCAATTTAGATTCCGCGTTAGTCCCCACTAAAAAGTATCCATCGGCATAATCTGCAACGTACTGGCATTGCCATTTCTCGCGTAAATCACCAAAGTTGTTTGGTGCTGGCTCCTCGATGTTCTCATCGGGGTTGGCTACCTGATAAATAGACATAGTTTCCATGTGACTGAGAGCAAAGACACGGTTTTCGGATAGAATTCCTGTTCGATGAATAGACGACTCGTGGTTTATTGTTTGATAAACGGCATCGTCTTCGTCAACAATGTCTGTGTTGAAAATGTTGATGATCCCGTCAGTAGAGCCCGACAGTAACATGTTTTTATGCGTTGGATGGAATCTGACGTCTGTAACATCATCATTGTGACTATCGGTGTATTTTCTGAATGGAGAACCAGGGGTTCGGAGATCGTATAGTGCGACAGTGGCATCGTGTTGGAACAGCTCTGTTCCAAAGGCCAATTCGTTCTGTCGACCAGCCAAACAGGCCAGAGGTGCTTTGAAATCAACTCTTACTTGCGTTTTCCCTGTTCTTAAATCAATCACTGCTATTTGGCCCTTGGCATTTCCGACTGAGACAACATTCGAGTCGTGGACTCCAAGGCCAGTCACCTGAGAGTCCCCCTTGAACAAAGCCTTCGCAGTTTCCAAGTCAAAATCAAGAGCGTGGACGGATCCATCAGTGAGGCCTACTACAATTGCATTTTCCACCGTAGCAACGTGAGATACATACTCATTGCCGAAACTAGACGACGCCTTGGCAATCACCATCGAGTCAAGAAGCACAAAATAACCTGCTTTTTTTTTCACTTGACTACACTTGAAACGTTTCCGTCGATTTTCTTGAGTTTTTTTGTCCAAAAAACCCCACAGTCCAAAGAAATAAATAAAAAAAAACTGTCAAAATATTTTTGGTTACCTAATACTGTTCCATTTCATCAACTTTAAATTTTTGGCACAATGAGTTCGGTAGTTAATAAATCATCGACTCGTTTTGCTCCCAAAGTGGGCAATCGGGGCCCAGGGAGGAACCAGCGGTCGCGCCGAACTTCCACTATCCGTGCATCGTTCAGTGTGCCCAGCCAGGACTCAGAGGCAAATCGCAGGCCCGTCTTGGACGCTAAAGTCGACATTGAAGAGTCTGCAATCGATGACTCGGAACTTGCTGCTCAGTCTGCGCTAGCCACACCTCCATCGTCGGCTCCCAAACCGCCCTCTGGGTCCATGGAAGCCCCGTCGCGTTCGGTGACTGCGCGTGCCTCCTCTGTAGCTTCTCCACAGCCCTTGCGTCTCACCACTATTTCAGAGCCTTTGAACAGACAACGAAGATTGAATTCAACTCGTTCCACAACCTTTGCACCCATTGTAGCGCCCTCGGAAAAGGCTACTCCTCCTAGCTCCCAAGTTGCCCCGCCACCGGCCGTGGAGCCAGTTTCCAAGCCCAAAAAGGCTTTTGTACGCGAGAAAAAGTTTGATGATCAGGGGCGGGAAATTATTGAGCCAGAAGATTTACCCAGAGTTGGTCGTGGGTTTGCGGCTGCCGACGGTGCTTTAGAGAATAAAGCCATCAACCCTCATACGTTTACCATGGCAAATTTATGCCAGGATATTCCAATAGGTCAACAAAACGAGGACTATGATCATTTTGAAGACGCGAGAATCAGCCGGAAACGCAAGAGAGCGCGAGTTCTCAGGGCCAAGCAGATGATGAGGGGTCAATACGACCCTAAGAAGCCCGAACTGCGTAAAGAACTAGAAGGCATTTATCGAGAATATATGGAAGAGCGACAAGAGAGATTTGGAAGCTCCAGGGAAGAATCGCAAGCTCGACTACAGGCCATTGACTCTGAACCTGCGCAGCGTCAAACCGTTCAGCTTCAGAAGAGCAAAGACGGCAGAATTTTGCTTGATCAGGAATCCCAGCATCTTGATAGACATGCTAATAACAAGGCCGAGGACACGCCAGTCTTCACTCGTGAAATCGACCGGTATTCCACGATTATCAACAGCTACAGTTTCAGTACCAAAGAACGCCAAGAGCGATGGACCGAAGCCGAAACACTTCAATTTTACCAAGCCCTCTCTGTCTGGGGTACTGATTTCAATCTGATCTCGCACATGCTCCCTACACGATCACGACACCAAATCAAGACCAAGTTCAAGTACGAAGAGAAACGCAACCCAACCAAAGTCCAACTGTATCTTGTGCATCGCCGCAAGGTCAATATTACCGATTATGCCAAGATCAGCGGTACCGAGATCGTCAAGCTTGAGGATCTCGAGCAGGACTTGGAACGGGTCAGAGCTCAGCACAATGAGCAGCTCAAGGTCAAGGAAGACATGAAGTTGCAAGCCAAGGCAGAGGATGCACAGAAACAAATGGCATCCAACCCGGTGCGGCCTCGTGGAATAAAGCGAGAGCGTTAATATTTATTTATATCCGTAGATGGGAGAGTTTTTCCAATCAAATTTTAAGTTGAACCATTCGTCCAAGTTGTTGCGGAGAGTTTCCTCCAGCACCTTGGACTCGTTACTGGTGCTTTCAATAGAAGGTTCGGCAGTGCGCACTGAGTCCTTTCGTGGACTTGCTGGAGGTGTGGATAGAGAGCTTTCCTGAGCCTGCTGGTGCAAAAAATCCAATATGTCTCCGTTACTCTCGGTGCTTGAGTGGACTGACATTTTCCGTTTCACGGCCGTCACAGGAGTTGACCATGCTTTCTTTCTGTATATCTTTAACTGCACCACAGCGTCAGGATCCAGCTGGGGGATTGGTTCACCTGCCAGGGATTTTACTGTGCAGGCAGGAAACATGGCCTTGAAATGGACTAGCTCCGGCAGGGAAGCATGACGGGAGAATTTGAAATAAATATGACCAGGCAAAAGTGTGTGGCCATCTTGAGATAGTACGTATCTGATGGCACTTTCGGTATGTACAAACAAGGTCTGTTCGTTGTAGGTGCCACCGGGAAAGTCACGAATATCTAGTTTTCGGTTGCGCTCATCGATATCGCTTTGACTCATGGTGACACGAGGAGATAAATAAATTGTCAGGGGGCCGTCACGGTTCTCACAATGGCCTTTGCGACACCAGTGGACACGGGCGGACGCTGGATTTATAGTGCTCAAGCCGATTATCTGACGTGCCAAAGGGCAGGTATCAGCAGCAGCCATGTAACAATGGTAATAATAACTGTCAAGATGGATTTTGGTTTGGAATCGCAACGCCAGAGCAATAAGTGCCTCTTCATAGCCGGTGGACGAGGCTACCAAGGCGAAATGGATGTTATCCGGGTACTTTGTATTGTCAGAATCGATTGTGGCTAGTAACTCTGCAACACCTACACTGTTCTCGTCGTAGTGCTGATCCGGATTGTCGTGCTGTTCAAACGTGTTATCAACGTAAAGCGAAATAGCTTGCCCTAGCGTAAAAGGCAGTAGCGCAGGATGATGAGAAAGGGCATTAACGTGCCAGGCCTCACATCTGATATCACCTGTGAACAGAATTGCCGTATTTCCGTCATCTACAAGAAACATGGTCGCTCCAGGACAATGCACGGTTGGAATCAGAGTGACCTGGACGGTTCTTGACTGGCAAGTCAATTGATGGGGAATTCCGACATCCAAGGCCTGCAAAATCTCGATGCCCCCGCCCTCTTTGCGCAGATGATGATACTTGAGAGGACCATCGCCGTTATTGTGCCGTAAATTCAGCACCATAGCTCTGGTCGCCGCCGAACAGTACACTGGAGGGCTGTGGTAAGACAGGCGTTCCAGACCAGATAGATGATCAGAATGCATATGAGTTAGCAGGCATAACGAGAGCTGTGGCTGGGTTTCTCGGATCCTGAAATCATCAACCTGCAGTCCCGGAAATTCGTCGATTTGCATGACAAAAAGATGCTTGGTGGACGACACAGTTCCAGGTCTTACCTTAGCAAGTTAATCAAGCCTCACACCATGTACTCGACCATACAGCATGGTCTGGCGAGGTATGCAGTGGACGGGCCGACTAATTTGCTGATTGTAATGGCACAGGGCGCACTGGTTTGCATATCTGCCACTATATTGGTCGGGTCTAGCTGGGGATGGGGCACCGTCGGCGCCGGGGCCTGTTTGGGCGCTACAGCGCTGTTGCGGCCCGTGAAACAAGAAAGCATAATGGCAATCAAAGGCATGGGACTACAGATCAACAGTGCGGGCCATGTCAAGGGCCTGAGCGACTCTTGTGTATTTATTCCTTACCATGACATTTTGGATATTTTGATTAACGAGGTATTTATCGGACTACAGGTACTACCGGTGATACAGATTGTTCGCGAAGACTGCCTGGTGCTCGAGCTTGCGTTCAGGTCCCTAACACCTCCGCTCCGCGATCTGGAGGTCGCCTGGAAGGGCCTGAGGCTCGCTCTTATCGACGACTCGGTTATATAAGGGCGTCTGACTTCCTACGCGTCATGACTTTTCGCGTGAATCCAGGCAATTCACAGAATACATGCCACATTCTGCCCTGCAAAATCAACTATGACGGCGCGGTGGACACCACGAACTTTGCTGTGAGCGGATCCCAAGCAAGCTTCCGGGGACGGCCGCTGGTCGGTCGCACCGTCGACTTGCACGGATACACTGGGGTTGTTTTAGAGCCCGACACTCACCGAGTCGCCCGCAAATTCGACACTCTCACAGTGTGGGGCCACGGCGTGGCAGATCAAGATACAGCAGATCGGCTACAAGAACTATTAACGGTTAGCAGAGCACTAAGTAAAACTAGTTAGCATCAGACAAAATAAGAAAGGTAGCTTGGTTTTTTCCACAGCGACAAAAAGTCTCGAGCCAAATGCACTCTTGTCATCATTACTTACGGTTTCAAAGTGGCAGTGAAGAGGTGAAAAAAAAACCGGCTGCTGACATGCGTATATAGCCATTTATGTGCATCACCTGGACAACCCTCTATTCCTTGGTGTAGACGGCCTTTTCGACCTTGACGAGGTTCTTTTCCAGACTGTAGATGTAGACGACACACTGTTTGCCCTTTAGATCTAATAAACAAAAGCTCGGTATTGACGAGACTGACTCGGCCGATTGGGCGCCGGTCAAGGAGCCTGGGCTGAGGAAAAACTTGCCGTCCAGCTCGAAAGTGTCCACGTTTGTGGAGCCGCCCCACAGCACGACGTCGGCGTTCATCTGGCGCGACGCTATGAGCAGGGCCTCTGGGTCGCCGTCCGGGATGATACTGAGGCCAGTGGCAAGACCTAGGCGCAGATTCTCAACCTCTATGGTTTGCGTTAGCGGTAACTGTAAATCTGTATCCATGTCTCCTTTCACACCGACGACGTCCGACGTGATTGACCGCAGCAACTTCTGGGTCTTGGTCCCAGCCACGTTGCCCAGGGCCACCACCTTCTCGATCTTGCCCGGAATCAGCAGCTTGCGAAACTGTTCGGGCACGTCCTTCGTTAGCTCGGTCTTCACCAGCGTGCAATACTTACAATCGCCCGGTCCGGAATATGTGCGTCTGCCACAACGAGAATTAGCATGGAGGGGGGGGAGAAATTAGTAAATCCTAGAGGTTTATGTAAATATGCGTAGATGAGTACACTGAAAAGGGTTGAACCATAAATATTGACAAGTAAAAGGCGAATAAAGATTAGCCGTTTAGTAGGGAAGAGGGAAGCTGGAGGCCCATCCGGCGATCTCATCGTGGAGAGCCTTGAGCTGGCCGTCCTTGTCAGCGGTGGCCGCAGCCTTGAAGTCCTTGAGCTTGTTGGCCTCAGCAGGAAGAGACGCCTGCAGGTTCTGGCAGTAGACAACAGCCTTGTTAATATATTGGGCAATGCGAGCAAAGTCCTGCTCGCCCAGGCCGCGGGTGGTCATGGCGGGGGCGCCGATGCGGATGCCGCCGGGAACCAACGCAGACTTGTCACCGGGGATGGCGTTCTTGTTGCAGGCAATGTTCATGAGCTCCAGCACGTGCTCGACGCGAGCACCGTCAATGCCCTTCTCGTTCTTGAGAGAAACAAGAACCATGTGGGAGTCGGTGCCGTCGGACACCAGCTTGTAGCCCAGCTTCTTGAACTCGACCTCCAGGGCCTTGGCGTTCTTGAGAACCTGCTCCTGGTACTCCTTGAATTCAGGAGTGTTGGCCTGCTTCAAGGCAACAGCCAGAGCGGTGATGGTGTGGTTGTGGGGGCCGCCCTGCAAACCGGGGAAGACAGAGAAGTTGATGGGACCCTCGAGATCGTACATGACCTCCTTGCCGGTCTTGGGGTTGACCGAGCGAACGCCCTTGCGGAAGAAAATCATAGCACCGCGGGGACCACGCAGAGATTTGTGGGTGGTGGTGGTGACGATGTCGGCGTACTCGAAAGGCGAGGGAATGACGCCAGCAGCAATCAAACCGGAAATGTGGGCCATGTCGACCATAAGGTAGGCACCGACCTTGTCGGCAATCTCACGCATGCGCTTGTAGTCGATCAAACGGCAGTAGGCAGAGGTGCCAGCAACCAAAATCTTGGGGCGGAACAGAGCAGCGTTCTCCTCAAGACGGTCGTAGTCGATGATGCCGGTCTTGTCGTCAACCCGGTAAGGCATGGTCTCAAAGAAGTTGGAAACAGCAGAGATCTTGCGGGTGTCGGTCTGGTAGCCGTGGGACAAGTGACCGCCATGGGGCAAGTCAAGACCCATAAGACGGCCATGAACAGGTAACAAGGCCTGGTAGACCTGCATATTAGCGGGAGAACCAGAAAGGGTCTGCACGTTCACGCCCCACTTGGTAGGGTCGAGGTGGAAGGCCTCAAGAGCACGCTGCTGGCACAAAGTCTCAATCTGGTCAATGTGCTGGTTGCCACCGTAGTAGCGAGCACCAGGGTAGCCCTCAGAGTACTTGTTGCACATGGGAGTGCCGACCGCCTCAATGACGGCGAGGGAAGTCAGGTTCTCGGAAGCAATGAGAACAATAGACTCGCGCTGGCGCTGGATCTCATCATTGATGATGGCCTGGACCTGCGGGTCGTAGGCGGCCAGGTGCTCGTGCATAAGATTCTTATGCGACTCCGACAAGACGTAATGAGACATTTGTGAGTAGGTGGTTGGAGATTCTGGGGTCTTGCAATGAAATTTTTTAGCGCTACCGGGAGACCCTTACCCAGCCAGGGTTTAAAGCTCGAATTGTACTGGCCGCTCTGTTCCGTTAGCGTAGGCGACCCAATACCCCCACGGCCACACCCTCGCAACCAGACACAGTTTGAACGTAGCTATCGGCGGTCGCAAGTTATCTTTATGACTCTTTCATTCAGATCGTCACGAGGTATACTGCACCAGTGGACCGTGTTATCCCAAGGACCCTGTTTGTTGAGGTATCACCAACCCCGCGCCGGATTGTCCCGGGTACTCTCTTACAAAACGGCAACTCCCAGCCCAGTCCCACCTATCATTCCTATAACCATGAGCAACCAGCCTAAACACACTTTGACTTTGATCCCCGGTCCGATTGAGTTCGACGATGCCGTTCTCGAGTCAATGGGCCACCCGTCTATCTCCCACACCACCACGGGCTTTGCTGAGGTCTTTGGCGAGACACTCAAGCTGCTGCGCACCTTGTTTTTTGCTACCGACAAGAAGTCTCAGCCTTTCCTGCTTGCTGGATCCGGCACCGTGGGCTGGGATTTGGCCGGCACCAATTTGGTTGAGAACGGCGAGAAGGTTCTGGTCCTGAACACCGGTTTCTTTGCCGAGGCGTGGGGTAACTCCCTGCGGGCCCTTGGCGCGGAAGTCACTGAGATCAAGCCCGAAATTGGCGATGTTCCTGACATGGCAGAGATCGAGGCCGCTCTCAAGGCCAACAAGTACCGTGCCATCACCATTACCCAGGTCGACACCTCCACTGGTGTTCTTACTGATGTCAAGAAGATCGCCGAGCTTGTCCAGCGTGTCAGCCCCGAGACGTTCACTTTTGTCGACGGTGTCTGCTCCATTGCTGTTGAGGAGCTGCGCTTCGACGACTGGAAGCTTGACTTTGTGCTCACCGGCCCCCAGAAGGGTATCGGTGCTCCCGCTGGTCTGTCGATTTCCTTCGCCAGTGCCCGCGCCATCGAATTCCTCAACACCCGCAAGACTCCCACGGGCGCCTACTTCTTGGACATGAAGCGCTGGATCCCCATCATGCAGGCCTACGAGGGCGGCAAGCCCGCCTACTTCTCCACCCCTGCCATCCAGAACGTCTACGCCCTGCGCACCAGCTTGCAGCAGTATGCCACCTCTGCATCGTCTGTCGAGCAGCGCTGGAAGGAGAATGCCAAGGTCAGCGACCGCGTCAAGAACGAGATCGAGGGCCTGGGTCTCAAGCTGGTTGCGACTAGCCGCTCGCATGGCGCCCATGGTCTGTCCTGCGTCTACTTGCCCGAGAAGGTGCAATTGGGTGACTTCCTTGGCGAAATGCTCAAAAACAACATCCAGCTTGCCGGCGGCCTCGTCCAGCCCGTGGCCAACCGCTACTTCCGCATCGGCCACATGGGCGTCTCGGCCTTCAAGTACGGCCACATCGACTACCTGCTTGAGGTCCTGCCCAAGGTCATGGCTCAGCTGAACAAATAATATACTTAGCACCCACAAATATTATAGAACTATTTCGTCCGCTTCGTCACTCGGTACTTGGCTTCGAGCCTGTCCATGAACCCGTTGAAGCGCTGGGCTGATCTGGCCTTGATGAGTGCAGCGAGGTCGGATTCGTCGTTGGTTTTGCGAATGTTGAGTTTCTTGCGGAGCTTCTCGGCCTCTTTGGCCTCCTTGCCGCCCCTTTTCGCCCGCCTTTTCTGCCGAGCCGCCGTGGTGGTTTTGGCGAACTTGCCGTACTTTTCGAGTTTGCCCTCCTCAATGGCCGCATTGAGTTCAGCAATAAGCCGGGCCTGGTCCCCTACTTCAGTGTGAAGCACCGCCTCCAAAATGCGATCAAAGTCTCCCTCGTATTCCTTGTAATAGCGGAGCAAGTCCCGGTGCTCTTCTCCACTCTCCCTGTACTCCTTCTTGTCCTGCTCAATCATCTCCTCCGTGAACTCTTTGCGGAAATACTTGGTAAACAGTTCCTGTAGCGTAGCGTCCCCGACATCTTCGACGCAACCAAGCACGTCGTACGACTCGCGACGCGTCGGGTCGCTCAGCACAGAGTAGGCAAAAGCCACCTGCTGGAATTGCAGCTGGTTTTCGGGCGTGTTACCGGCCTTGTCTGGATGAACGCTCAGAGCACGCCTGCGATAGCCCTTCTTGATCTGCACGGCGTCGCTCTCTTTGGAAACGCCCAAAACCTCGTACAGATCGAGGTCCTTGAACTCGGCGGGCACCTGCATTGTGATTAATAAAAAAGTCACCGGATGGTGTTTTACTTCGAGTCGCAACCTGACCCATTTCTGCCGGCTTTTACGCTGTATATGGGCAAGGACAAGCACGAAAGTAAGTAAATATCGTTCTATTCTACGGCGAAACTAACCAGACGAGGACCTGATCCGGTACGGCTGGGAAACCGACGTGTGGTTCCATGTGGACAATATGAGCTCTGCCCACGTCTACTGCCGGTGTCCGGAGGGCTACAGCTGGGATTCGATCCCCCAAGAGGTGCTTGACGACTGTGCGCAGCTCACCAAGGCCAACTCGATCGCCGGCAACAAAAAGGACAACGTAACCGTGATCTACACCCCGTGGGCGAATCTCCGCAAAGACGGCAGCATGGACGTGGGCCAGGTCAGCTTCACCAACGCCAAGCAGGTGCAGAAAGTGCATGTGCGGACCCGGCAAAACGCAATTATTAACCGGCTCAACAAAACCAAAAAGGAACTGTACCCAGATCTTGAACAGGAGCGGATAGACTACGAGAAACTACAGCGACTAAAGTATGCTGAAGAGCACCGACAGCGCCAGAAGGTCGACCTGGAGCAGTCCAGGGAGTACCGCAAGCTGGCCGAGCAAAAGGACAAGGCATACAGCGCCCTGTTTGACGACGAAGTCATGCGACACTCGAGCAATCAGTTCCGGGCAGACGACTGGGAGGACGACTTTATGTGAAAAATAGATAGAACGCATCATCTACACTAAATTAAACACCGAGGGCAGGGAAGTTTCCGGCCTCACGCTGCTCGTCCCACTTGGTGATCCAGAAGACGGGGCACATGGCCTGGTAGGCGCGCCAGAACTCCTGGCAGGGAGCAAACTCCTCGCCCTTGGCCTTGATGCAACGGTGGTAGTCCACGTAGTTCTGGAAGCAGCGGTGCGTCTGGTTCTGGTTGGGGAACCGTGAGTCGTTCTGGTAGGTGTGCAGCTTGGACTTGAGATCTTCAGACTCAGACATGGTAAGTTGTGATGAGGAAAACCCAAATCGCTTATTCTTAGTGGTCAGGTAATCCCGCTTACCTAATAGTTACTGCACAGCGTGGGGTGATTTAGAAGGGCCTGGCTTCAGAGACATATAGACCCGGTTCTTGAAAAAGCTTCAAGTGGGGGTTTTTTGTCGCTTTTTGTTTGTTATTTTCCGCCGGCTGTTTGTGAGCGTGTTCTTAGATGGGCTCGCCAACCGGCGTCACAACCGCCTCTGACCTCACTCTCTATGCCCTCTCTGATCCCTTGGTCCTGGCTGGCCACTACTTTTTGGTGGTGCTGAAAGGCGCCGTGGAAGTGAACGGCACTGTGATCGAGGCCTCGCTTCGCGAAATCCCCGTCTCGTGTCCCCTGCCGCCGTTTTATGCAATCAAGCCAGCACGGAGCTTTGTCCAGGCGTCGTATTTGGCCAACGATTCGCACAGAGACGCCGCCACGGTTGTGGGGATCAAGCCAAATCCATTAACAAATTTTTCCAAGCTCGCGTCGCCGTTCAAATCGCTTTTTCCAGAGCTCACGGTCGTATCGGATCGCCCAGAACTCCAGCCTTTCAAATCGTGGAAAAGCCTCAGTTCTCAAATCGACCACGGCCACAAAGTTGTTCTTTTGGGCCCGAAAAATTCAGGAAAGTCTTCGCTGGGCCGCTATTTGATCAATCAAAGGATTGCTAAAAACCAGCACGTTTATTACCTTGATCTGGATCCAGGACAGGGCGAATTCACTCCTCCCGGTACTTTGGCGCTTTGCAAAGTGACCGACTTTGTCTTTGGACCTCCATACAGTCACTGTGGGTTTGATAATGTCGTAAAAGCCCACTCTCTCGGCTATGTTTCTCCCATGGATACTCCAGCCCGATACCTCGATATCTTTCGGGACTTGTACGATAAATTCCTCAGTGTTGCTGAGAACGAAACATTAATTGTCAATACGCCCGGGTGGACCAAGGGATTGGGTCTCGAACTGAACTCTGACGTTTGTCTTTCGGTTACCCCGGACTTTTTGTGTCATATGGGTAACGATGAGGGGTTCCAAGATTTCACAGAGGCAACCAAAGATGCCTGCGATCACATTGTTGCTGTCGATGCAGTTGATATTGGGGAAAACGCTCCTCGTTTCTCGGCTGCTGAACTGCGAGTGGCCCAGTCAATGGCCTATTTCCACAAAACTAATCAAGACCACTTGACCACCTGGAACCCTTACAAACTGCCCTATGGTAAAGACGGAATCTATGCATTGTCAGTACTCGATAGCGATGGCATTGATTTAGCTCAGGATGCTCAGGTCTGCACAGAAGGCACAATTGTTGCCATAGCCGCCTGTGATTCACCTCCTCCTATCAGTGATTTTAGTATGGATATACCATTTGTTACCTCGGATGTGAGTATGGAATTACACAAGGTTTCGGAATGTGTTGGATATGCAGTAATCCAGTACATGTCGCCCGATTTTATTCGTCTATTGACCCCCCTAGACCCGGCTGTTATTGGCAACCGGTCGGTTATACTTGTACGCGGTCGTCTCAAACTGCCTATTTGGGAGATTTGGGACCAAACATCGTCTTCACCCGCGCCATGGTTGTCCTCGAGAGCCGCTGGCGGCCTTGGAGGATCGCAGCTCAAGTTCCGCCGTAACCTACAACGTCGATAATATAATTTAGCTAGCCATACGCTCTTGCATCAAGTAATACTTTTGCCGCTCGTTGTCATTAACGCTAGGTCGGACCTTTTTGAACGCAGCATTGAAGTCCTCCATGGACACCTTCACTGCAGTATTGCTGGAGGACTTGAGTGCCGACTTTAAAGCGAGAACGGATGCTTCGCGAACCAGAGCGGCCAAATCAGCACCGCTAAAGTTGCGACATTTCTCGTCATGAGCCAGCAGCTTGAGGTCGACAGCGTCGTCAAGAGGCGCCTTGCGACTGACGGTTTTGAGAATTTCGTACCGTTCTTCCGGCTCGGGCAGCTCAACAAAGAGCTGCTTATCCAGTCGTCCCGGACGAAGCATTGCGGCATCAATCATGTCGGGTCGATTCGTAGCTGCAACGACATAAATACCGTTCCTGTCTCCTACACCATCAAGTTCAGTAAGAAGGGTGTTGACCACTCGAGACGAAGATTCCGAGTTGGTATCATCGCGTCGCGGAACCAATGCATCGAGTTCGTCGAAAAATATGACGCACGGAGCCGACGCGCGAGCTCGGGTGAACACTTGACGCACTGCTCTTTCTGATTCACCGACATACTTATTCAGAAGTTCCGGACCTCTGACCGATATGAAATTAGCTCGTGATTCATTAGCAACAGCTTTAGCAAGAAGCGTCTTACCACACCCTGGCGGACCCCATAGTAACACACCCGAGGGGGCTGCGATACCTGCAGCAGCGTAGACCTCTGGCTGCTTAATCGGCTCTACGATTGCGTATTCGAGCTCTTCACGAATAGGGCCCATGGCACCGACGTCTTCCCAAGAAACGTCCGGCACAGTTGCAAAGCCTTCACGTTTCGATGATGGCTGGATAGTTGGGATGGCCACTAAGAAATCCTCATAGGTGATAGCCAAAGGCTCCAGCTCCTCAGCCGTCAAAGGATCGGGATGACGCTGCAAAAACTTTGAGATCAAAGACTGAGAGCGAATCGGCTGCGGTCGAGGATTCGCAGGCGGTGCAGGCGGTGCCGGTTGTTCAGACTGGTCCGGCTGCCCACCCTCGGGCACTGTTTGGTCCACCTCCATCGCTTCGGGCATTGAGTCACCCAAATCTCCAAAAATGCGTTTGATTGCAGCAACGCCAGCAGCGGCAACTAAAGCATTGAGATCGGCGCCTACATAACCAGGAGTCATTTTGGCGATTTTCTCGAAATCGAAATTTCCTTCTAATCGGAGTTTCCGGCCAATTGTTTCCAAAATACGTTTTCTGGATTCTTGATCAGGAACAGACATGGAAATCTCGTGGTCGAAACGACCACCCCGGCGAAGAGCTGGATCAATTGCATCTGGGCGGTTTGTGGCACCTATAATCATTACGGGGCGACCACCTGTTTTTTCCAAAGCAACATCGTCCATACACGTCAGAAGCTGGGCAACAATACGTCTTTCCATTTCACGTTGTACGCTCTCTCGTTTAGGAGTGATTGCGTCTATTTCATCAATAAACACAAGACAGGGAGCGAGCTCTTTGGCTTCCTCAAAGATATCACGCAGCTTTTTCTCACTTTCTCCAGACATACCACTTACAACACTGGGGGCACTCACGTTAATAAAGGGAACACCAAGTTCATTTGCAATGGCGTTAGCCAGAACTGTCTTACCACAGCCAGGCGGGCCATGTAACAATACACCGCGAGGGATTTCTGAGCCCAACCGAACATAAATCTCCGGATGGGACAGAGGCATAGCTAGTAGCTCAAGAATCTGGGCAATAATGTTGTCAATTCCACCCAGATCAGCCAAAGTAACCTGGGTAGCCGGACGGCGATCCGCAGCACTAGCAGCAATCTTTCGTTTCTTTTTCTTGCTTTCTTTGGACGCCTTGGGTGCTTCTCGTTTCTCCATACCGGCTTTGGGCACGTTCCACAAGTCTACCGTAGCTTGGTTCATAACATTAGATTCAGACTCTGGAACAGTCACCAGTTTTTCAACATCAACTCCCTCAAAATCGCTATCTGCATCTGCAGTTGGGGTATTTTGTTTCTCTTCTATTCTTAGGCGATTGATTGCCTTTGTGATTGCTGGTAAAAGGATAGATTTTTTTGTCCGCTGGAGCTTTGGGTCGATGGTCTGGCAGATCTCGGTGGCCCTGTCGGCGTCCAAAGCCTTTGCAGAGCTCCCGTCTTCCACCAAGTACTCTGAGAGAATGCTCCATACGATTTTTTCTGTTTTCGACATCGAATAAGTTGTGATGGATGCCCAAAAAGCTCAGAAAAAAACCAAAGTTAAAAAAAAATTACCAGTCAAACCTGCTTAGTGACCGACGATGGGCTGGTTTTCTAGTAAAAAAAAGCCTACGGTTACTGCCCAAGACAAGGCGATTCTCGACCTTAAACTGCAGAGGGATAAGCTGAGACAGTACCAGAAGCAGCTAGAAGGAGTCAGGGCGCGTGAGCATGAACTGGCCAAAGAGTGCCTGGCCAAGGGCAATAAAAAGCGGGCACTAATTTTTTTGAAAAAGAAACGGTACCAGGAACAAATGCTGGAGCGTACAGAAGAGCAGCTGGCTTCTCTTCAAGAATTGGCCACTAGCATTGAGTTTGCTCTCGTGAGTGCCGATGTGCTGCGCGGGCTGGAGCAAGGAAACAAGGTGCTTAAGGAGCTGAACGCTGAAATGTCCCTCAGCAAAATCGAGCAGATTATGGACGAAACCAGCGAAGGCATTGCCCATCAAGAGCGGATTTCTGCAATGCTTTCTGAGCGTATGACCGACGTCGACGAGGACGAGATCCAGCTGGAGCTGGAGGCACTAGAGGCCGAAACGGCGCCAAACCTGCCGTCATTGCCCCAGGTTCCTAGTAAAGCGCCCCCGGCCGTCTCCCATGTGCCCCAGATTGAACAAGAAACCGAGCAGGACGCTGAACAAGAGACAGAAGTGCATGAGCCTATGCTCGCATGAACTAAAGACAACACATACATATACAAGACAGCTAAGGTATTTATTCCGAAAGCCAATCGAGAAAATCGGGAGTGAAATAGGAGATCAGAACATTGGCACCTGCCCGTAAACTTCCCTGGGCAGCTTCAAAGGCCATCATCTTGAGATCGCAGTATCCCTTCTCGGCAGAGGCGTGGATCATGGCGTACTCACCGCTGACTTGATAAGTGAAAATGGGATAGTCGCGGCAGATCTCGGCAGCGTCGGCAACAATGTCCAGGTAGAAAGTAGAGGGCTTGAGAATGAACGCATCAGCACCCTCGAGGATATCACGTTGCAGAGCACGACGGCCAAGTCCACGGGCACCGGGAGGCAGCTGATATGCTTTGCGGTCTCCCTTTTTGGGACAAGAGTGAGCGGCCTCGCGGAAGGGCCCGTAGAGTTGACCAGCGAACTTGGCAGAATAAGAAATCAGCATGGTGTTGTAGGCAACATCTGCAGAGACCATGGCCTTTTTGATTGCTACAATGCGACCATCAATCATATCCGAAGGGGCGACAGCGTCTGCACCTGCCCGGGCATACGCCACCGCGACGCTGCACAACCGCTCAACGGAGGGCTCCCGAATGATAGAACCGTCATCTCTGAGAATACCGCAGTGCCCCGTGTTTGTATACTCACACAAACAAACGTCACAGATCACAAAAAGACCCGGAAATTTGGCCTTCAGCGCCTTGACAGCCTGGATCACTGGAGTCTCCTCCTTGTCAGCCCACGAGCCTCGTTCGTCCTTGACATCTTCAGGTACTACACCAAACAGCAAAACACTCTTCAAGCCTTTTGCTACAAGCTCTTCGACGTAGGGCAAAAGCTTGTTTAGACCCCATTGCTTTTGGCCAGGAAGAGAATGGATCTCGTTCTCGGTATCTGGGTCAGTGGTGATGAACAAAGGATACACAAACATGTCCTTGTGCAGAATGCTGTTCGACTGCCATTGACGAGAAACAGGATGAGCATATCCTGGCGCCAATAGCGACGACATAGGAAAGTTCAGATCTGGTTTGTGGGGTTCTGACATGATGACTTAAGATCCTCGCCTGGGGAGGGCTAGATCAGCTATTACCGGACGGTGATCGCTGATCAAAAACTTGTAATGGGAATGAGGAACAGCATAAAACTCGGTTTTGACATCCTGTGTATGCCAAATATAATCAATGCGGGTATGTGGCTCTTCTCCAAAACTGGTATAGGTGTGCTTGTGTCCGAATTTCCGGTCCGAATAGAACGAGTCCTCGCGGAATTCCCCCAATGTTTTAGAGGCGTTCTGCTCAGGTTGAGAATTGAGATCGCCGCACAAGATTTGCGGCCCAGACTGGTCTCTCATTAGGCGCACGATCAGCTTGGCTGATTCCTGCCTTGCTACCTCGCCTTTATGATCAAAATGAGTGCAATATAGAACAAATGCCTCGCTGGGATCTTTGATTGACTTGAAGTGGGCTTGAATCACAATTCGTTTCAGAGCAGCGTCCCATCCGATCGAAGGCTTGTTCGGGGTTGGGCTGAGCCAAAACGGCGACCAGTCGACTGTCCAAAGCGCCTGCTTGAAAACAATAACAGCAAACTCGCCCTCTTTTTTACCATCGTCTCGCCCGACCCCGGCGTAATCCCAACCTGATCCCAGCAACCTGAGAATATCCTCCAGTTGGGTCCACAAGACCTCTTGCAAGCACACAATTGAGCAATTGTGCAAGAGAATTGAATTGACAACTGCCTCTCGTCTCTCGGGCCACTTCAATTCGCCCTCGACCGGCTCTCGGCGCGCATATCTGATGTTGTGGGTATATACTCTAACCATACCTTTGACTAACCCAGCTGAAACAGGTTTGTAGAGTGTTTTTTAATCCCAAAACTGATTAACATAGAACTGATAGCCTAGCCTTAATTAGATAAATATTTTATAGTTCTGCAGCCTGATTCACCTACCCCACTAAGCATGAGTTGCCACGATGCGCATCATGATCACCATCATGACCACGATCATTTACCACCCCCAGACACAAATGAGGCTCAGACGCTCTATTCCAAAATTAACCTTGATCAGGTCGTTGTGTTGAACGAATGCGATCCTGGCTCTGGGGCGGCAATTATCCGCAAATACTCTGAGCGCCTTGCTACCGAGCCCTACCTTGAGTCCGACGTCGACCCTGAGCTTTTGATCACAATTCCGTTCACTGGTCTTGTGAGATTACATTCATTATTGATAAGATCATTCGCGGATGCCCGGGCGCCCCGAGAAATTCGCATTTTCAAGAACCGCGACGATCTGGATTTTACCAACGTCGCCGATCTTAAAGAGGTCCAGAAACTGGAGCACCCGGCTGAAACAGGTGTCGGCACAAGCCAGGACGATGGAATTGTGGAGTATGCGCTGAACCGTGCTCAATTGTCCAACGTCACTTCTATCACCCTCCACATCCCGTCCAACTATGGCGCGGAGACGAGTGCTATGACCTATATTGGTCTGCGTGGCGACTTTAAGGAGCTCAATCGGGCTCCGGTGGTTACCATGTACGAGGCTGCCGCCAATCCAGCCGATCACAGGAATATTCTCAAAGATGCCGAACAGTTGCATCGAACTGCAGACTAGTTGGCAGGCAGCTGGGCACGTTCAGGAGGATGAGGAGCTTCAGCAGACTGATCCAGAGAGATTTCAGCAGGTTGGGCGGCTTGTAATTCTGTTGGCATGGTCTCCGGCTCGGTTTCTGCCTGAACATGAACAGCATCGGGGGGCAGGGGAGTCTCAGCTTCTCCCCCATCATGTACAGGCTCTGAATTTTGCACACTTTCGCTTGTTTCTGTTTGAGCAAGACCGGAATTGTGTGTATTGTCAATTTCTGGTCGAAGTTGACTCTTTGAATGAGCGGCCTCTAGTTGTGTAGTGTCCTTAGGTATAACATGATTGCACAAGGGACATTGTCGTCGGTACTTTGTTAGCCATGAAGCAATGCACGTGCTATGAAAGATATGACCGCAGTCCAGAGCTCGAATACTGGATCCGACCGGAATGACATCTAGGCAAATACAACATGTTTTTGGCTCACGATCACCATCGTCTGGCTCAGTCAACTCATGTCGAGGAAACATTATGCTAAGGTTATCAGGGGAAACAACTTTATCAGAATTTGCCGGTCTCCGATGCTGTTCTTCTATTTCGGGAGTCGGGGCAACCTCTGATGTTTCCGAAAGACCAAACATCCGTCTGACTTTGTTCAGCCATCTCAGCCTTGCCGGTTTCGGCACCATCTTGAAAAAAAAGCATGTCCCCATTAGCAGTGCTCCTAGTCCCGCTGCTCCGACAATAAAATACAAGGAGATAAAAGCTTTTGAAGAAGGGTGCGTCTCTTCGCGGCTGCCATGCGGTTTGAACGCCTCGGAATCTGCTGCTCGAACATAATTACAGGACACCATTGCAATATCAGGCGTCTGTGGTCAAAAATTATACTTCTGAATTAGCGGCACGGGTATAGCCACAGGCAAAGCCAACTCTAACTTTGTTCCATGCCTACGTGATGCCCATGCAGTCTTGATGCGGCCACAGCACGGCAATGAAAAGATTGGCGGCCCCAGATTTCGCGTTTAATTAGAATTTAGATATACAAGCTGCTAGTCCACTGATGCACAACGAATAGTGGGTGAGCCGACCTCAAATAGACAAAGTGCGAGGATCAGCTGCATCTCAGCCTATGTTTGAGTCTGTTTGCTGAATTCAAACCGCCAGAACCCGCTACCACTACATTCTGGTTTATGCCAATATTACTAGCCAGAAAACACTTTGCAAATGAATACCCACTGTCAGCTTGGTGCAAACAGGCGATCAAACCGACTGCAGGTCCTATGCGGGCACGAGGCACTATGACGAAATCGCTGGATTCGGGCGAAAATCAACAGAAAGTTCGAGGTTTAGTATGTAACTACAGGAGTTTAACGGAAAGCACCGCGAGAAACCCGCTCGAGAACGGAATCGTAGTCAACCTCCGAGAAATCGGTTCCCTGGACATCGACAGCAACACCGTTGAGGGCGCGGCGGAGAGCGTCCTTAGAAGAAGCGTAGATCATTTTAGAGCGCAAGGGCGAGGAGTCGGGGGACCAGGTGTAGAAAACAATCTTGTTGCGCTTACCCTCGTTGTTGGGCAACTCGAACTCGAAGTCATAAACGGCGTAGCGGCAGTCATTCTCAGGCAGCTCGTTAACAAATTCGTCATAAGAAGAAGCCAAGCCTTTCTTCTCAACCACAATCTGAGTCTTGTCGTCGGACAAAACGTAAATGACATAGTTGGTCTCGGCCTTTCTGCCACCCAACTTGAAATTGTTGAACGCAGTCAAAGCATCGTCATGCAAAGTAACACCAGACTTGGACTGAATTGTTAATTTCGGTTCCAGCCATAAAATGCCTCTATTCCGGCTCCCTCGGAGCTACTTACCATCGTTGTTGTTATGTCAGTGGCATCTTTGGGAATAGCTGGGAGGCGCATAGGCTTAGGTCTACGGCAGGGTAAGTCTAGTCGGGGTGATCCGATCTGCCAATTTTGGGCTACGTGCTGGGTTTACTAGCTTCCGTCAATCGTTTTCTTACAATGGTAGCCTGAATGACGCCAATGGCCACCAGAATGCTGCCTGTTATTGTCCAGAGATCTGGCAGGTCTCGCCATAGTATGAGCTCAAACACGACGGCCCAGAGGATCTGTGTGTAGCGAAATCCAGCCAGCATACTCACTTGTTCCTTTTGCAGTGCGACTGCAGTCATGTATTGCAAACAGAACCCAAAAAGCCCTGTGCCTACGAGTAGGACCCAGGTGCGAATGGTCTTTGGCACGGTGATCCTCGACGGATCGGCGATCATCCACGCCGCACTCAAGAGGACAGAAAACATACTGTAGCTTCCTACAACGCATAGTGGGTGAGCACGGGTTCCGATGGAGCGCACTACAATCATGACTATGCCCGTGATGAGCACTACGAAGAGAGTAGCCATGATCGCCAAAACACGAAGTTGCACGCTGCTTTCACTTCCAGTGGTTTCCTCGTGGTGGAAGGGCGGCGGTTTTGCTACAACAACCACGCCCGAGAACGATACTAGGCCCCATGCAGCTTGCTGCCAGAAGTACTGTTCGTGCAGTATTATCCGCGCCAAGACCGGGGCCACCTGCGGGCCCAAGAACGTAAGTACGGTTTGTTCGGGCAGCGACAAGTGCTTCAAGGCAAACATTGTTAGTACAATTGCAACTGTTCCTGAGACACCGCGAACAGTGATCAACAGTCTTACGCCGGGCGGCCCCCAAAAATAGTGATCGATATTTTTGTACCACATGTACAGGACAGTCGTGCATAGGGTTATGGACATTCTTGTGAAAATTAGTACCATCATATCGATTTTCTCCATCAACAGTTTGGACAATGCTTTCATAGCCTCGCCACATAGCATTGCAACCAAATAAAGCTGGCATCCAGGCGTGAGATAGCTCCAGAGTCCTGACTCAACTGTGGGCTTAGGAACGGCCTGTTCATTCAAATCAGACAGTTCGATGTCCGATTCGAATAGAACCTCTTCTTCCGAGTCGCGCCTTGCAGTGGCTTCTGCCATTTTGAAATTTTTGCGATGACTCGATGGGTTGCCAACTTTGAAATAACCCAAAGGGCTCTACAATGAAATGCTTATGTAGTGATGGGCAAGCTGGGCTCAGAGGTGCGCGGAAGGAGATCAGGCCTTGCTATGGGTTTCAATTAGCTTCTGTCGAGTAATTGTTGCTTGAACGACCCCGAAAGCAACCAGAGTGCTACCTACCACTGTCCAAATATCGGGCAAATCATGCCAGATTACAAGCTCGAAGATGACAGCCCACAAGATCTGGGTGTATTTAAACCCTGCCAACAAATTAACTGGTTCTTTCTGGAGGGCAACAGAACTCATGCTCTGTAGACAAAAACCAAAGAAACAAGCGCCAAGAAGCATCAGCCAGGTCTCTGATGTCTGAGGCAGCGTGAACCTCGAGGGCTCAACAATCATCCAGCAGACGCTAAACACTACAGTTAGCACGCTGTAGCTTCCCACCACACAAAGGGGGTGGGCTCTGGTGCCAATTGAACGAACCACGACCATAACTAGCCCAGCAAAGATAACCACAAGTAGAGTTGCTGCAATTGCAAGGAAACGGAGATGCAGACTGGCACCATTCTCGTTCGTATACTCGAAAAATGGCGGCGGTTTGGCGACCACGATGACGCCTGCGAATGAAAACAGGCTCCATGCAGCCTGCTGCCAAAAGTATTGTTCATGCAGGATCAGGCAAGCCAGCAACGGCGTTACCAGCGGACCCAAAAATGTCAAAACGGTTTGTTCCGGTAAGGAAATATATTTGAGGGAAAACATTGTTAAGGTGATGGCAGCAGTTCCACAGATGGCTCGAAAGGCCAGTAGTCGTCTTACTTCAGGGGGACCCCAAAAATAGTGTTCTATTCCGTTGTACCACATGTATGATATTGTGACGAGGGCAGTGACCCCCATGCGGAAGAACAGCAAAAACACCATGTCTACTCGCTCCATGATGAGCTTTGACAGCGCTTTCATAGTCTGACCACATAGTAATGCTCCTAGATACAACTGACAGCCCGGGGTGAGATAACGAAATATTCCAGACGGCTTGACGGCTATTTCTTCCGGATCGGCCGGAAAATCGTCCAGGGAATCCAGCTCGATGCCGGATCTTATCAACGCCTCTTCGTCTTCGGTAAACTCATGAGATTGTCTATCTTCCGTCATATCCACGGCACTGCATAATCTCAAGATTACATCTATTACCTCATCGTCCGCGGGGCTATCCAAGACACTGGAGACTCCACCCCCAGCTTGCTGACTTGCAAAACTGAAAACAAAAGGCGATGGCGCAGGTGAATCCGTCGTCCCCAGGGTTTATGGCAAAATTCGCCCGCCCGATGTTTGTGATGATCGGTGTAGGTGTTGCTACGTTTGAAGGACTCAAGTATTTCCGCAGCCGGCTCATCGCGATAAGCGAGCCCAGCGATCCAGCCAAGACCGAGTAAATTAGCCCAGCCCGGGGATCTGCGGGAGTTTTCCACAGGTCCGGGCAGGGTCCGGGCAGGGCCCTGCCAAGCGGCACGAGTAAAGCCCCTGCCAGGGTGACCTGGGCCAGGTTTGCTGACAATTACAGCGTCATTTGATTTGCAGAACCGTGCGTCTTGTCCTGGAAACCCCCACGTGTCTGACAGCGCTGCCTCTGGCAAGCGGCCCGGCTAATGGGCTCCACTCGCTCCGGCAACCTGTACTTTACGGGTCCCCACATCGAGTTTCTTAGTTTATTCTTTATCGTCTGTATCATCCAGTACGGCTGTCCCCGCCCACTGCACCATGTGCCTATCATGCATGGACCATTAATAATCTGATGCGAGGGACGGCCCAATTATTTCACCTGCGGGGCCCGCTCATTGCCGGCGTCGGTATTTGAGCACTGTTGGGGCTATGTTTTTCCGAGACGAGCTCCGAAGAGGAAGAAGAAGAATCAGATGGTTAAAATATCTAGTGCAATTAGCGAACGGATTTAGCTAGTCATATCAAAAACCTGCATGAGGGTGGCAGGGGCATCGAAAAAAACGTGGCCGCTCACAGGTTGGCGGCGGTCAAATTGCGATCCAAGCGGTTCTTGACGCAGTCAATGAACTCCTCGGTGGTGACATAGCTGTCGCGCGAGGTCTCGCCGCGGGTGAGAGCCAAGTCCTTGGTCATCTTGCCGTCCTTGGCGACGGTGTCGATGACGGCCTGCTCGAGCATCTCAGCGAACTTGACAACCTCGGGAGTGTTATCGAGCTTGCCGCGCTGAGCAATGCCCTGGGTCCAGGCGAAAATAGAAGCAATAGAGTTGGTAGAAGTCTCTTTGCCCTGCTGGTGCTGGCGGTAGTGACGAGTGACGGTTCCGTGGGCGGCCTCGGACTCGAAGGTCTTTCCGTCGGGGGTGATCAAAACCGAGGTCATAAGGCCAAGAGAGCCAAAGCCCTGGGCAACAATGTCGGATTGCACATCACCGTCGTAGTTTTTCAGAGCCATAACGAAGCCACCGCTGGACTTGATCATCTGGGCGACCAAGTCGTCAATCAGGCGGTGCTCGTACCAGATGCCGGCAGCCTCAAACTTGTCCTTGAAGTCACGGTCGTAAATCTCCTGGAAGATATCCTTGAAGCGGCCGTCGTAACGCTTAAGAATGGTGTTCTTGGTGGACATGTACAGAGGCAGCTTCTTGTCAAGGGCCATGTTGAACGAAGCCAGAGCAAAGCCCTCAATGGACTCATCTGTGTTGTACATGGCCATAGCAACGCCACTGGCGGGGTAGTCAAAGACCTCGATGCGCTTTTCCTCGCTTCCGTCCTTGGGAGTGTAGACAAGCTCGACCTTGCCTGCGGCAGGGATTACCACATCCTGGGCCTTGTACTGGTCACCGTGCGCATGGCGGCCAATAATGATGGGCTTGGTCCAGCCAGGAACCAGACGAGGGATATTGTCGATAACAATGGGTGCGCGGAAGACGGTGCCGCCCAGAATGTTACGGATGGTTCCGTTGGGAGACAGCCACATTTTCTTGAGCTTGAACTCCTCAACCCGGGCCTCGTCAGGGGTGATGGTAGCGCACTTGACACCAACCTGGTACTTCTTGATGGCCTCAGCAGCCTCAACAGTGACCTTGTCGTCGGTCTTGTCACGGTACTCAATACCCAGGTCGTAGTACTTGAGGTCGACGTTAAGGTAAGGTAAAATCAACTTGTCCTTGATGAACTGCCAGATGATGCGAGTCATCTCGTCGCCATCAAGCTCAACAATAGGATTCTTGACTGTGATTTTCTTGTTTGATGCTGCCATTAGTATTACCGTTGGGTGTTGTGTGAAACAGGCTACCTGGGGAAGGTTGGGGTTTTAAGTGTTCTCCGACTGGTTGATGCTCATTGAGCACTACCCTTGCCCGGGCTCTGCGTAAACCGCGAATTAGCTAATCCCGCATCACGGAGATGGCCGTTAGGGGTGCCGGGGTGTGAGGGGACCGTACCCGGGCCTGTTTAGACATGGCGGCCAATAGCGGATGGTGGTCGAGGGTGTCCCGTGACCTTATTCGTCCACGCGGGGTAGAACAAGACCAGATCCCGTAGTTATTCTTTCCGTGCTATCTCCAATTAAGCCCAGAACCCACGCTCATTGGCTATTTTCTCGCCCCAGCTCACATCCTTGCTCCGCTCCGTTATCGGCAATGTTCCCCCCTTCGCGAAGAATACTCTAATTCACCTCTAGCCAAAAGCCGTTTCTTGTGTAACTTACCATGACGAGCCATGCGCTTGCCAAGGGCAGCAAATCCACGCTGATACTTGAACACTGTTTGTTAGTGAACCCGCTTGTCGCAAAACCAGTCACAGGGTAGCCAGAGCTGAAAAATACGCTGCGACCGCCGCCGTGTGGGACTTTACTCCCACAAAACTAACCAGCACACCAAATTACTCGAGCCCTTTCCTTCTGGCATCCCCATCTCCGTCCGTTGTCGTTCTACTTACTGTTGAAACGTTGTCAAATAGATAAGGTCCGGAGGTGACTCCGAATGCCTCTAAATGACTAACCGGAGGGTGACCGTGCATCGATGTGCAGAGGAGCGCCCGCAAGAGAATTTTCAAACAAAACGGGATAATTTTTTGGATATATAAGAACAGCTAAATTACTGAACGATCTTTTGACGCATGGCAACCATGAACTCGAAGAAAGCAAACTGGTTGGCAGCAGTTCCCTTCTCGTAGATGTAGCGGCCAGCCAAGTACGAGCCGAAGATGGCCCGCAGATAGGCGTCAGGAACCCGCGTAAGAATCGTGTCGATGCCGATGGTACTGATCAGCTCGTTGGGTAGTGCCTGGCGCAGAATGGCGTTGCGGAACTCAACGTCCTGCCACAGGCTAGATTCCGAAAGCTCGTCGCTGAGCTCGTTGATGGCGATAGAAAGCGTATCGGACAAAACACTGCGAGGCTTGCCGGTCAGCTCGTGGTCGCGCCAGATAGCCTCAAACTCAAGGTCAGCATTGCTCTGGATGCGAGACTGGACCTCACGCACATAGCGCTTGTAGAACTCAGGCAAGTTGCCGCTCTTGGGAACACACATGTTGTCAAAGAATCCCTTGTCGTCAAAGGCAAGAGACGCCAGAACCTCCAGGGAAGAGGAAGTGACACCACCCTTGTTGGCCGAGGCGTCCTTGAAAATGACACAGCCAGCGGCCTCGAGCTCCAGCTTGGCGCTCTGCGTAATGAACAAGTTGGCACCCTCAACAATGTAAGGGATGTTAGTACGTCCGCTCTTCTCGTTAATCAACTTGTGAACATTAGCAAGGTTGATAGCTTCGGGACGACCACCGCAAGGAACAAAGATGTCAATCTTGTGCATGCTGCTGGCCTCGATGTGGTAGGTGTTACGGAAAGCGACACCAGAAACAACAACCTGGCCGCTGGGCAGAGTGACGTCGTTGTCGTCAATCAGCACACGATAACCCTGGGGCGACAACTTGGAAACATCGTAGCCGGAAATCATGGTGCGGGCCTTGGCCAAGCGAACAAGCTCGGTCTTGTCCAAACCGTTGGGGTCAGCAAGAACACCGGAACCATCGACAATAGCAACGTAGGTCTCGTTAGGGGTAGACAAAAGAATCTCGTTAGAGCCCAAATCACCGTCAGGCCCACCAGTCTGCAACTTGAAGACCTGCTTGTCGTTGAGATCCAACTTGCGGTAAATGCCTTTGACGTACTCGCGAACCGAGAGCGAAGTCATGCCGTACTCGTCGTGGGGGATACCACCAACGGTAGGCGACTTGCCGGTGAAGAAAGACTTCCACCAGGGGGCACCACGGGCCCGAGCGTGCTGGGTAGCCCAGTCGACCAAGCCGGCAGTGTTCTCGTCAGGACCCATAAACAGGATCTCCTCCTTGCCGTACAAATCGACAATGGCTTCCTTAATACCAGGAGTCTGACCGGGAATCAACAAGTCAATGATAGAATCAATGTATTTCTCGAATGCCAGGGTCATCTTGTCCTGGTGAGCCATGTCAAGAAGAATGACACCTTTAGAGCCACCCTCGGGAATATCCTTGTTCTTGCGCTGCTGGGTATTGGCAAGATTGTAGTTCTCATCAAACAGCGAGCGGGCGTTGATAGAGTATGCCTCCTTGTTACGAGAGCGCACAATACGGATACCACCACGAGCGACATCACGGAAACGAAGATGGAATCCACGGAATTCCTGTCCGACAACGAGGAACATACCGTACAGAGGCTGGGGGTACTCGCTGGTAGGCAGGAAAGAAGGATCCAAACGGAACGACAAGGCAACCTTGGTGGGAGTGTAAAAGTTGGTCTTGAGCACATGAGAATTGAACCGCAACAAAGCCTGCAAAACAATCAACTCGTGTTCATCAGTGGTGTTCTTGGTGATGCGGTGGGCCAACTCCTCGGTGGTGTAGACCTCGGTGGTCTGCAAGCGCTGGTAAGACAGAGTGGGCAAGAACTCATCGGCACCAGAGCTCTGCACGTAGTGGGTGTTTGCAAAGTGCAGGTACAACTCGTGGAGCACATCGAGACGCGAACGCAGCAGCTCCAGAATGAATTCACGAGTGAACGTCTCACCACGAAGACGGCGCTTGAGACGCTCCATCAATTCACGATTAGCAGAGTCGCCGACATCGATGATGCTCATCAAAGTCTCGTACTCGGCACCCAAACGGTTCAGGAAGTGGGAGACGAAAATGAAACCGCAGTGGGCATATACGGCCTCCTGAAGCGACAGATCACCACGAGCCAGCTCGTCGGAGAAAACAGAGTTGGGCAAGCAGTAAAGCAGCGATGCCTCACGGAGGATTTGGAAAATGGCGTTGGCAAACGGAGGCTTCTTGTGGCCGCGGATGATGACGCTAGACGGAGCAGGAACCAAGTAGAGAGACACAATGGTGATACCGTTGGAGAACTGCTCAACGTACTTACGGGTGGAGGTAACACCGTAGTAGTGGTACAAATGGCTCAATGCGCTAAAGTAGCCAGGGGTAGAGTTCTGGTGGTGTCCGATAACCAGGCGGTATTCTTGGGAATCCTCGACCTCCATGAGCTCGATAACAGGACCCATACGACGAACAACCTGGGACATGATATCTTGGTACATACGCTTGGTATGCTCAGTGGATTTTTCCCAGAAAGTCTTGTCAGAAAGGGTCTTCAAATCAGTCTCATTCTGGTTGGGGGTGGTGTTGAAGAAGTCGCACTGGTTGACAAAGTAGCAACGGAGGTGCTGCGGGTCACCATTGTCCTCCAAGGCGGAAGCGGAGCGGAATGTCTCGAGACGGAAAGCCTTTTCGGGAACCGAGGGGCTGATGTACTTCTTGTCAATAAGATCTTCGTAGCGCGGGCCCTCCAACGAAGACACACCAGGGGTGGAGGTGTGGATGAAGACGGCGCGGTCGTCGCTCTCGCGTTCGAGGCGGATATCGAGTTTGTGGTCGCTGCGAGCGTAGGCCTGGACTTTAGCGGCGTACAGCGAAAGAACGTACGAGGCGATGTTCTCAACCGAGTCGTTGGCAAAGTACAGGTCGTCGATTCCGAGCTGAGAGTAGAACCAGTTGGTTTCCATCTCGATCAGAGACTCGGGCACGAAGCCCTGGGTGTGCAATGCCGCCATAACCTCAGCCATTTGCTGCTCTTTTCCAGAGAAAACGGTTTTATTATAGCCATTGCTGTCATCCTTCTGGATAACTCTTGCTTTGTTGGTTCCGGGAACACCCAGAAGGGATGTTTGGCGGGCCATGCCAGGTCTTGGGACGTCCAGCATTGTTTTGACAAAGTGTTTTGGGTGAGGGGGGGTTGTTCGTGGCCTTTGAGTGGTTGTCGATCTGGGACCAGGGTTTATTTATATAGTGTTGGTAATTTTAGATTGGGGCTGCATATTTTTGAAGATGCCAGGTGCCGCAGTTTTCTGATCTGAGCAGGGTACGGGTTGCCCCCAATGGAAACGGCGCAACCGGCGAGCATAGAGGCGGATATAGTGGAAGCTGGAAAATCAAAATTTGCAACCACCTGGGGAATGCATTATGTCGAACAATGCCTTTTCAGCCTCCCTGAACTAATCACCTAACAGGTTGTTTTTACTTTTCCGAGCTGCTTGCATGCAACCCTCTCATTGTGGAGTACGTGTGTCTCTGTCATCATTTCGGCGAACCCAGGCAACATCGACCACCGTTTTTCTGCACGCAGCCCAACAATTTGCGGGAGCCCAGATGGCGAGCACTATAGAATTAGGCGTTTTTGCCAGAGGGGGGGCAGCTGGGCGCTTGGTCTTTGCAAGTTACCGGCACAATCTATTCAGATCTTTGCTGCGCTTGTGCACTTTCCTGATCAAGAGACCCTGACACCGTTGATCTGTTCAGAGCCTCCTCCAGCAACCCATCCCCAATACGTAAGCGCTAAGCGATCTGGGGGAACTTTAGTGTGGGGTCCGTTTCTGGTGGCGCAGGGCTGCTGGCGAGCGGGACCCAACGGGAAAGCATTTTTGAAACTGTTTGGGCGAGGTTTGAACTGGCACAGCCGCAAGCGTATGCTGTGTGACGACGTGTGTCTTCAAGATGTCTTTTTCACCGTCCGCTCTAACCTGCATGGTTCTCCGCATATGCTTGAGCAAAAGCGCCCCCTTACCCACTGGAAAAAAAAATGCGGGGCGGGAGTACGGAGCGTGACCTAGATGTTCCGAATAGGCATTTGGATCCGATGCGATTCAACGTATACACATAGAAGCGAAATGCGGTCTACACAAGAGCGGCGAGTCTGGGGTAGATGGGGCGTGTTGGCGCAGGGGAACAAGAATGGATAGTGAAGGATAAATATACGATTAATTTTTCAGCGGCTGTCGGACAAATCGCCAGAGTGTTTCAGCAGACGGCTCCAAGTTTCACAGCGCCCCGTCCTTGTCGAAATTCGACTACTCTGGATCTCAGCCCAAGGTTCCCTCCACACTAGAGGCCCAGGGCCGATCGGGTTCTGACTAATAGATTTAGACTTGGGACTGCTCTGGAAAATTCCAACTTCCTAATGTCTACTTCCGTCAAGTCAGTCAAGAATATTGTTCCTCTGTTGGACCGCGTGCTTGTTCAGCGCATCAAGGCCCAGGCTCAGACTGCTTCTGGTATCTTTATTCCCGAGAAGAACGTCGAGAAGCTCAGCGAGGCCAGCGTTATTGCTACCGGCCCCGGCATCACTGATAAGGATGGCAAGAGCGTGCCCACCAGCGTCAAGTCCGGCGACAAGGTCCTGATCCCTCCCTACGGCGGCTCTTCCGTCAAGGTGGGCGAGGAGACTTATTTGCTGTTCCGCGACAACGAGATTCTTGCCAAGATCAACGAGTAAAAATATGCTTGGTCTATGTACATACATCTCATCTCAACCTTAGTTTAAATTTTTTTTTTTCCTTGGATGCCATGCGGGCGTTAAGTCGCTTGTGGAATTGGCCGACGGGGATGTGCAGACGCCGATACTCCGATTCAAGCCACACCAAGGCACCCTCCGAAAGATGCTGTTCAATAATTAAGTCCATAAGAATGTTCAGAGCGATCTTGCGCTGCTTGGAGTCAATTCGGCCGGTCAGACTGCGATTTAGGTAGCTTCGCTTGGCTCGAGCAAACCCTTCATGCTGTGAGTCCCACTTCAGCTGCAAATTCGTGCACAGTCCGTGGGCATCAAACCCGGCGTCTCGTTGAATGTAGTCCAGGTACCGTTTGAACTGGTCCAAGTCCTTATTGCCGATCGCATGGTCACAGACTGCAGTGTACGCTGCGACCTTGTACTTGGTGGCTCCTGAAAATTTGTCTATGATTTCAAACGCCTGGTCAACGTCAACCTGGAGATAGTGCTTCACTAGCGAGCCCAGCTCCACAGAAGTGAACTTTCCGTTCTCCATTCGCGAGACCATGTCGGCCATCTGTTTGTAGTCGCCGGCATTGGCATATAAGCACATCAGCTGGCCGACCACAGGGCGGGGCAGGTTGTCTTTGAGCTCGGTCCGCAGTTTTTCAGCCAAAGCTAGGTCGTGGGCGACTCGAGCGGTTTCGGCCACCCCGAGAGCGTATTGCGGATTGTCTGCTACTCGACTAAGACATGCGTGAGCAATTTCCAAAGAGAGCCGTCGAAACCTTTTACGACGAAGAAATAAAACCAACAGGGGGAATACGATGTCGGTATGGGATAAATAAGTGTCCTGGTAGTTTGTGCATAAATAGTTCCAGATCTGGGCGATTTTGCCGAAATCCTCTTTCGAGGCAAAGAATTTTATTAGCGGCTGCATCACAACGTCGGGAATCTTGGCGCCATCGATCTTTTCTGCCAAGGCGTAGGCGGTGAAGACCTGTCTAGCGTCGGACTTTTGCACTGCCAGACTCGATTCGAGAAATCTCAGCTTTTGGAACGCATCCATCTTGATGCTGGATCCTAATTCGTGATGCAACTCGCTCAGGGTCTTGATGTGGAGCGGCGTCAACTTGGGATCATATCGAGTCAGTCCATCGACCAAAGTTTTCAGGTACCGGTTAGGGATAGAATACAGTTTGTAGAATCGAATATAGAACACTGCCGCCAGTTGGTACAGTCGTTCCGACAACGCAGACTCTATTAAGGCACACACAACTGCCGTATTGTCCGGGGCTAATGGTTCGATACCCGCTTGGGCCAAAATCTTGCGGGACGCACGAAACTTTTCTGCTGCAACCAGATCAGCGCACTTTTGTAGCTGGGCTATTCGTGCCGGTGCAGGTACCCAAGCACCCTCCACCAGTGGTTTTAATGGTACAGACGATACCGCTCGTATGCCCCAGGTATTTATTCGGGGCCGAGCTAGTCGTCTTAACATCCCTGAGTAAGAGGTGATGTTGGGAGGCGAGGTACAATAGGCGACGGCGGCTAAAGAACGCACCAGCCACGCCTGGAAATCTGGGTGTTTATTTGCCAAGTCCCGGTCCTTTAATATTAAACAAAATAATACCACATACAAAGAACCCCCCTAAATAGCGCTCTGTCTTGGCTGCCAAACTAAGCATCCTTACTAAATCCTCCCTCCGGCCGCGGTTAGCGATATGGAACTGGTTGTACCTGGAGCTATCCCGCCCCCCGGGGCTGAGCAGCTCCTGGCGCAAATCAAACTAGAAGAAAAGATCCGCGATGGAGCGGAAAATATGCTGTTGGAGCTTGAGGTGGACTCGGGCCGGGGCAAATCGTCCAAAGTGTCGCGCGAGCACCAAAAGCAAATTGTTGCCGAGCTTGAACAATCAACGGCAAAAATCGATGATCTCAGAACAAAACTCAAAGATATGGGCTATCTGGAACAAGACGGAGCTATGGAGCTGGTCTTGGACGAGAGTCGTAGAGGGTCCTCAGCAGGGATTGCCCTGAGCAGCAGTCGATCGCGAGTTGCTCTGCCGCTCCCTGATGAGAGTCCAGAGCGCTATTTCAGCAATCTTTTTGACCAATTGGACCCCAAAGCTAGTTTCAATGCGAATCTTGTAATCACAAACCATCTGGCGCACGTTCTCTCTGCGTTCCCAGTGCTCAAGTCCGAGTTCTCACTGCTAAACATTTCGGAAAAGGTCAGAGAGTTTTTATTGACAAACGACACCAAAATGATTGCGTTGGCGTATCGGATCTGCTCGTTGGTTATAACGCACCATTCTCCGCTGGTTGCCTTGCGTCGTTTAAATCTGGAGCACTTGTTGGTTATCACACTAGCCAAGCCGGACGAGCTCCAAACCCAACACGAACGGATTCAGGCCATTCTGCTGATTCGGGCATGTATTACCACCCCAAACGGTATGGCAGAGATGCCGGTTGGACTCATAAGAGCTCTAGTGGCCGTTGCCGAAACCAGCTCGGATAAACTCTGTGGCATCGCTACAGAGACGTTGGCCGAAATGGTCCTTATGGATCCAGTCAAGCTGCAAACTGCCGGTGCGATACGGGTTATGGTCAAAGTCTTACTGGAGGGACCATTGGAGACTGCTGTAGTAATTGCGCAGGTTTTCAATCGCTTATTGGATAGCCCGGAATCTCGGGCCTGCTTGCGCGACGGCAAAGTTCTCGACGGCATTGTTACGGTTTTTACAGATATCCAGCTCGGAGCCAACCCACCGCTAGAACGATTCAAGCCTGCAGCAGCAGTCATTGTTGCATTTTTGCGCTGCTGGTCGGGCCTACATTCCGTCAATGTCAAGAACCTCGTCGATTGTTTGATCATTCCGGTGAGCACACTACAGTTTTCGCTTTTGGGCATTTTCCAAAACTTGTTAGAGTACAAGCCCAACTCTATTATCAACCAATATACAGCCTACCTGCTGAAGCAGGTTCTTGATGCTGGCCTGCTGGATAAACTTGCTCGTATACAGATCAAGCCCCACTCTTCCGATTTCATGAACAGCCTGCTTCACGAGAATGCCAACCGGAGTAAAGAACCAATTGAAAAACAGACGAAAGCTCACATCATGAAATCTACCCTTGAAGCGGTAGAAAAGGCTCGGATGGTTATGGCTGTTGCGAACCAAGCTCGAGAACTGACCGCTACAATTTACCAGTTAATTGGCCACATTATGCCCAACTCACTCCGCGATCAGTATCTGCAAATCCCGCCTTCAATGGCTGGAGCCCTCAACCGCGTCCCCCAGTCTCGTATCGCTGCTATTCCTATTTATGGTATTGACAGCTCTCTCAAACGATCCATTGGAGGGGCAAGGCCATTGGAGGCATCACCCTCGGACACTTATATCAAGATCGGCAGTCAAATTGATGACGCTACGTTCAAGCAGATGCTCAACAGCACACATGTGCTGGACACTAAGATTTTCACCCGGTGGAATTGGGACACGCTTCTTGAAGTAATCCAGGGTCCCTTGAGAAACCCTCGCCGGGTTGAGGAGTTGATTAAAAACTCCAAATTTTTGAAACGTATCACAAACTTTTACCGCCCTTTCAAGCACAGGTTTGCTGATATCAAAGTCACGGCTGCGGCCAACGACAAGTACGTTCGGGTTGCCAAAGAGCTTATTTTGGCGCTACTTGATACACCAGAAGGAGCACGGTTTCTCGCTCACAACAACAAGGTCCTACGGCAAATCGCTGAGTGCATTTGCCAGCTGGAGCCGCTTTCGGGCATCACCTCTAGCGAGCCGATGTTTTCAAGAGAACGCCTTCGCAAGACCCTGGCATATGGCTATTTTACAATCCTGGGTGCGTTGAGTAAGTCGCGCTGCGGGCAGGCGATCCTCAGCGAGCTTCGTATATTCAATATGATGCACCAGATCTGCGAAACAGACAGGGATGATGTCATGAGGCTATTTTTGACGGCAATGGATTACTCGTTCAATGGGCACCCCAGAATCATTTTGTCAAAGGCGTTGACCGCGGGCAACAAGTCTGTTCGTCTCTTTGCAACCCAGCTGCTGGGCAGTCTTGTGGACAAAGTGGACACCCCGTGGCTGGTTGATTTACTGGTTACACAGCTTTACGACGTAGACCTTGCCGTGTGCCAAGTTGCCGTGACGGTGCTGATGAGTGCTTGTCACAACCAAGCTGTTCTGGACGAGTTCATCAAGCTCAAGCCAAGTATCATCCATCTCGGGAATATTGGCAACCCACTTTACATGCTGTTTTTATCACGAACGTCAGGGTTCCAGCATTTAGAAACTTTCGACTATATCAAGAGCGAAATGGATGCGTGGGTCCACGGCCAGAACGAAACGTTTGTCCAGCTGATGGAGAACTATCTCGAGCCTGCTCCACCCCAAACACCACTAGCCGTTTTGAATGCTCACCAATTCTGTGCAGGTGCCGCTGGTCCTCCTAGGCACTTTTTTGGTGAGCTGGTCAGCACCGAGCAGGGCTGTCGCTTGCTGAGATCTACCGGCTATGTGGATGAGTTTGCCCGGTACATTTCCTGCCATTGGCAGGATACATCACCCGAGGCTGTTTTGAAAATGAAGAGCCACATGTGGGCCCTTGGCCATATTGCTTGTCGACCACTTGGTGCAGAGTTTATTACCCTCAACATGGTCCGTGATATCTGTCGCTTGTTTGACCGCTCGCCAGTCTATAGTGTGAGCGGAACTGCCTTTTACTGCCTGGGCATGGTTTCATCCTCTTTTGAAGGCGCCGAACTGTTGATCCAATGCGGTTGGGCAGCTACTGTCGGCGTGCATGGAGACCATCGGGGCATTGCGCTAGTAACGGACAAAGAGGCACTTGATAGGGAAATCGGCATGTGCGAGTCACCTGCGCCGTCACCCAACCCGCCTTCGCCACAGGACACGTTTGATTTTGAATCGGAGCCGCTGACGCCAACAAAACGCCAGCCGTTGCAGCGGAACCCGCCGTCGTCGTCGACGCTCAGCGACCTCTACGAGTTCCCCAAGAAAGACGACCCTACTGTGCAACTTATCATGACTGCGATCTCGGATCTCAGCAACCATATCATGGCTAATGACGCATCCAAGCAGCTGATCTCGCTGCGCAAGACTCATAGCCATCTGTTCTGGAACCTCGATGTGTTCAAGAGCGTGCTCGAGCTTTTGGCCAAATTGCACTTCAAGCAGGTGGTTCGCCGGTTCATCATGGACTTGTTTGACATGAACCAGATCTTCGAGAGACTCGTCCGCAAACGCTCCAGGCATTTATTCTAGCATTTATTTTATTCCTATATATTCCCCTATTTATGACTGCTTAGTTATGCACAGACTTGGTCGCTTTGCCATGCAAAAGTCGATTGAGAGTTTTTTTGGACAAAAGCGAGCGCTGGCGACAAAGGCGAGCCCGGCAGCCAAAAAGCAACGCATTGAGGCGCCTGAGCAAGTCGAGGTGAAGGCAGAGCCCAAGCCGGTGGACTCCAAGCCCGACGCGTCGGGGACTTTAGAGTACGGTGATCTCACGAACGTGTTTGACAAAATTGAGGCCACAACCAAGCGGCTGGAGATCACAAAATATTGCTCGGACTTTTTTTCGCGTGTTTTGGAAACCCACCCGCACTTGCTGCCCCAGATCACGTACCTATGCATCAACCGGCTGGGTCCCGATTATGAAGGTCTCGAGCTTGGAATTGGCGAGTCGATTATTATCAAGGCTTTGGCCGAATCCACGGGCCGCACTCCAGCGCAAATCAAAAAGGACTACAACCAGCTCGGTGATTTGGGCGGAGTGGCCATTGCGTCGAAAAAGAGCCAGGCTACCATGTTTAAGCCAAAGCCCTTAACAGTGGACATTGTTTTCAAACGCCTTGTTGAAATTGCTAAAAGCAGTGGCCAGCAAAGCCAGAGCAAAAAGGTCAACATCATTAAGCAGCTGCTGGTGTCTTGTCGAGGAGTGGAAGCCAAGTACCTAGTCCGCAGTCTTGAAGGCAAGCTACGAATTGGGCTGGCCGAAAAATCCGTTTTGGTGGCATTGAGCCAAGCATTTGTCCAGCATGATTTACGGCTAGGTCGTGAAACGTTGGCGCCTGAAGCAGCTGAAGATTTGGTCAAAGACGTGTTTTGCCAAATGCCGAATTACGAAACAATTATCGAGGCAGCAATAAATGGAGGTGTCAAGCATCTTCCTGAGGTTGTAAAGTTGACCCCCGGAGTACCCCTCAAGCCTATGCTTGCCAAGCCAACCAAATCTATCACTGAGGTGCTGGATCGCTTTTCTGGTGAAAAATTCACGTGTGAGTACAAATACGACGGCGAGCGGGCTCAAGTCCATTGTACAGCGTCCGGATCGATGCATGTTTACTCTCGAAATATGGAGGACATGTCGCAACGGTATCCAGACATTATTGATATTATTCCCAAGATTCGAACCCCTAAGACGGTTGACTTTATTCTTGACTGTGAAGCCGTAGCTTGGGATACGGCCCAGCATAAGATTCTTCCATTCCAAGTCCTTTCTACACGCAAGAGAAAAGATGTCGAGAGTGGCGATATCAAGGTCAAAGTGCATTTGTTTGTTTTTGACATTTTATACCTTAACGGCGAGCCCCTGTTGACCAAAGCGTTGTCGGAGCGGCGCCAATTGATTGCGGATAATTTTAACCTGCTGGCCGACCAGTTTTCACCTGCCGTCTCAATGACCTCGGAGAGTATCGAAGAGATCCAGCACTTTTTGGACCAGAGCGTCAAAGACAGCTGCGAGGGGCTAATGATCAAAATGTATGAGGGCCAGGAGTCTGGCTATGAGCCTAGCAAGCGATCTCGGAACTGGCTCAAGTTGAAAAAGGACTATCTCGACGGTGTCGGTGACTCGCTTGATCTAGTGGTGCTGGGGGCGTACTTTGGCCGTGGTAAGAGAACTAATGTGTACGGAGGCTTCCTGCTAGGCGCGTACAACCCCGATACTGAAGAATACGAGACGGTTTGCAAAATCGGTACGGGGTTCAGCGAAGCAGATCTCGAAAGGTTTCATCAGCTTCTAAGTCCGCTGGCGGACCCGAAACCCAAGTCGTATATTGACCATGACCCAGCCGCCAACCAGCAGCCAGACGTGTGGTTTGAACCAAAACACGTGTGGGAAGTTCTTACAGCTGATTTGTCCTTGAGTCCCGTGTATCGAGCAGGCCACCATGAGCTGGGCAAAGGAGTATCGCTGCGCTTCCCCCGATTCATTAGAGAACGCGAGGACAAGGGCCCTGAGGACTCAACAACAAGCGATCAGCTGGTGCAATTCTATCAACGTCAGGTTAGCATAGCCGACTAATAGCCTATTCTTGCTTGGATATTTCTACATAGGGGGAGCATGTCTTGACGACACTATTGCATCTCAAACACGACCAATCGCCCTTTTCGAGCTCGAGCTTCAAACACACATAGCAGTAAACATGACCACAGTCTGTGACATAAGGGTTTGTTACAGCGTTCGTTTTAAGTGTACCGGTGACGCCAGCGTCTCTTTGGTAACAGATAGCACAAGACTTGTTGGGCAAGAAACTGAAATCGCCCTTGCTTGCTCGGTTTGTCCACAGCAGCATTGCTATTTTGCGTTGGATTTTGGCGAAATTGACCAGAGGCAAAGCAAATAATAAGAATTCGGTCAGGGCGTTCCAAACCAATTGGCGGTTCTGGAACTCGAAATTAACCACCCGCGACACTGTGTGGGTGACGGTGACGTATTTCATACGCAAAATCCTCATAACCAGGGTAGCATAGTTTCCCGAGTAGAGGAATAGGACAAAGTTCAGTAAGGTGGCACCTGTCCATACTACTGACAGCCGGTCAGCCAGGGCTCTGAGTTTCTGGACAACTGGGTTATCTGGGTTCTCATAGGATGCGTTCACCAAGTAGCTCTCTAGTTTGGCCCACAAAAACGACCCTCCAATTGTGATGGCTCCGTAGGCTAGTTTCTGCTTTTTAGACAATGGAATGCGTAGTGACTTTGTGGAGACAGCGTGGGCGAGCTGCAGGTTCTGCAACTTGCCGCCGTAGGTTGTTGAATTGTTCCAGACCGTGACCTTGAACATTAAAAGCTTCAGCAGGAGCATAAACTCGTCCTCGTAGCGGTCCTTCCAGTCCGGGTTGTAAATTTTGATCGCATCAAACAGCTTGTCCTTCAGTTGACTCAGGAGCTCCGAATCAAGCAAACTGGCGTCCAGCTGCCCCACCCGCGGCTGAATTTGCCGCCCCAGAACGTTCATAATTTGCGGGGTTAATGGGTGAACAGAGCTTCGCAGGGTAGTAAGCAAAGCTGCTATGCAGTCGAACGACCAGCCGAATGGTTCTGGTTCACTGCCCGGAGTGGAACAAATGACAGGGCAGGCCGCGCAGGTTCTGCAGAGTTTGAAAATGAATGGCAGTCCGCCTATGCAGCACCAGCCTGGCCAGTTGCCGCCGCACCCCCAGATGCAGGATCCCCAGGGGCCGGGCCAACTACCTATGGGACAAGCACCCATGAATCAGATCGGGGCGGTTCCGAATCAGTACAATTTCATTCAACGCGTGCTACTTATGCCACCAGGTCAAAATACAGGCTACATGCCCAACCACATGTCTTCGCCAATGCCTATGATGTACCCCATGGTTCCGCAACAAATGCCGCCCCAGATGCCGCAATCAGCGCCTGTATCGGCACAGTCTACGCCGCAGCCGGTTGAGAATACCCCGTATGCCATGCCGCTGTCACAGCCTGCGTTCACCGCGGCCACGCAGTCTCCGCAACCGCAGCCGCTGCAGCCGCTTCTTCCGAAACCGAATGTGCCTGGGCCGGACGACAAAATGCTGCGCAAGCTGCGCAAGAAGGCCCGTATCCTGGAATCTGAACTGCACATGAAAATGGCCGAGTGTATCAGTCACCACGATGAACAGCTCAAGCTCAACGAGATTCTGAATCGCATCACCAGCGAGAACCAGACCCTTTTGGCCATGATAGAGAAGCTAGAGCCGGGGGTCAAGTCGGCTGCTCCGGCCCAGCGCTCGCCTTTGACGAAGGGAGACCTGGAGCTGTACGAGATGGTTGCTGCTGGAACGCACATTGGCTAACGTATTTAAATAACCTTGTAATTAACTGAGATGACGGGCTTTGCGAGTGCATTGCACTAGAGTCCTTTCGACAACGACATCAACAGCAGCGCCAGCATCAGTACTAACACCCGCATCAGCACGCATTTGCCAGTCGTTCAGGACCAACGTATTAGCAGTCGAACTGCATTGCACTAGAGCAGAGCTTTTCTATAACTTTAGCATCAGCGGCACAAGCACCAGCACCAGCAGCACCAGTAACAGCACTAGCATCAGCACCAACGTATTAGCAGTCGCTCAGGACCAGCATCACGTATTTGCCAGTCCCTCAGGACCAGTACCACGCATTTGCCAGTCGTTCAGAACTCAGCCCCGTCCCGTTGCCAAGCTCTGATCACTCAACCCACGATCCAGTCGCTAACTCCGCTCCCAATATACAAAACCATCAGCGTCACTTGCAACGGCATCTATTTGCTATATCTATAAGTTAAAGCTTGGAATCCAAGTTGATCTGGATAGACTTGGGGTGCAGATACGCATCTAGACCATAGCCACCGAGCTCTGAGCCAATACCGGACATCTTGAAACCACCAAAGGGCAAATGCAAATCCTGGTCGTTGGAGGAGTTGATCCACACGGTACCAGTATCCATGGCGTTGGCAGCCTTGTGGGCCTGTGTGATGTTTTGCGAAAAGACAGCACCGCCGAGTCCGAACAGCGAGTCGTTGGCAATAGCAATGCCCTCGTCAAAAGTCTTGAATCGGGTAACCGTAACAACAGGACCGAAGATCTCCTCACGAGCAATGGTCATTTCGGGAGTAACGTCGGCAAAAATGGTAGGCTGGACAAAGTAGCCCTTGTTTCCGGCCCGGTCACCGCCCAAAACGCAGCGAGCACCCTCAGATTTGCCCTTGGCAATGTAGTTGAGGACGCGGTTGAACTGGATGGAAGACACCTGGGGACCGTGGCTGGTGTTCTTGTCAAAGGTATCGCCAATAGTTGTGCGGGCTTCGCAGGCCTTTTTGAGCTCGCCAATGAACTGCTCGTAAACCTTTTCTTGAACAATAATACGAGAAGTAGCGCAGCAGACCTGGCCCATGTTGTACATGATACCCTCAACACACCATTTGGCCGCCTGCTCAATGTCAGCGTCGTCAAACACAACCGCAGCCGACTTACCACCGCACTCCAAAGTGACGTTTTTGAGATTGGACTTGGCGGCAGAAGCCATGACGGCCTGGCCGACGGGCGTGGAACCGGTAAATGCGACCTTGTCAACGTCCATGTGACCAGTCAGAGCGTTACCGGCCTCAGCACCGTAACCAGACAACAGGTTAAACACACCAGGAGGGAATCCAGCTCGCTTGACTAAATTGCAGAAATACAACATAGACAGCGGTGTGTTCTCTGCGGTCTTCATAACAACGACGTTGCCAGCGGCAATTGCGGGGGCAATCTTCCACGCAGCCATGGCAAGAGGATAGTTCCAGGGAATGATCTGACCAACAACGCCGTAGGGCTGGTGACGAGTGTACATGACGCGACCTGGGTTGTCCATAGTAACTTTACCTTCAATCTTATCAGCCCAGCCAGCGTAGTAGTTGTAAACCTCAATGCAGTGGTCGACATCGTAGTTGGCGTTTTGCCAACGAGGCTTACCCGAATCAGCTGCCTCAACTGCAGTCAAAGTGTCAAAGTCCTTCTTGATCTCTTCACCAAGGCGGCGGAGAAGCTCACCACGCTCATAGCCAGTCCATTTGGCCCACTCGCCGTGGAAAGCAGCACGTGCAGCCTTAACAGCACGATCGACATCGGCAGCGCTTGCAGCCTGGACGGTAGCAATAGGCTCTTCAGTGGCCGGGTTCACACTGACAATTGTCTTGCCACCAGTAGCATCGACCCATTCGTTGTTAATAAACAGCTGGGTGGGCTGCTCATAGGTAACATCTCCGAGAGTAATCTTGACGCTCATTATTTGCCTCACCACATCGCCTAGTTGGGGTATTTATACCCGACATGCTCTGTGCGTCATCCCAATGCAGGGTTTCGAGCGGGGATGAGAAGCCCACGGGGGGGGCTTGTAAACCCCTTGTTCAGACTTCAACATGGCTAAATTCACTAATTGGTTCTAGACCAGACGCCTCCACTTTGCTATAGTGCCATTCATGGCAAGGTTTCCCGCCGTTATCAAGCAAAACTCATTTGATCTAGAAGCCTTCCTGATTAGGCAGGTCTACCCACTCCGGATAAGACGTACCTGGGATTGTTGAGGTCGGCCGACTCTGAGCAATCGCTTGCCGAAACAAACACTTTGACAAAAATAAAAGCCGTTCCCAGGTTTCGTCCCTCTTGGTCGTGCTAGCCTTCAGACCTTATCGCTTTGCATCGCACCCCTACCCGCCAAGACGGGGTTGGGATCGCTGATAAATTTCAGATCGAACTTACCAGAGAATGCTTCGGCTGGGCGGTTTCCGCCGCGTGGTGCATCGGCTCAGTCGGCCGTACAACGTCCTAGCAATGGAGAGCTCCTGCGATGACTCTGCGGTTTGTTTAATCGATCGGTTGGAATCGGGGCCAAAGCTCGTCGACCATCGGAAAAGCACGTTGAATAGTGCAAAAGAAGGCGGTATAATCCCCATCGATGCACTTGCCCACCATCTCCAGCAGCTGGCTCCACTTGTCCAAAGTATGCTCGAGGAAAATGGAAGGCCCAAAATAGACCTGGTGTGTGCTACCCAAGGTCCTGGCATGTTTTCGTCACTAGCAGCTGGCCTGCAGGTGGCTAAAGGACTCGCCGTCGCTTATAACGTACCCCTGATCCCTGTACACCATATGCTCGGGCATTTACTTACCCCGAGATTTTTCACAAACGGACAATCGCCCACCTATCCATTCTTGAGCCTTTTGGTCAGTGGAGGTCACACGATGTTGGTTTTGTCCGCATCGGTGACCTCTCACCGAGTTCTTGTGGACACAATTGACATCGCAGTTGGAAATGCTGTGGATAAATGCGCAAGATCACTGGGGTTAGTGGGGAACATGTTGGGTAAAGAACTGGACGAATTCTGTCGCACCGGGGATGTCGCACAAATCCCGGACGACCTCAACTTCCCGTTGCCGTTGGAAAAACGTGCTGCCGCCTCATCGTTGGCTTTTTCATTTGCACATTATGCCTCAATCATGCCCCGAGTATCAAAAAAGTTTGCATTGGATCCACTAGAAGAGCAACCTGAGGAAATAAGGCGAGCAATCGGGAAGAGACTTCAAGCTGATATTTTCCATCATATTTCTAGAAAGACCACAAGGGCACTAAACCAATTGGTCGAGGACGGGGTTATACCCAAAACCCAATCTATAGACTTTGTTTGTGCCGGTGGAGTGGCTGCTAATAGTGTTTTAAGATCGACTCTGGAAACACTCAAAAGTCCAGTGCCTCTGAAATTACATTTCCCTCATTTGGAATGGTGTACGGACAATGCACTAATGATCGGCTGGGCAGGGATTGAAATGTATGAGGCGGGTATCAAAAACTCCGGGATGGCAGCGGTGCCACTGGCAAAATGGCCGCTCAGCTCGTTTCCAAGCGAGACGGCATGAATGCATCGGCGGGGTATCTTGCGCAGAGCTGCTGCCATTGAGAATAATTTAGGGTGAAGACAAACTGCTGTCGGGGCTTTGATTCTTTAAGTCTTTGTGCGGTTCGCACATGCGGAATGTTCTCTTCGCCATCGTTGTATATAGTAACTTTAAGCGCTGAAACCAGAGTGCTCAAAGCGTAGACATTCTCAACGGTTTGTCCAAAATGTTGTGCGTTCAAAACAACCCTGAAAATATCTAGAGGTGGTCCACCTGCTTCTTCATAGTCCACAATTCGTACAAACATGCTTTCGACCAGCTGCTTGACTGGGTCCTCAGCATCATCAGATCGCTCCACAAGCTCTGGTGCAGCCGTGTCTCCAATTGGTCTCTGGTGACGTCTGCGAGGGGCTCTGGTAGCTGGTACATCTGGTGGGGTTGTAATTGGATCATAAATCCATCCAAAAACCTGGTTGCTATTGCGAACAACAACGCGGCCTAGCTTGCACAATAGCGCTGGTCTGTCGAGGTTGTGGTCATTGCCTAGTGATACGATAGCGTCAAGAAATCGTTCCTTGGTAATCTCGTAGTTTGATCCCCGAAGTTGTCCTACAACACGCTGTAAAGAAGCGTCTGCTCGCTGGCTCAGTAACTCGCTATCCCTTTCCATCAACGAACCGTTGTGACGTCCTCTAACAAACCGCTCGAAATTCTGGTCCATTTCTCTCTCAAACGATCTAAACGACTGAATATCGCAATTGGGATCAACGTAGTGTGCCTTGTGGTCGTCAAACTCTCGTTTGAGACGTTCCAGCTCGAACATCTCGTCCGTCATTTGCGGCACAAAGGTTAGCTAATAGGAAGTGTCTCAAGGACCGGGCCTATATTGGTGGGAAGCTGCTGGTAATACAACAGAATCCAAGGCAGTTGTGGTTGTGCAACTAATTTTATTTTGTTTCCATTTACTTAATTGAATGCGGTTTATTGTGCTTTCTAAATCGCGTCTGACAAATTTCGCGTTTTCATGAGAATTCATCGCCTCGATCCAGATGTCGTCAGTAAAGTGGCTGCCACGGAAATCATTGGCAGCCCTGTGAACGCTCTGAAAGAAATTCTAGAAAACAGTTTGGACGCCGGCGCTACAAATATCGAAATCGCAGTCAAAGATGGCGGCTTTAAACTCCTGCAGGTCACCGATAACGGTGACGGGATTGATCAAGAAGACTTGGCTATACTCTGTGAGCGCCACACCACCTCGAAACTCAAGACGATCAAAGACCTGGAAACTATGGATACCTTAGGGTTTCGCGGCGAGGCCCTAGCCTCGATTTCGCACATCTCGCATGTGTCTGTTGTATCGAAAACCAAGCAGGCTCGAACAGCCACTCGAGCAGAATACGAGGCAGGAAAAATGACAAGCCAGAAACCAATTGCCGGGGTCCAGGGAACTGTAATTGCCATCAAGGATCTGTTTTTCAACACGCCGTCGCGGGTCAAGGCGCTCAAGGGCCGATCAAACGAAGAGTACCAAAAGATCCTCGACGTAGTGTGTCGCTATGCCATCAATTACGCAGGGACGTTTTCTTGTCGACGCGACAATTCAGGCCAGCCCTATGTCATTGCTGGAGCCACGGCCAAAGACAAGATTCGAAGAGTGTACGGCCCGTCTGTGGCTAATGATTTAATAGAGATCAATCTCGAGGGTGATGAGTCTATAGGCTTGAAATCAGTCTCTGGGTACGTTTCCAACGCCGACTACTTTTCCAAAAAAGGGGCAAACTTTATTTTCTTTGTCAATGACCGTTTGGTGTCTTCGGAGGCCCTGCGAAGGGGCATTCAGAAACTTTACTCGCAGTATGTGCCTAAAGGGGCCTTTCCATTTGTCTTTTTGTCTTTGAAAATAGAATCAGACCGCATTGATGTCAATGTCCATCCCTCGAAACGCGAGGTGCGAATTCTAGATGAAACGGAAGTCGTCGACACAGTTGTGGCTGGAATAGAGCAGTACCTATCGAACCAGGATGCAGGCAGAAAGTACAAGGTTCAATCATTTATTGCCTCATCCAGCATGCCAATCAACTCTGTTGATAGGCCCACAGCGGCTCAAAAGTACGAGCATCATTTGGTGCGCACAGATCCGCAGCAAAGCACATTGACATCGTTTGCACGTACGCCAATCAAACCCCGAGAGAACATTAATTTACCCCCATCCGACGAGGAAAGCTCAGAGTCGAGCAGTATTCCGCCATCAAATGACCACCAGGTGCTGGAGTTTAAACCAATGGCATTAGCGTCGATTGCTGCCCTCAAACAGGAAATCAGTGATCATTCCAGTACAAAACTAACAAAAATCGTCACTAACCACTCGTACATTGGTCTGGTTGATGTATCAAAGTCATTGGCTGCAATTCAATATGACGTTCGGCTATACCTTATCGACTACCATGAGATGTCACTACATTTATTTTACCAGATCGCGCTAACCGATCTTGCAAACTTTGGAACAGTTTCGTTAGGCGATGGACTTGCTATCGCGGACCTCCTTGAAATCTCAGGTAAAGCTGTCAAACCGTCGCCCATGCTTTTAACAATGGCACCAATGCTCCAGGACTATTTCCGGATAACAGTCAAAGAAAAAGACAACCAGATGGTTTTGACACAGTTGCCCTTGCTTTTGGAAAACTACAATTTGCCCGTGGCCCGATTACCGGACTTTTTTGTCGATCTTACCCAGCTGGAATGGGCCGACGAGCAAAAGTGTCTGGGCGGGATATGTATGGCATTGGCAAAACTACATCAGCCAGTCGCTCCATCGGCAAGTGAAGTAGAAACAATACTCAACTCTGCAAAACGCCGGCTGGTAGCTACAAATCAACTGGGTTCGTCCATCGTGGAGATCGCTAACCTGCCGGGTCTATACCGGGTTTTTGAGAGATGTTGAATATATACAATATATTAAACCAAAACGTGTTTAACGCACCGGAGGCTGCTCTGGCTCGCCAGCCTCAGTAAGAGGCCGCACGACCTTACGCTCGGGAACGGGCACCTCCTTACGGGGACCAGGCCAGCCGGGCGGAAGAATGCCTGCCTTTTTAAATAACCGTGCCACGGTGGGAGTCGGCTGTGCTCCAACACCGATCCAGTATTTCGAGCGCATAAAGTCCAAGCGAACGTCTTTGATGGGGATCTCGCCAGCCGCGGCAGCTTGAGGGGACAGCGGCAACGCGACGGGGTTGTAGGTGCCCAGAACCTCGATAGGCAGTTTTTGTGGCGCCTTCTTTGCTTGCGAAACAACAATATTGTACACAGGCTCGTGCTTGCGGCCGAAACGGGCCAAGCGAATGCGAACCGACCCTTTCATTGAACTAATGAAAAATTCTGACTAAGAGGTCGAGGCAAAGCGGACGAAGATCTAGGGAGATAAATTAAATAAACTAACTTCGGACAAAGGAGCTACCGCTTCGTTTCATCATGGAACTGATGCGGTTGACAATATCTCGAGTAATTTCGGGCGTTTCGCCCTCCAAAAAGTAGTATTTGGGTCCAGCATCTTTGTAGACGAGAATCTTGAAATTCGTGCTGACTTTTGACGATTGCTTGACGCGACCTACTCTCTTGATGTGGAATTGAGTAGTTTTTTCGTTTTCGCCAACCATGCGGTCCTCGGGCGGCTGGATCCGGATGTACTCACCGTCAATTGCCAACTCGCGGCGCTGTCGGCCCAAAATCTTCATTTGCTGCCGCCGCCACACTTTGTAGTGGTGGTAGCCCAGAACATTGGCCGGCAGCCCGTCGTCGTCGTCCGTGGTACGCTGGCTGAGGCGGCGCCGAGCATCCTTGAACAGGGGTTTGGTGGGACTGACGGCCGACGGTAGAATACCCTCATCACGTTGCAGAGCTCGTCGCGGAGTCATCTCTAACGGTTGACCAGCGATCGCTGCTACGGGTTCCGAGCTGCTGATGATCCGCTTCGTCGAACCTACCCGTAAAACATACATGTCATGCTCAAGCATACGAATTTTGCAGACAGAATCAAACACCGTTTGGACAGTGCTTTTGGAGTCAACAACCTCGTCGAAAATGGCTTGCGATAGCAGCGGGTCGTATGGGTACAAGTACACGCTAACCGGTACTTCAGCAGCTGAGTTCGTGCTGCGGCTCGGCACATGTTGGGCATTCCTAGCAAACTTGTTGGGAGTGACCTGGGAATTTGCAGCAAACTCTTCGTCCGTGGCCGGCACCAACGCAAACTCATCCACGGAATAAAGCGTAATCGACCTGACTCGGTCTAATGCAGGAAAGTCTTCGTCTGGCATGCCATCATCTTCTACCAAACGCACGTTCCATCTATTCGCATCATACTCTTCTTCGGTGAGTTTTGGTTCTTGTCCGCTTTCAACGTACGAATACAGAGTGTATCCTAGTGCCATATTGACAGGACAATCCCTCCGCACTTTAACGGTGATAGGTTTTTTGGTTTTCGATGGAATATAGAACTTGAGTTCGGCTCCATCGGCACTACCAGCTGCTGCTTTGTAGTTCTTTAGCAAACTTGTAGCACCGCCATCCTGTTCTTGGAGCTGCTGGGACAGCAATGAAGCAGTAGCATGAGAGCTCTCATCGACAGACACCCTTTCCACCTCCAGTTCCCTAGTCTGCTCTTCTTCCGTGGGTTGAGGAATATCTGGAACCCCAGATAGAGGAAAGTCTGAGTGTCGACGCACAGGCATAACTGAACCCGTCAAAACTGAGCCGACTTCAGTAGGCATACCAATGATCGAGCGCTGCTTGGAGGGCCTCCGTGACGACAGCAGAGCAAGATTACTGCTTGTGCTCTTGCGAATATGCGCATGGGGTCCCTCGGTGCCATTCTGGCCATCCAGCACCGTATTTTTGAGTTGCTCTGCTGCCAAAACGATGTTCTCCTCGAGATCACTGTCGTCCTCCAACGCCAGGTCGTAGAGAGGTGTGTCGCCTGACGCGGAGTTTGAATTGTTCAATTGCAACTCTGGAAACTCTGTATCGTTCAAATCATAATCTGTGTCCGTATCTGAGTGACTTGAATGGTCGTGATCAATCTGGGGTTCGAACGGCTGGGAGAGTGGCGAGTATTTGGCGGACCTGTGGCTCGAAATCGAGCTAGAGGGAGTGCGATTTGGCGAAGAGTCGGGCTTCAGAAAGAACTTGGCCACCTGGCCCTCCTGTTTGGCCGTCTCATCTGACGGAAGATTCGTAAAGTCCGGAAACGGCGTGCTGTCGGCAACGAGCTCTTGGTCGACGAGCTGGTCCACAAGAAACGTTGCCTTCAGCCGGTCCAGTAATGCGTCCTTGTCGTACAACAGAGCCATTCAAGCGTTCATCACAGGCAAAGCCCAATCAACTTGATATCACAAACAAACTGCTTGGCCTTAGACACCTGTCTTGCTTAATACCCGTCCGGCGCGACGCCAGCTTTATACCCCCCTGCGCTGCACCTTTCTGCCCCAAACACCTAACCCTGGCTCAGGACAGGGCAGTTTTTCTAAGCGGCTGACAAAACCAACCAATCATCACCACCAATGGGCAGCGCTTACAAGATTTTCGGCCGCCAGGTCCCCGCCTACCAATTGTCGATGGCCACTTTTGGTCTCATCGGTGCTATTGTTGTTGCCGGCACCAGCGGCAAGAAGCCCGCCGAGGCCAAGCCTCCTATTGCTGCCGAGTCTTCTGACGAGGAGAAGTTCATCATGGACTATCTCAAGAAGGCCGAGGCCGAGTCCAAGTAAATGGGAAAAACCGACTATAGATACTGAGCTCTTACTGTTCTACTTGAATAAAGCTGCCTGGCTGAGCGGATCGACCTCGAGCACCTGGTCACGTTTACGCATCTGGCGTGCGGCGGCCGCTTCTGCCCGCGCCCGCGCCTGCTCTGCGGCCTGTGCCTTCTCCTGGGCCCGCACAAAGTTGGGCGACACGTACTCTTTGTTTTCGTAAATAACCGGGCCTCCGAACGAGCCCTCGAGAATAGTGATCAGCGTCATGACGAAACGGGGGCCAATCTCCACCAGCGAGAGGTCCGTCTGGTCCTGGTTGGTTGTCGCCTCCTCGGCGATCTGGAAGTTGCGCACCCACACTTTGTTGTCGACAATGCTGAAGGACATGACATGGTCCACGAACGGCTTGGACCGCCGGGCCTTGGGCGGGACACCAAATGTGTGCACGAGCATTTCCTTGACCAGCTGGTTGTGAGGCGTCTCGTCAAAGCCGTTGTCGAACGAGAGGATTGGTCGCGATCCCTTCAGACAGTTTCCAGTGAAATTGAGCTCGTCCATAGTGTGAATATTCTGCAGATGAAACTTGAGCGTGGGCCCATTGGGTGCCTTCGACATCCACATGTACAGATCCTGGTGCTTGCGTGCCTCGAAATACAGCACATTGTTGCAGTTATACATTTCTGCAATCTCATTAAGGTGATACAGCTGCGACTTTGTGTCGAACTTGGGCTCCTTGCGCACATGAGGCAGAAGTTGCGATAGATCAGAAACAAGGTGGCGGTGCCGGAACGTCACACCCCGAGACGTGATCAGCAGAACGCGCTGCCGATTCTTGAACTCGGACTTGCTTTTGCTCTGCTCCGAGTCCTTGGTTAAAGTCTTGTAAATGGCAGACATTAAGGCAGATGGAAGATTTAAATTTTTTTTTTGTCAGCGATATATCCCAAGCCTGATCTGGGGAGGGACGATCTCGGGCGTGGGGCGGAAATATTTTCAACTAGACGGTCAGTAGATAAATATAGCGTGCAATTGAGGCGTAGTTAGCAGAAGCGTGGTATACATACTGGCTCTTTCGCAGCCGCACCTCGTTCCATCTTCCCTGCTTACCATATGTCGACCAAGGAGATAATAGCTGCGATCAATGATCGCAAGTATCCCCAGGCCAGGCAGATGATTGAGAAGCAGATTCAGGCGCAGCCGAAGAACAGCGGTTTCGTGAGCATGCTGTGCTTTGTGGAGTTCAAGCAACACAATCGCGAGGCGGCTATCGAGGCGGCCAAGTCGGCTATCGCCTTGGGGATCAGTAATGTGCCCATTCTCAACTCTTTCATATGCCCTGTCTTGTCTGCGTACGGCGAAAAGGCTCTAATGAACCAGGCATTCGAGGCAGCGACTCGAAGAGAACCTGCTACCCGGCAAACTGCCGAGCTGTGGTCCGAGTATGGCTTTGACCTATCGTATACCAAGGCGATTCTGCGTGCCCAGACTGCACTGAATAAAGTTGCTTCGTCCAAGGAAGCGGTATTATCGTGCTGCTTGTTCATGGCTCTTGAACGGAAGGCTATGAACCCAGCAGACCCTGAATTCAAGCTGTACCCTATGCTTGCATGCCGTCTTTTGGATAAGGCTCGCCCCATTACCGCGCCCCAGCATGCCTATGTTGAGGCGTTGGTTCTCGAAATGACCTCAAAAGAAAAAATGGCAGAGTATCTTTTGTCCCCGGCAGTTCGGGCCTATGACTCGCTGGATCTGGATGTCATGCTGTTAAACAATCTGTTGGAGCTGGAAAACTGGTCAGAAATATTTGCTTATGCGCAAATGCAACTGTCTCAGCTGGACAGCTTTAATTACTGGCAGGCTCTTGTCAAGGCGTCTGTGAAGCTCGGCAAAACCGAAGAGTTTAAGCAGTTTGCTCAAGGTTTCAAGGGTCACAATGTCTGTATTGCCAACATTGACTTTGCAATAGAGCAAAATATGGATCCTCTGCCTGCTGTTCAAACTTTCTGGGAGAAAATGGGAACCAAAGCCTCTGCTCCACAGTTCATTGAGCCGTACTTGACTCAGTCGGTGATCGACTTTCTCTCTACGGTTTCCGCCCGCTCATTTACAGAAACGGTCAACATTGTCAAAATCAACTACAAATGGACCAAGCAAGCAGATGTTGCTGCGCTCGTGAAACTCTACAATGCGAACCTGGATCAACTCCCAGCAGAAAAAACCGACTACTTTATTGGCGATGACCTGCTTCTGGTGGCTGCTGTACATATCTTAGGCGGAACTGATTCTGATCGCTTCTACAAGGCTGCTTTGCTTCTCGAGACCGCCCAAGCAAATGACCCTCATCAGTTTTATGTTCGCCTGTGGCTCGTTCGAATCTACCGGTACCTTGGGGCGTTTGAGAAGGCCAAGGACCACTTTGATGCACTGAGAATTCGACATCTACAACACGAATCACTTGGGTTTCTATTGACTACGCGGGCCGGCTCTCTGAGCCCTAATCGTGCGATCACTCGGCATGCAATCGACATTCATTCCAAAGCCAATCTTACGGGAACCTACGCTCAATCAGCGCTGGGTAAAGGTTCGTTCACCCAAATACCAGGAATGCTTGACTTGGCAGAGAAACTCAGACTCAGCCTGAGTCGCATTCTTGTAGAGTTTGAAGCCCTCAAGACAGAACGGGTGCTGAAGGGCACTGTCAGCTTGTCTGATGTGTTCAATCGCGCTTCAGAATACATCGATAACCGTGACTTTAAAACTTCTTTCGACCCTTGTGGTGTTGCCAGCCACTATTGCGAAACAGGCCCCCGACAGGGTACAGAGTGGGTTGAAGCACAAATTGCCAAGGAAAAAGTGTATCTCGGCGTGTTGAGAGGTAACACTACACAAACTCCTGTCTCGAGCCTGTCTTCTGAGCTCACTGATCAAGAAAAATGGAATATCGAGGTAGTCAATTCGCTAGGCCGTGGAGACTTCCAATGGCTGGCTCCTCCCGTGAACGGAGACGAACTATCATGGGAAATCTTCCATACGGGTTATACACTATGTGAGACCTGCAAAGTTGTGGAAGACGTGTTTGCCAAACAGAAAACAAATGCACCTCCTCAGCTAAAACAGGCCAAAAAAGAACTACTGGAGGTGATCTCCACTATACAAAAGGCTGTCCAGCAGCAAAAGTATGCTAAAAATGTGGCTAAATGGGCAAGCTCGTTGGGAATCAAACAGGCAGACCGGGTTCTGGGCAGTATCCAGCAAAGCCAACTACGGTCTTTGAGCCAGCTGATCAACGCGCTGAATTGAGCATCTCGGCCATCTCCCGCGTCCTCTTAAGTCCATCCGACACCAAATATCTAATCTTCGTAGGGTCTTCTTCGTTTTTGTGTGCGTCAAACTCAGATCGAGCCCACTTGAGCAGCTCGTCGCGCTGAGACTTGTGTGGGGCCTTGAAAGCGGTCCGACAAATGAACCGCCACAAAAGCCTGGCCTTTGCTGTCTCTGTAAACTGAGTTAGTGCTGCCAAGGTCTCGATAAAAACCACTTACATATTGCAGACTGCGAAATTTTGGTTTTGCCATTGTAAGCAGTTGAAAACCCAATTGACCTGCTAAACGGTCAAGACGGGTCCACCGGTTGAAAAATAGACACTTGGATCTCGGTAAGATACAGTAGCTATCCAAAAGTAGGCTGAAACTCTAAGCTGCGGGGTTTTTTATTACCCCATTCGTTGCCAATCCTTTCGAACTTAGTAATTTTAACAAGACGCCCGTATAAATAACCTACCAAGATACTCGCATCTTTGACCATACCTATGTTCATCTGTATTCCAATTCCATTAGACCCATTCATCCGACTCTTCCAATGGCTATTCCGGCCCTGTCACCGCAACGGCGCCTAGTTACCTGCTGCTTGGTTGCTAAGAGCATAGCAAGATAGCAGGGAAGCAGCATACGCCACACGGGCGAGGTGTTCAAAAAAAAAAAGTATTCATGTACAATATACAAAGATTAACGTTTAACCCAGGTGTATGCCTTACGAGCCTTTGCAAGACCAGGCTTCTTACGCTCCTTCTCGCGGAGATCGCGCTTGACGCAGCCTGCGTGTCTCAACCGAGGACCGAGTAATGGGTTCTGGATACGCAGAGCTTTGCCCAATCCGTGCGCAACCGCGTCGGCCTGGCCAGTGATACCGCCGCCCTGCACAGTTGCAAAGACGTTGTACTTGCCAACGCCTTCAACGACTTCCAGAGGATAGACGATGCGACGGCGGTAGATTTCGTTGACAAAAGTCTCGGTAAGAGGCTTGCCATTAACGAGGATCTGACCGACTGTTCCCTCGCGAGCCTCTGCGACCATAACTCTGGCCGAGGAGGTTTTGCGATGGCCAACCGCGACCGCGCGACCCTGCTGATCCAGCTTGAGTTTGTTGATCAGCGAAAAAGTGCCAGACTGCTGGTTTTCACTCTTGAGCTTGGCCAACAGATCCTCGACCTCAATGGGCATAACCTGCGGATCAATATTGTTCAGTCGGTTGGCCAGCTTGATAAACTGCTTGTACTGCGTGGGTCTCAAACGCATAGCACCCACTCGGGAGCGGTAGTCCTCGAAAGAAAGCCATGTGGAGGTCGTGTTTTTGGTTTGAACAGTAGGCAGGTTGATATAAGTTTGGATGAGCTCGTTCAGACGACGCATAACCTCCTCGTGCGGCGGGTTCATCATATAAAAAGCACGGTCGCGGGGAACTACTCGCAAGCGGGCCAAATCAGGCCGCAGGTGAGCACTGTCGCCGTAGTTGACGGTGTCTTCGGCCAGATTGCCCTTGGACGAGCGCGCACTGCTACGCTCCTCAAGCTCGCGCGCAGTGTCGTTGATACGGTGCTCCAGCACAGACATGCCGCTGTTCTGAGCAACATATCGAACCGGAATCCGCGGCGCTAGCCGGGCTAACGCCAGTCCCCGATATAATTTAAACATGCGAAATTTCAGCTGACAAACTCTGGAGGTGCTGAGAGGTTTTTGTGCTGGGGTTTTTATACCCTCGACAACACCCCTGGCGAAAAGTTGGAGATTTTGCGGAGGTCTTTTCTATTTAAATTTGTTTAGTGTCTTGAAACCATAGTCCCGATCTCATAACCTTGCTAGGAACAGCCTGCTAGTTGCTGACTACCTACTATGAAATACGTTATCGAGCACATGGAAGAGGGGTTTTCCTCGTGGGTCCGGCTGGAGTACCGGGCCATTTCCAAGGAAGTGGGCTCGTCTGGCTTGTTCCTGACATCCATCAAGCCATCTGTGCAGGTTCCTGAAGAGATCGCCTCAGTCTGCACAACCACGCCGCTGGACGTTACCCAACTCAAGGAGCTGGACGCCAATTTCGACGTTTCCAAGGTCTGCCTTCTCGATCCGTCTGCTGAGCAGGAGCTTGTGCCTGAAGACGCCAAAAAGTTTGACTACTTTTTGTTTGGAGGCATTCTCGGCGACCATCCGCCTCGCGATCGCACTGGAGAGCTTCGTAAACTAGGCTTTGTGGGCCGCCATCTCGGAAAGACACAGATGACTACCGACACTGCTGTTCGGGTCACTCAGAGAGTCATTGAAAACGGACAGAAACTCGACGAGATCCCGTACGTCGATTTCCCTGAGCTACGATTCAACAAGCACGAGTCCACCGAAATGCCCTTCCGCTACATCAAAAACGACAAGGGCGAGCCCATCATGCCCGAGGGTATGTTTGAATTAATTAAGCAGGACTCCGAAAAGTCTCTAGAAGATATGTTATAGTTAAGAAGCTGCTAGGTCTTCATCGTTTGATTCTTCACGAATCATTGGCTCTTTGGCCACAGGCACATCGAGGATCTCCTTCATGATAAAACTAGCCAGGTCGTAGTTGTCAAAGTACATCGTGTGGCCTGCGATTGCTAGAACCAGTGAAATGTCCATACTCTCTGGGATGGCGAAATCAAGGCGGTGGTGTCGGTTAAACGCCGCCAGATCGCGCTTCAGCCGCTCGTCCATAGCTGGATCAACCTGCTGGGTTTTGGTTTCCTGTTCGGGTGTTTCAGTTGCTTTTGTATCGGCAATCTGATTCCACAGCACAGTGGCCCCCTTGGTGATGGACAACCCCAACGCTGTGAGATCTTCGGTAAAGTCTTTGATCTGGGTAATCATACCGTTGGCAGGAAGAGATTGCGGCTTGACATCGACAGTGGCCTTGTTAACCAGCGGCTCGATCCGCGAGCCAATGGGATCGGAAGCTCGGAAAATGTTGTACATGTTTTTGACTCTGCATCCTTCTTTTGTGAAGGGCTTTCCTGTGAGAAACTGTAAACATCCCACGGGGCTGCCGAGGAAAAAGACGTTGTCGACCTCAAAATTCAGCTTGTACTCGGATCGAAGCAGATTGTTGGCAATGACACTGCCAAGAGAGTGGCCAGCTATTGAAACCTTGGGGTTTTCGGCAAAATCGGGATTGTTTTCACAGAAGGTTTTGTACACTCGATTCAGTTCGCTGGCCGTTGCCGAAAGCATTGTATCCTGGTACTCTTTATGAGTATACATGACATAGTCCAACGCGACGTCAGCCAGCAGGTTGTCTTTGGCCATGAGCTGTGACACCGTGAGTCCCTTTAGCTGTGGATCTAGGTTCTTTGATTGATTGGGAATCAGGTGTCTCCAAAGGATAGGCAAAACCTGGATGCCGTGGTTCGTTTCAGACGCACTCGCCAGCTTGAGGGATTCGTCTTTGGCGTGGATCTGCTTCATTAGGTCCCTAAACTCGTTGGTGTCTTTGACAAAGTTAACAAACTCGTACCGAATACCAAGTTGCTGGCCCACGCCGTGAATAGCCAGGATCAAATGCTTGATCGGGCGATTCGTGGTGCCGGTGGCTCCTGGGTGCGGCATATTGTCCTCCATTTTCTTTTTGCCAATCGTTGGGCTCGCTGTAGATTTTTCCTTGGCCTTTTCGTTGCGGTAGCCTCGCACAATGCTGTAGTTGCGGGGCAATTGGAGCGACTTGATCATATTCGCCCAGCTGTCGTCGTGCGACATTGTTCCGGTAATTTGGTCCCCGGTTCTTTTCAAATTGATCTTTTGGCCCTGTTTCAGCACAAAATCCGTCTTGCCAGCCTGGTAATTTTCTTCAAGCTCTTCCGCTAACCCTTCGGCAATAGGCGTGAGTTTGGACGTGCCCTGGTGAAACCACGTTCCTCTCAAAACTTTAAAAGTGGGACCCTCCCAGTAGGTTGACGTATAGTGTCTGTCTTCAATGTTCACTTTAAACAACCCGTCGGTTTGAATGGTGCACTCTTTGCTGCCCAGCACGAAGGCGTTCTCCAGGCGATTGGAGTCCTCTAGTGCAAACGGCTCATAGCCGCCCGGCTGCTCTTTGGGAACATACCTAAACTGGGCCGGCTTAGCCACTGGCGCGGTAGTAGACCGAAACCATCGAGTCTTGCCGGAAAACAAGCGAATCCCACGCATCAGTAATCCGGCGTAATGCGGGCGGCCCGGACACGCGCTGTTGACACGACCAAGGGAAAAAAGAAAAAAAAAAATTTATGCATTATCAGGTCAATATATAACACTACTCAACAAGGATTGATGCGATAATTGGGAGGGCAAGCCACCGTGCCGGCGTCTAATTCTTGAGCGAGTGACTGTCCAGCTTGGGATGGTCAACAGTTGATTCGTAGGGCTGAGGCTCTACGTCTTCCTCCTCTACAATCAGGCGCAGTCGGTGAGAAATGGGCAGTTTGGGAACAACGCCAACCATACAAATGGCCAGATTAAGCACAAATAGATAGAGGTCGTAGTGAGCAAAGTGGGTGGAAACCAAAAACAGCCCCACGGGCACGGCCATGAAGAACTTCTTTGCCGGCGTGTACTGGTCGCCATCGTCCATTTGCTCCCACATGGTTAAGTCGTCGAAAGCGCCGGCAAACGCCTCAAAGGGAACGCCCTTCACGTAGTGGAACATGATGTAGAAGCCAAACACGTACGTCGCGTTGGTCAACGTCCACACCAGCTCTGAGGAAAACGCAGGCAATGCGTCGTATACCATGAGCAGCAGCCCAATGATCACAATGTGGATGAGCCAAGCCCCCTTGTGGTGGATCCAGCTCACGTTCGGGTTTGGAGAAGAGAACTGATCGTTTTGTACGTCTTGTGTGTCTTGTTTGAGGTGTCCTAGAATACTCGCAGAGCGTCTCCGCCGCGGTGGCGTCTCTGGCGTCGTCAACGCCGTAGTGCTCGTCATGAGGGCAAGTCACAGGCACTCGAATGAAGAGGCTGAATAAGCGCCACCCATGTTCTGATATAGGCAATTTAGAAAAGTACAAAAATAAAAGCAGCATCGAGAGGCGAAGCCGAGGGCGTTTTCTACTTCAATTGGGTCTGCACTGCCTGGCTGATCTTCTCGTGCGCGGCCTTGAACGCGGGCCGCGCGTGCATCGCCTCATACCACTTGATAATATTGTCGTAGTCCTTCAGGTAGTGGGGGGTGAATTTATGCATCAGGTAGATATTGGTTTCGTACATGACGTCTGCCACGGTGAAGCGGCCGTTGCAGCAGAACCCGTTGTTTTCGCCGATTTGCTGGTCAAGCAGGCTGAGCCATCTATGCAGCTCGGGGCCAGCCCAGCGGGACTCGATCACGCCAAGCAGCTTGCCCAGCACAAACGAGACGCCCATTGGGACGCTCTGGCGGGCCCGCACATTGCCAATGACCATAGACACCGCGGTCATAAAGTTTGCTTCGGCGGAGTACAGGCCGTACTTGATGGCGAGCAGGCCCTTTTTGTCGTCGGCCCACAGGTCCGCGGTCTTTCGGTATTTTTCTCCGAAATACTCCATAACCAGACCGCTTTCGGCCACAACCGTGCCATCGCTGTCGGTGACCACTGGCGACTTGCCGGCGGGGTGGACCTTTTTCAGTGCCGGGTCTGCCTTGAACGTGAACGAGTCGAACTGGTACATTTTGATTTCGTAGGGCACCCCGAGCTCCTCCATAAGCCACACTGCGCGGTTTCCGCGGGAATTTTCAAGATGGTGAACTACAATTCGTTGAGACATTGGTGGAACAGCCTGTCCTGCACCCGTCCTGGGCTTATATGCCAACCTTGTAGCCCCGCAAACGGTGCAGGGCACGGGTTGGAGGAGTGTCTATTGTCCGATAGCAGCTTTCCAATAATTTAGGTAGTTGGAATACAGCGTAAACGAGCTGGCTAATATCCCTGGCCGCACAAGTCAATCCAAAACGCAGAGCACGCTGTCAACGTCTCGAAATAAGCACTATTCTGTAATGATCTTCCCTGTCGCGGGACGGCCCCTGCCCTTGCCGTTCGGTCGCCTCGACGGGCACGCTGGTTGGCCAGACAACCGAGGATAACAAAACGCTTGTGATTCTTACCTTATCACGTCCACCCCCTAAAGTCCACAGGAAAAAAAAATCCCAACGCCGTCGGCAGGTTGCTTTTTCGCGTTTTTTTCTGGCACGTCCAAGCACCGGTGCAATGGCTGGCACAGACGAGGTATCAGATCCGAATGCGGCCTCTTCGGACGCCGTCGATGCAGGCGGGTATATCCCCGAGGCCCCCATGCATACCTCAACTCAAGACCTCATTGATTTTCAGCGAAAACAGCGCTTGGAGGTTCTCAGACACACTATAAAGCAGGTGGACAGAAACGGGGCACCCAGATACCGATCGGCAACAGATTATTTCGATGTTTTCACTGCAGAACCTTGGGCGGCAGTGCAGCCCACGTCGCCCCCGCGTCCGCGGCCTCAAATCGCCCAAATCCGCACGCCGTCGCCTCGGCCGGTGAGCGACCATTTGCCACGGCCATTTCTTGTGCACACCCCGCCTTTGAATGCGGCTCGTTTACGTTCTTCGCCACGAACTCCCCATACCCACCACCGCATTGATACCAAGCGGGTCCATGATGTTTTAGACAAAATCCGCGGGGTGGATCGCATTGCGGAAGTGAGACGGGGCCTAGGCCCGCCTGCTTCTAATGTTGCTCCCGCCTCTGTTCCTCCACAGGCTCCTCCGCCAGCTCCTGTAGCGGCTCCCGTGGCGGCCCAGGTGTCTACCACTACATCAGCCGAGACGCTGGATCCCTCCCCAGTTTTCCACGAACTGCCGCCGTCTACCCCACAATCCATCACCAAAACTGTTAATGATTCACGAACTATTTATTCTTCTCCCTATCTGCGGACCCCCCAAAATAAACAAATGGGAATAGTCAGTGCTCCGGCAACCCTACGACGACCAAAGCGGCGCCTTAGCGAGGCCTCTGAACCTCCGCCCAAACGAAACGCTCCCGAAACACCATGGCACCTCGACGACTCGCCGAGTCTCGTGTACGGTGCACCGGTCACTCCTCCCCAATGGACAAGAATACAATGGCAGTATTTGTCGGTTCTGGCCAACCTGATCCCCGAGCTCGACCAAGGCAGCTTGGAAGACGTCAAGACGTTTATCGACACCAGCCTGCCCCAGTGGCTTGTAAAGGAGTTCCACCCCTTTCGTGAAGAGCTGCCCAGCCGCTTGATGGCTCTAGTCAAGTGGAATCGCACTGCAAAGCCTGGTGCCTCTGACAACCTTGCCCTTACCCGAGAGGTCTGGGACCAAGTTCGCGGCTTGATGACCAAACTGCTACCGTCTTCTAATGATTAGAGTCCGCCAGGGCGACTCGGCAAAGGATGTGTGCGAGCGGGCGTGCAGGGTTTTCCGCGCCGAAAACAAGGTCACGCTGGAAAACGCAGACGACTACGCCCAGAAACTGGTCTCTGTGGCCGAGCTCGTCAAGCGCAGCATGGCCCCGGCAAAATTGCACCAGTACAACAAGCTCGAGGTCGCGCGGCAGGTGTATGCTCCTCAGGACGAGTTCCAGCTGGACAAACAGAAGATCCAGTACCGCGTCCCTAAGCTCACCATCTGCATCTCCTCCACTCCGCTGGATCTGGGCTCCGACTGGACCGGCCAGTAATTTATTTATTAGCGTAGTTTCTTTTCAGTTTTTTCTTCCTTAGACCATCAAACGGGGCCCGGCGGCCCTGAACAAGTCAAGCGAAATCACCAACCTGGACGTTGCTGACATGGCTGATCGGACTCCAATTGTGCATTCGTCGACGGTGCCGGGTGGCGTGACGCAGCTGCGGTCGGCGAGCAGCCAGGCTAGTCTGGTCGAGTCTGCGCGGAAGGGCGCCATCTACGAACGCAGTCTGCAGCGGAAGCGCGGCGAGGTCAGCGAGAGCGTGATGGCGCTGGTGATTTGCGAGGCCGTCCAGTACCTCCAGAAGCAGGCCAAGGGCATTGCGGACCTCGAGGACCGGCTGAACCGCCTGGGCTACCACATGGGCCAGCGAGTGCTTGAACTCATCACGCTGCGGGAAGGAAAATCTGCCAAACGCGAAACCAAGGTGCTGGGCATCTTGCAATTCATCCACACCATGGTGTGGAGAACGCTGTTCGGGCGCCCCGCAGACGCCCTGGAGCGCAGCACGGAGGATACCAACCAGTACATGATTATAGACAACGACCCGCTCATTACGCGGTTCATCAGCGTGCCCAAGGACATGGCGCAGCTCAACTGCGCAGCGTTTGCCGCAGGGATCATCGAAGCGGTGCTGGACGCCAGTTTGTTCACTGCAAAAGTCACCGCCCACACAATGGGCACGCCGCAGACCCCGGACAAAACCGTCTACCTGGTTCAGTTCGAATCGCTCCGCTAGCTACCTACTTTTAAAGCCCCCATCTCCAAGCCGTCCACTAGCAGGTCGTCTTGGTCGTCGGGAATGTTGTCAATAAGACTATCGTCGAGTACCTTTTTCATAGAGTATGCATCCTCGTTGTCCGCATAGTATCCGGCAGATACTTCGAGCACCTCAAAGCCCAGGGTGTTTTTGTACAGGTGCAGAGCAGCCTTGTTGGATTCGCGCACATGCAACGACACCAGCTCGGCCCCGTAGCTTTCTCGCATCGATCTCAGGCTCTGCTTGAGCAGGGCGCCGGCGATCCCGAGCTTACGGTACGTTCTATTCACCGACACTGATGTGATGTGCGCGCTGGGCGGCGAGTTTGGGGGAAGCTCCTGGTTGTCGTCCTCCATCTTGGTCAACACATATCCCACAATGCGCTCCTGACCGCCGGAAGTCATTGTGGCAACATACGACCCCTGTGGCCACGAAATCGCATGGTACAACAGGTACTTTAGACTGTAATTTTCCGGCAGATTCGCCAAGTTCGCCTGCTGGATCTCCTGAAAGTCCCGAGTCGTTGCCTGACGGATAGAGAACATGTGTAAGCGGAGAGTCGCAGGCAGAACAGATATGGCCGGGGCCTGGAGGGGAGAAAGAAGGTGAAATTTTAGCTATAAACCGCAGAAACCACCTGTTGGGCGGCTCCTGGATGATTTTGGGCCAAGTTGTCTCAGATCGTTCTCGAACCTTCTGCGGCTCATTATAAGATCTCCCGCTCCCCTCCTCATCCTCCTCCCTCTTTTTGGTCAGCCAACAATGTCTGCTGAAGAGTTTAAAGCCCAGGGAAACGCTGCGTTCTCCGCCAAGGAATACGAAAAAGCTGCCGAGTTGTTCACCAAGGCAATTGAGGCCTCGGAAACGCCGAACCACGTACTGTATTCCAACCGCTCGGGCGCCTATGCCGCGATGAAGAAGTACGACAGTGCTCTTGAGGACGCTCTGCAAACCACCAAGATTAATCCGCAGTGGGCAAAGGGATACAGCCGTCTGGGTGCTGCTCACCACGGTCTGGGTGATCTGGTCTCTGCCAAGGACGCCTACGAGCAAGCGCTGAAGGTCGATCCGGCAAACGCCCAGGCAAAGGCCGGTCTCCAGAGCGTTGAAGACGCTATTGGCCGTGAGGCCGCTGCAGACGGCCAGATGCCGGACATGGGTTTTTCTCAAATGTTCAAGGACCCTCAAACCATGGCCAAGCTCTACGAGAACCCCAAGACTCGCGAGTACCTCAAGGACCCCGATTTCCAGCAGAAAATCCAGGCCATGGCCAGCAACCCCATGGCTGCTCTGCAGAGCGCTACTCAGGATCCTCGTCTGATGGAGGCTATGGGAGTCTTGCTTGGTATCGACATGCAGGCCTCTCCTGCTAACGCTGGCGAGAACGACACGTTTATGCCTGACGCACCGGCCGAGGAAAAGCCCAAGCCCAAGGCCGAGCCCAAAAAGGAGCCCGAGCCCGAGCTGCCTAGCGAAAAAGTCGAGGCCGACAAGGAAAAGGCCCAGGGTAACGATCTCTACAAGAACCGCCAGTTCGACGAGGCTATTGAGCACTACAACAAGGCTTGGTCTCTGTTCAAGGATATCACTTACTTGAACAATCGTGCTGCTGCCGAGTTTGAAAAGGGTGACTACGAAACCACTATCAAGACCTGCCAGCAGGCCGTCGACGAGGGCCATGAGATGCATGCTGATTTTAAGCTGATTGCCCGCGCTTTGGGCCGCATCGGCAGCTGCTACCTCAAGCTCGACAACCTCAATGAGGCCATTAACTACTTTGAAAAGAGTTTGACCGAGCACCGCTCCCCCGATGTCTTGACCAAGCTCCGGGATACTCAGCGTGAGCTTCGCAAGCGCGAAGAGGAAGCCTACATCGACCCCGTCAAGGCCGAGGAGGCCCGCAACGAGGGCAACGAGCTGTTCAAGAAGGCCCAGTTCCCCGAGTCCGTCAAGGCCTATACTGAGGCCATCAAGCGCGCTCCTGAAGACCCTCGCGGCTACGGTAACCGTGCGGCCGCATATCTTAAGCTTATGAGCTACCCCGAGGCTGTCTCGGACTGCGACAAGGCCATTTCACTGGATCCCAAGTTCTTCAAGGCCTACACCCGCAAGGCCACTGCTTTGAACATCATGAAGCAGTACCGCAAGTCCATGGAGGTGCTTGACCAGGCGCGCGAGGTCGACACCGAGGGCAAACACACCCGCGAGATCGACGAGCTGGAGAACCGGGCCTACGAGGGCCGCTTCGCCTCTCTCCCTGGCGAGTCCGAGACTGCTCGGGCCGAACGGCTTGCTCAGGACCCCGAGATCGACGAGATTCGTCGCGACCCCGTCATGAACACCATTCTGCAGCAAGCGGCCAACGATCCTGCCGCGCTGAACAACCACATGCGTAATCCAGAGGTTCGTCGCAAGATCCGGCTGCTGGCAGCCGCTGGTATCATCCGCACTCGTTAACTAAATCCTACATAAAGTTTTACAGCCGACATCAGCACCACCACCACCGCCGCCTGGGGCCGCCGCCTGCCCCACCCGCCGCACGCTTCACTGATTACGTGATTTGATGTATATATTATGTAACCAGAACTCTGAATTAACAATTATGTTATGTACGCCAACCGAAAAAAAAACCCTTCCACGCACGTCCTGCACCCACGTGACCTCGTACATCCAGAAAGGGTAATGACCAACCTCGCACCTTGCATCCGGCTAATATAAAAACCTCCCAAATCGCCTCGATGGGGACATCACCTAGTCTGAAAAAATGGAAAACCAGCAGCAGCAGCAGATTCGATTCATGCTCCACGCGTGGCGGGAGAATGCTATTGCCCGCCTAGGCTTTACACCGGACCAGGTCGACTACTGTGCCCGGCATTCGATTGTGATGCACGACATTTTCATCGATGCGATTGCTCGGGCCGCGCCGGGCATCCGCTGCCTCGAAGACTTCCACGCCGTTGCCTACTACTGGAAGTGGATCGACCAGTACGGCGACGAGGTGTACGCGCTGATCCGCAACTACCTCGACACGCCAAAGCGTCTCACCGAGGACGTCGAGGCTGTGTCCCGAAAACGCGTCCGCTGTGCATGATCCGGCGGGCCAATCCTTTATTTATATAGCCTGTTAATGTTATTTTTTACCACCGCATCTGTCAGCCAATGGACGAGGAAGTCGAAGTGGTGAACTCCATCTACGAAGACTGCGTGCTCCAGAGGGCCGAGAACCTGTATACGGTGTACATACCCAATTCGCCTGTGAGTGTGAGGCTGCTATTTCCTACCGACTATCCAGACAAGCCTCCGAGGGTAGCGTCCGTGAATGCTCCAGAGGGAGTGTGGACTGATCGGTTTCAGCGGATAATTGACGAGACGTTTGCGCAGGACGCTTATATTTTTACGTTTATTGACGAGGTACAGCAGGTTCTCCCTGAAGAATGGCCCGAAAAGGCCGTGGTGGGAGGTGAAAAGCCTGGTTCGGCAGGCTCAGAGTTTATCGAGCAATGGATAGCTTCCGAAGAGATCGTGGACCGCAAATCAGTGTTTATCGCACGGGTTCTCCAGGTGCACTCTCAGGAAGAGGCCCTGGAGAAAGTCGCAGATCTCGTACTGGACAAGAAGATCTCCAAGGCTACTCACAACATCCAGGCGTGGAGAATACGGCGGCCAGACGGACTGCTGGTGCAGGACTGCGACGACGACGGCGAGTCGGCCGCAGGAAGCAGGCTGCTGCACTTGCTAAACATTACAGAGTGTATTAACGTCGTGGTTGTCGTATCAAGGTGGTATGGAGGTACATTACTTGGCCCCGACAGGTTCAAGCATATAAATGTCTGTGCGCGGGATGCACTGGTGAAGGGGGGGTTCATAAAGTCATAAATAGTTTATCTTCGCTTGTTTTGCTTCTTGGACGGTGGCGTTTTGCCCTCCGATCTCCGCTTTTTTGCCGGAAGCTCCGGATCGAGCTCCACGTCGGGAGTGGCCTCTTTCTCGAGCTCCCGCACGTCTTGGCATTTTCCGTTCTTCCACAGCTGTCGTCCTACTGGGAATTTCGTGTTTTGGATGTCTGAAAACCCCAATTGTGTTCGTAGCTTGGTCTTTTTGGGCCGGACCCCCGGTATCGACCACGACCCCGGATCGGGGCCAGAAACGGGCTCGGAAACGTCTTCGTCCGGTTCTGCCACATTATCGTCACCGGGCTTCTTCATGAATTTCATGTCCAGCAGCTTGGACGACAACTTGCCCGTCTTTTTCGTCGTCGCCTCGACCGACATTGCAGAAAAAAAAATTATATAATACAAGGATGATGTGGGTTTGCCCATTTTAGCGACTTTGGATGGCGACAATCGAAGATAAAATTGCAAGCAAGGGCCTGAAGATACTGCTGAAGGAGACGGTGGAAAACGCAGAACTGAGGGCCCTGTATGGCTCGGATGAGCAGGTATGGGCTGCAATTGCCCACGCTCTGGACACTGCAGTCGACAAGGCGTCCCTCTACAAATTCATCACAAACATTGCTGCCTGCGATAAGGCGGGCACACTAGCCTGTCAGAGTGGCGTAGTAGCCAAGCTTGTGCTGCAGGCGAAGACATATTCGTCTCCGCAGCTGTGGAAGGCCCTGTCGAATCTAAACCAGACTTCCCCAGACGATCTGGCTGGCGTGGATATTGACTACGGCAAAGCGCTGAGTTTGGCCACAATGCCTACTTTGCGTTTGATTGAAGCCAATGTGCGCAAATTCCCCGAGTCGAGTGTGGTATATGCCAACAATGGCGTACTTATGGCCCTGCTCTCCCAAGTCAACGATTGGTACGAATCCAACGAGGTTGCATTCCAGATCGTGACCCGCATTTTTATTTATATTATCGAGGCTAGATTTGCTCCTACTGTTATGGACGATATCGTCAGTATTCAAATGATGGCAAGATCAGTGGCGTTGCAAAAGGTGCTGGATGCCGCCCTCAGCATCTGTTACAAGCGGATCAGCGAGCCGGTGGCCTATGATCTGAGCATGGCTCTGGCAAAGTATACAAAGCATATTTGCCGGGCTACTTTACCCTACTTTTCCAGCACTCACAGTCGCAAAACCCTCGAGGCTATTTCCTGGTGGACATGGCTTATTTCCAACGTCGAGTCCCTGACGTTGATTGCCATGGCTGCTCGTGAGGATTTGGGCGAAAAGAATTTCGGACTGGTTCAGGCGCTGGTTGATGTTCTCATTGCCGCAAAGCAGTTGCCTCAACATAACAAACTCGGCAAAGGAGACCATGAGCTTGCTCCATCGGATTTCCCCATGATTAAAACCACCATAATCCCTCTTTTAAGCATCCTAGTTGCTCAAAATGAATGGGCACAAACCTACTGCCGCACTAGCGGCGGACTACTGGCAATTTTGGAGGCGTGCACCGTTGACGAAAACAACCCGTTCGTGCGAGAAAAGGCAATCGTTTGTGTCCGCTATCTTTTGCAGGATAATCAAGAGAATCAGGATTTCGTGGCTAAACTCGAGGCGAAAAAGGTTGTCAATCCGGAAATCCTCGAAAGAGCCGGCTACGAAGCGGAAATCAAAGACGGTAATATTTCTGTCAAGACTAAATAAATTATAATGAAATAGCTCCCTCCACTGATTGTTCTGCCTCACGTTCCAGTAAACAGCGATCAATGAAGCTGATTTTTGTTGCAAACAGTCTAAGTGAAATGGCAATACTGACGGCTTGGAACACGGCGACCGACACCATTAATGCCCGCGAGGGGCCCTCGAAGCTCAACAGGAAATGGTCAATCACAGGTAGTAGACAAAGCGTGATGCCTGAAAAGACATTCAAGATACCATACACAAAGCCAAACGAACTGAATCCAAACACCCGGGCACAGTAGTTGACCGCAGCGGCATGGAGCAATACTCGACCTAGGGGAACAATAATAGCTGCTGCTTTCCATTGGCCAAACAAAAGCAGAACAGGACAAGCCAGGCATAAAATCTGGGTTAAAGAAATCACGTAAAAGTGTGGCATTTTGTAGAACGCCAGTGCAGTCAACACCACACCTCCAGCGCTCACGACTGGAGCGTAAACAGACAGGTAGTAAACGACAATTCCCGAAGCATGGTTAACTGACCAGGCGTATTCCGGACCACTCGACATGAATCCGTCCAAAACAAGCATATTGGCAGCGTAAAAGATAAATAGGGCCCAAAACCAGCGACTGGCAATCCGAGAAGCGTTTTGTTTTTCTTTGCCAATGACCCAAAGACTTTCATCAACATCGTCCACCTGGTGTTCTAGCAGCGGCAATTCTGGCGATTTGTCGAGACTGGGTCTGAATGCCCGCTCAACCAACCGATCAACTCTGCCTTCTGCAGTATTGAATCCGCAGAGAGGCGCTACAGCAATCGTAGCACAAACCAGTACAATAGGCACTAGCAAATACCAATTGAAAAGGTCCACTATACTTTCAGGAGCCAAATTGACAATTGCGTAGTGCCAAATACCCGAAGCAAGAGCAGCGATGGCCAAAAGGAAAACGACAAAAGGTAGGGTCCAGCCCTCGACGTAACTAGAGGCATCCAAGGCACTAAACAAAGTAAACGGCTGGCCCAGGCATATTAATGCAAACCCCCATACGAAATTATCTAGTTCAGGTACCTCTTTAGGATCACTGCCCATTAAAAAGCATCCCAATGCAAGCAAAAAGTTGCCCACCAAGCTCGAGCAGGTAAACCCGGCCAAATTGAGCACATAATACCCCAAAAGTATGCCTAGACCAGTAGAAAATGCACCAAACACATAGATCTTGTCGAATTGAAGCTGTCGGGCCAGGCAATGGATCGTTGCTTCCGAGTGCACTTGGCAGAGATCCTCGTAAAGCCCATTGTCAATAAAATAAGCCCTCAATGTGGGAAACGCAGCAAGCGGGGAGCCCACCAATGCACACGTCGCAATAGCCACAAATATCCTCGCATGTTTTACTACACTCATCGAGCCACCTGCCTCAAAATGGGCCGAGATCGTGGGAGAGTTCTGGGATGATTACAAGGGCGACGGGGCGGATCAAGACGGACGGGGCCCGGTTGTTTTCGGGAGGGTTTGCGGCGCTGATCCAGCGGAACAAGCTCCCGCCACGCCCCAAAATAAAAGAAGAAGAGATCACAGAGGTTTTTATCAAAGGTGGAGGCAATGGCGGCCAAAAGATCAACAAAACGAACTCAAAGGTTCAACTAAAGCATATACCTACGGGGATAGTTGTAGAGTCACAGTTTTCGAGGTCACGAGAAGACAATCGAAAGCGGGCCAGGGAGATTTTAGCTATGAAGTTAGAAGAGATCGAGCTGGGAGACAAAAGTCGAGCCGCCGTGGTTGGAGAATACAAACGGCAAAAGGCCCGCAAAAAGAAACAAAGGGGCAGAAAACGTCAAAGGGAGCGGGAAGAAACCCAGGAGTTGCCGCATAATGGCGAGTCTACAGTATAATTAAACTAATTTAGTACATACTACTGCTCTCGAGCAGGCAGCGCAGCTGTCACTTGGAGAGCATTAGCTCGATAAACGTTTTCCTGAGCCACAGTAGTGACCTTCTTTGTGGCGATAATGAACCGCTGGGCGTCACGGAGAGCAGCAGCCATATCGGCACGATTATCAGCGATATAACGGCCATGTGATTCGAGTGTGTAGCGCAACCAGCAGAGGTTAAACTCAATATGAGGGTTCTCTTGGCCTTTCTCGCCCAACAGCACAAGCAGACGTTTGATATAGACCTGGGGGAGGTCGCGAACAACCAAGGGTACGTCTTCAATAGGAATGCTAAGATAGACCCGGTCAAGCAGCATAGACTCGCCTAGTCTGAACGCCATAATGAGCGCTTGAAGGAACTCATGGCGGTTCAACGCCTCAATGCAAGCATCAACAGTGACATCCACGTCCAAGTCGACGGGATCGAACTGCACCTTGGTATCGATGGCATAGACAAGCAGGCCCTCAGTCGAGGCAGTGCTAAAGCTAGCAGAGGTTGGAGAGAATTTGATGCCACTGGTTCTAATCTCAGGGCGTACCCGTCTCGCAGATAGATCTCCACGGCTCGCACCAGGCAGCGTGTCATCAATACGATCTTCGAGGTCGCTGTTTTCCCCATTGGTATCTATCAAATCAAGAGAGCCCGCTTCAGTCATCTTTTTGGAAATAAGCATCTCGAGAGTTCCTTCGAGAGCCATGTTTTTGGAAATGGTGATTTTGCGCAAGAGAACCTGGTTGGCTACGTCGTACAAACAGACGTGTTTCGAGTTGCCGCCAGCCAGCAGCATTTTACCATCCGAGCTAAAGCAAATGTTTGTAAAATGCTTGGCACGAGCAGAGTTCTGAGAAGAAAAGCGGTCGGCGGCATGTCGGCCACCCACAATGTCTTTACGGCCATCAATAATCGCGACTTGATCAGAGGACTTGACGTTCCATACTGAGATCTGGCCGTCCATGGTCGAGACCGCGATATTTGAAGCATCTGGAGAAAACTGCAAATCCAAAACTTCAGTTTGAAGCTGGATAGGCTCAGAAACAGCAGTGCGGCCAAAGAAATTCCACATACGAGCTGTGTGATCCCAGGATCCCGAAGCAAGCAACGAGCCGTCAGGAGAGAAATCGAGTGCGGAAACAGGACCCTCGTGGCCACTCAAGCGGTCAACTAACTGTGAGGTTTGGACGTTCCAGATGTGAATGTCGAAATCGTTTAATGAACCAGCACAAACAAGTTCACCACTGGCATCGACCGCTAAAGAAGTGAACTGCAAACGCTTCGGGGCAGTGAGGGTTCTGAAATTGCGGTAGCGCAACAAATCCCACGCCCTTACCGATCCGTCCAACGACGCAGAAAACAAGACATTGCCACGTTTGCTAAACACCAGCGAAGTGACGGCAGCTTGATGTTGGGTGAATGTAACAATGCAGAAGCCGGACTTGGCATCCCAGACTTTGATTTTACCGTCATCTGCACCTGTCACAATCTTGGTTCCGTCGGGCGAGTATTCCAAAGCATTGAGGGCATCAAAGTGGCTCTGTTGCTTTAAAACATACGTCTCACTCTGCCACTCCCAAACCAGAAGCTGGCCGAGCTTTGAGGCTCCGAAAAGAAGCCACTCGCCAGTTTTATTGATTGCAACAAAGTCGACATTGTTTTGCGAGATGCTGAGTGACTGGATCATATTTCCAGACGGCAGCTCGTACAGCCCAAACAGCCCGGAACTGAAACCAACAACCAGCAGGTTTGAGGCCGCATGGAAGTCTGCACAACGAACTTTAGCGTTTTGCATGAAAAAGTGCTTGTCCACAATCACCCATCTATCAACCTCTTCGTCGTACTGCCACTCAAACTGAGCACCATCCTTAGAGACGGTGTAGATAGTCTCTTGATCCTGGCTGAAAAACGCACCCACAACAGCATCCCGGTGGCCAGCCAACGTAGAAGCTGCTTCTGCATCATCAGAGTGCAAAGAATAAATATGTGCCGTCATGTCTTTGGCGGCAGTCAAAAAGAATCGAGAGTCGCTGGACCACTGGATCGAGGTTACTTCGGAAAAATGGCCGGTATAAGTGCGGCGTTTCACGAACGGCGAAAACTGGCGGTCGTCTAGCACCGACGGAGTGCGCCACATTTGAATCTGGCGCCCGCTTGCAACGGCAATGTGGGATCCGTCGGGAGAAAACTCTACCGCGGCGACAGGGTCTTTGAAATTAAAGTGATGTAGCACTGTGCGCAGGCGAAAATTCACCAGAATGCCTCTGCCGTTCTCGTCAACGGACAGCATCAACGTCGATTTGCTGTTGATCGCTATTCTGGCCACATTCTTGCGGTGCTCGTAGGTGAAGGTAAACGATTTGTTGTTCACCACATCGAAGCAGCTAACTCTGTTGCCCACGGGACTGAGCACACAGGTTCCGTCAGGCGTAAACACCAGATTGCCCTGCGTATAAACCGTGCCAAAGATGTTGGCGAGTTTATAGTCGACGCTCATGTGCAAGTCTGAAAAAAATTTTGGATTTGGGATATTTTTTCAAGTCAGGGATTATATAACCGGCTCGACCCATTACGATTCGATCTGCCGTGGGGAGCCATTTGGTGGATATAATCGATGTTTATTAGGCCTTTTGTGAGGCAAGCGCCGCGGGTATGGATGAATCGAGGAATTCACGGTGGGCTGCGGCTGCGGCAGGAGTCCAAAAAGGACCCTGAGCCAGACACCAGCAAGGACGGAGGGCCGGGGCAAGAACCCCAACAGAACAGCCTGTTGGACGACGAAATGCAGCCCGAACGAGTGCTGGCGACGCTTTCGTCGGCTAAAGAACCAACTGCCGGAAAGCAGGTGGCTCGAATGTATGCTTTCGACACCCAGAAGGTGTACAGCAATTTGCGTTATGCAGGCTACACACGCGCCCAGGCGGACATAATTATGAGTGTGATGCGTGACATGGTCGACGACGTTGTTGAGGAGCTCGACCAAAACTGCGTGCCGAATGCCACGGGGGAGAACGAGGCCTATTTGTTTGACGCGACGTCTTCGGAAATGCGAGACGAGACCCAGGTGGGCCGGATCAACCAAGCAAGCCAGTACCGGTCGAGTTTGGCGCGAATTCAGCGCGACGTCGAGATCATGCAGCACCAGGCGAACGAGATGGCGACTCTGCTCAAGGCCGACATGGACATGGAGATGAACGAGCGGAAAAACGCGGCACGAGTCGAGGAAAACCACATCCAGCTGAAAATCCAGGAATTGAACCACCAGATCACCCGCCTGGCCACCTACCTCAAGTCGGAAATCGAAACGCTGCGCTGGCAGCTCACCCGGCGAGGCATCGTGGCTATTATTGTCGTTGCGGTGGCCACGATGTTTGCCACGTCCCGCACATTTAAGGATGATAGTCGTAAATCACGCCCGTCTCAAGAAACCCCCGGAACCGAGTACTCTGTGCCGTTGCTCTCCCCCAGCATAATGGCCGACGAGGTCGATGAGCCTGCGATCGACGAACTCGAGATCCCCCAACAAAAGTCTTGAAAGACGTTATTTATAAAAGCGTTTATAGTTTATGCTTTAGTTTACCTGTCGCAATCAGCGCGAACCGCTCCTGCGGGATGCCGCGAGCGAACTTGTCCAACCCGCCAATGATCTCGGCCGAGTTTGCTTGGCTGAAGTGTGCCTGGTAGGGCTGGTGGATGAGCTGCTTGATTTCCTTCAATGATTGAGGCGACAGCGTGCTGAACCGGTGCTGCACGTACTTGAGAACCTCGGCATTGAACTCCTCGGTGGACATGGACGCGGGGAAGACCTGGTTGACGAACCCGGCGCGGTACATTTCGTCGGCATGAATGGGCTCGGCAGCCAAAAGAGCCTTGTTGGCAAGCGAGAGGCCCAAACGAACAGGCAACGCGAAAGACGCTCCGCCCTCGGCCACGAGACCTAGGTTGGCGAAGGGAGCCAGCATGAAGGCATTTTCACGGGCAAAAATGAAGTCGGAAAGCGAAACAATGCCCGTGGTAAGGCCGACAACTGGGCCATTCAAAGCAACAACCAGTACTTTGGGGTGGTTCCAGAAAGTATCGGCAATAATCGCATTGCGTCCTGTGAAGCGCCCGGCCAAGTCACGGCGAGCCATCCAGTCGATCTTGTACCCTTCGGATTGGGCCATCGGCGCGCTCGCAGTCGATCCAACGTCCGCACCAGCCGAAAAATACTTGCCTGTGCTCTGGATAAGCGTGGCAACCGTGCCAGGCTCCTCTGCAGCCCGCTTGACGTGCTCCTCCAGCGCCCAATAGTGGAAGATGTTCATCGCATTGTACTGCCGCGGGCGGTTCAGTGTAATGACTACCACCTTGTCCTTGACCTCGTACAGCACCTGGCTCTCCGACTCAATTCTCAATGCTTCCAATTCAGGATCCTCCATGGTGTACGTTGCGGGGTAATCCTGTCTCACTAATATATCGTGGGATGTGGGGTACTAAGTTGCCGGAAGACAGGTTGGTTGGGGCCCTTTGCCGAGAGCCGAGAAAATAGCAATATATAGTTATAGTGTGAAAACGGGTTAGAGGGCGAATTCTCCGCTTGGCATCCAGCCCAGAAAATCGTCGCCAGTCATCCAGTCCATACCAGGCAGCAGCGAGTCGATGTCCTGGTTGATGCCCAGGGCTTCGATCTGCTCTTGCGGAACAGGAGTCGCTTCCTGGACGTACAGGTGCGATGTGTTCCCATTGGCTATGTACGGTTGCCGGGTTTGTGGCGGGTCGACGACGGCCGGGTTTGTGAACAGCGGCAGAGGAGCAACTGGAGGCACGTCTGTTTGAGGCTCGGGGCCGACCAGCGGCTGGGGAATGTCTCTGTTCTCTTTTGCGTTGCGATTGTTACGACGGCGGGCTTCGTGGATCGCCCAGATTAGCTCGTAGAAAATCGAGTCGGTCAGTCGGGACCTCATCCGCGTCATGATCTTGCGCTGGCCAGTTAACAGATCGGGGTGGGCAATCAAGACATGGTTCAGTCCCTCAAGAATCTTGGCCACGTTCTGAATTCCCTGCCAGTGCACCGTGACCTGACGGTACAGGCGATAGACAATGACCACTGACTGTCTGGCGCTTTCCACAAACTGTTGGGGGAACTGAGGGGCCAGGTGGAGTCGGAAAAGCAAAAGAGCAGACAGCGAGCTTGCTCGCCTTATAATTGCGGGCATATCGGTGATTTTTTTGCCGTCGCTAACCAGTCCAGAAACCACGGCAATAACATCGGTTGCCGCATGATAACAGGGCACAATAAATCTGGACTGGTCTTCTTCAGGGATATCGGGCATAAACGCAAAACAACACAGCATACATCGCACGTACAAAAATGACGCATTAATAAAAGGTAGGTGTAAGGGAAGCTCCTGTCCAAGCAGTTCGAGGTCCTGGCTCAAAACGTCCAGAGTGGGGCCTCGAGTCTTGGGAAGAATAAGGCCATCAGGTGATAAGATACTGGACCCCATAATCGAGACCAACTTGCCGTGGAAAATCGCAAGTTTCAATAGAGCTCGCAGGGATTCTGGAAGTTCGGGATCGTTAACGCCCTGGTCAATAAGATAATCGACATTGCCATTCGACGGTAGTCCCATAGCTGCCGACAAAAACTGGCTCGAGATATAAGTCAAAATCCACGTTCGTGTTCTCCATTTAATCGCGTTAGGCATTAGCCTTTGCTTTCGCGAAAATTCATAAATATACTTGCCCCGGTGCATGCCCAATTGTAGTGCCAGACTTCGTGCTAAGGTAGTGAATCGGTAAGACATGTCGTCCAACACTTTTTCACTAGGCAACGGCCATGTGGCCAACACCAGCAAAGCCTGCACAACATAAGTTGAGCGGGCGGTGTGCAGCCAACAGACGTCAATTACCAGGCGTTTCACCGGGTCAGCGAGGCGTAGGTACAAGTCCGGATCCGATGCAGACGCAGCAGTGATTATTACTGACCAAAACAGCATTTCGCTCTGAGAGTACAGCTCTCCGGCACTTTTGCTCTCAAAAACAGGAACAAAGGGGAGGTGGTCGGAAACAAACCGGTCATGAAGAAGCCGTGCATGCTCAAGAGACAGCGTAACATCGCCCAAAATAAACGGTCCAGGGTGCGGGATGACCTCGTATATTTGCGATCCGTAGTCGTCGTCTCGAGGATCCGGGGTCACAGGACTTGTCGTCGACGGACCAGCTGGAGAAATCTTGGACAGATCCGACGCATAGATGCCGCTATTTGATCGCTTGCTCGGCATCTCTGGGTTGTCGCTTCCGTGGCTCTGTGTCTCTTTGATGCTAGCAAGCTCTCGCTTAAGCCGCGAGATATCTTCCCTCAGCATCTCGACCTGGCCGCCTCGACGCGGCTGGAACGTCGGGTCAATCACACAATGGCGTCCGTGCTTCACACAGTGCGCACACGGTGCCGGCATGGTAACCGCGGCATCGCACTTGATTTTAAGCTGGCGGCAGCTCGAGCAAGATCGCACAGGCCGGGTAAGCCGTCGCCGGTGCTGATCGATGGCAGCGCTCGAAGATTCAGAAGACAACGTCAAAACAGCTCAGGTGTTTAGGACAACGGCCAATCTGTTTGAATTCCAGCAAATATGATTGGTTCTAACCAAAGTCAAGCAAGACGCGATCCTTACGAACTGTCTTAGCTAATTTCCAGCGGAGTGTTTTGACAAACTCATGAAAGGTAGAGTTTGAGGACATTTGAGATTTAACTATGGAATTCAATACTAAAGTGGAAGCAGACAAGATTGCTTCTTACACTTTTGCCTGGCTTGCCGACGCAAACGTGCTCGTGAAGCGGCCCAATGCGTCTAAAGAAGACCTGCTGGCCATCGACGCGCAGCTGGTCAGTGTTATTACGGCTGTTTCTCGCCAGCCAGACGTCCAATCGAGTGCGCTGCGTCTTGCGTTCGGCACGCTGGCCCACAACCTCGCTGTAAGAATCAATGCGGTAAAGGCGGTGACCGACATGCTGCCCCGGCTGGTCGCTTTCGTTGAGGCCCCAAAAAATAACCGCTACAACTGCATGAAGTACTTTGCTGTTACAGTTTTAGGGCATATTGCAGAGATTCCTCTCGACAGTATGCGCCATATTGTTAGGAATCTTTTCCTCATCCTCGGTGAAGCTCTCAAAGTGTGTCCTTCGCCTGCAAGCTGTCCTGCTGGTTATCGCCGTGATTTACTGTGGGCACTTGCTAATTGTGCAAAACAGGTGAACCCATCTTCTTTGGAGTTCCCTCAAAGGATGGCCGCATGGAAGCTGGCCCGTGGAATGACTGCTGATCCGGCTGCCATCGTCGCTGAAGCAGCATTCGGACTTTTGCAACAGCTGGCTGGCCCCGATATGATCCAAACCAAGGGCAAATTAGAAAAACTGCATGCAGTCTATGTCAAGGGCTTGAAGTCTCCGCATGCAATCGTTAGAAGTGCTGCTGCCAAATTCAGTGCCCATCTGTTTACTCTTCTAGAAACAGTCGAATTCGAGGAAGAATCGGCAAACTCATCGGCTCCTGCTTCCAAATTCAAAGTGACTTTGAAGAGTGCCCTCAAGGTCCAAGGATCTTTGTACCAAGCTGCACAAACCACGGGGACTGCTGATGGTGTTGTGGAGTATTTTGCTCACATTTGTTCCGTTAGAGATCCTCAACAACTGATGGAAGAGTTCAACTCGCTTATTCAAGATTTGGCAACGTTTTTGGTTCAGAATGTTGAAGGATCTAATGGTTTTCATCTATATCGTGGTGTCGAGCATCTTCGCCATTTGGTGGTTGACCTTATTGCATCCAAACGACTACAAAACGGACAGCTTCGGCTTGAAATGATCAACGTGATTATTGGAATACTCGTCAAAAGTACCCGATCCGACCAAACGATTGCCATTGGTTACGTTACTTGCCTTCAAGGATTAGTTGAGTTACTGGGCCCGGCTATCACGGTTCTTTCTGATCCGATTCATCAGACACTTATTGCCCTCATGGAAAACAATACAGAATGGGGCCTCGCCGTTGCAATCACTGAGTGTTTTGACTCGCTAACAACTCAAATTCCCGAGTTGATATTGCCGGTCTTTTCATTTGCCCTACAAAAAGTTACCGACCGCCCTTCGCGAAGTTATAGCTACCTACTTGCTGTCCTAGCTTCAAAATGGACTAGATTCGCAAAATACGTCTCCGTCGAGCTGAACACTAAATTAATCTCAACTGCACTGGGGCATATCAAAGAGGCGCGAGCTGGGCATCCCGTTGATGATCATGTCAAACTTCAATCCGGCTGGATTCTACTCGAAGGTGTGCTTTGCCTTGGACCTCGTATTGTTAAGCTTTACATTTCTCAACTTTTGCTGTTGTGGAAGTCGGTGCTGGCAGCTCCACCTAAAATGTCGTCGAACTCGATGGAAGTCGCATACCAGCTTAAAGCACGCTTTCTCGGCCTTAGTGCACTGGCAGTGTTTGTCACTCGGAACGGACCGCTAATCACAAGTGATATCTCGAAAAGGTTGAGTGATATGCTCCATGAAATGTGGTCCTTTGTCGAGAATATTCCTGAAAGTGTCTTGAGTAACCCTGAGACTCAGCACGAAGAAAATCTTGTTTTAAGTCGTTTGCTTCAATGCTACGGCTTACTTGCAAAGTATGAGGTTTCGGAGGGCTATCCTGCTTCGCTACTAACGCGGTCGACCCATTTTATTCTGGATCCTGAATATTTGCTATCTCGCTGTAAAGATGAGTGCGAATCAATCTATGACTACTCGAACAACTCTGCACGAGGAGTCACTTCAATTGCATTCAATAAAAATTCGCCCATCATTGCATCTATGGTTTTCGATGCCGATCAAAAGTTGATTGGGGGTGTTCCTCTACCCCTGGTAACAAGCACAGTGGACGCTGCTATTGGGGTGATTTCCCATGTCCTCCCAACACAGCCCACTAGAGTTCAGGAAAGTTTGCTAGATCGGGTCAGATCTTACCTTGAGGACTACACAAGGCTTCTAGCCTCTAAAAAGCATCCCCCTCCGCGTCACCAAGCAGCGTGCCTCAACGCTTCGATCCTGCTTCACAAACTCACATTCGCAATTCAATTCTTCAACGATCAACGTATTTCCTCGATCGTATCTGATTCCGTGAAATTGTTATTGAGATCTCCTGAATCATTAGTGCGCCAAAATGCAGCCGAAGCCTACGGGTTTTTGGCCAGTAAAACAGACTCAAACACTGTTGCGGCTTACACAAACGAGGTAATTGAGACCCTGGTATCAAATATGGACCCTTTTAGTCGGAGTGGCTATGCATTGGTTCTGTCCAGTATTGCATCGAATGCCGCTAGCAATGTGCACGCCACGCAATGGCAGTCGGCACTTGTCACAGTGACGCAGCTATCATCTGATCCTCATCCGCTTGTGCACAGCGCCTCCATTCAAGCGATGACAGCGGTAGTTTCAAACTCTGGTCTCTTGGCTAACAAGTATGCCGAAGAGTGCTTGACAGTTCTGACACGGCTGTATCTTCTTGACTCACATTCCAGCGCAGTTGGTCCTGCCGTATACAGCAATTTTGACCTTGATTATTCTACAACTGTATCAATTGCCAAATGCTGCCGCGTTCTTGTTTCGCTCATCGGCCCCGATCTAGCTAACCAAAAAGAGCTACTGCATAAAGTGTACCACCTTGTGGACCAGTTCCAGTACAACAGGAATGCGTTAGTTATTGTCCAATCATGGGGTTGTTTTGAGGAGCTTTTTTATTTCGCAAAAGCTCAAATTGACTGGATCAGCCAGGTTCTTATTTGGACCACTGATGTATTCAAGCCGAGGAGCCCTGAAACGCTATCTGCCGCACTTGAAGCTCTTCTCCTGTTATTCAAAACCTCCCCGCAAAATGTCTTTGCAATTACTGGAAGCGTTTTGCAATATAAACTGTGGCTGGTTTACGATGAGAACCATTCGCCTCTTCTTCGCGATCTTTTCCTCACTTGGCTCGAGCATACGGCGATTTACGAGCCAGAGAAATGGATCTTACGTCTCCAAGACGTGATTATGCGCCCTCGGTTCCATTTTGTTCAACGCGCTACCGAGTCGGGGTCTGCTGCCAGACGGAACTCTGCAGCGGCAGCAGCGGCTGCTGCTGCCGCTGCCGAAACAGCCGATGAAGATCAATCGTTGGGTGCTCAGGCGGAGCAGCAGCATGATACTGAGCTTCTTGAGTGGAGAACGAGACAGTTTGCATGTGAAATGATGCTGCAATTGACTCGTCTTGAACTGAAAGGGAAATCCCAAGCCTCGCTACAAAACAGTATTATTACGAAAAACGTCAGGAATGTGATTAAAATTGCCTTCAGTGCTGCTACTTCTGCCGTTTTGAGTATGCAGTTGGTTGGCTTAGAGCTTTTGAATGAGCTAGTATCGGGTTTGTGCCAGCTTCCAGATTTGGACTTCCCAGAGGTCCGGTTGCTCGAGCAATATCAAGCACAAATTACTTCAGCTTTGACTCCAGCATTCACTTCTGATAGCAGCCCAGAGTTGGCTATTGCTGCTCTCAAAGTGTGTGGTACATTTGTCGCCTCAGGAGTTGTTGGAAACGCCACGAAGTTGGGCCGTATTTTGAGAGTCATCAAAGATGCTTTAGATTCTTGCACAGAAAACGAATTCTCCCTCGGTGACCTCAAACTCAGTCCGAATGCTCAGGATATTATAAAGGTTGCTGTTCTTCGCCTTTGGGCTGACGTATTTGTGGCAAGCGAAACACAAGAGTATCTTCAGGACATTGTGAAACCGCACGAGTCGCAGCTTCTCAACCTTTGGACTTTAACGATTGAAGACTATGCCAAGCTGAGGTTTGAACCCGAGCAAGCTAGCTCGACTTCTTTCGCTGAAAGTCTCGAACTTATGCGCGCCGCGCAACTTCGCCATATTCTTTTGACGACATACGAAGAGAGCTGGTTGAATCTTGTTAGTGCTTTGGCCACTTTAATTGAGTCCAAGGGAAGTGAGGTAATGGAAAGGTCTACTGGTGGAAGGGACATAATTTTTGTGCTGTTCGGGTTGTGCTTTGAGGCCCTCCTGACTTTGCGCTCAAACCAACTACCCATTTTGGTTGCGCTTCAGCGTATTCTTTTGCCTGGAGTTTCTGCATCTGTCATTTATGAACAAGAAATATTTACCGAAGTCGTTGATATCCTTGATCGTATTCTTTTGACGGGGAATCCAGCTGAACGCTCTTGTGTCATTTACATTGCTCGTAATGTTGCAACAGGACGATGCGAGAGTGATGAAAGCGTAGATGATTTGTTTGAACTATTCCGACTTTGTGTCCTTCCTCTACGGGCTCTATTTCCTTCGCTTGCCGATTTGCCTGGTAATCCGCCCTCGGTGATTAATGAGGCAGAGTATTTGGATCTCATCAAATTGAGTCTTGATGCTCTAGTTGATATTGTTCAGGTGTTTAGAGAGGTGATTCAAAACGACCTCTACGTCTGTTTGCTGTACATTTTCGAAAAAATCAGCGAGATTCCTCTGTGTCAGGAGAAAGTGGTGCCGCATATTTTCTCGAGCTATAGACGTTTGTTGGAGGTTATGGACAAAGCTGCCCAAAGTTCTGAGGATGCACGCAGGTTGGTTACAGATGCAGTGGCCACAGCCTTCGTGGACGCTTCCAAAGAGCTGGCTTCTGCTTCGGACGAGGTCACAAAGAGAAACTGGATGCTCACGTGTATGGTGATTCTGTGCACAAATTATAACCTTCTGGATAATGCAACGGGAAATGCGTGGCAGTTTGGATCGTTCTTGGTTGATGCCTTGCACGACGAAGCCCTGAGCCAAGTTGCCGCCGAATCCATGCGGGCATGCTTGGCGATCCGGCCGGAGAGTTTGGCAAGAGATGCGTTTATTTCTGGGTGCATCCCCAAGCTTGTTGAGCAGCTTTCGGACTCCAGTTCTCCGGCTGTGTCCAAAATGGTAACAAAATTAGTTGTTCAATACGCTGCAATTCACCCCATACAGGGAATGGGATTAGCACTGACTGTTCTGCTCTACGTGGTGAACGATGCGTCATGGATCAACACCGATCAAGCGAGAGAGTTGTTTGTCAGTGGGCTGCTGATCCGTCTTTTGGAGAGCCACTCGGCGATTTTCAAGCAAGCCATCCAGCAGCTTACACCCGATGATCGGGACCTTCTCCGTCGTTTGTTAGTTCACGACGAGCAGAAATCCGACGCGTCGCTAAATTCGGAGTCAACCATTGTTTTGACTTCTTTCGGTTAAGCCAGTGTTGGTATGTGTGACGTGGTTGATGCCCACAAGACGATGCCCACAAGACCGTTTCGAGCACTACCATGTAGAGTTTATAACTACGTTAATGAAGACTATTCTAATAGCCAATTCGAGTATAAGTGAATACTTTAGTTAGTACAGCTACCAGTAATGAGAAGCAGGCTAAACTCCCACAACCTGTGCCATCTCGTTGGACAACATTTGTACTAGTTGAATTGAAGTCTAAATTGGCTGTATAACAGTTGAGATTGGTTTGCCACAACCTTTAGTAGTTGTTTTGTTTCACTTGGATCTCCTCTTTCGAAAATCCCCTTGCTGTTATAGGTGCATGCCTATGCATTCAATTTAAGAGTCGTAGGAGGTGCAATCAGACAACATCGACAATGGCATAAGAGTGGTCAAGCAATAACAATACACTACCAAATACACCAAATACATGGCCCCGAAAGAAGAGGTCTCTACTTTTGTAAATTTCGCTCGTCAAGCATTTCTCAAAGCGATCTCTCAACTTGATGAAGTTAGAAGAGTTGACACAATTCTCGTTAATAAAGCAGACTCAATTGCTAGTAAACATAGCGAAACTATTCAATTTAACTTGACAACACTATACCATTGGAGAATTCGTCCCCTTGCAATACACGCGTCCATTCCATAATTATTCCATAATATTCAATTACAATATATTATAATATATGTAATTGAATAATTTCCGTGAGAACCATCTTACTAACCCAGTCAATTCGATCCTCTCGATCTGCTTAGCCAACCGATGCTCTGGGGAAAAAACTCACAGACGCAAACGCAGACTGCCACGGCCGTTCCTGCCACGCCGGAACAGCTATCTGAAGCATCCAACCAGCTCAACAAGTCGCTCGTAGACCCAGCTGGGTATTTCAGCCGTTACGGCTACCCAATTCCTATTCACGATGTCGCCAGTCGCCAGGAGTTCATCACCTGCTTTGATCGCCGCACAAAGAACCCCGCGTGGGTTATTGAGCATTTGACTGTAGCAAGCAGAACTTCTCGAGGTGGAGATCGCGGAAATTCGGTCTTCAAGGAGGACACTGCGATCCCTGAAAAGTTCAGAGCCCGCCTGGCAGATTATTTCAGATCAGGATACGATAGGGGCCACCAAGCGCCCGCTGCCGATGCCAAATTCTCGCAGCAGGCCATGGACGAGACGTTTTATCTAACAAACATGGCACCACAGGTTGGAGATGGGTTCAATCGCGACTACTGGGCTCATTTCGAACGGTTCTGCCGCAACCTCACAGACACTTACTCTTCTGTTCGCATCATTACCGGACCTTTGTACCTCCCCAAGCGCCATCCTGACGGGAAATGGAGAGTCACCTACGAAATGATCGGAAACCCGCCCAATGTTGCCGTGCCTACCCATTTTTTCAAGATTGTCGTCGGTGAAGATCCCATCCAGCCCAGCCTGCCCCGGCATGGTGCGGCCGTAGGCGCCTTTGTTCTTCCCAACGAGCCGATTTCGAACTCCACTCCTCTCAAATCTTTCTACGTGCCCATTGATGCAATTGAGCGCTCATCCGGCGTGGAGTTCATGCCCAAACTCCCCGAGAACCAGCGCCGTGATTTGTGCCGAGAGATCAAATGCGACGTCGAGGTCATAGAGTTCAACAACGCGGTTAAAAGCCTTCCTGCACCGAAAAAGTAAATATATAGATATGGGAGAGATGCTTGATTTTACTCTTCGTCGAGATCACGGGCGTCATCGATACCCTCGTCATAAATACCAAATAAACATTCACCAGGCGCCAGACAGGGGGAGTCGTAGATTTTACAGCACCGGAGCCCGTTTTTGCGTTTGCGGATCTGGAGACGAGTTGTCGACGCATGTGCGATGATATTGCCGCCCACGGGCTTTTTGGGATCGGGATTGAACCCAGGCATACTGTCGACCTGAGAAGTGACTTGGTTGGTCATGACCACGGCAACACCGTATTGGTCCGCGAGACTCTGCAACTGACGCAAGAACATCGACAACGCCTGTTGGCGAGCGCTGAGTTCGCCCCGGCCCAAGTAGTCAGTGCGGAAAAGAGCCATGACCGAGTCAATAATGAGCAGGGAGAAGCGGGTTTCGGCCATTAGCTCTGCTGCTTTGTTCAGGAGTTTCATTTGATGGTCGCTATTTTGAGCACGGGCATAGGCGATGTTTCGCAATGCCTCGTCTCCGTCGACACGGAACCGTTTGGCAATAGCCTTGATGCGGTCACCGCGGAAGGTGCCCTCGGTATCAATGAACATGCACTTGCCCTCTCCGCCGCCCATATCAACGGGCAATTGGCAAGTCACCGCCAGCGTATGGCAGAGCTGTGATTTACCCGTGGCAAACTCTCCAAACAACTCAGTAAGCGAACCGGTCTCAACTCCGCCACCGAGCAGGGTGTCCAGTGACTTTGATCCGGTTGTCAACGTGATGAGCGACTCGCGACGAGCATGCACCACAGAAGCAACAGTAAAGCCCATATCCACTCGGCCGTAGGCCATGTCAGACAGCTTCTGTGCCTTCGTCTCTGATATGCCCTTGATTTGTGCCAGCTTGCGAACCGGCGTGTAGGCGACAGCCTCAACAGTGTGCAACCCGGCCTCCTGCAGCTTCTTGATATCCATAGCAGAGATGCCATCGCCCTCCAGTTCTGTTACATGAGAGTACGACTGGCAGGCTCCCTCGACGTCTTCATCAACATAGTTTTCTTCCAGTCCATGTGCCACAACATCAGTCATTGTTTATTTTCGTTGAACAAAAGGGAAACAAGTGGCAAACGCGACCCGAACGCGTGTTAGTAAAAAATCAAGGGTAAGGGTGGAATCGCCATTTGCATATGTAAGTTAATTAAAACCCCAGTGGAAAAAAACCCAATCTCTAAACCCACCGCACTCGACCATGTCTTTTGAACAATCGAGAGTTTACACTACCAGTGTTCTTCCGGGAGATGCAACTGACAGCTCGCAGCTGTCGGAGGTCGAGGAGCAGCTGCGCAAGTTCATTCTGTCGTTCTATATCAACAACCTGTACATTTACCGTGAGCAGCTGCGGGAGAGTGTCCTAACGCGCCGGTACCTTTTGGAGGTCAATATGGGGCACGTACTGTTGTATAATGAGGATCTGGGTCAGCGCATTGTGGAGGAGCCGGCGGAAATCCTGCCGCTGTTTGAGGCTGCAGCCAAGGACGTGGCCAAGCGTATTGCGTTTACTAGCGAGGACGAGCAACAGGAAACCATCATCCCCAGTATCCAGGTTGTTTTGAGCTCGGATGCAAACCCACTGTCTATCCGTGACCTCACTGCTCGTCACATTTCCAAGCTTGTGCGTATCCCTGGCATTGTCATTAGCGCTTCTTCGCTATCTTCAAAGGCAACCGTTGTCCAGCTCATGTGCCGCAACTGCCGTCATCTTTTGCGTCACGACGTGAGTGGTGGCTTTTCCGGTCTCCAGCTGCCCAGAAAATGCCAGGGTGCGCCTATCAGCGGTGCTGATCGGAATGACTGTCCTCCGGACCCCTACGTTGTTGTTCATGACAAGTCGCAGTTCATTGACCAGCAGGTTCTGAAACTTCAAGAGTCGCCTGAAATGGTGCCGGTAGGTGAAATGCCGCGTCATGTTTTGTTAACAGTCGACCGTAACCTATGCAACCGGGCCGTGCCGGGCTCAAGATGTACAGTGCTCGGTATCTATTCCATTTATCAAAACAAGGTGAAGGCCGGTGGTGCAGTAGCCATCAGGAACCCGTATATCCGTGTTGTAGGTATTTCGGTCACTGGAGGTGAAGAAGAACGGAACAATGCCCGCTTTACCGAGGAAGAGGAGGAAGAGTTTTTGGAGATGTCTCGTACGCCTGATTTGTATGAAAAGTTTGCGGCAAGTATTGCCCCCAGCATCTATGGCCATTCTGACGTCAAAAAGTCGATTGCTTGCTTGCTGGTTGGTGGATCTCGCCGGTTACTACCTGATGCAACCAGACTGAGAGGAGATATTAACGTTTTGCTGCTTGGTGACCCAGGTACTGCCAAGTCGCAGTTGCTGAAATTCGTGGAAAAAGTTGCGCCAATTGCAATTTACACGTCTGGTAAGGGCTCGTCTGCTGCCGGTTTGACTGCGTCTGTCCAGCGCGATGCTGCCACATCCGAATTCTATTTGGAGGGTGGTGCAATGGTGCTTGCCGACGGCGGTGTGGTTTGTATTGATGAGTTTGACAAAATGCGTGACGAAGATCGTGTTGCCATCCATGAGGCCATGGAGCAGCAAACTATTTCAATTGCCAAGGCTGGCATTACCACCGTACTTAACTCACGGACCAGCGTGCTTGCTGCCGCCAATCCTATTTTTGGACGTTACGACGACATGAAAACCCCTGGCGAGAACATTGACTTTCAGACTACGATTTTGTCGCGTTTCGATATGATCTACATTATCCGCGATGAACACAACGAGGACTACGACCAATCTGTGGCCAAGCACGTGATGAACACACACATCCACGGCTCTAGAGCTGTTGTCGAGGTCGAAGGAGAGATCCCGCTGGAAAAAATGAAGCGATACGTGCGGTACTGCCGGGCCAAATGTGCACCCCGCCTCTCTCCAGAGGCAGCCGAGCGTCTGGTATCTCATTTTGTTGAAATCCGCAAGAGCGTGCACGACCGCGAGATCCACACCAACGAACGCTCATCCGTGCCCATCACTGTACGTCAGCTGGAGGCCATGGTCCGCGTTGCTGAGTCCATCGCAAAGCTCCATCTCGCGCCCCTTGCCACTGAAGAGCATGTCGACGAAGCCATCCGGCTGTTCTATGCGTCCACCATGAACGCGATTGGCCAAGATAGCAACAGCCGCAAAGTTTCCGAGGACGTTCACAAAATCGAGGCCGAGCTCAAGCGACGACTCCCCGTGGGGTACAGCACATCTTACAATACGCTACTACGGGAGTTTGTGCAGGGCCACCACCAGTTCTCCAAGTTCGCTCTGGATACTACACTACATGTGCTTGAACGGCGCGACATAATCCAATTCAGGCACCAGCGCCAAAACGTCTTCCGCTCAGCTCCTTAATTATTTAACCTATTTCTGTTCTATTTCCTTAAAATGCCCCGAGTCGTCTCTGCCGATTTGTCATCAGCCCAACATGCCCACGCGAATCGGGGAGAGGCAGTTCAAACGCAAGCCCACGGACCGCAAGTTGCGGGAATCTGTGCTTGAGACTATTCCAGAGGCGAAGCTGTTGATAGAGCTGCAAAAGGCCGAAGTGAGACTGGACACGACCGTCAATCGCAAGCGCCTGGATCTGCAGGATGTGGTCGGGCGGTCCATGCGCCGCAACAAGACGTTGCGCATCTTTATTTCCAGTTCTGTTACCGGCCAGCCGTGGCAAACAGGCAATACGATGCAGACGGATTTTGATTTCGGCGACATGTCGCCGCCTGTACAGTCACTGCCCGAGTGGATGCTACGGATCGAAGGCAGACTCGTGGACGAGGGAAGCGACCACCACAGGCTGTTCAGCTCCATGTTCACCTCTATTATCATCGAACTGCATCGTGAGGGTGACAGCAACAACGCGGATCCAGCCGAGCTCGGTCTTCCTGAGCCGCCGGCCGGGGTGCCCCCCGTGGACGCTGGTCCCAAACCGGAGATTGTGGAATGGCACGAGCCTCCGCCGCATTCTACCGAGCAAAGAATTGATTTCGATGGCATCGATATCCGCCGTGGGGGCGAGACTCCCGTCAAGGCCAAGATTATTCTCCAACTCAAAGAATACCCTGCCAAGTTCAAGCTTTCCCCAGCGCTTGCTGATGTGCTGGGCGTTGACGAGGAGTCCAAGCCTGGTGCCGTTGTAGCCCTTTGGCAGTATATCCGCTTCCACAAGCTGCAGGACATTGACGAGAAGCGGAACATCAAGTGCGACCCTGCGCTCAAGAAACTGTTCAACCGAGACCAGCTTTCGTTCCCTCAGCTTGTTGAGTTGCTCGGACCCCACCTTACTCCACGCGACCCTATTGTACTCGAGTATATGATTGAGCCTCAGACTGACAAGGAAAACCGCGACGTCGCCTATGACGTACCCCTCCAGGTAGACGACCCTCTGCGCTCGGATTTGATCACTATGTTGGACAGCTGGCACCAAGACAATATTGCGCTCAGCAAGCAGGATGAGCAGCTGGTGCAGGACGTCCAGCAGTTGAATTTGCTTGCCATGCAGCGGGAATTCTACCAAAAGCTGGCCGACAACCCCCAAAAGCTTCTCGACGACTGGGTGGCCACTCAAGCCCGCGATCTCAAAGCTATTTATAGTCACCGGCAGTTCAGTGAAGAAGCAGTACGGCACTCTTCATTCTACAAAGACGACGTGCTCAACTCCAGTATCCACCTGTTTCTTAATTCTAGATAATTTTCCAATTTAAGCCTTTATTCGTCATCACGGGGTGTGACTCAGACACCATCATGAAGTACTTCTCTACCCGGTCTGGCTGCGATGCGGTGTCGTTTGAACATGCGGTAATTGCGGGCTTAGCGCCTGACGGAGGCCTGTATATTCCGTCCGAGAGCATCCAGGCTCCCAGCGATTTTCTGACCGCCTGGAAGGATTTGACCTTCCAGCAGCTTGCAGCGGAAATCTTCTCATTGTACATCCCCGAGTCCGAGGTGCCACGTGCTGATCTCGAGGACCTAATTGCCAAGTCCTACTCTACTTTCAAGGTGCCCGAGGTTACTCCTGTTCGTGCTCTCAATGCCGACAAGAACCAGTACCTGCTGGAGTTGTTCCATGGGCCCACGTACGCATTCAAGGATGTCGCTTTGCAGTTTGTTGGCAACCTGTTTGAGTATTTCCTGACCCGCCGCAATGTCGGTAAAGCGGCTGATGCCTTGGACCGCGAGAAGATCACCGTTATCGGGGCCACCTCTGGCGATACCGGCTCCGCAGCTATCTACGGCTTAAGAAACAAGAAGGATGTCTCTGTTTTTATTCTTTATCCCGAGGGCCGTGTTTCGCCCATTCAGGAGCAGCAAATGACTACTGTTCTGGACCCGAACGTTCACACCATCACCGTGCCTGGCACCTTCGATGACTGTCAGGACCTGGTCAAGCAGATGTTTGCCGACAAGGAGTTCAACAGCAAGTACCACGTAGGTGCTGTCAATTCCATCAACTGGGCCCGCATTCTTGCCCAAATCACCTACTACTTTGCCAGCTACTTCCAGTTCGCCAAGACCAAGGGTTCTGACGTCAAGGTGAAATACGTTGTCCCCACCGGCAACTTTGGTGACATTCTTGCTGGCTTTTACGCTGAAAAGCTTGGTCTTCCTATTGAGCTTACTGTTGCTACTAATGCAAACGACATTCTCTACCGTTTCTTCAAGTCCGGTGCCTACACTAAAGAGAATGAAGTGCACGCTACTTTGTCTCCTGCTATGGACATTATCGTGTCTAGCAATTTTGAGCGCTTCTTGTGGCATGCTGCGCGCAGCACAGTTGCCAAGTCAGACACCGAGGCGGGAAGTTTGGTCAAACAGTGGATGGATGAGCTCAAAGCCACAGGCTCTTTCCGAGTTCCCTCTGAGGTTCACAAGCTTGCCTCTTCTACTTTCGGTGCTCAGCATACCAACGACAAGACTACAAAGACCACAATCGCCAAAGTCTACAACGAGTACTGCCCCAATTACGTCCTGGATCCCCACACCGCGGTGGGCGTCAATGCTGCCTGGCTTGAACAGGAGGCAGACGCCGACAAACACAAGGTCTACGTTACTTTGAGTACTGCACACCCGGCTAAGTTCTCTGAGGCCGTCAACGAGGCTCTTGTCGGCGTCAAGGGCTATTCCTTTGAGAACGACGTCTTGCCCGACGAGTTCAAGGTCATGATGCAGGCCAAAACCAAAAAGATCAAGGCCAACTCGAGCGAAAAGGCCGAGATCCAGCAGATTGTTGTCTCTGAACTTGCAAAAGAGCAGCAGCTTTAAGTATATAGAAAAATAAAAAACAGTAATTAAGCCAGCGGCGCCGCGATAGTTGCAGCCAACTGAAGAATGTGCGACACGCGCTGTTTTAGCGGACCACTTGAGCTTGTGACAGAGAAATCCGAGTAGTCTACTGTGGCCTCGAGGTCGTCGATTTTGATGGCGGCCGTCTTTTCGTCTTGGGCAACCGTGAGACAGTCACCGAATTGGGCCTTCAAAAATGCGTTAATGTGGCGAATACGGTCGCTATCCACTATGCTTTCCACAGGTTTTTCGTCGTGTGCGCAGGGTTTAGTGCTCATTTTGACGGAAGCCCGTGAAGTGTCAACGCCCATGAGAACAGCCAGAATGCCATCAGCAACCGAGTCACCCATCGTGCTGGCAGCCCATTCAACCGTATATACATTGTCTTTGTAGGTCACCGTGACCTGGTCCATAATTTTGAACCCGTCGGGGATGTCGTCCAGCGAGCCAAACATTTGAGCAAGATGATATCGTACCAAGTCCGGCCCGGCATCGACAACAACTGCCTGTTTCTCCATAATCGTAGACGTTGTTAGCCCCGTGTACTCGCGAAGATCTGAGGCAGAGACGAGATTTAGCTTGAAATCCTTTTGCACAAGAACTCCGCTGACAACTTGTCCAGGTTTGGGTTCACTTGCAGCCAGCCTGCCGACGGTTTTGGCGACCTTCTGTGACTGGAAAGTGAGTTCGACCTCCACGCAATTGCGTGGGTTGTAAACTTTGACTTCTTGCTCGGTTCCTTTCAAAGGCGAATATTTAGACAACAGCGCAGATTTAAGCCGCCCCATATTGTAGGTTTCTCCATGAACAAGAATAATGTTTTTGGCTCCGACTTTGTCAATAAATTCAGAGTTTTGTTTGAAATCAACGTGAGCAGCGAACGAGATTTCTTCTACGGTCATTCGCCGAGGGATTCGCACCTCGTTATTGGCGATAGATGGAATGTCTTCGGGCTCATTGAGAATCTGTTTGCCCATGGTGCCCTCGACGGAATAGCCAGTCATAATCAGCGTGTTACGAGGATCAGGTGCCCATCGCTCGAGCAGCTGTCGGGAAATGCCATTTTGAAGCATGCCAGGACTAGCAAGCATCACGCAGGGACCAATGTCCTGGAACTTGTCGAGGGATCGAATTGACTTCACATGTTTGAAATGGAACGGGTTTACCTTACTTTCGCGGAACCGTTGTTTCAAATAGTCATTCATCATGTTGATGAACGTTTGGTAGACCGCCATACATTTACGAGCCAGCGAAGATGCATAGTAAATGTTGATGGGCTGCAAATCCTGGTGATGGTCCCAATATTCGTCTAGAATGAGCAGCAATTCCTGAGCACGACCCAAAGCAAAGACTGGTAGCAGACAACGGCCGCCCTTCTTGAGTGTAGAATGTACCAAGGATACTAGGCGATGCTCTTTCTCGAGGCGCGGCTGATGGATACCTGTTCCAAACGTCGACTCGCAGATAAGGACATCTGGCTGCTCGGGTGGCAGCTCAGCAGAATGCAGATGCCGATCTTCCTCGCGAGAGTAGTCGCCCGTAAACATAATTTTCACGCCGCCAATCTCAATAAAGTACATGGCAGCTCCCAGGACATGCCCGGCGTGGTAGGCTGTGAATTTGATACCTTTTACATCAATTGTGGAGTAGAAATCAATAGCCTCAATTCTGTCAAATGACTCGTTAAGATCCTCGTCCGAGTACAGGTCGGAATTGCTGCTATCACTTCCAGCAGCCATCCTCACGAAATCACTGAGCAGCCACCGGTAAATGGCCTTTGTAGGGTGCGTCATAAACACTCGCCCCTTGAATCCAGTGTGTTGCATCACATATGGCAAAGAGGCCGCATGATCCAGGTGAAAATGGCTGACAAGCAGCACATCGATCGTCGAGAGATCGTACTCATCATAAAACGGCAGCGATGCCATGCCAGAATACGCCGGATGAACTCCAGCATCCAACATAATGGTTTTCCCCTTGTAAGAAATGATGTGGCAGCTCCGTCCTACCTCTGAACCGCCGCCCAACGCCACAAATTTGAGTTCATCCTCATTGACGGCCGGTCGTTTGGACATCGTTTCTGGCTGACAAAAAGTTGAGGCTTCTTATCATGAGGATTCTGGTTGTAGGATCGGCCAATTCGGGCCAAAAAGAGGCAGTAGAAACGCTACTTGGCAAGAAGACTCATGTGGATGACTGGGAGGGCGCGATGTTTGAGCACACGTTTGACGCGAAGTACTTCAAGGCGCAGGCGGGGATCTGGGTGGATCAGTTCCCCCCAGAAGGCGCCAAAGAGTGGGCCAAGCAGTTTGCCAGCGACGACGCAAAGGAAGTCAGAGACGTCTTAGTGATGGTTATTTATACGTTCGACCGAGCTGATCGTGGTATCGAGCAATTCGTGGATAAACTACAGGAAGAGGCCTGGAGAGGCACGTTTGTGGCCCTCCCGTCTGTCGAACTGGACCCCCACAGTGAAGCTATAATGGACAAGCTGGAGATGACGGTTGTCAATTCAGACGAGCTACTGGATACAGTGCACACGGCACTCTTTGATTGGATCGACGAAGACGACGAGGAGAAAGAAGACGAGGGACCTCACGATGAGGATCTGGAGGAAATCAAGCAGTCACTAACCGAACCACTGCTTCCAATCGACGAATTAGACACAATTATTACGAAACTACGGATTGCTAGGGACGATCAGCAAATGAGCAAACAGGAAAAGATGAAACTCGCCGAGGAGCTCGCCGAAAAACTCGTGCCTTAATTGCGCTTCAGTTTACGTCCAAACACCTTCCGACGTTGCTTCCACATATGCATATAAAGAACGTAGAAAGAAGGAGGGTAAATCAGCAATAAGACCTTGAGGAATAGCGCATAATAGGGATGCCAGAACTGAGCAGCGGGCAGGGCTCGGTAGGCGAGCCAGGCCTCACTGATGGCGCCCAATGGGTAAAGGGCGATGAAAGCGGTGTAACGAATCCACTCGAGAATGGGAGGAACACGGCCTTGGAGTGCAAAGAAGTAGTAAGGGTACCGAATACATTCGGTGATGGCCCAGGCAAGAACCATAGTGGAGAAGGCGACAGAGGCACCCGAAGCAGGGAACAGACGGACGACGCCCCAAATAATTGCCAAGCGAGAGGCCACCTGCATGGCAGTGGTGATCACGCTAGATCTCACCAGCCCAAAAATGACATGGACCACTTCGAGCACAGCAAGGGCCTGGACCCAGCTCACAAACTCGGCCATTCCCTCCGAGACAAACTCGGGACCAACCAAGTAATAAAGGATGCACAAACGCACAAGAATAGCCAGCCACAGCGAGAAGCTGAGCAGGTTGTACAGGCTCAAGTATCTGGACATTTGGGTAAAATCTCACTAAGCTTCAGGCCGGTTGAAATGGACACTTTTGCCGCACTTATTCCAGATGCGGGGCCCGTGCTTGTTGCAGCAGTACCCACACGGCTGGCTCCGCAGTTCAATGGTGCGTTGTCAAAGGGAACACAGGTGCTCGCCCTGGCTATGGACTATTCTGAGGTCGACGTGGTGCTCAAGCTCGCGCAGGTTTCGCGACCGCTCAGAGCATTGGCTACTCACGAGAATTTCTGGAGCCAGTACTTGGATAAACTGGGTGTTGATGTTTCAAATCGCTCAAACCCAGATATTCTGGACACAACTACCGCATTTAATGTTCTAGATGCAGGCTACTATGAATCGGCATATTCAACTGTACTGAGAATAATGAGGCTGGTGGGAATCTACTACGAAAACTCGGAGTTAATCACAAAAGATTTTGCTAATCCTGCCGACCAGGCACGTATTATCGTATTGGCCAAAAAATTGAGCTGTTTGGACGAGTGGGCTCCAGCGGACCAGCAACGCAAGCTTGAAAATCTGTACAACACTGGCGAAACGCTGAAACAAAACGCCCTTGATGAGTTCCAGGCCAAAGTTGACGCTGGCAATCGGGCTGGTTTGACTCCCCTGGTCGAGCTGCTTGTGATGTTACATGCTGGCGACAAGCTTGTCAAGTTTTATTTATCGAAACTAGAGCTTCCTGAACCTGTTTCGCTGCTGGAAATCGACGGTGTTTCGCTGCCTGCACTAGAACGCTTGCAGACGCGAGCTACCGAGGTCACAAATTATCTCAACTCTAAAGCCAAAGAGATTGATGAGATTTTTGGTTCTAGATTGCCGGTTTACCAGGGAGTTTTAGAAAAGGTTTTTGAAGAGAATATCATGATGCTTGTCAACAGTTTATGCCAGGAGGAAAAAGAGACAGGACCAGAGGAATACTTTGCGTTCGTGCCCCAGTGCTATCACGTCCTGAACAAACAGATTGATCGACTGGAGCCGTGTCAAAACGTCGGCGGAGACGTCCAGAATAAAGCTCGGAAGCTTTTGCAAACGTACATGGAGGTTGAAATCGAGACTTTTCTCGATCAACAGAGCGAAAGCTTCCTTGAGCTGGCAAATGGCAAAGTCAGCCAGTGGGCAACTAAAATTGCAGAACAAGAACACATATACGAGCAGATCACGTTGCAAAATGTGCCAGGGTCTCAGGAAAAGTCGAATTTTCTGCGGTCATTTAAAAAGGTCTTGATGATTGGCGGTGATGCCGATACGAAACAAGAAAACAGCATTACAGAGTTCGAGACGCAAGCAAAAGTAATGGATTCAAAACTCAAAGGTATCGAGACGCTATTTAGTCTTGAGCTGACTCTTAGCATCATTGCAGTGGCCAGAACAGCAATCAGAAGAGCTCGCGAGTTCGCAAACTTGTCTGGCCCACTTGGCCAGAGTGCGAAAAAGCGCGCAGAAGAACTGTTTGTCGATCTCGTGGGTATCATTGGTGACAAGCATATCTACCTTGGATTTCAAAGTGCTCTGAATACGCTAAACCAGTACGATCCCAAAAAGTATGGCCGACTTGTTGCCTCGGGTGAGGGCGGCGATGATATTATGACCGTCGAGCCATTGGCGATTTTTGCCGAGCTTGTGAATATCGGTGACCTGATCCAGCAAACAATCCATATGTTTTTTGAGCAAGAGCTCGCTGCTCCAAAGATTGTCGACCGTCACGACTTTGTCGCACCAAGCGTGAATACCAAGCGACGGTTCGAACAAATGCTCGACAAGTGGGTTGCAGATGGGCTGAGTCGCGGAATCGATGTACTGATTGAGCAGATTGATTTTGTTTTAATGACAGTACAACTGGCTTCAGACTACAACCCGCTTCCTGGTAGCCCGCCCGAAGTCGGGGCCACTGGCGCGGCCAAGCAAGTCATTTCTCTTGTAAAATCGCACGTATACTTGCTGGTTGGATCTACTGAAAAATCGGTCTTGGATGTCTTCCAGCAGGAGGTTGGACTGAGGCTGTATCACTCGCTTTGCAAACATATCAAGCGTCAAACAATAAGCCAAGAAGGTGCTATTCGGCTGATTTCAGATATGAACTATTACTATGAGTTTATTCTTAGTCTGCGGCAGCGCCAGTTATACCCGTACTATGAGGCGCTGAAGCAAATCTCACAACTGTTTCTGATAGACAGCGCCGACGGTAGACAGATTGGGGTTGCAATCAGTGATATGTCACGCTTCAAATGTGTATTGAGCTCGGATGAGCTTGTGGAATTTGTTCGCCGTCGTCGTGATTGGCCGGTTGTGAAGCCCAAAGTAGAACGGGTCCTCTACGGTTTCGGTGAGTGTATCATTAGCTAGTACGTAACTACGAAGGAGCTACTATTTATATCGTCCAACAACGGGAACATTTGTCTAGAAAGTTTAAAGTCGCTAAATCCCGCCAGATCAATTTTGCGGAGTTTGGGCGCCCCCTGATGGAGGGGCCGCCAGTTGACCTGGTGGGCAATCATCAAATGGAGTTTGAGATACTCTAGGTTCGGGGCTAGATGCGAGGTGTCGTGTATGAGTCGTTCAGAAAATGCAAAAGGGTGCAAGTTGCCATAAATAATAATCGTCAAATATTTGAGATCTCCTATATTTGCCAATTGCATAGGATATTCCCATGTACAGTTGTACAAAGACAGAGAAGAGAGATGCAGCAGCGGGTCGGGGGCGGGAAGCAGAGCAAATTCAGCAAGTTCGAGGCACTCCAAGGCTGGGAAGTTGAAACTAATGTGTTCAAAATCGAAGATCTTTACCTGGCCGTTCCCAATAGTTTTAAGTTTTAACGTTTTGATGGGTAAAACACCAACATACTTGAGCCATCCGGACGATGAACCCATACAAAAAACACTTAGAGACTCAAACAATGGGGAACAGCTGGCCACATCAGCCAATTGTGCACTGGCCTTCCACTCACCACCTGCGTGTGGGGTATGTATGCGTAATTCACATAAAAATTGCGTCAAGTTCGTGTGGGACGCGCAGAGCTCGGCCAGGTCACTCCATTCGGCGTAAATAATAGAATATACCGCTGGATCCAAAAGGGTTTTGAACTTCTGGCACGAGAGATGTACCGCAAACAGATCCTCGCGACGCAGAAACCCGAAAATTTTCAGGAGAATCTCCGCCGGCAGATTCATACAGCTCAACCAGCCCTTTTGAAGGGTTTAGTCACGTTTGGTCACACTTGATCGACAATATAGAAACGTATGATTTTAGTAGTTTCGCGGAATCGAAGCGGCGAAATGGCCAAGAGACTACCCGAATTCGAATGAGTGAGCAGCCGATAAGCTAGCCGAAATAGCCACTTCTCATAACTGGCCAATCACGCCTATTTGAAATTTACTGATCGTTTTACATAATTTTTTTTTTGGAATTCTGCAGTACATACATTAACCGGCCGGGTACCTTGCACCGGCTGCGGCGCTATCGACCGACAATAAAAATGGAAACAGGGTCATTCGGGAGCCATTAAAGCGCCTACAGAATGGCCCGCCACTAAATCTAAAACCCTGAGGCTTTTTGTTCTTGTTTTATCAGTTAAAGTTCGAAGCCGCCATGGCCTGTCAACCAACGGGCCTTAGGCGCACGCCTGACTACACAGAAGGACCATGCAGAGCCTCGCGGCATATTTCCAGACAGTTCTTGGCGGCTCAACTGCCATTGATAAAGCCGTCACAGTAACCACAAAAGCCCAGAATAGAGCTCAAATGACTTTGCCGTTTAAACTCTTACTTTCTCATCTTACTTCAACCTTCGTCAAGGCCAACATGCAGGGAAGCGAAGGTCGAAGTGACCGCCGGTAGGGTCCTCATGGATACTGGTGAGCGGATAATGCGAGTACAAGCGATAAAGCCAAGAAAAGACAATATATCGATCCAATCTCAAATATAAAGCCTCTGTATACTTATTAGCCGCTCCTACTATAAGATTAACTCAGTATGCGTTTAAATTGCGTTGTTTCGGCGTCTCCCTGTAGAGCTTGCCCTGACAAATGTGGGAACCTTGACGGGTGACGAGTACCTTGATGGTATTACTACATGGGACCTCGCAGCGCATATTTATACTTCGATTCGCACCATCAACACCACAGACAAGGATCAGAAAGCTGCGGAAACAATGTCTATGAATATTTCAGATGTACCGGCAGCCCCTATCCATAATACAGATGGTAGGCCATGGTGGTATCGGTGGGATCCCACTCAAGTGTACCTCACCGACGAAACGGTAGATGAGTCCTGGAAAATCTGCACGCTCAACGGAGTGTACTTCTCATCACAGGAATACAGCGGAAATACGGGCGGTCGTATTTCTTCTATCTTTGTTATTCTGGTAACCTCTTTGATTGTCACAGTCTTCCCTGTTCTTGCTACTCGTATCAAGTGGCTGCGTATCCACAAAACCATCTATGTTGTTGCCAAAAACTTTGGTACCGGTGTCATCATTGCTACAGCTTTCATCCATCTTATGGATCCTGCGTACGCGGCCATTGGTCCGCAGTCGTGCGTTGGGTCAACCGGCAATTGGTCAAAATACTCCTTCGCTCCGGCCATTATGCTTGCTGGAGCCACAATTACCTTTTTGATTGACACATACAGCGACTTTTTTGCTCAGCGATGGCGTGAGAACCGAGGAATCTTCGCCCATGGCCATTCCCACAACGTCGACGACTTGATTCTCGGTGAAAATCGGAATGAGACTCCTGGCGGTCAAATAGAAGCTGTCAGTCCCAGCCTTTCGAGGGATGAGGCTAATTCGACACAAGACAAAGGTGGAGATGTAAGTGAAGACACTGTGTCCCAAAACAGCGACCTGTTTGACTTCTACTCCCAGATCTACGGCTTTATGATTCTGGAGTTTGGTATCATCTTCCACTCGGTCATGATCGGTCTGACCTTGGGCACTTCCGATGAATATGCCACGCTCTACGTTGTACTTGTGTTCCACCAGGCTTTCGAGGGTCTGGGTATTGGCGCCCGTTTGTCAATGATTCCTTTCCCCGAATCGAAAAAATATCTGCCTTACCTTTTCTGTCTCGGCTATGCATTGGCAACTCCCATTTCCATTGCAATTGGTCTTGGCGTCCGTTATACTTACCGCGATGACGGGTACACCGCGCAGGTTGTGAGTGGGTCCCTAGACTCTATTTCCGCAGGCATTCTGCTCTACACAGGCTTTGTTGAACTGCTCGCACGCGACTTTATTTTCAACCCCAAGCGAACCAGATCGGTTTGGGACCTCACGTTCCAACTCTTTGCTCTGCTGTGGGGTGCTGGGCTGATGGCCATGCTCGGAAAGTGGGCCTAGGTAAAAAAACAGTGCCAATCCACCCCCAAAATTTCCGACAACAAAACTAATATTCTACTTCATAATATTACTCTAAAAATCCTAGTATTCTATCCGTTTCGCCCCGGCGCTCGCAACTTGATCATGCATGTGCTTGGACCCAGGCTTCTCAGCTATGGCATGTAAGCGCCCGTGCACCGCGCGATCTTCTGTGCGACGCGGAGATGGGCCATCTGCAGTTGCAAAAGAACAAAATCAAGAGATTGTAATAAATGCAGCTAGGTAGGTTCTCATTAATCGATTGCCGATTTTATTTTAGTCTGTAGAGATGAAATAGTCGCTATTGGGTGGTTTTCCTGGATTAATCCCACCTCGCGGGTTGTTCCACGCGTCAGAGAGGCATCGTGCCCTAACCCACAACATACCAGAGGACGGGCGACAGAGCCTTTACTAGTAAGCGGCTAGAGACTATCACTTCTGCCCTTCACGCCCCGTCATATAAGCTTGTTGATCTGTGGTTGATCGTTTGTTGCACTCCTTGAGTCATTTTAGTTTGTTAGCAGTCTCCAAGACATTCGCCTCGTTGGGCTGCCGGTTTTCTCTTTGTTTACATTTCGTTTTTCGGACCCGGTGCTCTCCTCATTTTCCTGTTCTGGGAGCGATCATTTTTTTGTTGAAGACATCCCAAACTAGAACACGTTTGCCGCAATGAAGGACTCTCCACGGAAGCAGAAGGCTTCTTCCTCCACCTGGCAAGCATATAGTTTTGAGGGCAATTCCAACAATATACTCAAGTCATTGCGATCGGTTTACCTGCCGCCGCCGCCTTCCTCAGACGGCTATACAAGCGCAAAGCTCAAGTCTGGCGCTACATCTAGCCATCGATACCCGTTGGCTGATACGACTAATATTTTACGCACCCCTCAGTCGCTGCCTCGTCCGAACGACAGCTCGGCTGCGTCTACATTCTCCAAGCGCCCAGCTTCCACAGACGACGTCAGTGAGTTGCGCCCGCACCATCCTCAGTTTGTGCCTTATGCGTCTGGCCACCAGAACCACATGCTATCTCCAGGCGACTCTCCGCTAGCTGGCCCAGAGATCCTGGGGTCTTTGCCCGTCGACTACACTCCCACGCGGTTCGATCGGCCGCTCAGTGCCCCGCCAGCCTCGGGGGTACACAACATGCCACATTTGAGTCTCATGGAGCCACCGACTCTCCCTTCTAGCATGGCCCCACCGTCTTTAGGTGAGTTCGGCGGCCACTCCAGACAGTCGTCCCAAGCCAGCTCAGGGCCATCTGAGATCAAGGGAGCGGCAGCAGAGGCTTCGTTCGGCGAAGAACTACCTTTGATTGAAGATGACGGCTCAAAGCCCCCGTACTCGTATGCCATGCTTATTGGAATGTCAATTCTGAGATCACCCAACCAGCGGCTCACTCTTTCACAGATCTACGATTGGATTAAAACTACCTTCTCCTGGTACAAGAACTCAAAGCCCGGTTGGCAGAATTCCATCCGTCACAACCTCAGTCTCAACAAGGCCTTTGTCAAACAGGAACGACCCAAGACCGATCCCGGCAAGGGGAACTACTGGGTTGTTGCACCAAACTGTGAGCAGCAATTCATGCGTCCTCGCCTCCAGAAGCGCTCCAACCAGCTGCCCAAAACAGAGCTTCAACTTTCGTCGACTCCGTCGTTGGCTTCGGCAGGTGCCAAACCAGTGCTGGACAACCTCCCGCCGGGGGTTTTCAAGCCCTCAGAGTTGATGGCTAGAAGCTCACAGAGTAAGGTCAGTGCATCCTTGAGTGAAGCAAGCGACGACGACTCTGCAAGCACCGATGAGGAGGGCTCGGACTATTCTGACCCTGTTGCCGAGCCCTCGTCGCTCAAGCGCCCTCGGTCAGCTGGTCCCGAGCTTGGATCGGCCAAAAAGCAGATGAAAATGTCCGATGTTCCTATACTAGCTGCACCTCCCACACTCTGGATGCCTCACACCGACGAGTCTGCTTCCAATATCTCGTGGGAAGCTCGAGAGCACGCCAGGTTCCAGCTGACCCCTCCTCGACGATTCGAGTCTTCGTCTGGTACAGGTAATCGACTGATGTCGGAATCAATCCCCAGTCTCCGGGTCCTCGAACCATCCCCCGCATCCAAATATGGATCGCCGAACACTTCATTGCGAAACCACCGGGCATACATTCAAAGTCTCACCACGCCTTCATTCGAGATGCAGACCATGATGGCATCGCCTGCTCGACGGGTGACCGAAGACGATGACGATGCATTCCAGCGAGTATGGCTCCACTCCCCTGATAAAGCGGATGCTCGTCGTCGTCTGTTCGAAGGACAATCCGGATTAGACGACAACGTCCCTGATGTATTTGGCGTTGACGTTTGCGCAGTCATGCGAAGAGCGGCGTCAATTCCCAGTGCCAACTCCACTTTCAATACCATGACACCGGTTCGCCGTGCGTTCGACACGCCAATCCGCGATCAGACCCATGTGTTCAGCCCATTCAAGCTCTCCCCGAGCTTCGGCTCCCCTCGGCGATCTTGACTGAAGGTCGCATATATATTTAAATCCCCACGCCCACATTCGTTTGCACCTCTCCAACAGGTGATATCCTTTTTAATTAATTAATTAATTATTTCTTTATTTTCCCGCAAACAAGTCGTAATGTGACCTGTCACATTGCCGTCCTGGCGCCTCGTTCTTCTATAAATTGGGCTGGCTAATCGTCGAATCCGAGTATATTCCCAATAAATATGCAAACCTGATAACCACCAAATCCACTGCCATCAACACGCTGTCGCGGGCCAGATCGATTTTCGAGCCCTCTACCTCGTGCCAATTGATTGCAACCTCGCTGATAGCAATCTTCTTCCGCATAGCGATAATGAGAACCTCAACATCGAAAATCCAGCGTTCGGTATGCATGTAAGGGAAGATTGCCTTTGCGGCTTCCCTGGTGAACATTTTGAAGCCGCACTGAGTGTCGCCAATAGTGCGGATGCCAAACACGTACAGGAGAGTGTGCAGTCCGTACATGAGGAAGTTGCGGATGAACGTACGTTTGACAACAGCCTCAGACTTTACAAGATGCGCACGACTGCCAATAGCCACTGCACGCTCCGAGTCTCCTAACGCCCGATGTAACAGGGCGGCATCAGAAAACTTGGACGCCCCGTCGGCGTCTGCAAATAAAATGACTTTTCCACGAGCGTGTCTTATGCCATGAATGACAGCACCACCTTTGCCACGGTTATTTTTAAGCTCAATAATCCGGAACTGATCCTGCAGTAGCCGGTTTTTGGCAGCCCAACGCAGGGCAACTCCGACCGTGTCGTCGGTTGACGCATCGTTGACCAGGACTAGTTCCCAGCCATCGCCGTAAACGCTCTTCAATTCGGGCAGGGCTTCGTCAAGCATAATTTCTATGCGCTCGCTTTCGTTGTAGCATGGAACCACTACCGAAAAATCCACAGTGGCCTGGTCATCAAGCCTAGGGAGGGGGTGCTTTTCCGAGGCCCCACCATCGGGCATGAACGAAACATACTCTAACTCACTCGGGAACGCTGCGCGGGGTACGTGACTGAACGCGTATACTGTGAGATAGAGTAGTGCAACTAGTGCTATAGCCACGATGAGGGCAATCACACCAGGTGAAGACATAGAGAGTACGCAGTCAACCGAAACGTGGGACGGGTGTTGACCAACTTGACAAAAAACCGTACGGGGTGTTGGAAGATGATCGCAGAAACCTAGGGGTGTTAGTCACAATTTATTGTGAAGGCATGGACGGTCAACAGAGGGGCGGGCAATGTGCTCGGTTTCTGGGCTCAAACAGGAAATTACCAGAACCAGTAATCTTTTCTTAACACAATTGCGGAGACCCGACCCCGCTTCAAGGAGCATGCATAATCCCATGCTTGGAATCAACATTTGCAAGCTCGATTTGTGGTCGCAGGAAAATCGTCGGAAGCGCATTGGCACTGATGCTAGATGTGAATCGAGTTTGAGAATACAGAACCTACTCTTTAAGTGAAAATTATACCCATAAGAGCGTGAATAGAGTTTCTGACTTCTACAACCACTAATGACCGAATCCGTTCACAAATCCACAACTGAGAATGAACTGCGTGCATACCGCTAACGCAGACTAGCTAAGATGACATCTTCTATATCCCGAATAAAAGACGAGAAACAGGCACGGAAGACACCAAAACCTACTCCAATAAGGTTCAAATTATTCCTACTACGATGCTGCGTTATATATCAAGTTCAGGGCGGTCGAATTCAGTTTCTTCGACTCACTGATCTGTTTTTCGCTAACCCTAGTAATCAGGGGTTACACGCAGAATCACGTCACGACGACGAACACGGACTTTAATATTAAACGCCCTTGGCTTTGAGCAAAATACCCCAAAAAACTGTCCTCCCTGCTTGATGAACTCTTACGCGCTAGAGACTGAAAGCCGTCTCCAGGATGTTTATCTCCCCCACGGTATCTACAACGACTTTGGAAACACCGGTTACGACTTCCCACCCATGGAGTATATAGCGAACGTGTCTGGTGCGATGAACTCTAGCTACTCCCCCAAGCGGCACCACCAACAAGACCAGATGGCAGGTATAAAACTATCTCCAATGATTGCAACGTTCCCCCCCACCCCAGTGGTTGTGAAATTCGAGCGGGATCCTGTGGGTCCGAGCGATCATGCACAACACGTTTATTCTGGGCCGATTGGCGCACATGCTCCTTACATGGATCAACTTGATGGCAGTACGCTTCAAGGTACACAGTATCATGAAGAGCTCAAAAGTCCAATCAAGGCGGCACCAGAGTGTTCTATCGAATATGACACTGAGACATCAAGAGACACTTCTATTGAGCCCTGCGACTCCGATCCTTATTCTGGACTACCTGCATCCTCGTCAATTTCTTTGCATGAAGGATCATATAATGTCAGCGAGATAAGTGGAGCCGAGAACTTTCCATTGTATGAGCCCTTACCGATAATAAAGCTCGACTTTTACAATGGGGCGTTCAGCGAGGTTACGTATCCTATTGACAATGTGATGCTTGGCCAAGCGATCGGTATTAAAGTTCCTAATTCCACCCGTAATGCCAAGCAAAATTTGGCTTTGATTAAATATAAAGCGAGATTCAAGAAGCTGAAGAAGATGATGGCGGAGAATAGAAAGCAGGAGGAGGTGGAAAGGCTTCTTAGGGGGAAAGAGCGTCATCGAAGAGCTCTCCGTCGACTGCAGCTGAAAGGTGGGAAAGAAAACGAGGAACCGGCCATTGAAGAGCCTCAGGAGGAGGAACAAACTATAGAGGAAGACGCAGAGCCTGAACTACCCGAATTTGCCGAGACATTGAGTTCAGAACTAGACTCCAGCGTAGCTCAGCTCAAGGCAGTTACTGGAATCAAGACATTAGAGTTTGAGCGGATCGTTTGTCAAGAAACTCCCAGAAGTCAAATAATCATGATTGGGGTTAATGACGATCGGTCTGTTGGCGGGATGGTTATCGATGTGCCCGACCTAGCGCTGCCGCCAATTCGCGAACTGAAAGAGCCGGAGAACCCGGAGCCACCAGTTATGGAGGTAGAGGAAACAACCATCCCAACATTTACCGACAAGGAGCGCGGGTTCATTGCCCGCATGGTTCTACATCCGCGGGTATGGAAGCAGAGCATGCAGGTCATCAGAGGCGGCCTGCACTGCCGGAACAAGCAGTGCACCACAACGTTTTGCAGTGTGGCTGAGCTTGCATTGCACTTTGATAAAAACTCCAATTGCTACAGGGGCTCTGAGCTGTTCTGTGTACACAAGACATGCCCGTGGTCATTTGTTGGATTTCCAACTCAAGGAGAACTGAACCGTCACATGCGTAGCCAGCATTCAGGAGACTTTTTCCAGTGTCCATCGTGCGGTAAGGAATATTCTCGTAGTGACAGTCTTAAGCGTCATATGGCACGATGCAGCGAGGAAATCCCATCCGACATATTGAAGGCATCGGACTGCAGCGAGATCAACCCCACACATTACTTAGCACATGTCACCAAGGGGACCGACGGTCGTGAACGGTACGAGAGCACAATTTCTCTGGAGAACAGTCTCAAGATACGCAAAAGCCGCATAAGTAAGGTGGTGTTTTCAATGGTGAACATCAGCCACGACTTCCTTGCTCACTAGTGGTTTGATCCAGGCGTATTTTTAGCATCCTCAGCGCCCTTTTTTGTGCCCTTACCCCTAATTCGAAATGCCCACCCTCTGCGTCGATTTGAGTCAATTGCTCTAGCCCGCCCAGGAAAATTGACAGGAGGTGGCATATAATGAGTGCCAATAAAGCTCGAGTTTGCAAGCAGATAGCCGAATTAAAGGCTGCCGTTCTAATTACATATAAATAATCCAAAAAAAGTAAAGTGCAAACCAGCTGCAATCCAGACTCATCAGCGTTGTTTGCTGCGGTTACCTTGCAGGCGGATAGATGGACGTTTTTTTGCCGACCCACCATAGGATCGAGAATTGTGTTGCTCCCTTATCGAGGGTATTGTTTTGCGATCTATTCATAATCTAGGACCAGCTGAATACGAATATTATACGCTCTCGACTGCAGAAAGCACTGGGTCCATGTCTTGGCTCGTGCTCGGCACCGTCGCTTCTTTTGTATTGGGTGGCTCACGCATTGGTTGATTGCTCTGCCAACCCATGCAAAACACTGCATGCTGTACATGCACTACCTAAACCAGGAGTGGCGTGGTGGCGCCCAGTGGCGCAAGAGCGCTCGTATATCAAGCAAACGCCACGCTTTCGAGCTTTATTTCAGGACAGGATGAAAAACTGGTCATACTGCAACCGCAAACTACCGTATAGGCTCAGATTAGTTCCCGCTAGGGCTTGTGCCTCTTTTACAGACGGTCGGCTTACTTAGCAAACCAGTAGCACTTCGTCTGTCTGCTCAGTCTTTAGATGAGATTTTTGAAGCAGTTTACGGCATCTTGGCGGCTCGAAAATCTTACCCAGGGTTTTCAAATATACGACTAAATAGATTTGTTCAAAATATTCTCCACTATCCTACCAACCGCCCACCCAAACAGGAAAATAATCCCGGAAAACATGATCATGGGCCACAAGCAGCCTGTATGCGAGTGACTCACGTCATCGAACCTTTTGAGAACTTGGTTCTCCAACCGTACAGGCCGCATATAAGTAATCCAGGTGATCCTGCATGTTAAAACAATCTCCCAACTTTTTCATCTCACACACCCGGCACTAGCAATGAAAGTCACACACTTCATTGCTGCTCTTTGGCTACTCAAAGGTTCACTAGTCCTAGGCCATGAGGATATGGATATGGAGCATGACGCAGCTCCTGCGGTTCCTGCCGCCGGTATGGATGCTGCTATGCCCTCCATGACCGCCTCACCGGCATCCATCCACTCGAGCCACCACCATGGTCGCTTAATCCTCAACAACCCAGATTTGGAGCCCCAGCAGAGAGCATACTGGGAGAAGTACAACACGACCAATTTCTTCAACAGTGACCAAGGAAGCAAGGTTGCATTGTACTCACATGCAATCCTTGCTTTTGTTGCATTCGGTCTCCTCACGCCGATGGCGATCTTATTGTCCATGGACAGTACATGCTCATGGCTTTATTTACCGTTGCAAACGCTTACAAGCCTGATGGCGGTTGGATCTTTCTTCTTTTTGGCCATGTATTCCGCAACTGCGCCCGCCCTTTACCCTGGAAGCATCTATGGCGGATTCACCTTTTTGATGCTTTTGCTTGTTATTACTCATTGGACAGCTCTTGCTGTCAAGTCAGTAGCCCGCTATTTGGGCGCTATGGGCCCCGTAGAGGGTGCCGACTATATGCTCGCCAACATGCAGAGGCCTTCGAGCGACTCTGGGCACCAGGTCAGCGACGACGGATTCGACGATGACTTGGTATTGGAGGATCCTGAGGCTTTCGCGCCCCAGCGAAGCCGCACGTCACCTCTTGTCTCCAAAATGGCCCGCAATTCGGTTGTTCACCGCATTGCTTCATCCTTCGGCAAGCTTGCGTCGGTCATTTTCGCCGCCTTGAACATTCCAATATTCTTCCTCGGATTCGCCTACCTGTTTGTTGGCCTGGTTACCGGTGAATGTATGGGCAAAGGTCATATGATTTTTGGTCTTCTTGCCCATTTGATCAAGGGCTTTGTATTCTTCCTTTTGGGTTTCGTCGAGTTGGCCCGCTACTGCGGGTTCCTGTCAGCGCATGGCATGGCATGGAACCGCCGCGATGAGGACATCTATCCTGCCAAATCTCGAGTCGTTCCCGAGCCGGTGCCCCAGCGCACCTCATTTTTAGGACGATTCAAGTTCTGGCCCAGCGAGCCAACCATGGAGTATATCCAGTCTCTGTGTATTTTTATCTATGGCATTACCAACGTTTTCTTGGAGCATCTCGGTAACGAGGATGGTGTTTGGTCGCATAAAGACATTCAGCATGCCTCCATCGCCTTCATGTTCATTGGCGGCGGCCTTTCCGGCTTGGTTATGGAGTCTGAGTTTGTTCGCAAGAGCATTGCTGCTGGTTTCGGCGTCGAGCTTGGAAAGCGGTCTTATTACTCTTTCAACCCTATGCCTGCGTTTACAGTGTTTTGGACGGGTGCACTCATGTCACGACATGAGCAGGAGACTCCGTTATCCACTGAGATCCACATCCAATGGGGCAGTCTTCTTAGTCTGGCCGCGGTGATTCGTCTTTGTACATACCTGATGCTTTACCTGCGTCCGATTCCTGAGGATTCTCAACCTCAGAAGCCGTTCACCGAGATCCTCGTCTCCTTCTGCCTGGTTTGCGGAGGCTTGATTTTCATGAGCTCCAATCGTGAGACTGTAGAGGCCATGATCTACCGCGGTATTGACTCCATGTTTACATTGAATGTGTCTGTTGGAATCAGCGCCCTTCTGATCAGCTACGCCGTCTTTGCCTATGCGGTTCGGGGTCTCGCCATCAGAAGATCGAAGCCCGCCTATTAATTTCAATGACCCCCATTTTACCCCAATTTCCACTCAGCGTCTGGGACGTTTTGAGAAAATATCTCCTTTCTTTTTTTCCTACCTTGTCCTGTGGCTATCATGTCCCGGGCCCAATCGGTCTTTTGCGGCCTGCTTCTTTTATTATATTGTACATGTAGCCTTTTGTAGGATAATCGTTGAGGTTCATTTTATTGCAATAGAATATATATACTGGGGGCTAAAGCTGGTTCTCGTCAAAGTCTTTGCTTTGTAGATGCTGGGCTTCTGGAGCGCGGTAGTTTGTAGAGGAAATCCCCGTCCAGAACTTTTCAAAGGGTTTCAAAAGAATGAACTGTAGCTTGGCTCGGCGTGAATGCTGTGGTTCGCCGTTATGAGGGCGTAGGTTCGCCCGCCGCACTACGTTCCGGGTATAGCCAATGATGACCATCATGAAATAAAAGCGAACGAGCAGCACCAGTGTTGTGAAGACGATGGTGACGGCGAGTTCTTCGCCGACGGTTGCACTCTTCTTCAGCTTGTCGGGGTCGCTGGTTGCTCGCATCAAGAGAGGCATGATGGGTGCGTGGGTTTGCTGCAACTTGGTGCTTGTCCTAGTTGCAACATGCTTGACGGCAGCGGACGTTGCGTTGACGATAGCCGACATTGTGGAGTTGGACGCAGCAGTCCCCTGATTCACGGCATCGGCCTGTTTGGCACCGGTAACAAACCAGTGCACAATGAAAAACACCGTAAATCCCAGCGAGACGAGGGTGTCGATAATATAAAAATATGCATAGCCCAGACAAAGCAAGGGCCGCTGCTTTCTGATAGCAAAATAGCCCCAAATAAACATAGGTAGTACGGCCAGTCCCAAAACATTCAAAATCCACTCCATCACAGTGAGCTCATGGCCAGTGAACAGCGCACCTAGCCCGTAAATAGAACTGGCCTTGTTGAACACTCCAAACCCTGCAATCATCTCGGCGCCGGCCTGGAGCGGCATAAATAGGAAAAAGCTTTTCGGTATAATCGAAAACATGCTGAGAAAATGGCGCTTGGATCGGTGAAAATCGACTTCCGCGCTTACGTCTTCAGGATGTTGCTGACGGAGAAATCAGATAATTTTTTTTTCTCTCTTATCAATGGGGGACGAGTTGAACCGAATTATGGACAAAATGTCCTTGCGGGACGAGGACTTTTTTAAAAAGGGAACGAGGTCGGCCAAAAATGCCTCTGGCGCCACCAACGACCGCGCCAACCGGGCAACCACCGAACAAGTGCTGGATCCCAGGACCCGAATGATCCTGTTCAGAATGATCAATCGCGGAGTCTTTGACAGCTTCAGAGGCTGCTTGTCGACCGGAAAAGAGGCGAATGTCTATCGTGCCACCACAGATGACGGACTCCAACGAGCCGTCAAGGTTTACAAGACATCGATCTTGGTGTTTAAAGACAGGGATCGGTACGTTACGGGCGAGTTCCGCTTCCGATTTGGTTATTCTAGACACAATCCTCGCAAAATGGTCAAGCTATGGGCAGAAAAGGAAACCAGAAACTTGAAGCGTATCTGGAAGAGCGGCATTCCTGTGCCCAAGCCTTTGCATCTCAGTATGCATGTTCTAGTCATGGAGTTTTTGGGTGACGACGAGGGCTGGCCTTCTCCGAAACTCAAGGATGCGTCGATTGAGCCCGAACGCTACGAGTATTTGTATTTCCAGGTGCTGGCGTACATGCGAATCATGTATCAGCAGTGCAGACTTGTCCATGCAGATCTTTCAGAGTACAATATTTTGTATCATCAAGAAAAGCTGTGGATCATTGACGTATCGCAGTCTGTTGAGCACGATCATCCTTCTTCGCTTGAATTTTTGCGTATGGATATCAAAAATGTCAACGATTACTTCCAGCGACAGAACGTGAAGCCATTTTCGGAAAGGCGTCTCTTCAAATTCATCACAACCCCTCAACTCAAAGGCACGGACTTGGAAACCGTTGACTCGCTCATTGAACAGCTTCGCGAACAGCCAGAAGAGTCTCTGACGGAGCAGGAGCTGGCCGACGATGCGGTGTTCCGGTCGATTTATATTCCCAAGACACTTAATGAAGTTTTTGATATTGACCGTGACGTGGAAAGGGTTCAGCAAGGTGAGAGCGGTGATCTTATTTATAAAGACTTGTTACAAAACGACTCCAAGCAGGATCCAGATGCCCTTGAATCAGAGGACGAGTCAGAGAGTGACTCAGAGTACGATTCCGACTCCGAAGAAGACGAAGACGAAGAAGAGGAGGAGGATGAAATCACCGACGTGTGGGACGAGAACTGGGAGCATAGACCTGCAGCTGAGCGCAAGTTTGTCGATCGTGATGCGAACAAGGAACGCAAGAAACAGATCAAAGAGGAACGCAAGCAGAAGCGAGCAGTCAAAATGAAAAAGAAGGACAAGAAAAAGCTCATTGCCAACTCTAAGAGTAAAGGAAAAACACGAAAGTAATAAATACTAATTTAATCTACTGTGGATATTGCCCCACCAAACCGGCCATCTCCAATATTGCCCTGTCTTCGGGATCGTTACGGCGTCTTTGTTGTTGGAGGAACTTTGCTTGAAGATCCATTTTGCGGTATTGCTCTTCCAGTTCTTCTTTATCGCCGATTCCCCACAGTTCGATGCGGTTGATTTCAAACCGGTCTTCGTATTCTTCATTGTCACCGGAACAAGAAACAAACGCACCGCCAGGGCCGAGATTTCTAAACACACCAAACTCGAACGAACTGTCTAAAAACAGGGACAGGTTGCCGATCTTGATCGGTTTCCCTGGCTCATCGTTTTTAGGCAGCGGAGCGCCGAAACTCAGGCCTCGCTTGGAAGAAAAATACGCGTGATCCGATGGGCCCACAGCTTTATAAATATCAAATTCAGGTGAGAGTTGGATAATCTTGGTTTCATTGTCGCCAAAGTTACCCACCTGCCGCCAATTGCCATGAATGTAAACAGCGAAAGCCACACGCTTAACTTTGCGGGCCTTGACACCAGGAACCCTTGGAGCCACTATATCCAGCAACGGAGAAGCAGTGTCCAATATATGACCCGACACGAGCAGCAGCGTTGGGGTTCGCCAGTCGGATACCTTTGACTGCAGGGCCTGCATAGAGAACCCGTGTTCGCGGCCATTGTAAAGACTGATCATGGTGTGTGTATTGGTCCCGAGAGCTAAAAACAGCTCACAAAGATAATCCCGTGGAATATCTGGAATGCTAGGTGCAGGCTCCTCCTGCCTGTCGGGGTAGAGGAGTTGGTCAAAGATGATTGACAGAGAGCTCAGAATAGCGGGGTACAAATTCATGAGCCTGTGGAATGAGTCAAAAGAAATAACGGGCGCCTTTACACTTTTGAGCAACCGCTCAGCCACCCGCTTGTCTTTTGTGGTGACATCGATGTCAAACTTGGCAGCAGGCGCTTTATCGTAAACAGACACCAACAATGACCACAGATCCAGCAGATCCTGGTATGCAATATAGTACTTTTCAATATCCAGCGAGGAAACCAGCTCTAGCGACGGAGCAGTCTCCTCCTTATTGGCAGTGGCGGCAATTGACAAAAACAAAAGGCGAATATAGTCTTGATCCGAGATACCCAGAGGCGTCAAAATATTCCTATTGAAAAATGCAATGACCGTAGGAACATTCTGAGAAATGTCGAGCCTTTTCGACAAGCCAATGGGGTACGAGGCGAAAAACTGAGCCACCCTGAGGTATACGTCAGCTCCTGCACAACCGTTTATGCCTAGTAACCGGGGGACGTCTTCCTCATTGATCTGCTGCTTTGCTAGGCTCAGTTTATCTAACTCTGTCAAGAAGCGCCTGGCCGTCCGCGATAGTTTTAGTGCCGGATCGCCCCTTGCCGTTGGTTGGCTTTGGCCCTGCCCCATGTTAGTATTATAAAGCCTACGTCTGAAACGAGCAGGGTTGGGCCAGTCTCCTCGGTGTATGCCAAGAGAGATGCCAACTGATCGGGCATTTATGCCGAAGAAAATCAATAGAATCTAAACAACTGAGGTGGAATAGTAAACGAAGCCAAGAAAATCCGCTGTTTGCCACCGGCGGCATGCCGTTCGTTCTCGTGCATAGCCGCGGCAGGACACACACGTTATGCAACCGAGCCGTAACGGGGGGGAAGGGGGGCGGTCACAACAGGGCCTCAATCCTCAATTCTGCATGAGAAGATGCCAAATAGCACCTTGCGAACTCGATTATCTACTTACACACTCCATCCACCACTCTAAACGATGCCAACACGCCGAGATTTCTGGTATGCAGTCCGCGATGTAAGCCCACGATTGCGCCTATGATTACGAATGGGAAGACCTTATTCAGACCATCTTTGAACACTACTTCTTCACCCATTGAGTTTCTGAAATGGGGTCTTCGTTCTCATGCATGAAGGAAAAAGAAACCCCCGAGCACAAGGGCAAGCCTGCGGCCTCGAAGAAACAGCCGAGTCCCAAGGCGACCGCTAAAGACACTCCCAAGTCGCCACAGGCAGAGAGCACATTGATCTCTGCCGACGATGTGGCGGCAAAGCGGCATGAGAGGGATCTGGCTGCGAACGATCAAACTGTGCCGGTTACCCGAGAAGAAACCGTCAACAGCCATGCTGCTCCCCGACGACAGATGGATATTCAGATCGACTCGGACCTGCCCCAAAATTTCAAGGTCTGAATATTCTGAATTTATGCCTATCTATTATTTTTGTTCACCTCTTATATCCTTAGCTCCTTGTACTTAGCTGCCGTCAACAACGGCTAAACTGCAATCACCAACGGTGACTGCATCTGACACTAATATAAAACCCCTCTACGTTAGTCATTGTACCCATGTCGCTGACCCAGAAGAGCTTGTATATTTTCGATCTTCCGGCAAGCTTGGTATCGACACTGAGCCCGTTCCGGACAGTTTCGGCTTACGATTCGAGCTCGGAGAGCGAATCTGACGACAATGAGTTTTCCGACTCGTCGGACAGCTCGGACGAGGAGGGCTTTACGCCATCTGCGAGCCACATGACACAGTACAAGGAAGAGTACGAGGATTTCGATCACTGGAAAATGGTCAATTTGGCGCACATTAGCGGATCCTCCTTTGTTTATTTCACCAGCAGCTTGATCCCGCCAGGAAAGGTGCTGTCCGTCTACAAATCAGTCTTGGACAAGGACATGATTATAGACAGACCTGTGGATAGCCTGACCCAGCTGAAGCCAGACGGCAAAAGTGCGGTTCTGCTGGTAGGTGCAGGTCACTTTGCCGGGGCTATTTTCTCACACGTGCGTGGCAAACATAAGACGAATATTTCAAACCCGTTTGCCAATATTAATGTCCTTGCCTCCAAGTCGTTCCATAGGTACACGACTCGCCGGAAGCAGGGTGGCGCCCAAGGTGCAAGCGATAATGCGAAAGGCAAAGCCAAATCTGCTGGGTCAAATATGCGCCGTCAAGGCGAGCTTGCGCTCAAACAGGAGGTCCAACAGCTTCTCGAGTCTTGGGCCCCCGAACTCAAAGACTGTCAAAAGATCTATATCCGTGCATCAGGTAGCAGAAACAAGGCCTTGATCATGGGATACCCGAAAGCACCCATTCCTGCAAAAGATGTGCGTGTTGCTTCGATTCCGTTCGTCACCAAACGGCCAACTTACGATGAGACCCGCAGAGTTTGGCTGCAAATAACAAAAGCTCAGGTTGTTGATCAACCTCAAGTGGAATTGACGCCCACGCCAGAGCCGGCAACCAAGGTAACTGTGAAAGAGTCTAAGCCAGAATCTGCAAAGCCGGTTGTTGACCCAGAAGTTGAAGCGACCAAGGTGATTGTCGAGCATATCAAAAAGTCTCGCTTGGGTCCTTTGAAACAAGAGCTTGAGTCCAAAGGCAGCCTCGATTTTACACTCCAACCGGCCTCCAAGTACAAGCCTTACCCCACAGCATTGCTACTAGCCACGGCCCTAGACAAGTACCGCGTCGTCACGGGCCTGCTCGAGTGGGGGGCCGATCCGACAATCAAAGCAACTGGTGGAAAGACAATTTGGGACATAGCAGGAAACAGCAAAAAAACCAAAGATGCCCTACAGATAGCCCGTCACGATCTCGGTGATGACAAGTGGGACTGGAGTGCCACCAAGATTGGCCCCGCGATGTCCAAAGAGGACATTTTGGCTTGCGACACGGCCGAAAAACTGCAGATCAAGGAAAAGCTTGAAAAGAAGCTGCAAAAAGAAGAGGAACAGAAAAAAAAACAAAGACTAGAGCGCCTCATTGCCAAGCATGGATCTGGGCGTTACGTTGGCGGTGACAATCTCGGAACAAACGGATTGTCAGAACAGGAAAAACAGTATATCGAGCGAGAACGTCGTGCGCGGGCCGCTGAGGCACGTCTCGCCCGCTTTGCTAAAAAATAGACCTTATATAAATAAGTAATGTGCATTCTACTGCTTGACTTTTAATACACAGGAAATGTTGGCGGCAGCGCTTTCTAGCAAACCTCCGTCAGTGGCTTGCACTACCTCCAAATGCTCATGGGGCCCTTCCTCCACGGTACAGCAGAGTTGAGGGGTTCTTAAACTGAAAAGATCACGAAGTTGGTCCTTGGAAAACTTGTCTGGGGTCGGCTCCAAATCTAAGACCGTATCGGAAAGGCCCTGTTTGGTGAGCTGTCTCTGGAAGATTTTCTCATCTATTGTGCCTGTGGTCAAGAATCGGTATATATGAACATGGCGGGTTTGGCCGTCTCTGAATATTCTAGCCATGGCTTGCAAATCAATTGCTGGATTCCAGTCCGAATCCAAAAGGACCAGGCGAGAAGCACCAATAAGGTTGAGGCCAGCTCCACCACTGCGTGCCGAGAGCATGAATGCAAACGAACGCTTGTGGTTTGTCTTATTGAACAAATCGACTAGGTTTTGTCGCTGGTCCTGAGGGGTCGAGCCATCTAACCGTAGCCACTGTAGCTCCAAGTTCGCACACATTGTTTGCACGAGGTCAAGAGTTGATGTAAAGCCCGACACAATCACTATTTTTTCGTCAGTTTTTGACGACAGTTCTTTCATGAGGCTAGCCAAAACTTGGAGCTTGCCTCCGCTTTCGCTGGTCGTTAAAGTACGGCCAAGTCGCCATTCCTCGGGCACAAGAAATGTCGAAGTTGCCGCCTTGCGCAAAAGCGAAATAGCTTTTAGAAGCTCTCCTTGATTGCTTGTGTCCAAGCAGTTTGAGATCACGTTGGATGCGATGATATTTTTGTAGGAGTGAATTTGGTTCGGAACCGGCTTGCAAAAAACCACCAGCTCGGTCTTTGGAACTTGAATATATTTTTCCAGGATCCTGAAATCACGTCGAAGCACAAAGCTACTCACAATTTCGATCAGCTCCTCGGTAGCCTCTTGACCATTTTGAACACTGCTTTCAGACGCCTCGGGACTTCGCGACAGAGCAATGGGATCACTGAACTTTTTCACAAATTTGGCCATGGAGCCAAAAATACCCGGATTCAAATAATCTGCCAAAGCATAAAACTCGGAAAGATTGTTTTGTACAGGGGTTCCAGTTAAAATCACGCGCTTATCTCCCGACACACTTGTAATAGACTGAGCAGCTTTAGTTTTGAGACCCTTTAAACGATGACCTTCATCGCAGATCACTAAATCGAACAATTGCATTCCTCCAGCTAGCTCGTCTGCAATTTTAATCATTCGCTCGTACCCGGCGATCAACACCTGGTAAGTTTTGAAATGAGTTTTGAAAAAGTTGGAGACATCAGCCTCGGGCGAGGCAACAAAAACACCAATTCTTGTTTCCCCGAGCCACTTTTTGAATTCAGCTTTCCAGTTCCGTAGCAGTGTAACAGGGCATACGACAAGACAGTTCTTGATCAGGCCACTTTTGAGTAAACTGAATATCAGAGCAATAGACGTAAGTGTTTTACCAAGCCCCATTTCATCTGCCAGCAATGCTCCATTTCCATAACTATGAGCTTTGCCAATGACACACTTGTACAGAAACTGGACGGCCTCAACCTGATGGGGTCGAAGATGCTCTAGAAGCTCAGTATCAATTTCAAGTTCACCAGATGAAATATTCGTCATAGCAACAGGTTTTTTTACCACAGGTCGAGCTGCAACGTTTGTTGACGGCTTCGAAACCGGGTTTTTGGGAACGGCGGGAGCAGCTGATCCAACCTTTGGCAGTGGAGCCGAAAGCAGATCATTCAAGGACACGCTCTTTTGACGGGTCAGGGCAATCTTTTTCCGAGGAATCAGCGGTTCCTCCACCACTGGAGACGATTTGATTTCCACATCAAGCATAGATCCAAGCTCGCATTCATACACTCCGCCGGCAAATAAATCTCCCTCGGAGGCATTTGCACAGCTGACACGCAAAAGTTGTTTATTTCCGGACTTTACAACCAGGTTTCCCCCGCTCAATGTAGCAATTGCATCGCCCTCCCAGGTTTTGTTCTTTTTGCCAGACTTTTTCCGCCACATTGCCTGGAAAGTAGCCTTCTTTGTTTGGACATCTGGCATGCTATTCGCTAAAACTCCATTTCTCTGCAACGGTTTCAGCGGTGTGAACGCGCGATTCATGGAATTGACGCGCTTTTCAAACAAATTAGCCGTTGTGAGTTTAACTACCTGCAGCTGCCCCCATGTGTTACTAAGCAATCATGAAGTATATAAGCCGGAAAATAATTTTTTTTTCCTCATCAGTAGGTTATACTAATTCTATTTGTATAACTTCGGGGCATCTACTATCTTGCGTCTCTCATCCGAGAGGGCTAGTGTAGAAAGTTGAGGGGATCCTGGCACCTACGGGATCTCTTCCGTTCCAGCCTCGTAGATCAACCCGTTGTGTCCTCGGCTCGTGGCAGGTTGAAAGATATGACCTGTCCGGAGGTGCACGATGATACATTTAATATTTAGAGTTTTTTTTTGTTAATGTTGTTTTAATAAATATGCTACAGACTGACAAAATCGTCATTCACTGCCAAACTGTTCTCAGGGGCAGTTGACGAACTATGTTCGATATCTTCATCGCTAGAGGAGCTTTCATATGTATCAGTGCCATCTTCGTCCTCGCCATCTTCTCTGGTCAGGCTTTGGAGAAGAGAACTGACACTGACTTTTTCTTCTTGAGCCTTGGGCTCAGAAGGCTGTGCGGGTTTTTTGAGTCGTAAAACATGCTTTAGCGGGCACTGGGGCCGCGGGCATTTGCCTCCCGACTCTTCAAAATCCGGACAGTGATAGATATGACATTTGGTACATTTGGCACCGGCGTCGCACCATCCTTCTAGAGCAAAAGCCCGGCATGTCGGCGCATCCCTCGTGAGATTCACCATGTGGGTATATTTACAATCGTCTCTTGTGCAGCGGCCCTGGGCAAAATGGGTGCACAGCGGTGCATTATGTTCGTTTGGCTCGTGGCTTAATGTACAGGTCGGATTGCGACATTCCCCATGGAGACTCGCACGGCAGAGGGCCACTCTCGAAGCATCGTGTATATACCGGCACGCTTGTCCCTGGGAGCATGTTCCTGAAGGTTAGTATAATCGCCTGTTCCTATATGTATCCTTCCTTACCCGTTCTAGTGTATATTGAGCAGAAACTGTCTATCTTGGGAAGAGATAGTCGGGAAGCAGAGGCATCATAGTTATAGGGGTTTCTTTGCGAGAAATTGCCCCGATATCTACCTCCCCGAGACCGAAATCCGCCTCGATTGCCACCACGGCCCCGTCCACGGCCTCGCCCGCGATATGAGTCCTGCGCAACGTAGCTACTACCATAACTCGATGGTTTGAATCCATGATTTTTGCTTTTGTGTCTGTTTATTGCTCCAGCAAGCTGCGCTATTTCCTCTAGTAGCGCATTATTATCCGCACCAGTCATAACGCTAAGTCTGTTTCCAAGCTCCAGATTACTAAATCCTGAATGTCACAGCAGTTGGTGAAAGTGCTTGAAAATGACGGCTATGATAATGGCACGGCTGTTGAGATCGTCAAGCTGGCTGAAGAAAAGCCAGATGATGTGGCCAGCGAGTTTTTGGAAGAAATCATAGATGACAAGGCCGCTATTACCAGATACATTCGGTCCCGAAACAGGCCCAAGCCCCTCTCGCAAACCAGACAGGAACCAGCCAAGAAACCACAGCCAAAAAGACTCAGTCCGGCTCTATTAAAAACGTCTTCACCTGGCTCTTCCACGCGAAAACCAGCAAATCCGAGTCAGCCCTATGCCCGACCGATAATTCAACCTGGAAGCTCGATTCACAAGCAAATTGTTTCTGAAAAGTCCACCCCCGCATCCAAATCCGACAAGGAGTTCACTACCCAAATGAAAATCGACTCAATCAAGGATCTTGATGCGGCAATCAAAAAGCTAGAGCTCGACGACCCGACAAGAAGACCATGTAATTGTATGGGATCCAGACATGGGCTTTGTGAAATGGCACCGAATTGTTTGAACTGTGGCCGGATTGTTTGCGGAAAGGAAGGCCTTGGAAAGTGTTTTGGCTGTAGCGAGAGTCTGATCGATAATGTTACCCTTGCCGAAGTATTTGGGGTGCTGCAGGAAGAACGCAATACGATCATCTCAACCATGGGGAAACGTGCTTTGAAAAGTGCTAATATTGATCCATCGAGCAATGACTCCATCAAAGAGAACTTTTCAAAGGCCAATTCAAACCTGGCCCGACTCTTGAGTTATCAGAACAGTAGTGCAGTGCGCACCAAGATTATCGATCATGCTGCAGACTTTGACACACCAGACATGGGCACCAACATGTGGGCGTCGCCGCTCGAGCAGGCCCGGCAGCTCAAGGAGCAGCAGCGACGTCAGCGCAGGTCTGAAGAGGTCAGAAAGTCCCGGCGGGGGCAGGGCCGAAAACTTATCAGCATCGATATCCGAGGCAACAAGGTATACCAGAAAGCCGAGGACGTTTATGACGACAGCACGTCCGAAGAGGAAGAAGAGCCTGAAGAGGTGGAAAAGGTGGAAGAAAAACAAGCGTCGGCATTTTTTGATGTTTCAAAATACGGAACAAAGTTTGTCAAGCCAGTTTACAATGGTAGTAACTCTCCGGCCTCTATTGCTTCAGGCATTGTAGACGAAAAAGTCGCCCGGGACGACAACGAAGTGTTGGCTTGGTAACATACAACAACTAAGTTTTGAGATGCGCGCAACCTTATTTATAAATATTTTATTGGTTTCAACGCCAGTGGAGGCTGCAACGAAAGTCCTGGTCCAGTTGAAACCGTTCGATAATGTTAAATCATTCCTTAGAGACCATGCGCACTTGACCCCGTTTATAAGTCACAACTTCTCGATCTCGACGTTCCAAGGGTTCAGCGGGCTATTTGAGACCGATCAGCTGCGGGAAATTCTTCATGATGTGCGGGTAGCTATCGTGTCTCAAGATGAGGATATCCAGGCGGCCATGTTGCAGGAACATGCACCCCGCCATTTGGCACTCCTTGGCAGCGAAACTATGCTCCCCTCTCTGTTTGATACTGCCTCAGAACATCTAAACTACCCTTATGACGTAGCAGGATTAAGTGAGGTTGACGTGTATGTGATTGATTCAGGCATTGACACGGAGCATCCAGAGTTTGAAGGTAGAGCTCGAGAGGGAATAGACCTCGTGCCTGAGGCCGATGCAAAAGATGTAAATGGGCATGGAACCCACGTTGCCGGCATAATTGGATCTCGGACATTTGGGGTGGCTAAGAACGTGAGCTTAATTTCCATCAAGGTACTCGGACCCGACGGAAGTGGCTTACTATCTGATGTTATAGCAGGCATTAACTATGCAACCGATCAATTCGTGCAGAACAAAGAGTCGCGCAAAGGTATAGCGAATCTCTCTTTTGGCACTGGGTACAGCAGCGTGCTAAATGCTGCGGTTGACGCAGCTGTAGGCATAGGGCTGCCTGTGGTTGTGGCGGCTGGTAATGCGAACCGGCCAGCTTGTATTACGTCACCAGGCTCGTCTAAAAAGGCTATAACAGTAGGAGCAATTGACGACGGCACAGGGGCAATTGCGAGTTTCAGCAACTATGGCGAGTGTGTGGACCTGTTTGCTAGCGGTGTTCAGGTGCATAGCACATCCAATGTTGAGGACGGCGAGTCTGTAATGAGTGGAACCTCGATGGCCGCCCCTTCAGTGACGGGGATCTTGGCACTGATGTTAGGTCAAGGGCAGCCATGCCAGAATCTGCTGGAGCAATTGATCGCCCTGGCACTGGAGGGTGCGATTGAGCCGTCTTCGCTAAAGACCCGACCGAAAAGCCCGAACTTGGTAGCTCGCACGCCGTATTGGAACTCCCCTCGTAGGTGACTGAGCAATGCCCCTTGCAGCTGCAGATTTTTGCCACACTCCTACGCCACTAGAAAAATATTTCAGACAAGCTCTGGGATGCGAGAGGAACTGTGGCTATGGGTAAGGGTAATGCCGCCTGCGTCACTGGTTTGGGGGCTTTTCGTTGAAAATGAATTTTTTGCTGCGGTGCGGCAAAAGTGGCGCTGCAGCAAGTGTGGCGCAATCGATCGAGAGCTCGCTGTGGGGTGGGGACGCCTAGAAAGATACTCGGGTTGCGTTGACCACGTTAGGTTGTGTGCACATCAAACCTAGCAGTGATTCCAATTGGCCCTGCGATCATTGCCCGATTTGGGCCCAAAGTACACTGCCCAAAAAAAAACTTACGCTAAACAAGCGAGATGGGTGATGACAGACCTGGCTAGGGTTATGCACGAAAGATCCCGACGCCGAACGCCCGAGAGCCGGTGGCCGACTACAAAAACGCTGTCTTGAAGCTAATCAAAAGTGGCGTGATAGTTGTGTTATAGAGTCCTGTACTATTCGTTTTGGACTTGAGCGCTCTGAAACGCCCCACAAAAACGCGCACGAACCATGTACTGGGGCTGCCGGGAAAGAAAAGGGTTCGGGATTGGTCGGCTGACACATAATACATATAAACCAGCGGGCTCCACCATACACTGCACATCTCAACCCGAGACCCAATTGAAACATGAAGCTTTTCAACGCTAAAGAAATTGACGACTACAAGAGCCACATTCTCATGGCCGGCCTGCGCGGCGGTGCCCTTGGTGGCATGGTTTCTGCCGGCATGTGGCAGTTCTGGCTGCGTAAAAAGACGTTTATCACTGCTGGATTCGTTCGCACGCTGACGCTTGCCGCCCCTGTACTGCTGTTTGGCGTCACCAACATGGAGGTCGCTTCGCGTGACTTCGAAATGGCCAAGAACTACTCTGAGGCCTCCGAGAAGACCGCTCTCAAGGCTGAGGGCCAACAGGACGATACCTTCCTTGGCTGGTGCAAGACTAACAAGTACAAGCTGGTCGCTGGAGGCTGGGCTGCCAGTATGGTTGGATCATACGTCATTGTCAACCGCGACAAGTACATGACCAAGGCTCAAAAGATCGTGCAGGCCCGTGTCTATGCACAGGGTCTGACTGTGATCATGTTGCTGGCAACCGTCTTCATGTCCGCCGGCAAGCAGTCCACCCGTCAAGCCACTCCTGAGCAACAGGAGGACAGCTGGAAGGGCGATCTACAGTTTGTCGAACAGGAGCAAAAATAAGGAGGGAACCCCCCCTTCTATATATACACATTTCCTACGTGGGTTCTTCAATTTGTTCATTCTGCAGCTCCGTCTGTCTATAGACTCTTTTCCACCTCGCAGCTCAGGCGTGCACGGGCTCTCATTCCTGCACACTTCAAAAGCCTACTGATAATTCCATACAACTACTTTTTATTACTCTGTATTTCATTTCTTCTCGGCATACTCCCACAGCTTTGCTGCCAGCAGATCGCTCCATCTCGCCCTGAACTGATCAGATTGGGCCATGAGAAGCGCTTCGACGGTTTCGTAATGCTGCTGCGGTTGCCCAGGCGTTGCTTGCTCGGGATCGACAAGCCAGCCGTCTTTGGTAAGAGTCGTCGTATGGTGGTCACCCTCTAGGGTAGTGAACGACACGCTGTTGTCGGAGATCTGCTGGTAGCTGGCCAGCAGATCTTTGTAGTCGTCGAACTGCTGCAGCTCCTCCTGCAATGTGGTCAAGTGCATTCTGGTGGAACTGATGATTAAGATGATTTTGGTATCGATAGGACGTTAGGACGCACACGCACTCAACCCCCGCAACTTGGTCTCAGATTTTCCCAATTAGCTTCCGGCCTATGCTCCTCGTCCGGCCGCTAATTATATAGACACACTGGCTGATTCATACGCTGCTCCTAGAGGAATTTTATTATGTAACCACGGTGGTGTAATCTCCTCCTGAAAAAAAAAATACTGACCACTACACAAAGCCAAGTAGGAGGAACCCAATCCCAACAGCGCTACCCAGAGAATGAGTTCTGTGCCGCCACAAGCTGACCTGGGTCAACTTCTGCAAAATTTACAATCTCCCAATAATGAGCTGCGCTCAGGGGCCGAGCAGCTGCTAATGTCTGAATGGGTGTACGGTGAAACTGAACGTCAAAGCGCACTTCTGTTGAACCTTGCACAGCTAGCTGCAGCTGGCCCAGAGTCTAGTCGTGCATTTGCTGCTGTTCTTCTTCGTCGATACGGCATTAAACTAGCTCCGGAAGCTAAGACTCTTGATCGCCTATTCGATGTAATCTCGCCGGTTGCCCGCGCTCAAATCCGCCAGTTGCTTCTTCAGGCTATGCTTTCGCCCGACCAGCAGGTCCAGGTTCGACACAAAATCGCGGACGCGGTCGCAGAGTTTGCGCGCCGCCAGGGTGAGGCCACGGAGGCCTGGAATGAGCTTTTGCCTGCGCTGTTCGATGCCTCGAGAACCCCCAATCCTGAAATCCGCCAGTGCGCCTTCCGTGTATTCGCTGCTTCTCCCGAAATCCTCGAGAGTAATGCGGAGGTTTTGCCGGAAGCATCAAAAGTCTTGCATGCCGGTTTCGACGATACCAGTGATAACGTGCGAATCAGCGCCGTGACCGCGTTTTCAGCCTTCTTCCAACTTCTGCCCCGCTCCACCTGGACAATTTTCAAGCCTATGCTACCCAGTTTGCTTCGCGTCATGGAACCGCTGAGACTCCAGTACAAAACCGAGGAGCTAACCGCCGTTTTGGAGTCCCTCATCGAGCTGGTCCAGCTGGCCCCCAAAATGTTCATTCCGGTGTTCAAGGAAGTCATCGAGTTCTCACTAGCTGTCGCCGCCGATAAAGAAATGGACCAGTCGACCCGTTTGTCTGCTTTTGAGTTCGTTGTCTCGTTCGCAGATGAGGCGCCAAATATGTGCAAAGCTGAGCCTACATACATCGAGAAGCTCATTCTCCAGTGTTTATCAATGCTCGTGGAAGTCGGCGAAGACGATGACGACGCGTCGGAATGGAACAATGAGGATGATCCTCAGGCAGATGAAGAGGATGTCCACCTCGCCGCCAAATCGTCGTTGGATCGTATGGCCCTCAAGATCGGCGGTGAGGCAATGGTGCCTCCGTTGTTCTACTGGCTACCTAAAATGTTGAACTCCCCCGAGTGGAGACAACGCCACGGTGCTCTAATGGCAATCTCGAATGTTGCCGAGGGCTGCCGTGAAGTCATGATCACAGAATGCGGCAAGCTCCTCGACTTGATCTTGCCGCTACTTGCAGATCCTCATAGCCGCGTGCAGTGGGCGGCTTGTAATGCTATAGGTCAGCTTTCAACTGATTTTGCACCTGAAATCCAGAAGAAGTACGGTGACCGTATCCTTCCTGCTTTAATTAGCAAACTTAGCAACGAGTCTACTTTTCGGGTCCAAGCTCATGCAGCTGCTGCGATTGTCAACTTCTGTGAGCATGCCTCGAAGGAAGTTATGGACGGATACCTGGACGACATGCTGTCAAGGCTGCTTCAGCTGTTGCAAGGGCCCAAGCGTTATGTTCAGGAGCAGGTGTTGACAACTATCGGCGTGGTTGCAGATGCCGCCGAACAGAAATTCTCCAAGTATTATGACACTTTGATGCCTCTTATTTTTAGCATTATGAAGGCGGATACCGGCAATGAATACCGCTTGCTCAAGGCGAAAGCAATCGAGTGCTCAACCCTTTTGGCGGTTGCCGTGGGCAAAGAAAAGTTCGAACCCAATTTCCATGAGACCGTGCAGCTTTTTGCCGCTATCCAACAGCAGGCTCTTGATGATGATCCATGCCAGTCGTACTTGGTTCAGGCTTGGGGTCGTCTCTGTCGCATTATGGGTACGTCGTTTCTCCCCTACCTTGCTGGTGTGATGCCTCCCCTACTCGCAATTGCCAAGACTCAAGCTGACTGCCATTTCCTCGACGAGGACCAAGCTGCATTGATCGATGGAAACGGTGGCTGGGAGGTCATTCAGGCTTCTGGGCAGCTCGTTGGCATTCACACTGCTCCTTTCGACGACAAGGCGAACGCGATTGCCTTACTTTCGGTTTACGCAAATGAGTTGGGTGCCGATTTCTACCCTTACGTTCCTGAAATCTTGAACGACATCGCGTTGCCTAGTCTTTCGTTCTTCTATCATGATGATGTACGATATTCCACCTGCCATCTCATCCCGCATCTCGTTACCTCTGCTCAGCACGCAGCGAGCAGAACTACTGGCAGCGAGCAGGCAGCTAAAAACGCTCCTCAGGTGCTACAGACGTGGCTCCCTTGTCTCGAAAAAATGCTTCGCCTTATAGAGAATGACGAGGCACCAGCCATTGTCAGTGAGATGTTCACTGCAATTTACCACTGTATCCTTCTCATTGGTCCCGACGGGCTTCCCGCCCAGGCTATCGAAGCTTTGATGGACGCAATTATTGTATCGCTGACTGAACTTCAAGAACGCTTGTCTGCTCGTGATGCTGCCGATAACGACGAGTTCATTGAAGATCCGGAGGAGGAAGATGCCGAGCAGGCTGATGAAGAGTTGATCGACTCTATTAACAAAATTATTCATGCCATCGTGAAAACATATAAAGCTGATGCATTGCCACAGCTTGATCGCATAATGCCACAGGTTCTGGCTTTCTTGGGGTCCTCAAATGACGATCTACGGGAGTGGGCTCTGTTTGTTGTCAATGACATCATTGAGTATACTAGCCCTGTCGCCGACAAGTACATTGAAGCTATCCGTGTTCCCATGGTCGAATCGCTTGTGCACTCGAACGCCCGCATCCGACAAGCCGCTGTTTACGGCCTCGGCGTTGCAGCTCAGTTTGGGGGTGATCATTTTGCACAGTTAAGTGTGGGCAGCCTGGAGCAGCTGTTCAGCTTGGTGAATGCACCAGAGTCCCGCAGTGAGGAAAACCTTGATGCTACAGAGAGTGCCATCGGGGCTATCGCCAAAATCTTGAGGGTCCACGGAGATCTTCTGGGCAATCAGCGCGATATGGTTATCACTGAATGGATCAAGACCCTGCCCATTGTGGAGGATGGCGATGCCGCTCCATTTGCATACCTTTTCTTGGCGGATCTCATTGGCCAGAAGCATCCTGCGGTGATGCAGCAAGTTCCCAAAGTGTTCTTTGCCATCTCGCAGGCCCTGGTTGCTGGTGTTCTTACCGGCAAACGCGCTGACCGCGTCGTTCAAGCCACCAAAAACCTTTTAAGCCAGCTGCAACAAAATGAACCGATGGAATTGTTCAATTCCTTAGCTCCTAACGATCAAGCAGTAATCCAGCGCTATTTCCAGTAGGGCAACATTGTTTAACTTATATAGATAATTTCAAAAGCACAAGAAGGCCAGATAAATTGGTTTTATATACACGTAAACAGGAAAACCTCCACTTATCAGAGCCAGAACGCATCGTCCCAATCATGCAGAGATTCTGATTACATCATATTTTTTTTCACGAGGGTTTTTTTTTTTTCCATTTCCGCACACCAATATGGGATTAAGTCTTGCGGGGTCGTCGAAGAAAGAAAAAATTAGTTTCGATCCTCGAAACACCATATGGTCGAATGATACTGAGAGATTCGGCCATCAGCACATGCTCAATATGGGCTGGAAGCCCGGACAAGGCTTGGGCAAGTCCATCAAAGGTGATACTCAACATATTAAAGTCAAAGTAAAGGCAGACAACACTGGTCTTGGTCGGCCAATCAAAGACGATATGCCTACAGGTCTTGATGTTTTTCAGCGCATTCTCGGCAAACTCAATGGCGAAGAAGAAAAGGTCAACCGTCAGTTGAATGAGCAAATGAAGATGAGCGGTGTGTTTCTAAACTTTGTGTATGGTGGAGTTCTTGAGGGTACTGTTGAAAAGATGATGTTGACAACCGTCGAAGAGACCACACCCTCTACCAAGCGGGCTGCGCCTGAGGATGTTGACGAGGAAGTCAAGAAGTCGAAAAAGGCAAAGAAAGAAAAGTCGAAGAAGCTGAAAGAGGACGACGAGAAGGAAAAGAAAAACAAAAAGGATAAGAAGGGCAAAAAGGACAAAAAGGACAAGAGCAAGAGCAAGAGCAAGAGCCCGCCGGAGAAATCAGAATCTAAATCTCCAACGCCTTCAGGCATTCGAGCTACTCGCAGCCGATTTATTGCTATGAAACGTCAAGCAACTACAGACGAGAAAAGCTTGAAAGAAATCCTGATGCTCAATTAGTTTTGAAAATACATATATTTATAAGAACAACTGTGTTCTACAGAATCTACGGAAAGGATGAGTTAAATATTTAAGTGAAAGAGAGTACTGAGTGGTCATCTCCATCGGAAAGCTTGTTTCGGTAGACGACCGACTCATGGTCAACGCTTGAGTTGACGTTCGAAATGCCGTTTTGGTGGGCATCTGGATCTTTGGACACCAGGTGCACCAAGTGGCCGCCATTCTCGCCGTTCTTTTCAATGCCACTAAGCACCTCAGCATCGACAGGCATGTTGACACTGAGTTTAGGACCATCATACCACTTGTAAGCCCAGAAGTAGTAGTAGATCAAAGACCCAGCCCAGACAAACACTGAAATAACCACCGTGTAGTTCATCTCACTTGCATCGGGATCCGCAACAGTTGGGAACATCGAAAGAGCGCAAATGCAGAACAGGGAGTAGATAACAGAGATCCATCCAGAAATTTTGGACAAGGTGTGACCCATGAAGAATGGTCCCGGGACAAAAGCATCGGGATCGTAATTGAGCACACGGAAGAAAATAGGCATGGCCCAGGAGAGCTGGAGGGCGGAGATGGCCAAAGAGAAAATGGCGCTAGCAGCGGTTTCATTAACAAGAATGAGCAGGCCGATAAGCAGAGAAAACCCGCAGGCGAACAGAATAGCGTTGATAGGCAAAGAACGGGTGACCTTCTTGGTCCAGCCAGAGAAAGGCAAGCAGTCGTCACGAGCAAACGCCCAGGTCTGACGAGAGGCAGACATGACGGAACTGAGACCCATGCACCATTGAATCACAGTGAAGACGGCCATGAGGCCAATGGCCCAGCGACTTCCGAGTGCATCCTGGATAATTTGTGCCAAAGGATTTCCGGTGGGTGTATTCAAGACAGCCTGGAAATCAGGGTTGATGACTGCAGCAAGAATGGCCATCACCAAGAAACCCAAGACCCAGCAGAGGCCAATCGACAAAAGGATACCAAAGGGAACAGCAACAGGGGCATTAGAGGCTTCCTCTGACATATGGATACAAGAATCATGAGAGCTGACGCACCAGATCGCTGCTAGCCATGAGAGGAAGAAACTCCAGCCAAAGGGCCAATCAGTGCCATTGGTAGTGTTGCCAAAGACAAATGATCCACTATTCAAGGATCTGCCCTGATTCTTTACACCAATTGGCAAAGCGATGACAAGGATGAAAATGACGGCCATGTTCAAAACAATAGTGAAAGTCTGGATCTGACTCAAGTAGCGACTGGGCAGAAGAGAGACAACAGCCTGTGTTACAATGGCGGCAGCGAACACACCGTAACGGTGGCTGTCTGTCGGTGAGTAGCCATCAACACCCATCTGGGCGCAGGCTAAAAGCTGGTTAGCGAAACCATAGTTGATACTTCCCAAACTGGCAATGAGACCGAGAGTATTAGTGTATCCGCACAGGAAAGACATGGGTGCGGCGATTTTCTTGGGAGCAAACTTATGAGTCCACCAGTAAAGACCACCGGCAGTGGGCATGGCCGAAGCGAATTCACTGAGATTCAGACCAATGCAAAAAATAAAAAAAACCGGGATAAACCAACCCCATGTCATACCGATACCGCCTGCAAGCAAAGAATAGCTCAAGACGGATGCGATGGATGGAACTAGAGACATGATCGAAAAACTTACACCAAAGATCTGTAGAGGGGAGAATTCACGGGCGAGCTCTGGCTCGTATCCCATGTTCATCAACAACTCATCATCATTGGTTACGCCTGGCTCACCGTTAACATTGTACTCACTCATATCTGCAGTTACACTCTCAGATTATAGGTAGAGAGTAAATTCGGAGGATTTGGGCGTTGGAGACTGTTATTTTCGGGGTTTCTGATAACCTGGATCTCGGCGCAGTCTTTATACATGAAATTGCTATCGCCCTTACCCTGTGTCTCCACAGAATACTGATTGTCTTATCAGTCCAGAATAGGCAGCTGCAACCTGGCCGATCTGATCCAAACCAAGTCTAGAAGCTCTAGGATGGTTAGTGAGACATATCCGGGTCGAAAGAGACCCAAAATGCTCCCGGTTTTCCCAGTAAATGAGGCAGATGCTTATCTCCGACGAGGCCAAGCCAACCCCAAACTGTAGTGCATGCATGATGACCGAGTGTGCAAGGCTAGAGTGGGGTTGGTGACGCCCTAGGGTTTTTTTCAGTTTTTTTCCAGTACCGATCTCGGCACGATGGGGGAAATAGATCCACATCCATGACATCCTCTGGCAAAGTTCAAAGCAACCTTTGCTGTGTTTTTCCGTCCGTGTGGCCTGTTTCTGGTGCGATGTTATAGCTTTTAACCCTGCCTGCCCAACTTAAGCCCCCCATGGTAATCGAGGTTTTCGGGGCTCTCGAGGGCCATGCATGCCGCCTCAAAGACGTTCAGACTCAGGATCTACTCACTCTATTCAACAATGCTATCTTGACCAGAAACCGCCGCCGCCGCATAGGGTCCTCGCGAAACAGATAGCTATGCATAAGCCTACATTTCGATGCAAGCCTAGCCTTGGCCCGACACTTTCATGATACCCGGAAACGCGGGGTTCTTTCGACCTCACCAGCGTAAACATGTGTTTTTTCCCAGATGGTTTAACTAGCTGGTGGCTGTCACTTGGGTTTGAATCACCCTGTACGCTCTTGAGCTATGCATTTTTTTTTGGAGAAATGGCAAGGCAAGGGGTCCCGTGACCTCTGGCATCCGCGTCAAGCAGGTGCCGAAGCTAGAGCGTACGAGCGCCAAAAACAGCATAAAATTGACTACTTTCTTCGCTAGTAGATAAATACAAGAGGTGGACATCTACCAAAAAAATCCCTTGAAGAAAACACCGAGTCGCCAGTGTCGAAGAAAACTTCGAAGCCTCGCTTCTCCCTGATCTGAAGTCCCATGGATCTGCATCTTTTTCAGGGGCAACCGCAAAACAATGCATTCCCTTCTCCCTCAAGCTTCGGAAACAGGTTGTATATATCATTGAGTGAATCTAAACATATTGACTCCTAAAGTTTGGCTAGTATCCAGTTCGAAAACTCAGAAACATGCTTGCGGGCTTTCGCCCGCTATATGCGACCCTGCGCCATCGCTTTTCAACCCTAGACCAGATGCATCCGCTCAACGCCCGCGCAAAGAGGGGTCAAGTCTGGATCTCCAGCATGTAGTGGTTTAACGAATAGGGAAAGTTGATCCATGGAGGCATCTATACTGTATAGTCGTTATTTTGCAGCTCAACAGTCACGGGATGTGCCAGTGCACTGCGGGGGGAGTGGTTAGCAAGGGTCTAGCCGCCATTTGTTGAATAGTAGAGGATATTTTGCGATAATACCTTCCCTGGACTGGCAAGGTGGTGCTTCTTGCTATTGAGTTTGGAGCCTTGCTGGTGAGTGTCGTTCAGATGGTTCAGCAAAAACATGGCGTATTCCCTCTCATTGACTATCAAAGCAACAACTGAGCATTTTGGTTTCTTTGGTCAGGTTTCTGAGGCAAAATCTTGGGGTCTTTTAGGTCGAACTTGTACACTGCTAGCTATTTCTAGTGTCGCTAGTGTTTTCTCTATTTTAAGTCTCATACGTGAACAAGAAATCTATGGAAGCTAACCATCTGTCATAGTGAGCCTAGACACTCGGTCACCTAAAGTGACCCCACGGAGTACCCCCCAAAGTTATGAAATAAGTTTTGGGGCTGAGAGTGAATGATTTTTCTATTAAACATAACGGAAGCTCTATCGCAACCACAATATCACGATCACCACCGTTGGAGTGCATCCGGGATTAGTGTTGTGACACGGGCGGAAAGAAGGAACACCACTGTCCAAGTTTCGAAACAGTTACGAGGTAAATATTGGTCCCTGGGCACATACCTCAAGGTTGTCATTGGATATCTTCGAAGAAACATTCAAGAGCCAGCGGGAGGGGCTCGGAACCCCGCCAAAATCTTTGGAGCAGCCTGGGGGACCAAACCTGTGTAAATTGCAATGGTCAAGTTCAGGTACTGGCAGCATGACAGGAAAAATAAGGCAATTGGCTACGATCTATATAATGAAGACTAGCTGAACTGTCAGAGACAGGTAACTAATGTCACTGACCCAGGAGACTCGACTATGCATGGTATCTACAACTGTACCTTGGGGAACATTTACTTCTACATCAATAACACTGCCAAGCGCTCGTTTAACCGGCTGAGTACCGGGCTCAGGTTTGCAGCTACCTACTCGCGATCCATTACATAAGCGACTCCCATCGGGGCTATTTTTGGAACGCTCATCATTCATGGAGAACATCGACAAGGTTAGGTCTTCTCTCCGGGACGGGTGGATCAGAGCCAGGGTGAAAATGATGATCGTCTTACCGCGTGCTCACCGCTGTGCTCGAAGCGGGGTTTAGTCTATATTTCTTCACAAACACCAGTCAGTCGAGTTAAAATGTTTTGAGTCTTTTTTGTTCCAACTTTAAACCTTTTCTCTTCGTTTCAGCAGTTTGCAATCCCGACAGCCCACCTTGCAGATCTCAAAAAAGTGTTTTGTTTACCTTTGCCCATGCCTGCCGAGGTGGCCGGGTGTTGCTTGTTCCAGATAATACAGACTAATTGAGCTGAATTGGACGCGGTAAAAATATAATCGTGATAATTGGCGAAAGTGCTTGATTTTAGAGACGTGCCTGCCTAGGGGTGCTGTTCGATACGCGATCGATATGCTGGTGTTGAAACGGCCAAGCGGTAAGGAACCACCTCCTTCGGCTGCACCAGTCGCGGTTGCTGCGCCCCGGTGACGTAAACTAAGGGACAGCAATCGATTTTTGCATACTACTAATATTAACTATTAGAATAAAAATTGATATAAGCTCGTAAGTAAAGAACACGAGAAAGGGCACTTTTTCACTAGCTGCGGCAGCTGCGGCAAGCCAAGAGGATATATCTCAAAGCAGCAGCTGTCGACCCAAAAGAGCGCGCGCCGAGCATACAAACCTAACCCGGATGCTTATCCCCTCCAAAAGCCAATGAATTGTTTATAAGCTGTTTCCGACTCACTGCTCCCTGTTGACTTTTTACGATACCGGCGATGAAGTTTTCAACGGCTATTGGCACTCTTACCACAGCCGCCTTAATGGCACTTGCTCGTGCTTCCGACCTGCCCTCTATTGAGGTTGTTGGCAACAAGTTTTTTTACTCCAACAACGGTTCGCAATTCTATATTAAAGGTGTCGCTTACCAGTCCAACTCTTTGGTCAACGTGACCTCCAGTCAGACTTTCTCAGACCCTCTGGCTGATGGCGACGCTTGCAAGCGTGATATTCCTTACCTGCTTGAACTCAGCACCAACGTGGTTCGTGTCTACGCCATCAACACTTCGCTCGACCACTCGTCGTGTATGCAGCAGTTCAGCGACGCTGGTATTTATGTCATTGCTGATCTTTCTGAGCCCGGTCTCTCCATTAACCGTGACGCTCCCTCTTGGGACGTGTCTTTGTACACCCGCTACACCGAGGCTGTTGACGCGTTGGCCAACTACTCCAACGTCCTCGGTTTCTTCGCTGGTAATGAGGTTGTTAATGCTGTCAACAACACCGATGCTGCTCCTTTTGTCAAGGCTGCTATCCGTGATACTAAGGCTTACATCAAGTCCAAAAACTACCGTAACATCCCCGTCGGTTATGCTGCCACTGATGATGCTGGTCCCCGTGTTCCCGAGGCTGAGTACTTTGCCTGTGGTGACGAAAGCGAGCGGGCTGATTTCTTCGGTCTCAACATTTATGAGTGGTGCGGTGACTCTAGCTACGAACAGTCTGGTTACGCTGCCCGCACTAAGGACTACTCGAACCTTGGTATTCCACTGTTCTTCTCTGAGTATGGCTGCAATGCCGTACAGCCCCGCAAATTCACAGAGGTCAAGGCTCTTTACGGTCCCAACATGACCGATGTCTGGTCTGGTGGTATTGTGTACATGTACTTCCAGGAGGTGAATGACTACGGTTTGGTTACCATTGGTAGCGACGACAAGGTCACCACTTTGGTCGACTTTGGATACCTGTCCAGCGAGCTGGCCAGCATTTCTCCTACCAGTGCTTCCTCCAGCTCTATCACTGCCACCTCCAGCGTCGACTGCCCCGCCTCCACTCTTACCAACTGGAACGCTGCTACCGTTCTGCCTCCCTCGCCTAATGCTGACGTCTGCAGCTGCTTGGACAGTGGTGCTGCTTGTGCTATCAAGAACAGCGTTTCTGACGAGGACTACGAGGATATTTTCGGTTACATCTGCAGTGCCTCCCCTGCTGCCTGCGCGGGTATCGCCAAGAACGGTAGCACTGGTGTCTACGGTTCGTTTGCTGGTTGCAACCCCAAGGAGCAGCTCAACTGGGTCATGAACGCCTACTACTCCGCCAACGGCAAGGCCGCAAGCGCCTGCGACTTCAGCGGTTCTGGTACCGTTGTCAGCCCCTCCACTAACTCTGCATGCAAGGCCGTTTTCTCCCAGGCCGGCTCTTCTGCCACTGGTAGCTTGACCAACGGCGCTGCCATTGGCGACATTGTTACTGCTGCTGCTGGCTCCGGTTCCGGCTCTGGCGCCAATAATGTTCAGGCCACCGGCTCCGGCTCCGGCTCCGGCTCCGGCTCTGGCAAGTCTTCCGGCAAGTCCGGCAGCTCTTCTGGTTCTGCTTCTGGCTCCTCCAGCGCTTCTTCTTCTTCCTCCAAGAAGAACGCCGCCGTCTCTAACAAAATGCCTGTTGCTGCCGGTCTGTTGGCCGCCGCTGGCGCTATTGTGATGGCCGGTGTCTTCTAAATATGATATTATAGTACGCGTGTATTTGATCAAAAAAAGTATGTTGTATGTATTCCTCCCTCAGCTAGCCCGGAAAGGCGAATTTTCCAGTTCCGAAATTTCCGATCACGTGACTTGGATATGTTCCACCTGCAATTAGGAGTAGCTGACTAACAACTTATCAAGGAAAGGAAAAAAAAGTAAAAATAGCTACTATCCCCCAACCCTTAATGATCGGAACCTTGCCCATAATTTGAGTTTTTACTGGTGTTAGATAGCTGCATCGATAGTACGGGTCAGGTACCAGGTGGTGCCGATGGAGGACGGACTGGCAGTCAAGAACGGGAGTGATCAGATTGGATTGCAAGGTTTTATGGCGATTTCGGAGTTATCAAGATATGCCTTCCCCATCTAGGCTTGCGCTTATCCTTGTCTGGCGAGGTGCTGATGCATATGCAAATTAGTGAGTGCATACAGGTCTAAGCTGCCTGACTATGCAAAGAAGTACGAAGCTATGGAAACGAGATGCGAACTGAAAATTACTGCTTGGTAGGGGTCAATAGCAAAAAGAGTGCATGGAGGACCAAAAATAGGGCCCTAATTTCGTCGCCAGTACCTTAATCCTCCAGAGTCCACGCTAAGTACAGCAGAGTGACGCGTGGTGTGGTGGTGGGCTTTTTTTCATTGTTCCAGCTGCCCAACCAGGCGATCGGAGGGTTTCAAGCCGACCCGACGCCGTCGGCAACTTAGATAGCAAACAATTCTACAAGCTCTGATCGTTCTCTAAAGATGTAGTTTTCAATGTGGCGCTCTATTTTTATCATGGCTCGCTACCGAGGGGCTTTAATTGCCAATATAATCGACGCGTCCTTGCACACCCAAGGGGCCGACGACCCGTACCCTAATTTACACGCATTAGAAATGAATATTATTAGCGTGTAATCCATTCTTTTCTTTAACCAACCTGGTTGTCTTGTAAAGGAAAACGAAAAAAACCCCAAGCCAACACGTTACAGCCACTCGTTTATCTGTTGTTAACGATTGTGAATTATATTCATCTTTGGGTTTACTTCTATTTTGGCTTCGACCGTTTTCACGTTTTTTTCTCCTCCTCTTCAGACTTCCACTTTCTTTCTGAACCATGTCGCAAAACCGACCTCCCTACGAAGGTGAGGAAGGCTACGGCTACCATCCAGACCACCAGCAAGCTAGTTACGATGGCCAGTATGCTGATTCGTACGACCAGGATACCGGTGCGGTGCACGCAGATGATCAGTTCTACTACACCAACGAGCAACAACCGTACTACTCCAATGGTCAGGGCTACGAAGGTTCGTATGCCTACTCAGAGGGCGGTTACTCTACCGATCCTTACCAGAGCAGCATCCAGCAGGGCCGCTATGCCTCCCAGAGCAACTTCCAGGCCCCTGGAGGCGCGTACCACGGCATGCCCCGTCGCATCCCCGACTCGGCCAGTGAGACCTTTAGCGATTTCACAATGCGTACTGGCCAGGGCGGTGAGTACTACGACCAGAGCGGCTACGATGGCGATGGCTACGACAGTAGTTTCGCGCCCCGCCGCCGCTCCGGCTCGTCCACCCCAATCTACGGTGATCTGAACGCGCACCTCCAACGGGCTCGCGAGCCCTATCCTGCTTGGACCCAGGAAAGCCAGGTGCCGATCAGTACCGAGCAGATTGAAGATATTTTCATTGATCTCACCAACAAATTCGGCTTCCAGCGCGACTCGATGCGTAATATGTTTGACCACTTTATGACCATGCTCGATTCTCGTGCTTCGCGTTTCACCCCTAACCAAGCTTTGCTCTCACTGCATGCCGATTACATTGGTGGTGAAAACGCCAACTATCGCAAGTGGTATTTTGCTGCCCAAATTGATTTGGACGATGAAATTGGGTTCCGCAACATGAAACTCGGCAAAACATCTCGACGTGTCCGTAAAGCTCGCAAGAAGTCCAAGACTCTCCGTAACGAGAACCCTGAGGACGCTCAGAAGACATTAGAAGAACTCGAAGGTGACTATTCGCTAGAGGCTGGCGAGTACCGCTGGAAGAGCCGCATGAACCAGCTATCTCAGCAGGAGCGTGTTCGCCAGGTGGCCTTGTACCTGCTTTTGTGGGGCGAGGCTGGTCAGGTCCGTTTCACACCTGAGCTGCTGTGTTTCATCTACAAGTGTGCTGACGACTATTTTTTGTCACCCGAGTGCCAAAACCGTGTCGAGCCTGTTCCTGAGGGTGATTATTTGAACCGTGTCGTCACTCCTCTGTACCGTTTCATTCGCTCGCAGGTTTATGAGATTGTCGATGGCCGTTTTGTCAAACGCGAGCGTGATCACGACAAGATCATCGGTTACGATGATGTCAACCAACTGTTTTGGTATCCTGAGGGTATGGAGCGTATCGCTTTCGAGGATGGTACCCGAATGGTCGATTTCCCTCCCCATGAGCGTTACTTCAAGCTCGGTGATGTTGTCTGGAAGAAGGTCTTCTTCAAGACCTACAAGGAAACCCGCTCTTGGTTCCACATGGCCACGAACTTCAACCGTATCTGGGTTATTCACATTACCGCTTTCTGGTTCTATGCCTCCTACAACTCACCTGCTATCTACACCAAAGATTACTCCTACCTTCTTAATCAGAAACCGCTGGGACAGACTGCTTGGGCTGCTGCTTCTATTGGTGGCACAATTGCTAGTGGTATCCAGATTATTGCTACGCTATCTGAATGGGCTTTTGTTCCTCGCCAATGGCCTGGTGCTCAGCACCTCACTCGCCGTCTCATGTTTTTGATTCTAATTCTCATTGTTAACCTCATCACACCAGTATACGTTCTCGGTTATGTTGGTTACCGCCACTCCACGTCCGCCAAAGCAGTTGGTATCGTCGGCTTCCTGATCTCTATCTTCACTTTCATCTTCTTCTCTATCATGCCTTTAGGAGGTCTGTTTGGCAGCTATCTCAATAAGCGCACTCGTCGTTATGTTGCCTCTCAAACTTTCACTGCAAGCTTCCCTAAGCTCAAGGGTGTTGATATGTGGCTTTCGTACCTCGTTTGGGTTACTGTTTTTGGCGCGAAGTTGGCTGAGTCCTACTTCTTCCTGATTTTGTCTCTCCGTGACCCTATTCATGATTTGTCTCAGATGGATATGCGTTGTACCGGTGAAGTTTGGTGGGGTGATAAGCTTTGCAAACAGCAGGCTAAGATTACGCTCGGTGTCATGTGTGCCACTGATTTGGTTTTGTTCTTCTTGGATACTTACTTGTGGTATATTATCGTTAACACCATCTTTTCGGTTGGTCGTTCGTTCTACTTGGGTATCTCCATTTGGACTCCTTGGCGTAACATTTTCAGCCGTTTGCCCAAGCGTATCTATTCCAAGGTTCTTGCCACTAACGATATGGAGGTCAAGTATAAGCCAAAGGTGTTGATTTCCCAGGTCTGGAATGCTATTATCATCTCAATGTACCGTGAGCACTTGCTGTCCATCGACAATGTTCAGATGCTGCTCTACCATCAGGTTCCTAGCGAGATTGAGGGTCAGCGCACTCTCCGTGCTCCCACATTCTTCGTTGCTCAGGATGATAACCAGATCACCAGCGAATTCTTCCCGCCCAACTCCGAGGCTGAGCGTCGTATCTCGTTCTTTGCTCAGTCGCTTTCCACTCCAATGCCCGAGCCTGTCCCCGTCGAGAATATGCCCTCGTTCACTGTTTTGGTCCCTCACTACTCTGAAAAGATTCTTCTGTCATTGCGCGAAATTATCCGTGAAGAGGACCAGTACACTCGTGTTACTCTGCTTGAGTATCTAAAACAACTGCACCCGGCTGAATGGGAATGCTTCGTTAAGGATACCAAGATTCTTGCTGAGGAATCTGCCGAGTTCCAGGACCGCGACCCTGATGAGGATCGTGAGGCTGTTCGTAACAAGATCGATGATCTGCCTTTCTACTGCATTGGTTTCAAATCTGCTAAGCCCGAGTACACTCTGCGTACCCGTATCTGGGCTTCTTTGCGTTCCCAGACTCTTTACCGTACTGTTTCTGGCTTCATGAACTACTCTCGTGCGATCAAGTTGCTTTATCGTGTTGAGAACCCCGAAATCGTTCAAATGTTCGGTGGCAATACGGAGGCCCTGGAGCGTGAGCTTGATCGTATGGCCCGCCGTAAGTTCAAGTTCATTGTCTCTATGCAGCGTTTGACCAAATTCCGCCCCGAGGAGATGGAGAATATGGAGTTCTTGCTCCGTGCTTATCCCGACCTACAGATCGCCTACCTTGATGAGGAGCCCCCGGAGAACCCTGGTGATGAGCCTCGTGTTTACTCCGCTCTCATCGACGGTCACTGTGAGATTATGGAGAATGGCCGTCGTCGTCCCAAGTTCCGTGTTCAGATTTCCGGTAATCCAATTTTGGGTGACGGCAAGTCTGATAACCAGAACCATGCTCTGATCTTCTACCGCGGTGAGTATTTGCAGCTTATTGATGCCAATCAAGATAACTATCTTGAGGAGTGTCTTAAGATCCGCTCTGTTTTGGCTGAATTCGAGGAGTTTAACCTTGAAATCGCCAATCCTTACACCCCAGGTATGCCAAAGGACACAGTCTCCCACCCTATTGCCATTGTTGGTGCTCGTGAGTACATTTTCTCTGAGAATGTTGGTGTTCTTGGTGATGTTGCCGCCGGTAAAGAACAGACATTCGGAACCTTGTTTGCTCGTACCCTTGCTCAAGTTGGTGCGAAGCTGCATTATGGTCACCCCGATTTCCTGAACGCTATTTTCATGACCACTCGTGGTGGTGTTTCGAAGGCTCAGAAGGGTCTGCACTTGAACGAGGATATTTACGCTGGTATGAACGCTTTGATGCGTGGTGGACGCATCAAGCACTGCGAGTACTTCCAGTGCGGTAAAGGTCGTGATTTGGGTTTCTCTTCCATTCTCAATTTCACTACCAAGATTGGTACAGGTATGGGTGAACAAATGTTGAGTCGTGAGTACTACTACATGGGCACCCAATTGCCTCTTGACCGCTTCTTGTCCTTCTTCTATGCTCATCCAGGTTTCCACATCAACAATATGTTCATTATTGTTTCGATCCAAATGTTTATGATTTGTCTGATGAATATCGGTTCTCTATCTTCTGAGTCTATTGTCTGTTGGTACAACAAAGACAAGCCGCAGACTGACCCTCACATTCCTGGTGGCTGCTACATGCTTCAGCCGGTGCTTGACTGGATTGACCGCTGTGTTTTGTCTATTTTCATCGTTTTCTTCATTTCATTTATCCCGTTGGTTGTTCAAGAGCTGTGCGAGAAGGGCTTGTGGCGTGCGGTTACTCGTTTCTCGAAGCACTTTGCCTCGCTCTCTCCTCTGTTCGAGGTGTTTGTCTGTCAGGTCTATGCCTCTTCCCTGTTGAGTGACTTGGCACTTGGTGGTGCTCGTTACATTGCAACTGGTCGTGGTGTTGCCACTGCTCGTATTCCTTTCTCTGTTCTGTTGTCTCGCTTTGCCAATGACTCTATTTATCTGGGTGCTCGGTCTATGTTGATGTTGCTGTTTGGTACTATTGCCATGTGGCGTGCATCACTGCTGTGGTTCTGGTTGACTTTGACTGCGATGGTTATTTCGCCATTCATCTACAACCCCCACCAGTTTGCATTCACGGACTTCTTCATTGACTACCGCGATTTCATCCGCTGGCTCACCCGTGGTAACTCCAAATGGCATCGCAATTCCTGGATTGGCTACGTTCGTATGCAGCGCACCCGTTTGACTGGTTTCAAGAGGAAGGTGCTTGGTGACGTTTCCGAGAAGGTTGCTGGTGACTCCAACCGACCCACCTTCTTCAATCTGTTCTTCAGTGAAGTTGCTGTTCCTGCTATTGTTGCTGCTTTGGCGTTTGTTCCCTACACGTTCATCAACGCCCAGACTGGTGTCAACACCAAAAACAACCCCCAGCTCGACAGCGTTGAGGAGGTCAACTCTGTTCTGCGCGTTATCATCTGTACCTTGGCACCCCTTATCATCAACGCTGGCTGCGTCTTCATTATGGCTTGTATTGCCTGCTGTGCTGGTCCTCTTACCCAGTTGTGCTGCAAGCGCACTGGTTCTGTTATGGCCGGTATCTCGCATGGCGTTGCGGTCATCATTCAGGTTGCTTTGTTCGAGGTCATGTGGCTGCTTGAGAACTGGAACTTCCGCCGTGCGCTGCTTGGAACCATCACCTGCATTCTGATCCAGCGTTTGATCTGTAAGATTTTGATTGCCACTACACTCACTCGTGAATTCCGGGCCGACAACGCTAACCGCGCTTGGTGGACCGGTAAGTGGTACGGATCTGGTATGGGCTGGATGGCCTGGACTCAGCCTGCCCGTGAGTTTGTGTGCAAGGTTGTTGAGGCTGAAATGTTTGCCGGTGATTTCCTGCTCGGCCACCTGCTTCTCTTCTTCCAGCTGCCCGTTTTGTGCATTCCTCAGATTGATAAGTGGCACTCGATGCTGTTGTTCTGGCTCAAGCCCGGCCAACAGATCCGTCCGCCCATTTTCAGCGTTAAGCAGAACAAGCTGCGCAAGCGTATGGTCAAGAAGTACGCGACCTTGTTCTTCACCATTTTGGTTATTTATGTTGTGATCATTGTTGCTCCAGCAGTTGCTGGCCACAATATGGATCTCGGCGACAGTTTGCACTTTGGCACTATTTCCGATGGCCTCGTCCAGCCTAAGGGTCTCCTGAACAACGATACAGGTATTAATGCCACTACCGACTATCCCACAACATTGACTTCGTACGACTTTGTGAATACCACTATCGCCTAATATCTATAGCATTAAAATTGTGTATTGATTTAAGAAAATTTACATTCAATCTTCTTTTACAAGACAACGCTAAAGCCCTTATCATGGGGGAAAAAGAAACTATCTCCCTCAACCCTCAACCCGAAAAATCACCGTTGTGATTTCTCTGTGCTGACATGTCGGGATGCCCCCACAGCCAGAAAGGCGCTGGCTGTGGCCATGCCTACCAACTCGGGGTCAAACTCGGGTTGGCGGTAGCATTGAATTTGAGCGAATACAAGTCACAGTGTGCGGTGTGCAAAGGACCAGCTGTATGCTGTTGCCTAGAATGTAACCGAGTTGCGTGCATTGACCATGCAAAGCACACACATCCACTTTCCATCTGTTTGATTGGCGCCGGGAGTCTATATTGTGGCGAATGTGGGGATTTCATTGTGGATCCGTACTTTGAGCGGCTGCGGATGAAGCAGGTCCGTCAAGTTTTGGCCGGTGAAGCCGCTTCCGGACAAGTCGCTAACGGTGTGGCCAATGGATCTGCGAACAGATCATCCAATGGGGCGCCGAATGGATTGGTAAACGGTAATGGACAGTCAAAAGGCGATGCAGCTATACCACCATTTACGGCCGTCGCTGGTCTTCGCGGTGTTTACAACATGGGCGCAACTTGTTACATGGCCGTGATTCTGCAGTCGATGGTGCACAATCCTATTCTGAAGGGGTTCTTTTTGGCAGGCGGACATGAGTCTGGAGAATGCAAGCGCGAATGGTGCGTCATGTGCTGTGTCGATCGGCTTTTTTGCGAATTTTTCAGCTCCCCCCAAGTGTCTGGATACGGTATCGCTGATCTGTTAACTGCGACGGCAAAATCAGACAAACCTATGATGACGGGCAGTACGCAACAAGACGCACACGAGTTTCTGCAGTTTCTGTTGGACGAGTTCCACAAGGCACACTTTGTGTCGACCACCTTCAGCCATGCGACCGAGGTAGCAGGAGGGGGCTCGAATGCCACAACCTGTCCCTGCCCGGCTCACCGTGCATTCGGCGGTACCATTGAAAGCACGCTGGCGTGCGAGTGCACGTATGAGACCAAAACTTTCGAACCGATTATGGACCTGAGTCTCGAGCTCACGGGCCGCAGCCTCCGCACCTGCCTGGACCGATTCACGGCCGGAGAAAAACTATCGCATTACACCTGCTCAGCATGCAAACAAACAGGAACTGTCACAAAACGTCTCATGGTAGAAAAACTACCACCGGTACTGCAAATACAGTTAAAACGCTTCAAGCATACGGTGGACGGAGCAGCGCAAAAATTGGAGTCCCCAATCGAATTCCCGTTCCAGCTTGATGTCACCCCATACACAACAAATCCAGGAGGTCGGCCGCTGCTTTACGAACTCTACGGCGTCATCTGCCATCAGGGATCACTGGACACTGGCCATTACACTTGCATGATGAAGCACTCCTCGGGCGCTTGGTACCATTTCAACGACGATATGGTCACCAAGGTCTCGCCCAAAAACGTGGTCTCATTGAATGCCTATCTCTTATTCTATATTGTCAAATATACGCTCTAGGTTGACGTTATTTTAAACTCCATTTATCCATTTCTCCTCTCTGCTTCGCGGCTCCTGACAAAGCATGACACAGTATTTTTCTCGTGCGGCCAAGTCGCTTGTTATAAGACGCGGTGTCGGCGAGTACGATGAAACGGATTTCGAGAAACCCGTAGACTCGGCTCGTATTGCCATCTACTCTCTCGATGGTTCTCGGTTCGCGTATGCCACGGCCTCAGAAACCACTGTAGTCGACCCTGACAGTGGTGCGGTTCTGGCAAGGATCCCTGTTGCAGCCGCTGACCTCTATTTCAGCCCCAAAGGCACGTTTATTGTGACATGGGTGCGCCCCAAGAAAAACTCAGAATCTGGCAACTGGGAGAACAACCTTTTGGTTTGGGCTGTGGCCTCCCCCGAGTCTCCAGTTGGGGAGTTTCTTCAAAAGAGTCAGGGCTCTTTTCGCGGGGGCTGGTCAGTTCAGTGGACTGGGGACGAGCAGTTTGGTCTCCGTCAGACCGCTCCTGGTACTTTGGTCGCGTATGATGCGTCGCTCAAGAACCAAGCCGGAAAGCTTACCATGCCTGACGGGATTGCCGAGTTTTCGGTTTCTCCTGGCCGTAATCCTGCTGTGGCTATATTCACTACCGGTCGTAAAGGCAAGCCACCAAGTGTGCTTGTGTACAAAGTTCCAGCCCTCAGCCAAATTGCTGCATCGCGGACGCTTTTGCGGGCCGAAAGCGTTCAGCTCATGTGGAACAAGCTTGGCACTGCCTGCCTGGTTAATGCCACCACTGACGTCGATAAGAGTGGTAAAACCTATTACGGTGATTCTACATTGTACCTTTTGACCGTGAACTCGGGCGCTAGCCAACGTATTGCTCTGGATAAAGAGGGTCCTGTTCATGATGTCGCTTGGTCACCTACTTCAGATGAATTTGCTGTTGTATACGGTTACATGCCTTCAAAGACTACCTTCTTCGATACTCGGGGTAATAACATTCACTCGCTGCCTTTGGCCTCGCGTAACACTCTCAAGTTCTCTCCTCAGGGACGGTTTGTCGTGGTCGCTGGCTTTGGCAATTTGCAGGGTCAGGTTGACATTTACGACCGCGGCAACAAATACGCTAAAGTTACAAACTTGGACGCTCCAAACACATCCTACTTTGACTGGTCTCCATGCGGCCGTTACATTTTAACTGCTACCACGTCTCCCCGACTCCGTGTCGACAACGGCGTCAAGATTTGGCATTACTCCGGCCGCTTCATGTATGCACATGATGATGAGGAGCTGTTTTCTGTGGGATGGCGGCCAGAAGAGATCCCTCTGAACCTGACCGAACCGATCCCTGAACCGCACGAGAGCGTCGCAAATCGTGCTACAGCGGCTGCGCCCAAGCCGAAGAGTGCCTATCGTCCCCCGCATGCTCGGGGTGGTGCTGAGGTTGCTCGCACATCGCTATACCAACGCACTATGGCAGCTGAACCAGCCGCCGACCAGTCTAAAGCGGCTTCTAAAAATAAAAAGAAGCGGGAGGCTAAGCGGGCTGCAGAGGGCACCAAGCCGGCGCCTGGCAATGGAGCAGAAGCCCCTGCTACCACCGCTGCGGTTGCACAGAATCCAGAGGACAAACTTGTTCGGTCTCTGCTCAAGAAGCTTCGGGCAATCCGCGACCTCAAAGAGCGCCAGGCTTCCGGTGAAAAGCTTGAGTTGACTCAGGTCCAAAAAATCACAACTGAGAATGACGTTCTTACAAAACTCGCTTCCTTGGGCTGGTCGGAATAAATATATAGACGCATTTTTATACTACTTTAGTGCGGAGATCACAAAACGTGAATGCATCGTCCGTAATTCGTACATGGCCCGGTTGGGCACGACAGTACAGGTCTCGTTCGTCATGGGGGTGAAATGAGGTTTGACGGCAGTTTTTAATGATCTCTGCTCCAGGAGGATCGGTTAGACGATAGATTGCGAATGAAAACTCGTGAGACGGGGCACAAACCGCTGCAATCGCTTCGGGGAGCATAATCTGATACGAGCTATGCGTATGAAGGTCTACCGAAGACATGAAACACGTCTGGCTGGGGTGGGTGTGGATCCAGCCTAGAATAAATAAGTCTCGACTATCGACATAGTCAAAAAGCACTTCTTCTCGAAGCGTTGTGCAGGTATTTTGCGTAGACTCTTGGAACGGAATCACCAGGTCAGTGATCACAAACACCCGATTCCGAAGACGCCCGCAAAGAATTCCACATGTTTCTAGATTACGTTTTGTGTTGGGGGCTGCAGCAGCCAAAAATTTCGCTTCCAGACCACGGGGGAACAGGACATTTCTCAGCCCTTCGGGTTCGGTCGTCGAAAGTGAAGGATACGAGAACGCGAACGACTGAGCAGTGCGTGGTGCTGCTTGTCGTTTTTTCAGTGAGTCAAGTGCACCGCCAAAACTCGTGCCTAGATCCAATTGAGGTAACTCTTGCTGAACTGGCTTGGGCTCGGGTACTGGGGGCGGAACCGGCTTTTGCACCTCAATCTTTGCTCTTTCGGCATATACCACATTCAACTTGGTCTTTACTTCCTCGGCAATTTCAATGATGGCAGGTAATAGCTTCAGTGCTTGGTTATACGACCGTTTATTGGTGGCGAAACTTGGGTGGGTGGGTAATTTGTTCAGGACCAGATCAGCGTACCGCAGGTACAGCAAATAAGCTCTTTCCAAATCGTTCTCATTCAAGCTCACTTTTGCTTCATACCTCAGCGTGTTGGAAACGTGAATCCAGTTCTGGAAGGAGACTGTTGACGAAAAAACATAGTTATTAGCTTCTCGACCTAAATCAGATATCGACATGACTAAGTTGGTAAAAGTGATAAATGGCTAAATAGGCGAATTTACGCTTCCTGGCCTTCGAATTTTGCAAGCTTGGCGGTTCCCTCATCCCAGGTAGCACCCTCAAAGACCATTGCACGCACAGCGGCAATAACGTCGGGGATGGTGCCGCGCCTTTGCTCGGTTGTATCACGCTCACGAATAGTAACAGTACCGTCGGAGACAGTCTGGAAATCAATAGTGATACCGAAAGGTGTGCCCATCTCATCATTGCGAGCATAACGCTTGCCGATAGATGCAGAAGAGTCGTCAACCTTGGCACTGATATGGGCCTTGCGGAGCTCGCGGGTGAGCTGGGTGACCAGAGGAGTGAATTGGGCGTTGGAGCTCAAGGGCACGACCAAAACCTTGCTAGGGGCAATGCGGGGAACGAATGACAGAACGGACCGGTCGGCGTCCTCAGGACGGTTCCAGAAGGAGTGCTCCAGGAGGGAGTACAGAATACGGCCAATACCGAAGGAAGGCTCGATGACATTAGGAACGTACTCACGAACATGCTCTTTGCGTTCGCGCTTCTCGATATTAACGAGGCTAGACTCGATTTCGACAGGCTCGGCAACGTCCGGGATTTTCGCAACAATCTTCCCGTTCTTGGCAAGCTCTGCAGCCAAATCCTCACGTTCGCACTGGGTGCGATTCAGAAGCCATTGCTCGACCTTGCCGGCATCGCGGCGGTAGCGGGGACCAAACTTTTTCTTATCGATATCAACCTCAAACTCGTTGACAACGATGGGCTCTTCAAGGGCCTCGCGGACAACCAGCTTCTGGTTAGTACGAGCTGAGTGAACGCTAAGGTCATAAGCGCTGCGGTCAGCACAGCCAACACACTCGACCCAGCCATAAGACGACTGGAGCTCGCAGTCCCAGCAGTCACTCGCGTAATGGGCCATCTCATTGGCCATATGTTGGCGGAAACGCATGCGGCTCTCATCCATACCGATCTTGCACATAAACAAATAGATACGGCCAACAAAGTAGCCAAGAGTCTCGTTATCAATCATACCAGTAGAAACAGCGTCACCAAGAGTGATCTCGGTCAGATCAGTGGATCCAGCGGCCTGAACATCCTTAGGCAAGGCCCGGATCTTGATATCCTTGACCTCATGGAAACGGGGGTGAGACTTGTCCTTGGGGTCAACGAAATGCTCGATCTCTGCCATCAAGAACTCACGAACCCGCAACAAACCAGCACGGGGAGAAATCTCGTTACGGAACGACTTGCCAACTGAAGCAGAGGCGAAAGGCATCTTGTTATTGTTGCAGTCCAAGAGTTTGTTGAAGTTCAAAAACTGACCCTGGGCAGTTTCAGGACGTAGGAACCCACGAAGTTGTCCGGAGGGGCCAATAGAGGTCTCAAACATAAGGTTGAACTCAATGGGGGGCTCGAGGGGGCCTCCAGTTGCCGGGTTGCCAATTTCGTACTTTTTGATAATGTCACCGAGTTCAAGGCCAGAGTAGCCATCGATCTTGGCCAAAACTGTTTCATACTCCTGAACAACGGAGTCCTCGAGCTTGATAGCCTTGATCTCCTTGACCTTCTTCTTGCGCTTTTTCTTGTCCTCGCTCTCCTCTATGGGCTCATGAGCAATACCGCGCGCTTCCTTGTCGCCCTTGAGGCGAGCCTCGAGCACTTCCTCAACTAAATGGTCAGCACGGAAAATCTCACCTGTTTTGAGATCACGGCACATCCAGTCGGCGAACTTGTCAACGTGGCCAGAGGTCTTGAGAACCTCATGGGGAGTCAGGGCCGTGCAGTCAACCTCGAGCATATCCTCTTCGAGAATGAAATGTCTTTTCCACAGATCGATGATGTTGGCCTGCAGAGAGCAGCCAGCAGGACCGTAATCATACAGACCAGAGACGCCGCCGTAAAGGTCGAAGGAGGGAGCGTAGAAAAACCGACGGCGCAAAATGCCGTCGAATTGCTCGCGAGAGAATACTTGTTCAGCAGGCTTAACAGACATTAGATTTCTAGAGTATCTACGAACGAATGTGAACGATCGTCGCAGAAGAGTCACTTTTTCAAAGGTGTAGGGAAATGGAAAACACCTAAGCGAGGGGTAAAAGGGCACTTGGAAATTCAAGCGAGGGTAAATGGGAGTTTAGATAGATCGCAGGGAGGGGGATTGTGGTACATAGGAAGCATGGATTACATAAACAGATGCCAAACCAATCATCGAGCCGCCAAATTCTGACAAACTCAACCTTTCTCGCACAATGTCTGGTCTGGCAACCTCGCTGCGAACCATTACATATCGGGCGGCTTTGCGGGCGAACGCACGCCCTATCGGTGCCATCGCACGTTTCCAGTCGACTTTTGCCGCAGGAAGCAACCTTGGTGTGCCTCCACAGGGTTTCCGCATCCCTCCCCCCAAATCATGGGAACACGAGGCTGAGGGGTCTCTGTCCAAGGCAACAAAGTTTTTCTTGCTCGCCGAGATGTTCCGCGGTATGTACGTCGTATTGGAGCAGTATTTCCGCGCCCCTTACACTCTGCTTTATCCCTTCGAGAAGGGCCCTATTGGTCCTCGATTCCGTGGTGAACACGCTTTGCGCCGCTATCCTACGGGCGAGGAACGCTGCATCGCTTGCAAACTCTGTGAAGCCGTTTGCCCTGCCCAAGCTATCACCATCGAGGCTGAGGAGCGCGTTGACGGATCTCGCCGCACTACCAAGTACGACATCGACATGACCAAATGCATCTACTGCGGCTACTGCCAGGAGTCTTGCCCTGTTGACGCTATTGTGGAAACCCCTAATGTCGAATACTCTACTGAAACACACGAGGAGTTGCTCTACAACAAAGAAAAATTGCTCGCCAACGGTGATAAATGGGAGCAGGAGCTTCAGTACTGCTTGGACGCTGACGCCAACTACCGTTAAAAGAAAAACCAAACAAAAACTTTCTGTTTATTTAGCAATTAAATATTAATGCATTGCTACTGAAAAAAGATAACTAGTGCAAAATGTAGAAAGGTTTACTGGCTGGCGCACTGCACACCAGGACCGTGGCCACCGCCCATTTCGTCGTCTTCGTCCATAGCATCCTCAGGGTTTTCACGCAGCTTGGAGACGTCGACCTCCTCCATGGTCACGAACTCAGCATCGGGATGGGTCTGCGGGGCCACTCGGGGTGGGAGAGCCTTTTCCAGTAGCTGCAAGTTCTCTGGAGTGACAGTCTTGGGGAACTCAATCTCGAATTCAATAATAAGATCCCCGTGGTTGTGGAAACGCTGCGAAGGCATACCCTTGCCTTTGACGAGTTTGAATTGGTTAGGAGAAATAATCTCACCCTCACCGATAGCGACGTGGATCCACTGGCCGTCGAGCTGCTCAATATCAAAGCTGCCGCCGCCGAGGGCAGTAAGAAGATCCAGCTTCTGCTTGTAGAACAGATCGTTGCCGCGGCGCTCGAAGCGGGCGTGAGGCTGCTCCTCAAGAACGAAAATAACATCGCCAGGGATGATGTTGGGGCCACCGTCGCCCTCACCTTGGAATGTGATGCGTTGGCCGTTGGCCATGCCCTTCTCAATGTGAACCTCAAGAACCTTAGACTCTTCGATCTTTTTCTTGCCGTTGCATCTCTTGCAACGATCTTCGGGAGCGCAGATCTCACCGGTGCCCTCACATGCCCGGCAAACGGTCTGGTACTGCTGGATAACGTTGCCCATCTGGCGGGCCTCTAACTTAACACCCTGGCCATGGCAGGCAGTGCACTTCTTGACCTTGCCTTCTTTACCGCCAATACCTTTGCAATCGGGGCAAACAATGGTGCGCTTGAGAGCCATCTTGGCTGTGCGGCCCTTGTAGAGGTCCTCAAGAGTGACTTTAACGACATGCACAATATCACGAGAACGACGGGGTCCAGAGGGGCGGCCGCCGCCAAACATGCCTCCCATACCGCCCATTCCACCAAAGAAGTGTGAGAATAGGTCGTCGCCGCCGGGACCACCTTGTCCCTGGAGACCTTCCATACCATAATTATCATAAAGACTACGCTTCTCATCATCAGCAAGAACCTCGTAAGCACCACTCACTTCCTTGAACTTCTCGTGAGCTTCCTCAGAGGAGTTCTTGTCAGGGTGGTACTTGAGGGCCATTTTGCGGTAGGCCTTCTTAATTTCCGAGTCTGTGGCAGTAGGAGCCACTCCTAAAATATCATACAGCTTAGTATCGCGAACCATTTGATTTTATACCAGCTAAACACAACGTCCTTTTGATACGGGGGTTATTTGTGCAATATTCGACAGTGCTGATATATATATGTCCTCACTTGAAATATATATAATTTACCTCGTAAGCAAAAGAATTTTCGAACGGGCTGCCAGAGATCCTTCTTTAGGGTTCCATTATGACAAATGCGCTTGTCTCAAATTTCAGAGGGGTGTTGGGGGCTATTAGCCAGAGTCCTCTCCTGAACACCTTGAGCATGCATAAGGTGTACCGTTCCTTGCATGTCGCGCCCTTGGATGAGCCGCTTGTCTGCAGAAGTGGCGAAGATAGGACCTCCGTAACCGGAGAGCTTGAACATAATCGATTTAGAGTCACCAGCAAATCTACCCCACAGTTCGCTTTAAAAACCCGGTTTACCCCTGTTTCCCAAAGTTACTTTATCAAAAAACGACCCCCGGTCTACACAACCCTAACCTAACCGTTTAGATCGCCAACAGTAAGTGCCCAAGGCGAGAAATTAGGCGAGATATCTGAAAAACTGACCCAAAGCCAAGAATACAACCCAGAGATCCCTACAACTTGAAAACACACCCCGCTATACAATCCCTTGTGATGTTCAGACCCGTCGACGGCCGTACTGTGCGTTCGTTCACCTCTTTTGCTGACTAGTTCGTCACCCATAGGCTCATTCCTTGATACTCACTGGAACTCACTTAATCTCAAAGATGCCCTGCAGGGTCGCGGCGAAGGCAGCTCGGCGAGTCTCCACAATACTCAACCTATTAACAGAGTATTACTGTTCTGAGATTCCCAAGCATTTGCCGTTGCTCATCCTCACGCCGCTTGTCTACGTCCTGGTTGTCTTTTACAGGTTTTATCAAAGCTTTGGACAGCGGCCCCCCACCAAACTACTTACCTATGAGTCTACTCAAGAAGCTGAACCAGACAAAGTGGTGTATATTCGCCAGGTAGCAGTGATTCCACCGGTTTTCCATCGCACCACAGATAAACAGATGGAGGCTTTTCTGTCACCGGTCTCAGAGTTCGCAGCTACTTTGACCAATAACTCCACGCAATATCCGATGCTGTTGAACTCGACTGAGACTGATGACCTGTTTCCTGAATGCGAACATTCACAATGTTTGTCTTTTGCATACTTGTATACAGACCCCGCCGACGAAGATCGCTTCTTCGCAAACCTCCAAGAAATCACTAAAGGGCCACTACCTCCTGTCCAGCACTTTTTGTTTGACCGTCCTGAGTTGCCTCATGCCACCATTCCAAACTGGACTGATGCGCCTTTTCGACTTTGGCCAACAGACTCTAGTTTACCACAGGTTGTTGCTGCACTTTCGCTTGTACTCGTGATAATAGAGTGGATTCGTCATTGGTTAAGCCCGACTATAAGATACAGACGGCTGATCTTTGGCGTGCTTGTCGCTCGGATCGCCATGGCAATCACAGCGGCGGTTTCAATTGCATCAATGATTTTTCAGGAGTTCTGTTTTTCAATTGTTAAATCGTTCTTGATTGTACCTATTTTCTTGGGCACAGTGAGTCTCGTCTCAAGCTCACGCTTTTTGGACAAGCTCCCTCAGGGCTCTGTAGAGTCCCTAAACCCCCTTGTCCGCTTAACGATGGCTGCGAACCGAACAAGCTCCACTTCTGTGAGTTACCAATTGATTGCAGGTCAAATACTTTGTGTTCTTGGATTATTCCCCATTTTTGGAGTGCCTCCATATTTGTGCCCCGTCGTGTTTGTATATGGATATGCCCTGATTCTCGACTTCATCCTGCATTTTATGCTGTTTCTCCCTGTTTTGTACATCGACCTTGTATACCAGGATTCTCACTCGTACAATGCACTTGATTCGATTCAAATGGGTCTAGCTACTACAAACGAGAGCGACAAACAATGTCGAGTCCCGTTTCTCTCGAAAATCGTTAGAGAAGTCATTTACTGTGGTCTCGCTCTAGATGGCATTCTTCGGCGTGGGAGAACTCTGTTCATGCTTGTAGCTTTGATGCATGGTGTCCTTGCCTACTACTTGCTTTTCAAAGGGGGCAGCTTGTTGAATGGGTTTCAACCCAGTATTCGCAAGGCAACTAAACTACCGCAGTACATTGAACTATTTTTGTCACCAGAGAATGAGTTCCTGAAATCTTTTACATATCTGGATGTTCATTCTCCACTGATTATTTCAGTTCGACGCGGATTCATGAGGCCAGTCGCGGAAACCAAACTGGTGTTTGGCTCGCTTCGATATGGCAATACATGGAGTATATTTTTTGAAATCGCTGCGTTGGCAGTATTTATTGTCTCGATTGGCATGATTGGGTATATGATCTTTGTCCCCAAGGGCTCGCTTGACCTTAAATACTATCTGCCAGCTCGAGAAAAACTGTATATAAGCAACGTTGAGGCCACTCACGAGCTTGATATTTGTCTCATGGAGACTTGTGGGAACTACGTTGGCGCTATTTCTTGGGACCGCAGGCTGACCATTGCTGATACCTCGTCTCTCCAAAACGATATGCATTCCTGGTCCAAATCTGGGTCAGCAATTACTCTTCCCCTCCCCAGTTACGTCTGGCCTGTCAAAACGCTCATCATTAATCCTGCATTCAATCTAATTGCGCTTTTTTATGGCCATTGTATAGAAGTATGGAACTGGCGAGTCAAAGAGATGGTGTTCCACTTCCAGCATGATATGTCCCTGGCAGAGCTTCCGCTGGCCATGTTTTTTTTGAAAGACAGTCTGATTTTCGTGACACCTTCAGGAAAAGTTGTTGAGCTGTATTCTAAGGGCCAGGCCAATGTTGTACATGTGTTGAAGGATTGCCGGCTTAAGATTGTTAGCAAGGTATCCTCAGCAAAATCCGCCCACGTTTTGCTGCTTTTAATCGATTGTGATAACCGAGTCTTCAAAGCACGACGTAATGTTGCTGGTGAATGGGAAACTGAACAACTTGATATCTACGAGTCAATGTTAGCCGTCAATGCCCACTGCATAAACACCGAACTGCCTATCTCGAATGGATCGGTCCAGAAAAACCTCCAAGTGAGTAATAATCCCTACAATGTGCCCTGGACTCAACCCAGTGTTCGTGACGAGTCGTTCAAAGAAGTTGTTGCCATGCCAGACATTGAGCTGGTTTTGTTAGTTTCTGATGTTCGCGTTGGCTTCTTTGATATCAATACAGGCTTGTTCTTACGCTACATACAGATCGGCAACCATGTGCCAAACTCCATCAGAGCCCTACATTCGCAGCCCACCCATTGCGCCTTTTGTGGTTGTCCTGCGGTGTTGAGTATCTCTGTGGCATACTTTGATGCGGACGAGCCCAACACTTTGGTTTGCCACACCTACCAGCTTCGGGATCGACACCGTAATGACATCTGCTTGCGTGTGGAGCGTGATCCTCGTGAGACACGTTGCTTGGGTTTGATGTCGACTATGGAGCAGTGCCATTGGCTTGAAAACATCGAGGTCTGGGAGGCGAGCGAGATCAACTCAATCCTTGGTATAAGACGGCGTCCGGACTCAGATGTTTCAGACGAAGCAGAAACTATAGAGCTTCGCAACCAAGACTACACGGGCTCCCTGAACATGATGAGAAGCCTCAGAAATAGAGGGGAATCACTCAGCCCTTTACATTCGGGCCATCACCACTGCGACTATGAGGCTTTTGCCCTTTCGGCAAATGGTAAACTAACCTGCTCAGAGATCTGTTTCGACTCGCAGGCCCAGGGGGCCAGTCAGCTGCTGGAAGACAAGATTTCTGCCGTAGGCAAAGTTGGGACCCGCTCGGTGTGCATTGGCGTCGGCAATACGCTGAAAGTTCTCGGCCTAGCTCAGGCTCAGATCTAATCTATATTTATCTTTTAACTCCTTTTGAGATTATGAACTTTTGATATAGTCGATTTATCACCGTTTTGTCACATTCTGGCGTTTACCTAATGATTGACTGGGTGATTTGGAGCCCCTCGGATCTCACCGTCAAGTCGCTGCATGACATTTTAGCGCTTCGAGCCGATGTGTTTGTAGTGGAACAAGAAAGCCCCTACTTGGATATTGATGGTCTGGATATCACTGAGGGAACCGTTCATTTGGCCGCGTTCGATAAGGATAGGATAGTTGCCTACAGCCGTTTGGTTGAGAATTCCACAAACGGTCGTGCAGTCGCCCGAGTTGGCCGAGTGGTGGTGCACAAAGATTACAGAGGGGGCCTGGGGAGCGAGCTTTTGGATCGCTCGATACAAATATGCAAGGAAAAATGGCCTGAACACGACATTGTCTTATCGGCTCAAGAACATCTGCAAGGGTTCTATGCCAAAAAAGGGTTTGTTGCAGAGGGGTGTACGTATCTAGACGCTGGGGTTCCGCATGTTGAAATGATTGCTAAATGCGAATAAATCAATTAAGTTAAACCATACAGAATTTACGAAGTTGCTCTTTGAAGGAGTCGCCAAATGCACCTCTGAGGAGAAACAAAGCTAAGTTATCCTGCGGTTCCACGCATACGAGAGTGGGATTTCGAAGCGTTGGGTTAAGTTCCTTGAAATTCTCGAGCCATGCAATGCTCCTGTCGGTTATGTATCGCACGGGGATTTCTTCATTCCCGCTCATCGAGCTAAGGAGGGGGAAGACACCTGCTCGCTCAAGCATAAGAGCCATCAAGCGGACGGCCAGACGGTCATTATCTTTGCCAGCTCTATCAAGATCATATCTTCTCCAAAATAGTGGTTCAGAGTTGAGCATTAAGACAAATGCACAGGAATCCATCTTGGGATCGGCCTTGGGAAGATATGCCAAATAGCAGTCTACCTGCCATTCAGAGAATTCGGTGGGAGGGAGACTATATCGAATAGAGGAGTCTGAGGTATGCATCAAATAAATGAAGGTTGTTCGGAAAGCGTCAAAGTTCAGGTGTACGTTGCCACGATTTGGCCGAGAGTCGGAATTCCAGTAGACCGTATCAACACAGAACTCGAGATCTGGGCGCACAGTTGACGATAAATGGGACATCAAATAATGCACTGTGCGGACCCCTTCTGCTAAAGAGTCATTTTGGACCTCTGCAGAGACCTGTTCTTGCTCTGTGGAAGTTGAAGCCAACTCTCGATAAGTGGCTTCGTCAATAGGTGTCTGGGGCTGCCCAAAATTGAACGTTGTGCCTAATGGATGAACTAGGCAGGCCTTTGAGACTAGACTGTCTGCACTTACGAAGTAGTTATCGAACGAGTTGACCAAGTCCAATCCATAAAGCTCTTTTGCTTTCCCCAAATATACGCCGCCATAAGCCACTAAAATATCAACAACGTTTTGGCGAACCTCCTCAGGACAGAAAATGTACGAGTCACGAGAGGTAGCATAGATATAGGCATCGTGCCCCCAAATTGATTTGTACATTAGACACACGAGCTTGCATCGGGCCCTTTCGATAAATCCTTGTTGCTTGAGATAAGAAATGAGTTCAACAAAATCATCTTTGTGGCGTTCCACTTGTTCTTCCCGGTCCAGTTGTACCGAGTAGAGGTCGTTGTTAATTTCCATACCGATAACAGGCATGGTTCCCTTTTCCGGACTGTTTTTAGAGCGCGGCACCCTATCGTCCGGACTCCATACAATAAGAGGATAATTATTGCGAACATGATAGCATCCATGACCAATAGTCTTGGCCAAGTGCACAACTAACAGTGGGAAACTTATATTTTCAAACATTAGGGCCCTGAACCCCATAGTTGTGTCAGATTCAGCATAAATAGTTGCGTGAGGGACCACCTCACCAGTTTGAACGTTATGCTCGTTGAAAAAATAATAACTTGACATGTCATGAAAATCTGAAGGTTTCGGATTGATAGAGAAGTTGGCTGTCATGCCAGAATTACACAGCTCTTGTACCGTTCCAAGAGCCACTCGATGCCATTTTGATAAATCTTTTTTGGGCACCAGCTTGTAGCATGGGGGTGCATCAAACTCATCACCAGGGTTGAATTTACTTATGCTGTTAATCTTGTTGATAGATGTCAAAAGCTCATCATTCCCCCGCATGCCAGTTATGGCCCGTACTAGAGCGACTTGTATGAGATCAGGTCTCACATAGTTTTCGTCCCTTTCGGTTCTTACCACAAATTGCTCCAATCCACGTGCACGTACTCCTTCCTCATCGGTTTCCTCGTCCGAAGATAAATAGTCGGCGCTTGCGATCAGTTCCATCAATCGTCGCGGATCACCGTATAGCCCAGGAATATTATCTTCTATCATCGTCCGAAATATCTCACCTAGACCCCCATTACTTGGGGAAGGGACTCCTTGAAAGCTTTCGTCGCTTTGTTCCTCCGATGAGCTGCTATAGTCCTCCATAAATAGGACTCTTTGTCGGCTCAATGTCTACTGGTCAGGTGAAGTAAGGAAAATTTGGATCCCCTAAAGTCGCGAGAGTCTTATATAAGAATGCAAGACCAAGGGTGTGTTTGACAAGATTTGGACAAAAGGCTGAACGAAAGCTGCTCTTCTATTATGAAACACAATATAATTAACTGCACACTGTCTGTTGTCACATGGTCACCCACTGTAGTACTTGGTAAGCCTCTCACATGGCTCAATAGGACTAATCAGACGAAAAACGTTGGACCACTTTGCTGGGTGACTGATGCGTCTGCAAACATATGCAGGTCAAGGATATTATCCACCAAGCTATCGTTTCGCTAAAGACAGGCACAGGCTAGTATTTCAACTATTTGTAAGCGATCAAAACCACTAACGCTCTTATACAACGACTTGATTCCAAGCCACATTATGGAGTATACCGACCGGTTTATACACGTTTGATATTCGCTCACGCCGCTGACACTCGAGGTCGGCAGATGCCAGATCGGAGCAATGGTACTACAAGAGTGACTAATCTACAGCACCACTGGCCTTTTTAGGAGTGAGAATTTGGAGTCGGCGAACTCGCAATGGCGCAAGATTCGAACGATAACGAGAAGTCAGAAGGTTCCTCTGGCCAAGAGTTTGGCACCGACTCTAATGAATCTCCTCTCAGTTCGCTGAATGACCGCCCAGCAGGCTCTACCCCAGACGCTTCACCCCTGTCGAATGCTGGTCTTGTGCAGTTTCCACGCAAGAACCCTGAGGCGCTATCAATTGATTCACCGCCACCCTCAGATGATGAGGACGAACTTGAAGAGGTTAGGCCCCTTCGGCGGATTTTCACTGGCCGCAAAAATACAGGTGAGCGCTCACGTTCGCCGTCCTATGCATCAGGCCGGAGGAATTCACTTGCTAGCTCTACCCGCAACCGACAACATAGCTCAGCTGCGAACTCGGATGCGTTATCGGAAGAACATGAAGACGAGATTGAGGCGGAAGAGAGAGAGCCCCGCCTAAACCGTAGTAGGTCGCATACTCCAAGCCAAAATGCGTTGCTAGAACGTTATCTGGAACAGATTGAAAGAGAAGATGATACGGAGTCCAGCTTTTTCAATGCCGTATTTGAGACCCTGGCCGAAGCTGTTAAACAAATTATCAAACCAGAGTTTTTCAGATTCGATTATGCGTCGTTGAAAATCGTTTTCCGTACATGGGCCTGTGGTTGGATTGGTTTAATCCTCATGGTTATCAGACCTGTTGAGAGATGGATTGGTAGTACTTCGTTTCTTCTTCCCCTTATTGGCCTTTTGTCTTCGCCAGGTGGATTGTCCGTGTCCAATGCGTCGGTAAATGTCATCCTGGAGGCTGCATTCCCTGCTTGGGGATTACTATGCGCATATGTCGCTAATGTGATTCAATGGGCAGCTCGAGGGTATCCCACAAAGCAGGGAATAATGGCTGAACTAGCTGCTGAAGGCATCTGTAAATACGGAGACGCTAAATGTTTGAGAGAGGTTGTAATTACTGGCCGTTATCTGAGATTTGATATTACAGTGATTACAATTTTCCAACTTGCTTTTTCAATTTGGGTTCCAGGCCTTGCAGAGCAGTACTACATGCGCCTTTTCAAGATCCCATTCGTTATGAACCTTCTCATGCTTCTCCCTGTGATACCCTCACAAAATGCCACACCCTACATTTCCTTTTGGGAACTCTATCGATCCTCTATTATTGCCCTTTACCTGGCATATGCTATCAAATTGGTGAGCTGCTATATCATTTTCCCAATCTCATCAAACTGGAAGTATGTCAACATTCTTGCAAGCGTCACCAAAAGTACCAAAAAGCTCTCAGAGGATTTCTTCAATCGGGTACACAGTGAGCTGCCATCGAATGACACCTTTGAGGGTTCATACAAGAATATCCCAGGAGAATGTGCTAAACTATCGAATCTCTTTTTTAAGTTTGACATGGATGGCCTTATGCTCAAAATTGAAGTTTCTTACTCACGTTTAGATGCTGGTGATATTGGTGAATTGCGCTCTCGTGTTCGTGAGGTTTTAGCTGCTCTCAACAGCGTACACTTTTTCTTGATCAATATGCAGAATCGTAAGGAAATTTTGAACGATACAGCGAATAAGAGGGTATACGAGAAGTATACACAGGAGAGCTTGTCGCCGGGCACACCCAAAGAGAAGCATTTTCGTGACATATTCAATATGCAACGAAAGCGTCCTCACGATCGCCCTCGCTACAAGCCCACCGGAAAATTTGAGTTTCAAAGTGGCGAAAATTGGCGGATGATGGAAAGGGATAGTCTCGGAGATCTTACTCTTGAAGATCTCGATAAGGTTTACAGCCTCATTATAGGTCATTATCACCGCGCTCTCGTAAGTGCAAACAACGTTCTAGAAGAAGTTGGCGAGTGGCTAACAGCTGCTAACAGCTATCGGCTGCGATCTATGCTACCTTTTTTTCGAGAAGCTTACGCCAAAACTCAAAAAGAACGCGCAGACTCACTTGCAAATGCAGTCCAAGAGCTGGAAAACTGCCATTCCGAGCTCCTAAAAGGCTTTGCCGACTACCGCACCAAGGTGGAGGGCATAACCACGAGGGGAACTGCGCCCTATCTTTTCATTCTGGCACAGGACTCACTCATGAACCTTGTTGGCGCAGAGTTTCTCAACCGGGTCCACAGACTTGCCCGCTACTGCGGTCACTTAGATCACGCACAATCCAAACCTCGCTGGCTAAATCCTTTTGGCACTACTAGAGCCAAATCTATGGGTATTGCCCTATTCAGTTTGGGTGCTAACGTTACTGACCAGTCTGAGGTTAGTGATTTTGTGCCTGTTCATCAGGTTGAGGTTCGCAACCCTGATGCCACGCTGCCTCACACAAGGTTCCACAGATTTGCAGTGAAGTGTGACAAGGTGGTTAAATGGTTTTGCAGCCCCATGATACTGTTCAATACTAAGCGAGCCTTTGCGGTAAACATTCCGTTCATCATCTTCTATAACCGAGAAACCATTCTGTTTGGATTCAAGTGTCATGCTATCTGGGTTTCGATTATTTTCGTTATGACTTGCTCACGGCAGGCTGTAGATGGTGCTTATGGCCTTATTACTAGGCTGTATGCCACGTTTTGGGGATGTATTTTGGGTCTCTTAATTTGGTATATTTCGTCAGGTAATGGTCATGGTAACTCATACGGACTAGCGGTCACTTGCGCATTTGGCTTTATTATAATTGCTATGCACAGACATTTCAACAGCGACAAAGTTCCTCTGGGGTCTATTGTGTTTTGTGTCACTGTCATTCTTGTTATCGGCAACAGCTGGGCTACTACGTATGCTCCCCCGGTAGGAAGTGCAATAGGAAGGGGATGGCGAGTTGGTTGGTTGCGTTTTGTGACCGTTTCAATCGGTGTGACTCTTGCGTTCATAGTGACAATGTTCCCTGTACCGGCCACTGGCAAGCGTGCAATTCGAGAAGGACTAGGCGTCAATCAACAAGAGCTTGGAGAAACATTGTCATCAATTGTTAATTTTGCGCTGCAAAGAATGGATAATCCACAAGTTCACGTGAAGCGAAGGGCTGACCCCATCCACAACTCATTCAAGCTCATTTCCAATCAGATTCTTGCAGCTTCTCGCCTTGCATCTTTGATGAAGTTCGAACCGGCGTTTATCGGTGTCTGGCCAGGAAAACGTTACAGATTTTTGATCGCAATACAGCAAGAAATTGCATCGTTGCAATCGCTTACCCTCTTGCTGTTGAATAAAGTTGAATACGGTGAAGATTTGACACTGCTTATGGATGAAATGGGAATTTCAGATGTTGAGCTGCTATCCACTACTTATGCTGTCTTCTATATGACTGCTAATGCTTTACTCACCAAGAAGGCATTGCCATCAATCACACCTGGAGGCCTCTATTACCGTCATTGGAAGCATTTTGCCCAGCTGAGGCACCAATCTCAAAATGCCCAGCCTCTTCTAGAGACTGCATCTGAAATGTACACAACTTATGATGGACGACTTCGACTAGCAGGAATGATGGTCTCAAACCTTCTCTATGACGCCATAGATGGATCTATGTTAATTGTGAAAGGCCTTGTAGGAGAGGCATTCGACACGGACGAGAAGATCTACTTTATGCACTAGTTAATTTCAGATATATAAACAGAATTATGCAAATCAAGCAGATAATATTGCCAAGACTCACGTAATAATAGCAAGTTGACAGGTTGGCTGCACGTCAAGACCACGAACGTTTAGCACCAAGTTGAGTGTTGTGCAGAGCTTTGGCAAAGAATAGAACTGTGGGATTGTTCAATTCTTGACACAATAATTTTGGTAGGAGGAACAAGTTTAAAGAGGTATACCATGCGACAACCAGCCTACATGTTGTTCTGTGGTAACCAGCTTATGCTTGGAAAACAATTTTTAACCGTTTTTCCCTATCGCCGAGGACAACTAAGTCTTCAAGAGCATATTATAGAATAAGTTTACGGATCACGAAAATACCCAGTGCCAAGAATGAAAAAGCCTAAGCCTGCGACCACACTGAATTGGCCGCTCGGTTTCCGAGTGCCAACCCACGCCCAAGCAGGATAGATTTTCGCAGTCTTGCAAAAAACATTCGTTTCAGAGCCATTCTGTATTTCGGATCGACAAATAGTATCTTACCAGTATTATTACATATTGGTATGATTTGGGTGCTCCATGCACAGACATGTCTATATGCACGTGGCTGCATACGCGTGATTGTTTTTAACTGTATATAAAGACCGTGGGCAAGTGTATTCCAACATCAATTCCCCCAACATGAACCCCACACTTTATTCCGCACTCCTCCTCGCTCTCGCCGCTGCCGCTGTTGTTGTCCCCCCTGACAGCCAGATCACAGCTGTCGCAGAGCCTGGATTTGACACCGTCGCCAACTTGGAAGCTCGTGACCATGACCATAAGGACGACGACGATAATGACCATAAGAGCTACTCCTGGAATTCGGAAAAGCCGTGGTACGAGCAGACCTGGCTCAGCAAATACAAAACCAAGCGCAAGTCTTGGAACTCTGATCTGCCCTGGTACGAGCAGACTTGGCTTTCCCAGTATGCCACTCGACTCCCCGCTGAGGTAACTGCAAAGACTAAGGTTGCCACTACCGCTGCACCTGCGAGCACTGATCAGGGACAGGCGGCTACTCCATCCGTATCTTTGGCCAATGGTGCTGGAGCCAGCTCTGCCAGCATTGCGACAGCAATTGTGGCCATTCTCTCGATTCTTTAGTTTCAGATATCAGATCATCTATACTTTCTCCAAGAGAAAAGAGCAGTTCTTGCTCCTTCTTTAGCTGAAATATTTCAAGTCATTAACACCCATTTAACACCCATTTACACCCAGCTGTTCCCTCACTGTCCCCCACACGATCGATCGAGCGGGGTAAGGGTATAATTCGTTTTTAACGGCGAGTCGCCGCCGCACTTGTTTCTTCATGATCAACATACAGGCGGCCTTACCTAAGGAGCAGTTTGAGCAATTGCTGCTGTATTTGCGGAGCTCGAGCTGGCTTGTACTGTAAGTATTCTCTACTGATTTTTCTGTTCTCAGACACTAACATAGGTTCCGAGATTTCGTTTGCTTCATGTAAGTTACCCTCAATGGCTGCTCGCTTTCGAGCTATTATTGCTGTCGGATTCTAACAACAGTGTGGTTTGCCGCTATTTGCGCGTAATTGAGCATTATCTCATTACATATGGTGTGAGTGGATCCATTCACCGCTTATACAGAGCAGTTGCCGGTGATTTCGTGGCTTCCACTATGCAGTTGCCGCTAGTGCGCGGTGCTGTACAAAAGCAGGTTGATAAAGCTCTAGACGAAATCGATAGCAAATTTGTTCACCGAAACGGACTCCCAATTCACCATGAAATTCCTGAAAAGGCCATAAACCCCAAAGAAATTTCCCACATTATGAAGACTTTGGACACAATTAAGCGGTCCGATTGGGAGAATGGCCGCCTGTCAGGTGCTGTCTACCATGGCGGACATGACCTTCTAGAGCTGCAAACAAAAGTGTACGGTCAGTATACTGTTGCCAATCAGTTGCATCCTGATTGTTTTCCTGCAGTTAGACACATGGATGCTGAGGTTGTTTCTATGGTTCTGGATCTGTATAACGGACCCCAAGGTTCCTGTGGCACCAGTACCAGTGGTGGTACTGAATCTTTGCTTTTGACTTGCTTGGCGGCTCGAGAAAAGGCCAAAGCTGAACGAGGTGTTACTGAACCTGAGATCATTGCACCAGTAACCATTCATGCCGGTTTTGATAAAGCCGCGTACTATTTTGGAATGAAACTGATTCATGCCCCAGTCGACAAAAAGACAGGCAAGGTGTCACTCAAAGCAGTGGAGAAATTAATTGGTCCCAATACGGTTTTACTTGCTGGTTCGGCTCCTAATTTCCCTCATGGCATTATTGATGATATTGAGGGATTGAGCAAAATTGCTTTGAAGCACAGACTTCCGTTACATGTCGATGCTTGTCTAGGCTCTTTTATCGTTCCTTTCCTTAGAGATCTTGGCGTTGATGCTCCACTGTTCGATTTCCGCGTTCCTGGTGTTACTTCGATTTCTTGTGACACCCACAAGTATGGGTTTGCTCCTAAAGGATCATCGGTTATTATGTACCGTACTGCGGAGTTGTGTCATTACCAGTATTTTGTTTCCGTCGACTGGTCTGGTGGTCTTTATGCCTCGCCTACCCTGGCGGGATCCAGACCCGGTGCGTTGATGGCTGGGTGCTGGGCAACCCTGCTTTACATGGGTAAGGATGGCTATCGTGAAACTGCGAGAGCAATTGTGTCTTCTGCTCAAAAATTGAAGACGGCATTGCGTACGCACCCCGTCTTGGCGGAAACCCTTTCGGTGATCGGTGACCCCCTCGGATCTGTAGTCGCATTCCAATCCAAGAAGGTGAATGTGTACGATCTTAGTGACACCATGTCCAAGAAAGGCTGGCACCTGGCGACGCTGCAGAATCCAGCATCTGTCCACCTAGCTGCGACCCGCTTGACTATCGAGAGTATCGACGAGCTAATCGCTGATCTAGTCGCTAGCGTTGAAACGTTGATCTCCTCTGGATCCGAAACGGTGAAGGACGGAACCAAAGCACTCTATGGTGTAGCTGGCAGTGTGCAAACCGCCGGAATTGCCAAAGCTTTGGCAACGGGCTTTGTAGACGCACTGTACAAAACGTAGTTCCTCTGTTCAAGTATCAACCCTAACCGCATACTCATTTTTGCAGATGTGAAAAAAAATTAGGTAAAGATTTTGGTCCTTGGAACATCAAACTATGGGAAAAGCGAAGAAGACGAGAAAGTTTGGGCAGATGAAGCGGATGCTCAAGCCCAAGGACAAACGCGGTGAAACCAAAGCCCAGGAGGCACTAGAGAGAAAGCAAAAAGCTGAGGCCGTGCGCTCAGTCCCACAAGTGTCATCGGCGCTGTTCTTCCAATATAACGAAGCGATCAAGCCGCCGTATCAGGTTTTGGTCGACACAAATTTCATCAACTTCAGCATTCAGAAGAAATTGGATCTAGTCAAGGGAATGATGGATGCTCTGTATGCCCGCTGCATCCCTATCGTCACAGATTGCGTGTTGGCTGAGTTGGAAAAGCTCGGACCCAAGTATAGAATTGCACTGCGAATGGCCAAGGACCCTCGGGTAACTCATTTAAAGTGCTCACACAAGGGCACCTATGCAGATGACTGCCTCGTTCAGCGGGTGATGCAACACAAGTGCTATATTGTTGCCACTAATGATGCTGATTTGAAGCGAAGAATCCGTAAGATCCCAGGTATTCCTCTGATGAGTGTGGGCGGCCATTCCTATGTTATTGAAAAGCTGCCCCAGGCCTTCTAATATTATTTATGTCGTAGTTTAAAAGTCGCATTTTTATGGCCTTAGTCTGCCGAATTTTAGTCATGCGCCTACCCCGTCTGTGGATCCGCCAGTTGGTGAAACTGTTCGCGGGAATAGCTCTTCTTTGCGGCGCGGTCCTTCTCGTGGACTTTCAGTTGAACTTCCTGCCCTCGTCAGTTCATTCGCGCTTGCCCCTCCACACCCACTCTCCAATTGTCACTGATATTAAAGTGGTTTCGTGTCTCCGCTTAGGATCGTGTCTACCGGACGGTCAGGATGGTTGGTACAAGCACCCTAAGGAATTAAGTTTAGGCAAAGCTTGGTTTAGTAAAACCTACCTGTACACGCGTCGTTTCTGGGATGAGGATCTCTATACATCGACGCGGGTTGTTCTGGATGTTGCGATTTCCTCGGCTAACGGAGTAGTACCTCTCGAAGTGGTGGAAGATATTGGAGCAGGTGACACTGTGAGCTCGCACACTGATGGATCGACAAGCTCTCAAGCCGCTGAAAAGGCTATCCGTGAAATGGCCTTGAAGCTTGGCTGGGTAGAGCAGGATCCTGATGCGGGCCTTTGGGTGAAGTATGGAAAATATCATCCTTCCAAATCTGTATCTGCAGTCAAAGTTCTTTTTGGAGATGATGCAGTTTATCCATTGCCCGGATGGCGATTGGTTGAGGGAGGTCTCAAGATCGGCTCCGCACCATTTCCCCCGCGCCTTGCGCTACGTACTGGCCCGAAGCAGGTGCCGACAAAACCCAACTTGCAGATTTTCAACCAACAGTTCAAGATTTGTCAATTAACAGATCTTCATATGCGTGCCGGAACTCACCCTTGTCGGGACCCAGAGCCTCCGCTTAGAGACGGCGAAAAGTGTGATGCAGATGCTAAAACCCTAGGGTTTATCAACGACGCTTTGGACCACGAGAAGCCTGATCTGATTGTATACACGGGTGACATGATTCATGGGTCTGCCAGCGGGGATCCAGAAACTGCTTTACTCAAAGCGCTGTCGCCTGCTATCGAGCGACAGATCCCCTTCGCAGCGATATTTGGTAACCACGATGGTGAGGTCCCAGGTAACAATGCTGAGCTTATGAAAATAATGCAGGAGCTACCGTTTTCTCTTGCTCAAGCTGGTTCTGACAATGCCACTGGCGTGGGGAATTATATGCTCACTGCGTCAGTCAACAAAAACCCGGCATTGACCATGTACTTCTTGGACACCCATACCAGGAAAGATAGATTCGGATATGACTGTATACACAAGTCGCAGTTGGATTACATGCGAGAACTCCATCAATCTATAGCCCCTCAGCAGGCTGAGTATGCTCATATTCCACTTGCTATGGCATTCATTCACATTCCCATACCAGAGTACCGCAATGTCAATAACCCCATGGTAGGCACGTACAGGGAGGCTGTAATTGCTCCTTCTTGTGACGAAGGCTCTCGTGCGATGCTCTCCGATATTGGGGTGTCAGTCGTGACCGCCGGTCATGATCACTGCAACGACCAATGCATTCTGGACAACTCTGTTGAAGGAAGTCCTCCAGTTTGGCTTTGCTATGGTGGTGGAACTGGATATGGAGGTTACGGCAAATATCCTGATAAAGACGGGTTAAACTATCAACGACGCATCAGATTTTTCGACGTTGACACACAGGGAAGTACTATCTCGTCCTACAAAGTCGTGCACAATCACTATCAAACCATCGACAGACAGATTCTTGTCAAGAATGGAGTTGCCTACAACGAGTTAGACGTCTCCATCAACTCTGAAGACTCCAGACAGCATGACCATCCGCCAGAGCCTGCTGCATCCAGTGATCGATCTCAACAAAAAGCCGACACCTCTTCCGAGGGCACTGTTGAACCCGATACAATTGAATCCGAAGAAACCACCAAAGTAGAGTAAGTTAAACAGCCCGAGCTCACAACCGGGAAAGATTACAAATTCAACCATCCTCCAAGCCAGTCCATGTCGGACCCGCCGAATGGCACCACGCAAATTGAGCTGGATGCTATAATAGCAGCAGCTCAGTCCAAGCTCACGATACCCAAGTTGAAAACAGTTCTGAGGAGCTTCAATCTTGCTGTATCGGGGAACAAGTCAATTTTGGTGGAGAGACTTTTGGCATTCGTGGATCGACTATCTAGAGATCGAAATACTAGTGGGATTCACGACGTTTTTGTGGAGATGAATAAACTAGATGTTTTCATTGCTCCGGAACATAATGCTTCAACCACGTATACCAACATGGTCAACAATTTAACGACTGAGTTCAACCTCCCACCACAGTTTGGAGTGTCTAATAGCAGGGGCTTTGCTCCTGTAGAAACATATGGCAGTCCATTCAGATCAAAATTAAATGCTTTGGCAGTGGGAGGAGCAACGCGGGCCTCCACTAGGGATGGCTTGCCCATTCACCCACCCGCTCTCCAGTTTCAGGATCATCCATTTTATCGATTCAGCAGCCAGCTCAGCAGGCCGAGTATTTTGGCTAGCCCGTATACTCGAGAAACTTGTACGAGAACTATGAGCTTCAAAGTCACCCCTTCGGACATCGATGCCCTGAAGGATCGAAAGCTTATGGTCGCGCTTGTTTCCCAAAGGTATCATGCTCCTTTAGCACCTCGGCCAATCGAGTTTCCAATGCACACTTTCATTCGTCTCGACGACATGACTGTACAGGCTAATACCAGAGGCATCAAAAGTCACCCGGGGTCAACGCCGCCGGCGGATTTGACGCCGCTGCTTCTTGCCAACCCCGGCAACAACCATCGAGTCGAAATCACTGTGCAGATTAATTTGCGTGATCCCAGAAAAGACGAACACATGGCCTCGAAATCATACGGGTTTGTGGTCGTTATGCTGGAAGTACGTTCCGAGGAAGAACTCAAAGCTGTTATTATGAACCGCCCTCACATTGGGGTCGACGTCACGAAAGAACAGATTAAAACCAACCAAGAGCCTGATGATGAAAACGATGTTCTAATCAGTGCTGAATCAGTGCATTCGTTGAAGGATCCTGTCAGTTACACCCGAATGTCGATTCCAATTCGATCTCTCCGTTGTTCGCATATTGACTGTTTTGATGCAGCCACATACATTCAACTACAATTGCAAGCGAGCACTTGGAAGTGTCCCATTTGCAACAAGATTATCAGCTGGGAATCTTTAGCAATTGATGATTACTTTGTCGATGTGCTAAATTCTGCAGATGCTGATGTCGATCAAGTGAATGTAAATCCTGATGGATCATGGACTGTACGTTCGCGGGACTTACCAGATGATTCAGATTCTGACGATGATTTTCCCGCTAAAAAGGCCCGAAATGATCGAGTTGAAGTTATAGACCTGGTCAGTGATGATGAACCCGAGCCGCAAGTCCAACCCCAAGCTCCGCCACCAAAACCTAAGCGACAGCAACCCACGGGACAGCGTCTTGATTATAACGATGATTATGACTCAAGCTGGCAATCGCTTGAAGAGGGTCTCAGGCTGATGCAAGAACAAAATGCTGGTAGACCAGCGCCTTCTGCTAATATCAGTTACGGAAACCACATGTTGACACGAAGTGAGCTGGACTCAATCACAAGGTCATTAGATGAAGATACCGACGACGAGTTACCTACAAGGATTCCTGCCAAGCAAACAGCAGTCACGACCACTTCAGAGGTTCCCCATGCTGTCGTGCCTCAACAACATCCTTACAGTTCGCCAGGTGTTCCTAGTTCTTCTGAGTTCCAAAATTCACCAAATGAAGCTCCAACTGGGCCTCCAGTTATGCTGAAGATCCCGAATATCATTCCTTCTCCATGTCCGACTAGCTATGACACTAATGCTGATCATTCAGGTACGACCGCTCCACCTAGCCTACAATCAGCAGAAGTATCCCCTACTCAGATCCCAACTCTACCGAGCACTTCTGAGCTCATAAGGTCGATCAAACGCTCCAAAAGCGAGACGCCAAAGATTGGTGGCTCCCAAGAGGTGAATAATGGCTCTAACAATGAACCGCATGGTGAGCAGCAGAGGCCTGGGCCCGTGTCGATGCTGTTTGGACACCCAAACTCAAGCCAACCCGCTGCACCTAATGATGCTTATGACAAAAATAAAAAGCCATTGGACCGATCCTTTTCCGCACCCAATGCTCCATCACAACATATTGAAGTTATTGATCTACTAGACGATTGATCTTAATTATTTAACAAAACGGAATTCCCGACCAGACAGACTTTTTATAGTTTACATAGTCGTCCCCGAAAAACTCGACAAGAAGCCTTTCTTCGTGGTTTATTCGTTGACGAAAAAATGTCCACAAAGTAGCGGTAAATAGCACCGTGCAAATCCTGTTGCACATCATCACTTGCGTGCCGACGGCCCACAGAAAGTAGCCCAAGTATGAGGGGTGCCTGAACCATGAATACAAGCCAGAGGTTACGAGAGTATGGTCCGATTTCTTTTCTGATGCAACAAGGTGGCTAAAACTTTGTGCAGCTTGGATCATAGCTTTGGTGCGAAGATATTGGCCCGCAATAACCATCACCAAGCCTATTTTTGCCCATGATGAGGCGTAGGAAGGGTTTCCGAGGAACAAAGTAACAGCTGCCTCGGTGATAGCTGCTGCTTGAGCAGCTGCGTACTCTATGCCATTGGTCAACAAAAATGAGCTCAACGTCAAATCACGAGGATTATACTTGGCAGTAACGTAAAACTCAGACAAGTGAAACACTGAAGAGCTCGCGACGTATAAACCAAAAGACGCAGTGCCAGGGTTTGGCCATGTGAAAGCAGCGACCGCGGCGCCGACACCGACAAGTGAGCCTAGAATGGAAGAGTACGCGGCAACTTTATGTGGAACTGCAGGTTCCTTTTTCGGATCAAATATGCCCATTACACTAGATACAAGCCTGAGCAGGTTTACGAAAGCTGTATCGTCGGAAGTTTTATATGATCAGCTGCTTTCCTAATTAGGAACTGTAAAATGGACCGCCTTAAGCCAGCGGGGGTACTTAGAAATCAACGAAAGCGTTCAGCAGATCAATTCGGGGTCTAAAAGTTCCGGCCCACGACTACCAATAAACCTCCAGATCGTCACCCTAGCCGTTTACTAATGGAAGTATCGGCGTCCGCCTTAGATTATCTTCTTATAGAAGCTGTGCCAGTTGCGCGGGACGTCATTGAACAGCTAGGCATTGAAGATCAAGATGAAGCTCACCATCGCATAGAACTATACGGGTATCAAGTTGGCAAGGGCCTTGCTCAGGTGTTTACCCGCAGCCGGCCGCGAATGGTCCAACAGCTGGAAATAATCAAATTTGTCTGCAAAAACCTGTGGGAGGTTCTTTACAAAAAGCAAATGGACAACCTAAAAACGAACCATCGCGATACGTATGTTCTCGTTGATCACAACTTTGAGTTTTGCCGGCGAATGGGTACGAGCTTGCCTCCTCAGGCAACCGCCGAACTAGCCTACCCCTATCTATGTTTCCCCGCGGGAATTATCAGAGGATTTTTGCATGCTATGGGCTTATCATCCACTGTAACAGTAGAGGCGCCTGAGCTACCAATGGTAACATTCAATGTCAGAATAGAGTAAACTGCCTAATGCACAATATTTAAGACGTGGTCTTGATGTACCACTCCGGGGGGTCAAAAACTTGAACGACGCTAGTGTCGAACTGTTCAATTTTCATTTCAACAGATACCCGCTCGCCTTTTGGGCCTGCAAACCTGCCATACTCATCGACCAAACTGGCGAACGACCATCCCTGAAGCTTTCTCAAACACCCAACAACTGTTCCGGTGCGGTGTCTGCCCATACCGCAGCAAACCATTACGGGGTAGCGAGACTTGTCCAGCAAGATCTCCAAAGCAGCTTTAATAGTGTAATCTGTGATGTCGTCCCACGGGTTTGCACCTTCGGCCAGGATTCCAAGATGCTCGAAGCTGATATCATTATTATCAGTGAATGCCAAAAACGCATCTTTTGGGTCTTCAGCAGCTAACCACACGACTGTCCTTATTTTGAGCAGCTGAAGAAACTCGAAGTTCAAAACAGTTGGTTCGCCGCAACGATAAAGCTGGCGCTGGACGGGGGCAAAATTGAGGGGCGGAATAAATATATTGTGCGATTTGATATCTGACAGATTTACCAGACCCGTTTCAGGGATTTCCGCCTCCTGCATTTCTGAGCTTCAGATTTGCAAGAGTCCTATGGTAGTGAAGGTAGGGTAACCCCAAGGGAAGGAGGATAAAAGCTGCGGTTCGTTTGGTCATATCTTTCATACTTACCTAAAAGCGTCACTGAAGATCAAGAAGTTCGTGTGACCGTCTAGAGCTATGCATTGCACTAAGCAAGACTAGGCGCCTGCTACTCTGTAGCAGAGGCTTTATAATTTTTGATTTCGGCCTTTTAGGCTACGCAAGTTTCTGCTAGGTGGCAGATGGTTGGGTAGCTTAATCGAACTGCTAGTAGCGACCGCTTATAGATAAAATTTTTATAGTTATTTATTGAATCTGAAACGTTTTTATCACGCCGAAATAAAAAATCCGCCTTCAGTTCCCAGCCGACTATCAAGTTGGACATCTCGGCGTTCACCGGCATCAAAGCGAGTTCCCACCCTCATTTCCCACCCTCATCATCTGTAGAGTAATCATCCATTAGTCTTCCACTAGTCTTCCACATGCTTGTCCGTGTATACGTGGGAAATATTGTTCATAGCTTGAATGCTAATGAGCTCGAGATACTTTCTGATGGCATTGTTGGTGTGGATGAGAAGGGAAAGATTCTTTTCAAACAGACCGGCTCGCTAGAGGACGCTTTACTGGCTCATGGCAGCTACTATAACATTGACGACGAGAACACCATTGCTGAAGTCGAAATCGTTGAGACGGTAGGCAACCAGTTCTTTGTTCCTGGGTTTATTGACACTCATATCCATGCTTCTCAGTATCCCAATGTTGGTATCTTTGGCCACTCAACCCTTTTGGACTGGCTCGAGACCTATACCTTCCCGTTGGAAGGCTCCTACACAGATACCAACCGGGCCGCAGAGGTCTACAACAAAGTCGTAAGCCGCGGTTTAGCAAACGGTACAACCATGGCTTCTTACTATGGAACGATCCATGTTCCTGCCACCGTCTGCTTGGCCCAGATCGCCCAACAGCTGGGGCAGCGTGCCTTGGTCGGCAGAGTGTGCATGGAGCGGTTTTGCCCTGAAGCTGTTCAGGACGCCTCGATTGAAAGCGATCGGGACTTTGTTGACAAGGTGCTTGCCCTTGATGAAACTGGTCAACATGTCAAGCCTATCATTACCCCCAGGTTTGCCCCTAGTTGCACTATGGAGACTATGAAGGGTTTGGCTAAGCTGGCCAGGGAGCGTGATCTCCCGATCCAAACGCACATTTCGGAGAATTCCCGTGAAATTGCTTGGGTCAAGGATCTTTTCCCCGAATGCGAGAATTATACCGATGTATACGATAAGGCCAACCTACTCAAGCATGATACTGTCCTTGCCCACGCCGTGCATCTAGCTGACAGTGAAGTGGAGGTGATCAAGAAACGGGACAGCGGCATTTCCCACTGCCCTGTTTCTAATGCGTCAATTGCAAGCGGAATTGCCCCCATCAAGTCTTATTTAGACAAGAACGTCAAAGTGTCTCTTGGCAGCGACGTATCCGGCGGTTTTACCACCAGCATTCTGGCGAATGCCAGGGAGGCGTTGTTGATGTCCCGACTTTTGTCTGAGAGAACGGGAAATTCAAACGATGTTCTTTCTGTCGGCAACGTGCTTTTCATTGCTACTCTCGGCGGCGCCGAAGTTTGCAACGCCTCCAATTTTGTCGGTAATTTCGCCGTCGGCAAACAGTGGGATGCGCAGCTTATCAATTTGGACGTTGAGGGGTCGCCGGTTGACGTCTTCAGCTGGCAGCTGCCCAAAGACCCTGTCGAACGAATTGAGCACCTGGTGCACAAATGGATGTATGTCGGTGATGATCGCAATACTGCTAAGGTCTGGGTCGACGGCAAATTGGTAGTTGACAAGTAGATCGCTGCATGCGGTCCATGCTGCATATCGCAAGTATGTAATAAACCCACTTTTGCCATAACCTCTATAGTTAGTCCCAATTGGTGAAACAGGAGCCTCCACATATCTCACTAATGATACCAAGCAGCACCGCCGACAGGCTGCTACGAAACCCCCATGTGTTGCCTCACATGCCCTCTGATCTTGCTGGGATGGTCGCGTACAACCGCCATCAGGCCCTTCTAGGGACAATGGCAGAGGCCGCGTATCAGCAGCGCAGAGAGAGACGAGAATCGATACAAATGGATGTGAGAAGACGAATTTCTCAGTCCAACAGGGACGCTGCTGTTGCCAGTGACAGCGACAGCGACACCGATATTATTGCTGATCTGCCCACTGAAACGACGCCCAATCGTCGCAAACCAAGGCGCAGATCAATGTTCGAGGCTGCTCAGCAATTCAAGAGCCCGGAAAAACATTCCATGAACGATTCATTTTCTTCTAGACCCACGCGGTCTCATAGTTTCTCCTCTTCGGCCCAGACATCACCGTCCGTGATGTTTTGGAGCTGCGAGGGTATCGTGTCGGGCATTGATAGAGTGAGAGCACGCTGTAACTTGTTAAAACGCCCCCACCCGGGTCTCTGGACTAGAAGAGCTAGCACTGGTAGTCCGACTCATCCATTCTGGCATACCAGGCTACGGCAAACGTACATAACCGCAGACAATGATGCAGCATGGCGACAGGAGCGCACAGAATTGATGCGAGCGCATCGTAGAGATCGCCAATTTGAAACCTTGATGGCAAGACGTAGGTCACAGTAAATTATATATATATTTATTGCGTTATGATATGTATATGTATACAGAGGGATCCGCCTCTGAACGTCGAAGGTATTCAGTGTCTATTAGTTCACCAATCTCACGTTTTATGGATCCCGGTGATGCGCGAAATTGTTTGGAAAGTATAAGAGAGACCTGCTCAACTAGCAATGCATGGCTCATTTCTTTTCTTGCCTTCATCACGCGCACAATTGCCGCTTGAACGGCCATGCTACGGTCGCCCTGGACTTCAGCAGAGACCTCTTTACGCTGCCGGTCGGACTCTGCTTTCGATGTGCCACTAACGTTCATAATACGTATACGTGGTGTTTGTGAGGTGAATTCTGTGTTGAAAAAGAGGGTATCGGAAGGAAGAATCTTTCGGTCGTTGGGGGTCTTTCGCAACAACTGAGATTTGGGGGCAAATACGAGTGGCGGTATAATGCGCTCTAGCTCTGCAAACTCGATATGAGTTCTCTCACTAACTTCCTGGATGGTCAAGCGCTCGCCGCCTTGGAATAACATAAGGACAGCTAGCGGACCAACATTTACCGTCAAAGAGTAAATGCCAGCGGGCACTCTAAGGGTTAGTTCAGCAGTACAAAAGCTCATGTTCCAACGCAGTTTACGGCCACTAGTTTGAGACAAGTAATAATCTTCAAAAGCATGCTTGGCCTCGTCGAGAGTTGGGGGTAAAGAGACGACCTTTTCTTTTGTGACTGACGACGGCCAAAAGTTATTGCGCACAACATTGACCTGTGTAGGAACACCGCTAAACGCTTTTCTGAACTTCTGATTGAACTCTTTGGAGATCTGCATATCCTTGAACATGTTTTCAATGTTAGCAGTGCTTGAAGGGCCACTAATTCTTCGCATCCGGTCAACAAATACCGATTCAAGCTCATCACTTTGGATACGATTATTCAGTAGTCGACGAGCAAGTAACAGTCGGTAGTCCTTGTTGAACCTGTCCTTATCCATGAGTGCTTCGTATAACACAGCAGTATTAGAAAGAGCAGACTCCATATCTGGCTCTGATCGAGTTTTTGGAGACTTTTTCAAAATATCGTCAAGATATTGAGCCAGGAATTCTGAGCTGGTAATATTTTGCTTTGATTGGACTGCAGTCGTATCGAATTTGTTGAACTCATCCGCCCAGCCAGAGATCACAGTAGTAGTGGCGTTCACCCTGCCCTCGAAAACCTGATAAATCTCCTCGCCGACATTATGAATGGAATTGTATAAAACGAGAGTTTTATCTACCCACTCTTTGACGATGGGAATCGCACCTTTTCCGGTGTAAGAGGACAAGGCTGACTGGTTGATCGCTGATTGAGTTGATTGGGCCCATTCTTTGATTCTATCCACAATGATACTAGTCGCGTTGTTTGTAGTCTTTTCCAGATTTGCAGCAAGCTTGATAAGTTCCATTTCCGACGCTTCCATCCACGTGGCAACAATAGGGGACGTAACAATTCGAGGTACGGCATCTGCAACAATTCGCGTTTCAAGAACTGATTGAATACTTTCACGCGTAGATCGGGGTAAATAACGTTCTCCTCGGGACTTTTCGCGACATAGCCACCCGTCAATCTCTTCCAAAATTTGTTCCGGAGGTGTCGATGTCTCTATCAACTTGTCCACCTCCGGTGCATAGAAGCCCACAGTGCTTTGGATAATCATTGGCTCTAATTGCTCAACGTACATGCAATCACTGAGACCTGATTCTTCGAATGGTATACTCAAAAGCATCTCAATCACCTTTTTTAGCGCGCCCGAGTCGGGGAGTCCGCCCCGGCGCTCAGCGTTGATAGCTGCGATTGCCTGGTCAAAAAGAACATTTTCAAGTTTTTTGTCAACCTGGTTTGGGATTTCAAGTCTGAGTATTTTGTCGCGGAAAATCACTTCTCCAAGCTGTTCTACTGATGCCACTTCCGCCTCTTTACAGTAGCTCTGATTGAGGTACCGAAGAATGTCACCGACTAGTTTCATACTGAAGACAAAGTCGGTCCATAAGCGAGCAATATAACTTATTAAATCGCCTGATGTATTTTCCAAGGCACCATCGGCTTTAGAAGTCACCAAATACTCGCGAAGATCGTCACCATACCGGCGATAAAGCGCTCTGCCGTGCTGCTGGTTGACCAAGCGATAGACAGCATTATTTAGCGTCTCAAAAGAAAGAAGATAGGGATTCCGGTCATAAATATGTCTTAGAGCAGGCTGCAAATGATCTGTCCATGTTTCACCAAGATCCAAGGTGGCGGCTTTCTTGGGAACCCGGATCTTGATCCGCGGGCGGGTAGGTCGCATAATCACCGAAGACCCATGCGGGACACAATTATATAGATTAAGTATTGGCGAATTCTGAAAGACTAGGATCGAAAACGTTTGTTCCGGGCAGCTCTTTACCGACAGTGAGCCAACCTGGACGTAGATTGTTTTTACGGCCAAACAATTCGATTTTCTTGGAGTTAGGCCCAACCATCCGGTCGATAATTCCGTAGAGTTCTTGGGGTTTTTGGGATTTCCCGCGCGTTGTTGAAACGATGGTATCAGTGTCTACTTGGCGATTGATCCATGAGGGGTCGCCCTTTAGTCCTACAAGGCAATGCTCCTTGCTGTGGTTCAGCCAGTGCCCCGTTCGACCGGTACAGATAGTTCGACCAAGTTGATTTGTTTTGCACCAAATAATTTCTTCAATATGTTTATATCCCCATTGGTATAGGCATTTCCTCCCCAGATCCAACACACGGCCTGTGACCCATAAAAATATGATACCTTCGTCCTGCAACCTCCCCACATCTAAGCTCAACACTTCGTTATCATTGATAGAAACTTCAGAGCTGGTGCTGTTGCTATTCATGTGAATATCCCAAGGTGGATCCACGATAATAACTGCGTATTGATTGCCCAGCTTCGAGAAATCAAGCTTGCGAATGTCGCACTGAATATGCTGGGGTTTGGTTTGAGCTGGTGTCCGCATTCCGAAATCCGGGGTACGGTACAAGGTCGGTTTGGAGGGCGGCAAGACCTTGTAATGAACGTATTTACAGCTTTTCCCCTTGTAGCATGTATCGAGATAGGAGCAATCGCCCAAATTGATATCTGTTGACGGGGTGATTATTCGTTCAAAGTGTACTTTGGTTGCACAGTCACTGCTCATTCGGCTGCAGTATGGCTTATTGCAAATTAAAGTGAACTCACCATTTGGAGTCGCTTCAAGTGCTTTCATTATAGTCTGACGGTTCATGGCAGTAGGTTCCAAAATCAAGGACGCGAGCTCTTTAGAAAGACCCTCCAAGCTAGGGTGCTTCTCCGGATCGAGCTCTCGCATCAAAGACCCTACCGGACTCAGACCATCAGAATTATTCTCTGCTCCTTGCTCATTTGCTAATATCTCGTTGCTTCCAATGCTTGGCTTTAATGCGAGCGACATGTCAAGCCCAGTGACGGGCACTGAAGAATTGACCCATTTCCTCAAAGCCACCGGATCATAAAAACTCAAAAAAAACATCTTCCCTTCTTTTTCAATTGCAACGGAAAGAGGTATCACTCTCGAAAGATATTCGATCCCTTCAATGGCGTGCTGGGTATACTGGACCACACCTGCGTTAGTGAGATAGACCGCAGCCTTGAATAGTGTCATGGGTAATTGGTGAAGTAGTTCATTGGGGTGCTCTGCTAGATACAATGCACAGTCATATGCAATTTCTCGCAGCTGAGACATTTGAATACCTACTACCCGTGTGGGTTTATATATTCGAAGCCGGGTCCACCGACCCACCAACTTGGTGGTTGGATTTCAAACACTGCAAAAGCTGCTGGCATAAAATAGCTATAAAAAATAAAACCTACCGTCAACACCATTTGTCTATTGAATGTATGTACAACGTTATCTTTTAGTTACTTTCGCATCACTGACACCAAATTCACCATCAAGAATAAGTCAGCAAATAATCAAAACATGGCGCGTTCAGCGGTGGTAGAACCGCCACAAACGCCCCAGCCCACGCGTCGAACGTCGGATTCAGGGGATACGAGTATGACCGGTCGGACTGGGCGCCGTTCTAATACTGGCAACAGACGGGTATCTCTGGCGACTGTCGCATCTTCTGCCATCAACCGTGCAGAGACGCCAAAACAAAGTGCAGAGACTCCCGTCCGGGCTTCTTCGAATTCTGGTACAGGTAGAGAATCAATTGGGAATCATCCCCCTTCACAAAACGACATTGAGCAGTGGATGAAGCTTTTGCGAACGAATCGAATCAATGCCGAGAACTCTTGGAATTTCCCAATCATCGACTATTTCCACGATATTGTGAAAGACGGCGATGGGATCAATTTCCAAACAGCCTCTTATACCCTAGATGGCTGTGTTAAAGTGTATTCTACACGTGTTGATTCCCTTGTTGCTAAAACATCACGTTTGCTTTCAGGCTTGGTTGGATCAGACCTTGACGGAGTGAATCCCGGGTCAGAGGATGCCGAAGATACCAACGATGATGGGACCAAGCCAAAGGCAACCAAGAAAAGAGTGCGCAAAGCAATAACATGTGTTTCTCCAGATTCTTTGTGTCTGGACCTCAAACCACTGCTGCAAGTCGCTGGTTCACAACGTGCACCTCAAGATTTCGACGAAGGCGGTACTTCTGGTACACGATTATGGAAAGAATCAACAGATACATGTGGATGGGTTGGTGGCAACAGTTCCAAAATTGTCAAACAAGTTGGCCCAATAAGAAAAGTGTCCCCTGTGGATGTAGCGTACTATCGAACGGCTTTCCTGAGTGATATTGATCAGCGATCTGTACATGTCAGTGCAAAAACAATAGACCAAATGGTTTCAGATCCTTCTGGTACAGCTGATTTGATCCAAGGCGTTCAAGGTTGGTCACTTGAGGACCAACAAGACCCTGCCTTAGATGCAGCTTCTAACCTTGGCGACAACGACCTTGACTACGATCAATTTGATGATGATATATCTGCAGTGGCCACGGATTTTGGTGACTTTGAAGATGAGGACATTGCTGCTGCTGCTACTGCTGCCGCTGCCGCCAGTGGTAGCGGTGGTGGTGCGGTTAATTGGGACTTGATGGCATACTTTGATGAGAGGAGCTCAACTGGCTGGGCTGGTCCTAGCCATTGGCGTGTACAACATTATCATAAATTCAAAGGTACTCTCCCTGGTGCCCCGGCTTCCGCCAACAGCACTCTCGTACTGAAAAAGACGTCAGCATCCAAGAAAAAGCAGATTCTTATCATTGACTTTTCGGCTGCCCCTCTTGACGAAGACGAGCTGATGGCCAAAGGAAAAACAACATTAGATTTACCAAAGAAACAGCAATCAATATCCAAGTTTCTTTTGCCCGAAGATCATCACATCACATCCAAAGAGATGCTCCGGCTATTTCTACGCCCGGATGATGGGCCTGCCCAAGCTTTCTCACGAGCTGCACCCGGTAATCTGCACAATGTCCAATCAGATATCGTTGAAGATGCCGATATGGAAATGAATGATGAATTCTGGGGCCAGGTCAGCACGCAAGAGCCGCTGAGGTATGACGCTGGCTTTTATGAGAATACCGAGTTGCCGGAGGATATGGCTGAGAACATGCCTATTCCAAACAGCGGGGTCTTTGATGAGGTCAATGCATTGAGTCAATCAAGAAGGTCAGACCAAATCACCTACGCCAGGGTTGCTCGTAACGTTGACGTCCAGCAGCTGAAGAAAAACATGTGGACCACACTGAAAGACACCACAGAGACCTGCCCTGAAGAGCACCTCACGCTGTCCTCAATTATGACCCATACGGCTGAGAAATACTCCCCAGAAAAACAAAAGGAACTCTCGACACCGTTTTATTTCATCTGTTTGCTGCATTTAGCTAACGAGCAGGGACTGACTTTGAACAACACACCGGATTTGGGCGATCTCGAAATTAATCCAGGCCCGGAACACACTTCGTAATTATATCCGTACGCCTTCTAGCTTCTTGTTTTAATTTTATCTTGCCCCGTGCTGCTTCTTGTTCGCTTTGCAGTGCCTGCATGTTGGAATTTTTTCGTGGTAGGGGAACTTTACCTTATACTAATGAGCGAGCCTCCAACGCTCAAGTACCTTGCGCTTCAGCAATGTTTGAAGCTAGCGCCTTACATTGAGGATGTTGGGAATGCGAGATATGATATAGTCAAGCCTTTGCTGGCTCGTATGAGTGCCCGGCAACTGAGCCAGCTCGAAAAGGCCAGCCCGCACCTCATGGCCCACTCGGATGAATTGTGGCGAGATCTTATCGCGAAGGACTATCCAGACCGGGTGTGCCCAACAAATAACCACCGTTCTGGATACTATAGAATACAAAAAGAAAAAGAGTCACACTTGGGAGCGGCTCGCGAGCGGCTTAAACGGAGTCAACGTCAGTATGAAGCCCAGCGCGAGGCTTGTGCCATTGTGCCCATTACCGAGCCGCCAAGGAGAGAAATCAATACACAGCCAGCTATCGTTGGTCAATACAACTCCCCGATAATGCAGCAACTTGCTCGTAAAACACACAGTCGCATTCTGAGCCGACCGAGACCAGTTAGCCGGCAACCAATTATTGCCCCGAGGGCTTTGCCGCGTCTGGCGCCGTTTGCACCGCCACCCAAGAAGGCAAAAGTCTCAAAGGAGCCTGTGGCCACGAGTTTATCACCACCCTCCACGCCAGCAGAGCGACAAAGGCGAAAACAGAGTCCTTCAATATTTATCAAACGAAGATAGACCTGCAGGCAGCGATATCCGACGGAAATCAAAATAACTTATAGAATGTATGCTACATATAGCCAGCTATTCTAGCTCGGCTAATTTTTTATCACAATCGCTTAGATGACGTTGTGCGACCTCAAGTTTTCGAGTGTGCTCATCAACTTTATCCTGGAGATGTCTGCGAGCAGCCAAGAGATATTCTTTTACTGAATCCCCACTGAGATATTTCAGAACAAGCAGTGGTGAGCTCTCGTCTTCAACCAGGTAGCTCTTGGATGCTGTGGTCCCACCTTGCTCTGCCGAGCGTTTTAGTGCAACGTGACCACCCTTTCCAGCAAACCCAGTAAGTGTGTGAGATGTGCTGGTAGTGGATGCAACAGGCAGTTGCGACGGACTGGGCTGAGATTGTGGTGAAGGTAGCACCGCTGGCGAAGCCCTGGAATGTGCAATTTGAGGGCTTTCGTTTTGCTTAGACTCTTGGCGATAGACGACTGAAGAAGGCGTATTGTCCATAGTACCAGACTGACTGGGCTGTTCCCCTTCTTCAGGTGACGGGTCCGGTTTGAAGGAATTAGTGAAATCGATAGGCGGTGGCACCCGTTGCGCAGCCATTTGCTGGCTCATCATATTATAATGCTCCTGCATTACCATTGGCGTAGGATAGTAGACACCATACATGGGATACGCTGGAGGAAACACACCGCCGGGAGGTGGAAGAGCATTGGGGCCTCCCGGATTTGGGATTCTCATCATATCCGGTCTCGGAGGCATCATCATTGGCTCCGGGAACCTTTGCTGTTGCATCGCTGGAAGGTGTTGCTGTCCCTGGTGCTGTTGGATCATAGGTATATGTTGCTGATTAGCTGTCTGATGAACATCTTGAGTATTCACTGGTGCCGCTAGAGGGCCAGACGGAGCTACTTGCGCAACCTTAGAGGCTTGTGGGGTATCAGAATCTTCTTGTTTACCTTCATCACTTGGACCGCAGCAATCTCCACCACTTACATGCTCATGGACCCAGGAGGCCTCTTCAGAGTTAGCTGCTCTCTTGCGTCGTTTGATCATTCCCCGACCTAGAGCAACAGGTCGATGCTGATGGTGCATTTTGAGATAAAGACCACAAGCATTGCATATTATATGGCCCTCATTGTCACGACGCCACAGAGGAGTGGTAACTGTACCACAGTTTTGACATGAAACGAGCATCTGATTGCTTGTGTTACCCGTAGAGCTGCCCTTGGGAGGAGGTGACGGGGTTTTCACTTTCGATTTCCCGTGTGCTTCTGTAGTTTGTGCCCGCCCAACACGGTTATTATAGGCTGGGCATTTGTCGCAGGCGCTAGTACCACCAGTCCCGTTGCAACGGCCGTCTCCTGGGCAAGACCCAGGGGCTTCATCTAAACTCCCAGACCCAGCAGTCCGCAATTTCGGTTGACGTTTGAGATGAGCAGGTCGTGAGGCATTGCGAACACGCAAGTAGAGTCCACATGCATTGCAAACGACCTCGCCCCTATTTCCTCGTCGCCAAAGAGGAGTATTTGTAGTACCACAATTGTTGCAAACATTCTGAGAATACATAGAGGCTGCACGACCGGACTGACGAACAGAAACAACCCTATCAATACGAATGGGAAGCTGTTTTGATTGTTCAGACCGATCCTGGTCAACGGTATCGCCTGAAGGCGAGACAGAACTAACGTTTGCATGATCATGAGGAGTTCGTTCAGGAGACGCATGGTCCGTGTCTTTCGAATTGGTGCCACTTTGTAGCGCTTGATCCCATGGAACTGCATCCTTCGAGACAGGAGCGTGGGACGACACGCTCTGGACGCTACTATCTGCACTAGCAAGCTGCATATACGGCTGCACTGGCGATGGAGTGTCTTGTGATACTGGTTGGCCAGAGGTTTCAAACTTTGATATCGCCGATCCAGCTGAAGAAGTGGCATTTTGATGAAGAGGGGACACGGGAGGGGGTCCAGCCGGGGAACCGACACTAAAAGCAGCAGAAGCCGGAATTTTGGGTGTTGCTACTCGCGATCCCATCGATGAATCTTCGGCACCAGATACTATAGCCGACATAGGAGTTGTCTCGGTGACATTTGCGTCGACCGACATTGGTTCTTCTTGAGAAGGAGTTGGCGGGGCTAACTCCACACTTTTATCAGATTCGTCTTCTTTCATAACATCCACACTCGGAATAAACCCACTGCTTGGGTCCAAAAGCAATGTGACAGCAGAAGCGTTAATTTGCGTAGCGACTGACAAGTAAAAGGCTAAATGCTTCGTTTCGTAGTTGATGTTAAAGCCACCCTAACCGCACACATCTTCATAGTGCAAACTGGTGAAAATGCGCCTGAGATTTTCTGCAGGACTTTGAATTACCTCATCGCTGATTGGTCAAGCGTCCTCAAATGTGATGCAAGATAGTCGAGATCTCAACTTCCTCGCATATAGCGGATCAAGCCACAGCGTTTTTCGATTGGATTTATATTGCTAACGGTAGGTAAGTGCATCTAGAAAATCCTTATTTTGATGTTGAAAAGATTTCTCGAGGCAGTTAATCCGTTATACTCATACTCTCTCGACAAGTCTAAACTATGTGCGTGCGATGCAATTGAAATTATATACAATAAGAAATCCTTTTTGGGCCGAGCTGTATAAAATCGAGCCTATTAAGATGTGTTTGTGTGTATAACTAAATATCCCGATTCCCGTATTTCGCAAGAGCTCTTTCTCGGAGCCCTTCACCCTTGATGTATAGATAAATCGGTAACAACATCATCGCAATACCACAAAACGCCAAAATAGAGCTTCCCCATCCTACCGGAAACTCTTTTGAACCAGTATTGATATAAAGGAATCTACCAAATAATGGGAAGGCACCACCAATTAGGGACCTCATGAAGGTATTTGACGCCATAGCAGATGCAAAGCGAAAAGGGTAAAGTTGACCAATATACGAAACATACGTTTGGAACATCAGCCATGTAGCACCTCCGAACATAGCCGCGCCAATCATGCTTCCTATCCAGTGGGCGTGATAAGTTGAAGCCCAGCCAACGATGAAGATGCCGGCGGGCATAAAGAACGAAGCCACTAGGCAGACGCGAACAAACAGACGTTCAGGAGTGATGCTCTCATGTGCTTTGAACTTAGCCAGCATAGTTTTGCGCAGATACACCATGTAGGCTACAAATGCGACAGCAAACCCAACCATCAAACTCACATACGCCAGCCCTAGCTCTACATCCGTGAAGTGATAAATTTCGAAATAGATGATTGGGAAACACTCAAAGAAAAGATAAAAAAGAGAGTAGACCAGGGCCAGGTGTAAGGTAATGAGGTTCATTACTGGCTCATGAATACAGAGATCAACAGGCCCCCAGAGGAGCTCTTTGATAACTGTGGAGGTTGACTTTCCTCTGCTTTTAATCTCACCCATACTTATGATGGCTGGATTTTTAGTGAGATTTCTGAGAACACGTGCTTTTCTCATAAGAATCTCTTGTGCTGAGGTTTCAACCATAATAAACGAAACCATAAGAAGCACACCACCAGAAACCATGAGCAAAAAGTAGAATGACCATCTCCAGGTGTTAGAATGAGTCAAAGCAGCGCCAATAAGCGGTCCAATATACGGTCCAGTGACAAACGAAAGACTCCAAATGGAAAGGACAAATGGCAGCCGAGGGAAAAGAAACATATCAGCAATACTACCAGCACCGTTAGTCAATGGAGCGGCGGCAAAAATACCAGCCAGGAACCGCAAAACTGCAAACGAAGAAATATGGTTGATCAGGGCTGTTGCAAGTTGCAGAGCGCAAAATACCAATTGAGGGAAAAGATATGTGTAGAGACGCCCACCGCAGTGTGGGCTTTCACTCATGGGCGCAAACAAGATGGGCCCTATGCCATAGCCCCATACAAAGAGCGTAATCCCTAATCCAAATTGAGTCTCGGTGCAATTGAACTTTTTTATCATCTGTTCAGCAGACGGTGTGAAAATAGCAGTGCCCATGTATGCGGAGAGTGTGAGGCCAAAAACGCAAAATACCTGAATTGTCTTTTTCATCAAAGACCAGTTCTTGGGGTTCGAGGGATCATCCGGACCATCCCAGGTGACCAAAATTTCACCTGGGCGGAGACCGGGCGTCGTCTCCTCGTCTGAGCCAGGCGGATCACCAGCTAATCCAGCTTCAGATACTTTACTGCTTGCTCGAGACTCTCGACTATCCGTCAAGCCTTCGTATGTGGCCGTTGGAAGTGAGTATTTCTCGGGTACCACGTATTCTGGCCGCTCATAGTAGGGTTTAAGCGCCTGACGACTTGATAAATAATAGATACCTTGCCCAACGATACTACCGCCAAAACATTCCCATAGCGCATCCAAAAACAACATGGCCGAGCTGTAAGGTTGTGCGTCCTGTGGCATGTATTTATATGGTTTGACTCATGAACTGGTGCTTGTGCATAAACAGCCAGCAGGCATGTGGGTTAGGCCAGCAGTGTCAACTTTGCGTACACCTTGGTCCATTGCGATTGGGAGGTGAAAAAGTTTGGAGTACAACAGTGCTCGATAGTACTCAGGCCAACATAGTAAACGTAGTTTGACAACTGGAATTGGTTAAAACAATGCGCACTGGTGGTACACATATCCCCGTTTGTGAAAGGGCGTTCGTGCATGCAGTTGGTAAAAGATAGCTTGTGCATAAAAGTCGGTGGCGAAACGTAATTCATCATCTGAGGGTTTTATTACATATCCGCAAGAATATTTCAACAAAATAGGGCTTGAGACATCCTATAACAATAAGTAACTTCTGAATTAGCGACTGATCACAAAATGGAACGATTAGGGATTTGCTGGTGTCCCAAATCCCGAGCGTGGCCAAGGATCGCTGAGCGCACAAACTTGCAGGTCAAAAGTATTTGTATGCATTAGAGTGAGGGCATCAGAGCTTTCACAACCTGCCAATATTAAACTGAAGTAGTAAGAGAAAAAGGAAGATTCAGCACATGATTTTGTGTCTTAAAAGTCCAGAAAGATGTTCCAAACATTATACAAAACATAGATTCAACCTCGTGATCTCTAAAACGGCCTCATGTAATATGCTGCCGATCTGTCGATCCATGCACCCAGGTTGCACGCACCTTTTTTTCGAGTGGACCATTTATTTTCTGTGAATCGTTTATTATACGTATTATCTAACATTTATGTTTCAGCCCTATCAAATCTCAAAAGATCCGAATCTCTTTCATAACCGATGGCATGATTTAGAAAATATATTCTTTCTGGTCAAACAGTTTAGGGTCGGATTTTAAAAGCGACAAGATTGGATGAGGTGCATAAGAGCAAGAATCTGATAATACCGCTTGGGGGTATTGTATTTTGGCACTGCTATATTCGGTATTCATAGAGCGAATAAAATAATCAGCAAACAATTCTGTGTCTCCTAGAAGCGGGGCTATCTACCGCCAAGACAACTCAAGAGAACCGCCAACATTAGTGTATCATAAAGCTCCGTGCCCCTGAGAATTGACATGGTTGCTCCGCCACCGCTGAATCATCCAGCGATAGACCATCCTCGGTGTATCAAGTCTTTATCGAACTATTCTGCTTGAAGTATTGAGCGTTCTCGGGTTTTGAGTGCCGATATGAGGCCGGATATGCACGATGCTTGAATGCTCTGCTCTGCTGGTCGAAAATGTATCTCAGAGTCATCTACACAATCTCTAGTGCTAGTCCCTTCTGTAAGAAGCTTTCCTCATGATTTTACGGCATCGGCGACTGCATCGATCGAAGGTTCGGGGTAGCCCGGAGCTCTCCCTGATTCTGTTAGCCTATGTTCGGGTTGCTTGAGAATTGTGTGTTGGGCGATTTTCAGCGCATTGATTTGTAGAAATCTCATAGTCCACACCTCGTTATCTTAGGATCTGCATCGCTTCTGTTCGGATAAGACTGGGTGCCCTGACCAACACCGCTTTCATACATAAACCTCTATAATTCGACTGTGTTGGGAATTAGTAGACCATGAATTTTGTTGGTTGTGGCATTTGTGAAATTCCATCTATTGGTCTTGAAAATTAAGTTCACCACTAACTGGCATCCGTTGATCGTACGCGTGCAGAGAACCTGCATACCGTAAAATTACAAATTTCGCATGAGATCGATGAGTGTGCAGTGCCAGAGTGATACTGGACTGGCATACATTGTTACAGTGCTCAGTCTCGCTTAGAGTACATGTATGTTATAGTTACTCTTATTCAAAGGGGTAATCATTAGCTCGTGCGCTAAAGTGTTCACTATGTCCCACATCCATGTGCTAGCAAGAACGCTGTGCACATAGTATTCTGATGAAAAAGATTCGATTATACACGCTAATTACATTGAAGATCCAGGAAATCGAGCTGTGCAATAACAGCTGACTTGGCGGTGCCGCCAATAGCAGTACGGCGCTCAACGCTTTGCTCGAAATCGAACACGTTGAGTACATCTTCCTCAAAGCGAGAGTCGATGTTTTTGTATTGCTCAATTGTCAAGCGATCAATGCCTCCAAGGTTTTCCTTCTCGGCAAGAGCAACTGCCTCGCCCGAAATATGATGAGTCTCGCGGAAAGGAACTCCTTTACGAACAAGGTAGTCTGCAAGATCAGTAGCGAGCATGTCCATTGTCAACGCAGCTTTCATCTTATCAGAATTAATCTTGAGTGTAGAGAAAACACCAGTAGCAATGAGTAAAGAGTGCTCAACGGTAAGAAGATTGTCGAATAGCGGTTCTTTATCTTCCTGAAGATCCTTATTGTAAGTGGAGGGTGTAGCTTTGGCAGACATCATGAATCCGGCGAGGTGCCCAAAGAGACGGCCTGATTTACCGCGAAGAAGCTCCAGCGAATCCGGATTCTTCTTCTGGGGCATCAAGCTGGAGCCAGTAGAATATGCATCCGCAAGCTGCACGAACCCAAACTCGGCAGAGGAGTAGATGATCAAGTCTTCACTCAGCTTTGCCAAGTGATTTCCAACCAAGGACCCCCAGAACAAGACCTCAATTACAAAATCACGGTCTGAGACAGCAGCCAAAGAGTTACCAATGACACCCTCAAAGCCAAGCTCGTTGGCAATGTACTCACGATCAATGCCGTAAGGGTGGCCTGCCAGGGCGCCCGATCCTAGAGGCGAACGACTGACACGGGATCGGATTTCCTTAAGTCGAGTCAAATCATCGTTCAAAAAGGTGGCATGCATAGAGAGCCAGTGGGCCCAGCGAATAGGCTGAGCACGCTGCAAGTGGGTGTAGCCAGGCATGAGAACGTCGATCTCTTGGCGGGCACGGCCAGTCATAACCTTGATAAGGTTGGACAGGATCTCGCAAAGAATATCTAATTTCTCACGAACATAAAGACGCATATCTGTAACAACTTGATCGTTACGAGAACGTCCAGTGTGCACCTTACCGCCAATGTGTTTGCCAATGATCTCACCTAGACGGCGCTCATTAGCGGTGTGAATGTCTTCATCACCAGGTTTCTCAACAAAAGAGTCGGTTTCCCACTCTTTTTCGACCACTTTGAGGCCGCGATGAATTTCCGAAAGCTCCTCTGGGGTAATCAGACCAACTTTAGAAAGGGCACTGGTGTAGACACGGGTGCCTTCAAGGTCGACTTTGTACATTTTTTTGTCATATGGCAGAGATGCGTTGTAAAGCTCCATCAATGGATCAGTTCCACCAGTAAAACGGCCACCCCATAGCTTTGCTTCTTCCTTAGACATTGTAGTTTTTTGTCAACTGACTCATCGCCTTTAGGCGGGCTATGGGGTTCGGGTAACCCTGTGTGCGCTTGTGCCTCGACCACGCCTAGTTGTTTAAAATACATAGAGTGCTATGAACTAAGAGGGAATGAGAGAAACTTTGTATGGTGAATGGAAAGAGCAAACTTGAGAATAAACAACAGTTGCTTGTATACCGAAAGCCGACCTTATTTTCGAGGCCGTGTTCTCCAAGCTGGGAACCAGACTAGCATCGAGCAGGTTCTTCAGATTGACAAAAAGGGAGGAAAAAAGACTGTCCAGTTTATCAATATGACCCTTGATGACAGGTGAAATTGAAAAGACTCTGAGAATGGCATGGTCGAACTCCAATCGGGACAAACCAACATCGTTTAGCAGGACTTGAACGGCTACCGAGGCCTGTGCGACATAGTCAAGGATAGCTTTGGACTCATCAATAGAAAACACTGGAGTACTGTAACACGCGCTTATGACAAGCTCTATTTGCGATTCAGAGTCGACAAATAAATTGTGGATGCTCGACAGCTCTCTGATTTTACCGAAATCGTCGTGCCGAAAATTCTTGACTAGAGGATCAAGTTCCCGCAACAAATCACTTATACGAGCAATATCCTTGGAAAATGAAGCAAATGACGCCTGGTTCACTTGTTTTCCAGGGGGCATGTAAATTTCAAGGACCCCGTACAATTGCCTGCAATGTCACCTTCTGGTATGGTGTTCAATGCCATGCCAAACTCGGCTACAAGGCATTGAACGGGGTGATGCAACTTTTTTCGAATTTCTTGGGACACAATATTACATTGAATAATTACATAGAGAGCGACCTTCGGTGCCTAACTTAAAGCTTGAAAGGGATATAAAGGGCAACGACTTTGGCGTAGGGACCATTGAGCGTGGCCTTGAAAGCATCATCAACCTGCTGCTTCAAGGGACCGATCACACCGGCAAAAGGGGGGTAAATAGTGATCTCAACCTGGTTGATCAGCTGGTCAGTTACCTTCTGGAGGTGAGCAACATGGCCCTTGATGATGCAAGAGGCGGAGAGGAAATCAAGAATGGCCTTGTCAAACTGAGGCTTCGCGTTGTTAATATCGGTGAGGACCTTCTGCAGAGGGGAGACAATATTAGCGAGAGGAGTGGCAATTGCGAGGGTGTCCTGGGCGTCCAACTGAGCAGTATTGTTGAAGTCGTTGGTGACAGACTGGATCTCGCTGCCCAAATCGACGGCAGCGTTTTGGAGCTTGATCAAAGGAACAATGTCGTTGAAGAAGCCATGCTTGAAGTTAACAACGAGGCTGTCCAATGCGTTGACATTAGCAGTCAAGTTGCCGACATCATACATCAAAGTATTGATATCAGCAGCAAAGACGGCGGTGAAAGTAGTGAGGAGAGAAAGAAGCCACAACATTTTACTGGGGGAGTTGGATCAGAGATGTCAGATAGTCGAAAATGAGCCGCTTCTTATATCTGTGTGAGCGGTCACTGAACGCACGTACGGGTACTTCCCCTCAAGACTGACTTGCAGATGCCTGCATAGTGAGAGGTTAGTCCAAATACGGATAGGAGCATGCAAGTTTCGACAAACTTACTCAATTGAGACAATGTTGTGAACCGGGCCGGTATATTAGAAAAATATTTGTTGATTTCAAAGTTTGTCCACGGCTCGCTGGCCTATACACCGGAATCCAGAGCCCCACTGACAAGGCAGTGCGGGGGATACAAAGATGCAGCTGCATCGACGATCTGCTGCAGACTAAACAAATTTCGGCTGCAGTCAAAATAGGCAGCCAAAGGGTCTTTGGCACGTTATTGATGTTCGATGGCATCGAATTACCCGACTGTTGGAGCTAAAAAAATGGAGCTATTGAGCTATTTTAGATAGACTAATTGTCATGGTATTCTGGTCATTAAAACAATGAGCAATAGTAAAAATATCGCTCTTAAATGCCAAACTAGCCCGGTGCAGCCGTCTCTTCATTAATGCTGTAATTGATCTACCAAGCTTGCTATACCCCCGCCCCCACCGTTTTGGCCCACTCTTACTCATCCAATTTGCTTAGTCGTCATCCCACACCGGAGAGAAACGCGCCGCACCCAACTATGGCGAGTGACTCTGTACTGAACAGAAGCCTTGACAGTCTGGAGAAACGCCTAGACATATTAGAACTTTCAGTGAAGCAGCAGAATTCCAAACACACTCTCTCGCATAATGTCGATGCTTTGGTCCGTGACGTCAATGAGCTTGCGCGAAGCCACCCCGAGCTGACTTACGGGGATCAGCTGCTGCAAAAGTACGGCTTGGTGGATATTTACACTAGGAAATTCGCCGACGAAAAACTATACCAGCTTGTACAAGCTAGAATCGAGTGTCTAGGCAGCACAATAGATCAGTTATTACAATTGAAAACCATGGACATACCACCAATCGACCACATTGCCTGTAGCCCGAACCCAGACCAAATTAATTCTGCCGTGCGAGCGTTCGAGCAGGCGTCGATCCGTAGCGTCGAGCTGCTGTCACGATGGCTTTGCGCAATCCAACAGGCAAATACCGCTGCTGGCAACTTAGAAGCCACCCTAAAAACTGCGGAGAAATCGTAACTTTTTGGTGTGTCTATATTTATTTACTCCCTAAAACAGTTTACTCGCTTAATAAACCGTATATGCCAACCGCATAACCAAACGTGGAGGGGGCCGGAATATGCCAAGTAGACTTTTTTTTGACTGCTATTTGCAAAATTGTCTGAATTGACCTTGTAACTACAATCCCTGAATGTCCGTCGACGTCTAAGGACCATTTCCGACATATCCTAAAATCGCTAGCTGATCCAGTTATTTCAAGCTCTTCCGTTTATGGCTGATGGCTTACCAAGCCAACTCATGTGTAGGGTGTTAGACACCTATGGGACATTAGGTTGTTCATTACGTCATTTAGAAAGTACCAATCTAATATTAGTATCGCTGGGCCAACCGGGCTAAATACCTCATACTCGGATTTGATCAGCACGGCCTCGCGCGGAATAACCAACCTGGGCACGCTGCTTTTGTCCTGCCGAGGAGACACCCCTGAGCAATTCGAAAATTATAGCTCTTTATACTTTCAAAATCTTATTTCCTCCAGCCAACTTTAGAAGAGTCTGCGTATTGTTGTTGTACCCTAGCCCTGCAGAAAGCTTCGCACTTTTGGTTTTTAATAATCCCACTCATTCCGGTCTTTCCACACACACACATACCCACATCGAAATGAAGACTTCTACCGTTTTTGCACTCCTTGCCGGTACCGCCCTCGCTACTCCCCCCGCCTGTCTTTTGGCTTGTGTTGGTCAGGTTTCCAAGGCTAACGACGACTGCTCCAACGACATGTCTAATGTCAAGTGTATTGTTGAGCAGCTCGGCGGCAAGATCGAGAGCTGTCTCAACAGCATTTGCCCCGACGGCAAATCGGGCGCAGCCGTCCAGGCTTTCCAGGCTGTCGCTAACGAATTCCAGGCCTCTGCCCCCTCTGGCGCCGTCTCCTCTGCTGTCCCTAGCTCTTCTGCTGCCGCCTCTTCTGCGCCTGCTTCCTCCGAGACTGCTTCTTCCCAAGCTCCCCCTTCGTCGGCCGCCCCCTCGTCTGCTCAGCCAACCCCATCTTCTGCTCAGCCTGCTCCCTCTTCCGCTCAGCCTGCCCCCTCGACCAGCGCCGAGTCTTCGAGCTGCATCCCTTGGACCTCCGAGGGCGACAAGACCTCCCAGGCTGCACCCACCACCACTTCCGCTCCTGCTCAGACCAGCTCCGCATCCGTCGCTCCCGAATCCTCAGTCCCACCTGTCTCTTCTAAGCCCATTAATGCCGCCGGTGCTGCCGTCGCCAACAGCTTCGGCGTTGTCGGTGCCCTCGCAGCCGCCATGTTGCTCTAATTCCCCGTTTCTTCTAAAATTTGACGTCTCGTCAAGTGTATTATGTATGTAGGCTTAATGTTTTAAACTCCCCTTAAACAGCCCCACCCTGGCAACATCACCGTAAGCCAGACGCGTTAGAAGGCGAATGCGTCTAAATTGTGAGACATCACATTTACAAATTCCTTTCTCTTAGCATCAACTATTTTCTCTGGTTGGGCTATGGATTTCCAAGAAGCTTTCAGCAAGCTAAAAAATCTGCAGCAGCTCGAGTCCCCTGATGAAGTTCGTGATCTTCGACCACATCGGGTCCGCACTGGCATCCTTGACCCTACACAACTTGCCTATGCAGCGCTATGCCAAATAGAGCTTTTGCGTTTGTACGCACCTAACTTGCCATGGTCGGGTCGCGATCTTGACGGTGCTTTCACCACTTTCTCTGAAGCTATTGATCTACTGCACTCGGCCTCGGACCAACCAGATATCGTATCTGCCGTCACTGAGTTGCTTTCGAAAATGACTGGATTGCAAATCGCAGGCTGCATTGAGGAGCTTCCGCATCCTGAAAAGTTTGTGGTTGATACTTTCGACGCCGCCTACCGAGCCGCTCATACTCCCAACATCTCAAGTCGTGCTCGCTACCTGATCTGCCAGTTGCTGAGCCAAATAGTTGATGAGATGGAATACGAGATTCCAGATGACGCCGTATGTTTGTTTTTGGACCAATTCAATGGCGAAGCGGCGTCCTTGAGTCGAGAGATCGCGCAGAATTGTCCACGAGTTGAGGAAAGGGTCAAGAAGTATTTTCTTGCGCTTTTAGACGACACTGAAGCTAATGACAGATTTGATCAGGCAGCCGAGCTTGCTAAAGGCGTAATTGAGCATTCGTTCCCGGTGTTCGAACTTTCTCTTCCTTTGTTTGTCCAGCGGCTTGAGATGCTTCTACCAGAGGCACGGGCTATGGCAGTTAAAGTAATTGGCTGGACATTGGTTTCTCACCCTGCCATACATGATCTTGAGTTCCACCGCTGGGTCAAACGCAGTCTTGATGCTTCTGCCAACGTGAGGGTCGCCTGGGTTCGGGTTGCGGCAAACTGCCTTTCTCGCTCTTCGTTGGAGATAGATTATACTGATGTTTGGAATTCTTTTTTCGGATGTCTAAACGATTCAGACTCGAAAGTTCGTGCTGCAGCGGCTGGAGCCGTTGCGCTATTTGTAAATCTCGCTGATCCTCCAAAATCCCTAGAGCAAATGCTCGTTCCGAGATTGCGAGACAAGTCTGTGACTGTGCAATCAAAGGCACTGGATGCAGCACTAGACTTATACAACGTTTCCTCGTGTACATGGGTTCCAAAGGCTGTTTTGAACATGGTATACGTATATAATCAAAAGAGTCTTGATCTACTGTGGGGATTAACGTTGGAAATGTGTGACATCACTCATGAACCCAGCTACAAAGTTGCCCGTTCGGTGGTAACAACACTCAGTTACTTGGATTCAAAAGCTGCGAAAGCGTTCTCGGCAGTTTATCGCAATCATGTGGCCATTGCTAAAGCACTATCACATTTTCTCGAGAGCGAAGAATCTCAACATGATACACTTCTCGAATGGATATCTAATCGATTGTATGATTCACGGATAAAAGTACAGCTCTCGCAACTAACCACGGAGCAGCAGGAAGTCTTAAAACTCGCTTTGGGTCCGTCACCTTCGAATGAAGTATATGAGAACTCCCAGGAATACCTCCCGAAAGCCATCTCGCCTCTTGTCATTCGATATGGCGGTTATCTTGAACAAAATACTTCGAGTTTTATCGAGCTCCTCGATGATTCCCAACTTGGTGAAGCTTCAGCGTCGTTGTTGTCTGAAATTGCTGCAGGATTCCCCAAGACTGTTGTTGCTAATGCTGATCAACTGGTGAAGAGAGCGTTGCAGAATGATAAGGCGCTATGTATACTGTCCGCTATTGCAAATGAACTCGACGGCGAGCTGGAGGCTGACGATAAGTTTTGGCAACACATTGAGGAAAAGGTCTTCAGTCGAGATGAGAATCTCACACAACATGCAGTCAAGTTAATTGCTCTACTTGGTCCAGGAAATCTTTTATCCGAAGTGACCAACGAGATTATGGCGATGGTTCTTGAAACGCCCTCGGCATCAGCACTCGCTGCTTTGAACACGCTTTACATGGAATCACCGACTACTATCTTGTCTCATTCCGATGCTTCTCTAATCCCCCAGCAACTCATAAAGATCATTCAGTCCTCGGGGGACGATGAGGTACACATCGTCGCAATGCATGCCTTAGTAGCAAGGCTAAGAGCAATAGACTCTCGCCCCAATTCATATTCCAGCAAGGCCGAGCCTGTATTAAAGTTTTTCCGAAAAGTGTTGGATGATGGCAAAGCTGGCGATAGGATTTCAAGTGAAGCTGCAGCGCTCTGGTTTAAGCTCGCTTCTGCCTATGTTAAGCAAACCGACTTTGCAGATGTGGCAAGGTTGCAGCCAATATTCAGCGTCAGCATGGCGGCTTCCCTCATAAGAGAACTACGAGACAGTCATTTATCTTTGATTTATACACCATTGCTGTTCTTGGATGAAAAGTTGTTTCAGTTGGTAGAGGTTGGCATTCCTACCCTAGAAAAGTCAGATCATGATATTGGGATAATGTTTGCGTATCTGCTTTACTATGTTGCTGCAGAAAGAGTTCCCTTAGCTGTTACCTCGGCTTCAATCAAAAGATTTTGTTGGGCTGCGGTTACCGAAAAAACACTCGAGGCTGCTTATCATGTGGCCAGTCGAATAAAGCAATTCCGGGATGTACGCGATCCGCCAGCTGCTCCTGACCTCGAACCGACGCCGAGCTCGAAGCGCCTTTATGCGGTCAGTGAACTAGCCATAAAAATTCTTGATCGACACATGAGATTTGCAGGTTTGACATTCAGAGCTACCATATCGAAGCCCATGGCTCTTCCCCGAAAAGTTTATCAATCCTGTTCATCTGCAGCTGCTTCACAGCTGGTTGCAGAAACTGAGTTTTTGAGTGAGTTAGGGAGTCCTGAAGAGATTGCTGAGGTTTGTGATGACCTGCGGAAGCGAATTCATTCTCTTAGCCAGGCTCACGCAAAGACGAAAAAAAGGAGATCTCAGCGTCCAGCCACACCCAATAAAAACGCGACTCCCTCATAATACTGTTCATAAACTGCATACATGGTCTCCTCAGATTAGGACAGTATGATAGGAGGGCGTTAGCAGTTGTCTTATAATATTGCGCTTCAATTGGTTCCTGTTTCACTGAGTGCTAGCTAGCTACGTCAACCAATATGTATTCATCAAATCAAATGATAGTCGAACAAGCTATCGGATTTCACTAAGGTTTGCACAGAGAGTCCCAAGTGGACATCACGAAATTATGTTGGGCTGCTTCTTCCACATTTGGCGCATTCACATACTCTTCTGTATTCGGACATGAATTGAAGCGTGCGTCATGAATCCTGTTTGAGAAAGTTGCCGCTCATGCGAATCATCTCATTTAAAGTGACACATGCAGCTGAGAGATGCAAGCCGCTAGCGGTCGTTGCCCCGTACGGTGGCCATTGGACTAATGCGACTGATATAAATCTACTTTGGGGTTGTAGTTTTTGCCGAAAGTCCTAATCAAGTAAAATAATACCGTTTTAGAGCCAAAATTTTTTTAGTTCAGAGTGGCGCTGTTTAGTGCCAAGGTACATGCATCATTGTTGCATGAAATCTAGAGGTCTGACTAGCCATGCTACGATTGTTTGAGACATTTTGCATGGCATATATATACTGCAAAAAAGCGAATATTATAATTGTGAATGTACGAGAATAATAAGTTTACAACGAGAATAAAGCCAAATGTTGATGCACCGCTCCGACCTCCAAAGCGCACTAGAAGTCTCCCGTCAATAATCCGCCGAGCTACCAAGTTCAAGTGGAGCAGGACCAACCGGTCTTATTCCACTGGTAACATTAATAGTCACTTGGGCAAACAGGGTGGTGGTGATGGATTCAACCAAAGACTTGATAACTTTTCAAAAACTTTCAACGTTCCAGAGCAAAAGGTTGGGCCTATCGGTCCGCACGTTACAGTGGAGTGGGTTCCGGAAATCGAACCGTCAATATCCGAGTCCTCCAAACCCTCTAGTATATCGAATACTGATAATACTGAGCGCATGGAACTGATGAACAAGCTCCTCTCAACTTCATCTAGCGTGATCTTGGCTTTGATGGATGACACCCAAAGCTGTTTCTCAGATCACGTTTCTGTTCCACCGTCGACCACCCCTGAGTATTTTCAAAACCCTGAATATTTCAGTCGTGGTTATCTAAGAGGAAGCCAATACTCTAATCGGGCGGTTGGACTTGGGGTCAAACTGTACAAAAAGGGCAAGTATGCAGAAGCGAGTAAGCAGTACCGTGCTGCAGCGTCGCAGGGCAATATGTATGGCATGCATAACTTGGGTGTGATGCAGCTCTATGGACAGGGAATGGCAGCAGACTATGCCGCTGCCAAAGAATGTTTTGTTTATTGTGCCCACAAAGAGCTAACGGCAAGTATGAGCCAGCTAGGATACATCTACCTCTATGGCAAAGGAGTTGAGGTTGACATCGCCAGGGCCTTCAGCTGGTTCAAGCGAGCAGCGGATCGCGGCAACCCTTACGCTCAGTTTCAGCTCGCGGGAATATGCTATCGGGGCACACCATTTTTGTCACGAAATACTAGAACGGCGGCAAAACTTCTCGCCCAATCCGCGATGCAGGATTACGCCCCCGCCTTGTATAATTTGGGGGCAATGTATTTTACGGGATCTGGTGTCCCTCAAGATTTTGTCGCAGCTGCAACATTGTACAAGAAAGCTGCTAAAATGAATTATCCTCAAGCTCTCACCAACCTCGGTGCTATGTATGCTTGCGGGGTGGGTGTGCAAAGAAACTTTGCAAGAGCCATTAGCTACACCAAAAAAGCGGTTCAGTTCTCCGTGCGTGAGGCTCTTCACAACATGGCAGATGCTTATGCGCATGGTCAGGGTGTGGATAGAAACTTGGCAAAGGCGGTTGAGTTTTATTTCCGAGCTGCTCAAGCCGGCGACGCTGAAGCAGAATACTCCTTGGCCTGTATGTTTTTACAGTTTGACCGACTGGATAAAACGAACTGGGATACTGGAAACTATTGGATGAAAAGGGCCGCTGATCACGGAAGTATAAATGCCCAGAAAACCCTGTCGGTTAGCGCGGTTGGAGAACGCGAAGTCAGGCGTCTGGCGGAAACTCTTGCCAAAAAAGTTTAGTGAATAATCAAATATAATTATTAGTTTTGGAATTTTATATATAATTACAAAGAGCAGTGTCTATCCTCTATGGTGATGTCAAAAACGCCATCAGCTTGTCTCTACCCTTGATTTCGATCAAACGTTTGATTGCTGCGTACTGAGCATCGTCGTCAGCACGAACAGCAGCTTCGGCAATTTTCAGCAAATTTTCATGAGCCTGAGCTGCAGAAGTTGCTGGACCCTGAAGTTTGAGGTACATCAGATCACGCACTGCCTCGCGCTCAGCGTCAGGCTTTGCGGCAATCTCATCTAGAGCTACCAGCAGACGCTGTTCCTTTGTTTCTGGATAAAGCATCTCTCTCTGCTTGCGCACGAGTTCTATAAAGTCAAGTTTGATGGCTTGTGCAGGTAGTTTGTAAATGACGCCATCTTCACCCTCAATGACTTTCTGAACCCTTTTCTTGATCACAGGAGCGGCAAATCCAGATGAGGTATTGTATACGTTGAAGAATGGTATTTGTCGAACCGGTCCGTATTCTCCATCTTCCTCAGCCACTTCGATGAGGCCGTCGTTCTTCAGGCCGCGTTTTAGATTCGACTCAACAATAACAGGCTTCCTTGGACGGCGTCGTAAGGAGGCAGCCTTCTCAGGATGGTTGGGGCATATCCACCGGTTGGGTATACTTTGCACTGGGGGGTCTATACAGTCAACATGCCAAACTGTCTGGCATTTATCACAAGTTATCATTGGGCCTTGGAGGGCGGTGTTGAGGCACTTGCAACAGATTATAATATCCCCATTCTTATCTTCCAAACGTTTTGACTCGTCCATGTCCTTAGGTTTTTTGGAAGGCAGCATAGTTTCATCGATATAGGTTCCGTCGGGCGACACACCAACGCCCTCAAAAAATGTCTGCAGGCCAGTGGGTAGTCTGAACTGACGCGGGTTTGTGCGGTCCAGGAAGTTCAGGAGCTCGCTAAAAAGCGATTTTTCATACGGGATCGGTGGTTTTCTTCTCGCTTCACACTGTCGGCAGTACCACGCCCCGTCGGGCAGCAAGCTGTCATCCAGAGGAGGGTCCACACAAGTAAAATGAAACGACCGTGGGCACGATTCGCAACACACAAAATTTCCTTGGCCACCGCATGCAGCGCAGTAGTCGTTATTGATGATTTGGGACTTGGATTCGCCTATTGAGAGATCTTCGACCACGTCAGGCTCGATCTTGGGTTGCACTGGAGAGTTGTCTGTGCCTTCTCGACGACGAGAAATGCGTACCTTGACAGATCTTGATCCGTTTTTTTGATTATCATCTGTTCCGTTGGTCCCTTGAGACCTAAGCGTTGAAGTTACACTTCGCGACGGCGACTCGGGAACATTTCCATCTATTCCCATGTCCATTTTGGCCTGCTCGTAGTAGTTGAGTTGTGAGTGATTTCTACTAGATCGTCTTATGCTTGATTCACGTCGTACTTCGTCAGTCAGCTCCGTCTTGAGCGCGAGTTTTAAGTGGATGGGAGTGTTGGTTTCGCTGTTCGCACTATTGGCAGACGAAGCGCGCGACGAAACCGAGCCGTTTGAGTCATTTTCTACGCGCCTTTTACGCCTGACTGACTCTTCTGGTAACGAATCGATCGGAAAGCCCGTGACTCCTGGCCGTTGCTCCGCAGCCTCTGGCTCCACCCATCCCATTGCCAGAAAAAGCTTACTCAAGGTTAGAAGGGAGAAATGGGTTACTAGGATTTTGAAAGTAAGTAAGCTAGGAAACAAGTGTTTAGAATAGAGATCGTAATGACGGGCAGCCAAATCTAGATTATTTCATGTAGTACATTTGCCTTTTTAGAAGGATTCGTTGGCTTAGGCCTCAGTCTTGGCAGCCTTCTTCTTTTTCTTGTTGGTGCGAAGAGAAGTATTGAGCAGTGCAACCAAGTCCTCGTTAACAACCTTCTTGGTAGTAGCAATCTTGGTGAAGTCCGGAGCAGGAGCAGAGGCAAACTTGAGGATACCGTTCTTGGTGATAGCAAAGGTGGTGAACAGCTGGACGACGGGAGTGCCCTGCTTGGCGTAGACAACCTCGAAGGCATCGAGCAAACCGTGGTTCAAAGGCTCTTGTAGGGCCATGCGAGCGCGCTTCTGGTCCTCAAGCATGCGTACAGTGAAGGGGAAGTTGCCGCACTTCTTCTGGATCTCAGAGATGGCCTGACGAGAGGTCTTGAGCTTGAGCTGATAAGTGAGGGCAGTCTTCTTGTAAATAGTGGTGGGAGTGTCCTTAGGGCCAGCCTTGGCAGATCCAGCAGAAGTGACAATAACGTCTAAGCCGTACACCTCGTCCTCCTCGAACTTGACCGACTCAAAGTCCTTGCGCTGCTGCTCAGAGGGGTTAAGAATGATCTTCTTCTTGCCATCCATAGTATCCTTGAGGTGCTGCTGAGACATCATTCCCTCCAAGGGAACACAGTCAAAGTCCTTGACAACCTCGTCAACGACCTTGGTGACATCCCAGTTACGGTTACCGGGCTTGAAGGTGCGCAGAGCAGCCTCAGTAGCGTAGTAGGCAGCAGCGATCATGTCGGCAACAGCGCCCTCAACCTTGGACTCACCAACAACAATGGTATCAGCGAGAATGCTGGGGTAGCCATCGACCTGGGCACCCAGAGAGATCTTGATGACATCGCCAGTCTTGAGCTCGATCTCTGCCTCCTTGTCGGTGGAAAGAGGGTTGAAATGAGCAACGCAGTCGTTGGGCGACACACAGGTCGGGAAAGCAATGCCTTTGGTGACCTTCTTGTTGTTGTAGACCTTGGCCAGCTCTTCGTTCAAGAGCTCGTCACCTTTAACACAAAGATCGGCAATCTTAGCACCAGGGACGGCTAGAGCCTTCACCTGTTCCAAAACACGACCGGCAATCTCACCGGCAATCTTGTACTTGGTAACCACGTCGGGGTTTGCAACAGTCTGGACTTCGCTCATTGAAAAAAAAAAGGAAAGGTTGTTGCTGACACAGCTATAGTATTGCCTAAATAGTGTATAACGGATCGACCAGGACGGTAAACATTAACTGCGGTAGTCGCCTTTGATAGTTACATATTCGTGCGAAAGAGTACACGTCCAGAACGTGGCACTGCCGCATCCGAGGCCCAAGTCAAAGCGGCAATTTCGAGGTCATGCATCTCGAGAATTTCACTGGCGCGAGCTTCGCCTACGGCCTCTAACTCACCATTCACAAGAAGATCCAACTTTTGAGGCGCTTCTGGGACATCATTCCCTCCAAGGGAGCCATCATCAGTATCATATACCTGCATCTCTCTCAAATTCACAATCTTCACCATCATCAGACTCGTTTGCATCTCCCTCGAATCTTAATTCCCAACCATCCTCAGACTCATTTGCATCTCCCTCAAATCCTAAATCTTCACCACCTTCAGAATAATCAAGGTCGCCACCATCACCGCCGCCGCCGCCGCTACCACCGTCGCCACCACCAGCATTCATACTTGCAGTAACCCAGTCAAAGTCCGTAATGGCCTTGTACATGGCAACCACGGCGGGGCTTGCAACAGTCTGGACTTCGCTCATTGAAAGGAAAAGAAAGGTTGTTGCTGACACTGCTAAAGCATTCCCTAAGTAGTGTCTAACGGGTCAACCAAAACGGTGAAACATTAACTGCGGTAATCGCCATTGATAGTCACATACTCGTGCGAAAGATCACACGTCCAGAACGTGGCACTGCCGCTTCCGAGGCCTAGGTCAACGGCAATTTCGAGGTCATGCATCTCGAGAATTTCACTGGCGCGAGCTTCGTCTACGGCCTCTGGCTCACCATTAACGAGAAGATCCAACTTTTTGGAGCCGTCCGTAGGAATAAACGACACGCTCGTTTTGTATGGATCAATTTGAACGCCAGAGTAACCGGTGGCACAAAGAATACGCCCCCAATTAGCGTCTCTACCGTAAAGAGCTGTCTTGACCAGCATACTTTGAGAGATATTTGAAGCGACTGTTTTGGCTTCTGCATCCGAGGCCGCACCCGTAACGGAGATTTGCACAAATTTTGTCGCACCCTCGCCATCACGAACAACTAGTTTAGCCAAATCAGTTGCCAATTCGGTCATGATGGCAACAAAGGTAGGGTAGTCGGGGGAACTAATGGTGATCTCCGGACCACCAGCAGCTCCGTTAGCCAGTGCAACAATAGTATCATTGGTAGACATATCACCGTCAACAGAGATAGAATTAAAGGATTTGTTGACTGCCTCTTTCAGAGCCGACTGCAAAGCATCGGCTGCAACGGGGGCATCGGTGAAAAGTCCGCCTAGCAAAGTAGCCATATTAGGGTGAATCATACCGGCACCCTTTGCCATGCCAGCGATATTATATTTTTGGCCGCTGGCTTCAAAAGATGCAGAAACAAGCTTGGGGAAAGTGTCCGTGGTCATGATGCCCTTGGCACAGTCGAGCCAATCGTCGTGTGTACCACCAATAGCAGGCACTAGAGACTTGATACCGGTCAAAATTTTGTCAATCGGAAGACGCTGGCCAATGACACCTGTGGACATAACGAAAGTGCTTTCAGACGACGAACCAATGACCTCGTCAGTTACCTTCATCATGGCCTTTGCATCGGCAATTCCGCCCTGGCCGGTAACCGCATTTGCGCAGCCACTGTTTACTACCATGGCCCGGAACCCATGGCCCTTTGTGGACTTTAGAATCGCTTGATCGACCTGGACAGGAGCAGCCTTGAACGCATTGGAGGTAAACACACCAGCACCAGTGCAGGGCCTGTCGCTAACAATGGCAGCCAAGTCTTTGATGCTCGGGTCCTTCTTCACTCCACAGTGCTTGGCACCAGCACGGAACCCAATAGGATAAGACCCCGACGTGGGGATTTTGGCTAACCGCTTCATATGAGTCAATTGGGAGATCAAATTAATAAATATTTCGCTATGTGGATGAAATAAATTAGGGGTCCTGGAGAAGAGTGGAGCTCTGAGAAAAAATACGGTCCTCGTCGGTGAGAACTGGTCTCCTCCTGTTCTGGTTGCTTTTGGTATAGTTCTCAAAGCCCTTGGAGATGTTACCGGCGACTGCGTCCTGCAAGTAAGCCGTCTCTTCTATGTATATCTTGTCCTCGATCGCCTCGAGCTCTTTCTCAACTTTATTGCGGCGCGCAAGCATCTGCTTCAGCTGTCGCCGCATCTTTTCATAGTCCTCACTCATGGCTGGGCTAAAAAAGTGGAATGGCTCAATCTTTCTTAGTCACCCAACCTACGCATGGAGGAATCAACCAAGGCGGCCGAGGACAAGAGGCTGTTTCCGGAACCTGTTTCGGTTTTGGAGACAATCCAGAGCTTTATAGATGATCGTAAAAAGGCCGGTATCCCGTTAAATGCTGAGGAGCGAGAGGCATTGCGGGTACTGTACTCTGACGCCGTTCACGAGACGCTGGCTGATGTGGACGACGCGACGTACAGCGAGCTCAGTCGACTCAAACAGATTGAGCTTGAATATCTTCACCAAGTGCGTGGTGTGCGCCAGGTGATGCCCTCTGCAATTTTTGGAGACGGCTACGCTGGATATGGCAATGGATGGACAGGCAACAAGATGCGGCTTTTGTATGCGCAGGATCGCAAAAGGGCCGGCCGTGAGTCTAAAGAGCTCATTATTCCCAATCCCTCTTTGGCCAAAACAGCCATTACGGGCGAGCATCTCGTCCCAATTCGTCTGGACTTTGAGAATGACAAGTATCGCTTCAAAGACACGTTTTGCTGGAACATCGAAGGCATGACCGTGCCCATCGACCTTTTTGTGGAAAACCTCCTTGAGGACTTTGCCTTGCCAAATTCTCTTATGCAGCCGATTTGTGCGTCCATCGAGGAGCAATTTCACAGCTATGTTCGGCACCCTTTACAGCAGCAGGAGCAGCAACAAAAGCAGGAGCCCAAGCAAGAGTCTGCTGCGGAGCGGCCAGCCGCTGTCGAAAATTCAGATTTTGATAGGAGGGTTGTGATCAAAATCGATATCACGTCTGCTCAACACACCTTGAAGGATCAGTTTGAGTGGGATATTAATGAACCGGAAAACGACCCCGAGGAGTTTGCTGAAACTTTCGTCAAAGAAATGGCTCTTCCTCAAGAATTTGCTACCGCTGTTGCTCATACAATCCGTGAACAAGTGCAGGCACAAATAAAGGAATTAATGCAGCAAGGCTACGAATTCGATGGCGCGAGACAAGTAAGTCGAGACGCAGCTTGCGACTTTGAGGTGGGTCCGCACACATTTTTGCGTCCTCCGCACTTGCTTGATGAGTTCAGCCCCAGTGTCTCTCAGCTTTCCACGGACGAGATTCAACACTTTGACCGCGATCGGAATAATCGCCGCCGCGGCCGTAGATTGGGTGGCCGTATGTCCCGACGAACTGCCGGTGGAGGAGCTGTTCCTTCTCTACAGCCTCTGTCAGAAGTTCGAGAGATCCGCAATATCAATACGCCCTACTTTAACAGTCTGTTGCCGGGCGGCCTTGATCGAAACCTAGACACACTGCGTTCACACATCTATCAGCAAGATGACACCGACAGCGAACGACCAGAGGTTGTTTACTTTTTCAACAGGCTGCGTGAGAGTAGACATGTGCCCTCTGCGTCTGTGTTTTCAATGGACATGATCAATGAAGACGAGCGGCGACAGAGGTTCACGGTGAAACTCAAGCTGCCCCCACGGATTCTTCACCAATTCCCTAGCTTTGGGAATACCCAATAAACGGTTTATTACTGTACTTTATTTAGCTATTTTTTTTTCTCAAAAGCTCTCGAGCTTCTTGCGAACGTAGTCGACCATCTCATCAACAGAGATATCAACGCCCTTATCTTGTTCGCCCAGGCCCAACTCTTTAACCTTTACTACACCTTTGTTGAATTCTTCTTGACCAAGAATAACAGCAAGAGGGCAACCGCTTTTCTCAGCGGCCTCGAACTGCTTTTGAAGCTTGGGTTTGGACTTGTAGATGAACTCGGCTTCAATACCTGCCTCCCAAAGCTTTTTCGCTACCTTCATACGCTCAGGAAGGAAACCAGTCCACTCCGGGCCTCCGCCAAAGGCGAGGATAAACACCTGGGTAGCAGTAGGGCGAAGATGGTCATAGAGGCCCTGAGATTTGATAATAGAGAAGAGACGCTCAATACCGAAAGAGATACCAACGCAAGGAATGTCGCCGTTCTTCTTTGATGCAAACATGCCGACAAGCTTATCGTAGCGGCCACCGGCAGCGATAGAGCCGACACCGACACTTTCACTGGCATCGTCATCGTCGTTCTTCTTTTTCTTTTTCTTGGCGTCGCCGGCTTCCTCTGGAGGAGCAGAAGCTGCCGTAACTGCCTCGTAAATGAGGCCAGTATAGTAGTCCAACCCACGAGCAAGAGAAAGATCAAAGCTGTAGAAGGGAACGACATCAAACGCCTCAAGATAAGGCAGCATGGTTTTGAAGTCCTCTACACCTTGTTTCGCAGACTCGTTGGTCATGAGATCTTCGTCAGAAGAGAGCTTTTCGATCATCTCAGGAATGGTGCCTTTGAGCTGAACGTACTTGCCAATCTTATCAGCAATCTCGCCATCGAGGCCCTTCTCTTCCGTCATCTCCTTACGAACCTCGTCCCAGGGAAGCTTATCGAGTTTATCCACAGCAGAGGAAATGGTGCGGACCTTGTCTTCGGGAACACCGCAGTGACCGAAAATGCCGTCCAAAATCTTACGGTGGTTGACCTTGACGGTGAAGTCGGGGATTCCAACCTCCTTCAAAACTTGAACGACGATAGACAAAATCTCGGCATCAGGAACCATTGATTCATAAACACCAGCGATATCGAAATCACACTGATAGAACTCTCTCATGCGGCCTTTTGTCATAGCAGGCTGATCACGTCGATAGACCTTGGCAATGTGGAAACGCTTGATGGCCTGGATACCATTCATTGCGACATAGCGGGCAAAAGGCACGGTCAAATCATAACGCAACGAGGTCAGTTCACCGCCCTGGTCCTCGAGGTTGTAAATGAGTTTGGAGTCCTCACCGTACTTTCCAGTCAGAACTTCACGAAGCTCGAAAACAGGAGTATCGATAGTAACACCACCGTGGCGACGGAATACAGACGAAATAGTGTCGAACAGCTTGGTGCGAATCACCATATCCTTGTCACCCCAATCCTTAGTGCCCTTAGGCGTCTTGAGCGCAAACTTGGTCTTGCCAGCCGATTTTGGCACTGCAGCTTGTGACATGGCCCTTATAAACTTTAGTGATGACGTTGTGGACAAAAAAGCAAAGAGAGAACCAAGTACGAAAGGTTAAAGTGAAATTTCCACCTCTGGCGATCTTTAAACTTAGTCACACTGTCGCAGGTCCCAGGTGCAAGTGGCAGTGTTTAGTTGGGGGTTGGATACTGGATAAATAAACAGTGCGGAAATGGAGACTGTGCACCAGTTGATTCAGCAGGTAGTGCGGGGATTTTACGATGTCAAAGCAGTCATTATTATGGACGCTTTGTTGTATCACCGGGTGCTGAGTGACAAAGAACTGATCACAATGCTGGGTTTACCGGCAAAAGAGATCCGAAGTATTTGTGCGAGACTCAAAGAAGATCATTTACTGAAAGATTTAAGTCATAAAGACGATGCAACCCGGGATCAGCGAGCGTTTTCCCAGACCTACTATTACATTCATTTCACAGAGGCAATTGATGCTGTGAAGTGGAAAATGTACTCTATTGAAAGCAAATTAAAAGAGCAAATGGACGCTCAGCATAACCCGCACGATTATGTGTGCGACATTTGCAAAAACAGAGTCTCCACCATCGATGCTGTATCGTTGTTCAATCCCGAAATGGGGGCGTTCTTATGTGATGTTTGCGGGAATCCTTTAAGAGAGGACGATGGCCCGGGTCCGCAGGACGGAAACTCGGCTCAGGATCAAAAGGGCGAACTAATGCAGCAGCTCCATCCCCTGATTTCTGCTCTGCGTAAGATTGACGACATGGTCATACCTGAAAACACCTTCCAGTCGGAACTCAACGTTGCAATTCCAATACCGAGTGCAGAGCTTTTGGCTGCATCAAAGCCAACCGCGCGCCCGTCTGGCCCCAGCCAGCGGTTGCCGGAGCCCGTTCAGGCCACCTTCGAAGTGCACATTACCTCCGATGCAGAACGCGCAGCCCAGGAACGCGAATCTGCGGCAGAAAAGAAGCGTCTGCTCGAGGAAAATGCTCTCCCAGAGTGGCATGTGCGGTCTACTGTTGGTCAAAAGGTTTACGATGCTTCCGCTGCTCAATCAAACCCGGTTGTTAAGACGGAGCTCGAAACTAGTGCTGAACCAGAAGAAAAGAAAGAGGAGAGCGCCATGGATGAGTATTACCGTAAACTTGCCGAACAGCAGGCTGAAAATGGTGCCGCCGAAGAGGAAGAAGAGGAAGAAGATGACGAGTTCGAAGACGTTATCTAGTCATGAGCATGCATTCTTGAAGAAACATTATAAATTAAATACTTAAAATTGCCAATCTTTATCGGCCGAGTGAATTGCCCATGCAAACTTTTCTCGCAGTGTCTTTGTAAATAGCTTTTCAAGAGGGACCTCGAACTTTTTCGAGAACATGACCGAAAGACGAGGGTCAATATAATTGATCTTGGATGTGCTCAGGGCAACCGTCGAATTGTCCTGTTTGTCCTTCAAACTAAGACGTGTAGACAGAATTCGGTCGTCTAATTTAGCCACCTGGGCTTCCAGCTTTTCGCAAGTTTGAGAAGATTTGATTTCAAACTCACCCGTATCCAGCTCCTTTTGCAGCTCTTCTTTGAGGTTCGTAACTACCTTGAGTCGCTCTTTAAGGTCGTCTTTAGTCAATAGCTTCACATCTTCGCCAGCTTCCCTATCAGCTTTAATTTTTTCGTTATCTCTGGCAAACTTCTTTTCAACTTTTTCTTGTTCGCGTTCCACGACTCGTTTATGAATGGCCTTCAGCTTGGTCTTGTTGAAAGCCTTAGTGTCTGCAAAGTAGCTCTTTCCAAGAACTTTGGGTTTCTCAGGATCAAGCTGCAAAATCATCTTTTTCAGACGATATTTTTTCCATACCAGCTCTTCAACGCGCTCCTCGATTTTGGCTACACTTTGCTCGTGGCTCTTGGCGACTGTGCGTTGATGGTTACACAAAATAGCAACCTCCCGGTTAGCAGCGTTAAAAGCAACGACCTTTTCGGCAACGGTGCCGACGTTGGGGATTTGATCAAGCTGCTTTTGCATTGTGTGCGAGGCGTTATATGTACGGAAAACCTTTGCCGTCAACCCAGGCATGTAGCTCTGCAAGTGTTTGTTCAAAATGCTTGGATCCAACCGGTCGAAAATATCGTCACCTGGGCCTTTAGGTTCCTTCTTGAAGATCTGAAGATTGGTGAAAACTTGTTCATCGACTTCGACCTGCTGGAAATAGCGAATCGAATCCTTACCAAGGAAATCAAATGTAACCAAGTTGGGTGGTTGAAGGTCAACATGTTCATAACGCAATGAACAACAGCCTACGGTGTCAGCCTCGTCGTCTCCCTTTTCTCCACCCGCACGCAATGCAAGTCTGTCAATTAGATACATGGCTGTGGCACGTTGCCGCACTTGCATTTTCTCATCGGTCAATTCTTTGCGGTAATCATTTCGAATCCGTTCGACATGATTTTTGAGTTCACGAGCTTTTTCAAACTTTTTAAAATCAGACATTCCTTTCAAAGAGGAGCTTTGAGATAAGAAGACGTATTTAGTGTTGCCATTGATGTTCTCTTTCCACATAGCAAGCCAAGAAACGGTATTGTCATGGCGGACCTCGCTCCAATTGTGACCAGCAGGAGGCTCAGGGATCTTTACATCTTTTCCGATATTCAGAGTAACTTGTTCGGGTTGAACACGAGCTTTGAGTTTCCCTGTCTTGGGGTGCTGTCCGCGTCCACGGAAAAGGCCTGGGGGCTCGACCCGGAAATTTCCCACCGGTTGCTTCCGGCCGTCCAGATAGCATGTTTTGTACTTTTCCTCGGCCTCGTCTTTTTCTTGCTTTAGTCGTTTCTTGACAGCAGGAGGCAGCGCCTTTTTCGCGTTGCGCTGATCTTCATAATAGGCAAAGATATCGGAAAAGTCACACTTGTCGAAACTCTCGATTTCAATGAACTTTGACGTCCCCGAAATTAGTGCTCGTCCAGAAGTGCTCAGCACCTCCTTGAAATCGCCAAAAAAATTCGCCTGGAACACCGGATTCTTTGCGTGATCCGTATTTATCATGGCACCATAAAAACCCGCAACCTCTTCGGCCTCGACTGGCAAGTCCACCTTTTTACCGTCATACTTGAGCTTGACATCGTCGGGTAGCTTTTCGTATGGAGGGGGGAAAATGACGCCATTGTGTTCCAAAGTCTCCCATTTGACGGAGTGGTCATTCGGATCCTCTTCCCACCAACGGTGAATATCCTCGTCATCGGCTTTGAGGCCGCCATCGACGACCAATTCCTCTTGTTTTACTTCTGTTGCATTGTCGACGGCTGGATCAGCTTTCAACACTTTACGTTTCTTGGCCGGACGCGTTTTATCTGGCTCTTCCTTCACGGCATTGTTCTTTTTTGTATTGGCTTGTGACGCGGGTTTTGTGCCCCTCTTTGTGCTAGCAGCAGTCTTGGCCTTATTCGCTACTGACTTGGGCTTTTTAGAAACATTCCCGCTCGATGATTTACGAGCCTCTACAGCCGTAGTCGACATAATAAATGAAAGTTCAGTTTACTCAGCAGAACTTGAAACCAACTTTTTCCTTTTTTTTTTTTTTACTAAGTCCGGGCCGGGGAAGCTTTTCCATGGGGCGTTTGGGAGGAGGTGTTAGGCCGGCCCATAAGCTGTGCAGTAACATGCGAAACAATTGGTTACAACGGCGTCATCTCGTAATAAGAGCTGGTTATTCTGCTGTCTAAATAAATAATATGGCTTCGGAAGCTCTCTGTACTATCTAAACCACAGTGAAACCGCCATGCAGGAACCTGCATGGCCCAGGGTTGTTATTGTCCCAAAGAGGAAAGACAATCACAAACTGTTCAGGAGCTTATTATCACAACATAGGCAGTTGTCTTGCTTATCCGTTACACATGCAACATATCCAAACACCTGCTCGGCCTCTGGCAGTTCGGGATGACAACAAACAGGTGGATGCTAAGGCAAAGCGCAGGGAGAAACCCTCGGCATTGTGCAAAACACCGCCGAGTTTGATCAAGAATAAAGACGGCCAGAGCTACCAGCGAGGTCTGTGTCTAGGCGAAGGAGGTTTCGCTCGATGCTTCCAAGTCAACACAGGAGACGGTACTCTGTACGCAGCCAAGACAATTGCCAAAGCTTCACTAACTAATGAAAAGACGAGGCTCAAGTTATTCGCCGAAATCAGAATCCATCGCAGCTTGCAGCACCAAAATGTCGTTCGCTATATTGATTGCTTCGAAGATGATGTCAATGTGTACATTCTGCTGGAGATTTGCTCCAATTCGACTCTCATGGAGCTGGTCCGTCGGCGGAAGCGGTTACTAGAAGTCGAGGCTCGCTACTATCTGCTTCAAGTGTTGGCGGCAGTAAACCACATGCACAACAAGCTTGTTATTCACCGTGACCTTAAACTCGGTAATATTTTTATTGATTCAGACATGAACATCAAGATTGGTGACTTTGGCCTAGCCGCTCGCCTCGAATCGAAGAGCCAGCGCCGTTACACCGTGTGCGGAACCCCTAACTATATTTCCCCGGAAGTTCTTGTTCGTCCTCATGAGCACTCCTTCCCTGCTGACATTTGGGGCATTGGTGTAATTTTGTACGCTATGGTATTTGGCAAGCCGCCTTTCCAGGAAAAGGACGTTAAAGTCATCTACGAGCGAATCAAGCAGCACGACTTGGTTTTCCCTGACAATGCTCGGGTTTCTCAATCCTGTATTGAGCTAATTCAATGGATGCTGGAAGCTGATCCGGCCCAACGTCCGACCATTGATCAGGTCTTGAACCACCGCTGGTTTGCAGGTGAGTTCACCGATGTGATATCTGTGTCGGCCCTCAAGGGCGTTCCTCACATCAAAGTCACGCCCGAACAATCGCGTGTCAACTTTAATCGTGCTAAAGCAGCATGTGGTCTTGCTTCTTCTTGCTCTACAAGCCCTGTTGAGACTGTTACCAAGGAAGACGTAGCTACGGCTACTCGCCCATCGGCCAGTCGGGTTCTGCCTCCATCCTTATCTCCGCCCACGACCAAAGAAAAATACAAGATGGTTGTGGTGCAAGATAGGCCCGATGAGAACATCAACAGTCCGGCGATTCGCCGTCGTCATCAGCTAGCGCCTGATGGAAACAATGTTGGCAGTGGCCAGCAAAACTGGCCTAAAGCACATCGTATGTCAACCGAACGAGGAACTGGGCTTTCTCGTCGCCCCACCAACATGGCTAATGCTGCAGCGCAGTTGGTGATGAAGGCAGCTACCACTAAGTCGGATCCCGCTGGGCCGTCTCTCCGATCCAGGGGCAACGGTGGGGTTAACTCTCAGCAATTCGTTCCTGGGCTTGTTCGTGAAGTCCGTGGTGTCGTTCATACCATGCGGGACTCGGCAAAAACATACTTGGCCCGAGTCCTTACTGCCCAAAGCCAGGGAACTCTGTCGCAGCTGATGCGGGACGCTACGGTTTTCACGAAACCACCCCATATCACCAAGTGGGCTGACTTTGACGAACACTGGGGTATGGCTTACGGTCTGAGCGATGGTGCTATTGGGATGCACTTCCGCGATGGGACCTCGATGCGTATGGATCCGTTTTTGGGCACATACATGGCCTACGAGCCAGCCGCTGAAAACAAAACAGCATTTGTCGCCTGCAGAACATCGAGCTCTAGTCTCAACAGCAACCGGGCCAAAAAGGTCAATGTCATCAATTTCGTCCACAAGTATATGGACGAGCGTCTCGGTCGGGGTGGTATGCCCGATCGCCGGGAGGGCCAGGATGCCAGCGATGGACCTTTCTTGTACAACTTCAGTCGCGGGGACTTTTACATGATGTTTGTATTGTCTGACGGTACAATGCAGTTCAACTTCAGCGATCACACCAAAATCGTGATCTACGGCAGAGGAGCCCGTTTGTTTGTTATCGACCCGGCACAGAACAGTACTGACATGAGCACTGAGGACGCCATGACGGCCAAGCCAGCTCTGGATCTTGTCTACAAACTACGCATTATTTGCGAGAATCTGTGATTGATTCTGTCGCCCCTCTATCGTGTTTTTATATATATACCCGCCGCAAGTTTTGGACCTCCTGAGGACGGTCGAGTCTGTATTCCCATATTATTATTAAAGTTGTTTGTTACGCCAAGTGATCAAGGGACATAGGAGACCCGTACGCTCCCAACGGCAGAGGCGAAAAGACGGGTGTTAGATTTTCAGGTTTTTTGCTGAACACACTGCTCTTCTTGTACGAAATACTCAGGTCTGCAAAACTTTTTCAAATTCTGCGCTTGCCTGCATATCAGGTGTTGGCTGCTGCATATATAGTTGACTAACCCCTCGTTTCCAAGGTTGACGCTTTTCCTTCCACCATGATAAAATCCTTTCCGTACAAGCTGGGAGTCATTATCCCGACGGGTACAATTTTGTACATCGGGTTAGTTTTGGTAGTACTATTCCCGCAATACACTCAAACCAAGATCTTGCCTGCCTGGCTCGGCGCCCTTGCGTGGCTGCTGCTGATTTACTGGCTGGCCTGCACCACAGATCCCGGCTACGTTAATCCTGAGTTCACTGACGAATGGGAAGTAAAGTGCAAAGTCTGCGATGTTATCAAGCCTGAGCGAGCCCATCACTGCAAAGAGTGCAATCGTTGCGTTCTGCGGATGGATCATCACTGTCCGTGGACCAACAACTGCGTGGGCAACAACAACTTCCCGCATTTCATGAGGTTCCTGGGATGGGTCATTATCGTCAACGGTGTTGCATTGGCCGGCTATTTTGTGTATTGGGTGCGTGTCCTCGATGACTGGGGAATGCCCGGCTATTTGATGCCCCGGTACAAACTTGTCTTGGGGCTGCTCGGGCTTATTGGTTCACTGCTGGTGGAAATCACAATCACCCTGCTCTTCCTTCGGTCTATCCTCAACATTGTTAGCGGACAGACCCAAATCGAGTCTTGGGAAATCGAGAGGGCCAACACCATCGCAAGGCGGATCGACCCCAGTAACCTGCCAGAGTTCCCTTTCGACGTCACTCTCGGCCTCAATTGGTCGGTCGCTATGGGTAATTTCTTCCTATCGTGGTGGCCCTGGGCTGGCCCCGGTACCGATGGCCACGACTTCCCCAAACTCTTTTATACTTCGGTGCGCTGGCCCCCGGCTACTCCAGAAAACGTCCATGATTGGTACACTGTCAAGCGTTGGCGCACATCTGAGGGCGATAATATCACCGACTTTGGCGTCGATGCCGAAATTGACGACGTGGAAGTCGAGGTGCCTCCCGGAGCGGCAGAAGATGCTGCTACTGAACAGATCGAAGATAAGCCCAAGGCATCGCCGGCCAAAAAACGCGGTGGTCGTAAGAAAAAAGTGAGTTCCTAATTATACTAGTCTAATCGATTTCCATTTTATTTGAGTCCTCAGCCGCAACAGCAGCAGTAGCAACCGCTTCAGGCTGTTCGCCAGTCGTCTCTGGCTGCTGGGCCGGAGGCTCCACCGCGGCCGCGTCAGGGCTGGTGGGAGCGGGAGGCGCAGAGTCAGCAGCCGTCGTCGTCGTCGGGTCAGCAGCTTCGGGCTCGGCAATAGGCGCGGGCTCGGCAACGGCGGCTTCGACACCGTCCAAGAACGCCTGGAAACGCTTTTCTCGGCGGGTCTTGGCTTCGGCACGATGCTCGTCCCACGAATCTGCCTTGCGCATTATATAGTCAGCAGTGCCCTGCTCAAAGAACAGTCGGTAGGTGTTGATGCACACCCTGGCTTGCAAGCCCTGAGACAGTACCTCGCACTTGAAGTCATCACCCAATGACTCCCGCAGCGACCGGTACAGGAACGGTGCCTTGATCTTGTCAAACGGCACCCCCTCTGTAGGCACGTTCATCATGTACGACGTAACATAGTACTCCCACTTGCTTTGGGCCTGAGCTACTCCCTTGAGGGTCAAGTCATAAGTACCAAGGTACTGGAATCCCAGTTCAGCGGTGCCCGGTGCCCAGTCGATCCGGAAAATGGGCTCCTCCGCACCGATCAATTGCTTGACTTTCATACGGTAAACAATCTGCTTCTTGACATCGGACTCGGTAGCGCGTCGATCAGCATCGAACAAAAGCAAGACATCAGCGGTAGCCTGGTCGTTAACAAGGGTATGCAGCTGCTTGACAAGAAGGTGCAAGGTCTTGTCAATTGTGTATAGCTTGTAGGCACGATTGCGATAAGCTCGGCGCAGCGACTCCTCGAACCACTGGGGCTCAACGTCGCCATCCAACAGCTTCTCACACAAAGCAAGAGCCTGCTCATAACAATGCTCAGGAGAGAACCGTAGTCCGAGATCGTCCATCTTAGTATCAAACAAACATAGGTCCTTGGCAAAGGTCGTGCTCGTTTGCACCTCAAGCTCCTTGCTAACGATTGGCTCGTAACTCTTAACCTCGGCCAAGCGGGCATAAATAATTTCAAACAGACGCAAAAAGAGATAAATAGGTGTGTTTGCAAACAAGTTGAACGAGGTGCGAACGGCAGAGGGCTCTTCGAGAGGTGGTGTGAGCCGCTCAAAGCGAAGCCAAGCCGCTTCATCCTCATTCGCAGAGGGCTGTGGTTCATTGGCAGCCGGCGCCGCCGCAGTACCTTCCCGGGCACCTTCGGTGTCAACTGATTGCGCCTCACCCGCTGGAGTGCCCGCAGCGTCCTCCATTTTGACATTCTCTTCATCGTCACTACCCTTGCTGCGCTTCAAAATATCACCGAGAGCGAGATCGCCTGCAGCCGTCGAAGATTCTTCTTCACGGGGCCGCTTATCACTGGGATAAACTCGAGCAACAGTCTCATTGTCCAAACCGAAAAAGATAGGTAAGAACGAGCGAAGGAACTGAACCATAAGCTCCCGATCATGAGCAGAGTACGAGCCACTGTGCTCCAAAAAGCGCAAAAGTAGCTTCCACAAATCAGTCAAAACTTGATTGTCATCAATCTTAACAACAATTTGTGATTTGGGGGTAGGCATAACCGTGCTCTTTCTCTTGGCACCCTGCTCAGCTTTAATAGCCATAATCTGAGATAGCAAAGCACGAGAGGTCAATTGCTTGCGATCGGCTTGTTTGAAAGTTAGCCCGATATGGTCCAGACTCTTGTAGAATACCTTTTGTTCAGTCTCACGCCAAACCTTATTCCACTCCCGATGCGCACGCTTCCACTCCTCATCTTTTTGTTTGAGACGATGCAATACGATAGGAACAGCCACGCCAGGGTTCTCATGCAGTGCATTAATGACCTCGGCACCATTCTTCTTATCGTAGATCTTGTTGATGACCTTCTGATAGATCTTGGTCGTGTGGCCCAAACCCTCGGGAAGCTTAAATTCAGCTTGCTCCTGAGGAGTCATATTAGCGATTCGGTTGGCAATGGTAGACAAAACTTGGATAGTGCGCTGATTGGCACCAATAAAGTGATCATACTCGTGACGTTCTTCTTCAATACGGTACAAAATTTCCTCGTACTGGTTTTTACGGTGAGCAACAAAGCCACTATCTTCCGAGGCCCAAGTCGGGTGTCCAACCCACTCGTCGTTGAGCACTTCCCAGCACATTTCATCACGGCCAGAGCAAGGCATGTATTTCTCTGTCTTGGGCAAAAGACGATAAGAAGGTCCACACGCACGACACTGAGCAAGGTCCACCTGATGTTTCTTGGCAGCAATATTTTCAATGGACAAAGGTTTCCCTTCGTAGCCAACGAATCTCTTAAACCACTCCATAAGCTCTGGGAATTGACCAATAAAACCATCAACGCGGCTCACCAAGGTATTAACGTCAATGATTCGTTGGGTGAACAGGTTGATGACTTTCAACAGCTCGTGGTAGCTCTGCTTAGGAAGGGCGCGCTTGACTTTGTCAAAGAAGGCGATCTCGTCGGCCATGGAAGATTTGCGAGAAGGCGGGACCAGGACCTGCGCAGCTGGCACAAGATTCTGTTCGGTAACACTAGGAACGTTCGCCCCAGGGGGTTGCTGAGCAAGCATACCTGGTAAAGGAGTATCGCGAACACTGCTCTGCTGAGGTTCACGCTGTTTCTTAGGCTGTTGGGCAGGAGGACCAAAGCTGCCGACCGGCGGCAACCGCATTTTGTTATCTGCTCGTCCTCCTGGCAAGAAGCGTTTGAAGTCCTCCAACAGATCTGGCGCATCGCGGAACAGTTGCGAAACCTGAGCATAAACTTCACCCATATCTAGCTGCATGCGCTGATAAGTTTGTAGGATCTCCAAGAACGATTTGTACACATCTGGCTGGTTAGCAAACCGATTGCGAATACGGTTGACATAGGCAATCGTGTAGTCAAATTCTACGGGTCCACCATTGCCAACATGAGCACCTTGTGCACTACCATGAACCATGTCCATTTGGCCTTGACCCATCATAGGCAAGCCAACTTGGGGTTGGCCACCGACCATTCCCATAGCAGGCACCAATTGCTGGGGTCCACCAGCCACCGACTGAGCCACCTCGTATTCGTGACGGGCCTGCTGGCCGGGCTGTTGAAGTTGCTGCTGTTGAAGCTGCTGCTGCTGTTGCTGTTGTTGCTGCTGCTGTCCCTCAGACCAGCGCTCATAATCAACACTGTCGGGCCTAATTTGAACACCCATTGGCGTGGTCACTTGAATATGATTAGTATCAACACCGTCACTCACGCAATCAATGCGATAACCGTTGGGCAAAAACGTGTTGAATCCTTGAATCAAGTCGTTATGGCCTCTGAATAATGACGAGACCCGGTCGATGACGCCAGGTGTATCAATATTCTGACTCTTAAAGTCCTTCATAATGTCCAGGAAATGATTATACACACCAGGACGGTTGCGATAACGCACCTTGACTTGGTCGAGATAAGTTAAAGCGTCATTGAGCTGGTTGTTCATGTTTGCATCCTGGCGGTATCTATCATCTCCTTGGGGCTGCTGGCCTTGTGGTAACGGTACCTGTGGAGGCTGTGGAGGCTGTGGTGGTTGTTGAGTCTGCTGCTGAGCCTGGGGCTGAGCCTGGGGTTGTGGCGGCTGCGCCGGCTGTCCCTGCTGTTGAGGTAGCTGCTGAGGCTGACCTTGCATCATCTGCTGATACTGCTGCTGTTGAGGCTGACCGGGCTGCTGATGCAAATATCCAAGGTGCGGTTGAATCTGGCCGTACGGGTACATTTGCAGATACTGACCCATCATTGGTTGCTGCCCAGGCATACCTTGGGGTTGGAGGTGTTGCAAGTGCTGCGGCTGGGCAAGCTGCGGTGGTTGAGCCAAAGAAGGTAAAACGGGAGGCTGTTGTTGCTGTTGCTGTGGTTCCATGGAAGGAACGTGAACAGGTTGGGGCAAAGGCGTAACCCCCTGTTTGGGCGTGCTTGCAGACTCCTCTTTGGGGTACCCAGCAGGCTGGGGCTGGTCAACAGGAGCAGGTTGAGCAGGTTGAGTGACAGGCTGAGCTGGCTCTATAATAGGAGTGCCTGAAGAATCAGTCTTAGCGGGCTCTGCCGGACCGGTCGTGTTACCCACAGTGACAGGTGCACTACCCGCAGAGGGTACGGGTTGGGGCTGGGGTGCGGCCTGAGGTTGGGCAGAAATTGGAGAAGGAACAGAGCCGGTAGGATTGGCGAGCGGAACGACGGACGCAGCTGGTGTAACCGCACTCGATGCATTATTTGGAGAAGGAACAGACACTGCTGGTGCTTCCTGATGGGTGATTGGCTGAGCTGGAGTCGACGCCGGCGCCGATATGGGTGCCGAAAACACAGCTTGAGGCTCTTCGGTTTTGACTTCTGAGGTTCCAACAGGAGGTTGGGGAACCGTCTGCTGTGGTACAGGCACTGGTGAAGCCACGGAATCTACGCTAGGTGCGGCCGGCTGCGCGATCGCTGATACAGGTTCTGAAGCCGCAGGGTGGGTGGGTTGAGGTTGCGGGCTCGGATTTGAGGGCTGCGCAATAGACGCAGGCAGCACAGAAGGACTGGGCCGCTCAGCAGCAAGATTCGTCTGTTGTGGCAAAGGCTGGGGCGTAGGCACCTCCGTTTGCGGTGTTGGCGCCGTGGCGGGTTGAGGGTGTGCGTCTGGCGCGGAGGCCACAGCACTGGTTACAGAGGTCTCTCGCGATGCTGTTGGCTGTCCAGTACTCCTGGGAGATGGTAGAGATGTTGGCCCGCTTTGACCCGAGTTTAAAGCTGCGTTCGCACTCGGCGCGGGCTGTTCGTTCCACGGAGTCTGGGACATGACAAGATGGATGCTTACAATAGGGGTCTGGGTGTGAGGTGAATGGTTTGGGCATGTCAATAAGGGTGGAAATGCGTGCATTTGGAGGGAATGCGGGGTCAAAAGTTTTATGATGGGCCTATCTGAGCAGTACTAGATATCTTTAGGAAAATCATTTGAAGGGCACCGGCTGATATCTGGAGTTTATAAGAAACATTTGGGTGATGCGGGTGCGGATACACAACCGGGTAAATAAACGGCTGGAGAGTCCCCATGTAAGCCGAGGGTTAGGAGATTTCCAAGAGAGGAAAAAAAAAGGCAGAGGTACGATCAAACCGCTAAGGTCTGTTCCAGACGCTAGTTGACCACACTATTGACGCGCTATCTGAACCCGACAGTTTCAGGCCAAATTTCGAACCCCTAGCCCAATACTAGATTACCTTTTGCATCGACCTCTCTGGCTGACCAAGCTGACATGAACGCCCCGGACAGATTTGAGCTGTTTCTACTGCCAGATGGTGTGTCGAAAGTGACGGTTCAGCCTGACCAGCGTATGCCGAATGCGGCTGTGATCAAGTTCGAGCGCGAGGACCACACCCTGGGCAACCTGCTCACTGTTCAGCTCAACCAGGACCCGCGTGTTTTGTATGCCGCCTACAAGGTGGAGCATCCGTTGTTTGCCAACTTTGTGATGCGTATTCAAACCGAGGACGGCTACACACCCCGTGAAGCCCTTAAAAACGCCTGTAACGCGCTTATTGGCCAGCTCAGTGTGCTCTCACAAAAGTTCCGCACCGAGTACGGCCTCAAGGCTATGCTTGGCCAGGAAGAGTAAACCGCAGCCCATATCCGGACTTTGGCTTGTTCTACTTATCTTGTAAAATGTAACGACCTCATGACTGTTTTTTTTTTAGCTGACTACATGCACCGCTCTGTGGCTCAAGCGCTGGCCAATGCTGGAATCGAACAGCATAAGCTAGCCAGACCAGACAGCGATATAGCAAGGCGGGCATTTTTACATTTATGCCACCTGTACAACCTGCCGGTACGGCCGCCCTCCGATACGGAGGGGTCGCGGCATCCGAACGCGTCGAGTGTTCATGACTTTGTGATGCCTCAATTCCCGGCGCTATTTGCCGCAATTCGGTCTTACATGTTGGATTCTGGGTATCCGGACTTTCGTATGGAAGATTTGATCTCTCCGCAGGGCGAGCGGCTTCTTGATCAGCTTGAGCATCTTGCTAGGTTTGCCGAGTTTAGGCAGGCTCTAAAGGCCAACATGCCTGACAAGTTCAAAGAAGCCTACAGACTTCTGGATCATTACAATTCGCAGAAAAAAGATTTAGAAGCTGAGCAGGATAGACTGTTTACGTTGCAACGAACCATGGACCATTTGAAGCCCGAATACGACGCGAAAATCGCCCAGCACAGCGCGAAGCAAAAAGAACTTGAAAAAGCTACCAATTTTTTAGCAGAGCAGACGGAAAAGCTTGCTATTGACCGTGAAAAAGTGGATGCTACAGAAAGACTACTCGATGGTGATGAACAAGTGGTGAATATCGACTACGACATGTATAGCCAACTTCTCTACGTTACCAAAGATTTGGGCAGATCTTTGGAAGATCAGCTACAGAGAATGCGTCATGAGCTGGATAAAACGCGCTCGGAGCGTCGATCTGCTGAACACGACCTAGAAGCGCTCCAAATCACGTCGCACTTGTTGGATGAGCTGGACGAGAAGCTGCCGCAATTGAGCGAGCTTGCCCGGGAAGCTGCAGCCGCCAAAAGCGCCTTTGAAGAGGCGAGCGCCGAGGACCAGCAGCAGACTGTGCGCATCAACAAACTAGAAAAGGAAATCGCTGAGGCAACTCAGGCAAACGAAGAGCTAGCAGCGGCGATTGCAGAGGCAGAAAAAGAAGAACAGCGCGTTGGCGAGGAACAACAAGAGCTTCTGCAAAAGAGAGCTGATCACGAGCGTGCGTTTGAAATTGCCGAACAAGAAACCGATGCCAAGATCAAAGAGCTAGAAGCGTTGATTCAGCAACACGAAACTGAAAAGGCCAAGATCGAAGCGGAGACACAGCACCTCATTGAACTGAGGTTGACTCTAGAACCCCAACTAATTGCTCGCGAACAGGAACTGGACAAAGCTACGCAGGAAATGCTGGCGTTGTTGGTAAAACTAGGCGAAACGTATCGTCCAAGCTCGCAATAGAGTAAATTACAAATTAATATTTATTTAAACCGTTTTTCAGCCAGCTGCTCGGCACCAATCTCTTCATATTCTGCCTTTGTGATCCAGGAACTATCGAAATGGCCAAACGAAGCCATTACTCGGGCACCGGCCCACGTTACGTTTCCACGAGCCAGATGGAACCTGAACGGAGAGTTAGGCTTCATGGCAATCAGATCGTTCTCTACACGACGGGGCAGGCCCTGGAGTTGAGTGGTACCACCGGTCAATACAATATTCGACACCAAATTCATGATAACTTCGGTGGGGGCTTCCACTTTGCCAATTGACTGGTAAATGAGCTCGGTGAGACCCAAACTATTTTCGGGAACCTGTAAGCCAGACTGTGCAGTTGCTCCGGGTTTGAATAGCGGCTCAACCATAGCCATCCGCTCAGGTCCAAACAGCCGGTGGTATCCTGAAGGGAACTCGAACGGTCTGATTGACGAAGACTGGTTTGGTATATTAATGGGACGGCCAGCGGCATCAACAGCTCCACTTCCTGGATTATTCAAGGGGAAAGGCGACACCTCCGCGGTTACTTGCTTGAATCGTTGCACAATCCGGGCCTGTTGGTACTGGTGGAAAGATGGTGTTCCCTGCGGGCCCTTTGCATAAGGCGACGGCTCACCTACGTCCAAACCGATGGCTCGTTGTTTGATTTGGTATCTGGGAGCAGCATCGATCTGGCTTGCCTGGAAGCTAGCCAGGATGTGAGCGTCCAAAAAGTCACCTGCAAATCGGCTATGAAGTATAGCCTTTGTAGCGACCACACCGTCGAGGACAGGAACAACAGAAGTTCTGCCACTGCCTATTGTGACAATCAAAGCGGTTGTGCGGAAGCTTTCGACCGCAGCGCAGAGAGGGGCCTTTGCCAACGTGAATAATGGCACGCCCAGACCCTCAAACACAGCTTCGAGGGCTGGAGCGCGTGACTCCGCGGGAGCCCACGCCTTTTCAACGACCGAAAGCGGCTGTTCGTTCAGATTGCATCCCATCCGCTCGCCAAGATGCGACCAAAGAGCCGCAGCCGAGTCCCAGTCGTAGACCACACCGTCCATGACGGGAGTAAAGATCTCGCGAGACGGCGTGTAGGAATAGACACCGTCGCCGAAAACTCTGGGCAAATCATTTCCATCTTTGGCGTATGCAGAAGGGACGGTATAGCGGGGAGTCAGGTCACTGCTCAAACCGCAACGGGTCCAAGTCGTTCCGGGGTCGACCACCACGGCAGGCACGTCTTCAAGCATGCTGAGTCAGTCACGATCGCAAGATTCAGGGTTGATATAGTGTTTGGTTTATAGGTTTGGTTATAGGTTTGGTTATAGGTTTGGTTATAGGTTTGCTCATAGGTTTGGCTAGAGGTATCTTGGAGCTATAGAGTTTATTCAAGTTGCCTAAATTTTGTGCTCACGTGCCTGATGGGTGATATGCACAAGGCCGAAGAGTCAGTGGCCCGAAATGTGCCCTCTGAACACGAGAAAACATCGGCCAAAGTCCACTCTAGATGGTCACTCGATCACCCTATTTCTTTCGCCCTGTTCATACCCGGCCTAGCCTCCATCAAACAAGCTACTACTTTTGGCTAATATCCCGCAGGGTATTTCGGATTTGTAAGGACGCGAAACCTCCACATCAGCCTACTATGAATCGAAGGGGTGTGCGGTACGATATGCCGTTGGCACAACCACCAGCAGCACCGAACCTGGAGCAACGTGGCAGCCAGTTTGGCTCGACGACTAGTGCTCCCTCGAATTCGCAAAAGGGCTTTGTTGACAGCTTGACCTCGACGACTGGCGCGATAGACGAATGGCTCGGGGAATTAGGCCAGCCTCTGAAGCCGTACCTTCCGGCAATCGGGCGTATCTTGGTGGTTTTGACATTTATCGAGGATGCTGTCCGAATTATTACCCAGTGGGGTGATCAGACCCGCTATTTGCGCAACTACCGCGGCATTCCGTACTTTCTCACTGTGTTACTGCTAGCTTCCAACGTGATCTGCATGTTTGTTGGCTCGTACTGTGTTATTTCCAAGCGCTTCCTGCTTTATGGAACTGGTGCCTTGACGTTCGTGGTTGTTTCGCAGGCCCTAGCCTACGGTCTTCTGCTGGACGTGCAGTTCTTTTCTCGGAACTTGTCATTGATCGGCGGCCTCCTGATGGTCGTCTCAGACGCGTTTGTCCAGGAAAAACGTAGAATGGGTCTCCCCGGTCTGCCCCAGCTGGATAACAAAGACCGTGCTCGCTACATCAAATTGGCCGGCCGTGTCTTACTGGTCTTTTTGTTCTTGGGCCACCTGGTCCGCACAAAGTGGACCATCACCTCTTCTTTATTCAACGTTATCGCTATTTCGTGCTGCATCCTCGTCGCCATCGGCTACAAAGCCCGACTCTCTGCATCCCTGCTGAGCATCGTCCTGTTCTGTCAGAACCTGTGGGATAACCCGTACTGGAATCTTGATCGTAACCACCCTAACCGGGACTTTTTGCGCTACGCCCACTTCCAAACGTTGTCGATTGTTGGTGGGCTTATTTTATTGATCAATATGGGCGCCGGCCGTATTTCAATCGATGAAAAAAAGAAAATCTATTAATATTCCCATATCCTCTATAGTCTCATTATCCATTTGCTCACCTAATATAACCGATGGGTGGCATTTTACAGAATAAGGCAACTGCCGACGGAGAGAGTCCGCATCCATTCGACCGCAAAGAAGTACTAGAAAATACCAAACTCAACGCACAGCTTGGATCCATGGGCGACGAGGTCCGCCGGGAGCTCCAGGAGTCCCGGGCAAAGAGCCCTGGCGGCCACCCAAAAACCAAGTATCCCAAGACAAAAGCGCCCCAGGCACTGCATTGGGACGAGAAAAACATCGAAGAGCATGACGCTGAGCGGGGTCTGACCGAAAGAATCACCGAGCCGAAAACGCCGTACCAAGGCACGGCCCAAGTTACCGAGTACTACGACGAGGACGACATTCCCGCCGAGCTGGATCTTGGCGAAGCCTACACGTCGGAAGGCCCTCCCGTTGAGAACTCTAGAATCGTAACTGATAACTCATAGTATATAACTTATAGTTTAGCACCAGCATCCACCTCGAACTGGCTAAAGTCCGGATGGCCTGGCGGAGGGGCCGGCTGTAGCGAGGCTTTGAAGCCTGCAGCATCAACGACAGGTTTGCCCAGGTACTTGCCAACCTCACTCAATTGGCTGCTCGATTGAGTTTCCTGAACTTCGCGACCCATCTCGACCGCTTTGGCGGGATCCAGCCCGCAGTTCTTCAGCTGCTCCTCAAGCTCGTTGATTGCCTTGCCCATGTCGGTTTCAAGAACCTTTTTGGTTGTGTCAGTATCTAGTTTGACGTTGTGCTTATCACTGACAAGAGCAATTGCTTGGGCAAGGCGCTGCTTGGGTGAAGGTACAAACTGCTTTGCTGCTTCGAGGTGCAGCACAAACTTAGCCCGGCCTTCTGCACTGCTCTTTGACACGAACCGATCGTAAAGTTGCAAGACCTGCTGCTTGCTCACATCCTGGGCCAACTTGGCGATCTCGGTCCGCCGGTTAAAGTTATAGTAGCCGCTCATTATACAATGCCAGTAATAACTGGCTTGCTCATTCAAATTCTTGAACTTTTCGAGATGCTGCGATACAACCACCGCAACGTGTTTTTCGTACTCTTCAGCAGGCATGTTTTCGATAAGAGATCGCGCTCTCATCAAAAACGCCTCGATCCGCTGTTCAACATATGTCGTAGGCGTCTCGCTCTGAACAAACAGTCTCAACCACAAAACGGTCCGAATTGGCCACAAGTAAGAGCCCACAACGTAGCCCAACTGCTCTTTTGTTCGGAGCTGATCAAACACTGGCTCGCGGATGATTTGGGCAAACACCAGAGCGATTGCGCGAGTCGCCAGATCACCTGCTTCACCTAGCTGTAAACGGTATTCAATGGCCGAGTTCTTGTTGTTTTCATCCTCGAGTTTAAGATGGTGGTAGAACTCACTGGGGTTAGGAAGCCAATACGAGCCGGCAAGTTCACGTTTTCCAACCTTGCACTGCAGGTCCTTCACAATGTTGTTTCCCAAAACTATAGCCGAAGCAGCTTCGAGATTGCCAGCGGCCATGACCTCCACATCCCATTGCTCTCCTACCTCCTCAATAAACGCCTTTAGCGAGTGCTGAGTGAGCTGGCCGATCGCCTTGATTTTCTCGTCGACAGAATACGTGGCATCCATGAGAAGGTAATTGGATCGCATTCCCAACTGGCTAAAGGGCATAGAGTACAAAGAGTTCCGAATCTGGCGGTCGACGCGTTCTTTGATCGCATCAAAGCGGTGGGTATCAAATTCAGAGTTACGCAATTCACGAACAATCACTTCAGCCAGGTCATGAAGCTTCTCATTAAATCCGTAGATACCAATTTCAATACCATTGGAAGCAGTGGCCAAATCGTAACCCAAACCGGCAACCTCGGCATAGTAGGCAAAGTCCGTCAACACATCACTTACTAGCTGGACAAACATTTCAGTATTCATAGCTGAAAGCGCAGAAGAGCTGCATTTTGCATTGGTCAGTTTGACCATCACATAGGCCTTAGGAACGGAAAAAGTGTTATCCAGCCTATGCCAGACTCTGAGGCCAGGGCGGTTGGTCACGAGAACGGGCCATAGCAGATTCTTTTCTCCTGGACCTGCGGGTATCAAAGAAAAGTTCTCGGGAACCAAACGATTTGGCTGGGGGAGCTTGAGAGCGGGGTCAGCCGAAAGCGACTTGAAGCTGGATAGCAGGTCGTGGATATCGTCGACAGCATACTCGGTTCCGTACCACTCTTCAGTTTGGTCGAGCCCATCTAGAATCTGGGACGTCAACATTACTCTCACGTTGTCAACTGTAAGATAAGAGGCGAAATTCATGAGCACCTCCCTGTTAAACTCCTTGAGAACGCCGGTACTCAACAGCTCCCCGCGAGGAACATAACGCCGCTGCATAGTGCGAGCCAGCGCCGACGTGGTAGCTGACGGTTTTGACTTTTGCTTGAACTTGAACGTGGCTTCAGACATCGCCTTGAGCTCCGAAAACACCCATTCCTGTGGGGCTTGCGAAAGCACGAGGTCAATAAACATGAACGTAGATTTAAGAACATCTTTCCAATGCTTAGCTCCTAGCTTTGTGAGTTCAATGTCGACCAAGAACAAATCGGTTCCTGCACAAACACTGGTTGACCCGCAGCTCAATGCATTCGCCCAGGATTTGTCTTTAAGATACTGCAGCAGGGACCCCTTAGATTCATGGCCTATCAAATGCGAATAGTAATGACTGGGTTGTTGCCTCACATACTGTTGTTGGTCAGGCATCGGGAAAGTCAATTCCAAATGATGTGAGTCCATCACCGGCCTTGCTCGAATAAGGGAGCCCAGCTGTTTGGCCGTGTAAGGGAGGTTTGAGTAGTGGGGTAGAGGGTAGTTCTGATTGAGCACAGGAGAAAACAGCGTTTCTACCCATTGCTGTAAAGTATCGAGGCTCTCGCGGCCCAAAACAACCAGTTTCATGATGTTGGCCGAGTAATGATTTTTGTGGAAGTCAATGAGCAAGGCGCGTACATCAATGCCTGCTTGCTCTGGAATAGTGTGCAATGTCTCGTAGTTGCCGGTGCTGAACCTATTGTACGGGTGCTGCGGGTTTGACAGCGACTTATCCAACTGGTGCAGACGCCACGCGTCGAGTTGCAGGTTTTTTTTGTTTTCGCTGTCCACCGCGAGGATTTCGCGGTCCTTGCAGCTTTCGGAAAACAACGGGCAGCTGAAAAACTGAGCAAACCTGTCGAGGGCTCCATGTAAGTGTTCATGAGCAATGTCAAAATAGTAGTTGGTGTGCTCGGCCGAAGTGTATGCGTTGTAGCTGCCAGCATGGGCGCTGAGGAACTGAGAATACTCATTTTCGCTTGGATACTTCTCGGTACCCATAAACAGCAGGTGCTCGAGAAAGTGAGCCAGCCCAGGCACTTCGACTGGGTCGGCCAATGAGCCAACGTTGACATCCAACGCAGCCGACGCCTTGTCCGTTTGAGCGTCATGGATGAGCAGGGCCTCCAAGCCATTGTCCAATCGGACAACGCGGTACTCCCGGTCGTCTACCACTGGTTTCACCAGATTTTTCGAAACAATTTCTACCATTGTTCTCTCTAAAAATGGTGTGTGAATCAAGGTTTCTTTGGGCGAAGCCTCCTTTTGGGACCGTTTTAGTAAATCGAGCCACTGGACACTGACTAAGGTCTAGGCCTGATACTGAGACAAAAAATGCGATTTTCGCGCATTTTAAGGCAAAATGTGGCGAAATCAATAATAATCGACCGGACCGGGCTGAAAAAGGTGGGCCGAAACGATATTATTTACGTTGCCATGTCGTCCGGGGTTGACTCGTCGACGGTGGCTAATATTCTGGGCCAAAGGTTCGGCAAAAGCAGAGTGCGGGGTGTTTTCATGAACAATTGGAGCGAAGATTCTCGGTGCATGGAGAGCGAATGGCGAGAGGCTCAGGCGGCAGCAGATCACGCGGGAATTGAATGCCACAGAGTGGATCTGGAAAGAGACTACTGGGCCGAGGTGTTCGAGCCGATGCTTGAAAGCTACCGGAAAGGTGCAACACCGAATCCAGACGTCAGTTGTAACAAACATGTCAAGTTCGGCGCCCTGATCGACCACCTGCGGGCCCGCGACCCCAACTTCAAGTGGATCGCTACGGGCCACTATGCTGGGGTTGATCGCGGTTTGATCTGCCGACCTCTGGACTTGAAAAAAGACCAAAGCTACTACTTATCTACAGTTCCACCCTCTGTTGTAAACCATGCACTCTTCCCGCTAGCTGAGCTGCGGAAACCTGAGGTGCGGCAGATAGCCGCCGATCTCGGGGTGCCGACTGCACAGAAGCCCGACTCTCAAGGCCTGTGCTTTGTAGAACAGAACGCCAAGAGCTTTGATGCGTTCCTCGCAGAGTACCTGGTGCCAACCAAGGGCTTGATTAAGACAGTGGATGGGTTGGTGGTGGGAACCCATAACGGCCTGTGGACTGCGACAATTGGCCAACGTGTCGGGCTTCCTATGCCACAAAGCCTACCTGAGACTCGCGGTAAGTGGTTTGTTTGTGCCAAAAACATCGAGGAAAACACGCTTATTATCTGCCCGGGCCGCGATAACCCGCTGCTCTACCATGACACCATTCAGACCAAAAACTTTGAATGGCATGTCCCTGCTTGGGACAGTCCTAATTTATTTGCTCAATATCGCTCACTCATGATTCCAGTTGCCTGCACTGCAACGAGTTCTGGCAGAGTTATCTTCAGGGAACCAAGGCGGGCAGTTGCTCCCGGTCAGTTCCTGGTAATTTACGAAAACGATCGCATTGTGGGCTCTGGAGAGATAACCCACGCAACAAAATCACCATAGATTGTACATATTTTAGTTTCTTCACGCCTCTGAGGAATTCACTTCAAGTTGTCAGCATGCTCTGGCCAGAAGGCTCGGCTCATCGCTTTCGCGATTTGGACGAACCATTCGTGGCATTTACGGTGTCCAAACCGGGATATTATGTTGCTGCGTGCACAACCAGCCAGATTTCCATGTACAGAGTGAAGCCGCTGGCTCCGGTGTCCCTGTATACCCTGCATACAACCGATGGGCTTCCGTTGCTTGGGTTGAGACACTCACCGCTAGGGAACCGCCTCGTTACGTGGACTCATGCCCAGGTCATTGAATTCGATGTTGTTCCAGTCGGATACGTATCGGAGCTTGCCAGAATCAGTCAGTCAGTTACCCCGGGACCCGGTGAAGCAGTCGGCACCCGCGAATTGTACCTGAAGGAGGTATCAAGGTACGATATCGAGCATTCGATCATCGATGTTATCTGTGTGGAAAGTGGAGTTTTTGTTGTTGGGCCGGAAATGTTCACAAAGCTGGGGGAAAAGGCCGCTAACTGGTCAACATTCAATGGTATTGATTTCAGAATCACATCAACTGCAGTGGCGCCTCTACTCAATAAAGCCGCTCTAGTGTCCGAAAATGGCGCGGTCAGAATTGTTTCCTTGACAGAACCTGACCGCGAAGCCATTGAGGTTTGTCCACGAGGAGCCATACGAGCGGCATTCAATATGCGGCAAGGAAAACTCACAATTGCTACTGAATTCACAATATTTTTGCATAGTTTGGATCGTGATGATTCGGCAGTAATCGATTTTGCCCATGGAATGCCTGATATCTCACATATCCAATGGGCCTCTCAAGGCAATGCTATAATTGTAGCAAGTGCTGAACGGTGGTCGTTATTGTCGGCCCTAGGCATGCCCATTTACACAAGCCCGCCCGGTAACGATGTTTCGCACTCAGAATGGTCTTTGGGTTCTGATGAATTGTTCCTATTGGGCTCCTCGGGCCTCTATGTCTACAATATCTTACGGTGGACAGGTTTGGGGAGCCTATCTAGACCAGTTCTTTATAGTAGCAGCCGGCTGCATATTTTCCATGATGGACAAAAGAGTCGTTTAAGTGCAAATCCCTGGCTTCTGGTTCCCATACCGGCTTTTTACATGGCAGAGAACTGGCCGCTGATGTATGTGAGCTGTTCTGCTGATGGCAAGTACGTTGCTGCCGCAGGGTCTACAGGTCTTGTTCATTTCAGTGTTTCCTCAAGAAACTGGAAAGAACTATCCGATCATGACATGAAGGTTCGCGGCGGAATTGTCTGGTATGGTAGGGTTTTGGTTGTGGCAGCAGACGTGGATGGCAGCCATGTTCTTCAAATGTACTCTCCGGTGTCTATTTTATCACGAAGAGACAGCTCTGTAGCTGTTCCCACCCATAAGTACGCTGAAGATGAGCATGTTATCGCCAGCCTTACATTGGATGCCCGTGTGATTGCCATGAGTCTGTGGGAAGACTACCTGGCCGTTCTGTTGCCTACAGGTCTTAAGATCTTGGACCTGACGGGAAACCAGCTGAACGCAGTAGAGGAATGGAGACTTTCAGGCGTAATTCTGACTCCTTGGCGCGTTAGGTCAATTGATCTGCTAGCTAAAGATAAACTGTTGGTGTTCGTTGACGACCAGCTAGTCTCCCTCACTAAAAAGGGTAACGGGGTTTACAAAAAGCAAGTCTTGGCAGACTCTATAGAGTACTATTCCATTGACCACCAAAACTTGTGGCTATTTGATGGACATGAATTGAGTCTGCATCTTTTAGACAACGAGGTACCTGAAGCACCGGGGCCCCAATTCAAAGTGCACCAAGACGGTATTTATTTCAAAGTTGATGGATACCCTGTTGCAATCAATCCCTCAAAAGGTGTTATTGCTACCATTGAGGCCCATGGCTTGAGCAGCAAAGATGGTTCATTCACGTATATCAAGCCAACCGCCCACATCCAGGTTTACCTCTTGCACCTACTGGAACCGAGCCTGGAGCAGCTCCCCAAATTTACCCACTTGGACTACTATGATCAAGTTGTACAGACATTACTGAACCGGGCTCTCGTGAACGACTCACAACTGGCAGACATGCTCAGTATAATCAAACGAACGGCCAAGAGCTGGCGCCATGTGGTGGCCAGCTGCGCCCGCAAGGTCGAAACAAAGTACTGGCCCAAGCTGTTTCATGAGCTTGGGCAGACGCCGGCCCAGTTGTTCGACGATGCGTTAGCTGACGGCGATTTAGTTACGGCGGCCGAGTTTCTCATGGTAGTGCACGCCGACAAGGAGAGCAAAGTGGCTGTGGCTGCGGGAGGGCCCGAGACTCAGCGGCTCTTCAAGGCAGCATTCAATTCGGGCAAGCACGATCTGTGTCGAGACGTGTGCGAATTTTTACTTGCCGTCGACGAGAGCGGGCAGGAGCTGGCCAGGTTTAAGCAGCAGCTGTAAAAATATATATATATTTGCGAAGAGTTTTAGGAAAATTATGCGGTGCCCTTGATAAACTTGCGAACAAAGTCCTCGGCCGGCTTTTCGATCTGAGTAGCGTGGTAGTTGTCAAAGTACTTGGCAACGTGAGGGGTCTGTTTCCAGAAGTTTACCATCTCCTGGAACTCCATGTTGCCCTTGGCAAGCAGGTGGTTGCGCACGTTAATGTCCTCAACGAAGCGGTTACGTTCAAACTGCTGGCGCAGGACAGTGCGTACCAACCCCACAGGCACCGCCAGGTCGTACATCTCAACGAACTGGGGGCTGTGGCGCATGAACTGTCGGTACAGATGTAAGACTCGCAGTCGCAGCTCGGCCGGGTTCTTCGACACCCGCGTAGTGACGGCAAATGCGGTAGCGGTCGTGGGCATTTTTGGTTGGTCAGCGGATTCCCCGGGGCTCTCAGCGAATGTCGTACTTGTGATTTCTTAACACCCCTTAGGTAATTAGGTTTAATTACCTCCTACCGTTTTTTTTATTTGTGAGGATGGTAGAATATGATTGTTCGACGCTTCGCGATGGATCTGTTTGGAATACGTGGCTCTCGTTGTTTCTTGTGGTAGGAATTTACGGCAGCTACGTGCCCCAGCAGGTGAATGTTGTAAAGCGGCGGACCATTGAGGGGCTGAGTCTTTGGTTTTTGTTTCTGATGAATATCGGCGCAGCTTTTGGGTTCGCAAACATCCTCATTGCCAGCAAACCTGTGTATCGCTGCTGCTGCACCGAATTGTCTGCTGTGGAGTGCGGCAACGCGATGATGGGTGTAGGCCAAATGGCAAGCTCTTTTCTGGGGCCTCTAGTTGTGATGATTCTGGGGCTCATATACGCCAAATCGACCCCTGAGGAAGCTCACGCAATGAGATGGACTGCTATGTGGACGACAATTGCGACTGCTGGCTTGGTAGTTGTCGTCATTGTTGGTTTGGCCACTTCCTTTGGCTCAAAGCTCGCCTACCTTTGTGGTTTGGCAGCAGCTGGAGTCGGTCTTGTGCAGTACATCCCCCAATTGATGACAACATACACACTCAAACATGCCGGCACTCTGTCTCTGCTCACTCTGCTCATCCAGATCCCCGGCGGAATGATTTGGAGCTTCAGCTTGGCCGTGAGGGGCGAGGTCAATTGGTCCATCTGGATGCCGATTATGCTGTCAGCCATTCTGCAGGTGATTCTGTTGTGCATGGCCTTTTACTTTTCGCTGGTTCAGATCAACAGAGACGTTGCTCAGATCACCAAAACCCCTCCGCCGAACGCGACAAATACAGTAGAAGCAGAAGCGCTTTTAGCCGATGACCAGTCCACTGGACCTTAAGTTATACAAATTGTAAGTTATTATATATATACTCTGTGCCTAGATACTGATAGTCTTCCACAACGAGAAGCCGTCGCTGCCAGTTGAGATCAACGCACCAGGGATTTGTTTATGCCAGTGAACCTCCTTGACATTAGGCTGCCAGTGAACAAACAAAAGCTGTGAAGGAATTTCATCAAGATCTCCCTTGGCTTGGCGTGCTTGTTCAGCGATCTCTTCGTCGTCTGCTTCAACAGACAGATCCCACAGCGAAACGGTGTTGTCTTCAGATGCTACTGCCAAAACAGAGTCATCGCTAGGGTGCCATTCAATCGAAGTGACGGCCTGCTTGTGGAAATGGAAATCAGCAACAGGCTTCCCACTGGTGAAGCTGCGGAGATCCCAAACACCAAACTGGCCGTCATCGTAGCCGCTGGCCAAGAGGTGGCTAGCTTGATGGTTCCAGCTCATCACGTTAATATCAGTATTTGTAGCTTTGACAGAGATCGCAGGCTTGGCTGATTGACGAGCATCCCAAATACGAACATGGCCATCCGATCCACCGGCAGCGAAAACAGTCTTTTCTGTAGGACTCCACTGTAGGTCTTCAACAGAGCCGTTGCTAGCAGAAAATGGTTTGGCCTCGGTGACCCAGCCACCAGTGGTCCTCGAAGTCAGGAAAATTTTACCGGAAATGTCACCTGTAAGAAGCTGACCAGACGAAACCAAAGGAGACCAGTCTACGGCATAACCTTCGACCTTGCCATGCGCCTTGATGGTGAAAATGGGCTTATTTTGCTGTTTCGAGACATTGGATCCCGGTGTGTCAATCGATCTCAGTTGAGGCGAGACATCCCAAAGCTGAACCTCGCCGTTTTCCATCATGGAAGCACACAAGTACTCTTTGGTCGGGCTGGCAAACGGTGTCACACGCAAACGGTTGACTGTGGAGTAGCAAGGAAGGGATTTTGATTCAAGAACAGGATCTGCATCATAGTCTTCGTCTCCATCTTCGTCCTCGTCATCGTCTTCATCACGAATAAGTGTTTTTGCAAGCGATGAGAACTTGAGCACCGAGACCTCATTGTCCTTGGCTTTATCAGCCTGAGACCCGGCAACAATATACATAGTTTGAGGGTAGATCTTGCGAGACATACCCAAGTTGTCTGGCAGAATATCAAACGAGAGACAGGGCCACTTGACATTGACAGAGTGCAACATATGGTAGGTAGAATAATCGGGTTCCATGACCTCGTTGTCACCAAGAGGAGCAGATCTATTTGGCAAAAAAACTCTGCTGGTGTGTTGTGGTTCCTCACTTACCTCTTCCATCTCGTCACCGTCCTCTTTATCGGGCTCTCCGTCTTCTCCGGCCTCGAAGATCTCTTCTTCCGACTCGAAATCGTCACCATATGGATCTTCGAACTCGCCCATTTCTTCCTCATTGGGGGTACTTTGGTTAGGCTTCTCGGACTCGCTAGTTTTCACTGCTTTTAGGCTCGAGTCCTGCTCGCTAGCTCTTTTCATTGCGAAATAAAATCTGTAAAGAAAAAAAAGATTATGTAACCGGGTGATCTGAAATTCACACGATTGAGAATTTTGGATGAGTTTGGATGGAGATTATGGGAAAAAGATAGAATTATATACTATACTTAGTCGAAAAGACCCATGCCCATGTCACCGTCGGACTCCTCCTCCTCCTCGACAGGAGCAGCAGACTCGGCAGCACCAGAAGAAGCGGAAGCAGCAGCGGCAGGAGCAGCGGCAGCGTAAGCCTCAGGGTTGGCGATACGGTCCTTGATGGCCTCAGAGCCCTCGAAAGTGTAGTCGGTGGCAATAGAGACGGCGAGCAAGTTCTTGTAGTTGTTGATGAGCCAGTGGCTGACGGCAGGCAAGGTCGGGATAGACGAAGCAAGCGAGACAGTGGCAATGTTACGAACAGCAGCAACGAACTGGCTGGTGAGCTCCTCGTCGGTGATATCGAGGATCTCGGCACCAAAGACCTGGCCCTCGTTGTAGACAGCGTCGACAGTCAGACCATAAGTGAAGGGAGAGATGTTCAACATGTTAAGCAGGGTAGCCTCGGAGGGGCCGACCTTGTCACCGGTGGAGGCGACCTTAACATCGGAGGTAATCTCAATGGTACCACGGGTAATCTTGGTGGGGATACCAAGGGCCTGGAAGAACGAGGTCTTACCAGGCTCCATACCAGTGTTACCGGCGGGGACGAAAACGTCCATAGGAGCCACGGCACCAGCACGAGCAGGGGCAGCGACACGGTTGGACAGAATCTCCTCGCGGATATCCTTGAGGTCATCGGAGGTGAAGACGAAACCGATGTTGCCCTTGATGTAAGGCAACAAACGCTCCAACTCAGGGATATCGTTGATGAAGGTACGGAAGGCACGGCGGACCATGGTGTTCTTACCCATAAGAACAGTAGCACGGCCACGCAGGTTCTTACGGACCTCGTGGAGCTGCTGAGAGCTGACGTTGTCAACACCGACCAAGAACAAAGACTTGTTCTCGGTCAACAGCTGCTTCAGTTTGTTAAAGTAATCGATCTTCTTCTCAGAGACGCCTCCCATTTCGACTTTTCAATAAACAAGGATAGGGATAGTTTAAAGGCTTTCTCTTGTTAAAGGAGGATTAGCTGGTCTCGTAAAAGGTATTAGAGTCGATTTTTCGCTTAGCTAATTGCGGACAGTGTTTAGCCCTATGCCCGAGGAAAGAAGATGAGTGCGATGTGGGTTGGGGTATATATGCAACGACGAAATCCTGCAGGTCGATCTCGGGTTGTGAAATTATGCAAAGTTTGCTATACTTTTCGTTTACGTAGTTAATTTAGTTTCGAATAGATCGGGGAGGCTCTTTTTCTTGAAATCCTCCAGCTCCTCTCGGAATTTATCGCTGCCAATGTGCTCAAATACTTTGAAACAAAACATCTCAACTTTCTCGCTTGCAATAGGGTCCGGGGAATTTAAATAGTATTCACGAGACCCTCGCTTCGATCTCTCCAACTTGTTAAACCTTGGTTGGTACACTCTGTGTTTGAGCGTGTTCGTGGAAAGGTATAACTTCAGATCTTGGTCGAGCTTTAAGAATGCATCATGGTGGTTCAACAGAGCCATGTAATCCCACATGGAGTTATCTTCGCGGAACACAGGATCTGTCAAATTGACTGCTGCCTGCAAGGTAATGTAGGCATCGTTCACGCCGTTATGGAGAAATCTCTGCTGCAAGCCCATTTCGGTCATGATATCAAATAGCGATACCTGGTACTTCTGTAAAGGGTAGCACCATAAAATTGAAGTGTCTAACACGTAATTTGCGGGCAAATAGAACTCATTTTTTCTTAAAACATCCATATCCTGTAAAACACCATGTCCCACATACACGAAAAAGCTGTCGCGAGATTTTGACCGATTAATCCAATATTCCAGGATCTCCTTGAAATGCTCTCTATTTCTCTCCATGGGCAAGGTGACGCTGGTTGCTGTTGCGCTATAGCCTCGGTGATCTGGTACATATTTGAAGTTCCTTGTTTTCTCGAACCCTTCTTTTCTGACCAAATGATAGTTGCGAATAGGAGGAAGACAAAAGGGTTTTATTCTATCAATTTCAACAACAGATAACCCAATCTCAGTTATGAGCGATGGAGTTCTTTCGAAAAATTCGCAGTCAATGGAGCAGAAGGTAATTCGCTTCGACTTGGCGAGATGGTCTGCCAACAGTATCATCAAACTTGGATCAAAGTATTCCCTGGGGTAATTTCTACCAAGAGATCCAAGCAACTGATGCGCACTCCTTTCGGTCTCGGCCAAAGGCTGAAGCGTGCTTGGCTCTTCCACAGTGGCTGCGGACGGGGCGTTGAAAATATTACGAAGTGTTTGCTGCTCATTGTGGGTATACCTCCCCTTCTGAGATATAGTCGCTTCAAAGTTTTTTAGTGCCACCTGCATTGTGCGCTCTATATGATGAAATGTCTTATGTTTCATTCAATGGCTACAGGTGCTCCAAAACTCGTTATGTCATCGGAAGGGCGATGGTGCAGCGCTGCACAGAGCGCCGTCGATTACTTTTACGCGTAACTGATCAACAGAGTACCAATTATCTAAATGAAAGGTGCAACGGCTGGTGTTGTGCTAGACAGCGGTAGTGGAGTTTCCATTCTGACATGGTTACAGAGGATATAGCATTATTCTCACCTACGACGCAGACAGCTACACAGAACATATATCCAAAACTATCTCCGGGGTTCAATTACCTTTTGTCTTGGAATTAATTATTATTTGACCTATTGATCCATTTTCCCAACCAGAGAATGCACGTTCAATCTGAAAGTCGCACTTGGACTTTGCAGGTTGGCTTGCGCATGCAGATTACGCTGTCTACTGTACCAGTAATCAGATAAACACAATTGTCTCGGCTAGTTATATACGGTTTTGAAAGCAGTTTCGAAATCGGCAATAATATCGTCAATGTGCTCAGTACCCACGGAAACACGGATGAGTTCGGAGCTAACCTCAGCGGTGGCCTTCTCCTCATCAGTCAACTGAGAGTGGGTGGTATAGAAGGGAGCAATAACCAAGGTTTTAGAGTCACCGACATTGGCAAGATTGGAGGCAAGTTTGAGGTTGTCAACAACAGCAGCGGATTTGCCATTCTTCACACCAAGAGACAGCATAGCACCATATCCGTGCTTGAGGTACTTTTTAGCCCGCTCATGTGACTCGTGGTTCTCCAAACCAGGATACAAGACCCACTCAACGTTTGCGTGCTTGCTGAAGAACTGAGCCAGCTTCATGGCGTTCTCCTGCTGGCGATCAAGACGGAGCGACAAGGTCTCGGTGCCCTGAAGCAACAAGAAAGCGGCGAACGGATTCAAAGCAGCGCCAAAGTCGCGGAGCTGTTCAAGACGAACGTAGGCGGCAAATGCAGCTTCCTTGAAGGTTTCGGTGAAAACCATTCCGTGGTAGGCTCCTGAGGGCCCCGTGAGATTGGGGTACTTGTCGCCGGTCTCAAGCCAGTTGAACTTGCCAGAATCAACCACAACACCACCAAGGGTAGTACCATGACCACCAATCCACTTAGTGGCAGAGTGGACGATAATGTCTGCGCCAAAGTCGAAGGGGCGTACGACGTATCCACCAGCACCGAACGTGTTGTCAACGACAAGCGGAATCTTGTGTCTGTGAGCAAGAGCAGACAAGCCCTCAAAATCGGGAATGCTATAGCCGGGGTTGCCGATACTCTCAACATAGATAGCCCGAGTGTTCTCGTCAATTGCCTTCTCGAACTCAACAGGGTCGTCGCTGTTCACGAAACGGACGTCAATTCCGATTCTTTTGAACTGGACCTTCAACAAATTGTAGGTGCCTCCATAAAGATGGGAAGTAGACACAATGTTCTGGCCAACAGTAGCAAGAGCGCCCAAGGCGACCGTCTGGGCGGCCTGACCCGAGGCGACGGCTACAGCAGCAACACCACCTTCGAGGGCGGCAATTCGGTTCTCAAAAACCTCGTTGGTGGGGTTAGCAACACGACTGTAGACGTACGAGGGCACCTTGAGGGCAAAAGAGTCGGCAGCGTTCTGGCTATCGTCGAAAACGTACGAAGTCGTGGGGTAGATAGGAACACCGCGAGACTTGGTCGTGGGATCGACTTTCTGGCCAGCATGCAACTGCAGAGTTTCGAAATGCTGCGACTTTTGCTCGGACATTGGGTCAGTTACTTTATGGCAAAACGCTCGATGCGCCGAATTCGGCCCCGGATTTTATAAAGGCTGCCTGCACCTAGACGCATACCACGGCACGTGACGTGATGACACGACACGTGACCTCGTCGAGCTGACGGTTCACATTCTGCTTTAGTGTATTGGGGCAGCCGGGCACGACATGGATTGGAAGGCTGTGTTGGACTCTCAGCCGTCGGAGGAACAGGTGAAAAGCGTTTTGGAAGCTCTGGGGGCTGTTAATTTGAATGAGCCAACCCCTGAGCTTCTGGCGGCGTTTTCCACTTTGGTGAACCAGACAATCTTTGATCTCCCAGCACTGAGCTATGAGGGGGTTTTCCAAAGCATTACCGGCTTGGGCTGCATCATCTCTCAGTTGGGTATTCTTATGAACAGCGTGAACCAATCTCCGAGGATACCTGTGCTAGTCTCGCTGTTGGAGTCTGTATTTGATCGCCAAACCCTGATCCGTGACCTTTGGATAGCCAAGCCGAATGAGGCACAGGCTATTTTTGTTGGCTCGAGGCTGCTCTCTACGACATCCATGCTCAAATCAGATACCTGGGTGGCCGATGGTAAACAGTATTCTGCTTGGGTTGCGGCACAATTGTTAGTTTTCGATCCGCCGGCTCTACTGGTTGACAAAACTTTCAAATTGGGGTACGCCAGGGATGCATTTTTGGCGTTTTTGGCCAGCCCGGAAAAGTTCAAACACTGTCTGCATAGTATGAGACCTGCACAGCAGCGGTATGCATTTGCCCATGGAGGGTTCCCTAGCCTGGAATACTTGACGGTCGAGTCGAGTGCTGCCATTTTGAAATACCTCGACCCCAGTATTGATTTAGTGGCTCTGGCCCAACAGTTTCCCTTGAGTCTTCGGCTGGCGTCAGCTTGCATTGTCAAAGACTTTGTAGCGGTTACGAGAAAACTACTGAGTAGCTGGGGTGACCGGGCTGCTATTCAAACGGTAAGTATGGCATACCAGGCTGCTCAGACACAAATTCTAGTGAGCTTGGCATGCCACATGTCTGCTCAAGATGCAAAAGTGATTATGGGCTCTATGGAGTTTATTTCAGCCATCTCCCATCGCTTGGAAAGCCTCTCTGAAAGAGCGCGGTCAATGGGGACTCTAGTTGCCGATATGCTCAGTCAAAAAGCTGGTGATAAACTCAAGTTTGCCATGGAAAGTGGTGAGTGGAATTTCCAAGTGTATACCCCGAGACCCCTAGCAGATGCATTAGCTGAGTTGAAAGCACCAAAGCACCCTGAACTTGAGCTCACTCCTGCTCCTATCACCGCTGAAAAAGGCAGCGATGATGAGGGCGGACCTGCTGGTGACAGTGATGATGAAGAAGACGAGAAACCCGTCGCACAGCCAGTGTATATCAAGACGCTACTGGAGTATCTTTCCTCGGACAGTTATGAACAAATACAGAGTGGATTGCAGTACGGTAGCCAACTGATTTATCGCAAAGCCGATTTCGGTACTGAGGTTCACCAGTACGCACCGGAGCTCCTAGTGCTGCTGGCAGGGCTGGGCGACAAGTTCAATATTCGAAACTTTTCCGAATTGCGCCAGCAAATTATGACGGCGATCTTGGTTGTTGATTACACGCAAGGCGAGCTTGTTGCCAAACTAGCTCTGACCGGTGATCTTTCATTGTTCCAGAGAATGTCGCTAATGTCTACTATGGTGCTGGCGGCAAAAGAACTATCAAACTATGTTGAGCCAGAAGTGGCCGCATCTAAATTACTTCCTGAAGCCCAGCATAAAACATTTGCAAAAGATATCGATTCTATTGTATACTCGTTGCAAGACCGACTCGTGCTGGACACGAAAGCGAAAATGACGGAAGAGCTAGGAGGGCCACAGGTTCTCCGAGTATCTAAAAAACTGCAATTGCAGAAAGGGCCCTCTCGTGGTACCAACAAGTTCGCCAAAATCGCCGCCAGGTACTTTTTCTTCCCGTTGGCTGCACATCGTCCTCGAAGGGCAGGCGACTACACACCTATGATCTTGGGCCATTTGCTCAAAACGTTGGGGCTTTTAATTTATTATGCATACCCAAGCAACGACATGCCTGATATAGTATCCGAGCTTCTGGATATGCTGGTCGTTCTGTCGGGAACCGAACCAGTGCTAATCGAAGCTGCGTACACGGCCCTGCTTGTGTTGTGCGACGTCGCCGGTGGCATACTTGTATCCAGATACCCGCAGAAGCTCGCTGCTCTCTACGACTGGGCCCGCCAAAGCTGGCAAGATGTGCCTGACGAGCGAGTCCAGAAGCTGGGGGCCGGAGTCGTTCTTAGGCTCGGAGATCTAGTAGAACAGATTTCTAAAATGTTGGAGGGATGAGTTTCGTCAATATGTCGTACGTCTATATTCATTAAGAGATAGTTCAGAACAAGACCCGGTTCGGCTTTTGACAACCACTTTTGGAAGAGCCGTAACGGGATACATTGATTGAACATTTTAAGATAGCTGTTTGGTCCACTCGGCTGGCGTGAAGTTTTTCTGCGTGAACGCATGAATAGATGCAATTTCCTCGGCCAGACTTGAGTTCACGAGCCGATGGCGGGCAAGTCGGTTCTTGCCTTCAAAAAGCTCCGAGACAACCGTCACTACGAACGCCTGGCCACAGCCACCGGAGACATCGGTAACCTCGACATGCTGAGCCTCGAGTCTGTCTCTCACTGCCTTTTCAAGTTGAGCCGCAGTGACCATCCTGGAATTTTCGTTATGACAAATATCCGTACAGGCGCTCCCCGCAATTTGGCAAGCATCATGAAACCTGCGCAGGCTGTTCGTAAAGCTATTGAGAAACTGTACCCAAAGGAGTATGCGGATAGCTCGTGGGACAACACGGGGCTTCTTGTCGACTGCTCGGAGCTTGCCGAGCAGCGGGCTCCGTCTGTCTTGTTGACGGTTGATCTGACTTCCTCGGTTGCCCATGAGGCGATCGCCAACGGGAACAACGTCATTGTGGCCTACCACCCGTTCATTTTCCGAGGCATCAAGTCTATCACTCCCCAGGATCCGCAGCAGAGGTCTTTGCTCAAACTAGTGTCGAATCACATCTCAGTCTACAGTCCTCATACTGCGGTAGACGCCGCACGTGGGGGTGTGAACGACTGGCTAGCAATGGGCATTACAGACAACGGTGCCAACATTGGCGAGTTTAAACCCATTTCTGTCAAGGGATCAGAGCCAGAGGGAGTCGGAATGGGCCGCAAGGTCTTGCTCAAAGAGCCTCTGACGCTTTCGGATCTCGTCGGGAAAGTAAAGGCTTTACTTGATCTTGATACGATCCAGGTTGTCCGCCCAGATGCTGATGTGCTGATTAAATCAATTGCGTTGTGCGCAGGCTCTGGTGGGTCAGTGTTTCAGGGTGTCGATGCCGACGTCTATTTCACTGGCGAACTAGGCCACCACGAAATGCTCCACATACGTGAGTCGGGAAAGTGTGCTCTTGTATGCGGCCACTCAAACACGGAACGGGGGTATCTGGCGGTCATGAAGGAGCTACTCGAGAAAGAGCTTGGACCGGAAGCGGAGATCACGATTGCCAAAACAGATGTTGATCCTATTTGTTATGTTTAAATCATTCTTGTAAATAAAGCGAAATACTCTCAAGATCCGTCACCAGCTTTTCGTTTTGGTGACCTGGTTGGCCCTTGATCCACTCCGCTAGAGCGGCAATGTTCTCCTTCCCTTCGACATAGTACAATGTTTTGGATTTCGGAGGCGTTGGAGGCTTGAATTTCTTTTCAGGTTTCGGTTTTGGGTTCTCTTCTTTTTTGACCGGTTCAGGCTTGGTTTCGGGTTGATCAGGCGCCTTAGTCTGATCAAAGGCAGAGGCCGACAGAGTTAACTTTACGGGCTCTTTTTCTTTAGGAACCTTTTTCTTTTTGAAAAGCTGTCCGACTTGCTGTTTGGTTGCTTTGGACCGCTTTTCAACCATTCCAGTCGGCCACACAAGCTCACAGACGATCCATGTCCCCCAGCTTGGGATATCTTTTGATTTCTGTTGGAAACTCCAATACAAGTTGCCTTCGATGTCTTCGCCAAGCGGTATAGTACGTAGAGTGTACTTGTGGGTCTGTGAGTGCAGTGTTTGCTGGGCTCGGAATCGTTTATCGGCGGCTGTGCGCTCGGCAGCGGCCACGCGGTCAAAATACAGTTGCTTGTCGGTGCTTTTGAGTTTCTCGAGCTTTTTCATAGACTCTGTGAGGTGAGTATTAATGGCCTTGATCTTGTCTCCCTGGCCCAGTTGCAGCTGCCGGAGCTGCTCATGGTCGTTGAGGATTGTGATCCTGATGGTCTCGGTTCCGGTGGCCAGCACCATGAGCCTGCGAATGAGTTCCAAACGGTAGTGCTCTCCAGAAAGCTCGTCCGCGGCGTTTAAATAAGGATCGCTTTGTTCAAGAAACTCGTACATGAGCTCCCACAGTCTGGGCGATTCGGCAGGCGTATGCTCGATTTCAGCCAAATAATATTTTGCGTACTCGAAAATCGGCGTATTGTCGTTTTCGACCAAGCGAAACAGAGCCACTATAGTTGCTTTGTAGAGATAGTCGTTCCACGGTTGCAGGGGGTCATTAATTGTAGTTGCGTGGCGGGTTGGCAGACGGCAGAGTTTATCAAAACGAAGAAGAAACTCACGAAGATTCAGCCGGAGCCAAAATATGTCTTTGGAGCAGTCCAATTGGATGGCCGAAAACTGTGGACGCGGGCTGATGTTCAAGTAGCGCACATTAGCGATCAAAGTAGGCTTCTGCTCAGCTTTCTTCTTTGGCTTGGAACTTCGCGGCGCTTTGGGCTTGATCGGCTCGGGAACAAACTCTTTAGGAACGTGTCGCACACGCCCTGATCGACGACGGTCGACTCCCTCAACCGGATTCACAACATCCATGGCGTCCATTCCACTTGGAGCATCTGTTTCTGGAACGACAGCGGTTTTTAAGTCACCAGAATCTACATTCGCCATCCTCGAATCGTTACCAGCAGCGGCGGGCTCTGGGTCTACGTCCATGGGCTCATGGCCGTTCTCGTGTTGAGTGGCCGGATCCACGTCCGGAGAAGGGTCTCGATCAGAAAAAGCAGCATTTTCGTTCCCATCCGACGGCGGCCTGGTGGTGGGGGCCACATAACCATTAGCCACCGATTGCATCACAAAGTAAAATGCTTATGGCGCAACGAGGGTGACTTGGCTAAAAGGTAGTTGCCAGAGCAGGAGGTCGAAGAGCGGTAGGCCCGCCAAAGTTGGCTAGGGCGAAATACTGAGTGAAAAAGCAAATATATAAAAACTTATTAAATAAAAATCGAAATTGAGGCGCCCAAACTGGCATTTAGCTGGCGCAGCCCCGAATCCTTTTGTCATCCAAATTCAAGGGGATGAAGGCTATTTCCGGGCAGCGGGAGCTCGAGACGCTACTCAAGAGCAAAACGGCGGTTGTTTTGAAGTTTTCAGCAACGTGGTGTGGACCATGCCGTGCATTTGCGCCGTTTATGGATAAATTGGATGCACAGTTCCCTGGGGTGGCAATGTACGAAGTAGACCTTGATGCGAACCAGGACATTGCCAAGCAGTACTCTGTCACGGCCGTTCCTACAGTTATACTATTCAAGAAGGGCAAAGAAATTGGACGCATTCAGGGAGCCGATACGCAGCAGGCCATGACCCAGGTCAAGCGACTGGCCGAGTCCTCCACGACGATGGCTGACTATGGACCGGGGTATTCGCTAGGTGGGTCCGATAAGAAGACCAAGGGAGTTGCAATTCCAGCATCCCGGAGCTCGCACTCGCTTTTAACATGGATCCGGCTATATTTCGTCACGTTATTTTCATTCGATGCCCGCGCCGCCGCCAAGTCGTACCTGGGGGCCTGATCGCTATCTATTACATAAGCACACATAGCCCAACCCCGCCGCCGTCCGCCTCTCTACCCTCAGGTTTCTAGGGCTCAGGGCTATTGACGCGACTATGAGTCGTCCTTTCGAGGGCTTACTCAAAAGCTCGGTAGGGACAAATTTCATCTAACACAAATGGGTGCCTACAAGTATTTGGAAGAGATTGCTCGCAATAAGCAGTCCGATGTGCTGCGTTTCCTTTTGCGTGTGCGCTGCTGGGAGTACCGTCAGTTGAACGTTATCCACCGTGCTTCTCGTCCCTCTCGCCCCGACAAGGCTCGCCGTCTCGGCTACAAGGCCAAGCAGGGCTACGTTATCTACCGCATCCGTGTCCGCCGTGGTGGTCGCAAGCGTCCTGCCCACAAGGGTGCTACCTACGGTAAGCCCACCAACATGGGTATCAACCAGCTCAAGTACCAGCGTGCTCTTCGTGCCACTGCTGAGGAGCGTGTTGGCCGTCGCTGCCCTAACTTGCGTGTCCTGAACTCCTACTGGGTTAACCAGGACTCTACCTACAAGTACTTCGAGGTCATCCTTGTCGATCCTTCTCACAAGGCCATCCGCCGCGATGCCCGCATCAACTGGATCGCCAACCCCGTCCACAAGCACCGCGAGGCCCGTGGTCTTACCTCCACTGGCAAGAAGTCCCGTGGTATCAACAAGGGCCACAAGTTCAACAAGACTTCTGCTGGTCGCCGTCACACTTGGAAGAAGCACAACACTCTGCAGATCTGGCGTTACCGCTCTTAAGCTGGCATATAATTTGTGTAGTAAGTTTAACTTTTCCTGATACCTTAAAATTTCTTCGCTTGGTTATGTATGTAGCGTGACTTGCCGTGACTTTGGTCTCGTTTTAGTCTTTTGAGTTACTTTTCTTAGCTTCAATTTATGGTCTATTCAAAAAAATGTCGCCCGAATCATTGCACCCCTCCTCCTTGAGACCACGAAGGGTATCCCTTGGAGCGATGCACCCAAGATCCAAGCTTTTGTCTCCGGCCCGCGTGATTAACTATATCCTGGGGGCGCCACTAATGGGTCCCTCATAGCAATGCTTTAGTGCTGGCCGTGAAAAATGCGTTAGTGAAGACTCTGAACGTTGGCTGCCCAATTTTATGTGTCCCAGGGTTAGGTGTATAAGAACACCCCCATTATACCCCGCAAGTGGTTTGCCGCGCAATGGCGCATTAACTGTTGTTTTAGCGAGTCTTCTTCTTCAATTCTTCAATCTGCTTCATTTCAACCCATCTTATCACCGATCCTCCTTTAGCTCTCACTTTGCTTACTTACGTGTCGGATCATGGATCCTATCAGTATCCTTAACCGGATATTCGCCACTCCAGAATCGCTGCAAAGAGTCCAGGAGGTCCAGGACCATATAGAACTTTGCCAGTATTATCTGGAGTTCGAGCTGGCCGAGGCTCTGAGTCTCGACGAGCAGGAGCAGAGTGCTAGAGAAAGGGCCCTGGCTGCCCCCCAAAATCTGGCCCATGTCCTCCAGCAAGTGAAAGAAATGCAAGCTGTTGGTGAAAAAACACGCCAGCAAGTGTACGATATGACGAAAGACATCAATAAACTCGACAAAACAAAAGACAATCTCGTGCAGTCGGTAACAATCCTCAAGCGGTTGCAAATGCTGAGCAAGGTCTATTCACAGCTGGAAATTCTTGCGAAAAACCGGAACTACAAAGAGCTTTCGTCGGCTGTTTTAGTTGCCAGCGAGTTGATGAGCTATTTCAAGCCGTTCAGATCACTCCCCCAGGTTGCCGAGCTCAGCCAGCAAATCAGTACGATTCAGACTCACATCTACGACCAAATCAAGCAAGATTTCCGTGAAGTGGTCCAAGGCAAACCTGACTTATCCCAAGGTGGGTTGGCCTATGCCTGCGAGGCATTGGACAGTATCAACCATGACGCCAGGGGCCAGCTCGAGGAATGGTACTGTACAACTATGCTTAAAGAGTATGGCTCACTTTTCAAAGTTGGTGAAGAGGCCGGATCGTTTGATAATGTGGGCAGAAGGTATGCATATCTCAAAAAAGTCTTTTATTCTCACGAAAACAGCGAGACTCACTTCCCCCAGTCGTGGAATGTCGGCCTATTACTGGTGAATCAGGCATGTAACTATACCAAAAAGGACCTTGAAATACTGTTGAAACAATTCAGCACAAATGCCAGGGGCGCTGAACAGATCCAACTGCTCCTGAACACGCTAAATGAGACCTTCGAGTTTGAACACTACCTTAGCCGGAAGCTCGGCTCAGAGTTCAAGGCAGATCTGTCCACAGTATTTGTCCCCTATCTGTCAGTATGGGTTGACTACCAAGACCGTCAATTGGCCGAAAAGCTGCGTGAGTTCCGATCCCCGCAACCTATTGACCCCAATGTTAATGTCGAAGTTATCCCTTCCTCGGCTGATTTGTTTATTTATTACCGGCAGGCTCTTGCTCAAATGATCAAAATGTCTACTGGGGCGCCCCTGCTCCGACTCAGCCGCGTCTTTGCCAAATGGCTATCAATTTACAGCTCAAACATCCTCGCCAACTATTTGCCGCAGTCTATCAGCAATGAAGAAGAGGATGTGGCTGCAGTTGGGCTTGTACTACACACCGCTGATTATTGTATGAACACGACCGATCAGCTTGAGCAAACGATCGCCGAACAGCTGGACGAGAACCTACAAGACAATCTCAGCTTCGATGAGGTCCGAGATGCCTTTTTCGCTATTGTCAATAACTGCGTCGACCGGTTTGTCAATTACGTTGAAATGCAGGCTGAACTGTCCTGGCGTGAAATGGCTAATATGAACTGGGGCCGCTTGACGAGTGCGGGTGATCAAAGCCTCTACGTATCTCATCTTTGCGCAACCATCAAAAGGAGCGTGCAGCTCGCCTTGAAGTCGGTCGCCAAACTTTCTACTGCTCGGCTGATTTGCGACAGAGTTGTTGACGCTATTACTCTAGGGTACATCACCGCAGCTATGCGTACAAAACCAGTTAGCGAGATTGCTGCTGAACAGATGCTCCTGGACCTGTACATGCTAAAAGGAACACTGCTAGAGCTCCTATCGTTATGGCCCCAGCACGATAAGGTGAAGCAAGAAAAAATTGAGAGCTACCGGCATACTACGTCTAAAACCGTCGGTAAAGCGGAGAATGTGCTTCAGGTGCTACACGTCAAACCTGAGCCTATAGACGCGTTTGTGGACAACTACTTGGTATTTGTTGGCGACAGGTCTGTTTCTAATTTCCGCAAGATTCTTGAGGCCAAAAACATGCGACAAACAAGCCGCGTCATGGATATGTTCAGGTCAAAGGCTGCGGAGAACGCCGAGCTGTCACATGAAGCGCCCATGCTTGCTGCTGTCCAGCTAGTAAAGCCGATCTCTCGTGCCCGCTCCCCTGCCACTCCCACAGAGCCCGTTGTTTCTAAATTCAACGAAAACATCCGCAAGTTTGGTGAGTTTCTCCGTCGCGACGGCCAGCAGAGCCCTCTGCCCAATCGGTGATAGATGCTAAATTGATGAATGGGCTCTATAAAAGCTATTTGGTAAATAAAAACGAGAGATGTGAAATCTATGCATTCCCGTCAATAAATATGAACTCGGTCTCGCTGGAACCCAGCTTGATCACGTCCTGGTTGAGTAGCTCGACAAAGCTTGCGGAGGGTGCGCGCGTGCCGTTAACCAGCACGCCAGTCGGAGAGGACAAATCGATGAGATAAATCTTCACGGCATCGTCAACCTTGCGGTATTGTAACACGCCGTGGAGGTCTGCCACGGTGTCATGGTCAACCCGGATATCACATGCTTTGCTACGTCCCAGCGTGTAGAACCGGGCGTTATCCAGGCGGATTGTGCTCTGAATATCGTCGTGGTTTTCAAAAGTGTAGAGGCGCTGGTTCGCGTTAGCCGGCGGATTGCAACTGTCCACAGGCTCGGCGTAGTTTGTTTGCGCGGTGAGGCCCTTTGCGGCAGCGTCTGCAGCCAACACCCCGCTGGGTTTATAGTTGGGCCCGTCGACCATTGTTGTTGCCGCTTGTACCTGCTTGCGAGTAGCGTCAAGCAGGCTCTTCAGTAAACGATTGGGTACTGACGGCTCAGCTATTTCCTGCTTAACCAGTACTGGACGCTGTTCCAGTTCTGTCATGAGGATAAGTGGGCTATATTACTAAAGGAAAATAAAACCGGTTGTGGGCGTTGGCTTCCTGTGCAGAGCCGGACCCCATTTCGGCCGAAACCCTTACCTGCCATGCAAGGAACAGGGTTTCGGCTTCGCTTCGGTAAACCATTTCCGCAGACTATATGAAATCCGCCTCAGTGATGTTGGAGTCCACACACATTTGGTGGAAGGTAGACATGCTGTCGCGGAACAGCTTCTTAGGACTGCCCATCTCCTTCGCCTGGCCAGCGTCCATAACGATGACTTTGTCGTAGTTGATGATGGTTTGCAGCCGGTGCGCAATGCATAAAATTGTGCATTCGGCGAATTCCTTTGAAATCGTCTCCTGAATCATTTTGTCAGTCTCGATGTCTACTGTGGCAGTTGCTTCATCAAGAACAATAATGCGTGACTGGCGCACAAGTGCACGGGCAAGTGTGAGTAGCTGACGCTCTCCCAGACTGAAGTTTGAGCCGTCTCCGGAGATCGCCGTGTCTAGATGGAATTTGTGCTCAGCATTCGCCTTGCCGTTTTTGATCTCATTCTCACGGATAACACCAGATCTGCGGAGTGCATCCCAGAGCTCGACATCGCTGCGCTCATTGAATGGGTCGAGGTTGAACCGGATAGTTCCTTCAAAGATGACCGGATCTTGGGGTATAATCGACAGTTTAGACCGCAAATCAGTTAGACCAATAGTCGAGATATCAGTACCATCAATCAGAATACGCCCGCTGGCGAGTTCAGTAATCCGGAACAAGGCGGAAAGAATGGTGGATTTTCCAGCACCAGTTCGACCAACAATACCAACCTTTTCACCGGGTTTGATTTCAACAGACAGATTGTTCAGAACAACAGGCAAATTAGGGCGATAGCGCAATGAGACCTGGTCGAAAACCACACCTCCTTTGCTTGGCCAGTCAGGGGCGGGCTTGGTTTCTTCAATGTGGTAAGGTGCCTCCTGAGGAATACTGTAGGCGAGCTCGTAAAGACGCTCCACAGAGTTCATCTGGTTTTCCAGCTCAGCAAATAGCGGAAGTAACATGGAAATAGACATTGCAACACTAGGAAGCAGCGACAAAAGCAAACCAACCGTCGATGGGTCCAGGCTGAAGACTTGAAAGACCGCAAGCATGATGGTCAAGAAATTAATGCAAGCCGTACTCATAACCACCCGGAGAGACATCCAAAACTGCGAAGCCACATTGACCGTGAAGCTGCAGTTCATATCGTCGATACGCTCACATAGCTCATCTCGCAGAGGTCCTTGCTGCTTGTAAGAAACAATAGTCGACAAGCCACTCACGGTTTCCATAACAATCGTGAACATTCGGCTACGGAACAACGAGTTCACCCGCTTGATTTCGCGAGCAGAATTACGGTAGTAGCTCAAGAAAATCAAAGCAATGCCAATAACCGGAACGAGTGCAATTATCGTGTACGGCACATAGACGAAAATGGTGATTAGCGACGCCAGCAGCATACTGGATGAGAACAACGTCATTCGAATCTGCATATACAGCTGGGTGTCAAGATTTGCCGTGTCATCTGTGAAGCGGTTGATGATACGACCCAACGGGGTAGTGTCAAAGTAAGACATTGGGGCTCGGTACAGGTTCTCGACGGCAGAGTTATGGAACACCGAAGACGAGTTGAAAGCAAACACGCAAACGGACGTGGCCAAACACACAAAGAACACCATACGACATGTAATAATTACAGCATACATGCCAATGTAGAGGCCATTCGAGGTATGATAGCGATCGGAGGTCCAAAAGTTCAGCCAAACCGTTTGCATTGTAGTGCCCGTGGCGACACCGGCAGAGAGAACTGCAATAATGGCCAGGAATGGCAATCCGAGTTTCGAGCCACTGCTAAGATATTTGTACAAAACATCACTGGTGACTTGACCACGGTTGCGCTGCTCGTCTTGCATTAGTTTAGCATCAGCTGGTGAGCCCTTCATGCGAGACTCAAAGCGCTGCAATCCATCAAGCTCAGAAAGTTCGAACTTTTTATCTGTCTTGTGAACAACCGCCTCATTCGTCTCGTTGTCAAGTGCGGTCTCGATCTCGTTGTCGTCAACAAGGCTTGAAGCAGCATCAGACTCGTCATCGTTAGCATTCAAAGCAGACATGTAGCTTTCACGGAATTTAGGATTGGAGTCTAGTAGTTCGTCCAGTGAACCAACAGACATAGTACCGTCACCGTCCATGTAGATGACACGATCGGCTTTCACAAGCAGCTTCAAGTTGTGCGTAGACATGATACGGGTACGATCACCCAGGTAGCCATTAATACACCTTTCAAAGATATGATTGGAGACTTTACCATCCACAGCACTAAGGACATCGTCTAAAAGAACAATATCTCCGCCATGATACACACAACGCGCGAGAGCAATGCGAGCCTTTTGACCACCACTCAAGGTAATACCCCGCTCACCGACCTCACTAAAGTCACCGCCAGGGAATAGCTTGAAGTCCGTCTCTAAATTGCAAACATGCACCACTTTCGCATATTTATCGGCATCATAGGCACTACCGAAAAGAATATTATTTCGAATGGTGTCATTCTTGGACCACATGGACATGACGCTGGAAACAACACCATCAACTTTAACTGTGCCCTGGGTCTTTGTGCTCAATCCAAGAATGGAGGACAGAAGGGTTGATTTTCCTGATCCGATCGGACCCACAACCATGATCAATTCACCTTTCGCGACTTCCAAATTGATGTCAAGAAGGCCCGGGAACTTCTTGGCACCTGCACGAGTTAAATCGGCCTCGCCATCGCCGTCGCCATCGCCATTACCAACAAAATACTTTTCGCTTTCGTCATGACCACCCGTCGCAGTGCCAACGGCCGCGGGGGCGGGTGGCACAATGGTTTCGTCGGTCTGGCGAATCTTCCATCTCATGTATCTCATTCGGCGGCGGGTTTTCTTTTTCTCCTTTTCGGTTGGAAGCTCTACATCCCATTTGAATCTACCATTTTCGATGACAATAGCGGTCTTGTCGAGGTCTGTCTGCTCGACATAGCTGGGGTCCTCATTCGCTTTGAAAAATTCTTCTAAACGAACAACAGAGGCCCAGGCATCAGCATGAGCAGTCAGACCGGCTGAAAACATCATAGAGTAGGGAATAAAGAGTTGGAACAAAGTAAGAGAAGGGAATGTTTGAGCTGGATTGAGGGCTTTTCCAAGGACCGTTCGGAGGCCGAACGCCAACACGCCGGCGAAAGTGGGAGCTGAAGTCAAAATAGAATCAGTGAGACCTTCAACAAGACCCAAGAGCTTGAGGAAACCAGCCTCCTTCTTGCGGGCTTTTGAGATCATCTCAACAAAGGAGTTTTCCCACCCGTAAAACTTAACGATGCGCATGTTTTCGATAGTTTCACGGACCAAACTAATACGTTTATCGGCAAAGGGCAAACTTCTACGGCGGAATGAAGTGATCAGCCTGGACATAAACACGTTGACTACCACGCCAACAAACACTAAACAGCATCCAGCCAAAGCCGCAACGCCAATGTTGTGCACAAGCAGGCCTAAAATAGAAAAGAATGCCGGCACAACCATAATGACCAGACATGTCCAACGTGTGGCCATGAAAATACGGTTGGTGTCGGTAGTAATGAGGGAGGCGATTTTGGATGAGGGGAACTGCTGCCTGCCTCGGGGTGATAGCCTGGTCATTTTGGAATAAATAGCCAGGATAAGAGTTGTTCTACACAGCTCTGCAAAAATGCGACTTCGAAACTGCATCCACATCATAATCCACATGAAAACAATATTCAAAATCGAATTTCCAACCGCTAGCCCGGCACCCCGTCCATAGCCATAGCCATGGTAGTAAATTGTACTCACCTGCTCGATTAAGGCACGTGAGAGGATGGTAAGAGACAATTCTGCACCGATATGGAAGCAAACATTGATAAGATATGCCCAGAATTCCCACCTGAGCGCATGGGCCATTGCCCTGAACTCTTTGTACTTTGGACGTTTCTCCAATTCGTTGTATTCGGCCAACTTGCGTTCGTAGCGGGCCAATCTCCGGGAAATTCTTTGTTTCTCAGGAATTGTCCACATGTCGTTGATCTCCAAAATCCGATTAAACCCGGTTTTCATCATAGGGGAAATCCAAGACCAAGTACTTAGAGAAAAGATGCTCGCCTTGCCTTGTGGCGACTCGGCCCTCTCTTTCGGTACGGGCTTGACTTTTGTCCCCAAGAAAAAGTTGGAGATATAACTATGTTGCCGCAGAACAATGTCCTGCTCGCTTTTTTCGACCTCGACAGAGTCCCTCACGACATTTTTTTCTCCCGCAGCAACCTCAGTGGAGTTCACTGATTCCGCTGAATACTTGGACGGAGCTTTCGAGGCAACCATCTCACTTTCTCAGTGGATTCGACAAAATTGTTTGCCTTCGATATGGCACCCAAAGATATTGTCAAGATGCAGGTGAGCTGCAGGTCTTACAAATGATGCCGTGCGATGGGTGGAAGTGACGAAGGTTGCAGAACAATTAATTGGGGGACGATTGAGCCATTGACCTAAGGCGGATAAAGATTGGCTTTAAGGAGACAAATAAACCAGTGATAAATGGCTTGCTAGCACTTTCAAAGCTTGGCACAGTATAGCCAAGAGGATCAGAGCTGTCACCAACCTGCGCCCAGCATCATCTCGCATGGCCATATCCACTTGTAGTGCTATCGAGATATGCTTCGTGACTACATGAATCCGCAGATATGAGAGTGGCTTAGATTTACTATAGGTTTTGCATAGGGTTTTGTTGTATTGTGGCGATTCTAGCAATGATTCTAGGGAACTGGCAAGTGGCAAAAAATTTTTGCAAGATGCTCGTGTGAGCTGCCCAGTTGAAGTATAGACGGTCATTTACCTGGAAAACTCTGAATTGCTAACTGACTACTCTCTACTCTCCCAGTTCTTTTGGAGCACCCATCTGTAGTGATACTTTAACCTCTGAAAAAAAATTAGCTAAGCACTTTTTTTCAACATGGCTAAAAAGCGTAGCGGAAAGAATAGCCGCTTGCAGTCTGAAAACGAGGCACTTGAGAAATTGAAAGAAGAGGTTCAACAATTTGACTATGAAAAATTAACCAGTCTTGAAAAATTCGAAGACCTGCCGCTCTCGGCCCCCACACAAAAGGGTCTACATAGTGCTCATTTCACCAAGATGACCGACATTCAAAAAGAAGCCATTTTGCCGGCATTGCAGAACATAGACATTTTAGGTGCTGCCCGAACTGGCTCGGGTAAGACGTTGGCTTTTTTGATTCCGGTTCTTGAGAAGCTGTGGTACGAAAAGTGGACTCAACATGATGGCCTAGGCGCGATTGTTATCACTCCCACTCGTGAGCTGGCCAGCCAGATTTTTGGCGTTTTGAAAAAAATAGGTAAATTCCATGCCTTTTCGGCAGGCTTATTGATTGGAGGCCATGACGTCAAGATGGAGCGGGATCGAGTTTCGCGGCTCAATATCCTGATCTGCACTCCAGGACGTCTTCTCCAGCATATGGATGAAAGCCCCGGGTTTGATGCCACCAACCTGCAAACACTGGTTCTCGACGAGGCTGACCGTATTTTAGATATGGGATTCAAGCGTACATTGGACGCAATCATTGATAACTTGCCGCCCTCTCGTCAGTCCCTTCTGTTCTCGGCAACTCAGACCAAATCAGTGAACGATCTTGCTCGTTTGAGTCTTGTTTCTCCAAAGTACATTTCAGTTGATGAGGAACAAGCATCTACACCGCAGTCATTGGAGCAGTATGTCACCATTGTAAAGCTCGGTGACAAGCTGGACACACTTTGGTCTTTCTTGAGGAGCCATACCAAAAACAAGATACTTGTATTCATGTCGTCGTCGAAACAAGTCAGATTTGTATACGAGGGATTTAGGCGTCTTCAACCGGGAATTCCGTTGCTGCATCTGCACGGCCGCCAGAAACAGACTGCCAGAAGCGAGATCACTGACAAGTTTTCCCGCTCTCGGGCATCCTGTTTGTTCTCTACCGATGTTGTTGCCAGAGGCATTGATTTCCCCGAAGTGGACTGGGTTATTCAAATTGATTGTCCCGAGGATTCAGCTACTTACATCCATCGTGTTGGGCGGTCCGCACGTGCTGGCAAAAAGGGTCGGGCTTTGTTATTTTTGACTTCTAGCGAAGAAGGTTTTATTGAAAACTTGACCGCTCGCAAAATCCCTATTCAGACTCTGACGGTTCGTGAAGCTAAAAAGTCAAGCATCCAACCAGACCTTCAAGCCCAGTGCTTCCAGGACCCCGAGCTTAAATATACTGCTCAAAAAGCGTTCATTTCATATGTTCGTTCTATCTATTTGCAAAAGGACAAAAACGTGTTTGATGTTGAAGCCCTTGATCTCGAGGGCTTTGCTAAAAGCCTTGGTCTTGCTAGCGCTCCGAATGTCAAGATCAAGGGCGTTCCAGCCACTAATAATAAGAATAAGCCTCGTGCTTTAATGGAGCATGCTGAGAAACCTGACCGTGTGCGTACCAAGTATGATCGTATGTTTCAGCGTCAGAACCAAAATGTGCTTTCCGAGCACTATCAGAAACTGGCCGGAGTTAATGACGAGTCTGAAGAAGACTTTATGAGCATCAAGCGCCAGGGTCATGAGATTGACGAAGAAAAAGTCCCACAGCTTGCCGACAACACGCCGGCATCAAAGAGAGCTCAGAAGAAGGCGCTGTCGAAAAAGCAGACGGTCGCTTCAAAACCCGGCCCTACCAAGCTTGTGTTTGATGAAGAAGGAAACGCCCATCCTATTTACGAGCTGGAGGACGAGGAAGACTTTAAGAAAGCAGGTGATGCTGAAGCACAGCGCCAAAACTTTGTTGAAGGCGAGTCTAAAGATATGGAGGTCAGGGATCTCGATGATAAGGGGGTGGCCAAGGAGAAGCGTCTAGAGAAAAAGCGAAGACGCAAGGAGCTTGAACGGTTGGCGAAGGAGGGCTTTGATTCAAGCGATGATGATGAGACTGAATTCCAGGTACGTCTTCCTTCCGAATCAGAGGCCGAGGACGAAGAGCCGAGAAAGAAATCCCGACGCACGGAAGAGCCGATTGAAATTGACGAGCCCGAGACTCTGGAAGATCTCGAAGCACTATCTGCGAAACTGTTACGGGCTAACTAATATGCATTTGACAATTGAATAAATCATAAAAAAGTTTAAAACATATAACATGAAAATAATCGAGAGGGGGCTTTGCCGTCCGGATCAGGCCCTTACCCTAACAAGAATAGCATGATTGGCGTCACATGCTGTGGGGAAGGGGCCTTTGGGTCCAGTTCGGCAACTGTGAGTTTAAGTTAAGGGGATCCCAGCACGCTGAACTGAGACTCTGGGCTGCACTGGACGACGGGACGTAAATCAAGCGGAGTGCCGCCACCGATCAGTGACGATGTGCGACGACGATTGCCCTTGATGGGCAGAGGGGCCGTTGCTGAGCCGGAGAGATCAATAGCTGATTCGGCAGACGTGTCGGCTTTGGCAGGCTCTGCAGTTCTGATGGTGCTAGAGAGATTCAAGAAAGGTTTGGACATTTTGCGAGGGGAATCAGGTGGTGTGTGTGGGGAAGGGAGGAAAGCGTGCTGCCGATACAAATACCCCAGATCAGACCCTAAGCCGCAACGTGCAGGCAGTACATAAGCCGATATGTCCCGGAAACAATATCACGTGACTACACTTTTGTTCCCCGATTGGTAAAATCTGGCCATGACGGTTGGATTTACGGCGACTGGGTGAATGAATGCTTCATTTAATTACATGAACATGTCGGGTTTTAAAGCAATTGCCCCCTTCTAATCTACGATTCATCCATACGGTCCTGCTCTGCCGCCGTATTATCGGAGTGCTCTGTGGCTGGCTGCTCGGTCGATGTCGACGGCTCGGCCGCCTGGTCTTGCGTCTGGGCGTCGACCTCTGCTCGTTCATCGTCGTCGCCAGTGTTGCCTGAAGTCACTCTGCTCGTGGAATCAAGCTTGTCAAGCCAGGGAGCTACGTCCTCGTCTTCAAGGATTTTGAAATCAAGATCTTTTCCAACGACGGCGATAGATGTATTTTTGAAGGTGAGCTCTTTGTCTTGGGGGAGGGTGTCACGCAAAGCGGTCAGACCGTGTACGATCAGCTCTTCCAAAGACGCGTTTTCAAAGGACTCGAACTGGCGCTCGAGGTAAGTACGAGCCGCCTGAGAACGGGCACCAATGGCCGAACCAACGTACTCAAGCGTGGTTCCGGACGGTAAGAACTCAAACAGATGGGGCCCCGTCTCGTCGTAGCCGACTACCAACAAACCAACGCCATAGGGCCGGCGGCCGTACTGCTGGGTGTTGGTCTGGGCCTTGTCGGCAATGGAAGACACGGCCTTTGCCACGCTGAGGGGCCGATCATAGAGCATGCGACTTTGCAGACTCAGCGTGCGCAGGTGATTGCAAAGAAGACGGGCGTCGGGCGCCAGACCAGCAAGCGCGAGTCCCATATGGGAATCAATATCTAAGATTTTTTTCTGGTAAGAGCCCAGCTCTTCAGCGTTACGCTTTAACGCAACCAGCACGGCGTGGGTTTTGGATACCAGTCCCACGGTGGCGGATCCTTGCTTGATCGCCTCCAGGGCGTACTCGACTTGGAAAAGTCGGCCCGTGGGCGAGTATGTCACCGAATCGTTGTCATACGAGTTGCGGAACTGGTTGTTAGCTCTGTTTACGACCTACTGGGCCTTCGACCACCGTGGACTCAAACTTACCATTTGGAGTGATGATGACACACCATATCGCCATCTCCTGTCCCCACCAGATTGAGGCCTTGCACTGAGTCGACGATGGTAGGATCGCAGGTACAGAAGATATTGCTATTGTCATGTTTGATGACGCTTGGATTCGTGCTTATCGTGCTGTCCGGCGCACTCTATGAGAACTGGCTGACGCTAATTGTTGTCGCCATGTTCCTGCTAGCGCCGCTGCCCAATTCGCTGTGCGGACACACTACCAGCGACGATTTTATGAGCGATGCCCCCGATCTATTAGCGGATTTCGGCCGTTTCCTCACCGGTTTCTTCCTGATGTCGGGCGTTGCTCTACCCGTAGTGTTTGCCCATGTTGGGCTGATCAACACCAATGCTATGCTAATGTCGCTAGCTGGCGGCGGGATAGTGTATATTTCCCTCATCACATTTGGCACCTTTTTCTACGAGAGTGACGAATACTAAATATCTGCTGGCAGACGTTGTATTTGGCGAGGGCCCCAGCTAGCCAGGCCTCGCTTATATAATAACATACCCTTAGATGACAGTTCCCTCCCGGTGGTTTGCCTTCCAGAATCCTCATTTACCCTCAAGAGGCGACTCGTATACACAACTTTTCATATCCACTGTTTTGAGACCATGCCTAGCGAAAGCAACAACCCCTGGGACCAATTGAAAGACTCAATTGACGATGCCAGAGATTGGTCTACGCGGACCATCGATTTGGCCAACCGCAAGTTCAACGAGTACTCTGATCGGGTGCAGACCGACGGGTGGTACAGCTTGCCCGGAGCTGATCTGCTCAATTCGGTAATGAGCGAGAACCCTCTGGTGGCCTCGCGCGTGCCAAGTCTCTATCGCTACTCGCAGTGCAAAGAGAACAATGGCGTTTCCGCCTGGACCAGGGAGGGCATCTGGAAATGCCTCATGCCCAGTAAGGACGAGATCGATTTCAGCGATAACAAGCTGTTCAGGGACTACACGGGCTACTTGGACTTCAAATTGTCAATGTACAAGGCGCAGCAGGCTCAACTGGAGAACGATCGTCGAAAGAGACACCAAAGTGTGATGTGGCGCACCCCCAAGTTCATCTCTGAGGAGGAAGCCCAGGGCAAGAACGCGGTGGGCGAGCGCTCGTTCACGCAAACAATCACCGATGAAACAGGCCACACCGAGACAAAGCGTACCCTTTATAAATATTTTGATGACGGCACTGCCTTCAAGAAGGAGGAGACCTCCGCCGGTGGTAAAGGCAGCTGGTTTTGGTAGTTTATTAGTTTTGCAGTAATCCCCGCTTCAGAGACGAGAGTTTCCGCTGCTCAATGAGGCTCTGCCGCAGCCAGCCGGGCACCTGCCTCATCTCCAGCACAAAGTCCGGCTCGAACGTCTCGATAAACACAAAGTCGCTTTCGGCCTTGCCCTTGGCAAACCTCATATATTCATCGTACGTAGCACTAAGCGACCACCCCAGCAACTGGTACCTGAAGACACCGGCCAGCACACCGACCCGGTGCTTGCCCTTGTTGGAGTGAACGAGCACCGGGTAGTTCTCTTTTCTGACCAAGTGCTCAATACACTGGGAAATAACCTGCGGGTCGTTCATCATGAACGGCTCCTTCACCGAGGCCATTTTCGCAGTAATGTGCCTAATGCCCTGCCGCTCGGCCCACTCCCAGTACTCTTTATTCTCCTCGTCCGATCGGTCGCCGATATAAATAATAGTCTTGAGGTTGAGCGTCTCGAGAAACTCGTGGTTCAGCGGAATCGGGTGCCCGCTCCGGTACAACTCACCCACTACGAGCGAAAAATTGATTGGCGGTACCAGCATCTCTCCATTATATCTGCGCAAAAAACGCCGGCTCAAAAGGGGACGGAGGGGTAGACGGCAAGAGGGGCGGAGGCCTCCCACCAATGCAGGGTTGGGGTTGATATCTTTTTTTGAGGGAGAGGGTTAAATCTGTTTAGTTTGTAATTTGATCGCCTTCCCATATCCCTTTTCCCCGTAGCAACGCAATGGCCGAACCTATTCGCAAACCACGCGATTTTGCTGCGCCCACACCACAGAACACGCCTGCGAGTGCTTCTTCTGTGAAGCCGCCGCCCCGCCCGTCGCAGCCCATGGCGTCGATTTCCGAGGACAACGCGCTGGGGGCCCTGGCCAACAACCCAGCCTTGCTGTCGATGATTCAGGGCCGCTTGGGCACCCTGGTCGGCCGCTCGAGTGGCTACATTGAGTCGCTTCCTTCGTATGTGCGTGACCGGCTGGCCGGTCTCAAGGGTCTGCGCTTGAAGAACGCCGAGATTGAGGCTGATTTCCAGCGGGAACTCTTGGAGCTCGAGAAGAAGTATTTCAAACTCCAGGAACCCTTGTATGCCCGTCGTGCCAATATCATTAATGGCGAGGAAGACCCTTCGGCTGACGAAATTGAGGCCGGCAAGGCTGCCTTTGAAGAGGAGGAGGAGCTGTTCGGTGAGGGCTCCGACGAAGAGAGCGAGGACGAAGAGGAGAGCCCAGAGGCCGACGAAGCCAAGTCGGCAAAGAGATCTGGGTCCGCTGAAACGGCCGACGACGCCTGTGATGACGACGACGAGGAGACTATGGTTGGCGTGCCCAACTTCTGGCTCACTGCTTTCAGAAACGTCCCCGGTCTTGCCGACACCTTGTCCGACCGCGACGACGAGGTCTTGCGGTACCTCACTGATGTTCGCCTCAAGTACTTGGACAAGCCGGGCTTTGCTCTTGAGTTCTACTTTGCCGACAACGAGTTCTTCACCAACAAGATGTTGACAAAGACCTACTACTACCAGGACGAGGTCGGAATCACCGGCGACTTTGTTTACGACCATGCCGAGGGTGACGAGATCAACTGGACAAGCCCTGAGGTGAACGTGACCATCAAAGTCGAGAAGCGCAAGCAGCGCAACAAGCACACCAAGGCCACCCGCACCATCGAGAAGACCATCCCCGTGCAGTCCTTCTTTGAGTTCTTTAACCCGCCCCAGCCCCCCAGCCTTGAAGAGGAAGAGTCCGGAGAATACAGCGACTTTTTGCAGGAGCAGCTTGAGAGCGATTTTGACCTGGGTGAGCTCATCAAGGAGAAAATCATCCCCCGCGCTATCGATTGGTTCACTGGCAAGGCTCTAGACTACGAGGGCCTCCGTGGTGGCGACGATGCCGAGGAGTTCGATGAGGATGAAGAGTTCGACGAGGACGAGCACGAAGACGACACCACTGACGGTACAGGAGGTGCGGAAAAACCCGCCGAGTGCAAGCAGCAGTAAGTTCACAATAAACCCCCGCAAAAAAAACAAGCAAATCAAAAACCAAAAAATAAAAACACACCCCTGAAGCACTGTTCCTCGCTGCGTTAAAAGGTTCTTTTCTCCTGTTATGGCGTAAATACATGTTCCGTTTTTAGACTAATTTAACCCGTCTTTCTCAAAGCTTATCTTATTACATCAACGACCATGATCTTCACTGGGCAACATAGACGAAGCCGGCAGATCAATTTAGGCAATAGACAGCAATTAAATCGTGAGGATGCACTCAGGAAGGCCGAGACTGAGCGGCAACAGCGCTTGGAGACTCGTCGGAAAACAGAGGCGGCTCGCCGGCTAGTGGCGGCCTGGCGAGCGAAAAAGGCTCGTGTCGAGCACCAGCGGCGCTTGCGAACTGCGTATTTGACAAGTGGGGTTAGTGCCATTTCCCTGGCAGGAATTGAGCTCGATTTTGCCTTTTTGATCCCAAGTTTGTTTGAGCTGCCTCGTGATCAAGCAGCGGCATGCCTCAAAGTTCTTGTGGACAACCAAACGCGATTCTCAGATACCCTGCTCGTATCGTTTTGCTCGATTTGGAAATATAGGCCTCTCCAGCACGACCTTGTTGCGTTGACTGCGCAAAGCATCGTAAGCTTCCCCCCAAATCACACGCTTCCCTTCTCTCTGTTTCCCGCCCTCGCAGGGATGCTAGTCCAAGAAAATACTCTACCAGTGCCACTTTTGAAAACGCTAGAGCTTGTAATTTTAGCACATCCTCTACAAGTGGTGAAGGAGCTCTTGAAAAATCCATTGCTCGTTGAAGCATTCACTGACGAGATGCTGGCTCCGCTGATCAAACTAGAGCGACTACCAGATCTTGAATCTCCTATTAACGCATTGCCATTGACGTTAAGGCTACTCAAAAACCCTCAAGAGTCTTTTCCTCTTGTTGCTCTTGTGATTGATCTTGTTCCGTCGGGGGAGCTGGATTGTGAACATCAATTCAAGCTGGCTCAGTTTTGCTCACACGAACTTGTCGAAACTTTGGTTCGCATTTTGCCCCCTATGCCACTAGCAAAGTTGTTTTTGAAGCTTTTCGAGCTTGTTCCAGACTCCAAAAGCAACCTTTTATTGCATCTCACACTTGCCGCAACCCCCTCTCCTGTGCATTCATTATGGGAAGCCTTTCAACAAACAAAAGTCTACGCGAATCTTGTTTCGGACCCTAAAAAGGTATATGAGGATGAGGATGCTTGGAAACTGCTCCAGCTGGCGATGGAACTATACTCGTATTGGTCAATCATCGCCATGGACGTTGATATGTTCAATTCGGCCCGGGGCTTCACAAAAGAACAAATCGGTGATGTGGCAACCGTCTTGAGAAATGCCGCGTTTTCAACACTTTGGAACGAATCTCATATTCCTGCCAAGCCGATTCTTTTCACAACTCTCCGTCAATTGTACACGAAGGATACTCGACGACGTTTCATGCCTGAAAACTTCTGGTTAATGGAGAAATATATTGACGCAAACTTCAGTGCTAGTGCTAGGCACTTGGACAGTATTTATTTTGACACAAACTTTGGTCTTTCCAACGCTCTCGAGCGCATTCTACAGCAGGCACCGTTCTTTATTCGCTTTCGTACGCGCGCAGAGCTCTTTGTTCAGTTCACTGAACGAGATAAAGCCACAAATACACCATTGGGAGGCGATCTATACAATCGTGAAGTGTCCGAGATTCGTCGTGAAGCTTTGACTGAAGATGCCGAAAGAGTGTTTGCGGCGCTCGGACCCAATTTGCGAAACCTTAGAGTTCAGCTTGTTTCAAATGGCGAACCGGAAGCTGGAATAGATGGAGGAGGGCTCACAAAAGAGGTTCTCATGTCAATTACTGACGAGATGTTCAAGAATCCAACATCGGCTCGACCGTTGTTTGTGACGAACGAAAGCCATCTCTTGTTTCCAAACCCGATAAACAGCACGCCAGGAAGAGAATCTGCAGAAGCTCTCAAGCGCTACAGGTTTTTGGGCCAGGTGATTGCCAAGTGTTTGTATGAGGGGGTGTTACTGGATGTCGAGTTTTCCCGCTTTTTCTTACAAAAATGGGCCGGAGACACGGCCGTCAAGAACTCATTCGACGACCTCTACTACCTTGATCCTGAGCTCTATTCTTCGCTGGTTGCACTCTATAACTATGAGGGTGATGTCGAAGAGTTGAGTCTCGATTTTACAACTGCAAACTCTGGAGGTAGCTCAATCAACCTCAGACCTAACGGTGCATCAATCGCTGTTACAAATGCAAATCGTCTGGAATACATACATGCGATTGCAAATTACCGCCTTAATACATCTATTGCATCACAAACAAGAGCTTTTTTGAATGGTATGGTTGATCTCATTCCACTTCACTGGTTACGGATGTTCAATCCGCATGAAATCCAGACTTTGATCTCAGGCGGAACCACTTCCGTTGACATTGATGATTTGGAACGCAACACTATAGTCAACGGTTTTCCTGCCAATTCCCAAACTATCAAGAACTTTTGGAAAGTCGTGCGTGAAATGACACCTGAGCAACAGCACAAGTTGCTACAGTTTGTTACATCTGTTCCAAAGGGCCCACTGCTTGGATTCAGTAACTTGAGCCCTAAGTTCGGAATTAGATGCGCGACAACGGGGCCTAGTCCAGTTTTTGATTTTTATGGAAATAACCAGGACAACGGGGTAGTTCGGGACGATGGCCGCTTACCCACTGCATCGACTTGTGTGAATCTTCTAAAACTTCCAGACTATTCCTCTATTGATATACTCCGGGAAAAACTTCTCTTTGTTATTGAATCCAACGCGGGCTTTGATCTTTCGTAAACCAAGTTTTTGCATACACCACGCTGCAACATGCAGGGCCGCTGCGCGACTAAAGACCTTTGACGACTAGAAACAAGTTTCTATCCACGATGCACGTGGGGATCGTCAGTTCCTGCAGATGTCAGCTGGGATAAACAATACCTCGAGTTCCCAAGCGAACTCGACATTACCACGCTTCTCATTCCGATTTTTGTAGCTTGGACCTCAATACCCGGAAACTATGCCGGGATAGCTGACACTCTGTCTACTAAAAACGTGCAGCGGGATCTGAACGAAATTCAGATACATATAGACGTCGGTCTACACAATATTCCCGTCGCTCAAACGCACTACCGTCAAATGCGCTCGCCAGGCTCGTCAAACGCAGCAACTGGGTTGGGCTATTTTAAAAACTATTTAACTCATCTCACCAAAGGACCGCCAAAGCCAATCGACAACGATTGCTGATGGTATTGGTTACATCACATACAGTATTATAGTTAACAGCTCTCTCAGTAGCTCTTGAAAGTAGTTCACGAGATGGCATTTGAACAGCAGCAAAGCCTACTGCATGATATTCTGCACCAAAAGCACACCTATTGGAACCAGGTTTGAAATCACATGTGACAACAAGGCATATTTGATTTTCACGCATACAGAAGACAACAAACACGGAATAATTGACGCCGTCTTCTGCGTCAAACCGTGCGCGTTTCCTGAAAAAAGGGCAGATCTTTTATACTTTAATACTTGTTAGTATGAGCTCTACAACTCGGTGTGGGCTTGGAAGCTTTGTGAATATACTAATTGTTCTTGCATTAAATACCACCGTGCCGCATGCGGCAGCTTCCTAATGCTGCCAATGCTATACTAAAGTCAACGGCCGTCCAAAGATATTTCAAACATCGAAATCTCAAACACTAAACAAGAAATTTCGGCTATACTTAATAGGCTACTGTTTCGTATAATTATCAAGTTTGTTGTCAACCTGAAACAGTCTCTTAAGCTCTTCCGAAGCACGTGGGTATGGCCAGCCAATGCACGTGCCTGCGCGTGTTAGTCAATTTTAGTACCAGTACTTAAAGCCTGTCAATATACTAGAAAGCCGAACCGAGGATGTTCTTGAAACGATGGATTTTGGCATTGACAACTGTTCAAGCATGCTGGGACGATGCAGACGGACGTTTTGACAAGCGCATGGCAGATTATTATCACCGCCAACGTCTACACGAGCGAGCATTCCCTGGGTCGCAGGTGCCCGACGGCTCGGAAGTTTTGAGGCCACTTGTTTGGGGTGACTTGAATTTTATACATGTCACCGATACGCATGGATGGCTAACCGGGCACCCGACTGAAGAATACTCTTCAGGTGACTGGGGCGACTTGGTGTCGTTTAGCGAGCATATGCAAGCTGAAGCGGACGCCAAGGGCGTTGATTTGGTGGTCATTGAAACCGGTGATCGCCATGAGGGTGATGGTCTCGCAAGCGCTACAAAGGTAGATGGCTCTTTATCTCAATTTGTTTTCGCCCAAGCCAAGTTCGACGTACTTTCTGTCGGCAACCACGAGCTCTACAAGAACGAGTACGCTCTTCAGGAATACAATACTCTTCGACCATTTTACGGCCAAGCTTATCTTTCTTCAAATGTCGAGTACTATATCAACGATACGTGGGTTCCGGCTGGCAACTATTATCGTGTATTTACAACCAAGAATCTTGGAAAACGAATCCTTGCGTTTGGCTTTATTTTCAACTTTGACAAGTACGACAATGGCACTCGTGTTGTGAAGGTTGAAGATGCTGTTCAAAGGCAATGGTTTAAGGATGCTCTCACCAAGGAAGACTACGATGTTGTTTTGGTTACTGGCCACAATCCAGTTCGGGGCTACGCCGAGTTTGATGCTATCGTTGATGCAGTTCGTGAAATCAACAGCACTGTTCCAATTCAAGGTTTTGGAGGACACACACATGTCAGAGACTATCGGGTATTTGACTCTCGGGCCGTTGCATTGGAATCTGGCAAGTACTTGGACACCATTGGCTGGGCAAGTGTCAAGTTTGATAGCGAAGGACTTAACGGAACAGATATCTCTTTTACCAGACGATACATTGACTTTAATCCCCAAAATCTTGCTAGGCATCTCAATCGGTCAATTACTACCTTTACAACTGACAGAGGTGCTGCAGTGTCTCAACAGATTCGAGAGTACCGTAAAGATCTTAAGCTTGATAAGGTTCTCGCCCAGGTTCCTCAAGACTACTTTCTTGATTATGCTCCGTATCCTGGTCCTAATTCGCTTGTATCTCTGACCGAGGAACAAATCTTGCCTCTTCTCAAAGGTAAGCATCACCACCGACCTCACCTCACGATCTTCGGAACCAATTTGCTTCGCTATGATTTGCGTAAAGGTAATTTTATCGAGGATTCAAAATATATGGTGGATCCATACCGTACCAATTGGGTTTATGTCAAGGATGTTCCTGTACGCATAGCCAGTTCACTTTCGGACAGCTTGAACAAGAAGAAGGTAGCAAAACGACATGTCGAAACCTCAACAATCCCTACTCTTGGAACTGCGCAATCAACATATCTCCCTACTGTGGCTACAGCTGCCCCTAATATTTCTGCAAACTATGGGTATGCTACTATTGATGATTTTGGTTCTGATGGAGATGACACTCGCCATCAAGCGCTTCCAGTGTACGATTTCCCACCGTACATTACACATGCCGCCAACATTGATAGCTCTACGACTAGTGTGGATGTGGTATTTCTGGAAAAGAATCAGAAGGATATTTTGAAAAAGCTACGGAAAGCCGGTGTGAACGCCGAGCCTGAACCGTACGGAGGCCAGTCAATACAGGACCTCTTTGAAAAGTACTTTGTGGATCGTCACAGTTAGGAGATTAAACTTAAACAACTACTTAAGTAATTTAATGGTGGAAAAGACGGATGGGGTTCTCGACATATACCAAGTTGTGGGCATTAGCAGCATCCAAAACAACCTTGTCCTGAACAGAGCCAGTAGGGGCGCAAATGAAGCTGACACCGGAGCGGACGGCACGATAAACGTTGTCAGAGAAGGGGAAGAAAGCATCGGAAGACAAAGCGACGCCAGAAAGCTTCCCAAGCCACTCTTTGCGCTCCTCAGCGGTCAGAGGTTCAGGCTGAACCTCAAATTTGGCCTCAAAGTCAGACTTCTCAGGTTCCTGGGTAGGGATCTGGTTGGACACAAAGAGGTCAATGGCGTTGGACTTGTCGGGGCGCTTAGTACCCTTGGCCCACTTGAATCCGAGAACCTTGGGGTGGAAACGCAACCACCAGTTGTCGGCCTTATCACCAGCAAGACGAGTGCAGTGGATACGGGACTGCTGTCCTGCGCCGAGACCAACAACCATACCGTTCTTAGCGTAGCAGACAGAGTTAGACTGAGTGTACTTGAGCGCAATAGTAGCGACAGTAAGGTCAATGAGAGCCTGCTCAGTGAGGTCTTTGTTCTCAGAAATAATCTCTCTGAAAGAGGAGGCGTTGAAAACGGCATCGTTACGCTTCTGTTGCAGCTCAATACCAAAGACAGTGCGAGTCTCGATGGAGCCAGGAACGTAGTAAGGGTCGATCTGCAGAACGCAGTACTTGCCACCCTTCTTCTTCTTAAGGATCTCCAAAGCCTCAGCCTCGTAGCCAGGAGCAATGACACCATCACTCACCTCTTTGGAGATGATCTGAGCGGTAGGAACGTCAACCACGTTGGAAAGTGCGATCCAGTCACCGAAAGAAGACATGCGATCAGCACCACGGGCACGAGCATAAGCGTTAGCCAAAGGAGACAAATTCTCAATGTCATTGACAAAGTAAACCTTCTTTTCTTCATCGCTAAGGGGCAAGCCGACGGCAGCACCGGCAGGGGAAACGTGCTTGAAAGAGGCAGCAGCGGGCAGGTCAAGAGCAGCGCTGAGCTCCTTAACGAGCTGCCAGCTGTTCAAAGCATCAAGCAAGTTAATATAACCAGGAGATCCAGAAAGGATCTCAAAAGGAAGGCGGCCGTTGGTGACATAGGCCTGGGCGGGGCGCTGGTGAGGATTAGCGCCGTAACGGAGAGGCAGCTGGGCAACATCCTCAGAGTACTTCTTGCGGAAGAAATCCGAGATCATGGAGTCATACTCAGCGGTCTGGGAGAACGCCTTGAGGGCAAACCGGTTGCGAGTTTCCTGGCTAATCCCGCCCTTGTCCAGCTCAGCAAGGAAGAGGTGGTAGTCGGCAGGGTCAGAGAGAATAGTGACACGGGCATGGTTCTTAGCGGCAGCACGCAAAAGGGTCACACCACCAATGTCAATTTCCTCAACAGCCTCCTCAATAGTGACGTTCACCTTAGCAACGGTCTCTTTGAATGGATAGAGATTGCAAACAACAAAGTCGACCTTCTCGATACCCTGGGCTTCGAGATCAGCCTCATCGCTTTCGATGTTACGGGCAAGAATACCACCATGAACAGCAGGGTGCAGAGTCTTGACACGGCCGCCCAACATTTCAGGAGCGTGTGTGATTGCGGAGACGTCCTCCACAGGGAAGCCGGCCTCGCGGATCATTTTTGCGGTACCACCAGAAGCCAAGATGCGCACGTCATTGCGAGCAAGGCCCTTTGCAAGGTCAAGGAGACCGGTCTTGTCGTAAACGCTGATGATAGCCGTTTTACCGGTCATTTTTCAGTAGGTGTTAAGAGGTGGGGCGAAGGGTTTTTTTCTAAGCTTTTTGACTCAGGGAAATGGCAGCTGTAGAGCCTTTTTGGGCGCGCGCTAGCAGTACCGCAGCGGTATAATTAGCCAGTGCGACTCAAAAGTAAGATTGAGACCAATTGGGCAATGATCTGCCCTCGGACACGCTTAATTTCGGGCGAATTCGCATCCTGTTCCCCCCATGGTTTTCGGGGTTAGGGTCAGTTTCACGAGAAGCAGCGTCAGTGGAACTCTCAGTTTGTGCTGGCTTAAAAAAAAGGTTGCCCCAAATTTGTCATCTGTTCATCTTTGATGAGTTCTCTAAAGTTGCCCAGCGCCCCCAACGCGGGTTTGTTCAAGCAGGGCTACACGTCGCACCAGAGCGAGGATGGTATTGTGCACCGGAATATCCAGGCGGTTCGCGAGATCGCCAGCATGGTGCGCACCTCGGTAGGTCCGTCGGGTCGCAACAAGATCGTAGTCAACCATCTCCAGAAAATCTTCCTTACGTCGGACGCAGGCACCATTTTGCGCGAGCTCGACATCGTGCACCCCGTCGTCAAGGTCATTGTCATGGCCAGCCAGCAGCAGGAAGCTGAGATGGGTGATGCCTCTAACCTGGTTGTAGTGCTCGCCGGCGAGCTCCTGAACCAGGCAGAGGAGCTGGTGCGTATTGGCATGTCCACTGCTGAAATTGTTCAGGGATACGAGCTTGCGCTCAAGTATGCGCTGGAGGCTCTTGACAAGCAGCAGTTGACCGAGATCGATGATATCGCTGACAGGAAGCAGCTGGCCCGTATTTTGCAGCCCGTCATCGCTGCCAAACAGCACGGAATCGAAGATCTGCTTGCCGAGCATGTCGCTGACGCCGTCTCCTATGTCCTTCCCAAGGACCCCAAGAAATTCAATGTTGATAACGTCCGCGTGGTCAAGATCATGGGTTCCAGTATCGAATCTTCTATGGTCATCAAGGGTATGGTGTTCAACTCTGAACCGGAGGGCAGCGTTAAGCGTGCGACAAATGCAAAGGTTGCCGTTTTCACTTGCCCCGTGGACATTTCCCAAACAGAAACCAAGGGAACAGTGTTGCTGCACAACGCCAAAGAAATGCTCGACTTCTCCAAGGGTGAAGAAACCCAGGTCGAAGATATGGTCAAAGAGCTTGTCGAAAACTCTGGTGTCAAGGTCATTATTGCCGGTGGTGGCATTGGTGCTCTGGCTTTGCACTACCTTAACCGTTACGGCGTCTTGGTGTTCAAGGTCGGCTCCAAGTTCGACCTCCAACGTCTGTGCAGAGTTACAGGTGCTGCACCCATTCCCCGCCTTGGTGCACCAACAGCTGATGAGCTTGGATTGATCGACTTGATTGAAACTGAGGAGATCGGCGGTGACCGTGTTACCGTTTTCAAACAAGAGGATACCACCACCCGCACTGCGACTATTGTATTGCGTGGTGCAACCCAGAACATGCTCGATGATGTTGAGCGTGCAGTTGATGATGGTGTCAATGCTGTCAAAGCTCTCACCAAGAACAGCAGTGTTGTTCCGGGCGCAGGCGCGTCGGAAATCGATATTGCTGAGGCAGTTGTTGCCCAGGGTGAACGTACCTCCGGTACCCTTCAGTATGCCATCAAAAAGTTTGGTTTGGCCTTTGAAGTCATCCCTCGCACCTTGGCTGAAAATGCCGGTCTAGATACCGTTGAAGTCATCTCCAAGCTTTACGCTCTGCATTCTCGTGGCGTCCCTGCTGGCGTTGATATCAATTTCGAGGATACAGCCGCCAAGACTGGTACTCTCAACACTAAAGAAAATGGAATCTTTGACATTTACTTGGCCAAGAGATCAGCAATTGAGCTTGCAACCACTGCTGCGTGCACCGTCCTAAATGTTGATCAGATCATCATGGCCAAGAGAGCGGGTGGGCCTCAAATTCCCCAACAGCGCGCTGATTGGGATCAGGACTAATTTTATAGATACTAGTCAAAATATACTGGTAAACGTTTGATTTTGCTGATCGCATTGACGCACGCCTAGACGATGCTACCACAATTTGCTAGCAGCTTAGCACTTGGCTGAAATCATATAGCCGAAAGATACTTAACAGTAGCTAACTTGTAGACATCGAAGTCTGTTGTTGAAATAGTCATATGATATATTTGGTCTCGGTGAAAAAAAGACCCGAGACCGTGTGGCAACAGCGCCAGTTGCAGTACGCTCTTGCACCTGCCTCATTCGAACTATTGAAGAGCTATCCCAATTGGCAGCGGATTAGATCAAAGGATTCAACTGGATCTCAGTATTGGTGAAATGAAAACTGTCAATGTCAACAAATTTTTGTACTGTCGTTTTCTGGTCTTTGCAAAACGAACCGAGGCAAGCTGTTGCAGTGCAACCGAATATCGTCGTCAAAGCGAACATCAAGACTTCTGCTTTTCAATATATAAGACCACACAGTTCCAAGTCCAGATATTTCTCAGATGTGGGATCCATACAAACTCCTCGCTGCCTCGGTTTTCACCGACCCGTTGGCCAATGAAAATGTGAAAAACGGAACCTTGACCGAGCTGCCTTACATTCCGATTGATCGCTATGGTATAAACGGACAGCCTATGCTTCCTGCCCAGTTTGAGCTGGCTGGCTTTGACAAAAATGAGCCTGGAACCTGGCCCATGTTGCAGCCTTTTTACTTTCCGGCTTCCCCATTCACTTGGGTTGGCGACGATCACCACTACCCGCAACCACCCACTTCAGATCCTTTCTACTGGCCCAATATTTCTATCTATTGGGATATGGCCAACGGTGAGCTTATTGACTTTCGCCCGGTAGATGTCCGCGCTGTAATGCCCGAGGTCCGCCGAGCTTGGCAAATATCTTATCGTAGTGAATTCGCAGAAGGTGCGCCTACTGCTGATGTGGCAACAATCTTGATTCCCGAAAACTACAATGGCAGGCATCTTCTGTGTTACGCACCTTACCAAGATTCTGTAAACTTCGACTGTTCGCCTTCGTACGCATACTTGACTGGACTGCGTGATCCCTCTGTTGACGCACTACTGATACAAGGCTGGGCTGTAGTTATGCCTGATCACCAGGGGAAGCGTAACTCATTTGGATCTGGCTACCGATCTGGAAAATCGGTCCTGGACTCTATACGTGCTACCATAGAAGCTCAGGAATATCTACCTTTCAGTTTTGAAAAAATTGCAATGACAGGCTACTCGGGTGGCGCAATTGCTATTGGATATGCCTCGGAGTTGCAATCAGAGTACGCACCTGAACTAGATATATGTGGCTCTGCGTTTGGCGGTGTTATCGTTGATCTGAACGCTACACTTTCGGTGATCAACAAAGGTCTATTTAGTGCATATGCTCTAGGAGGGTTCTATGGGCTAGCTCAAGAGTGCCAGATTATGGACATTCTTGAAGCAAGCTTGAAGGATAATGCCAAGACCCGCGCCAACGAAATTCAGAACCACTGCCTTATATGGGACGTCCTTGACTACGTGGGCCAAGATATCTTTGCATATTTCAAGGATGGCCCAGCCGTGCTTAACCAGGATGACTTCCGTCGAGTTCTTGAGAGGGAGCGCATGGGTTTCAACACCCCAAGCATGCCCCTTTTCATTTACCAGGCCGACAGTGATGAGATCGCCCCCGCTGAAAAGGTTAACGGATTAGTTGATTTTTATTGCCAAAATGGTGCTCGAGTCGACTATCATATGGACTCGCAAATTGGGCATTTGTTGGAAGCTGTCGCAGCGACGCCTGCGTTGATCAAGTTCCTCCACAAATGTTTTGAGGAGAACTACGTCCCTGATCTTTATCCCGATCACATTGCTTCTATCCAAGCAAACGCAATGGATGTGCCCTTAATGGACGATATTGACGCAATTTCCCGAAAGGCCTACAATTTTTGGAAAGGCCTCGGGCTGCCATATATTCCTTTGTAATTGGCTTGGTGCTAATTTGATTTATAGATACGAAACTCATATTCAGCTGTTTGCTCTGTTACTCTCTTTTGGTGGGGTCCCATTCAGGAACAGTGACGTAGTACGAAGAAGGGTCACCCAAATTCTTGAGATCGTCTTTAGAAAGCTCAAAGTCAAAAATGTCGATGTTCTCCTTCATCCGCTGGGCACGAACAGTCTTAGGGAGAGGAATTGCACCTGTTTGCACGGACCAACGCAAAAGAATCTGAGCGGGAGACTTCTTGTACTTTTCAGCAAGCGACACAACGCTAGGATCAGCAAGACGCTGGCCAACCGTCAATGGAGAAAACGCTTCGATGATGATATTGTGCTTGTTGCAGAAACTGACAATATCACCGTGCTGGAGCCATGGGCTGTACTCAATTTGGTTGACTACAGGCATAACCTTGAGTTCAGGCCAGTCCAAGAGCTCCTGCAGGTGCTTGACGCCCCAGTTCGAAACGCCAATATTGCGAATTTTGCCGGCCTCAACAGCCTCCTGCAAGGCTTTGTAGGTATCAAGACGTGTCTTCTTGCCGCCAGCTGTGGAATGGATCAAATATAGATCAATGTACTCGAGATCTTTCACTTCAGCAAGTGAGACGTCGACTGCCTTCTTGGCGCCTTCGTAACCATAATCAGACTCCCAGACTTTAGAGGTGTAAAAAATGTCCGAGCGCTTGTATTCAGGGTTCTCAGCCAAGAATTTCATGATACCTTCACCGCACTGCTGTTCATTGGCATAACAAGATGCGCTGTCGATCAGACGATAACCGACCTCCAAAGCGCCTTTGACAGCCTGGACAGTCTCGGAAATAGGAATCAAGTAAACACCAAAACCAATTACGGGAATTTCACTTCCGCTCGGCAACTTGCGGGTCGGAGCTACAGTAACACGAGTGGACATCATAATGATAACTAGGATGACTGAGCGGATTGCGAGACATGCGCATTATGCAGCAAAAAAACTGGGGAAACTAGAGTTTTTTTTGGGGTGGTGCACCGCTCAAACAAACTAGCGTCTTTCAGAGCGTTTCAATTTAGATGTAAGTTTTTGAAGAATACTCGGCCTCTCGCGCAGTATAGGTCTACTAGGCTGCGAGTTCAACGTTGGACGAGTGGAAATTGTTACGGGGATATCCGTTGGCCACTTTTGCCCTCTGGTTGGCATTTGAGAGTTGGTAGTTGCCAAACTGAATCTCGATGGCTCTTTTACTAGAGGTGGTTGGGATCTTGTGGGGTTACGCTTACCGTTCCCAGGCTGGATCAACGGAAACGTTGCCTTGACGAAAACGTCGACCTCGTTCGCTGCCGACCCATTCAAGGCCAGAGTACTCGGTGGCCCTGTCAAATTATAAGCTGAGAGTAAATTCTCGTTTGAGAGCTCTTGACTCTGCTCTGATAAATCCGAGAAGAACGACAATCCCTCGTCGAACAGGAATTCCAAATTCTCAGAAACGGTTCCAGCAGTAGAACTATACTGGGCTCCGACTTCGTCTAGACTAGATTTCGATTCAGGCTCACAGTCCCACCAGGTGGGCTGTGAGGACGCTAAATCAGCGAACGCAGATCGTTCGGTTGGATTGTGGTTCAGGCCTCGCGGCACTTTCGCGAACAAAAGCAAAATCTCACTCATTGGCAGAGAAACTTTAGATACGGCGGTGTACAAGTTACTTATTATAAGGCAGTTTAAACTCAGCTCATGCTCTGGATTCTGACCTGTCATATTTAATCCATGCCTAGCGTCAATATGCACCGACGCGTAATCTGCACAGAGCACAATTTCACTGGTGGTGGTGTCCCAGACAACATTACTGATCGCTTCAAATGATAAACAGCACAAAACCGCGAATTGGGAAAATCCAGCGATTACATCAAAATTTCCATGCTTTTGTGAATACAAGTCTCAATTTAAATTTTCGTCTACTGCTCTGCACATATTTCGTCCTCAACGCACATGTTGCTGCAGCAGATTGTCCCACCTCTTAAATTACCAAACGCGTCGCACTTCATTCTTAGCCTCGATCATCCTCACTACCGCAAACTGATATGGAGGTGCCGGTGGGGTTTGAGGCCCGCCAACTTCCGGTGAAGATATTATACACTATTAGTCGGGAACGCAATCAAAAATTTGTCGTAAAGCCGCCGAATCTGCTGCCGGTGCACGCTGAAAACGCGACCTCAACCATTGGCTTGCTGAACGTATCAGAATGTTTGGAGCTGATTCTCAAAGTCTGTCCAGAACTATCAGAGTTTAGTGAGTATTCAGATTATTCTCTTTACTCCGTCGACTACTCGGAAACTGAGCTGCCTCTGCTGGCCCACGGGCTTTTATCCTCCCATATCGATCACAGCGTGGTTAGCTCTGGGCAGTATGCCGCAGGCAAAATTGGCCGGTCTGGGCTTTACTCACAAACGCTTGAAATCGAGCTATGTTTCATCCCATTGGTCAAGCGCAAGTTTGCCGTTCTTCAACACGGCTTTGAGTCGGGGCCTGCATTACCGTCTGACGAGTCGTTGCCTGCACAAGCCATGAAATCGATGCCTATTTCCTTTTCCCCTGATCAAAAATACGCGTCTCTACGTGAAACACATTCCGTTTTGTCTTCTCAAAGGTCTGCTTTGCCGTCCTCTGCGTCGTCACGCTCTCACTCCGATATGCCTAGTGTTCCTTCTAGTGATTTCACGCTTGGAGCCAAGCGAATTTCTCCCCGCAAACGGTTCTCGGCTTCTTTATTTATTCCCCCCTCATCGCCACCGCGGAGTACTTCCGCCCAATCTCGGCCAACCCCTGCGCAAGCCCCCGTAGCTAATCGGCGTACGCGAGGTAGCAGAATCGATGAGCAGCTCTCACATGCCATCGCACTGGGCGAGGCCCCCGAGTTTTGTCATAATTGCGGTGATATTCGGACTTCGACTTGGCGTAAAATTGTCATTCATGGTAAGGAACACAATCTGTGCAACGCGTGTGGTCTTTACTATAAAACAAAAAAGGTCATGCGGCCCAGCGAACTGTTCAATCGGAGAAGTCGCACAACTACCAAGTCACTGAACAGCCGGACATCCACACCCAACCCAATTGTACTGCCAGCGGCTGCACCGTCGTCAAGCGAAACAGTCAGTGAAGACCCCAAAGACGAAGCGACCCCCGCTGACGCCTCACCCGAGGCGAACGAATTGCCCGCGCAACCAAGCTCGCCAGGCAAAAACGAGTCGTCCAGTGAACCAGCAGCACCATCGACACCAGACACTGAGTCGAACAAGGAGAACATCCCGCCCGAAGCAAGGTTCATGCAATTGGCGACCCCTAACAAACGGCCCGATCAATTCGCAGGTGGCTCTGGATCTGCCAGGCGATGGCTTCGCACACACATTTTTTCCCGCTCCGAAGACGACGTTTTTGAAGCGTTCATGCAAAGCCCCTCCAAGAGGTACAGCAACCAGCAGGCCGCGGACTTTGACTTCCGGGTCCAAAAACTCTACATCACAAATGGACCATCCATCTCGTCCTCACCACCGCTTTACCATTTGGACGAAAACATAGAAGGATCTTGGTTTGAAGAAGCCCAATGATTCCCGGTACATATCTTAACCCACCCCTCTCGTTTGGCCTACCGCTTTGTCATGGAACACTTGCAATCAGTAGATGCCCAGGTGCAAATATCGACAGTTTCTGGAACGATTGTGACGAGCACAGCTAAGAAAAACGCGTATACTATTGAAAGCAGTGCCAGTGAGCTTGTAGCTCTGAATCAGTTGTCGGAAACGCTCAAGCTTGGCACAGTGCAGAGCATGATCGCCGAAAGCGCCGACGGGCAGGTAACCTGCGTTGCGCAAGCGCCCCGCCGCAATGGATCCCCGCTGCTGGCTACCTCCGTTTCAAGCAGCCTCGATAACGCGCTGCTGGCCAGCGAGATCGCCAAATCAGTGGTGGCACAACTGAGAACTGTCTCCTAAGACTCGGGCTTAATTTATATAACTTAATAGTAGGGCGACTGGCCGGCTTGGGCGTCAATAACACGACGAGCAATGTCTGCGTCGTAGTCGCCAACGTTGGTGATTTTATGTTGATCGTGAGCGCTCAGGGTGGTATCGTCGACCACTTTGCCCAGAAAGCGGTAGTAGCAGCCCGACTCGACGGGATCCATGGTGGCGTTGACCCGAACGTTGACCGTACCGCTTGAATCGACGGTTGCTATGTTTCCGTTGACTTCTGTGACTTTTCCAATCACAGTAACCTGGTCATTGATGTGTTGAGCGAACGACGACGCGTGGGCAAATGGGTACGACATGACAAATGGTGCTGTTTTCGCGATTCAATAATCCTTATAAATATACTATTTATGCTTCAAGCTCCACGAGACGTAGTAAATGATCAGCCCCGTGGGCTGTCCCAGTAAAATCGATAGCCAAAAAATACAGTTGCCAATTGTAGTCCCAGGGCCACGAATTTTCTCCAAGGGCTCGGTCAGTTTGATCAATGGCACTTGAGCCATCATTGAGAAGAAGGCGACGCCATTAAAGTTCTTGGTGGCAACACCGACCAGCAGTTCGTGAAAGACCGCCGAAATGAAAAACACTATGATCGATGCGGCCAAGTTGCCAACCTTGCGGCTTCGCAAAGGATAGTAGACATGTCTTCGCAAAAAGTTCGAGATCGGCTTGTTCCAATCTCTCCAGTAGGTACCCAGACATCCTGCGTTCCACCAGTCGCGATAAAAGTCCCTATCTGCGAAGCGAGTGATTTCAGCCAGCAGGTTTAGGACGGATTGGAAAATCACAAAAAATCCCAACAGCCAGATAGTGATGTTGACCGCGCACAGTTTGATAAAGTCGTCCACAAGCTGAAGACTTCCAGTCTCATAATGAATCATTGTGTCGTTCAGGATTGGAGCTGCCAGCTTCAAACTGAGCATCCAAATAAAAATCAATCCCACGAGGGTTTCGCCGACCAGTGACCAGAATACCTGCCATCTGATTCTCTCGGTGCGCGGATACACGGGCTGATAAATAAGGGTGGGTGCAAACCAAAAGTAGACGGCGTTTCTGGCGGTGAGATTGTTTGGATAGCGGACCGACCCGTAGTACTCCGGCCCGGACGTGCCGAGGTGATGGTTCTCTCTCAACGCGGTGTTTGTTAGACAGTAGGATGTCAATTTGAAAAATGTAATGATGGTGTTGGACTCACAAATGGTGCCAATCAACGGGTTCCAAATGAACTGGTAACAAAAAAGACTGGAGCCGATCAAGCAGGTCGAGGCATTGAGAATATGTACTGCAGTGACCATTTTACATCGGCACTGGCTCAATTTCGACTCTTGCTTGTTGGGATTGCACGAAGTGGCGGCAATTCGCTCAACTATCAACGCAATGGGCAAATAAACAAGGTTCATGGCCAAAAGCAGTATGCAATATTTCATATCCTTCGACTGGAACCCGGCTTTCCGGAATGCGTATCGGATACCCTTAATTTGTGAGTCAATCCACAGCAGTCTCAGGCTGCCCAGAAAGAGCACAATCATCAACAGGTGCTTGATGCCTTCAAACCGCAGCCCCGGGCTCTCCAGCTGCCGGCCGCAATCGCACTTGACAGCGGGGCGCCGGCGGTAACGGGATAGCAAAGAAGTGAACCCCACCACATGTAGAGGCTTTGAATGGATCAGTTTTGGTGAAGCCGGCAATGTTTTGTTATCTGGCGCTTCCACCGGCTGCTCACACCGCGGCTCCTCTGCGGGCAATTCATCGTGAGGCAATACAAGCCTAGTCCGATTGTGCTGCCGGTTCTTTACAGATAAAATATTCGTTTGTGGTTTGTGCGAGCCTAACATTGAGTCCTCCAACAAGCCTTCTGTCGGTCCGCCTTGAGGTACGAAATTAGATAAAGACTACCTGCATAAAAATCTCCTTACCCGAGTGCTGCGGACAGAACAAGAGGTTTCAGCTTTGTTGTTATGTTGGGTTTTGCCAAAAGCGGGATTATCTACGTACTCGAGAAAAGTCAATTGGGGAGACGACCAGGCCCTTGCCTTTTCTTGCCCCCCGGAACACGGTTTCGAGCACGTCGATAAGGTCCTGAGGGTTGTCTATAGCAAAGTCTAGTTTGTTGTTGTTACCTGTACCGAAATCACACATTATGTGTCGATTTCGATAAAAAAACATCACACACATGTTATCATACAGTTCATACATTTCATTAAAGTCAGGTACCTCGTCAATATCGCAGACGTAGATGGCAACAAAGTTTCTCACCCTCTCTGCAATATTGAACAGCAGCTCGTCCATCTCCTCACACTCTATGGTCGTTGTTCGCCCGAACCTTATGGCCACTATGCGGTCTTCTTCGCTCAGTATTGCCTGATCAACATGCCAGCCGCTGTGCAGATGAGGGAGAAAGACACTGCCCATGACTAACGGGCGACTGTCTGGCGGTCATAACTGGTTAAACTCGTAATATAAATAAATTAAATAAATCGCTGCTTGCCTTGGCCCTTGGCCACTTTGTTTAGGATTCCGAACACCCCGCTGTCGTGGAGAGACGTATCAGGCACGGGCTCAGGCTCAGGCTCGGTTACCGTCTCCTCTACCACTGACAGCTTCATTTGATCGTACCGGCCCATCACAGAGTTCTCCATAATGCTGGATGGCTGCGACATTCGATGGGCGTGTATGCTGCCCCTCCGGTGAGGGGCTTTTCCGGCGTTGGGGCCATAAAAGTCGACAAAGTTTAGGTAGCTCTTGAGCATCTTGCCGTCAGCAGTCGAATAGTATTTGTCTAGCGCATCTGCCCGGGCTTTCATCTTGTTGGCATGGTCAAGGTTAAACACTGCAAACGAACAGACGTAGCCAAGCTCGTCGACGTGAACACTGAACTCGCGGAAAAAATCAATGATTTTGTCGCTAGATTCAGGTAGATTGTACCATAGAATAACTGGATTGACAACGATGCTCAACAGATCCCTCATTATCACTTTGATTTTCAGGTCGTAAAGCTCACAAAACTCTGCCTTTACTTTTTCGGTGTGCAGCTTGCCCTGCCACGAGTCGGGCAGGTAGTGCGTGAACTCGGCAATTTGGTGCATTGCTCCTTCAGGATCGAGGATCTCTGACTCCATAGCCCGCATACCGCGAGCAACCGCAATTATGCTACCAAGAATACCAAGGTAAAACAGCACGGAACCACCCTTGGTTAATTCCAGCGACAGCAGCTCTGGATCAAAAATTGAGACAGTACCAAGCACTGCGGCAAAAGCACTGCAGATAAAAATAATGAATCGCAGGACAATCTCATTGCGCTCTTTTGGGAACTGTGAGATATACCTCAGGGCAGGAGCAGTACTCATACTCAACCGGCGACGGAAAATATCATAGAGCTCATTGTACTCTCGTAGTCTCCACTCCGCTAGTGGTGTGTAAGTCCGCATGCCCATCGACGACGGATCACGATGGTACTCGGCAAAGTACCGGAAGAAATAGTACAGTGCCATATACAAGACAGCCATTGGAGCACAAATAATATTCATAACGGCCAAAAACTGGAATCGTCGTTTGAGGCCATCTGCAAGCATTGTACGCCGGCCCTCGTTCAAAAACACTGGCCTCAGTTCACCCTTGGCATCAAACGCGAAATCCAAAATGCAAAGGTTAATGCTCCATTCTAGAGTTTTTGTCAGAAACGTGTACTTGCCAATAAGCGGCACATCGAGATTCAAGTCCAGGATGCTTTTGTTATACAATGCGATCAGGTAGTTCTCTTGACGCATGATTCGGTTTGCGATACTGTGTGCATCAAGAGCTCTCGCTTTCGGGACTTCCCCGGTACGTCCAGCGGCTGCCAGATTCAGACTTTTGAGTTTCACAATTCTCTCAACAACCTGCCGCCAAGAAATCGTCTGGATCTCTTGCTCGTTGATCCCTAGCATATACTCGTAAAACATCTTCATTTCCCATAACCGCCTGGAGTCGGCAACGAGCTGGAAACATTTCAAGAGCCAAAGACAAACAAACACCCACAGTAGAAACTTGGTGTGAAAAGGTGCTTTGGCAAGGCAGTGCTGGACGCGTATTTGCTCTAGTGTGGTTGCGCCGCGAAGCTTGGAGTAATCTATACAGTAGCCCAGATAGATCGCAAACGAAATAACAAAGAGTACAGTTATCATACTCGTCAATCGTCTCAAAATTGTACAGTACCAGCCTTTATCTAGAAAGTACTGGTATACTTCTTGGAAGTAAACATCCAAGTTCTCAACGTTGGCCCAGCGCCACTGCGCCAGCTCTTCTGCTGAGAGCAACGGAGGCTCAGTGCGTTCAGCAAGAGGCAATTCGGTCTGCTCCTGTTGCTGCAACATCAAAGATGCGGGAATTGAGTTGTTGCCGAACGCCTCATCTTGGTAGATCGATTGGTCCATGATGAGTAAATCGTGCAATGATGACGATGCAATATCATTGCGCTCAATTCGAGCTAGATGATGCTACGAATCAATTTATTTGCCAAACATTCAACAAAATGTCTCTGCCTATTCTAGTTTAGTGCGAAACTTGAGTTTGCTCCAAGTGCTCATAACTCTGGCTGAATTGCTTTCGGTCGAATTTCCGCTCGAATTTCCTTTACGTATAAGCCAGGATTGAAGCCGGAACGACAAGAATTGAGCCCAGCACAAGTAGATGGTACCCGAAATGTACCAATGGCATAATTCCCTACTGGTATCCAAGACTTGTCGTAGAGTTTGGACAAACCAAAGGTACCTTGTTGACATACGCATAAATTGGTACCCTCCAATAACAATAGTATCCCTTGAAATGTTGTACAGGACAGAAAACGTAGCATCAGCATCACTGAAGAACTATTGTTGCTGTATTTCGTTGATCTCCGTGTTTGTAAAATTATGCCCAATTCTGCAGGCCTCGCATAGATTGCACGTAGTTCAGAACTTTGTAAAACATTGACGGCGCAAAAACTCAATATTGTTACTTCATTTTACACAATTTGTGCAGCACTTGTGGTCCCTATTGTAAAACCAAAGAGGTCATGCGAAACGCGAGAAGAAAAAACTGCAGCACCTTCTGTTCTCACATGGTCTCCCACTGTAATACTTGGTAAGGCTCTCAGATGGTTCAATAGGACTGATCGGACGGGAAGTCTTGTTTTCATCTGGATATGGCCGCAGCCGACCGTAGTAGACAGAAAAGTCTGTGCTTCCTATTCCGATCGTTTGCGAAACATGAGCTATCTTGACCAACGAGCTGAAAATTTGGCAAACGAACTGTTCACTAGGCTTTCGGTATGTCAAATAGCTAAATATTGAATGATTGATTGTTTAGATCACATTTGGGGACCAAAGCTGCACCCACAGCATGTTGGTGGTGGAAAAGCCAAGTTCGCAACAGGCATTGATTTATTATCAATGTTTTGCATACTAGGCAATATTTGAGGTATTCATGGGAATTCGCAATCATACCGTTTAACCAAATACCTGTCGTCATCTAATACTTCATGACGGGCTCTAGTTATCTAAAACTTCCCATCAGCGAGCCACGGGCGTTATTGTATTGCTAGAAGTGGTTCGGAAGTAGCTCTGGATCGTCCGAACTCGTTACATTTTTCTGTTTCGAGCTGGTTGATAGTCGCCTACATCCCACGGATAAATTATTTCTCAACCTGATACATTATTCAATCATTCTTAAGTGGGCCTTCATTATGTTCGGGTTCGATACCTATTTACTCGACGCAGTAGTCTGCATTATTCTCAAGCGTAAATTTCTGTACCATGTGCAGCTTGATATTATTTATTCAACAAAATATTCACTCTCAATAACAGGTCCCTTGGCCCAGTTGGTTAAGGCGTGGTGCTAATACATATCCTTCAAGGTTTGTTACGCCAAGATCGGCGGTTCGATCCCGCCAGGGACCATTATTTTTTAGTTTTAGTTTTTAAACAAACTCACTTTTTTGCAATTTTTTATGTCAAGGAGTTTCTATTCGCTAATATATAACTGCAAGTATGATCATCACCAATGTGCTACCTATTCAAGGTTCATACTAATCACTGTGTGCGCACGCTACACATTACCACAGACAGTCTATGGTAATTGCCTAGTAACATCAGAGAATCTGAGACACATTATGGAAGAATAAATAAATAGAAAAACAGATCAAGGCTCATCCACCGAGTCCAAGAGGATTTGTAAATGGTAATCACCAGTATCCTGGTCGAAATTGCTCCAAAGCGAGCTTTTATCGATCGGCGGGGCTCGAATTTTGATCGCAATCGTATCGTATGGCTCGGCAGCAATTACCAAATACTGAAAAGCGCCATCAACTGGCTCCTGTTGCTGTTCGTATGCGCTCATGAGCCTATGCATAGGCTGCAGACCACTCTTGATCTGAGGGTATTTGATCAAAAGATGCAGCCCCCGTTTGTTTGCAGCGGGATCAAAGATTTTAGTGATTTTGTAGCCAGGACGACCAATCTTGACAAAGCTCTTTGTTTGAACTTTTGCTGAAGCTGGCGACGAGCCCGACTTTGGGGCTTCTAGCCGCTTTCTTTGTTCTAGGCTCTGCTGGTGCCGCCGTCCTTGGGTGTGCAGAATAAAAGAGTTTGTTGACTTGTGTTTCGTCAAGCAAAGCTTACATTCATAGACCCCCCCCGGAAGGCTGCGCAGGTAAGGATTACTATCGACGTCCGAGACATCGGCCGCCAATTGGTACAGGCGTTTTTTGAGTTGCAAACTCTCCAAGCTTTTACTAGCTATACCTCCTCCTCCTTTCTTCGATCCCGCCCGGTTCTGGTAGTCCATCTTCTGCTTTCAAAGTTCAGTCAGAGAGATCGCCTGGGATGCCTAAGCATTCTTATTGAAAAACAACGCGTTTGAGGGGGACACAAAAGTATGCGTGCTTTGGGTGAAATATGAAGTCTAAAAAGATCATAGAAACGCCTCGTATTGAAAAACCGTACGAGGAGATCTACCCGCATCTCAACATCAACAAGCCGCTGCCCATAGTATTTACTCCAGGACACACCGGAGCTTTACCGGCAGTATCCGTAAAAATACCCGTGATCAGAAACGGAAACAGCAATGAAGAATCAGAATTGGTGCGCTATGATGACCGAGTGGCCACTAAGAATGCCGAACTGACCAAGTTGGGCTACTCGACAGCCTTCGCGTTGCCCAAGGCGCACTATCTGCGAAACGACCCGATTGCGCATCCCCGGTTCCCTGAACAAGTCTTGCCAGGTGATTCTAAAGGAATCCCATGCAAGCACGACAGCTTGGAGTTTGTGGAATACGACATGGATGAGCAGGATCTGGGCTTCCTTGGCTACCTCGTCTCACAGTATGGGGTTCCAATCACCGCCGAGATCTTTGAGGTTACATTCAGCATGCTTGAGCTTGAAAGCTTCAAGATTGAACTGAATATGAAGCACAAAAACGAGCGGATGCAGCTCATTGATGAAACCCAACAATGCGTCATCTGCAACGAGGCGGATGTTGACAACCTGAACTCTATTGTCTACTGCGATGGCTGCGATATAGCGGTGCATCAAGAATGCTACGGTGTGCCATTCATACCAGAGGGCCAATGGCTTTGCAGAAGATGCAAGGCACAGGCTCCCGCGACCTCAATCTCTTGCCTGTTCTGTCCTCATCGGTCGGGTGCTCTTACCAAGACCAAAGAGGGCCGATGGGCTCATGTGCTCTGTGGTCTGTGGATCCCTGAATTGAGTATAGGAAACGGCGTTTATATGGAGCCCATCAATGGCACACGCTTGATTCCTCGGGATCGCTGGCGGCTAAACTGCTTTATTTGCCAACGGAAGCAGGGGGCTTGCATACAGTGCGCCTATGGTGACTGTACAACAGCATTTCACGCAACATGTGGTCAATCTGCAGGCTTGTCAATGACTCTGGTAGGCGGAATTGCCGGAGCTTTAGCCGACCCGACGACGCTCGTCGCATTTTGTTCTCGCCATACCCCGAAGAATGCCCCCGTGCATGCGGACATAGCCCTTGCCCGCAGAGCGCTTGATCTTGAAGCGAGCGAGGCACAAAAAGAGGAGGAGCTTGACCAGAAGCGTTATCCAGAATGGAGGACCAAGAAAGGTGCCCTATACGTGCCCACTATTGTTAGAGATATGGTAACGAGTAACATCATGAGGCGGTTCAACATCGACCTCACAGCCGTGATGCCAGCAATATGCCGGTACTGGACGCTGAAGCGAGACGATATTGGTGCAATGTTTTCGAAAAGGCTTGTGCATGCCCTCGATACCAGCAGGCAAGAGAGTTTTTCCGCCGAAAACCGAGCATACGACTTGGCCCTAGAGAGAGAGCGACTGAAGGAGTACCTTGATCTGGCTTTGAGGGCACGTAAAAGCCTTGACGGACGATCTAGAAAACGGCACAAAGCGACGTGATGGTTTTTTTTTTTTCTTTTTTTTTTTTATTCTTGAACTTTTTGGCCTTTCCGTTCTGGATCATACTCACATTAATATATAGGAATAAATGCTATTTTGTTGTCGCGGAAAAACGCCCAACGCGCTCCTTGCTTCCATCCTTCATCGAGTGGGCTGGTCTATAGGATCCATCATCGTTTGCGAGCTCAGGATTGCGCACAGTTGTAGTTACTCCACCCAGAGATGTGTATCCCGCGTCGTAAAGACTGCAGTAGCTGACGCCAGTCTGGATTAAGAACTCCCAAATCTGTGTATAAGTCCACTCGAGGACCGGATGGATGCGAATAAAGTCCGGCCATCCATGGTCAGTCCGCTGGATGTATTTCAGGGACTCGCCGTAGGGGTCTGCCCGACGAATGCCAACATAGATGGCTTTGACATGCGGGTTCTTGTGTAAATAGTTTGCGAGTGCACCTTTCATAGGCAGATTGTCCGCATATATGTCCAGCGGGTACTCTTTTGCACACTGGGCTACAAAGTCGTCAACCTGGGGAAACGGGTCGACCACTTTGACATAGACGGCGCCGAGGGCCCCCAGCTTCTGGGAACTCTCTTTCCCATGCCTCCTATGCATTTGTGCCAGAATCAGAACAAGCATGACCAGGCAGTCTTTCCCGCCATTGAACGACAGTGCTAACTCGTCCAGGCTGTACTGCTTCAGAGCATCGTCGATAATGTCTAGTGACAGCTGCACTTGCTGTTTCACCTCTTCACTAGCCTTGGGATCTTGCAGAAACCCCTCCACAAGCTCCGCAGACCGCAGGTACGCTGGATGCGGCTCCACGATGTTATTTTTCATGACGGGTTCGGGTCGGAGGGCTGTTGGCCGAAAATTAATTTCAAGGTAGCCTACTAAGCGAGCAAGTGCGCTCTGAGTAAGCGACGGCGTTTGCAGAGGAAACTGCTTCAATTAGTAACTTGGTTGTAGACTATATTAAACAATCGCTAGGGTCATACGTTTCGAGTCTGACAAAAACCCTATTTAAGCTTGCACGCCACTACAGAGTCAAGGTGAGTAAGCGGGACGATCTACGTTGGTGGATATCTCCAATGCGTGAGATAATTGACCTTGTTTCTGATAGCGAAAAGGATCCTCCAGAAGATTTTCGTGCCAAGTTTGTTGATCTAGTTGGCGATGAGGAGCATAGCAGCGCTTTAGCACGCTCCCAGGAGACACCGGAGGCACCACCAGCGACCGACACGGCGGAAGACGGACAAAAAGGCAGCGAAAAGTGGCACAACCAGGACGAAATTGCCGACTTTAATTTGCAAAATGAATTTTTTGTCTCAGACAGCCTGCCGTTACCGTCTTCAGACCACGAATTGGACCCTTTTGCTGTCTTTGACGCACATAGTGGCGCGGATGGAGACCACAACGAGCTCAATGTTCCGGAATTTGCGTCGCAAGACGAAGATATCGATGTTTTCAAATTAACCTCGGATGAGGACAACCGGCCCTGGGAGCAGAATGACGCCGAAACGCTAAACAAGCGCCAGTGGTCGAACTCCTCAGAGGACTCTGATTCGGATTCGATGGCGCAGAACGTGTCTCGTCGTAAAGTCGAGCAGAAAGAAGAAGATCAAGCGGTTGAGCCGGAGGATTTAGAAGAAATGTCCTCTGGTTCTGATGTTGAGATTGTACGGATCAAAGCGGCCAGATCCCCCTTGAAAGTGGAAATTGGAACAAAAATTGCAGTAAACCCTTGGACTCTGACAAGAAAAGAACGCAACCAACGCTTCAAAGAAAGCCTGGAGGCAATGACAAGCTCCGAGCGGTCTGATGCAATAGGGTACAGAGACGAGCTAGACAGTTTTGCCATTGGTCTTACGGAACGAGCCAAGGAACTCGAGTATCAGGCAGAATTAGCTGTCTCACCGGTAACCCGAGGATTTAACAGAGATATGGCCGACAAGTACCGGAATCTTTCTACAGAGGTTAGAGAAGTCCTCTACGACCTGCAATTGAGAAGATACTCCGAGTCGAGCGTTTCAAACTTTATACGCGTATCCAGGGCACGGTTGAACGACAAGAACAAAAGAATCCAGCGAATGCTCCAGGATTTCCAGACCAATCTCAACGCGCAGTCGCGATCCGATATTCCTCACAGATCCTATGGGGCTTCTAGTGAGAGTGTTTCCGGAACGGTTGGTATCGAAGAGCGTAATCGTATGGAGTCAGAGTATGCTCAGCTTCTTGACAAAATTCACAACAACGTGACGCCGATGTCAATGCCATCCGAACTCGACGTCTCTGATCTTGAACATCAGAGACTTGGCCTGGGATGGCTTGTGGGAGTCGAAAAGGGACCAAATCATGGTGGTATTCTTGCCGATGATATGGGATTGGGAAAAACTATTCAGTCTATTGCTTTAATGTACGCCCACCCCCCACCAAGCACAGGTCCTCGTCTAACCCTTATTGTTTGTGCTACGGCACTCATTCAAACCTGGTATAGCGAGCTGCATGATCGTGTCAAACCTGAGTTTCGGAAACGGGTCTATGTCCACCACCGCGCAACTAACAAAAGTTTGTTGATGAATGCTAACGCCATTGAAAGACAGTATGATGTTGTCATTACTACCTACACGACTCTTTTGTACGAAACAGATGCGTACAATAAAAGACATAACCGTCCGCTACCTAGTATACACTGGTGGAGAGTTATTCTGGATGAAGCCCACACTATCAAAAATCCTGTTGCGAGAACCTCTATTGCCTGTGCGTCACTCAGAGCCGTGAACCGAATTTGTTTATCTGGCACGCCAATGCAAAACAATTTGTTTGAATTATGGCCACTGATTCGGTTCCTAAAAATCAAACCTTACTGGGATAGCATGCTCGCATTCAAGAGTATTCTTCCTCGAGAGAAGATTACTATGAATGGGGACCGATCGACAATTTCTGAAATCCAAACCGAGTCTAACAGCATATTCAAGACTCTGCTGAGTGTTATTCTTCTTCGACGTCGAAAAACCACGTTGATCAACGGCCGCAAAATTTTAGAGGGTCTTCCTCCGAAGACTACTTACAGTATGATGCTGACACCCTCGCCAGCGGAGCTGGAGAGCTATAGAGAGGTTGAAGCAGGCCTAATCAAGATTTTGAAAACCAAGCGACTCGCCCTTAACGAGTTTTCCATGTCTAATATCTTGTCAGCGCTTCTTCGGATGCGCCAGCAGGCTTGCCATCCTTATTTGATTGCACTTACAGCCCTTATCAGAGGGACCTCTGAAATTGGTATCACGGAGCAAGATGTTCAAGCTGCGATAGCAATCCGAGCTGACGATAGAACCCAAGCGTTGGTGAGACAAATCACTGATGCCGATTGTTGCAGCTGCTTTAGCACCGATAGCGAGGATGAAAGTGGACTTCTTGTGATCACAGGTTGCATTCATTGCATTTGTAGGAGCTGTTTGAACGAGATAGAGTCACAGCAGGAGCCCAATGGCGGATTAATCAACTGTCCTTCTTGCCACTCTAGAATTCAAGAGACCAGCCCGCTAAAAGTTGTGCGCGAAGTTGTGAAACGTGCACCTGCTGAAGGCACGTTTGAGGAGATAAGCGAGCTTGTCAAGCATCAGTTCAAGCAGCGGCAGAAACGAACCCAAAAAGAGATGCTCATGTGGAAGCAAAGTATCAACGAGCTGGTTGAAGAACACAACGAGAGGTATGAACAATCACTTGAGGACCACACCGATGCGGACGCAGTTCTTCGTGATTTTGAAGTGCTGAATCCCGGAGTTCGTTTCGAAGAGAGCACCGAGAACGACGAAATTGGGGAAGACGAAGGCGAGCTTGACCAGCATCGCATTGTTCAGGTTGATTGCAGCTCTGCCTGCGGGCGTCAAATCAACTATGCTTTGGACATCGACAGAGTTGCTCAGCTGTTTCGCATCCAGGGGGTTTTTGACGACGGGTGGAAGACATCTGACAAAATCGACGGCACCATGTCTATATTATACAAGATCTGGCAGCAGAGCCCTACCGACAAGGTTATTATTTTCTCTTCATTCACCTCCTTTCTGGAGATATTCACCATTCCGCTCACCGCAGCCAGGATTCCGTTCACAATGTACACGGGCTCTATGAGCGTAGATGAACGCAACGAATCACTTGAGCTGTTCCGGAATGGTGTAGAAAAAGTCTTGCTGATTAGTCTCAAAGCAGGTAACGTTGGCTTGACTCTAACCAGTGCTAATCGAGTGATTCTTGCGGAGCCGTTTTGGAACCCGTACGTTGAAGACCAGGCCAAAGACCGGGTTCATCGCATCGGCCAATCCAAACCCGTGCACGTGTACCGGCTATTCAATCAGGACACTGTTGAAGATCGCATTCGCGGGATCCAGGACAAGAAGCGAAAAGTGATTGGTGCAGCATTGGATGCAAAGGCGAGCACCGGGGGCAGAGTTACAAGACAGGACCTGCTGTATATGCTTGGCATGGCGCCGGCAGCAGCCTGAGGGTATTTATTTATATTTATTCACTGTTACATATTCAAAGAAGAGCCGGTGAACTGCAGCAGGTTCTCATAAATAAACGCCGCCTCCTCGTCCGGGTCGAGCTGCACGACGGTCTGCCGGGTGCGCAGGATGATGGAATTGAGGCGCGTGATCTGGGTGGCGGTGAGGTACTTGACCAGCAAGCACAAATCGTGTTCCAGCGTCTTGAGATATGCGAGTGTTTTATCCCAATCGATGTTCCGCTGCCAATCGCGGATGTAGTCTGCGACTTCGTTTGTGATCCGCAGCCAGTACTCTGAGGCCGGGGCATCGATTGGCAGCTTCAGTTGCACACTACGCATGTCTGCCAGCAAATCGGCAAAGTTTTCGTAGCCTGTGTTGTTGATGCGGTGCACAAATTTCCGGTTTATGCTCTCCAGCTCTGCGTCAACATGGTCCATGGTAAGGCTGACTAAATGGCCGTTGCCCTGTTTCCCACCTACCACCACCTGAATAGAATTCGATATGAACGGGCCAGCCTGGTAAGTGAGAGCGCGAGGGGAGCCGTAGGAGAGAATTAAGTACTAACGACTAGGTTGTACCTGTTTGTTGTTTTGGTTAATGCAGTGAATCTGTTCATGCAGGTGTTTTTCACCATTATGTACAGCGACTTGGGTAAGTACACCAAAGGAATTAACCGTGTTGTGGGCCAGAATACTAACGCTAAGAGGTCGATTATATCAATCCCATCGATCTGTGCAACAAGCTGAACGTCTACCTCATTCCAGAGGCTGCTCTGCAGGGCTTTGTGACGCTTTTGTTTTTGATTACCGGCCACTGGCTGTCGTTTTTGCTCAATCTGCCGATTTCTCTGTTCAATGGCAATCAGATTTTTAAAAACCAGTACCTGCTAGATGCTACCGAGATCTTCCGCACGCTCGGCCGTCACAAGAAGGAGAGTTTTTCGAAGCTGGGCTTCCATCTGCTTATTTTCTTCTTTTACCTCTACTCGTTCATCGTTGCTCTTATTGGCAACGACTAAACCCCAGCTACTAGATGAAACTCGCGACTACGTAACCTTTCAATTGATCATCTACTCTTTTTTTTTTCCGCATCCGCCCTGGCGTTCAGCCAAGGTGCTTTTTTGCGATGGCGCAAAGCTGTCTTTTGTCAGCACAATAATGGGCTGGTTTGGAAAGCAGGCGGAGGATGTTGTTGACAGCGATCTAAAGTCGTACTACAAGCAGCAGACTTTACAGGAAAAGCCTGCTGAGCCGCCGCGAACCGCCGCGGAGGTCCAGCCGCAGTCCGCGACCTTGGAATCGCTGACCCAGCCTATTCCAGAGGCCAAGCTGCAATCTAGGGACAAAACCGTCAGCCAGATTGCCATGGACAATTGCGTGGAATACGAGAAGGCGTTTTCTAATTGTTTGCTACGAGGAACTCTATGGGAGCGATTCACCAGCTGTCCAACCCAGAAAACCATGCATGACAAGTGCGTAGAACTACAGACCCTGGCTCTGCAAGTGCTTAATTTCGAACAGGCAGGCGATGACGAGACGAAAATGAAAATCAAGGCGCAGGCAGACGACCTGATGATTCGGCATGTTCCTAATCTGACGATCACGGAAGCCAATGTCGAGGCATTCAAGAGTGCACTTTCTTCGGAGTAGCTGCTGATCCGTGTACGGAAGTGAGGCATTCAAGAGTGCTTTTTTTTGGAGTAGCTGCTGATTCGTGTACGGAAGCGAGGCATTCAAGAGTGCTCGTCGCTCTCCGTAACAAGTCCTGATGATTTGGCATGCTCTTCCCTCTCCCTAGCGACAAGCTGGCTGAGGGTTGTCCAGTATTCCAGCATGCGGGCAGCAGGCATTGACACGAGCCCCGAAGTCGACGGGACTACAAACAGGTTGGATCCACCGAATGTTTGCGGCTGAACCCCGTACGAAAAGGCCCTGAGAGACCACCCCTTTGCCTTGGCCACTGTTTCGAAAATGCCTTTACCCACAAAGCACACATAGCGGGGCTGGTATTCCGAGATGCGGAATTCAAGGATGCTCGCCCCGTGTGCCCTCTCGGTCTTGCTCAATTCGTTTATTCCCTTCGTCGACCGCCCCACAAGATCTGTAAACCCGTACCGATACTCTTTCTGTAGCCGGCGGTCGTCTGTACATACCACGGGCCGTGACACAAGGCCAGATTGATAGATAAACTTCCAAAACCTGTTCGAGCGATGGGCATAGTAATGGCCGAGCCGGGCCGATTCGAGTCCTGGATTGAAGCCCACAAACACCAGGAGGAGGTCTGGCTCCAACAGCAGCGGCAGGGCAGCATCATGAGTGGCAGGGCGGGCCGAAAGCACCGGTGGCGGCCCTGTGCCCTTGACTTCCGCCGCCTTGGCCGCCTTTGCTGGCGCGTAGGCAAATTTCTTGAGATCAGGCTTCACTATAACGTCGCGAGCCAACCTGTCCAGGCCCTAACCGCGATATAACGGTACCTCCCTGTGGTTGAGTCAGCTGAAAACTCCTGGCATGGCCAAGCTCCAGTGCCTGTACTGTGGGATCCGGCTCGACCGGGCGTCTGCGCAGGTGCGGCTGAAGCACATGACCGGGAAAAAGCACCAGAAGAGTGTGAGCGACTACTGGGAGGGCGTTGCCCAGAAAATCAACGCCTCCAAGGATGCAGGGAACTTTCTCGATCAGTCCGTGGAGCTGGCCCAGTCGTGGGCCCTGCCCGGGCTGGATCCCAGAGCAGACGAATTGCTCGACACTGCGAAGGTGCCCGCGCCGGCAAATATTCCCAGCACGACCTATCCAAGACAGTACCTGGGCTGAATTTCTCTGGCCCCACACCCTTCGGGCTGCCCAGACCACCGCCGTCGCCGCCGCCATCCACCCGTTCCCTATCCCCAATGTAAACAGACTGCCACCGCTTCGACCTCTCCCATTTAAAACCCTAGCCCTATATATCCTGCCAGCGAAAATTCTTGCCTTTCTGGCTATAAAAAAAAACATAAACCTCCCAACTACACAAAAAATGGCGACACAGCAGCAGCAAGTGCCCACATTCAAACTGGTTCTTGTCGGCGACGGCGGTACCGGTAAGACGACCTTTGTCAAGCGTCACGTCACAGGTGAGTTCGAGAAGCGCTACCACGCTACCCAGGGTGTTGAGGTCTACCCGCTCGGCTTCCACACAAACTTTGGCGAGATCAAGTTCGAGGTCTGGGATACTGCTGGCCAGGAGAAGTTCGGCGGCCTACGCGACGGCTACTATATCAACGGTCAATGCGGCATCATCATGTTCGACGTCACCTCCCGCATCACTTACAAGAACGTTCCCAACTGGCACCGCGATCTCGTCCGCGTCTGCGAGAACATCCCGGTTGTTTTGTGCGGCAACAAGGTCGACGTCAAGGAGCGCAAGGTCAAGGCCAAGTCCATCACTTTCCACCGCAAGAAGAACCTCCAGTACTACGACATCTCCGCCAAGTCGAACTACAACTTCGAGAAGCCCTTCTTGTGGCTCGCCCGCAAGCTCGCTGGTAACCCCAGCCTGGAGTTCGTTGCCTCCCCCGCTTTGGCTCCTCCCGAGGTCCAGATCGACGCAGACCTTATGAACAAGTACCAGCAGGAGATGGAGCAGGCCGCTGCCTTGCCTCTGCCTGATGAGGACGACGCTGACTTGTAAGGGAGGGTTCTTAAATAGCGTAACTATAAATTTTTTTTTTCTTTTTGTCTCTTGCCAAGCTACTCGCGTTTAGGCGACCGCCGCAGCGGGGATCCTTGCAGCGACACAGACGTCGACGATGGCTTGTTGCGCAGCTCGTTCAGCAGCTGCGCGGCGCGGTTGCCAATATCAGCAACCTCAGCAGCACTGCGTGATGGCGACGGCCGTTCAGGGGTGGTGAGTGGAGTCCGCAGTCGGCGGCTGGGCGATCCAGTCGACGGAGGAAGGGGCTCGCTTGCCGGCTCACTGCTTTCAGACTCAGGCCTGCTGGACTCTGAGCTCGTGCTGCTGGGCTCGTCTGGTGGAGTGTACCGCGGTTCTGGACGACGAGCTGCCCGCCGGCGGGCGGCCCGCGCCCCGGATGGCGGCGCAGCGGCTTTCAGTCGCTCAATCAGGTCGTCAACGTTAGTGCCCTTGCCTTCTGGTGAGGCTGGAGGTCCATCCTTGAGTGCATCAGCCTTTTTAGGCGCCTCAACAAGTTGGCGGCGCTGCTCGTAGAGCCGTTGCTCTCGTTCGCGAACTTCGTTCTGCTGGCGGGCCCGTTGATACTCTGTAACAAATTCAGCAAACTTTTTGAAGAACGACAGAGAAGAAGACTGGTCGGTGGGGTCCTCGCCATACGCACGCATGGCTTTTTCGAACTTGCTCGAGGTGGACCGCAGGAAATCACTCAGTAGATCAGCCTTGTCCCTGGCCACCTTGATAGCAGGCAGGATTACCGTCAGACATTTATCTTTGGGATGGAAAACCGTCGGGTCGCTTAGTTTACCACCATCAATAGATGCCTGGATATTCTTCACTGTGTTGATAAATTGTGTACATTCGCGCTTGAGAGAGTCTAGCGAAGAGCGGGACGCCTCTACAGCTGGCGCCAAATCGACAGTGAAGTTCTCCAACTCGGGTGTCATGCCCATCCGGACAATGCGTTCAACATAATGTAAAAATGTCAAACTGTTAGTGTCATCTTTGGTGAAGGCGAGTCGAGCAAGTGTGCCCAGGCGGAAACCCTGTTGGCTAGAGTTATTCATGTAGTTACCAACATCACGAATAATCGTCAAAAGCTTTTGGAAACTGTCCGCGTTCATAACTGCATCGCAAGCCTGGTCAATCGTACTGAGCTTGGAGAATAGCTGCTGGTGCTCGCGTTCAAACGTCTGCGACATTAACACTGCCCGGCTTCGAACCGGCCAATAATGCTGCAAATTGTAGCAGAGCCCCAAATAAATACGCTCACTTCGGGCGAGTGTCAACGGATCCTTCTCTGGTCTATGGGGATCTGCACCAGAGGCCCAATCAGTAGCATAGGGCTGGAACTGACGAGCCAACGTGTTGGAAATTTCGATGCAATCTGGAGTGGTGAAAAATTCAAGAACATTCTGATGCCCCAAAATATCCTGCGAACACACGAGTACTTTCAAAACAACCTCATCGACATCCAGCGAGCTGAAGGGATGCAGATTGATTTCAAAGTGCTGCGAGATTTCGCGAGGCAGCAACTCCAGCTTGGCCTCGGAGCTCTTTTTGTTCTTGCGAATTTGCTTAATTTCTTTGGCAACGAAAATTTTGTCAACCTCTTCGAAAACACCCTGTTTTCGCAAAAGCTCCATCATTTGTGGTTCGCCGGGACGCTTAGCACCGTCCCAAATTGTGCCTGCAACTGTATCTAAACGATCGAAATGAATCTTCTTGAGCTGTGTGGCAGTTCTCCTGATAGGGACCGGTTTAACCTCGTCCTCTGCTTCTTGGCCGCCCGTCCTGTAAGCTGGCAATTTGCCCAGACCAGGTGCTGCTGGGCCCCCTTGGGCCAACACTGGTAAAGCACCACCAGGTAAAGGTGGTGGTGGAGGTCCACCGATAACAGGACTTGCCGAACCGCTTCCTGGAAGTGGTAGGGGAGGTGGGGCGCTCCCAATACCTGGGCTGTTTGAAAGAGGAGGAGGCGGAGGCGGAGGCGGAGGTGGCGGAGCACCACCTGCCAATTGAGGAAGCGGAGGAGGTGGTGGGGGAGGTGGACCACCAAGTGCCGGCGGAGGACCAGGAGGAGGCGGACCTGAAGATGAAGGAGGCGGACCAGGGGGCGGGGGGCCTCCAGAAGACGGCGGAAGTGGTGCACTCGATCCACTCGCGGTATCACCGATTGGTTTCGAGTCGTCAGAAATAGGGCCGGTTGGCTCTGGTGAGTCTGGAGAAATCTTGGGACGGACAGAAAGTAGCTCTTCAAGTTTGATTGCTGCGGCCTTGGTCGGACGAATAGATTGTGCAGCCAAAGGCTCACCTGCAGACTTTGGTCCACTAGGCTGATCAAGATTCTCAACTGCATCAAGAGCAGCTGCTACAGCAGGCTCAAAACGCCCTTCTTTCTCTTTCTCACTAAGTGCGGACATGAGCTCCTGAACACGGCCTTCAGCAATCCACTTTGCAACGTCATTTGACTCCAATTGGAGACTCTCCAATTGACGCAAATATTTGAGACGCATTTCATGGAGATCCTTTTTAGAGGTTGGCGCAGCAGGTAAAGGTGTCGGCACCTCTTCATCATCGCTCCCGTTGAGCTCAAGATCGCGAGCAAACGATTGCAACGCCTCCATCTGATCACGGAGTTCCCTCAATCGTTTACTAGGCTCGATATTCGTAGTAATAGTATTTTTCAAAGAGCCTTCAAGCCGATGAGCAAGGCGATCCATCAACTGACGACGATCAACACCACCATTGACTGAAGTTGCAACCTGAACCTCATGTTCTTTGAGCATAAGGTAAAGTTCTCTGGCCTCAGCCTCACGAGTCTGAAGAGCCCGGTGATGCTGCTCGATCATTTCATCACGTTCAGTTTCAAGCTCACGGGCCTTGTTGCGGAACATATCAAGCATGGCTCTCAACTCATTGTTTTGGGCCTGCAAACGGCCGACGTTCCCATCTGCACCCAGCTTGACCAGCTTTTCCATTTCATCTCTTTCACCTTTCGCCTCGGCAGCTTTTCTCAGAGCTTCAGTCTTTTCGAGATGAGCGCGGCGAGCCTCAGTGTCGATAAGTAGCCGATCCAGCAGCTTCTGAACACCGAAAGTAATAACAGTGCTATCGTTATGACCATCAACCCGCGACATGACGATATGAGATACCAGCTCATCCATCAACCTGAAGACTAGCGCGCCTTCGCGGTTTGGATCATCCCGCACCATCATCATATGACTGAGTAAAGATTGAACCAATCCCTCAGACTCAGTGCCTCGCACCTTATCACGTAGCACTTGTGACAGCTCCATAAGGCTATCACTCCCTTTGCTAGAAGCAGTAATCGCGGATATATTGTGGCCTCTAGCCCGCATTTCGGCCTCAGAAGCTTCCATGTCCTCCGCTTGAGCGGCCCAGAACTTTTCAATTTCTAGCTCGAGTTTGTCGGAGTCAGAATTATGCATAACCTGGAAAAGTTCTTCCAAATGGGCTGCTCTCAGCTGCGTTCGCAGATGCTGTCTGCGGTGGAGATCTGCGCAATTCACTTTACTGACCAATTGGTTGATGAGAATTAGCGATGTCTGGCCATACTCGATCAAGGAACTCTCGGCAGAGAGACCTCCAGTTCGATAGCTTTGGCTTGCTCCGACCATGGAGCCCATTATACCTCTACCTTCGAGCATGCGAATAATGGCTTTGATCCAGCGAGAAAACCTGTTGGCGACAAGTTGTCCATCCGGCTCGCTCAACATATTGTGGTCAAAAGACTGAAGAACAAGGTCTGGCCCCTTGACGCATACCACGTACGTCAAACATTCCGTGACGGTTCTGCGGGTCTGGACTCTTCTCGACATGAGGGAGCGACAGAGCGTGTCGATGATTTTGAAGTTATGGAGCGTCTGTCCGGCAGCCTTTTCCACATTGTAAAGAGAACGGAAACATTTAACGAGTTCGTATTCGTATTCATTTTCCCGGTCGCTCAGTGCCTCTGGTGGCTGCTTGTTGATTTGTGCCAGTACAGTGCACATTGCGATTTGTCCCTGATGTTGGTTCACAAACCGTTCGACCCAGCCAACGGGCTTGGTGCGTATTTGAACATTGAGACTGGATAAAAACGCGGTGTCGAATTTCTTCTCCAAAATTCGGCGTACATAGTATTCTGGAAGTTCGTCCTGGGGGAGAGGGGTGGATGCCGGCGGCAGATTCGATTGACCATGGCCTATATGCGGAGTGGGTACTGATGAAATTGGCCCAGACATGGGAAGTTCACTGCCCGCCAAAGCGCTTTGACGAAGCAAAAGGCGCTTTTTCTCTACTGGGAACGCTAGCATTTGACGCTGGCCCTTTTCTGGGGTCTTACCTGCATCCCGACTCTGTAACAGAACCTCGAACATTGAGTTGATCTCCTCATCGCTGGCATTGTTAACTCGGGCAAGCGCAGAATTCTGGCTGTCGGCGGAGCGGTGGGTTGCCATTTGCTGATGAGCGCTTTGGCTGTAGCTGCTGGCGCTGCTCACTGAGCGAGCATGATCATCCATCGGTTCCATGTCATGAGCCGTGCTGTTCCGGGACACAAACCGTCGTAATATATTAGTGCTCGTGCTGGTATTGCGAGTTGCGCCCTGGGACTGATCGTTCTTGGACGACCCCGACGACCCTACTGATGGAGTCACCGAGATTATACTCCGCGCCGAAGAGTGCCTGTGGTTGTGGGAGTCTGGCAGCGGCCTGCGACTGTCCATCGATTTTCTCATCCGCGGAGCCACTCTGGGTTATCTCTTCGCGTTTCTGCTGCTGCGGAGCGTGGATATACAAACCGCCGGGTTTTGGGACTGCTTACTCGAGGGCTGGCGAAAACAGGAAAGTGGCAATTGGAGGGGTTATTAGGCAGTTTTTAGTCGTCGAAAAATACTTTAGTTTTGCTAAAAATATTGTCAGAATTTTGTGCTCAAGGGTGTTGGTTGCCGGACGTTGACTTATTTACCCCAGCATCACCCCGCGCCTGACATTTCTTTTAAACTTGCAATCTACATTCTGATCTGACAAATGGGTGGCCGGTTCCTGGAGCTGGCGTATCAGCAAATAAGAGCCCAGGCGGAGGAATCAGCCAAGTCTGGCGAGTTGCCGGACGACATCTCATTGCAGTTTCAAAATCTGGAAATGCAGAACGTGCCCCCAGAGCTGCTGGAGGTCCTGAATCACCAGGTGCTCAAACTGAGTTTCAATCACAATCTTCTTCGAACAGTGCCACCATTACCCAACTTGACTCGGCTGTTCTATTTGGACTTGTCTGAAAACAGATTTAGCCATGTGCCGTTGGCAATATGCGAACTCAGGAGTCTAGAAATCCTTGATCTCAGTCAAAACTTTATTACTCGGCTTCCTCGCGAGTTGGCTAATCTTCAGAGCCTCAAAGTGCTGTCGTTATCTCAGAATGAGCTACACTATTTACCAACAACATTGACCTCCCTCAAAGCTCTAGAGTATTTTGAGGTCGACGATAATCCACTAGTGTTTCCAAGAGAAGATATTTTAAGGCTTGCGCAAGATCAGGATGACTGGCTGCCCGCTCTTCGGCAGCACTTGTTAGAGAATCGTGACAAAATCGAGAAGCTCGAGCAGTCGTTAGCTGCTAACGAGGCTGTCCACGAGATACGGGAGCCTCCTCACTTAGAGCGGTCGCGGTCGAGTTCCGAAGGTTACTTGCACAACCGTAACAAGAGAATGGGATTTGTGATGCAACGAAATGCTTCAGGGAGTGTGTATATGGCAGGATTGCATGCCCGAGGTCTTAGTGTTGACTCAGTGCTCATAGACGGTGCAGGGCCTGCCCAAGCTAGCTCTTTCAGTCTGAACGAGCGCCCGGCTGATCTGAATACGCAAACGACATCTAGTCTCACGTCACATAGTGATCCCGGCATCTCACCGCGAGGCAGTCCTCTTATTATCAACCCTTCGGCAGTTGCCGCTAGTGACGACGAAGACAAGGAAAGCCCTTTATCCAGCAGTGACACTACTGGCAACCGACTGTTCACTTTACAAGAAGAGGAGGCGGATGCAGAGCCTGCTGAAGTCGTGCCAAAGGTTCCGCAAAAGTCTCAAAATAGATCACGAGGCAACTCGGCTGCGACTACCCAGAGCGTAGCTCAAGTCGAGCCCCCCGTTCCGCCGTTGGTGACACCTAATATTCCTGGATATCAAAAGCTGCTTGCTTCTCTTAATGGCTTTGTTGATGCTTCCAATCGTCTGAATATTCCTGGCGATCCCCGATTCACATCTCTGGTGTCTGTTTGTCAAGACAGCAATAAAGCACTAGAAAAAGCACTAGAACAGGAACGAGATCTCGCAGGCACTGCACACCGGGCAATTACAGGTGCTTCGGACCTCGTTGCATACCTGAACCTTCCAGCAGTCCTCAATCAGGTGGTTCACGAGAGCAGTCTTGGGCCCGTTAGGTCGCTCATTCTACAGCTTGTTCATTCGTTTGCTGAACTTAACAATGCGAACTCTGACCTGGAATCACCCAAGCTATCCTCGCCTGGCTCAAGTGAATCTGGTACTGAACTTAAAAGTGCTCAAAGTAGCGCGGGACTAGCTCACGCAGACGAACAGCTCTACCAACAGCTAGAACACGCTGTCAAGACGCTGCAAGGCGTTGTTTCTCTATTCAATAAAGCCATTGCCCATTCTGCTACGGTTTCTGTCGAAGTCAATGGTGCTGGAACTGCTTCATCTTCAGAAAACGCAGGGCTAGCTGCGTATGTTGGCGAGTTGAGCAGTGCGTGCATCGACTGTGTTGCTATGACAAAACAACTGAAGCAATCGCTTGATCACCGAAACAGTAGAGGAATTCCCGACCGTAGAGCGTTTTGGGAAGATGTCAACTCTTTTCTGAAATCTATCGTGACGCTGCTGGCTGCGGCCAAATCTGCGGTAGTGGAGATCCCTCTTTTGGCTGACAGCGGCAGCGAGATGTCCGCGTTGGCCCGCGTCGCCAAAGAGGTGCCCCCGCTGCTCGAGCAGTCCTCTTATCGACTACACCTTGATGCAGGTGCTCGTCTCGAGCGGCCAAGGCTTCCCTCGAATCAGTCGTCGGCACCCAGCAGTGGCACTCCGACTGTGACCACGCCATTTATTGCAGCACTTGGAACCGCGGCACAAGAACTTCTATCACCTGGACTCCAAACACCTGGACTCCAAACACCTTTCGAAGGCGGTCCTTCATAATATTTATATTTAACTGTTTCATGTATTTCATGTATTTCTCCACATGCTGCATCTGAGTCGTTGCTTAGTCCTCACAATGAACGAAGACGAGCTAGACCAGCCGTCGCATATCGTCTTCTATCTGTTTATTATATTCAGTGTTCTGATGCTACAAGGGGGCATAGCTCTCTTCTATACCGGGCTGACGTCTGGGAAGGCAGCATTGACGCAAGCAGCCTACGCTGTGGCCGGCCATGTCGTCACCGTCCTGCAGTTTTTCATCATCGGCTACTCGCTCGTGCGCACAGAGAACAGCGGTATACTTGGAAACTTTGTTGGAGGCCTAAAGTATACGTTTTTCAGGAACATTGCTTGGGATAATACCACCGAGATCATCACGGCTGTTGGCCCGGCGTTCATCCACACAGGGTTTGCTGGGGTTTGCTGTGCAATTATGTTTGGTGCCGTCCATCTACGGGCTAGCATGCCGCCATCTCTTTTATTTCAGTTCTTTTGGCTCACTTTGGTCTACTGTCCTGCTGCCTACTGGGCTTGGAATGCTTCTGGGTGGGCTAACCAGTGGGGAGTTTTAGATTACGCCGGAGGCACTGTCGTACACTGCGTGGCCGGGTTTACGGCTCTGGCGTATGCTTCCAAGCTGGGTACTCGACTTGGCTACGAGAATTATGATATGCACCCCTTCAATCTGCTGCTGGTTATAATTGGCACGTTCATGATGATTATGGGCTGGATAGGCTTCAACGGTGGTGCAACAATGGCACCGAGTGCAATTGTTTTGTTGGCAGTGACAAACACAGCAATTTCAGCGTCTGCTGGAGGTGTCACCTGGCTGCTGTTGGACCACAGCTTTGATGGTGAGTGGTCGCTTGTGGGCCTCTGTTCTGGCGTAGTGTCGGGGTTGGTGTGTATTACCTCTGGTGCTGCCTTTGTAGAGCCTTATGCTGCAATCTTTTTCGGTGCTATCGGTGCCTTTGTGTGCAATTTGAGTACGCAGGTCAAGTTCCGTTTGAAAATCGATGACGCACTGGATGTGTTTGCCGTTCATGGAATCGGTGGTTTTGCGGGCACAATTCTCACCGGCATTTTTGCCAGTCCCAAATTAACTGAAAACAAAGGGCTGGTTTACGGGAATTTTGCCCAACCTTTCAAACAGCTGGTGCATATTGTTGTTCTCATATTCTATGTCCTGATTGTATCGAACCTGATTCTGAGACTATTTGAGTTTCTGGGCTTGGAACTAAGAGTAGACCCAGATGACGAGAGAATTGGTTTGGATCTTGCAGAGCATGGAGAGACACTGCTGCACAACCCAAGTGAGCCGCGGGCCGGCGTGGGCATGAGTTCAGTTGCCTATGATGGATCTATGAACCGGTACCTTAAACCGAACACAAACACATCAATGGTTCCTACCGCAGATACTCCGCTTCTTGATCGTATGTCTCGAGAGGTTTCTCATTTGTAATTTTATTTAGACACTAAAGGTTATCACCGTTTCTTGATCGTATCATTACACTTGTGCTTATGTCTCCAAATCTCATTTGGTTTAAAGGCTTATCTAGACTGTCCCACTTCAGGCATTACTAAATAACCTCTGCAAAAAAATGTTTCGGAAGATATTTTCCAGATCTGTGCATTGTTTGAGCTGTGGATCGAAATTTCATAGGATTCAATATGGTCCTGGGTTTCAAAATCCTACCAAAAACCCAAGCTACCCGTCTTTCGCGGAGGCCCAAGAAAAATCATTCCAGGAGCTCTTGTCAAATCTCAGTGAAGAACAAAAACGTGCAGTAGGATTTAAAAACTTGGACGTACCGATTCATGAGGTTCCTGCGAGAATCCTTGAACGAGATTTCAAAAAGCGGTCAAAACAAGAGCGCGAATTCTTGCAATGCCGCTGGTGTATCGACGCAATGCAGGGTCGTGAATACCCGGTGGTAGTGCCCAAGGTGGATGTTATTGGTGAGATTCCTAACGGCTATCAAATTGTCCATGTTATTGACGCTATGGATTTCCCTATGACTGTGTGCAAAGACATTGTTTTAAAGTACGGGCCGAGAGTAGTGTTTGCAATCACGCGGTGTGATCTGCTGGCTGATCACCACAATAAACTGGGCAAACTCAAAAATTATATGATGGAAGAGGTGTTTGACAAAATGAAAGTCGATCCTCGCAATGTTCACTTGCTTTCGGCCAAACGTAACTGGAACCTGGAAAAGTTCGCAGAGTGTCTGAAAGACGGCAATGCTCTAGTGGGCAAGACGGGCAGCGGTAAAACAACATTGGCAGTTGCATTGTCGGGAAGTATACTGCCCTATCCGACATGGGAGCTGCCATTCACCACTCAGCGGGCGGATGAGTATAAAACCAAGCCTGAGTTCAGATCCAAGCTTATCCTTGACTTGCCGTCTCTCCCCGAAAGCACAAACAAGGGCAAAGGTATTTACGGGCTTATTAGACCCAAGTTTATGCGCAAAATAGTCGCTGGACAGCCCATGACCAAGCTTGGAAACAAGTACTCTAGGCCCTCGATTGTTGCCAAGCCCGGACAGTCCATTTCGATTGGTGGCATGGTAGGATTCGAGCTTCTAAAAGCCAAGCCCGGACAAGCTATTCACGTGTGGCCGATCATTGGTGGCTTTAGTGCTATACTCGGACGCAAAGTGTCTAGTATCGAGAAGATTTACCAGCTGAATACCAGCCCTACTCCTCAACATGACCAATGGAATATTCTTGATTCGCCAAAAGAGTCCGAGCCTCTACAGCATCAGATGTCGTTTCAGATCCAGCGCAATCAAGTGGGTCAATCAGTCGTTGTTAGAGGGCTCGGCATGCTTCAGGCCAAGCTGTATGGAAACATGAGTGAGCCGTACAATATCAATGTCCACACATTGCCTGGTGTCGAATTGGGTCTGCGGACTGAGCTGCTGGAGTGGTTTCGTCTCAAAAACTAAATAATTATTTCTTCCTAGATTCTGTACATAACGTCCCAACCTCACCTACGCTTAGTGGATTCAAGCTAAATGCAATGCCAGAGGTGTCGATTGCCTTTGGTGGCGCACTCGTCGCTATCGAAGCTGAGCCAAACGCAATTAAATCTGTTAAAGCGAGAAGAGTCTGACTTTGCCGAGCAGAACACCACGATATGGGGGGGCGCGGACGACGCCTCGTTTATCATGTTCAGCGAATCGATCGCTGGCCCGAATCCTCTTAAAACCGCCCCCTCACAGCGCACGCACTCTCAAGTGGCCAATGCCCTGGACCGGGTTTTCACAAATACGGGAATTGACATGCCGTTGTGTACAGACTGTGCTGACCTGGTTCGCCAGAAGCTTAAATCTATGTACGACGATGCATGTGCGGAACGAGACGCCTACATTTCCTTTTTGAACAAACTCAAAGACGAGCCTCCGCCCGACAGCAAGGATGTGCAAGACTTGCAATCGCAAATCCGCCAGCTCGAAAAAGAGAACGCAGCAGCTCTCAAAGAACTCAAAGCAGCCGAAGCCGAAAAAGCCAAGGCCGAAAAAGAGTTGGAGCAAGCGATCAAGCAATCAGATGAACAGAAAGAGGATAATCGTCAGGTTTATATGGAACGAAACGAGTTTGAGCGTAAATTTTTCGAGTTGGAGACCGAGAAACATCGCCTAACTGCGATCTCTGACTACCAGACCATGCAGCTCTATCGACTACAGCACACCAACGTCTACCATGATGTATTCTGTGTGAGTCACGATGGCAATTTTGGCACTATCAACGGGCTGAGGCTTGGTAGGTTACGCGAAAAGCGGGTTGAATGGAGCGAGATCAACGCCGCGTGGGGCCAAACGTTGCTGCTGATGACGACAGTTATTCACAAGCTAGGCATCTCAATTCCAGAATACCGCCTCAAGCCCCTGGGGTCGATGTCGCGAATCGAAAGAATAGAGATCAATCCCGAAACTAACCAGCCTACCGGAGAAGTCCAAAGCCTGGAGCTTTTCAGTTCCGGAGACTATAGTTTTGAGCGTCTCCTGAACCACAAGCGCTTAGACACGGCTATGGTCGCTTTTCTTGATATCTTACGCCAAGTGGGTGCGTTTGTCGAGGCCCGCGATCCTAATCTCAAGCTCCCGTACGCCATTGAGGGCGACAAAATCGGCGGCTGCAGCATCCGCCTCTCCATGAACACCTCCAACGAGACCTGGACCGCAGCATGCAAGTACGTTCTCACTTATGCAAAATGGCTACTTGCCTATGCTATTTCAAACTAAAAAAGTGCTTGCAGGTGACCTGCGTCGAAATGCCGAAATTTAATTCAACCTACGTAAGCCGCTTACATATTTATACCAAATCCGTCGTTTTGTCCGTAACATGCATGTGGGGGGCGAAACGTTCGATCCAAAGAAGTTTCTTCGGTTCCTGAACCTCCTAAAGACGGATCTCAACGTCTCGACGGACCTGATCATGGAAAGGGTTTTGAGCGGGCTCTACGACGGCCTCACTGTCCAGGAACTGTTGACGTTTACTGCAGAGTCGGTCGCCTCTTTATCTACCCAGCATCCTGACTATTCGGTGTTTGGTGGAAGGGTTGCGGCGAAAGCGCTCTATCGAACCACACCCAAAACGTTCTCTGAAGCAGTGGATGCGATATTCACCGGCGTCCCAGTGTCTCAGGGGACTTCGCAACTGTCTCCGGAGTTTCACCAGATCGTAATGGCAAATCGCGACCGGCTGGACAAGGCAATCAAACATGAGAGAGACAAGAAGCTGACGTTCTTTGGGTTTCAGACACTCTCAAGATCGTACTTGATTCGAATTGAAGGCAAGATTATCGAGAGACCCCAGTATTTACTCATGCGTGCAGCAGTGGGGATCCACGGCGAGGACATTGATTCGGCCATCGAGACGTACGACTTGATGTCTCGACGATTCTTTATACATGCAACCCCTACGCTGTTCAATGCAGGAACCCGAAAACCCCAGTTGTCTTCTTGCTTTCTTGTTGCAATGAAAGACGACTCCATCGAGGGCATTTTCGAGACCCTCAGTCAGTGTGCCAAAATCTCCAAGCATGCCGGTGGTATTGGATTGCATGTCTCAAACATTCGATCCCGCAATGCATACATCAATGGTACCAACGGTCAGTCGTCTGGCCTGGTCCCGATGTTGCGAGTGTTTAATAACATGGCCCGCTACGTGGATCAAGGTGGGAACAAGCGCCCTGGCGCTATTTCCATCACTCTAGAACCGTGGCATGCCGATGTGTTTGATTTCCTCGAGCTCAGAAAAAACCATGGCAAAGAGGAGTATCGTGCTCGCGATTTGTTCTATGCCCTTTGGATCCCTGATCTTTTCATGAAAACAGTAGAGGAGGACGGTACATGGTACCTATTCAGCCCGGACACTGCCCCAGGGCTTTCAGATGTGTACGGCAAGGACTTTGAGGATCTTTACCGGCGCTACGTTTCGGAGAGCCGTTTTGTCGAGGCAGTCCCTGCTCAAAAGCTATGGATGGCTATTTTGGACGCTCAGATAGAGACAGGCATGCCATCTATGTTGTACAAAGATGCTTGCAACGCCAAATCCAACCAGAAAAATCTTGGAACCATAAAGTCCTCCAACCTGTGTACAGAGATCGTCGAGTATTCCGACCCTAATGAGACGGCCGCTTGTAATCTTGCCTCTATTGGCTTGCCCTCTTTTATCAATAACGGTGAGTTTGATTTTGACAAACTCCATCAAATCACAAAAGTTGTCACCAAGAACTTGAATCTGATTATAGACAGGGGCTTTTATCCCGATAAGCTCACAAAGCGCTCGAACTTGCGGCACCGGCCAATTGCCATCGGCGTGCAAGGACTCACAGATGTGTATCAGCTTTTGAAGCTGAATTACGACTCTGACGAGGCGTGTAAGCTTAACGAACATATTTTCGAGACGATCTATCACGGTGCGCTTGAAAAGTCTATGGAGATTGCTCGTGAAAATGGCAAACCGTACGAGTCGTACGAAGGCTCGCCAATATCTCAAGGAAAGTTTCAGTTCGATCTGTGGCCATCCAGCTCCGAGACCAAAAAGTGGGATTGGGAGCTCCTTCGCCAGGAGATCGCCAAACACGGGGTAGCCAATTCGTTGGTGACCGCGATCATGCCTACTGCTTCTACGTCTCAAATTCTCGGATTCACCGAGTGTATCGAACCCGTGACTTCAAACATTTATTCCCGCCGGGTGCTTAGCGGCGAGTTCCAGGTTGTCAACCCCCACCTTGTAAATATGTTAGAGCCGCTCGGCTTATGGACCCCGCCGATAAGGGCTCAGATAATTGCCAGCAACGGCTCTGTTCAGCGGATAAAGGAGATACCCGATGATATCAAAGATTTGTTCAGAACGGTCTGGGAACTCAGCCAGCGCGCATTAATTGACCAAGCAGCAACTCGCGGCCGGTACATTGATCATTCGCAAAGCATGAACCTGTTTTTAAGGTCTCCTAACCGACGCCAGCTGTCTTCTATGCACTTTTACGCCTGGAAACAGGGTCTCAAGACCGGTATCTACTACTTAAGGAGTGCTGCTGCTGCTGCGCCGATCCCGGTAACTATAGAGGTTGATGTAGCAAGATCGGCTTCTGTACAGCCCGATTTTAAGCGATCTCGACCGTCCACCCCGCAATCGTGCGATATATGTTCCGGCTAATGAAATAAAACTGTAATTTCACCACATTCCGCCTTTTTAGGTACCCCGGTCTCGTGCATAATCCCGCAGGAGGCTTTGCTATTACTGCATATTCGAGGAAGTCACGAGAAGGCGTGTCCTGGGAGTACAACGGCTGCCTGTTTGGACAAATAAGAAAAAGATAGGTCGCAGATGTCTCACAAGACCTCAGACCCTCTTGTATGACCAGGTATTGCTGTGCCAAGACTTTTTTTCCTGCACGTGACCGTTACTCTCTATCCCTTCGATCGGCAAGGTTGTCCGCAGAACCCGATATGTCCGACGCAGGCGAATCTCTGATTCGCAATGCTAATCCATTGGACTCGGAAGCAGAGATAGAGACTGGGCCACGAGACGAGGGGCTCGGAAATTATTTCCGGTGGCCCGCAAAGTCTCGAACAGACTTTGCTCCGCCACAGCTGTTTGAAAACTTCAGCTCGCCCGCGATATTGAGCTCTCGGACTCCCGTCTGGCTCAAGTACACATTGGCCACAGTGGCATTTCTGCTGTGGGTTCTTTGCATGGTTCTGATATCGATGAATTCCCTGTTCGCTTATCCAGAGATCGATGGCGATAAGCTTGTGCATTCGATCGCGTGCGATGTGAATCTGTCATTCTGGGCGGGACCCAATGCAGCTTGTGGGATCAACGCCGAGAGTTGTTTGGGGTCTAAAGTGGGCACAATATACAAATTCAGGTGTCCTGCGAATTGTGTGCGGGAAAGCTGGACATATACGCCTATGCCTGTGGGCCGGAAGGTTGCCTACCACGAACCCTTTGTCGTGGGAACTGATAATGCTTACCGATCGGATTCATCGATTTGCGCAGCTGCTCTGCATCACGGCATCATCTCGGACAAGTACGGGGGCTGTGGAGTATTAAAAGTGCAGGAGAGTCCGGATGAGTTTACCAGTGCACTGGGGAACAACTCAATCACCAGTTTTGCCTTTGATGGCCCGTTTGTCTCGAGCTTTACTTTCCTGCCCGTCGACGAGTGTACGGGGTGCAAATCCAAAAGCTCAACGATCATGTGGCTCAATTTCTTTGCCACGGTGTTTTTTGCATATTTTATTACCAACTCGTTGTGGTTTTTGCTCATTGTCTCAACAATTGGCTTCTGGACGGTGATCCTGGCCGCCAACCCGCCGTGGCACGGAGGCAGCCCCGATGCCAATGCAGAAATCATATCTCAAGGTCTTGGTCGATACCTACCATGCTTTTTTGGCCTCATGTTTATTCATCGAATTGCCACAGAATATCAATTGGGCGACTGCAGGGCCAACCTGGCAAGAGCCGTGCTCTGGGCAGTTCCCTTCTACCTCGGCATTTTGGAAAATTACACCTTTGGGTATATTCCAGTTGACAGATTGATAATTTCAGACTTGAATACACAGGCCGGTGCCTGGACAGCTCTCATTATCATTGCTTGCATTGTGACAGCTATTGTGGCCCGCCAGGCGTACGTGATTGCGGCCCTCGGCTATTTCTGGCCCTACATTGGCCTGTACGTGGGCATGGCCATCGGTCTTGTACTCCTAGGCATGATTCCACATGTAACGTTACGGATACATCACTATATATTGGCGTTGATTTTCATCCCCGGCACTTTCCCCAGAACAGGATTGAGTTACGTTTATCAAGGTCTGCTTGTCGGATTATTTGTTGCCGGGGCCAGCCGATGGGGGTTCGATCCCATTGTTCAAACGTACGAGCAATTGCGCAGGGGCGGCCCGATCGAGCATGGAGGACACGCATATTTCCTCGATCCACTTGTTTCAGCCGGAGACGATTTGGCAAACTACGTTTTGAACTGGGCCCAAAACACTACGGAGCCGCTGCTCGACGGATTCTCCCTGGTCATTGACGACATTGAGCGCTGGCGAGGGGCCGCAACGTCTTTTAGCCTCACCCAATGGGTGCTCGATGTCGATGCACCCGATTATATTTATTATGTGCGGATCGCCGCCGCGGCACTGTCAACAAACCTCACCGGTGGATACACACTGGCCGGCATTGCTGACTTGCAGGAGGGCACTTGGATCAGTCCCGAACCAGGACAAACATAAAACCAGCATACTTTCTAGCTTCATTAGCGTCAACATTCCGTCTACTCGTTCAAACGGCGCGATGCACGCTGCCCCGTGGTCGAGCACGTGGTCTGCAGCTCAGCTTTATTCCCTGTAAGACTATGCAAGGCACCTCATTATAAAGCAGTCTTATCTGCCTACACGTTGTGCAACCTCGATGCTAAGCTACAGTTCGTTGGCTTTTATAACTCTGTTGAGTGTGGGTGCTGTCGCAGATGCGGTAGCATGCTGCGTTCCTCGCAGCGATGACTTTGTGAGCCCCTCGCTGTCTGCGCCCGAGCACCAGCAGTGTCCCGCTAACGCGCCGCTGTCCTGCTCTTCAGGCACCACGGACAGCTGCTGCTACGAAGGCACCAATGGCCTATTTTTATCTACTCAATTCTGGGACTACAACCCGGCTACTGGTCCTGATGATGTGTGGACCCTCCACGGCCTGTGGAGCGACAAATGCTCGGGAGGCTACAACCAGTTCTGCCACCCGTCGTGGGCGGTCAAGAACGTTACCAGCACGTTGCTTGATCTGGGCTACAACAAGCTGCTTGAAACAATGCAGACGAATTGGAAGAATATGAATGGAAACGACGAGTCTCTGTGGCAACATGAGTTTGCCAAACATGCTACCTGTATGTCCACTGTAAACCCGGCTTGCTATAGCTCTAGTGCGCCCAAATACCAGTACGTTGGTGATTTTTTCACCTCAGCCGTAGCGCTGTGGGCGCAGCTCCCTTCTTACAAGTTCCTCACCGACGCTGGCATTACCCCGTCGACCACACAGACTTACACTGTTCAGCAGTTCCAGGATGCTTTGAGTGCTCACGTAGACAACAGTGAGGTGTACCTTGGCTGTGATAGAAACAACGCAATCACTGAGATCTGGTACTTTTTCCACTTGAAGGGCTCTGTGGCCGACGGCACGTTTATTCCGACCGACTCTATCACTAGTTCGTCCTGCACGGACGGGTTCAAATGGCTGCCCAAAACCGGCAATGGCGGTGGAGGAGGCGGCGACGATGACGGCTCCACTACCAGCGGTAATTTAAAACCTTCTGGACAGCCTGGCTGCCTGATTTCCGACGGCTCCTGGTTTACCAGTGGTACCTGTGCTACGTTCAAAGTCACCGAGACCGTAGGCGGCGTCTCGGTGTCTTCCTCCAAAGGACCCTGTGGCGTTGACGGCCAAGGGAAGTTCCAGTGCGGCTCGTCTGTCTCGTCCAGCGATTTCACTCTGGATGAAAACAACAACCTCGTCTACGGCGGATCGGACGCTTGGAGTGCCAACAGCCAGCCTTCGGGCCAATCCCGCGCCGCCGTCTACTCCGGCTCGGGCTCAATCAACTTCCAAATCAATTTCGCCTCCTGAACTTTGAGCGGAACGAGTGTGTTTATAGTCTATATTTAGCTAGGTTAACCGACAGTGCCGTGCAGACCCAGGAGGCTGCGTCAAGATGTATTTTCATTTAACACAATTGACTCGCAAAATATCCTGGAATCACAGTTAACACCACCCAAGTCGCGCCAGCACTGCGCAATCTGGGTCCCCTATCCACTCAGGGTGATTGAAACCTTCATCCCGGAATGTTATTTTTAGTAGCCTGAGCGCACTACGTCACAGTGCGTGCACACCCATCGAACTGCTGGCATACAGCTGCCTAGATTTTTATCTGAAAACTGATCTTGTTCTAGAATTGCCAAAAAAATATTTTTCGCCGGTGCTCGTGCCTAGCCAGGCTATCGTCCTCAGGGAGTCCTGATACTTCTTTACTCACCTGGCGTCATGGTGCATAGCTATCTTTCGCACAACAAAATATACCGAGCAGTAGTAAGCGAACTTCTTAAGACTGAACCACACCTGATAAGAACTGCATTGTCTGTAAAGACATATACAAACCAAGAGCTGTTTATCTCTTGCCCGAAAACATCTAGGTTTCATCTTTTGCTACTTTTCGCCCGACATTACAGAGGCTCCTAAGCGTCACGCCGCGACTCTTGCTTGGATCGTCAAGACCGCTTGATCTCTGGTTTCGCACTGAATTTCTTCTTTCTTCCGAGTCGACTATCGTTCTCACTAGTCTGACAATCGTCAGGATATCTCAATTCGTGTATAGACCTCGCAAACGCCTCTGCAAAGGCTGCTCCACGTTTGCGTCTAACACAGATACGCCCTCTGCGCAGAATCCAATTATAGACTGAATCTCGGCGATCCTGATTGAAGAGTGTTTAAGATGCAAAACGAAAACGCCCGAGATAAACCTCGTCTTCAAATTAACGTTCGCAAATCGCATCTACCAAGCATTGTCACAACAGCTACTCCAACCACTTCGTCCTCAACTCGTTTGGTGGGGAACGACCTGGTCAAGACGCCTCTTACGCCATCGGAGGCCCAAAGTATGATCATGAAGCAGTCTGTTTTGATGGGCAATATGCTCAGACCCACAAATAACGTACCGGTTGGAATCAAAGGTTTAAGTCCTACTGAGCTCCACAAGGTCCTGTCGGGACCTGATGCTAACAATATTTTGCTCATTGACGTGCGGCCGGTTGTTCCATCATCAAATACACGCATCAAAAATGCAGTTCCCTTGTGTGTTCCCTCTACGTTGCTAAAACGGACCTCTTTTAACATGGAGAAAATCGTCGAGCTCATGGGCAGCGACGTCAGAGAACGGCTGAACAATTTAGAAAAGGCAAAATACGTTGTGTTATATGATGAAGCCACTCTCGACTTAAAAACGTGTGGCCCCAACGCTTTGTACCATACTATCAGCAAAGTCCAAGCTTCTGGACGCGCAGATGGTCGTTTATATTTTTTGGAAGGTGGGTTTGGTCGCTTTAAGAACGATTTTTCAGAACACGTCGAAGATCTTCCCGAAGACTCTGCCACTACAGACTACACCTATTTCACTTCGCCCTCTTCCGGACCGAACTATTTATCGGGTAACAACAATTTGGTGTCGCCGGCGACGCCGTTTTCACTTAGGCCAGTACTGACAAGTTTGCGTTCGTCGCCAACTTGGGCGCGCGTTCCTCCAGCTACTGCAGTGGCTGCTGTCGATAATACCAACCTGACAGTACTCGACCTTGTCTGTGACATGAAAGACAGTTTGCCGTATTCGCTTCGACAGATTGTGGAGGAAACGCTAGCTGGACGAAACCCAATCGCTGAGAAATTCAGCAAATTACAGTCTGAAGAGCAATCTAGACTTACCCAAGCTTATTTTAGAGATGTTGGCAGCAACAACAGCTCTGCATCAACAAGCTCCCGTTTGCTAAGGACAGTAAACAGCAGCATCAACGCAAATGCCGTATCGCCATGCTTGAGCCCATTGCCTAAAGAAGATGATGGTTTCGAATATGTGCTGTATACTGGTTCCGACCAATCTAAAAATCGCTACAGTAATGTTTGCCCTTATGACCACAATCGCGTCCTGGTTGGTCAAGATGGCTATATCAACGCCAGCTATATTCGCACATCTATTTCCAAGCTACGATACATCGCAGCTCAGGCACCTGTACCGAATTCGTTTTGTGATTTCTGGAAAGTCGTGTTTGATCACCGGGTACCGGTAATTGTGATGCTCACTGCCCTTGCTACTCAAGGGGGACACGTAAAATCTCACAAATACTGGGAAGTTGGCGATTATGGAGGCGTCCAGATAACTTCCTTAGAGGAAGAAACCTTTGGTAATGATGGTGTCACCGTGCGCTATATTACTCTTCAGAAGGGCCCTGATACCCACAAACTTGTTCAAATGCAGTACACAAAATGGACGGACTTGGGACGTCCGGAAAAAGTTGAGGATGCCATCGAACTAGTCCGCCTTAAGAATCAATTACTGCAAGATTATAAGAACTCGGTCATCGGTTCTGACTGGGTTCTGGTACATTGCAGTGCTGGATGCGGCCGCACAGGGTCTTTCTGCATTATTGATTCCGTTATCGACTACTACAGAAAACTGCCGAGGTTTGACCGTGCGGAGGATACTAAAGATCATATTTACGAGACAGTCCATGAGCTGAGACGGCAACGACTGGGCATGGTTCAAGTTCAGCGTCAATTTAGTTTATGCTATGAGGCCGTCATTCTGTGGTACTGTAAACACTATCTGGCGGAAGAGGGCGATCTTGACAGCAGCTGCTCAGCGGATTCTGAACCTCATTAAATTCTTATGGTTGCCAGTTCGCGAGCACTTGGACACCCTGAGGATCCTGCCGCAACTTTTCTGTGAGCTGGCTCAAAAAGTTTCGCGTTGGCACTGTATGGATGGGTGTTTGGGCTCGGCGAGCACGTTGCCGCAAAGTCTCTGGAGTGAGGTCCCCATCGCCTTCTCCGGGGTAGCTGTCGACTTGATGATAGGCAGCTGCATCTCCGTTTTCTTCGCGTACTTCATCCAGAATTGATGTCCACATGTTGATGAATCTTTGTGAATTTTGCAAAAATAAGATAGGTGTAACATAGATCAAGCTAGAAACACCTAAAGCATTCATTTTCCGGTCCCCGGGCTCAGCAACAGACGCTACGATATTCAGCCACCCGTCGGTGATCTTCATGAGCTGGTCCTCGGTCAACAAGTGAGTGAAAAACGACGGGCTGCTGAAGGCCAGCCATGCAAAAACCATGTAGACTTTAGCGGCGCGAATGCCAGCAACGACATTACCCTCAATAATCCCAGCCAGTGCGATGTCCACGAGCAGTGGGATGAGTCCAGACTGAGCCAACTGTTCACCATATGCCTCCACAGGCACGCCGCTCGACACAACAACCTCTATGCTGCTCAGAAGACTCAAAGCAACCTCTACACTCGCTTGAGGTAAGTAAAGAGCTGAAAGGTTAAAGATACGCAGCATGATATTGCTGTCCGAAAGAATTGAAGGTTCAAGCTTCAGATAGCTTTCCAAAATGAGCAGCTCTTCGCCAACATGCTCCGTGGAAACTTCAAGCAGATCAACAAGGTTCGGGAACAGGCCAAGAATCATTGGGTGAGGTTCGGTCGCATTGACAACAATACTGCGCCATAACGCCAATGCATCCTCTAATAGATAAGAGATGAAGGGGGATTTGGGGTCAATTGATACTGATAGGCACTCTTGAGCTAAGGGATAGCACACAGGAGACTTGTCCCTGGTAGCGTCAACCAAACTCGACAATGTTTGTAGAATGACTGTTTTAAGAAGTTGATCCTCGGTCTTTTCATGCCACAACGGCGGAAGAATTTGAAGAATAGCTTCGATATATTGAGCACTGAGCTTTGTACCTAGAGCCCCAACAAAGACACTCAGATTCTCCAACAGGAGGCGTTTAATTTCGAGAGTAGACACTTTCCCGATAAGCTCGTAGATTTTTTCGAAATTTTGCTCGGCATACGGCATGAATTCGTCAACATTCGCATCAAAATCATCGACTGACACTTTTAACAAGTGTAGTCCTGCCAGCTGAACAATCAAATCATTGAGAGGATTGGAGCTGAAAATCTGTTTCGAAACCATCTCATAGATGAAGTGCCTGAAATTTTCATCCGACCGAATGGGAACCCAAGCAGCAATCATCAAACAGATGCGGCGTCTAATAATACGGTATGAATCCACAGAGACAGCATTCAAGCGAGGCACTAAGGCTTGCTCCAAAATAGGCTCTAGAGCAGTATGATTCACAAGAGTTCCAGCCCCATACTCGAGGCACTGCAAAGCACCATCAAGCTCGAGAACATCGGGAAGCTCAGTGCCATCCTTTTGCAAAACATGTTCGACATAGCGCAAGACGTCTTGTGCAAGTTGAGGAAAAGCCTTAATTAGTTGGTAAAAAAGAGCTTGAGCACAGGAGGATACCTTGAAGTCAACCGAGGCTTGACTATCGCGAATGATATAATCTTCAGGGTCGTCTTTCCAAAGTTCCAAATCGGCTGGTCGCAATTGGAACCAAGCACTGATCAAAGAGTACACAAGCTTGTCCAGTTTTTCGCGGCCGAATGCATCTCTGCTAACGATATCATAAGAATTGATAAGGTCCTGGCGATCTTGTTCATCGCGAGGTCGCATAGAAATTGGAAGCAGAGCTGGCGTAGCAGTATGCGGGTCGCGCGTTACCACATGCAGGAGTTCGCGAGTAACAATCATGCCCTGAATAGCAAGCAGATCGTAAAACTCGACTTCATCGGAAAGATCGTCATTCATACTGGCCTTGAGCTGTTCTTGCCCCTTGGAAATGAGGAACTGTTCGTAGAAATCTGCAATTTCCATAGATCTAGGCATCATGCAGAACGAAAGCGGGCGCTTTTGTAAAAGCCGAATGTAAAGCTTTCCAATACGACGCACTAATTTGCCAAGAATCTCAGCGTGCGAGCTTTGCCACATTGAATGGAGCTGGACCAGCATGTCTAAAGTCTTGCCGAAAAACGACCTGGCAGTGTCGAATCTATGCATCCTATCATGTCCGTCATAAATCAGCGTGCAAGTTGCTTTTAGAGCTGAATATGCAATGGCGAGATTATCATCAGACATGTTTTGCATGAGATGCATAAACATATCACCAGTAACTTGCAAAAAGTCCGGTGCAATCTCAAGTATTTTGGCTCTAGCCGGCCCAATTCTCACACTGGCCAATGTCTTGACCACCTGGTGGGTAGTCAGTAAAATGTTGTACAAACTCGAAGAATCGTTCTTGGACGCGGTGCTGATAATCGCTTCCCGAAGTTCGTCGAAAAGAGTAGGCCAGGTCCGGGGAAAGTCAAGCTTAGCAACTTTAGCCACCACCACGGCCAGCTGGCGATGGAGCATGGGCTCAAAGGGCTGGCAAGACAGAGGAAGTAAGCGTTCTCTGATAAAGTTCTTTTCTTCAGGCAACAAGTTTGAATTTGCCGACTTACGCCAGCAGTTGTCGATTGAGTTTTTCAGATAAATGACGGCCATCCACCGTACGGTGACGGGCAAAGAGCTGTCCTGATACGCCTCTAGAAGCTGGGATAGAAACCCAGAACTATTGGAAAGAGACTTGAGCTCAGCCTCACCTTGTTTCCGTTGCGTCTCATCCGTCTGACTCGTGGCATTTGTTAATGCCAGTATTAGCCCCTGGCCGGTCATCTGACGTAGGTAATCAAATGTATAACGTTGGTTTAACTAAGTTGGTGATATTTACCAGCGGTTCGATTCGTCTATAATCCGCAAATCTTCTTTATAGTTTAGTTCCTTCTTGATCTTTTTGACCTCTTCGGGGGGCCGGTATTTTTGGAAGCGTTGTCGCTCAGCTTGATGGCAGGGTAACCGTTAACCTTTGAGATCTTCATGACAATATTCAGCGGCTTTGACTTCACTGTGGGGTCGTCGCTATTGCGGAAATCATTGGATAGGAATGTTCCAATTCCAAATAATGGGATCAGCCCGTTGGCTTCCGCTGCGTGCTTGTACTTGGTACAAGTTTCAATGTTCAATGAATCACTGTACAAAATAAACTTTGTGTTGGCTTCGTAGCCAAGTTTTTTGTAGTGCTGGGCAATTAGCTGGGTATACTCGACGGGGTCGCCAGAGTCTTGTCTGACTCCAAGATACAAGTCGGAGTAAGGAGGTACAAATGTCTGCAAAAAGTTTGGCGTTCCAAATGTATCGGTCAGAGCGAAACCGGCAGCCTTACCCCCAACAGTGTCTAGCCAAACATCCATAGCCCTTTTGTTTGCGTTTTTGTAGTCCTGGTCGTAGGCGGCGATACCCATCATGAGCTCATGGGCCACGGTTCCAATAGGCTTCAAGCCAAATTCACGAGCAAACATAATGTTAGAGGTGCCAATTAGTTTGTTCTCATCTTCACGATTTCGGGCTCCATTAACAAGTCCCTGAATTACAAGTTTTTGGGTTTCTTTGGACCGCCGGCGACGAGTCCCAAACTCGGAAAATGAGCAGCCGATATCAAGAAGCTTTCGGCATTTGTTGAACGCTTGTAACTCTTGGCCATCAACTGTCCATTTCGTATCGACAAATTTAAAGTACGCCTCGCTCGCCAATGCCAGAATAGGAATCTCGTACAGAATGGTCGTGCTCCACAACCCGTTGACAGTAATGATCAGATCGCCGTTGTCCAGCGTGAGGTCTACCTCCTTCTTGGGGTTTAGTTCGACTTCTTTGAGACAATCAAGGTACTCTGCAGGTAAAAATGGTACTGCCGTTCGAAGATACTCAATATCTTCACTGCTAAACCTCAAATCACCAAGGGCAATCACCTGTTCCTTCAGCCATTCGAACGCACTTTTATTGAACTTCATGCCATCTGTACGGTTGCTCAATGTGTACTCAACGACTGCATCCGCAAAATGCTTGGATATAACCGCTTGCATTGTGAGTTTATACAAATCCGTATCCAACAGTGAGTCGATCATTGTGAGGAAGGTATGCAGTCGTATTTACTTAATAAGATTTATATGGATCAAGATGCGATGAGAGTCATGACCTTATCGAATAGAGCATCCAAATTGGTGCTGTCACCGTCAAACACCTTGTCAAATGAGTTAAAGTTGAGCACTTTGTCGACCTGTTCGTCCAGGACCATGTCGTCGTAATCGGCCTTCGACTCGACATAAAGGGTGGAAAGCGTAGATTGCAAATCGGGCTTGTTGGCAGATTCCGGAGCAACTGCTCCAGCTAAAATACTGATCACACCCCGGGTGCTAATAAAATAGTAACTTGAAGTTCCCCGAACGTGTCTTATAGCACTGATGGCTGTTGCATTGTCAATGATGGCTTTGGGCACCGGGCTAGCCGCGTCGAAAATCAAAACTTTCGATTGCAGAGAGTACTCGTTTGTCCAGTAGTTTACTACCAGAGCCATTTCATTGGTTTGAGGGTCAACAGTCATCAGCCGGTTGCCGTTCATGGCCATCTCCAGCCCAAGAGACCAGAGCTGATGGTGAGCCACGATATCCCAAATAACCAGGCTTGTTTTGGAAAGTGCTGCAAGATAGTTGCCCATGAAAGCAAGCCCCCGAACCCGCGAGGCCAAAATATTGGGCACTACCTGATGCACTTTGAATCTTTGTGCGTCGATCAAATAAACACTTGTCTCGAACCCAAGAGCAATAACGGACGAGTCCCGAGACCAGGCAAGTTGGACTGCTTTAGACTTGAGATTGAATGCGGGCAGAATCTTGCGGACAGACCAGGTCCCTGTGGACTCGTCTGGTCGCCACATACGAACTCCACCGTCCTCAGAAGCGGTAAGAACAGAACTGCTGCTGGCACTGGGGCACACGGTCAAAACACGCTTTCCAGCACCATGTGGAGAGGAAACACGGGTGGTTACAACCCACTTATTGGTTTCAGGATCTTGTTTCCAGAACCTCAAGTTCACTTTGAGGTCATGGCGGCTCATCAAATTGTCAACAGGCATTGGTGGTGTAACATCGATGGTGATCATATACTTTCCGTCATGAGTGAACTCCAAGCAAGTAGTGTCAGGATCAGGAAGCTTCTGTTCCTTGCGAACCTTACCTTGCTGGATGGTAGGAGCAACCGAGAACACTCCTTCCTGCTCGTCACGCGAAGGGTTATAGATTTGAACTTGGCATCCGGGCCCAGTGGAATCTTCGTCAGTCTGCATATCGCTGAACATGTAAACGCTTCGTGTACCGGGGTGAATGGTGAATTGGGTCGTAAAGTCACTGGCAAGCATACCTTCGGCGGCCTTGGCCTTCTTTCTCTTACGACGCTCTCGCTCAGGGTTTTTGGCCATATATGCCTTTGTCCCGGCGACTTGCAACCGAGAAGTGAGCTCGATAGCGGATAAAAACAACAGCTGCTTGTTTGCCAGAGTGACACCGTAAAGAGTGTTTCCAGTGTTTGAGCAGATTGAAGTAATATCTCCATCAAGACGGGGCAAGAACTGCTGGCGGTCAGTAGCAAGCTGCCAAAACACCAAGACCCGCTCTTTACCACCTGAGAGCAAATAATCGTCGTTGCTCGAGAAAAACAGTGCCTGCACTCTTTCCAAATGCCACTTGAGGGTCCGAATACCCTTGGAATAATATACATCGATAACACCAGTGGGAGCACCGACCGCTAACAAACCTTTGTTAGAAATAGCAATTGAATGCGTGCGTCTGTCACGATTGACCTTGGTAACTACTCTGGCAGGTACATTCACGCAAGAGATGATAGTATCTTTAGCTCTGCGGTAAGCGAAAGCCGCATGTTCCTTGTTGTGAGACAGGGCGAAAATATCGGCGTGTTTTTCAAAGTGGATCTCGTCATATTCGTTATCTGATCCCAAAACCGCAATACCAAGTCCTTCTGGTGCCTGCACCACAGCGGTAATCTGGGACTCCAAATCGCTAATGATATGGGCAATTTTTCTAGAGAAGGAAAGCCGGACGCTGCTGTTCTCCAAAACGCCAATCCTGTCAACATTTCCATTTCCTCGGACCACATAGAACGTAGACTCGTCTGATGTCAAGTACAACTGGGAAATATCAAACCCGTCAATGGGAATCTTTGCAACAACCTGCTTGGTGTTGAGCTGATAGATTTTGATCGCGAGGGCCGTGGCTACAGCAACCCGGCTGCGATCCTTGAAGAACACAGGATCAACGCCCGGGAATCGGCCACCCACAGACGACGTCACTCTCCATCGCGACGACGCTTCCATCTTTTCTATCGATATTTTTGCGTCGATGGAATTATTCAACTGTGGGAAAAAAAAAATTGGTTTCTAAGCTGCATATCGAAGCAGCACCCTAGCCCACGTTAAACCGCTGGAAAGAGAGGTAAAAAAGTGTATCATTATATACCCCTATAAATAAATTAGAACTGGTCATCTTCATCCATGTCAATACCTTTCTGCTGCCCGCGTACTCTCATACTGGCCAAGTCCTCTGCGGCTACCTGGCTCTGTACCTTGGCCTCCATTCTGGCGATCTCCTCCTCGGGGTCCTCAGCATCTGCCTGGGCATACTCCATGACCAGTCTACGTCCCAGCAAATGGGCACCCTTCAATTGTGTCATGGCGTGTTCAGCTTCCTTGGCAGTGGCAAATTCTGCAAACGCGAAACCACGAGCCTGCTTGTTGAACTTTCGAGGAAGACGCACCGAGCGCAGCTGGCCAAATGTGCCAAACAGCTCCATGACGTCTTTCTTGGTGGTTTCGAAAGGAATGTTTTTAATAATGATCTTGGTCGAGGCAGTTCCTTTGGCCTTGGTGGGGGCCTGGTCTGTGCCCCGATGCGAAAGCTTGATCTGGAGCTTGTGGCCGTCCATAACATGGTCCTGCAGAGCGTTCATGGCGGTAGTAGCAGTCTCGAGATCTTTAAATTCAGCGAAACCAAAGCCCATGCTCAACCGTTTACCAGCATTCTTGGGGTCCGGCTTGGTTTGAACCTGCGCTTTGACAAAGCCTGCCAAAGGTTTGAACAGGTGGGATAGCTCGGCCGAGGTCGTGGCAAAGTTGAGGTTTTTGATGAACAGGGAGGTGTGAACAAGTAATGCATCCTCGTCGTTATCGACAGTGAGCAGATCTGAAGCCGACTTCGCGGTGGTAGGTTTTTCGACAACTTGAGCGACTTCCTGGGTAACATTCTCGTCCAGCACTCCTTTGGGAGCCTTTTGCAAGTAAAGGATCGAGTTTCCAAGGCGACGGAAACTTAGTTTGGTGAAAGCTGTTCGTCCAGCTGAAGCAGTTTGATACTGCACAATTGCAAGACCACCATCGGGTGGCATCAATGTGCGAACGACTTCGCCGTACTGGGCAAACATATCTGAGATCTCTTCGATGCTTGTATTAAATGGAAAGTTCTTGACGAGAATCACTTTATCACTAGTTTCTTTTGTCGAGAATTTGTCGAGATCAACACCCTTTGATCGGAAGTATTCTTGAACGCTTTGCAAAACACTCGACTCTGCAAGTGCCTGCTTGACGGCCATGTTGCTTGAGGTAGGGTCCAGCATTTGCGACTTTGTGACACCGAGCTTTTTGGCAACAGTTTCCAAAACTGCATCCTGGTTGAGATAGAGCGAGTTCCAACTAAACTGTTGCTTGGCTGCGTTAGCCTTGCGCTTCAGCTGCTGCTGTTTTTTCAGGGGCAGCTGCTTGAGATCAAACTCATCGAGACTATTATCTTTTTTGGGCTTTGCCCCCATGATATGCATCAAACGGCCTTCGAAACTAGATCCATCGAGCTGGTGGTACGCGTGCAACGCATCCTGAGGATCTTCAAACGAAATGTATGCAAACCCTTTGACCTTGTCAGTGCGGCCATCAACGGGAACATGGACTTCTTTAGCATTGTAGCGTTGGAAAAACTTTCCAAGACTTTCCTCTGTTGTTGTGTATGAGAGATTTCGTACAAACAAGCGACCGGTCTCGAGGATCAAAGCCTCGATGTTGTCGACTTCTGGCTCAGACGTAGCCTCGGGATCTTCAGGTGCTTGGACGCTTTCAGGCTCTTGAGGGAGCTCTTCGGGCTTTTCTCCAGATTCCTTGATCCGGGTTTGTCTTTGACGAAGCCAATCAGCATCGGAAACTGAGGGGTCTTGAGCGATCCTTTCGTCGTCCTCGACCTCTGGCTCTTCATCAGCATCGCTCTTGGGGCTTTCGACAGCTTGGGATTTGACTTCAAAAGCAGCCAGCCCCACCATCGGTTCGTCCTCTGGCTTCGACTTTGCGGCTTCATCAGCGAACCCGGAAAAGTCTTCCATGTCTTCGTCTTCTGGGGCAGACGGCACAACCGTGTCACCGCGGCCATTTTGGGTCTCGTCGTTGCGCCACATGGCCACTTCACTTTGAGGTTTCATAACGTTTAGAAACTCCTCGAGCTTGTCGTCCTGTTTGTCTTCGATCTTGACTCTACGTTTGGAACCCGCCAGACGCTCTTTTTCTCTTTCCAAAGCATCATGCTTTCGCTTTGAGCGCTCGTGCTGCGAAACCAATGTCGAGTCATGAAGTGTTTTGGCCAATTCAACGCTAAGACGAAAAGTGTTCATAAATGATTCGTTAAAGTACTGCACGGCCGACAATGCGTCGTCTTCGTTCTTGTAACCGACAAAGGCAAACCGCCGCGAGGATCCGTCTTTCTTTCTCAGCAATTTCACATCTGTGATCAATCCTTTTTTCGAAAAATGCTCGCGGATCGATGTTTCCGTTGCCTTTGGCGGCAAGTTCTTGACGATAACTCGTGAAGACATGAAGTTGAAAAAAAATTTGGCAGGCCCTTATTCCTTGCTTATCTAATTCTTTTCAGCCCAGAGGCCAGAGCCATTTGGGAGGGGGGTGGCATATTGAAAATGGACAATTGACGAGTAATCGGGTGAGCAAAGTGCTGAATGAGGAGTCTTGTGAGTTGCATAGGAACTCGAGCTCGCGATGCGGGGTAGCCGATAAGGTATGACAGCTGCGGCAAGATCGGCTTTCGAGAAAACCCCAGCATTGCATAGTCAAATGTAACAAAAGACACAAAGATCTTCTAACGACAACCCCCATATACCTGTACAACCTCAAGCTGGCCGTAACCAGAAGATCACCTGAAACCGTTAGGACGCAAGAAACCTCGCAGTCTTCCGGTTTTCTCAATTGGTCGAATTAATCCGTTGGGATACACCAAGACATAACAAAATGCGGAGGATATGCACGACAACGAGGGTACGCCTGGGCAATGTTCAAGCGATTCCCCCCATCCGGCATGCACACGCAATTGGGAGGAGAGGAGGGGGCATCACGGTACAGGTGGGGAAGGAAAGAGCAGAACGAAGGCGCACGTGTACGCTGGATTTCGGTAATTTGAAACCTAATTGCTTGCTCCTCGGAGCCAATGCCTACCCTGTCGTCAGGGCCTGCTGAAATGTCGGGATTACCGGTTTAACTTACAAACCCAGCACCCCTGTATGGGAAATCACGTGTCGCGGCAGTTTTGTTGAGGATTCGGGGAAGAGTTATGAGAAGAGATTATGGAGGCCCGGTGCTACTGGAATTTAGGTCTCGGGCTTTATTCCAAATTTTCGTTTTATCCCGTAAATTTCCGCAGCAGATCAGGCCCGGCAAGGATCCGATCCATCCATAGCCGCGCTTCAAACCCTAAGCGGCCCTAAGCTCGCACACATACGTGAATTTGCGGGGTATGCAGGTTTGCCCACGTATATAACTCGGGATCTGTAGGGGTGTTTTGCCATCATCCACCTGATCGCTAAACAATTTTTACAATGTCTGGTCTTAAGCTTCAATTGAAAACGCCCAATGGCATCAGCTACGAGCAACCCACCGGCTTGTTCATCAACGGTGAGTTTGTGAAAGGCAAATCTGGCAAAACCTTTGAGGTTATTGCCCCCTACAATGAGGAAGTAATTGCCAATATCAGTGAGGCCGAGCCTGTCGATGTTGACGTTGCTGTCGATGCTGCTGAAGAGGCATTCAAGACTTGGGGGCACTGTGACACCGAGACTCGCGCCCGCGTCCTGTTCAAGCTCGCTGATCTCATCGAGCAGAAGACTGAATTGTTTGCTGCCGTCGAGTCCTGGGACAATGGTAAGACCATTGCTATGGCTACTGGAGATGTTGGTCTTGTTGTTTCTACTTTCCGCAACTACGGTGGCTGGGCCACAAAGATCACCGGTGACACCATCGAGACCGACGCCGACCACTTTACATACACTCGCCGCGAGCCTGTGGGCGTGTGTGGTATGGTCATTCCTTGGAATTTCCCCTTGCTCATGCTGTCTTGGAAGATCGCCCCGGCTTTGGCCTGCGGCTGCACCATGATCCTCAAGTCAGCCGAGTCCACTCCTCTGACCGCCTTGTTGTTTGCAAGCCTGCTTAATGAAGCCGGCGTCCCTAAGGGTGTTGTGAACATCATTTCTGGTTACGGTCCTGCCGGTGCTGCTTTGGCTAGCCACTCTCGTATCCACAAGATCGCTTTCACTGGCTCTACTGCCACTGGCCGCAAGATCATGGAGAGCGCAGCCAAGTCTAACGTCAAGAACATCACTTTGGAGTTGGGCGGTAAATCCCCCAACTTGTTCTTCGACGATTGCGACTTTGACAAATCCGTCAAGCTCGCGTTGGCCGCCATCTTCTACAACTCCGGTGAAGTGTGCTCTGCCGGCTCCCGTGTATACATTCAGGAGGGAATCTACGACAAGTTCTTGGCTGCTCTTAAGACCGAGGTTGAGAAACTCAAGGTCGGCAGTCCCTTCGACAAAGACAACTACTACGGTGCTCAGACCAACAAGCTGCAGTTTGACAAGGTCATGGACTACATCCAGAAGGGTGTGGAAGAGGGTGCCCAGCTGGTGACCGGTGGTAAACGTATCGGCAACAAGGGCTACTACATCACCCCGACGATTTTCGCCGATGTTAGCCACAGCCACACCATTGCCACCGAGGAAATCTTCGGCCCGGTCCTTGCTGTCTTCAAGTTCAAGACTGTCGACGAGGCCATTGCCCTGGCAAATAGCAGTGAGTACGGTCTCGGCTCCGGTATCCACACTGAGAGCTTGGACCGCGCTATTTATGTGGCCCACCGCCTCCGTGCTGGCTCCGTCTGGGTCAACACCTACAACGATTTCCATCCTCAGGTTCCCTTCGGTGGTTACGGAACTTCTGGTATTGGTCGCGAGCTCGGTAAGGAGGTTCTTGAGAACTTCACCGAAACTAAGGCCATTCGTATTGCCGGTATCCTTGGTGGACGCCTGTGATAAATATACATATATATATATAAATATATGGTTTGATATACTTGATGTTGTGCTAGTATCCGTAATTGCGTTTTACTGCCCGGTAAATCCTCAGCTTATGTAGTGCGATCATTTCACTTTTAATGTGTTCGCCCAGCGCGAGCGCCTTTTCGATATCCTCGGACTCTGTCAGCTCTTTCTTGCCTTTGAATGCCTTCCGCAGCTTGAAACAGAACTCTTCGTAGGGAATTGGATAGTCTTTGCCCATGTACAACAGCTCTTTGTAGAGATATAGCACTCTTGCTCGAGTCATTGTTAAGGCTTACAATTCCGGCTGACTAGTCTTTGAATCACTTATGAGCAACAGCGATCTGGTGGCTCAGTTTCTGAACAGTCCAGATGCGTTTGAACACATCTCGGAGTTGCGGCAGAAACTTCAACGTGAAAAAAATGTTATAGACAGCCAGTTGCAGGCCGGCGTGGTTGCTCAGGTGAAGCAGCTCACCGCCGGCATGGCTACATTGGGACAAGCCCGAGAACGCATTGATGCCGTGCAAACGGGAATGCGCCAACTATACAGCCAGCACACTGACTCGGTGCGATCGGTACGTGATTTTTCCAAGATCCAACAGCTGTCCACGGTAGCCGCGAACTTTGACCTCGCCCAAAAGTTTGTGGATAATTTCCAGACCTTGAAGCGCGACATTGACTATATCAAGTCTCTCATGGATGCCGATGGTGAATTCGACATTGAAAGCCGTATGCCTAACCTTCTGCCGGCCCATTATGCCTTGAGTCAGTTGCGCCAGGTTCAGGAACAGGCCCTCAAGTACGCCGAGCACTCTTCAATGGACGTTCGTCAAACGATCCGAAGGCATTTTGCCCCTCTGGATCAGCTCGTTGAGCGTTTCGATAATGTGGTGTTTGATATCGCCTCTTGTTTACTGGAGATTCTGGCCACTGGCGACCGATCCCTGGTGGTCAGAGTCGCTAAAATTATAGACTACGAGGAGCGACAGGACTTGCTATTCGATGTGGCTCAGCAAATGAAAACACCCAAACGTATGGCTGGGCTGAGATCGTCTGCATCTCTCAAACTGAAACCTGGCCAGCTTGTGCTCAACCACAAGCCACGGCATTACACCGAACGGTTTTTCAGAGCCATTGAGGCCTCTGTCAAAGAGATCTTTACCAACTGCATGACGCAATTCTCTCCTGAAACTGAGCCCGAAGAGTTACTTGAGAACCTCGATTGGATTTACAGCGACTTGCTCAAGGCCAAAACCCTGCTTGTTCAGTGCGTGCCCGAACGATGGGCTATTCTGGACAAATTTGTTGAATTCTATCACCAAGGAACTCACAGGTTACTGGATTCAATCATGCGGTTCGAACCGGCCGCCCAGACTCTGCTTTTGCTGTTACAGTTTTCAAAGGAACACTACAAACACATGGAGACACTGCTGAGTATCCCCAAGAAGCAACTGACGCCTCCTCTTTTGGATGGACGTGAGAAAGACCTCTACGACGATTATCTCAAACTTTTGGTGTCCAAATTGGACGAATGGTACAGTACAATTTCTGTCACAGAAAAAAGGCCGTTTGTTACTCGCTCAGTTCCTCCCGAAAAGCACAGCGACAACACTCTGGGCTTGGATGGTCATACCACCATGTTCAAACTCGTGTCACAGCAACTTGAAGTCGCAGCAGACAGTGGCCAGGGTAGGATTGTTGCCGGCTGTGTTGATGCATGCTGTGAAGTACTCAAGAAGCGTGAGAACGAGTGGATCCAAACCGTTCAAAGCGAGGTGCAAAGAGAAATCAGTGTGACTGATCCCGACAGTGAAGAGGTTCCGCGAGGACTGTACGAGTACATTATTGCTTTGGCCAACGATCAAAGTCGGGCCCATGACGATTTGGAAGAGCTCAGCAACAAGTGGTCTGCGCCGCTAAGTCGTAAATACGCCGGTTCTGTCCGTGCCAAGTTTGCCGAAGCTCAAGCCGGGTACTTTGAGGTCACAAAGGCGTGCATCAAAGGAATGCTTCGCATCATTTTCAACGATACCAAGCCAGCGTTTGAGAAACTGTTCCGGTCTTCGAAATGGTACAAAGGTGTCATCATTGGCCAGATCGTTGCCACGCTGGGCGAGTTCATGGACGATGCTCAAGAGCTCATGATTCCAGAGCTGTTTGACATTTTCACTCTGCAGCTTTGTCGCGAGGTCACCCTTGAGTATCTGCGGGCGATGATCCCCGCTCAAGGTGAAGTCAAATCCAACGGCTATGAGCGGGTGATTGAAGATATTGCCGCTCTTTACGAGCTCTTCAGCAGCGAGAGATACGAAATGGACACAGAAGAAATCCAGCAGGTCTTCAAAGTGCTCGAATGTTTGTGTGACACTCTCCAAACCGACTTGCCCAACATGTCCGACCGCTTCTTGCAGCTGCGCGAGTACTTCTGGGATGCGCCCCTTGATTTGTTCGAGCTCATGATGGGTCTTTCAAAGGCCCATGGCAAAAAGCAGCTCAGAGAAACTATTGCCAAAGTCCGCTTGGTCGCTGTGCAAACCCAAGTCGACACAAAAGGCAGCGACGACGAGCCGCGCCAACCAACATTTTTGCAGAACTTCCGAAAAGTCTAAACAGCATCCAAAAGTGGTATTTAGTTTTTGGCTATTTATACATTTATATATATATATCAATCGATTTCCATCGACTCGCCTTCAGGTTGCACGCAAAGATGCAGCCATTTCATCATGTCATATTCGTTGCAGATCTTCTCAATAGTCGCGTTGAAGTTGGTAAAGTCTGTGTGAAGCTTTTCCAGACTCGACGGCGTGGCCCAGGGGTAAAGCTGTTTGATTTCTGGTGCGTTGGTAGGCGCGCTCCAAGATGCCGGGTGAATAAGATGATTCTTGTTGGCTTCGCTGGATAGCGAATGTAAGGTTTTATAGAGCAGTGAATCTCTGAGCGTTTCTTCATTTACTTGCGACCAGTCTGTATGAATGATGGTTTGCTGAGCCAATAGATTGGCTCGTTGTGAAGGAGAGCTCAAGAGAGAGAACGCTCGGGCAAAATTGTCTTCACTCCCTGGGGTTTTCATAGGGACAAAGGTCAGCAGATCGATAACATCTTCCGTTTTGAGATGAGTGGTCTTCAGTTTCGGTAAAAAGTGAGATAGTAACTCGTTAACACCATCGTGTTTTGTTCTCAAATAATCCCCTGCAGATTTGTATTGACGCTGTAGCTCCAGTTGCGCATTAGACACCTCAAGAACGGTGTTGGCAGATTCTTTGAGATCCACGTCACCAGCTTGAATAGCGCACAACTTTTGGAGACTCGCAATGACCCTCCTCTCTTGAACAGATGTTGGGGTGTCAACAGCTTTGCGAAGAATATTAGCCGCGCGCTCAGTGTCATTTTGGAAGAATGCCAACACCCAACCTTGGCGGTACAATTGCTTTTCCTCGACATAACGGGCCAAGTATTCTGGGTGACTCCTCAAAAACATTTGGAAAACTGTCTTGATATCGTTATTATCTCGCAGCTGGGTGAAAAGGACTTCTGCAAACTCATAGCCGAACCTGGAAATATACTCCTCAAGCTGAGCTGTCTGTGAAGGAGTTGGTTCCGGGCTCCATGATTTCGCGACTAATCTTGCTAAAGGCTCAACCACGGCAAATGACTCCGCAATTTGCATGGCAGCAGGGAAGTCAACATCCGACAAAGCCATGATGAGATTACCTGACTTGACCTTGACAGATTGGACAACGTTCTTGTACTCCTGCCTATCGCCTTGGCTTTCAAGGTATCCCAAACGCAGTTTATAGGCTCCACAAACTGCCTGGACAGCTTCAGCAACTACAGGGTCGATCTCCGAAGCAGCCCTTTCTAGAGCACTTACAAGTTCACGATTAGCGGGCCAAGGGCACCGTTTGGGGAATTTTTCTGGTGTGCCGACTACTCGAAGTGCATTTTGTGCGGCCAAGACGCCAGCAAATCCAAGGGCGGGTGCGGTACTCAGAAGCGAAATCAAGAGAGCAGGGGTATTTCCAACGTCTTTAACATGGCTTGAACTCATCGTCTTGTCAGTGATTGCCTCTGCAGCAGTGAGGATTGCCATTTCTTCTGTGAGCCACCAACGAGTGTCAGGATCAACCGGAACATCAGTGCCCTCAGGAAGAGGAGCACCATCGACGACGGTGATCAGCATTCTCAGCCATTCAGCGCGTAACAACAAAGTACTCTTGGCATCACCTTTAGACTCTAGCGATGAAATATTTTTGACAGTGGCAACAATGGCCTCATTAATTTCAGCTGGAGAGCCAAGTGGTGTGTGGGGCTGTAAATCCAACGGCAAAATAGAGGAAGATTGAGATATCGCAACTTGAATTCGACTTTGAGGTGTAGGAAGCGTCAGCCGGTCATTTAAATGAATTTCAAGGATTCCAGCGGTTGTCACAACCTCAAGACCAGCACTCGATGTTCCAGCACCGAAAATAGAGACATTGGGTTTAACAAATAGTGCATCCTCGAAACGAGCTTTGTGGGCTTCTGCCGAGCGCTCAAGAAGAACCACGGCGTCAGAGAAGCAAGCAAAAACGATCTTGTCACCAACAATAAGTTTTGCAGGTGATTGTTCCGTACTAACATAAGATTGCAAGCGGTGTAGTGAGGATGTGGTGACATTGGAGGAGTTTTCAATTTCAGCAAACCCTACTAGCCAGAACACGCTACCTTCGTGGTGGAAAGACGACAAGATGTACAACTTGGTGCCGTCGACTTGAATATCCTGGATTCTGAGGCTCCGGTCAGCTGCAGAATACAACAGGCACAAACCTTTATACAACAAGGGAACCAGTTCTGTCTCGGAAATTAGTTTGGCTGTACCCTGAGAGCTGCACTGCCAGGTCGACATCTGTCCGTATTTGTTGCAGATATACACAGCTCGCTCAGATTCGTTGATTTGGGCCCCTGCGACAATGCTAACGATTTCACGATGATAACTGCGGGTGATTAATGTGTCTTTGATGGCCAGCAAACCGCCACGAAAACTTCTCATACGACTAACTGAAATTTGCGGCTTGCCCAAACCATCGCGCAAAGTCACCAGATAGAACCTGCCAGCAGACGACGTACAAATAAGACCGACTTGGTCAATATACACAGCGCATTCAATAGTCTCGTTTCCGTGTAGTCGAATGAATCCCTCAATAGAGTTTCCTTGGCTAAACAGCCCGTCGGCCACCGATCTGCCCACTGACTCCCACATAATTATTGATCCAGTTTCATTGTTTACAAGGACAAATCCTGGTTCTGTGGCAGCACCGAAAGGTGGAATCAGCACTCCTGTGGTTGACTCGGGCACATTTTGGCCAAACTCCAGAGAAAACGGAACGGATTCACTAGAAACATAGGACCAAACAAAGCTAGAAGTGGAGGTGTTTAGCAGAGCAAACCCAGTCGTCGGGTCAATCTGCGCGCTCGCACCAACACTTTCCTGGTGCTCTAGAAATACAGGTCTCCCGGGAAGCATATTCACGCGGTAACTGTCCGTCGAGATCAGATTCGGGCGAGGAACGCTCTGTATTTTGCCCAGCGGCTCGACAACCGTGTCCTGCGATGGCTTCACATCAGCACCCGCAGGTGCATTGTTCAATTGCCCAAACTTGGGCTTCTCGAACGTAGACAACCTAACACTACGAAACGTCGACATTCTTTTGTGGACACCTGCTCGAGGTGTTTGTGTTGGGAAGCTAAGGGTTTGGCAGCAGCCGGGGCCCTTTTTGGATTTGTCAGGGAATTTTTTTTTTCAAAAGTATTTTCCACATGCTGAGAACTGTTAAAGCGAAAAACGCAAGATCGAAGCGTGCGATGGATGGCCGGGCACCCAAGGTTGTGGAGAATACGAAGCAAGCGTTGTTTGTTCCGGGTGCCAACTCCAACAAGCTGCTGCACGATGCGATGGTTGATTTGTGTGCGCTCAAGAAGCCTGATGGGAAGCGATTCCAGAAGAAAAACGACGTCCGGCCGTTCGAGGACAGTTCTTCTTTGGAGTTTTTCTCGGAGAAAAACGACAGCTCGCTGCTGGTTTTCTCGTCTCACAATAAAAAGCGTCCCAACACCCTGACGTTTGCCCGCACCTTCAACTACCAGATCTACGACATGGTCGAGCTTAGCATTGTCCAGGCCAAGTTGCTGCAGGAATTCAAAAAGACCACATTCCACGTCGGGCTCAAGCCCATGTTTACTTTCAATGGCGAAGTGTTCGAGTCGCACCCCACTTTTATTCAGATCAAGTCACTGTTCCTTGACTTTTTCCGGGGCCAAGAAAGCGAGGCATTGGATCCGGCAGCATTGCAGCATGTCATTTCCATCACGGCCGAGAATGTCGACGACGACTCTCCTTCGCTTCCTCTGGTTCATTTCCGCGTTTATCTTCTCAAGACATACAAGTCGACCACACCCAAGGTCCCACGAGTTGAGCTTGAAGAGATTGGACCCCGGTTTGACTTCAAGGTCGGCCGGACCCAAGCGGCTAACCCTGATATGGAGAAACAGGCCATGAAGCGGGCCAAGATCGAAGAGAAGACCAAGAAGAACGTAGAGACCGACATTATGGGCGACAAGGTTGGCCGCATCCACATGGAGAAGCAGGACTTTGGCAAGCTGCAGACCCGCAAGATGAAGGGTCTGAAGCGTCAGTTCGACCAGGTCAGCGAGGAGGAAGACAGTGGAGAAGAGGAAAGCGGAGAGGACTTTGGAGAGTTCTCGGATTGATCTATTTAAGACACTTAGAGGTATAATATATTTAGGTTTTGGCTGCTGCAGCATGCTTGCGTTCTTGTGCATTTACGCAAAGCCGTAGCAAATTGCGCAAAAGCATGGTAATGGTGACCTTGCCGATCATGGGGACGTAAAGAGAAGCCCGCTGCTTGACCTCGGGGCTGAAGTTCTTTTCAGACGAGAAATTCACACACACGGCTCCGTTCTTGATAAACTCAACGGGGAATTTATAGTCTGGAGATGGAACACCGGTAATGATCACGTCGGAAATCTTGGCAGCATGCTCAAGGTCCAGATCGGTCTCAGACACCACGTGCTTGACATGACGAAGCCCTTCACCACGAGTATACTTTTGCACGCCGGTGATATCGACAGAGTAAACTGTGGCACCATCGTTGGCAAGTAAAGCGGCAAGAGGACGGCCGACGATCTCGCTGCGGTTGACTACAGTCACTGTCTTGCCGTACAGTCGATTTCCATACGGCAGGATAGCGTTGTACACGCCCAAATATTCAAGCACTTTGACGGCGGCCAAGGGAGTGCAAGGCAGAATACTCTTTTGGGTCTGTGCCTCATCAAGGAACCGCACATTCTGGTACATATTCTGGATATAAATGTGGCTAAGACCCTCGACATCTTTCTCTTTGGCAACTACCTGCTGAAGATACTGATCCTGGGTTCCACCAAACACCGGGAAATAAACGAGGATGCCGTCTACAGCGCTATCGTCGTTTGCATCCAGAATAGCCTCTTCGAGGCGCTCCTTGGGCACTTCGCGCAGCTCATAGCCAAAGCCGAGCTCCTCGCAGGTCTTGCCCGTCCAGTCTGCATACATTCTAGCGGCAGGATCGGCATTGGCAAGGAAACCGACCAGCACAGGCTTTTTCTCCAGCTGTTTCACGCCGTCTTTCAGCTCCTCGGCAAACGGCTTTGCGATTGAAGACGCCAAAACGGTCTTGCAGGCTGTGGGCACAGACATGCTGAGATTTTTAGGAGGTTTAGGTAATAATTTTTTCGGACGGTTAATAGGTGGTCTGCAGAGTGCGCAGAATCACATGGCAGGCTTGATAAAAGAACGCCGCGACGGGGCTCTGGACAAAAAGACGCCTTCAAACACCCGTTTGACCGGGGCACACTGCCGGCTGATAGGTATGTGTATCACGTGACCGCATAAGCTCTTATTACGAAATCGTATACGACCGCATTCTACCTGTCAACGAAATGCGTCGCCAGCCAGAAATGGCCGAGGTGGATCGAACCGAATATGTGTTTGGGGAGAACGGAGGATTGGGTGCGCCGTCGTCCTCCTTTTTCCGCAGAATTGCCAGCATGGCCCCCCAGCCGTCCGACGAAGACGAATCAGATACCTTCCAGCGGACAGTTGGCGCTGGGTATACCTACGCGGACCAGATTGCACCGAACAAAATTAAGCGCACCAAGTCACGGCAGGACAAGCACAAAGGCCGGCGCGGGTCGTACTTTGATCTCGACGATGATTGGGACGCCAATGTCGAGCACAACCTGGTGGATGGGGCGAAGTTCAAAAAGAGTTTGGCGGGCCAAGCGATGGAGTCGGCCGAGTCACTGGCCTTTGCCGAGTGTGAGGAAATGAATAACCGCATCTCCCGTATCCGGCGTTTCCAAGCGGTGCTAGATGCACCCATTGTTGATTTGGCCCACCTCAAAAAGCTGTCGTATACAGGCGTGCCCGAGGAGCTTCGTCCAAAGACGTGGCAGCTCCTGTTGGGATACTTAGCGCCCAATGGCGAACGTAGAGAGCGGACCCTTGCTAAGAAGCGCCAAGAGTACCATAATGGCGTGCAGCAGGTGTTCAACACGGGGCTCGACGAGCAGATGTGGCACCAAATCTCCATTGACGTGCCGCGAACCAACCCGCACATCAAACTATACTCGCATCCGATTATCCAAAAGGCACTGGAGCGCATATTATATCTATGGGCTATCAGACATCCCGCTAGTGGCTACGTTCAAGGAATCAACGACTTGGTGACTCCGTTCATCCAAACATTTCTACAGCCCCATGTTGAGCATGCCTCCGTTGACGATCTGGACCCCGAAACGGTGCCTCAGCAGTCGATGCGAGACATCGAGGCCGACGCGTACTGGTGTCTGACCAAGCTGCTTGACGGCATTCAAGACAACTACATCCACGCCCAACCGGGCATTCACAAGCAAGTCGCTCAGCTTCAAGATTTATGTACACGGCTGGACCGTAATCTTGTTGAGCATCTCCGTTCAGAGGGCATTGAATTCATGCAGTTCAGTTTCCGCTGGATGAACTGTTTACTTATGCGTGAAGTCCCCATGGGCTGTACCATCCGCATCTGGGATACATACATCTCGGAGGGCCCGCAGGGATTCAGTGCGTTCCACGTCTACGTCTGTGCGGCCTTCCTCAACTACTGGAAGGAGCAAATCAAAGTCAAGGACTTTCAGGACATTATGGTATTTCTTCAGGCCTTGCCCACGGCAGATTGGACTGAGAAAGAAGTGGAACTCATCCTCAGCGAAGCGTTTCTGTTCCAAACCCTTTACAAAACCGGCTCTGCCCATCTTAAATAATTTCATGCTTTGATCCACGTAATAACAACAATTCCATTTGCTGAGGGTGTTTCGACCCGGTAGGTCCAGGTGCCGTCGTGGAGCGGGTCCCAATGGGCACCGGCTACGGTTTCTAGATGGCCGCCGGTTTTTATGGAGCTGTATGTCACGAAGAACTTGAAGTTTTGCGACTCTGGCCGGGCCACCAGCTTGGCAATCAGCTCGGTTACGACCTGGTTTGCGTCGCCCTTGGAATCGGCAAAGCACTCGTCAACAATGCTCCGCAAGTCACTCTCGTGAATTGGCTTTTAGTTAGTTTCCTCCCGGCTCAGCATGCCTCCGCAAACTTACGCTTGTTTTCGAGAGATTGTTGGTGACAGAAATCATGAATAATCAGTCCAATGTAGCGATCGGAATAAATTATGTACAGAAGCTATTCCACTATGACATTGAGCAGTTCGCCGGTGTCATAGGTTTCGCCAGAGGTCATGTCGACGACTGCGCTGCCAGTGACCGAGTGCAGTCCCCGGGACAGGGCCTTGAGCCGGATTTTCGCCTCAAAACTTGACTGAGGGGCCATGTGCCCGATCCGGAGCTCATTGGTCAAGGCTATGACCCCGCAGTCAGCATGCATAGCTTCTGTATTTTGGATAACGCGTTGTCGTAAGGCCGGAAGCTCAGCCACAAGCGGCCTTTCGTCTAGGCGGGGCACGGACGGCCGAGACGGCTCTTTGGAGTGGAAATAAACACACAGTTTGCGAGAACGATGAGATTTGTTCACCACCATGAGGACCCATTCAAACTCCTCGCCCAGCTTGACCTTGTTTGGACCCTTGTACGTCATGGTGATGCCGTTCAAAGGACTTCGGGGGAGGCTGCGCACCGAAACCGCGTCTATGTCGCTGGCTGCTCTCGGGGTCGAATTGAGGGTCGGCGTTTTCGGTAGAGGGCCCTTGATGTCATCGAAATCAACAATCGATGTCCAAGTAGTATCAATTGTGGCCGGAGCAGTATCGTCAAGAACCGTATGGCGAACTTCAACTACCAGTTCTCGACGGTACCCATGAGATAGCACACAGTCAATGTTGTAGCTAAATGCACATTCTCCCGACTGTGGCAGAATAATCGGCAACGGAACCTGTCCTAATGGTGATATCGTACCAGCGCTATTCATGGTCATCCCGACCTCCTCCACTCGGATTCCACGGGCGAGTTTTTTGTCACAAATTAAGATGAGTTGAGCAAGAGTAGTATCACGTTCACCTTCACGTGGCGGTCTAACAGTTTTTAAATTAAGTGTTAGCGATAGATCAATCGGAACTCGAAGAGTCTGTTTCTCCAACTCCACAGGTGGATTCTCATTTTTAACGACCTTCAAGTCAGGGTTCATATCTTCCATCAGAGCTAAGAAAGGCGACGCCGCATTCACAGGCTGTAAGCTATCGAGAACCGGGTCGCTGGGCTTGTCTGGCAGCTTGGGTCCAATCGCTGCTGCCGAAAACTCAACAACAACATCCCCTACGTTACGGTCAAAAAGTGGGCGACGGAGATGGACCTCTGTATTCCAAATTAAATCATCATTTTCACCTTTTTTGGCATCCCCAACATCAAGTTGCGACTCTAACGCGGTAACAAACTCGTGCTCGTCGTTCGTCGTGGGATTGGGCACACTGAGCTTGGCGACAAAAACAACACCCAGTTTCAGACAGTTGATATGGGGTCCAGAATAATGGACTCGCACAACCAGCCGCTCATCGTAGAAGACGCCGGCATCTTCGGTCTCGATGCAATCCTGACCGCGAAGTAGGGCCAGCGTCAACATGACAAATTGCGGCCTGAAGCAGCGCTCAAACACCCTCAGCCAAACATATGGGTCCTCAAGTATAACAGCAAATGCATTAGCCCTTAATCCACCGAAATAGTGTTTTTTAGACCTTCCACACACCAAGACCTCGTTTATGCAGTCATCGGTTCATGCATATCCGCCCATGCCTTCTATAATGTTCCAAGCCCTGACATATAATCCCAAACCATTGCGTAACCCAAGCTTTCTCATTAACATACAGACAAAATGAGTCGTCTTCCAACCTCGAATACTGACTGGGATACCCAAACCGTTGTCGGGTCACGGGCCCGCGTCGGTGGCGGTGGCCCCCGAGCTACAGTTGCCCGCTCCCAAGCTGAGATCAATGCCGCCCGCCGGTCGGGCAACGTTCTGGCAGTTGAGAAGAAGTTCGCCGCTGGCAACAAATCTGGCAACCCCGAGGGCCAGCGTCTAGCCAAGATTGATCGTGATGATAACGTTGCTCCTCCTGCCAAAATTTCGGCCGACGTCGGTAAAGCTATTCAGAAGGGTCGTCAGGATAAGAACCTCACTCAAAAGGACCTTGCTACAGCTATCAACGAGAAGCCCCAGGTCATTAACGACTATGAGGCCGGTCGTGCTGTTCCTAACCAGCAGGTTCTCGGAAAGATCGAGCGCAAACTGGGTATCAAGTTGCGCGGCAAGGATATTGGTTCTCCGCTGGGCGGCCCCAAGAAGAAGTAAACCTTATGACATTTTTTTTAAAAGTAGCTCAAATCATTTCGCCCTTCTTATAGAAATAAACCAAAACGGTATAGTCTTGAACTCCATGCGAGTCTTTTATACCTCTTTCTCCGCTTTGTCTTACCTCAGCTTTGAAATGTCGTTTACTATTCCTACTGGTCAAAAATTCGATTCCGCTGAGGATATTGAACCACTGCTTGCAGACCTTAAAGATGGCGTCAAAGTCGCTAACTTTGGTGGTAGTTCATATGGTGTTGATGCCTGTGCTGCGGTTGCAAACAAACTCAAGACCGTCAAATCTCTTGAGGTTGCAAATCTCGACGATATGTTCACCGGTCGCCTAAGTTCTGAGATCCCTCAATCAATGGACGATCTCCTGTCGGCAATTGTAGAGCTTCCTAATGTTCACACTGTTAATTTGTGTGATAACGCGTTCGGTATTGCCACCATTGAACCTCTAGAGAAGTTTTTGGCTGCTCACGTGCCTCTCGAGCACCTCCACCTCGCAAACAACGGATTCGGTCCTGAAGCTGGATCTCGGGTCGGAAAGGCTCTTGAGCACCTTGCAGAAAAGAAAAAGGCCGCGAACCACCCTGCCAAGTTGCGTACAGTTATTTGTGGTCGTAACCGTTTGGAGAATGGATCCATGGCTGCTTGGGCTAAATTCATCAAGGCTCATGGCACCATTGAGGAGATTCGTCTCTACCAGAACGGTATTCGCCAAGAAGGTATTGAGCTTCTTATGCTGAGTGGCCTGGCACATGCCCCCGAGCTGAAGAAGCTTGATTTGCAAGATAACACTTTCACAAAAAAGGGCTCAGTTGCCATGGCCCAGGTCATTAGCAAATGGCCTCAGATTGAAGAAATCACCGTCAGCGATTGTCTTCTCTCAGCCAAGGGAAGTGCGCATCTCGCCCAGGTCATGAAAAAGAGTGACAATCTCAAAGGTTTGCGACGACTCCGTCTCCAGTACAATGAAATCAATGAGAAAGGTCTTGAGCATCTCGTGGATGCTATTGAGTCTTCTATGCCTGAGCTTGAGCTCCTTGAACTTAACGGTAACTGCTTCAGTGAGGATCACGACCTTGTTGACAAGCTGCAGACCCTGTTTGAGGAGCGGGGAACCGGTGAGCTCGATGAACTCGACGACATGGAGGAGGAAGACAGTGACGCCGAAGAAGAAAGCGACATTGAACTTAATCACGAGCTCGAGGCTGGATCACGGGATGCTGCTTATGCTGAGGATGAGCCAGTCGCCGCTGAAAAGTCCGCTGAGGTTGACCAGCTTGCTGATGAACTCGCCAAGTCGACTATTTAAAGTAATTAACCACCTTGCATAGAGCTGATAGTCGGTCCTACTTTGCTTTCCTCTCGCGTTTTTCGAGTATATGGTCTTTCCTGTACCAGGTTTTTTCCAGCCATTTTTGCATCGCCTTAGGCTTGTTTCCAATGTCAGTAATAGCGTGTTTATTGACAATTATTGTAACTTTCCACAACTTGCGCGAGCAAATAAACTCACGCCAGGTGGGTACTTCTTTGCGGAAAGGTCTTGAAACTGCTTGATACTGGACGGTGAGGTCATAGACAGTCGTTATCTCCGAGTGCCTAAAATACTCCACTGCCTGAACAAAAGCTGGGTATCTCGGATAAAGCAAATGTTTCAGCAGAGGGGCACCTGCTGCACAGCAAATCAGCTGGTGTTCACGGTGCGATGCTGGGTTGAACTCATTCACTTCTGGGAACAGCACAACCCATTTAGGCCCAGATCTCGGGGCTTTATGGGGGACATCACGGAAAACGTAACTGAGCATATGTGAAGGAGCAGTCCAATTACCATTTGCTCGCCACACACTCCACATAACTGGCAGAGTCGGTAGCTTTATTAGTCTACGGTGAGAAAAAAAGAAATAGTTGTTCCCCACCCCATGTTCCGCAGCAAGTGTGGTTACTAGCGGGTAGTCCAAGCTGGATGAGTGGTTCAGAATAACTATTGCAGATTCATTGGGGTCGATTTTATCGCCTATCAGCTCGACTTCAAATGCTTTATTGATCAAAACCTTGAACCCACTCTGCGCTAACCCAGATACCCATCCCCGAACTGCAGCTTGCACAGAAAACGGCAACACCCGTGTGACAGGATGTATAATGAATGCAAATATGAGCATCAGCGCAAGGATTGATCCTGCAAATCCATAAGCCGTAATAGCCTCACTAGTGGGGATCATAGTGAGAACGTGTAGCAGGTACAACAAAGAAAGATTTATCTACAACAATAATATTAAGGTGAGCAAACGACGATTTGCTTGTCGCTCACTCGTACTTTTACAAAGGGAGTATGGTTAGTACTGGTCCTGGATGTTTTGATAGGCCGTTGCATGTGCTTGAGGCACGAGGGCGGCGGTGCCCCAAGTGGTGAGATGCTGCTAAGCCATTGGTTATCAAAATCAAATGTTTCGGTGATATTATTCAATAATGGAGCTCCAAATGCGTTACCAGTTGGTCTCACTCTCATTCGGACCGACATGCGGTGGGTTGCCTTTTTTGAGGTGGCATAAGATTTCAGTTTCAGTCCAGGCGAGCAACGATTGCTGTCGAGCGGGCGCATTGGCTGAAATTCGGGAATAAGTTTTTTAGTTTCATATGTTTGAAGTGGTTGGATGGGTTCTTGATGCTCGACCTCTTGGACCAAGGGCTCGGGTTTTTCAAAACTGAACAACTCGCTATCTGGCGAATCAAGCTTCTTTGGTATCCATAGAGTGTTTAGTTCTGTAAGTGAAGCATCTGAAGGGCTGACATCGTCGAACAGTGGTTGCAAGCTGACCTCGCTGATCCGCCTGAGAGTCTGCAGTCGAGGCGGTGGTAGTGGCATTTCAGTAACACTTGGAGGTGTTGGTGGGAAAGAGCAGCTCGACAAGTGCCGCTGGTCTACCAGTTTAGGATTCTGATAATCCGGGAATTCAAAGGGAGGCATCGGCTCCGCAGGGGCTCTGGAAGCTTGGAGGTCGACCGGGGCAACAATGGACACGCGCGATTTCCGGGGCATTGTTTGCACTGCCCTCAAGTTAATAGGCAGAGTTGTTATGTGTTCGCCGGCATCGTGTTCGATATTCCAGGAACAGCGCTTGGACCAGAGGTGGGCGTTATTTTTCAAGCACACACTGCTAAAGTTGGCAAATAAGTCGTCGTCGGGATCGAAAGCTGAACTATCGAAAGAATCCATTTACGAAAGCGTGCTAGTAAACGCTTTTGATACGGGCAACCGGACAGTGGGTAAGTTCAGAAAAGAGGGCGAACTGAACCACCCAGCATGATGTACGCCCACGAACTCCGTAATTGGTAACTGGAGTCATTGCGCGTTTTAAATCTATTCAATGCTATTTATTCGCCGTCTATCGAATGCGGTCCACGTCCTATATCAACCTTCTACTTCAGCCCGGTGCTGATTAACCATGCGACCGTGGCTGTTGTTGAATGTGATTGCCAGTGCGGCGGCATTTCAAGATACGTCGCCGTTTATTCTGGTGTCGAACAATCGTCCACTAGAAGAACGTCCATCTGGAAGCTCTCATGAGTTCTCTGTTGACTGGATTGAGTCTGCCATCATGCTCAAAGCACTAGAGTCCTGTCCCTACAAGGCGTATGTGTTTGTGAACCAACCAGAGGTTAGCGAGCGGGAAATCACCAAGAAAAACACCCCGTTTTTGGAGCATATCGTGTCCTCTTCAAAATCCCGTGAGCTGTTTGCCACGGTCAAGGATAGCGCCAAGTATCAGGGCTTGGCCGAGGGCTGGGTTCGTGAGTATTGCGATGTTACGCACATCGAAGTGGATCCTGAAACAGGCATGTATGAACACTATGTTGATGCTGGTGCGCGGATTGTCACGCTGGATTTCCCCGACGCCGACGATCTGACCAAGAACGACGAGGTCCTGAAGAGAGCGGTGTCTGGCCTAGCGTCCGGAGACTTTTTCCTTTCATATCGCACTACCCCAAAGATTAAAGATGTGTCCATCGACAAGCCGGAGTCAAAGGGTCCCATTGAGGAGAAAAAGTACCAGTCTTTGTTCCAAAACTACACGTACTTTTCCCCTGCCATTTTCATGGGTACGATTGTCGCGGGCCTTGTCGTTAGCGTTTTGTTTTTGGCTTTGAACGCAGTCAATTCATTGGCAATCACCCCGAAAGCTTTTGAAAAGCCTCCCTCGAGTAAAAACTGATCTGCAAACCGTCGCAATCTGTAAGTATTTTGTTTATAATATATTTGACCATTTACAAACGGGCCCGTGGTTGAGAAGAGGACGCTTTGACAACCTGGATGATATGGTCGATAACAGCCGGCTCACTCAACGTGGAGAGGTCGCTGAGTTGATCCTCTTCGCCACTGGCAATTTTACGCAAAACACGACGCATAATCTTTCCTGAGCGGGTCTTGGGCAAGTCCTTCACCAGGAACAGTCTCTTGGGCACCGCAAACTTGCCAATGCCCTTAGCAACATGTTCAATAGCGTGCTCGACTACCTTTGCGTGTCCCTTATCTTGGAAGTGCGGCTCAAGGACAATAAACGCGTTCAAAGCCTGTCCGGTAACGTCATCGTTGACACCAATGACCGCGGTCTCTGAAGCAATGCTAAGGTTCTCGGCCTGAGCAGTCATGATTGCGGATTCAATCTCGGCAGTAGAGATGCGGTGGCCGCTAACATTAACCACATCGTCGACACGTCCAGTAATGAAAATGGTGTTATCCTTGTCAAAGACCGCTCCGTCGCCGGTAAAGAAGTAGCCAGGGAACGGTTTCAAATAAGTCTCCTGGTATCGCTGGTGGTCACCGCGCACGGTTCGAGCCATTGACGGCCAAGGGTTCTTGAATACAAGTGTACCTTCGGCGGGTCGGGATGTAATTTCGTGGCCCTTGTCGTCAAGAAGCTTTGGTTTGACCCCGAAGAAAGGCATACCCGCTGCACCAGGTTTCATATTTGACACGCCGGGAATTGTAGTGAGCATGACCATGCAACTCTCGGTCAACCAGTAAGTGTCACAGATAGAGCACCGGCGACGGCCAACCTCGTTGAAGTACCACTCCCACACATCCTTGGCAATAGGTTCACCCGCAGTACCCAAGCAACGCAAAGAAGAGAGATCGTACTTTTTGATTTGACCCTCGTCATGCTGTCGAAGGAGTCGTAGAACAGTTGGAGCAGTATACAGATGGGTGGCCTTGTGACGGTCGATCACATCGAACAACCGCGTAGGTGTGGGATGTAACGGGGTAGACTCGAAAATAATAGTGGTAGCATGATTGAGCAACGGGCCAAAAATAGCATGCGATAGGCCAAGGACCCAACCAACATCTGCAGCGCAAAAGTAGACGTCGCCTTGCGAGACTCCAAACACGTGTTTCGAAGAAAGCACGGTTCCCAACAAAAAGCCTGCGGTAGACTGCTGGAGTCCTTTGGGTTTACCAGTAGACCCGGAAGTGTACATGAGGAAGAAAGGGTGCTCTGAATCAACCCATTCAACAGGACAATAGACACCGAAAGTGGGCACAGTCTTATTGTAGGAAAAGTCACGTCCCTCAACCATATTAACCTTTGCACCCGTGCGCTCGACGACAACCACATGTTCGACGCAGTCTGTGCCCTCCAAAGCTTGGTCGACAAGGCTCTTTGTCTCGACGACTTTACCACCGCGGAGAGCTTGATCAGTGGTGATCACAACCCGCGAGTTGGCATGCTGGATACGGTCACGCAGGGAATTGGGGGAGAACCCGGCAAATACTAACGAGAACATGGCACCAATACGACAGATTGCAAGTATAGTATAAACGGTCTCTGGAATCGTAGGCATATAAACGGTAACGATGTCGCCCTTCTTCACGCCAATGCTCTTGAGCATTTGCGCGGTTTGGCATACTCTTGCAAGCAGCTCCTCGTATGTGACGTTGTAATTGAGCCGCTCGTCATCGGCCTCGTAGATCAAGGCAATCTGATTCGGCGTTTCGTTGGCATGGCGATCAACGGCATTGTAGCAGGCATTAATTAGCCCGCCATTGAACCAGCTTGGCGGGTTTGAGAACCCATAAAAGTCACCACTGACCACGGTGTCAAAGTCGCGATACCAGTGAAGCAGCTTCCGAGCCTGTTCGCCAAAGAACAACGTCGGGTTCTCGATACTCTGGCGATAGAGCGCCTGGTACTCTTCAGTGCTTGCGACCTGGCCCGAGCCCTTGCGGGGAACGCTTTGTTTGGGCGGAGCAACCGCCTTGACGTCAATCAATTGGTTCATTCTTGTGCTGAGAGATACGGACTTTGTCGAAGGTCGGTGTGGAGTCTAAATATCACAGCACTCTCCCCGCAGATTGAGTGGGGTACAGCAGATATGCATGATGCACCAAGCGACTTGTTGAGAAAAGATGTGGTATAGGCAAGGTGAGGCCATTGAGAAGGGATTTTTTCAGCAGCATACGAATATGGACGTTGATAATCTATGTGTTTGGTTTTTTTGCGAAAGCAACCGAATATAACTGCGGTGAATCAAACCGGCCAAGCCAAGCCTGATCTCATTAAGAAACCGCTGCTGTTGGAGGTGTTGTCATTACTTCGAACGCCGTTGATTACTAAGCTGAAAGCCGGGGAGGGGTACTTGGCAAGAACCTCCCAACTGCGGGTGCGCGCCCAGGGTCTGCTAGGGCTGCTGCCCTAATGGCCGTCCCAGCAGTGCGCGATTCACTCATCTCTAGGAATCATCGCCAAGGCACAGTTCACATCACCATGTCGGACGCGGTCACTATTCGTACTCGCAAATTCCTGCGCAACCCTCTGCTTAACCGTTCGCAGTTTGTTATCGACGTTATCCACCCCACCCGTGCTAACGTCTCCAAGGACGAGCTCCGTGAGAAGCTGGCCAAGATCTACAAGGCCGAGAAGGACGCTGTCTCCGTCTTTGGCTTCAAGACCCAGTACGGTGGTGGCAAGTCTACCGGCTTTGGTCTCGTCTACGACTCTGCCGACTCTCTGAAGAAGTTTGAGCCCCGCTACCGGCTGGTCCGCTACGGCCTTGCCGAGAAGATTGACAAGGTTTCCAAGCAGCAGCGCGCCCAGAAGAAGAACCGTGGTAAGAAGATCTTCGGTACTGGCCGTCGCCAGGCTAAGCGCCAGCGCGGCGACTAAACACAATCTACGAATGCATGTAGTAATAAAAATTATCTCTTTAACTTTGCTTTTCCAGACGGCCCCCTTTTCCCGGCTTTCGCTGGCTGTACGCCTTTGTCATCATCACAATGGTCGACACCGACGCCAGTCAACTGAAGGAGGATCAGCTGAACAACAAGATTTCCAACGAGGAGTACAAGATATGGAAGAAGCAATCGCCCTTTCTGTATGATCTCTGTCTGTCCAAGGCCTCAGAGGCCCGCTCGTTCACGGTCCAATGGTACCCAGACACTCCAGAGTACACCAAGACGGTTGGGCCCATCACAACCTACTCGCTGCTCATGGCCACGGGCGTTGATCGCGAGGAACCAGACGGTCTCATTTACCGTGCGCTTGTAGATATCCCCAACTCAAACTATTCTGGCGGCGCCAAGATTGAAAACATAGTTTCTCCCGTGCAGGAGATCCGCCATCCCGGCGAGTCGAATCGCGCTCGCTATGCTCCCAAAAACCCCAATATCGTTGCATCCATGTCCTCTCTGGGTAGTGCGTACATTTTCGATATGTCCAAGGCTCCTAGCACCCCAACTGAGCAGCCGGCTCCCACACTTACTCTGGACCACCACTCCAAGGAAGGCTTCGGCTTATCTTGGTCCAATATCGAGGAAAATGTACTTGCTACTGGCTCTCAGGATGGTACGGTTGCGATCTGGGATATTGCCGGAGGTAATAATAAGCCCGTGCACGTTTTCGACGACAATGCTCCCGCCGATGTTAATGACGTCTCCTTTTCTTATGAGCATCCCTACCTGCTTGCTGCTGGCAGCGAAAACCGCGTCTTAACTATCTATGACCGCCGCGGCACTGACTTCCTCAGGACCAAATCCAGTAATGCCAGATCTGGTCACTCCCAAGGCGTCAATGCCGTTGCGTTCTCTCCTCACCATCCTACGATGGTTGCTACGGGTGGTGCCGATCGCAATTTGATGATTTGGGACATTCGTAACCTCCAAGAACCCCAAGCCATTTTGCAGGGCCACTCTCAAGATATTGTCTGCGTAAAGTGGTCTCCACACGACAAAAGCGTTCTCGCCTCTGGAGGCACCGACCGCCGCGTCAAAATTTGGGATATTAGTCGCCTGGATTCTTCAGCAGACGAGTCTGAAGGTGCTCCTGAGCTCATCTTCATTCACGGTGGCCACAGCTCTCGCGTCTCCGATATCGACTGGCACCCCACTATGCCCTGGACCATTGCATCGGTATCCGAAGATAATATTATTCAGGTGTGGAAGGTTGCCGGTGCAATTGTCGATGGGAACAGCGACGACGAGGAAAAAGAAAACGACGATGCCGAGGCATAAAAGTAATTATAGGTCTAATAAGTTAAAGTACAACTTGAGAAAGCCCCCGTTGGCTATTTTGCAGCTGCCTGAGTCGTTTTGCGGCAGTTTGTTGTTGAATAAATAAGCGTTCTTGGAAAATTACCGGCCATTGTTTGTGCTGGATACACTTGCGCTGCTCGAGCATGCAAACCTCTTCAGAGTCCGGGTCAGAAAGCTTGGAATTGAACGCACATATTTCCCGCTTAGTACCCTCTGCTTCAGTCGCCTGCTGGCTGAGCTCTTTCTTGGTTTCTCGACAAGACTCGAGGAACTTGAGTGCCTCCTGGATTTTCTGGATTTTGGCCTCCCATTTAGCTACTTGGTCCGGTGGAGGCTCAATCTTTGCATCAAATTCTGGTGTCTGGATGCCCAGGGCCTTGAATTTCTCTTGCGATCCGCTGCTTTCTACCAACACCCTCAGATCTTGTTCTGGCACTCCCACGAGTCCTTGAGCCAACTCGCGGAAAAATGCTATGCCGTGGTCTGCTGAACAAAATTTGCTGTCTTTCTCAACGTCGGCTGCCGCATAACAGCTTGGAAGTTGGCACTTTAGTCGCCATTCGGACTGGATGTTGTATTTTGCACTGCAGCTGTCACAGCAGAATTCGACAGCCAGATCGCCCTCAGCCTCGGTCAGTCCAATACATTTCCCATGAAACCATTCGTCGCATTTTTCACAAGCAATCATCCAGCTGCCGTCATCGGGGCGTTTGCAAATGCAAAACACGTCTCGTTCCCCAGAATGAGCCATTAGTAAGGTTGATTCCGTTTGACAGTTAGATGCTGATATATTGTTAATTTACGGTGGGGGGTAGAAAGAAACGAGGACTAGTCCTCGGTAAAATACGAGTCATTAGGGTCATTAATTGACTTGCGGCGCCGTGGCTGCTGCCTTTTCCAAGCCTTTCGAGTTCGCATGTTGATTTTGCCAAATTTGCCTAAATCGTTGAACGTCGCGAATTTGGGCAGCTTGACCTTCATTTCCTTGCAATGGGTATCGCTTTTAGTTATTCTTCCGTTAGCTATTGGTGACATTGTATCGGACAAAAAACTGGGTAGCTGTAGGGGGGGTGATGATGCCATCCTATAAGGGTCAGAGAGGAGATCAGCTTCAGGAAAACGTAACATTTGCATCACTTGTTGATTAGTTGGTGAATTTAAAAAGTCCTGCGCCTCAGAGGGTGGTAGCCCATACTGGGCGTAAGCACCTTCCAGAGCTGCTTGATAGTTTACACTCGTGGCCAGGGGGTCTCCCAATGGCGACGGTAATTCGAGATTCGATTGGTTCGGCAAGTTCATACCGTACGAACTCTGATTGGTTTCATAGTCTATATGAGCAGAGTGTTTTTCGGGGGGCGTCAGCAGTACACTCCGGCCCTGCTGGCCGGCTACTTGATGGTAGCGGGTGGGGGACGTTGGAGCAGATGCGTTTCGAGGTTCATAAAAAAAGTCCGCGCCTTGTTGGCTTTCAACAATTTGCTGCTCCCAGCCAGTGTCCTCAAGGTAGGCAGGTTGGCTGGTCTGTATGGCCCTTCTGCACTCCTGTTTGGGGGGCTGCTCACAGTAGTCGGGATCGCCGTCGTCTGAATTAAACTCCCACATGCCTGAGTACTCGCCACCAAGTGAGAGCGCTTCAACTTCTTCGGGAATCATCCTATCAGAAGCTAGAGATGGGCAACTCATTGGGGACATGGAGCTTTATATGCGTTGTCGACGCATAAATCTGTGGGACTAGTGTGGTAAGTAACGTCATGCAGGTTGATCAAGCTAGAAGACAGTGTGGCGGGGAATTATCGGGTATAACTGTTTGAATGTGTATCAAATTGCTTTCAATGTTTCTCGGTTCTGGGTTTTCCGGCGCGGCGCGTTCGTGGCATCTCGGCGCCATTATGCAAGGTGATCCATGCAACTGACTCGTGCATTAGCGACACAGGTCGCGACAAACTTCTACCTTTGGTGTGTAACAGAAACTAATCCCCGTTCCCCAGAGGATCTAGCCTTGTTTGCTATGTTTTCTTCGCGTCGGTGTCGGCCTAATGTCACAAACGGCTCCAAGCAAGCGACTTTGACGCGCATCTCTGGCCTAGCTTGATCTTTCGACTTTCTCCTTTTTGATTAATTCCCCTTGCGGATAGTTTCCAGATATGAGCCATCAAGTGATCTGTATGATTCCGGCAAGAACAACAGCCTGCGTCACTCGCCCGCGTCAATAGTATTTCTGTAACAATAATATCAACAAACTAAGCCTACTACCGTGTTTAATCCGCTTTTTACATACTTAGGACCGCTGTCAAAAATCGCTCCTCTCCGCATAACCGCCGGGGTGAGCGAATCGCCATTCTTCAATTTGTCATGCTTGGAGAGGTGGCCCCCGAGCCAGTTTCGGGCACTCCGCCAAACGATGATCCCGATAGCACCAAGCCTTCTCCAAAAGCGAGGACGTGGAACAGAATTATCCAAGGGCTAAAGGCTGCTCAGAAGTACTCGGCAATTGGTTTCACCGCGTTTGCCGGCCTGCATTTGACCTCTACGATTGTGTTGCCCGCACTGGTCTCGGTCGACGCTGGAAACGCTGCTCTCATGGCCGGTCGTACCCTATACCAATCGTCTCTTGGTGAGCCGTTGTGGGTCTACGGCAGCTTGCTTCTGCACATTACTAGCGGGCTTATTCTCCATGCTCGTCGGGTGTATATAGCAAAGACCCGTCACGGGCGCTGGATTTGTGGTTTGACCCCCACGATTACCTCGGGGCTGATACTCACTGTTTTAGCAAGCAGCCATCTTTATGCTACTCGCCTCAAGCCCACGATGGCCCTAGGTGACAGCTCACTGATCAGCCTAGACTTTATTACCTGGGCCTTGAAAGACAACATCTGGGTCACTGGGTCGGCAATAATCCTGCTATCTTTTGTTTTTTTCGACCACGCTCTGCGCGGTGTTGATTATTGGTACCGCTTGGGTATCAAGTACTATCGAAACGCTATCGTCGGTGCTATGGTAGGGCTTACGGCTCTTTCGCTGGCCAGAATCCGAGCAGCACCTGACGTTACTGGATGGATTGCCTCGCAGTACCAACTAGCCCACTAAGCCTCTATTTTGCCTGTCCCGCTCCTTCTACCTGACGGGGGGGTCCTATGATCACTTAATCGTACGTACCCAACCTTTTTTTTTCCTTTGGTCAGCACACACACCTTCAAATGATCATTCCCGTTCGGTGCTTTTCCTGCGGCAAAGTTGTGGGCGACAAGTGGGAGTCGTATTTGACCTACTTGCAGGACGAGAATCTGTCTGAGGGTGACGCTCTGGACAAGCTGGGTCTCAAGCGGTACTGCTGCCGCCGCATGATCTTGACCCACGTCGATTTGATTGAAAAGTTTTTGCGCTACAATCCGCTGGAAAAAAAGGAGTGACCTCCGTCGCATACCACTTGTTCTGTAATTATTTTATTAACGATTTGTACAATTCATTTGCTTCCTGTCTGGGTTAACCAGGTCTTGTCCGACCTTATACGTGATATATAGCGTGTGTAGTGCGGGGGGCCTCTAAGGATTAATATATATGGTTTCGTTTAATGCACAGGGGGAGGGGGGAATTCAGAACATTCAGAACATTCAGAACAAACGGCCAGAGTTTAGCCCAAAACTAGCTCGTAGAAAATGATCACAATGTTGAACACAACGAGAATGGCTGAGGTTAGAATCCGGAGCAACAACATCCCACAATATACTTACGCCGCATCACGGTGCGGATGGCACGAATCAGTGTCAAAAGCCGCGTTCCAATTGTCTCGGGATTGTGCCCGCCAAACGATGGGCTCTCGTCGCCAATCAGGCGTGCAAGGAACCGCTCCTCGTTCAGAATGGCAACCGCGTTCAGAAGAAGAATGGTCACGTAGAATAAAAGTCCTAATCCAAACATTACGACCTCTTTAGTATCCTCACTGCCAGCGTTTCCTCAGACAAGTGTTCCAGAGTGATTTCCTGACTTTGTCATCAAGTTTATTTCTCCATATTATTCCCGTCATGGGACCGAAACTGCTTCTACGTGCCGGCCAGTACCGTCCGGCCGCGTCGATTTTACGGCAAAATGCATTGCGACCGCTGGCGCCCCGACGAATGTTGATGGGCCCTATTTTCCGCGCTGCAAAGTCTGGTATAACCCTCGCCGCTGGAGCAACCGCGGGAGGAGCGGCCTATATCAACTACAAGGTCCAGCAGACCGGGTCCGCAGTTAGCGAGAAGTTTGACCAGGTGTCCGAGTGGGTTTCAGACCGCTGGGATTCCGTGTCCGACGTCTTCAAAGAAGCCAATGAGCGTTTCCAGAGTCAGACCCACGACGACAAGGGCCAGTCGATTTTCCAATCTTCCGAGGGCGGCGACGGTAAGGGCGAAAAAAATGGCAGCCAGAGCAGTGGCGATGGTGCCAGTAGCGGAGGTAGCGATGGTGGAGGAGGCGACATTGCCGTTGCTGCCGTAGCCGCGGTGGCTGCTAACGATGAAGATGACACCATGGTAATACTGACCCGCAAAATGATCGAAGTGCGAAACCTCCTTTTGCAAATTGACAAGCAAGAAACCCTGCGCCTCCCGTCAATTGTTGTTATCGGAAGCCAGTCCAGTGGAAAATCGTCGGTGCTGGAGGCGATCGTTGGCCACGAGTTTTTGCCCAAGGGCGGGAACATGGTCACTCGACGCCCCATTGAGCTTACTCTCATTCATTCACCAGAGTCTGCGTCCGAGTACTGTGACTTCCCCGAGCTTCGGCTGGGCAAAATCACCGACTTCTCTCACGTGCAAAGAACCCTGACTGAGCTCAATATGGCTGTGCCAGCGGAAGAAGTCGTCAGTGATGACCCAATTTTGCTCACGATTTATTCTCCTCATGTGCCCGACTTGACGTTGATCGATTTGCCGGGCTATATTCAGGTGGTCGCTGCTGGCCAGCCGCACTCGCTCAAAACTCGAATTGCCGACTTGTGTGATAAATACATCAACGCACCTAACGTGATTTTGGCTATATCGGCTGCTGATGTCGACCTGGCTAATTCAACCGCCTTAAGGGCGAGCCGCAGAGTTGATCCTCGGGGTGAGCGCACTATTGGCGTCATCACCAAGATGGATCTCGTGGACCCAGAGCGGGGCTATGATTTGCTAACAAACCAGGAGTATCCATTGCAAATGGGATATGTTGGTGTGATCACAAAGACCCCGTTGCACCTCGGATTTTCTAACCGTCACAGCAATATGACCCAGAGTGTTGCTCTGGATGAAGAACGCTACTTTAGCCAATATGCCGAGTTTACAAATTTGCAGACCGGCGTACTGACCCTTCGCCGCAAACTTATGTCTGTTTTGGAGACTACAATGGCCCGAAGCCTTGTCCCGACGACCCAGGCAATTCGTCGCGAGCTCGAAGAGAGTGCTTACAAGTTCAAGGTCGAGTATAACGACCGCTCTCTTACCCCCCAATCGTATTTGGCCCAGAGCATTGATGCATTCAAGCTTTCATTCAAAGATTTAACCGCTCAGTTCGGGCGAGAGCAGGTCCGCCAGCTGGTAAAGGCTGCCTTGGATCAGAGGGTGCTGGATACTCTAGCGCAAAATTATTGGAATCTTCCTCCTGAGTTGGAGTCGGCGACTCCTAATGTGTTGGACAACGTGCCGTTAAGCAGTTTGTCTTCCAGTTCCATGGCGAACATGGGGTATTGGCAAACCAAGTTGGACAACTCCACGGCGAGTTTGACCAAACTGGGTATTGGTCGTCTTTCAGCTCAATTACTTGCTGACACCATTTCCCTCGAAGTCAGGGGAGTTGTTGACAAAACACCGTTCCGGAAGCATCCGCTAGCCGTCCAGGCGGTTGAGAGAGCAGTTACCAACATCCTGGAGCCCCGTCTATTTTCGACCGCCGACCAAGTTGAGAACTCCATCAAGCCCTTCAAGTACGAAGTCGAGATTGATGACCGAGAGTGGGCACAGTCCCGTGAACACTCGTACAATTTGCTCAAGGAGGAGCTTCGCCAGGCTACGGTTGCCTTCAATCGCCTGAAAGATATGGTGGGCAGTTCCAAGCTCAACTCTGTGTTACAGTACCTGGACTCTAGGCAAAGAATGGCGGCAGAAGGCAGACTTGCACCTGCAGACGCCTTTGGATTCTCGCCAGCTCTGTTGGATACCGGCAAAGAAGCAAGGTTCCTCCAGATCCGCTGCGACGAGCTTCGGATGCGCATGGCTGCTGTCAAGTCCAAGCGGTGCATTTCACGCGAAAACAAGTACCAGTGCCCCGAGATCTTCCTTGACGTTGTTGCAGACAAGCTGACGGCAACGGCCGTTTTGTTTTTGAATTTCGAGCTGCTCAGCGACTTTTATTATTCTTTCCCTCGCGAGCTGGACAGCCAGATTTCGGCGCTAAGCGAAAAGCAGATCCAGGAACTTGCGGAACAGGATCCCCAAATTAGAGAACAGATCAACCTTCAAAGACGTCGTGATTTGCTCAAGCTTGCTCTGGCCAAAATCCAAACTGTCACCGAAATGACCCACTCATCGGCCTCCAAACGTTAACAAACACTGTACATAATTTATGCACCCCGACCCTTCCCCTACTAACTAATCACCCAGCACCTTTCGACTTATAGCCAAAATGTTGCGTCTTGGATTAGCATGCCGCACTCAAATGCGGTCATTTTCTTCTTCCCGCTCGTTACCAGCTACCCACCGTGATCTCCAGCATATGTGGAACAAGCAGAGCTCTGGGTGGAACAGATCGCGCTGGGGCTGGCTCCGAAAGCCTCTGCTGTTTGCCGCCGGTGTTGTAGCGTTTGATTACTTTGTGCTGCCGAAAATTATTGATTCGAAGCCATTAGCTCCTATCCGGCGCCATCCTGAGTTCCTAGTTTACGGAATCATTGGTCTTAACACTCTTGGATTTGCTCTTTGGCGGTTGCCCCAGACTTCGAGATTCATGTACCGGTACGGTCTGTTGCAAAAGACTGCTCGCGACTTTAATTCGTGGCAGATGATTGGATCGGCGTTTTCACACCAGAACTTTTGGCATTTGGCTATCAACATGTTTGTCTTGTATCAGTTCGGCACTACAGTTTCCCGGTGGATGGGTGCATCGACTTTCCTAGAGTCTTACATTGATGGCTGTGTGCTTTCATCGCTGGGATCTATGTTGCTACCGCTGCTCGCCAAACAGATCTCGTACCTTCCCTCTCTTGGTGCGTCGGGCGCGGTGTTTGGTGCGTTTGGTACTTTCTGTTACCTTGCCCCGCACGCTCGTCTGGCTCTCTGGTTTATTCCTCTGCCGATTGGCGCCTGGTGGGTCTTTTTGGCCACTCTAGGCTATAACGCCGCTGCTATGCTTGGCCGCTTCGGCGGTGGTATGGATTATGCTGGCCATGTCGCTGGATCGCTGGTGGGCATCGCCTACGGTTATATTGTTTCTGATCGCATGCGTCGCGCCCGTGAGTATCGCCTGAAGAGAATGGGGTGGTAAGTATTACATATATATATATAGAATCATTCGTGACGAAGTCCTTCTTTCACGACGTAGAAATCAGACACCCGTTCAGATGCGAAGGCGGCAGGAGTCCACCTCTCAGGCTCGGGCTCTGCAACGATTTTCTCGAGGTCCGGGCATGTAACAGGGTGAGTGAGGCGAGAAAGAGGCTCTATATTGTCTGTGTTTACCGCCGAGAGTGTCTCAACAAACCGTAGTTGGTTGACAAGATCTGCTTGGGTGTGTTCAGTGGGCGCCAGGCCCGCCAATTTTGAAATACGCTCGACGTCGCTTTTTGAGGGAGGTGTCCCTTGCAGAGGAGCATTAAGAAGCTCTTTGACCGACCATACTGGCTTCGAAAGGTGGGCCAAAACCTCAGATCTCTGGATCAATCGAGACATGACGTAATAATCTTTCGCACGGCGATTTTCCACCTTTTTTCACATAGTGAAGTACGCCCAGTTTAGGACTAAACCGATAGCTAGCGATGGATTTACTAGATTCTCTAAGTGTTAAATAACTAGGTTCTGTTAAATTGCAAAAATGACCTCGACTTGGTGAGATTACAGAGTACAAATCAGTGTTTTCGGCTCTGCCAGTCCCAACCTCAAATATCGAGCTGCCCGACCGCCTCCTGTTTCACCACCCCCTGTTCCTCCATAGAACCCAGCCAACTAATGGCCACAAAACACTCGACTGTGCCTGCTAAAGCTCGGTGTCTGATATGCACCCTTGCCCTCGCACGTGCTGGGTTAATAAGGATTGCGGGAGGTCGTCTCACGCCTAGTCCCTAGCTTTTTTTATTGGCAATGTCGTCTGCCCCATTACTGCGTGCTGCCCCCGGGAAACGAATTGCATTGCCTACTCGCGTAGAGCCCAAGGTTTTCTTTGCCAACGAGCGCACGTTCTTGTCGTGGCTCAATTTCACAGTCATTCTGGGTGGCCTGGCCGTTGGATTGCTCAATTTCGGCGACAGAGTTGGCCGCATCTCCGCCACACTGTTCACGTTTGTCGCCATGGGCACCATGGCTTATGCGCTAGTCACCTACCACTGGCGTGCCGCTGCCATCCGGCGTCGCGGCTCCGGTCCCTATGACGACCGCTTCGGGCCTACGATGCTGTGCCTGTTTTTGCTAATGGCCGTGGTAGTAAACTTCATTCTGAGAATGAGAGCCTAGCATTGATGAGGTGTAAAAGTTATCTCTTTTGTTTCTTTAAATAAACCATATATGAAAAAAAAGGCGGAAAGACGCTAGTGAAACTAAATTGCCTCTCAAATCACCATAAATAAAAAACCTTCTATTTCAGAAGTACTATGCCGAGGTTTGTCGTCGAGGCACGCTCTTGAGAACAGAGTCGACGTCCTCCTCGGTCAAAACAACACCAGAATCCGAGCAGCGAGCCTTGGCCTGGAATTCAGAACACAGCTCGTCCAAATTGATACCCTCGAAATTCGGATGGGAGCATATGCGATCCCAGACTGCTTGGCAGGTCATATACTTTTTACTCTTTGCAGGAACTTCATCTCCGCCATCTCTAGGCGTGTGGAAAGCTGGGTTTTCAGCAGGCGACAGGGTCTCCTCCTTGGTGAACTCGAGGGGGCCGCCGGTGCTTGAGGGCGTTAGGCCAAGCGGGTATATAGCCGGTTCTCGGAACATGGGAGGGGATCCAAAGTCACTAGGAACCGACAGCGGGTGCTTGCTGTCATGTGCGGTCTGAAGAGAGCCGAGCGGTTGGAGAGGATCGTCAAGGGGTTTAAGGGGGTCCTCGATCGGTTTCAATGGGTCGTCTAGCGGATCAAAGAACCCGTAATCATTACCAAGAAGGTCCACAAAGTTGGACGGCACTCCTTCTTGTGGTGTGGGCTCTCGGTATCCAAAACTAAGCTCCAGCGGGTTCTGGCGCTCCCAGTCGTTGGTCAAAGGCACGATCTGTGGGGTGGCAGAAGCCAGAGGCAATTTGGGTAGCGGGCATGCTGCCTTTTGAAGTTGTTCGCAGAACTTACTACCTTCCCACAGCGACTGGTCGCTGCTGGCAGAGCTGGCGCTGCTGGTAGTGAGATCAACCAGCGGTGGCGCTTGTCCCATCATCAAAGGATCAAGCGACGGTGCGATACTTCCACCGAATTCAGAAGGCATAGAGCGCGGGGTCGAAGTAGACGACAGTGTGGACGAAGCGTTGAGCCCGTTCAAGGAAGGGGGCACATTCATTTGGTTGTTCCAGAACTGCGTCTCAAAATCTCTGTTGGTTCCAACTGACGGTAAAACAGTTGCCGGGCCATGGAGGCCAGTAATACTTGGATTTCGCGCCGGTAACACTGACGCAGGTCCCTGTAAATCGCCCAGGGGGTCAAGGTCCAAAGAGGCCGCCGGCCAGACGTTAGACTGCGCGATGACCGGGGGCACACTCTTGTCAAAGCCACCAGAGGGAACATGTCCAGCACGGTAATGCTCAAGCTCGTCCTCCAGAGCTGAAAGCTTGGTTCGCAGCATAAGGTTTGAGTTTTGCCACGACCGTGCCGACTGCTCTAGTTCATGGACCCGGGTTTCCAAGTCCTTGAGGTGCCTCTCTTTTCTTTCCCGGAACGCTCTCTGGGCTGCGCGATTCTGGGCTCTCCGTTTGGTCTCGGGCTCGTTGGGATCCTTCTTCCGGCCAGGTCTCCGCGGATCGGGCGAGTCCTCGTCGTCCCGTGATTCGTCGTACAAGTACGCATTATTCTGGTCGTAATCTGTGTAGTCACGTTTCCCGAGGTGCTCGGGCACCCGGAGCCCGTCCAGGTTTGTATTTGATTCTCCTAGTGCCATGAGTGGCAATGCTGACGGTGAGTTTTAGATTTCATAATCCTAATATCCGGCGTATATGGGTTGCTCACGTCATGTCCGGCCAAAAAAGCTCGGGGGAATAGGCGAGCATCGCTCAGGGTACAAGGGTTGTTGCTAAGCTTTTTGCCCTAACCTAACGCCGTGCGCCCAGGGGTACTGAGCACCCCTCCCATGTCTTCCCAACACCCCTGCCCGATTTTCTGGGTAGCTGCCAACCATCCTGGCCGCTCTTCGCCCAATCTGAATACTAACCCTACAGCCATCCCGATCTGCCAAAGACAAAGTTCGCTGGACTGGTGGAAAGTGCAGCAGCAGTGATCTACAGATTCAATTCGCACGCTGCTGGCAAAAAATATGTACTTGCACCCAGTTGACGCTATAATTTCACGACAAATACCCGTACCCACTTTTGCTGGCCAGGAACGTCATGCAGCAACCATCTCCTTTGCATCACCCGGGCCACAGGGCATTTAAGACCCTGCGGGTTGCTGCAGAGTCCCACTTTCTGTTCTCCACGATGCGAGTGTACGAACTCCAGCTCTTTGACGGCTGTCCGGTTAAGATAGCTGGCAAAATCACGGCGCTGCCCGTGCCTTCTGAGCCGTACCTGCTGCGGCTGAAGGTCTCGAGCACGTCGCCGGTCGTCCAGAACGGAAAGCTCTATTGCAACTATCCGGCGCGAGGAAGTGAGTTTGACAGAAACAATTACAACAAGTACGAGCTCTCCGAGTCCCACGGTATGAATGCAGACCACAGCATCGATATTGAGATCCACCAAAGCGGTACTTTCTCGGCTTACATTGAGTACGACCACTACGAGGGCCGCTACGGTGAGCAAAAGGTCGTGTCCAAGAAGACCAAGCCTTTTGATTTCGTTGTAGCGACGATCTTCACTCTGCAGGACAAGCAAGTCTCCCCCAATGAGCTCTGCGTCCAGTCCGTCTTGTCAAAACTCATGGGACCATTGCCCCAATGGCCCGACAAGCTGGCCAAGATCGCGGCCAAGGGCTACAATATGATCCACTTTGTGCCTCTGCAACAGCGTGGTGAGTCTAATTCTCCCTTCAGCATCTACGATCAGCTGGCCTGGGACTCCGAAGTGTTCCCTAATGGTGAGTCGGATGTCGAGAAGCTCGTCCACCAAATGGAGCAAGATCACGGCATTTTGGCACTGTCTGATATGGTTCTTAACCACACCGCCAACAATTCTCCCTGGTTGAAGGACCACCCTGAGGCCGGGTACTCTTACAAGACGGCCCCCCACCTTGAAGCTGCCGTCGTCCTCGATGACGCTCTTTTGGACTTCTCCAAAGCTCTTGGCGAGTCGGGTGCGCTGATCAACAACGAGGCAGATCTCGACGGTATTATTGCTCAGTTCGATGACAAGGTGTTTGGCCCAGCCAAGCTATGGGAGTACTACGTCGTCGATGTCAACTCGCTTGAAAAGACTGTGGACGACAGCCCCTTCCAGGGCCGCCCCCGTAACAACATTCCTGGTGACCTCAAGAGCTTGGCTCAGCTTCTTCTAAACGAAGGTGGTGTCCACAAGGGTGAGTTTGGCCCGCGCTTCCATCGCCGGGTCGAGACCTCGCTCTTGGCCGAGCTCGTCGCTGGCTCATCCTTCTCTGCCCGTCAGATTTTAGATGAGGTTAACCTGCCGTTGTATGCCGAATACAACAGCGATATTGCCCACATGAAGCAGCAAATCAGGGATCGTCAGGTTTACCTCCGTATTGCAGGCCACGGTCCCAAGCTTGGCAACGAAGTCAACGCTAAATTGCCCATTATTGAGACGTACTTTACCCGCGTTGAGACTGCCGAAGGAACAGTTGCTCTCGCCAATAACGGTTGGGTATGGGGTGGAAACCCCCTTGTAGACTTTGCTGGCCCCGAGTCCAAGGCTTATCTCCGTCGTGAGGTTATCATTTGGGGCGACTGCGTGAAAATGCGCTACGGCAAGTCGCCTGAAGATAACCCTTGGCTTTGGGACCACATGTCCAAGTATGCCAAAATGCTCGCAAAACATTTTGCTGGAATCCGTCTCGACAACTGTCATTCTACGCCTATTCATGTAGGCGAGTACATGTTGGACATGGCCCGTCGTGTGAGACCTCAGCTCTATGTGGTTGCAGAGTTATTCAGTGGCTCTGCGGAAATGGACACTCTTTTCGTTGAACGCTTGGCTATCAACTCTTTGCTTCGCGAAGCTATTGGCCCTGGCGATGCTAAGGAGCTTTCTACCGTGATCCAAATCAACGGCGGTCGCCCGATCGGCTCTTACCTGGAGGGATCACCTCTCCAAGATGGTGTCATTCAGTTGCGCCCCGAGAGCATCCATGCCTGGTTGATGGAGGCCACTCATGACAACCCCATGTTTGCCCAAAAACGCACTGTCGAGGATACTCTTAGTACTGCTGCTTTGGTTGCATTTTGCATGGTGGCATCAGGTTCTACGATGGGCGTTGATGAAATCTATCCTCGTGAGCTTAACGTTGTCTCTGAGCATCGGCCGTACGTATTTGACGGAGGAATTTCGCAAATCAAGGGCGTTCTCAATCAGCTGCATAAGAAGATGGGCTCAGAAAATTATTACGAGAGTTTCACTCATCACGATGGCCAGTATATCACCGTGCACCGGTTGAACCCTGAGCTTGGCAAAGGCTACTATATGGTGGCCCGTACTGCTTTCCCCGGTGTTAATTACGACCAGCAACTTCCGCCTGTCATTCTGGAACAGAGCCATGTTCAATTCAAGCACGGTTGGAGTATTAAGCGTACAAGCGAGATTGGTGAAGAGAAAGAGGAGAAGATCATCCCTGTTGATGTCGAGATTACCGAGTTGAAAGGTTGGAACTTTGACCAGGCAGAGAATGGAAATACCACTCTTTACCCCCCGTCGTCACTCGACTTCCCCTGTGGATCTGTTGCTATTTTCGAAACCACGCGTACGTTCGATTCTCAGCGTATCGAGCAGTCTGTTCGCAAGTGTCACCGTGCAGCAGTCGCCGAGCTTGATTTGTTTGACTTGAGTGTTTTACTTTACCGCTGCGATAGTGAAGAACGTGCTGCCACGGACGGTAAGTTTGGCGCCTATTGTATTCCTGGTGACACCACTCTTGTTTACGCCGGTCTTCAGGGATGGGCCTCGGTGCTTCAAAAAGCTGTTCGCGAGAATGATCTTGGCTGCCCTGCTGCACAAAACCTGCGCGACGGCTTGTGGGCCCTTGATTCCTTCGACAATCGCCTGGAATTCTACAAGAACAACGGCTTCGAGCGTCTCGGAAGAGTACAGGACTGGTTGAGGCCCCGACGTGAGCTCATTAGTGAGGTCTCCTCATTCCTTCGTCCGCGATACTTCTCTGCTATCATCTTAGGGTTGTTTGAAGCAGCTGTTGACCGTGCAGCTGAGCTTATGCCTGATTCAGTCACGTCGACCAAGTTCAGCCGATCTCTGGCTTCGACATCACTGCAGATGCTGAATGCTCTTCCCAATGCTTCTGTGCTTCCTGACAAGACCGTGCCTTCTTTGGCCGCTGGTCTGCCCCATTTCAGCAACGGGTTTATGCGCTGCTGGGGTCGTGACGTGTTCCTTTCTGCTGGAGGTTTGCTGTTGCAAACCGGCCGTCTCGACTCTGCCAAGGAGCATATCCTCGGGTTTGCCAAAACACTGAAACATGGTTTGATTCCAAACTTGTTGGACTCGGGCCGTAACCCGCGCTACAACGCACGTGACGCTGTTTGGTTCTTTGCTCAGTTCATTCAAGAGTACTGCGAGTATGTTGGCAATGTTGACATTCTCCACGAAAAGGTCAAACGTCGCTTCCCTCTAGATGATACATTTGTCGAGTGGGACTCTGAGGAGGCATTCACGCATGAGAGCACTATTGGTGAAATTGTCACGGAAATTCTTTGCAGACATGCCAAGAGTATCAAGTTCCGCGAGCATAATGCAGGCGTCGCAATTGATTCCCAGATGAAAGACAATGGCTTCAACCAGCACATTTACGTTGACTGGAGTAACGGTCTTGTTTTTGGTGGTAACCAGGATAACTGCGGCACTTGGATGGACAAGATGGGCGAGTCCGAGCTTGCAGGAAACAAAGGCGTTCCCGGAACCCCTCGTGATGGTGCGGCTATTGAGATCATTGGTCTGCTCAAGTCTTGCTTGAGGTGGGTCAACCACGTTCGTCGGGAGGGCAAGTACAACTTCCCTGAGGGCGTCGAAAACCAAGATGGTGAGCACGTATCTTTGGAGAAATGGGAGGACTTGATCCAGAACTCTTTTGAAAAGTGCTTCTACATCCCCAAGGCAGACAACGAGGGCGACTATGACTTTGATGCCAGTATTGTGAATCGCCGTGGCATTTACAAGGACCTGTATCGCTCGGGCAAGCCTTACGAGGACTACCAGCTCCGTCCCAATTTTGCAATTGCCATGGTAGCTGCCCCCGAGCTCTTTGAAGTTGAGCATGCCGTGAGCGCTCTGGCTACTGCCGACGAGGTTTTGCGAGGGCCTGTTGGTATGGCGACGTTGGATCCTAGCGACTACAACTATCGACCTTACTACGAGAACAGCGTTGAAAACACTGATTTTGCCTCGTCCAAGGGCCGCAACTACCACCAGGGCCCCGAATGGGTGTGGTGTTTCGGAATGTTCCTCCACGCCATTGCAGTTATTGACAAGAAGCGTGACGTTGCTAAGAGCGAGACGATTGCCACGATCCGATCAAGACTGAAGGGCAACTCCTCTTGGGTCCGTCATTCGCCATGGGCGGGTCTTACCGAGCTTACCCAGAAAGACGGAGCGTTCTGCGCCGACTCGTCCCCCACCCAGGCCTGGTCTTCTGCTCGCCTTATTGAAGTATTTGCGTTTTTGGCCTAACCCGATTCTGTATTTTCCTTAACTCAAACTTTGTGTCTATAATCTATGCATCTCTTATCTACGAACGCGATTTGTTTTGTTTGTTGACGTAAACATGCCTAGCGAGATTTCCGTGCAAAAGCGTGGATCGAGCGACAAAGAGCGGCGAAACTCGAGAAGGAATGACAGCAAAAGTAAACCTGAGAGGGCAGAGTCCCGCAATGCTTCTGGCGTTGAGCCTCGCAAGGTCTCGGACAGCATCCAGCAGCTCGACCCAGCAGCCATGCGACTGGTGCGCGACTCGTACAATTTACTAGATAGCGATGGAAGCGGTGCTGTTTCGCGCCAGGCTCTCCAGGACATGATGGTCTCGCTCGGAAGGAGGCCGAATGGCAAGGTAATCGACGACATGCTGAAGCGGTGTGGAGCGGAAGCGGACGGGCAGTTTGGCTTTGCAAATTACCTGGTTGTGATGTCTGAGATTATCAAGGAGCTTCCTACAAACGAGGACCTGGAATCGTATTTCACTGCTTTCGAGACCAATGGCCGAATAGACAGCGCGGAGCTCAGGAAAGAGCTAAGAACCCAAGGAGTGACTGACGAGCAGATTGATTTAGTGTTCAAAAAGTTCGAAAAGCAAAAGGGCGTGAGCCGCAGCTTCGATTCCAAGTCGTTTGTGTCTCTTATGGGCGTGTAGGAACCAAGATATATTATATAGTATTTAATGATCAACAACTAACTCATCACAGCCCCAGTCCTCGTAAGAGCCATCAGGAAGATAGCGGCGAATAACCAGGGGGATTTTGCGTTGTGAGAGTTCTTTGATGGCGATCTGCAGCGGGTCGGTCTCACCCTCCAGATCGACGAGTACAGGAGCGTTCATAGAGATCTGAAGAGCACGCGTACCCAACACACGGGCCCGCTCGTATTTTGTCATATACGGCGTGGTCGTTCTTTCTTCCTTGGGCACCGCCAGCTCTCGCTGAGAGCGCACACGCTGCCCAGACTCTACGATCTGACGACCGTCCGCAGCGATAGCCGCCTCGGCGTCTTCTTCGTCTTTGAGATCCTCCGGCTCAGAGAAGTGCTCCTCAAAATCGTCGAAGGTGTTCTCGTAACCGTCGTTGAAACTGAAATGTTAGTTGTCTGGAAACGCTGCAGGGCCGATCGATCTAAACTAGACAAGCTGCGGGCGGTTCGAGGCCTGTTTTACAGCAGTAGGAGGCTTGAGTCTACTCAAGTCTGCCCAACAGCCGTTTGGTCCCCGTTTTATCCATCCAAATGCCCATTTAGACCCCCTCACTCCCCTCGATAAAAACTTACGCTTCTTCCTCGTCGGACATGACTAACGTCGTCATTTCGAAGCGTCGAGTGAAAAGGTATCTGTGTCACTGTGGGAAAGCGTACAACCGGCCAGCACTTCTTGAGCAGCACCAGCGGACTCATACGGGTGAGCAGCCGTTTGAGTGCGAGACATGCCACGCGAGGTTTTTCCGAAAGGCGCATCTCCAGGTGCACCTCCTCAAGCATGTGCCTGAAGGCCAAAAGCCTTTCAAGTGCCCTGTATGCGGCAAGGGCCTCAATACGCAACAACACGTTGACCAGCATATGAATGTACATTTTCTGCGCTATGAATGTCCTCGAGAAGGCTGCATGGAAGTGTATCGCGTGAAGCAGCACCTAACTTGGCATATCAATCGCCACGATCGGGAATGCTGCGGCACGGAATTCCCTACACAAAAGAAATACGAAAGCCACGTGGAAAAGAATCACTCCAACAAGTACCATTGCGGCTGCTGTGATGACACCTTCGACAAGTTCGCTGATATGCAACAGCACATGGCTGCCCGGCACACCAAAGGGCCGGAGGATTCACTGGTCCAGCCTGTAAAACCTGTATTGCCTGCCGACTCTAGCAGGTCACATCCGGGAGGAGAGCAAGTTATTTATTTTACCGAGCCATCTCGATCAAAGTCTCTCCCGCCGCCCAAACTGCTCAAAATCGGGGACACAATCAACCGCATTACCGGCCTTGGTTACGAAGACCGGCCTATTGCGTGTCCAGAAGATGGGTGCGATAGACGCTTCACTCGCCAGTACGATCTGGACCGGCATGTAGCCGCCTCGCATAACCCGGACGCGGCTGCGGCCGATCCCTAAGACAGAGGTGCTTTGGGCTACACTGTCTATTTTTTATTCTGTTATTTAAATAAGGTTTCTCCCAAAAAGTCAGAGTTCGTGTTCGTATCCAGCGAGCTTTTCCTCCAATTCAGCAATTCGGGACTGGGCTCTTTTAATATACTCGATTGCCGCCTCTACAGTGGCCGCTTTAGACAGTTGTGTAGACGACATCGCCACCAGTCTGCTGAGCTCTACTAGTGCTGAGTTCATACGGTTTCTTCGCTCCTGCTCGGCCATTTTGTGGTTCTTCTTTTTGCTCGAAAGCTCGCTAGTCATGTCCTCAGAGTACTTGAGACCCATCTGCTGGTGAACCCCTTCCATGATACTTTGGATATTCGACTTGCTCGCCAGCAGCGAAGCCATGTCCTGCTCTCCTTGTTGGTCATTAGGCAAAATTGCGGGGGAGATTGGCGCAGAACGTAACCGGGGCTGTCGGGCGGATGAGGACGACAGGGGACGCACTCTGGTCTTGCGTTGTTGTATTGCCGGAGCCAATAGCGGGGTGGTAGCCGGTGATGGTTGCACGGAACTGCTTCGGCTGTTGAGTACCGATGACTGAGAGTGGGTATGCAATATCCCGGATCCACTTCCTGAAACTGCTTGGTGCGGGGTCAAGTCCTGATTTTCTGAAGAGTAAGAAGTGCCCAGCCGATCATCAGAAAACTGAATGCCCATTAACGTTGCGGGCGTTACTGCTGTACCCGCCAAAACAGATGGTATGGACTGTGCATCAGCGACTGGGGGCATTATAAGATCCGAAAGATCTTCCTCGCCCTTGTCGGATGATGAGTGGGACGGCGATTTCGTGCTCGAAATAGACGCATTTACCAAACTGCTGCGTCGCATTCGTGCTCTCAGCTGTGGACTCTTCTTGGCCACCCTCCCGGCAGCAACAATCTTTCGCTTTTGTGGATTTAGCGACGGTGAAACCACGGGTGACTCAACGTAGGCCGGAGGTATTGAAAAATCGCCATACATCTCGACCCCAGCATATGCTGCGTCGCGAGGTGACATGAGCGGCGTGCCGTCAATGTTGTGGGGGCCTATAGCCGGGGAGTAAAACAAATTGGGGTGCACGCCGTTATCGTCTTCAGAGTAAATGCTATTGTGCCTCGCTCGAGTTGGCTCATATGCCGAGGAAATAGACGTAGAACGCTGCGACTCATTCGAGCTCTGAACCCTATGGAGTCCAACGTCGCTTATTTGCCGTATTTGGCCCACTGAAGAGATGCCCACGGTCCCCTGCGTCTGGTGCTCGACCTCGCTGCGTTGGGGTGACGAGTTGTTGGAAGGGCCCAATCGCGACGCATCGCGCTCCTCCGATACACCGTCTTGGTCTTTGCCCGCTATTTCGCTGACGGATATGGAGAATCTCGGGTCCGGGAGATCAAACATGTTCTCCATCATGTCTGTGCTCAGATGTACTGGCAGATGCTCAGGAAGCTCTTCGAAACCCATCTGTCTCGATGTGCGCTCGCTGAAGCCCCGTTGGATACTGTTGGTTCCACTTTGAACTGTCTTCACCTTGCAAAGTGCTTGGCTTTCCAGTCAATAATCCCAAGACTATAAGAGCGTTTTCGTCCGGGTGGTCTGCAACTTTGACTGATAGGCGTTATGTAATTTATATAGTGAAAAGTACGCCTCGGGCGGAGGCTGCCGCTGTCAGCTATGTATGTACAGCCAATATTTTTCATCTGGCCAAGAGCAATTCTAAAAAATATTCCTGGGTGTGGTGTTTTTTTGCACCCTTCTGCCGATTGCGTACCCATAGCGGTCGCTCATTGTCAACTCCACCAAGATTAGCAGCGTCTCCTTAGTAAGCAGGCGGCTGGGCTAAAGAGATGTGTCAGTGCTTCATCTGCACCCCCGTTGCCTATTGGACTTTTCATGTGCAGCGTCAAATCTTAGCTCCCTCCCACTCGAGATCACGTGACTCAACCAACCCTTTTGAGAGAACCATACGCAAGCACCCGCTAAGCTTGCACCGACGGGACCGATTGTTAGAGCGCTTGAACCACTCATGACTGTGCAGCAGGTTTGCCAGATATTGCAGCCCGGTGTGAAGGGCCTGCTGTCTCAAGTTCAGGCGGTTAATCTCGTTCTGAGCCTGATCATTCTTGCCACTGATCCAATTGACCAGGATACACTGCGATTTTTTGTACGATTTTTCACACCGTCAGACTACAATGACCTTTTAGAGGAAAGAAGAGTATTGTCTCGTTGCGGCTACCCCATCTGTACTAATAGGTTGACAGACTGCCATGGTCATGTTCGCAAAGACCAGAGCCTAGCTGTGAATCCATGGAGTCGCAGCTTCTGTTCCCGCCATTGCTTCCAGGCGAGTGCATTCTATCAGCAGCAACTACCCAACGAAGCGCTGGTCACACGCAAGGACATTGTGTGGAAACCGTTTGGCGAGATGCCTTACGAAGCAAACGTACTTTTGTTGGAAGAGGTGCAACAAATAGCCAGGGCAGAGCGAAAGCCTGTGTCTGTTGTTGTTCGTGACTTGCTACTTCAGCAGCAGGATGTCGAAAACGAGTTCGCTGCTCTACATATAAACGAGAAGGAACTGGACGCACTGGATTTGGGAGATGCCCTAACTAAGATAAAAATATCTGAGAACAAAACTCCCGTCCCGCCATAGGATGGAGTTCGAAACGTCCTTATTTATGCAAATTATCTTCTCCACAATCATATCCCAAGTTGAGATAGTCCTGTCCTAGATTGGGCGATATCAATAATGCTTTCTATAGACTCTTATGAGACAGCTACATTCGAGCATTCTGTTTTGATGCCCTAACTAGAACAATAACTTCCAATTGCGGAACTTATGGGTTATATACTGCAGTGAGCCAGTCATTTGTACAAAGCGTAGGCAGCGTTTGTGGTGTGACTTTGGGCATCTAGATAGTCGAGTAGTCGTACTCGTGTGCAACTTGACGACTAAACTTGAGAATCTGAACACCAGTTTTGGATAAAACGAATAGAAATAGTTAGCGCTACCTGAGGGTTCCATTTCCTTTGGACGACCAGCATCGAGATGATTGTAGTTAAATTCCAGGTTAGTTGTATTTTGAAATAATGCGTTACAGATAGTTATTTTACTGGAGACGAACTTCAATGTTTGATGTGAGATATGCACTAGTCTAACTTTGCTAGGTCAACAGTAGAGGTTGATTGTCGAAGATTATCTTCAAATGGCAGTTGACAGGCAATTTTTCCGTTATCAAAGTTTCTTGGATATAATGATCGTTCCATCGAAGTTGACAGGTTAGCTTGTGGGTGACAATGTGACGAGTCGTGCGATCTGAAATCGGTTCCTCAAAAAGTGTTTATTGGAAGGTGGCTTGTACAAGTAACCTGGATTAAAAGGCAAGTACTCAGAAATAGTGTTTAAATTGCCGGCAATCATGTTAATTCATCGATCTTTCAGATCGGCTTTAGCGAATCACAACTTGATTTTGCATGCTGCAGCTGTAGTATAGACTTTGTGCACACTGAAGTGGTCGTGGAAGAACAATTCTACTACAAATGATCGTATAGGCACACCTTCTTTGAGAACGGCAAATCCGATGCTAGAACAAAATTAACTCGAAGAAAGATCAATACAGTGATTAGGTTGTATTTACTGCATTTCTGCTGTGCTGGTATTCCAAGGCAACTTTAATAGTGCGGTACGTGCAAGCATGTAGCAACCCGATACCTTGTACGTCAACATTGGTGTGCAACGTAACACCATGGAATACCGGCATTAACAGTCATTTAGGTTTTACAATTCACTCGAGTGTCCATATATTTGCCGACGTAAAGTGAACTGTCAAAGCTAGACGTATCACTTGTCTTTGGCTTCTCTATTAAAGTGTCCTGATCTCAACAGATTCCTTTACGTGTGAGGTGAACTTTCGTCGCCTCTGCTAAGCTATGTTCTTGGTACGCACCATGACATATGTATCATGAACAGGCAAATTGGGTACTATTGGATCCTGGAAGATAACTCATCTCCATGTTTTGCCACTCTGGTCACCGTGGACGTAGCATAACCAATCTACCTGTATTCAATAATATCAACAAAATACCGGAATTATAATACATATTACTAGAATAAGAGGACCGCCACGGATAGGACTAAAGCCAGCACACCCATTTGAGCCTTTGAAGCAGAATTCGCGGGGGCAACGGTAGGTGCAACAGTCGGGGCAAGCGGTGAAACACTTGGCTGGAGGCTGGAGCCTGAGTTCGAGCCAGAGCCGGAACCGGAGTTAGACCCGGAATTAGACCCAGAATTAGAACCAGAATTAGAACCCGAGTTGGAGCCTGAGTTAGAACCATGGCCGGGAGTAGAGCTGCTGGTTGGACCATGTGTGAGTGTGCACGGGCAATCGGTGATTGTCAATGTGGTAGCAGATGTAACAGTGTAGCACTTTCCGTTACCAGGACACAAAGTGGTAGGCTCGGGGCAATAGGTAGTAAACTCGGTCACTACAACGGTCGTTGTTCCCTCGCCTTGCATCGAGGTCGCGGCTTTCATTGAGCTCAAACTAGCTGCTGAGGTCGTAACAGTAGAATGCTCTGTACTAGCCAGAGAAGCCACTCCCTGCGAGCTTGTGCTAGCGTTGTGTGGACTAGTGGCTGAAAGCGCCGACGAACCCGGAGCCCCAGCTACTGTAGAGCTTGCACTCGTCAGCGAGCTGACAGGCATGCTTGAAGAAGTAGCAGCTGTGGTGCTTGCAGGTGATCCGGAAGAACCAGCTCCAGAACTGGGACCGGTAGAACTATCAGGTGCCACAGAACTAGCAGGTACGCTCGCGGGGCCCGTAGAGACAGAAGAGCCAGAGGGAACCGCAGAGGAGCTTGTGGGATCGAGGTTTTTAGGCTGGGGTACATTATTACCAGCATAATCACCAATTGGCAAACCAAAGACTTGACATGTGTCCCATCCTTGACCAGCAAATAAAGCTGCAAAGGAGTCGAACACTTGTTTATCATAATTGGATGCCGTAGAAAGATGATCCATCTTGTTTCCTCTGTAGTAGTGGATTCTTCCACCTTCGTTACAGTACTCAGTGACCACTTTATCTACCTGTCCAATAGGAGCAATCTGGTCCTCGATACCGTTGTACACAATCATAGGGAACTTCGGGGCATTCGTGCCCAAAGTGGTGTTTGTCAAAACGGCTTGCAGATCGGGGTTGTTCAGAATGCTTGCACCGGAAACGAAGTAATCAAAAACGTTTTCGTTCATGTACTCTAGGATATCCTGAAGCGTGCATTGGTGAAGAGCATCCATAGCTTTTGCTGCCATATCTGGTTTAAGCTGCGAACCGATTAAGGCAGCAAGCGTAGGATATTCACTAGCAAGACCCAAGAGCCCGGGAGGAACAAATCCCACCACAGGGGTACCATTAACCAGCTCGACGGTGGCCGTCAAATTCACAACATACCCGCCGACAGCGGCTGCTGCGATTTTGAGCTCAGGAGCATACCAGTCGGCGAACTCAGCAGCCCAGCCGGTAGCGATTGAACCACCGGAGTAGCCCCACATGATGGCCTGGCCATAGTTGACACCGGTGAAGCTCTTGGACTTTTGGACAGCACGAATGGAGTCGAGAGTTAGTTTACCCTCAAGAGGCCCCGCAGTGAAACTCGAGTTGATACCCTCGTGGTCAGGGTAGTTTAGAACGTAGCCAGCGTCGAGGATCTGCTGAAGGTCACTCTGGTTATCTCCGGTGACAAACCCGTACGACGGGTTGCAGTTCAAGTACGCCGAGTCCTCAGCCTGTTGGTACGATACGACGTTCGCAGGACCAGTAGTGCCATTGAAGTTTGCAGGCAGAACGATCGTTGTCACAGTGGCCGTGGGGTCACCGAAGGTGTTTTCAGACCGATAAAGCACCTGCCAGGCTTTGGAGTATGTGTACTGAGGGACACCGATCTCCCGGACGTTCAAGATATCGCCAAGAGCATACTTGGTGATGTTTTGTTTGTCAAACAAGTAGAAGTTGTCCGAAGTAGGCACGACAGGGGTATCTCCCGGTGCACCTACCCAAGCTGAACCCGCAGACCGGGTAACGTCGACGGCGCGACCGGCCAGAAGCAATAGGGGGTCGTATTTCATCTAGCAAGACGTGAAATACTCAAGTTATTTGAACTGCAGTGCGCATGCCCTAGGATCTTTATACTTTTGGTTATGCAGTGGAGCGGGGGAGGGTGGGTCAGCTGCATGAATTTCGTGTGCACTTCCGCTTTCGTCTGCAACTTTGAGATTCCAGAGTTGAAGCGTTTTAGGTCATTGCGGCAAGAGCACCAAAAAGACCCAGAGGCGATAGACAGTCAAGAGCTGGGCTATTTATAAACTGGCAGTTCTAGCTTGGGGCTGCCGATCTTGACCCTGCGAGACGCTACCCGACCAAAACAGACAGGAGAATGGACCAATGTGTGTGTGTGTGTGTGTGTTTAGGGTTACCAAACTGACCCCTCCCGCCTTGAGCCAGCGCTTGAATGGTCCATGTTCTTGTCAATTATCAGTGTCTAGTCTATAAGTTAAAAAGAGTGAGCGTGCTATATGCGTTGACACTGCAAACACCCTTTCGTCAACCCCCGGCAAGCATCTGCTGATCTCTGAACCGTACTAGGAGAGGTGCAGGGCGCACCCTTGACTGTACACAGCGGGCATACGCGATCTCTGTTCCCTCTACGGGTCAGTTTATGCTTGTTCTGATCGGATTAAATAGATAACGAGGAACTAGATAGACGCTATGGTGCTTTTAGCGGATATAATCGCTTCTTCATTGCCGTGCCGTGCTGCGGTGTCGCCTGTTGATCAGATGGCCGATGCATGCCTGCATGCACCTGAGCACAACGGCCGGGTGGAAGCTGCTGAAAGCCGTGGAATGGAACAGTCCAGGTTGGTTTCCCAGGGGCTGGCATATCCAAGTCCCCCACTTGGGTATGCCAAATTGCAGGCCCGTTCAGCCCAACAGTTGAGGTATGCAGATGCGGAGTGATAGTACACGCATGCCTCTCGTCTTGATGCGGCCACAGGGCAGTACAGTACAGGGCCGCTGGCGGTTAGTCATGGCCTGGAGATCGCAGCGTCAGCTTTGTCATCATGTACATCCCCAGCGGGCTGCTACCAAAATGGATGTTGCTGGTATCAGCAATTTCTGTGTTCAATTCTGCTCAATGCTACTACGGGGATCTGACGTTATCCCGCAGAGTGTACGAGCGTGATCCGAAACAGGTGACGCCCCTATCGAACCGCACGTTCGGCACGTGGACGCTCTTGGTTGCCATTGTTCGCTTTTATGCAGCATACAACCTGTCCAACCCGGCCTTCTACAACTTGGCACTCAGCACGTACGTGTTGGCCGGCTTCCATTTCGTGTCCGAGTGGCTGGTGTTCCGCACCGCGAAACTCGGCAAAGGTCTTGCCGGTCCGTTGATTGTGGCGAGCACGACGACGATTTGGATGCTGCTGGTCCGGGGCAGTTATTAAAAAATAATCGTTTCTACTTTTTGTTTTCTTCTCCAATAAATCTGAGGGTAGTATGCAATAAATTTATTTAGGTTGTTTCCGCTGCAAAAACAGGGGAAATACCATCAAAAAAGTGTACAAGTCTCAACGTTTTGTGGGGTCTCTGCGACGCAGCTCCTCGACCACGCCCTGGCCTAGTAAGCGGATGAAACCAGGCTTGTCAAGACGCTCGAGCTTGAGGGGCGTGCGAGCAACGACTGTGGCTTGGCGCGGAGCATTGTACAGGAGCGCGAGCTCGCCAAAGTAGCCGCCTCGGCCCAGGGTGTTCACAGGTTTGCCATTAACCGAGACGTCGACCTCGCCCTCGTCAATCAAATAAAAATTATCGCCCTCGTCACCTTCCTTGACGATGACTTCTCCGGTATTGTAGGACACGGGCTGTAAGGCATCCGCAAGCTTGAGCTGGGCGGCCGGCTCGAGATGTTGTAAGATATCAACATTCGACAGCACCTTGCGGCTGTGTTCACGCTTGGCGTACAGCTTGAGCATGACGATTTCCTTAAACGTGATGCGATCGAGCGCCCAGACCTTCAGATCTGTGGTGGCGCGGACGCTGGCCGCGCGTGGGGCGTTGTGGAGTAGGGCAAGCTCTCCGAAGCAAGTGCCTGGGCCACCGGTGTTAAGGAGCTTGCCGCCATTGGTATACTCGACATTGCCCGACTCAATCACGTAGAAAAAGTCGCCTTCCTCGTTCTCCTTGATAACGTACGACCCTGCCGGATACTCCTTCGGAACAAAGGAGCGAATCATCTGGTCCATGCCGTCGTCATTGAGGTCGGCGAACATGAACATTTTGGCCAGCGCCTGCCGCACGAGCTTTTCGCTGGCTCCAGTAAGCAGCGACGGTTTCTTTTCTTTGGAACCCTCGCCTGCCGCTCCCGGAAACGACGGGGGAGCAACGCTCTCTGCCGACACTGAGGTGCGACGGTTCGCGTTAAAGTGGCTGGGGAAGTCCGCTTCCTTGGGATTCTCTTCGGTGTTTGGCTCTCCTCCTAGGCGGTAGTTGTTGAACATTCGAACGTGCAGTCTGTGCTTTGCGTGCTATCGGTGGCTTCAAAGAGGGGGATAAGAGGTAGGCTAGTGCTAACCACCCGCCCTCCCAACCTTGAGTAATCATCGACCGACCAAGCCTCTGGGTGGGGCAAGGGTCTGGGGGTCTGGAGTGCACCGCCGGTCCGCCTATCAGTGATCTATGCGGCTGGTGGCCCGGCGGCTGGTATATTGAGTACATGACAGAAATAAATGATAGTTTAGGATGGGACAGACCAAAATTACAGCTGTGCGGGTTGACATTAGTCGTGGGTGTGGGGCTTGGCGGGGCGACGAAGCCGGGGCTGGCGTTCGTATGCATTTGGTCGATTATGCCGCGCGCCGTGGTGGTCACATTGTGGCTCGTCCGAGTCCGAGTCTGAGTCCGAGTCCGAGTCCGAGTCCGAGTCGGACGAGCTGGTCTCCTGCTCGAGCTCCTCGTCGGGCGGGTGGTATATGCAACAAATCTTGGTCTTTTTCCGGTTCAGATGCTCGTTGTCGACTACCTCCTCAGTCCAGCGGACCCTCGGTTGTCTCCGTGGCCGATCTCCTATTAAAACAAGCCGGGCAAGCCGTTCTTGTGTCGAATCCTCCGTCACCGTTTCCGTTTGTGACGGCGTTGCCTCTCGTCTTTGCGACATGCTGTGCTGACAAACTGATGGGCCGGGATCCACTTATATGCGATGAATTTTAGTATAAATCTAGAGAATATTAGACCTTTTGGCAGTCGTCGATGGATTCGGACTCGGCTGTGCACGCCGTATCGTAGTCCCCTGGCTTGCGGACTTCCCCGAACAAATAAGTGATGACATTTTCGTAGAACTTGCGGGGTTCCTGCTCCTCGCTATGCATAGAGATTTCCTCTTTGTCTGACTGCACAGGCTCGAGACCAAAGTATTTCAGCCGGATCATCCACACGATGTGCGAGGTGAAGATGCCTAGTTCCAGGGCCAGAACAATACAATAGAGTACGATGCCAAGGATATCGAGGCTGCCGTTCTGCATGCAAACCGAAATGATGTTGAACACTGCGCCGCTCGAGTCCAAAAACAGAAACACGAAATTGATGCCCACCACCTGGCCCTTGGCCTTCCAGAGCTCTGGGTAGGGCGGCAGGAGTCCCACTGCCAGCAGCACGGCAGCAATGATTCCGGGAATCAGATTGGGCCAGGTAGTTCCTCGGTCGTACACTGGTCGTAGGGGAAGAATCACGGCCAGCTCAATGCCAGCGCTGACAATGGCCTGGATCCCTACAATCAGGGTCGCCTTTTTCCATCCCAAATTTACCGGAGGATAGTAGAGCGTCTGCCAGTATGTGCACAGGCAGAAGAACGTAAACAGCTGGGGCTGGATCTGCAGAGCCATGTTGGCACGCTGCACCATAAAGTAGATGCCAAAGGGCACACCCGAGGCGCTCCACAGGAAGAGCATGAGCACAGGAAGGCCTGTGCAGTCTTTTCTGCGATAGTTGTAAATGAACTGCGGGATGAGCTGAATGCACCACAAGACGGTTCCGACGACGCCGAGCGCGGTCGCCGTAGGATTTCCTTTATCGATCATATTTTACGTCCCAGGCTCACCTGGGTCAGTGGTTAATAAAGGCGGGTGAGAACTGGTGTGGTGGGTTGCAAAGTTCTGAAAGAATCCTGCGGACTCTGGCGGCTGTTTCGAGGTTTTATACTTTTGCGCAGGTAATCTTTTTTTTCTAATCAAGCTGACTCTACATGCACCTCCACTTTCCCAGGCAGGATCTGGGCTAGGCGTACATGCCACGTTAGAGGTCTTCCTGGGCTCCGGTGATGTGGTTGTACGGCGTGGTGCTTTTTATCACTTTTCACAAGCACTTTGGTGCTCACAGGGCTATTTAAAGTTACCTACGTGTCTATATTTGAATGGCAAACGGCGAAAACTGGCTTCACCTTCCTAATCGGGAAAACAGTACTGCACGGTTTTTCATCTTCTCAATTGCTCATCCAGGTGGCGTGCCCGGCCGAAACGGCAATATTGAGGACTAGAAACTCACAGAGTGCCTCTAAAAATTGTTCTACATCGCCCGCGCATGCACCAGCACTCCAAGACCTGCTAAGAGCTACTTTCCATGCATCATGCAGGGCCGCCGGGAGACAATGGCGATCCTGTACCACGACGGCCCTAGCCCCTTGGGGTCGTGTGCTTGTTCACGGGAGCCCGAATTGCCAGATGGTTCGGCAAATGCCGCATAGATCACCCTCGAGAGTATTAGCTATTTCTTGTTTCATCTCGTTTCAATCTATTTCCCGTATATAGTGCCTCCATATAGTGCCTCTGATAAGATAAAATTAATCATAGTATTTAAAGCATGCTGTACCCAGGGTGAAGCGAGTTTTCAGCAAAGTATTACCCGGCCTGAAATTGCTTACTACGCAAAGAGTTCAGTTCACGCTTCATCATGTCTGACGTGGATGACGATTTGCTCGCTTTGGCTGGCGCTGGCGGCGGCAGCGAAACAGAGGACGAGCTTCCTGTAAAGAGAAAACGGGAGGACTCAGAGACAGAGGAAGAATACGGCTTGGGGTCCGATGCAGACGAGGGCGATGGTGACGACGATGACGACGACAACAACGACGACGATGCGGCCGGTCCCGCAGCCTCTCCTAGCGTAGACAACAGCGACGAGGGTGAGGAAACTACCGGAGATGTCGAATATGGTGAAAAGAACCCCTATCCGCTTGAAGGAAAGTACCGCGACGAGGCAGATCGGGCCAAGCTCCTGGCCCTCCCCGAAATTGAGCGTGAGGAAATCCTTTTCGACCGTTCGCAGGAAATGCAGCGTTTCGAGGAACGACGATACCTCGCACAGCGTGCCCACCAGCGCAAACAGCAGCTTGCCCAGGCTCAGGGCGACCAGCGACAGCTTCGTCGCGACCGTGAAGTCGTAGGTGTCTCGGGCGCCAAAAAGAACCAATTACAAGCCTTGAAAAAGCGGCGTCAAGAACGTGAACGTCGTTCGCAAGGAGCAATGGACTCGGATTATGAAGGTAGTGATGAAGACGAAGACGAGGACGAAGAAAAGTACGGGAGTGATTACAGCGACCGAGAAGTTGAATGGGACGAGGGCGAGAAACGAGAGGAAGTTAAGCCACTTAGTGCTTCTGATCTGAACCGTATTCGCTTTGGCAAGACTTTGCTGGCCAAGTATTGTTATTATCCAAATTTTGAGGCAGCGGTCACAGGCAGCTTTGTGCGGGTCAACATCGGTTACAACCACCAAAAACAACAAAACGTTTATCGTGTATGCCAGGTTATCAAGCTGGTCAAAGTGAACAAAGTATACACCTTTATGGACCGCGTTATTGATCAAGTTCTGCTAGTATCCCATGCTGGCTCGGAGCGGCAAATCGAAATGGGCATTGCAAGTGACTCCCCCATCACCGCATCCGAGTTTGAATACTGGAAAAATGCAATGGAGCAGGCGCAGCGTTCTTTGCCTCAGCGATACCGCGTCGATGCCAAATTCAATGAGATGCGTGAGCTCAGAAGGGCACTAACCTCTCAAGAAATTGAGGAGATGGTTCAGCGACGACAAACCCTCACTGGATCCAAGGGTGCAAATACTGTACTGGAGCGCTCTGTGCTTCAGGAGCAACGGGAGCAGGCTCTCGAGCAAGGCAACAAGGCCCTGGTGGTGGAACTAGACGAACGGCTAGCTAGCCTAGAAGAAAAAGCGGCTGTTCGCACTGCGTCAGCTGCAGATGACAAGCTTTCAAAGCTCGCCAGCGTCAACGAGCGAAACAGACGCAACAACGTTGCAGAGATCCGCAAGGCTGAAATCCAAGCCCAGGCCGAGCGAAGGAAATCTGGCAACGTTATTAAAGCCGACCCCTTCAGTCGTCTGCGCACCACAGCTCGTATCTACTATAATGACGATGGCCAGGAGCCGGCTCCAGTCGTCGAGAGCTCTACCACTGAGACCGAGGAATCAAAAGTGACAATGTCGGCTCTCGATAAGATTATTGCTGGATTGGACATAAAACTTGAAATCGAAATCTGAGCAGACGGATGCATTGCATGTTTTCGCATCCTGAAAGTCCGTTGAGCAAGAACTAGTATCACCATCGGTTTCACAGATTCTGAATTTCTCAAGCTTCCCTAGCTCGGGTCTCGACGCAACAATCTCACTACGCACTTGTTGGATCTTCAGATACGACGTTAGATGGCTGAACACGCTTTCAATCTCTTCGAGAGTGAGATCCTTAGTTTCAAGAAAGACAAAATAGACAACCACTAATGTAACTGCGTTAGTGCAGGCGTACACAATGTAATAATAGTTTCCCAAGGAATTGAAAGCCAGAGGGGAAACTTCGGCAATCATGAAGTTGAAAAGCCAGTGAATGCCATTCGACGCTGCCGTGACCTTGTGCCGATACTTGGCAGGTGCAATTTCCGCCGCGTACATGGTTGGCATCAAATGGAACCCTATAGGGTAAAAGACCATGCACATGAACTGAAATACGATGGCACCATATAGCATACCTTGACTAGCACCAGACTTTGTAAGAATGGCCATGGCCGCCATCGACACCATCATTCCAGCCGCACCACACAACATTAATGGCCGACGCCCAAGTTTGTCCACCAATGCCATGGACACAAAAGCAAACGCTGCACGTACAAGTTCCAATCCTGCCGAAACAAGCCGTGCCTCGTCGGCCGAGAAAGACATTTGCGTTTCCAAAACCTCGGTCGAAAAAAATGTCAAAACGCTAATACCAGTCAAGCATCCCATCATATTAATGAAAACAGCGAGGAAAATGCGAAAGTAAAGGCGGTGGCTTTTAGCAGACTCTGTAGCATCTTTCATCGTCGTGTCCAGCTCATCTTGGACCTCGGGGTCGGTGGGATCCTTGCCTTTTCGTCCGCTCAAGGCCGCAAATACCTCGAGGGCTTTGGCTTGTTTACCTCGAGCAGATAGCCATCTTGGTGATTCTGGTAAGTAGAAGACTAATAGCAGGATGGCAACAGCACCAGGTAGTTGCAGCGACAGGGGGATCCTCCACTTGAGATCCGTTTTACCAGCATAGAAAAAGGCATAGGTCACCCAGTTTGCAACCACCATGCCGATATCACCAAAGCATCCCAACAGCAAGACTGTTTTACCTCGGTGCGCAGGGCCAATGCATTCACAAATCCACAGAGGAATAGTGGCACAGTAGGCTCCCATCCCGATACCAGTTGCGATGCGGCCAACAATGAGTTGAGATGTTGAGAAAGCAGATGTTTGGAGTATTCCTCCGATCAGTTGGAAAACTGTAGCCCAGAATACTGTTCTTTTTCGCCCTAGCGTGTGCGCGAGAAGAAAACACAGCAGGCCACCGAATGCTCCGCCTGCCTCATACACTGCCACCACTGTACCCTGCATTGTTGCATGAGTCTTTAACACCTCGTCTGTGGCATTAACAGTGTCTATTGATGGGAAATAGCGAACAAACGTGTCAAGAGTAACAAGACCATTGAGAACGCTCTGAGTGTAACCCTGGAGAAAATACGCGAGAGAACCGATGCCAGCTAGAAAATTTCTAAGAGCTCGGCCTTTCATAGCTATTCTCTTGAGAACCTATCTCTGGAAACGATACTATATATTTGGACTTAAAGTTTAATCGTTCATTACTTTATGTCGCCTGCAACTGGGTTTCGCAACGAGAATGACGTTGATCCCCAGCTGAAGCTAGATTTTAGACTGCAGCATCTTAATCTGATACAGACATTTGCGTGCCGATAAGATGCATTAATTTCATGGGAACTTTGAGCCTTCCAGGTCGCGAACACGTACACGCTCGTTCCTCGCCTTGTTGGGCGTGCAAGCTATACGGCCGCGCCAATTCAAAAATGGTTCGAATAAACTTTACAGTTGTTCAGCATCAATTCAAGTTAAACACGTCATATTTCAAGTTGTTCTGGGGCGATTGCAGAGCTCAAGCGGACGCCACACGTCAAGTGTTCTATAATTGGCTCGGGCGACTCTAATTTCCCCACCTTGAAAAATCTTCCTGCCAGCCAATGGTTCTCTAACACTGTCTTTCTAAACTACGTCTACGAACCGGCACAGGTCTCTACTTTCTATTTCTATCAACCCCCGATCGGGCGCTCGGAGTTTGTAATCCGAACTAGATGCAAGGGGCCAGCGAGAACGAGCAACTTATTGGCGCGGCACGCTCGAATAATGAGGCTCTTATGGAGTCCATTTTCAAGGATAAGAAGCCTGAGGGGATTGCCGATCTGATAAACAATGTGAGAGACCCTGTTGGCAACACATTACTGCATTTGGCCGCAGCTAACGGCGCCTACGACGTTATTGACCTGATTTTGGACCAGGAGGGTGTTGAGATTGACCCCATTAACCGTTTACAGCAAAGCACTCCTTTACACAGTGCTGTGGAGTTTGCGGCGACTGATAAGGTACTGGGAAGGGCCGTCGTGGAGCTGTTGATCGAAGCGGGCGCAGACCCCATGCCCAAGAATGTCCGCGGTAAACGGGCAATTGACCTTGCAGCTGGCAACAACGAAATTATTCAGTCTCTACGTGGCGCTATGTATGCTGCTGAGATGCAGAGTTCTGTTGGTGGAGCAGACGGTCCGGCAGATGGTGTTGTCGACGGCGGCGACGAGGAGGGAGACGGTACGCCCAGCGACGAAGGCGAGCCCATTGTTGAGCCCCAATGATTCTATATAAGTTCAAAATCATCCATTGCAGTTCGTTGCCATCCCGGTGGATACTCTTTGTCTGCGGTGGCTTTCCAAGATAGATAGCTAGTTGCTGAGGTTTGTTCGATAGCTTTGACCAATTTAGCGATCTCGAATCGACTAACAATGCTGGCACCTTTCCCAGAGCCTAGCTTTGAGCCCTGACGGACCCCGTTGACAATAACCTCCTGAAGATTGGGGCTCACCCACACCAAACTGGTTGGGCTTGGAGCTTTGGTAGGTGCCTGGGCGTCAGCGAAAGTGAACTGAGGTTCCTGCCAAGAAAAGTAGTTTGCCGCGGGCCACCGTCGAAATGCTCGGTCAAAGTCTGGCAAAACAGGACACACGAGCATCGTTAAATAGATGGGCTCGACAATGCGTCGAGTGGGGCCAAGTAAAATGCTTGTTTGTTGTCTGAAAGCAAGCTTATCGGTACAAGACTTGGACAGGGTTAATTCGCTATCCTGACGTCCTGGTTTGGTTCGCAAGTACCCCAAGTAGCCGTAGTGGTTTCGGCCGCGAATGAGCAGACCTTCAGGCTTTGATTCCCAGCTTTCCCCTTGAAACAGTGACATTGAAGCGTCACCACAAGGCGGTGCGGAAACATAGAGAAATACCCTGAGGTTTTCCCGAGCCTTGAACTTTGGCCCCACCTTTTCGATCCAACCACTGGTTGGCTCAAGACACTGACCTAGGATCCACCTATTAAAAGCCCGCAGAGCTAGGATTTCGGCATGCATATCATGTAGGATCTTACCCCCACCATTCGCGATAATTGTTTCGGGCATTGCTTTCAATCCTGTGGACAATGCCACACACTCCCACTCGCCATCTCTTTCAACGACCACGCCGGCTAGAATTGTCCATTCCTGGACGCCATTAGACCTCAGTGTGGGCTTCCCCTTGTTAGGCAGCTTTTTGTACTGTTCTAGCACGAGCCATGCTGCCATGTCATGGTCGTGCAGCGGCGGGTTTATCTGCGACGGCGCAGCATGGCACCAAGCACTGCTGCACCAACTGCGACTGCACCACCCACAATTGCCATACCAATCATGCCCTCCTTGTTGAGCTTGTCCTCAATCTCCTGGCGTAACTGATTGATCTGTGGGTTGGTTGGATCGTAGCGTAACAACGCGTCAGCGTAGCGGCGGGCATTCGTGTAGTCGCCCAGTTTGTAGCAGCCAATGGATAAATAGTAAAGAGAGTCACGACGGCGCTCGGGTGCGGACTTGAACAATTGCGTCAAAATCTCGACGCCCATCCGCTGGTGCTCTGGATCGTTACTTTTGATCAGCCCCCAGGCGTAGTTGAACCGGGTCTGGATGGATGCATGGTCTCCCTCCCGGTTATACTGTTTGGCCAAAATCTCCAACTCCTCATTGGGCAGCGGCTTTTTGCACTCCTCTAGAGAAGCATAGTACGTGGTTGCGTTCATTTTCTGTAGACGGTGGCAATCAAGAGAATACAACCCGCCAAGCGCTTACAGTCGAACTGCGTGGGGCCAACTAACCTTTTGGTCAGCAACACCTAACGGGATTTTTCATCAGGTAAAATGGTCACGAATATCATGGGGAAGTCGTTCCGCGGGAACGTTCTGGTCCAGGCCGGGCTTGTTCAGAAGTTCTTTGGTGTCGGACACAAGACTGCCGGGGAGATCTGCTCCAAGCTGGGCTTTTACCCGCGGATGCGCATGCATCAGCTGGACGAGCCGCGGATTCTTGCCCTGACCAAGGAGCTGTCGACGCTGAAGATTGAGACGGAGCTTCGAAATGAGATTCTGCAAAACATCCGGATCAAGCACGAGATCGGATCGTACCAGGGCATGCGACACGCCCAGGGGCTTCCGGTTCACGGCCAACGGACGCGGACGAATGCCAAGAATGCGAAGAAGCTCAACCGTTTAGACCGCCGTATTTGATCAGGTGGGTTGGCACTATTTGTATATATATTTAAGAGCTGGATAAGAGCTAGATAACAGCAGTTTTTCGCCTATTTTCAGCCCATTATCCGGGGATTTGCCAGGGAAGAGATGGCCGCTTCAGGGGGGGAGGGTCCTCTGTTAGTCAGCACTAGGGCTTGGCCCTAGCAGCCACAGTCACTCATCTGACAATACACTCTCAGCCGTCTCAAGCATCATCTCCAATTAACATGGCCGGATCCGTTCAAAAGAAGGCGCTTGCCGCTAAGAAGGCTGCCACCAAGGGTGTTCACGGTAACAAGGTGACCAAGGTTCGCACCTCCACCACCTTCCGTCTCCCCAAGACTCTTGCTCTTGCTCGCAGCCCCAAGTACCCCCGCAAGTCCGTCGACCACCCCCGTCGTCTGGACGAGTACCAGGTTATTGTCCGCAACGTCAACTCCGAGGTTGCCACCCAGAAGATCGAGGCCTCCAACACCTTGGTTCTCCAGGTTCACATCAAGGCCAACAAGTACCAGATTCGCGATGCCGTCAAGAAGCTGTTCGGTGCTGAGGCTCTCAAGATCAACACCCTCATCCGCCCTGATGGCACCAAGAAGGCCTTTGTCCGTCTCACTTCCGACTTTGATGCCCTTGATGTTGCCAGCCGTGCCGGCTACCTGTAATCCACTAGCATCTATGCACTGTGTAGCCTAAAGTATTTCTGCCATATCCTGGTTTTGGTGAGAATGCCTTCCATCTAAAAAATCAAAACTCAACGTAGAAACATATCTAGTCTCTATCCTTAAAACAGCCAGTTCAGGCAGAGTTTTGTTTGGATTTGTCATGGTCAGCACTATCTACGTTTGTCGAGTAAGTTAATAGAGGTTCACGAGCCAGGAATTGATGAGCTAACATTCAAGCATGGGCTGCGAGCCAATCTTGATCCGCCGCCTACCAATATCGACGGAGACGTGCCGTTGTCGGCTGCCGGCGAAGAGCAAGCCGCCGAATTAAGTGCTCACCTGGTCAAAATACAGCCTGCGATCCAGAGAATTTACTCTTCGCCCTTTTATAGGTGTTTGCAGACATGCTCGCCTACGAGCAAGCGGCTGGGCCTGCCAATTCATGTGGAAGCCGGTCTAGGCGAGTACTACTACCTCGAGCGGCCAACCCACCCGGTACCTGCTCAGGCCAGCGTGCTCAAATCATCATTCCCTGATATCGACCTGAGCTATAGCTCAAAGGTGCCGGTATCTGAAGACGGTGAGAGCCGGGAGGCACTTCGTGAGCGTGTGCAAAAGGCAATGGACACTCTGATCGGCCAGACCTCGGAAGACGTTATTCTTATCGCCACGCATGCTGCGATCAAGATCGAAATCGGTCATGTTCTAGCTAATCTCGAAGTCAGGGCTGGCACCTGCTCTTTGGACCGCTACGATTTGGACCCCGAGACTAACACATGGGCGTGCGTCTACTCTGGCGATACGTCATTTTTGAAAAACGGCGAGCAGATGCACTGGTCGTTTGATATGCATGCTGAGGCTGGTTCGCTGGAGGACGAAAAGAGCCGCTCGAACGCTCGGGTCAAGCTGCTGGTCCCCCTTGACATGTCGGGTCTGCCGGTGGCCCCGAAAACCGGCGACCTGGAAATCGCCGATCTGAAGGAGGAAACACCGCTATTTAAAATTGGACGCCAAGTCTACGAAGGCCAGTGGAGTCGCGTAGTTGGTACGGAGATTTACACTGACCGCCAGGGCGACTATATCGGCAAGACCCGAGACCGCATAACTCTGCAGCCCGTGCAAACCGACGTGCCCAAGAAGACCAAGCTAGCCGACCGGATAAAAGAGATTGACGAGCAGCGGGCCCGCGATAGGATGGAATTATGATTTAGCTGTACATGGCCCACCAACAAGCCTGATATATAACGATAGGATGTGCATTTAGTAGCCCTGGCGTTTTGCCCGCTTGACCAACTGGAAGAGACGGCGGACGCCGGCATTGAACTCGCGGCGTTTCCGCTGGATGCGGATCCGCAGACGGGCCTTTCCTGGTCGCTCAGCGAACCTTTGCAAGTTGACGGTCTCCTTCATTGCGTTGACCCGGTTCATGGTGTTGACCTGGCGCACGGCGCGGTTGAGCAGCTCGGGCGACGGCACGGGGGCACTACGGCCGACCAGAACGCCGGTGCGGGGAGGCATGATCCGCTGGTGCTGGGACCGCAGCTGGAAAAGCAGGTCGTCGGCTACTCGTCCGGGTGTCTTCAGCCTCGACGTAGCGCCTGTGTCGGACTGGAGAAGATCCATGAGGCTCTTGTGGCTCTTGATGTCTGGTCGGGGTTTGTTTGCTCGCAGTGGCGTCGTGGAGAACGTGCGTGCACAGCCCGTCCACAAGCTTCGACCTAGCCAACGATTCATGGATTCGAGTCTCTGTCAGCAAAAAATTTCACGCCTGGACTTGGGAGGGAGGGACGGTTGGCTGCGGAGGACCTAACCCTGAACGTAATGTCTGTGCAGTTGACACGAGGCGGGTAGAGTGCTGGAGAAGGTGGAGGGTATCCAAACACTGCACAAAGCGCGGCCGCTGGCCGAGTTACTGATTTGGTGTTCCGACAAAATTACGCGTTTTTTCTTGGCATACATTCTATATTAAACTCGATCAAGGGGTCCCGCAGCAGACGCTAATATATATGGGGCTGAATCATCGGACTCACTCGAGTAACATAATGATCAACACGGTGAAAAAGCAGGTCAACAGCGTATTCCTCCATCTCCACACTGAATTGACGCCAGGCTACTGCCTGAGCAAGTACGAGAACGTTGCGGTTGACACTCTGGTGTTTATTCTGTTTGGTCTTTTCTCGTACGCATGCTTGTATGTGCTCGGAGGTATTTTCTCGCAGCTCGGCTTTGACAGTCCTCTCAACCTAGGATACCGAGTTTTGACTGCTCCTTCATATGTTGTGTCTCTGCGCTGAAATTTGCCGTCGTTTGTGCATGTAAATTGTGCCCCCGCGGTCGTGGTTCCGGTCCCACCGCGGTCCAGGTGGCCGTCTAAGCCTCTTTTTTTGGGTCCAGACGCCTCTGGTTAGTCACAAATTCGTGTTTATTATTAACAGGTTTGCACTAGTGACTAAGCGCCTCTCCACACCCAGATGGGCCAGTCCAACAACCCCAGAAACGAGTTTGTCAGACGCGGCAACCGTGACTAACTCAACAAACGAGAAACAAGCTTGGGCTCAGGCTCAATTGCGCCCTAACCAAGCTTCTCACTCGCAAGCGCAACTGGCAAATTGCCCAAGATAGCCCGCTGAGCTGGTGCTTGACCAACCACCCCGCTCCTCAGAGCTACCTGGAAGTCGCAGTGTTGCGCTTGCCAACCAACTACTGTCGAACTCTTAGGCCGTCAGTCAGTAAGCAATCTGAACTTTCTCCGGCTTTTTATGCTCCCCTTTATGGTTTTCGGGCTATTCTGCGGAATAGGCACTTTACCGATCAACCTGGCAGATCTGATTTGGCTTGGCCTAGCGGTCGGCCTGCCGACTGTGCAAGTGACAGCAGCTGTATTCCTTTGTTTCATGACATCTTGTTGGCACCACGGACCACCAGCTCCAAGTTGTGCGCTTTTTGTGCAGCAAATAAATGGCTCATGGCTGTCTTGTACCGATAAGAAAGAAAAACAACCCAGCAGATGCGGCTTTTTCCCAGGGAGGGGGGTCGGCATCCCGCACACAGCAGACTGCATAGTCGGTGCGCCTTGCAGCACGCAGTATGAAATTATGGGCAGCGCTGGCCAGCTTGTTGGCCGTTGCTGAGCTGGCCGCTAAATTCCGCGGTATGAGCCCGCCGTCTAGTCGCTACTTTTCTCAGATTCGCCCGCCAGTCCTGCCTAAATCGCCGTTTTTTTCGGTGACCCAGTCGTGAACCATGTCGGGTATTTTTTTCGGAGATCACGTGGATCGTCTTACCGACGCCAATGCTTTGCTCAGGGCTCGCCGTTCGAGCAGCCTGCACTGTGTGCCGTTTATGTATTAAATATCGCTTTAACCAAAACAACCTTTATGAAATTCCTTTGCCAATTACCCCCAGAAAACCAACGCACTAGGCTGATTCATACCTTGCCATGCTTCCTACAACGGGTTGTTTGCTTACCGAAACGTTGTTTTTTGCTGCAGCTCACGCTCCAAAGACGATGACCCTACCACGATTTGCTTGCTTATGATGCGCTATTGGGGTGTCGCAAGAGATTTGTGCCGAGATATGTGCCTATTCCGCTACTGCTGTGATATTGGAATTTGTCTTTCGACTTTGCCACCCCGTTGACGGCTCCCACCGGCAACAGCAGCCTGGAAAAACTTCCCGAATATGTACGTTCTGTGGGCTGGTTCTCGTGCAGGCACCTCTGCAGCAATCCTGGACTAGAGATTTATAACTCATGCCTCTTCCTCAATAGCCACAAACCTTTGTCCTCCAAACCACGATGCAGCTGAAAGAGCTCCCCAAGAAAGTTCACCGCCTTATCCAGATTATCCATTTCGAGGTCGTGCCCTGTGCGACTATGTCCAGCTGGGAAACCGCCGTCGTCGACATTGCTGCTGGCGTCTTCATCATGCTTCTCATCTACCTGTTTGCATCGCTTGCTCCCCTCGCCAAGGAGGCTGGCCACATCATCTACTCCGCGGTCCCGCACTACCTCGCTGCCTAATTCGAGCACGCTGGCCCCAGCTCGTTCTTTTTCTAATATCCGCTGTTCGTTTGTTGCGGGCCACCCCTAATTTGCAATTCCCCCGCAGGCTGTTTCTCTGCACCGGCTCTGCTTAATTTTTTATATATATTGTTTGTGTAGCACGAATTTTTGACAACTCTATAAGTATTAGGGGTATACAACACTCTGTCGAGACAGGTGCGCAGGCTTGGGAGGCTTACTGGCCCGCCGCTCGGCGTCGCTGGTCCGCGAGGAAGCCTCGAGTTTGCGGAGCGGTGGTTTGTTGGCCTTGGGCGGCAGCGGCGGCCGCTGGATGTTGTCGGTCAGCGTCCGCCTCTTCATCTGCTTTTTCGCGGAAACAAACTCACTCTGGGGGGTCGTCTCGAGAACCTCGCTGTCCGAGTGCGTGCCACTGTCCGTGTACCTTCCGTAGCCTTGCGCGGTCCGCGGCGACCGCTGCTGGTCCTGGCTCTGGAGATATGTGTGTACCCGATGTTGAATGCTGCTGCGAGGCTGGTTGTATCTGTGAGCTCCGCTGTTGACGCTCACTGCCGACCCGCGGCGTACAATCTCATAATCCGACCCGTCGCTTATCTCCTCGCTTGTCGCACTACCGTCCATGTCGGATTGGAACAACAACCCGCTGTTTGCTGACCTCCTTGCGCCGTCTCGAGACGACGACCGAGCTTGTCGGGAGGTTATAACCACGTCGCCGCTGCTATCGTCCTCTATATCATCGTCCGAGCCATAGTACTGACTTCGGCGATGGTGCGAGTGGCTGCTGTTGCGGAACAGCTTGTTTGTCAACGACTTCTTCCGAGAATGCGCAGCTTTGCCGCCCTTGGAGATCTGGCGAACAAGACCAGTCACGTGGTGGTGGTGAGGTCGCAAGGTACGCAGGAAATCAACGCTCGAAGTGACATGCGTGTTGTCGTTCTCCAGTACAACCGTTGACTCAGTCATCCCGCCAATGATCTTTTTGAGCTTGGTCGCCTGTTCTGAAACCCGCACCTCCGACTCGGAGTCCGATTCAGAATCAGAAGCATACAGGTTTTGCGCTCTGACCGCATGCTCGAGCTCCCCAGACGATCTCGACGAGCGGTACTTGCGGAGCCTCTCAGAAGTCACGCCATCAAATTCACCGGATGATCTCGATGTCCGATACTCTCTCTCGCGTTCGAGATCTCCCGAGGGACGCCGTTGATCGAGCTTGAGTACCTCTGAAGAGCGGCGTTGGTCTCTATGTTCAGATTCCCATGACCACTCTTCGCCGCCCAAAGGAGTGACTGATCTGGCGGTGGGAGGCGGTGGAACCAGGGGCAGCTGATGGTCCTGTTGGGGCACTTTGTCCATTTCTTCACGAGCCGCTTTGATTTGAGCCTGGGCTGTTTCGCGCACAAACCTGGCTTTGAGTTCCTCAGGCCGCCGGGGAACGGGAGGACCGTTGTTGACCGGAGCACTGGGCATAGGAGTGGGCTTTTTAGACTGCGCCAGCACAGTCTGGCTACCCAAGGGCTCTAACTCTGCCATTGATGGGAAGCGTGCAGTGACCTCTGCCTCAGAAAAGTCAAATGCCGATGTGCCAGTTAGCATTGGCGAGGTTGGAGACAACACAGGGAACTTGGTCTCAAAGCTTCCACTCCTGTCCACAAGTTCTGGAGATGTAGGCACTGAGCCAATAGGTGCGTTGATGTTGACATGCGATGCCCACAAGTGCCGGTTGGTTTGCTGGATCGGCACAGGGACCGGTTGTGCAGGGGCCGCCTGAATCGGGTCAGTTGGAACTAGTTGGCTGCTGGACATAGCCGCCATAGACTGCGGATACTGCTGTCGCAACTGCATCCCCGAAAGCATGGGGAGAATTTCCTGAGCAGCCCCGTAGGGTGGTTGCGGTTGTAGCGAAATTACGGGCACTGGCTGCATAGCGGCTGCCGTTGTGGGCGGGGTTGGAGATCCTGGATATGACTTGTGCGAAGGACCTGGCGAGGTCTTTGGGTGGAGACTTGAGGGCCCTGGAGAAGGGGCCCCGGAAGCCGAAATCTGTGGCGGCACAGAAGCAGCCGGAGGAGTCCGCGCTTTGCGAGCAAGCGGGTTGTCAACTTCCCTCATTGCACAAATTTCTTGCATAACTTGATAAGCGGTGGGGCGCTGAGTGGGTACAGGTTGCAACAACACGCGAATCATGTTCTTTAGCCGGTCCGAATAATGCGGTTTTTGGGGGATGATATACGACGCCTTGAGAATAGCCGCGTTGCCCTCCCTTTCGAATGGAGTAGTATAAAAGCAGAGTTTGTACAGGAATACACCTAGTGCCCAGATATCGCTTTTCTCGTCAATGGGGTAGCCGGAGTAAACGTCCACCATCTCCGGGCTGCGGTACTGCACTGTCGTGTGGTGTTTAATGTCATCGTCCAATATCCTGTACTCCTGCGGAGTTTTAGGAACACGCAGCACCGGTGAGACGGAGCCGAAATCACAGAGTTTGTACGTTCCATCTCCGGTGAGCAAAACGTTTTCGATTTTCAAGTCTCGGTGAATTAGTGGCGGATGTAAATGATGCATGTGTGCGAGACCCAGAGTGATATCATACATGATTTTGAGGACCTCGTGCTCTTTGAGCTGATCCCGCAAGCGGGTGTTCATGAAGTTTATCAGGCCGCCGCCGGCGCAATACTCCATGAGTAGCAAAACCTCGTAGCCCATCCCGGACTTCATACGCTCTGCGTGGGAATCAAAATATTGAACGACGTTCGAATAGCCCTTCAGTCGCTGCATTGCCTCTACCTCTGCGCGCAGGAGGTTCAAATAGACCTTGTCCGGCACTGCAACCCGCTTGAGGCAAGCCACGGGGTGGCCGGCGATCGGAGGGTCAACTTTAACGGTGTAGACGTGCGCGAATCCTCCTTCCGACACATATTTTATAATTTCAATCTCGTGTGAGCCCACTGTCAGTGTAGTTCCTGGCGAATATGCCGTGGGTGGTGCGGTAGGCATCCGTATTATGCACCAAGAGAGGAGGCGTGGAAGAAGCTAAGCGTTGGATTATTTACACCGTGGGACCGTGGTGGCAGTGCGCAGTCAGCAAAGAGGCTGAGCTGACTAAGTGAAGGGCCGCCCTGACTCCGTGCGCCTCCTGATCCGCCACTGATTCCACCCCCACACTTTTTATGAGGTGGATACTGGGGTTTATTTGGAGCTGGCTGTGGTCAATTGACCAAAGCGGCCGGGCATTTCCCTCGAGAGAGTGGCTGCTGGAGAGAACGCTCGCGAACTTCGATCTGCCAGACGGCCTCCCGGGGCTGTCGGTTGCTAGTCCGTCAACTACCCGGCCGAACTATTATTACCACTGGATAAGAGACGGCGCATTGGCTATTGGAACACTTGTGGGTCAACTTGAGCGGCACGATGACCAGTACTCTGACCGGATCAGAGCGCTTGTGGAAAGCTATATCTCGTCGAGCCGCCAGCTGCAAATAGTGCCCACTCTGTCTGGTACTCTGGGTGAGCCCAAGTTTTACATCGACGGGGCGCCCTTCAACGAACCGTGGGGTCGTCCCCAGAACGACGGTCCGGCATTGAGAGTGATGGCGCTGGCCAAGTACGCTCAGTCTCTCTCAGTCGCCCGGAATCATCGCTTGTTCCAGCAAGTGATCAGGGCTGATTTGGATTTCATTTTGAGCTCTTGGCAGGACCAGTGCTTTGACGTGTGGGAGGAGGTTTACGGAGTGCACTTTTTTACGGTTTTGTCTCAGTACGGTGCCGTCAAAGCTGGGGCAGCGTTGGCAAAACAGGCGGGACTTGGTTCTTACGTCCAAGCCTATAAAGCGACACTCCGCAAGATGGAAAGGTACATAAACACGAAATTTTTGGCCCATGAACTGATTTTTGAGCATTCTCCTATTTATTTGGCGGGGCGTTGCGGCATTGACTCCGCATCGGTGTTGGCGGTCAAGACGTTGACGAGTCTGGCGGGGTGGACCGAACCCATCAATGGCCCGCTTCTTGTCAACATGACAGACGTGCGGCTACATAACACTATCGAGTTCCTCAATGCCGATTTTCAACTGCGCTACCCCATTAATTACGAGAGCCCCGGGGGGGTTGGTCGCTATCCTGAAGACGCCTACGATGGGTACACGGTCAGCTTGGGGAATCCGTGGTTTTTGACAACAGCAGCCGTGGCAGAGACACTAATTGCCAACGGACTGATTGATGAGGCGCATGCACATGTGAAGTTCATCGCAGCCCATCGTGGTGAAGACTCGCTAAGCGAACAGATTAATCGGTATACAGGGTACATGCAGGGTGCGTCTTCGCTTACTTGGAGCTATACTCAGGTACTTGAACTACTGGAGACGATCAACGATCTCAATCTAGATGGTCGACATCCAATCCAACTCGACGAGCCGACATACGAACCCTCTCCTGTCTGGACTTGGGCCCGGTTTGGTATCGTTTGAGCAGCTCCTTATATTGGCGCTGGTGTTGTAGGTAGTTGGCTATTTCCTCGACGTCATGCGGTCTTATCGAGGGCTCTTTGAACAGTTGACGCAAAGAAGCTGTATCGTAACGAACAACCGGAATAGATGCCGGGAGAGCCTCCTCAGAATCTAGGGCTGATCCGGCAGCTTTAGCGGCTCTTTCCTTGAGCTTTCGTCGAGCAACTTCACGAGCAACAATGCCAGCATTTTGCTCTGCCGATGCAGCGTTGTAAGAGACGCTCAGCTGCCTGAGAACCTGCCTGTACGCTCTCCTCACCGTCTGCGGGCTCCACTTTCTGTCCATTTGAAGTTTCGTAAGCCAGGCGGTTTTTCGCCTGGGGGTGCTCCACAGAGCAGTAGTTTGTTTTCGCAGGGGGGTAGAAGGCACTGTGCGGGCAAGGGTTGGCGGCTTTCGGGCACCGGCCGGTAGGGTTTTTTTGCTGCGCTTAATAAAAAAAAATCAAATCGTGTCCAATCTTCCCAGATCAAACACACTTTTATATTTTTTTATTCCGGCAATGCTTGGCTCGATCTATAGAAAGTCTGTCACTGGTGCTGCTCGCACCACCGTCCGGGGTATGCACTTCAAAACCCCTAACACCAAGTACGGCTCCAAGTACACGGTTACCCTGATTCCTGGTGACGGTATCGGTAAAGAGACCGCTGAGGCCGTCAAGACCATTTTCAAGGCGGACAACGTGCCCGTTGAGTTTGAGGAGATTGACGTCACCGGCGAGGTTTCCGGCTCCGAGCTGCCTGCCGAGTACCAGGAGGGCTTGCGCTCGCTCCGGCGCAATAAGGTCGGTCTCAAGGGTATCCTGTACACCCCTGTTGTCCGCACCGGCCACCCTTCGTTCAACGTCCTGCTGCGCAAGGAGTTGGACATTTTCGCGTCTGTCTCGCTCTTCAAGTCGATCCCCGGCGTGCAGACTCGCCAGAAGGACATTGACTTTGTTGTTGTTCGTGAAAACACCGAGGGCGAGTACTCGGGTCTCGAGCACATGCCCACCCCCGACGTTGTTGAGTCGCTCAAAATCATCACCGAGTACAACTCTGAGCGCATTGGCCGCTTTGCCTTTGACTTTGCTGTCATGAACCAGCGCAACCGCGTCACTGCCATCCACAAGGCCAACATCATGAAGCAGGCCGACGGTCTCTTCCGCAACACCGTCAAGGGGCTCGGCACCGACTACCCGCAGATCGAGGTCAACGACATGATTGTTGACAACGCCTCGATGCAGGCAGTTTCGCACCCCCAGCAGTTCGACGTGCTGGTCACCCCCAACCTCTACGGCACCATTCTCTCTAATATCGGTGCTGGTCTGGTCGGCGGCCCCGGCCTGGTCCCTGGTGTCAGCATTGGTCGCGACTATGCTGTTTTCGAGCCCGGCTGCCGCCACGTCGGTCTCGACATCAAGGGCAAGAACACCGCCAACCCCACCGCCATGGTCCTCTCTTCCGTCATGATGCTGCGCCACCTTGGTCTCGACGAGACCGCCGACCGCATCTCCAAGGCCACTTACAAGGTTCTCGAGCAGGCCCAGGTTCGCACCCCCGATCTGGGCGGTACCAACACCACCACCGAGTTCACCAAAGCCATTCTTAACGAGCTCGACTAGGTTTAACGTTTCCTCTCTCCCTCTAGATTCTGTTAGATTACTTGTATCCTAGTTAGATGAATGTTTGTACGAATCGACCCTCCCGGCTTACTTGACTTCCCACCATGGAGTTGCAGCCGTCACTGCTCAGGGTGCCGGTTGAGAGCATGCGGATCAATTTGAAGACCATGCAGTCTACGGTTGAGAAGAGTTTGATTGTGTTGGCAGACGCGCAGGCCTCGCAAGCCATTGACGACGAGACTCTGCTTGCGGAGCTGGAGAAAATCAAGGCCCAGGCAGCGCACCTGGCAGACGTCCAGCAGGAGCTAGCTGGCCGAGCACTTGCCCGACAGCAGTTTCTGCAAGAGCTGGAATCGTGCGCGGTGAACCGTGCCACAGATCTGCAGAGCTACAGCGCGGCAATTGACCGGTCGCTGGATGTGGCGATCGTAGACCACTTCACCAGCCAGGGATACGTCGAAACAGCGGCCAGATACGCCAAAGCAAAGGACATCGAGCAGCTTGCCGACCTCGATCTGCTGTCGGAGCTGGGCAGCATCATCAAAGAGATGAATCAACACGTGCCAACTAGGGCCCTGCAGTGGTGTGCTCGAAACCGAGCCTTTCTTCGAAAACGGGCCAGCACTATCGAGCCCCGCTTGAGAACGTACGAGGTGCTCAAGTTGATCAAAGCCGGCGACGTGCACGCGGCCATTGCCTACTCGCGGAAACACATGACGAAATTCGCTTCGCCATACGGGGAGGAAATGGCTCTGATCGGATCCACGCTGGGTGGTGTGCAGGAGCAGTACTACAACCTGTCTTCATTGTGGGAGACCCTGTCGCTAGATTTTGTCGCAGAGTTCATGGCGTTCCATGGCCGGTCCTCCCACTTCAATCTGTTTTCCAAAGTATCCGCCGGACTAGCTGCGTTGAGAACGCGGTCGTGCGGACCCTACGATCTAACCAAGCTCACGCTCGCCCAGGCGGCCAAGACTGAGTCGTGTCCCGTTTGTTCTCACGAGTTTCGCGAATTGGCCTCCCACGTGCCCTTTGCCAACCACGCCCACAGCATCCTGCCCACAGACCCCGTGCTGCTGGACGGTACGAACCGGATATACTCGGAAAAGGATCTGGAAGACTACTCCAAGGAAGCAGGGTCCTGGCCGGATCTCACTGATCCAGTCACCAAATCTGTGCACTACCCTATGGATACTATTCCTGTATATCCCTGCTAGTTATTTATTTTCTGGTGCAAATAAATAGGTTCGGGCCTTGCGCTCTTTTTGCTGCTTGTTTGTCCGGCCCTCTTTTGCGGTGAGTTTGTGGGAGTACGCAGGGAACAGTTCCCAAGCGAACCGGCCGCTGCGCTCTAACTTCCAGCCTTTGCATCTCGCCAGTGGTTTGATGTCCCAAGATGCGTAAGGTTCGCCTTCGAATACAGTAACCGCACATGCAGCATTCGGTGCAATTAGGCGGACTTGGGCAAAGAAGTCGGCCAGCAGCTGCTGGTGCTGGCGGATGTTGCGGTCCTGGTCTGCTACGGAGTTGCCAAGATGCGGGAAGTTGAACACAAAAACAAACCTGCCGTTTTCCGGCAGAGGCGTGCTCAAATACTTGGCCAGCGACTTGCTAGCAGTCAGGCAAGTCCCATCCACGTCATGCAGAACCGATGCACGCTCGTCACCAGACAGAAAGTCCAGGTGGGTTTTTCCGTCATCGTACTTTTCCTCCACCTGCGCCCTTGAATCTAGACTAGTAGCACACAGCGAGTTTACGTAGTTTTCGTCCAAGCACGAAACGGCAAAGCTGAAATCGCCCTCGCCAATGAGCACCACATTGTCTCTGTCCGCAAACGGGATCCATGTGGGGGACAGGGCGCTCTCGGGTGCATGCTTACCTAGCTTCTGGCTGGGTTTTTTTCCACTAGCGAGCTGATTTCTTCGGGCCTCTTTTTCGGCCAGCAGCTCGTTCGCTTTTACCTTGGTCGTGTAATTTTGTAAGAGTGCCTTAAGCTTGCTTTTTCTAGCCATCTCAACCCCTCTCGTAATACCGGTTTCGTCGAGTTTGTGCAGGTTTTCTCCCACCTAGTCACCCTTCTACGGAAAGGCAAACCTTTGCTGGGCTCACCTAAACACGTGAACGAGTGCCCTACGGTTAGGTAATTCTAGGCCCTCGTTCATGCCTGCAAATGTCACGCAACATATAGCATGATGCGTTTGGGAGAGTCTACATAATGTAGAGTGCGTCGAGGGTAGAGCTATCTTCTTAAGCCCCTGTTCGAGCTATTATCTCCACCCGACCTGTTTAAAATTTAGCTGGCACCAAGTTTCAATTGTGCCATTCTTAGTTGCGGTCAGATTTCTCTTTTCCGCGCACAAATTACCTTAAACCGTCCCATTTAGCTTCTAAATCGGCACAGATCTTGCCCTTTCCCCGGTTCTCCAGCGCACTTTCTCCCAGCTTTGGCATCCTGGTTATCTTCCTTTTACACCAACAACCATGACAACGGAAGTTTCGACTGCAACCCAGGCTCAGCAGGCTAAATCCCAGCACACCCTGGCGCCGTCGGGTTCAATGCGTGCCCGTATGGAGGCTCTCATTCGCCAAAAGCAAAACGAAATCGTCGGGGCTATGGAAAAGATTGACGGCAAGCAATTCTTCAGAGACCACTGGGAACGCCCAGACGGCACCGGTGAGGGTATCACTGCTGCTATCGAAGATGGCAACGTTATTGAGCGCGGCGGCGCTCTCATCTCCGTCGTGCACGGCAAACTGCCCGAGGCCGCCGTGCGCAAGATGCGCGAGAACCACAGCTCCTTGCGCGACAAGCCCGATGGCGACCTTCCGTACTGGGTTTGCGGCCTGTCCATGATCATGCATCCCCGCAACCCCATGGCGCCTACTGTGCATCTCAATTACCGCTATTTCGAGACCCAAAACGAAGACGGCTCCCCCCAGGCCTGGTGGTTTGGTGGTGGTGCAGACCTGACCCCTTATTATCTGTTTGAAGAAGACGCAAAGCTGTTCCACAAGTGTCTCAAGAACGCATGCGACAAGTACGACCCCCGATACTACCCAGACTTTAAAGCCTGGTGCGACAAGTACTTTGTCAACCACCACCGCGGTGAGGCCCGTGGCATCGGTGGTATTTTCTTTGATGACCTCGTTGATGAAGATCCCGAGAAAGTGTTCAGCTTCGTTACTGCATGCTTCAACGCCTTCTTGGAGTCTTACCCTGTCATCTTGGAGAGACGCAAGGATATGCCCTTCACCCCTGAACAAAAGCAATGGCAACTAATTCGCCGTGGTCGTTATGTCGAATTCAATCTTCTCCATGACCGCGGCACCCAGTTCGGTATCCTGGCTCCCGGCGCCCGCATCGAAAGCATCCTCATCTCGCTCCCTCTTAATGTTTCTTGGCGCTATAATTTCCACCCCAAAGAAGGCTCTGAAGAGGCCAAGCTAGTTGAGGTTTTGAAATCCCCGAGAGAGTGGGTTTAACTTTTCGATCCCGTCCGCTGGGCAGTTCCTACTGTCTACTGTGATCTCTGATTTTAGCCCGAGCGAGAGGTTTGAAGACACGAATAACCGATTTTAGTGTAATCTTATTATATTTACATTTGCACAGCGCCAGAGCGTTGTTTGCTACGTTGGCCCCAGTATCTAGCTGTTCCTGCAGAATGGTGCAGTCTCTGTTGATCCCGATTCATCTATTTCTGTGGCGTGCTAACTGTACAAGTATCTTTTGATTCCTGTTTTTTGTGTTGTTTATTGTTCATGGCGATTTCAGTTCTTTTCTAGTTGTTTCTTGAAATCATAAATTCAAGCATCCTTGTGCGACTCATTTAGCACCCATAGTCTCGTCGATGCCTACTCGCTCTTTAAGTAGACATCAATCAATTGCAACAATACACTAGATTCAGGAACAAATACCATCAGTTAAAATTACGCTATATACCATTCAATCACCGTGAGTATTTTCCATGCCCCGAAACCGGGTTGTTCGGAGAGCATGCAGTACAACCAGTGCAAAGCCCGAGCTAACCCAAACACACGCCAATGCAATTGACTCATGAGATCCAAGTTTAGAGAGAAAAAAACATGCTCAGCGGTCTAGAGATTCTAGCTTCTCAACCAGCTTGGGATACTTTGGACAGCATACACTCTTCGCCTCGGTGCCATTCACCTCGTAGAACTTACTACAGCAGTTGTAAAGGCTCATAATCTGTTTCATACATCGCGCATCATTGTAATCCCTCCTCTGCAAACAATCTTGAATAGCACACGCTTCCGCTTGACAAGCTTCAGGCATGACTAAAGTAGATTGGACCAGCTCTTTTATAGATCCAATGTATACATCAAAAAAGTGTAGTGAGGGTAAATACATAACTTTGAAAACTAAGATACTCAGAATACAGCTGCTATTTTTTTGCTCGAAGAGCCTCGCGCCGTTCTTTGGCCCAAACCTGGCCCTCGTCCCCTCCCCACAGTAGCCAGGCGATGTAGCCTGCAGAGGGTCGATCATTATCGCCCCACTTGTAGCGTGTAGCGCTCTTGTCAACTTCGTGTCTTGCAAAGTAGCTGGCCATTGACTTGATATCTTCAGTACTGACCCGACGGCGCTCAGCGAGCTGATTTGCACGGTTGACACCAACCTCCGTGCCTCCACGATTGAACCGCTTGCGCAATTTCAGACCAAGTTTAGCATTCTCGGCCATTTTCTCGGTGGGGACGTAGTCCAAAGTCTTTTTCTTTTTTTTAGCACCCGATGAGTCCGCCCCCGCATCCGCTTCAGGTGACGATCGCTTTCGGGTAGATTTGGTAGAGGCCTCGGTGGGTGAACTGGCCTCTTCAGATGGTTCCTTTTTGACGGCTTCAGGTTTGTGAGCAGCCTTTGCTCCACTCTTTGTTTCTACAAGCAACTGGGGGTTTTCCTTGGAGGCACTTACTTTATGGTTTTTGATCTTCGTGGGACTGGTGAGCTCTTTTACCACCCGCCCATGGGCGACTCCCCCACTGCTGTTCCATTTGACGCTGGTCCCTTTCGAAAGTTCTGTTGCAGTCATATTTGACAATGATCGAAAATACGGAAGTGAATTAAAGAGGAGCCGCCTCATGGGTAAAGCAATGAAGATCACTTGCTGCTACACCCATAATACCTGCACTATCATGCATTGACTAAACGGTGGGCGCGCTCAACCCTTTGTCGTCGAAACCACATGTAGAGCCCGCTTACCCTATCCAGCCCAATGTCCTACTTGTGCAGATATAACGCTTCGATGAAGCGCCGTGGATCGCAGATCAGACGCCAGGACAGTCTGTGGAGTGGGGAAAACGATGAGGAGACGCCTGAGACAGCGAGGTGCCCAGCTATCGAAACGCCTGCAAGGAGCAACTAGCGGGATCAATTCAAGTTAAAACTACACTGATTCGAAAGCGGAACTTATAAAAGTCAACAAATAGCCTTGGAGTTGTTAACTCAAGTCTTGACACTAGTCAAGTATTGTGCAATATCAGATATGCATGGTTCGCCTGGAAAATTGCAAGCACTGCGGTAGCATACTACACTATATCGGCAGGTGTTTTATCATGGTACGTTATCAGGCTTGAGTCAATCTCAAATCAAACACCGTGGTGCCAGTAGTGCAAGTTGATACGGTGCAGGAACGCACCAATGCCAGGCGTGCAGATAAGACATCCCATGCCCCGGCATCGAGAGATGAAAACATACCCAACCAGTGGATTTGGCGTCCCAGAAACTTTAGTAACGCAATAGCATTCGAGTTTCTTTATTATGGGTAGTCTTGACGCTTGGTTGGTGCAGATTCAAAAATTGTTAATGTATTCACCAGACCATCAGTGATCGTGAATGAAGAACATGAACACATTATAAGTCTCACTAGATACACCTATAACTACAATAAAAATGCCCAATCTGTTTTTGCACTGTTAGACTTAGGGGCCCCCTGTGCCTTGCAGGTACCTATGCATAGCCGCACCCACACGCATAAACAAAACCATGCGCGCATAAGACCAAGAAAGGAAGAAGATGAACACGATATGCGGGATAGAAACATCAAAACAAACCAATTAATGGTTGACGGAGGTACTGAATTACCGTTCAGCTCAGCACCACACACTGGCTTGGTCTGTCTCAGGCAAGGCTTTAAAGAAGCGCATAATTCTACTAGTCTATAACATTGAAACTACAACTTATAACAAACAGAAACTGGCTGTTGACCTCTTGCAAACAGGTGGGAATAAATATGCTATTGTCGATACGAGAAACACAAGCCTCTCGAGAGACCTGTTGGCAACAACATTGGGGCGATCAACACATAGGCTCATCAACCGTGAAGATACTGTCTGCTATTACGAGAGCTTAACGAGAAGCAGGAACAAGCTTGCAAGGAACACCACCTGAAACAGAAATAGTCAAGCGCTGATGCAATTTGGGATGCTTGTAGTCACCCACTTTTGATGTATCCATGTCAATCTTCTCGAAAGCCTGGCAGATGCGGACCCAAGTAACGGCCATCTCAGTGAGTGCAAACTGTTGACCAAGGCAGATACGGGGACCACCGTTGAAGGGAAGGTACTCCCAGCCGTGACCGCGAGGAGTGTCCCAACGATCAGGGTTGAACTCATCGGCATCAGGGCCCCAGAAATCAGCGGAACGCTGCATTGAGTATGGGGAGTAAGCCAAAATAGTGTTTGCGGGGACAAACACAGGCTGGTCACCCTTGGGACCACCGCCGCGGGGAAGAGTGGTATCACGCACGGCTTGGCGGAAGTTGAAGGCCACAACAGGGTGGAGACGCAGAACTTCGTTAAGCACATTGTTCAGATACTTGCAGCGCTTGAGGGACTCGAAAGTGATGTTGGAGGTATCGTTACCAAAGTCAGCGGCGACAGCTTCTCGGAGCTTTTGGTAAACCTCTGGGTACTTGGCCATGTACACAGCCATGAAGGACATAACAGAAGCAGTGGTATCACGACCAGCAAGCAGAATGTTGAGAGCCTGGTCACGAATAACGACAGGGTCACGGGTCTCCTTCGTGAGTTCCTTCATGAAGATGTAGGACTCGGCGACCTCATCCTTCTCCATGGGCTTGTCGAGGGCCTTGGCAACAAAGTAATCAATAAAGTCTTTGCAGACCTTAGCCTTGTAACGGAACTTGAAACTGTCAATCAACCAGAAAACACCACCGCACAAGAAGCGCAAGACAAGGACGTCCTGGCAGTAGTTGAAGGCCTCAACGAACTGAGCACCAGTGATGCTCTTACCGGAAGGAGCGACAATCTTTCTGTTGGAGTCAGTTAAGCTGTCCACAGATTCGCCAAACAAGAACTCGGTCGCAGTGTCAATGGTGAGCTGATGCAGCAAAACCTGGAAATCGCTGATCTTGTCCTTCTTGAAGTTGTCTTTCATGATATCGATAAGCTTGCCAACGTGGTGGTTGATACTCTCCAGATGGGTGATCTGATCACGAGCAAACTGAGGACGCAACATCGCACGGGAGTGCTTCCAGCCCTCACCGGACAGTGTGAAAATACCGTTGCCCAGGACGGGGAAGAAAATATTGTAGCGCCATCCTAGAGAATAGTCCTTGAAAGAAGTGGCCAAGAAGGTCTTGATGTTCTCGGGATCATCAGTCAAGATGACAGTCACACCGACGAAATTGGCTCTCCAGGTGTGGACCATTGAATCGAAGAAATCACGACGCAAGAACTCGTTGACATCATGTTTCAGGAAAAAGTAGATAGCCCGGAGGGCAGTGGGAATACCAAGAGGGAAAGTATATTTCGTCTTGGGGCTGGCGCACTTGCGGTTCTTTGCAGACCGGGGGTAAAGAATATTGAAGTTAATGAAATCATAGAGGCAGAAGAGGGCGAGGAATCCTAGGATGCCTAGTCCGACCTTCTGTAGCATTTCGATAATTTCACTCATTGTTGCTAATCGGAAAAAACTCAGCAGCAATCTCGAGATTTGGACACTGGGGTATGCAGCTAGGGCCTGGGTACTTATATGCGTTTTGGAGTCTCGGAGGATTAGTCCGCTCAGTTCCCCCACCCTAACGCAGCTCGAGTCACATGCTCGGATCATGTGACTTGAAATTTGGGATAGTCCAAACGGCTTTTATTTGGAGGAAAATGACAAGAGAACTCCTGCAAAGCACTCAAAGACTTTGAATTGGTGCACATGAAAAAATGCACGAGTACGCCCTCTGCTAATGGGCCAAGTACCTACCGTTGCTCCCCTTTGACCAGATTGGGAGGCACAGATGCAACCCCACCCCACTAAAATCACAAGCATCTCACCCTTACCCAGATGCATAGCGCGCTAAAAACTCCTGATTACTTGACCCCGCAACATCCCTCTACGTCCAATAACCTGTAAGCTGGCTGACGTAGCACAGGATCTGACAAAGTTAAAGTTCTTGTTGGGTAAGAAGCGGTGGGATATTGCACCGGTCTATTTGATGTCTAGTGATTTCGCGGGATCCCATATGAATGTGATTTTGGACTGATGCATGTGGTGGAACATTCACTCTGTGCTTGACACAATTAATCGCGATATAAAAAATAAGGTTGAGGTCAAATAAGTAACTGAACTCTGTTGCGGGCATCTCATGGCTCTCCCAATGGAACAGGGATGTTTCAACTCTGGCTAGTGGTTCCAAACATGTCATCTATTTTTCCAAATTAGACTTTGCACTGCTTACATGAGCACATCATCTAGCGACGCGGAGCTAATTGCCCGACCACGGCCTAAAAAAAGAGTCAAGCAGTCGATTCATTCCATAGAGGCCCTACCACTAGCAGTTAGCTACACAAGATCTTACAAGGGGCTCCGGGTTGTATGCCTGGCTGTCCATAGGGAAACGGGATATACTGCTTTAGCCACTTCTTCAGGGATACTGGAGCTGCGTCAGCAAAGAGACGGAGAGTTACAGCTAGTTCGCCGGTTGGAGGCTGCATTCTGCGACAGGATCGAGCATATGCGTTTCTCATGTGATGGGAGCTTGCTTGCGATTGCGGGGAGCAACGGGGCTCTGGCCACAATTGATACGCAAACGGCAGATATTATTGCCGTACGTAGCGACACTCCATCGAACCACGAGCAGATGTATGTGGCCTGGTTGGGAAATACCCTAGTGGCCGCAGCTGGGTGTCATGCATGGCTTTTTGACCAGGCCCTTGAATCTAGTCAAAAACTGCCCAACCTCCATAAACGTACAATCAGTGGGGTCGAGCATAGTAAGCGGCACCAATGCATTGTTTCGTGGGACGAATTAGGCATAATTGAGGTATGGGACAAGCATGGCCAGCTTCCAGAGACGGTGCGATACAAAACCAAAAGTGAAACTGACTTGTTTTTGTTTCGGAAAGACAAGCGGCGAATCCAAAACATCTCTGTTGCTCGAGACGCCCTGGTGGTTCTTGATACCGACGGCCGACTGGTTGTGTTCGACTTTGTGTCGGGTAAACGGAAGCGGGAATACGACGAGACACTGGAAACAGTGGAGGAAATGCAAAAACTCGGAACAGGGGTTGTGATTGACCCTGTGGAATTTTCCCGGCGTGTGAAAACCGAGTCCAAAGAAAACGACATGTTGGCCATCGATGTTTCGTCTACTATCGTGGTGTATCCTACGATTCTCGGCATCAAAGCTCTGTCTCTGAGAACAAGTACAGTTGCAAAGGTATATGGCCTAGCAGACAGTATTAGGTTCCACCAGCTGGGTCTAGTTCAGTACAGGAGTCGTCAGCACACCCTGGAAACAGCAGCTGCGGAGAGCTCGATCGTTGATAGGCAGACCAAGGTCGACTCGGCAATTATTGCTCTGGATGCCGAAGGTGATATCTATTTATTTGGCCAGGAGGTTAAAACACCGAGGGATGTGGACTTGACCGTAGCTTCTGTGGATCCAGAGCCCGTTGAACCGGTCAAGATTGTCTGACGAGTCACGAAATTACCGACCAACGCGACTTTGCACACTTCGCTTGGTGATGTTAGCTTCCAATTGTATCCCAAGCACGCGCCTCTTGCGGTGGAGAACTTTACTGAGCTGTGTAACCAGGGCTACTACAACGGCACCTCAGTAAACAGCATTAGCCGCAATGCATACGTTCGAATGGGCGACCCCGGCGACGGCGGCCACTCGATTTGGAAGACGCCGTTCAAGGTCGAAACCAATGGTCTTGAGCACGAAAAGTACACCCTCGGCAGCTATCCGTCGGGCCCGGAATCAAACGGGTCACAATTTATCATTACTACGGGCGATATCAAGCTCGATAAAAAATCTACTGTTTTTGGCAAAGTAACTAGTGGATTCGACGTGGTTGATGCTCTCAACAACCTCCCTACCAAAAACGGGGTGCCTCTTCATGCAGCGGTTATTCATAGTGCCTCCACTAGTTAGTTCAGTAATCTGGGCAGGCGTTCCCAGCTGCATCATGTCAGTCCCACATGTAGAGCTAGAGACGGGCGAGCACGAAGCCTGGGACTACCAAATTGAAAGCCAGCGGGGTTGGGTGCTTTTGGGCTATCCGTTCTTCTCATCCAAGCTGTTACTTGCCATGGACCCGCGGGAGTACTCCGCTCGCGATGGCAGTGCCTTGGGAAACCACCTGTGCAACGTGAACCTTCCAGACGATACGTGGGAGTGGGTATGGCCCCGGTGGTATGTTGATATGGCTAACGATGTCGACGACCAGGGCTGGCTGTACTCCTGGCGGTTCCGATCAAAGGATTGGAAAGGATACCCCCGCATTGGGCGTTCGTTTGTTCGTCAACGACAATGGAAGCGACTACGACGAAAGAAGGCGGAATACAGATTCGGAGACAAAAACGCCATGTCCAACGACCAGGTGTGCCAGGACCTTCTCAGTAAGGTTACAGACTGCAAGGACGAGCGGTCCAAAGTTACTACCGTGATTCGCTACATCAACCGATACCCCGAACGAGCTGAAGCGCTTCGGCAAAGTGGCAAACTGCTCAGTGGCATGTTTTTGTTGCCAATTAGCGAGCATGAAATTATGCGGAGGTTGTCTGAGGTCCCGATCCAAGTCAAGAACAGTATATCACCATTCTGAACAGGACGATTCAGCATGCTCACAAAACAGAATCATATTTATAGAACATTAATATATAACAGACCAACCTAGTTACCGAGTTTCGTTTTGTCCTGCACCTTTTTATTATGGGGTTAAATAGGGGCCAAGAGCCGCAGTCGGGAGGCTTTAACGAGCCTCAAACTGAATAATGCGACGAGACCGTTCTTTGTACAACACCCGGTGACCACATTCTTTGCAGCGGACGGCTTCACCTTTGGACAGAGACACATTGGAGGCGCAGTTTGCACACAGGTAGCGCACGCCATAGGACTTGTGGACATTGGATCCGGCAGCAGCAGCACTCAAGCCACTCATGCTGGTAGGAGGAACAAACGAGTCGCGATTCATTGTGAGTATGTGATTCAAAAAAACCGGTAGGCAGGTTGTCGAACAGAAAGAAAAAAATCGCTGACTGTTTCTTAATCAGCTGGATCGAGCGGGCCCCGGTGTGATATGCGGGTGATACGCCCTTTTTGTAGCGGAAGTATGCGTTTTCAAAGCATGCGACCGCGGAATCTCAAGCTACATTTACGAAAGTTGTATGGGATCGAGTTGCGGACCGGTGATGCTGTATCTAAGCCTACGCAAGCGCCAACTTTCAATCCTGATTCGGCACTGGATGTTTTAGATTATTTACAAAAAACCAAGCTGCTGGTTGCGCGAACAGTGAGACAGCTGGATAAAATGAGCCCCAAAGATATTGAGCAGGGGGCCTTGAGTTATCCGACGATGTCGAAAAAACGTTATTCGACCCAAAAAGGCCTTCCTGCACCTCCCACATTTTGGACCCGAACGAGCCTGAAAAATTACCTGAAAGATATCACAAGTACGCAATATAATGCGGAAGATCGTATGAATGACCAGATTGGTTTGGTTTCGCACGTGGTTACGGACTTACTCCGGCCTACAAATAGGGCCACTCGGGAATACTTGTCTGTTGAAGCTTATAACACTGGAATACGTTACTTTTTAGGTGTCCATGATGTTGATGCTGCGCACTTACTACTGGAGAGTATGACAGGCTCCTTTTTAGAGCCCGACGCGGAGACTTTTAACTACTTTCTGTGGCCGCTGGCCACGAACGTTTCTGCTGATCCCTATAATCGACCCAAAGGACACCCACTGCTTATGGTTTTGAGTATCTTGCATCTTATGGACAAACGGAATATTAAAGCAAATACAGAAACATGGAATCTTGCTCTGCAAGCTATGCCTATGGGGTTCGGAAAGAGCTTCTTGGTTGAAGAAATGGCCAGACGGAAAATAGCCCTTAATGAAAGGTCCCTGGCTGTTTGTACTGCCACAATTGCTGAAAAAGCGGGCAGTGACGCTGCAGTCGAGTGGGCTTTAAACAACAGCAGGACATTACCTTCTGGCGTTCTCGGGTTACTTTTGAGCTTGCAGCTTAAATCCAAAACGGAAAATGACCAGAATGTGGCCAGGTCATTTGAGCTACTTGACACTGCTTGTAAAAAGTACTCCACCAGACCAAACGTGCACACCATGAACACGTTTCTGGCATCATTTGGTGCTAGAAGACATCTTGATTGGCAACTGGGCATCCTGGTGTTTTTCCGAGAACAATATAACATCAAGCCCTCGCCCTTGAGTGTTCAATATCTCCTGGAGGCCGCAATGGGTCAAAAAGAAATGCAAGAAAAGTACACGGCCATTGGTATGATTCTTGGTCGTTACATTACCATGCCCACCACCCCACGCACCCGAGCGCTTATTAGACGGGCCATGCGTCGAGCAGGACACAAATACACATTAACAGACCCAGGAAAACGTCAATTCATGAGCATATGCAATGAAGCCAAGCCAGTGAACCACTGTCCGGTCAAAATCGACGTCCTGTCTTTGCTAAAGGGAAGAGCTGGCTCTCCTCTTAGCATTCCACCGGTTCTATCGTTGCCTCGTACCGACAGCGAGCAATTTAACAAAAAACTCAAGACTGAAATGAACTGGAACTATCAACAATTCACGAATTATGTAAATAAACGCACCGAACCAACTGATGTATAATTTATCTTGACGCTAACCCTTCGGCAACCTTGCGCTGCTTTTCGCGCTCTTCTTTCAGCTCGCTCTGCTGCTCGACGGTGCGAATGTCGCCAACAATATCGCGAGTCTTGCTAAAGTACACCTCATTGAGCAGGTTTCGCATCGAGAACTCCACTTCTTCGATGAGCGTGCCAATGTTGGCGACATGGGACTGCTCGCTCTGAATTGCCAGTTTCTTTTCGGTCTGGCGGGTCAGATTACCAGAGATATCAAGCTTGCCCTTGGAGCCAACTTTGGCGCCAACATCAAGAATAATTGTCGAAGTGATGCGATAAATCGCCTGCCGGCCGGCACTTGCGTCGACATCAAAGACATGAATGGAGTTCCACCCGGACTTTTCCAGCTTCTTTTTCAAAAGAACAACCCCTGCAAATCCATTGTCCTGCTCCCACAGGTACACGGAGGAAAGACCACCCTCATAGTACAATTCGCGATAGGTGTCAAAGGCCTCATTTGCCTGCTCCTCCAGTTTGCGCAGGTCTGCGCTCAATGTAGGCGCGTCGTGGACATGAGGAATATACTCGCCAGTCCATGGACTCTTGTACGAGTTACCGTCCCGATTATAATCACAGCAGAGGAACTTCTTGCCCGATTTAGGGCAGCTCTTGATCTCAAGCGGCTTGTCTACACTCGACAACAAGTCCTCGGCCAGGCCCTGATTGAGCTGACATAGCGTGTTCAAGTTTTCAGAAACATTCTTGGGGTCCAATCGTCGCAATAGATCCAAAGCAGCGTCGTATTGTTCGTCACTCATTGCGTTCGCTCAATGGGGCCCGTTGCTTACCTCTCAATGGAGTAATCCCCCACCGGGCTATAGGGGTTACCTAAAGCCCCTTGTATAAGATCCCCAAGGTGGGCTAGCTTGACTTGGGTTTATATACAATTGTGGTAGCATTGAGAGTCCCAAAGAGATCACTACCATGGGAGGCATGGTGGTCGTTTATTTAAGCGCTATTGCAGCCACTGCTGCTGCACAGGGATGCAACATGTTTGGGGATTGCGGCACAGTGACCCCATTCGGAGCGCAATTGCCCTGTGTCTTGGAGACTGAGCCCCAAATGTTAAGTGACAAAGCTTCCGCACAGCTTCAGCGAATATGTGGTGAGGAGTATGCAGGACCAGTGTGCTGCGACGAGGCACAGGTCGCTACTCTCGAGTCCAGCCTTGCTCGTGCGGCGTCGATCATTGGCAGCTGTCCTGCATGCGAACGCAACTTCTTTGATGTGTTTTGTCGGTTTTCTTGTGCTCCGAATCAAGCAAAGTTTGTTGAGATTCTGGAAACCCAGCTGTCCTTGGACAATCGCACCGTTGTCAAAGAAGTCAATTACTATGTGGATAGAAATGCTGGATCAGCGATCTACGATTCGTGCTCAGGAGTCAAATTCGGCGCTACAAATGGACGAGCAATGGATCTTGTAGGGGGAGGAGCTAGAGATTACAAGACATTTTTCAAGTTCTTGGGTGATGAGAAGCCAATGCTTGGAGGATCCCCGTTCCAGATTAATTTCGAATGGGACGATTCAAAGATGTCCAAGGGATACAAGCGGGCAGAGCCATATGCAGAGCCTTGCTATGAGGGCGACTATAAGTGCAGCTGCGTAGATTGTGATGGATCGTGCCCAGCCCTCGATCCAATTGACCCGCCAAGCCATTGCACCATCTGGGGCCTCAATTGCCTGTCGGTGGGGCTGCTTGCCGGATATTTATTCGTGATTTCTACTGCGGTTTGGGTCGCTTTCAGGGTGAAAAAATCGCGAAGAAAGCTAAGTATACTCGAGATCCAACGCTTGATTGAGGACGACGAGGACGACCAAAGTATCGACGATCCTCTGTATTTCCCGTTACCCAGAGATCTCCGCCCTTACAAGCTCAACTCGTTAATAGAGTCTTGGTTTACAAATGTTGCATATTTTTGTGCCCGCTTCCCGCTATCTGTTTTTAGTGTTTGTGTTTTGGCAGTGCTCGTGGGGTCTTTAGGTCTGTTTTATGTTATTCTCGATGTTCACCCTGAAAAGCTCTGGGTAGGGCCAAACTCTCTGGAGGCCCAAGAAAAGCAGGTTTTTGACAGTAGCTTTGGATCGTTTTATCGCACCGAGCAAATATTCGTCGTGAATGAAACCGGCCCTGTTTTGCAGTCTTTTGACACTCTGAAATGGTGGGCCAGCGTGGAAGACCGCGTAGCTAACGTTACTACAACATACTTGCACGACAGGTTGGACGATTTCTGTTTCAAACCAATCAATGATGCTTGTATTGTTGAGAGTGTCACGCAGTATGTTGACATTGATCGTTTGACGCCAGCAAATTGGAGACAGAGAATTGCGGCTTGCGCAAAATCACCGGTACAATGCCTGCCAAAGTTTGGCCAGCCGATTTCCCCTGACCTAGTATTCGGCCCTTACGATAAATCTGTCCTCGATTCTCGCGCACTTGTGACTACGTTTGTTGTTACAAACCGCCAAGATCTATTTTACAAGAAACGCGTGGAAGAATGGGAAAGCTTGGTAGAATCTTTGCTCGTTGCTGTAAAAGAGGAAGCAGGGGAGCGTGGTCTGAGGGTAAGTTTCAGCTTGGAAAGCAGCCTCGAGCGGGAGCTCGGTAAGAGCTCCACAACCGATGTCAAAGTCATAATTTTGTCGTATGTGCTGATGTTTTTCTATGCGTCAATGGCTTTGGGATCCAAAGGTCGGTCTGGTCTCCGAAATACACGATTTGGACTGGGATTCATAGGAATTACAATTGTGCTGATGTCTGTTGCATCAGCAATCGGAATTTCGGCGTTGTTGGGTTATCATCTCACCCTAATTATTACCGAAGTTACACCTTTCCTCGTCCTTGCTGTTGGTATTGACAACATCTTTCTGCTAGTGCATCATTTTGATCTGATCAACGAGCTATACCCCCAGTATCAAGTCGAAGACCGACTCTCGCGGGCAGTTGGCTTAGTTGGTCCGAGCATCTTCCTGTCTTCGACTTGCGAAGTTCTGGCATTCTTGCTAGGAGCGGTTGTGCAGATGCCCGCAGTGCATAACTTTGCCATCTACTCGGCCCTGGCCGTTTTCGTAAATTCGCTACTTCAGCTTACCATGTTCGTTTCTGTCATGGCAATCGATGATAGAATGTCACGATACGGGTTTTGGAACGGTATTAGGGGTGACACGAGTTTCTCAGAGCCCGATTTACCCGGTGAGGTTCCTGATGACACGATCGCTCACGAACAGGCCATCGAGGAGCAATCTGATCCGCGGAGGTTTTCGCAGCTGCTCATATCCGAGTATGCACCGTTTATTCTTCAAAGAGGAGTAAGAGAAACCATTTTGGGGGTGTTTTTGGCTTGGCTTGCTATCTCATTAACGCTCATCCCTCAATTGCAACTTGGCCTTGATCAACGCTTGGCAGTTCCGCAGGATTCGTTCTTGGTGGACTATTTCAATGACATTTACGATTATTTCCAGGTGGGACCTCCACTCTATTTTGTTAGTGATCTTTCAGGAGAAAAGCGAGAAGAGCAACAAAAGCTTTGCGGGCGGTTTTCAACTTGCGACGAGTTCTCCTTGGCGAACATTCTTGAGCAAGAACGCAAGCGACCGGAAGTTTCGTTCATTTCTTCACCAACTGCTAGCTGGATTGATGACTTCTTCCAATGGTTGAATCCGCAGCTAGGTGAGTGTTGCCTTGAGGACGCCTCGGGTAAACAGTGCTTTGAGCCGGGAAAAAAGTGCCACGTTTGTTATGAAAACAAAAAGTACGAGTTCGATATGAGCGGGTTCCCTACTGGCAGCAATTTCACGCATTATGTGGACCTATGGCTGAATGCACCTTCTGACCGATGCCCCTTGGCTGGAAAGGCCCCCTACTCTGGAGCCATCGATCGTGCTAGCGGCCATATCACAGCCAGTAACTTCAGGACTTCTTTTGTTCCACTGAGGTCCCAAAATGACTACATTGACGCGTATAACGCGGCTAGACGGGTGGCGGAGGACATAAGCGAGTCCACTGAATCGGCGGTATTCCCTTACTCGGTGTTTTTCATTTTCTTTGCCCAGTACACGAGCATCGTCCAAGATTCTGTACTTGTGCTCTCGGCTGCTTTCGGCTTGATTTTCGTTGTTGCGGCTGTGCTCCTTGGATCGGTTCGCTCGTCGCTGATTGTGACTGCAGTTGTAGCCATAATGACAGCAAACATTGCTGGAATGATGGTTCTATTTGGAGTGACACTGAATGCATTGAGCTTGGTAAACCTGGTGATTTGTGTGGGTATTGGTGTTGAGTTCTGTATTCACATCGTGCGCTCGTTCACATTTGTGCACTGGGTGAACCGGCTGGGCGTCCGTGGCCATACTCGCACTGACCGTGCGTTCAACGCCCTGACAGGCACCGGAGGATCTGTGTTTGCAGGAATTGCTATCACAAAACTAATTGGCGTAACCGTTCTCGCTTTCGCCAAGTCAAAGATCTTTGAAGTATATTACTTCCGAATGTGGCTTGCCTTGGTCATCTGCGCGACCACTCACGCACTTGCACTGCTGCCAATCTTACTGTCTTTTTGGGGCGGTAAAATGTATTTACTAGGCGGCGAAGAGCTGTCAGACCAATTCGGCGAACTCGAGCTTTAATATCTATACCTATGTATAATGTGTTCCTTGCCTGTTACATAATGCGAGACATCAAAGTATCTCGAGTTGATGTTTCGCTGGGGTGCAATAGTCTGGCTTGGTCGGCGGATGGAGATCTGGCCATAGGCTCGGTTGGAAATGTGACGATATTTATACCTGTTCTTGAGGCTACCAACGGCTTCCACCGCACTGCAACAGTTTCGTTTGACCAGCTACCTGCAGGAGATCATCCCACGACCGAGATGTCGATTTATGGATCAGGAATCCAAACGTTTGCGTCTGAAATCGCATGGTCGCCTAGTGGCATATCTAAGAGCCGCAGATGCGTTTTGGCAGTACTGGTTAGCACAGGAAACGCGTATCTTTTTACAAACTGTCGGCCAGCCATGGAGGCGGATTGGAGACTGAAAGTGGCAGTATCTGAGCTAGTACCCGATAAAGTTCACTCAATTGCTTGGTCTCCTGTGGATGGTGATAATTGGGGTCGGTGTAGGCTTGCTCTGGGCTGTCAATCTGGACTTGTGCACGTCCTCTTAGTAGAGAATGGCGAAACGCGTATTGACTCACAGATAAATGTACCCGGACTCGATACAATTACGTCTATGGCATGGAGTGAGCAGGGTCTTGCAATTGCAGATACAAACAATGCTGTTGTTTTGGTCAAAACAGAAACAAGCTCGACTGCAGAAGCCCCGTCAGTTATCCTTGATCGATCTCGATTCAAAGTAACAGATTTGGCCTGGGTGGACGGAAAACTGTTAGTTTCACAAGCTGGCAAGGTAACTGTCACTGGAGGCTGGAAGAAAAACGAGTTCGAAGTGGGGTTCGCTACCAGTGTGGGGGTAGTTGGAGTAGGAGATAGCTGGGCCATTTTCGGAGCCCATGGCGAGGTTTATACCAAGGGTTCAGCATTTAATATCGGCTCAAAAGCCGTATCAACTTATGGTGTCGCTGTTCACCCGAACAACCAGTATGTGGCTGTTTTATATGACTCCAAGACGGACAAGGGACTACGATACCCAATTCTTTCTTCGAGTCATGCCAAAATCCATTTTTACCCGTTGAAAACCAAACTAGATCTTAGGTCCTCAACTAAAGGATCTCCAGTCATTGATTGGGTGTTTATGGATGAATCACTAGAGCTAAAGCCCAGGAAGCTCTCTGTTCCCAAGGGCTCACTGGACGTGGCTCTGACTGTCTTGTCCAGATCTGAGGGCTTGGATGTACTCAGATACAAGTTGCACTTTGGAGACAAAGATGCCGAAGCCACGATCAGACAGACTTTAGCCGGTACGGTGCTTGGATCGTTTTTCAGAGACCAAAGCGGCCTCCCCGATCTAGACCGGGCGATATTATGGTCCATGTCGCAGTTCTGCAAAACCAAACCGAAAACCACCAATCTTGGAACGTCAGTTATTGAAATAAAGGGCGACTTCTTCACCGAGTCGTTCGATTTCGCTGATGCTACCGACCCAGATGCAATCCAGTCGCTCGGGGGACGCCGCTGGCGGCGATGCTCTTTGACTTTATTGCCTGTTTTGACTCAGAACACTTTGGTGTCCAGTGGAGGTGACTATACCAAGCTAGATCCAAGATATTTTGATGAAGGGTCGTTGGGTAAAACGATTGTCTCCAACATCGAGATTTGTTTATTTACCGGCGCCCGGTGGAGCTATAGATAATTAACTCGGATTTTTGAGAGATAAATATGCATTCCAGAACACAGAGATTGTGGAGGAAAAGGGGATCTGCAGACTGGGTGGAATCAACAGAAAATTGACGAACTGAGCGGCGGGCCACACCGTATAATTAGCAGCGAGCATAGGAATATATGCCGTACCAAAACGCTCGCTCAAATCATCGATTGTGCCCCGCTCTATAACAAACACCATATAGCAAAGGAATCCAGCCAGAGATATCGGTGAGTAGAATAGCTGATCACAAAGAACCCGCTGAAGGACAGAGATGAAACGCATTGGGCCCGACCCGAACGCAGCGTTCAAAAAGACGTACCAAGCGGACTGGGAGAAAGAAATTAAAACACCCCAACATGAGAAAAAAGCCCAACGGCGGAAGTTGAACACCTCCGGGTGGGAATGCGGCCGATCTTCAGGGGCTTGCTGGAGGATCCCCAGGCCCAGTTCAGCCAGGTCGTCGTCGTCGTCATCCAAAATAACACGTCGAGGCCGACCATTTTGTACAATGTAATTGAAAATTCCTTTTGATTCCGGAGACTCCGAATTGAGAGAAACGGAGGCGGAGAAGGCGCTCACACTTCGAAGCGTTTGGGCGAGCGTGTCTGCGAGCCCATAAAGAAGCAAGTTTGTGAAAACATTGGTCAAGACGGAATTGAATGCCCGGAAAGTCGTGAAATGAAACGTCCATTTAACTAAGGCAGTAAAGTAGACTAGGATCATTGTCCAATTGAGCGCAGGAACGCGGAAGACTCTGAAACCAGTGACAAAATCAACAAACTTGGTGAAAGCCGCCTGAACCAAGCCATCTTCGGGTGTATCTCGTAGCGGGCCATGGATAAATGGCATAATCTTGAACCGGTCGTGGCGAGCAGGGTGGGTTAGGTGTGCTTAGTGGACGGGCCTGCCTGGACGTGGGGGGCCCTGGCTGCTTACTACTAGGGCTCGGACCTAGCACAGTCACAATGTTCAAACACTCATTTCCATAGCTAAGGGAGCACGCAACTCGCCTTATCCACAATGTTGATTCCGACTGCCGACCGTCGCAAGATCCACCAGTACCTGTTCCAGGAGGGTGTCCTCGTTGCCAAGAAGGACTTCAACCAGCCCAAGCACGAGGAGCTTGATATCAAGAACCTCTACGTTGTCAAGGCCATGCAGTCCCTGGACTCCAGAGGCTACGTCAAGACCCGTTTCTCTTGGCAGTACTACTACTACACCCTTACCGACGAGGGTGTCGAGTACCTGCGTGAGTGGCTCCACCTCCCCGAGAACATTGTTCCCGCAACCCACAAGGCTACCCGCGAGGAAGCTCTGGCTGCCGCTCCCCGCCGTCGGGACGGTGGTGCCAAGGCTGTTGATGTTCAGCCCCAGTTCAATGCCTAAATTCAAAACACATCGGCCTTTAGCCTATTAAATAATGTAGCAGAGGTCAAAGCTGCATCCTAGTACGTTGTATTTTGAGCCTTAAAAAAGTTTATAACTCTGACTTTCATTAGGCGCTCGCGCCCCGCGACAGCCCCTCAATGACGATTTATGCTCAATTTAATCCCAAACTAACCTTACTGGAGGGAACCCGCTCCAGACCGCTGCATTACATTAGCTCTTTGGCCTCGGGCCTCTATCTCCCAATTTTGAGCCTAAAAATAGCAACCATTTCTTTGTAAGCTTCTAGCTTGTTAACTCGGCATATTCGAACCAAACGGCGATAGATCCGCTCAAACACAGTTGACACGGCTGGCTTGTAAACTATAACGGTATATCGACCAATTATAGAAAATTGCACCTGGATACCAACTTGCTATTAAAGATTATTAGGCACAGTAGCAAAAACGCTTGCTTCCCAGACATACTCTTTACGCCCACTGCGCTCTAGTCATCTCAAGCGTTTGTTTACGAATACAGCTAAATTGCTCTACCAGCAAAAAGTGCGACCAGGTTTCTGCTTTTTGGGACACCTTGGCGCCGGTTTACCTCACTTGCCGCACCTGTAATAACTGGACTTTTCTCCCGAGCCAGTCGGTCAAGCTTTACTAAACACTGCTGGTGGACCTCTCAGCACAAAGTCGACCAAATCGAAATGGGTCGAAGAAAAATCGCGATCGCTCCTATTGAGGACGACCGCAATCGATCAGTGTAAGTACTCGAGAGGAGACTCTGCTTTGACCCAGAATACTAACCCTCAGGACGTTTTTTAAACGGAAAGCCGGTCTATTGAAGAAAGCCCATGAGCTCTCTGTTCTGTGTAAAGTCGATGTTGCGCTTGTGATTCGTGTCAAGGACAACAAATACTACGAGTATGGCTCGAAAGATGTCGATGATATCCTCAAAAACTACTCAAAGGTAAGTAAAACTACGGAACAGATCCGATCCGATCCGAGGCAGGCAGGTGGACGCTTTGCTGAATTGGCCGCAGTGCTGTTAGTTGGTTGGTCGAAAGAATATTGTACGGTGACGGTTTTGCCACCTTGCGTGAGAATTGATATTCTTTGCTACTTCTAGCAAAAGATTTTATGTGAGACTACGCGGAAGCTCCGGAACTCTTGAGTAAAACCTTGAGCACTGAAGTGAGCTGGTGCTGCTAACACTCACAATTCTGTCGAGATCGATGTTTCGATTCCGAGCACGAGATTCGACCGACTCCTGCATACGGCTACGCAGCAATATGCAACCGCGCATGTGCACTGCATCTGCTTTTGCTTTCGTTCTGAACGTGTCTATGAACTAAACGATACTAACATTATAGGACGAGGTGATAGATTCTAAGCACCCTGAAGACTTTGTTGAGCCACCAAGGCGGCCAAGGTCTGCACGACATACGCGAAACCAGTCCTCGACGTCACAACTGTCAATGTCGGAAGACCAATCTGATTCCATGGATGAGGATGATAGTCACCACGATAGTAGTGTCGATTTACAGAGTCAGAACGAGGCAGCGTGGACTACTCGAGCCAGAATGAGCCGCCAGGCTCATGAGCGACAACAAATTCCGGGAGGCCAGTCGGGACGACCCGGAAGAGCAAGTGCTGACAGCTCTCCGCAATCAATAGGAGGCAACTTACCGTCAGCCAGTATCAACACGCATAGAAAAACTCGCAGTAGCTCTGCTACGCCGATGGGGCGTCAAAGGGCACCAGAGTCGAGAGGAAAATCGCCCATGTTACAAGGTCAACCGGATCTTGGGTCCCCAGCGTTGGTTCCAAGGCAACAGTTTGATCTTAGACATCCTCAAACAGGAGCCAAAATGCCTCCACAAATAAAGAGTGAACCGGCAGGAAATTCGCCTTTAACGGCTGGACCTTCCCCTCAGATGCAACAACACCAACAAACGATGATGCAGTCCCTTCCAACTCCGGGAGTTGGGTTCCGTCCAAAGGATCACCAAGTACAGCAGGGACAAGCTGCCCAACGGCAGTATCAAATGGCACGATACGCAATGGAACAGCACGGCTACAGTGACGGCCAGTCACCCAACCTGACAGGTGGTGCACGCCCTAAACTCAAAGTGGAGATCCCGCAGGATGTCGTCAACCGGTCAGGAGGGGCCCCTGGAGGAGCCGCGGGTAACTGGGTAGACAACTCCATATCACCGTCGGGCTATTTATTGTCCAGCCAGATTGTTCCCGAGCCCGCAAGTAGGCTGCCATTGGGCAATGGCGAGAAAACGCCGCTTTCTGCAAGCCTGCCGTCTCGCTATCTCAACGATATGCTACCGTCACCATCCAACTTATTTACAAACGACTGGGGTGCTCCCTGGTCGGGCTTACCAGAGTCTGCCGGTGGTAGAAGACAAGGCCAGCCAATGGGCGGCCAGCCTTCTGCAGGGGGCCAGACTCCATCTATGGGTATGCCTAGTGCGCTTCCCGGACTCACTCCTGGAGGGTTTAGCACTACGGCAAGAGGTATAGCAGGAGACGCGGCATTAGCAATGCAGGCGGCCACGCAACAGTATCAAAACCAGCAGGTGAGACAACACCAGCAACAGCTACAGATGCAAATGCAACAGGGCCAAATGTCGATGCAAATCCCCCAGTCACCCCCAAGGTCTATGGGTGTGGGCAATGTTGGAGGTCAGCGAAGCGAGACGCCTCCGACGAAACGACATAAACCAAACTGATTTTGCATTTTTAGTTACGTATAACAAAAATTATGTGCATTATATGATTGTTAGCAGGGAGGTATGCGTGCATCACCAACCATGTGGTTGAGCATGTGTGTGTGCTTAGGTAAGCAGAAAACTCACCCCAGCCATGTTAGGGCTTAGGGCCTGACGCGAAAAGTTGAGTGGGTGAATTACAACATTGGCCATCGAGCACCAACTTTTGCATCCACCATGAAGCTCAATATTGCCTATCCCGCTAACGGCACTCAGAAGCTCATTGAAATCGACGACGAGCACCGCATCCGTGCATTCTACGACAAGCGCATGGGCCAGGAGATTGAGGGCGACTCCCTGGGCGACGAGTTCAAGGGCTACACTTTCAAGATCACCGGTGGTAATGACAAGCAGGGTTTCCCTATGAAGCAAGGTGTTCTGCACCCCACCCGTGTTCGTCTGCTCATGGACAAGGGCCACTCCTGCTACCGCCCCCGCCGCGCCGGTGAGCGCAAGCGTAAGTCCGTCCGTGGCTGCATTGTTGGCCCCGACATGGCTGTCCTCTCTTTGGTTGTCCTCAAGCAGGGTGATGCTGAGATCGAGGGTTTGACTGATACATCTGTCCCCAAGCGTCTTGGTCCCAAGCGTGCCAACAACATCCGCAAGTTCTTTGGTCTCTCCAAGGAGGACGACGTCCGTCAGTTTGTCATCCGCCGCGAGGTTACTGGCAAGAACGGCAAGACCTACACTAAGGCTCCCAAGATCCAGCGCCTTATCACTCCTCGCCGTCTCCAGCACAAGCGCCGTCACCGGGCTGCCAAGCTCGCCGCCGTCCAGAAGTCCAAGGACGAGGCTGCCGAGTATGCTCAGTTGCTGGCTAAGCGGGTTAGCGAAAAGAAGGCCGAGAAGGCCGAGATCAAAAAGCGCCGTGCTTCGTCGCTGCGGGCCTAATCTGTCTGCATCACTGTTTTTAGTCTAATTGTCATATAGACATGTTATTCACTCTTGAAAATAATCTCTCTCCTGCTGACTAACCCGCTCAGGTCAGCGGGGCAAGAAAAACGGCAAAGGGGGATCTTTTCTCTTAGTAAAAATCAACTCTGCGTCGTGATGAGGGACGATTTGCCGCGCTTCCCCACGCCATCTGAGGCGTTTGGAGGCAAAAAAGCCAGTACAAAGTCGCCTGCGTACGGCGATCTGGGCAATATTCCCAGTTTGCCCACCCAGCGACGTCGCGATACGTCGTCCCCAGTCTCTCAGTATGCTCCTGCCCCTTCGCGTCCTCCGGCACAGGCTGGCCCTGTCCCGCAACAGCGGAACGGCTCTGGTGGTTACTCTCGCCAAAAAGCTCAATTGCCTAGCCAAACACATGAGCAGGATCCGCAGAGAGCCTATGGCCAAGCGCCCCAAGGTTACTACCAAGGGTCTCAACCCAGCTTTCACAGCGCTCCACGGAATAATTACGCACCTCAGCAGCCCCAACAGCAAAGCTCGCAGCAGCAGGCCTACTATTCGCATCACCAGCCGTCTGGCCAGCCCCGTTCGCAGTCCCAGCCTCAGCTCCCGCCCCAGCCTCAGCACCACCGGCCAAGGGTAACACCCCCGCAGCAGCTGGCATCGCCCACTTCTCAGCAGAGACAGCAGTCGATCCCTCAGTCGCAACGAGGGCCAACTGCTATGCCTCAGCCCCCGCAACCGCAGGCTCCGCCTCAACCCCGCCAGCCCCGTGACGACTTGCGAGCGTTGTTTGATAGCGTAGATCGCAACAAGACCGGATACCTTACTGAGGCTGAGCTGTCTAGCGCCCTGGTAAACGGCGACTATTCAAGATTCGACCCCAACACCGTCAGGGTCATGATCCGAATGTTTGACAGAGACAACGATGGAGCACTTCATTTTCGGGAGTTCGGCCAGTTATGGAAATACCTTCACGAATGGCGTAAAATCTTCGATCAGTTTGATACTAACGCCAGCGAGGCCATAACAGTAGACGAATTTAGTGCTGCCCTGGCTGCGTTCGGATACAAACTCATGCCAGAATGTGTTCAGTTTGTGTTTGCGACTGGATCGCGCGTGAACAAAAGCACTGGCATTCGCGAAATGTCCTTCGACATGTTTGTCAAGAGCTGTATTAATATTAAAAGCATCACAGACACATTCAAAAAATACGACTCGGATAGAGACGGGTTTGTGACAATGAGCTTTGAGGACTTCCTAACCGAGGTCACTAAACTGGTAACTTGAGCAATATATATCTATAGGTAACGAACTGTTTATGTTATTGGAACCTGCTGGGCGTCCCAGAACCGGCCCCCGAGACCTTGTTGGTCCCCGAGCTCGTCGGCGATCCAATTGTGGATTTTATGCGTTATGAATTCATCAAGCCGCCATTCTCCCGCGTCTTTTTCCAACAAATGCGTCTCTAGAAAGATGTAGACTGACGCCGAGTACGTTTCTCCGTCCGCTCCAATGGCACGGATCACTTTGCGTGCATACTCTGATCCTTCAAAATCATCTAGCTTCTGTATTGCTGAACTATCCAGATTGAAAACAAGCTTGCCTTCTACCTTATCTTCGACACTTGATGTAACTCCTGGATAGTCCCGCTCCTTCAGCCGATAACGTCTATAGCCATGTAACGTTGCGGGCATTGTTTTGATTGATGTTCCTTGCAGCGTCCTAGTTCCAAAAACAACCCTTGCAAGCACCTCTTCTGCCATTAACGTACCGTATACAAAACACACTACCATTTAAATTAGATAAGATAAGGAAGGTCGCGCGGGTCCCGCTGCGATAAAAGATACCAGTAGTCAGCACAGTAGTTTTTTCTTTCAACCATGGGAGTTCCCGCTTTCTTTAGGTGGCTCTCCAGCAAATACCCGAAAATCATCAAGCCTTGTCTTGAGGATGAGCCTGTGGAAATCAATGGTATCGAGTACCCCGGGGACTATTCTTTGCCCAACAAAAATGGCGAGTTAGACAACCTCTATCTCGACATGAACGGTATCGTGCACCCGTGTACGCACCCCGAGGGCCGCCCCGCCCCCGAAAACGAAGACGAGATGATGTTGGAGGTGTTCAAATATACGGACCGGGTTGTAACCATGGCGCGTCCGCGCAAGTTGCTGATGATCGCCATTGACGGAGTCGCTCCCCGAGCGAAAATGAATCAACAGCGCAGCCGTCGATTTAGAAGCGCCCAGGATGCTGAGGCTGCTCAGGTTGCCAAAGAAGAGAAAATTGCCGAGGCGAGAAGAAGGGGTGAGGAAATTGATGAGGCCATTCACGGGAAAAAGGCCTGGGATACTAATGTCATTACCCCAGGTACTCCGTTCATGGAGTTTTTGGCGTCGTCCCTGAGATATTGGATATCGTTCAAACTGAACTCCGATCCGGCCTGGAAAGACCTCAAGGTTATTATCAGTGATGCCTCAGTTCCCGGCGAAGGCGAACACAAAATCATGGAACTTATTCGATCCCAGCGCAATGATCCTGAGCACGACCCCAACACAAGCCATGCAATTTACGGTTTGGATGCCGACCTGATTTTCCTGGGTCTTGCTACACACGAGCCCAACTTTAGGATTCTTCGTGAAGATGTTTTTGCCCAGAACCGTACTGCCAAAGCTAGTGGCTTGAAATCGTTTATTTGGTTGGACGTTGGAATTTTGAGACAGTACCTCGAAATTGAACTGGATATTCCACGCACTGGATTCCCCTTTGATCTCGAGAGGGCTATTGACGATTGGATCTTTATGGCTTTCTTCTGCGGTAACGATTTCTTGCCCCATCTTCCATCGCTTGATGTCCGTGAGAACGGTATTGATGTTTTACTCAAAGCCTGGCGGCAGTCGCTATCGAGAATGCAAGGTTACATGACATGTGACGGCTCGGTGAATCTAAGTCGTGTGCAGATCTTGTTGAGAGTTGTTGCGGGGGCTGAAAGTGATATTTTCCGTCGTCGCCGAGACCAGGAAGCTCGCCGCATGGCCAATGATAAAGCACGAAAAGCTGGGCAAAAGCGCATGAAAAATGAACGTGCCCAAGCCCGTGGCGCAGCAATCGCAAAGACGCGGGGCGAGAGTGCTCCGACAAACCCTCTGGATAATATCCCGTTGTATACACCTTCCGGTGAAAGCGTCGGCCAAACCCATATGACGAACCAAGAGCTTGTTGCCCACCGCAATGAAATCACGATGGAAAATCAGACCCAGGTAGAGGCACAAGCAGGATTGAAACGCCCTGCCGACGACATTGACGATGACCATGAAGCTGAGGACAATATTCGTCTATGGGAACCAGGTTATCATCACAGATATTATGAGAGAAAGTTCCACACTTCTGACAAGAACCTTGAGTTTGTAAATGAGGTCGTTCAGAAGTACATCGAAGGCGTTTGCTGGACGCTTGCATACTATTATCAGGGTTGCCCCTCCTGGACCTGGTACTACCCTTATCATTACGCACCTTTTGCTCAGGATATGACCGATTTGGATCATTTGAAGATCGAATTCGACGGTGGTGAGCCGTTTTTGCCTTATGAACAACTCATGAGTGTGTTGCCGGCGGCATCAAGTCACACGCTTCCCAAAGTGTTCCGACCTCTTATGTCCGATAGCGACTCGCCCATCATTGATTTCTATCCAGTTGACTTCCCCATTGATATGAATGGTAAAAAAATGGCTTGGCAAGGCATTGCTTTGCTTCCGTTTATTGACGAGCAGCGGCTGCTGGCGGCCGTGCGAGCAAAGTATTCTGAGCTCACCGAGGCAGAACGCGAACGAAATGCTCGTCGAGAGCCTGTTTTGTTAGTGGCTCCCGAGAATGTTCAGCGAGCTGATTTCGCCAAACTATACAAGACTGACAAAGTTGTGCCCTTCAGCTTCAAGAGTTGGAGAGCTAAGGGCTTGGCTGGCACAGTGTTCCGTTTGGAAGATTTTAGCCCTGATAAGCCGCTTATCTGCCCTGTGAGCAGCACCGAACATCCTGACATTGCCTCAAATGGTTCAGTTATGGTGGAATATCATGTTCCTGAGAACCAAATGCACAAGAGTATGATTTTACAGGGTTACAACGAGCCTAATCTTGTGTTGAGTTATGACGAGCGTTCTCAAATCATTTCAAGACGCAACAAGAGTGATCGAGGAGATGAGCGCTTCGACAGGCGTGGTCGTGATCGTCCGCAGGAGTTTTCAGAGCCTCGTCCTTTGTCCGAAGATGGATATATTGGATTCTTGCAACACCAAGCCCAGCTCAAGGCTCAGGGATATGACCAGCAGCACCAGGGCGGATACGGTGGGGGCCATACAGGAGATCGTGGCGGATATCACAACGGTTATCAAAACGGATACCAGAACGGACACCGCAATTATAACGATGGCGGGTACGGTGGCTTCAACCCTGGTGGGTATGGCGGTGGTCAGAACTACCAAGGATACCAAAGGTACCAGGGATACCAGGGATATCAAGGCGATCGACAGCGATAATAATTTATATAATTTAAATGATTTCAAGGTCATCAGAATCAGAATTGTGACGCTCGAGTTGCTTGGCTCGTTGGCCGCCCGTGGGGTCGAAGCCAATACGACGTATGTGTTCGGGTGTAAATGCCCGATGTTTTTCAACAAAATCCTTATTTGCATCTTGGTCAATCAGCTTACCTTTTGTATCGAACTCTCGCAGGAGGAACCCGTCAGGACGCTGGGCGAGTTTTTTCCGTATTCGCAGCTCGTTTTGCAATTCATCTGCTCGACGTTTGTCGCGTTTGACCTGCTTTTCTTTGCTAGTGACCGTCTCCTCAAAATCACCCATGAAGGAACCTCGAGCGCTGCTGTGGTAGACCTTGCCAGCATCCAAAGGGGCCTGGAAATCTGTATGCAGCCCTTGTTTCCATTTGACGGCGCCACCTTCGAATACCGTCATTCGTTTTGCACCGCTTTTTGGATCATATAATTTAGAGACAGTAGAGTTGAACTCTGGACGGGTACCAGCCACTTTACGCAGGCGAACTTCACGGTGGTATTCACAGAACTCTGTTCTTCGGAGATCCACCCAGTTTTTGCACCGTTTTTTATTTGAGCTCTCGCCATAGCATTGTCCACAGTGCTTTGAATGACCAATTTCAAGAATACTGGTCTCACCGCGGATACTTAGACCCAGAGTGCGAGTCTCGCCCTTGGCGACGTAAATGTTTGGATTCAGTAGGGCGATCAGAGTTCCGGGGCGGATTTTCCAGAACTTTTCAAAACTTGCTCCGTGAATAGCAAGCATCACGTCGTATTTGAGATCAGTCAATGTTAACATTATGTATTTCGATCCCCGCATGCTCTGCTTGGCCTCGCCCTTGCGAGCTACAATAGCCATTACAACGAAATTGGGGTAGCTGGGAGGCGTGAAAAGCGGAGGATAGACCTCGGAAAGCAGCTTTGAAAGGGTCAAAACCGTGACATCCTGAACAAGCGCGTCGAAATCACCGCAACTGACATAGCGCGTGGTTAGATCCAGCTTGGTGTATGGCTCAACAGAGTCCTTTTGCTCGCCTGTTTTCTTGTCCGATGCACCAACATTGGTCGTGCTGAACCCACCCAATCTCTGTTTGACTAGCTCTTTTGTCGAGCTCGAAACCTTTCTTTGGGCTCGCAGCTGATTTGCAAACTCACTCATGTCATACTGGGAAAGGTCGGAGGGGTTGGTAGGGGACAAGACAGGACGTGAGGATGGAGTGTTGAAGGCAGAAGAAGGCAGGGAATTGGCGTTCCAGATAGCCAGGAAGCGGTTGAGGCGGTCAGAAGATTTTGCAGAGTGTTATTTGGAGAGCTTAGATACGTCTGCCCTCGATGGGATCCCGAGCTTTAATTTTGATTTTGAAGCAGAATCCGAGCCGCGACAAGATTCAGAACCGGAGCCTGAGTATGAACTCAAAGTAGGGCCAGAAATTGAGAGTGCCGACCCCACACCAGACCCCGCACCAGACTCGGTGGACTTTGAACCCCAGCTAACCGAATCCGAGCCTGAGCCTACCCCTGAGCCAGCCCCTGAACCAACTCCGGAGCCGGTACGAAGCAAGCCTCGAATACTTAAACGAATTATTCGAGCTACCCCCTCTGAGACGCGTACGCACAAGCTCATGATCCCTCGTCTCATCAAGGCAGATAACTCTAGGCAACCCACAGTCACCATGGCCCTTAACCAAAAACGAGCGGTGCAATTACCCTCAAATAAACTAGATATGGACGGCCTCTGGCTAGCACATTGGCTGCAATTCGAAGAGAGCCGCACACGGTTATGATATTTATCTTTTTTTTTGTACTATATTATTTTTTTTCACCAAAAAAATTAAAAGGGATTGTCGATAACGGCACTGCCTTCGACAGGATAAACTGTTTGAATAATGGGACCTCCGCGAGCGACTAGGAGCCCAAGTTGGCGGGTTTTACCCTCGTCGAGAATCTCGACCACGTCCTCCAAAACCATATTCATAAGAGAGTCATAACCAGTCAGAGTGCCTTCGATTCGCCGGCCCCCAGAGAACTCGACGCTGATTTTTTTGTCCTTGTATTTATCAAGATCAATAATAGGGCCCTTATTGGGCCGCTCTTCTCCTAGCCATGGCACAAAGGGCTGGCGTTCGCGTTTGTCGTCCTGAGCGAGTTGCTGCTGTCGTCGCCGCGGGTCATTATTGCGTCGTTTGAAACCACCACGCTGGTTATCCCGGCGCCCATCACGATTGTCGTTACCGTCTCTTTGCCGGTTGCCTCTGCCGGTCATCTTAACACTTGAAGTTTGGGTGAGTAATCCGAAATCTACAATGACTGGCGATATAGTAGTAAACATTGTTGGAGAGCTGGCGTCTGTGGAGCGGTATATTTCTCCGGGGTGGACTTTGGAGCAAATCAAGGCGCGGATTGAAACAATCACGGGGGTGCCGCCGGCCTCTCAGATGCTGACGGTGAGAGATCCCCACGGACACAGCCGGCGCTCTCTGGAGAGCTTTGGGCCTTCAACAACGGTTGCCGCAATGGGGATTACAGAAAAGTCGCAGATCGACGTGTCAGATACCCGTCCACGCGACCGAAGACTGGACTTCAATGGCGAAGTTGAGAAATACGAGATGCCGCTGTCAGATTATGAGAAGCGATCTGACTCTGTTCTTGAATGGAAAAGGCAGAATCGTCTTGGCAGGTTCCAGGAAGCGCCTTTGCAAACACCGACGCACGAAGAAATTGAGGAAGAATGCAGTCTCACGGTCGGCAAGGACTGCTGGGTCAAGCTGGCCAACGGAACGAAAAAGGCCCAGATCGCATATGTTGGCTCGGTCGAGGGAATCCCTGCGGGAACGTGGGTGGGTCTCAGACTCCACGAAGCACTAGGCAAGAACGATGGCAGCGTCAAAGGCAAACGGTACTTTGATGCGGAGGCCAATCACGGGGTTTTTGTCCGTCCGTCGGCCGTTACAGAAATTGACGACAACGACGATCTCGAAGAGCTTTGAGCCAGTCGAAGCAACCTACTTACGTCTACGAGCTCGAAGCATCATTCAACAAAGTACTTAAAAAGATTCATACACACATATAGTAACTAGACAAAAAGGATTATAAGGCGGCACCAGAGGTGTAAACGCGGTCGTCGTCGCCCTCGACTTCAGCGCGGATTTTCTCGAGTTCACGGACCTGGGTGTCCCACGTCGATTTCGAGTTTTTCAAATTGCCATCAAACAATTCCCGGTCTGGCTCGCGATGGGTGCCGCCCAGACGGTCCCAAAGCGTGGTATACTGACCATAGTTGTAGTTAAAGTACAGGTGGTGAATTGTGTGACAGGCCGAGCCATTCACAATTGGGTCGTGCGACAAGTACTCGCCATCGTGTATGAGCACGGTCCAAATGTTGACGGCAATGAATAACACAACGTAGGCGACCTTATGGAGAGGGAACACAAAGGGGAACAGGTGGTATGGAACGGACTGGAAATAGCCATCGACCGGGTGGAACGCATGGGAGGCGAAAGGAGTGGGCACGAGCCACTTGTGGTGAGGCTTGTGGAGGTGCTTGTAAACGGCCGGGGTGTGCAGCCAGCGGTGGATAAGATAGATCAAGCAGTCAGTGAACAGGATAAACAGCGGGAACTGGAAAAACATGTACCAGGTTCCGTAGTCTTTGGGGTTCATGTACAGCTTGGAGTATCCCTGGCACTCGGCAACAAACCAAGGCACGGTTAGCAGGGTCATCATGGGAATGGAGGTGAGCGACTGCTTGATTTCAAGCTTGACCTGGTTCTTCAGGTATTTGGGATGGTTGAAATTCTCGTGGTTGTAGACAAACAAATAATTCATGTAGGCGGTCACCAAATATAGAAGTGCACCAAAGAAAGTTGTAATAACAAAGAACGAGATGGACTGCCGGAGCGGATTTGAGCGGCACAGAAGCGAGGCGTACGCGAGGTCCGAGGGCTTGAAGAACTGAGGAGGGTCAACGCCGTAAACATGGCTCTCGAACGCGGACGAAAGCCCGTTGAGCGTCACGTTCGCGGGAGCGGCAATCGGGTTGGGCGACGGCAGTAGAGTGGCATAAACTTTGTCCAGGACAAAGGTGTCCATGATCTCCAAAACGATATCCATTATAGTTTAATTTTTGAACGGTTGTCGCTAAGGAAACAAAAAGATAGCTTGGAAAAGGATGTTAGTTTTTATGTCCCGCGGACGCCCGTACCCTATCGCTCAAGATACGAGATACCATACTTGAGTGGAGAAAAGACGTGTGTAAATTTGGGACGGATAATTCGGGGGCTCTGCTGGTAGGATCACTGCATAGCTGATGGACGAATGTTGTGTTTGGGAGAGGATCCAGTCTCTTTAATCTGCCAATGCTGCTAAATTTCACCAGTAAACCTGACATATGATCCGACAATCATACGAGGATCACGTGTGGGGCGAGCGTTCGGCTTCCCCTTACCCTGGCAGTTTTTTGGATGGAAGACGGGTTTCTCGGAATTTTTATCAAAATAGTAGGGAATTAGTTTAAGCAATGTAAATCTACTCCCTGCCGCGGGTCAATTTAAAATACTTGTCAAACTTCTCGCTGTGGTCAAGTCCCTCGTCGACCGTGCCGCGAACCTCCTCCCATGTACGCTTTTGCCGCTGCCCTCTTCTGGTTAGATCCTCTTGCAGCCATTGCAAAGCGACCTGTAAAAGCCTGGAGTTCGGACCGCTGTTTTGGTACTTTTTAAGAACTGCTTCTGTGGTCGCCGCTTCGAGGGCCTGCCCAAGATGCATATGCACGATGTGGGAGGGCCAGCCCATAAGGCCATCGAAAATATGTGTAGCGTAAACAATTTGGCAGTGGCGTGTTTCGGTTTCTGTTTTCAAAAACTCGAGCAGCCTGTGACGCACAAGCACGTCCAGGTCGACGGTGACCTCGTCCAGAAACAACGACGTCCACGGCCGTAATAGACCCATGCACAGCTGGACTCTGCGCCGTTCGCCATCCGAAACAGCATTCATACGCCAGGTCAGGTCAATGTCTAGAATATCGACCAGCTCGTCCCGACGCTCCGGGTAGGCATCTCCACCAACGCTTGCAATCAACAGCGTCACTGGCACGTCTCGCCGCACCGTAGGGTTGGATGCCCACTCTGTACCTAAATAAGTAGCGTTCTGCAATCCGTCACGAAACGGATCGCGGCCGTCAACCGTGGTTTTACCCAGTTTAGCCAGGGTCTTGCCGGCCAGAATCCGGAGAAGCGTGGACTTTCCGGCGCCATTGGCGCCTATCAACAAAGTCCTGGAGCCAGTGGGCAGATTCAAGCTAATGTCCTGCAGCCCAACTGTTCCATCGCCAAATACATAGAACAATCCATCAGTCTCAATCATGTCCCCTTGGAGGTTCCTAAACAGCTGACAAACCCGCCTCTCCCTTCGTCACAAATGAGCTTGCGGATTCATCTGCCCGAGGTGTCTTCGGCCACAATGCGGGCTTGCGGGGTCTACGCTAGCGGTGCTCTGTATGCTGCTGGTTTCTATCTCATGCTGGACACGGCGCTTTGGTCCGCCCACAAAAACCCCACCGATATGCACATTGGGTTTGTGGACTGGATTCCTCTAGTGCTAGTGACCCTTGGGATGGCAATCATCAATTTAGTGGAGAGATCCAGACTCACTTCCGGCATGGCATTCGGTTATGAGTACGGCGGGCACGGTACCTGGCAAGCTAGGGTTGTTTTGTTCGTGGGCACCGCCTTTCTTTCGGGAGGCGGTGCTGGGTCTGTACTTATTCTGCTTCTCCGCTATATAATTCCCGACCGTTCAAGACCCGAGATTTTTATGGGATTCTTCAACATCCTTTCGTCCATTCTAATAATGAACAGCTCCACATGTCTCTGGCTAGCCCAAAATGTGAAGGACGATTACAGCTACTCGCTCCAGCACTAGTTGAACCAGGTGACAACGTTGGTCACAAATGAGCTTGGCAAGATTGTGTTGGTGGGTACCTCGCTGCAGCCTTGTTGGGACGCACTACCGCATCCATGCTCTCATGTCCCAGAGTGCAATTACCGAAAGGCCGTTCTTTATGGAATCATGAATCTCCAAACGGGCCCGCGTTCTTTATAGGATCGATGAATCTCCTCATCCGTTCCGACAACCAGCAACACGTATCTCTGGCCAGCTCAAAATATTAAAGCTCCTAGCTCCAGCACTAGGTAGGGAAGGACAAAACAGTTCTACATTATCTATTGGAAGAGAACCAGAAGCCTTTTTTTCTAGAAACAAAGAAGGGCAAATAAAAAATAGAAAAAAAAAGTAGAAAGAAAAAAAAGCATGTCTTTGCCGGGTCCATAACTACCAGGTGATCAGCCTGAGGATATCTTTTCGACTTTTTTTCCTGCTTTATCTTAAACTGCACTGGTCCTCATCTGCTCGGCCGGCATGGGAACAAAATTGTCGAGATCCACGCCCAATGCAGCGCGAGCATGCTCTGGAATCAACGTCTTGTTCAGGTCTGGGCTCAGGGAAAGCTCGAGCTCGGAAAAGTTAAACAGTGGGGGTAGCTCTCTATCTGGTTGGTCGGGTTCCTGGTAGTTGGGTAGCTTTGTGTTTGGATCACGCAGCTCGTCAAAGTAAGGGTGGGCCATAACTTGGATGCTAGACGGGCGCTTTTCCGGAGAGTACTCGAGCATGTCGCCCAGCAGAGCAATCGCCTGTTGGTCGGCTCGGCGGAATACACGGTTCAGGGGATGGGGGCGGATTTGTGGGAACCTGTGGTCGTTGTTGTGCGCAGAGTTCATGACCCAAATCTGCTCTCTGGTCGGGGTGCCCAGCACCTTGATGATTTCCACTAGCTGGTCGATGCCGTTGGAGCCGGGGAACAGAGGTTGGCCGAGAATGAGCTCGGCCATAACGCAGCACGCTGACCACACGTCAATCTTAGTTGTGTAGTTTACTGCTCCAAAAATGAGCTCGGGGGCTCTGTAGAAACGAGAACAGATATAAGCAACGTTGGGCTCGCCAGCCACCAGCACCTTTGCGGACCCAAAATCGCACAGCTTGAGGATTCCGGTGCGCGGGTCGCAGAGCAGATTGCACGGCTTGATGTCTCTGTGGCAGATGCCCAGGCCGTGGATATACGCTAGGGAGCGGAACATCTGGTAGGTGAGCAACTTGATTTCCAGGTCCGGCATGGGCCGACGGGCTCGTGAAAACCAGCGCAGCTCGGAGGCGACCGTGCCCGGCATGTACTCGAGAACCAAATTTAAATATACCTCATCGCGTTCTGCGGTCGAGTGGAAGTATGCCTTGAGGCCTACGATGTTTGGGTGGTGCACCTTGCGCATAATCTCCAGCTCGCGGTTTTTGAAGCGCCGGTCCTGGAGAACCCTTTTGATTGCAGCATCCTCGTTCGACGGAAGCAGCTTGGTCTGGAATACAACCCCAAACGAGCCGTTGCCTATCACGCGGCACTGCGTATACGAAAGATCCGCCGTTTCGCCGGTGCGGCCATCCTTGGCATTCTGGTGGGTTACCTCACTCATGGCTCCAAATGTGATACTGGCACGTGATGCTCGAAAGAAAAAAAAAACACGGGTACTAGCGGTTAAGCTCGAAGGCTTGGTTTGGTTTTTTCTCGAGATTCCAATAGGCTCACAAACACAAAATCACCAAGGGATAGGGAAAAGTAGCGTGTCAAGGTAGTAATCTCCCACGGTGTCTCCCACCTTGCCCAACCCTCCCTCTAGAAGGATCCTTGCCCTTATACAAAGTCCCACATGCGCGATTTGCGGGCGTTGGGGGCGGGTTGTGTAGATTTATATCTCAAGTATCTATCGATTTATAATATTCTCAAGCGATCTTGCTGGACACAGCTGGGCCAATCGCGGCGTCGGGCGCCCGCCGCCGTTCCGCGGCAGAAAACACCTGCTCCCATCCCCGCTTTTCGTGCGAATCCTCCTTGTGCTGGTGACGTCTGGTAGACGCACCAAACGTAATCGTTGGTAATCCGTGCATTTACGGGAAACAAGCTCCAAAAAATACGCTCTTGCAAATTGATCGGTCGCCGCAGGCCGTTTTTCTCATCTCCCCACCCGTCCTCGCAATTGCCTGGCTTTCTGCCGCGACCCGCCTCTGACTAGTGCTGCCTTTGTCATGCAAGTTTTCGAGTGGGCGTTCGGGAAGCGATTGACCCCTCAAGAGCGTCTGCGGAAGCACCAGCGGGCTCTGGAGCGAACCCAGCGAGAGCTGGACCGCGAGCGCACCAGACTAGAAGCCCAAGAGCGCAAGCTCATTGCCGACATCAAAAAGGGTGCCAAAGACGGCCAGATGGGCTCGGTCAACATCATGGCCAAGGACCTGGTTCGAACAAGAAATTACATCCACAAGTTCTACGTGATGAAAACACAACTACAGGCCATCTCGCTGCGCATCCAAACCGTCAGGGGCAACCAGCAGATGGTGCAAAGCATGCAGGGGGCGTCCAAGCTGCTGGGCAGCATGAACCGCTCAATGAACCTTCCTGCTCTGTCGAAAATCGCCATGGAGTTCGAGCGCGAGACTGACATCATGGACCAGCGCCAGGAAATGATGGACGACGCTATCGAGGACGGCATGGGCGAAGCTGACGAGGAGGGCGAAGAGTCCGAGGAGATTGTCGCCAAGGTCCTAGACGAGATCGGAATAGACCTCAATCAGCAGCTCGCCGCAGCCCCTCCTACTGCGGATCTTGAACAGGAGAGCCAGAACCTGCCTGCTCGCTTGGCTAGACTGCAGCGTTAACTTATATACTACTAATTACAACAGCTTGTTTTCTGTCAAGTACCTGTAGATGGCCGCGACGCTCTCCTCGACAGTCTGCTGGTGTGTGACTTCGATTTCAGGCGACTCGGGCGCCTCGTAAGGAGCAGAGATGCCCGTAAACTCCTTGATTTCTCCAGCCCGCGCCTTTTTGTACAGTCCCTTCGGATCCCGCTGCTCGGCAACCTCGACCGGAACATTCACATACACCTCAACAAACGGAAGATTCCCGTCCTCGTGGAGCTTGCGGGCCTGCAGACGATCCTGCTTGTACGGGGAAATGAACGACGTAATGGCGACGGTGGTGGAGTCGGCAAACAGCTTGGCGACCTCGCCAATTCGGCGGATGTTCTCGTTACGGTCCGCTTCACTGAATCCAAGGTTCTTGTTCAGCCCGAACCGGATGTTGTCGCCGTCCAACCGATAGGCGTTGACTCCCTGGTGCAACAAATGCTGCTCGAGGGCAGTAGCGATGGTGCTCTTTCCCGAGGCACTCAGACCAGTGAACCAGATGGTAAGGCCCTTTTGTTTCGTGAACTTGCTCCGCTCATCGTGAGTGAGTCCTTCGTGCCAGGTAATGTTCGTAGCCATGTTTGGGTGGATGGAAAACGGTCCGATGATAATTTTAAGCTCCGGTTGACGATAAGGTGAGTGCACGTGACCCGCGACCAAGCGCTGATGCATCATGCACCCCACGCATTCGATTAACTTGGGTTTTCAGCTGTAATAAAGAGGATACTATGTACTTTATGAGGGCCCCCTACGCTTCCTCAACTAAAGGTGCTTGTCCTTCGGGCTCAACTGATTCGGCCGGGTTCTCAAGGACTCTAACCGAGACAAGCTCCTGCTCCTCTCGGGCTGGGTTTTGTTCAACGTCCAACAGTTTGGCCAGCGGCTCGCCAACCGGTCCCAGTAATTTAGCAGCCTCAAGTCCAAGGGCAATATCAATGGGGTTGAGACCCTTTGTGCCTCCCGAAGAGACGGCGTCGACTGCCGAACCAACAACTTGCTTGATTTTGGTCGCATCGTCAGTGCCAAACTTTTCGCCGTATTTGACAATGCCGTACAAGAGAGGAAGCTCGCGCCCACTCTCGCCCTCTGCCCGATAGTAGATCTTGTACAGTGTGTTCTTGGCGCGGCGACTCAAGTAAGGAACCAGGAGAGCATATAGTCTCAGAGCCTCGCTAAAGACCGCGGGCGTTGTGTATTGCGAAAACTGTGTTCTGTGGCCAAAAATGCGATGGATTGTGTTTGGCAGCTCGCCGATCTCGGCAGACTTGCGAATCAATGCAGAAAATTGTTCTGGCCGCAGATTCACCCTGCTGTTTTCGTACTCGTGGTACTGTTTGAAAAACTCCCATGTCTCGTCCAGATCAGCAGCTGTGGTGCTTGTTTCAACAAGACTACTGAGGTCTGCAACAGAGGGGAGACCAGGATACTTCATGGGCTGCAGAGTGCGGCCCTTGTGCTGAACAGTCTCACCCTGTTCCAAGTGGTATGCCTTAGAGGGCCGGAACACCAGCCGACGATCACGGGCATTGAGAGACTCGTGGAGAAGACTAGCGTCCAGTTTCTCCAACACCTCGGCCCGTGGTTTAGCTCTGGGCCTCGCAGGGAGTGCAACACGGGCAAGAACCCGCACAATATCGGGGCTTGCCTTGACTGAAAATCCGCGGACCAGTTTCATAAGCAGGTTGGATCTTTGAGATTTCCGCTTAGCTGAAAAGTTACAAACGTCCGAAGCCCTGCGGAGTGGTTACCCTGAAGACAACACAATGGTGGTTGTCCCGCGTCACCTAAAAGGGCCAAGCAGCAATCAAACCCAATTTCTCAACTCAGTGTCTGCCTGAATTATCTACCGCCCGAAACATTCACCATCTAAAATCTATTCCCATTCGCAGCAACGACATATTTGCTATACATTCCCCCCTTAGCTAATATTCATTTCGCTGCTTGCCGAACACAAGCCATGACAGACCAAGAACATGTTATGGCCCACAGGCAGGGCCCACCGGACACCGAGAGGCTGGAGGATCCACCAACGAGCCGCACTTTTCTGCAAGGGCTTGGACATGTCATTGTGACGTTCACATCGGCTATTTTCGCATTTTTGTATCTGTTTATTTTGCTGATTTGTGCCCAGATCACCGCCGTGGGAGCACCGCGTACAAAGAGAGACCCCAATGTCAAACTGACAAAGGCCCAGCGCGCGCTGCACCGCAATCTCAAATACTACATCGAGCTCGCTGGATTCGAACTTGAGTCGCACGACCTATGGTCTCCAGACAACTTTCAGCTGGATGTCACACGAATTGTGTCACCACAGGCTGTGCTGGATAACGAAAAGACCTCTAACTTGAAGCAACGCTACCCCGTTCTACTCCTCCCTGGCCTAATGCAGCACGTTGGTGCCTACTGCTCGGCAGGCCCAGACGCCATGGCCCTGATGCTGCACCGGGCGGGATTTGATGTGTGGTTGGGCAATACTCGCAGCAGCATCAAGGTTCACAACCGCCAGTACAGTGAAATGTCCCATAAGACCTGGGACTGGTCAATTGAGAATATGGCGCTGACCGATGTCCCCGCGATCATCGAGTATATCAAGAAGCACACTGGCGCAGAGAAGATCGCGGTTGTTGGCCACTCTCAAGGAACTACCCAGACATTTATGTGCTTGAGCAAGCAGGGGCGGCCCGATGTTGGTCACTCTATATCTACTTTCTGTGCCCTTGCTCCGGCGGTATTTGCAGGCCCGGCCATCGACCGATGGTTCTTGAAGCTCCTGCGTCGTCACAGGTGGGCGTATCGCAGCATGATGGGTGATCGTGCCTTTTTAGGAATTATGGGTGCCCTGAGATCCATCACTCCCCTCAAACTGTATACCCACGCCGCGTACAATATGTTTTACTACATGTTGAGCTGGTCCGACAAGCTGTGGGACCGGCACTATCGCAACCGGTCTTTTATCTTTACGCCGTCGGTTGTTAGCTCAAGCCTAATGTTCTGGTGGCTGGGGAAAGGTGGGTTTGCCGATACACGATGTATTTTCAAGAACCCCGAAAAGAACGAGTCGTGGTTTGACGAGCGGTTCCCCAAGGTTGGCCTGTTTACATGCGGCCAAGATAATTTGTGTGACCCGGAGCCGCTGAAGCGACGGATGGCGACCGTCGAAAGCCATGTGCCGTACACGGTGTTTGACTATCCAGACTATGCGCATCTAGACGTGATGTGGGCCAAGGACGTTCCGGAGCGGGTCACGGCGCCCATGGGTGCGTTTATTTGGGAAAACCTCGACGACAAAGACCATTGGCGCGAGCCTGTGTGGCCAACTGCTGGCAGTGTGCCCCCAGAGCCCGCGGTCAACCCTGCAACTAAAGAACCTGATTACGAGGTCGTGCCTTAATATAAAAAGCTATAGAACTACCCTCAGACAGAAAGTTGGTATCAAGTCAAGCTGACCTATAGGAATTAGGCGTTCCCAAGCCAGGCTGTCAACCGCAAATTATAGTCATCCCTGGGATTTAAACCAAAGAACAAAACCTTGCCAGAGCGAGAACCCTTTAACCTCTCTGCTTAGTCATTGATATATGTGACTCTTCTAGGGCTTAGGGCAGCAAACCTCCCAGCACCGATTCACTAGCGACTCTGCCAGGCCGGAGATAGTATCCATACCAATGTCTGAAGTCAAGAGCATTAACTGGCGCCAGGTCGAGCTTGGTCGCATTGTTCTGATCAACCGTGGCCCCTACGCTGGTAAGCTCGCTACCATTGTCGAGATCATTGACCACAAGCGTGTCCTCGTGGACGGCCCCAAGACTGGCGTCCCCCGCCAGGGTGCCAACCTTGGCCACGTTACTCTGACCCAGCACGTCATCCCCAAGCTGCCGCGTGCTGCCGGCACCGCCGCCGTTGCCAAGAAGTGGGTTTCCTCCAAGGTCGAGGACAAGTGGAACGAGTCTGCCTGGGCCAAGAAGATCGCTCAGCGCCAGCGCCGCCGCGAGCTCTCCGACTTTGAGCGCTTCCAGGTTCTCGTGCTCAAGAAACAGCGCCGCTATGCCGTGCGCAAGGCCGTTGCCAAGGCTAACTAAATGCATTAATGTGTAGCTTTTATTAAAAACAAAAAATACAGAACTTATTGGTACTCTTTCGGGGTCCGCGTGGTCAGCTGCAGTGCATGCACCCCGTTCTCCTGCTTCATTTCCTCGTCCAGCAAGCTGTACACCATCCGGTGTCGCGCCGGCAGGTTCTTGCCCTCGAACTGGTCGCTGACAATCACCAGCCGGAAATGGGACTCGGCGATGTTCGTCGATCCCCGCATGGGGGCGTGGTGGGCATGCTTGTGGCTGTCATTCTCGATCTCTAGCACAGTAGGCCGGAATGCCTCGCTCACCTTGCGGCGGATTGCGTCCGTGATGGGAGTGCTCGACATGGCCCGTTTGAACATCAATCCTGATTACAGTTTTTACTTGATTTGGGAGGAAAGCGTGGGGAGGGGCTGTTTATTTTTTTCTTGCCCGAGCGAGCGGAGAAAAATGGGAGGAGATGACAAAGGTGGCTTGGGTTAAAGTCGGAATTACCACCTTTTGCCAACACACTTTCAGGGCAACCAGTATTCTAGGCCAAGCAGCAAAACAAGCTTAATTTTACCGTTATAATGGCCAGCAATCAACCTTACGACCCGTACATCCCCTCGTCACAAGCACCCGGCGCCGGGGCGGCCATGAGTGGCAACCCCAACCGGACGGCCGCCATCCAGGCCCAGATCGACGACACGGTTGGTATTATGCGCGAGAACATCAACAAAGTCGCTGAGCGGGGCGAGCGGTTAGACTCGTTACAGGACAAGACCGACAATCTGGCCGTCAGTGCCCAAGGGTTCCGTCGGGGCGCCAACCGCGTCCGAAAGGCCATGTGGTGGAAAGATATGAAGATGCGTATATGCCTGATTTCGATCGTTGTGATTATTATTATTGTCGTTATTGTCGTTCCCATTGCTACGTTGGTCAAGTAGTTATTTAGCACCGCGCACACGAACCAGGCACAACCAAAGGCATATACACTCCTTGTCTCATGTAGATGTTTAAACTATCTTTTTTTTTATTTACTTGGCAAACTCCATGATCTTCTCCAGAGTAACCGACTTGGGACGCTCGATGGGCATGCCCAGAATGCGGTCCCAGATCAGCTGGACGAGAGGACCAATGGCGCGAGACACGCCGAACGCAACAGTGTAGTACTTGGTCTCGGTGACGCCGTAGTGGTGGAAGAGCACACCCGACGACGAGTCGACGTTGGGGTAGGGATTCTTGGTCTTGCCGTGCTCGGTCAACACACCGGGGGCGATGTTGGAGAGGTCGCGGACCAGCCGGAACACGGGGTCGGCTGCGACCTCGGGACGGTTGTCGGCAAAGTCCATGAGAGCCTCGAAACGAGGATCGGGCTTGCGCAGAACAGCGTGACCGTAGCCGGGAATGACGCGGCCGCCGTTCAGCGTCGACCACAGGAAGTCCTTGACGTCCTTCTCGTTGTACTGGTCGGGGATCTTGGCCTTCATGTCGAGAACGAAACGAAGAACCTCCTGGGCAGCAAGACCGTGAAGAGGTCCAGCAAGACCAGCCAAACCGGCAGAGTACGACAGCATAGGGTCGGACAGAGCAGAGCCAACCAGGTGCGTGGCATGGGCAGAGACGTTACCGCCCTCGTGGTCACCGTGGAGAGCCATGTACAAGCGCAGCAAGTCAACAAAGCCCTCCTTGTTGCCAAGACCAAGCATGTTGGCGTAATTGAGCGACCAATCGGCGTTCAAGTCGATCTTGCCGGGCAGAGCACCACCGCCGCGGTAAGCATTCTGGTAGATGCGGGCAGCAATGGCAGGCAACTTGGCCAGCGTGATGAGCGAGTCGTCGAAAACATACTCCCAGTACGAAGTCTTGGGAATACCCTTCTCATAGGCCTTGGCGAACGAAGACTCGTTGTTGAGAGCAGCCACCGCAATGACAAACTGGGTCATGGGGTGGGTCTCGGCAGGCAGCGAGTTGAGCAGACGCTCAATGTAGTCTGGGATCTCACCGTTCTCGGCCAGGAAGCGCGAGAACTCAGCAGACTGCTCGTTGGAAGGCACCTTACCGGTAAGCAAGAACCAGAACATGGCCTCGGGGGTCATCTCACCTTTGCCATTGTGCTTGGGCAGGATCTCGCGGCACTCGGCAATGGTCTTGCCGTGGAAGCGGATACCCTCGTTGGCATCGAGGAAAGAACCCTCCCAGACCAGGGACTTGAGACCGCGCATACCACCCAAGGCAGCTGCGACGGTGGCCTCGCCCATCGACTTGTCACCGTACTCAGACTTGACCTTCTTGAGGAGCTCAACCTTGGCAGGGATAGAGTCCTTCAGCGCAGATTTGAGAGAAGAGGTGTAACGCACGCCATTGCGGCTCAGAGGAGCAAGTTTGCGAGCGTACATTTCGATTTGAAAACTAGATGGAAACCTGGAAAGTGGGGTAGGGTACGGGCAGCACCTTTTATACTCAAGCCCCTAGGCTGGCTAGAGGCGAGAAAAGTCCGACGCGGCAGCTGAACCGAGATAATTAAATGTTGAAACAATTGAACTAGGCGCTGCAGACACACGCGTGGGTTGCTCCGAGCCCCGTATGGGGCCGACATTGTTGATATTTCTGCCCCCAACGAGACCGGCTCCGTGGACGGACAATCACCAGCGAACCTCCCCACATGCAGGAATGCATGCTCCACGTCGAAACGTACAGCGGTCTGGAAAGTTGAAATGCATCAAGCGGTATTTTTTTTGATTGATTAAACGCAGTGTACTGTTTGTTTGGGGTTCATTGTGCCTCTTTTCGCCAAACCGCCGTTGCTCGGCCCCGCCTCTTTTTGGCCTGCCCAGCGCCTCTCGAAGGTTTGACAAGCTCCAAGCACATGAAAGTAAGCAGGGTGGTCCAAGGAGCTCTGTGGGCGTACGCTGCAGCAGACCGGATTGTGGACAGTCTGGCGCTGGAATATCCGTTCATCAGTCACGACTATGAAAATGACAATTATATTTACGGCGGCTCGGCCGTGCTGGCAAAGTCCTATGCGCGGCTGACGGCGGATCAGCCTGATCAACGGGGCTTTCTGTATGCGCGGGAGCTAATTCCAGCCGAGAACTTTGAGATTGAAGTCGAATTCAAGATCGAGGGCGCCGGGAACTCGCTCTACGGCGACGGTATGGCGGTTTGGCTGCTGTCTCCGGACCAGGAAGTTGCCGAGGGAAGCGTGTTTGGGCTCAAGGACTATTTCATGGGCACTGCTATTTTGATCGACACTTATCGCAACCACCGCCCCGGAAAGGCCTTCCCCTACGTCGTGCTGATGCAAAACGACGGGCGCCAGGGCTACGATAACGACAATGACGGCAAGGCCAACGAGCTGGCCGGATACAGTGTCCGCGGTCTGCACAATCCGGCTAGCAACACGAAAATGAAGATCCGCTACCAAGGCGGCGAGCTTTCGGTCGAAATCAACCACAAGGGGCGCTTCGACAAGGCGTTTTCCCTGCCGTACAATCTTGATGGCGCCAAGCGCCTTGCGTTTTCAGCATCCACGGGCCAGCTTTCCGAAAGACACGACATTTACAGCGTGCGAGTTACAGAACTGGACTACCAGGCTCCCAATAAGCCGGCCCAGTCCCCTCAATATGCCGGGAACTTTGCCGGCCAGACCAGGAAATCTTCGCCGTGGACCGGGCTCCTGGTCAAGCTCAGTCTGGGGGTTGCCGGATGCGTTGGCGCGCTCAAAATGTATAAACTATACATCAGGAAGAAAAAGTATCGGGCATACGAGCCGTTCGAGTTTAGCTAAACCAATTAATAGATACTCAGGTTTAAATTTTTCATGGCATAGATCTATTTGGCAACCGCGACCAGGGCCTCGAGGACGTCGACCTCGATCTTGGCCTGGGCAGCAACGGCCTCGTCGGAAGAGCTAGCGTTCTTCTGGGCCTCGGAAAGCAGGTTCTTGGCCTCGGAGGCAGAAAAGTCCTCAAGCGGGTAGGCATCGATAGCGTTGATGTTGAGCTCAGAGTTGGGAGACACAGAAGCAAAGCCGCCGGGGACAAAGAACTGCTTGGTCTCGCTGCCCTGGATAACCTCAATAACACCGGGGGTAAGCTCCTCAATGGTGGGGACGTGGTTGGCCAAAACACCGATGTTGCCGGCGGTGGTGGGAAGGTTGACCTGGGTGACTTCGGCGACCTTGTACAGAGCGTTGTCGGGCAGAGCGAACGACAGCTTCAACACGTTAGACGCAGAGGCCTCAGCATAGCCACGGGCGAGGCGGGGAGTGGCAATAGAAACCGACCGCGACAGAGTCCGAAACATAGTAATGATTGGTCGAGTAGTGCCGATGACAAATCGGGTTTTTTTTCAACTCTCCAGCCAACCCTTTCTTTTACCCCAGTTCAGGGGGGGATTGTACCGTTATGTCAGAACCGTCGAAATCGCTGGAGGAGGCCGTGGACGTAAGTATTCGAGCGGGACGGAGGTCGCTAAAAGCACGGGCGCGCTAACATAGTCGATTTTAGAAGCAAGCGGGGACCTGGTGCTCAAGCTGGGTAGCGAACGAGGGCGGCTGGTTCCAAATGCTGGGGTAGACGTCTCCGAACTAAACAAGTGCATTCACGACTACCAAAAGCAACTGGACCTCGTGGAACTGGAAATAAGGCAAGGGCTTCATCAGAATTAAATATTTATTTTTCAAGTAATCGTACACTAGTTTTCGGCGAGATTGATCACCATGACCGTCAGGTTGTCTGTGCTGAAGTTGTCCAGGGCGTACTGCAGCAGCCGCTTGCTGGCTTCCTCGGGGCTGGACAGCTTTTTGATGAGGTCGACGGCCTTCTGGTCGCTGCACACGTCCCACAGTCCATCGCAGGCAATAATCAGCTGCTCGTCGTAGGGACCAAGCGCGGTTTCTGTGGTGTAGGGATCGCCAACCACATACTCCTTCATGTACAGATCGCCCAATGCTCTGGTGACGGCGAGGACTCCATTTACACGTCCGTTCATAAGCAAGCCGCCCGCATTATAGATACGCTTGCCTTCGTTGGCGTCGCCTCCCCGGTGGTCGTACGACAACCGCAGCGCTTTGCCGCCGCGATTCAGAACCACCCGCGTGTCTCCGACATTCGCAACGTACAGTCGCCGTCCCCTGCCGTCACCTTCTGTGCGGACGAGCGCAACGGCTGCCGTGCTGCCGGAATTTTTGATGTTTTGATCCTCGAGTTGCTTGTCTATGCTTTTGAACGTCTTGAATAGCGCCTGCGGCGCCGTCGCTTCTTTTTCACGCAGCTCCTGCGCAAGCGTGTAAGGAATCACCTTGCAGCAGTAGGTAGCGGCTTGGGCGCCAGCGTGGCCATCGAACACGGCAAAAAAGCCGCTGTCTGGCTCGTCCATGTACTTGAGGCGCCAGGTGTGCGAGTCTTCCATCGACTTGCGGTATCTTGAATTACAGTCCGAGGCCACACCGACCCAGTAAGGCCCGGCCGCCGCCTCAGGAAGCGCTTTTGTTGAGCTCGAATCAGACGAGGAAGACCGCCAAGGACTCTGCGATCTGCTGCCCGGTTTGTTTCTGCGGTTGAATACCTTACGCATACCGCACTATTTCGGATTCAACTGATTCAGTTCCTCGGGAGTTTTGGCCGCTGGTTCTCTCGCTCAAATCTCTCTTTGAACTCGTATTTTTTCCAGGCCGTCCAGAGACTAAGTCGTGACTAATCGGCGGCTACTCCGCACCCCTATAGCCATCTGGTGTGTGTGGGGAGGTTGGATGGTGAGCGGTTGGGAAAACAGTCAAAGGGGAAAGCTCGAGGAGAGGGCGGTCCGAGAGCTGGCCTGGACACCCGCAGCATGCATGGTCGCGGATTGGTACACAAGTCTTGGCACTCTATGCACCCGATAGGCTTGCAAATACATTATTCCGCCCCAGCCCCTCTTTTCGACAAACTCACCAGCAGGCCGCCAGGCTGGGGTTCCGGCATGCACCCTTACCCTGAAAAGCAGCGGCCGGTAAAACAGAAACCCCACACTTGGCCTTTTGATTCCAGCAACACATGACAAGATTCGGGTTCATTGGCCTGGGTGCAATGGGTCTCAACATGGCCCGCAACATTGCCGCCAAAATGAAGCCCTCTGACACTCTGCACGTTTTCGACGTCGCCCCGGCTCAGGCTGATCTCGTTCCTGGCGCTATCAAGGCTTCGCGGGTCAGCGAGGTCGCCGCCAACGCCGACACGGTCATAACCATGCTTCCTATGGGCAAGCACGTTTCTGGCGTGTTTAACGAGATCGTGGCGGCCGTGGGTCGCGACGGCCAGAAACAATTCATCGACTCGTCCACCATCGACATCGCTACTTCGCGCGCCGTCGCATCCAAGGTCGCGGCCGCTGGCCACAGGTTCGTCGACGCACCTGTGTCGGGTGGTACAGCCGGTGCAAAGGCCGGCACTCTCACGTTTATGGTGGGTGCGCCCGAAATTGAGGGCTCGCTGCAGGTCGCTCTGGAGCTTATGGGCAAGCGCCTGTTTGCCTGTGGCCAGCAGTCGTCCGGGTTGGCTGCGAAATTGGCCAACAACTATATTCTGGCATTGACCAACCTCGCCACCTCTGAGGGATTCGCCCTGGCTAAACACCTGGGCCTGGATCTCGCGACTTTTTCTCAGCTCGTCGACGTCTCCTCCGGCCAGTCCTGGTCCTCCCGAGTCAACAACCCTGTTCCCGGTGTCGATGCCAACACGCCTAGTTCTCGCGACTACGAAAACGGATTTGCCGTTGACCTGTGCCGCAAGGACCTGCTGTTGGCCGTGGAGGCCGCCCAGGGGGCCGCCATGGATCTGCCGCTTGGCAAACACGCTCCGGCAGTTTACACTGCTCTTAGCGAGGCCGGTTTGGGTAAAAAAGATATGAGCATTCTATATAAGACGCTATTAGATCACAAATAAAGACCCTCGAGGTTCTCTTCAATCTTGTTTTTCATCACCCGCTCTTTAGCCGAGCTAAAGTCCTGGGCGGTAACCTTCATACGGCGTTCACGCAGCGCGAGGAGACCAGCCTCGGTGCAGATCGCCTTGATATCGGCACCAGATAGATCGTCTTTAGAGGTGACAATCTCATCCAGATCCACGTCCTCGGCCAGTGACATTTTCGAGGTGTGGATAGACAGAATCTTGCGCTTGGTCACTGAATCCGGGTTTTCGAACAGAATCTTGCGGTCAATACGTCCTGGTCGAATCAGCGCCGGGTCCAGACTCTCCATTTTGTTCGTCGCCATGATGACCTTGACGTCGCCGCGATCGTCGAATCCATCCAGTTGGTTCAGCAGCTCCAGCATTGTCCGCTGGATCTCCCGCTCACCGCCGGACGTCGACTCGTAGCGTTTGGATCCGATGGCATCAATCTCGTCAATGAACACAATGCTAGGGGCGTTTTCGCCAGCAATCTGGAAAATCTGCCTGCACAGCCGAGGGCCATCACCGAGATACTTTTGAATAAGTTCAGAGCCCACAATGCGCAAAAATGACGCAGACGTTTGGTTTGCTACTGCCTTGGCTAGCAAAGTCTTTCCGGTACCGGGTGCACCATACAGAATAACACCCTTTGGCGGCTTGATACCCATCTCCTCGTACAGCTCTGGGTGAGTTAGTGGCAGCTCGACTGCCTCTTTGATTTCTTGGATTTGCTGCTCCAGTCCACCAATATCAGAGTAGCTTTCGGTAGGAGCCTTGTCGATCTTCATAACCGACACCATTGGGTCTGCGTCGTCTTGGAGAGTGCCCACGACCGACACGGATTTCTGATGAAGCAGAACCGTACATCCAGGCTCTAGCGGGTCCTTGTCGACAAACGAGCGAATACTAACATAGTACTCGGGCCCAGTGGAGGTGGACACAATAGCATGGTCGTCGTCGACCAGCTCCTCGAGAGTGCCTACCGTCATGGGTGAACCGCGCATTTCGTCCACCTTTTGGCGCTCGTCGGCAATTTTGTCTTCAGTAGGCCTCAGGCGCTCCTGATTTTGAACAAACTCCTCCTCCAGCAGCAAATGATCCTTGATTCGCTCAAGTTTGAGAAGTTTCAACCGACACCGCGTGGCCGGATACACACTTGGGAGCTTCTGCGCACTGTCGGGGCCCTTCTTCTTCTTTCTCAGAGACCGCGTGTGAACAGGGGGTTCATACTTGGGTTTAGGCTTTTCATTCTTCTTGCCTTTGTTCTTTCTATCGCCAATGCCACTCTGACCCTGTCCCATGGTTGATTGCCACTTGGTGAGTAAGCCCAAAGGTGGTTTGGAGTGAGGATATATATATGATAGGGTTTAGATTAAAAAACACGCTACAAAGACGACAAGCTCACTGCAAGAGAGCCTCGACTACACGATTGACCTGGTCGTCGTCTTCTACCCGCTCGAGGCCGAGCTTCTCCATAACAGGAGCAACCTGCTCCGGAGGGAATCCCATCGACGCAAACCGATCCAGCGAAGCTTGGTCAATTTTGGGACCGGTCGCGGCGGGCTGTGCATACTGACGAGTCCACTGGGCAGCCGTGATATCAAACTGGTTGCGGTCCTTGAGGTAGACAGCCGCAACCTCTGCATCCTGGGGGTCGCTGGGGTTCGGCGAGTCCAGAAGCTGTTGCAGAGAAATCAGAATGCTCTTGATGGTGTAGACAGGAGTCCATGCATTTTTGAGAATATCCAAACAAATTGCTCCGGTCTGGGACGACACGTTCGGGTGGAACAACCGGGTTTCAAACTTGACCTTGGGCGGTTTCAGGGGGTACTCGTTCGGCACGGAAATATCAACCACAAAGACGCCTCCGTCGTACGGCGAGTTGCTTGGTCCTTCGAACGTGGCCCGAAGCTGGCTGATGTCCGATTCGCTAGGTGTGACCGTGAATTTCCAGTCCTGGTCCTCCTTAATTGACTGGATATCTCGTAGCAGCCGTTTCGACATTTGGTAAGCAGGAGATCTCTTGGAATCTGGGAGAAATGTATTATAATTACACCGTACGGATCATTTTGTGTTTCATAAACCTAGTTAAAAGTTATATACTGGGTGTACTTTTACTTTAGTTTTTGACGTAGAGGTTGACGTACTCGTCGACATCGAGCTCGCCGACGTTCTCACCGGAGGCGGCAAGGATCTTCTGGACCTGGTCCTCGGGGAGACGGCCGCGGAGGTGACGCTCAAACTTCTCAAGCAAGACAGGGGTACCCTCCTCACGACGCTTGCGGTGGCCAATGGGGTAGTTGACCTCAACATCGTCCAAAACAGTGCCGTCGTTCAAGGTGATCTGCAGAGCGTTGCCAATGTAACGCTTCTCGGGAGCGTGGTACTCCTCAGAGAAGCGCTGGTCCTCGACGCAGGTCATCTTCTCACGGAGAGAATCAATGCGGGGATCCTTGGCGACCTCGTCAGTGTAGTCGTCAGCAGTGAGGCGGCCGTGGATAAGAGGAATAGCAACCATGTATTGGATGCAGTGATCACGGTCAGCGTAGTTGTGCAAAGGACCCTTCTTGTCGATGATGCGCATGGCAGCCTCCTGGGTGCGAATGCGGACGCTCTTGATGTCCTCGGCGGTCTTGCCCATCTCCTTGAGCTTGTGGTGCAAGGTCATGGCAGCCTCAGCAGCGGTCTGGGCATGGAACTCAGCAGGGAAAGAGATCTTGAACAGAACGTTCTCCATAACGTAGGAGCCGTAAGGACGCTGGAACTTGAAGGGCTGGCCCTTGAAAAGAACGTCGTAGAAACCCCAAGTCTTGGCAGACAGGATAGAGGGCATGCCGCCCTCACCGCCCTTAACCAGCAGAGCAAGGTTAACAGCACGAGAGCACGCATCACCAGCAGCCCACGACTTGCGAGACATGGTGTTTGGAGCATGGCGGTAGGTGCGCAGAGCCTGACCATCGACCCAGGCCTGAGAAACGGCGTCAGCCGTCTGCTCGCGGTTGAGACCAAGCATCTTGGAAACAACAGCGGTGGAAGCAACCTTGACCAGGACAACGTGGTCCAGACCAACGCGGTTGTAAGAGTTCTCGAGAGCAAGGCAGCCCTGAATCTCATGGGCCTTGATCATACCCTCAAGAACATCCTTAACCTTGAAGAGCTTGCCCTCCTTGCCGTTGGTGGCCTTGGCAAGGCGGGTTTGCCAGTCGGCAACAGCCAAAATGGCACCCAAGTTGTCCGAAGGATGACCCCACTCGGCAGCAAGCCAGCAGTCATTGAAATCAAGCCAGCGAATGATGGTGCCAATGGCAAACGCACCCCGAATGGGGTCCAAAGTGATGTCAGTACCAGGGACACGGGTACCGTTGGGGACAATGGTTCCGGGAACAACAGGCTTGACGATGGCATTAGGCTGGGGGTACTTGAGGGCCTCAAGACCGCAGCCGAGGGTGTCGAGCAAACACAGACGAGCAGTCTCCCACGCAACTGGGGAGTCGACCTTGAAATCGTGGACGTAGTCGGCAATGTCCTGAACCTCCTTGTCAACGTTGGGGCGAACGTTATCGGTCATAATGGTGGAAGACATTCTAGCTGAAACTCGAGGGGCCAAGGCAGCAAGACGACGGTGGAGCATATGTGTGGAGTTTGCGATCTGCCAGGTGTTTGGGAATTTATATAGACCCAAGATTTTTCATTAGATGATAGCCTGCATGAACTACAAAGGAGGGGTGCATGTGTCTGCACAAGGTCGAAGGTGAGGCCATTCTGGCTGGCTGCGTGTAAATTCCTCGGATTTAAGTTAACGGTTCATTGAATCATCGTGTTGTAATCCCATGCATGCATTAAGGAAGCACCTGCCCGGCCGGTTCAGCTTCTACCCAAGAGTTGGTTCGGAATCCTTTCGTCCGCACTGTCCCCCGGACCCGAAAGCGGACATCTGCCAAGCGTACTGTTGGGGTTAGGGCCACGGTGTTCAGAACCACGTTTGAGGTTGGGAAGGGTTTTTTTTCAACCACAGCCGGTTGATCTGGGCCAGGGCTCGTTCGCGGCGAGAAAACAAGACATCCGACACTAGCCTAAAAATTTTTAAAAAATACTAAATAAATGCTTCCAAAACCAAACAAGCCTCACTTTCTTTCGCTGTTCCACGACAAATAAGTGTGGTCACCCATACGTCGGGGCTTGACCAAATGCTGGATCAGGAACACAATGCCGAGAGCCGCACATAGCCCGGCAACAACGACGTAGGCAATGCCCAGGAAGTTGTTGCGGCCACCAATCGCAGACCGCGTTGATAGCACAAGCATCTTTTTGCCCCTGTAGAGCGTAGTATCGAAGTTCTGAACAATGTCGACTGTATAGGTGCCCGGCTGCAACGCTGTGGTGTCATTGCGACGAGCAAGCTTGGAAAACGTCGGCAGAGCAGCAGTACGCATCCAATTCTGGAACTCCTCCCACTGTGAAATGTCGGGAATGGGATTCTCGTCCGTGTAGCCATCGGGGTACATCTTGGCCCAGTTGGGAGGAGGCACCACTTGAGAATTGTTGTACTGTGTCTTCTTGAACCGGTTCCGGTCAGTGGGCCAAGCAATTCCGTTGGTTGTCATGTCATAGGTAGTGCCATTCTCCTCATTCACGGGCGACGCGAACGTATCGTTGAAAAGCGAGTTGGAGATCAAACCACATGGGTAGTAGGGACGTCCGTCGGGAGCCAAAATCAGCGGCTTGCAGTCGTCCTTGTCCTTCAGGGTCTTGTTGGTCTCCGGCTTGCCCTCTAGTTGGTTCTCGTTGTAACTCAGAACATACCGACGGTGGTTTTGATAGAAGTTTGTCATGCGATAAAACATATAAACCGGCGAGCCCATCTCCGTGGGAATATCAAAACGTAGCGTGCATACGGGCTCGTTGTTGGAATCCGTTCCATTCACAAATTTCCACTGGGTGGCATGTCTCGGGGAACTGTTATCTTTGAAATGATACAATATATCACTGGACTTCATATCGGAGAAATCAGAGGTGGCTTTGTACGCACACTCAGTGTAATCGATGACGATCTCCTGGACAATAACACTCGACCAAATCAAAAGGCCACCAAACAGGGCAAACAGCGCCGCGACCGAGAAAAACAGTGGAAGCACGGTGCGCGGTGTCAGGATCGGCTGCCAGGCTTTCAAGCGCTGCTGTCGAAATGCATTATTAGGAGGACGGCGTGACTTCACCTTCTTCTCGTCTTGGCTCTGTGGACGCTCGGTGTCACTGTCGCTTTCCATTGTCGAAATCAGGTTCGAAAAGAGGAGACGCCGTTTAGGTAATAATTCTTAACGGCAAAAGCAATCTGGCCGGAAGCGCGATATTTTAAGCAGCGCCACAAGAAACTTGATCCTCTTTAGGTAACTAGGTTTGCCCCTTATGAGATATCACACTTTGGCTATATTCCTATATTTTAACCACATTTTTTTCGCCAGGTTTTTTTTTTCCTCTTTTTCTGCCTTACCACCCCCTCTGAAAACTAAAACTTAATTAGGTCAGCGGGCCTGGGTTGTCTAGATAATTTTTCAATGTCGAGTCAAGCCGATAAGAATATCGAGATCTGGAAGGTCAAGAAGCTGATCAAGAGTCTTGAGGCGGCTCGAGGAAACGGTACCTCCATGATTTCACTCATCATGCCTCCCAAGTCACAGGTCTCGCTCACCTCAAAAATGTTAACCGATGAGTACGGTACTGCCAGCAATATCAAGTCGCGTGTTAACCGTCTCAGTGTTCTTTCTGCTATCACCTCAACTCAGGGACGACTGAAGATGTACAATAGGGTGCCCCCTAATGGCCTTGTCATTTACTGTGGTGAAGCCATGACCGAAGATGGCAAAATCAAAAAGCTCACTATCGATTTCGAGCCCCACAAACCTATCAACACCTCCCTATACATGTGCGACTCTCGCTTCCACACGGAAGCTCTCGCTGAGCTGCTCGAGAATGACGACAAGTTTGGCTTCATCATTATGGATGGTCAAGGTGCTCTGTTCGGAACCCTGTCCGGAAACACTCGGGATATCCTTCACAAGTTCACTGTTGACTTACCCAAGAAGCACGGCCGTGGTGGTCAGTCCGCCGTGCGTTTTGCCCGTTTGCGTGAGGAAAAACGCCACAATTATGTCCGTAAGGTCACTGAGGTTGCTGTCCAAAACTTTATCACAAACGATAAAGTCAATGTCGCGGGCCTGGTGCTGGCTGGTTCAGCTGATTTCAAGACGGAGCTCTCCACCTCTGATATGTTTGATCCTCGTCTGGCTGCTAAAATCATTAAAATCGTCGATGTCTCCTACGGTGGTGAAAACGGCTTCAATCAGGCCATCGAGCTGTCAGCTGAGACCCTCTCTAATGTTAAATTCGTGCAAGAGAAGAAACTTTTGAACAACTATTTTGAGGAAATTGCAAAGGATTCTGGCCTCTTCTGTTATGGCTACGATGAAACTTTGAAGGCTATGGATCTCGGTGCCGCGGATACCGTCATTGTTTATGAAGATTTAACCCTTATGCGCTACGTTTTGAAGGACTCTGAGGGTAATGAGCAGATTGCCTTCGCAGAGAAGGACGCCCCGACTGAGTCTTATTTGATTGCTAGCGACGGCTCTGAAATGGAGATCGTCTCTAGTCAAGCATTCGTTGAGTGGCTTGCTGAAAACTATCACGAATTTGGCTGCACTCTTGAGTTCGTTACTGATCGCTCTGCTGAAGGCTCTCAGTTCGTTCGTGGCTTTGGTGGTGTTGGCGCGTTGCTTCGCTACAAGGTCAACTTCGAACAGCTGGTCGAAGACAGCGAGGACGAGTATTTTGACGACGACGATGACTACATCTGAGGACTGTCCGCATACCTCCGCTAATGATTTGGGTGATACTGTCAACCTGAGCTTTTTCCCTGAACTGCTCTTCTAGGGTATCTTATTAAAACATATAGTCCTGCATCGTGTAGGTTCTATTAAAATGTATTTCCTGTGTTTTTTTAGGTCGAGTTTAGGCCTCTTTCAGCCTTCTGGTAGCCGATAAGATTTCTTACAGAATACAACCACCTAGGTGGGTTATTTTGCTATCACATCGCTGTACTACCAACCTTGCTGTACTCTAAGTATATAAACTCACAGAAACAACGAAATGATACAGACAACAAGACTCAGACTCTAGACAGGGAAATGAAAGGTTGGTTCTTCGAAAGAAACATGCAAAACATTCATTTGCCTTTGGCTTTTTTTAGACCCTCCGCCGACGGCATGGGACGTCCCATAATAATAAAGCAACGGTACACAGTGTTGCTCAAGTATAAGCACAACCTCAACTAATCATCGAATATTCGTCCTTATCACTGATATTAACACTTAACTAAATTGTGCACCTTGAGCTGAACCCTCACAGTACTCGCCAAACACCACCTATATTCAGAATGACCAAAAGCTATTATAATGACAACTAATGGTAACCATAAACGTATAGGAACTGAGACTCGGGCGGATTTATCGCGCACATTCAGCATATCTACCTGATTCATAATATCTACAGTTTTTTCCACAGTTTTTTTGAAGACCCTGCAGATGTAAAGTATTACTAAACCTTATGATTACCCAAGTTTGACTTCAATAATGCCAAAATGACCTTCATGGAAAGAAAATAAAAAAGCTTGAAAAAGCAAAAGATGAAATCGGAAACGGTTAGTCTGGTTTCTTTTCAAACGCAGCCGAGTTTGGTTGTGAAAAGAGTTGATTCGTTTGACGACGAAATCTCAAGCACAACCTTACAAAGGTGTTTACCTAAACGGTCTTTACAAGCACTGCGCTATGTAAAGCACTGATGGGTTCTGTGGATTACTAGCCGATGGCAAGAATTTACAGGGAAACACTCGGGGGCATGCTGCTACAGATAGCCGACTTTAGTCGTGATTTGTAGACAGAAACCTCCTCTCAAGTTATTGATGCTAAGCTCTGCTTAGCGGACTATAACTGAGGAACTCAAAAAGGCAATTGGATGCAGTTGATGTGTTGACAGTGTAACAACTGACAATGCAGAGACTGGGTGGAAACACGAACTTTGAAAAACTATGTTTCTTCGGAAACTAGGCAGTCTCTTGACTGTTGAAGATAGTTATCTGGTTGATCCTGCCAGTAGTCATATGCTTGTCTCAAAGATTAAGCCATGCATGTCTAAGTATAAGCAATCTATACAGTGAAACTGCGAATGGCTCATTAAATCAGTTATCGTTTATTTGATAGTGCATTACTACATGGATAACCGTGGTAATTCTAGAGCTAATACATGCGTAAAATCCCGTCTGGGATGTATTTATTAGATAAAAAACCAATGTCTTCGGACTTTTTGGTGATTCATGATAACTTCTCGAAGCGCATTGCCTTTGTGCTGGCGCTGGTTCATTCAAATTTCTGCCCTATCAACTGTCGATGGTAGGATAGAGGCCTACCATGGTATCAACGGGTAACGGGGAATTAGGGTTCGATTCCGGAGAGGGAGCCTGAGAAACGGCTACCACATCCAAGGAAGGCAGCAGGCGCGCAAATTACCCAATCCTGACACGGGGAGGTAGTGACAATAAATAACGATACAGGGCCTTTGGTCTTGTAATTGGAATGAGAACAATTTAAACCACTTATCGAGGAACAATTGGAGGGCAAGTCTGGTGCCAGCAGCCGCGGTAATTCCAGCTCCAATAGCGTATATTAAAGTTGTTGCAGTTAAAAAGCTCGTAGTTGAAACTTGGGATTGGGAGTCTGGTCCACCTCACGGTGCGTACTGGAACTCTTGATTCTTTTTGCCTGGACGTCTGTTGCGTTTAACCGCGTGGCAGAAAGGTCAGGCCATTTACTGTGAGAAAATTAGAGTGTTCAAAGCAGGCGTTTCGCTCGAATATATTAGCATGGAATAATAGAATAGGACGTATGGTTCTATTTTGTTGGTTTCTAGGACCGTCGTAATGATTAATAGGGACAGTCGGGGGCATCAGTATTCAATAGTCAGAGGTGAAATTCTTGGATTTATTGAAGACTAACTATTGCGAAAGCATTTGCCAAGGATGTTTTCATTAATCAAGAACGAAAGTTAGGGGATCGAAGACGATTAGATACCGTCGTAGTCTTAACCGTAAACTATGCCGACTAGGGATCGGACGGGTAGTTATTTTAGCTCGTTCGGCACCTCGTGAGAAATCAAAGTTTTTAGGTTCTGGGGGGAGTATGGTCGCAAGGCTGAAACTTAAAGGAATTGACGGAAGGGCACCACCAGGAGTGGAGCCTGCGGCTTAATTTGACTCAACACGGGGAAACTCACCAGGTCCAGACACAATAAGGATTGACAGATTGAGAGCTCTTTCTTGATTTTGTGGGTGGTGGTGCATGGCCGTTCTTAGTTGGTGGAGTGATTTGTCTGCTTAATTGCGATAACGAACGAGACCTTGACCTACTAAATAGCTGGGTCAACAATTTGTTGAGTATCAGCTTCTTAGAGGGACTATCGGAGACAATTCGATGGAAGTTCGAGGCAATAACAGGTCTGTGATGCCCTTAGACGTTCTGGGCCGCACGCGCGCTACACTGACGCAGCCAGCGAGTACATAACCTTGTCCGAGAGGATTGGGTAATCTTGTTAAACTGCGTCGTGCTGGGGATAGAGCTTTGCAATTTTTGCTCTTGAACGAGGAATTCCTAGTAAGCGCAAGTCATCAGCTTGCGTTGATTACGTCCCTGCCCTTTGTACACACCGCCCGTCGTTACTACCGATTGAATGGCTTAGTGAGGCCTCCGGATGCGAATTCACTTGTGGGCAACCGCAACGAAGTCGCAGAAGCTGGACAAACTTGGTCATTTAGAGGAAGTACAAGTCGTAACAAGGTTTCCGTAGGTGAACCT